AGTATATACAAAATATATTTTATCAATTACTTCAACAATCTATAAAACGTTTCTGATGCTGTGGGAACAGAAACACCAATCACAAAATGTTTAGAAAATCCTCAATAAAGAAATGTCAATCCAGAAGCCACAATAATAAACGGCTTCATTAAATAATATCTTAAAAGTTCTATAATTAGTTCCGGTTGATATATCATCTATTCCATAATCATCCTAATTTAAAAGGACATTGAGGAAAACTGCTCGGGATAATTTACGTTCGAAAAAAAAGTTAATTGACAGGGAATGGCAAGTGTTTAGAAATTTATGTTAAAAATTGTGATATCTGCCATCTCCATAAAACTCGAAATTGCAAAAGCTATAGTCAGTCATAACCACTGTCCATTAAAGGTAGGTAAACTGTTTCAATAAATGTACTATGAATTTTATCACTGAATTACCAATATCTCTTAGCTATATTAACAACCTTAACAATTGTTGATCGCTTCGCCAAAATGGCTTGGTATATTCCTTGTAATATAACCGCAGAAAAATTGACTGAAATGTTCGAAAAATCATAGCGTATTGGTATACAGCAATCCAACAGATATCACTTCCGGCCTGGTAACTGCATCATTTCTGGGGAACGGAAACAATACTTAAAATTCATAAAATACTTCTCAAGTTATCTTCTGGATATCACCTACAAACGAATGCATTACCGTGAGCGTGTTAACCAAATCGTAGAAACATATTTAAGAAGTTATATGAATAACAACTCGGAAAAGTAGACTGCTTTTTTTGAAAAAGCAGAATTCTACAGAGTATAGAGTTACCAAGGTAAGACCAGTAAAGGCGTATGTGGTATAAAATCTATATTAACAGAATGGGATATGCAAACCATAAACAACATCAGTACTTCAATTTTATCTTTACAGACAGAACAGTTCATTATATCAAAAATCGGAAATCAAATCCAAAAAGTGAACGAACGTTATGCGAAATACCACAATCGCAAGACACAGATACCTCCGATATTCAAATCAAGAAGTCAAATACTTGCCAAGTTTGATAAACCATAATTTTTCTATCAAAACAACAAACTGGAACCAATTTTCTAGGAAATTTGTCATGAAAAAGAAGGTAAAAAAAAAAACAACTACACATTGCGAGATTCCGAAATAATTACCTCACTTCCGTCACTTGTGTTCTTACAAATAATTTTCTACAACAAAACGTATTCTAAACTCTTTCAATATAGCCATAAAGCTTCATAGCAATTGAATTACAAGGCCGCTTGAGAACTTTGATATGAAGTAAATACAAGGGCACTAAGATGCGGTTTGGAATCCGATATACGATATTATTAAAGTAATGATATAATTATTATATAATGATGTCACAGATGGGGCTGCTTCGTTGGGAGAATAATCAAATCATGGAAAATAATAGCCAGTAAGAAGGAACCGTACTCAGAATTGGATACTCTGGTACTAATTCAATGAATCATAAAGCTGCCATAGAGCTGATTCACGAAATAATCTATGTAAATTATATGTAGCTAGATCAGTCGAATTTTCCAATCCGAAAATTTAACTTTCAACTAGAGGCTTATATACTTTTCAAAAACAATTCAGATAATTTAGTTTCTTTTTTAAAATTACATTTATACTTAGATTTCTATTTTTAGACGTACATCTTCTTTTTGGATAATTGATAACTTGTCTCATAAGTGGCCATTAACTGTAACACCTACACTCAATATATTCTGTAATAATACACCGAAAATGATCCTAAAGGGCAAAAAAACAAGTGTACGTAATAATCTACTTTTGTCTAGAAATACTATATGTTTAATCGGAAGTAGAAAATCTTCAATTTGGAAGATTCGATTGATCTGGCTTTATGCATAGAAACTAAACTGCCATTTAATGAGCAGATAACCTCAATGGATTCTGAATATATTTAAAGAAGCTAAGTGGACATCGTACATAGAATGATATTATAATAACCATGTGGTTTTCACTTTGCTCAAGTCTATTTTACTATATTACCTCCCTATGAGGAGGATGTAAGTAGAAGCTCTTGTAGCTCAGTGGTAGAGCGCTTGCCTAGTAAGCAAGAGGCCCAGTGTTCGAGTCACTGCTGGAGCAATTTTTTTCATCCCTTCAAACCTTAGAAGAGGACAGAAAATACGAGAGAATTAGAAACTAAAGGAAGTTAATGTTAACAACCACGTCTAATTGTGTTTAGTACAAAAGTTTTTCACGTTTTCACTCTCATTAAGCTTTATAATAGTCTTTTCTTATTAACGAATATATGTGAGCGATAAATAAAATACGTTCGACATATGACGACCAGAAAGATTCTAAAGAACCAGAATTATCCCAATAAATAATTAAATTATACTGAAGCACATCTCTGTTCGTATGCTTGAGTACGAATTTTATGAGAAGCCAAGGTTTGGGACCCATTTGATATATCCTACCCAAGGTTCATATCACATATATCTTAAACAATTTTGCGCTTAACGAAATATTTATATATAATATCAACCGCCTAAGTTGAATGATTTCTAGCAGATACTCATCAAACATTCCTTAGGAACAAATTTATCCTGTTCATATACGAAAATAGGAAAACCGTCAATCCAGTTTAAGTGTTTTAGGATACAGTAAAAACAAACACTAAGAGACTAGTTAAAGTAAAAGGGAATTTACATTAGCGGTTACAATCACGAACCTTTTTGTAAAGTATTAAGTATCACAATCTCTTACTTAAAAATCACTTTAAAAGTCCATTTTAAAAATAAGAGATCTTACGTTATACCTTTATAGAATTTCATGCGACGACAATTGGATTACCGAGGCGCATTTGCAAAATAATAAAGAGGCACCGATCTTACAAATAACGTAAGGAGTTGTCATTCAAAAAATGATTCGACGTACGAATTCCCCGTTATGCGGCTAAAGCTTGTTATTTACAGATAATTTTTATTAAACTAAAAGAAATATATAATTTACTAAATAAATATATAAAAGGCCAGGTCCTTAAAAATTCACTACATTATGATTTCAAAAGGAAAATATCACTTATCAGATGAACCGATCACTGCACAAACTCCTATTGATTTTTCTGTAATTTATGCTAGAAACATTTTAGACTTATTCACAACTAATAAAGTTGAACAATTTCAATTAAGACCTCTCGGGTTATCAACGCTGAACTAAATTTAGTTCTTACAACATACTGATCGCATTTAATGGTAGTTCTACACAGGTAGACCTGAAGCAGTGCGCTGCTAGCTATAGGATTCCTCAGTTATGGTTTAAATTTTTTAAAGAAGACATGAAACTCATTATGAAAAGACAAACAAAAACAAGCTGGTTGCAAGTTAAGCATTGTTTAAACAACATTGGATTTTAAAAAACTCGGACTAAGTCAAGCAGCAAATGAAAGATAGCGATTTTGACTAGCTGTTGGAACTATATTATATATAGGGTTGAAAAGGAATGTTTATCATGTTGCAATGGATACTACTATACCAGCTTGTATTACTATCGGTTCGTAAAAATTATCCTATGTCTTAGCATAAACGTTTAATTAAAAATGGATTGAACGGCAGCCAAGTGCAACTTCGTGAATTGTAAAAATAATTAGCGCAAGTAAAAGAAAAAGCGTCTAGTTTAAATACGACGCATACAAGGTATAAAATCTATTTGCGGTGGAAGAATTGTTATACAGGGGGATGTGTTTGGCGGTTGGTAATGGATTAAAAATGGAAGGTAAAATTAAGAATTGTTTTATACCCACCACTATAAATACATTTGAGATTTTTTCATTGCAACTCTTAATATACTGACCGATTATGCCCAATTACTATAATTATCTCACAAAGAAATCACAGTATAGAATGGCATTCTTGTACGAAGAATATACTGAAGCATTCAACAGCCGTCGTGCTAATTAGTTGTTTGGATTTGCATTGTGTTGAAGACTAAACTAATCGCATCAGAAATGCACATATCGTTAATCCGACACAATTGAAACGCATTCGGCAGAGTCTGATGTTTATATACGTCAAGGAGTAAATATTTCTCAATTGTGAGCCACTATGAATTGTAAAAATGTTCAGTTCATAACCTGAATGAATACGTTATTATTTTTTTTTTCGGTCTTTAATACCGCAATTAATGATATCGGAAAACATGCACATAGTAAATTAGTTATTCAATTATCATTTTCAGGTCATGGTTCAGAGAGTATAGAGCAGCCAGGAAATACTGTTAATTCACAGGATCTTAAAAACAAATGTTAAGTACATCAAAAAGATAAGGTAGTGAGTTATAGAATAAAAAACCGTGCCTGTATCTAATTACATAAGAAACCAAGATAAAAGCGCTTAGAAATTATTGTTTTCGTTGATGATATATAATCAGAACCCGTTATTACTTTCTAGTTAACTTATTGTTAAGAAGTTCCTAACATTTGCAGTAATATAAACGGTTTAAAAATGAAAAAATGATTGCAGATAGTGATCAAATTCCTAAGATATATTCATAATCAAAACTGTTTATGACGTAAGTTTGCTTAAACTTTTAAAATCTTAAACTTTTTTTGGGAGTCACTAAGATTATTTTCATTTTTGTTCATATATGGGATGGAAAATAATACCTTTTGTATAATAAATAAGGTGATAATATTGAAAAAAAAAACTCCATTGTGAAACGTTTCTATTATAAAAACTTTTACGGTTGGGATCTGTTTTCGATTAATTAAACCTGCATTGATGTGTAATGAACAACTCCTCAAGCCAGACACCTTCGTACTACTTAAGTGTGATATATCGTAGTAGGTAGTATAGGAAACGTATAGAGCTACTAAAAGTTAATGTATGGTAGTAAATAATATGATAGCAGGAAATACATCCTCCAACATGGAATGCAACGTTGCGCAAGATGCTATCCGCTATAATAATAACAATGAGAGAATTCAGATGATAACTATTATAAAGAGGTCTTCTGCATGTATGTCAAAGCTTTTCTGTTTGCTCAATAAAAGAGGTTGGTTCTTCTACAGGGTTGTGAGGACTAAGTATTTGGAAATCAAAAAATTTTTTTATTTAACTATGTAACGTCTCACATAGGGAGCTTAAATAACATAGTCGAGACTTAAAATACACGCAATTTAATAACACCAGCGGCTAGTAGACAAAAGAATACAATTTTCATTACGGTCGTGATAACGATTTTTCAAAAGGCAAATCATGAATCCGTGTTGCTATATCTTTTGACCTGAAGCGACAACTAAGCCTATTTTAACAGCATACAAAGCCTTATCTTTAGTTAGCTGCTTTACTTCAGGAGTTGGATTAGCACTAGACCTTTGACACTTAGCTTCATCAACCCATATTTTAATTTGAAATCCATCAGAAACAACAACATTTTTAAGACCTGCTTTTTCAAGTAGTTCGGCATATTGTCGCCTAGTAAACCCGTTTGGATGACTGATACCATGGCTTGCATGAAAATCCGCTGACATATTTTCGTGAAAACTTCCAGCACCCTTCAGAAAATCAGTTACGTAAAGACGGCCTGAAGGTTTCAAACAATCTTTTAGCTTCTTAGTGATGGATTCGACGTCTTGTATATGATGGTACGCCATAGAACAAACAGCAGCATCATACTTTCCAGCAATTTGATCGTTGGGTTCTGTCCCTAATCTCAGATCTACGTTTTCAGCATGAGCCTTTTCCTTGGCATTTAAGATCTGAAACTTATGATTAAACTTATCGACCATTGCTGGAGAAATATCGAGGCCAAGAATGCTATCACAGTAAGGTGCCAAATGTTCACTAATCAAGCCGGTTCCGCATGCAAAATCAAGCAAACGAATGGATTTAGATTCCCAAAATTTATCAACATGAGTAAATTGTTCGTTAATATCTACTGAATCTTGAGTGAATTGTTCATAAGAGGAGGCTTGATCCAAATCAACAACCGAGTCTGATGATTGTAGTGAGAGTTGCAAAATCTTTTGGCTTATAATTTTTGTCACCGCCAATGTAGTGGGGTTGTCATACTCATGGGCCTTTTCGGCGTTAAAGTAATTTACATTTGAGTCAGTACTATTTGACATCTTCAGGACCTGAAACGGGGTGCGATTGGAAAGCTTGGTATACAAAGAAATAAACAAATATTAGTATAATTGCGTCTAAAAAGAACGAGACTATAGCTTAATGCCTTTTTTTTTAAAAAAAAAAGGTTTGGTTATTGCTAAGTATATAAATATTTAACGGTATTTTATATAATTCCCAACGCACCTATCGATCAAAGAATGTTATCTGATACCTTACTACCACTTCGCTGTAATAATTATTTTCAAGACAAGAGAAATCAGAAGGCCTCTTTGAACTTTTCTCATAATTCTTTTTGTGTCTCAGGCGAAAAGTGTTAATATTACATACAGCTACTCGTGTATGCAAAGGTTTGATTACTGAATATATATCTGAAAAATGTGAATTTCTTTATGGAATGTCCGTTTGTAAACCATTGAATGCTACAAATAAGTCATTCTTTTATACCCAACTCATGTACTATATTTAGTATATTTCAAGGAACGGAAAGCATAATTGACGTCGTTTACATTTGATCTATAACTCATCTACGACCGTAGCCCTTGACTTGAAGTTTTACAAAATGAAGGTAACAAAGGTAAACCTTAAGCATTATGACATGAAATAAAAGCGGCTATTACGCAAACTCCTCGATGAAACGTGTTTCAGAATTGAATTTACCCAGGGCCGACCAGATCAAGCTCATAGTATGCGATGTTGACGGCACATTGTTAGACGGAAACCATGTATTTCATGAACGAAATCATAGAGCGTTAGCATACTTACGAAAGCAGAAGCCTGAGTTACCAATTGTACTAGCGACAGGCCGACAGCGTTCATCAGTTATTCATATCCGAGAACCATTGGAATTGGATGCATTTCCATCTATCCACCTGAATGGTTGCGTGGTTTACAACAAGGGTGAAGTCTTTTCTCACGTAGGACTTTCGAAAGAATTGGTACACTCCATGTTTACAAATGTCTTGGAAGATGATACCACGGCCATATTGGCTTATGATCACAATAAAGTATACCCATTAAAGAATGACTCCAAGAGTGATAGTATTCGGTTTCTTAAGGAAGTTGGTGAAGTTGTTTCATTAGAGACCCCAAGTAAAACTACGTTGGAACGAGTTCTTTCCGACGAGCTACCAGTAACGAAATTGGTAATTTACGAAAGGAATCTTAAGCGTTTGGATGAAATTAAGGTATCTCTACTGAAGAATGATCAGAAAGAATACACTATTACTCAAAGCTTTCCCTTTGCACTTGAGATTATTCCTTCTTCAGCGAATAAGGCAACTGGGTTGACAAACATCTTAACAAAAATATATCCTCACATACATTTTGATGAAGTTCTAAGTTTTGGAGATGGTGAGAACGATGTTTGCATGTTTGAGACTACAGGACACTCCGTCGGTATTTGCAACGGTATGCCTGCTGCCATTCAAGCAGCAAAATACATTTCTTGTTCCCCAAACTATGAAGGTGCAGTTGGTGAAATACTAGAGCATATATACGAGATTCCTCCATATCACTGAACCCAGCCATTTCTATGTTATGAAAGCAAATTTCGCTGAAGTTAAATGTCGATTCTCTACTTCTAAGAGTATAAGTCATTCCATGATGGAAAAAATAAAAATAGTTTCAAATTTATGAGATGTTTCATATAGCAAGTTCACGTTCTCTCTGCTCGATATATTGGTACATCTCATGTAGGCCAAAGCAGAAACTTGCAACTAGACTACTTTCAAAACTTTTAAATAATCTCGGCCTAAAATACAAAAAAGAATATAGAAAATATCATTCATTAACGTTAGAATTAACTAAATCCGGAGATAAATAAAACAGATTTAACTTTTAATTATTATATGATCCTTTAAACAAATTTGTAGTATAGATAAACTATAAGGAAGAAAAATTATGCAAGGTATGGGTTCCACAGGTAATTAAATTTCTTCGTAATGTTGAAAAACATCGGCATCCCATTTTTGTTGAGAAGTCACTTCCTTTTTTAAATGCTTCAAAAAGCCATTCGAACCACAAGCACTTATTGCACTAGTTTTATCATTAGATAAGTCAAAGTGATCCTTGATATAGTTCTCCAAGTTGGGTTTCCCATCACGATACTGAACCAAACTTGAGTCACTTGATTCAGATATTAAACGTTCTTCCACAGGATAGCTCGCGGTAAGATGGCAATAAATATGAACGGTAACTTGCTTGTTTCTCAAAGAATGTTTGAAAATCCGATTAAATAAAGTGAGTAGCTTCAATGATCGGCAAGACCATACAAGAGTGATATGAAGAGTATTTCCAGGCTTCGAAAGAAGATCCCTTAATATAGGTAAAGTATAAGTGATTCCCACACCACCTGCAGCTAAAAAAACATAAGAATAGTTCCTAAAGGGATTTGACAGTGGTCCATAAGGTCCATCCAGTAGAACAGTTAGTTCTTTGACCGATTCTGTAGAATTTGTGCTTAAACTGACATCGCTATCGAGACTAGATTGGTCCTGTCCTGAACTCAATTCAGAAACAACGATACTAGCATCTTTATTTACTTTGGCTTTTTCGTCTCTTTCACTGATATTTATGGTTGTGGAATTCAAATGGTCAGCCAATCTTTGGGTAAATCCTTTACGAACGGCGACCAAAAGCTCGACATGTTCATCCGAAGGGCAACTAGCAAGGGTAAAAGGGTGAATTTGCCAAAAACTAAAACGAGGGATGCTTATATAAACATGACTGCCTGAAGACCATGGCAACGAAAAGAAAGAGGTTTTTGGTTTTTTACCGCGTAAATAAATAATGTTATCATCAATAATACTTATTTCAAGTTTCGTTTTGTTAATGAAGCTTCGAAGGATTCTACATCCGCGATCAAACGCGTAACAAGCGATGGCCGCTTTCATGTAGGGGACGCATTGTCGATGATGATGATAAATACATACAAGAAAACCAATGCTACATGCATGATGTAAAACAAAGAACCATTCATAAAATCTGCGACGAAAGAATGGTAAAGCACTGATGATCATCACGACCATTAATCCCAGAATACCGTAACCCCATCTGAAAGCACTGTCAACTAATTTATGACGATCATGGCTGGTCAATCCAAGAAAAGTAAAGCCATGTATGAGAGCCATAAGAATAGCAAACTGAGCAAGACGTCGATGAACATAATTCATTTTTTCATGAGAGGTGAAAAGCATCAAGGCAAATGGATTGTTTTTTAGGCTGAAAAAGTAAGAAACAAAAAAAAGAGCAGCAGCTAGAAAGCCGCATCTTGCTGCTACCGCATGTGCATTCCAATTTCCTTTGCCATTTTTAGGCGGTGTCTCTTTACCAATGAATGGAACGGCGATTGCAAAAACAATGGGAATTGCGATTAAAGTCAAAACAATTTTGTTTGTAACCAAATAAACATAAATATTTCGAGCAATCAAATAAACGCGCTCAATAGGAGAGGTATTTGCCTTGACAGAATTCTTTCTTTTATGAGACTTATAGTAAACCCTTACAGTTTCTATAGTATAAAATCCAGATAAAGCAATTAAGCATCCAAATATTAAGCATATAGCAATGATTGCCCATTTATCTCCAGATTTAATCATGTTTACCTAGGATTATAGTGTCGATTATACACAAAAACTGGGGAAGACTCATAGGGCATGCAGCTATTTATAATATGAATTCTTCAATAAAAAAAGGAAAAACATACAGCTTTTTTGAACCTTTTTCTTTCAATAGAGGCGTTTTCGCGACATTCGACATTTTGATGATACGAATTTTATCACCCACCACTCAGCTTTATCAGACGAATCAATTGTCCAATTTAGCACCAAAAATAATCAGATCAAAACTGACACAATTTGCATTTTAAAATTATCAGATATATCCGGTTTTATCCGATCATTATCGGCATGTAAAGACTGTCGCATCAATAGTAACCGTAGAACAATAGAACAAGAAAAATAAAGAAATCGTAATGAAAAAGCATCAGATTAAGGCATAAATTCCCAGAAGATGATTCAGTTTGCAAGCTGACTAATTATTTGACGTATTGAAGCAGGGATAATATGGCATCACTAAACTTTGGGAGGGGCCCCTTTTTTTATAGTGACTATTGCTGACTGTTTATATTTTTAAAACAATTCATAGTCTTATACTTATAAGTAAAACGTTATAAATATAATCATAGGAAGCAGGTTGATGAGCTATGAAGCAAAGCGCCATGTAACGGTTAAAAATGCAAGATAAATAAGAGATCTGAGAGAAAAAGCATCCAATTCTAGGATACGATACTTTTTCTACTAAAATGTAGTAGTATAGAATCCTATACTCTACAGACAAGACTTCAAGTTAGCTTCGGTTGTTATGATCAACTTGATCAATTTTTGTGACATTATCAAATTGATCAGATAAATCCAGGCACTCATACACTTTAAACAAGCGATGCGATAGCCTCCATTTTGTAAGTAGATTCATACTCTACTAGAGTCAAAATTCCATAGAAAGTAAATTTCTTGCTGCGTAAACTCTTGACGAAACTAAAAACCGATTCGAGCTGAACAGAATCAAAAAACAACAAAAGATCCAAAATACGATTCCAGTGTGAACTGGGGGCGGACAATTTTCACCAATTTGTATGATATGAAGTCTTTACAAAGATTTCTAGGCGTAAGAAAACAATCGTGGATTTTGAAGAGAGCTTGAGCTTGACGTGGCTGGGAAAAAAGATGAGCGACCTCAAAAAATGAAAAACCGATCAATTTTGAATGCTTGGCGCTTTCACCGTCAAAACGCATTAAACCCTACGAAAGTCATGAAAGGAACGTTATAAACTACATAACATTTGAAATGAAAACAAGAAAAAAAAAAAAAAACACACGCACACACACACATTCAGAGAGGAAAAGCTCGCTTTTATTTTATATAGAAAACCATCATAGAAACGCGAGATCCGTCATAAAAAATAAAATAAAATAAAGTAATAATCTCAATGAAAACCCCAAGAATGCGTTATGTGACACATTTTACTCTAACATACACAAAAAAAAAAAAGATTAGCAAAAACAACCAAACAATTTATAACAAATAATTCAACAAAATAGACAATGAACATGAGCTCTTCGAATTACGGTTCGGTGTCAAAAAACTTTCCTACCAAAGAAGTGACAGCCATCGCTATAACACCCAAAATAGTGACTCTGAGTATAGCACGCATCTTGTTGGCACCTCCAATTTGAGCGCCTACGAAACCCAAGAAAGCTAGGAAAAACAGAGTTGAAAAAGTCAAAATTATGGTCACGTGTTCCACCGGACTCAGGAGTGCCGTAGCCAAGGGTAAAATGGCACCAGCCGAAAAAGCACCTGCAGATGAAAAAGATGCTTGTACCGGCTTTGCTACGGAATACATATTAATACCCAACTCCTCACGTGCATGTGCTTCTAAAGCATCGTGTTCCATTAGCTTGGTAGCGACTGTGTGAGCTAATTCTTGGTCAAGTCCTCTCGTCATATACACATTAGATAATTCGACGACCTCTTCATCCCAATTCTGTTCCATCTCTTGTCTTTCTAAATCCAAGTCCGCACTTTCCAAGTCAGCCTGCGAACTCACAGAAACATATTCACCGGCAGCCATTGACATGGCACCAGCAATTAAACCAGAAACTCCTGTTAAGGCTATACTTCGACGAGAGGCATCAGCAGATGAAACTCCAATCAATAAACCAGAGAGAGACAAGATACCGTCATTGGCACCTAGGACAGCAGCGCGTAACCAGCCGACGGAGGCCATCGCATGCTTTTCCTTTGGTTTCGGTTGTAACCAAGCAAGCATTGTTAATGAAAAACGATCGAAAAACAATCAAAAACCAATGACACAAGAGAGCGAGGCAATTTTTCTTTTCTTTTTAAATTTCACTTATTTGCAATCTTTCACAATGCGAATATGTCACCTTTTTTGCTGAGATTTGAAGAACTGCTGCTTCCAATTTTTTGAGTTAATTGTAAGGTCTAAGATTGGCTTAGTAAAGATTAATTTTATAGGTCCGTTACTTATATTTTGTTACTTGGGAGAAATAATATGACATTCCCATATGTTAATTACTAAAAAAGGACTCGCTTTCATTTCACCATGTTTTATTACGTTTTTTTAATCTTTTCTTTCTTGTAATAACTATTTCTTTTCTTTTTTATTAAAAGGCAGCTTGAAAAACAATCATTTAATACATTCACCTACCGCCTTTGTCTTTCGACAGAAGGCTTGTATGACAAAGAGCCAAAAGAAGAAGAAAAAAAAAGACGATTGTCGTTTTCTACTGAAATAAAATGTTTATGGTTGATCTCTTTCAAATAAAAAATGATTGTGAAAAGAAGAATAGAATAGTGCATACAACTGAAACCAGAAAATTAAAAATTGTATTTCACAGTAGATGAGAAAGTCTTTCAAGTCATTAAATTTAATTATTTTTTCTTTGTCTTTTCTACAAGAGCTACAACTATAACAAGAAAGAAAGCTATTTTACTTATTTGTTTATTTATTTATTCATTCATTCGGCTGCGAAAAATGGCTCTAAAATTGGAATCTTTTTCATATATCCCCCAAATGATATCATCTATTCAAAGAATCTATAAAGGACTGTATCTTTAGCTAAGTGATGGTCCCCAGAGCCTGAGAACATAATTCAAATCATTGTTCTACTGTGAGAAGCTCTCAAGGCCAGTAGAAAAGTACTGTTTCCGCTATCAAGTTACGTAACAGATTGTATTCGTTTGATTATATAAATTAAAGTATAGACATAGACATAGACATTTGAACATATCGTTCGGTGTAACTTGAAAGTCCACCAAAATTTGGGTATTTAGAGAAAAACAGCTATGAAATTATTCGTCACTGGAATTAGTACAGACGTAGGGAAGACAATCGTATCTTCAATTCTTGTAGAAGCCTTACAAGCCGATTATTGGAAACCCATTCAATCGGGTGACCTAGACAATTCAGATTCCCATAAGGTACAAAGGTTGATTAGCAACACCAAGACCCATATTCATCCAAATACTTACGCCTTGAACACACCCGTTAGCCCTCATGTTGCTGCAAAGATTGACCACATTACAATTGATGTGAATCAGATTGTTCCTCCCAAAACCGAAAATCCTCACATGGTTATTGAGGGTGCCGGAGGAGTTTTTGTTCCATTGAACGATACAGATATGATTACTGATTTAATCCAACCAGATTATAAAGTTGTTATCGTATCAAGGAATTATTTGGGAAGTATTAATCACACATTGTTAACCATCGATGCTCTCCGGAACAGAAACATCTCAATTGCCGGGATCATATTTAGTGGAACAAAAAACTCAGAAACGGAAGACTGGATCTTACAATATTCTAAGCTTTGTTGTATCGGACGGGTTAACGAGGAGAGCACCTTTGATAAATCTTTGATCTCCAGATATGCCAATATGTTTCGTCCCAACATTATGAACCTATGAGAAGGCATTACGAGTATCTGGAATACCATATATATAGTACTTTTTATAGATGATGAGAAAGAATTGAAAAATTAGAAACATATAAAGAGTAATTCTATAACACGAGGCATACGAAAATAGCGATCTTCAGTCTTTCTTTTATTAATTTGAGTTTCATTATCTGTCATTCTAAAAAAAATTTTATTCAATGAGTTTAGTGCAAAAAGATTTGGAATACATTTGGCACCCGTACACTCAACACAAAACAGCAAAGCCTCCTATTGTTATTGTGAAAGGGAAAGGCGCTTCCTTATGGGACGAAAACGGTAAAGAGTATATTGATGCTATTGCTTCCTGGTGGGTGAACCCCTTTGGCCATAGCAATAAGTATATTGCGGACCAAATCTATAAACAACTGACAAGCCTAGAGCATGTTTTGCTGGGTGGATTTACTCACCCTCCAGCAGTAAATCTGGCTGAGCGACTATTATCTATTTTGCCCAAGAACCAAAACAAGGTTTTTTTCTCAGACAATGGTTCGACTTCTGTTGAAGTGGCTATCAAAGCAGCCCTACAATTCTTTTACAACAAAAATGAAAAGCGAACAACCATTGTAGCTTTTGAGGATGCTTTCCATGGAGATACATTTGCAGCTATGGCGGCAAGTGGAATTTCATTTTATACAATGGCTTTCCAAGGAATGTTCATCGATGTCGTTCGCATTCCCGTACCTGTTCCTGGAAAAGAACAAGAAAGTTATGAAGCTCTTGAAAATGTTCTTACTGAACATCAATGTGCTGCTTTTATTTTTGAGGTCTTAATCCAAGGTGCTGGGGGCATGAAAATGTACGAGCCTGAATGTCTTGACAAACTCATTGAAATTTGTCAAAGACACCAAGTGTTAACGATAGCTGATGAAGTTATGACCGGTTTTGGGAGAACGGGAAAGCTATTTGGATGTGATTATTTAAAAACTCAACCTGATGTTCTGTGCTTATCCAAAGCTCTAACAGCTGGCACAATTCCCATGGCTATAACAACGTTTTCCAAAACCGTTTTCGATGGATTCTACAGCGATGACATTAACAAAGCCCTTTTCCATGGCCACACATTTACTGGCAACCCCACTGGATGTGCCGCCGCCTTAGCAAGTTTGGATCTGTTATTGTCTAAAGATATGCAAGATAATATTTCTCGTATTCACCAAAGTCATTTGGAATTCAAAAAGCGTTTAGAATCTCATCCACGCGTGCATACCGTCCGCGTACGTGGTGTTATTCTTGCTCTTGAAGTTTCATCTCAGCAGAAAGAAAGTTATTACGGTAACCTCAGAAACAATTTATACGATTTTTTTCTCAAACACGGAGTTATGTTACGTCCCATTGGAAACATTGTCTACATTCTGCCTCCCTACATTATTACCCAAGAACAATTGACGGTCGTTTATTCTACAATTGAGAAAGCTTTAAATGAAGTGGTTTAACGTTTATACCTAAAGCTGATTTAAGCTATCGTTTTTACTAAAATAAAAAAAGGGTTTGCCGAAGAGTCATATCCACTATTGGGTCAAGATTGTTTGTTTCATGTTCATTGTCATCCGTTATTGCAGGAAATGATCAAGTTTGAAAACAAATCCTATTGAAGTCGTTATGAAATGACTTTTCTACAATCTTGTTTTATTTTTATATAAAAAATGCATTGACAAGATGATTAATGATACTCTTGAAATTCGACACAAGGGAAACATAAAAAATTACGGTATCAACGTGATGAATAAGTGGGCCGCTTTTTATTTCCCTTTTATAACTAAATTCCAAATGATTTGATTTCTTTTTACTTTTCGATATGAACTATATTTAATTAAGGAATGGTTTTCGTTCATAATTCAATATGGGATACCTGAAACGAACTTACAATAACGATATGTTTTTGGAATATTATTTTGTGTTATAAACAGTTTATTTATCGGAGTCATAGGGAAGAATTTTAAAACTTTCCTTCACAAACAACAAATCACCCAGACAAGGAACAACAAAGCTATAACTGTTGAAACGCATATATCTAGTATTTTTGAAAAGTTGAAGAAGAATTCAATAATCCACCTTTTTTTAACCACCATAACTAACCCAAGGCCTGAAAACATCCATTATATCATACATTAGCTAACGTATGTATGAACATGATTCATGACAACAACACCAACAACCGAACTGATTAAGTATGGATTCTATGCTAAACTGAAGTTCCTGTTTAGAGACTCTCTGATTACGAAAATAAATTTACAATCAAATTAAAGTATATAATGACTTCAGTTTTAAAACACAACTTCGTGAATCGACATTGCTTGTATATTAGAATCGAAACTATGGAGAGAAAGGATGTCTACTCTTTATAAATTTATTACTGGAATTAAAGATGCCTAATTCTTCATTCCGCATATGTTTAAAGCTTTGAAACCCGATATTTACTTTAATGATGTAAAAATGACTTTCATTTATTACGGCCACGTTTGAATACGACAAGTATTACGGAGATTCAGCTACAATTTAATACTGACGTATTTATAGTGCTTTGAATCTGAAATATATAAAAGAAGAGAAAGTTCATTTCATAGCTCGTCAATAATTGTTGAAAGGCACAAAAGACCGATACAACATATCATATATTTCATATTAAGAAAATGAATGAAATCAGAAATACAGCTACCAACCTGATGGACAAGCAGTTGGGTCGAAACCCTGTTTCGGAGACATACGGCCAGCCTGTCCAAGATCCATCAGGCGCAACTATGAAAGCTGTTGTCTTCGATGGCTCAAGAAATGTGAAGATCGATGAAGTTCCTAAACCGACAATCACTCACCCGAAGGATGTAATTGTTAAAACGACAGCCTGTACCATTTGCTCAGGCTCTGATTCCCATATGTTTTCTGGAGAAATTCCAGGTAGAAACAAAGGTTCTGTTCTTGGACACGAATCTTGTGGTATTGTAGTTGAACGTGGTTCAGAAGTCAAGGATCTATTCGTAGGCGAGAGAGTAGTCATCGCTTTCGATATTGCCTGTGGATCCTGCTCCTTCTGTAAACGACGTGAGTTTACTGGTTGCGATACTACAAATGACACTAAACTTATGGATGTTAACTATGGTGCACACCATTCGGCAATCTTTGGCTATACCAAGATGCTGGGAGACGTCCCAGGCTGCCAAGCCGAGTACATTCGTGTTCCGTTCGGTGATGTTAACTGCTACAAACTTCCCGAAGATATTCCCGATATTAAAGGTCTGTATATGTCGGATGTACTCTGTACTTCCTTGCACGCATGCGAGCTCGGCAGTGTACAGAAAGGAAACACTGTTGCCATTTGGGGTATGGGTCCCATTGGTTTGTTTGCAGGCCGCTGGGCTCAAATCTTAGGTGCTAAACGTGTCATTGGCATTGAAGTTATTCCTGACCGCATTAAGATTGCCAGAAATCGTTTTGGATTTGAAGTCATCGATAGAAATGAAGTGAAAGATATTCCCAAGAAAATTCTCGAGTTGATTCCTGATGGTCCAGATGTTGCCATTGATGCCACCGGTTTCCGATTCACTACTACAATGCTTCAAAAAATAGAACGTGCTGTCGGTTTGGAGACGGATTCAGCTGATGTAATATTTGAATGTTTCCAAAGTGTTCGAAAATATGGTCATGTCGCCCTCATTGCAGACTATGTAGGAACGAGCAATCAATTTCCTGTTGGACATATCATGATGAAACATTTGACAGTTCGTTCAGGCCAATGCCCATGTCAGAATTATTTTGACAGAGTAGTAAAGGCTATAAGGTCTGGAGAGATTGATCCAGAATGGATGATCACTAACAAGGTCAAGTTTGATGATCTACCTGATGCTTATGAGAAGTTGTTTTACAAGCAAGATGGATACCTTAAGGTTTTCTGTCAAATGTAAAGTAATATACGTCAGTACATGAATTTATATAATATAGGATAACGAATTTTATGATTAATGATAAATTATTTAATTAAATTATACACATAGATGGAATTTTTAACGTATACCTCTCAATAAATAGTTCTAAACTATGGCAAATACGGTATGCCATCCGAATTAAACGACACAATCAGTAGTCTCGAGTGTCTAGTATCTGAAATATGATGATGCTGTTTGTTCCACCGTCTTTTAGACATCTTTTTTGAAAAAAATCCAGTGGATCCATTTTCCTTTAGATAAGCTTCAATCGCTTTATCCTTCTGTTCAGCGACCTCGTCAGGATTCAAGAAAAAGACATGGATCTTTCTTTGATGAAAAAAGTTCTTATTCCATAATTCAACGAATCCTCGAACCACAGGAAAACGGACATTATCAATGTACTTCTCAATGTAGTAACTGATGATGAACCGAGAAACTCCAAGGCTTACTAAACCAACAAGATTACCAGATCCTAGAAGAGCAACTTCACTAAAGGAACATGCCAAATTGATATCGTGTATAAATGACTTATAATCTTCCTCAGTAACATCATGCTTCGGAAGATCCTCTGGAAAATATACTAAAGGGAAGCCTTTTGTAACTTCGGTACTCCGAGAGAGAAGACAGATGGGCTGGAATTGACTGTATAAAGCCTTCGTAGAAGCTTTTTTTGAAAATGATTTAGGAAGACCCATTGTGGTAACTTTTGTTTTCAATGAACGATTGACAAGTCCATGAAAGACATTTGTATAAACATTTGTATTAAGGAAATTAGTCTTTGATGTAGCTTTCTCGTCTTCCTTGGTGACATTTCTGATGGAAGGCGTAAAAACTGATATAGTACATGGTCCCTCCATTTTAGGACTTGTGATGGGTTTTATACCATCAACTTCTTTAGAATCATCTTGCTTAGGTTCATTTTCTTTCAGGTTTACTTGGGACCCCATTGAAGTTATGCATTGGTTAACTATATGCAAGTCAAGGCGATCGGGGACCCTTTACGTATCGCATAGCTTAACCAAATACGGAGTAATTAAGAAGTTTGTCGAATGGTCATGAAGGATGAATATATCCTCTATAGTTTCTTCTATAATTATATTTGTTTTATGGAATGTATTTCATTTGTAAATTCATAATATTCTCTATTTTCTTTATTCAAAGAAGCGATTGACATTGAGCTACACAAGATAAAAATAAAAACTAAGCGGAAATTATTAGCGAATTAGGATTAGTAACAAGCTTAAGTTTAGTTTTATTTTGATTCACTCCAAGGTAACTGAGTCATTTCATAGATCTGAAATCAATGATCGAATAGTTTCCATGTTAGTCCGTACTAGCATTTGTCTGTTAGTAAAAAACAAATTTAAAGAAAAAAACATACAAATTTGCCATGGATAGGTCTCTAATAAACGCAAAGTCATGTGAAGAATAGGTTGAGTCTTGCTATAAATGGTATCAGGATCATCACTTCCGTTTTCATATAATAAATGTCGCATCTTCGATACGTATGTACTAGTTTGTAACCGAAAATTTTTGTTATAATCAATTTTAACACTCTGCTTAGTTTTGGAATACCCGAAACTCCATAGTACAAGTGCTGCGATATAAAATGACCATGGATAATATAGGAGAGTAGTAAATGGTGTGGTCACATTCAAGTCTTCATGAATCATCATTTCCATCACATCAATAGCATGGCAAATTGAAATTTTAGCATTTTCACTGTTTGCCCACAGGTCCACATATTTTATAGGAACGTTGCATTTGACAGACTCAATTTCTTTGTATTTTGAGGAAATAGAGTTGGCGTAGGATTGAATATAAGTGAGTTTAGTTTTCGAGTAAAAAGCTGCCAAATGGTACAACGCAAAGCATTCTTTGACAAATGGATGCTTAGCAGGCAGCGTTCCAGACTGAACGAATTGTTCATGAAACTTCGAATGCCATCGTTTATATGTTTCATATATAATATTGCACCAATTGTCAATTTCACGCTTGCTAAGCTTGAGGCCGGGTACTAAACGAAGTTAGAACGTATCCTACGTAAAGCACTACTTACCAAACTTTTTCTGTTTTACTGCTACATCCACCGACACCAACCCATGTAAAATCAGCAGCATATTCCAAGGAGACTCCATGAACGACACTGTTTCATTCTGAATGAAGGCCCTTAGCATATGCAAAATTGTAGGCGGCTCATCAAGAGGTTTTTGACTCGCCCATACCTCAAAATTCTCTGCTTCCCAATGATGCTCATCAGCAAATAATGGCAACGCTACGTCTGTTACACACAGTAAAGGCTGGTTTCCAAAAATCAGAACGCATATCGCGTCCAGAGAGAAACAGCCAAAAATTAATCTAGAAAAGTAATTAGTAAAGAGAAACATGTAAGAAAATTCTATACCGCTTGACAGATTCTCTGGTAATCCATTTATGCCAATATTGTAAAGAGGAATTCGAGTCAACGCTGAAGGTTTCGGAATGAACAGTCAATGCTTCTTCCGGATTTGCCTGTCGTAAAGCCTAAAAGGTAAGTTAAATTACTAAAATTACTTTTAAATATATTACCTCAATTAACACAGGATGAAATAGCTGAGACAAGCGATGCTGATGAATCGTACTTGTTAGCATTTCAAAAATTTGGATTAATAATAGCATTTGATAGATCCATAGTGGTATAGGTGGAATAAATTCTTCCTTCTCATAAACAAAAAAGCGAAGCTTCGAATGAATTTCAATAGCAAGAAGGCGATCCGAAGGATTACTAGTGAAATGCATTCCCAGCGTAATCATTGCCAAAAGTAATTCTAAAGGAGTTTGAGATAACTGGAAAGTGCCTCTATGTAAGATTGGCCAGCGGATATGAAAATAAGACCAATAAGCATTCACCCATGTACTAATCGACTCTGGAGTGACCATGTTCAAATAATCGATTGAGAGCATGTGGTGATTCTAAAATGGGTTAAAAAAAGGTTCACAAAAATTTAACATACTTTTAAGTACCCCAAAAGATTGGCATGTACGAATAAAGGGCATTTTTGAGCCACATACATAGGACCCTTCGAAGATGGTTAGCTTTGTGAAATCATAGAAATAAATAATAAAACATACAGTAGCTGTAAAGTAATAGTTTAAGAATGTTCTATTCAAGTTGGGAAGCGCGTCATCCCGGCTCAAAGTAGAATCCACCGGAGATTGTAATGGGGACGAAGAATCATATCTTTGCCTTTTCTTATTTTTATTAGAAGTAGGAAAAAACCAGCGCAAATTATCATCCATTGTTTTTGCTGAACTTGCAAATGACCTATTTTTCAACACGCAAAGAGAGTCATGAAAAAGATCCAAGCGTGTGCAACCATCGGGAGTCGAATCTAATTGAAAGAATTCTTCATAAAGAGAAGAAGAACTCCGAGGGTTTGGAATTAAAGAAGGATCCATCTGTTGGGACATGGGAATTGGGGGCCGTTGAGTAGGGATTTTTACATTCAAAGAGGACGGAGGAGGTGATGAGAAAGAAGCTAAATCAACGTTTAGACCGCGATTAGCGTGATTATGAAAAAAGTTCGCATCAGGATTATTAACTAAAATATCGGATTTTTCAAAGACTTTCGAAGGAGAGGACGGAAGAGCTTGGGTAGGTACAACTGAAGAAGTAGCCGACGAGTTCGCATGTCCAGGACGGCCTGCCATGGAATTTGGTTGGGTAGGCTGCATCATGCTTGCAGATACTTGGACCAAATCTGGGTTCACAGAAGGATTGTGAGAAGCGTTAGGAGTTACATCATGAAATTCTTTAGAGAATATATGAGATGAGGAAGGAGAAGCAAGCACTATAATTCAAAGTTAGTTTCGAACTTTGACCCAAACACGAAATGAAACATTATCTAAACTACTAAACACGATCAATGCAACACGACGCCGTTAAACCGAAGCAGATGCTTTAATATTATCTATTCCCAACATACATTTTTCATAAAGACCCTGTTTTTGTATATGCATTTGTTGTACATGGCGATGTAAGACATCACTTCTTGCGAATGCACGGTGACAAAACGAACATGTAAAAGTTTTCAAGTTTTCATCTAATTGGAGTTTATGTAAGTATTAAAAAAACACAAATCAATATATAAGTGACTTACGGGTTCGTTCATGGCGCCGCAGGTGTTCTTTTCTCGTGAACGACTTAGGGCAATCAAGGTACGTGCAATAAAACCTGGGGTCCCCAATTTGATGAGCCCTTGAGCGCTTTCTAGTAGGTTTTCCAGCAAACGAATCCTCGTTGGACATTATTCTTATTCCTCCGTTTCATACAATACCATCCACCTAGGTGTAGTTGGTAGAATGTGGGGGCAGAATTCTTGTGTTGCTGCACCTCGTTATTAGATACAATCACTCTTGGTGGTAACTTCGAATGGCAAAAGCAATTCTCAAGATAATAAAAAATAAAAATAATAAAGCAGTAAACCAAAGGATTTAACGCATTTAATTGTTTTTTTAGTCAAAAGCATTCTGACGTTTCACTGTAACCATGTATAAAAAATCTAAAGGGTTAAAAAATTGCTTCGGCCGGGAATCGAACCCGGGTCGCTTCGATGGCAACGAAGCATTATACCACTAAACCACCAAAGCAGCTGATGATAATGGGTAAAAATTATCTTATATGAGACCACCGCTACGTTTTCTATATTTGATGTTGCTCAATATATGATGACCCTATACTGTAAACGTGAAGTATGATGAATTAAAACTTTTTTACAAATTGAAAGGTTTAGTGTTGTTGCTTGGTAAGTAGTATAAGGAGAAATACTTATGTATGTGCTGACTTCTTCCTATAGACTGAATACATTGTTTTTGTTTCCCTCGCTAACTACATATACCGCATACTAACGTGTACTGTATGTTGTATTACGCACTTTACTTATGTACGGTATTTAGCATTATTTGTAAGGAGCGAAAAACATTTTTTAACGTAAACAAACAATTTCTGGAACCACGGTCTAGCCACTTCTGAGTTTATTTGGCTGTCTTCAAGATCTATCTCTTTCGAGTATCTCTTAATAAAAGATTCGTTGTGTGTTCACGACGATTTCCAGGCTTGCCAAGAAATTTCCATTGTTCTTCAAATTTTCCTCCTAAAATGACAGTTGAGACTTATCATTTGGCTTATTCTCCCGTTGTCGTCTTTGGCCCTTCCGGAGTAGGTAAATCAACTTTGTTGAAACGTCTTTTATCGCTACACGGTGACAAGCTGGGTTTCAGCGTATCCCATACCACCAGAAGTCCTCGTCCTGGCGAGCAACAAGGTGTAGACTACCATTATGTTAGCAAGGATGAGTTTCGAAAACTAGTGGCTGAAAATAAGTTTGTTGAATGGGCCGAGTTTTCCGGAAATATGTATGGTACATCCATTATGGCCATTAAGGACTTGGAAAAAGGAAACAAAAAAGCTATTTTGGATATTGATTTGCAGGGTGTTTTACAGGTTAAGAAGAGTGCTATCAAGGCTCGTTATGCATTTTTGGCACCTCCCAGTGTTGAGCAACTAGAGGCTCGCTTACGCGGCCGTGGTACTGAAACTGAAGAGTCTGTTTTATTGCGTTTAGAGCGTGCGTTGAAAGAGATTGAATACAGCAAGCAGCCTGGTAACTTTGAGACTCTTATCGTTAATGATGATCTAGAGAAGGCATACAAGGAGCTTGAGGAGTTCTGTCTTTCTGACTCATAAACAAAGGCTCGTATTGTATCTTGTAATCTTACCTCTGTTACGATTGGAGGTTTTATAGCATTGGTTGGTATATAATTTCTTTGCATACACAAGGTATAAAGTAACTGCCTATGATAATTTAATTTAATTTTTCTTCTTTCCGCTATATTGGGCTAAAACCTTTTATAAATAAAACATCTAACATCTAATAACAAATAACAAATAAAAACAAGCAATGTATGTCTAACGTAATGTTTGGATCTATTCCATATTCTTCGTGGAAAAAGTAAAAATAACAATAACAGAATCATTTTTTATCACCATTTCAAATAAACAAACTATACACTCATAACAGTATCGTCTTTCTTCTCCTCAACGATTTCAGTTTCGCCTTGTTGATTTCTGGAGGGAATCTTTCCTTCTTCATCTTCAATGATGGCCCATATAGATACACCCAGAATTAAAAAGGCCGATAAAAATGTGAGGAATCCAGCACCACCTCGATCAGCTTCCGTCGGACGAGGAATGGTAACTTCATAATTGTTTGAAGTTGAGTTGGCAGAACCAAAAGTAGTGTTCGAACGATTGTCAGATGAAGTCGATAAGGTAACTAATTTTGGATAATTATCAACATAAAGCATCTGTACAGCCTCCAAAGCTGAATACTGTTGACCGACACCATACGTGCCATCCCACGTGCCATTGTCCCAAGACCAATGAACACCGCAACTCTTGCCAGAGTATCCACCCGAACAAGCCAAAGCTGCAGCAGTTGCTGATTTTTGTATTAGTGGGTATAGCTTACTTTTAGTGTAAGGGGCAAGACGTATTGCATTTCCAAAACTTTGCATCAATATTCCTTTGAACGCAGTTTGATCAATGTTACATGACCCTGTGGTTTCACATTGCGGATCCCAAGCTATATCATTATTCATAAAAAACGATGTTGCATGAGAAATGAAACCGTCAAGTTTATCTTTCCAGAAGTTGTCTCCCCGAGTATGATTGTACATGTACGCAACACCAGTCATGTAAACTCCAAGGTTATAAGACCATTGAGAATGATCTATTACAGTGCAGTTTGTCGATATTTTAGATCCATCATAAACGCTAAAATCTGTAGAATTGACAAACCCGCTGGATGTTGACCAATCCCAGACGCGATTAACCCAATCTTCATACTTGGGATCGCCGGTGAAACGGGCTAATCTAGCAGCTAGCTGAAATAATAACCCATTACTGATACTGCTCTTATAAGAATAGCCACTTAACCAAGGAAACGCTTGCCAACGTAAGCCACCCTTGCAGTTCACGGTATCCCATCTATCAGAGATACGATTAAATGCCGCTTGACCCAATTCAAGCCAAGACGCTGATGAATCCCCTACTTGCTTTAAATCTAGCTCTGCAGCATCCATTACTGCAGCACCCCAAATACCTTGGTCATCGTTTCCTAAGTTGAAGTATTCGTCAGACGGCTCAAAATCGTAATCACTACCAGCGTTGTACATCAAAGACTCGGAAACCAAATCGGTATAAGTATTGTTATTAAACAATATACCATTGTTTAAAAGAACGGTCATGGAAGCACCAGTAAGCCACCAGTATGATGCAACAAATTTATGGTCCGTCCCGTTCCAGTAATTCATGAGCTCTCCAGTCATACTGTTAATGGTACTTCGAACTGAATCTAAACGAAAAGAATGTTAAAATTTTTGAAACAAGAGTGAAGTAGGTCAAAACGCTTTAAACCACTTACCATTGTCATGGATATTGAGATGAAGAGCCTGCACTTCAAAAAAGGCAAGACAAATATATACAACATAAAGAAAAGAAAACAAGGATATTCTCATACTTGGGTAAACAGCCAACGATGAATAAATAAAAAAGAACGTAAAGAAAAAGATTAAGCACAAAAAACCAAGAGATCAGGTAAATAATTTAAAATCTCAACAGAAATAAAAGCAATAAATAATCCAACTATGTCACGCTTCCTTAACCTCGAGTCATGGAAAAAATTGTTATTCCTTAGAAAGCACTCAATTCAAAGACAGTAATATGAATCAATCTAAAAATGTGAAATTCTATTGTATAAAACTGCTCTCTTTTCGTTAAAAACCTCAATTGCGGTTTGTAAAGGTTTTATATAAAAACGCGGTTGAAGGCAACAACCGTTTAGTAAACAGATTTGCACAGAACTCGCACCCGTGGTAATTGCGTCAGTCAATTGTATCTTAAGAGACCTTAGTTTTTTATATACAAAGTAAAAAATAAACCACCTAAGAATAATTTTGTTAAAATATAAGTCCAAAATATAAATCTCAAAGGGTTTATCCTGGAATTGCAATCTCTTGAAAACTTGGCAAGCAAAGGTATCAAGCTTGAAAAACAAAATTCTATTCAAGAGAATGCTGGATTTTATGTGATGCATCACATCGTAAATGATTATTAATACATATTTTTGATGCATAAATTTACACTTTATAACCCGGTAAGAGCATTACATGTAATGGGAATGAATCATTAATTGAATTGCCGTGCATATAAACGATTCTCTCTACGTTAGTTCTCGAAAGCGGTTCCGAGTCCATAGGAATACCACCAACGTTAAGCAAGAATTCGACAGGATAAAAGAGAGGAAATTTGTATAGAAAATAAACCGGTATATATATGTACATATATAAGGGGAGATAATGTAGATAAGATGCCCATATAAATAAAATGAAGAAATGATGAACAAGGGTATAAACTCCTGTAGCAATTTTTAAAAAGTGAGAGGACGGTAATAAAAGATTCTAGTTTCCGATACTATCTTTTTGATTTTAAAAAAACAACCACAAAGAAAATAGTAAGAAAAGAAATGAAAAAAGAGCTGTTAAAAAGCCTGCCCAACCTTTATCGCTCTTTGTGGCTGCAGGAATGGAAAAGTTCACATGGGTATCTTGTCCGGCGGTAGGATCGGATTTTGAACGGGCACCAGTTTTTAAAGATAAAAGAGGAGAATACTGGGGTGTTAAAACTGACTGAATAACTTCGAGTGCTGAAAGCTGTTCTCCGAGTCCGTAGTTTCCATCCCAAGTACCATTGTTCCAAGTCCACCTGTTTCCACAAGTGACACGATCATAGCCACCGCTGCAAGCTAAAGCTGCTGCTTTAGCACTTGCATGAAGATAAGGCATAATTGTTTCAGTGGTGTAAGGAGCGAGTTGCATGGTGTAACTAAGGTAACGGGCGAGCATACCTTTAAAACCAGTCTGATCATAATTGCAAGTATTCGACATTTCGCAGTTGGGCTCGTATATGATTTTGTCTTTGTTAAAGTAATAATTCAATGTTCGATTCAGCAATCCTTCCATATGGCCTTTCCATTCAGTGCTTCCATTTGTGTAATTGTACAAAAAGGCGGTACCAGCGAGGTAAACACCGGTTGTATAAGACCATTGTTCATTTGTGATTGTGCTGCAATTCGTTTCGGTTTTCGATCCATCATATACTGCATACGAATCCAAATCTATAAAATTCACACTTACAGACCAATCCCATACTTTGCGAGCTAACTCCACGTATGTTTCATTCTGAGTATAACGGGCAAGGCGAGACGCCAATTGGAATAGAGCACCATTACTAATGGTATTTTTGTAATTGTAACCTTGGTTAAAAGTATAAATTTGCCAACGAATACCACCATTACACGAAGAATTGTCCCATCGTTCTGACATTTCGTTTGTAACTGCTTGCGCAAGGGCAGCCCAAGAAACATCTGATTCATTGTCCTTGATATTCATCTCAGCTGCTGACATACCGGTCATACCCCAGATGCCTTGATCATCATTACCAAGATTGAACTTTTCGTTGTTTGGAGCAAAATCATCTTCTTCACCCTTGTTCGCCAATATAGATTCGACAACCATACCCATATTGCTGTTATTCTTCGTTCCAGAATAGGTGTTTAGCATTCCATTGAGACAAGATCCCGTCATCCACCAATACGCGGTAAAAGTGTGGGACGAAGGCTGATAATAGTTCAGCATTCCTTTAGTTACTGTATTGATACCATTATAGACAGAATCTAATTTTCCGTTAGTAATTACTTTAGAGACTTTTCATAAGAAACGAAAGAACGCGAACCTTTATCATTGGGGTCCAAATCGAAACAAGCAACACTTTTTAAGAGAAAGAAGAGTACCCAAATATAAACACAATCATAGTATTTCATGATAAAATATGAGCCCTAAAGGCTTTCCAAAAGATGGGGTTCTTTGAGGTTTTTAAATGCAAAAGAAAGATATAGTGATGGTTTCAGATAAATCTAATTTATTTACATCGCTTTTCTTTTTAAGGCGCAGTATCAATTTAACGAGATTGCTTATCAATCTTTAATGCTCAATAACCTTTAGGTAACTAGAAATCGGTAAGCTATCATCGTTAGTTAAGGGAATTTTTTTTTTTTTCTTGTTTCATATTATTTATTTGTTTAGTAAACAAGAAAGACGACAACAGGCACAAGCTTCGAACCACCAAGATCTATATTGCTTGTTTAATAAGGAAATATAAATTTTAAACAGAATGAAAATGAATACCCCAATTTCCTTTAACGGAGGATTGTGACGCTACTTCTTCCTTCAAATAAAAACTCATGTAAAAAGTATTGATGCCCATACCAACTTTGTGAGAATCCTTTTCTTTTTAAAATAATTAAAATGATACCAATTGAATTTTTCCATAGTTCGCAAGAGGAAGCTTCTATTCTATTCAAAGGAATCCTTCCCTTGTCTACTAATGTTACTTAAACTGCCATATGGATCCGATCGTCATTTTGCAAAGTGCACCGACCAACATGCACTGTATGGTCTTCTTATGGATTATTTTATACTTTTAACGCAAACACACAGGCATACTTATATATATGATACAGGACTATTTAGATACTCAGTAAATAAAAGCTGGTACGCATCTTTTTTGTAAAATATCATATTAAGGAGGATTTTAGTAACAGTAAAACTTGCGTTACATTGTCTTAACCGGATTAAGCAAAGGAAACGATGTTCATTAATTTGTATGACAAAATGTCATTTTAAGTGAGAAACTGCCAACTTCAAACTGTCTGTCTACCTTTTTAATTGTTTTGTATAAAAAGGAGAGAATGAGTGAAGAAAAACCAACAATCCGTAATGAAGATGATGATCGTTATGAAGACGATACAGGAGATTTAGATCTTGGCCAAATTGGTTCTCGAGTTTGGCTAGTAAAAGTTCCAAGATTTCTTATGGAGAAATGGGACGCGATTCCCGATGACGATCGTGCAAATCTTGGTTGTGTACGTGTGAAAAATGATGAGATTCAACTTCTTCTACACAACAAGCCAGAAAACGCCGATGTTCCTAAAAACTACAACTTAAAAGTGATGAACAAATTTGTCAAAAATTCATATGTCTTTCGAGAAGCCGAGTCATCATCTAGCAATACAAAAAGTACTGCTTTGGTTGGCACTGTAGCTCACGAATGTAACGTTACACCAATCATTAATGATGATTATCGACGCGTTATGCAGAAGCGAGCTTTGGCTGCAAGTGCTCCTAAGCGCAAAGTCCAAATGATTGATGATAGAGGTGCGAGTCTGCTTGCTCCTGGAACATTGGGAGCTCGGAATAGAAATACCACATCGTTTATTGTATGGTCAAGTTTTTTTTTTTTTTTTTTTTTTTTTTTTTTTTTTTTTTTTTTTTTTTTTTTTTTTTTATAGCCTTATGGCTCTCAGAGAAAATTCATTACTAACGCTTTTTTTTAGCGAAATGTCAAGCCTAGAACTGGCGAAGGGTTGAAGAACTCTCGTATTCCTAGGAACGAACTTTTGGATATTCTTTTCAAGTGTTTTGAAGATTATGAATATTGGACTTTGAAAGGTCTTCGTGAATATGTTAAACAACCTGAGGTAAGTGTTGTGAAACTAAATTTTTATTATTTTTACGTTAAGTGAATTGTATGGAAACTAACGAACTATGAAGGTTTATTTAAAAGAAGTCCTGGATAGTATAGCCATCTTGAATAAACGTGGTCCATATGCATTGAAATATAGCTTAAAGCCTGAATATAAAGGAACAATGGATGCTGCTACGAGAGAACTTTTGAATCAACAAGTTTCTCAGTCCGAATTATCTCAACAGCAAAATGCACAGAAGGGATCTGCCTCTCCAACTGGCCCTTCATCATCTGCAAGTGATGCCAACAAAGATGGGGACAATGACGACGAGGTTGAAATGATTGATATTCTATAAGTTAACGAATTAATGAACTTTCTTGCTTTGGTTTTTTGTTGAAAAGTTTCCAAAATCTCAATGTCTCATCACCTGCTCCTGTAACGATAGATTGACCATCAGGACTCATAGACAAATGAAGCACACGATTCGTGTGTCCTGTAAGATTAACAACATTTGAAAGTGATGGGTACTTCCATAGTGAAACTTGATTTTTGGCGTAGCCATGAGTAGTAACAATCTCATTGGACGTCTTGGACCATGCCAAATTGCATACTTGGGATCCCGTGTCGAGACGATTTTGAAGCTTTCCTGTTAATGTATTATGTATCATTAAGGATCTATCGACTGTTCCTCCTCCGCTCGCCAGGATTCCTCGCTGGTGTGGACTCCACCCTATTGCTTTGACAGCAGCATTATGATCCAAAAATGTATGCAATGGTCGCGTATTACGATAATCCCATACAACGAGTTTGTTGTCATTTCCGCCGGACGCCAATTGACCTAGATTGCTTTCCCATTGGAGACCACAAATTTCTTGGTCGTGGCCTTTGATCTTCAAATAACATTCTGGTTTGCGTAGATCATGATGAGCCAGCATTTCATCCTTTCCTCCACTTGTTAAAGTATGGCCGTTGGAAGCCAACGCTGCTACTCTTTTTGAATGCCCACGTAAACTTCTTATAGGCTTGGTACATTCTGTATCCCAGATATGAATGAAGCCTGAATCTGTTCCAACAGCAATATTGGTTCCTATTCCGGTCCATAAAACACTAGTCACATTGTTTGCTTCGCCAAAATCGTGGAGTTTTACCACTTTACCGCTATTTGCTGACCACAAATATACACTACTTGCTAAGCCGACTGCTAGAATATTCGATTTTCCCCAATTAAGCAAATTAAGATAGAAGTCATCTTCCAAATAAGGAGCATCTAAAACTTTGTATGGAGCCTTAGGAAATATCCTTTTCGGTTTCGGGGGACGAAGCAAGAGGTCTTGTGATTGAGGTGAAATAGGGGACAAAGAGTAAGAATTTCTTGTAGGAATATCAAAGAAATTTCTTTCTGGCTTTTCTTTGAGACCACCATATCGAAAAGTCCTTGAGGCTACTTGCTTATTGCCGAAAAGTTCAATGCTTAGAAGCTCCATAAATTGTCGTTGAACTAGTCATATTAGTATTAACTAAACTTTCAATTTATCTTAATGTGTACATACCACTTCCTGAGCTCTTGCGACGTAGAGATGTCCCTTCGCTTATTGTCTTCCGAATCGATTCAAAACTAATATCAAACTCATTACTGACGTTGCGTATGGGGATGAATCTATCTCCCATCTTCAAATAATTCTCGCAGCGTTGGTCAATGGTGGAAGAAAAAGAACATGAAGCGCCTCTAAGTTTAGTTTCATGGTTTGTTTGTTTTCCTTAACCTTTGTACTCTATTTTTGTTTACATGTGCAGAGAAAATATTGAGTTATATTTACTATCAAAAGATGAAAACCATTGTCAATAAATAAAAATAAACAAACAAATACATTGATAAATCAAGCAATTTGTTTGAATATGTCTTGCTTTTGAAATCTAATTTTATGGAAGAAGGACTTCACTTCTTTAACATTTATAGAAGAAAATGTCCCTTTATTTTGACTCTAAAATATTTGTTAGCATGAAGCGAATTTTTTAGACTGTTAAACAAACCTTCTCTTGAGCGAGCACTTTCAGATTATTTTGAAATTGTTCGAGGTCCATTGAGTTAAAAAGTTGGTCTTCAACTAGGCCAAATGAACATTCTAAAATTTCATTTTGCGTTTCACCGCTATCTTGTTGGGATAGACAATGAACACGGGAGAAGTCCACCTCTGTTATTTTGGTTAAGTAATTACAAATATTTTCGATTTGTATCGAAAATCTTGACTTGTACTCATGAGGATTCGATGGGTGCAAAGGAACATTACCTTGATCAGGAACTAGGGAATTATTGAATGATGTATTTGGAACCCCACCGTACGTCCACAAATAAATTTTTCCTTGTAAAAAAGATAAATAAATTCCATTATTTTTCAGACATCGACTGGAAGCAGCGGTAGGTTCCGGAATGTTCAATTGACAACTTGAATCTTCAAATCCCGACTTGAAGCCCATATTATGAAGAGGAATGATAAGTGGATAGATCATCATGCAAATAACTTTGACATGCCCTGTTTTAATTTTGAAGTTGAAAAAGGTATTTCTACCTGGTTTTGAAGGATTATTAATAAAAATTCTAGATTTCATCAGTGCCATCATATACGAAGGATAGCTTTGTAAGTTTTCTGGCAGGCTTTCACATATGCCGGGATCTTTACCTTGCTGAGCACGGTATTCAACAAGAAGATCTATAATTTTTCTACAAAACCAATTTTGAAGATTTCGGGTGGTTGACATATACGCAGCTAACGATTAGTTATAAGTTTTGGAATTGCTTGACTTACCATATTTTGCCATGCTAGCAACTAATGTTTCACAATCCGCTTTTGAAAAGACATCCTTTTTGGATGATACAGTTGGTAAACGTGCATGATGACATCTTACCCTTTCTGAGCCGTCGGTTGTCCTGTAGAAAGTGAGAACTTGAATAGATGCAGCTTGTGTTGATAAGCTGGCAGTTTGTTCCAGTTCGAAATAAATAGAAGTTTCTGAATTTATCGCCGAAACATCAACTATGTTATTCTTAGGATAGTCGGAAACTTTTCCTGCTTTGATTTGCTTAACACGAAGGCCATTGGAAGCAGAAATTCTTATTTTTACATGGGTGCCTATGAACCCACTTAAAGAACCCAGTACATCTTCTTTCAGAGTCGACTGTGCTGAACTACTAGTTAGATAGAAGTGGTAATTTCCACCTGTTTTTAAACATAGTTGTTCAACCAAGTCGTTATATATTTCTGAATCGTTTTCCAGCATGAATAAATCTATGGAAATTCCGTGTTCGATTAAGGACTGCGTGTACAACTGCAACGATTGTTGTCTTCTTCGTCTTTCTAGCAATGATGGACATTCTAGAATGTGAGTTAGCACCTTGTAAACGTATATAACTTACGTTTTCGTATAGTGTTATCCAATCCAAGGACATGTATTTTTCCTTGCCTATTTTCAAGCAGTTTAGCTGTTATTTTCACGGCGTGTAATAAGGCATTGCGTCCATTAGCCTTATCATTTGAACTGTTCTCGATGTGTTTCAAAATACGAACTACATCCGGTCGATTTTCGTTTGGATCAATGGAAGTGTCATAAGGGAACATTATTTCATCCTCTTCGAGATCGATCATTACAATTTCGTTAACTCGTTGTTTCTAAATTAAATTAGTAAAGGCCTAATTATACACATGGTGCACTTACCGACAATCGATAAAAGTGTAAAGCATTGTCATAACCAATGAATAGGACTTTAGCATTTGGAAACTTGACGCGATATTTTTCGTTTGCTAGTGTAAACGTGATAGCGTCGACTATGCTTCGTTTGAATCCAGTGTTTGCTGAAGTACGAGAAATGTCAATTAGAAATATGTTAAGAAAAGGACTTCCAGTTGAGGGTTCCTTTACCAGAACATCAAATGACGGTTTCATCAAATTGTCTGTTGTGGAATCTTCATGCTCCATTAACATTTGTTGAAGTATCAAGCTGAAATCATCTGTAATACTGTTGCAAGCATCACAAAACTCACATCTCCATTGTGAACCGCTAAAGATTGTTCTACTATGGAAACTGAAGTACGCACCACAAGTTACGCAACTTGGAATCGATAATTCTCTTTCATTTTCCCAGCGATACACACAAGCAGGATTATTAATAGAAAATGGATGTGCGATAGAGGAAAAAGGTAAGCTAGAGGGAATTTCAGTGGGGCTTTTAGGGACGGTCCTGTATACAGAGCGAAGAAAACAAGGATCTGTTGAGTCTTTCGAAGAAAATGTGTAGTCTGTCAAAACCGTAGGAACATAATCGCTTGTGCTGGGGTCGTATGAAACTTTAGAAAAGTAATTGCGGTTATCTAAACGCTCAGATAATATTGGATTAAATCTTCCTACAGTAAACTCGCTAAGTTCACTCTCGCTAGTACTGGACGAAATTGATTTTGTAATCCAGTCGTCATCCAAACTAGTGTAGTAAGGACTCAAAATTGCGACTTCATCAGTACTATTTCTAGAAGAAGAGTCAGGAGAAAATGAAAAAGGCCCAGTTGTGGAAAACACCATATCGAAAAAAAAAACACCAAAAAAAATATCTGGGCACAAAATCTGACTACCAAGAGCTAATGTCTTAGTTTGGCGGCCAGATACCGGCAACCAGGAAAAGTCGTGCAAAGAGACTCTCCAGAGAAGGAATTATGTAATTAACTTTTCTGTTGGGTCTTCTTTGTACAACTTTTTCAAGTTGGGTGTTGTAGCGTTAGCATGAGAGTGTTTATTTACATATAGCAAGTGATGTTATGCTCAACACTTAGTTTGGGGAAAACAAAAAATAAAAGCACAAGTTACTTAATTGTTTGCTAACAACTACTTTTCAAGTCTCAAAACAAACAAAGATTTTATTAACACATACATGAGGTTTTTTGAGAATTTAGCCCCCTTCTTGTACACTTTTCTAGAAATGAATTATCACTATAATAACTATTAACAGTATTAACAGTAAGGTATTTACTAGCAATTGGAGACACAAAAAAAAAAATCTCACTCCTACGGTCATATTGTATCTAGAATATGACCATTCTTATGTACATTATATGTACAAAGAAAGGAAAAATCAATTAACCTAGACTAGTTTATTTATACCAGCTGGTGATTGAAGAGACATCATTTTTTGTCAATTGCATAAACAGGCACTAATGTTTGTTTACCACATAGTGTGGCACACCGAGTCCTTATTTGTTTCCTTTAGTTCACCACCAAAGACTGCATGTTGTGTCTGACCCTTCCTTTTTGGCCATATGTTGATTTGGTAAATAAAGCTCTGTTTTATTAGATTTCAGCGTTTATATATTAATTAATTCCTTAATACTCAAATTTGTTTTGATAAAAACTGAGTTTTCTATATGAATAGCTCAGTGCTGGATCCGGAACTTCAAATGCCCGAGTTTCTGGGGGTAAAGTCACTGGAACGGACCAGGAAACGAAAAGGAGACTTTGATGATACTTTTTCATTAAATAAAGGTTTAAACCAGTCTGCTTCAGAATTATCGGAATCATCAGAAGGACTTGGTTCTTTAAACCCTGCAAAGGAAAGCCGACGAGATGATCGAAGTTTTGAGGCATTGATGTCTTTACAAACTGGCAGTCCGAGTCTAAGCTCATCAAATCAGACCGTTCCGATGGGTACAATCACGACGGCAAATATACCTTTGTCAACAGATGATTTAGGGTCAAAGAATTATTTGTCCAAACCCGCCACAAATGCTGGAATTATAGAAGGATCTGCCCCAGTGGTTTCAACTGCGCCGCTTTTAATGAACACAAGCATTAAAAAAAGTCCTCCACAAGACACCAATTCTAGAGGCAACGCCAGATGGACCGCGGAGCACTGGGATTACCTTGAACAGCGGATGCAAGAATTCTGTGATGCATTTCAAATGACACACCAACAGGTAGGAGAACTCTTACAGGATAAACGCCTTCATGGACCACTTTCATCACTAGTCAAAATCTTAGTAGATGAGATGCCAAACTTTACAAGGAGGACGATTTTACGGCACTTGCGAGCTTTTTACAATATTCCAGGTTATGAAAAATATAGCCGGAGGAACTCAAGTGGAAAGGGTGATTTTGGTGTCCAGGAAACTGCCATTATTGCTCAAGAAATACGGAATTTTATTTTGGAGCAAGGCTGGACGGAATACCAGTTTTGTAATCAAATCTGGGCTGGAAAATGTCCTAAACCAATTCGCTCCTTTTATTCTAATTTGTATAAAAAACTCTCACATAGGGATGCGAAAAGTATTTATCACCATGTCAGACGAGCATATAATCCGTTTGAGGAACGTTGTGTATGGAGTAAGGAAGAAGATGAAGAATTAAGAAGGTAAGCTACTTTATATTCTTGTCATATCTATTTCGAATTTGTTGACTAAACTTTGTAGAAATGTTGTAGAACACGGAAAATGTTGGACCAAAATTGGACGGAAAATGGCACGCATGCCAAACGATTGTAGGGACCGTTGGCGTGATGCAGTTCGGTTTGGCGATCGCTTGAAGCGCAATGCCTGGTCTTTGGATGAAGAGACTCAACTATTGCAAATTGTAGCAGAATTAAGAAATCGTGAGGATATGACTTCCGATATTAATTGGACGTTGGTAGCGCAACTCTTGGGAACAAGAACAAGATTGCAATGTCGATATAAATTTCAACAACTAACAAAATCTGCCCCCAAGTTTGAATTACAAGATAATGTTTGGCTTTTAGAAAGGTAAAGTCATACCTTAAAAGTACATTATTATGTTTCATGTATTAACTCAGTTTACAGAATCTACAATTCTCTAGTAAAATATGGAGACCAAATTCATTGGGATGCTATTGTTCGAGAAGCGAATGGACGCTGGTCGCGCGATCAAATGCTTTTTCAATTCATAAACTTGAAGAAAATGATTCCAAGTTATGATAATTTGCCCCTTCTAGAAGCTACGCAATCTGCTATTTCTGATTTTAAAGTAGTACTCTCAGGGTTTTCTAGCTGATTTAAAATCCCTTTTATCTTCTTTGTTATCCTTATTCTTTTATAATCTTCATGCCTTGTCTTTCTCTCCTGTCTTCCCAACTTCCTTTTCTATTCTTATTGTTCGGTCAACTCTCGGTGAATTCGGTACTTTTAGATGCTTCAAGGTTTCGTGCATAAGACGAGTTACTTGTACGAGAACCCATTATTTTGATGTAAGCTTCCAAGAAAATTGACTTTTCGTCTTCCTTTTTTGCATGTTTCCTTTATATATTATTTAATACAGTCAATATTTTTATTGCGGAATCATCTTGTAGCACTCATCTATGAAGCGGTTTCTTCCAACAACATTGAAAACCCTGTGGGAAAAACCATCACCTGGTACCATTGTAGACGTGCATGGGTGGGTACGGTCACTACGAAAATCAAAAAATGTGTGTTTTGCTATGGTTTCCGATGGAACATGTCAGCAACCCATTCAGGTGGTAACAACTCCAGAGCAAGCTCAATCGTAAGTTTTTATGGTCATCAGCATGTTGATATACATTATAACACCTGCTCTCGGTGAAACTCCAGTTCTCTAACACTTCTTTTAGATTGTCTTACGGTGCTAGTGTTAAAATTCAAGGGAAGCTTGAGGTTTCTCAAAAAGCGGCTCTGGGAAAGCAGCAGTATGAACTATTAGCCCAAAAAATCGATCTTTATGGAACAGTAAACAATGTATGCTATAAAATAAGCCATTCAGCTAATATGATGCATGCTAACATTTTAAACTCAGGACTATCCTATTCAAAAAAAGAACCTGACAACGGAATTTTTGAGGCAACATCCTCACTTGAGGGTTCGTACTGCAAAACAAAGTGACGTGTTTCGTTTAAGGTCAGATACCTTGGAAGGTCTACGCTCTTTTTTAACCAAAAACGATTTTATTGAAACTAATCCCCCTCTTTTAACATCTTCAGATTGCGAGGGAGCAGGTGAAGTGTTTCTGGTTGCTCCCTATCCTAAAAAAGGTAATTCAACTGACAGTTCTGAAATCTCAAACGTTGATGATCAAAATTCATCGTTTTTTGGAAAGCCGACATTTCTGACGGTCTCTACCCAGCTCCATCTGGAGGCATTGGCACTCGGAATGGCTCGGGTTTATACAATCACACCGGCCTTTCGAGCGGAAAATAGCCATACGAGTAGGCATTTAGCAGAATTTTGGATGCTGGAAGTCGAGCTTGCTTTTATAGAAACAATGGATACTCTGACGGGTGTAGTGGAGCGCCTTATAAAACATTTAATTCAGTATCTAAAACAAAAAGGATATCATCGAGATCACTGGAATCACCTAATGAATGAATGGCATCGCATATCATATACAGAAGCGATCGATATTTTAAAGAATTCTGGCAAGGCTGCGCTTGATCCTCCGGCATGGGGCAGTGATCTTAGCAGCGAACATGAACGATATCTGACAGACGTCTATTTCAGAGGACCTGTTTTTGTGACTGATTATCCTACTGCTATTAAACCCTTTTACATGAAGCCCAGCTCAAAAGATACTGTAGCAGCAATGGATTTATTAGTTCCACAGGTTGGAGAATTAGTTGGTGGATCCTTGCGGAAAGATATTATTGCACCGGAAGAAGTACCTAAGGGGTTAGAATGGTATTCTGAAACCCTGCAACAAGCCAATACTCCTCATGGTGGTTTCGGACTTGGTATAGAACGATTGCTAGCATTTTTGGAAGGAGATGTTACAAATGTTCGTGAAACCATTCCATTCCCTCGCTCATCTGGATCAATATTCGCTTAATTTTTTTCTTATACCCAGTCTATCAACTCATTGAAAAAGAAGTATTTATTACTAATATCTTCAATTTTACCAATTTCATTACGTTCAATCATGATTCCTGTTAATCACTTGGCAAATAATATTATCCTGAGACGAGACCGCAAGTCAAAGAATAATACGAGAAGGCGTTTACTTATCTAAGTTTATGCTAAATAAGTTCTTACTTTGAAGTAATTTTGCTCTTAACTTTTTTTTTTCTGGTTAGAGATGTGAGTGTTCACAAGGCAAGATGAAATATACCTGGGTGTCGTCGATTCAACGTCGACCGCTTATGAAGCCCTTTAGTGCTGAATGTAGTTATAATTTAATGTTAATTAATTTTTAGCATGGGAAACTGAGCATTTAATCTGCGTTACTGTCGACTGACAGATAAATTTTAGGCATAACTAAAGTATTATGTTTGCTTCCTTACACCTTCTCAAGCCTGATGAAAGAAAAATAAGCCATCAGTTAGTTACTTCGTTTTGTTACGTTTGAATTTCGTTGAAGACTTTCTCTACTATAGTGAACAAAGGCACTTGATACACCCATAACAAGTCTGCAATCCAACTTCTAGCAAAATAAAAAAATATAAAATTAAGAAATTTATGGTATAACAATTCTATTAAGTTAAGTAGAAGTCCGTAACTAAAAGCAATGTAAATTGGACAATCCAGGTTCCCATGGAACGAACGCATAAGGGATATGGGAATTCTCTATGTACCGGAATACAATAAAACACGGCAATTATATCGATAAGAAACTATATTAGCATGTTTATTGCTTTTCTAAGGACAATTCATGAACATAAGTACAGAAAAGTTTGATACCCTTCATGAAGTTGTCCAAGTCTAATTTTTCGTTGATACTATGAGCACCATCATCACCACGGCCCATGGGTAATAAGAGGACATTTCTGTTTAGGGCATGTTCAAAAGTGACAGTAACGGGAATAGAACCACCTTCACGTACAAAGTCAGGCTTGACACCAAAGACACGCTCAGTGGCGCGGCTTCCAACATCGTAGTGCCAGTGCTTGGGGGAAGAACTCCACCAGGCACCAGCGTGAAGAGCATGGAAAGTAAGCTTATTTTTAGTGCCTAAAGAGCTGAAGACCTTTTCAACATGCTTTTGAACAAGCTCACGAACGGTTTCAGGTTGCATGTCTGGTACAGTACGGATCGAAAACTTGCCATTGACCTTCGCAGGAATGACAGTCTTTGCACCACTACCACTGAAGGCACCTTCAATACCGTGAAGGGATAATGTAGGATAACGCCAGCGATGTTGTAAGGTACGCTTGGTATCGGGATAGATGGAAATATCAGCACCGGCAGCATTCTCCAAATCACTCATTTCATAGTCGATAGTGTCATACAAACTATCTTCTTCGGGAGTGAGCTTGGCAACTTGATCCATGATACCAGGAATCAAAATTTCGCCGTTAGGTTTAACCAAAGAACCCATGACAGCAATCAAATCGGTCATAGGCTCATGAACAGTACCACCAAAGACACCGGAATGTAGGTCGGCACCAGGTCCCTCTACGGTTATGCTAAAGTAGCTTACACCACGTAATCCGTAAGTCAGCACGGGCTTCTTAGTACCCAACCAATAAGTATCACTGATACATACACAATCTGCCTTGGCAAAGTACTTTTGAGCTTCGGCACGAATAAGATCATCAAGGCCTTCACTACCGTATTCTTCCATACCCTCAAAGCACATCAACAAATTGACAGGAAATTCCATACCACATTCTTGGTATGCTTGGACAGCAGAGATCCAGCCGATGAGGGGACCCTTGTCATCAGTAACACCACGAGCGATCATACGGTCCTTGCTATCCACTTCAAGCTTGAAAGGATCTGTAGACCAGCCGTCGGACAATGAAGCCGGTTGAACGTCGAAGTGATTATAGATTAAAACAGTCTTCTTGGAAGGGTCGTTTCCATATTGGCCAAGGACAATAGGAGGCAAGGGAACTTGTTGACCGTCCATCTCATGGGAACCGATGTCGCGCTTTTCCATTTTGGCACCAAGCTTGGTGAATTCGTCAACAACAAAATCGGCCATTTCGTAAACCTTAGGACGAAGGTTAACGTCGGCAGACACAGAAGGGATGGCTACTGCTTTTGCAAGTCGAGCGATGAATTCATCCTTTTTCTTGTCGATTCTGAACTACGTGTTAGAAAATCATTCTTTAGTAAATAACATGATTTACATACAAACTGTATAAGGCTTCAAGTGCCATATTTACTATTTAAAAAACAACTAAAAAGAGCGCGTTGGTTAAAGTAAACTTATGTTTCACTCTCTTTTCTATTGCTAAGGTTTTACGGTCAAATCTGGAGCCTTATTTAGAGAATTGCAAAGAGTAGTGTTACACTGTTTACGGTAGTATTCAAAATCCTAATAAAATTCTATCATAAACTGTGGTATGTCAAGATCATAATACTATAATATAATCATAAACACAAGTTTATGTAAATAAAGGGGAAAAGTGCGAGGTTTTATACACTGTTTGTCCTTTCCTTGATTTCTGTTTTTCAAAAAAATAAAGTAGAGTTAAATTTATCTTTGACGAAGCTTTCTGTTACTATACTCGTAGATGGCGAGATTCAATTCTCTTTACAGCCGTTTACAAGACATTCCACTGCATGGCACAACAAGTATTCGGAGTTCAGTTAAGTTTATTAATTAATTTTCATTTCCATTCATGTTTAAATATATGAAATCTGTGGATTGCAGAGGAACCATTACTTATGTTTACTACTATTACTACTGAGGTTTTCAAAAGACGACGCGACCCGATTTAGCTTTTGAAGGACTACATAAGTCAAAGAGATAGAAAGCCTAAAAGTTCTATCCTTTTGCTAGAAATTGTGAGATTTGATTTGATTTATCATCATTCCGTTTCTCCTAAGCCCAACTTTAAGAATAGATGAACATACCAAATGAAATCTTTGAAAATTAAACCGAGTGTTCCAAAAGTAAACAAACTTAGAAGCCTTCTACTATTAAAAGTATAAAGCACGTACAGATAGAAAAAACGCATAAATTTAGTATAATTAACTTATGATCAGGAAAAATTTGGAATTCTATAATCATTGTATTTTTTCTTGAAATTAGAGCATAGTTGCTATTACTGAGGCCTAATCTAATAAATATGGTTAAATCAACTCATAATCAACAATTAATCATCGGCGGTCATGTCAAAGAAGACAAATTCAGCATTAGCAGAACCAACGCTTTCAATAGTCAAAGAAGAACCCTTTTCAGTGTCCATAACAAAAAGACCATCACCTTCGCTTAGTACATGCTCACCAATCTTCAATTGAGCCTTGCCAACAGAAGTATCGCGGGGACCAGCGAAACCGGATGTTTGAATAAGGTGCAAATAGCCCTTTCTAACTGGAGAAGCGGTGTTATTCCAAGGTCCAAACACATGGGATACTTGGGATCCAGGAGAAAGAATGGAAGCCCACATACCCAAGTCTCCTGGGAAAGGAATGGCAGAATCGTCGGTGGTGGCACTGGAACCAACTTGAGCACCATTGGACTTAATGTTGGAAGGATCAGAAAATGTGTAGTTAGGGGCGATGACGGGTTGGAGACGGTTGTGCTTGGCTTCTTCCGATTGATGACGGGTATAGTAAGTGGGAGGACGACGTCTGTCATCGGGTTTAGCCCAGATTTGAAGGAAGTGAGTATCACAGCTTCCTTTTGGTTCATTGTTATATTCGGAATGGGCGATACCAGTACCAGCGGAGGTATATTGAATATCACCTCTTGAGAGAGTTTCCGTATTACCCATCGTATCTTGGTGAGTCAATTTACCATTGACAACATAAGACCAAATCTCGTATCCTTGATGATGGTGAGGAGGGAATCCACTAGTAGGTTCCACGCGGTCTTCGTTGATGACTCGCAATGGACCGAATCCCATATATTGTAGGTCAAAGTAATTCGCAAAACTAAAAGTATGGAATGATCTGAGGAAGTTCTTATAGTGGGCGAAACCACGCTCTCCCGATTTTCTTACGACGAGCTGCATTGGGCGTAAAGAAGATGAAGTTGAAGCAAAAGTGCTGGGTTTTTTAGTGTTGTAAAACGATTCAAGCGAAAAATAGCCTCGAATCAATAAGAAAATGATTACAGGCAATAGCCAAAACAAATATTTCATCCAATCCACGGTAGATAAAACCACGAAAGTGTGAGACAACGAGGAAAAAAAAAAGCAAAGATTTCTTTTTTCCCTTTCAAAACAACTGGTAAAAGTTAAATTAAAACCACCAGAAAGCCTGCTATTTATAATTTTTTTTAGTCAACCCTCTTACATAGCGTTTTCGTACATGACCAAGACATTTTCCCATTGATTACAAAGCGACATCAAAACATGGCGAAAAAAGTTTTTCCAATCGTAAAAGCCTTCAAATCATTTACTAATTCATTTATTTCTATCTATTTCTTAGAAAAAAGACTATTATTCATCGTCCGAAAGCCACAATTTTGCACCTTTTTTTCTCATCATTGTTGTAGCATGAATTCTTACTTACTTGCATAAAATGATAATTTAGTTTCTAGTAAAATATTATACTGTACAGATACATTATTATGATTTCATTGAGCATAACAAAAAAAATTGCATGGAAGAAAGAATAAAAAATAACGAAGAAATTGTATAAAAAAAACCAATAAAAACATTTCGGCCGGCTTTTTTGATTTGATTTCCCATGTAGTAAGCAAGATTACGAGAGTAGGTAGAGTACGCTAAGTAAAGCTGTGAAAGAATAAAGAAAAAAAAAAAAGGTAAAGAGACTTGGAGGGTTTTTCTTTTATTTGTTTCATTCTTATTTATTTATATTTTATTTCTCTTGTTTTACTAGGCCTTTTTTTGGTTTGTGTTTACTTTCTTTTGGGAGTTTTATTTTTTTTTTTGGCCCTACATTAGACGCTTATTTTTCTATCGTTCTATATATATATCTTTTTGTCTGTAAACAAACTTACAATGCTACCAATTGAAATCTAAAAGTATTTGCCTTCTTGCTTGTTTGTTTTCCATTTTCATTTCCAAGTTCTTCTTTTTTAATTGACTTTCTTTCTCTGGTTTTCCTTTTCCTTTTTAGTCTCCTCCCAGTACAAGTACAGCAGTACAATAGTCTTTCCCACCAGACCAAGGTCAAACGTAAGCAACTTCATTTCGTAGCATTGCCTAGCCTTCCATGGACAATCTAAGAAAACGCATCCTCACCTATACTGGGGACAAAAAGATATTCGACGAGGAAGATGCTACTCCTCTCAGTCGACAAGGTAAATTTCATCTCATCATATATATTTTTCCTAGCCATCAGTTTGCTAACTTATTGTTTGTATTTTAGAACAAGATACTTTTATTGAACACTTGCGACTAACGAATGCAAGAGACAATCGCATGTTTTCTATTTTGTTTTCTTTTTTATTCCTTGTTCTAGCTGTACCCGTCCTCCTGTACCCAGAGAATTTTTTCTATAAACTCGTTGAAGTCTTGGTCTTATGTTCCAATGCCTTCGTCATGTATTTCCTTCCTACAGACCATGTTATCGCTAGCTCTTCTACAATCCCTTTTCATTGGAAAGTTCTGCTGACATCAAATATCGCTATTCCTGCAGCCGTTTTCCTTTTTACCATTCACAAGCAATCGTCCCTTTTAGGCTCTTTGTTTTCTATGCGATTTCTTGCTTTGGCGGTTTCTATTTTCACTGAACTCACTCGTTATTCCATGTATACTGCTGCCTTGGGTGTAGAAAAGCTTGATAGTATGAGATTTGCATAATTGGGTTTCATTATTTATAACATCTTGAAAATTATTCTTAGAATCCTCATCTCATCCTTCTTCATTCCTTTTGATTGTTTGTCTTCCGTCGTCTCTATTTTTTTTTTTTTTTTTTTATAACTTGCTTTTCCATCTCTTCATAACTTTTATTTCTCCAGTCTAGCCTTCAAATACTTACTTTTCATCTATTCTTTTTACTAATTTCCGACACGATCTGATCTACCTACTTAGTACTACTATCTATTATTTAATTCCTTATGTATCATCAATATATTTACTTTTGGCACCATATTCATTGTAAAAAAGGTCATACATGAACATCATTTTATTCATTTATTTGTACACACATGGGGAATTCACAGGCGTTACTTATGCAACTTACATAAAACAAAACCAATTTATAAAGGCGTTTAGGCAATGTAGGTAGAAGCACTGACATTACCACCACGGCCAGTCCAGTTGATGTGGACATCCTTGTCAGCGGGAAGAGACTTGTCAGCTTCTTCAGGCAAGACACGGAAGGTATGGGCACCAAAGTAGTCACGTTGAGCTTGCAACAAACCAGCAGGCAAGATAGAGCTACGGTAGCCGTCGTAGAAGGCAAGACCAGTAGAAGTGGCAGGAGTAGGGATACCCAAGAGAGCGGCTTGGGAAACAACACGACGCCATCCGTCTTGAGACTTGTGGATAGCATCAGTGAAGAAGGGGTGGAAAAGAATGGACTCGAGCTTGGGATCTTCACGGAAGGCTTCAGTAATGTCCTTGAGGAAAACGGAGCGGATAATGCAACCACCACGCCACATCAAAGCGATACCAGCGTTGTTAAGCTTCCAGCCATATTCCTTGGCAGCTTCACGCATAAGCATGAAACCTTGGGCGTAAGAGATAATCTTGGAGGCATACAAAGCATCCTCCAAGTCACGGATGATTTGTTGCTTATCACCAGTGAACTTGTTGGCAGGGCCAGAGAGCTTCTCGGAAGCACGCACACGTTCACCCTTCAAGGAAGAAAGGCTACGAGCAAAAACAGCTTCGGAAATCAAAGTGACAGGGGTACCCATTTCCAAAGCGTTTTGACCGGTCCACTTTCCGGTACCCTTTTGGCCAGCAGCGTCAAGGATCTTTTCGACCATAGACTTGCCATCGTCGGCCTTGAAACGCAAGACATCACGGGTAATTTCAATCAAGAAAGAGTCGAGCTTACCCTTGTTCCATTGTTCGAAAATGGAAGCAATTTCGTCAATAGACAAACCAAGACCACGCTTGAGGATATCATAAGTTTCGCAAATCAATTGCATGTCACCGTATTCGATACCGTTGTGAACCATCTTGACATAGTGACCGGCACCTTGTTCACCAACCCAATCGCAGCAAGGCTCGTTGTCACCAGCCTTAGCGGCAAGAGATTGGAAGATGGGCTTAATACGAGGCCAGGCAGCAGGGTTACCACCGGGCATCAAAGAAGGACCATGACGAGCACCTTCTTCACCACCAGAGACACCGGAACCAACGAAGAGAATGTTCTTCTTGGCCAACTCTTCGCAACGGCGAGTGGTATCGGGGTAGTGAGAGTTACCACCATCAACGATGATATCACCTTCTTCAAGGTGAGGAAGCAACATGTCGATGAAAGAATCGACGGCAGGGCCAGCCTTGACGAGCAAGATAGCGACACGGGGCTTCTTCAACTTGGCAACGAATTCTTCAATAGAGTGAGCGCCAACAATGGACTTGCCTAGAGGAATGAGTGGATTAGTAACTGGTTTTTGCATAGGAGCACGAGTAAAATCCAAATCAAAGAAAGAAAGAAAGAAAGAAAAGAAAAGAAATCGATAAATCTACACGCTACACGCTCGGATTTTCGTCGATTCGGTCTTGTTTTTTTCTTTTTCTTTTTCTTTCTTTCTTTATGGATTCTCTTTCGGTGATTTCTTACCCTTGGCTTCATTCTCCATAAAGTGATCAACCTTGGAGACAGTACGGTTGAAAGCGCAAACGGTGAATCTGGTCGTGGTTAGTTGACTGTAATTTGTTGTTTCAAGACGGAAGTTCCTCGTTCATTCTGCTTGGACAAACGATCAAGAAAAAGCAAACCTTGAACCTCACAACGACACACAAAAAAAAAAAAAGGAAATCCCGTCCAAAAAAAAAAAAAAAAAAAAAAAAACAAAAAAACATACCCTTTATCGGCACCGTTTAAAATGAGGTTTTGACCCATTACGGCCAAACCAATAAGACCAAAATCTTTCACTCAAGTTAGTATTCCACGCAAATCAAAAATCACAAAACCCAACAAAACAAAACCATCGTGGTTCATGTCGGGTACATAGTTTGGTTTCCATACCGGCTCTACACGATTAGCATTAGCATATATTCAAAACAGAAAAAAAAAAAAAGGAAAGCAACTCAAAAAGAAACATCCTTTCTGAGTTATTCTCTCTATTCTAAATCACTTACACAGCAGTTTGAGACATCTTCTAATATATTCCGTCAACGATCGTGGTGGTTGTTTACAAGTTATATACCAACGGTGAGTCCCAGTCTTGCCGTTTATACTGGTTTCCGTCTTCGCACGCATGACGTAATCATCAGACAGGAAATCGTGGAACCTTTCGAAGAATCACGGATCATCTTTTTGCTGACGAATGCATAGGTGACGTGTATGGTCAACGCAAAAGAGCGAACAAAGACGGATTGCGTAGCGATTCCTTTTTTGCCTGCTATCTCTAGAGGGGAGAGAGAGAGAGAAGAGGAAGAGGAAGAGAAAAGAAGGAAGAATAGAAAGGCGACATATCCAATAGAAAATCACAATGAAATACAAAAATTAAAAATTGTTTATGTTTTGTTTACGAAATCTTGAAAGCCACGAAAAAAACCTTTTCTTCTTCTTCTTCTTCTTCTTCTCGTCTCTTTTCAGCCGCTACCCAAATGTAAACAAACCGCAACTTCTCAAAGACGAGACACGAACCTTGTCGTCTCCGCTCTTTTACGACCAAACATCCCCGCAAGTGTAACGAGCTTCTTCCCCTCTTTTCTCCTCTTTTCTCCCCTCCGACGCGTCGTATGTCTTTGTCATTCTTGCCTTGTTGATTCGCTTCTGCTGCCTTTGAACTCCTACACCGCTCAACCTTAATGAAAAGCTTTAACCTTGTTTTTTTTAATTTTCGGAGTTTCGATTCTTCACCGACATCCACGTTGTGCCGCTTTTCCGTTGTCCCCCCTCCCCTCCTCTCCATCGTCTTTGTTGTTTTCACTCCGCCCGCTCTTCTTTGTTTGAGCTCCAAAGTCCCTTCCTCCTCCTTGGTCCCTTGGTGGTGAGTGACTGAGCGAGATTCCCCACCCCACATCCGTTGGCCCAGTTCTCTAACCTTATACCCATATGGGGGTGTCCAGAACATGCCCAGAGGAAAGAATGACAAAGAGAGAGACAGAGAGAAGGAAAGACTATGGAGAGTTTACTGTAGCATGCAGTAGCCTACATTATGTAGTATACGGTAGCATGCAGTAGTTTTACATAGGGTACTTGGGTTCCTACCTAGTCTTTTGTAGTCTTGTTTGTTTCAGTAGTTGATGAATGTCTTGCAGTAGTATAGCGTTGAAAGAACTTTTTGCCTTTAGTCAATAATATTCGGCGATTTTATTTCTGACAGTGCCTATGCTTTCTTCTCCCTCTCTGATGATTCATTCTTACTCTACTGCTCTTACCCATTTACTTACTTTACTTACTTCCTTCCTTCCTTCCCCATAGCAAACTAATGGACAAGACATGGCAGACTCGACAAACCGCCACTTTAGTTCTTTTCTCTAAGATATAAAACAAACAGTTCTCTAAAATAATAATAAGATACTTTATAAAAAGGGAATATTACAAGAAAAAATTATGGTCATAGATTTTTCTTTCAAAGAACAAAAACGTAGTAGTTGTCCTGAACAGGATGCTTCCTGTCAAACATCCACTTTTCATGCGTGGACTTTTTTATCGACGATACGGATGGAAACTATGTCCACCACCTCCGGCTGATCCTCCGCGGCGACCTCCACGATACCGTTGTCGATTCGGTCCTCCAGGATTTCGATTATGATATCCTCCTCCTCGTCCACCACTTCCGGCACCTGCTTCCCCAGGTCCCTTCGACGGATCAAAATACCCTGCTCCTGCTCCTCCTCCTTGTTGCTGCTGTTGCTGCTGCTGCCATTCAGCCATCCCAGCTGGCATCACCGGCTGCGTATACGGCATCGATCCGGCTGCCGCTGCCGGCATATTCCGCATCGCTTCCATATACTGCTGCATTTGACGATAATATTGTGCCATCATGGCGGGTGTCATGCCTCCATACATATTCATGTTTTGTGAATAATAAGGATTCATTCCTCCATGAAAATTCTGCTGATGTCGCTCATGGTTATCCCGTAAACTCGACTTGGGCGTAGCCCGCTTCACCTCCACCGGCTTTCCATGAATCGTAATGTACGGTTGAGACATCGTAGCCTCCACTGCCGACTCATTCTCAAAGGTTACAAATCCAAATCCACGAGGCCGTCCCGTATCTTTGTCCATCATTAGCGTCGCATCTAATACTCGGCCGAAATTATTAAAGAAATCGCGGAATTCTTCTTCTGTACAGTCCCCTGGAACTCCTCCTACAAACATCTTTGCTGTCTTTTCTTGTTCTTCTCGAGGAATCGCTCGCTTCGGGTCAATCTATCCCATGTTAGTATCCCCTATCCCATCTAATCTCTTCCAATTTCTCTCATAATCTCTTCTCGTCTTTTACTTACTATTTTTCCATCCAAATGGTGCTCTTTTGACATCACGTCGTTCACACATCTGGGATCCTTAAACGTCAAAAAACCAAACCCACGTGATCGTCCGCTCGTGCTGTCTCTCATAACTGTACAGTCTAAAACTTCGCCAAATTGCTCAAAGTAATCACGGAGCGACTCTATTCTCTTATTAGTAACCCCGAAATTCTCTTCTCTTTCCAATATTACTTACCATCAGTCGTTTCCCAGTTCAAGCCGCCAATAAACATTTTTCTACGATAATGATTAGCTTCACCATTCGCAAGACCTTTCCTATCTAACACAATAGGATCCTGTCAAACCATCCATACCCGTCTTCCTTGTTAAAAGGACTTTGGTCTTCTTTATTCTCTTCTGGCTGTCTTGTCTCGGAATAAGGCATGCCACCCGGATTGGGTACATTTGCATACGAAGGAGTGGAGTTTGCAGTGCTTTCAGCTGCTTCCCAGCTAGCTGAAATTTGAGCTTGTTCATCCTCATTTCCAGTAAGACCCTTATGCTCAGATCCATCCTCTTCGTAACCACCTTGATGCGAAGTTTCGTCGATATTCGCTCCTTCTCTTTCTTGTTCGGCTGGGTTGGAAATCTCTGGCTCGTTTCCTTCACCAGTTTGTTCGTTTTTTTCATTATTTTCTTCTCCACTGGCTTCTAAAGATTGATTGTCTCCTTCATTTGACTCATTTTTTGATTCACCAGTCTCTTTCGATTTCTCAACATCATTCTCTTCACCGCTAACCAGTTCAATTATTAGTTTATCGCACTCCTATTTACGTCGTACTTACTATAAGTCTTTAAATAACTCATCATCTTCAAAATCCGATCCTCCCATCCCGAATCTAACAATCTATTGACAAAGAATTATGGTGGTAGTAGTGAGATGGAAAGACGTGAAATCCCCGCGCTTCACTCTTGCTTTGGGAAAAACAGCGCAGTGCAGTATCTTACGCTACTGAGGAATAATGAACTTTTACAACAATAAAAAAATGCTTTTATTTGCGTAATGTTTGTTTATTAGGTTGACGTTGTATATATTAATGCTGAAAAACGAGTCTATGAGGGTAGTATAATAATAACCGTATTAAAAAAAGGTATCGGGAAAAATTAGAAACCGGTAAAGAAAAAAGGGAATTTCACCGATCTTAACGTAAAGATGGAGTTATGTTGTCGCGGGTATAATAGAATCCAACAGAATAAATAAGATAAATGAGAACCGGACGTGAATATAAAGGTTAATGAGTGAGTAAAATATACTTAACAAGTAGATGAGATACTAGTTCGTGTATCGCCTTTGTAGACGTAAAGAAAAAAGTGTTTTGGTTAGTGGAAACAGAACAGAAGTCGCCAGAAAGGAAGAGTGTCGTGTCAAGAAAAGATTATTATAAAACATCAAAAACGAACCAGATGACAAATTTTGGAGATCCTTTTAAGGACAAGTTGGCCATAAAAAAGCTAACAGACAATCTGTGGCTTTCTCCAGCACTGGCAAATCTTAAAACGTGGTTTCGAGCCAGGAAGGATGATCTTCAAAGATGATTGCGGGTAACTTTAATTGTTCATGAACATACCCAATTTCATCTGTGCTCAACAGCTGTTCTGCAGTGATTCGATCTTCTGGATTAGGTGTTATCATTCTGTAAAGCATTTTCTCTAACGACTCAGCAGAAGCTATCTTCGAGCGTAACATCTGCTCCTGAGGTGTCAGAAATTGTGTTAACTTTGGTAAGTCAGAAAAATCGGCAGAGCGCAATCGCTGCCATTCGAGACCGTTGTCTGGAAGAACCACGTTGGTCGCTGCTTCAATCATACTGAGACCCAAGGAAAAAATATCAGCCGGTTTATCATAAGCATGCATCATTAATACTTCAGGAGCTATGTACATCCTGTCACCTTCTAAATCTGATATTGAAGGTACTGGCAAAGTTGAAGATAAACCGAAATCGGAAATTTTTAAATTTCCTTCGCGGGTGATTAATACATTCGAAGGCTTTATGTCCAAATGCACTACTCCGAGCCTATGCAGATAGAATAATCCCTAAAAAAAGTCAACAAAGATTTGTGTAAATAACTTACCTGGCCCAATTGTAATAGAATTTTCCAAACGCGGAAAGAATCGAGTACTTGCATTAAACCCAATTCCGTTAAAAAGGTACCTAAATCACCATTTTCACAATATTCTAGTTGAAGAAAAAGTTGATCCTTATGTTCCCAAAAGTCAACCATGTTCACAATGCGCGAAGAGTCACGTACTTGATTCAGAATATTGGCTTCCTGAATTTGTCGCATAGTTTCCTTCGTGCTATTACCCTTTCTCTTCACAATTTTTACAATAGAAGGATCTTCAGCCATTTTTGAAACCTTATAAACATAAGAGAAATCGCTTTCGCGCAGTAATTTCACTTGGCAAAATCTGCTATATAGCATTTCAGTACAGCGGTCGACATCATTAAACTCATCATGGCTCATTGTGCTAAAGAAGTTTGGACTTGTGGGCGTCCAACTCAGAGATGATGATTCATCTTCATCCTCGTCCTCATCTTTCCAACTTGTCATTGGGGGAGTATGTAAGAAAATCGATTGAGACTTGCTTGGCGTATTATATGCCCCCATGTAATCTTCGGAACCACAAGAAAATGTTGACAAGGGCAGCATATCCATGCTGTCTTCCAAATCATCAGATGTCGACTTTTCGGTCTTCAGGCATTGCAAAAAATCGGGTCCAGGGCATTTCCTTCGGAGCAGTAGAGACGAGGGAGATGTTGGAGATTCAGGATAGTTATTACTCATGTTAGTAATGCGTTTACAGGGAGTATGCGGCTGTTCGCTTTTTGGATTAGTTGAATTAACCTCCCATAACATTTGCTTTTCGCGTTTTGACAAGAGCCCTGTACTAAATGCGCCCGAAAAATTAGTGTGGTTTTTATCTAAAGGGGTTATATTTTCTTGATGTTGATCAACGTCTTTTCTTTTACAGTCCAAAAGACTAGGGAGAAGTCCTGGTGGTTTTCTTTCGCTGACATCCATTCGGGAAAAGAGTCCGTGTCGTAAAGTAGTAGATAAGCGCACATTTTTCTTAGGATTCATCAATGGCGTATGTGGGCTATCTTCGTATGTGAAGGCATTGTAAGCTTGTGATTGAGGAGAGCAGAACTCATTTGACATTGAATCACTGAAGGTGTTTTCATTCCCAGAAAACAATCGCCTTTTTCGAGTATCGTCATCCAGGGAAGAAGAGGATGAACGCGTCGGCGTACTAGGTGGCATAGAAACAGAATCCATTGTCAATATATCTCGTATCTTTGTTTATTAAATAACTAGGCGCTTATATATAATATATATTGTAAGTACAAAATGAGGCGAGACGTAAATGGTTATAGTAATTGAGTATTATCGAGGTTTAATTCTCCCAAATAAATAGACCAACCTCTCAAAGTATTTGAGAAGTTTCCTTTCCAAAGAAAGGGCCTACTATGTCTTGTTAATGAGTGTTGCTGGAAGAAGACAGCATTCATCGAGTAAACAATAAACAGAATCGCGAGTTTATTGACGCGTACACAAACGCGTCGCGTCACGTAAAACTTTAATTATAAACCTTACGCGTCAGATGCTACCTGGGTACAACAACATCATTATAACGCGACGCGCCGCCGTATCCTTCCTAAAACCAAACACTTAAACAAAACCAAAGTAAATTTAAAAATGGCCGAACGGCTTTCGGTTGGTTCGTTGCGTGTTATAAAGTATGTTTCGTTTAAAATAAATTAATAAATAAATAAATTTGAAGAAAAAGTACTAATACGTTGAATTAGCACCTCAGATTCTTCATCTTATCCTCCAAATCCTGTTCTTCAGGTATTGACGGTAAAAGAATTAAATTCGAATCCCACATCTGGAGCTCCTAAACGATATCGTGTGGTTCTTTCCGACTCCATTAATTATGCGCAATCCATGCTTAGCACTCAACTCAACCACCTAGTCGCTGAAAACAAGCTTGCGAAGGGTGCTTTTGTGCAGCTCACTCAATTCACCGTTAATATAATGAAAGAAAGGAAGATTTTGATTGTTCTTGGCCTGGACGTGTTAACTGAACTTGGGTTCATGGAGAAAATTGGAAACCCGGCCGGGTTAGAAACAGTGGACGCACTGCGTCAACAACCTCAAACTTCCGTTAACGAAGGATCCATAAATCAGTCTTCTGCGCCCGCCAATTATCCTGCTAATACAGGTAGTTTTTACGGGAATAACTCTCCTAGTACGGCTCCTGCTCCTCCCCCGATGGTAAAAAGACCTTCTGGTCCCAATCCAACAAATGGTTACAGTACTATCATCTACCCTATAGAAGGACTTTCTCCTTACCAAAACAAGTGGACTATCCGGGCTCGTGTTACCAACAAATCTGATATCAAGCACTGGCATAACCAACGCGGTGAGGGAAAGCTTTTCAGCGTAAATTTATTAGATGAAAGTGGAGAGATTCGAGCTACTGGCTTCAACGACCAGGTGGACGCTTTCTACGATATTTTGCATGAAGGTCAAGTTTATTATATCAGTCGTTGTCGTGTTAACATCGCTAAAAAACAATTTACGAATGTACAGAATGAGTATGAGCTTATGTTTGAACGTGATACCGAAATTAAAAAGGCTGAAGATCAATCCGCTGTACCTGTAGCAAGATTTAGTTTTGTCTCTTTACAGGAAGTTGGCAACGTAGCGAAGGACGCGGTAATTGATGTTATTGGTGTTTTGCAGAGTATTGGTCCCGTACAACAAATAACCAGTCGAGCTACTTCGCGGGGATTTGATAAGCGTGACATTACTGTTGTTGATCAAACCGGGTTTGAAATGAGAATTACTTTATGGGGCAAACTTGCAATTGAATTCTCCGCTCCGGAAGAGAGCGTTTTGGCCTTCAAAGGTGTAAAAGTAAACGATTTCCAAGGTCGGTCTTTGTCTATGTTAACCAGTAGTACAATGTCTACTGATCCTGATATTCAGGAATCTCACCTGCTTAAAGGCTGGTATGATGGACAAGGTAGAGGTCAAGACTTTGCCAAGCATAGCAACAATGCATCGATCAGCTCTGTTTCAGGACGCTCGGCTGAAAGAAAAACTATTGCAGACGTTCAAGCAGAACATTTGGGAATGTCCGAAACCCCTGACTATTTTAGTTTAAAGGGTACAATTGTCTACATCCGAAAGAAGAACGTATCATACCCTGCTTGTCCCGCACCAGATTGCAATAGAAAAGTTTTCGATCAAGGTGGTTCTTGGCGATGTGAAAAATGTAATAAAGAATATGATGCTCCTCAATACCGATACATTATGACTATTGCAGTTGGCGATCATACCGGACAACTTTGGTTAAATGTCTTTGATGATGTTGGCAAAATTATAATGCATAAATCTGCGGACGAACTTAACGATTATCAAGAGAACGATGAAAATGCTTTTATGAACTGTATGGCAGAAGCATGCTACATGCCATATATCTTTCAATGTCGCGCTAAGCAAGATAATTTCAAAGGAGAAACTCGTGTTCGTTACACAGTTACTTCTTTAAGTCAGATGAACTGGCAAGAAGAATCCAAGAAATTGATTGATTATATTCAAGCTGCAAACTGAACATCATTCACAGTTACTCGCTGGTCGAGGAAAATTTTGCAAGACCTTTAAACGGGGATTATTAATCGTGTGCGAGAGTTCATCCTAGATTTATACCAAAATACTTCTCTCTCTTTTTTTTTTTATTTAATAGAATTTAGTTACTATTTAACTCATTTCATACTGGTATACAGTTTATAAATTTACATTAATTTTAAATCGGGAACAGCCTGTACTTTAGAAAGTATTTGAAAGAGGGCATTGTCCATAGCATTTATTGTTACATGTTTACAACATTGAGAAGCAAGGACCATCATTGTTAGTACGATTTGGTCAGGTTTCAACAGTCGAAATCATAAACCGTTTCACTTTATTTTTATTCAAGTTTCAAAAAAATAGCTACTTTTTTTCATTGAATTGTTTCTCTTTGAATGCTAGGAAAAGTAGTTCTAGTGATATCTTTCTTCTGACTGAATTTCCTATTACGTTTATATCCTGGATCCCACTTTCTTTTCGTATCAACATTCAACATTACAGCTAAAATAGAAGTCCTTTTGCTATTTCATCTTTTGGAGTCCAAGCATTGAGTTAACTTCAATCGCTTTTACAAATCCTTTCTTTATTATTATAGTTACAGCTTCTTTTTACCCTTGTTTAAGATCTAAAATGTCACAAGAAGTTCCTTTTGGGCATGCTTTAACTCGGCATTTTATGTTAGACGAGAACTATGTCTCTGTGAACAATGCGAGCTGTGGCGTGGTATGTGTTCCTGCTTTTCAACAGCACATACGGTTGTTGGAAGAATCAGAGAAGGTACAAGATCTACAGACGAGATACAGATTACCCAAACTAGCCGAACAAACTCTGAACCAAATAGCAGAGCTTTTGGATACCAGTCCTAGCAACCTCGCGTTCTGTTTTTCCGCTACGCAGGCAATTAGTTCTATTCTCTTAACATTTCCATGGACACCTAACGATCGGATACTAACATTGAATCTAGCCTATCCTACATGCCAATTTGCCGTTGATTTTGTTCGAGATCGGCACGGTATTCAGGTAGATACAATAGATATCGACCTTGCTTATAATCGTTTGGAGCTTTTATCCCAAATAGAATCGTATTTGGAAAAGAATAAACCAAGAGTGTTCGTATTCGATTTTGTCACTTCTATGCCAGTGGTTCAATTACCTTGCAAGGAAATTGTTCAAATCTGTAAAAAGTATAATGTGATTAGTGTCATAGATGCTGCTCATGGCATTGGCCTTTGTCCACTTTCTTTGTCATCCTTAGACCCTGATTTCCTATATACTAATGCTCATAAATGGCTGAATGCACCTTCAGGTACGACCATATTGTACGTGTCTGAAAAGTACCATGATTCAATCGAGGCCCTTCCAATCTCCTATGGCTATCATATTCGTAAAGAAAACTCTCCTCCAGCGGATGCTCTAAACGTAAGGTTTTTATATGCTTCTTCTACGGATTTACCTAAATACATTGCCATTAAAGATGCCATAGCGTTCAGAAAATCAATTGGCGGTGAACATAAGATACAAAGCTATAACTATCAAATTGCTATAAAAGGAGCTAAAATTATCGCTGAAGCCTTAGGAACATCATATTTCGCGTTAGCTCCTCCTATTGCTATGGTAAATGTCGAAATTCCCCTGCGGTGTATACCATCCAGTTCGTTTTTAGAGGAATTCTGGCAAAAGAAGAATACTTTTCTTCGCTTTGTAAAGTACCATGGCAAAATTTACACTCGAATCGCTGGTGCTCCTTTCTTGGAAGAGTCGGATTTTCTATACACAGTAGATGTCTTAAAGGAACTTTGTCAATTTTCGCATGAAAGCTAAGTATTTACAACATGATTTTTGAGGTTAATCTACCACTTCTGGCTATGTATGACTCACAGGTATGAGATATGCATAAATAATACAATTTTAATTCATAACATGTTTTTTATAGTTCAGAGAACATCCATATGCTTTCCAACATATGGACAAATATATAAATTACAAAAAGCCTATGCAATAAATCCTATTCTACATTTTTTTAGTTCTTACGCAAAGACTTTCTGCAGGAAAATGAACAAACGTTAAGCGCAAGCGCAGGGTAAGGGAAGAAACATAAGTCGAAGGTACAAAGGGAGCTCTAAAAAGAAAGTACAAACGGTTACAGAGCATGGACAAATCATAAACTTAGAACATTTGCTACGGCTTTCTTTAAGCAGAAGCAGTAGCCTTCTCAGCAGATTCAGCTTCAACGTTTTCAGCAGAAGCTTCTGGGGCGGCGACAGGAGCGGCAGGAGCGGCTTGTTCGGATTCAGCCTTCTCGCCCTCCTCAGTCTCCTTTTGCTTTTCTTCACGAGAAATAGCATTCTTAACAACCAAGGTAAGGTCGCCAATTTGTTTGCCGTTCATTTCTTCAATGGCACGGGTTTGCTCTTCAGGGGTGTTGAATGACACAAAACCGAAGCCACGTCCACGGCGTTGTTCACCACGAAGCTTAATGCGACGGATGATGTAGGGAGGGAGAGAACGAACAGCAATACGAGCGCGAATAGGGTTGTAAGCATCGAACATCTCCTTCAAACCTTCGTTTGTTAAAGTAACCGAAAGACCAGAAACATAGATAGAGTTAGGGGGAAGAGGCTTAGCCTTCTTTTTGCCAGCAGCATTTCTAGATTTACCGGCTTGCTTTTTTTCTGTAGATGGAGATTCAGAAGATTCTTGAGTTTGCTCGCCCTCCTTTTCAGGGGAGGCTTCAGCTTCTTGAGTAGTAGTTGCGGTTTCATCATTTTCTTTATCAGAGGTATTCTCCTTAAGCTATATATCGTTAGTCAAGTTGTCTTTACAATGCAAAGTATAACTTACCTCCTTCTTAGATTTTTTGGGTTGCTTTTGAACAGGGCGAGCTCGTTGAACGACTATCTCACGCTCGTTCAATGTTTTCCCGTTTAAGGTATCAATAGCCTTTTGAACATCTTCCTCGTTGACGAATGTAACAAAGGCAATACCAGAGGGTACTAGACGGGTTCCACGTCGCACGCGACGGAAAGGGATGGTAACTTTGCGGCTGAATTTAGTTAGCAATCACCTTCATTTTGAATCATCAAACAATAGGGCAAACCATTCGACTAGTTGATGGCGTAAAATGAAGCCAGCTATTATCGCACTGATATACTTCAGTTGCTTTGATATAATAGCCATAGCAATTTAGCTTCTGTTCTTAACTCCAGCAACTTATTTCAACTTCCTCCTTATACGAAGAGATGGTTTGACCCTTTTTATTAAACTTACACAGCTCCGACAGTCTCAAACAAAGAACGGATTTCGCTCTTCTTAGTAGAGGTATTCAAGCGTCCGACGAAGACGCGGAAATCTTGTTCTTGGTTTGTGGTTTCTTTAGGAGATTCAGCGGCAGAAGCAGCACTGTTAACAGAGTTTTCTACTTGCTCTTGGATCACAGTAGGTGTGTTATCAACAACGGTTCCTTCTGCAGACATTATTTATTTCGTCTAATGTGTTTTGTCGTGAAAAGTGGTGATATGTGTTAAGGGTAAGTTTATAGAAGCGTGAATTACCGCAAGTACGCAACTCCGTAAGAATACAATAATTCACGTACACCGAAAGGTATAGAAAACGAAATTTCAAAATACAGAATTTGGAGTAAAGAATTCTATAATAATCATAACAATTTTATATAAATAAACTCATGTTTTTATTTCTCCCATGAACCTCAAAACATTTCAGTAGCAAAAACCTGCTTTTGGCGTTCAGTGGACATGGGTAGGAAGGATGAAGACGGGGTTGGAGAAGATGTAGAAGAAGGATTCTGAATATGAGACATTGTAAACCTTGCATTACCTTTAGCCAAAGCTTTTAATACCGAATTATAATCAAGCAGTCGTTCCATGGGAACTTGTGCAGAAACACGCTTGGTTTTAGAGGTAAAATACGATTCATTTTGCGTTTTATATTCTTTTTCGACAGAGGAATATGCAGAGGTTTCTCTTGGGATGTACTTCGTTTTTGCTATATTGCTCGCCGCGTTTTCTAATGAAACTGACTCTCCTAGAGGATCGGTACTTGTATCATCAACAATTTCATGGATAACAGCATTTCTCTTTCCAACCAAGTCTTTAGTAATGACACCTAAATATTCATCTGGAGTTGTTATGGTTATATCCATATATGGTTCCAAAATGGAAAACGCGTTGGGAGACTGAGAATACAGTCTTTGAACGGCCTGTCGAGTTGCTTTTGACGCTGCCTGAGCTAGAATCGCCAAAGGACTTAGGGAAGAAAAAGAACCAGAGGATGGTAAAGAGCAAGCATTGATATGGATCTCTGCTTGAACGTTCCAGAGGGGGAATCCATATAGTGGCCCATGAGATAAACCCGCTAAAATACCGTAGAACAAATGCTCGTTAATAGAAGACGAGTCTATATTTTCTGGAAAAGTAACGGAAGCATTCTGGGTCCAGCCCCGGAAGACAAATCCTTCCTGAACATGGTTGGCACTCTTGGAGAAATCAACGGTGTCGATGCTTCCGTCTAACGGATATAATCGTAAATGCAGTGATATATCCGAAGAAGGATCGTCTTCAGTAAAATTATAAGGCTTTGCAATGGTTTCACGATATCCTACTTGAAGCTTTCCTAAAGTTACTCGAGCACCAAAATCATTCACGAGCCGTTGGTGCGAGATTTGCAGATGTAATCCTCCCATTCCCTCTAAAATCCACTGATTGCTTTCACTATTCTGTGTATATCTAAGAGAAGGGTCTTCACGAACTAAACTCGCCAGTGCTTCTAGTAACTTTGGTTCATCTTTTAAAGATTCTGGTTCTAAGACAGCCATGCAAACTGGTTCTGGAATAGGTATATGTAGTTGAGAAAGACTCTCCTTTTTTAGATATGGTTGTTCTTTACCTTTAGTTTTTGTGGTGATGGCATCACCAGTATGAAATTCTTTTAAACCTCCTATCAAACCTATGTTTCCCGCAGAGATTTCGTTTACTTCCTCAGTCTGATCAGCATATACATTATATATTCTTATAGCACGCTCAGTCTTTTTTGTCCTCGGGTTGAAGATCATCGTTCCCCGTTTCAAAGTTCCCTCTCTCACGCGGACGTAGGACAGAATCCCGCTAGTTGGTGTATGAATTACTTTAAAGACTAGCGCGTACAGAGGTAGATTTTTTAAAGCAGTATTGTTGGTGACATTAGTGATTTCTTTTTTCATAAGCTTATCAGCCTCGACAGGATCAGGAAGATAATCAACTATTGCATCCAAAGCAGGTTGAACACCAATGTTCTTCAACGAGGATCCACATAGAACTGGGACGATATTTCCCATGATGCATTGCTCTCGTAAAACAGGAGCCAACCGTTCTTCCGAAAATGCATTTACGTTTTCAGTTTGCAAATATTCATCACACAGAGTTTCATCCAGATCACAAAGAGCCATTACCATGGCTTCTCTTGCTTCTTGAAATTCATCCTTATTCTCTTCAGGTATGGGGAATTCGCGAACATGTTTACCATCATGGGATATTGGGTCCGCAGATACGTCCCAAAGGATCATTTTCTGTCGGAGAACGTCCATTACGCCTAAAAATTTCTTCTCCTCAAATGATTCTGAAAATACCGGAAGCTGAAGGATAACTGGATTGTGACATTCCAATTGAGTATATATAGACCGCATTGTTTTTGAAAGACTTGATCCAATGTGGTCCATCTTGTTAACGAAAATTACTTTGGGAATGCCATATCGAGTTGCTTGACCCCACACTACTTTTGTCTGCGCTTCAACGCCGACACTACCATCCAAGATTGCTACTGCACCATCTAAAGCTGCAACTGACCGTTCTACCTCAAAAGTAAAGTCTGCATGACCAGGAGTATCAATCAAATTTATAGTGTGTCCTCTCCATGGAAATGTAATTGCTGCAGAGTTGATAGTAATTCCTCTTTCACGCTCTGAAGGTAGATAATCCATGATAGTATTGCCAGTGTCGACATTTCCGAATTGATTAGTATAACCTCCATAGTACAACATTTTTTCGGTCAGCGTTGTTTTTCCCTGAACAGTATGATTAGTAACTATCGCATTTTCGGTAATTGTTCATGTAAATGTATTGCCTCTTGGCAAACACACAACATTTAACTAGATTCGTACCGCATCTATGTGAGCAATGATTCCAACATTTCGTATCTTACGAACCGCATTATTTGATGATAATCGTTTCCATAAAAATATAGTAGGTTTGACGAATTTACCCAATGGTCGAAGCATGAAGGTGAATATTAGTATTACGGTAACGAAAAGGTCATGGTTGTACAGTGTATGAGAATTCAAGAATATAAGGTGGGAGTAACATATGTATTCATAAATTTACAAATTCTAAACACATAATAGATATCTACAATAGATGTGACTTAGTGATTCGTATCCGAATTTAATTTGATTTTATTCAAGAATTGTTTCTCTAATATTTCTTTAAAACTAAAAGTAGCAGGCACAATTAATTTTAGCTATATTATAAATGGACAGAATATTCACCTCTCAAGGATATTTTCTGAACTTTCATAATTTCGTAATTGTCATCTCATTCAACTATTCGACTCATAAATTCATATCATACCGCTAACATGAAACATTACTCTGTTCGTTCGTTAAAAAATAAAAGAAAAAAATTTTAAAGGAATACAAGCCCTTGGAGCAGAAATTATTAAAACCAAGAGGATATCCAAAATGAAGAACATGTATGCAATGGATCAATACCATATGTTTTCGTCAGTTTTCATAAAGACCTTAAAGAAATACTAATGCGATACTAATACTAATAGTAAGGAGCATTGTCATGACGCATAAAATCTTAGTGAACCAATACCGTTTCGAGCATACACTACTTGTAAAATGGGCACCCAGAAAATACGGGTAAACTTGCCTATGATTTGTATCGACTTGCGATTTTGTTGCTAAAATCTCGACTGTTCATTGGTGTCAATCCAAGTCCTGGCTCTTCAGCTTTCGTATGAACTGGAGAAGGTGTTTTGTCGATGGACGGATATCCGTATTTACCTGCCTGAAGTTCTCGAATCTGTTTTAAAGTAAAAGTTCTTCCAGTATTTGTTCGATTCGTTGATGGATTACAAGGGTTATTTTGCATGTCATAACTCAATGTTTCTGTACCCTTTGCAATCTTTCCTTCTTCAACTCGCATAAACTTGCCTTGAGCTATAATTTCATCCTCTTCATCTATAGTCGATTGCAAATTTTTCTTTTCCATGTTGGAAGTATTTCCCCAATTTTCTTCTAGATACCCAAGACACTATACTTGTGATTTGTAAAGTAACTGTTTTCGATTTATATCAAAGTGTACTCTTTAAAACAAACTGTCTTCAAATTTATTTACACAGATGATCTTTATTGTTGTCCGTCCGCCAGTGGTACACGCCACCTCGTCTTGTCATTTCCACGTCAATCAATCCGCCTCTCAAGTTGGAGCTTCTAGTGAACAGAACCTGATTCTTTATAAAGTAGAGCATTACTTTTTGGTTGATGTATAAAATGATAAGGTTTTGGAGTACTGGTAATACACATAATTAGCTGTTTATTCGTAGATTATAGTCATGGCACCAGCTAGAATATAAGATTAATCCGTGGCAATTCGGATTGTAAGGAATGAGTAAGGGATAGGTAAAAAAAAGTCGCTTGTTATGCAGACGAGCTTTAAGGATTCTGTACCTGAAAGTGCTCCAGTTGTCGTTGTAAAGTAGCAATCTGTGTCTCGAGTTGTTCAATCTTTACTTGTGAATTCATTGTAAGTTGCGCAGTTGAAGAATCTACGGAAGACTCTGGAGATTTCTCTTCTTCAACCTTCTTTTTCCTTCCAGAAAAGGTTCGAAAGAAAGGCATTAAAAACCTGCTTCTCTTTCGTTCTGGGCGCTTCGGTCGTTCAAGCTTTGCTTTACTTTCAGCGCTTGGAGTCGCTGAAGCTTCGATTTCTTTCCGTGCGTCAGGGAAAGCTTCCTGAAGTTCTTCTTTCGAAGTTTGAGTCATATCCTCTTGGGAGTCTAAAATTTCTCCGACGCTACTCGTAGTACTGCTATCGGTAGTTTCTTCCTTAATCCAATCCTTTCCTTTAGATTTTCGTTTAGCAAAATCCACTGCCGTTTCTGTTTTCTGCCGTGAAAGTTTACTTCTTGGGTCCAGTGGTTCGTCGGCTTGCTCTTCAGATTCAGTAGTACTCGCATAAGCGGTGAATTTTTGTGCTTTTTCACTTTTCAGCTCCTCTAAGCTCGTAGACGTAATAATTTGTGAATGTGTAACAACCGAATTCCTTTCCTTTTTGGTTCCATCTTCATATTCTTCTAAAGGCAGCGACTCCTCATGTTCTAGCTTTTCGACGGTAAAGTCATCCCCTTCTATAATTGTAAAGCTCTCATCCGAGCTAAACATACTAGGTGAAGATTGCTCGTCATCCATTGGAACTATGGAATATGCCACTGCAAGCCCATAGCTAGGTGCTAATTTATTCACCTGCGACTGAAATTTGGGATATATGGTAAATGGATCTTCTTCTTTATCATCGTGAGATTTTTCTTGTGCTAATTGTTTTGATTGTAGTGGACTATTTTCTGTCGGTAATACAACAGAGTTTGATGTAAAGCGGGTTGTTAACGCAGATGTATACATAGGCGACAATCTAGTAGAAACGGACATCGAAGCCATGGTCGAGGATGGCGTAGAGATTTTCGTAGGTGCAATCATCTTAAGTTCTTCAATTCTCTTTGTCAATTCCTCAATCTGATAGCTGGCGCATTTTTTTATCAAAAGTCGCATCGTTACGTCGTAAATCCCTTGGTATTCTGATTTGGCTAAGCTGTAACATAGAATGGCTTGTGCCAACTCGCCAGTGACTTCTTGAATTTCCCCATCTCGGGCATATTCATGTGCCTGTCCCGGTTAGCTTTTTGCTCAATGGACACCATTCTTGCTTCACTAATTGATTCTGTTTTTTTAAAAAAAATAAATAATCTGCTCAAATATCTTACCTTTTTCAGTGAATATTGAACCATCCCACATGATAGTATATGTGTTTGGATATGGTAGAATGATGCATTTCAGTGTTTATAAGATTTAATTCCGGGGTCTTGGATAACCCTCAAGATGAATTGGTAAACGCAAACATCTAATAACTTTTAGCAAATTGGATTTAATTTTATTTACTTAAAATACAAAATAACCATACAAATAAATATAAAAAAGAATTGTAAAGAAAATCTACTTAAGGACGAAAACACTTTCTATGAGGATTTATTTTGTTTCAATTAGGGAGTAAGTAAGAAAAAGGGGAAAAAAATGAAACAATAAGTTTTATTAAAAAGATCATAATTCATTTTTTGATCGCTATGCATCGATCTCGTAAAACAGCATCATTAAAATAATAGCAAAAGGAATAAAAAAGTGCATTTTTAATATAGAGCTCCTACGGCGATATTTCGTCTGAAAAGATTGCTCTAAAAACTGCTACTTTATCCAACTGACGTAACAACTTCTAATAGTCTCTTAATTCTTTTTTTCGTTAAAGAAAATGGCAGGTTCAGTGCATGCACCTAAAGCTCTCCGCATGTGAGAATTGCAAAAGGTCAGACCAATTTCGTAACTAGCATTAACCCATCCAAATCCTTCTCTCGCAACACCTTGAATATCAAGACCTTGATTGCCGTATTCTGCTTCAACACGGTGAGGATCAACAGCTCTAGTCAAGTCGTACTTTTCAACCACAACTCCGTTAAAATCGACGAAAGACTTCGTGATAGTATACAACCAACGATATACCAATCTACGGAGTTCATCTTCGTAACCATAACGGAGGAGACCATACCAGGCTAGAATTTGTTGAGGACTCCAGCCATTTGGATAATCCCATTGACGACTAGGATTGTGAAGACCTACTTGACCAAGACTTTCTTTTGTACCAGCCACAATACCGCCAGCTACTTCAAACTTCGGTAAGCTGACTTCAATGAATTTAGCCGCTTGACGTGGAGTAGCTACACCGGCCCAAAGAGCCCAGAACGAAGTTGCACTTTCGTATGTACTTCGCTTTTCGAATTTTGTGTCATAATCGAACCACATAGACTCGGCTTCTGACCAGTTGTACTTTTCCATAGCAGCACGACGAGATCTTGCGCGACGGTCCCAAATAGCGGAAGATTCAACATTGCCATCTGGCAGCACAAATTTGTCATTGAAAATTTCTAAAACAACTCGGGCGATATCCGTTTCATACTTATACAAAAGAGCATTCAAGTCTACGGTGGCCAAATCAGCACATACTTTTTCAAGACGATAAGTTGTGTCGTGACCACTTTCACGTACGGCACGATCGTGTAAGAAGTAATCATCTAGTAAAGGTTCCTCGACTTTCTGATAGTTGTAAGCTTCGGTAAATTCTTCAAGAGTCATATTGTATTTCTCCATGTAGGGTCCCAAGAGCTGTTCAAAATGACTTGCTTCAGTTTCTGGAGGAATTCCAAGACCATCAGGACGGTATCTAGAAAGACCAGTTTTTGTATCATGACGAGGAGCGCACATCCAAACTGTATAGTATTCCTTCATAGCTGCACAAAAAGCTCGGTATAAAAAGTCTTTAGCACCTTCTTCGTTTTTGATATGCTCATATACCCGAAGAGCCATATCTGTAAGTAAAGGAGGCTGAGAACGTAGCAAGTAGTAAGTCCGATTAGCATTTAAAATCTTGCCATAGTATTTAATCTCGAAAATAAAGTTTTCAACCATGCCTTTAGCCAAATCGACACGACCGTCAACGAGCAGACCAAGCGCTTCAAAATAAGAATCCCAACCATACATCTCATTAAAACGGCCTCCAGGAACGACAAAGGGAACACCGCGGAGATGTGTTTCTCCTTCATCATCATTGTACTTTTCCATAGCAAGAGCAAGTAATCCGGGCTTTTGGTTAACATCCCGGACCCACTCCTTAGTAACCGTTTCAGGCAAGACTTCTACCTGCAAGTTCAAGTAAGGACGATCTTTAGCAGCACGGCAATAGTATTCATACTGTTCTTTCTCGGCCTGGGGAACATAGATACGGTTTACGGTATGGCCAGAACGATCCTTGGTGTCCCGACAGATGACATCCAGAGTACTAGCGTCGATTCTACGAGTAAGGGCATCCCAAAAGGTTCCTTTAATAAGTCGAGAAAGACGGCTCACGGGATTCTCGTTCAATCTGCGCTCATCAATCATAACATAGCGGCGACCATAGTCCTTCGCAAGAGTCAATTCCTGGAGTAAGTTGGATAACTGGTATGTACCACGTAACTCGTAAAGGCGATAGCCACCGGAACTAGCACTACCTAAAGAAACAACTTTCGGACCAGTATCTTCTATGGTAATCTGCATATTGCGATCGGTATCCTCGGATTCCAACAACGAATGCAGAGTTTTTTCAACGTCAACCAAAAATTTTCGAGGTTCTTTATGCTCATCCAAACTACCACGGCGGCGAATATTCTTAAGTTCAGGAGCGATAGAGGACCCGGACTCGGCGGAAGTAGAAAGCGTACGTCCACGTGCCGAACCAAGACGAGTCGAGAAATCTGTGTCTTTTGAGTAATAGCTCTTGGCATTCACAAAAGGGTCACTATCCCGATCACGCTCGTTCTCATTGAGTCTATCATCGGTGTCAACGTACTGAGAAGAGAATTTTGGAGGCATTTGGGTAAATTAGAAAAGTAAATGATATGGTAGAGCAACTGGAAACCAATAAAAAAAGCTAGTGACTTAAAAATAGGAGGAACTCTCCAAAAAAAAAAAAAGAAAAAAAGAGAACGACAACAGGAAAAACAAAAACTGAAATTATGCTTTTACGTCTTACAGACCTGATAAAGTAATATGGGAAATTAAAAGACAAAATCAAACGCAGGTACACCCAAAAGTTATCTTCTGTTCAATCAAGCAATGAGCTTTACGAACTACTTACTTCATGAATGGGGTTCTGCGAAACGGTAAATGCCTATTCTTGAGCAACAAGGGAAATAATTGCTCCTAGATGATCTAAATGTTTTTTTGGGGGTAAATAATTCTTTGAACAATTCTCCAAACGGATAGTTTGATGCCAAAATGTGAGAAAAAGAGAAACTAGAAAAAATAGGTATGATAATGCAAATGAAAAAACCTATTAATCTCTTTTCTGTATATTAAGTCTTCTTTAGGTACTTGGAAACTATTCTTCCTTCCAATATCCTTCGTTATAATGGGGAAACTTGCTAACGATAAATGTGTTTCTGTGTCGATTCTTCTATATTAGTGTTGACGTACCCTATTGTTACCTGATGACGCTTCTGTTTGTTTCGAGGTTACACAGAAAATCAAGATATCGAATTCCAATGGAAAAAATTCTCCATTGGTGGATTCCATACGCTGAATTTATCATACAAACACTCCTCCTACATCTATAATGAAATTTATTTGTTTATGAATGGCACACAACTGAAATGCGAAGGACAAACAATAGCGATTACCGTATTGCGCTGCGTCCCAGAGCGAAATTAGGGAAGGCAAGAAGTATGATTTTCGGCGGCAAGTTAGTATAAATACTATCCTTACGTCTTTAATTCATTTTATTAATTTTATTTTGTAAATTTTATTATTTCTGAGGATACTACCGGCTCTGAGACTTCTTGTTCTCAAAATACTCTGTTCGAATATGTCACTTCTTACAGATATATGTAAAGTATGTGTAAAAGCATATTCCATTTCTTGGCGGTTCTGGTATTATGGTTCACTTCTTGAGGTTTGTTTGTTTATTTTATTTTTTGCTGTTCTTGGTTTTATTTGGACACTTGCCAGAAGTCTAGTTAATCCCATGAAAAGACCTAAAGAAGGACGATAACATCAATCTTCTATTGACATATGTATTTGTCTGAACCACCAAATTTTTCTTTTATTCCTCTTTTTACTTTTTTCACTTAAAAAGTTTTTTTTTTATAAGATAAAAAAATATTCATGAAATTGTTGAAAAACAGTACATGATTGTTAGGTCGTACTGGGAATCGAACCCAGGTCTCGAGAATCAAAATCTCATGCGCTAGCCATTACACCATACAACCGTTCTGATTTCTCTCATATTTATAGCGAATTCATTACTAACGTACGATACTATCAAAGCCAACATCTACAAGACGAATGTTTGCAGTGTATATGCGGAAACACAGGCAGTAGGAAGTAAATAAAACGTGTTCTAAATGCATGAGCTCCTTTAGCACAGTTTATTGACGGGTTTCAAGCTGAGCGATAAATTAAAAAAGTGGAAAAAAGGTACGGTTGACGAAGGTCGTACTGGGAATCGAACCCAGGTCCCGAGAATCAGAATCTCATGTGCTAACCACTACACCATACAACCGTAGCTTGACATAAGCTAATCTTTAACACATTTATCGTAATTATTTAGTATTCTGCTACCAATCTTGAATAACAATACTTGGAGTATTTCAACGAAAGCCTTTCAAATTGGAGACAGTCCCAAGCAAGTACTGTATGTTAGGAGCACTGGAGTATCCTCTTCAAAACACCAAAAAACAACAAAATTAGAAGTAGTAAAAAGAACTCCCAAGGCGAGACTCGAACTCGCAACCTTCTGATGACCTTCATAAGAGTCAGACGCTCTAAACCGATTGAGCTACCCGGGACGAACTGGTGTTACAGACTAACAAGTGTGTATCGGATAAGTTGATGAGCGACTCAAATGAATGTTTTCTCTCAGTATATTGACAATTTGGATGCGAGTACTATTTGCAGCAGTAAATTTTGATACTTTATATGTAGTTTGATATATACATGGAAATGAATGGCATGGTGAAACAAGTTGAGATAACCTCTATAGTAATTCAACAGTCAACAAGATTGGCTCTTGAGAAAAATAAGACTTTGAAAGACAAACTAAATTAAACATAGTGAGCAGGGAACAATAAGTGAGACCAGTCGATATACGGCATATAACATATTAGAGACTGCGCAATTAGAAAAATAAAAAGATTTAAACTGCCGTTTTCATAAACATAGTCCATACTCATTAGTTGTCTATACCTGGGCGGGACATTCAAACGTCCGTTCTAAGTATGCGAAGAGGCATAGTACCGACGGGATCATACATTTCATTATCACGAGTCCTTTATACCTATCCTTCCTTTTTATATCATGATGCATCATTTTTTTTCAACAAGTGTGAAACATACTGGGTTACAGCCCGATAATGGTGTTCTAACATGCTCGTCCCGGAATCATGTTCACTTTGAATTAGACGACCGTACCGTCGTTTATTCTTCTTTGGCTTTTTCCAACATTCGTCTGTTGATTTTACAAAAATGAGAGAGTGTCGGAAATACCAGCCTGGTAGATCATCTTCAGACGCAGTTTTCAATCCTGTAAGTGATTCTGAACCAAAAAAATTAACAACGCAACGCACATTCTTCATCACATTGCGCGAAGCGATCAAGTTGATTACTCCTTCGACTGCTTTTCCTGATGCAATAAAAAAGATATTTTTTGCCGATGCAAGCTCAATGTAGTTATCCCAAATATATGTACATAACTTCTTTGTTTCTTCAACCATGTCATAGGGTTTATTTTCACCAGTAACTACCTCAGGTATATTGATATCTATCAATCCAAAATTCTGTTGCATAGCCCATTCTATGTATAGACTAACAGGATCTACTAAGTAAGAATCCGATGGCTTCAAGGCATTGGAGTCTTTTCTACCATCGCCTAAGATTAGAGGGGCCTCATGAATAAGTATAATTAAAACATCTTTTTGAAAAAAATCATGCGAACACAACGCCTGGTTGGCAAAGGTTTCTGAAAGGGAATCACGCAAAATAGGCAGATTGGTAATTTTCCAATCCTCAAATAGTTTTTTTGCTTGATATGATCGTATAATATCGTGAAGTCTACTAACATGAGCATTTTCCGGATTAGCAGGTATAAACTTCGGTCGCATGCATCTCCAAAACTTTGATTGAATTTCTGTAACCATGTCAACTGTTTCGACTGCATGTTTCGATGCATAAACTGTATGCAATCGACTTGGAGGCACTCCAATTAAACTTTGCGCGACAGCTAAAGCCGAAACGCTAATGGCATCCAAGCTATAACCTCCTTCTAAGGAAGCAAAAACTTTTCCATCTGCCAAGCCCATCAACATTTGAGTCATATGGGCATAAGCTGGCGGCGTCACTAGACACTGACCAATATGATCACCAGCGGCTGCATCAAACCCAGAGCTAATAATTACCAAATCTGGATTAAATTCATAAGCAATTGGCATAACAACGCGCTGGAAGGCATAAATATAATCACCATCACCCATGCCTGAACACGGCCATGGAATATTCACAGTACGGCCTAGGCCGGCACCTTCACCACAGTTCTCTGCACGACCATAGACCGTTCCAGGATAGAAACGTCCTTGTTCATAACGATGAAGAGATATATATAATACATTTGGGTCATCGTAAAAAGCCATCTGAGTACCATTACCATGATGCACATCCCAATCGAGAATTAAGATTCTTTTTACCTTTTCGGGAAAACGTTGAAGCATGCTTCTTGCTGCAACAGAGACATTGTTAAATAAGCAAAACCCACCGGGTTTATGAGGTTCCGCATGATGGCCAGGAGGACGAACCACGGCGAATGCATTTTTTACCTTCCCTGTGACAACGGCAGCACAAGTCTCAATAGCACTTCCGCAGGCTAATCTTGCACAAAATGCACTTTCGTTATTGAAGTACAAGGAGTCGCTGATCTTTTCAAGATTGGTAAGATCTTCTCTGGACATTAATTCAGTTTTAGTAATTTTTTCATACATTTCAGGGGTATGTACTCTTAATAATTCTTCTAATGTAGCCTCCCGAGAAGGAAGACGAAGAAAAGCATCAGTAGGATTAGGAGTATTTGAGACATAGCCAGCCTTTCGAATCGCATCAAAGACGCGAAGTACACGTCTTGGATCTTCTGGATGATCGTCTACTTCGTTCAAAGTCGCGTGAAAACGCATTCGTGGATCATAACAAAGGCCGGATTTCTTAATTGCTTCCAAAGTTGTTATTTCTCCAGAAGAAATCAGAGTTTCACGGCCAGTAACTCCATTTTCTTTTTTCAATAAAACCGACCATGGTGTTACCGTAGTAGGTCCGTCGTCTGCAAGTTTTTTGTCCATAACCGTCCTATTCTACAATAAGCATTCGAAGTTAGAGGAATTTAAAAACAAATAGTTTGGTAAATTACAGAAAAACGAAATTTATATAAAAGCTTCAGAATTCCACAGCGTTCTTCTACTTACAATACATGTACCTAAAGTCCGGTGGTACCAAATGGTACAACAAAGTACGCTTTATGGAGAAGAAGAGTTTCACAGCAAGTATGGCATAAATGGCTTCTTATGTAATTTAATAATTTTATGAGTTACAATTATAAAATCTCTTAATTTATAAGGGCATTCTTTTTGAACTCTAGAGAAAATGCGCAATTAGCTTCGCGCGAAAGCTCCCAACATTTACTAGAGGAATTAAAGAGATTCTTGCAATTGAGAATAATATTTATTAAATAAAAAAAGCAACACAAAGAAGTTATGGCTCATCAGATAACGAATATTGGGTAAACAAAAGGTTAGTTAGGCTAACATATTGCATCTTTTATGATTGCATAATTTTGTGAAAGAATATAAAGAATCACTAGATTTGTTCAAGAAAGGACCAATTATGATAGTTCTATTAAATAGAACATATGTTCGGTTCTACTTCTTTTTACGTAAGCTTTCTTCTATATGTTCGCTGTTTGAGATGCTGAAAACTCAGAGCTCCTGTCTGTAAGCTATATTATTAAAAACGAATTGCGGCAAAGTCGTTATACCTTCCAAAAATGGACACGGTGAGAGGGATCTAGAGTAAGGGTTTGGTGAACAAAAAATCATAAAGGATAAAGAAAATAAATAAAACGATGCGGGAAATGGTTACTCAATTGTTGGAAATCATCAGAATATGACCCAAATAAATAAATCGTTCAAGTTAACATAACAATCGTATTTACATCAGGAGATGATTCTGTATTTCTTAACCCTCAAACCTCTCGATGGAAAAGTTTCCAGTAGGAACGGCGTGAACCAAACTCAAAATAGCCTCAGCTGCCTTACAATCCTCTCTCGAAAGAGAAAATGGTACCAACGCTTGGTTTTTTAAATTTTTCTCCATATAAAATTCTGAAGTAGGCGAATGGTTGATTGCAAATCCACCTTGTCCTCCATCATGCAAGAAAGCCATATGACTGTGCATTATGGTTGCTAAATTTCCAATGGAACAAATAGGGGGAGAAGAAGGAAGATCAAAGGGAATTTTTGGCTGCTCCAAAATAGTATCGTGTGAATTCAACCACGGAGGGCTCGTTCTGTCCAGAGAGGAAGATGCCGAGGTAGGACTAGAAGAGGAATAATTTCTGGAAATTAATTGCAGAAAGTCTTCGCGTGGGCTAATCAATCGAGAGAAAGAATTCGAGCGTACTTTACGCGGATACTCATCAAAGGAATAGGTTTTCCTTGGGCCAGTCGTTTCCAAATCGTTTATAGATCTAGATCTTTTATGACTTCCTTTTTTCTTTCGTATTAAATTTTCGACCTGATCCAACGTCTGGTTTTCCCAGCCACGGTCAACTTTGAAAACCGCATATTTTAATCGCGCCTTCAGCTTTTCGGACATCTAAAAAGGATATTAGTTAATAAAATTGACATAGGAATTAAATTGATAATAAATCATTGCATAATATAGATTATAATGGCAATTGAACTTGAAGCAGATTAACTTCAAGAATAAACAACGAACCTTGCTTAAAGAATTGTCAGAACCAGTTTTGAAATGCTTTTCTTTTGCCATTGTCATATTTAAAAAATCCAAACTGCTTCTATTCAATATCAATGAGTGGAAAAGCTCGCAAGTTATTGAGTCCGTTTGCAATGGTCAATTGTTTCAAATAGAAATTTGAAGAGCCTATTATGAGTTTATAGTAAAAAGTAAACGTGCAAAAATAATTGCAATTGATGATTTATTTAATAAACAGCGCGTTTTTGATAGTTTCTGGTCAGTAGTAGAGACGCGTTGCTTCTACGTTACGTGTTCGCCCTTCTTGATACCTAATAATAAATTGAAAGCATTGGAAACCCTCCATACTACACGACTCGAAAGTTAAGATATTTCACAGGCGTATATTATTGAATTTTCATATCTTTCATTTTCTAGGGTAATTTATTTAACCACATGACTTATAGATCTAACAGTGCTGAACTTGACTTTTGAAGACAATATACAGCGAGCGCGTGTTCAAAAATATATGTTGAAACTCAAAGATCTATTAATACATCATTATAAATTATATTTATTTCCTATTATAACCCAGTTCTCCCATTTTTTTCTGTCCGATGCGTAAAAGGAATGAAACGAAAGGAGCATGCAAACAAAACAAAACTTTTTAGAAAAAAATAACCATCACCAAAATAAGTATTAATAGGCGTGTCCATGCGCCCCCATATTGAACATTTATCGTCTAGACTTTTTACCACTAGAGGCAGCACCTGAATCTTGACGAAGTCTCTTGCCATTTTTAGCAAACCAGTCGGCTTTCTCTTGGCGCTTCTTTTCCACATATATTTGTTCTTCTTTCTGAAGCTTTTTGTGATATTTTTCGTGTTCTTCAGCTTTCTTAGCTTTACGCTTGCTTTCTTTGTCTGACTTTAGGGTCATGACCTTCTGCAACAAATCACGAGCTTTTCGCTCATCCGCGTTCAACAACACAGTACGTTTCTGCATATAGGTAGGCTTGCTTCGAGGACGAATTTCTTTAGGGCGAGAAGCATAAGGAAGCTGAGCTTGTAAAGATGCGGGAACTTTGAGAGGATTGAAATGTCTAGTAGGTCGGACAATTTCTTTGTATTGAGAATTAGGAAGCAAAGGTGTTTTCAAACCAAGTTCATGGCGTACTTCTCCTGTCAACCTCATACCTGTCCACTCATTCTTTTTTGGCTCCAACAAATTAGCAACAGTCGTACAAAATTCACGGATTCGCACAGGATACCACGCTCTTAAGAAGACAATATCGCTCATTAACACTTTATCTTCGAACGTAGCACGGAAATGACCATGTTCTTTATCCACAGCTTTTTTAACCTGTCCTCTAATACCGGACACGGTCCTAATATTCGCACCTTCAAACTTGGCCACTTCCAATGGACTATTAAACATCTTTTTAATGAACGCTGTGTTCTTGAATATTTTGTATGGAACACCAGTCAATTTCAACTTCTTTACAATTTCACTTGATTGGTTAACATCCAGAACGGTACCAGTCGCAGCAATTCGGAAGCTGCCAGCTTTAGCATATTGATCAGCGACGTATTGTACCGCACAAAATCCCGTATTTGGAGCAATAAATGGTCCGTAAAATGTAGCGAAGCAATGCATATGTTCTGGTGTATACTTCAACATTCTGTTTCTAGTACGAGAATCACTTATAGAGTAAACCGGGACTGACTGCACCCGTCTCCAACCTAAGCTGAAAATCAACGGATCATTGGTTTTCAAAATTTTCTTATGCCAGCGATGTCTCTTGATCCGAACTTGAACAAGACCATGTCGCTGTTCATTCGGTAATAAACCACCAACAACCACTGGATAACGAGAATCAAAGTGTTCTACGAATTCATAAGGAACACCCTTCAGAACGAGACGTACGTAAGCGCCAGCACGATAACCTTCGATTTCAGCTCTACTTTCAGGATCCATGTCATTAAAAGCATCTCTATTGATATCAAGTTGGCGTGCAATCTTTTCTTTTTCCTCAGCATACCAATCAACATCTTTCTTCTCTGGATCGCCGCGATCTTCCTCTTCAAAGCGAAGCCTTAGTTCTTCTTTCTTACGAGCATTTTCTTCGCGCTCTTTTTCAAACTCAGGAGTTTCATCTTCGCCCGCTTCATCTGACTCCTCGTCATCGTTTGAAGCTTGTGCATCATCATCGTTCCTTGCACTTCCCTCGTCTTCCAGATCCTCAAAATCGCCTGTTTCATTTTCTTCCTCGTCGTCTTCTTCATTCTCCCCTTCCTGGGAATCTAACAAACTACCGGTAATGAAGTGATATTTGATCCGAGCAAGACGGTCTGAATCCTGGTATTTCTTTCCATAACGCTCAAGTTCTTCTTCAAAAGAGCTCTTATTATTCTCCTCAGAAATGCCTTCTGAATCAGCATGCTTAGGTTTAAAGAAATCATCTTCAACATCCTCAACTGCATCATCCTCTTCCTCCACATCCGACGACTCACCACGAATTTCTGACAATGCTTGATCCGGTGAAAGAGATTCATCATAGACCACTTTTTGTAGATTTCTACGGCGTCGACGACGAGATTCAATAAAAGAAGCTGTAGCACGGGAAGCCATACCTTCTTTCCATTTTAGATCAGACGATTCTTCAGCATCCGAAAGATCACCAAGATCTGAATCACTTTCAGCAAACGCATATTCCTCTTCAGCATTTTCGTCCTCATTGTCTCTGGTTGCTCCAATCTTTTCAGAGTATTCGACTTCATTTTCTCCTTCAGACTCGTTCTCAGACTCATTTGCTTCATCAAGATGCAGCATATCGTCCGAAACAACGCCCGACGGTTGACGTCGAGTTTTTCTGCCAACATCATCGGAGTCACCTTGATCATTTTCAGGGTCAATAATATTAGTGTTACTAAAAAGCTGGATACCGGACGAAGTATTGCTACCCAAGGGTTGATGAGCATCTTGTAACTGCATGACCATACGTTCACCAACACCAGCTTCAGCATTTTCATCCTTGGAAAAATTTGAGGTAGGAACATCTATATAAACACGATCCTTGTCAAATAAGATACCTCCGATATCTGCCATGGGACCATAAATTAATTTCTGCTTTTCAGAAAGTCTACGTCTTCGGACTTTATCAGCATCTGGCGGAGGACAAGGATCATCTAATCTAGAAGCATCGGAAACAGTAAAATCACCGACACCCGGAACGTGAACTGGCGCATCATGTTTTGGTAAATTCGTACCATGAAGGTAACCGTAAAGTGTAACAGTTCGAGACACCTTAGGATTCTCTTCAATCTCGGTAGGCAATGTTAAATCTTCCATACGATCAGCAAGCAAATATGGGTGCTGGTTGCGCCATTGAAGAGGACGAAACTTCATCACACTAATAAATCTTGACAAGTTCAAAATTTCACGATCAGGATATCTTCCGTTCAGGACACCTGAAAGGTAAAATAGCTTAGCACCTTGATATAACTCCGTCCAGAAACGATGTTTCAAACGCTTCTTGGCGGCACGAAGGGTAGCGGGCTTCTTAAATAAATCTAAGTGGGTCAGCACACCCATAATTCGGGGCATTCCATGAGGTGCTAAAATGTTAAGAAATTCCATGGTTTCCATTTCAAACCCAAAATTGGCATCAACCAGAAGCAAAACGAGGTCGGCAATTTTTGCTACATCAATCATGGAACTCAAATCGTTAGGGCATTCCAAGAAAGTAATTCTTCGTGATTTTCCTGCAACCACAGTAATAGGTCCCGTGATATTGGATACGGTATATTTGGAATATCTTCTAACTAAAGATTTAATTAATGTAGATTTCCCTGTTCCTGGTGGACCCATAACAGCAACAATTACAGGTGGCGGCGATTCATCAGGCGTACGATCAACCATAGGCACGTGCAGTTTTTTTTGAGACAAATCTGCAGTCCTCATGGCCTGTCTAGCCATACGGCCTGCTGAGGCTACGGAAAATGCCTATATAGTTAGACTTGTGTTCCATGGGAAATTCTCTAACTTAACATACCTTAGGATTGCTCTCTGGGTTGGCATTGGGAGCTTTCCTAGATTTTTTCTTTTCCGCTTTGGGCCCAGAATGCTTCGCATAATGGGCTTTTTTTTCATCCATGACTGAAAATGCTTGTTGTAGGATGTTGGCAAGTGCACTTCCTGTTCGCAGAAAAAATCAGATACAAGTATCACCCAGGTAACAATACAGGTTATTCAAAAAATACGCATTTCCTATGGAAATTCATGCTTTTGTTTTTAAATATATGAAAAAGAATAGTAGTTTCATGGGTTTTAGAAATTGGTAAGTCCAATTTGTACATATATTTATTCTTTTTAAATTAGCATTTTGCATACCAAGGTATTTGATAAATTTGCTTTATTATTATAATAATTAATCCGAAAAAAAACCAAAAAGACATAATAATACCTAAGGCTCAAAGGAGAAATCCAATCCTCCTTTACCATTCAACCAATCCTCGCCAACGATACGCAGACGGCCGTATGGACTTCCACCTCCTTCTGCTCCGACAAAAGGCGTGCTGAACGAAGCAGCGAGTAACTTTCTTCCCTGATTTCCGTATAGGCGCAAAAGAGTTCGACCGGCGATATCCAAATATGTAGTTACAATAGAGCAAAGAGTTTGACCTAAGTCTTGGTCCTTATCCAGAAATTCTCTAGGAGAAGTTAAGTTCAGAAGACGAGAAAAAAGTTTCCAACTTCTTGGTCCCAATGAATCATCAAGAGACACAAATGCTGCATAAACTGCAAAAATACCACATTGGCGTTCAATGTAAGGTGCTTGTTGTTCATAACGTCCATCAGCAAGCTTTCTGTAGCCCAACTTTTTTCTTCCAACTTCTGTGTGTAAATTATAAATAGTAGGGATCACCCACGGGCACTTTTTCTGTAAGCGTGCAATTAATAAATCAAAAAGATCTGGATTTTGTGAGCATAAAAGAAGACATAGTTTTGCTAAAGGGAAAGCGCTAGAAAGATTGACGGAAACCTCGGCCTCAGCTTGCTTTACGACAGCTTTGCAAAAGAAATTCAGAACCCATCTATATACCAGAGGTCCTTTAGTTCGAGCTTCCTGAAACGTTCCTTGTAAAAGTCCAGTAATTTTTTGAATCTGACTGTTGCTCTTGGTTATTTGACCCAATCGTGGGGTTATTTTTCGTCTTTGGGAAAGACAATAGTTTTTGAGTTCCTTGTTTTCAGATACTGGCTTGGCGATATCACTCTTGATACTCTCGATTATGTCCCAGTAATAGCTCGCATCCTTTTCTGGATCATCTCCGAACCGTTCTTTTAATTCTTTTTCTTGCTGTGAGGCTTGATCCTGAATTTTCTTTTGCTCATTCTTCTTTCTCTGTTCTTCCTTTTCCCTGGCTTCTCTCTCCTTAGCTTCTCGTATTTCTTTTTCTTTCTTCTCCTTTTCTTGTCGTTCGTGTTGCTCTCTCTTCTTTCGTTCGGCTTCTTCTTTTTGAATCTTTAACTGCAACTCACGTTCACGCTTTTCTCTTTCTGCGCGTGCTCGTTCCTCTTGTATTCTTTCAAATTCTTGAATAGTTGATTGAATTATATCATTTTCTTTTTTATTTCGTTTACTTGCCCAGTCTGTAGACGCATATATAGGACGAGTGATAGGTTTGGAATTTTCTACACAGTAGATGGGAACAGGAGGTTTTTTTTTTACCGCTCTATGTTTCCACTAATCATAATTAGTTCTCTGTAGAGTAAGCTTGTATTGGAGTTTCGTACCGCTGCAAATATCCGTCGTGTTTCGTCGTTATATAAATCCCAAATATCTTCTGCATCGAGACCAGTAGTTGGTAAAGAATTCATAGATTTGTTTGATTCGGGCATATAGTGTATGAAATTACCATCATCGGTTTCCATTTTAAGCCTTTAAGCAAAAAGGTGGAGTTACTCAAGAATCGTTGTTTATGAGCTTTGTCATGGGTAAAACAGCTTTGAAATTATTTGTGTAGTAACAGAATTAGCAACTAAAGAGGGATCATGTGTAGGCAACAGTTTATTTAAATCTAAACTGATATAATAAAAAAGGGAATTTCATGAATAAAGCCAATACGTAGTAGTATACTGCTATGCTTCGTGGATTTTTTGGAAGCCAACGGAGAGACTCTTACCAAAGGTTATCAGATGATATTGAGAAAAGTTTGAATAGAAAAGAAAAGAAATAAAATCATTTTTTGGTTTATAATCATATAAAAGAAAAGCATAATTCATTCATTTCAGCATAGAAAACATTCTGCAATAGGAAAACAAGGAAGCAGATAAACAATACTGCAGGGAAAAATAAATAAGTAATAAAATTAGGAAAAAAGAAACCCCTAAAGTATATAGATCAGAAGAGGAGCAACAAAATTAATTCTACAATATTATATGTATATAATTGGTTACGATGAAGTCTGAAGGCACATTAACCGACAATAAGGGCAGTTAAGATGATCCCCAAAATAACCACTAAGATTATTAAAAAGCAAAGACTACGTTTCCTTGCTTTTCTGGACCTTTCATTTGCAATTTGCAACTGTTTTGATGCATTTTTCGTATTCGTAGCGGTATTTCCGATATTGTATTCTATATTCGTCACAAGCTCCCCCTGTTCATTTACTATTGTGCTTAAATCACCTTGAGTTCAGTTAGTAAATTATCAACAAGCTTTCGTAAAGTCATTCATAAAAGCGGAGAACCGTTATATGGATGAACAATGAATGAAGAAAGAACTTACGGAAGATTTCATTCAATTCGCCAATTCCTTGGGTTATGTTGTCGATTTCACCTTGTCGTTCGTTAATTAATCGCTGCTGATATTCCAATTGCGAATTAGACAGCCTTCTTTGGGTATGTAATTGCTGCGTACTTCTAGCGTGTTCTTCTTCTTCTAACGCTTGTTGGCTTGCATCTTGATTTAGAGTGGCTTGAGCCGCTGCCACAGTATCCGTTTCTTGTTGAGCACACTTTTGCTGAACACGTTGAAGTTCTGCCAGAACATTATTAAAATCCTTCATAAGTTTAGAGATTGCAAAAGACGATGCTTCTTCTCCAAACCGAGAATCTCGGGTGTTGGAAAGACGGATCAAATCCGATCGTACATTTTGAGACAGCTCTCTTGACTTTTCTAGTAATTCATGAAGATTTTTCGTAATGTTATTGACCAGGTACCTGTGAATTGCAGCTGTATTTCCTCGTAAAATGTGGATTTTTTGAGCTATAGAGTTGGCTAACGACGCAAACTCTCCATTCTGATCACTGAAGTTTCTCCCTTGTTCTAAATCTGCAAAAGACATGATATAAAATTAGAGAAACTCGTACATATAGACGGTGTTGTTTGATATAAGCCTTCTCAGCGTCTATGCACTACCTTCCAATTACAGAGATATTTCTGTGATCCAGTTTTCTTTTTGTTTAATATCCTACCCTTTTTTTAAAAAGCAAAATCAAGCTAATTTTGCTTCAATTACTGTACTAAACAGGTTGCTTTTGGTATGGGCTGATGGATGATTCCATTACTATGATACGAATCATAATCACCTTGTTATTCACGCTCCTCCGTGTTGCTCGGTAGGCAAGTAACAAAATCCAGCTATGAATGAAATATATCATTTTAGGATCTCAATCACAACGTAGTTAACACATAATATAATATAAATATAAACAATGAAAAACAACAAAAATGCTTTTTCTGTGCATATAATCTGTTCTAAATAATTTTAAAAATATCTTAAAAAGATTAATTTGTAATATGAAAGCATTTATTTCATACTACAGTGATTCAATAAAAAATTTTTACATTTTAAATCGTTCAAATAAAACTTGGGAATTAGAAATTCGGTTCTACTCGTAACTTGCATTTGTCCAGTTACAGTTTTTATTTACTAAATTACTAAATTATATTTCATTCCGTTGAGTTAAATCAATTTTTATACTATTGCCTTACTGTCGTGCATATGTTTATTTTCTGGCCTTGGCTGTTTGTAGGAACGAACCAACGTAACATTGTCACTTGAATTCAAAGGCAATCATGGTAAGAATGCCAGCAAGAACCAAACAGCAAAAATGATTGAAGTTCTCTGGTAAGCTAAATTTCGTGGAAAATAATGTTTATTTTTTGTGAGAGTATGTCTGACTAATGCCGTGTTCCTTAGCAATGATCGACTTGGCAAGAAAGTGCGTGTGAAATGCATGCCTGACGATACGATAGGTGACTTTAAAAAGCTTGTTGCTGCTCAAACTGGTACAGACCCAAGGTAGTTATTAAATAAGCAATAGGGATTGTTGCTAACAAATTGAAGGAGAATTGTGTTGAGAAAATGGCACAGCACTTACAAGGACAACATCACTTTAGCCGACTATGAAATTCATGATGGAATGAGCTTGGAGCTATATTATTCTTAAAGAAGTTACCTTGTTGCTGCTGCATGGGTAGAATTTGTGAGTTATTTACATTAAGTTCCTTAGCTATATAGAAATTCATTTGTTTTGAATCCCAGGATTTTCGTTTATGGTTTGTTGTTCAAGTCGTTTCACAGGTCGTTGTTTGAATAGTGAATTTGGTACAAATAGGTCTATCACTGAGTAAACTGGTTGTTGAAAAATCATCATGAACTCATCGTGTCTGGCCCAAGAATGCCTTTGTTTCTTTTTCTTCTGGGTTGAATGCCAAATCTCAGAGTTTGGCATGCGATTTTCCATATGGTATGTACAAATAAAAGGATTCTATAATTGCAAATGATAGTGTTTTTTTGTTTTCCATTGTTCCTTGATGGTCATTGAATCTTATAGTCAAATATTGATTTTTAAAATATGCTATGACTTGTAAAAATACCCAAGATTTTTGCCTAGTATAACAACATTATTTCGATTTCTAAATAAATTACAATAAACCTAAAAAATATATAACCAGAGAAGCTCCCTGACATTGATTTGCATCGTTATTCTTTTTATTTTGTAATGAAACAAAAGCACAGAAACCATCAAGATTTAGGCAATTGCGATTCTAATCTTGATTTCTCAACTATTCAAAAAACTCTAATCAAATCACTTGACTATAAGCTTCTCATTGCATGCCTCTACGACCAAGATCAACTAGATTTCCTGAGACAGCCATTTTAATCACAGACAGTACTGCTCACCCGGAAAAGGTACGATTTGAACAATCTTTACATACACGGTCAAATTTTTCGTTCATTACTTCTTCTTTTTGACAAAAAAAATATTATAGAGGGAGAAAATCTACTTATAAGTGTTGCTTTGAGATTTTGTTCAAATTTAAAACGAAAATCAGTGTACTTGGTGGATTCACTACGGGGGACTTTCAGTTACTAAAAAGCTTACATGTATTCTGGTTTTAAAGCGGCCTTTCGACTTTAATTCGTAGCACCGCTCTGTGTTACATGGCAACTTGCCTTGCAAGTATTTCGGACCTAAGTCACTCTTTATCAAGCTAGACGACAAAATTTCCTCGCTTATTATTTTCATTCTTAATTTTTGTGTTCTAAAATTTTTCTTTTCTTTCTTTGTTTCCTTCCCTGATATTCTTGTTGAACAGACTTGTTTTCTATGAGTAATCCATATTTATCTTACACGACTGAACAGACGTGTACAGACCTCGAAACCGACGTGCATGTAGGTCTTTCTAACATCCAGGATATTGCTAAACGTCATACGGTTTATGGGGATAATGACTTAGCAGTTGATGATGATGAATCTATAGTCGTGCAATTTTTGAAGCAGTTCATTCAGGATCCTCTTATACTGTTGTTATTTGCAAGTGCTGCAATTTCTATTCTATTAGGAAATATTGACGATGCCTTCAGTATTGCCTTGGCTATCTTCATTGTAGTGACCGTTGGATTCGTTCAAGAATACCGCTCTGAAAAATCACTTGAAGCTCTTAATAATCTTGTCCCCCATTATTGCAATGTCATTCGTTCTGGTGTCTCTCAACATGTTGTTGCTACCAAGTTAGTACCAGGTGATTTAATTTCTCTACAAATCGGTGATCGTGTACCCGCGGATCTTCGCATTGTTGATGCCGTTGAGTTCGAAGTCGATGAGTCCAACTTGACAGGAGAAACTAATCCTAGAAAAAAAACCACTGAACCACTGATGTCCAATTTACCGTTGGGCGAACGAAATAATATGGCATTCATGGGAACTCTTGTTCGTCATGGCCATGGACGAGGTATTGTAGTTGCTACTGGAGCTGATACAGAGTTTGGACGTGTTTTTCTAACCATGCGTGAAACTGAAAAACCAAAAACTCCTCTTCAAAACAGTATGGATCATTTAGGAAAGCAGTTATCAGCTATATCTATTGCTGGAATTGCGATTATTGTTCTGGTTGGATTTTTCCAAGGAAAAAAATGGCTAGAAATGCTTACTATTGGGGTTAGTTTAGCGGTTGCTGCAATTCCAGAGGGGCTTCCTATTATCGTTACTGTTACTCTAGCATTAGGTGTTTTACGAATGTCAAAGAAGAGAGCTATTGTTAGGCGTTTACCGAGTGTAGAAACCCTTGGGAGCGTGAATGTTATTTGTTCGGATAAAACCGGAACTCTCACAATGAACCACATGACAGTGACGAAAATGTACACCCCAGGCATGACCACGCCTTGCATTATACCGGATGGCGATCATCTTGATTTTTCTATTGAAAAAACTGTCGGTATGAACAAGCTTCTATTGTCTGCGGCTCTGTGTAATAACAGCAAACGGCATGTGAATAAATCTGATGCCATCCTCGACACTACCAGCCCGTGGGCTGGGTTTCCGGTTGACGTTGCCTTAATTGAATGCTGCGAGCGCTTCGGTTTAAATGATCCAAGAGGTTCTTATTCTCGCCTTTCAGAAATGCCGTTTAACAGTGAGCGCAAATATATGTCTGTTATCACTAATTTTAACTCGACCAAAACTACTTTTATGAAGGGAGCAATGGATCATGTATTAAAAAGCTGTGCTTACTACACGGATAGCGCTGGTGTTCAACATGAACTGACACCCAGCATACGTGATGAGATTCGCAGTCATGAAATGGACATGGCTAAAACTGGTTTACGGATTATCGCTGCAGCTAGTGGAATAATCCCTAATAAGTTGGTGTTCCACGGTTTGTTTGGTATAAATGATCCCCCAAGACCTTACGTTCGTGAGAGCATCCAACAATTAATGACTGGTGGCGTTCGTATCATAATGATCACCGGAGACAGTATCGTTACCGCTGTCAGCGTTGCTAGAGCACTAGGTATGGCTTTACCGAGCAGTGACCAAGATGCAATTCAAAACTATGCCATTACCGGTGATCAGCTAGATGAGCTAGACGACTCGTCAATACGAGATGTTGTATCCCGTGCAGTAGTTTTCGCTCGGACGACGCCTCATCATAAAATGAAGATTGTAAAGGCACTTCAATCATTAGGCGACGTTGTCGCAATGACTGGAGATGGTGTTAACGATGCTCCGGCTTTGAAATTGGCGGATATTGGTATCGCCATGGGCCGTCAAGGCACCGATGTTGCTAAAGAAGCAGCTGACATGATCTTAACCGATGATTCATTTGCAACTATATTACACGCGGTGGAAGAAGGAAAAGGCATATTCAACAACATTCGTAATTTTATTACTTTCCAACTTTCTACGAGTGTTGCGGCGTTGTCATTAATTGCAATCTCTTCCTTATTTGGTCTACAAAACCCATTGAATGCTATGCAGATATTGTGGATTAATATTTTGATGGATGGTCCGCCGGCTCAAAGTCTCGGCGTCGAAGCCGTTGACGACGACGTAATGATGAAGCCTCCTCGTCCTAGAAATGCTCCAATTCTAACTGTACAATTGTTGAAGCGGGTTCTTATAAGTGCTTTTATAATTGTACTTGTAACTACCTTAATTTTTACAGTCGAAAAGAAGGACGGTGAGGTCACTGCTCGTGATACGACTATGACTTTTACATGCTTTGTTCTTTTCGATATGTTTAATGCTTTGTCTTGTCGTTCTGAAACAAAGTCCGTATTCAAATTGGGAATTTTTTCCAATCGAATGTTTAATATTGCCGTTGGAGGATCCTTACTTGGTCAAGCTCTTGTTATATATATGCCTCTTTTCCAAAAAATTTTCCAAACGGAAGCTTTGGGACTTAAGGATATCGTTACGTTAATAATCTACACCAGCTCTGTTTTATGGGTTGACGAAATTCGAAAATGGTACCTTCACCGTAAAGGCCTTGTTCGAACCAAGAGTACTAAGATACTAGGAAGCGTCTAACTTTTCTTTGATTCTCTTGTCCAAAATTCTTACCTTGTTACTTGTAATATCCAAATTTGTTAGAATAGATAAGTCTGTTTAATAATATACGAACTTTATATGCTATGAAGTCTCGTCTTTTTCTATAGTTCAATGTTACTAGTTTCTTTTAAAAGGAGTTGGTTGTTTGTCCAACTTCATGTTCAAGCTAACAATTCATTTGATAGTTAAGTCCATTTCAATATTTTGTAATTTTATATCAAATATTGTTATTAAAAACTTATCAGTTGTCTCTCATAGCTTCAATTGATTTTACATCACACTAGTATAGTGCTTCCAGTTCTTTTACTTTTGAGGATTCGAAAGCTTCCCTGCCTTGCTAACGTCAACAACACCTTCCAGAGTTTATGTATTAATGTTCTATGAAATTTCTATTTAAGATTAATATTACTTTGGCTGTCATTTTTGGAATGTTATCATTGGTATTAACTGCAAGGATGATTCTGACCAGAACCAAATCCTCAACGAATGCCGCAATTGTTTCGTAAATAGCAACAATAATAGGTCTATTGATTTAGAGTAGATCTATAGAAGATGAGGTTACCCGCATGGTTAAAAAACTCGTCTTCTTGGCTATGGACTGCTGCGTTGTCGGGGGCAGTTCAACGTCGACTACTAGCGTTCGCTTTACAGAAGCTCATAGGATCAATACTTCAAGAAGATGTTCGCCCAGAGGATATACAGCTCTTATTTTCAAAAGGCGTATTGGTATTGTCTAATTTGCAATTGAATTGTGAGTTTTTAAATGCAATCATCCCATTTCCTACCATTAGAGTATTAAAAGGTTACGTGAAGAAATTGGTTCTGCACGTGAATCTTACGGATCTTGTTAATCTGAATGTGGAACTCGAAGTCCAAGGACTGGCTTTAGATATTACGCTTACCCAATCTGATGAATACATGGGTTCTACAATCTACCAGGATGCCTCATCTCAAATCGATATACTTGATAATGTGGTAGAGTATATGAGTAAGACAGCTTCCCAAGATTTTGAGGAAGAGGTTAGAAGTGAGGGGCTTGATAATGAGATACCTGACAATTCCCGCAATTTACTTGACAGCATTTTACAGAAGTGTCTTGCTTCCACTTCCGTGATTGTGGAACATCTAAAATTTAAAATCATGCCATCTTCTCTTGCGGCTTTGGAATTGAGTGTCGATTTTATTAACTTTTCTTCATTTAATAACAGCTCCTCGTCACGGTTACTCAATATATCTGGAATCGTTCTGAGTATGGTCAGGAAGGAAAAAAGTTTTGAGGATCGCAATTCGTCATCTTCGAGAGGTCTTGCTCATTCTTTGAGTTCCTCTACCTCTAGTAGTATGGAGGATGCACGAAGTTTTTTTACACCTGAGTCTGAGGCAACTGAATCTCAAACAATGTGTATCAATGCTAAAGAGATTGATGCCTCTGATTCCTCTTCTTCTAACCAGAATAAATCAAAGGAGATAGATCGTGTTATTTTTTTCCGCTCTACTGGTGAATTTCGATGTGTATTCAGTATTGAGGTCTCAACGTTAATGGTTATAGAAGCCCATGTTCCTCCTTGCGAGTTTGATCTATCCCCTCAGATTTGCGCTTTTCTGTTATACTTAGTTAAGCTATTCAATGATTCATCGAATTTATCCAAAATGGAATCAGATTCAGCAAAGTCCCCTCTTAATAATCTCCAACTGGATATTCACATGTCTTCATTCAAAGCGAATGTTCATTGTAGGCTACCTGATAGAGTAGAACGTTTTTCTCCGGCGGACGCTTTAAATCAGCTTCATTGGGTTCCTAAAAAATCTTCTAATCTCGAAATACATTTTAATCAAATTCAGATATCTAATGATGATCATGACCTTAATGACCTGTTAATGACTTTTTCCAATTTTGAGATATTTATGGACGGTAGCCCCTTAATTTCGCTTCATAAAGCTATGTACTCATCTTGTACTATTAATTTTCATATGGAAAACTTACAGTCTACTTTAAAGCTACAAATGTCAAGCGGCGAAATTTCTTTACCGTTAGAAAAATTTGTTCATCTTCAGGAACTTTTTACTACGTTTTTTAAAGACTTCACAATGCTTGAAGATTCGTATCTAGGTTTAAGTGAATTCAGCAGACGACGCGGTGGTTACCAATCTTCAAGTTCCCTAAACGTAGAATCTACAAGTCCAACATTTGAAGTTATAGTCTTATTTGATCGTTTTCAATTTCAGCTCACAAAGCATCATTCGGATCAACTCATCACTTGCTTTACTATAGCTTCCAGTTATTTGCAACTAACTAAAAAATCTTTGGGAACCTTTTCTTCCATTCTAGTGTTTTCTAAAAATATAACTTTTGACATAGAGAACTATTCTGCTGTTGGATACCCTTGGAAAAGCATTTCATCAGAGACTGTTTTGCGAATTTCCAATGGTATTTTTGAAACACATTCAAACTCCGGATTATCAGCATTTACTGTATCTGTTCAACAAGATGAATTTTATCATCCGAAGTTTCAGAAATTAGCGAATAAATCTCCCTGTCATGAAAACCATTTTTATGTCGCTTTTGACGGACTTCATTTAACAATTAAAAAAAGAGTGATAGAGTCTATTAGTTCATTAATTGGCGATCTATCCTCCGCATTCGTCAACTCTGGAACTCCCAAAAATGAAGTACAGCCGGACTTTAGACATTTTTTGAAAATACGCGTTCGTAATTTTTCGTTGCATTCATATCACGATGATGATAACTCTTTACTTTTGAAATCTGACAGAATAAAGCATTATATGTCATGGGTTGGAGCAGAAATGATAAGCTTAGATTCTCGTACTTACAATCTTTCGGCTTATTATTCTACACGTTTATTCAACAACAGACCACTATTGTCAGTTGTGAGGAATTTAAAAAATGGCGAGAAAAATATATTAAATCTGTTTCTGACGTTTTCTTCTCTAAATCAATCTGATTCTACTAATAAATTTCGAATAAGTATAATTGACTTAGGATATGAACATTACATAACTGATTTTTGGCTCTCTAAATTCTTGGAAACTTACTTCCCGCAGGATCCTGAGGTGCCTTTTCTCGAATTTCCTAAATTTCCTTATGGCATAAACCTCACCGTATCTGACTGTATTTTAGGATTGAACCCATCAAGCATGGAATCAAAGTTATTGATGCATTTAAAAGCTCTTGAAGTTCAGATTGGTGCCATTACGTTGGAAACAACGATTAACATTAAGGCTTTCACAAGTGAGGCTTTTTTATACATAACCAATAAATTAAATGAAGATGTTATGTCTGAAAAGAGACCCTTTTTTCAAGAAGAACTTGGGACATCTGACGCTAAATTGTCGCAACTGGCAGCCGATGAAACGATTGGTTTTGTGATTCAGTCACTTGGTTACATCGAATTGGCAAGAATATCGGGTCTAAATACAGAAATGACAGTAGGGATTAATAAGGGAGATTTAAGTACGCTTATAAACCTCAGCAATGGTGATTTGCATCTTCAATCCTGTGCTGACAGCACTCAACTATTTTTCCAAATAATAACCGATTGTTCAGCATCAAATAACGTTGATGAAGTCAAAAATTACTTAGTATTGCCTAATCCCAACTACTCGGATTTGCTTAAGGGAGTCGACACCGATTTTTTCGCTGATAATGTGAACCTAGCAAGTCCTAAGTCGTCAGATACCGGCATTTCCGTGAGCAGTCAAACTCTGGACATTGTTAACGATTACTATGCTTCTTCTGTTAGTTCAGAGGAAGAATTGTGTCCGTCAGTAGCTTCAAAGGGTTCCTCTCAAAGTGAACTTTTGTCCGATGAATATGATAATTTAAATTTTTCTGATGAGGAGGCTTTGGCATCCGAAGATAGATTAAAACAAGATATTGAGCTTATTGAGGATCATTTCTTCACTCGAGGATCCATTGAGCATCACGACCACTTTGATAAGGCTAATGAGTACGATATGAAACTGATAGTATCCAACATTCGTATAAATTGGGAATTATTCGATGGCTACGACTGGAATTCGACTAGAGAAGTTATATCTGAAGTTATCAAAGCATATGTACAGAATGGTAAAACAAGAAATAAGGATCGGGTTGAAACTCATGTTTTTGAAAGCATATGTCTTGAAGGATTTTCTAAGTTTGAAAAAATTTATTTTGATAAGATTGCCGAGGCCATTGATTTAAATAGTCGACTGGAACCGGAACCTCTTTCTAAGTTCGATCGGCAGCACATTCTACGATTAGGTCGGTCGACTAGCAACAAAGTATTGATTGAGATAATTGGTTTAACGGGCGGTTTTACATCCTTACGAGGAGAAAAAATTTCAAATGAAGTGTTAAGTGAACTAGAACTTGGCATCAAAGATTTGACTATTTACGATCGTTTGCCTTCATCAACCTGGAATAAGTTTTTTAGTCGTGATTCTCGGTCGTCTTCATTAAAAAATAGGAATCATCATTTGAATTTAAGATTTGCTAGAGTACGCCCTTTACCAGAAATAATGAACACTGAGTTACAGGTGGAAATCGGAATTTTACCCTCAAAGATGTATATAGATCAAGATACACTGGATTTCATAATTCGCTTTTTCGCATTTAAATCAGAAGTTCCAACAGAAACTGATGTTTCTACTACAAACCTTCCATTTTTCCAGTCTATATGTGTTCATGCTACACATTTCATAGTCGATTATAAGTTCAAGAATCCCAACTCTGCTGGGATAAAAAGTGGAAGATTACCCGATTTTGGAAACTTTCTCGTCGTTCAAGGTTCGGAAGTTTTTCTGAGGCAATTACAAATTTACGGTCTTTCCGGTTTCGAGGAATTCTTACATGCTCTATTGACGGTTTGGTTTCAGGATATACGAAACAACCAACTGCAAAAGGTGCTTAATGGATTAGTCCCTATTCGAACGCTATTTACTGTCGGAAGTGGAGTGAAAGATATATTTGTGTCTCCTGTAAAAGGTTTACAGAAAAAGCGTTCAATGAGAAGATTCCGACATGGAGTGTTAAAATTTACTGGAAAATATATGAATGACCTTTTATCATTCAATGCACAGGGAATGACAGGCACACATGCATTGTTGAAACAAGTTGAGGAGTATCTGCAATCCTCAAGAGAATTGCGATCAAAAAGATTTAGTTATTATGCAAACCAACCTGAATCATTGGAACAAGGATTACTGGAGGGTTACCATGGTTTCCGGCAGGGTTTGGTGGGAGCAAAAACAACATTACAATCCATTCCCAGTGAGGCATCTCAGCGAACGAGTTTTAGTAGCGCTGCTCAAGTAGTGAGCAAAAAGATGCCGTTAGCTATGCTGAAACCTATGGTTGGAGCCACAGAAGCAGTTTCAAAAACCTTGTGGGGTTTATCTAATTCGCTGCAACCTCAACGCAGGCATAACCTTCAAGAAAAATACAAGAGATAATTTTTCAAAATCTGAGGTTTTACGAATCTTTGATTTTTTTTATCACGCCTTCGATAATGGTTTTCTTGTTTACTTCTCTGATACAAGGAATGATAGCGTCGGTTGGAAATTTTTAATATTGAGAAACGAATATTATCTTACTAAATACTAAGATTAAAGCCTGTCAATTCGGCTGTATGCTAAAGTCTTTTATTTTAATTGTTTATGCCTAATCCCGAATGCTATGATTTTCATTTGCAAAGTTGAGATTTCAATGTGAATAGGAACTTCATTCTTTACTGGCGGAGTAAGATATTCGCAGCTATAATGAATATTAATTTAATGACTAATTATTGACTATGGATCTTTAGAAGTAGTTCTTTTTCTTTTAAAACGATTTTTTACGTTGCAAGCAAGACATTCTTCCTAGTTTGCTATCGATGAACTTCTTGTAGGAGGTTCCATCTTCAGTTGTTTAACATTTTTAAAAAGAAAATAAAGAAGGTCGTACTGGGAATCGAACCCAGGTCTCGAGAATCAAAATCTCATGTGCTAGCCATTACACCATACAACCGTTTTGATTTCAGCTTCAAGAATAAACTAATCGTATTAATTTTTCAAAGAGCCATACCAAAGATCACGCCAGAAGAATAATGTTAACAGTTTCCTGAAAGAAAAGCAGGCAGTAGGAAGCAAAAAAAGCAGCTGCTTTAACGTAGTTTATTGTCGGCTATACAGCTGAACTATGGAACCAAAAAAGTACGGTTGACGAAGGTCGTACTGGGAATCGAACCCAGGTCCCGAGAATCAGAATCTCATGTGCTAACCACTACACCATACAACCGTAGCTTGATAGGTTGATGAACAAGTAACTATATGAAGGGAAACCGAGGAAGCTAACATACAGCATTCTTTATGCATCTCATTAGAAATACAGTACGAAAAAATTTACGAACACTGTACAACTTACTAACAAGTCTAATTTACAAATAACCTTACAGTCTACATTTAATTTCCCTCAAATTTATATCCCGCATCGCGCGTAAATTACACCTCAATTCATGAATGTAAGTAACTGGAATAGCTGTCTATTGAACTTAGACTTCGACCATTTCACGAAGACGGCGAATAGTGGAGCGAGCGCTAGTGGCAGCAGGAGTAGTGACGGTCCAAGCACCACCGGCCATAGCCTTACCGCAAGCCTTACCGCGGCAGTTCCAGATTCCTGTGTACATGTTAATTAAACTTTCTTTAAATTACAGTTAATTGTAGTCACGGTATCCAATCCGATGTAAAAGCAAAGCAGATCAAAACCATGAAAATATTTACATACCAGCAGCAGAGCGCTTCACAGTGTTACGACCGCAGAAAGGGCATTGATAACGAGCATGTTGCTGAACCTCAATCTTGCGGACGTCACGACGCAAAGAAGCACCATAACGAACGCCATATTTACCGGTCACACCAACCTTTTTAGTTCTCTTCGTCATCTTGGATGGGGTGTTTTGCGTTGGGTGAGTTTTCTCAAGCCTTGCATTCCTGGAATATGCAAAGTGTGACTGTTTTTTCTACAGGCGAAAATTCCTTGAAAGTAACAATGTTACTTAAAGTAAACAACGAATAAAAGTTAATGTCAACTGGCTGTACGTGCTAGTATGTGATGAGTGCTTCTTTAAAGGAATGAATGGAAGAAGGATGGAATTTTAGAACACTTTTCATTTTGGAGGATAGTATGGGTTTCAATTCTAAGTGTTAAAAAAGTTTCATGATGTCACCACAGCAAAAAGCAAAAACAATATAGGCAATGCTTTGAATACCATTTGTTAGACTAATGAAAAGATCACAAAGAATGAATACTATACTAGTGTCTGTAAAGAGCCATATAACAAAAGACGAGGAGTTGATGGATTGCAATATATAGGAACCCGAACCAACTAATAAAAAAAATGAGAAACATGGGTTATTGTTTCTGTACAGAGCATTCGTTGCATCTAACAAACGAGCAATGAGTATACGTAGGAAGAATGGAAATTCTCGAACGTCAAAAGACCACAAAATCCTTTCATAAGAATGCATGTGCGAGTCAAACCATGTAGCAAAACTTTTAGGGAATACCAACAGTGAATAGAAAAAAATAAATGTAAATATGTATGGGAAAAAAATGAACGGACATAGACAGCGTTTAGATACAACTTTTCTTTTTTTGCTTTTTTTTACTTAGTAAAAGGAAAGACGATTTTAGAGGATAAATATTACAGAGGTTCATCGTTACGATTAGTATTCCTCTTCCATGTAGTCAGCCTCCATTGAATCTTGGCCAACTTCTTCATAATCACGTTCCAAAGCAGCAAGATCTTCACGTGCTTCAGAAAATTCACCTTCTTCCATACCTTCACCAACATACCAGTGAACGAATGCACGCTTGCTATACATAAGGTCGAACTTGTGGTCTAAGCGAGACCAGGCCTCGGCTATAGAAGTAGTGTTGGAAAGCATGCAAACAGCTCTGTCTACCTTTGCAATGTCACTTCCTTCAATATGCTGAGGAGGACGGTCGCAAATACCAATTTTGAAACCAGTAGGACACCAATCGACAAACTGGATGGTACGCTTAGCTTTAATGCTGGTAACAGCAGATTGAACATCACGAGGAATTACATCACCGCGGTAAAGCAAGCAAGTAGCCATGTAACGACCGGCGCGGGGATCACACTTGACCATTTGGTTGTAAGGTTCAAAGCATTGATTGGTAATATCTTGAACTGAGTGAGATTCGTGATAGGCCTTGGCGGCACTCACAATAGGGGCATAGGTGACTAATGGGAAATGAATTCGGGGATAAGGGACCAAATTGGTTTGGAATTCAGCTAAATCGACGTTCAAGCTGCCTTCGAAACGAAGAGAGGCTGTAATAGAAGATACGACTTGAGCAATCAAACGATTCAAATTCTCATATGAAGGGCGCTCAATGTCAAGGTTTCTACGACAAATATCATAGCAAGACTCGTTGTCAACCATGAAGGTACAATCTGCCAAATCAAGAGTAGCATGAGTTGTCAAGACAGAATTGTAAGGCTCAACAACGGATGTACTTACTTGAGGAGCTGGGTATACTGAAAACTGAAGCTTGGATTTTTTAGTATATTCCATGGCCAAGCGCTCGAGCAAAAGAGCTCCAAAACCAGAACCAGTACCACCACCGAAAGAGTGAAAAACGAGAAAACCCTGGAGACCAGAGCAGTTGTCTGCGATACGACGGACTTTGTCTGTCACTTCATCTACGAGTTCCTTTCCGACAGTGTAATGACCACGGGCATAGTTATTTGAAGCGTCTTCCTTACCAGTAATTAGTTGCTCAGGATGGAAAAGGTCCCGGTAGGGTCCAGTGCGTACTTCATCAATCACGTTGGGCTCCAAATCAACATAAATACTTCTAGGAATATATTTTCCTTGACCTGTTTCTGTAAAAAAGGTAGAGAACCCATTGTCTTGGCTGTTCGGGTCAGCTTCTGGGGTCATATAACCGTCTGGTTGGATTCCATGTTCCAAACAGTAAAGCTCCCAGCAAGCATTACCAATTTGAGTTCCTGCCTGACCAACGTGAATGGAAATGATCTCTCTCATCTCGTTTGTCTTCTGAGGTATTCTAACTGGATGCTAAAATGTTTGGTTTATGGCAGGTTTGCTGCTCTCGTAAACCAAACAATGGTCATATAACACTTTCCACTGTAGTGCGGTAATACATGCAGCGAAGAACTACAATATACCATAGTAAATAAACCCAAAAAATTACAAATTCATGGAAATTTGGCTAATTCATTTATCTAAAAGTGTAAAACGTCTCTAGATGAATTCTATCCTAAAATCTGAGTACGAAAACGACGCTATTTGAGATATTTATAAAACTTGCCTAAAATGTATCGTTGCAAGGCAAAATGAGCAAGTCAATTAAGAAACTAAATCGAACAACTAGACAGGATTTGTAGACTTTACAAAAAACAGTCTAAGACATCTTGTTTTGCATATCCAATTTTGTTTATTAAGCGACGATTATAGAGTACGGAATTTATATTAGGGCGAATAATCCTAGTGAACGAAAATATAAACCTGCGTCCTACGTTACACAAAGTTAAACAACGAAAAATAGTATCTATCGTTATATTCTACAAATTTGCATTTCCTGGAGAAAGAAAGTAAACTGGAACGTAAAAGTCTGCTTTACTGAATTGGCTCTTTTGCTTACCTATTTATAATTTCAAGGTTCTTATTTAGACTAAAATTTTTTTTTTGTCTGCTACTCTTTCTTGTTAAGTTCAATTTGACTGTAATCCTACAACTCAAAACCCATTTTCTACTCTTTGTTGATATCTTCGACTAAGGAAGTAAAAACATATTCGTCTAAGAATCTTTTCATTGATCGAGTATGAGTACCATTTATAAGCTTAAAACCAACGCCTCTCGTGCTGGAGACGAAGAAGAAGAAGATGCTCACGCGCCTGTCGTTACTACTAGAAAACACTCTGAGGGCTTTGTTCCCGTCAAGCAAAAAGTTTTAATCCTCTCATCTCGCGGTGTAACTTATCGTCAACGCCATTTGCTTACAGATCTGATTAACATGATGCCGCACACGAAGAAGGACAGCAAATTTGAGTCGAAAGACCGTCTTTATGAGCTCAATGAACTTGCTGATCTTTATAACTGTAACAATATTTACTTTTTTGAGTCTCGTCGTCGCGAGGATCTTTATTTGCATATTGCACGTGCTCCTAATGGACCTACTGTTAAATTTCACATTGAAAACTTGCATACGATGGACGAACTTAACATGACAGGCAATGCTTTGAAGGGTTCCCGTCCCATTCTCTCTTTTGACAAGACGTTCGACTCTGCTCCTCATTTGAAGATTGTTAAGGAATTGTTGCAACAGACCCTTGGTATTCCCAAGGGTGCTCGTCGTAGCAAACCTTTCATTGATCGTGTTTGTACACTCACTGTTGCTGACAACAAGATTTGGTTCAGAAATTATGAAATTCGTCAAAATGAAGACCCCGATAAGGATCCTGTTGTATTATTTGAAATCGGACCTCGTTTCGTCATGACCATTATCAACATTCTTGAAGGGTCCTTTGGAGGTCCCGTTATCTTCAAAAATGATACTTTCGTCAGCGCAACCATGGTTCGTGCAGCTCTTCGTAAACAAACTGCTCAGCGTTATGTCAATCGTCAAGAAAATAAACTTGAGCATGCTGTTCGTGCTAAGCAAAATGAATACCCAGAAGATCCTTTGGAGAAGGTTTTTACATAAGTTTATTTACCTTAAGACTGTATTTTGACGTACGGGGCAAGTTTATGGTTATTATACTGGTACAAGTACAGTAATCAGAAAAAAAACGAAAAATTTGGGTTTGAAGGTTGGCAATAATCGATAATATCTAAAGATTTAAAGACTATAATATTAAAGCAATTGAAAGCTGTAGCTATCGTAATTTTAAGAACGAGAGGAGATTAACAAAAAAGTTGAATGCAAGAACATCAGTCAAGTAGTGACTTAAGAAGTACCACGTTCCCAACGAATCCAATTTAGGATAGTGCCTCCATTTAGTAATTCCTGAACTGTATTGGGCGACTGAGAAACAGAAGGCAAAGATAGAAGCTCGTCGGTAGACTCTGGTGCTTGGGCAACAATCTCTTTTGCAACCAAGCCGGCTATTTTAGAACAGTCATCTGATGACTTCTCAACAAGTGCCATGGAGGCGATTCGTCCGAGTTGGGTAGAAGCGGCAGCTGTTGCTCCATGGGCATAAATACCGATACGTGAATTAGGTTGCAAAGCGTTGAAGCAAAGAATTCTGTTAATGGTTACCTTTTCCCCAGTCAAAGAGGAGGCTTTCAGTAAATAATCATTCAAAGTTCCGACGTTGGTATCCGCGTTAATAGAGTCTGCCGGGATCGCCAAAGTCTTGTCTTGAAGCAAGGTGTTAACATCAGTATTGTTCAAGCAAAAGGTGGCTTCATTTGAACGGATAAGAGGAAGAAGGCAAGAAGCAACTGATCTGGAGAACTCTTGGAAAGATGCTGTTTGACTTACGAAATCGGATTCACAATTAATTTCAACCGTAATTGCTTTTCTTTGATCAGCCGACAAGCATTGAGATATCCATCCTTGCTTAGCGATGCGATCTTTAGTTTTCTCAGCAATCTTTCCTCCGCGCTGTTGAATTTTCTTTGAAAGGATCTCTCTTGCTTTTTCAAGGTTTCCAACCCCTGCTTCTTCAACCGCCTGTTTAATAATATCTATAGAAGCTGTATTTTCCATTCTGAGGGTTTTGATATCACTCATTTTACCGCTCATCTTGCTGTATCCTCGCAAAGACAGACCAGTTAGAAAAGGTCTCTGAATTGTTGTAAGATGCTGGCGCATGAAATTTAGTCGTAACATTTTTTTAAGTGTCTATGCTAATAGAAAAAAGGTCGGGAACAGGGTATCCAAGAAAGAGGTTGACAAGTTAAGGTATAGGAAAGAAAGTATAGGTGTAAGAAGTAGATGGTAAATCAAATACATTCCTTGTGAAGCAAAGTATATCTATATAAATTTTTATTTTTTACTGCAAAATTATAAAAGATAATACTCGACTGGACTGAATTCAGAAACTACAAAACTATTCACACCGATATATACAAGTGTAAGAAAATACTATTAAAAACTAAAGAAACAGAGTATTTTGGGATTCTTTTGAGCTCTTTTTATTTGCTTTTTACCGACATTGTTAGTGATTGTAACATTGCTGATTCACTTTGCTGACTGTTTGGAATCATAAAAAAAAAGTTATAATTTCCATAACAAGAAAAAGAAATTGATGCTCCAATATACTAAATTTTGCTGTACAAAGGTTTAGCAATCCAAAGGAATTTTTTCTACCAAGAGCAACATGCTAGAGACTAGCCCCATCATACAGGAAAATAGCCCTGTTTTCATCAAATTACCATCCGAAAATATTCGGTTTGTAACACTTAAGCCAAATAAGTAAGTAGGAGCTCAGAAACTTGTGTGTTCTGCGACAATTTCATGGTCTTCCAATTGGTACTTCAGTTTCGTTTAAACTACGAAGGCTTAATTTTCCTTACATTAACAAAACTAACATTATTGCTAGTACAATTAGTCTTGGTAAATTTGGATCCTTCTGTACGGACGATCTATTTGGAAAGACCTACGATGAAACATTCGAGATCTATGAGCCTAAAAAAATACGCGTCTTAAAAACCCGTGAAGTACAAATCTTGGAAGAGGAGAAAAAAACGAATAAAGAATTGATGGACTGTCGTAGCAATCAGCTCATGAGCCAAGATGAAATTGATGAACTTAGAAAACAAATGAAAGAAGGAGGACTTCGAGGCGAAGAAGCAATCCGTCAATTGACGTCTAAAAGTTTAACTTTTGAGCAGAAGACTCAGTATGCCCAAGCTAAATACGTTAATCGTAAGGGAGAAAAATATCTTCAGCAGTTTCGAGCATTGAGACCTTGCCTTGAAACTGTAACCGAATACATGCTCGCTCATGACCAGTATAAAATTATGGAATTAACAGCTGACTGCTCAACATACATGCTGACATTAGGAAATGCTCAACCTGGAGGCAGATATCTTGTGGTCGATGAAACGGGTTGCCTCTTTTTGGGATCCTTACTAGAACGCCTGGGTGGAGACTGTAAAGTGACTCTAGTCCATCCTAATGAGCAACCAAATAGCTCTTGTTTGGAACTTTGGGGAAAAGAATATACAGAAGAAAGTCTTGTCGAGAAAGGAATTTTACGTACTTTGAACTGGCTACAAGTTATAGGCCCTGAAGAGGCTTTAAAAGATATGCATGTGGATGATTGTACTGAGGAAGAGCTAAATGAAATGAAACTTCGTCATAGAAAGAGATACGAGGGTCGAAAAGCTTCCTATGCTCGCCTACAGTCTAATCTTGAGGATTTTGAAAGAGGAAATTTTGATGCATTGTTTGTTCTGAGCAATCATACGCCAATGTCAGTATTGAATTTACTTTTACCCAAGGTTGGATCCTCTCGTCCTGTTCTTGTTTATTCACCCTATCAACAAGTGTTGGTCGATACCCATCACGAATTGTTCAAGTGGTCAAACCCTTTTGGAGTAACAGAAACGAATAATGAAAACAAAACTGAGGAAGAATCTCCTGAAAAGCAAGAGTTGCAGGAAACCCAAAACGCTTGGGTTGAAAAACTTATTATGTTGGATATCCATGAAATCCGTACTCGTCCTTACCAGATTCTTCCAGAGCGTACTCACCCATTTATGAGTATTCGGGGAGATATGGGGTATATCCTGTCTGGGATTAAGGTACTTTCTTCTGTAGGCACTATGGCCGCCGGCAGGTTTCCCAAGAGACAAAAGCAAGGTGCTGGAAGCAAAAAAAAAGGAAACACAAGAGTGTAGTATATTTAATTTGGTTTACAAAATTGGGTTCTTTTAGAAATTGGGTCATGGATCAGAGAAGAATATGGATTTATTGATATGCGAGATGAATAGATTTCGTAAGTACTGTATAACCTAATATTAGTCGTGAAATGAATAAATACAGATATGGTACTTTTTTCGATAACTATGAAATTTAACCAGAACGGAAATATATATCTACTGATAATATTTCCGTAGTTTTAAGCAGTGTAAACGCAAGGTACTTTACATTGGCTGTACTTCTTTACGCGGTGAAATCTTACAGAAAATGAAAAAATGTAAAGAATTAAGATTAATCCTTTTTTAAATCATACTAAATTCTAAAAAATGTATTTCTACGAATATTCGTCTCATCCTCTATATGACTTTTGGTGTTCCATTCCTTCCACCCAGGACTGCCTTCCACGCCCAGAAGCTATACCTCTCAACCACAACGGTAGTTTCGTATTGAAACATCTCTCAATGACAGAATTTATTGGTTCTCGTATTAGTCTGATTAGTAAATCAGATATTCGGTAAGGAAAAAATGAGTAGTTTAAGTACTAATCGTATAGATATGTAGGTATCTTGCAAGATATTAACTCTCAAGATTCTACTCTCGCTTTAAAGCATGGTACGCATATTTGTGTCAATCATTTAGTAACAATTAGTTCGCTGGTGTGGTACGGAAGGTAGGAAGCAAGATCCATCTCAGGAAATTCCGCCGTCCGAGAATGTGTTTGATTACATCGTCTTTCGTGGAAGCGATGTGAAAGATTTACGCATAGAGGAGCCTGCTAGTACACCCGCACCTCCTCCTGTTCAACCTCCCAATGATCCTGCTATTGTAGGGGTATGCTTTTCATGCAGAGGTTCAAGGATTTTATTTTCGTATGCGCTGAGTCATGCCTTTAGAATCCTTTGTCTAATGACGGACCCTGTCAACAATCTTTATTATCTAGTTACTAATTTTATAAATACAGTCAAATAGTGGTCAGTTTGGCTGGAATCAACCTGGCGGTGCTCCAAATGCTCAGCCAGTACAGCCTAGTCCATACTACAACCCGTATGGATCAAAAACTGGTACTCCATACAACCCTATGGCTGGTGCCTCTCCTTACTATATGTATGCAAATGCGGGAGGAGCGCCATATGCTCCGTCTGGTGTTGCTCCTCTAGGAACTCCGATGGATGCTTCTACTCCTGCTGTACCTTTCCACAGCGGTCCCGTCGAGCAGCAACAGGCTTCCCATCGACCTGATATGCCTCCACCCGGTGTTTCTCAGCCTCTTCCTGGCCAATCTCCCTTCATGACCAGACCCGGATTTGATGCCCCAAGCCAGAAACCTATGACTCCGAACCTTCCTAATGCTGGTGCATCGATTGCCAATATACCATCTACACAAGTTCCCACTGTCCCTATTGCTTCTCCTTCTGTTAATCCCTTAGGACCTGGCAGTGCTGCAACAATTGCCTCTACTCAAGTTAACAATGAAGGTGAAAGATCGACCAAATCAGTGTCTGTAAGTAGCGAACGTGTTGCTGATGTCGGAGATGCCGTCCAACCATCTCATCCAGTAACCGCCTCTGTCAATGTTCCTAGAAATGAAAAAGGTGAATTTGATTTCCAATCTGCTAATGAAAAATTCCAAACCTTGAAGAGTGAACTTGCAAATGAAGAAGATCAAACTCATCAAGATTTTTACAAACCCGGCCAATCTTTCTTTGACGATATTAGCTGCGAAAGCAAGGAAAAAAACATGGAAGCTTTAGACCGTCGCTCTTTGCGTGACCGCGAACGTAACCTAAATCTGGAGACATTCGGCGTTGCTTCCAGTGGAGGCCGAGGACGCCGTGGTCGCGGTCGCGGTCGTGGCCGTGGTCGTGGTCGTGGAGGATACTCAAGAGGTTATTATCAAAGATACAACGGGGCAAATTATGCTCCTAATGCCCAACAGTAAATTTGTAGATGTGAATACCAATATTCGGCTAATTGAAAGTTTGGAAATCTGCTTTATTGCTCTTTCCTTGCGATCCTCGAGACTTGAAAAAAAAAAATCAAGTTTTCTGTTAAATAGAAGTGAATCTCTATGGACGTAAAAGATATTTTGGAAATAATGAATAAAGAAAGTCGATTTGTAAGTATTATTGAGTGCTTTTTTCTTTACATTCCAATGAGTCAACGAGAAAGTATAGTCGACAAATATACTAAAACATGAATGAAGTTTATTTTGACCCTCGCAAGAATTTATATAGGACTCAGTATCTGTGTATATGGAGTAAATTGCATTTCTACTTTACTAATTTTACTTTGATGAAAAAAGGATTAGATATGTTAGAATCGCTTCTGTCAGGCAGAAAATAAAGAAAATCGTATTCTAACAAGCAATTCACTGCGTTTTTTTTAAAGATGCATTATAATTGACTAAAGCAAGATCCTTAATTAACTAGAATCTAAGGATTGTTGAAACAAGGTGTGAGTCTGAACCATTGAATAGTAGTATTAAAAAAGAAAGGTACCAGCAAAGGAGGAAACTGCAGCAAAGAAGAATAAAGTGCATCGGCCCAAGTTCTTGATGCACCACTTTTGAATCAAGTTCCTAAACGCAACCGTTGCTTCTGTGGACTTTAGAATTAAATCTGGATTCATAGAAAGCAGTGTTCCATTGATGTTTCTCATAAACAATAGTGTATAAAGAATAACACATGTACAAGCTGATCCTGCAAGGAGATGCAGATTGGAAGACAAGACACTACGTCGTCGTTCCCAGTAGGCCAAACATCCTTGAGCTAGCGTACTTCCAATTGCAACAAATGGAAAGGTTCGTTTTCCAAGAAGATACATATATTTAAATTGAGCAAGACCTACGTCTGCAGGTGCCATTAATAAAAGAGGTACTGCCTGAGCAGAAATATACAAAGCAGCACCAGCGCCCATGCTTGGACCCAAAACTCCAGCCGCTTGAAAAAGATAAACTAAATTGAAATTCATTTTTGATTACAGAATAGGAAGAAGCTGAGTTTACTTATTGCTGCTACTGTTTAGCAGCGTTTTGAACGACGTTTTGTATAAGACTCAGTATCTAGCGGTATCTTAAGGATGAATTCAAGAGATTCATTATATTCTATCAAACATTTTTATCATAAACTTGGAAAAGTAACCAGCAGTATACCAAGTATAATATTCGGATGGAATCAATATAAATAACTTCATGTACTAGTCCCTACCTATTCTTAAACTCAATTTTGTTTACAAAATACTGAGATTTAGTGCAATAGGACGATGAGCTATCTCATCTCGTATAGACTTATTAACGATATTTAATGCTCTCCTTATAAGCTAATATCAACTCAATTAGTAACGCTTACTATTTCGGTAAATGCTCGCAAAGAAAAGTTTGATTTAGGGAATGAGAACATGGTGGGAACGTTTACCTCTCCAAATCTATTTAAAAGTAGTAAACCTAGCAATTGCAATGTCAAAAAGAGCCGCGGAAGATACCCAAGACATAGAGGGAAAAAATGGCCCTGGAAGACGCGAAGCAGTCTCTGATTCCATAGATACAGAAATGGGCAACTTTGAGGACGCGTACGAAGACGAATTTGAAAGTGAAGATGAGTACTTGGAAGCTGATGGAAAGGAAGATAATGAAATGGAAGAAGCTGAGGAGGAAGAGGACGATTCGGCTGCAAGATCTGCCTGGTTACCAGGTGGTGTTATTAATGAAGGCGAACAATTGGTTGTAGATCCTAGCGCCTACGATATGCTTCATAACATGCAAGTGAAATGGCCATTTTTGAGTTTGGATATTATTCCTGATGCTCTGGGTGACGAGCGTCGTAGCTGGCCTCAAGAGATGTACTTGGCTGGAGGCTCGCAAGCAATCAACAATAGCGAAAACGAAGTTACAGTGATGAAGGTCAGTCAGTTATGCAAGACCAAACACGATGCCGAGAATGACGAGGAATCTGATAATTCTGATGTTGAAGACGATCCCATTTTGGAGCATCGCTCTATACCAACTAAGGGAGCCTGTAACCGCATTCGTGCTTCACCTGTCTCAACGAATGATCCTCAAAAGAAGAGCTTCTTAGCTTCATTTCAAGAAACAGGAAAGGTTCACGTTTGGGATATCGCCCCTCATCTCCAATCTCTCAACAGCCCCGGTAATTTAGTTTCTCGCAACCAAAACAATCCTGTACACACAGTGAACCAACACAAGACCGAAGGATATGCTTTGGACTGGTCTCCTTTTGAATATTCCTTACTTTCCGGAGATTGTGCCAACGAAATATACTTGACTCGTGCCACAAACACCGGATGGCAAACTGAGTCTTCTCCCTTTTTGGATCATACTGGAAGTGTGGAGGACATTCAATGGTCTCCTAATGAAAAGACTGTGTTTTCTAGTTGTAGTTGTGACGGAACATTCCGTATTTGGGATGTTCGCAACCAAAAGAAGACTTCTGCCTTGACAGTTAATGCTCATCCAGGTGTCGATGTTAACGTTTTAAGTTGGAACTCTCGTGTGCCTTATCTGATGGCAACTGGTGCCGATAATGGTGTGTTCAACGTGTGGGACCTACGCTCTTTGAAATCTTCATCAGCTGTTGCCACTCCTGTTGCATCCTTTAAATGGCATCAATCCGCTGTCACTAGTATCGAGTGGCATCCCAAGGAAGAATCTGTTCTTGCTGTTGCTGGTGCTGACGATCAACTTTCACTTTGGGATTTGTCCGTTGAATTGGATCCTGAAGAACAAGCTAGCCGTGCTTCTGAGGGTCTACAGGATGTGCCTCCTCAACTCATGTTTGTACACATGGGACAGTCAGCCATTAAAGAGCTACATTGGCACAAACAAATTCCTGGTACAATTGTTTCTACTGCTCAAACGGGTTTGAACGTTTTCAAGACGATCACTTTTTAATATTTTATGGAAATGAGGAAAGCACGTTTTATTTTTGTCTTTAAAAACGTATACATATATTTTTTTTGGAAACCGTGATAGGAAATGTTGATTATTGTACTTTTTTTGGTTTCTTCTTTCTGTCGTTGCAAAATTCTTGGGTTTTTGGCTTATTATTGGTTAGACATTTGAATAACATGGATTCTTTCTAACTACATTTTTGTAAATGTGTGAGTTGTAATGTAAATTAATCGGTACCCCGGGTATTCTTGCATCTCTCACATTGGGAAAACAGAAAAATTGACATGGGAGAGTCAATATTGAGTCCTCTAAAGGTATTTATCTGTTTCGCATTTGTATATTGGTCTCCTTTTCTTCATCATTTCTTATTATTTTATATCCTTCTCTATGCGAATTTGGATGCAGTATATATGATATCTTAAACCGCGTTATACTATATAAGGCACTGTACGAACAACCAAAAACGATTTACAAAACAAACAATAGTATACAGTAAGTGTTTTACCACAATACAAAACGTTGCTACATACTACGGTATTTCTACTCTCGAAGATTCTTGAGTCTTCGATCCTCTCACTATGGGCAGCAGTATAAAGCCTGCGACAAGCTACAGAACATCAGCAAAACGAAGTAGCTGGGACGTGTTTGTTTGACACATACTTTTGAGGGAATTTTTCGTGTTCGTTTAGTTTGGAAAATGTCTGCAACATCTGTAAACCCTAACAATTGGTAAGTTTGGAACTCAAGGTTCAATTCAACTGGAACAATCTGTTTCTTAGTGCAAAAAGATCTTGCAGACGAGAAGCAGTTAATAGGAGGAGACATAGAATCCCTTACTGGGTTACTTGCTTCACTTTTTCACGTATTTTTGAAAGCATCAATGGCCAGGTTTATGAATTTTTCATTGAGAGCTTTTTCAAGTCATTGACTGGGATGAGGATCATTGGACCATTATAAGACGCACGCTGTAGTTTTCATGGATTCTTCTTCCCTATTTTCTTTTTTTTTTGGTTGTCTCTTTGTTCCTTGGTTTAAATCGGAAATTTGTATGCTAATAGTTGTTTGAAATAGGCACTGGACTAGCAAGGATTGCCGGATCTGGACTCGGGAATACCTTGACAATGAACTTACCAAGGTTTCAGTAGATGAAGGTGCCAAGAAGGCAGCCGTTACACGAGTCATAAGCTGTGAAGGTGATGTGGATGTTGCTATGCGTAAACGTAAGGTCATCACAATCTATGATTTGAAGATCCAAATTGAATTCAATGGTGAAGTCGATGGTACAGAAGCCTCTGGTTCCATCACTTGCCCCGAGGTTTCCTATGATTTAGGTCCTTCTGATTACGTTCTTGAAACGGATTTGTATGAAGCTTCCAAAGAAAAGGAACCCGTCAAGCAGTTTGTTCGCGAAAAGTTACATCCCAAAATTCGTGAATTCTTTGGTAACTTGTCCCAAGTTTTGTTGGAAAACCATGGTAATGATGTTTACTTGTCAACAGAAGAACACAATGGTAATGCTGCTCGTGGCCTCCCTAGCCATAGCAGCCTTACTTCTCAGCAAACAGTCGGCAAGACTTCCACCAACACACCTAGCAAAGTTGCTACTTCCCTCCCTACCAGTTCTGGTTCGGATGGTACCCATGCCTCTGCAACTGTGAATACCTCTGACATCTCTGAAAATTTCAGCTTTGATGCTCCCGCTGATGAGCTTTACGCTACCTTTTTGGATCCTGCACGTGTTGCCGCTTGGTCTCGTGCTCCTCCTCAGCTTGATGTTCGTCCTCAAGGACCCTTTTCCCTTTTCCATGGCAATGTCGTCGGACGTTTTCTTGTCCTTGAACAAAATAAACGTATTGTTCAGACCTGGCGTTTAAGTGCTTGGCCCACTGGCCACTATGCTGAAATCAGCTTCAGTTTTGATCAAGCCGATACTTACACTACATTGCGTATGGTCATGAAGGGAGTACCAATTGGTGAAGAAGAGACCGTTCAAAACAATATCCAAAATTACTACATCCGTCCCATTAAAACTATCTTTGGTTTCGGCGCTGTCCTTTAAAAAGGTTTATTGACGAAGCTGAAATTATCAACGGTATTTCTGCCTTGAAAACCCTCAAAAAAAAAGGAGATAACTTAAATTATTTTTCTTTTATGTCCCTATCATATAGATTTTCAGTGATCAATCCTTTATGGAAACTGGACGACAGGTTTTCTGTAGCTCAATGTGGAAGAGCCTTACACTAATTTGTAATTCTTGTTAATTTAAAAAACACAGCTTTGAAAGAATTCAATCCCAATTGTCGTCAATGGAATGATAGATTTTACGTTTTACGTTAACAATGATTACTTTCAATAAGATTTATAATGAGAAACACGATTTTGAAATTGCATTAAATTAATGTTGTTATAATTAAGACTGGGAGTATAGCTTCTGGTATAGACTTTTTGCTATATATAAAGAATCCGGATACTAAAAAGGTCGTCGACCTTAGTAGAACGAATGAATTACTTTTCTGGAAGAGTTTAAACGTATAAAAAAACATAAATCCTTCAGATGCCACTCGATTGCTATGAATAATGTAGCATGGATAAAACCAACTTGTACTAAGACATTTTTAAGAAGGTAGTAAACGTTCACGTTCACGGGCAGCTCTGTCGTAGTCACTTGTTATCTCATTTTGATCATGATCCAATTCAGAATGCTGGGACTCTAAAGCATTTAGCTCTGTAGATCGACTGACTGGACGAGAAATTGGAGTCGGACGTTCCTTTAATTTCTGGTATTTGTACAGAAGCAAAACAAAGGTACCAACTGTTATTATACCACTCAAAACAATTCCAATGACATTTGCTGGTGTGGAAGTATTGGCTGCTAAACATACACCAGCATACACAGGAACAAGGTATTTGAAGCAAGAAAACCAAAAGGCTATCGACCAGCCAATGTAGGACACGTGCGGAATCGTGCTGAAAAAGACAGTGGTGAAATGAGTCGGTAAAAAGCTAAGACGAATTAGCCAAATAAGAGGATAGCTTCCTTCTTCAAGAATTTTGACAAACGTTCCATAATGCTCTTGATGTCGACTTTGGAATTCCCGGGCTTTATCTTCTAAAAAGTAACGATATCCTAAAAATGCAATAGACTCTCCAAGAAAGATGCCACAGACAACTGTCCAAAACCCAGCATTAAGACCCCATACGGCTCCAACCACAATAGATATGGGATCTTGACCAACTAATGGGGGTACTGAAGCTGCAGCAATCAAGCCAAGCGGAATTAAAAATGAAAATTGATGACGAGAGAGTTTTTTCGCAATCGGTAAAACTGCATGTAATATTTCTTCGTGGTAAACAGATAGTAATGAAAAGGAAACTAAAAGGAAAATAGAGAGAGCAATCAGCCCAATCTAAATGTTAAAATACTGATTTACGTAGATTCCAGCTATAACTTACTGCTTTAGGCACTGCTCTAGACTGAACCATTTTTGATATCACAATTTCTCATTAGAATTAATTGAATGCCTAAAAACAAATATCAGTCTGGTTTAGGCCTCTTCACATTCTAGTCGTAAATAGGTGAATTTTGAGATCGTGGTTGGCTGGTACGTAAAGGTTGCAAAGGAAAAATAAACACCAAACCAGTTTGAGGTTTTAATTTTTACTAAATTTTGATGCCCTTTACATAGTAATAATGTTCCTTACGGTTTTAAAAAAAAAAAAAAAAAATAGCTAAACTATACGCTGGAAAATTACGATTCTTTACAATGAGAGAAAATAGCAATTGTATGAAGATAGCCCTACCATCTTGTTTCATGCGGTGGTAGTTTAGCTAGTATGCACTCCTCAGCGTGAAAGCAGTGGTTGATTGAAATCTAATGAAATCGTTGTCATTATATTTATTCTTCATCCTGCTTGTTTTTATCGGCAAAACCATGAAATCTATCATAACATAAGTTCAAAAATTGCTTAATGGAGCAAAAAATTCAAGCATTAGTTTAGAGGCTACTATAGAGAACAGCTAATAGCGTTTGGTAGCTTTCTCTTGTGTTTAAATTCTTCTCATTTTCCTCGGTTGGAGACATTGCATATTTTGCAAAGACTTCCATATCATCCTAAATAAAATTAGTACAAGGACGTGAAATGTAAAACTCTACATACCTCTTTTAAAATAGATAACTGGGCCAATAACAAAATGATCGGAAAGTTGGAAAGGCTTCCATTTTTTACAGCATCATGATCAAAGAGTTTTGCCAGCTGTCTTAAGCGACCAGTTTCATCAGCCGTTTCTATAGTAATAGGCAATGATGTATCATGTTTCGCAAACATGGGTTTAGATTCTTCTGGGAATCCATCTGTTAAAGTCACGAGCAGAAAGCTAACAGGAAAAGCAGGCTTCGCATTCTTGGAAACCTGCTTTTTGTATTCGTCAATGTAACGATAAAGGACATCCGGTACGTATCGAGATTTGTCTTCCCGTTTTACTAGCATGCGATCTGGATCGATACTGGGCTGAATAAGATCAGCCTTAAATAATGAAGTAGCTACATTGGATACTTGGTAAGAAGTAACTTCAATCTCACCATTGGGATTTCCACTAATGACAGAAGTAACAAACTTGGATCCAAAAAACCCACTTTGGGACCATTTGCTTGGATTGGGAAATTTCGATTGGAAATGCGCAGAGTTGTAAACCTCAAGAGAAGACAAAAAGTAAGAGTCGGCATGACGCTTGCAAAGAACTTTTCCAGTAGCACTACCATCATCAGTTAAGTCGGTATAAATTATACCAACACGACGGAGCCCACATGCAGCAGCCACTCGATCCACCAAAGCTTCTTCGGGCCATTCTTCTAGAGTAACACCGTCCGCTTCAGAAACTTGGGGAGGTTCGTAAATTGCTTCAACGACAGCCTTAGTACCTAATGGAACAGCTGTGTAAGGTTCATAATGTCCATATGTATATCCAATTCTCTGGAACCCAGTTCTTCGCCAAGCGTTCAAGAAAGAATCGACAATCGATGGAGAAGCAAACTCAACATGATCAATGATTCGGAAAGGTTGCAAGTTCATCATGATTGTGGAAGGTTGGCATTTGGAGCAAATACCCAAAGGCCAAGGAGGATGACCGGAAGGACATTTTTCTTTGACTTTGAAGTAGGGTTCTTCCAGGGGAGGAATGAAAGATTGGGTACTGGCATATTTATTTACATTAGAGTTTACTTTTCTCAAATAAGAGTGGAAGGACATGTGTTTAATTTTGTTTTCGCGTTGGTAGTTCTCGTCATATGGTTCTAGAGGGGAGCAATAATCGCACATGCCTTTCGGTCCATGTCGACAAAACGGTGTGGCAGATCGGGGAATAAGACCATCCTGCAATTCAAGAGCATCATCAATATTGTCTTGAGCAACATGAGCGGATGCAACATTACTGGAATTTGTAGCTGACAAAGCGTTGTCTTTTGAGATCTCAACTTCAGCAACACCTTCTTTACCAGGAGGAACAGGAGTAGAAGCTGGCAACTCTCTTGGAGATCCAAGACGCAAGAAAATCATGTTTCCGTGTGTTACACCTGCTGCTTGCAGAGTTTTCTCGTCAACTTGAGAGCAAGGTGTACCCATGTCTGACTCATCTTTGCAAAGTGAAACGTTTTCTGGAGTGTATTGATTTTTTAAAACATTAAATAAAACCTATAAAACGTGTTAGTATCACTTAGCATAACTTTCACAGCTGTTCTTTCACTTATTACGTACATAGTCCTTTAACATTTGCAAGGTATCTGTAGGTTGGAATTCCGCACGGGACATTCCCATCCTGCTTCGGAAACGTATAATCTACATTACGTTAGCTATTCCAATAGTCAGATTTGTATCCTTCATACCATTTTTCCTGTACGATACGTGAAAAAGACAAGTAAACAATTGCTAAAGAAGAACTGTATAAGGTGATTAAATAGTGAGTTCGATCCATCGTTAAACAAATATAACGTGATACAAAATTCTATCGCAAAATTACATTGTTTGTTTACAATTTGGTAAACATGGTATAGAAGAAACGATGGAAAAATATTCGATGTAAAAAAAGGAAAATATATGTATACGTGTAATTAAAATGATGATAAGGGTTATTGAATTGGAAGGATCTAGCCTGACCGTTGTCGGCAGGGTGAATAAAGTCGATGGAGTTGTTATAGAAGATCAAAATACTTTTCGACACGACTTGACTTTCTTTCACGAAGCTACAATCGAAATTCTTCTGGATATTTTCTAGTTTATTAAATACAAAATATTTCTTCAATTTCATTCTTCTTTGATCCCTCCAAAAGCTAAAGGATGAGAAGGCTTCCTTTGCTTTTTTCTTTGTTTACATATTGATCGCGCTTTTCTAAAAAAATAGAAATAACAGAAGTTACTTTAACTAAAGGATTTCGACTCTTTCCTTAATAGTTAAATTACTGTTAGAGTGTATAAATTCATTTTTTTGAAATGCGATACAAGTAACAAATCCTCGTTAGTAGGATATTTTAAGGAAACAATTGATGAATGCAAGAAAGAAAGGGAAGAAGTTTATAACATTTCAAATTGTATTGATAATATTATTGAAAAACTAAATGAAATAATTAGATTAGTTTGGCTTTTAAGATCAATTGCATTTTACGGCATTCAGAAAGGATATGTGTATTCATTGCTTTCAGGATTACACGTTTATAGCATCTATAAGTAATTCAAACACTTCGCTCTCGACTGGATTAAATAGAATTTCAAGTTATCTAACTACAGCAATAATGAATGTGTCTAATGTCATATAGAGTGTAAAAGAATTTAGGCAGAATAGAACCAGGCCTTGGACAAAAGTTTTTTCGGTTTTGATAGCTGTCTTTTTATAATTGAAGGCTTCTTTGACCCATTACTATTTAAATCTATCTAATTTTAGGTATTATAGACTGTAAAATACGTCGTAATTAAAACATGCTCATTACATTCGGGCTAAGATTCCTTCTGTTTAATACCCAAGCAATCATTAATTCAATTGCTTTCGTAATGAATTAAACATTTATAAAACAGTAATTGGATTTTTTTGTGTAAATGTATAAACTTGAAAGGAGGATTGAATTTGATGATAAAGACCAATCCTTAGGTTAATTGATCAATTGACTTATACTTTCCTACAGCGCCAACACAAGGATCTATATTAAGCAATTGAAAGGTATACCATAATTGGAAGGTATTTCATATTATTTTTTACTTTTTTGAAATAACTGAAGAGTTGTTTTGCCTCGAAAAACCAAAATAGCTCGAGTGCTTTAGCAGAAAGAATACGATTTGCTCTCAACACTAACAGCTCTTGGTATGTTAAGCAATGCTCAAATGCACTATTGAAAATGATCAAATTCAAACTTTACGAAATGGAGAAACATATGTGTCCTATCAAGTCCGAACCCAGAGTGACTTGTCAGTGTTTGAAGAGAAAGAATTTTTCGTTCGAAGAAGATACAGTGATTTTGAGATGCTCCATAATATTTTAAGTAGGGATTACAATGGATACGCAATCCCTCCCGTCCCAAGAAAGCATACAGTCACCTCGTTTTCAGGTGGATCTCTTTCCCCGATATTCGTGGCCCGACGAATGCATTCTTTACAAACATTCCTTAACAGATGCATTAGTCACCCTGTAATTAGTAATTCCATGCACATGTATCAGTTCCTTGAAAATGAATTCTGGAAGTCCTATTACCATAATGCCTGGATGCAAGCGGAAAATGCAAGCATTAAACCTCCGCAAGAAGTTAACAACGGTAAAGGTCTTGAAAAATCTTCAATTATTACTGAGCCGTATCCTATTATCGTTCAAGAAAATGCAAAACGGATATTACAAAACTGCGAGACAGATCTACAGAAATTGGCCAAGGCTTGTAGTCAACATATGAGTAGCTTACAGACTTTTCCTTCTGATATTACAATTTCGAAAGCATCAAATGCTTTTTACACTGATGGAATTTCCTCGATCTTTGGTATCTTAAAGAAAACCAATGCTCAGCTATTGAATGTCTACCAGGCGAATATCCTTACTTCAATCCAAGATTTGGAAGACTACTTATTTATATTTAAGTCTATGGTAAAACAAAGAGAGCAAAAACAAAAGACGTTTGAGACAATTCAACTCGAATGTTCTCAAATTTCCGCCATAGAAGCTTCCATTGCCAATGAACAGCTAACCCCCAGGATGAATAATGATCTGAAAAATTCCAGAAAAAGGATAACATCATCCTCGCAAAATAAGTCTACCAGTTTATTCACTGTCCCCAGGTTTCTTCGGAAAAAGAGGTCTGCATCTTCGGAACTCGCAAATCCCATTGAGGCTCTCAGAATATGTTATCAAGATCTCCAACAAATAGACGAAAAATTGGATAGCGAAATGGGATTCTTTCGTGAAAGACTGGAAGTTGAAACTCGATGGACATTGCAAACTATTTGTGACAATCATGTGAACCACTTTACTGACATCCTTCAAAGTATCAATGCTTAAACTATTACATGAGAAAAATATTTTCTTAATGTAGGATGTATAATGAAGTAATCATTTTGCTTTCGTCTCACTCACGCTGATTTTGTACAATACGAAGGTCCTTTTCTCCACTCTTATTCTTCTTTTAATCACTTCTTTCCGCATGTCAGTTAATCATTTTTTGTTCACTCTTTATGAAAATGAGAGTGATCCTGGGTTGCATACCGGATTTATGTCTACATGCTTATACTATGATTTTGTATGACCGGTTTTCTCCCGTTTTTTTCTTCTTGATGCCTTTTACACTAATGATAATGCATAGATGCCTATATTTCTTGTTATTAAAATGATAAATGCTTATGTTGATGAATGATAATGTTATAAATTTCAGAACTATTAAGTAGTATGCACAGCGATCGTCTACCTTTAGTCGAAACGTTTCATTGTAAAACAGCATGTGTTCATATTCAGGTAAACATTGATCAAAATCATATTTTCTTTTGTTTACATTTATTCCTTATCTAAAGGCAGGAAGTCACGATTGACGTGTTCTGTAGAAGTCGTATCTAGTAAACATACGAAAGTCTTCCAAAACTAAACCTATAACGGATTCGCTGTCAGTCATTAAAATCATCGTATTACTATATTGATTAAACTAAATATTCCTATTAGAATTGAAATCAGTGACTAATTTAAGGGCTTGACTCACCAATTGTTTACAAGTAGGTCGTGAAGCTATTCGATCATTATCAAATCCATTTCTATTTCTTTTTTTTAAAAAGGGATTCCAAATGCTTCTTAAAAGCAGGTATTGCTTTCTTTTGTTAATGGCAATCGCATCCCTTGCGATGGCATCGTTGGATGCCAAACAGATGCTGGAAGCTCCTAGACGATCATCTGTCATTGCTAACTTTCGAGGGGATTTAGGTATTTTTTTGGAATCGAATTATTCTTTTAAAGATCATAGTTTCTCCTCTGGGATTTACCTTGTTAACAGTACAACCAAAAATCATCAAGAGCTATTAGTACCCGGAAAGGAATCGAAGTCTCCACAATGGATCACAGACCATTCTTTCCTTTATGTGAAGGATGTTGGGGATTCAAGATCGAGCATATTTGTGTTTGACATTGACAGTCGTTCCGAATTTGGTCTATATGATCACAGTGCCCCTATTTCGGAATTATCGATCGTGAAGGATTCTGGCCGTTACAGAGTAATCTTTAGTTCCGTCGATGCTTCCGGAAGATATGAACCTTCTGACCATTCCAATGTTCATGTCTATGATAGTCTGTTTGTCAGACATTGGGACCATTGGAAGACTGGAGAAAGGAACTGTCTCTATTCCATCATCCTTGAACAAGACTCTGAAAACATTCGTACACTTCATTCAGTTACGTCTACAGCTACAGACCTTTTAAAAGATACTGGGCTTGAATGTCCTATAGAACCATTCGGTGATTCAACAGACTTTGATGCTACATTCAATGAATTAGTTTTCGTTGCTAAAGACCCGCATTCTAACCCAGCAACCCAAACAAGGACAGTTGTTTATTTGTTGAACATGACTACTCTGAAGTTAAAAACCCTAAGTACAGCTATGGGTGCTTGCAGCTCTCCTATAATATCAGAAGACGGCTCTAAAATAGGTTGGTTAGAAATGAGAACACCACAATACGAAAGTGATCAGAACCAAATCATAATATACCATCCAAAAACAGGAAAGAAACAACATATTGTTAGAAAATGGGACCGCTCTCCTGCTTCTATTCAATGGGGTACTTTACCTAATGGTGAAAAAGGTTTGTATGCTACAGCTGATGACGAGGGAAGAAAAAATTTGTTTTTTATTTCCATGAAAAGGGACATAGTCATTCCTTTAACCAAAGACGGGAGTGTTTTATCGGTTTCGAATTCCAATGGACCTGAATTATGGCTAAGTAAGTCCTCTTTCGTTCGCCCCAAATATTTTGTTCTATACGACGTTGCTAAGAAGGAAGAAAAACTCTTGCTGGATGCAAATCTTGGTTTGAAGAAATCTTCATATGAAGAGATATGGTATAGCGGAACAGGTGGTCGCAAAATTCATGGATGGCTTGTCCGACCACAAAATTTCAACGCATCGATAACATATCCTCTTGCAGTGTTTATTCACGGAGGTCCCCAGGGGTCATGGACTGATACTTGGTCTACTCGTTGGAATCCCGCAGTGGTCGCAAATTCTGGATTCATCGTGTTTACCATTGATCCCACTGGATCAACTGGATACGGCCAAGGATTTACTGATGATATCGCCTTAAACTGGGGAGGACGGCCATATCAAGACATTGTTCGTGGTGTTGACTATATCACGAGTAAAATTCCCTATGTCGATGGAAGTAGAATGGTGGCATTGGGTGCTTCCTACGGCGGCTATATGATTAATTGGATTCAAGGCCATCCTTTGGGACGTCGTTTTCGAGCTCTAGTATGTCATGACGGAGTTTTCAACACACTCAACACATTTTATAGCACAGACGAGTTATACTTCCCTATCCATGATTTTGGTGGGACTCCTTGGGAGAACAGAGCTGTATATGAACGTTGGAATCCTTCTAATTTTGTCGACTACTGGGCAACCCCTCAACTCATTATCCACAGCTCAAAAGACTATCGTCTAACAGAAAGCGAGGGAATTTCTGCCTTCAATTCACTCCAATACAAGAACGTTCCTAGCAAGCTTTTGATTTTCGAGGATGAAAACCATTGGGTCCTCAAGCCCGAGAATTCTTTGCGTTGGCATAATGAAGTTTTGAGTTGGATTACCAAATTTGTGAATGATAATTGACACAAAAATTATTATTCAGCTAGATTCTAATTCAAAATGTGTCTTTCCTTTCTTAGTAATGTTTCTTCAGGAAATACCGCGATTTCCGGATAATGCCGTATACTTTAGCATCGATACCAGATCAATCAAATTTCTTTCTTTCGAAGAAACGTAAAACCAAGTAAAATACTAGCCAAGAATTTCAGTAAAGTTCAATATTTTTTTGATAATATCTATCTCTAATATATTAGACTGAATTTTTTGGCAATAATGGTAAACTACGAAGTTCGTGTTCCTACTTACAAGGCATCCGCCGTTAGTCCTTCTGAGCGTGAACGTATCTTGGCTCGTCCTATCCAAGATACCCAAAACATTCGTAAAATAGTAGAGCCTATTATTGACGATGTAAAAGCTCGTGGTGAGAAAGCCCTCATTGAATGTGCTGCCAAGTTTGAAAAGGCAGAATTGAAGTCTGCTGTAATGAAGGCTCCTTTCAATGAGTCCCTTATGAAGGTTGATCCAAGGATTCGTGAGGATATCGACATAGCTTATAACAACATCTACGCTTTCCACTCTGCTCAATTACGCCCTAACATCTCAGTTGAAACCATGCGTGGTGTTGTCTGCCAGAGAATGTCTCGCCCTATTGAGCGAGTTGGATTGTATATTCCTGGTGGTACAGCTGTTTTACCCTCAACGGCTTTGATGTTGGGTGTTCCGGCCAAGGTTGCTGGCTGTCCTCATATCGTTATCTCAACCCCCGTTCGTAAGGATGGCACTGTGGCCCCAGAGATTGTTTATATTGCTCATAAACTTGGTGCCGAGCAGATTATATTGGCCGGTGGTGCTCAAGCTGTGGCTGCTATGGCCTATGGTCTTCCCGGTATTCCTAAGGTTAACAAAATCTTTGGCCCGGGAAACCAATTCGTGACTGCAGCTAAAATGCACGTTCAGAACGATTATGGTGCTTTAGTTGCTATCGACCTTCCGGCTGGACCTTCTGAAGTTTTGGTCATCGTTGACGAATCTTGTAATGCTGAAAGCGTTGCTCTTGATTTGCTCTCACAAGCAGAACATGGTTTGGATAGCCAAATTGTTTTAATTGCGGTCGCTCTTACGGATGAGCAGTTTGACCAAGTTGAGGCTGCCATTAATCACCATGCCTTGCGTTTGTCTCGTTCTTCTATTATCCAACATGCTATTAAGAAGTCCGTCATCATCCGTACTGATTCCACCGATGAAGCCTTTGAATGGTCCAACCTATATGGCCCAGAGCATCTTGTTCTTCACCTTAAGAATGCTTCTTCTTATCTTCCCAAAATCAATAACGCTGGAAGCGTTTTTGTAGGTCCCTGGTCTCCTGTTAGTATGGGCGATTATGCTTCTGGCACAAACCACACGTTACCAACCTACGGATACGCTAGCTCCTATTCTGGTGTAAACACTGACAGCTTCTTAAAATACATCACTACGCAAGAACTTACTGAGGAAGGTATTCAACGTCTCGGTCCTTCTGTTATTCGACTCGCCGAATTGGAAGGACTAACCGCCCATGCCGACGCAGTTCGCGTTCGTGGTGTGAAGCTTTGAAGATGGTAGTAAATTATGAAATATATTTTGGATAAATGTTAAGGATAGAGGTTTCAATGTTATCTGCTGGAAAATTGAAAGATTGTCAACTGTAATTATTTAGCGCGTCAATCGTATTTTTCTTGTTGATTACCTTTAATCTTAATACTTGAAATAGATTTATGTTGATGTATATATTTATACTGTGAATCTAGCAGTAATAATTGCGAAGACGCGTCAACATCACTCTAAAAACATCTACCAACAACCACCCATAACAAATATTAATCCTTTGTTTAGTCAGTATTTATATCCAAAAAAAAATCAGTAACAAACTGAATTAAAACGTTGTTTTATTAAAATGAGCTACTCAGTTTCAGCAGCACAATTATGGTCGCGAAAACTGGCTATGCAAGCTGAAGATATGCAATTGAGTCAAAAAAATACAAACAGCAGTATTTTAAACATTATAGGAGAGATGAAAGCCCTACAAGAAACAACAAATCAGAACATGGATCAAAACTTCAAATCTCTTACTCAAAATCACCATCAAGTTTCGTCCTATAGTAAGATTAATTGAAACGGTACACAAAACTAATGAAGAAACTTTTAGTGTTTCAAACCTTAAACAACTTCCAAACTTATCTTCAAAAGGTGATCGAAGAACAACAGAAAACCAACTTGCGCATGGAAGTCTTGGAAAAAAACGTATTTACATTACAAGCCCAACTGGGGTCCATTCAAACCGAGCAAGAGAATGGGTTCAAGAACATAGAGAAGCTACTAAAAGAGTCGACAGCCACTACAGTGGCTGCTACAATGAAGCAAGTAGCAGCAAAGGAACCCAAACGAAAAACCACTACGTCTCATTCAAAGCCTGTTCAAGCGAACCCAACATCAGCTGCCAAAAGAAACGCAACTTCAATGAGGAAAAGAGTGCTAGCTTTGGACTTTTTGGCTGAAGATGACTACTAGAAAACTATTCCTCCAGTTAGGTCATTCTACTTATTCTACAAAGTCATAAAATACAGTATGAATTGCTTAAAGGATTCCTTCTATTATTATTTTTTTTATCTCTTGCAACTAAGCGAACATCTGTAAAATGTTAGTTTCCTGATGTTTTTCAAAATTCATGATATGACTTTTCAAAAAAACATAAAAATGCTTTGGTATAAAACCTTCAGACTCTTCCTATTTATAAGCGGTATCATTGAACAAGTGTCTCAGACGGCACTTCCTATATTGCTCAGGTTTTTGTCATCACTTATGTGAAGCATCCATATATCTCATTGAAAAGTTTCAATTGAACTTACCTAAACTATGCCAAAGCAAGCTTAAACTCCAGAAGAGTTCTCAAACATGGTAGTGAATATATAATTTAGCTGAAAGGCTTGCTATATATAACTTTTGTGACGGCTTTTTTCGTCCATGCATGATGACAAGAAAAATTGTCAAGCTGAAGCGAAAGAAGACGGATGTTTAGCTACTTTGACCTTATGTTTAGTTGTCTAAATAGGAATATAAATGGTAATGCGTAGCGGAATTGCTTGAAGCGAACATTGGATGATTTACCAAAGAAAAACAGACCTTTCTAATTGAAGGAAGAACACAAATTACCTAATATCTTAGTCAATGAAATGGAGTTTTGTTGAGAAAATTTATTTTAGTTTTTAATGAATAAAACAGATCACACTAAGGATTGTAAGTTTTGTAATTACACTTTTCATATGAATACTCGATCATTGGTTTTGTATTTACTAGTGTATTGCAGTATTATATCGTAAGTTGTTTATTCTGTGTTGATCCGCTGCGCTATGCTGATAATGCGTTTTAAGAAGAGCTCAATATATACCTTCCAGCTGCTATAATTTCTCTTTCTCCATCTTCCCAAAAATTAATTTTTGGGAGTTACTGGGGGTTTTCGACTAAAACCGTAAAAGATTCAAAAAATTGCTGTGAAATTGATCTAGACGTCGTCCTGTACGCGAAGAAGTGTGAATTGTGTTCGAGATAGTTCTTAAAATTGAAAAATGTCTATTGTTTCTTCAGTAGCTTTCGTCCCTCGTGGATACGCTGCAGAATTCCCCAAGACTTATGAATTAGATGAAGCTGAATACGAAAGAATCAACAATATTTCCAAGTTGAAGTTGGAAGACGCTCGTGCTCAGCTTGAGAACCCAGATAATGAACAGGAAAAGAGCGAAGATGTAGCTACTGAATCGAAAGATCAGACGGCTTCCTCAACCGCAGGGGTTCAAACGGCAGAAGAAATAGACGATGAACTCAAGGAATACCAGTTGGATAATTACGACGAGGAGGATGAGGAAGAACAAGATGATAGTTTGTCGGCATTTAGCAATATTAAAGGAATTCAATACCACGAAAATGGAGAAAACGATCCTTACGTGACAATGGATGCACAGGAGGAAGAAGAAATGGAGCGTGAAGAGATGCAAATTTATCCTACAGACAACCTTTTGTTGGCTGCACGTACAGAGGACAACATGTCGCACGTCGAAGTATATTTGTACGAATCAGAAGAAGAAAATCTTTATGTTCATCATGATTTTCTTCTTCCATCCTTCCCTTTGTGTTTAGAATGGCTAGATTACAAAGTTGGTACTTCTGACGATACACCAGGAAACTATGTGGCAGTAGGAACATTTGATACTGAAATCGAAATTTGGAACTTGGACGTGGTCGATGCAGTCTACCCAGCTGCTGTTCTCGGTGCAAGTGGTGCATCTTCTACTTCGACTAAAAAAAAGAAGAAGGCTCCCAAAGTGAATCCTGAAACCCACACCGATGCTGTTCTTGCTCTTTCTTCAAACCGAAATGCTCACAATCTTTTGGCATCTGGTTCTGCAGATTCCAGTATTAAACTTTGGGATTTAGCCTCTTGTACTTGCGTTAAATCTTTCACTTATCACACGGATAAAGTTTCTTCTTTATCCTGGCATCCCAAGATGCCCTCTGTGTTGCTTTCTGGTAGCTATGATAAGACAGCCAGAATTGCCGATTTGCGTGCTGATGCTGCTCCTTTAACGATTACTATTGACAGTGATGTTGAAAACGTGGCTTGGGACCCTCACAATGAAAACAATTTCTACATCGGTTCTGATGCTGGTATATTGTACTATTGTGATGCTAGAGATATGAGCAAACCTGTTTGGCAACTGCAAGCTCACGATGGTCCTATTTCTTGTATGAGCGTCAACGCTAACATCCCTAACCTGATCGCTACCGGTTCAACCGATCGAATGGTCAAATTATGGAATACGTCCGATAACACCCCCAAGCTGGCGGTTTCTCGTGATCTTGACATCGGTCGTGTGTTTACTTGCGCTTTTATTCCTGACGAACCTGTTGCTTTCCAGTTGGCTGCTTCCGGAAGCAAAGGCCTTGTTCGTGTTTGGGATACCGCAACTAATTCTGGTGTGAGAAGAGCATTTGACACCCGTGTCAACAAAGACTCTGCTTCTACTAAGGAACGGGTTGTTCAATTAGAGGACGCAGCTGCCAATGATGAATCGGACGAAGATGATGAATATGAGGACATTGAAGCAAACGACGAAGATGATGATTCTGCCGACGATGTTGAAGATCAAGAGATGGCTTAATTTTTAAACTAATCATCATTTGATTCGGAATAATTTGCTTTTATTTTAAATTGGCATAGGTGTTGTGTATCAGAAGTTGAGTAGACGTCTTGTTAATTATTAACATTGCAATGTGATTTGCAAATGGTAAATATGGGATTTTTTTGGTTAGAGTCAATAAAGGATTGTTAATATTTTCTTCTTTAATTAATTTGAACGTATGTGGTTGTTTTTGTATTTGTTATGTATTGTTGAACAAGTCGCGTTTAGTTTCAATTAAGTAAATGAGCGATGTTTAGAACTGGGCCTATAGACTCAATTACATTAATAGTTATCAGTATATAAATTTCGATTTTCTATTCATGTCAGTTTTGCATAAGTAGTGTTTTCTGTTGGCCACAAGCAGAATCACTTCCTTCGACCTTCGAACTCTACACTTTAGCCATTGATAGGTATGTCATCAAATTCTTACAATGACAGCTTATTTTCTGAATTAGTTAGAAAAATCCAAGAGTATATTCCAAATAAAGATGCTAGTGAATCGCTAGCGAAACGGGTTTTGGTGATTGCCAAAGGTCAATCGACTGAAGAAGGGTTTGGCAAAGCATTAAAAACATTTGGGCGCTTTTCTGATCAAGATACTATTATTATTTATGATCTATGTAAAATTATAATAACAACAAATGATAATATGGGTCCACCAGCGGATACTTTACCTCGAAGCGACGGTCAAACCAAGGCAGGTTTGGTGGTGCCAGTAAAGCGTACTCATAATCATGATTCAGGAGCCAATTCCTCTTTACTAGGCTTAGACGCGTTAGCAAATGAGAAAAGACAAGAACAAGCCGAAAGGTCTCAGACTTTACGGGCAGGGTCATCACCTTCTCATGTAGGAATCTTTGGAAATCATGACCGTGTGGAATTTAGAAAGCCAAAAATCCCATCACGATCTGATCGGCCCTTGCGTCGTCGATGGAATGATAACGACTATCACGAAAATCAAAAGGATGATGAGGACTACAAGGATAAACATTACACCCGTAATTATACGAACCAAGGAAACATTAAAGATGAAAGATTTGAATCTCGAAGGGTTGCAAGGAAGGATGATCGTGATAACAACGACTTCGCGTTTAAAACAAGGCGTAATGAATATGAAGAAGATCCTGTTAGCCAACGGAAACGATTTATGGATAAAAAACAATTTACTGACCGAAAAAGTGACAGAAGTTCCTTTGTATCACAGAATACTTGGGACCCACGTGACGTGGAATATCCTGAAGAAGACCACGAAAGCTTAGAGGACCGTCGTCGCTGGGAAGAGGAACAGGCACATTTGGATCGTGAATGGTACATGAATTCAGAATCTCAAAATTTATTGGGAGATGAAACTCATAACCCATTCGCCGATTTTGAAACGGAGGAAGACAAACAACGAGAAGTTGATTTTATTGAGTCCCAGAAACGTCACCTTTCTGCTCAAGCTACGGAAAGAATGAAGGAAAATTCGATTTGGGAGAAAAATCGAATGGTTACTTCCGGCATAGCCGCGACCCCAGGATTAGAGTCTGATTTCTCAGCTTCAGAAGAAAGGCGTGTTCATCTTTTAGTTCACGAACTCCGGCCTCATTTCCTTGACGGTGTTAATTTTACTCTAAGGCAGCAAGAAATTACCTCCGTGCGTGATCCTCAAAGTGATCTTGCTATAAACGCACGCCGGGGTTCTGGCGTTGTTCGTGAACGACGAGAGTTTAGAGAACGTCAAAAAGCTGCTACTGCAGCTACGACACTTGCTGGTACTTCTTTGGGAAATGTCATGGGTGTTAAAGAAACTTCAGAGGAGGCTGTTAATAAGGAACAGAACCGCATGCCTTCTACGGTTGCCGGTAAGTTAGGCCCAAAAAAAGAACCAATTGAAAACTCTGCTAGGACGAAAACTTATAAAGAACAAAGGGAAATGCTTCCAGCGTTTGCTGTGCGTGAGCAATTATTGTCTGTAATTCGTGATAATCAAGTACTTATCGTAGTCGGTGAAACGGGGTCCGGTAAGACAACTCAGCTTGCCCAATTCCTTTATGAAGATGGCTACTATACTAACGGGATGATTGGCTGTACTCAACCACGACGTGTTGCTGCAATGTCTGTGGCTAAGCGCGTGAGTGAGGAGATGGGCGTTGACCTTGGCTCATTAGTTGGATATTCCATTCGTTTTGAGGATGTGACAGGTCCTGACACCATGATAAAGTATATGACGGATGGTGTATTGTTGCGTGAATCCCTAGTACAAAACAATTTGGAGCGTTACAGTGTTATCATTATGGATGAAGCACATGAAAGATCACTTAATACCGATATTTTGATGGGATTATTGAAGAAAATCATATCAGTAAGAAGGGATTTGAAACTGATTGTAACTTCTGCAACCATGAACTCACAGAGATTCTCTGATTTCTTTGGAGGTGCACCCCAATTCACCATTCCTGGTCGTACATACCCTGTTGATGTTATGTTTTCTAAAATTCCATGTACGGATTATGTTGAAGCCGCAGTTAGACAGGCGCTTCAAATTCATTTATCGCAACCGGCAGGTGACATATTAATTTTCATGACCGGTCAGGAAGATATTGAGGCTACTTGCGAAATTATGGCAGATAGGCTAAATCAGTTAGACGATGCTCCTCGACTATCTATCCTTCCAATCTATTCTCAGATGCCAGCTGATTTACAGGCGAAGATTTTTGAATCTGCGGAATCAGGAGTTAGGAAGGTCGTTGTTGCGACAAACATTGCAGAAACATCTCTTACTGTGCACGGTATTTCTTATGTTGTTGACAGTGGTTATTGTAAGTTGAAAATGTATAACGCGAAGATGGGGATCGACACTTTACAAATTACACCTATTTCCCAGGCAAACGCTAATCAAAGATCTGGTCGTGCAGGGCGTACGGGTCCTGGCTTAGCATATCGTCTATATACTGAGTTAGCTTATATTCGCGAAATGTTTCAAACAACTTTGCCAGAAATTCAGAGGACTAATCTTTCTCATACGGTCCTGCTATTGAAATCTCTTGGCATAAAAAATATTCTACATTTTGAGTTTATGGATCCGCCACCAGTGAAGACTTTAATGGCTTCTTTATATGAGCTTTGGACTTTGGGTGCTTTGGATAATTACGGAGAACTTACAGAAATAGGAAGGAAGATGTCGCTTTTCCCAATGGATCCATCATTGTCAAAATTAATTATTATGGGAGAAGACTATCATTGTACTGAAGAAGTCATTACAATTGTTTCAATGTTGTCAGTACCATCCGTATTCTATCGTCCGAAGGAAAGGGCTGAAGAAAGTGACGCAGCTCGAGAGAAATTTAATGTCCCAGAAAGCGATCATCTTACTCTCTTGAATGTTTATTTGCAGTGGAGAAGAAACGGATGCTCTGATACATGGTGTAGTAAGCATTTCCTACATGGTAGAATACTAAAAAGAGCCAGTGATGTTCGACAGCAACTGGTGGAAATCATGAGTACTCAAAAAATACCGATTAAGTCAGCTGGATCTGAATGGGACATTATTCGAAAAGTTTTGTGTTCATCATATTTCCACCAGGCTGCAACAGCTAAAGGAATTGGTGAATATACACATTTGCGTAGCGGAATGCCATGTCATTTGCACGTTACCTCTAGTCTGTATGGATTAGGCTATTTACCGGATTACGTTGTTTATCATGAATTGGTGCTGACTTCAAAAGAATACATGAATGTCGTTACAAGTGTCGACCCACATTGGTTAGCAGAATTTGGCGGCGTTTATTATTCTCTAAAAGAACGTGTTCGTAACGAGACAGAAAATTACGAACGTGTTTACTCTAATAAAGCGAAGTTAGAAGAACAGATTGTGGCAGATCGTGAGACGGATGCCAGAAAAAAAAACTCTAATGATGATGCACCAAAAAAACCTGCTAGAAAAGCAGTGATACGAGCAAAAGCCCCACGCCGGGTACGGGGATTTTGAGCGTACCCTGCTACTCCTTCTTCATGTACATTAAAAAATTATTTTATGGATTAGGTATAAATGATTTTGAAAATATGAACACCTCCTTGTACATATGAGTATGAGGATAGATAATAGTAGAAGTAGTCTTTACCAGATATCTGCGAAAGAAAATAATGGAAAGGAGAGCTTTAAAGACATGTAATCCTCAAGGATGGTAATATTTATCGTCTGTTGCCGGTCAAAAGAGGCCACCGATTTTCCATCCATCGCTCTAATTTGTCCCATAACTGGCTGACAACCTCACGATCGGTATGTCGTCGAACACGTTCAACAAAGACACCTTCAACATTCCAATCTCTTGTAGCGGGATGTGGAGCATCACCGACGTACTGAACAAGGAAGCCTTTAACATGGTGGAAAAGCTGATGGGGTTCTGACCATTTATAATCACGGAATTGCCAAGCCTGACCTGTGGTAAAAACGCACACCACACGACTCCAATAGTCCGGCTTAAAGTTCTCCGTGTTATCTACTACAATGAACCGCATAGTACCAAAATTGGATTTTGAACTTCTATGATTCACGGTTACCAATTCTGAGCCGCGTCCGCCGCCTGCGGCTTGAGCAGCTTCGAGAGGTGGTACAAAAATGCCTTCTTCAAGAAACTTCTTTACGTTGTGCATAGTCAAAAGAGAAGAAGCAGATGGTGAGAGTAAAATAATAGGATCACGATCTAGAAAAAGTTTAGTAAACTGATACACCATAAATCACGCATACTTCTTCTTTTAGCAGACTTGTCAGCATCTTCAGCAGCTGGGCCATGAGAACTTTTATTCATGTGGATATAATCTAAAACATCTTTACGCAAGGAGAGAAAGTTCTAAAGAGATTAGTCAGGCAAAGATACAATGTTAGGACGAAGCATACCGTAGGCTTGGCACCATGTAGGATAGTATTATGATTGGAGACAACACGAGAGTTATTTTGCAACCATTTTACCTGATCACTTTTTTCTCCAACTTTCTGTTCTCTTGTTGGAACCTCTGCCTTTTCAGTTTGTTTAGCTTCTATTAGAAATCGTGAGTTAGAATAATTACAAGAAACGACTTGCATACCTAATCCGACAATATGTTCGCTTTCAGCAGAACCTTCTAACCAAGAAATCAAATCGGTTCTTTCCAAAAAGGTTAAATTGCGAATACCATACTCCGAGCATTGTTGGATATAGTCAGCAATACTGGAATCTCTCAGGAGCCAAGCAAAATATATGCTTCTAAGTGTAAATGGTTCGTTGGTTTCTAACTTTATAAATTTTGTATTTTCATCTAAACTGAAGGGCTTCGGTGACTCTGTAAAGGCGACGAACTTAGCATCCGATAAATTTTCTACTTCAGAATTGGTATTTTCACTTGCTAGAAGTTTTGGTTTCTCGTTTTTACTAATAGTGTTCTTTAAACCCAACAATGCATCTAGTTCCTCCATTTTTGGTGCTCAACAAAAAAGGGCAAAAGTCAAGTAGTTTCAAGGCATGACGAAATGTCGTATCTTAGTTGCCGGAAACTGTCAATCTTTTAAAACAAATCCCTAGAATTTTTACTAATATTATTGATTTTTGAGTATCCATTGAAGCCTATTGCGGTTTTCTCTACTGAACAACATGCTGAAGCTGAAGCATCCATCAGACTTCTAGTACTAAGTCTTTGCATTGCATTTCAACGATGAAATTGCATTGGAAATATTATAGCAAACCTATAGACAATATATTGCTCTAACCTAATAACATCACATATATGTTTCTTGTTGGTTCCTCTCCCAAACAAAACTCAAGATTTAAAATATCGAAGACAAAGGAATTTCAAATACTATTAGATGCTTTGCTACCCTATCAACCAGGAGTATATACAGTAAGGCTTTGGCTTCTAAACATTAAATCCTCTGGTAGGAAGGAATGTATTCTATGGAATATCAACGATCGAAAATGATCGTCATTGAAATAAGTGATGACCTAAACAACCCAAAAAACAGTACCAAAAGAAAGCTTATTACTTGGCGATAGTAGGTTCTTCAGCTTTAACTTCGGGCTTCATGTGAGGGAAGAGCAATACTTCACGAATGGTGTTGCTGTCAGTTAAGAACATGACCAAACGATCAATACCAATACCCCAACCACCAGTAGGAGGCAAACCGAACTCAAGTGCTGTACAGAAATTTTCGTCGATGATTTGAGCTTCGTCATCACCTTGGTCTTTTTGGCGAGCTTGCTCTTCGAAACGTTCACGTTGGTCGAAAATGTCGTTCAACTCGGTATAGGCATTGCAAATCTCCTTTGTTGCAACGAAGGCTTCAAAACGTTCACACAAGCCAGCATCAGAGCGATGGTACTTAGCCAAAGGAGACATCATTTGAGGATGTCCAATGATGAAAGTAGGGTTAATGCACTCGTTTTCAATGAATTCACCAACCAATTTGTCAAGAAGACGAGAGTTGGTTTGAGGGGGAGAGCACTCAACATTGTGTTTAGCACAGAGGTCTCTCAAGAATGCATTAGCCTCATCGGAATGAAGAAGATCACCAGGAGGGAACTTAACGTTAAGGCGTTGTTCCAAATGCTCAATCATGTTGATACGGCGCCAAGGACGAGAGAAATCCAATTCCCAACAGGGACCTTCGGGGCCTTCAGGATGGTAAGGAATCTTGTAAGAACCGCAGACCTCTTTAACCATGCCGGAAATCATTTCCTCAGTGGTATCCATAAGATCATAATAGTCGGCATAAGCTTGGTAAAACTCACAAGAAGTGAACTCTGGGTTATGAGTCAAGTCGGCACCTTCGTTACGGAATTGGCGTCCGATTTCGTAAACGCGATCTAATCCACCAACGACGAGCATCTTTAAGTACAACTCAGGAGCAATACGCATGAATAAATCCATGTTCAAATCGTTGTGGTGAGTAACGAATGGCTTAGCTGTAGCACCACCAGCAATCATGTTCATCATGGGAGTCTCAACCTCGATAAAGTCACGCTTGTCCAAGAAAGTACGCAAATATTGGATGATACGGCTACGAGTAACGAAACGGTCACGAGTAGAGCGGTTCATAATCAAGTCCAAGTAACGTTGACGGTAACGGGTTTCCAGGTCCTTCAAACCATAGTGCTCCTTGGGAAGCATACGCAAGCAAGGGCTGAGTAAAACACATTCACGAGCGAAAACGGAAAGTTCACCGTCAGCACGGCCCTTGGGGTTGGAGCGACCAGGATAACCGCGGATACCGATAATGTCACCACGACGGATGTGCTCATGTTGATCAGCATAATCAACACGGTCAGCATCTTGAGCTTGACACATAATTTGAAGCTTGTGGCCATCAGCATGAATTTCGTAGAAACGAAGTTTGGCACCAGCAGTACGAAGACCGTGAACACGACCAGCAACGGTTACTTCAACATCAGGCTTTGTTTCACCACGTTGTAAGCCTTCATATTCTTTGATAAATTCGGGAAGCTTAGTACCGACATTGAACTTGTGAGGATAAGGGTTAGGTTGCTTAGTTTGGCGCAACTCCTTAATAGCACGAGAACGGTTCTCAAAATATTGGGAAGGATCCAATTCCTCCTCGTTCTTTTTAGCACTCTTAGCCTCTGGAGGAGCAGTAGCAGCCTTCTCAGCTTGTTTCTTAGCTTTAGCTAACTCACGAGAACGAACTTTCTCTCTTTTCTTCAACTCGGTTTTAGAAACATGTTCTCCAGTAACAGGGTCAAGGACAAGAGCCTTAACTCCTTCTGTAACGTCCTTAACTTGTTCAGCACTCATTTTGCCCTGCAATTGCGGTTGTTAGGTCTGAGTGAAAATTTTGGTGGAAGGAAACTTTAGATTCTCTGCTACTACAACAAAACTGATGATCATATTAAGTACTATAATACAATCGCAAAAGCTGAGGGATAATATAATAATGTGTAGAAAAATTATAGTGAAGGAAGAAGTTGTATTCGCAGAAGTTAGATAAGACTCATTTACTGTGAGTTATATTATGATCATTAAAACATCCTTTATGCCTGATTGAATGGCAGATACGTGTCAATTGGCTTACCTCTCAGCCCAACCAGCAAAACTACTCTTAAGCTGAAGATACTTTCTGAGAACTCGTCCGTGTTTTCTTCCTATTCAATGGACCGTTAGACTAGAATTTGTTAAATTGTAGAATTCTTTTTCTATGTTTATGTCCCATAGACTATATTCATGTTACTTCGAGGTGCTTATATCTAGTATGAATATTATTATGTATGTCCCTACCAATGCTATGAAATTTTTTAAGCGGGAAACTGCAGACTGACAATTTCTTTTAAGGATCCACAACATTCCAGTAAATTAAATTCGCGTCAGGTAAACGAGGGTCGAAACGATTAGCAAGAACACATTCATATATAACCCCAATCTGTATTCCTAATGACCTTTACTATCTTTTCTTTAAATATTAGTTGAAGCATCGTAGAAGGCTTTAAACTTTTATTTTACAGCATTCAAGTAGTTCCAAGAGACAATAGAAGCTAATTGAATTCGGACGTCCCTGACTAGCTTACTATTCGATACATTTTTTTCATGGTCTTCCAAGCAAGCAATGCAGTCGAATGCGCTTGTCAAAGAAATCGTTTGATAGTTCTTTGTATTTCTGGTAAATACAAGCAATTCTTTCAAAAGTTTTTCTCGATAAAATTTAGGAGAATTAATCATCTTTAGTAACCCAATAAGCAATTCACCTGCTTGGCGAGGATCTTCGCTTTCCTTACAAAGAAAGTATTGGTGAATTGCAGCAGCCGGCGAAAGAACAGAAGCCAATGTTGGAGAACACAGACGAGGAGAACTTAGGAGATCATATAAAGTCTCATCTTCTGCGGCGTTTACTGAATTTTGATTTTCGAGACAAAGATTGAAAATTTCCCATGTCACTCTGTTCATTGTAGTAAAATCACGAGCTTTGTCTAAAATAATCAATGCCTCACCATAAGCACCTTCTGCAATCAAATTCGTTGCCCAATGAGACATAACACTCTGTGCTTCTTCTTGTAAATCCAACTCTTGACAGACAGTTAAAGCTTCATCTTTTTCAACAATATTATGCAGAGGGACTCTGGATATTAGGGATTTTATGCGTTGATGTCCGTATCCTGGTACATGCTTCCAATACGCAAAAGCTACCTGCCAGATACCCTTTGTTTCCAAGATAATTTCACCGTATTCAAGTAAGAGATGTTCACGAAGTGTTACGGGAAGTTCTTCGGTAAAATAATCTTTAATATATCCAGTTTTATGTAAAAAGTCGGCCAAATGAACGGCGAGACCGACATCCAACATGTAGGAATGTTGAATAGCGTCCAATGGTTGATTATTGCACAATGCAACGCAAAGCTTTTCGAATTCCAGAGTCGAATCGACATAAAAATCAGTGTCTTCGGCAGTTGACATTTGATACAAAATAGACACTTGAGCTGGGTTTTTACAATCCAAAGGATCGTATAAGAACGCTAAAGCAGAAAAGTACTCTTGCCAAGAAATACAATTCGTTTTAATCTCCTCCCTGTTACCGCTTAAAATGTTCAACAAAGAAAGTAGACTTTGTTCAACTTCCGTTGGTATATCACTGTGATTCACTATACTTTGATGAAGGTGTGCTATCCGTGAACGCCAAATTTTCCATCGCTTCTCAAAATCAACAGCAGATCGAATGGACTTTTGATGCAAGCATGGACAATACTTCAAAATGTCTACAAGATCATTTATCGTGGTTTCCAAAGTAGGTATTTCTTTCGTCAATGACGAAGACTCTAAACAAGAAATAGTTTGTTGGAACAAGCCACGGATTGCTGTTTTGTTGACATAAGACCAGAAGGAAGGGTGTTGATAGGGTATACGGTAGGTCATAATTTCCAATCCATCTTCAGCGACGGGTTGAGGGTCGTAAGAGTTAACCCAGTCCATGATAGTTGTTGATAGAGTATAAGGAGAAGAAGAAGGAAAATATATTGCTTCTGCACAACGCCATGCAGATTCTACTTCCCATAGCGTATCCAAAGAAGGCTGGAGCTCTTTTTGTCCATCGTTAATTTGGGTTTGGAAATATTCTAAGACTTGATTGATCTTTTTACGAAATATAGAACTGATTTTTCCATAAAACTGAACTAATACCAATTGGTTTAATTCATCATTCATGGTAGGCTTTAGAGAAACATCTTGCAATTCTTCCCATAGTTCATACCATGAAATTAATAATTCAGTAGGTTCAATCAACGGGGAAGGTTGTTGAAATTCATAAAGGTGTCCTTCCGCTTCCTCAAAAGGACCTGAAGATTTTGTGTCATCTAAACTCAACTGTTTGCTTGTAATAAATGTAGATCCCTTGAGGGTATATGGATGCAAAGCAAATCCTGCAGTACGTTCATTTGACGACCAAGCAGAGATATTGCCAGATTCTATGGGAGCATCCTCAAAATGGTAAGTAATATCATAAGTGTCCTCGGTTGTATTCATAATTTTTCACGCGCTAAATTGGAACGATGGCTTGAAACGAAAAATAAAAAAAGATAATTGAATGAATAATACAGAACTGTCAATTCATGAAAGCTAGATGAATCGTGAAACAACGAAATAAAAAACAAGCGCCTGTAGGCCCAGAAGGAAGGGTTTCCAAAAAATTAAATACTGTTTCCTATATTATTATAAAAAACTGCAAATAAAAAAAAAAACATAGACTCACAAAAGAGGCTAGAAACAAGTGTTTGAAGTGCAGTAGGAAAAGAGTTGTTACGTGGAGCTAGCAAAAGCAAGGCATGAGCTAGACGTTTACCTGAAGTTTGGACTAGCAATTAGAACAGCTTAAGAATAGTTTCAAAATAGAAAACAAAAAGCAAGAAAAATGTCTTTTTCTTTTCTTTTTCTTTTTTAGTAATTCGATGTGGATGACTTTTTCGTCAGCTTAAACGAACATTAGCGGTTATTCCTTCAAATAATCTTTCCTACTTGTTGTATGAAAACTGTGAATCTCGTTGAATTGGATGCAGAAAAGAGCCTAAGCGCGTGTGAATTGATTTGGTAGTTTGTTTCCAAACTTCACCATTGCCGCGAAGTTCTTTGGGAAGTTATAGAAATTAAGAATAATTGTTTTCAAGAATCAATGATCAACTTTCAGTTGGCTCAGAGCAATTATTTTTAATGAAGAAAATGTTGAGGCATTGTTCAACGACCATGCGAACATCCAATTCGAGGTCAAAGTTCGCGAGAAACTCCTTATTCTTTACATCTTCAAAAGTTATAATGAACAAAGCTTATTCTTTCTGCCACTGTCTAATAGCTCTAAGCTGCAATAGCTTTCACCATTGCGAATGCTCGATGTCTCACTAGCGTTTAGAACAATGAAGGAACCATCGATGTTTTATTTTTCTTTTTCTCTTACCTAAAAATAATAAAGAACTCTCAATTGTTTAAACTCCATTGATTTCACGGAGACCTAGTATCTTCAAACGGTGGAAAAGCAAATCCCTGTCAACTTCTTGAATTGTAATTAAATAAAAAAAAATATGTTTCTTCTTCAATTACATATGCATTTAAACATATATTCTGCGCAATGGATCCAAAAGATTTGAGATCTCATGTCATAGGATTCAGCTAATTTTGATCAGATATACTTAACGAACGACTTTAAACAAGTAAATGAATCAGTGTCCCTTTGCATAGTCAACTCTGTGAAAAAAGAAGGCAAAATAAGGAAGAAAAGAAGAAAAGAAAAAGGATATTGCCATAAATGAATAGAAGCGTTCCTGTTCATCTCATTGCGTGATACAAGACTCCATTGTGAGAACTTTTTTTATAATTATCCAACCTCTATTATAGGAATCGCACAAGTTTTTCCTTTTTTTTGTTTCTTTTTTCTTGTATGCATTAAAATCGGAGGAATGAAATTAGGATCTGCTGTCTATAGATTTTTGGTGCAGGATTATCAAAACATATGGATGGTATCCATCATGGGAACCGCCATTTCTGCTAACATTTTGTATAGTTTTCCTTATAGTGCACAATGGCTACGCATTTGTTCGTACATCATGTTTGGATGTGCTCTTATATGCTTTTTTTTAAACACCATCATCTTTTTCTTGAAATATGTCGTCTACAGATCGTACCTACCAGATGGGAAGACGTTTTATAATGTAGCAGACACCTTGTGTTTAGGCTGCTATGGTATGGGATTGTCAAGTATCATCAATATGCTATGTTATTTGACTAACCCTTCATCCACGCCACAAAATTGGGTCAATTTTATCTATATTATTTGGATTTTCAATACCGTAATGTCTTTCTATACCTCGTGGGTGATATTTTCGTTTGTGTTTACCAAACGAGTAACCTTTCAATTTTCCACCCTCTTAGGAAATATCGTACTTCCTTTTGTTCCATTGACAGTTGCTTCTGCAACTGGAACAGTCGTAGCTCAAACCTTTTGGTCTCGCCTGAGTCGTACAATATTCTTAAACACCATCATTACCTGCTATATTTGTTGGGCCAATGCTGTTTCGGTGGGCTTTTGTGTCATTGGTATCATTATATGGAGATTGATTTTCTACAAATATCCAGATAGTCCTGTTGCTTTTACTCAATTTGTCCCTATTGGTGTGCTTGGTCAAGGTGCTTTCGGGATTATCATGCAAGCACTAAATATTAAGACATATGCGCATAACTATCTACAAAATATTTCGTCTGTTAATATCTATACCAATGTTTTGTTAATAATTTCTGGATTTTTATCTCTATTTTTGATCTCTCTTGCCTATTTTCTTACCTTTGTTGCTTTCTTTGGTGTTTTCACTCATGGGGTACGACACGACTTTACAGTTCTATGGTGGGCTATTACTTTCCCATTAGGTACTATGTCAATCTCCAATTCAAAACTTGGTGAAGTAGCGCAACTTACCTTTTTCCGTGTTCTTGGTGCCATTTACGGTGTTGCCTGCATCTTTATTACCATCGTTTGCATTCTCGGAAGCCTCTACTTGGGAGTCCTTAAGTTTCGCAAGGAATTTTTTCAACAGAATCTAGACAATTCGTTACCTATATCTGTCACAGATGAGACAAAGCGAGCTTCTAGCGGGCGCTCCTCCTAAATGCCATACACGATCGTATCCCTCTTGCTTTTTCGTAAAAAGCAAAGTGTTTCCTTTATCTCGAATTCCGACCATTAGTTGTGCATTTTTTGATATTCTAAACAAAAAACGAGAACCATTGACCTTAAAGAAACGAAGATACACCAATAAATACAGGTGATTCCATAACCCGTCAAACAATGGTTCTGCTAAGGAATAAAACAAAACTCCCTTATACCTTTCTTTTGATAATTTATATAAGTATTTAATCTGGTTATTCGAATCTGGAATTCTTTTTATATGTAAAAACTAGTTAAGAATGCAACTTTTCCTTTTGTTTATATTACATTAATATACACTTTTATTGTTGACTAGTGTAGTGAGGGAAATTAATAAATCCTTAAACGAAATTCCGAGTACGCTTATTATACGATATTTGCTTTTCGTATTTTGACCAGCCTCCTAATATTCATCCCAGCTATTACTCACGTTTGTGATTTCAACTTTGCAACTTCCTTATCGATTGAAAGTGAATTAATCCTTTGTATATCTTGTATTCGTGTTTAATTATTCAAAGCTCCTCATTTTTTCACTTTCCTCGTTGCTTTCACGTTAACTTTGTACTTGGTAGTGTGCTGCCATAAGAAAAGCGCAATTGAGGTGCTTGTAGCTTGGAAATCATCTATATCATGGCTGGATATAATGAGTTAGTTTCAATTCAACGATGTACGTGTTCACTGACTTAAATTGACGGGTTTTGTTCATTTACTAACACATACTTGCTTTAGTCAATATTCAGTCTCTTAAGTTTATATCGCAAAACGGCAATGAGTTATTGACCGTCCAGTCCTCAGATTCTTCTTTTTTTAACTCAAATTATCGGTTTTCGCGTTCGAATCATGAACCAGTCGAGTTCATTCAGATTCGCGAAGAAGAAGGACCCATGGTTAAAGTCATGGAAGAAGAAGGTCTGCGGATTTCATTCGAGTTGAGTATACGTTCTTCTGAAAATAAACGCGACCTTACAAACTTGACTTTTATTCATGGTTCCTCCATGCAGGAAATAGAAAGGCTAATAACGCGTGAGTTTTCAACAGATGCAAACTTCCAAAACCATCATCAAGTTAATTTGGTTGGCGATGTTTCATTTGCCCTTAATGAAGATGAACGGTTGATTCAATGGGATTGGGAGTACAGTCCTTATAATTCCCTTTATTATTATAGTAGCGGATGCCCTAACTACATATGCTTTGCCGAATATGACAAACGCTTGAATCGCCTTGTACCTTTACAAACCTTTCAATTTTGGTTAGTAGAATCTGAGCAAGATTCACCACCGGCAACCCCAAGTTTCAGCCTGCGACTTGCTGAGGACGGCACGACTAGTCCGGAAGTACCTGAACAGCAACCAGGAATAAATGCCGCTGAGCAAAACCCAATTCAATCACCCCCGCTTTCGAATGTGAATCCGGCCGCCAGAGAAGTCGACCAAACAGAACCGGAAGATGGTCCTCTTTTCCGAGCTACAATCCTCAATTTTGAGAGAACAACGCACGAAATGCGAATGGCTATGAAAAAACTGATTAAACGTACTGAACAATTAGCCCAATCACATGGTATGTTGTACATATGTCACAAGGAATTTGTTGATGCCTTCGAACGAGCTGCAAAAATCAACCCACCAGCCTTTAAGCCATTCCTTGATTATTATTATCACTGTTGCGCTAAATCGATGGATAATCTTCATATTGATCGAGCTCATTTGCTGAGAAACTCGTTAATAGAACCTCTTCGAAGGATTTACGACAATGATATTAAGAATGCATATTCCAAAAAGAAAGATTTTGAGGAAACAAGTCGTGATTATTACACTTCCTTAACTCGTTGGCTATCGAAAAGTGAAAAGGTTTCTTCCGCTGACAAAGCCAAAGAATCAAAATTTTCAGCGAAGAGAAGGGATTTTGAACTTTCAAGATTTGACTATTATTCTTATATGCAGGATATCAATGGAGGAAGAAAAGGCCAGGAAGTTTTATCTGCGCTCACCTCGTTCGCTGCCAGCGACTATAACCTGATTCATTCTTCTATGGCGGAGATAGATTCATCTCGACCAAACATCATAATGCTACAGGATGTCGTAAATGAAGCCAACAAAGAGTTTTTGTTGCTTCGAGCTGAGCGTGAAGAGAGAAGAAGACTTTTAGAAACGAGTAGTCGAGAGTTGGATGATCAGGAGGCAGAAATTGCGGCCCAGGCTTACAAAGCTAAGATAGGTCAAGATACAGCTGCCAAACAAGGCCTTCTATTGGCTTTTTCTAAACCAAATAGTGAGTTACAAATGGTTTCGAAAGCCGGGTGGCATAAGTACTGGGTAGTTTTGGATCATGGTAAAATCTGCGAATATTCGAACTGGAAACAGTCGTTAGAACTTCATGAAGAACCTATAGACTTATTAATGGCAACAGTGCGAATTCCACAGTCTTTTCCAAGAAAATTTTGCTTTGAATTAATAACTCCCCAGTTACGACGGGTCTACCAGGCAACTTCGAAAACGGAAATGCATTCTTGGGTGGAAGCTATTCAATATGCTATTAGCGAGAGTATTTCACTTAAGGGAAGACGACACTCTGCTTCCGAGGATTCCACCTATAATAAATATGAATCAACTTCTACAATTGGTAAAGCTTTACAGAGGGTTGCTTCGGTTACATCTCCTGGACGGTACAGCGGTAGTGGGGGAGACTCAAAGGAAAAAAAAACACAAAAACCGATTTCCCTTTCAAAGGCGGTAAAAGAATTGCAAATTAGTGACCAATATTGTGCTGATTGTCGCTCTAGTTCACGAGTGGAATGGTGTGCTATTAATTACCCAGCTGTGTTGTGTATAGATTGTTCAGGAATCCATAGATCTTTAGGGACTCATGTGTCAAAGGTACGGTCACTAGATTTAGACAAGCTATCGGGTGAAACAGTCGAATTACTACGAGCCACTGGAAATCAAATGATAAACGAAATTTACGAAGCTGGACTTGGTGAACCGAATGCGAAATCGATAGAAACCCATGAGGAAAGGGCATCATTTATTAAAGATAAATATGTACATAAGGTTTATTTCCGGGCTATAGTGGAATCAGATGTAAATATTGCATTCTTTAATGCTGTTGAAAGAGGGGATCTGAAAAAAGTAATTCAATGCATCGGACAGGATGCTGATGTTAATTATCGGTCAGCGATCGTTGTATCCCTTCGAAAAGGCAACTATTTAATTGCCGAACTATTGAGTTTGAATGGTGCGTTCTTAAATTTTAATGAAGCTACTATGGATACGCTTCCAGCGCGGGCGCAGGCGTACCTAATGAGTAGATGGTCAAACTAAGCAATATTGAGAGATTTCTTGTTCTCGTGTATGGATATAGTTTTAATTTCTGATGAATAATATGATGTTGACAAGACCTTTTTTTCTAAATAAGCTAGTAAGAGTCTACGAAAGCACAGGAGCTATTACGACCTATTCAAGACACCTACATTTTATTACACATAAGCTTACAAATTATAAAATACCATAACAAACTGACTCTTTGAAAATTTACCTAGGTGGAGAACTGAGTGTATTGAAAATTTTGTTACGCGATTATGAACGACAAACACTCTAGTCTTGGTTCTTGGCCTTTCTCTTAGCAAGACGCTTGCCAGTACCGAAGACCTTCTTGCCTCTGTTCTTACGTTGCTTGCGTTGTTGACGGGCAACCTTTTCAATAGGTTGAGCTTGACCAACACGGACGAGACGGTAATGAGGCTCAAACTTCTTCATAGCCTCATTGGAGTCGTAGATCAAAGCAAAGCCAGTAGATCTGCCACCACCAAATTGAGTACGAAGACCAAAGGCAGTGATGCTATCAGCATCGGCCTTGTACATTTGAGCCAACTTTTCGCGAAGTTCATTCTTGGAAAGGTTGGCCTTACCAGGATGAAGGATGTCGACGACCTGTCAATGTTAGTTTCTAGTGTTTTCTTTCCAAATCACATCCACTTGATTTTCATCCGTTAAGTCGAATTCCAAGTGCTGTAACTTGCTAAAACATACCATCTGCTTTCTTTGAAGCAAGCGGTTAGTCATAAACTTGCGAGTTCTGATTGTCACGGCCTCACTCATTTTAGCAACTTGTGGTGACTGATGGTGGTAAAGAAAGGAAATCTAGTCCAGTACAGGATTTTGCTTGGAGGAAGAAACTGTGACTGTTTTTTTGGTTTGAATACATTATAACACAGTTTGGTATACTTCGGTAAACACAATTTTAACGTTCGTGTTAGATTGCGTAAAACTTACAACTGATTTATCTGATCAATCTGCTGAGGGTAGAACTCGTCGCTTCCGTAGTCTGTAAACAAGCCAGAGCCTTTCCGTGTTAAGTCATAAGACATTTTGATTTCACGCGCATTACTGTTTGGATTTATAGAATATAAACATATCCTTTTCTCTTTTGTGGTTTACAGCTTTTTTTTGCTGCTCGCTTTTATAAAAAGCAAGTCCTAAGTACGCGTTTCATCCAAGTATCATCAATAGTAAAAGCAAATCTGACTTTACATTCATTATGTCGCAAACGATCTGGTCAAACTCATTCCCTTTTCGATTAACGAACCTTCAAGGATCGAATGCCGTGTTGGAACATGATGAACGACGTCTTTACTTGACTTATCGAGACGATTCTAATTTGTGGGAAGTAAATTTGAAAAATTTTGAGGACATTGAAGTAAATGAAATTGTTCAGTTGGCTTTTCAAGCTATTTTCACTTCTCTTCCAAACATCAAAGGGGAAGTTACCTTACAGTGGGAATCTTTATCTCTGCATAAAGGAAAATTGACTCTTCCTGTCTTCTTTAATGAAGAAACTAGAAGTGTGAGCACTGACCGCATGGCGTTTTGGCAAATCGCTACTCCTTGGATCCCCAATAAACAACACGAATGGCCCTTGTCTTATCTACCAAACCAAAAAATTCGCCGTCCTAATGCTCCAAAGCCTGGTTCGACTTTGTATGAGCGTTTCATTCCTAGTTTAAATGAGACATTGTCATTTGTTGCCTTGGACATCGACCAGCATTTACAATACTTTCACGAATGGCAAAATAACCCTCGTGTTAGCCATTTCTGGACTGAAAGCGGAACTTGGGATCAACATCGTGAATACCTACTCAAGATGCAAAGTGACCCCCATGCGTACGCTGTCATTGGTTGCTTCAATGAGCAGCCATTTGGTTACTTTGAGGTTTACTGGGTTCCGGAAGATCGAATCGCTCCCTTTGCCCAGCCTTGGCATACACATGATCGCGGATTCCATGCCCTTGTAGGTAACGAACGTTTCCGTGGTCCTCATCGTGTTCCTGTCTGGTTGTCCAGTATTACCCATATGCTATTTTTGGACGACTCTCGAACTCAACGTATCCTCCTTGAGCCCAGAAATGATAACAAGAAATTTATTGATTATCTTATTGCTGAGAACTATTGTAAGCGTCTCGAGTTTGACTTTCCTCATAAACGTGCTGCTTTCATGGAAATCACTCGCACAATGTTCTTCTCTTGCCTTGGCCCCCGTATTTGATGCCTTCTCCTTTTTTTATTATAAACCGATCCTTCGCTTATATAGATCCAATTATCTTCTATTGGTGTTAGAAATAGGATATTTTTCTAATAGAATTAGAGTATTTCACTTCTCGCCATTCATTGGCAATAAGAAAAGGCTGAACTTGATTATATTTACAGAACGCTTGTCTTTATAGTTACTGGTGATCAAACTTCATAAATCCCTGTGTAAATTGGTAATTCATTCATAACCAAACCATAATATCATTGATTCATTAAAAGGGGTCTAAATTTTGAAATATTCTTTAATTAGTAGGGTCTTCTCGGACCCTCGTACTCTCTGCGTCTCCCATGCCTATATGAGTCATTTCGAGAACGATAAGAATCTCTGTCATCATCATAGCGGCTTCTTCGGCGATAGTACCGATCATCATTATCGTCGTTATTAAATCGACGACTAGATCCTTCATGCTTCCTTCGCCTCACGTACTCTCGGTCCTGTTCGAAATGCTGTGAAGATCGACGAGGTCTGTATTCTGATCGCTCACGGCTATGACGAGGGTAAGAAGTATCTCTTTCCCTTCTTCTATAGTCTGGAGAACGTGAACGAGGACGAGAATAGGAGTGAGCTTGAGTTTGCGATCGTCGAAGTTGTTGCCTGTATCGAGAAACACTTTGGGAAAAGTCAACGTGAATGCGAGCATCATCGATTAACACATTTTGCATTTTAAAGTAAGCCTTTTCAACACTGTCTTTGTTGTCAAATTCTATAAATGCATACTGAAGACTGTTTCCAGTTTCTTTATCTCGAATTATTTGACAGGAATTGATCTTGCCAAACCGGGAAAAAATGAGTTCTAAGTCATCGTCTTGGGTAACAGGGTTTAACTTACAAACGAACAAAACATTTTCTGGAGGAGCCACATGTGCGAATGGCAAATCACCAACCATTTCTAAGGTAACGGCTTCTGCTTCTGCCTCTTTCTCTTGGTCTCGTTCAAACTTGTTTTCATCATCCTCCTCAGAGACAAGGCGTTCTTCTTCACCAATGCGAACGGTAGCAAGTTGCTGAGGCGTTGGAGAAGGCGACCTCGATGGTTCTTCAAAATGAGGAGGGTCGGGAAAAGGATCGTCTAATAAGATCGTATGCTTGATGCGAATATCTTTGAAGGGTTGACCGTCATCATCGCAGATAGCATCATTGATCTTTTGTAAAGTATCGAACCCCTCTGCTACTCGACCGAAAATAGGGTAGCGGCCATCCAGGCTTTCGAGATGGTCTGCGAATGTGATGAGAAATTGACTTCCACAAACAAGCGATTCTTCATGATCAACGGATATAGAAGCCGTGCTCATACTGACCGTGCCAGCTCTATCGTGACTGAGGTTCGGGTGAAATTCAGCAGGGAAAAATCGATCACCGACATTGAGTAAATTCCATATTGACCGTCCTCCGTCTCCAGTCGTACCTATGGGATCACCCGTCTGACAAGTATAATTTTTTTGGATGTTGTAAAACGGAGAAAAATTGTAGTACTTGAGTTTACAAAGCTTCAGGAAGTTTTCACAAGCAAGTGGAGCCTCTTCTGTGAGCAGATCAATGACAATATCACCAACTGTGGTTTCTATGAGGACGGACATTTTGCAAACCTTCAATTTAAATGGTTTTGTTTTTAGTTTTGAATGTTCGCTAAACAGAAAACACAATATGTCCTGACTAGCGTAGAAAGGATGGGAATCTGATTCAAACGAATACCATAGAAATGAGAATGAAAAAGTTAAAAATAACGCCTCAAAAAAAAAAAATATAATTAAATTAAATTAGTAGTAAATAAAAATACACATGAATCGAGAAAAATAAAAGATCACCGTCTTTTCCCCAAAAGCGTAAATGGAACGTTTGTTTACTGTTGGTTTTTGTGAATAATGAACATAGCGATGTCCAAGAACCTTTGGAATCTAACTTACCGTAGTCCCTTTCATTGTGTTGATAAATAAACAACCCCTCCGAATTTTTTTTTTGTTTTGTTTTCTACGTTTTCAGAAAAGCTGTCGTGGGAGTACTTTTTAAAATTAAAAAAAGAAAGTAAATTATAAAAAAAATTGATGAAGAAGCGATACAATCGTGTGTGAAATTCGTCGTTCGAAATATTAGGCAAGACATTCTTTTTTCAATATCAAGTCAAAGAAGAAAATTCCAAGCCAAGAGTACTACTAAAAATTATTTTTGTGTATAGGTATATTCAATTGAATTCATTTCTCGTTCGTAGACTACCATAAAAGTAGAATGCATTCATCGTGACCACAAGGGATCAATCAATAGTAATCCTATGCAAAGTAAATCAACCAGGGGAAAACGAAGCTTGCAGATGCATTTTCAATCAACAAAATAGCTTCTTTTATTCAGCTATTACATGATCATACAGTTTTACAAACAATTTCCTTACAAGCAACACAAGAAACCCATGGTCCTGCTCTCCTTTACCAAACCTTCGAAGTAACTAGGAAGACATATTTTTCTCTCTCATCAACAAAGCTTCTGTAGCTCAGTCGGTGGTAGCGTCCCTCTCATATTCTGAAAGGGGAAGGTCGTGAGTTCGAGCCTCACCAGGAGCATCTTAAGGTCGGATAGCACAGTTGGCTAGTGCGCATGACTGTTAATCATGAGGTCGAGGGTTCGAGTCCCTCTCTGACCGTACTTTTTTTTGTTTTTTTCATGCTTATATAGATTAATCGTTTTTTTATTTCATTTTTATTTGTAATATTTGTTTGTATACTCCAATTCCGAAAAATAATGCGTAGCAAATAATTTCTTCGACATTGGTATGCTCTCTAGTATTGGTGAGACAACTGAGAGGATGATGAAGGTAATTACATTGTCTTACTATATTGAATAACATTTCATGACAAATGAGTCTACACAATCAAACTTTTGTTTGGGACGAGAATGGGATTTCTGCCAGGTAGACCGCTGCTTCTATTTGCATCTCCAAGAGAGAAATGAGATTGTCCTCTAGAAAGATGAACGTTGAATTGACCTCTCACTGGAGAGGTAGAAACCGAAGGGAATACTTATTGATTACATGACTTGAAAGCTCTTTTGTAATTAGCACATTGATTGAAAGGCAGGATGAAAAGGCCGAAAGATACTCTGCACTTATGGCACAAGTACATTCTACATCCCTCATGTAAAGAACAAGCGTATGATTCCGGAAAAGAAGAAATAATCTTTTTAGAAAGAAATATCGTTGTGTCTGTACGGAAGCTTGCGTATCAAAGGTAGTGATGATTCAAAAAAAAGACTTCTTGAGGATGCAAACATCAGAGACCAAAAGTGCTTCGATGTGACAGGACGTCAATAAGTTTAGGTACGTATACAAAAGACATTGAAATGGAATAAAACTAGTGGTGTTTGTGCCCAAACTTGATAATTCCTTTGCTTTTCTACCCTCACGAGGTTGTTGGACATGATAACAAATACACCTTAAAACATGTCGTCAAAAGAAGCTAATAGATAAAAAGAAAAGTTAGACAATGGAAAAAAATGTCTACCAGTTCATTCCGTCTTATTCGTTAGGTTGCTGATGAAGCCGATATTCATACCATCTGAAACGATTCTTCTCAGAGGACAAAATCTCATGAAAGAAAAAACATCAGCAATTCTTTATTGAGAAAAAGAAAAAGAGAAAAATCCAAGGAGAGTGCTCTTAGACAGCTGCACAAACAAAAACTGTCCTTCCAAACAAGAAAGCGACTTTCTTAGTAAAAAGGAATATAAGAAATGAAACAATGAATATAAATAAATTAAAATAAATTATTAAGAAAAATTCACACTTTTTTACTGTAAATTGGAGAGAACGACTTCCCTTTGAAAAATTCCTTCTACTAGGGCTAGGCGTCCGACTACCTACCAATTGCCAATACTCACAACGGCATCAAAAAAGCATTAACAAGGCCTTTTTTCGTGTCATTTTTTTAACTAAGAAAGAAAGAATACTTTCTTTTTTATACAAAAAATAGGGAAATCGCTGTTGGCAAAGAACTTGGTCGAACAAGGACGAAAGATTTTTCAGCGATCCAGTATTGCCAGTTTCTTGAGAGAATAGAAACAGGAGTTTGGTAAAACAAAACTTAAAAAGAATTTTTCTATATTATTGAAGAGCAAGATGGCTGAGAATCTCGATATTGCAGAGTTGTCGCCGGTTCATCCCGCCATCATTTCGAGACAGGCCACGATTAACATTGGTACTATCGGTCATGTAGCCCACGGTAAAAGTACTGTTGTAAAGGCTATCTCTGGTGTTCACACTGTTCGTTTCAAAAATGAATTAGAGCGTAACATCACCATCAAGCTTGGTTATGCAAACGCTAAAATTTACAAGTGCTCTAACGCCGAGTGTGCTCGACCTGGATGCTATCGTTCCTACCCTTCTGGCAAGGAGGACAACCCTCCTTGTGAAGTTTGTGGTTCCCCCATGAATTTGGTTCGCCATGTGTCGTTTGTCGATTGCCCTGGTCACGATATTCTTATGGCAACCATGCTTAACGGTGCCGCTGTCATGGATGCAGCTATGTTGCTTATTGCTGGTAATGAATCTTGTCCCCAACCCCAAACCAGTGAACATTTGGCTGCCATTGAAATCATGCAGTTGAAACACATTATTATTCTTCAAAACAAGGTCGATTTAATACGTGAAGCTGCCGCCGAAGAACACTATCAATCAATCTTAAAGTTCATCAAGGGTACTGTTGCTGAGAACTCTCCCATCGTCCCCATTTCTGCACAATTAAAATATAATATTGACGCTATTCTTGAATATGTTGTCAAGAAGATTCCCATCCCAGTTCGTGACTACACTACCGCTCCTCGTTTGATTGTTATTCGTTCCTTTGACGTGAACAAGCCCGGTGCTGAGGTCGAAGACTTGAAGGGTGGTGTTGCTGGTGGTTCTATTCTGACAGGTGTGCTTCGTTTGGGTGACGAGATTGAAATTCGTCCTGGTATTGTCACAAAAGATGAAGAGGGTCGCATCAAGTGTCAACCCATTTTCTCCCGCATTGTTTCTCTTTTCGCTGAAAACAATGACTTGAAGATTGCCGTTCCTGGTGGTCTTATCGGTGTTGGTACCACTGTTGATCCCACTCTTTGCCGTGCCGATCGTTTGGTTGGTCAAGTTCTCGGTTCCAAGGGCAACCTTCCCGAAGTATACACAGAGCTCGAAATTAACTACTTCTTACTTCGTCGTCTTTTGGGTGTTAAGAGCGGTGACAAGAGCACCACCAAGGTTCAAAAACTTGCCAAGAACGAAGTTTTGATGGTTAACATTGGTTCTACTTCTACCGGTGGTCGTGTTATGATGGTCAAGGCTGATATGGCCAAGATTCTTCTTACTGCTCCCGCTTGTACAGAAATTGGTGAAAAGGTTGCCCTCAGTAGACGTATCGAAAAGCACTGGCGGCTTATCGGTTGGGCTAAGGTCGTTGAAGGAAAAACTCTTAAAGTATAGTTTGGGTATTGCTATGAGCATTGTATAAGATGACTTTTACTTTCCAGTGAAAGTGGTGTCCTTTTTGATATATAAAATAAATTGCGATTCCTTGTTTTCTTTGAAAACATACGTGGTTTAATAGTAGATTAACAGTAAATATTTCCTTTACTCCTGAATGAAGAAATCTAAATGAGAGTGTTTATATATATATATATACATATACCAATATAAATTGTATGCTTGTAATCGCTTTTGACAGATGAATTATTTTGTACCATTGCGTCTTGTAGTTTACTAACATATATAATCTATAAGGGAAACAGTACAACGGTTGTTTCTTTTAAAATACACTCAGTTGCGGCTATTAATGATAAAAAATCGAAAAATATACAAGGTTGAGTCATTTGAAACGGACTTCAAGTGTATATTCATCATAAATTTAGTCAAATTCCAACATACTGTTTTGCAACAACTTTACATAAAACGAATTGTTTACTTCATTTCCCTATGCCATTTTTGCTTTCACTTTCAGGTTACAATGCGACTTAACAGAAATTAGCCCTACCCTATGCTGTGTGACTGTTCATGAAAGGGGAAACAACAATGCGAGAAGGAAAAGAACTACCAACATCCAACACCATGGCAGAGAAGGCACAAAACCCTATGAAGGAGCTCCGTATCTCCAAGTTGGTGCTCAACATCTCCTTGGGAGAATCTGGTGATCGTCTTACCCGTGCTGCAAAGGTTTTGGAACAACTTTCCGGTCAAACTCCTGTTTTCTCCAAGGCCCGTTACACCATCCGTCGTTTCGGTATCCGTCGTAACGAAAAGATTTCCTGCCATGTCACTGTCCGTGGTCCCAAGGCTGAGGAAATTTTGGAGCGTGGTCTTAAGGTTAAGGAGTACGAATTGAAGCGTCGCAACTTTTCTGCCACCGGTAACTTCGGCTTCGGTATCCAAGAACACATCGACTTGGGTATCAAGTATGACCCCTCCATTGGTATTTATGGTATGGATTTCTATGTTGTTATGGACCGTCCTGGTATGCGTGTTACTCGCCGTAAGGCCCAACGTAGCCGTATTGGTTTCACTCACAAGATCACTCCTGAGGATACCATCAACTGGTTCAAGCAAAAATATGATGCTCTTGTTACTGGAAAGTAAATAGAATATTAGCCATCCCATCCTTGGTGATAGTGAATTTTAATATTGTTGGTTGAACTAATTGTTGCTAGCATATTTAGAGCTTGTTGTAAAATGTAAGTAGCCCAGTAATTTAATGTAAGGAACGACATCAGTGAAAACTCAATGGTCCAGCAGCTGCCGTTGTTTCATATAGTAAGGTTAATCTTCTCAGCTTCATTATTTACTACCGTTCTTTTACCAAATGTACTACTTTCAAACCTATAAAGCATGAAAAACATCTTCAATTAAACAAAAAATTCATAAAATAACGCTACCAATCTAATCAAAGCCAGTCCGCTGAGACATTGCAAAAAATGCTCTGCGTTCACTATCCATAAGGAGGCATCTTAATAGACCTCAAGAGATTGAAGTGATCATACAAGAATTAATAGCAAAAAATCCAAGTTTCTTTTTACCCTTCATGGAATATGCACAATAATGTTACAATAAAGCATATATCTACATATCACACGCCTGATTTAAAGGATCTCAGTTCCACCAGATATAACCAGTAAACCCACATTCTTACTTGTCTGGCTTTTCTAAAACAGCACACAAGTCACCACCATTCACCGAATCACCTTGTTGCATCATCAATTGTTTTACAACACCACTGTGAGGAGCACTAATAACAATTTCCATCTTCATTGCACTCAAAACAGCCACAATGTCACCCTTCTTAGCTTCAGATCCTTCCTTAACACGAATTTCAACGATAGTACCGCTCATAGGAGCAGCTACGTGTCCAGGATTGCTAAGATCAGCACGAGCACGAGTCACTGTTTCAGTAGCTGCCTTCTTATCCTCAATGGTAACATGACGGTTTTCACCGTTCAACTCAAAGTAGACTTCACGTTGTCCAGTACGGCTGTTGAGGGGTCCAAGAGCAACAAACTTGATAATCAATGTCTTACCCTTTTCAATTTCTACATGCATCTCTTCGTTCATTTGTGGTCTTGACAAAAAGAACCGTGTAGGAATGTTTGTCAAATCACCGTAACGATCAACAAACTGGCGGTGATCCTCGAATACACCAGGGAATTGAGTGTAAGAAGCAACGTCGGCATCCGTAACTTCGCCATACTTTTCAGAGAGCAACTTGCGAATAGCATCAAAATCAGCTGGAGGCAAGAATTTGCCAGGGCGATCAGACATAGGTTGGCGACGTCCCTTTAAAACATGAGTACGTAGGGGCTCTGGAAATCCACCATATGGTTGACCCATTAAGCCTTGGAAGAAATCAAGGACAGATGCAGGGAATTCGAGAGAAGCAGCCCGCTCTTCAACATCCTTTGCAGATAGTTTGTTTTGAACCATGAACTGAGCCAAGTCACCAACAACTTTAGAAGTAGGAGTAACTTTAATAATATCACCCAAAAGATTATTGGCTTCAACGTAAGCCTTCTTTGTTTCAAACCATTGGGCTCCCAACCCGAGAGAAGTTGCTTGGAATTTGAGATTAGTAAGTTGTCCACCAGGAATCTCATGGTTGTAAACATCAGAGTCGGCACCCTTAATCTCAGCTTCGAAGGGAGAATACAATAAGCGCATTTGACCCCAATAGTTGTCAATTTCACGCAACTGATTGTTGTCGAACTCAAGTTGTCTATCAGTGCCATCAACTGAGGCTAAAACGGCACCCATACTGGGTTGAGAAGTGAGACCGGACATACTATCAGTAGCAACATCGACTACATCAGCACCAGCATGCAAAGCTGCAGTCATGGAAGCAACTGCAGTACCGGCGGAATCATGGCTGTGAACGTGAATTGGCAATTCAGGATACTTCTCACGAATAGCACCAATCAATATATGAGCTGCTTTAGGCTTCAAAACACCAGCCATGTCCTTAATACCAAGCACATGAATACCCAATTTCACCAACTGTTCAATGAATCCCATGTAATAGTCCAAATTGTATTTCTTCTTCTTCAACATATCACCAGAATAACACATAGTAGCTTCAACAACACCCCCAGCTTTCTTGGCGGCATCGATACCAAGGGCAAGGTTGTTTATATCGTTCAAAGAGTCAAAAACACGGAAGATATCGATACCGTTTTTCTTAGCCTGCTCGCAAAAGAAATAGATTACATTATCAGGCAAACTAGAATAACACAAACCATTTGCACCGCGGAGCAACATTTGGAAAGGAATGTTTGGAACCAACTTACGAAGTCTACGGAGTCTCTCCCAGGGACATTCGTAAAGGAAGCGCATAGAAACATCAAACGTAGCACCACCCCACATTTCTAAGGAATAAGCATTAGCAAGGGCATGGCTAGTCAAAGGAGCAATGTTAACGAGATCAATGGTACGAACACGTGTAGCTAAAAGAGATTGATGGGCATCACGCCAGGTAGTATCCATGATCAAGCCAGGCTTGTGATGGCGAACTGCCTTTGCAAAAGCTTCAGGGCCTTTTTCTAACAATAAGTTACGCCAACCCTTCTCAGATGGTTGGTAAACGTCAATACTCTCGCCGTTAGGACCAAGTAATTTGGGCATAACGACATCCGTCTTCAGGGCAGGGTCACCGTTTTGACCCTTAATTGAGCTGCCATTAACAGCCAAATCACCCAAATAAGCCAACAATTTTTGGGCACGATTACGAGAGCGATATAACTTGAAGAGCTCGGGGGTATCGTCGATAAAAGTTGTCCAGCAGTTACCGCGAATGAAAGTTTCGTGGGAAAGAAGACGCAAAACGAAATTAATATTAGTTTTTACACCACGAACACGAAATTCAATTAAAGAGCGAATCATTTTACGTCTGGTGAATTCATAGGATGAATCACGGCAGGTGCACTTAACCAGCATGGAATCATAATGGGGAGTAATAACGGAACCAGCAAAGCCATTAGCACCGTCAAGACGAACACCATTACCGCCAGCAGTACGGTATACCTCGATTTTACCAATATCGGGAACAAAACCCTTATCAGGATCTTCCGTAGTCACACGGCATTGAATGGCAAAGCCACGGGTGCTGATTTGGTCTTGGGTAAGACCAATTTGGGGAAGACTGAAGCCTGCGGCAATATGAAGTTGGGCAGAAACAATGTCAACACCAGTAATTTCCTCAGTAATAGTATGCTCGACTTGAATACGGGGATTAATTTCAATAAAGTAGTGACGACCTTCCTGATCAATCAAGAATTCAGCAGTACCTGCGTTACAGTACTTGACTTCTTTTGCAATTTTAATAGCATCATCGTAAAGAGATTGACGAATCTTGGGATCAAGATCCTTGGCAGGAGCAATTTCAACTACCTTTTGATGACGACGTTGAACAGAACAATCACGTTCATGAAGATGGACCACGTTGCCATACTTGTCAGCCAAAAGTTGAACCTCAATGTGTTTAGGGCGGTCCAAAAAGCGCTCAATAAAGACAGTACCATCGCCGAAGGAAGATAAGGCCTCAGAACGAGCACGTTCAAAAGACTCCTTCAAGTCGGCTTGGCTACGGACAACACGCATACCACGGCCACCACCACCCATAGCAGCCTTGATAATGACTGGAAATCCATGCTCTTTGACAAAAGCTTCAGCATCCTCATAATTATCTACAGGACCCGGGGTTCCAGGAACAACGGGGACACCGCAACGCATTGCGATGGTACGAGCTTTCGTTTTGTCACCCAAGCTATCAATAATATTAGCAGGGGGACCGACAAAGGCGATACCAGCGTCGGTGACTTTTTGAGCAAACTCGGCGTTTTCAGAAAGGAAACCATAACCAGGGTGAATGAGGTTAGCACCTGTACGCTTGGCAATATCGATGATCTCATCAATTGCCAAATAAGAGCCTACGGGAGTATACTGACCGATTCTACCAATTGGGTAAGACTCGTCAGCCTTTTGACGATGCATCGAGAGCCGGTCCTCGTGGGAATAGACGGCTACTGTGTGCATTGACAATTCATGAGCGGTACGGAAAACACGAATTGCAATTTCTGAACGGTTTGCAACTAGTACTTTCGAATATTTTTCACCTAACAGGGAAGTACGGGTTTGCAGCTTGCTGTAAGGGTTTGTATTTGTGCTTGGCACTGCAAATAAAGCTTCATAATGGGTGTTCATGTCTTCTGTTTCCACCTCTCCTCAATGCCTTTACGTTTTTTTTTCTAAAAAGTGGTTATTCAAGGCAAAAGGACACGATAATTGTAGTTGGTTAAAAGCAGAATTATCTACTCCGTGGAATCCTCATGACACCATCATTCCATCCCAAGATGTTGAATGATGGTATCGTAAGCGAGGACATTATCAGTGGAAACCTTCGTAGACTAAATTCCACCAATCATTTTTCTTAAATATCCGACAGAACATCCGCGTTACCCGCTTAGGTCCAATCAGCACCTTTACAGATTAACTTTACCGTGATAAGCTTTAAAATTTCTGAGATCGTTAAATATTATTCGTTAATGGCTGATAACGTTACCGTAACAATATCTACCCATTCAAATCAAAATCATTAGCGAACTTTAAACTTTGTTTCATACAGAAAAGCACGCAACAAGGTGTCGTAGTACACTATCTGGAATCTGATGGAAAAAAAAAGCAGACAGGGCATTGGAAGAAAAAGGATCGAAAATAGCATTTTCTATAGGATACAGACCTTCATAGCGTATTTCCTATAGCCGACTATTACACGATAGACTTCTAGAAAGAAATGAAATGAAATGTCAATTTATGGGTCTCCCTTTGGGTTCCTTTTCGATAATGAGACAATGTAAAGAGACGCTTTAGCTGGCAAATTCAGCGCCAAAAGACTTGAGCAAGAATGGACCATTGATCACAAGTGTAGATTGTCGTATTAAAAGTATTTAGTACTTTGGAAGGTCGGGATTGACTGCGAGGGATAGGATGGAGCTGGGACGATTCGTTCAGGTTGAAGTTGGGGAAAGAAGGATCGATATTTAAAAGAGTCACATCAGTAAATGATTCCAGGGTCAATTTACTTTGTTCGTTTGCAAGAAACAAGATACCGATTGTGGCCTGAACAAAGCAACCAAAGTCAGTGCTAGAATCACCTATATAGACAGTGGTATGGGGATGGGAAGAAGCGGACGATGCTTGCTGTACAATAGCCATAAACTCGCGGGTTTTGTCATCGGCCGTCATAACTAAAGTCGTTGTGTGATATGGCACGATATTGCCTGTGGTAAGCCGGGTTGTAGGGTCCACTTCCAAATCGTTAGAGTGAATGGTAACAAGTCCCACATCGATTCCGGGAATTCGACGTAAAGTATTTTGGATAACACGGCTCGACCAATTGATAGATAGAATATGAAATTCGTCAGAACGGTCTCGTAGCCGCGGCATTAACGATTGCAAGAACTTGTCGAATCCATCTCGTAGCGTAATGGACGAAGCAACTGCATCCAATTGCTCCATGGATAACCCCTGGAAGAATTTATAAGATTGAACTCTTTGCAGACTGGCAGTTTCAGCGAACCCACCTGCCTGTAACAAGTTGAGATGTGAGGACAGCGTAGTAAGTTTTGGCAAACCAGACTTCCAAGCCATGTATTCCTCCCAATACGAATTTGCCAAAAATTTCCATACATCAGGTTTGTTGGCAGCATTTGCCAAGCAAGAAATCGTATCGTGGGCCGTGATGGTCTCGTCAAAGTCGACTACAAACAACATGGATGCACAATCAATAGAAGATCCAATTCCACTTGGATAATTACGATAGAAAACAAACAAACTCTATGAATTCAATAAAAAATAGAATTTTTTATTAACTCTGTTGTTTTTTTTTTTTTTTTTTCTGACGAGAGAATCAATGTTTGTTTGCTAGTTGGTTCCCTAAGGCAGCTAAGCTAGTCTGTGGAATCGAAGGGCCGTCGTTCTATCCGGGTGTTTGCTATGTAGGTAGGTTCCTATATGATGTGGGAGACATTTCAACAGGAATTGTAAGTCGTCCATTAAAGAGAAAATACAAACCAACTGTAATTTTTTTGGCGGTCTAGTTTCTGTTGCAAGCTGATCGTTGTTGTTAATGTATGTTTCAACAACGTCCCATGGGATTGCGTTCATGCACACATAGAAGATTAGAGAAATTATTAGAAAAATAGAAAATAGTTTTTTTATATCATAAATTCCGTTCGTAAGAAACTGAGTGTATTAAGCAAGCTCACCGATCGAGCGAGGAGTTGATCGAGGAAGACGGAGGAGGATCGCGGTCCCTGGGCAACAATTGTTTCACTTTGAATTTTAGTTTAATGTCATCCAAGCTTTCCCAAAGGACCATTGGCTCGCCGACAGGCTTTGGTTCGTAGGGAAGATAGCATACGGATGCTAAAAAGTGGAGGATACATCTCTGGATTCTTCTATAAACGACTCGTTTTCGTTCTTCCCAGAAATTGGCGACAAAGTAGTTGGAAAAAACCGAGGGATTGCGCGTCCAAGCATCAAACATTAATTGATGCAAATGGGCGTGCTCGTGAGGGAGGAGGGGAAGGGCGATACGATGCAAGACGTGGTTGTAGGACTTGTGACAAGCGTTGATGGCGGTCTTTGATTGGTATGGATATTGTTTAAAATGGTCTTGAAAGTGTTCGGCGGGGGTTTTGGTGATAACATCGTGATTTTTATTTTGCTGAAAGACGATTTGCAAGAGGGGAGAAATATAGGGAAGCTTGAACGGGTCGATATGGGAGGGAAAATGGTTTTGAGGAGGAAGAGGAGGGCCGGCGCTTTGCAGGTACTGGAGACGACGTTGACGAAGGGGACCGTCTTGGGAGTACACTTTGGCTAAGAGAGCAAAAATGCATCGCTGATCACCCTTGTTTGCACGTTCGACTAAGGCTATCCATTCCTTGATTTGTTTTGATATTTCGGCCTGCTGTTCAGGGGTAGCGACTGGATGTTTGATGCGAAACTTTCGGGCGTAGGAACGAGCATAGTCGGAGAGTATTTTGGCGGCGAGGGGGTCCCAAAAGGAACGCAAGAGACGAAGTAAAGTCCTGTACTTGGGATACACGGCGACGCCCTGTAATGAGCTGGGCAAGGGAGAACGGAAGGGGGAGCCAAAGCTTATGTGGGTTTGGAATATGTTGGACAAGAAATGTTGGTCTCTTTTCTGGGCAATGCAAAGGTTGATTCGGGTTCGGGGATGGAGGGGAACGGTTTTTTTTGTACTGGGAAAGGAAGGGACGAGTTTTAGTTTCTGTCTGGTTTTCCGGTCTAACCTCTTGGGTTTTACGCCGGCAGGACGAGCCTGGGAGAGCCAGATCCGTGTTTTTCGGTTGAGGCGTTTGGGTCTTTGGACATAGCGATACAAGGGTGGTTGCATGGTGGTTCAGTTGTATGAGAGAAAGGTGTTTTAGAAGGTTGAGGGGGTTGTTGTTGTTTTTTTTGAGAATGCACTTTTCGTAGAGTAGATTCGAGATTCGTAGTGGTACTAGCAATGGTAATAGTAGGAAAAGAGAAAAGAAAAAAAATGCAAACGAAAAAAGAGAGTCAACTGGGGAACCACAAGAGATGGCAAGAGTTGACTGCCAAAAGGACGATGGAGTGGGATAGAGCGTTGAACGGGACGAGAGGTGTTCAATGGCAAGCGATTGTGTGTTGTAAGACAACGGGAGGGTCGTTGAAGAGAAAAACCAAGGGAAATCAAAGAGAAAGAGAAATGTGGAAAAAAATCAAGTAGACAAGTGTCTTTGCCGCTTTGTTTTTTACAGTAGTGGAACGAGATTTGTCGAGGCAGGAGGATTTTATTCTGGTGTAGTATCGTATTCTACCGTATCATATTGTATTGTATTGTATTGTATAGTATCATAATACATTGTAGTTTAGTATGATGAGGATAGGAGCATAAGACTCTTCTACAAGGCATATTATTCATAGTCCACACAAACCACCCATCAACTTGGTTGCAGTTTATAAACATCTCTTTAAGAAATAAAAAAAATTCCTTGGAATTTTTCTAAACAAAAAAAAAAAAAAAAAAACACAGACACAGACGCAGACGCAGACACCCTTTCTCACCCCATCTGTCTATTTCCTTCTTTTATATATTTACCAACGCACTCTCTCTACCTCGCTAAAAATACAACGCATTGTCCTCCTCCTCCTCCCAATCACCATTTACGTAGCGGAACATATTCCACCGCACAAACGGCACTCGGCTTGCCTTCCTTTCCCTACACTTGCCTGCGTGACTTTTTTGTCTCCTTGCGATGCTTCCGGGAATGAACGCATTTCTCCGTAGGTAACAAAAGCATCTGGACCACCAATCACCACCGGTTGGGACCATCTTCAGCCAATCGACATCCCGCCTTGATCACCCTCCATAAACACAAACGTAAAAGAGTTGTTCCATCCAATCCCAAAGTACCGCTGACGTCGGAATAACTCTTTTACGCGGATCTTGCGTTTTCCTTGGTTGTTCCTTCCCCTGAGCGGTTTCGGGGAAAAACCCACGCATTGTTTTTGCGAAAAAAAGAAGAAAAAACAATGCAAAAGGCACAAAACTCGATCGGTTTTTGTTGTTTCAACGAATATTAATTAAATTCCTTTCATTACAAAAATTAACAAAAACCATTCTCCCTCTGTTCCCTCTTCCTTCCAACGAGACTTCCCTTTTTCTTGCCCTCTCCTCCCCTCCTTTCTCTACTGTTTCCCGGTTGTCCCTCTTTTGCGACTCGGTTGTTACCAGCAACGACGTATACATGCAAAGATTGTCGGGTGATTGTTACCTAGGAGAAATCAAGCGAAGCGGGCTTAGCGACGTAATTGTTCCACCGGCTTCTGTTGAGGTCAGTCATGCTCATATGGAACATTCGGAGGGTGGACCAACCCAGGGCTATATATAGAGGCCATCGGTCGCACTAATGAATTCCTCTGTAAGGATCTTTAAGGCATCTTCCAATAAACATACTTATTCATTATGGCCATTGAAAAGCTCTACGCTCGTCAAATCTACGACTCTCGTGGTAACCCTACCGTCGAAGTTGATCTCACTACCGAGACTGGTATTCACCGTGCCATCGTCCCCTCTGGTGCTTCCACTGGTGTCTGGGAAGCCCTCGAGATGCGTGACGGTGACAAGTCCAAGTGGGGCGGTAAGGGTGTTTTGAACGCCATTGCTAACGTTAACAACGTTATTGCTCCTGCTCTCGTCAAGGCTAACCTTGATGTCACTGACCAAAAGGCTGTTGATGAGTTCCTCCTCAAGCTCGACGGCACTGAGAACAAGTCCAAGTTGGGTGCTAACGCCATCTTGGGTGTCTCCATGGCTGCCTGCCGTGCTGGTGCCGCTCAAAAGAAGCTCCCTCTCTGGAAGTACATTGCTGAAGTTTTCGGCAACAAGGGCCCCTTCACCCTCCCCGTTCCTTCTTTCAACGTTTTGAACGGTGGTGGTCACGCTGGTGGTGAATTGGCTTTCCAAGAATTCATGATTCTCCCCGTCGGTGCTCCCTCTTTCTCTGAAGCCATGCGTTGGGGTTCCGAGACCTACCAAGCCCTCAAGTCCATCGCCAAGAAGCGCTATGGTCCTTCCGCCGGTAACGTCGGTGATGAGGGTGGTATTGCTCCTGACTTGTCTACTCCTCAAGAAGCTCTTGACCTCATCGTCGAAGCCATCAAGACCGCTGGCTACGAAGGTAAGATCAAGATTGCTCTTGATGTTGCTTCCTCCGAATTCTACGTCGACGGTAAGTACGACGTTGACATCAAGGCCAAGAACCCCAAGCCCGAGAACAAGCTCTCCTACGAGCAACTCACCACCATGTACTCTGACCTTTCCAAGAAGTACCCCATCATCTCCATCGAAGACCCCTTCGACCAAGATGACTGGTCTGCCTGGACTCACATGAAGGCCGCCACTGACTTCCAAATGGTCGGTGATGACTTGACTGTCACCAACACCAAGCGTCTTACCACCGCCATTGAGAAGAAGTGCGCCAACGCCCTTCTCTTGAAGGTCAACCAAATCGGTACCGTTTCCGAATCTTTGGCTGCCGTCAAGATGTCCTACGATGCCGGCTGGGGTGTCATGGTTTCTCACCGTTCTGGTGAAACCGCCGACACTTTCATCTCTCACTTGACTGTCGGTATCTCCTCCGGTCAAATCAAGTCTGGTGCTCCTTGCCGTTCTGAGCGTTTGGCCAAGTACAACGAACTCCTCCGTATCGAGGAAGAGCTCGGTGGTGAGAAGGCTCTCTACGCTGGTGAGAAGGCCACTGACTACATTAAGGGAGTTTTCTAAATTGAAAATGTCTAATGTGTATTTTCCTATTTTGTTTTTTAATAGAATGCAATGAATTCAGTTTTTTGCCTTTTTCGGAATAAATTTTAATTTTTCTTTGGAATTTTGTTTTTCTCTCTAGTCTTTCTATAGTAGCAATTTGTAAATCTTTTCTTTCAAGTTTCCCTCTCCCAATAGCCAGCCGAGTCGACATTACAAGTACACTATTGTAAAGTACTATAACATCTCTTACAAGTCGCCTGTGTAACCATAACAGCGTTTACTCTACGTTTTTACAATTAAATAAACCATACTAGTGAAAGTAGTATTTCCCTCCTTCCTACGACAAACAACTCCTCATTGCAAATGAAAATGAAAGAAAACGAAAAATCCCATAATAAAAGGAAAGCATTATCATTACTCTAAATTATACATACTTAAATAGATCGTCACAACACAAAACACAAAGACAAACAAACAACTTTAAAACAAAGTTTAAAAGGAAATCCCTTACAATAGGTCCGCATCCAAAGACGAACAGTCAATCTTAAAGGTCGTTGGACGCCGCCGACTAGCAGTCGTAGTTGACAATGCTTCTGTTCGAGTCCGTGTGAATCGCGAATGAGAACCACTCGAACTAACCAAAGGGCGTCGAAGAGGTTTTCGCGTTGTAGAGAAAGAACCTAGTGTCGGTTTCCGAACCCGCGATTTAAGCGTCTGTGTTTTGGGTAGAATAGCGACTGCTGGTTTTTTTGGCGTACCAACCTTTGCAGCCGTGGAAACGGTGTTTGGATTCTTTTCTGTAAGAGGCCTCCCGTTGTCAAGATCTAATAAGGGAAGCTCAATATTTTCTAATTTGTCATCATCATCCTCCGCTCTAGGATTCTCTGCCGCGGAGTTACCGCCATTCCTAGACAAAGGCGTTTCTTCAAACACCTGAAAAGTAGATGTTGGCTTTGGGGAAGACAATTTACTTACTGGTGGACGAACAGAACGTCGTTCACCTGCAACTGTTTGACCTGGTGGGACAAGGTCTGCGGTCCAGCATCTACCGAGTTGACGAAAATCGATCGACACATCTTCGAGGCCCAAATTCGCAAGCGGGTCCAAGGATGCCGTTGGTGGCATGTACTCTAGGTCATCAGTCTCGACGTCGTTAGCGGAAGTATCATGCTGGTGAATCAAGTTCTGCTGTGTGTTTCTATCAAACAATGACTGCTCAAAATTTTCCTTGGTATCAGGGGTTTCATGGCTCATGGAATCATCTTTGGTTGAAGAGGGCGTTTGCAGAGCACTTGGTGAATCCATAGAAATGTCCATTGGTGAAGGCTTTAAAAGAGAAGGAGCACTTGGAATCAAAGAAGGAGTAACAACATCGTCTCCAAAGGTATGCGTTTTGCGGATATTCGTGCTTTTCCCTCCTAAAATAGTTCGTGGTGCAGTTCTGCCTGTTGGCGTGCCATTCGCTGGCTTTTTTGAGGTTAATGGAGCATTTTTAGCCTCTTTCAATCTCCCATCATATTTCTGAGGCACAGGAGTCACCGGAACAGCGTTTTCTTTTCCATAGGAAAACATGGTTTTTGGTACGTAAAGAGGCCGGTGCTTTCATATTTTCAAAATGCAAGTGACAGTATTTGTTTATGTTACTCATAAAACCATTTTGAAAATTCAAAGTGAAACGAATCCGTCAAGAAGACATAGAATGAAGAAAAACATGATGTATTTTACCTTTTTATGTTTAAATGTCGTAAACTACATTGGTTCTTTGATCCACCATAGTATTGTATGTTTGTAGCAATAGACTGGGATACCAGGCGCGGCGCTGTTATAAATTGTTGGTATTATCATTTCAAGCTCGTAAAATCTTCTAGTGTAAATTCTTATAGAAAAAGGACAACCATGAAGTCCTTCATCAATGTTTTCTGTGTTTGCTCATGGAAAGACAAAATCCACCTTCAGCATGGGATAACTTGTAATCAGCAAGGAAAGAACGAAGACTCTAATAGAAAGGCCCAATTCGCTCGTGGAATCTATCTTCAATGCGGCAATTCCTTCTGTTTCCTGTTACAGTGCATGCAAAGGTAATCGCACTATGAACGTTGTTGCCAGCGTCCTGTACATGAATGTTCCTTTTTCTTCTAGTTTAGTAATTCTTTTTTGAACAAAAAAGAACAGAGGGGCGATCACATCCAACATACCTCGGTGGCCATCTTGCCCTATGAAATGGCCCCATCAGTTGGCACACTTCTCCTTCACGTCCACCATACCCTATCCGTCCGACAAATACCAGTTTGTCGAAAAAGGCTCTTCTTTGGAGTCCTTTCAAATTGTTCTTTCGTTTAATAACACCTCAAAGTAAAAATTTCAGATGATCGTCTCACGAAGGATGGTTCGTGGCCGTTATGGCTCAAAACTGTTGGAACGCTCTTTGCAAACGTCCGCTTCAAACCGAAATGCTGGACCACAATCTCCTATAAAAGTTTTTATGGACACATTTCGTTCTGAATTAAAAAAAAGTCAGGACTTTCAAAACAGTGTGAAGGCGCTCCAAGATAGTTCTGGCAACTTGGGCGAAAGCGATGCTTTTAAGCGCGCCCGCGACGCCTATAGTAAAGCTCGTCAAGGAACATCGGTCGCTTCAAAAACTATAGGAAAGGCAGGTTCTGCCCTTGGTAGTGGAGCGCATAAAGCTTGGGAAAGTGCTCCTATGCGTTTCTCTCGTAAGGTCATTGCAGGCACTACCGACAGCGTAACAAGTGGCGTGGACAAAGCTACTCAGCCTGTGCGTAAAACCGCTCTTTATAAGACAGTAAAAAGCACCATGTCAGATGGTAGTACCTCATCTCGATATGGATTTTACGCCGATAAGGAACAACGCAAAAAGCTTCGCGAAGAATTTGAAAAGAAAACCCACATGTTTGGTCGTTCGGCTAAAATACAACCAAATGACGATGTACAAAGTGTGGTCGTACATACGAATCCTTCCTGGAAGAACAAGGTGGACCAGATTACTAGTGAATCGAAGTTTGTCCGTAAGCTTCAAGAATTTAGAAGAATTTACGAAGAATCTGAGCATCCCATTATTTCTTCAATTCGTGATTTGGCTGATAGCATCAGTGGAACTTGGTCTCGCATGTTTTCGGAAACCGAGGCTTCGCAAGTAATGACTCGTTTTAAGGAGATAGATCCCGCTTTTAATCTCGAGCATTTCTTGCAATATTTGCGGGAGTACGTGGTTCCCGAAGTAACGGAGGCCTATGTGAAAGGCGATAAGGAAGTTTTGCGAACCTGGTTTTCTGAGGCTCCTTTTTCCGTATATGAAACCACTACAAAGGAGTACGCCAAGCATGGAATTGTAAGCGTCGGAAGAATTTTGGACATCCGTGGCGTCGACATCATGTCGCAAAGACTTTTACAACCAAGCAACGTTCCTGTCCTCGTTGTCACTTTCCGCACTCAAGAAGTTCACATGTTCAAGAATGCTCTGAGCGGCGAATTGGTTGCCGGTCGTGAAGATCGTATCCAACAATGTACATATGCCGCTGTGCTCACTCGTATTGAAGAAGACCTGGATAATAAGGAAACGAGAGGCTGGTGTATAGTTGATTTTGCTCGTGCTCGTGCCGTCGACTATTTCTAATCTAAACGAATTTTCGAAAACGTCTAAGTTTACAATAGCTTCCTTTTTTCGATACGTTTGCATATTCTTCCGGCATGGATGCCGATCCGCATATGTTTTGATCCCTTTATACATAATTTTTTGTTACTCATTTTCACCTAAAAACCCGTTCAACACTTGACTCGGATAATACGTTTCTCTACTAATACAAAGCTACATTATTATAAGAATGGATGGTCTTGTAATGATAGCTATTCCAAAAAAAAAAGAAATACTTTTTTTTGGTGTTTTGTTGTACTTTACTTGTATTCGCCCGCAGATTTATTTTTCTTCGTATATGCCTAATTTATATGATTTCGAATCTTGGGGAAGTATTTTGTCAATCTACATTGAAACCATTGACACAAAAAACTTAAAAGTAGCTAGCCGTGAAGTCAATTTTGATCATAACTCCATCTGCGTAGATTATACTGGCAGCATTACATGTAGAAGAATGTCTCGCAAATGTTGCTTTCGTTCTAAAATGGTATTGTTACTATATTCTTTTATAAAAGCACGTCGATCTTTCCGTCCTGCAAATTAAACATAAATGAGGCGAATATTAATCTTATTCAACATTTTCTTTAATGTTTACTTTTTCGCATTGTTGTTTACATACATAATACCGCGGATCGTTTTTTTAATATTATAGTTGCTATAGCAACTCCATACGTTCGAGGAAGGGTGGTCCCTTTGTTTGGAACTTGCCTTCTACCAAACACACTCCAAAAACATTTATCGGGGCGGAACGCTATCCATAACAAGGAATATGGCCGATAATGAAGTAGCAAGCAACACCGCCAAGGAGCTTGAAGAGAAGCTCTCCTTGAAAAAAAACGAAGTTCGTGAAGAAGATGATGAAGACGAAGAAGAAGCCGGCAACGGCGGAGAAGATAACGCCTCCAGCGCTGACAAAAAGAAAAAGAAGAAAAAGAAGTCTAAGAAGAAGAAAACTCCTCAAGAGCAAACCGTTCCCCCAAGAGTTGGACTCTCTAAGATTTTCGTAAACAAGAAGTACCCTGTTGGAGAAATGGTGGACTATGCAGAAGATAACCTTTGGCGTACCACCAATGAAGAAAAGCGCGCCTTAGATCGTCAAGAGCACAACCACTGGAATGATTTGCGTCGTGCCGCCGAGACTCATCGTCAAGTCCGTCAGTATGCCCAATCTGCTATTCAACCAGGCATGTCTTTAACCCAAATTGCAAATTTGATTGAAGATGGCACTCGTTCTTTGGTTGAAGAAGACGGCTTAAAGTCTGGTATCGGTTTCCCAACGGGTTTGAATTTGAACCATATTGCTGCTCACTTCAGTCCCAATGCCGGCGATACTACAATTTTGAAGGACAAGGATGTTATGAAGGTTGATATTGGTGTTCATGTCAACGGACACATCGTCGATTCTGCGTTCACTATGTCTTGGAACCCTGATTGTGACCCTCTTCTAGCCGCCGTTAAAGCAGCTACGAACACTGGTATTCGTGAAGCTGGTATTGATGCTCGTTTGAATGAAATTGGTGAAGCTATTCAGGAAACCATGGAAAGTTATGAAGTGGAGATGAATGGCAAGACTTATCCTGTCAAATCCATTCGTAACTTGAGTGGTCACGACATTAAGCCCTACAGCATCCACGGATCGAAGAGTGTTCCCATTGTCAAGGGTGGTGAGGAAGTTAAGATGGAGGAAGGTGAAACTTTTGCCATTGAGACTTTCGGTTCCACCGGCCGTGGTCTTGTCCATACTGATTTGGAATGTTCTCATTATGCAAAGAGCCAGGATGTTGGTCATATTCCTTTGCGCCTTCCTCGTGCCAAGGCTTTGTTGAATACCATCACTCAAAACTTTGGTACACTTCCCTTCTGTCGTAGATATTTGGACCGCTTAGGCGAATCTAAGTATTTAATGGCTCTGAACAATTTAGTTTCTGCCGGTATCGTTCAAGATTATCCTCCCTTGGTTGATATCAAGGGTAGTTATAGTGCGCAATTTGAGCACACCATCGTCCTTCACCCTACCCAAAAGGAGGTTATTTCCCGCGGCGATGACTATTAAATGTCTCCAAACCTAATGCCAGTAACATTAGCGTTCTAATTTTAGAAAAAGAAGTTGTTCTTTATTATATTAATTTTTTTTATTCTTTGCCTTAGCAGTTAAATTTTGGTTTATGGTTTATAATAATTGGTTTCTTAACTGTATGCAATAATAACTACGGGGTGAACAGCCCTAAGAGATATTTGAAGGTTACTGGATGAGTAAAAGGAGCCATTGTTTCATTCATTACGAAATTTTTTTTCTTTAAAACGACACCTAGAACGACAACTTACTACGTTCAAAGGTTTGTGAGTTTGAACAGATGAAGATTATTCTTCTATGAGACGAGTTTCATAAAGTTTCTAAGACCAATGTATAGAGCAGAAGCAGAATAGGTAAGAAATGTTTTCTAAGAGATTGGAAGTGAAACATTTCTGCGTCTACGCACATAAAATACAATATATGGTAGTAGAGTAGATTGAATTAGGAATAGCTAGGAATGTTGTGGCTTTAGCAAGGTTTCAACAACGTGTTGTAACAGCCGTTATGAAAGGCTTTATACTGTTAACATTGCTTCTGTTCATCCACTTAACATTTGGTTCTAGCAATATTTTTATGCCTTCTTATTCCGCCAAATGCAGTAAGGGTAACTTGAACGAAGTATTTACCTAGAAAGAAGAGGAATTTGTATTTATTATTAAGAAACAATGATACCAATTGTAAGTTAATATGCTTATTACATGCTGGAAACTCTTCACTTTTGTTTCGGACCTACATGTAGTCTAAATGATCTCAAAATCTCATGGAGAGCCCTATATAATATAATGAGTAAAGAAAAACTGAAGTGAATTATTTCATAAAAATTTTTACTCGTGAACCACAACTCTGATGGAGGAGATAAATTTGGTGTCACCAATATTAACACGAACACCTTGAGATCTTGCATATATCTAAACCTGCGCACAACCACCATGTTAGCCAAAAGATTGAGCCGTACGGTAAGTATTGGAAACCATTTTAATTTGGTTTATCTTTTTTTATTTTTTGAACGTTACTGACAAAGCATGAAGGTCAACCATTTTGTCCGAAGGAAAACGACTTATGTGAATAATCCTATAACTTACAAGGCTTTGCATGCAAATGCTCCTTTACCTAGATGTCATATCATTGAACCTCCTCGTGCTACAGTGCCTGAAGCTGTTTCTAATGTAAGAATCTCTTGGTTTTGGAATTTGAGTCTTTGATCAAACACTCCTGTACATGGTGTATAGCCGGGTGCAAAACTTTGATTTTATTCTTCATGAATCAATTGACGGGAAGATGCATGATATTTTTAATTATTGAGATGTGTTGCCTCGTTTTCTTGTCTTTTTTCACAAGCTGTAGCAGTTTACTTTTATAAAACTGTTGCAACTTGAACGTGAAAGAAAAAAAAAGGAAATTCCGTTGTTGCATACCACTTCACCTAAGGACTCATATTTCAATTCTTTGTTTTTTTGGAGCTTTTTCTTTTTTGTTTCTAACAACGTATCAGATTATTGCCTCTACCCCATTCAATCGTATTCCCAGACCCCAGCGTCACGTCTTTAACTGTCTTGTCCAAAATGAACCCGGTGTTCTCTCTCGTCTCTCTGGTATTTTGGCTGCACGTGGCTTTAACATCGACTCTTTAGTTGTTTGTGCTACTGAAGTCGAGAATCTTTCTCGCATGACCATTGCAATCAGAGGGTAAGTGTATCTTCTTTGTTAAATGTTTCCTTATCTCTAACACCTATGACAGAAACGATGAAGTTGTTGAGCAAGCTAGACGCCAAATTGAGGATATTGTTTCAGTATGGGCTGTGTTAGACTACACCGGTACTGATATTGTTGAGCGTGAATTGCTTTTGGCTAAAGTATCCCTATTGGGTCCTGACCACTTCCAACAGCATTTTGAAAGAGAAATACCAGGAGTTACTGGTGAAGAAACTGAACAGGCTTCTTCTTCTGTTGACAATTCTATGTCTCCAACTGCTGCTTTGCAACTTAGAGCAAACCAGCTTTCTGCCATCAATCAAGTAACTCATCTCTTTAACGGTCGAGTTTCAGACATCTCAACTGAAAGTCTCATAATTGAATTGACTGCTAGTCCTGATCGTGTTGATAACTTTTTGTCTTTACTCCGTCCCTTCGGTGTGTTAGAAGCAAGCCGTACTGGTACGACCGCCATGGCTCGCTCTCCTCTTTCCAACGTAGTACCAGATAAATACACTGAAGATGCTGTAAGTACCTTTCTTATTTATACACCTTATTCTCTAACTAACCGTATTCTAGGATAATGATGAAGTTGTCGATTTGCCACCTGGCTAAATAAAGAATGCTTGGTAGAGAGTAGTTATTTCTCTTTTGCATTCTTATCCATCTTTGGTTTTTTTTTTTGACTGTTCATTTTTTTTGCAGATTAGTTTTGAATTTGTGTCCTATACTAAACTGCAGCGGTGGTACTTAACTATTTTGGCTCACAAACAATACGACAATATCAAGTTAGTCTTGGAACATGAAAATTTTTCTATATTGTGAATAGGAAATAGTTGTGAAAAATGGTTGGAACATGTATATTTGTTACTTCTTGACGAATCATAAAATGTAATTTACTATTTAAAATTTGAACCTTTACCCGTTATTCGAGGGTGACTTGCGTATTCATTATTATTAGTTATGATACTCCCCCCATAGTGAGTTTAAGCGTAGGCAAGGCATTTTCCTACAGTTATTTGGTGTGCTTGATAGCTTCTCTTCTGTAGATGGCGTTCAACAAAGAGCTATAACTCCATGTTAAATCCAAGGCACCTACTTGTTTACCATCAACGCGAGAGATTTGCTCAGACATGCTACTATTGGGACCATGGAATTCTGCAGCATCTTGTAAAAATTTATCGGCATACTTAATCATGTTCTTGCGGATAAGAGGCCAATTGTAGGGATCACCAAATTCAGCAAACTCAACGAAGAACTGTATATTGTGACTAGTGAGTTCTGGAAGGCCGTAAGAATCGTAGTACTGAATAGCCTTATAAATCACTTCAGCTGCACTGTGGGTACAAAGGAACCAGGGATTGCCAATGGAGGTACCAACACCGTCATAGACATCTTCCAAATAACGGCCGATGAGCTGCTTGTGTCCTTGATTGATAGCGTAAGCCTTGGTCATTGACTCTTGAAGCTTCTTTAAGGTAGGGAGCGTATGTGTGTCAAACTCTTTAGAATAAAGAGAAGCCAATAAAACAGAACAGTCAAGTCCAGAACGATTAGGGATGTTTTTGTATCCTTTAATGATTCCCAAACTATGGTCCCAAAACTCGCCAAGCTTAAGATCAATAGGATGTATTGTCTCTGCATATAGAGTGGATTGATCCCAAGCTCCGACGCGCTTTGCGAATGCCGCACCGTCTTGCAAGGCGGTTTTTTGGACGGTCAATGTAAAATAGTGAACATCTTTGATTTCTTCCCAAAGATCGAAACTAGGTTTCTCCCATACGCTGACAGTATAATCCAAGTCTGCTAAAACCGCTTCGATATAAGGAACGACTTCATGAGGATTGATGCCGTTATCAAATCGATAATTTAGATATTTGATAAAGGCCATAGCTCTCAAAGCGGGAGAGTCGTTTTGAGGACGACCCCATTCACCGTCATAGCTTGAGCCATCAGTATGAAATTTTGGTTCACCTAAACCTCCACTGTAGAAGTCACCGCTAGGGTTTTTGACTCTTTGTAAACGGACCATCTCGTCCATGTACTTGATAATGATCGGATCAAGACCTTCGTCGCCTTCAAGGAAACGATCAATAACGGTCATTATGGTAAGAGCACTGTCTCGAACCCATTGGAAATAATAATTTGGAACGTTGTCGGAAGGAGAAGCGATAATACAACCGGAATTGATGTTTTTGGCATGCTTACCACTGTCTCCAACATTGTCAAGCAAATGGCCCATGGCAATTCCTTTTTGGAGTTCGCTCCATTGATCGATATCGAAACGTTCAGATTTTTCAGCAAATGTCATCCCGTGCAGTGAAGTGGAACTAATGATAAAGGCTAAGAGCCAGCGGATATGCATACTTCAAAGTTGTTTTGGATATATGTATACAAGAAGAACGATTGGATAAAAATATAAAATGGTATAAGAAATACCTTTAAAAATATGTGTACTGATTTTAGAAATTTACTCTCTGTAGCTGTCTTTTATAACCATTCGAAATCCCCATGTAAACAAACAAATACCAAACAAACAAACAAACATAGCATTCCTTAATACAAAAGCCTCAAACATAATTGCGATTACTAGTTAATAAACAAACAAACAAACAAAAAATTAGAAGACTGGGTACAAGAAATCCCCAACTCTGTAGTTTTCGTCAAAGCTGACGATATAACCTGCAATACATAGGCACAAATGTGTAGTAGGGTGTTTGACAGATTGGGAAAAAGTCGGTTTGTAGTAAATTTATTTGCAATCCTTTATACAAGTGTAAAAGAAGTATTCGAGATACAGTCGTGTAGCTTTTATATTCTCTCCTTAGGATAACTTGCGTATAGAATATATGACATCGAATATACAGTCATGGTGATGGAGGACATAACTTTCTTAGAGTTGAATTGGTTCTTTTTGGAGTTTCTTTGCAATGCTCCCTTGTCTCTGTATTTTCCTTTGGCAGCTTACTTGGCTTGCTTGGATATTCCCAATGTTTGTTTGCATGTTGAAACAAACCATTTGTTATTCTCGAGACTTTTAAGCATTCTACTTGAAACTGTAAAAGATAAGTTCATTGAATTGGTAGAAGAAAAACTAATTTGATTTCTTCAAAACCTGAAACTCCATTGTTTACATTTCAGTTCCTACACAAAATAGGCAAAATCTGGCATCCGCTAATATTTTTCTACGAAATTAATTCTTCTTTGAATGTAAGTTTGCTAAATATAAAATTACTTATGAATATAAGATAGATTAAATATCTTTTATTTCTATTTTTCAAAGGTTAATTCTTCTGTTTACATTTCCATTTAGTGTATTACTCTTAAGCTCAGTATTCATTTACTGACTTCATACTTCAAGGAATATAGAAGTTGCTATTAACACAACAGTTGACTGCTAGTCCTGTTTAGTTTTATTTTGTGAAAATGTCGAACTTTCAACTTCTTACTGTCCTTCCTAAACCTTCTTATGAACATGTCTTTAACAAGGAACGCAATGGTAAATGACAGAGAAATACTTTTAAGAACAGATGCTAACATGTATGATTAATAGAATTCGTGACTACAACCGCTACCAACCAAGTCGAAGTTTATAAACAACATGGCGCCGATTGGATTCTGAATAAAAGGTTCAGCGATCATGATAAGATTGTTACATGCGTTGACTGGTCTCCGGTAACTAACCGTATTGTGACATGCTCACAAGATCGCAATGCGTATGTGTATGAAAAACGACCGGATGGAAGCTGGAAGCAGACTTTAGTTCTTCTTCGATTGACACGTGCTGCTACATTCGTCCGCTGGTCACCCAAGGGTGACAAATTTGCCGTAGGCAGCGGTGCCCGTGTTGTTTCTGTGTGCTACTTTGAAGAAGAAAATGACTGGTGGGTCAGTAAGCATTTAAAACGCCCATTAAGAAGTACCATTTTGTCTTTGGATTGGCATCCTAACAATGTCTTGCTTGCTGCCGGTTGTGCCGATCGAAAGACATATGTTTTGTCTGCATACATTCGTGATGTGGACGAAAAGCCTGAGGCTAGTGTTTGGGGATCTCGCCTTCCCTTTAACACCGTCTGTGCCGAATATCCTTCGAATGGGTGGATCCATTCTGTTCAATTTTCCCCATCAGGAAATGCTTTAGCGTACACCAGTCACGATTCTTCCCTTAGTATCGTATATCCAAGTGCTCCTGAGCAACCTCCTCGTGCTTTTGCTACTCTCAAAATACCTCAGCTTCCCCTTCATTCTCTTTTGTGGGTGAATGAAACCACCATTGTCGCTGCCGGATACAATTACGCGCCTTTGCTATTCCAAGGAAACGAATCTGGTTGGTCTTTTATTGGTGACTTGGATCCTGGTGCTTCCAAGACTACGGCTACTCAAACTGGAAAGGCTTCTGAAAAAGATGAAGAAGAATCTGGTCCCGTTTCTTTCTCTGCTTTGCGTTCTACCTTCCGTAATATGGACTTGAAGGGTTCTAGCGAATCCGTCTCTTCTTTGCCTACTGTACACCAAAACATGATTTCTTCTCTTCGTCCCTTTGTCGGTGTACCAGGAAGCATGAAGTCCTTCACTTCTAGCGGCACAGATGGTTGCATTGTTTTGTGGAACCTCTAATTCTTTCAGTTATGATTCATGATCTTTTTGCGACTCACGTTCTTTTTGCAATATCATACTGATGTTCATGTACTTACTATTTTCGAAATTTAAGTCGATACTACAATCTTATGAATAAAGCTTCTCAGTTACTTTGAAATTGTATATACGTTTGTTTAGCTATCTTTCTCATCGTATTATTTCTTAATTTTCGAAGCAATGTTTTTGAACAATTTATTTTTCGAATATTAAACTGAAAGTAATAACAAATCATTAAACGTACAAAAGATACCCATTATCCTATAAATAAATTAACCTACTAACAAAACCGAACGCTGAAAAATGGTTTTGTTAGTGAAACCGTAATCACCTTCTTCTTTACCTGATTATCCCAACTGCATGTAGAGCAATACTTAGCGCTTGTCGAAAAATCTTTTCAAGGTGCCAATACCTCCGACTGCAGTAATGATGTCCATTTCAGGAACTAATAAATTCACAAACCGGTCGTTTGATCTTGAGCTTCTTTGTTTCGATCTTAAACGAATGATGGAAAGCGCATCTAACGAATTCACGACATCACAAAACTCTGAACTTGTCAACGGGTGAATTAACTTGTCTCTTAAACATAGAGAACTATACTTTTCATAGACGTCACTAATGCTTAAAGACTTGTTACACACGACCAGCGTGCATAATATAGCTTTTTGTTGAAGACTTAGATCCTTCAAACGAGAACTGGCAGATTGACTTAAAGCGGAGGTAGCACGAACAACATGAGCAATACTTGCCCTTGGTAAAGCTTCCATTGACATAACTGTATCCAACCCACGAGACTTTTGTTCGCGTTCTACTAACTCAATGGCATGTCTACATATGTCCAATGCTTTTCGCAAATCACCACTCGAGGCTGCAACTTTTCGAGCGCAAAGTTCAATGGCCGACGGATGAATAAAAGGAACTTCCTCAGAAACCTTTATATTAGAAGGTAAGCTGTTCTCTTTTTCTTCCTCGAGCTTGTTTGGATATCCATCTCCAGTTTTTTGTTGTAGAAAAGCAGAATTTAACCTTGCCTTTATAATCGTAGAAATTTCTTGAGCCGAGTACGGAGTAAACGAAAGTAATGTTGGCAGAATATTTTTGGTTTGCAAACGAGGAAGAAACCGATCTGTCATATCGAGTGCATTTGCAATACCGACTAGGATGAGCCGGGACATGGGAAGAGAAGGCCATTCAAATAGCGTATACAGAACCTGCTGTTCACGAGCAATAAGATGGTCCATTTCATCCAAAACTAGAATAATTGGAGGGAGAGAGGAAGAATCATTTTTGGTAAAGTATTCCTTCAATTGAGTCTGATATGTAGAATGGGAGTCCTCCTCATCAGGAGTGCAAACCTTGTCAAAAAGTTGACTGTAAACTCTTTCAAAGATCATTTTGGGCTCTGTAATGGTCATGCAATTCACATTACACACTTGAGCATTCTTAAACTTTCCCACAATACCTTGCAACACTTCACTTACCAGCACAGTCTTACCAGTGCCCGGTGCACCACTAATGTAAAGAGCCGCTCCCGTTGGCTCGCCGGTTAGATTCTGACTAAAAAAAGATTCCAAAAAATGCTTTTCTTTTTCACGCCCTACTACACCGGTGGAACGATGGGATTTCCGTAGACATGTCTTAACAGGATTGTACGCAGAGGGAGTAGAAGGTGTTGAAGGAGTTGGAGGAACAATTTGTCTGTGAGGAGTAGCTTGCAAAAGACGACTAGCAAATGGAGTCAATTTATTCATGCGATTTAAAGACCTAGGAGTCACAAGCTGGATGGTCCGCCTTGGTGTGCGAGGGGTTCGAGGCGTTTTTGGAGTAGAAGGAAGTTCCATGTAATCTGGTGGTGTATTTTCTTTACATCCTTTTTCATTGCTTTTATTGATATCTTCTTCATTCTGGCTTGTGATCAGATCGCGCTTTGCTTTTTTCTGTGGTGTTAAATTCTCCAAGAATGGTTCATGAATCCTTTTTCTACGGGGGGTAGAAGGAACTTCTATAGTAAAAGATGTGTTTTGTGTTTCATTTGTGCAATCACCCAAAGCCTGCTTTGATTGAATTCGATTGCTCCGACGACTAGGCGACAGGCATCTTTCTGAAAGTTCATGAAGACTGGTTTGTGAATCCATGTCTTTAACCGACTCTTCGACAATTCTTGGGATCCTGAAGACAATCGTTTTAGAAGGTTTATTTATCCAGAAGGCGTGTGTATATTTAATATAAGAGATTACGACGCGTCGCGCTCTATCAATTTTCATTGTTCCGTGTCGCGTCTTTGGTGTATCATGAGCGACGCGAGACGCGACGTGACGTGGTGAGAATAGCGCGCGTCAAACCTCTTCGATTACATATGGTATACAAATTGTTTATTTGATAACATTAATAGATAAAAAATAATAACTTTTTATTTCGTATTTAGCGCGTTCTATAATGGAAGTACTACTTTAATCGAATATTTAAACCGAAACCCCAAAACCAAAGCACATTGCTTTTTTAAGTTATTGAACCATATTAAAAAAGATAGGGTAGTCCGCATGAACATGGATCACTCGTATTGACCTTGACTGTTCAGAAAGATATACCATCCTGGAATGAAATAAAAGACTACTAGCTCTAACAGTATGGGTGCGAACGTGTAAAGTCAGTCAATGACTTACATTCCTAAACCTTTTCTGTTTCCTTTTTGATGAATACCAGACATGTATTGCTGCTCCAATTGACGCTCACGCTCGTGTTCGAATCCACCCTTCTTTTCTTTAGGAGCAATGTCTTGTCCACCTCCGTTGATTCCAAGCATTTTTAGAAACTTGGATTTTCTTTGGTTACCTCCAGATAACTGTGATGCCAACCAATAATCCCTGTTTCCCTCATCAGACTTTTCCTTTTGTCCATCAGTGGCTGCTGGATTTTTAGAATTTTTCTCCTTTTCAGTAGATTCTAATCGAAATTGTCAACTTAAGCATCCTTAATTGAACTTACCAGTTGATTTCTGCTTCGCTTTCTTGCTAGTGCTATCCTCTGACTTTTTTTTAGAACTAGATAGGATTAGTACAGTAGATTGTATAAAGAACTTCATACTGTAACTTTTTTACTTTGTGCTTGAGCTTTTTATATTGTTTTAATTCATCCTTGCCTAATGATACCGGTTAGTCAATATTTCGTCCAAACGAAATCATACTCAAAAGTTTTTTTTCTTCAGACTTTAATTTCCGAAAATCGGAAACACTAGAGCCCCAAATTGGTGCCTTCTTCTCTTTCTTTGAGACTTTTGAAGATGCCATGGTATGAGATGGTAAATGGTAGGTAATCTCATAACAGATTAAATCCTCACTGCAAGGACAGATAAAGGCAAACGTTAAAAGGGAATAGAAAAGGACTAATGTAAAAAAGCTACTTTAATCATGTGTGGTTCCTTTTTCTTTTCTTTACGGAACTGAACTTCATGAAAATCGGCTAAAGTCGAATTCATAATATATCCAGCTAGCTCTCAGCATCCGGTTTCTTTTGGACTTGCTCCTGAATTTCCGAATTTTCCAACAGTACTGTAGCACCTTCTGGTTGTTTGGGCGTATAATTGTCATTGTCCACTTTCTTTTCGGACATAGTAGCCTTCTGTTCTTTGGGTGTGCTAGAAGTGTCTTCTACATTTTCAGTTTCTTTGCTTTTCTGCAATTGTGAACGAAGGGAGCTGATCATACTGTTTCGACTTTGTAGCAACATCTCTAAAGTGCTCAACGACTTTGCGTAGTAGTCGACCTCTTGTAAAATAGGAAATCCAAGAGTTTTGCGCAACAGATTGACAGTTCGATCCTTGGCTGTTATCTGACGAACCTTCTGGTCCAAGGGATTAAGCGAACGAGGTTGACGCTGTTGTTGCTGAGCCATTGTAGCTTGCATCCATGCTTCTTTCTGTTTCTTTTCTTCAAAACTTTTTTTATATTTTTGAATAGCACCTTTTGCCGTGTCCACAATGTGTTGGAAGCGAACGGGCCCTAGCAATTGCCCGCCATACCATCGAACACAAACGACAATTCCATAAACAGATTCTTTAATCAATGTGTTTAGAAGTTTCTGTCCAGAATATTCCTCACCGTCATCATTGAATGCTTCCACTTCACCTGGAAATCTCCAAGCTTGCATTTTATGATTGCAATGCTTTAACTCACTGCATTCCTGAAACATAAACCGGTAGGAGGGAAGGAGTTTCGGATCATCAGAAGGAATAAAATAGCTTAAAAAGGTAGATTCTCTATCCGTAATCAAATTCGACATGAACGAGCATTCTTGCAACGACTGATTGGGAACAGTAAGAGCCAATCCTTGACCTCCAAATTTCAGCTGTGCTTGACGTTGGGCCATTTCATTTCATTTAAACCGAAGTCCAAGGCAAGGGAAGCCGATTGCGACGCTTTTGCTCACGATAGAAGAGAGCCAAGAACAATCGGGGTTCGGTTCCCTTTTTTTTTGAATAACCCATATCCCAAATCCATTTCTTATTTAAATGTCATCTTCGAAAAAAAAACTTAATTGTTTTTTGAGAAACGGCTATATTTTATAAATCCTTCACATTGTCTTTGGAACATATCCTGTAAGGATACTCACTTTCTAATCAGTCGATATAGATATTCATGAAAGTTTTTAGATCTATTTATATACATACTAGTATAGTCTTTTAAAGTCTAAACTCATCTATAACAAGCGGTTCATGGTCAGTCAAATCGCTGGATAAATTCCCAATTCTGAATCGCTGGATAAATTTTTTTTATTAAATCAATATAAGTGTAAATGATTATAAATTCTCTCATCATTTAATTGAACTTGACGACGCGTCTTTCTTTCTCTAATTTCGGTGACTATACTAACGTACTTGTTCTCTACAGAAAACAACGGATTCTCTAAGATGGCTCTGAGAGGTTTAAAGAAACTAGCATACCCATTGCTCCCAGTGAGAGGAAATATTTTAAATCCTTTAGGAAAATTTCAACAGAATTTATACGGTGGTTCGAAAGTTGAAGTTGGACATAACAAAATCCCAAAATTTGGTCATAAGACAAAGCGAACATGGACTCCCAATGCTCATTTCAAATGGCTTTACTCTGAAACTCTTCAAGAAAAAATTCATTTACTAGTTACCTCTAAGGTATTGCGCACAATTGAAAAAGAAGGAGGACTTGACCAATACTTAATTAAATCAACGCCCGGAAGATTGAAAACACTTGGAATGAGAGGAACTGAATTAAGAGCCCTTGTGTTACATAAAAAGGGAGTTCAAAATCCTGTGATCGAACAACTTCCCAGGGACGATGAAGCTCAACGACGCTACTTGGCGAAAGTACGCGAAGTCGTATTAAAGTTAAACCGAAGCAAAAAGTTTTATCATAAAATTAAGAGTCTTGTTGGTCAGGAAAAACCCGAAGCGGTTGCTTAAATTCACGATAAATGATAGTGATTTCCCAAAAAAATCCTACACCTCCCATTTCCTACAAATTTCATTTCCATAGCTCACAATTTTTTGCATTGAAGTACTGCTTCATATTTTCGTTTCTTAAGTTTCGTTCTCTTATACAAGGGACGGGCGATATCTCAAAATCCTTGAAGTGTTTACCCTCCTCCCCCCTCTTGCTTGGAGGTCGATTTCCTTTTCCGTTGTCTTACCAGTACTAAATTCTTCTTGTGATGATTTTCGAAAACATACAACGGCCGTGAAAGGATTGCTTCATCCTTCAATAATAGTGATTAGCGACTACCATGTTCGATCATGTCTAAAGACTTTATTACCTGAGTTTTCTTTTCGTTCAGGTTGACGCATCCTACAATTGGTTATATGTACTGCACTAAGAAAAAATTAATATTCATTTGTAAGTTACCCTACATAAAGAGAGCTGCGCTTTGTTATTTCCTTCTTGATATCTAATTCTAGCACTACGTATAAAGCAAGTAATAATAAAGTAGACCGTCATTGAAAATAAAGTACGTTAATGTTTGTAATACCGTTTACCACTATTTGTAGAAGTACCATAAATTGAATTGGGTATTTTTAAGTGCTTTTTTAAATATATAACGAGGTCTAAACTTCATTATTGTTTATAATAGCGTACTTTAGTAAAGTTCGATATTTGAGAAGACTAAAACTTTCTTGTCTTAGAGTAGACACCAACACCATCTTTGAATTCTTTACCTGTCTTTACCAACAAGCCTAGGTCAGCAAATTGGCATTTCTGACCATTTTCCAAGCTTAATTTTTGTTTCAGCTTGTTCACAGTACCAAAATTTATTTAAGGAATTTGTTTTTGGTGATAACTACAAAAGTTTGAATTGGAATAACAAAAATGTCAGAATCTATTCTTTTAGATGAGATTTTCACTGTAACATCTGTTGATAACCAGAAATATCAAAGAGGTAAGTTATAACGTCCGATAGCGTCTGAAATTGAGAAGTCTAACAGTTTATTTTAGTTTCTCGGATTACTGGTACATCTGCACAAAATGATATGGGCCTGACTCTCGATATAAACTCACAATTATATCCATTGGAACAAGGTGCTACTTTCAGTTTGCAGTTAGCTAGCAATTTGAATAGTCAAGAATTGAAAGATGCCGCAGACTATATTATGTATGGCAAGGTGTACCGGGTTGAAGAAGGAAAGGACGATAATATGTAAGTGGAAGTCTTCTCTAAATTGATACTAAATGGTTTAGCTCTGTGTACATCAGCTTTGGTGGACTTCTTATGTCTATTGAAGGTTCTCATCGTAAACTGTACCGTTTATCTTTAGAGCATGTTTATTTGCTTATGAGAAGGTAGAGTGGAAATGGTTCGTTTAGTTTTGTCAAAAAAATAAATAATTTTGGATGGTAATTTTAATTTACACCTCAAACTCATGTACGACAACGCTCAGCTTGAAAGTGAAACTTCATCCTGTTAACCTCATCGACATCGTTGTTCATAAGTTACAATGTGGTTACAGTTTACTGATCCTCTATTATATTTTTCTTCTCTGCATTACTTTAACCTCTTGACTCTAACTCTTTCGACGAAAACATGTATGCTAAAATCATAAACCTCATTAAAATTTATCATTAAACTATTTTATGCTTAAGAAGGGATGACTTTTCCGTGCTTTAAAGTATCAAATGTTTCTTTGAATCCTTGGAAAGTATCATAATATCCATGGTAGCCTAATTCACGAGCCTTGGTCATGGATGAAATTACATTATAAGTTCTGCCTAACAAAAAGTCACAGAAAGCCCATGTACCATTGTCCAAAAGATTAGGATCCAAGTGTTCGCGTTCAGCAATTTGTTTCCATGCCTTCTTGACTTTATCCTGCTGGACCCACTTGGGAAGAGAAATTTGGTTAACTATCTCACTGTTTGAAACGTTCTTGATTCCCATTTCCTCTTGATGTAACTTGATTGGTGGAGGTGTGGGCAAGGTCATTTTGTTGCTTAAAGAAGACCAATTATCAAATTGGTTTTCGGGAACGATTACACCAAAGTACTCGGCGATCTTTGGCCAAGTTCTTGACCAGCTGTGAACGTCACCGTTCACGATGTTGAAACGTTCATTGCTAGCTTCTGGTTTTTGCGCAGCCCATACTTGAAAGTCGGCAATTAAACGTGAATAAGAAATATCGTCAAAGCCTTTATAGAATGTTTCATTTCCAGGGAAGTAGAATGGTTCGTTCAACTCTTTGCAAACAAGAGCATACAACGCAATAGTGAATGCGTGGTTCATGTAACTTCCTTGAGAAGCACCGCAGATATCGTTGGGCATAGCTATTACATAATCCCAAGGTTTGTTGTCACTTAATTCTTTAAGGATATCTTCTTGAACATAGTAGAAATTGGGGGATCCTGCAAAGCTTTCAGGTACACGACCATCAGATTCTTCCATGGGAAGTCTTACTTCACCGAATTGAAGACCGTAGTACTTCAAACCAGTCGTTAAAACAACTCTCTTAAGGGTCTTGCTGTTGCTTTTTTCAAGACCCGCTACAAAATTTCTCACCATCGCTCCATTGGTCTTGCACATTTGACCTTCATCTGATTCCTCTTTATAGGCAGCATGGAAGGCATATGTAATGTTTGTAACGCCCTCTTTTTGGAGGGTCTCAGCGACCTGTTCAGGACTGGAATTGATCAAGTCAATTGAATAGTGCTTAACTTTGCTTGGGAATTTTTCTTTGAGTCTACGAGAGACACAGTGAATCTTCGAACACTTAGGTTCTTCTAATAGACGATTGATGATGGCAACACCGTTAATACCAGTCGCACCTGTCACAATTGCTTCAAATGATCCTGTCATTATTTAGTTTTTGTCTGAGCTTGTTGGGTTTGATGGCGATATGGAAGATATAAATAATATACTTAGAGCCTTTGCGTATAGTGATGTGATTGCTAGTATTGACGAAAACACTCGTCTAGACTATGAATTGCAAGTTACATTGCCCTAAAATCACTTGGTAGAGTATTCTACAGAATGCTAAATGATATGTAGGTTTACGCAAGCTTTACATCAAATTACATTTTTGAGCCGAAGAAAATATAAGAAAAAAATATAGAGAATGAGACAGAATATTGTTGAAATGTAAAATACTTTTGTTTCAAACTTGCAAAGAAGCATTACTACCGTTTCGAACACTGTACATTAGGAAAAGTTCAGTTTACTCTATAGATGTCATGTCATATCTGGATGATTAGATTCGGGGAGAATTGAACACAGAAAAAAATTTTTTTTACATTCATTTGCAAAAAATAAAGCACACAATGCTAGAGAACATTTTGCATTTTCTCAAGAATTGTTTTCCAACAAATAGTAACCAGGAAAAGAATATTAGGTAACAATAGCTAACAAATATCGAATTAAAAAAAGTAGTTTGCTGTTAGTAGAATAAAAAATATATACATAGGCAAGCATGAAGAATATACATTTCAAAGTTAAGAAAAGATACTTTTTCTAATACAATTCCAAAAGGGTTCCAGAATAGGTTTCTAAGGAACTCTAGCTGCTTTCCTGGAACCGGTTATTATCAACGAAGAGTCCTAAGTATATTTCAAACAGCCCTACCTCAAATCTTGAAAACACCAAGTAAGCAGAAATTTTTCCAAATCTTTATTTATCCTGTTCTTTCCTTTAATAGACAGCAGTTTCTACTCTACATAAATTTATTGAAATAAAAATCGCTTGATGTATTGGTTTACCGATTTATGTTACAGTATGCAAAAGATACCAACAAACACCTTGTATATCATTAAATGGTAAACACTAAAAAATTCTTACTTACCACACAACGTAAACAAACGCGAAAGTTGAAATTTTGAAGTTTTATTTGGCGCTACCAAGTATTCTATATTTATGATTAGTTTTCCATAAATAATACCCTAAACGAAAGACCTAAGAAAACAGGAGCTACTAGGTTTCCTAAACAAGCTGTCAACGAGTCGTGTCGTGTGTAAAAGCAGCTTCAATGGATTTCATTCTGGTTACCCGTTCTAATAAAAAAAAAAAAGGAAACTCAAAAAAAGGAAAAAAGGGAGCAAGAACTAATATTGACGTTGATAAAGACTTATGGTCTCAGGAAGCACTAGACAAGAAATTGGCAAAAAATGAAGAAAGGTTTCAGGTGGGAGCGTACATTGAGAAAATAAAATCTTTGCTTGAGCCATTCACATATCGCTATGAGCATTGCTTGATCCTAGGCTTGGGACGAGTTCATACCTTAACCGCTTCTTTACAACTACAACTATTCTTCGAGCTTCAAAGTATTTTTCATATTCCTTCTCAGAACTGTACCTTTTATGATCCAGCATTCTTAGAAGATGATGTCCAATTTTTACGAAACAAAGGTTTCACTTTACTAAAAGAATCTCCCAAACCAGAAGAATACCTTGAAAACACTTTGCTGTTTATGCCCCATTGCCCTACTTCTCTGTACGAACAATGGCTTAATGCTTACTCAAAATCCGAAAAACAATTCTCTATGTGTGGTAATAATCTCAAACTGTATGTGGACAATTTACCATCCAAAGAAATTAAATCAAAGTACCCAAATATCTATAGAGTATGCCAGCAAAAACTATATACCCAAATTTTATTTCCTGAATTTTCCGAGGCATTTGCCTTTAATGATTTCGCTTTCCATTTTCCTTGTCCCTATCGGTCGAGTCCAAAGACGACTTCGCCTGAGAAGACACCGTCGACTGTTGCTGATGTTTCAAACGTTGCTGAGCACCCCAGTTGACGAAATCATGGAATATATTAGCACTGAAGTGGCTCTTAGCTGGGTTTTGAATCCAGCTTGCGAACGTTGACATGTAAACTTCAAAACCCTCATTTAATTCTGGTCTGTCAGCCAGCAATCGCAAGAATAATTGAGATATGCTAGAACCAGTCGCTCCAAGATTGGCCTTCTTGCCGCACAGTTGATGGACTCTTTTCAGAGCATCAATTACGTTCTTTGACTCAGGTACTTCTTCTGTCCAACGCAACTTGTTTAATCGGTTACGGAAAACAGCAATTCCCTTCTCTTCCAACATTTTATGTTTCGTCTTTGTAACCATTTCTAGCATAGGAAGAATAAATTCAAATCCTAATCCATTATGAGGTTGTGCTTTGTAAAAGTTGTCAATCAAGTCGATAACCTTGACCTTAAATTGAACAATTTGTAATTTTGTTTCTTCCTCTCCCTTTTTCTTTTCTTTGTTCGAAGCCTTCTTCTTCTCACGGAAAACTTCTGCTAACTTGTCATCCAAAGCAAGCATTTGCTCATCATTCATTAGTTCTTCTTCAGAACTTTCACCGTCATTGGCTTTAGCATCTGCATCTTCTAACACCTTATCCAATTTACGTTCAAGCTCTTCATCGTCAGAACCTCGGTTGGAGACCATTTCCCAATCACTACCTTCAGCTTCATCCGTTTCTATTTCTTGGAATCCGTCCTCATCCTCATCCATTCCTTCTTCTTCTTCTACTTCTTCCTCTCCATCTTCGCCTTCTTCAGCAAACATTCCCTCCTTGTCTTTTGCATTTTCTTTTGTTGTCAACACATCACAAACCAGACGAATACTACCGCGATCCATGTCCTGTGAAAAAGAGACGAAAAGCATATCCACGAGTCTTCGAAGTAGATGAGAGGGACGGGATAGAAGGGACAGCATAACTTCTGTCAAAATCTCCATAGAAGTTGGTTCGCCAGTGGATGATTTTTGTTTAGATTTTTTACTGAAAACCCTGTAATAGCAGTTATCAAGATCCTCCAGAACCTCAATTGAATCTGTATCGCCAGCGTAAACTTGTAAGAGTACTAAAGAGTAAAGTAATTGAAAAGCCTGTAACTGTTGCAAATGATCACCCTGTTTATTGATCTTTTTGGTGACTTTTTGAAGCACTGATAATGACTTCTCTAATATTCCATTTACTGATTCATCCATTTGAACAATTAAAACCATGTTTTTATCCTTTATGTGATCAAGCAAACTTTGCAAAGCAGTAAAAGGCCAGTTCTTTTTATTAAGATCATCGTCCTCCTTGGAGACCTCAAATGCACTGGAGCTCAAATAGCTTAGTGCCGACATCAAACGCAGGCGAAACATATTTTGGGTAGCTTCCGAAATTTTAGGGCTAGCCTCATTTTCAGGAATTTCAAAATAACCATATGTAATAAAAATGTTAAGAAGTTCGCTAACCCAGACACTGTGCTTTACAGAACGGTTACTACGTAAAATATTAAGCATAGTGTCAGTGACCCATTGGCGTCTTCCTTCCACAGCCTTCGCTTCAGAAGCCATGTCTTTAGGACAATGCTTGATAAATCCCAAAAGCAAGTCAAAAAGAGAAAGGATTCCTTCGTCAGTAGCCAGAGGAAGAATATGCTCTACCACTTTAGTGTTGGTAAGGCGATCAAAGTTAAGAGAGCCACGTTCTCCCAAGAGATGAAGAGCAATGGGGTATACAAGAGAAGAATCGTTTTTGCAAACCTTTTCAATCTTGGAAACAACTCGTCTTGCAGCGCGATAAAGATAGCGCCCTTCGTCACTTAAATGGTTTATGAAACAATGCATAAAATTTCTAGAAAACAAAGTGCCTACGGTAGAGCTAGTAGCGTAGTCCAGAGCTAACTCTATAATTTGGAATCCCCAGAATTTACGCTCCAAAGAAGAAGTCGAAGCAAAAACCCCTTCGTCTACAACAACGTTCCAAAAGTTTTCGAATGGAGCTAATTGTTCATTGGAGTTATACTTGTATTCATTGAATAAGAAGCGCCAAACATAGGGAAGTTTTTGTTTCCAAGCACTATGTTGACCACCCATCTCTTGTACTTCGACTTGTCTCAAAACTTTCGAAAGAGTTACAAGATTTGATTTGTGCAAAGGATAAATAGGATCCCAACCAGACATGGAGGTAGGATGGGATTTGACATTTTCTGGTAAATGAAGCATACAAAGGTATAAGCCAATGCCTTCAGAGGATTTTGAGACAGCCGTTGTTTGTAAAAGCTTATCGACAATATCATAGGCCTCAGAAGCGTATGGTAAAACTGGAATCTGTTTCACTAAATCATATAATACAAGAAAACAAGTATCTCTAAGCCAACTTTTTTTTTCAGACAATTGGAGGAGTAGATCCGCCATTCTTTGGAAGTCATCTTTAGAAGAGGACTGACGTTGAAGAACAGACGAAAATGAAATGGTTTGTAAACCAAACAATAAACCAAAATAATAATCGCGCTCTTCTTGTCCTTTCAAGTTTCCAGTGACAGTGTTATGCTTTACGAGTAACTCTAATACTTGCTGAGCAGTTATTTCTTCTTTGCGGGTAATGACCTGAAAATGGTTAGCACTTGACAATTTAATTCGTTAATAGTTTCTTTTACCTCAGTAAGAGCAACAGAAAAACCAAGACGGGCACTTTCGCGACCACTAGAAACACCCTTGGTCAACCGATTCAATGCATATTTCAATTCCTCTTCAGTAGCTATAGAATCAATCAATTCCTTTGCAGCTTTAAGTCTTGTGTTTTTATCATTCGAAACTAATGTTGTGAATAACTCTAATTGTGTTTTTGTCGCCATCCTTGACGATTCTATTCACAATTGAGGTTGTGGTAATAAGGTGCTGGTCAAGACTATTACCAAAAGTAGGTCTCAAGTCATCAAAAAATTTTTCCATAGTAAATAATTATTATTATAGGATACTTAGTATTTCTTTTCTTTTTTATTTCTGCTTTCTCATTTGAAAAATATGCTTTCCTTGCAGGTTTGTTTGAAGGAACTTGAGATCCAGAATAATTGTCGAAAATGTAAAGTATTAGAAATCCTTACGAGGAAAGTAGAATTTTTTTTAAACTAAGAACCTATGGAATTTGTAAGTTCTAGCTTTGAAAGATTTCGATCCTTATGCTCCACTGTAGCTTACCGACAGGATTAAGTTAGTATACTATGTCCATTGAGCTAAATTACTTTCCAAAACTCTTTATTTAAAATCGGTTTAGCTTCTTCTTTTCTTTTTAACCATCACAATCTCTTTGCTAGGATAACCATGTCTTTATACATGATTGCTAAGTTCTTTTTATTTCAGGGAGAGTGATAATCAATATTTAGATAATTTGTAAGAATAAGAATCCAAAAAAGAGCGGATTGTTTATGCGAAATTACTAAGAACCTGCTATAAACTTTTTTTTGCATACCGACTTCTCAAGCATCGGCTAAAAATAATCGACCGCGAGCCTTCCAAAATGTTTTAATTAAACAAAAAATTTTCATTAATTGTCTGTAAAGTATCTTTACACATCTCAGAGACTGATTATTAAAGCATCAATGAGAAGAATACTGCTATACCACCTCAAGGGCCATCTCAGCAAAGGAGTTTTCCATTCCAAATTTAATAAATCAGTTCCAAGATTAGAAAAAAAGGAAATCTGGTTCTAAAAATTCCTTCATACCAAGTAATTTGAGAGATACTCCCTAATACGATACACGTAGACGATATCATCGTAAACATACGATATATATATAGTTTTTTTTTACAAGATTTCTGTCAAAAGCTTAAGCAGAATAAATTTAACTTTTTTCTTGTAGTCGTTCTAAAAATAACCAAAAAGAATAGGAATGACTCGTTTGCCATCGTGGACAATGTCACACATAACTAAAGAAATATCCAGCGTATGACCATAAAAATGACAGGATTAAGAAGAAGTCCTATGTGAATGGACGCTTCTAAAACTTCTAAGAGAAGATTTCATATACAGAAGACATGTTTCTTTCCTAAAACGAACCTCAAGTTCGTTCTTATTCGTTCATTAACGCATACCAGATAAAGCATAAAAGCAATCCCTACAATAGGTTCTTAGAGAATTTCTTTTTTAAATAATTATAGTTGTTTGTATAGTATCTGTGATTGGTAACCTGAATATCTTTCAGCAGACATAGAGCGCCATTCCTATGGAGAATTTAAAGGACCAAGAATCAGACTATAATTTAAAATGTTTATATAAATTAGTAATTAAAACGAAGTCTTTAAGGTAAATTAGAATTATTTGTACCTATACAGCACGTAATGATTGACTCCATAGCTTGTAACACCCAATATCCATTCGGAAAACATAAACTGACATTCTATTCCGTATTTAGGGAGTATGGGAAATTGTGATGAACAAAGGAAACAACGATGGTATTCTTACTGAAAACAGCGTCCATAAGACCGAGTACTAAATGAATTGTAGGGTCAAAGGCCAAATCGTGTTCAGTTTCCTGTTAGTAGCATTGGAAAGTTCAATTCGTATTTGCACACTAATTTTGCCTTCTCCTTTAAGGGGTTGGTTTTATGAACAATCCAAAAAGTACACAATTGTCAGATATTGAAATGAAGAAGTTCTAACTGACTTTCGCTTAGAATATATTTGCGGTTCCTTCCCGAGTTTATGGAAGACAATGAAGTTAATCAAATGACAACAGCGAGAGACACTGTTGATCTATGTCAACTCCATGGATACGATTTGGAAGAACATTTTGTGCGAACACCTGATGGCTACTTACTTTGTCTACAGCGTGTCTATAAAGACCAGAATAGTTTATCGAAATTAGCGTACAAGCCTCCTGTACTTTTTCTTCATGGGCTCCTTATGAATTCTGAGATTTGGGTTTGTAACATCAGGAAAGAGGACTCAATACCCTTAGCGCTTGTTGATCAGGGCTACGATGTATGGCTAGGGAATTTGCGAGGAAATAAATATAGTAAAAAAAACGTTAAATATGGTTCTGAAAGCCGAGAGTTTTGGAACTTCACTCTCGACAGCATAGCTATCTTCGATATACCTTCACTTGTCAAATATATACTCTCTGTAAACAAATCGGAATCAGTTGCGTTTGTTGGGTTCTCTCAGGGTGCAATTATGGCTTTCGCTGCCTTGTCTATCGACAATGAACTTCGAAAGTCCGTTCGCGCATTCATAGCACTTTCGCCTGCTATCTTTCCAAAAAAATACAGCAGTAAAACGGTAAATTCGATTATTCATTCGAATAGCCAGTTGTTATACTTATTGTTCGGTACTCATTCCATGCTTGCCTCGACCATTTTCTGGCAAGCCGTACTTTATCCCCCAGTATTTTCTAAAATTCTGGATTCCTGCTTACGCTATTTCATGAATTGGAATGGGAAAAATATTTCTGAAGAGCAAAAGATTGTAGGTTATTCCCACTTATATTCTTTTACTTCTGTTAAATGCTTTGTGCACTGGTCCCAAATTATGAAAAATAAAGTTTTACAAATGTACGACGACAGTCCTGGTATTAAACCAAGTTATTATACAAATTTAAATCGAATTGCGAGATATCCTATTGAAAACATTCGGCTTCCCATTATCTTGATTTATGGTAGTGATGATAATATGGTGAACATTGATGCTTTAAAATCTTGTCTTCCTCCATTGTCTCAATGCATCCAGGTAAGTTTTATATTATAATCCTTTTGTTTAACAGTTTTCAGATCCCTCATTACGAACATTTAGATATGTTAATCGGCGATAAAAGGAAAAATCTAGTGATCAATCAAGTAATTGAACAATTAAATCATGTCGCATCCGGAGATTATTATGACTCTATAAAAGAAGAGTTTGGAATAGCGTCCGATGTGCTTGACGGCTTTATTACTTCTTCCTGACCATCTGAGTCTGAAGAATTAATATTTTGAGACAGTGTTATTGTATGTATTATCTAACCTATATTTTGTTTTCCGTTGACGCTTAATGTCTCTTAATTTTACCATTATGCATAATGATTTCAACGTTTATCTTCCGTCTCTGCGCGAACAAGTAAGCTACCAAAATTTTTATACATTGGTCCAATATAAAAGATTTTTTTTATGAAACCGGTAGATTAGAGTAATATATTTATTCATTACAAAATAGGATATGCTGAAATAAGAGAGGAGATTTTAATGAACTAGTTAATTAGACGTAGCTGCTTGTCGACTAACGTAAATATTTCCGGCCGTGTCGCGTTTCCAAATATCACCGCTAGAAACATCTACTAATCGGAAAATGCGCTTTCCCGTTTGTGTATCATCTGTTGCAACCAATTCTTCATTTTGACGAGAGCTGGCGAGATCTCCCTTAGATTTACTATTATCCATGTTTTTGTTTTGATTAGCGATTTCCTCTAATGATGGCCAGCGAAGTGTCTTCGCAGCTTCTTCCGGAGTAAAAACATGATCTTCAGGAACACTTTTCCATAGAGGAGTTGTCCTTGATTGGATTGGTAGTTCTCCGTAATCATTAAACTGGAGACGACTTGGTTCTCTACAGACATTCACCATTTTTTCCATAACATCGGCATAGCTAGAAAGCACGGGAGCATTTCGACTTTGATGTTCATCAAACACGCTCCTCAACTTAACGATAGCCTCAATTCTCTGAGGGCACGTTTTGTATTTTCGAGCAAGAACATCAGCACTCATACCTTTGAGATATTCATCACTGATCTGCATTCGTAAAGAATGAGAAGTAGGACGCGACGGTCTAAAGCTAGGGTTTAATGGAAATGGCTGATCCCGTCTAGGACCCAATCCAAAGGCTGCTCCATTGAAGAACTTTGCTTTCCTCACCTCAGGGGATTGAAGCCATTGTTGGAATGCGACCCGCTCTTTATCATCTCCTAAATTTTTTGGTAATGAATTTAAGCTTGCTTTTGTTACGTCTCGCATATTACAGGAAACGTATTTTTCCCCCTGCCTTCCTGAGCTTTCAGAATTCTGTTTTGCAGAAACTGCCTTCGACAAACGACTTATTGTGCTAAAGCTCAAAGCATTAGCCTTTATTTGGTTTCCTCCATAATTTCGAATCTTAAGCAGCATCTTAACCGACTTGTTGAAGGTCCATCCAAAAGATGTCGTGTGCAAGCAAAACTCAGGTTGATGGGAGGTTAGAAACCCAAGAAGGACTTATAAAGACAACAATAACTATGAAGGTAGAGTAAACTTGATCTTTTATTTAATTACTTCCTGAAGTTTTTAAATTAAAAATGCCAATAATTGATTGATTTCATACATGTTACAGGACGAAAAAATATTTTTGCTAACGGCTATAAAAACGTGTCCACCTCAGTAAAAAAGAGCGTCATCAAAAAGAATTTTAAAAACAAATTTCTCTTTTTTTGTTTATATATATATAAAAAAAGAAAAACTTGAACCAAAAGAGCGTCATTCGCTAAATGCTGTTAAACACTTAATGAGTATAGTCTTGTCTTAAATAAATAACATTATGTTAATCATAAAGTAATTTAGGGGAGAACATTAATTTGATAACCCATCAAAACTTCTGTCGTAGTCCCCTGCCAACCTCTATTACCGGAAGCAGTAAACATGAATCTACAAGATGGATCAACATGCAAACCACTTACAAGTCCTCCATGGTGTCCAGGAACAATTAAAAATCCAATTCCGGATTTGCTTTGAAGATCGTACAAACGAACATTATCAAAAGAAGCAATTACCAAATGGCGACCATTAGGCATAGAACTAACATTTGAAACAGGGCCAGAATCAAGAGGCATTTTTAAAGATCTCACGGGACTTGTTCCAGAATGGATGTTGAATTCTTCTACAATTCCATTTCTACGTCCAACGAATATGCTGTTACCATCGGCACCCCAGCAAGCAGACATAGACCAAGGAGGAATTCCTTTCGGTACAGGATACTTGATTACAGAATCTGGCATACGGTGATCCCATACATTCATCACTCCATCGATTGAAGCCGTCAGAAAAACGTTTGGATCTTCCAGAGTTGTTGCATTAGGGTTCGTATGCGAATTATCAGAAGAGACATTCGTTTGTTCAGGATTATTTCTTTCTTTATCTTTATTTTGAAGAGTAGTATTTTTTTCAGGTTTATTGGCATTCCCGCCGTTCTCTCCGGTTTCCTCTGGTGCTTGCATGGATTTCGTTTCTTCATCTATAGCCTTTTCGACTTCTTCATCAAAATCACCATAGGATCCATTACTGGAGGGTGTCCCAAATAAACTTCTCATGTCATCAGAATCAGTCCCCCAAGAGGTTGGCACTTCGGTTGGGCGATATCTAATTCCAGAAAGTTGACCGCATTCTCCAGCATAGGATGAAATAACAGTTCCAGTATTCAGATCCCAATTGTGAACCATTTTGTCCCAGCTCCCGCTTAATACTTTTTTTTCGGATGGATGAAGCGTTAAGCAAGAAACCGGAGCAGTGTGTTTTTTTAAAGATGTTACAGGATACCCTTCCTGATGCCGAGTTGAATACAAAATTATGTCACCGTTATCGATTCCAGAAAGGGCCCAGAGACCTTTTGAATGTGCAGCTAAGCTGTAGACAGGAGAAGGAGTTTGATTATCATAGCCATTCCCCCAGTAATTTAATAAAATACCAGCCTATTTAAATGTTAGACAATTTAATAAAAATATACTTACCTTCGTAACAGTATCAACGAACGGATGCCTTTGGGCGACCGTTAAAGAGAGGTCACCATTGATACTAGGGAAGAAGTCGTATTTACGAATATAACCGTCTTCTCCACCAGTGAATAACCATTTCATATCAGAAGTAAATGCAAAAGAATTCACGCTTGTCGCCATAGGAATAGCCAAGGTTGGAACGATATCATAAAAATCTGCCTTAATTGCTCTCTCTTTCAGTCTTTCTATAGGATTTACCTCAAGCTGTTCACTTTTTCTCTCTTGATTTTGTTCCTCCTGCTCTTGCGTTTCTTCTTCGTTTTCGTCTTCTAGTTCATCTGCATCCATGTCTTCTTCACCGACTTTATCAGCTGCTTCCTCCTCATCATCATGCTTTTCGTATTCCATATCTACATTTTCTTCTTTCTCTTGCTCCAAATTTACATCGTCTTCGTCTTCTGGTGATAATGCTATATGATTTGTTAATTTATCTTGACAGCCTTGATTGAAGTTACGAACCATCTGAATTCAATACCATTGAGTAGGCCGCATTGTCGTAAGGAGTGGAATTTTTTACTGAGTTTGAAGACATCACGATTGGGATAGCTTATGCGATTTTTTACAGTCACCAAGCCTTTTGTTTACAAAATGAATTCTCCGTAACGCGTGTTTTAGATGCTTATCCACTTTTATAAAAAGGTAAGTATTCTACTTACAGAAAACTTGTGGATTAATAGTATTCCTGAAGTTTCACCTTCATTGGGAAGCTGACAAGAGAAACCCCTGTCATACAAACTTGATGAAATGGAGGAAGTATATCATTGAAACGAGGAATATCCTAGTAAATATTTTTTCATTCTAAGAACTCTTAATTTTGCAATTTGAGAGTTTATTTCGTTTACTATTTTCATATAAGTAAAATCTTATTAATTCTCTTTATCCAAGATTCGTCGCATGTAGCGACCATATGTTTTGAAGAAATTCTCAAACATGAATTTGCTACTTGAATTGTAGTTCCTTTTATTTTTCGAAACAGAAATACAACATAATATTACATTTTTTTAAGTAGTTACCTCCTTTGCGTTTCATGAAACACAAAGGAAATCGTAGTGTCACTGTGTTAAGAAATTGCATGATATCAGATTGAATATTTAGTCACATAGTCTTTATTCATTATTGCACTATCCACATCACGCGGCTAGAAGCTTACGCAAATTTTCGTCTTGGCGGGTTAATTCTTCAACCTTCTTGCCGGAAAGCTCCAACAGTTCTTCAACCTTGGCAGGATCAGCTAAAATATTAAGGGTTGCTTCAGGAGCACGGGATTGTATACGCTTTAGCTCAGTCTTCGAAATTTTGTTGATTGCTTCACAACACTGGATTGGTTAGTTAAGCTATCAAGTTGACTGGAAGTCATACCTGTTGGATGCCATACCAAGCATGAAAGTACGCTTCAGATATTTCTACAGCACGGCAATAATGCTTAAGAGAAATCCACAAATGAATATTGTTACTCTTTCCCATGACAAAATGTGCGTCCGCAAGCTTTGCAAAAATCCGAGGTTCATATGGCTGCAATAGTAACATCTCTTCGTAACAGAAGGCAGCCTTTTGATATGCTTCCACGGAAAAGTAAAGATCAGCTAATTCCGCCCATGCCTCAATGTCCGTATAGAATGTATCTACATACTCTATTAATCCGTTCATACATTCCTTGGTTTTTCCAACAGAACGCAATAGTGATAGCTTTCGCTTGTGAATGATCTGAAAGTTGAATGGTCAGTAAGAACTTGATCGATATAGCATCTCTTTACGTACAGTATTCGTTGGGTCTTCGAAAATCTTTTGGTTATAATAACTCAATGCATCTTCGAAAGTTGAAGTAGCTTCCAGATACATTCCATAAAGTCCATCTACTCTTGGAGATTTATTGAACCGATCATTTAAACGATTCCAACATTTCTTGAAATAGTGTTAGAAATTAGATCTTTATGCCTCCAACTTTAAAAATTGTTTTAAATTACCTTTGCTAAAGTGTCTTCTTTCACAATGAGAGCAGCAACAAAAACCTTTTGGTATACGTCCCATAAAAGATCTTCATACTTATCCAATTTAGCTGCTGATTCTTGCTCTTCGAAAATCTTAAGAATCCTTTGTGGGTCTTTTAACTCAGAAATTTCCAGGATATTTGCTGACATATTCGTGAAGCAATTGATAGTAGCTTTTCTTGCTAATTTATTAAAGTTGTTATTGAAAATTTCCTAGAATAAATGAATATGTTTCAAGATTAAATCATATAAAGATACATGAACCAGGTTTGCCGAGCAAACTGGGTAAATTGGTTTTTGGGCAGATTAACACGAGGTCTCAATAACATAAAGATTCAGTCGATTCTGATTAAGTAAAGATGAGTTTACCTCGTTCCATTGAATTTTCTAGTACAAACAAAACTAACAAGAACCTCCTAGCATAATCTAAACCAGAGTTATAAGGCGATATTGTATTTTTGGTAGAGGGTCCATCTGTTTACGTTTCGTTTATATTCATAATTCATTGACTGTTGACTATGACAGCGTAGAAGAAAGAATTGTAAGAATTATAATTCATATCAATTAGACAGTTAATTGTCATTCTTCATGCGACGGTGGCCCTCATATTGGTTTTGGGTCATTTAAACCAGCGATTGATAGAAGATACACTTTATCAAGTACGAAAGTATATAATGATATATGTATGGAAGGTTAATTTACCTTTAAGAGTTGTAGGATCTCTGCTGAGAATAGAATGTCCCAAATAGAAAGCGAAAATGATGATTGCACCAAGACTTTTCTCACAGTCAAGCAGAATAGAAAAACTTCCTAATCAATATTTTCCAATATTCATCTATCATCGAAACCTTTTTTATTGAGCAGTAGGTCGACATTAAAGAAAACTCCTTGTAAGACAGCAATTCCTCCAGATTTCAGTCTGGTATATGTGGATACCTATAAAGATCGAGAGAAATGGGCAACTGCGTTTGAGAATATAGTGAATCTCTTATTGAATATGAAGACCTTCCTAGAGTGGGCTAAAAGGAACACGAAATTGATCAAGAAACACAACAAAAGAAAGCTGATTTGAGAAACTTCTTAAGCATAGAATAATTACTTTCTGAAGAAGACTATACGGGTAAAACCATCTTAAGTATTTTCTCTGAACAGAAGCGTAGCGACAAACTGATTATTTGCTTTTTTATTCATTTTGTAAATTTTCTTTTTTTTTATGAAAGACCTGTTTCATATTTAAATTTCCTCCTACGCCAGATATAGCAACCTTTGCATCTAGCATACATACAATCCCCAACACGAAATTGTTCTAAAATATATGTTTTCTAGGGTTTTTTGGCCAAGAATTTCCAATTCTCTTTGGAATTCTTCGAAGAAGGAATTACCAAAACTTTTCAAAGCCCCTCATGCCAAAAGGAATGGAAAATTTAGAAAACCGGTTTTCGTAGGGGCAGGGATCACATTGATGGCCTCCGTGTCCCTGGTGGATTTTGATCCAATAAAGAATGCAAGTGTCTCTTCAAAGAGAGCCTACAAAGTTGTTTTAGCGGGCTTCCTTTGCTTCTCTGATTACAAAAGGATTCTTTCAGGTTCATACGCAACTGAAGAAGAACGGCAAACGGCCCTCAGCGAATGCCATCTACGATGCGCTGAAAGATCTTTGAAAGTATTTGAAGAGAATGGCGGAATCTTCATAAAAATTGGACAACACTTGTCTGCGATGAACTACATTATTCCGAAGGTAAGTAGAATAGAACATTAGTTGTTTCATCAACTATGAGATTTATTCATGAGGTTGTTCTAACTTTCTTTTAGGAATGGACTAGTACGATGGTCAAGCTTCAAGATCAATGTCCTTCAACATCCATTGAAGATGTTGACCGCCTGTTCAAGGAAGATACTGGAAGTAGTCTAGATGAGCTCTTTGATGAGTTTATTTCGGAACCACTAGGTGTGGCTAGTTTGGCTCAGGTTCATAAAGGAAAACTTCGTAACTCAGATACCTGGGTTGCAGTTAAAATTCAGCATCCCTCAGTAACTCAAAATTCACCAGTTGATTTAGTAATGACTCGTTGGGTATTTAAGGCAATTAAGACTTTCTTTCCGGACTTTAAATTGATGTGGCTTGCAGATGAAATGGAAGTTTCGCTTCCTCAAGAGCTTGATTTTACCAGGGAAGCCACAAATGCAATTGAAACGAAAGAACATTTTAACCAAATTTCTACTTCTCTTTACGTTCCCGAAATCATTTGGTCAAAGCCTAGAATTTTGGTGATGGAATATGTTTCGGGAGCCCGCATAGATAATACCAAATATTTTGAACAAAATCATATTTCGAATGACCTTGTTTCTACTGATTTATGCCACATTTTCAATGAAATGATATTTGGAAAAGGTGGCCATTTACATTGTGATCCTCATGGTGGAAACGTATTTATTCGAAGTAAGCCCAAGGGATCAAAATCACCGAGAAACTTTGAAATTGTATTGCTTGATCATGGACTATATCGAGATATTCCAAACGAGGTACAAGTGGACTACGCTAATCTTTGGTTAAACATCATTGACTTTAATGAAGAAAAGCTCAAAATTTACGCCCAAAAAATCGCAAACGTTTCTGAAAAAAGCTTTCCTTTATTTGCAGCGGCGATTACAGGACGTCCTTATAAAAGTTTGAAAAGTCTACCCATGAGCGGGAGAGACAGAGAGGAGGAACAAAAAAGGTTTAGGAAAGCCGTCCAGAAAGGAGATATGCTTCAGAGCGTTATAAGTCTATTAAGCAATATGCCTCGATTAACGTAAGTGTTTTTTTGCTTTTTTAAATTTCCTTTGCTTTACTAACCTCTGTATAGCCTTCTGTTAATGAAAACAAATGATTTGGTTCGCGCCTTAGATGAAAGTCTTCATACTCACACTGGCTCCGAAAAAATTTACTTAATCATGGCTAGATACTGTTTAAGCGCAATCCATAGGAATCACATGGAATCATTATGGAACTCGCAATCCTTTTGGTTTACTAAATTATTCAAAAGTTCGCTTTACAAAATTAAATATTCTTGGGGTATGCTACGGTTTTACCTAGCTGAAGATTATTTTTATTACAAGCATAAATACTTTTGTTAAGTGACTCGTCCATTATCCACATACATTGTGGACTACATATTCCCCCTTACCTCGAGATAATACTTTCGTTTATGTTGTCTGAACTATTCACCTCTCCCTTTTTTATAGTAATATCATCAATTAATGTTTCATTTTCGAGTTTTTGAAGTGTATTATTTTACCGGTCAAACTTGTCTCTTACCCTTTCCATACCTACTAAATGCAAGAGTCAAAATCATTTGACGTTATTCTTTTAGGAACTAACTTAGTCAATTCCATATTATCTTCGTAAGTAAATATAATCACTTCTTTTTATTTAACCATAATGTTAATAAAGGGCCTGCGCGTGGGCAGATCTCAAAGTCCTTCATATAGATGAGAATCCGTTCTACGGTGAAGTTGATGCTTCCTTTGGACTAAAAGATGTTATTAGTGTGTCAGAAAATGGTGACTGGAAGGTTGAAGACCTCTGTATAAAGCGTACCGGTAGTAACGCTCCTAGTCTACAAGTTATGAAAGCGCGAATTTTAGAGAAAGATATGCTACCGAGTTTAAAGGGTTTCATGATTGAGTTTATACCAAAGGAAATGTATGCTGGTGGAAGTTTAGTAGAGTTACTCTCGAAATCTAAGATATACAAGTATTTACTACTAAAGCCTCAAAGAAGTTTTCGTCTTTATGCTTCAAACAAAGAGTGGACGAAAGTGCCAGAGTCAAGGGCTGATATTTTCAACGATAAAACACTATCGCTTACGCAAAAACGATTGATTATGCGCTTCATGAAGTATATTTCCTCCATTGATGACGAACCGAATCAAGAACTGCTAAAGCAATGGCTTTCAAGACCTTTTAAAGATTTTCTGAATGAAAATTTTGAGCTTCCTGAAACCATACGAGAAGGTATTATTTACGGGCTATGTCAAGCTTTAGATCCAGAAATTTCCACCGAGTGTGCCCTTGAAAAAATAAAGAAGTATTTTCAATCTTTTGGAAATTACGGGGATTACTCTTACTTGATCGCCATGTATGGAACCGGATCTGAATTGTGCCAAGGATTCTGTCGTTCATCAGCTGTGATGGGCGGTACATTCATGCTCGCACAAAAGATTAACAAAATAGAAGCTACTTCCGTGGAATTAAGTGATGGAGAAAAATTATCGGCTAAAAACATTATTTCGTCGCAAGCTACAAACAATACATCTATGTTAGAAAAGAGGATTCATCAGCGTTGTCTACTAGTGCGTGGAAAGTGCCCCGGGCTATTTCACCAAAACTTATTCATACTTTCTGAAGCAAGTCAGCTTCACTTCGTACCTTATTCGTTAGGAGATCAATGGCCCAACAGCGTTCAGGCCAGGATTTTAGGTGTTGGTGCAGGCAGCTGTCCCGAGGGTTACACCCTTTGGTATTTGCAAACACTAGATTCTCTGGAATCTGATGGCTTATTAGCTGCAGCCACGGACAAGCTCATTGAGCTTTCACATTCTGAGGACACGAAACCCTTAATGTATGTTGATATGTTGCTTGACCAAAGAGATTTGGCAGATTATGACGTTGCTGTTGAAACAGCTAAGCAATTGTATGAAAAAATTACAGGTTCTGCTGATACTTTTTTTAAGAGAGATTCTGTTTTTGATGACGATGATGAATGATAAACGCAAGGAGGAAACGATGAAGTTTAATGTAAGATAGTAGAACGATTGCAATATATTATCCATATGGGCGATTAAAAATTTCATAAAAAATTGTGAGATCTCAGTAAAGCTTTCGTTACGCATGCTAAATATTTAGATGAGAAGGGTGTTTACTTTTGATAAAGATTTGTCAATGTAATAGAACGAAAGGATCCATTAAAGCAAGTATTTACAAAATCCTTACTCCATCTTAAATGGATCTTCTGAATCCAAATCAACATTAACCCTTGGTCCAATGTAATTCTTTCTAGCGCCAGACCACCAGTATACAAGACTAAAGAGTAAAACGGCGGCAAGTACAACTATAGCATAATTCATGTTTTCTGGAGTCACTGGACGTATATTAGGCATAACGAAAATAACGGATACAAATGAAGTCCATGCCACAGCAAAAACATTAACGGGTATTGATAACCATCCCAAATTCCAAGGGCCTTGCTTGTAGTTCATTCTTCTACCAAAAATCAGTCTGCAAGCAATGGGAATTACATAACTCCAATCCAACGCAATAGACGTTACACTGAAAATAGCCTCAATGGCTTCGACACTACCAAGACCAATTAAATTTAAACCAATGCAGAATCCAGTGTTTAGCCATACAGCAATTACGGGTGTGGTCGTCGTTTTGTTGATTCTGTACCAATAACGAGAAAAAGGAAGAGCTTGATCTCTTGAAAGTGCGAAAATTGTGCGAGCATTTGCTTGCATAGAAGTTACACCAGTGAAATTAAGAATAATAAAAGCAAAAATTAGAAAGGCTAAACTACCATTTTTGCCGAGAACGTCGTAAAATATTTGTGCAACAGGTTGCCCAAGTGCCGACTGATTAAGACTGTTAAGTTTTGTTCCCATAACAAAGACAAGAACAATATTAAAAACCCACCCCAAAACATAAGTCAGGCTTAAGGCAAGGGCAATAGCCTGAGGTGCGCGAACAGCAGCATTTTCGATTTCCTCGGCAATATGAGCAGTAGCATCATAATCAGTCATACTCCAAGCTACACCAAGAAATCCAAATAAGAAAGAAAAACCAGATGGCTTCCATCCACTGAGAGGTTCGACGCTAGTGAACACGTAAGTTCCAGTATTAAAATTCTTGCACATAGCCAATAGACAGATCATACAAGCAAAAAGGACTAATAAATGAAAAGCAGCATAAAATCTAGTAATACGGTCAAGCCAGCGTGTCGACAAAGAGTTAATGAATCCATGGAATGTAATGACGGCTGCCATCACACCGACAATATGACGATTAGTTGGTTGATAAGTCAGATCTTTGGAAACAGATACGGCAGCAAGCAGTAGCTGTGCACAGGACCAATCGGTACTGCTAACACCAGCAATTTGGCCCAGCAAGTTCAACCAGCCTACTAACCAAGAAACAACTGGCATTTGAGCTGGCGGTACTAAATTTTTACATGTAAAATAAAGTCCACCTGAGGTAGGATAAGCCGACACGAGTTCTGCAACAGAAAGAGCAATACACATGCAACCGACACCGCCAATGAGCCAGCTCCAAACAATAGCAGCGGCACCGCCGGCAATCAAAGGATAAGAAAAGGTAGTGATAATAGTAGCATATAGTCCAGAAATGGAGAAGGCAAATGAAAAGGTAGCCCAAGTTGAAAACTCCCGTTTAAAAACTGGTTTATATCCCATTTCAACTAGTTTGTCGTCTTCATTTAGAGACGTATCTTCCACGTACTCCAAAGCTGGCTTCAAGGGCTTCAAGTTTGAAGGATCCTTCTCTTTAATTCCATCAAGGAAAACAGATTCTCTGTCCATAGTGAATAGGTTTTCGTGCACCCTTGTCTGATATTTACGCGTCTATACTTCTCTTCAATCAACAGATGTCCCAAACCAAGTCAGACAAAAATTAAATATCAAAAAAAATGCAAAAATCAGTTAAAGGTAATAATTGGCTTGAATAGAGATGCTTGCGACAATAAGAATCAGAGTAATTTTGAATATCGAATATCTAGTACACCTTTAGAAGCAAAAATCCAGACACATGAAGGTACTTTTTCAATATTCTATTTTATAAAAAGTCTAGAAAAAGTCAAAAAATCGAATAAGGCAAGAATGTTGTTAAAACTAGGATCTATACAACAGAGCGTTTGGTGGGAATCTTAGATATCCGACTCAAGTACCTTTTATCACTTGCAATTTCAAATGAAATTGATCTCAAGTTCTGTTTTAAAAAAATAACAAATGAAAAGAAATTATACTGAAATTAGTAGATACTGTTACTGTCCATACGTTTCCATGATGCTCTTCATTTTATACTTGTAGTATATCTTGCAATTCTAGGTAGAGATTCTCTGAATGGATCTTTACTATTTTTATTTCTTAAAAGAAAAAAAAGATTATCTTTTTGTTATTGTAAAATATGAGCTCAATCGTTGATTGACACAAGAATACGGATTTGAGAATGAAAACTGTCATTTCAAACTTTTTCGTCTACAAGTTACTACTAACTTGTAAAATATATATAAGAGAAAAAAAATGAGTATTCAGTCGCGTGAGCTCCTATAACACATATGGAAGTTATAGACTTGACTTGTGGTTTCATAATCCTACTACTGCAATTTCCAACATCCACTATAGTGTAACAAGAAAGGATACTAAGTCATACTAGTTTACGTCTTTGAATAAGCTTACTTTATTCAAACTCATTTTTTTGGAGTTTATTATAGTTGAGCTTCCTGGGTGTCAAACTTATTCCAAGTGGTAAACTAATCTTGACTACCTTGGCAAAGACGGATATTATAAGACTTTAAAGTATTTTTTTGGGGAATAAAAATTCATAAAATATCTCTGGAATCCGAATTCATTTTGTGAACCATTTATAAGTTTACTTGCTCATAATGGCAAAGAAAAAGTCTAAAGCTTCCAGCTCAGCTCGTGGGTACGCGACAACCTCAATGCCTTCGCGTGCTACGCCAGTCCCCAAGAAAGCTGAAAATAATAATGTCCAGCAAGCAGCTAAGGCGGATGCCAACAAAGAGACACCAGCTACAAACGACCCTGTTAACAGTGCTCTTCATGAAACAAATTCTTTCGATGACCTTATGGCTGAAGATTTTTCACCTTCAATTGATACTGAGTCAGAAAAAGTGAAATCTAATGCTGTGTCATCTTCCAAGTCTTTCTTACATGCCTGGCAGACTGAACTTCGTCTTCGAAAGAGTACAAACATCATGAGTTTTTCGGAGGATGAGAATAAACTTATATACGATTCGTTTCGTGATAGCTGGATTGAGTCTCTCAGAAGGTCTGCCAACCAGTCAAATACAATGGCTTATGCTACAAAAAAACGTTTGCTATGGTCCAATTATTTGTCTTTACTGGATATGGGGTTCAGCGAGGATTTGATCTTCAAGGCATTTTCATCTCTTCCCGTCGTCCCAATCGAAGATTATATTGCTTGGATAATCACTGAACCTACGTCTTTAGAAAATCCTTCTTCTTTCAATTACGAAGTGCAGCCGACAAAGTACCAAGTACTCTGCAGACAATTGGACGAACCTTTACCTGCTGCTCCCGTTTCTACTTCTAATAACAAGCGAATGGCTCCTTTGATGACGAAAAAGGAACCCGTAGAAACTCCATCAGTGACTCCAAAATCAGAAGCCACTACACATGATGAGAAAAATTCTAAAGAAGGTGATGCGTATTCTATGGCTAGCTTACTTCAGCAAATGCCTGAGGAAGAGGACATGCCTGGAAGTGATCCTTATGATCTTACGAATCAGTACGTGAAAGCTAAGCTGAAGTTGCTTCGACTACAAATTATGGGTAAAAAGGACTCGGATGCTACCGATATGGTAAGATCTGAATTGGAGGGCATAACTAGCCAATATTTGTTCTCGTCAAAAGATGCTGAGTCTGTTCTTAAGAGAAAGCGTGGTGAATTCATGTCAAAGCTGAAAGCTTTACAAGCAAGAGTTGCTAATGAACGAGCTGTTGAAGCACTTCAAAACCAAAAGCCTGATGATCAACAAGATGACACAGCTGAAGATACCAAGTCCGATTTGGATGGTCAGCAACCAGATCCCGACCAGACTCAAAATGAGTCCGATCACGAAGATCAACAAGGTAGATTAGAAGAAGATACTGATCTTGTGGGTGGATTATTTAATGAACCTGAGGAGAGCAGTGTAGTTGTTGATACCAGTCAGAATAAGTATACCTACTTGCCTTTGTCCATGGATCGATCTGGTACTAGGCCTTCTACTATATTGCAATATGAATTGCACAAATTAGGTAACAATCTTCAGGCAGAATATAAAACATATCCTATAGGTCAAATTGGTTGGCAATCTACATGTTTCGTTAAATGCCCTACGGGGCAAAAGACCTTCGTGGATACTGAAACTGTATTGCCTAGTCCCATCCTGGCTTCAGATTATACAGCTACAAATGTACTTTTTAAACTTGTTGCCCCTTACACAAAACTTACTGTTACAATGTTCCCCAAGAGCTTCAAAGATTTATTTGAAAAGCTCTCCAGTGAACAATTAAGCAGCATGAAACAAGAGGATATCAGAATTTCAGAGAAACTGGATGGTATTTTAGAATTGAAAGGATCTGAAATTACAGGCGTTCAGAATAAAACAAGCTCCAAACCGGTTGATACTGAGCAGACGAAGAAGGCTGTTCACCGACCACCAGAAAAAATCATTGAAGAGTGGCATCGTCAATTGTGTAGCAGCCACGCCGAAAAATTCCGTGATATTCGCAGTCAGTTACCCGCTTCTCGTTATAAATCGGAAATCCTAGAAGCTGTCAAAAACAACCAATTGCTTATTATTTCCGGTGATACAGGATGTGGTAAGAGTACACAGATTCCTGCATTTTTGTTAGAGGATGCTTTGTCACGAGGTGAATCCGCCAGAATCTATGTTACCGAGCCTAGGCGTATCAGTGCTGTTTCACTTGCTCAGCGTGTTTCTCAAGAGCTAGGAGCTCATCCCCCTTCGAATAGATCTCATGAAATGGTGGGATATTCCGTTCGTCTTGATTCAAAAAGCACTATACACACTCCATTGGTTTACGTGACAACAGGTGTCTTCCTTCGTTTACTTGAAGTTGGCCATGAGATTGAGTCTGTGACTCATCTAATAATTGATGAAGTTCACGAACGTAGCATCGACTCTGATCTTTTGTTGATTCATGTTTTGCGCTTGCTTAAAGATTATCCAAGACTCAAAGTCATTGTAATGAGTGCTACTTTAAATGCTGAGAAATTTCAGGATTATTTTGGTGGTAGCAGTTTAATTAGTATTCCGGGCAAAACATATCCTGTACAAAGGTACTTTTTGGAAGACATAATGCATCAGTTCGAAGGTGATATATCTTTTGGTGAAAACAGCACAGACGTGGTGGAAGAGAATGATGAATACGAAGAAGAAGAAGAAGAAGGAGAGGATAAAGATTCTGCAAAACCTGATGCCATCGTCCAAAATCCAATTCCTAAATCTTATAATGAGAAAGTTATCAATTATAATTTGATATTATTCTTACTTAAATATGTTTTTACTGAAGGAGATCCCAAATACAGTCAATGCGTATTGGTATTCTTCCCAGGTATCTCAGAGATTTTGCGGATGAAATCGCTTATTGACGACGTGCCTATGTTTCAAAAACATAAAGAGTTCCGTGTCTATATACTACACTCTTCGTTATCCTCTGCACAACAGCAGTCCGTTTTTGAAATTCCTCCTCGTGGGTGTCGTAAGATTGTTTTGTCTACAAATATTGCTGAGACCGGTGTTACTATTCCTGATGTAACTTGTGTTATAGACACGGGTGTTCATAGAGAAATGCGCTACAACAGCAAGAGGCATCTTTCCCGTTTGACGGATACCTTTGTTTCACGTGCAAATGCCAAACAACGTAGTGGACGTGCTGGTCGTGTACAAGAAGGTGTATGTTATCACTTATTTTCAAGATTTAAACACGATACACAATTTTTGTCCTATCAAACACCTGAGATGCTACGACTCAATCTACAAGAGGTGGTTTTGAGGGTGAAGGTTTGCCAGATGGGAGAAGTTCAAAATGTTTTAGGAAACGCATTAGATGCTCCATCTTCTACTAATGTTGGTAGGGCATTAGAGAAACTTCAACAGCTTGGTGCCATTGGAGAATTTGAAAAATTAACCAAATTGGGCAAGTATCTTGCGCAATTACCTCTTGATGCTACCCTTGGTAAAATGCTTGTGCTGGGATGTTACTACAAGTCAGTGGATGCTATTGTGTCAATCGTCGCTATGATTACTATTGGCTCTCCTTTTAGAAAGCCTGTTGGTCTAGAATTTGCTGCTAATAAGGCTCGTCTATCATTTGCCAAGGAAAATACTAGAAGCGATTTGCTACTAATGTATCATGCATACTGTGCTTGGAGAGACGTTTGTTTAAACAAACTTGGTCCAACTGAAAGTGAGTTTACGAGAGAAAAATATTTGAACGTCGAAGCGTTAAGCATGGCCGAGTCATTGAAAATACAATTACTAAATGAACTGAAAGACATGGGCTTGATTTCTGCGCCATATATTGATACGTGTAAAGCTGCCAAGCGATCAATTTGTCGCCGTTTTGCGATTGTTCCTGAAAGTTCTAACTTATTCTCGGATAACGCTGAAATGATTTCTTCTGTCATTGGAGCTTCATTATATCCAAATATACTTAAATATGACTTTGAAAAGAGATACTGGACTTCATTACATACGAATAAGCGTATTCGAATTTTGGATTCTTCAGTAAACAACAAATCCGTGCTTTATCAGATGCCTTCCAAGATCGTTGCGTATACAAATATGATGTCTTCTACTAGAGCAAGTGAGTATGTGGCCGAAACTACAATGGTTACAATTCGAATGTTACTTTCTATGTGTGGCTTACGTATTGATTTGCGAGAATCCATAGGTCAAGCGAAGCTTGACCGTTTCACGGTTTACCTGGACAATGTTTATACCTCTTCCGCTCTTCACATGCTACGAAGTTTTATAGAATCATCTTTTGCTGCATTCCTTTCTCACCCTGAACTGCGTCTTTCAGATGAACATTTGGCTATAATTGTCAGCCTTGTTTCCCGTTTAAGCTTTAATCGGGTACAAAAACAAAAGTTCGCGGCATCATAGAACCTTACGTAAATTTACACGTACGTTTACAATATCCAATTCTTTATTGTTTCCTATATGTAAAAGAAAGAGAGAAAAAAAAAAAGAAAAAAAAGGCATACGGTTTTTCATATGGTTTCTTGCTCATTTAATTGTATTATTTATAGCAAATAGGACTGGTTATTACTTTTATTCACAAAGGAATGTGTTACTAGTAGGAACTTGCAGAAAAAGTTTTTAAAAAAAATAAAAATAAAAAAATTATAGCAATTTGGCACCAATTAAAAGCTAAATGAAAAGAAAAAAAATGTAAAGGCATTATTAGTCAGTCCCTATAGTATGCATCGCATAGACAATACGATAAATTGATAAATTACGCCAAATAAGAGTTAATTAATATTAGGATGCAAAGTCGAAGTAAAGCTCTAAAGTAAAAATTATAGCAAATGTATATTCAGAAATGAACAATGAAAACCATTTCCGAACCAGTCCAACGGCTATTTGAACTGGTCTTATATAAATAATAGCGATTACTATAGATGAATCGAAATTAGAACATTTTGAAAATAAATAGTTATCTGTAATTATAAATTAATACAGCTTCAAATCATTTTCTCGATGGAGGGAGGAAGAACGGATTGCTTGCAAACGGGACATTTATCTGAAATATTTAGCAAATATGGATCAATACAGTCCGGATGATAAATATGAAGGCAAGGAAGTTCACGGTATAATTTATGATCGTCGGAATAATCGCAAAGACATATAGTGCACTCGTTCTGATCATAATGGTTGACAGGCCTTACTTCATTGAGAGCAGGATCATTTTTTGAATTTTCTGAACCAGAAAGGCTCAAGGCTGAATCATTAGTGGTTTGATAAGTAGCGGAGGGCAAAGTTGGTTCGGATACTGTATATAGCCGAACGGGAAAAGTTTCTAGTAACTCTTTCTTGACAGGCGAGGACTTGCTCTTTTTTCTAGTGGTAGTGAACCGTTGAGGAATTGGTGCACCTGCTCGGCGCAGGGTCCTGTAAAATCCTGATAAGATTCCTGTAAAATGAAGTATGATGTATACAGAAACTATGAGAAAAATACCAGCAATGATAGCTATAAGAATATAGAACCAAGACAAAGTCTTAAACGTCCCTTGTCCTCTATATACAGGCGTGCCTAATCTGGCTTTTGCATTAATATCACCGTATTTATGAACGAGCATTCCGTTGTCAGGAAGCAGCTGTATATTGGGAGCAGAATAAAATGTGAGGGCATCTTCAAACCTCAAGCCGTATGAGTGGGAAATAAGTAACATTGGAAGGTTTGATAGAAAGCTTCCTGAAATCTTACGAGTAAAAGAATCAAAATTAGTTTCGGAATCAGCATATGTACTGGCATTATAAAACAATATGGCATCGGCGTTATCACTCATGGCCCGGTGAGCGTAGTTTGGTGCACATTTATCAAAAGGAGCCAAAGCTATGAGTCCAAAAGATTGAAGGTCTGAAACATCATCCCAATAAATGGTACGAGATGGCGAAGCCTGTAAGGAAGCAGTATCATTACAATTATCAGTTGGGGCTATACGATAAAAATACCCGGTAACAACATTGTCAAGGTCGCTTTTTTTGTAATAGTCGTTTAAGACTAAAACACTAGAAGAGTTGAAGGCAAAGGACATATTACTTGGAACATCAAGAATGCTTTTCTCGGATAATAAAGAAACTTGCGTATTGTTGATAAGCTGCGTGTTCACGCTCAGTGAATAGAATTGATTATTTCTAATAGCGTGATCAAGAACATAAGCGGATCCAAAGTATGTCAACCCTGAACCAAGGTAAGTATTCATCGCACGCTGTCCCGGTTTCCCATTATTGTACCTTGGTTTATCAACATGGTGACCACGAGACGAAGAAAAATGCCCAGAACCACCAGAGCTCTTGGGGGACGATCCTTTAGGAGAATTACCAGTTTGAGGTTTGGACTTGGGTTTGGGTTTGGTAGAAGATCCAAAGCCACCACTACCTTTTGGAGAAGACCCTCGACCGAAGGATCCTAAACCACCGCCTCCTTTGAGCTTTTCACCAAAAGCATTGGAAAGGGAAGAATGGTCTACGGAGTCTTCTTGACGGCGGACAGGCCGTAAGCTTGAGAATTTTGAGGAAGGAGATAAAGAAGATGCATCACTGGAAGGGCTATTGGGAAGATGGTCAGAAACGAACTCTATTTCGTACTCGTGAGCATTATCATCATTCAGCAGAAAACCCGAGGAATGAGAAAAAGACAAAGAAGGAAGTTTCATAAGAAAGGAACTAACGAAGAAGAAAGCGGCGTACTTTGAAAGAGGAAGAGCACACACTGGAGTATTTGTATAATTTGGGAAAAGAAATGCGAAAAAGCAAAACAACAAAAATCACTACAGAACGGAAAAAGGCAAAGCAATGCAAGGAAAAAATGACAAAAAAGAAATCAATAAAACAAGTTGATAATACAAGAGAAAAACGCCTAAGAGACGAGAAGGATTGAATATATGTTTGAGAATCGCAACCTGAAGACCAACTACAGTAAGAACCGAGCTGGTGAAGTCAAACAAATTAATGTATAGATAAGACTAGATAGAAGAGTTAGAATCTTTGGGTCTTAAAAGAGGTGGCAGGTTGTAAAGCGTTTCGCAAAACAATAAAGCTCAGTAAAGGGCAAATGCGATGGAATTTGAACACAGCGACTCTTCAGACGTGCCTAAATTACCATTAATGATTAGAAAAAGATGAGAATGAAGTTAACTTGGATTTTTTAGTGTTTTCTGTTTCGCAAAGGTCAACTAGCGAAGCATTGGTAGATGAACAAATATAGATATAAGAGATGCGTAGCAGTACTAAAAAGAAGTGAAAAGCCACAACCCAGCTGAAACCGTTTTCAATGAATTTTTTTTGCTAAATTTAAAGAAACCAAATGAAAATGAAAACCAAAATGAAATATAGATGCAAAAATACATGAATACTAAGAAAGCAGCAACTTTTTACCAAAGAGAAATGTTGATCTATTGATTTCCTTAAACGAAGCCTATTTTTACAGTTATCTAAGCGAGTTGTTTGGACTGCTACACTCAAGTAAGAGCAAAATCCTTGGATTGGTTTACTTTCCTTGTGTTTGTATTAATTGTCTTTATTAATTTTTCTTTCATTAACATATTGCTCATTTATTTGTGGAGAACAGCGAGGCATTTCAGCAATGGAAATCGCACTTTTTGACTCGTTCGTCATCGTTTCGTAGGTAGCAGAGCAGCAGAGCAGGCCTCTTGGAAAAGTTTTGTAGAACAAGGATCATTTCTAATAGCCTTTCTGTTTTTGGATCCTTATTTCAAAAAGACTCTTTGTCTGCTTTCGTTCGTTCCTCCTCTTACGAATTTACGCCATCTAGCAATGTCGTTCAATACCGTCGCCCATCGGGCTTTTTTCTTTCTCCCTTTCGCAACTACAGAATGAAAAATATAGGATAGGATGATTCTTAAATGTACACGACACGACGTAGAGCGCACTTCCTCAGGACCTTAACTGGACCAGAACTCGTCGTAGTAAACACCAAATAGGCCTCGATCCAATCTCGCCATTCCATAACGAAACAAACTTCTATTAAAGCCGAAAGAAACCTTAAACAACTTCTAATATCGGTTGTATAGAAAGTCATTTGTTTACCAACGATTGCGTTTCTTTATGGTATTCATGTTTAGTGCACTGCATAGTACTGTGCCGCAACATTGTATTTTTCTATTTATAGAAATCGTTCCATTTTAAACGCAACCATACAAAAACGACAGGCAGGATGTATGAAACAAATTATGAACTCCAGTTATTTCTTATCCAAAAAAGTGCGTTTTTCTAACTCTATTTGCGACCTTTCAACCAATTTTTTTTTTATTCTCGTTTACTTGTACCACGTGCGGGTCACTTCGGTTAAAGCTCGTTTGTGCTCAACTCTAATTCTTGTAGACGTTGTCCTCTCTCGGACGCGTTGTTCGTTAAATTCCGAGCATGGAAAGTTCTTAGTCCGTTTGCTCGGCCGAATCGCAATCTTGCGATTCGGCCGAAAGCCTTGTCACAAATTTCAATGTTTTGTCACCTCTAGATGAGGGATTTTGCTACTTACGATTCTGTCTTGTCTTGCACCATGAAGATACAAAAGAAGGGTGCCAGCCACACCTTTCTTACCCTTCCTGTATATACCGGCACACAGACTCGGGAGTTTATCGATAAGCCGTGCTAATTTACGGTATTCCGTAATAAAGAGTCGTCTAGCACAATAAGGTGCTTATTAAACGCGTTTAAAGAGGAGAATTGAATCTCGTTATTGATAACCCATCTGTTTGTTTACTATTTGTGTGTGTGCTTGTTTTTTTATTTAACTGGCCTTGATTGATTCTCTCCCTTCGTTTACTGTCTTTCCATCGTTTTTTATTTTTTATTCACAGGTTTTTTAAAACTCTGTTCTAATAACGAAATCCTTTTATTCTTCGATTCACGTTAAATTTTGATTTCAGATCCTATCGTTTTATTAAGAAATTTCTGTTATGTCTTCTAACGATCCTGGATCCAGCATTCAGCGGGTTCAATCCGCTACATCGCATCCAGAAATTTATCCAACATTAAGCAACACATCCCAGAATCATGCTACACCTAATAATGCTGCACTAAACTTTTTCCCTGGTCAGACAGGATCCGACTCACAGCCTGAGATTGGCCATCCTCAAGGCAACAATATTCCAGACAGCGAGCAACCCGTAAGTTCCTCCCATTCCTCCGCTAGATTCCCCCAAGATGGACCGGATTTGGAAAAACAACAATCTTACGGAAAGGTTTATCCAACAGTAGACAATCCTGAAGATTTTGTTTTTAAAGTCGACCCATCCAGTCCAGATTTTGCTTCCAACTGGTCCACTGCTCGTAAGTTAAAAATTACTGCTATTTATTCCTGGGCTGCCCTTTGTGCATCTTTTGCCTCTTCCGTCTTTTCTGGTCCTACAGAAGTTATTCCCAAACTCTACCATATCGGTATGACCACTTCGCTTTTGGCCATTAGTTTATTTATCTGTGGTTATGCTGCTGGTCCCATTTGCTGGGGTCCTCTATCCGAGTTATATGGCAGAAAGCCCCCTTTGGCTGTTGGCATGTTGGGTTTTGGTATTTTCAACATTGCTGTGGCTGTCGCAAAAGATATTCAAACAATTATGATTTGTCGGTTTTTTGGTGGTTTCTTTGCTAGCGCTCCTTTAACCATTGTCGCCGCTGCTTTTTCGGATATGTACAGTAATCGCTATCGAGGTACCGCCATTACCATTTTTGCTGCTCTCGTGTTTGAGGGTCCTTTAGTATCTCCAATCATTAGTGGTTTCCTTACCAAGTCCTATCTGGGTTGGAGATGGACCGAGTACATTACTTCGTTTATGGGATTCTTCGCCGTTGTCATTATCGTATTATTTTGTGATGAATCCTATGCAAAGAAGATTGTACAATCCAAGGCCCAGCAGTATCGTTTGGAAACCAACAACCATTTTGTACATGCAAAGAGCGAAGAGGAGACATTAACTCCTAAAGATGTCCTTTTCAATTACTTGTTGATTCCGCTTAAGCTATTGTTTACTGAACCCATCGTCTTTTTGGTCACTCTTTACTGTTCTTTCGTATATGGTATTTTGTACTTGCTTTTGGAAGCTTATCCAATTATCTTTGCTGAGAAACGCCATTTCTCGATGGGTGTTGCCCAACTTCCCTATATCGGTTTGCTTGTAGGCGTCTTTATTGGAAGTGCTATTAACATTGCATTTGAGCCTTGGTACTTCCGAAAGGTTAAACAGTTTGGCGGAAAACCGTATCCCGAAGGTCGTTTAGCACCTTTGATTGTTGGTGCCTTCACTTTCCCTGCTGGTATTTTCTGGATGGCATGGTCAGGTAACTATGCACATGTTCATTGGATTGTTCCCACTTTGTCTGGTCTAGTTACTGGTTGTGGTATATTGTTAATTTTCTTGAATTGCATGACCTATTTAATTGACGCTTATTTATTCCGTGCTGCCTCTGCAATTGCTGCAAATACCATTATGCGTAGTGGTGTTGCTGCAGGATTTCCTTTATTTGCCATCCAAATGTTCCACAATTTAGGAGTTGGGTGGGCTGGTTCTCTTTTGGGGTTCATTGCCGTTGCCTTGATTCCAGTGCCTATTATCTTTTGGTTCTTTGGTAGAAAGATTCGTTCTTGGAGTAAAATGGCTGTTATGCTCTAGACACCAAGATATTATTTGTATTATCGCTGGTGAAAGTGGATGCAACGTCGATCTGCTAGAGCACATACTCATTATTTTGGATGTTCTTCGAAAAAAAAGAATTGACTGTTATTAAGCCAATCAGTTCAGTTTGGAAGGAAAAGTGAATAAGGGAAAAGAAGAAAGTAATTAAAAGAAAGATAGAAAGAAAAAAGTTCCAAAAATAAAAAGCAGATACGTGGGTCGTCGCAGATGGTATCCTTAATCCTTGACATGTGCACATGGGACCACGAAATGTATGAACTACGGCGATAAAGTTCCTATGGTTTTGTTCTTCTCACTAATAATAATATGTTTACTTATGCTTTGATAGTTTAATCAATTTAATTCTTGAGTCATATCGACTAAATGCAAAAAAAAAAAAAGAGTCGTCTCTGTAGTTTTAGTAAAAAGAACTCCTTTATGATATTCGTGGCGTATGCTGCCCACGAACGGATGAAACTTTTATAAAAGAAAAAATAAAATAAAGAGGCTTTCCATTGTCTTTAAATAACACTAGTTTAGCCTTCCAAAAGCAACTTTCTTTTTCGATGTAAAAAGAATTGCTCCAGCAGTGACTCGAACACTGGGCCTCTTGCTTACTAGGCAAGCGCTCTACCACTGAGCTACAAGAGCTGAATCTGTATAGTGTAGTATTAAATATAATCCATAGTCAATTTTACAGATTCTGTTATTCAATTAAAAGAATGTAAATTCAAGTTAGAACACATCGAATTGAAGTTTGAATTTTATTACAAACAAAAATAAATAAATAAATTAATAAAAATGGAACAACAAAAAAGCTTCTATTCAGTTTTTTTATTCGGCCGAACTGATTTGTAATCTAAGGAACAACGTTGTGATAAAAGCGAGTACGAAGGGATGTAGGACCCGCGATTGAAGTAACAAGGCGCTGAAAACGTGGTTCTTATCGCACCTACTGACGTTTCCACGTCCGAAGCGCATACAAATCGCATGTTACTTATATTTGTGACCTGGAACGAAAATTTTGCACGTCGAAGGGAAAAAATTGCTTGCTTTCTTAGTGGTCCCTTAGGAAAAAATATAACAATATAGAGGATCTACTCAGAATATAATGATAAGATATAATTTAGTAAATAAACAAGAAAATTCTTCAAAGGAATAGAAAGAAACAAAAACAAGTAATTTGTAGTTAAAACGAAAGATGTTTTGAGATCGCTTTAATGAGACAACTAACCGTCATTTATCTTATAGCCGTAGGTCCGCAATCTGATACGCGTGGATTCTGGTGGACTTTCTGACTTGCCAACAACAAAACATTCCGTACTGGGCCGTTCAGTATTCAGGTAAGCAATTCGCACCAAAAGGAGGCATTCATGAGTAAAAACGAAAATAACAAAGAATTGGAAGTGTTTGGGATCGCTTAAAAACTTGGCGTTTGAAAGATTCTCTTTTTGTCGCATGGAAGGCAACAACTTTGGTGGATTCATGAATTGGATATAAATATATACTAATAAGCATTGAGTTAGAGAATTAGCAAAGGATACCATTTTACTTGCCTTTCATCCGTCGTTTGGTATACAAACTGCATTCTTTTTCTGTCTTCGCCAATTGTAGACGATTGTGCGGAAAGAGCTTTAAGAAAAAAAGAATCCAGTCTTATTTCAATTCTCGTCTAATATATATTTTGTTGTTCGTTTTCAAACCAGTTTTTATTTTCCTTTTTTCGTCGTTTGTTACTTTGCTTGTCATAGTGCAGAAGATATATTGCTGAATAACTAAGTTTTTATTTCTTTACAAACGGAAGAAAAGAAAAAAGAAGTTCTCTCTTCAAGTGAAGTTCATTTTCGTCTCTTTAAATCTCAATTTCTATCATTTATCAAATTGTCGCTATTGGGGTTTTCGCTGTATACCCACGGAAGGTTCTCGGTTGTGGAATTTTTGTAACCATTTTTATTAATTCTTTCATTTCGATTGTACTATCTCTCGAACATACAGGCTGATTGATTGATTACCCTTTAACATAGGGTAGAAATATTTAATCATAATCAACTGAAACTAGAATATTGTTTTTAAAAATCACACTTTTAATATCCCCCCCCCCCTTCTGGTTTTATTTATATAGAAGTTAATTCTTTTGGTTTTTTATTTTCTTTTTCTTATCTTTTCTTTTAGTTTTTTTGGTTGTTAATCCTTATTGAATTATGTCAAGTGGAAATACCGATTCTTCTGTAGATCCTCTGAGTGCGGATCTTGAAAAACAAAGCACCCATCGTTCTCATGAATATGAAGATGAAGGATTTGACTTGGAAAAACAAAATACTCGACACACTTATACTCATAAGCAAGTTGGTTCGGATATCGAATTCAACGATTATCTTCGACAATTCCCTGTCGTTAACAACCCTGAAGATTTTATCGTCGACCTGAATGGCCCAAACGATCCTAGCTTGGCTCAGAACTGGAGCTTAAGGATTAAGCTACAGAATGTTGCGGTCATGGGATGCGCTTGTCTGTGGGTCAGTTTTGGTTCCTCTTCCTTTTCCGGTGCCGTTCCTGCGGTAATGATGAATTATCATGTTGGGAGAACCGTTGCAATTCTTGGTATCAGTCTTTATGTGATGGGCTTTGCTTCAGGACCTCTTTTTTGGGCTCCAATGAGTGAAGCTTTTGGACGCCGTAGACCTATGATCATTGCTGTCTTTATTTTTAGCATTTTTCAAATTGCCGTCGCCACCGCCAAAGATATCCAAACCGTTATGATTTGTCGGTTCTTTTGCGGTTTCTTTGGTAGTTCTCCCGTCACCACAGTTGCTGGTTCGTTCTCCGATATGTTTAGTGCTCGGACAAGAGGCTTGGTAATTGCAACATATGCTGCAATTATTTTCAATGGTCCCTTGGTCAGTCCTATCGTTGGTGGCTTTATCGGCAAGTCCTATTTAGGATGGCGGTGGATTTCATATATCACAGCAATCATGGGGTTCTTCTCATTGATATGCATGCTTATCTTCCACCGTGAGACGTATACAAAAACGATTACTGAGGACCGTGCAAAATTGGTTCGAAAATTAACTGGTAATTACTGTTTGCACTCCAAATCCGAAGAGGAAACCTTGGCTTTGTCATACTTTGTTCACAAATACTTGACCCTTCCGCTTCGCTTACTTTTATTTGAACCCATCTTGTTGCTGGTATCCACATACACTGCGTTTGTGTATGGTATTTTATATGGTCTTTTGGAAGCATATCCAGTAATTTTCGGTGAAGCCAGGGGATGGAGTGAAGGTGTCATGTCTTTACCTTATCTTGCCATTCTGGTGGGCGTCTGCATAGGTTCTATCAGTGTTGCCTTCTTCCAACCATATTATTTTCGACAAATGGAAAAGAAGAACGGCAGGCCGGCTCCTGAAGCACGACTTCCTGCTATGATGCTTGGATGTATTGTGTTTCCGATTGGTATTTTTTGGTTAGCATGGACTGGCAATTATCCAAAAATTCATTGGATTGTCCCAACTATATCCGGCAGCTTTGTGGGTTTTGGTATTATTACAATCTTTCAACAAAGTATAAATTACATCGTCGACTGTTATATGGACATTTCTGCATCTGCTATTGCAGCCAACACCCTGTTTCGTAGTTCGTTTGGTGCTGCTTTTCCTTTGTTCACTACTCAAATGTTTAATAACTTAGGAATTGGTTGGGCTGGATCTCTAGTAGGTTTTGTTGCTGTCGCTCTTATCCCGTTCCCCTTTTTCCTTTTCATATACGGCTCTAAGATCCGTTCCATGAGTAAGTTGTGTCTTAAAGATTTACCTTGAAAAAATGTATGTTTTTCTTTATACTGATAGTTCTCTATCGTGGTTGGGGTCAGAAATGCATTCATGTTTGCATCGGAATGATTTAAGACAAACTATGATATAAAAGCGCAATAGAAGATACGAATTGTTTCTTCTAATGAGAGGACTACTCTCTTTTGTAAAATTATTTATTTTAGCTTCTTCCCCTTAATGAATGTCTATTTGCTTCATACTCTTGTCAAGTTTTAACTGACATATGTTGTGTGATGGAAAATTTATTCTCAATATAGCGTGAAAGGAAGGAGTTTTCTCAAAACCCAACAATAGTAACTACGGGTTAAAGTACCTGGCTGAAGAATTAGTATATTCAGCGTCAATGGAAGTTTCCTTTTTGAACTTTGGTTTGTTTGAAATCGGAAAAGAGAGTTGCTTTACTTTATGTTTTGTTCTTACCGACATTGCAATCAAAATCTATTGCTTTAGGTAACAGATCTTATATTAAATAATTAAGACGATAATCTGAACGAGTAACAAGTTTCTACACTAGAAGCATCAAGAGAGAATAAAGGGTCATTAGATTTGTTTTTCTTTCAGTATATCGCATAGAATTAGTTATATTTTTTTCTCAGCAATGACCGGCGAAAAGTTGCAGTACGCTATGGATAAAATTGCTAATGAATGATAACCATGGAAATCCGTTCAACCTCTAAAATATAACATATAAATATAACCTAATAAGTTGATATTTAAGGTATGATAGTCGAGTAGAAATGCTTTCTGTCGTCTTTCTTTCTTAGAAATTAGCCAGTTTATTGACACGCGTGTTATGTTTACTGGTGACGTGGTTAACATTCAATTAGCACGCTTTAGTGCACTATGTTCGTAAGATTTCGGTGACTTTACGTTGTTAAGATAAATCAAATAGGGAACTCCATTAACGGTCCCTATTTGATTGATGCAAGTCAGTAGAATCGTAGTAGAAACTTACTTACCAAAGCAATATTTCAGAAAGTGGATTCAACAGAAACGTGGCGGTCTCCCCTTTAAACTAGTTTTACAAAAATCCTGAAAAGAACAGAGGGAAAATCCTGCTGGAAAACATGGAAACAAGCACAAACTGGGTGAATGCACCTGTAGAGCAAACATTGACTAAAATTGGACCTCCAGATGACTTTGAGCCTTCAAAGAATGTAAAACCAGCCGAAAATAAAGAAAAAGAAGCAGGACATGAGGCACCAAAACTTACAAAGGTAAAATCACACGAAGAAAACGAAGAGGATTATCGGTATGGTGGTTATCATCCAGTATTTATTGGGGAAGAATTCAATAAGAAGCGATATGTGGTGGAACGTAAACTGGGTTGGGGTCATTTTTCTACTGTTTGGCTTGCTTATGACCGGTTAGCAAAACGGCGGGTTGCTTTGAAGGTCGTACGATCAGCAGAACATTATCGAGAAACATCCATTGATGAAATTCGCATTTTGCAAAAGATCTGCGAAGGTGATGACAAACATCTTGGCAAAAAGCATGTTATTGCTTTACTGGACTATTTCCTACACAGAGGGCCGAATGGTGCACATGTGTGTATGGTGTTTGAAGTCTTAGGAGAAAATCTACTGAGTCTCATTCAGTCATACGGACATCGTGGTGTCCCGATGGAAATTGTCCAAGAAATTTCTTATCAGTTGCTCATTGCATTAGATTATTTACACCGTAAGTGTGGAATTATACACACTGATTTAAAACCCGAAAATGTTTTGATTTGTATTGATGATTCAGTATTAAATGACATCGACAGTCAAGCATCAGTTGGTTCGTCATCAAAACTTCCCTCGAATGTGAATACCGCTGGTTCACTCGGAACTCCTCAAAAGAAGTCGAGCAAATCATCTGCGGGCCAGGTGCTTGCTAGTGATCCATTTACGTCCACACTAACTCATTCTCCTGGGTTAGAGGGAGCCGTTTCAGGGATCAGTCTGCGTGACAATTCACTCAACAGATCTGGACAGGGAAAGAAGCCCTTGATCGAAGTCAAAATAGCAGACCTTGGTAATGCCTGTTGGACGAAGAAGCACTTCACAAATGACATCCAAACACGACAGTATCGTTCTCCAGAGGTTATCCTTGGATGTCCGTGGGGAGCTTCTGCTGATTGCTGGAGTTTTGCCTGTATAATATTTGAACTTCTGACAGGTGATTATTTATTTGATCCAAGAAGTGGAAGTTCCTATTCCAAAGAAGACGACCACATAGCTCAAATCATTGAGTTGCTCATGACCTTCCCCAAGCAAATGGCTTTATCCGGAAAGCACTCCGGCGAGCTGTTTAATCGTCGAGGTGAACTCCGTAATATACACAAACTAAAGTATTGGTCATTGAAAGATGTTTTGGAACAAAAATATCATATTAATGCTTCACTCTCTCAGGATATTTCTGACTTTTTATTACCCCTTCTTTCGTTTGATCCAGCAAAGCGTGTCAATGCAGGTTATATGAGTAACTCTCCCTGGTTGCGCAATGTTGCTGACCCAAATTTCAAGATTGACAGCTCTGGGCAATTCGGTGAATTTATCCCCGGCTGGGCTAACGAAATCAGAAAATAAAAAGAGTACTTTGAACAGCAACATTCATGCATATAAACATTTACATTCGTTAATTTTGGTGTACCCAGGGTACCGTCTTACAAAAACTTTTAGCCACCCTATTGACATGTTTTTCCGTCATTATATTTTTATTCTGAAGAATTATTTTGCTTCTTTCTGATCTTTTGGTCTCTTATGCTTTGATGAAACAATAAAGACACAACGACAAGAAAAAAATGATGTTAATTTTTGTTATTTCTTTGTTAATTTATTTCTTCTTGCTTCTCTATCATTTAAAATGGACGAATACACCTTGTTTTATGAGCACTTTACTAACGATTCGTGAATAGGATTTACTACATAATGATATTAAATACTAGTCCAATGTATACAAAATTCATATAAATTTAAATAAATAGAATTGTAAGACTTATGAGAGCGATAAGACTATAAACAAGAACCAAAGAATTATTAATACATTTGCCAGCACTTAACGTGTCTTTGCATTTTCAGGTAGTCCATCTTGGGTTACGCGAATCTTGTATTCTCGTTCAAAGTAGTTCCTATCACAGTCAAGTAAGAACCGAGTACATCCCTGTTTGGAAGACGAAAGTTGTGCGTTCGATTGTGTGTATAGGTCTGCTATAGACGGGATATTTACATCTACTTTTGTAACTTTAGGAGGTCTCGATGAATTCCGCTGGGCTCTCTGAAAGTCTACGCATAACCCTAACAGTAAGTCCGTTGGATACATTTGGCCTAATACTGTATATGGTTGGAAGTGCATATAGAGGTCAAGCAAGTCAGCAATTGCCCCTTCAGTAAGCAAAGTGGGAGCACAGAAATTTCTAGGAATAATGGGTTGGGAGAGCTTTTGAAGCTTACATGTGATTGAAAGAGCAGCAATTGCTATGACAGAGACGGGATATTTCAATGGTGCAAAGGTCCGGTAAGCATCAGTACATATATTCCAAGCGACAACTGCAGTGCTAGATGTGACTAAAGAAACAGTTAGTATTTAACTTAAAAATGAGTTCGTACAGTTCAATGATTTAGCAAATTTAATCACATAAGTATGAGGATGGCGAACACGAAAGTCAAAACATAACAACTCCAGGATCATCCTTTCGAGACCCAATACTTTTCGTTTAACCTCATCAATAATCTATCAATCGATTAGTTACAGAATGTCAGCTAGAAAATTACCTGGGTATGAGAATCAGCATCTAAACCAGGATGCTTATGTTGAAAGTGTATGAGCAAAACCTCACGAAGCTTTTTTGCTGTATCTTCTACTTTACAAGCAACAAATAAGCATGCAGTAGCACATTCTATGAGCGGCAGTTCTGCCAGGGAGTAAAATAATTGAATTCGGCTGATTAAAAGCATAGCAAGACCACTGGTACGTACCGGACTATGAAAAAGCGTTAATAAACGATTCCGTTTTTTTGAACATACAATTTCAGACTCCTGCTCATTTCTGAGATCCAATGGAACGCTTGCATTTTCAAGCCATTTTCTTTTGGGTCTCGAGACTGCATTATCCGAGTAATTTCATTTTCAGAATAAAAAGGGCGAGAAAGTCGGATGGATAATACATGTTTTTCCTCTGACATTCTTCTGGGAATCGGTAAAAGGTATATGAGTAGTCAGTTTTACAACTCTTTATGTCTTTAAAGCGATTTTTAGCGTCGTTTGAATATATAATTAAAAAAAATAAATAATTTATGTTGGCTAATGCTCTTTGACATTCAGCGTCCTTCAAACCCAGGAAATTTCCGTTTTTTGCCTTGAATTAAAACTGTGGTTGAGAAGGCACGCTTGGTCATCTTTGAAAAAATCGAATAGAGAACAGGAGCTTTCCGATTATTCTTCCTGGAAGTTTTTTTGTATATAGTAAATTTTTATTTTTCATAGTTTTCTCACTTTGCTGCTTGTCCTGGTTTGTAGTCGTAGATGTTCTCAAAGTGCTTCTCTAGCTGGGCTTGGAAATACAATTTCACGAGAAAAGAACTTCATTTTTGGATATGCTAATGGAATTGAAAAATTTGGTACTTATGTACGCTTCCTTCCTGTGTTGGCATGAGCAACACAACTGTTGGTAAATTCTTTCAGTAGGAGAAGCCAAGGCTTTCAAAATAACAAAGGGATTCTGTTTGATTTTTCAAGTTTTAAATTGATGGAATTCTGTAGTTCTTTCGACCCAAACTTTCACTCACAAATTCCACGATTCTGTAGCATACAAATTAAACAGAAAGGATTCAGCAAAAGTCTATGTACACTTGTTTCGTAACGCATTGAGAGAGGTAGAGAGAACAATTATTCACAGAAAATTGGGAATCTCAATGTTTTTCTCCATGCGAAATAGAGAAATCGTTCCTTAAAAAAGTATTACACATGTAGAACGGTTTCATCAAAGGAATATAGAGAAACGCATGAAAAGGTTCATTTTCACAGAAAATCAACTAATTTTCTATTCTTAGTAATGTTGTTTATGAGTCCTAGTTTCTGGATACGCATTGTTTACATCGCCTAGATATGTCTTAATTATAAGCTAATTGCTCAACTGAATGAATGTACCGGCATCCACCTAGCATTTTTTTTTCTGTGCCAAATGTGGAAAAACAAAGGATTCAATTTCGTTATATTTATAATCTTCTCTTGTTTTTTCTATATTGTTCAATCATCCCCAGTACTTACAGTTGAGAAGTTGAAACTGGGCGACAAACAGCAAGATGGAAATCAAACTCCTGTAGTCATTTGGCATGGACTAGGTGACTCCTACGATAGCATTTCGTTGAAGCGAATTGTGAAGCGAGTGGAAGAAATCACAGGTGCTTCAGTTTTCGTTATCCATATAGGTAGTACAGGACTTGGCGATTTGAAGGCTGGATACATTGGAAATGTTCAGGAGCAAATTGATGGTATTTGCACTCAATTGTCTTCTATAGAAGAGTTAAAGGACGGATTTCATGGCATTGGTGTGAGTCAAGGCGGTCTCTTCCTCCGTGGTTTGCATGAGACCTGTGAATTCGCTAAGATCCGCACGTTACTCAGTGTCGGTTCACCCCAGAATGGAGTTTTCAATTTCCCAGGATGCTCTGCAACAAATTTTCTATGTCAGACAGCTAGTAAGTCTATTTTGGCTTTGGGTGTCTGGAATGCTTGGGTTCAGACCCATATCGTGCAAGCTCAGTACTTTCGCACGGAAAAGAACTATGATAAGTATTTGGAAAATAGTCAATTTTTGGCAAGGATTAACAATGAAATGGACCATGAAGACATGGAATTGTACAAGAAAAAAATGGAGCAATTAGGGAAGCTTGTATTGATTACCTTCGCTACAGATACTATAATTGGACCTGTGGAGTCTTGTGCCTTTGGATGGAAAGATGAGGAGTCTGGAGCGCCTATTCCTATGAAAGAACATTTCGGCTATGTGAACAATATCTTGGGATTGAAAACGCTAGACGAACAAAACAAGATCACAAGCCTTTACTATCCTGGTATCCATTTACAATTGACAGAAAAGGAGGTAGATGAATTGATCCGAAAGTATTTGAAAGATGCCACAACAACGAGCGCAGAGCAAGAAATAGAGACTGCGAATCCCAAGAAAGGAGATCCTTCTTTACTCACTCCTTTATATTCAGACATGCTTGAACGGATTCAAAGGGTTTCAAAAAAATTACAAAATGCAAGAATGAATAAGAAGCTTCGCAAACCAGACTTTGCAGGGAGCGAGAATGCGAGTGTCAGATACTTACAAGATGCATCAAAAAGCGAAATAGATGCCGCTCCCAAACCGTTTGCAACGAAAGTGTTTATGACGGTATTTTCGCACTTTTTTTATCACGTTGACGACTTTACAAAGAGCATTATGGAGCTATTTTCCTTGATCCCTCAGATTATAGGTATAATCTATCTCACAGTGATGGTAACCAATCGAGAACTAGATACATTTATGCAATTCGGAGGTCAAGTCGCAAACGAAGTCCTCAACTATGTCATAAAAATAATTGTAAAACATCCTCGACCTTCTGTTGTTCTGCACGGCGTGGGATATGGCATGCCGAGCAGCCATTCTCAATTTATGGGTTATTTTACTGCTTACATGATTGCATGGGTATGCAAGTATCGAAAGGAAGAATGGAGTCACATTAGTTCTTTGGCGAAGATGAGTCTCTATTGCGGACTATCTCTGTGCGTATGCTCTAGCCGTTACTTGTTGAGTTATCATTCAATTTCTCAGGTAATAGTTGGATTCGCCGCTGGTTTCGTATTCGGCTATGTTTGGTGCTGGTTCACGGGTCAACTACGTCTGACAGGAATCACCGAATGGCTCCTGAAGTTTCCCATCATAGAATGGGTGTACATCAAGGATACTCTCATTCACAATAAAGACAACCACAAGCAAGAATGGTTAGCGAGTCGGCGACAGAAGATTCAAAAAAGGCTGTAATTGAATTACAAATTTCTTATGTGGATTTATGTGGATTGATTTGTTAGACATAGATATTTATTTTCAAACCTTGCCATACATGAATATGGAATTGTATCGAGTATCAAAAATTGCTTTGCGTAGTCTAGCAATAGCAAACCTGCCTTTTCAATTGCACCCATTCTAATTTATATACAATTGATCATTTCATCTTGCATGACTTTGTTTACAACTAAAAAATAAGAAATATTATTGCTGTTGTTATTTTTCTTTTATTTTTGAATGATAAAAATATTCCGTCTGGGGGAATCGAACCCCCGCCGCATCGGTGAGAGCGATGAATCCTAGCCACTGGACCAAGACGGATCTTACACACAAGTAAAAAAACTAAAAAGTTTATAGTAAAATTTTAAAAGCGATATATTTTTATGTCGATGATTGAAAGAATAAAAGATTGCCAGTTATAATTGTTTAATACTCTTCCAGAATTCTTTATCCTTGCTCTTTTCTTCATATGCCACGGTTTGTTCAGCTCGCTAAGCGTTCTTATTTTTAACGTGCCGGTAAAATAAGCAGCTACGTTGACACGACATGCTACCTAAAAAAAAGGTTGACGAACTGGTAAGTTACCTGGTTTGTATTCGGCTGATTTGTGTCATTGGTTACCGGCATATAGAGCTGCTCGGCTTTTGGTATATTTTAAACTGCGAAACGTCATAAGGGAATTTTCGGAATGTTAAATTATAGCATACTAGACCGTGACTCGGTAAAATGTAAATAAACAGGAAGAGTCGAATTTTTGACAGTTTTCTAAGGGAAATGAACTCGCGTTTTGTTTTTCTTTTTAAAAAGAAGAAAGATAAATTTAACTTCGTTGCTGTCTTTTGAGATGACTTTGAGCTCGTTATGTAGTAGTTAGGTTTGAATGTTTGCAGCTTTGGAGGAGAGTCGTTACAATTTGGAGGAGGAGGAGGTCGTCTGGCTAGTTGTTGTATTGGGTACTTTTTTCTATTAAAAGATTTGTTTTTGATACTTTTCATAGCTTCACTGGTTTTATTTTATTTTTATTTTTTACAGTTCACGAAATGGATGTTTATTTTATTTATTTACTAATGCACCGCAGTACATCGGTATCCAATAATCACGGGCTACTCCACGAAAATCATTAACATTACCGGAAAGTTTACCGGGGTAACAATGCGCTTTTATGTAAAAAAGGTGCATGAAGACACTCCACAAAATCGCGGGCAAGACCGAAATTTCAACCTGCCCTTTTCCATTATTTTTTCAGCTTTTCCTACGCGATTTTACGCTAGCTATTACATTTCAGTGGTTTGTCAGTGATTTCTTACCCGTTGTCTGCGTGGAAAGAAGCTGTGCTTTTTCAATTCAGAAGAAAGTATCAAAGTTCCGTTGATTCTGGTATCCTCTGAGGTTTCGTTTTTGTTGCTTGTTTCGCGGATAAGAACAGTAGAAGATCAAGTGAATTTCGCTTTTTTTTGTGTACATTTTTTTCTTGTCGCTCATCTGTTGTGCTATACCATCTCACTTTCTTCCAGCCTGAATGTATCGATAAACCGCTGACTAGCTCTTCGTTTCCTCTTTTTCATTTTTATTCCTAAGGTTCACTTTTTTCCTTTGAATTTGGTTTCAAAATTTCGATTTTTAGTTACGGTTTCATTTTTTCTTATTCTCATATTTAAGCTGCAAAGGACCATTTTCTCTTTGTGGATTTTATTTTTCTATTGTAAAAATACTCGTTGGCTGTTTCAAACTTGAGATTTTTTAGTTGGATTCCTTTTTTTTTATTTTTATTTTTTGGTTGCTGCTTGCTGCTGTTGTGTGTTTGTATTTGTGTGAATTGGGGATTGCTCGTTCTTTCTTTATTTTATTTTTATTTTATTTTTACTTTTATTTTGTTTTCCTTCTGCAAAACTTCTTCTATTTCGGATTCTAATTTTTATATTACATCGTCCCCTTCCTGTATCTGATACTAGTATGGTAAACAATTCTTCTGCTACTTATCAAAAAATATCCTTGTCTAATGCAGCAATAAATGACACCGTCCTTGGAAAACGTCCCTTAGAATCCTCTGCCGGGCCAGAGGCGAAACGACAGAATACCCTTTATCATGTTGCCCCATCCTCATCTCCATCCCAAAACTCTCCTTCTTTCGTAGAATCGAAAGAACACCTCAATCATGCTTCCCATAAATCTGATAATGCTACCCTAATTGAGTCTGTTAATTCTTCTTCATTTCCTTTCTCTCCGTCCACCTCTACTCCCGATCAGCAAAGACCTTCCGTAATAACAGGACCTTCTTCCACCGAGACGCCTTCCCCGAAGTGTTCTTCTATTGACAACGAAAAAAACACCCTCCATAATCACACATCCGATTCGCGTCCTAATGTTGACGCACAGTTCATTCCTTACTCTCCACCGCACTCTCTATCTCCTTCGTCTGATCAATCTCTTAATCCCGCTTATTATGCTCCTTACCGCCAGCCTAACGGTCCCCTTTGGTTAGAAGGCCGAGAGTTTCTACCGAGTCTTGACATTCAACTAAGACTCGCAGATGTATTTTTTATTTATGCCCATGGTCAACCTTATGTCTTATTTCACCGTGATTCTTTTATTGCGTCTTTGCGCGCTCAGCGTCTTCCCCCCGTTTTAGTGCTTTCTATGTGCTGTACCGCTATACGTTTTTGGCAGACCGACGAGTATGACAAAAATGCGCTCCTTCAGCAATGTTTCACTAAAGCTTCTTCTATCGCCATGTCCAATTTTGACAGGCTGGACCTGGTCTATATTGCGTGTTTCATTATGCTTTCTTATATTAGTGTCGCAGATGACAAGTATTGGATGTATACTGGCATGGCCATCCGCATGTCTGTTGCCCTGCACCCAAACAAATGTTTTGATCTTCCTTATTATGATTCGCCAGACAACCCCTTGCCTTCGGAAATCCGTGGACAATTAATACGCCGTCTTTTTTGGGATTGCTTTATGCTTGACCGGCTAAATTCACTATATTGCAACTCGCAGTTTTTAAATTTAGAAGATATCCATGTGCCGCTGCCTATGCGAGAAAGTCTTTTCATGTACAATACTCCCGCTGTGACAGAGACAATATACGGAAAACCTGGTACATCGGACATGACTGGTGCTGTGAAACTTGCCGATACCAACTCGTCTCAGGGTTTGAATCAACATGCACAAAACAACATGGGAGTATTGGCGTACATGATCCGAATGGTATCAATTTGGGGAAGAGTCGTGCGTTGTTTGAAGGCTTATGGCTCTAATAAACAAACTTATCCGCGTCCGTTTTGGCATATGTCTGGAGCTTTGCAGCCTCTTGACCAAGAATTATACGAATGGGAAAAGAGTCTTCCTCAAAGATTACGTTACACACGTCAGTCTTTGCTTTCATACCACATGAAAGGACAAGGGGGACCGTTTGCATGTATGCACCTGATGTATCTTCAGGTACACCTGTATATTCACCGATATGCCGCTTCCGTTTCACCTTTGTTCCATCGTCGTATACCATCGCCCCCACAGTCTTTCGAAAAGCAATCTGTTCTTTTGGCTACCTTTTGTGCCAATGCCATTGCAAGAATTCTTCATGATTGTGTGGAGTTATCAATATCTTTGACAGCCCCCTTTACGGCGTATTCTGCTTATATGGCCGGAACGGTTATGCTTTTCCATGTCTCAAATCCGGACAATTCGTCTCAAGCAACGATTGCAACATCTAATTTGCCAAAAGTAAAACGTCATTTGCGGGCAATTAAGCACTACTGGCCAACAATTGCAAAATACTCGAATGCTTTGGAAAGTTTATCTAAACTTGTTTCACGAAACCCGATCACGGCTACCAAGACAGCTCCTTCCGTACCAAGTGCCGCCAATAAGCAAGATTGGTATGCCGTTCCAAGACAAAGACCAGCTTTTAGTGATGTGCCAAGAAATATCCCTATTAATCACGTTCCCTTGTCTGCAAACATTCCTTACACTGCTACTTCTAGTTTCACGAAGGGCAGTACATTAACAGATCTTGCTTACGATACAAAAATTTCGCGACCAGTGCCTGCTCCAGGGATGACTTCAAACGGTTCATCGCAAGGTTTGGCTTTTGAAAATCGGATGCCTCCTATACCCAGTGCAGTGAAGTTGGTTTCACAACCACCACCACCACCACCCCGTCCTGCGCTCTCGTCGTTTTCAGCTTCGAGTGCTGCTACTTCAATGATCAATGAGTATGCGGAAAAGGTTGGTATTGATCCAGATTTAGTCAGTGTTGTGTCACTGTGCGATTGGTTTAAGAATCCAGTAGACGAGCTTGCCTTGAACAAGCCTCTACAACTCGACTCATCGGATGAACAAGAAAAGGCTGCAATAGACATTAGTCGTCATAATACTGCACTTAACCTTTGGAGGTATGGCATGTAACGAGGGAAATGTCGCTATAGTACTCCCACGTTTACTAGGCCTACCTACTAGCAGTAAGGCGTTTGGTATTGTATATTTATTCTATTTCATCTTTTTTTATTATCCTTCTTTTATTTTTTTTGGGCGGGCTTTGTAAGAAAAGGTCCGCATATTGTTTATGCAAGTTTATGTTATAGATCAAAAAAACTTATAAAGTTTTTTATGTGATATTTATGTGCAAATGGAGAAATACTAGATAACAATGACTAATTTTTAACTCTTATTCTTTTACTAGCGATCATCCACGTCTTGCGTCTTTACATATACCATATACATATGTACAAACAAGAACAGTTGTGACTCTAACTAGTCGAAAAGTTGTCGAACGAAATGACAAAAAAGAGATCAGGAAAAGACCTTCAAAGGTGAAAAAGGAACAAACATTTAGAAGGATATAAACAACAGCAAATGCTCTATACTCTTTTCCATTAGTAAACCTCTATTTATTTACTCTTTGTGAATCAAAGTTGGTGTTTGTATACGGACACGGTAAATTCTTTATCGACGGATGATAGTGCTCGGTATATCCGATTGACGGCTAGTGAATTTTAGTTTTTGTCGACTCGTAATTGGATCGTAGTATCCAATTACATAAAAAATAAACAAAACCTATGACATCAATGTACACTTTAAGCCAATAATAAGTAAGAGTTATAAAGCTAATTGATTTTCGTTATCTACTTTAAGTAACGTTCCGAGACTAGCAGCCAATATTATTGGAGAGTTGAATTAGAGTTGAACAACAGTGAGAAACGGTTCGCTGACCAATGACCTTAACTAGTGGGGTTCCGTTAACGACACAATCGTGGAGTATGTGACTGTCATTATCACGGAATCAAATTCATATATAAAGGGAAAATGGTCACGGGGATCATCAACTCCCCCCTCTCACTTACCTTTAACCAACTTCCAACAGGACTTATCAAGAACAAACCGTTATTTAGCGATTTTTCTTGGAATCTTCTAACTCTTATTAAACATAAATCAAAGAAAACTGTTTCTTCTTCCGTAATATTTCGAAGAAGCGGTGATTTGAAAGATATAGAAGATATTGCATATCGTATAGGACTCGTTCGTTTTTAGTCTACATTAATCAAAATGGCTTCTCCTCAACAACCCACTGCTCCCATCAGCCCCAACCTTTTGTCTGAGCAAAAGAACTCCACCTTCGTCTTTGACTTCCTTATGGGTGGTGTTTCTGCTGCTATCTCCAAGACTGCTGCTGCCCCCATTGAGCGTGTCAAGCTTTTAATTCAAAACCAAGATGAAATGATCCGCGCTGGCCGTCTTTCTCACCGTTACACCGGTATTGGTGAGTGCTTCAAGCGTACTGTCGCCGATGAGGGTGTCGTTTCTCTCTGGAGAGGTAACACCGCTAACGTTTTGCGTTATTTCCCTACCCAAGCCTTGAACTTTGCTTTCAAGGACAAGTTCAAGGCCATGTTTGGTTACAAGAAGGACAAGGATGGCTATGCCAAGTGGATTTTTGGTAACTTGGCCTCTGGTGGTGCTGCTGGTGCCACTTCTCTTTTGTTTGTCTACTCTTTGGATTATGCTCGTACCCGTTTGGCCAACGACGCCAAGTCTGCCAAGAAGGGTGGTGAGCGCCAATTCAACGGTTTGATTGATGTCTACCGTAAGACTCTTGCTAGTGACGGTCTCCGTGGTTTGTACCGTGGTTTCGGTCCTTCCGTTGCCGGTATCGTTGTCTACCGTGGTTTGTACTTTGGTGTCTACGATACCTTGAAGCCCATTGTCTTGGTCGGTCCTTTGGAAGGTAACATCTTGTCCTCTTTCTTGCTCGGTTGGTTCGTCACCATTGGTTCCGGTATTGCTTCTTACCCCTTGGATACCGTCCGTCGTCGTATGATGATGACTTCTGGTGAAGCCGTCAAGTACAGCTCTTCCTTCCAATGCTTCAGCCAAATCATTGCCAAGGAAGGTCCTCGCTCTTTGTTCAGAGGTGCTGGTGCTAACATTCTCCGTGGTGTTGCCGCTGCTGGTGTCCTTTCTATTTACGATCAAGCTCAGCTTTTGATTGCTGGCAAGAAGCTTTAAATAGCATGAATGCCTATTTTTAAGTACCTAACTTTTGCTTTTCACGATTTCCCCACCTTTTAACAAAGTCTTGAGGATGTTGGTTTAACTCTTTTTTAAAGAGAAAAAAATTGGAATTTTCGTGCATGGAGTCTATGCTCTAGTGCATTAGCAGATTTCAAATTTCAAAGAGCCGGAGAGTATAGTTCATACATAACCTTTGGTTTTTTTTCTCTTTGATTCAATTTTTCATTATTATCACCTTACTATCCCTAGACAGAAGATGTTTTTAAAAATCATCGAATTGAAATACCTATCTTTCTTTTTAACAAAGATTCTTTGTGTTTACAGTCATGAATGAATGTTACTGCAGTATATATAATCCGTCTCATGGTGAGTCCAACCTTGTAGTATGTTGGTAGTGACCTGTGGTAGAAGTGTCTTATGCTTGTATTTATAAGTATAGCCATGTAGGCTAGGCTGGTGAGGGAAAAGAGTATCAGGAATGAGGAACGATTGTTTGTATTTTGTAAAGACTCTTTGGTTGAATTTGAGTGTGTATTTTGGTAGTTTGAATGTATGGGCTGGAGAGAAATAATAGACTTGCACATATTGTACATTGTATATTGTATTGTATTGTATGTGTGTGCATATTTATATGGGTAGGTGTTATTGAAACAGCCAAAGACCCTTTTTAAACCAACTATTTTAGTATCAATAGGACACGTTTGAGTTTCTCTGTCTATATCAGCTTGTATAGCTATTCATTAATATAAAAAGAAAATCTTGTTCAAAAACCTACTTAAATAGGGCATTTGTTTTCTTTTTGGCTAATTGAAGGCTAACTGAAGGAAGTTCTGTCTTTAGCGGTATCCAATAACCAGATTATTCCATTCATTGTTCATAATAATTTGTTCGTCCATCCTTTGGTCTTTTTACGGCTTTATAACAAACATACAATGAACCCGGTAGTCAGATTCACATATGGAGTTCTCCTTTCACTGATTTTTTTGACGAAGTTTGCAAGATGTGTACCATTTAACCCAACGAGACGAGGATCTAAAGACAAAGAAGAGCCATTTTGCTCGCTTCATCACCCTGGGACAGGAGAGTTTTATGATTTGAGCCCTCTATCGCGGTCAAATTTGTCTGCAAAGGGAGATTACAATGTGTCTGGCTATGACTATGGTGTTAACTTTACACTTAATTTATGCAAGCCAGTGACAACTAACCTTTCGGATTATTATTTGGCTGGAGACATTCCTTCTGCAAAATCCATAGGTGGCTTTTTTACGAATGAAAGAAACCGTCTGTTTTCTATAGGAGAAGCCTCTAGCAGCCCATATTTTCGAGGTAGAAAGTTGATTATGGAATTGGAAAATGGTTCTCTTTGTCCGTCTTCCCATGATCGCCGAAAAAAATCTATTATTAGCTTTAGCTGCAACCGTGATCCTTATGCATCTTCGTCCATTTCTTACATTGCATCTGTATTTGATTGTGTTTATTTCTTTGAGTGGAAAACAATCCATGCTTGTCCAACGGTAAAGAAAGAAACTACTTTAAGCCCACTCTCAGTCTTTTTGATATTTTGTACTGTTGCTTTTCTAGCCTACTTTGTTGGCGGATGCGCGTATAACCGCATTATTTTTAATGCTCGTGGTTTACGACAAATACCAAACTATGACTTGTGGAACTCCATGTGTAGTTTCATTATCGTAAGTCCAAAAATAACTTTTGTTTTCTAAGCTAATTAACGTTCTAGGATTTCACAATTATCGCTTTCGCTTCTCTCACTTCTTGTTTTAACTTTCGAAAGCCAGGCGGAATACGCCTTGGTGAAGGCACTGTGAATAACATGGAAGATGCTTTAATAGACGACATTGATACGAACGCTTAAACTATTCTTTTACCATATCCATATTCTAATCGCTAAAATATTTTACTGTCTTTTGCCTTATATTCACATTTTTGCCGTTAAGTTTAACTTCGGCATTGATACAACCAACTTATACTGCTGTATATCATGTTGTCGACTGAAGCTAACTCAAGTCAGCACCTATAATTATTAGAACTAATTACAACTCTATACTTTACAAATAACATTAGGATCATGAATTATGAGATAACTGATTTAGAATCATCGCTGGGTCGAGCATCGTTGAGGAAGGTCGGAAAGACTGACTATTCTCAACTTTCCCCTCTCTTTGCTCAGAGGTTTGTTCGGCATCTTCACCAAGAAAATTATCCCAAAACGGAAAATGTTCGTTCGTAGACATATCATTATTACCGTATAACAATACGTCTGGTTCTCCCCCTGCCTCTTCATCTAAATGGGCATCACTTCTGGTAATGTAAAATGATGGATGGTAAACTTTTCTGGCATGCGTATGATAATTCAACATACTAGAAAGAGCAAGGAAGTCAACGAGTTCCTCATCAGAAACCATATATTGTTTGTAAGGTACTTCACCCAAGTTTGTATTATCGAACGATTTAACATTACCACTATTCACAGAAGGGCTTATACCTTCTTGAAAGTTACCAAAGGCTCGATTTGATTTGTTTTCTGACGAATTCTTTTGATATTCAAGTATATTTGGTGACTGAAAAGTTTCTGACCCCATATTATTTTCATTTCGTTTCTTTTGTTCTGATATCTCCAATTCCATATTCAATTTTGCCAACAGCTCATCCATAATGGGTATTAATTGCCTAGTTAGCCAATCGTTCGCTAATGTTTTTAATGAATTTCTCCCAACAGTCAATTGAACAAGGAGATTTCTGTTTTTCGTTAATAACGTAGCATACATCAGGGTGAGAATGGTGTTAAATCCATAAAACACTGTAGTCCAGTAGTAACGATTATTGCTTTGTATCAAGGCATCTGTTAAACAGTCAAGATTTTGTATGCAAACAATAGCCGAATCCAAACATTTACAAGCCAAAGTAAAAGCGATTTGTCGTTCTGAAACCTTTAAAGCTTGCATCGCCGAGCTGTTAGCTTCCAAATAATGAAGCAAAGGACGATACAAGAGCATTCGAAAATAGTAATATGTTAACATAAGGCTGTACATATGACGATTCTCGGGAACTTGGCCGGGCTGTTCAGTTTTGAAGCTTCTAGGAAGCGAATTGTAAAACCTATCCATGGCTTGTTCTAATTCAATAATAACCATATAGGAAACCGTTCTCTTACTAGTAATTCTATTTCCAATCAAATATAACTTGCTAAGGATACCACTAACAATTTTGTAAAGTCGGATACCATGAAATAAGAAGTCACTTGCTCTGACTTGATAGCCTTCAATGAACTGAATCGAGGTGTTTTTAGGCTGTAACTGATCAATATCCTCATCAGAAATTCCAAGAGGGAATCCAAAGAGCGTAGCGTAATGTCGATCATGACAATATATTACCCAAAAAACTCGCTTGCGAGCTTCTATTTGTTCAGGAGTGAAACCGACAATAATATTTCTGTGTAGACCAAGTTTAAGGGAACAACTTAATGCCAGCTTTTGATAATAATAGCCGGCTCCTATCTCCGCACGGCAATAGCGGTAATTACTCAAAGTTAGAAGACACTGTACGCTGTCCAAAGAATAATCATCGATAGAATCAACTAGACGTTCACTATAAAAATTGTATTTTTTTGCCATTCCTTGAGTTTCTAGATTATTTGGATCGTTCTGCAACATATGATAATAACCGTTGCTTAATAAAGCACAAAAGAATGCCAAAAAGTTGGTTTGGTAGTCACCTCTGTAAAGCAACTTTATCCTACTGAATATATCACTGGGACAGTCAAAAAATAATAAATCTGTTACATTCGAAAGAGCAGTTTTAGTAATCTGAAGAGCGATTTCAATTGGAGGAAGCGGCACCTTACCAGGGTCTACACTCGTCACCAAGAAATTTAAACTAAAACGCGGACAAAAGTTGAAAAATTGTGATTCTGGAGTGGAATAATCTGGACGCCGGGTTCGGCTGCTCATAGGACAGGCCACGTAAGGATTTCCTATCTCCAAATCACTGGACAAGTTTTTGATGAGTCGATGTACGAAGACGAAAACGGAGGTACTGCCACGGAAATACCGCTTTCCTGTAGCAATGTCATTATATAAACCACTAGATTCGATTGCAGATTGAAACATGAGACGTTTATGATTTTCTCCGAGCTCTAATTCGTTTGCTGCTTGAAACTTATGTTCTCGCAAATACAGCAGAAAATTTGGAGAACTTGTGGATAAGTCAACAGAAGAGTGTTTTCTTAAAAGGTTTTCCAGATATCTGATGCGGGATTCTAAGTTTTCAAGGTATTCAGGAGAATGGGAAGATTTACGAGTGGAAGGCATTTTAAATGTACATTCAGCTCGTCCAAGTCTGCAATTTTTACAAGGACGCATGCCATCACACTTTACCTTTTTCTTCCTACATTTATCACATGCACGCGTTACGCGTCTTCGTCTAGGAATCACGTTGGCGCCTTCTAAGAGAATAGAGTCATGGTCGAAGTCATTGACTTCCTCTTTTTCCATTCTATATAATGAAGCAGTAAAACGGGTGGAAAAGGGTTAGTAATAAATTAGAATGCTAGTATACGGATGCTAACCAAACAGGATAGTAAAAACGGAAATATGCGATCAAAGGTTAATGCAAGGTATCAAAAGATAGAAATAAAGAAAATGAAAAAAGATGAACAAAGTTTCAGTATCGACGACACGATACAATCGTATGTTGCGAAAAAAGTAATCGTGTAGCGATGAAGACTGAATGATCACAGGAAATCACAGTTTCAAATTATGCAAATAAAGAAGCCTTTTATTTATGTAAAAAAAATGAGCATCTATAAATAGTCATTTAATATCGAAAATCCTCGTAAAATGCCCAGAATCAAAAAAATCGATATCCGTCTACTTTAACGTTCGTTAATCAATTGAGATTCCAAAAACGTAAATTTAATATGAATCGTAATTCGGAGCAGTGTTTACACTGCAGCTTTCTGCATAAACAAGTGTGAGTTGTTGGTTGTATCGAAAGTTGTTCTACACACAACTTACAGCTACTCTAGTTACAAACAAGTAACAATTTGCATAAGTCGAGACAAGCGAGAAAAAAGCTTCGCTTATGCCAAGAAAAAGAACTACACCATGTCATGTCGCTTTTGTTGAATTTAAAAAACCAGTTTTCTTTTAATTTAAATTAAAAAAGGACTATAACAAGTAAAAGAATAATTAGTTAGTATATATTGGTCTTTTCTTATATCATATTCTTTTCTCTGGCTTCACGAGAGAGTATTTTGAATGGTCACCGGTGGATGGTAAAAGCACACTGATCTGAAGGAGCGAAGCATATATGCGCTATTTTTTTTAGTTCTTACAATATTAGAAATAAATTTGCAGATATACTAAAACCTACAGACGAGCTTTTCAACTTGTTTTGACAAGAAAGACATAAAGTGATATCGCATAAACGAAACCGAACAAATCTTTAACGATTTGGAGACTTGGCTGTTTAATGATTTATAGAAAGTGAATGGCTCAAGTTGTAGAGTTTAAGGATTTATTCGACTTTGGCCATGGATATTATACCTGGTCATTACCAGACATAACAGCGACTGCGTAAAGAGGACCAACAACCATATATCTTCGCTGCTAATAAATTTTCTAGTTCATAGGTTATTCATAGAGAAGAGAATTTTACTTATGTCCTACAAGACAAGGACAAAGGATAGGAATGTTTCTCGTTTATGTATCGGTTACCATTATCCTTGATATCAAGTTTCCGATGAGAGAGAATATAAGAAAGCCTCATCCTGCCGTTTATGGTGAAACCTAGGCGTAAGAAGGAAAATCTTTTACTTCTATTTTCAGTTGATTGACTTTAGATTATCAAATTATTCTCTTATGGATAGGTATACACTATCTTTCTTGAAAAAAACCGGACTAGCGAATGATGTTCTCGCGGCGTCGACAAATAATCTATTCATTCACAATCTCGCTTCTGGTAAAGGCGATGAGGATTCTTTTCGTAAATGGCTCTATGAAGATCGACTGTACGTCCAAGCTACCTCTTTGTTCTTAGCAAGAATCATTGAGAGTTTTTGCAAGGAGCTTTCTCCTGGCATTTCTGAAGCATTGAATCTTGCTTTGAGGGCATATCAAGTTATTCGTCCAGAGATAGACAGCTTTAATAAAAAGTGCAAAGAGAAAAACATAGCTCTTCCCGAGTTGCCTTGTGTTCCAACTAGCTGGGAGAAAAACTTACTCGAAAACGATCCCCATCAGTATGCTTCTCTTTCCTCACCTGCCTGTTATGAATATATTTTATTTGTCACAAAAGCAATGTTTGAAATACCGAATACCAAGCCTACCGATTTCTACTTAGCATTTTATATGAACGAGCTAATTTATCATCGCTCTTGGAAGTATGTTTACGAATCTTCTCTTTTTCAAAAACGCTCTATGCGAGACATGGAGTTTATCTCTTGGTGGGCAAAAGATGAGTTTGCCAAATTTGTTGAAAACCTTGCTTGTTCAGCTGAAGGAGTCACTATAAGTGAAACGACTATTTTCATTTTAAGAGAGATTTGTCGTTACGAACAGCAATTCTTTAACAGCGCTCTTTCCTAGACTGTTGGTTTGCCTAGCATTTACCTTTTTAACTTGTATGATATTTAAAAAAATAAGAAACTCTTCCTTTTCTTAGTACGCGCTTCCTAAAACCCTTCTTTTTTTTACCTTTGGAATTTTAGCTCATATTGACAACCCGGCCTTTTTTACATCTACTTCCTTCCTCCATTGTAGTCTAATATTAGCTCTTGTAGTTTATCAAGACTTGAAGTATCCTTTTACTTTAAATTCTTATGATCTAAAAGGTATATATATATCTGAACTTGACTTTCGAAATGTAAACAAATATCTCATTGTATCATAAATATCAGATCATTTCGTTTAGATAAAGCTTATTCTCTACCACCAATTCCGGAATGAAGTCTTTGAACGATTCTTTCTCCAAACGGTTGGTCTATATCTGGGTGACTTGATTTCTTTGATAAAGGCTTTCCAAAAGCAAAACATGGGAGAAAAAGGTAAGATCTTTGCTAAACCTTTATGCATCAAACGCTGTCAACATTCCATTGTATTAGGCCGTTTCATTCATCTCTTTGAGTGAATTCAGAAGCCATTTGCTCCCGTGTATCTAAAACTAACTTATTTAGATAACCATAATCAAGGAAATGACAATGTCTCTTTAGAGCAGACAGATTCTGGTGCTATTGATCTAGATGCTGAAGTGAACATTGACGTTAAATTCCCTGATCGTACACCAACCCTTTCATTCTCCTTGCCTCTTTCCAGCACAATACATGATGTTCGACAAATAGTCTTGGAGTCTTTGTTGGCTCCTACAAATACCTGCTTTCATTTTGCTCATGGAAACGAAAGAATGCAACCTTTTACTGAACTTCACGAGATTTTACTTGTAAAACCACATCAAAAGTTGAAACCACTTGTTCTAAATGTTATATTGGACCCATACACAGAAAGATCATCCAGGTTTCACGTCTTTACTCTCTTAGATTTTTTGGACAGAAGCAATAATAAAAATTATAAAAGCGATAATTTTGGAATTCGTACAGGATTTTGTGCATTCCCTGAATTGGACGATCCTACTGATTCCTACCAAATGGAAGCTCCTGAGTCATCCAATCTCAAATTTTCAATTCTTAATAAAGATTTTTGGCCCGATCATCCAAATCCTTTCAAATCTTCTTATGATAAGCTACTCTCTCCTATACTATCAACGAAGTCATCCCCTCAACATAACTGTTTTCGGTCTTTCTCTCTTTCTGCTTGGAATCCGGTTCCACCCGAATATGCCATGCAAGGGCACCTCTTGTACTTGAGTATAACAACCCTAGAGGGACAACTTTATCATATTACTTCTCACGTTACAGGTTATTTTGTGAACAATTCCACAAACACACGTTTTGATCCCACTTCTCAAAAAGATCTTTACAGTCATTCTCTTGTTGCACTACTTTGCCAATTATCTCCCCTCTTTAAAGAAAACCTTGAAGTTCTATTGGATAAATATAGACAACAAGATCAGATTGCTTTTGCTAAGATTACCGGTTCGGTTCCTCAAGCTCCTTGGATTACAATGCCCTCCCGAAATAGACCCGATTTGACGAAAACGCAGGAAACCCAACTTAATCCTTACATTGAGAATCAAGGAAACTTGCGTGATTGGAACGAAGAAATCCAGTCCGCTCGAGAGATGGCTCATGAGAGTATCCAAGACCGTGTCTTACGTGAGCGATTACTAGTGAAGACGCTGCAAGATTTTACTGAAGTTTCTGTTCAAGGAGCCGTTGATATTGTTAATGGAAACATTCCCCCTCTTAACCCTTTAGAACCCGAAGGTTCTCGTATGTATGTGCATAACAATATATTTTTTTCTTTTGGACGTGATAGTGTTGGTGTATTCCAAAAACATGGTGGAGACGCTGCTGCTTATTACGCTGTTGGAAAAGATGCTACTACAATTCGTTTGTTGAATCAATTGGATGCAGTAAATCTTTCTTCTCTTGGAACATGCATTGTGGACTATGCTGGGCATAGAATAGTCGCTCAAACAATTATTCCAGGAATATTTAGGCAGTTGGAATTAGGAAATTCCCAGTTGATTTATGGAAGTGTTGAAGGTGAAGGAAACTTTCGATTTGATTCTTCCCTCGAACCTGACTTAATAAAACTTTCAAACATCATGCATATAAAAAAACACGAGCTTAAAAACCTAGACGGCACTGTCATTCCTTTGTATACTAGCTTAGATACCAAAGGATTATTGGGTTCTGATGGAAGAAAATACTTGATGGATCTCTATAGCTTATTTCCTCCTGACCTTGGGTTTTTGAATCGCCTTGAACAAAATAAGTCTAAGCAGTATGCAAATTACCCACATCAACTTGTGCAATTTCGACCTGAATTGATACAGTCTTTTTGGGAGTCCACTTTGAACGAAGAGCAAAATGAAAAGGAAGCTTTTTCCGAAGATAAGACTATTGATGAACCGTTACAAAATAAAGTTTTAAATCAAAATGGCAACGAAGTACCAGAAGCTTCTCAAATCCCTTTAAAAATAAAGGATAATGCAGTACAAGAAGATTGTCTATTTAATCCTAATGTTCGTCATCCTTGTTATAAATATCCGGAAACCAAAGAAGACGATTATAAACAGGACATCTCCCTACTTGGAAAAGTTTCTAGTTTTTTAACGACAAAAGTGATTCCTGACTTTATTGATTCTATATGTAATGATTCATCTTTCTTGCCAATTGATGGTATTGCCCTTTCAAGAGCATTACATCGAAACGGAATTAATATGAGATATCTTGGGGATATGTTGACTTTGATCTTTGATAGATATCCACAAAATACTGCCGCGTTACATCTTTTTACGTGTGAAATTTTTGCAAGATCTGCAAAGCATCTAATTCGAGATTATTTATCGAGAACACCGCGTTGTTTAAGAAGCTATGTCATAGCCCATGTTTTTAATTGTTTGCTTGCCGCTAGTGAAGACGATTTATCATCTCCTTTTCTTCCTGAAGAATCTGTTTTGAAATTTTATCCGGAGACCTGCCAAATGCTCTTATCATTGTCTCCGAAAGTGGCCTGGGATAATTTGTTGAAGGAGTCTTTGTCAAGATTTGGGTACGAAATACATCCTTCCTTTGTTAAAGAAGCCAATCATTTATCTTTGATTCGTTTAGTTTGCCTGAAATCTGGTATTCAGCTCGCTTGCAAGGATTATTTTAATAATGAAGAAATTGTTGAACCAGATAATCAAGCTCCTAGTCCCAAAAATAAAAAAAACAAGAAAAAGAAGAAGGAAAAGGAAAAGAAGGCCAAGCAAGATGATTGTTCAGATCGTACTAACTCATTTCACAAATTTTTACCTAAAGACATTCTTAATTTAGTACCAGTTGTGAAAAGCACTGTCCCTTATAGCTCATTGGCACAAGAGTCGTTGGACGCTTCCAAAGTTTGCTTACTTAAAGAGAACAAAGAATTATGTTATGACCTTCTGAATGAATCGCTTTCTTTACATGAACAAATTTATGGTGTATTTCATCCTGAGGTTGCTCGTGCTTATTGTCAATTAGCGATGATATGCCATCAATTAAACAAAAAGGAAGAATCCTGTTCATTAGGAAGAAAAGCTCTAATTGTCTGTGAACGAATCCTTGGCTTTGACTCCTCAGAAACTATTTTAGCTTATCTAAACTTAGCCTTGTATGAGTTTTCACATAATCGGATATCCTGTGCTTTAGTCTATAGCCAGTATGCATTACGATTATGGCATTTGGTATTTGGATCCGATCATCCCAATATGATAACCTCGTATACTAATATTGGTTTAATGCTACGCTCGATGAAATTAATACCTGAAAGTAAAACCTGCATTGAATGGGCCTTAGATCTATGCCGGAAATTTCAAGACAAGTCACTTACCACTGCTGCTGTCAGCTTACAATACGCTCAAGCCTTAGCCTTAACGAAGGATCTTCGTCAAGCATCTCAGGAAGCTCGTGGAGCTTACAAAATATATGAAAAAAACTTGGGATCCGAACATCAGACCACTAAAGAAGCTGAACAATGGTTATCCCAACTCATAGCTACAACAGTAAAGCAAGAAAAAGTGACTCTACAATAGGATGTAACTATTGTATAGATACCAATCAATTTACTATTCTTCCTATATCTTAAACTTCTGTATATTCACTATGAATTATTAGAATATTATGTAAACCGTGACAACTGAATCCTCATCCCGCTATAAGTGATACTTTTGATTTGTATTAATCAAAATTGCCAACATAGTTCATCAAGGATGCATACAATAATTAAAATATATAGTAAACCCATAAATCTAAAAGAAATAACATTTAAAACTCGTAAAATAAACTGGAAGCATATACTTCAATTATTGAACAATGGAGGTTCCGTATTTATATCCTCAAAAATATCCGGATTATAAACACTAGAGTTGGCAAAATCCAAATGTAACTCATCGTTAAACGGATACATTGACATAGTTTGGTCCAAGATGGGACTCACTCCGGCGACTAAATCGTTGCCTCGAAAGTCATCGTAAGAAGTGTTCCCATCTAGCGAATTGACCTTGCTTTGCTGCATCTCTAAGAAACTGCTATTCAAAGAATTTAGATATTCATTGTTGAAAAAAAGGTTGTTTTCAGAAAGTAATGCTTCTACGCTTTTACCTTCAGCTTCAGACGATAATGGGGTAAATGGAACTTGGCTTTGAACCGATTCCCTGTAAGGAAAAGACGGCATCGTAGGCTGAGCAACGTCCGCCCCGACATCAAAAGGGGTTGATAAAGATCTAGCCATCTGATTAGCCTTTTGAACGGCAAGTTCGGCGATGGATACCATACTATCTAATGCGTTCAAAACGATACTAGACTGGAAATGAAGAACCAATCTGCGAGCACATGCCACAAAGCATCCTTTGACTGCAATTATACAGTTTATGTCATCTTTGCAAGAGGAGGCTAGAGGACGTTTTAAAACCCCTATAAATAATATGAGTGAGGCGGTGAACGCATGATACATAATGACCTTTAGGGAAAACTCGTGTCCATGGAGTGATGCCGAGAATAGGTGGGTAATTGCGCGTGCACCCTGTATGCAAAGGGCTTGAGAATCCACAGTATGATTTAGTCCTCTATGACTACAGCTTAACTGAAAATTCTTTGTTAGGGAATGTCGATGGATATGAATAAGGGCTGAATTATAACCGCATGCTAACATATGGGTTACTCGAAATTTTGAAAACGGATCGTATGGTTGGATACCTTCCGGAATTGTGGTTGTCCATTCATGTAATTGTAAATCTAAAGCCCTAATTTTCTCTTTCAACTCATTGGTGGTGGATTTCATACCAGCCACTGAATATAATTGACGGAGGGCATAGCCGTAGATTTGCATCAGCTTAACTATGCATTCCAAAAAATTAAATTTGCTAAGCTCGTCATCTTGCTTGCATTCAATAGAAGAAAAGTGGTAAATTGAATAAAATGGCACAATTTGATCAATATCTTCATCCTGAAATGCCATCGGTTTTCCTGATGTAAAAGAAAAAACTCGATCCATAATATAAATCAGCCAGAAGACGCGAGCCTTCTCTTCAGCATCCTCTTTATTAATAGACCACATTGAGCTGTTACGATGGAGACCTAAAGTTTGAGCCATTCTAATAACAACACCCAAACTAAGCCATGCATAGTTAGGCTGACAAATCGCAGAAAAATATATCGACGAAAGAAAAGTTACTAATAACGTATCGAAACTCATATTTTGGTTGACCTTCATTTTCACATCTATAACATTCATATAAAGAGCTTTAGCTCGTATCAGATGCCATTCGTCTTCACCACTGGCGATACAACCAAGGCAGAGAACTGTTGTATATAAAGCAAATTTGGTAACATCCATAGAACCATCATGATGTCTATACCAAACAGCGGGGCCAAACTTTTTCTCAAAATCCTTTCTGGTAAGAACGGGCAACTCAGTGTTAAAAGTTTTAAAATACGTATCAACATAAGTTTGTGCCACTTCTGGTGGTGGTAATTCTGAACGGATCGCCTCAAAGGGATCTTCTGGTTGTTCATCCAAACAACTGGACTTAGCTAGCAACAAGTTTTCAAGAGCCTTATCGGAAGCAATTCCTGAAGCGTACTTAGTAGCATGTTGAAGAATAGACAGACTTGAAGATGCACCGATGTACTTTTGACTGCCGACGGGTGTAGTTATTAGTGTTCCCATTTTTTCATTTATAAAAGCCATGTCATCAGACACTGACTCATCAGAAGAAGATTCTTCTTTTAGACTCTTATCGGCTTCTTCTACGTCGCCTTCTAGATGTGAGAAAGTATCGTTTTGAGGAGAAAAATTTGGAACAACTGATCGTAAGGTTGATTCCATTTGTTCCAGTCTAGATACCAATGACTTTATGTATATTTGTTTTTGACCCGTCTTTCTTTTAGGTCTTGCAGTATAGACACAAGACATGTTATGGTTAAGACAATTGCTGCAAGCAGGTTGCTTTCCATCGCAACGAATCTTCCGCTTGCGGCATAAGTCGCATGCACGATTAATTCTCTTTTTATTTTTGTTTTCGTTAGTTTGTGAGACCTCGCCTTCAGGTGGAGTCGATTTCATTTTCGCAGAACACAATACAAACGTGAAAATAGCAAACACTCAAGATTAATAGTTGGACGTATATGCGATTAGTAACCAGACGAAGAGCTGCGTTCGTCTTACTTTTTCAAATGCTGCGCTTGAACTCGAAAAATACAAAGAAAAGTTTAATTCTGTCCCTAAAATAAAGAAAATAAACCAATCACTTCAAATTTTCATACGAATAAATATAAATAACAAAAAAAAACTTGCAACTTCAGAGAATCCGGCCTCACTCCTACATATCTATTCGTATCTAACGAAATTTGCGGTAGACAGGTTTGGTGGTTTGGTAAGAGGCCTTCAGAGAAGTGTTAAAAGTTTTGAAGTTGAAGAGAAGGAGTACAATGCGATATAGGCAGGTAATTTATTCACAATATAAGAGTATAGGATCCTTACAAATAAATGCTATCTAACTTATGATCAATTATTTATAGATTTAAAATCAAAACAATCATAAGCCGTAAGTAAAACGACTCCAAAACAAGATTGGAGATATCCTTCTACTTTACTTGATTTATTTAAGTATGAAATGGTTTGAACGTAATTAATCTGATGGAGTGTTCCCAAGACCTTCAATATGCAAAAGCAAAAATCCTTTCATTGATCATCATGGGGTTTACACTTGCAGCTGTGCCAGTTCATCATTAATACTCGCTTATACCAAAAAAGAGTTTTTCAATTGGCTGTTTCATCCTTTTTAATCTTAGCAAGTTTTGGTCCTATTACTAGGAGGTTAATTCATTGAGATGGACAAACAACAACAGTTAACTATAGTAGGTTTCAATCCATTTTAGTTTTAGAGGTTTCCAAGTTGCCAATTCATCAATTCATTCATGACTATATTTCCTTTTTCTTTTTTTTTTGTTTATTTCTTTTTCCGTATGAGTATTAAATTCGCCTATGGAAATCAACATAAATTATAACGAGAAATTTTTTTTTTTTTAAAAACAAACAAACAAACAAACAAACATGTATCCTTCTGTATACTACATTGAGTAAGCTGAAGAAAACAAACTTAGTACGCTCTCATGAAGCAAGAGTCTTTAAGTGCTTCTCAATACAGTTCAAAAGTGAAACAAGCATTTTATGCAATAATACAACAAAGCTTTTCCAATTTGGATTTCTTTTTCTTCTTTGGAACTTGGCTAGTTGTCTTTGGAGGTTGTTGCTTGGCCGGTAAATTCTGAGAAACTGGCGTTGGTTCAGGAGGTGTTGAATTTTTAGATCCAGAATCTGCAGCAATTTCATCTTGTTCTTGTTTTTGAGGGCGTACAGACCTCTGGCGGAGTGAACTATCGTAGTCAGAAACGATAGAAACATCTTCTTGAGGTGGAGGATCCGAATTCAACTTTGGGGTAGAGCGGAACGGAGAAGCTTTTGATGACTGGGGAGTTTCACTTGCACGAGGAGCAGGTGAGTTTATGATCTCGGTACGGGAGGAAGGAGTGTAGGTATTCGGTGCAGAAACATCTTTCTGATGATTTCTGTCTAAATCATCATCAACACTGCTTAAATGAAGTTTAAAAAATAAGTCACTATTGTTTGGCAGAGGTTGGAAGGAATTGACAGAATGCGATAGAGCATCTGATGAAGCAGTGCTAGCATTGTCGGCATGATGAGAGGACATCTCATAAGTATTTGGAGTATGCGTACCTAAATCTGTAGGCTGATTCTCTTGTTTCTTTGAAGACGGTGAAGTAGGATTAGAAGGCAATGGTGGCATAGGAGACTCCGAAGGGTTGCGTTTATTGATGGTTCGAGCAGGCGAATAAGTAGCAGCAGATTTCATGGCTTCATATTCTTCGGATTGGGATGGGGAAGGTGCTGGGACAGAATAAGGTCTGGATTTTGATGAGTCGGCTGGCAGTGCGGTCGGTTGCTGCAATGGCCAAGCAGCATGTTTATTATTGATATTCGGTATGGTAATATCTCTAGGAGGATTTTCCAAATGTGAAACAGCACGCATTGTATTTTTTGAAAGTTGAGCTATAGACCGTTCTAACCTTTCCATGGTGAAATTCAGTCTGGAATCTAGAGTAGACGTATCTAATAATGCCGGAGAAGCACTTTTGATCCTGCTGGCATATCGCTGACGATTTTGAAGTTGGGAAAGTTCTAAATAGCGTCTTCTTGTTTCAGAACCGACGTCAAATGCTCGGTATTTAGAATTGAGACTCGTGGCAGGGACTGCAAAGATATCATCAGGAGAGCTGGAATCTCGACCGTTCTGATTTTTTGGTAAAAACGGAAACTTCTTTTTTTGGTGCAATGAAGGCGAGTTCAAATCGATGGCTTCTTTGTCTGAAGAATTTAAGGAATGTAAAGGTACTGAAACCGCGCTAGGGCCGGATGAAGTAAAAGGTCTTCTTATGGTAGTAAACGGTTTCAAGGAGAGATCAGTTCGCTCATTTGTGATGGATGCATCAGAAACGTTTGGAAAAATCTCTGTTTTCATTACAAGGCCATCATCGTCAATAACATTAGTAGCTTCATCAACATCCGAAACTTCATCGAACGGAAGAGCAGTTGTTGTTTTTGGTCTTGAATCTTGAAAACTCTAAACGATTGGATGCATATTCATGGGTCCTTTTGTAAAATGGACCCATGAGACATCAATAGTTAGTCTTGAAATTAAAATTATATACAAACATTGAATATATAAAGCAACATAGATGCATAAATATACACTTCATATATCCAAAATGAAGGTTTCACTTACATCTTGAAAGTCTGATCTCCAAAACGAAGGGATCGAAGAATCCGCTGCTAAAACAGACATATAAAAAACGAATGTAAGTTAAATATTTTTATAAGATGCAACCTTAACGAAAAAACGCGATACTTGAAGCTTTTCTATTTCTATATGGTTCTCTGAAAAAAGCGCGTCTCAGCTGGGGTGAGGTGTTTAGAATATTGACAAACTCAACAAAGGAAAACACTAAAAATGAAACAAGAACTTCGCTATTTTAAAAGCAAAGTTAAGAGGATGTAGCTAAATAAATTTACTAAGTCGCGTTTTTATTGCAAGCAAACTTCACTGAACGGTTTTCTGAAAACAAAGCGATAATAGGACGCCTTTGATTTCAATCCAAGAGTTATGAGTCTAGTACAACGTTAGATATTTCAAAAGTATCAAATAAAAAAAAGAAATGAAATGAAACGCGTTAATGAAGTCTTACGTTTGATGAGAATTCAAAGTCTTCTCAACCTACCTCCAAATAAAAATGAAGAGAAAAAAAGCCATAGGGAAATAAACGACTTGACGAGCATTATTAAAAAAAGGAAGAAATTACTATTACGCGTCCATGCTCGAATTAATTAATGTATCAATCTGAAACTTAGCTTTTTTAAACAAACGAAAACTGATCGAGATATACATAAAAGTTTCTGTTTAACATTCAATCGTTCATAAGAAGGATAAACGAAAATATATAAAGGATAGTATAAGCTAGTTATTTTACACGATAGAAAACGCCCAAGTAGCGGGACGAGACATTTGCTTCTTGCTTGAATGTCTCTTCCAACGGGTTTTACTAAGCAACAATTCAAAAATTATAGCTATCTCCTAACAACTAATGAGTATACAATTGCTGAATTCGTTCATCGCCTTGTTTTGGTACCCCAAGAGTGACTGACCATAGAATTAACCAAACTTTCGTTAGAAGACATATTCGGCATCGTTCCTTGTCCTAAGTATTAGAATTACGAAGTAAAGAAAGAAACATAAGGACTTCAGCGTCTCTGTACGTAGTAAAGTGTCTATAGCAAGGATTTAATATCGTTTGATCAATTACCTTGGTAATAAAGCCTTTGCACAAAGATGAACTTGTATCTTTTGGGATTTAATGTCTTGGAAAAGCGTTACTTGGTCTCTTTTGTTGTAGTTTCTGTCACTGTTCTACTAGGAATAGTCATTCGAAAAAAGATCCAAAAGACTGAAGAAACTATCGTAGTCAAGTACCGAGACGAGCAATTAAAGTTTGTTTTTCGACAACCAAGACTTTCCGAGGTCTCCTATTCAAATTTTCTTCATCGTGTTTGCAATGCCTTTGGGGTTGTTCCCGAAAAGGTCTACTTGGAAGTCGATGGAAAAGAGCTTCAAGATGCTTCTCTTGTTAAACAAAACATTAAAGATGGTTCTGTAGTATATTTGAAGCCCCATCCTCTTAGTCCTGCCTCACAGCAAATTGAAGATTACAGAGCAGACTTGGAGAAGAATGTTCTTCCACTCGTGCAACAGTACTGTTCCTCCCCTCCTTCTAATGCTCAAGAGATTGAAGACGTACATGTTCGCCTTACAGAGACTATACTCGGTAAAATGATACGTCTTGATGCTATTGATGTTCAGGATGAGCCTGATACACGTTTAAAGCGAAAAGAAACTGTTCGATGGACACAAGGATTTTTCCAGCAACTTGACGTAACAAAATCTAATGCTTTAAAAGGTTTGAAATAGCGTTCTTTGAATCGAATACATCCTCATTTATTGAATAATATGCTCACAAAAATTAACAGCTTTTCTGTTGTTTTTTCGTCTCAATCCTACTCTTTTTGACGTAGCTTGCTTTTAAATTTTGAATAATTTCATAACAGTTTTATTTAAACTTTCATATGCTATTATCATCTTCCAAACAAGGTATGTTTACTAAAGTACTTTCCTTCTACACCGTAATTTGACTTTACAATCTGAGATCAAGCTCTCTAAATGGAAACCCAGGTTTATCCTTTGCTCTTTACCATTATTGAATTCTTTCCTTTTTCTCTGTAAAAGACCTAATATTAACCTAATGGTAAGAATAAAATGAAACAAGAAGAATTAACGGAGAGTAGACCGCCATATTCAATTTTCAAAGTCTGTTGTCAGTGCTCTTGTTGACCGTATGTACTTGTACCTACATCCACAGACAATTTCCAGCTTTATTTGATAAGAGAAAAGAAGGGTATGCTATTATTTGGTTTAGATAAAAAAATTTTGGTTCTGACCGTTGAAAGTGTAACTACCGTATTTTGGAAGTGTGCGAGAATTGGTGAGCGTGCTAGTCCCGTAAGTACTTTTCATTCTTGGAATTGTTTCTTATCATAGCAGTATATTTCTCTTTTCTGTGTTTTCATGGCCGTACGATTAATGCTTGGTTCCAGTTGAACGACCCTCTAGAAATTCTCCTTCATTTAGAGACAGCAGTAGAGAAACAGAAACCAACCGCCTGATGTTTATGATCGAAAATTATGACCATCTTTCTCTTTGTACCACTATACCTACATTTGTGTGAATTCGTAAAAGCGTTTTCCTTTTGAAACACCTACATGGATAGTAGTCATTTCAAAGAATGCGTTGTAAGATATGGATGGATTATTTCTAGATATCCCCTTAATTATCCTTTTATGATTTTCTTCTTTTGCTTTATACCTTTATCACTTTCTCAAAGATATTTAATTACTTTGATTACCGATAGTCAAAGTTTTAGACGCTGCTTACAGAAGAAAATATTTAATCCTGTGATGGAACTTGAAATCTGAATGATTTTTTTGCAAAAGGGAGCATGAAAAGCGTGGTTTTTGTACAAATGAATATGATTACACTGATACTTTACAATTTTCTTCTGTTCTCTTCTCTTTTCTTTTTCTTTTTCTTTTTTTTATTCCATGCAAGGACTAAACATAGTTCATATCTGGAGTTTAAAGTCGATGAACAGCCTACTCAATCTAAACCGGGTGTAATTTTCATAGCATATAAACAAAGAAATGTAAATGTTGTAAAGCGGCTTATAACCAAAGTCATTTCTCGGCGCGCTTCTTTGGTTTCCTCAATTTTGACGATTAAATCATAATTTCAATTTGAAGCAAAAAACAAACACGATATGTCTCAGTTGCTACTCTTTTGCAGTGCATAGCATCTTAGTTAAATCAACAACTATTCTCAGAACTATAGTCAAAAACACAAAGGTTAAATGGACAGATAAACATATAAATAGTTATTTCAGTGGGAAATATGCTAAGCGTATATGTTACTTCAGAATAAACAAAGAAAAAAAATAGGTAAAACTGGATCTATGATTATCTTATTCGGCTTGTGCAAGTCTGCAAAAAGCCTAACACTTTGTTAAGACCAAAAGCGGCATTAAGGGTCCAGTAATTAGATTGTTCAGTCACTGCTATACAATAAAGGCAGAGATAAAAGTCATCAAATATTTGAGGAAATACTGAAACGAAGAGAAGGTTCAGGAAAGAAGTTTTATATTCATACATCTATGGGAAAGCGTGATAAATAAATAATGATCCTAGAAGGACGTAATCATACTTGCATACAACAAACAATATTTAAATGTTTGTACTCGATAAGGGGCTATAGGCCATTGCAAATAATTATCAGAGACTCATACGAAGGGATATCTCAGCTTAAAATAAAAGTCAATCAACCCATCATAGTATACAGAAAGAAGAACGGGTTCAGTATTTTCTTTTTATTTCAAGGTTATCGTTTCAAGTGGGCACCCGCCCCACTATATAGCGACTTCCAAAGAAATGCTTCAGAAAGTAAAATTTCAATATCACTAACAGTCCAGCTGTCAGTAGGGATTGATTGTAAAAACATTAGTATATCTTGAAATTCCATTTGCTGTAATCCTATGGACCATTTGACCAAAAAGGCAGCGCAAACATACAAATGAAATTCTGAAAATCCTTGCGTTCCTTCAGCCAAATATGTATCCCACATACGAATAATGTTTGTAATACTTAGCTCACGCATCAAAAGACAATTCATCCAACGAAAACTGAACTGCATAAAGTCGACACCCTCTGCCTGGAGATGTGCAACAAGAGGTTCATCTATTCGCTGCGTAAGTTCACGAAGATTATTAATTTGCCGATGAATTCCTGGTTGAGCATGAATATAATTGTCTTGAATTCCATCTAATAGTTTGGAAAGACACCAGTAAGAATCGGCTTCTATATTGTTGAGTGTAGGTTCATCAAGAAGAGAGACGTCATAAGTCATTGGTTCATTATCATTAGCATATTCGGAAAGGAAAACTTGAAAAAATGGAGTTACAAGATCACTTATACCTTGAACGTAACCGCTAGCAGGGTGTCGTGAGGCCCAAACATAAAGTATACGTTCAAGGATTCTTTGAGTCACCGGATTTTGATAAAGGGGTATAAAAGGATTTGTACGAGGAACATCGAGGACAATCTGACGCCAAATACTCTGGTCAAGAACAGAGAGATCCGACCCATTACGAAAATTAGCATCCTTCGCGCTTAGATACTCGTCTCGCTTTCTTTGTAAAGTTGAATCCCGTCGAGAGGCATTGCACGGCAGGTAACCTAACAAATACTTCCAAACAATAGGTCGTAACTGAGCGGGTATACCGTTCCACGCCAAAGTTCTCAAAGCATTTAAATCAACTACTGGAGCATCTAAAATTCGCACGAACTTTTTTATTCGAGAAATATGTGCATTTGCCTCTGCAATTTCCACTTCTGCTGAACGCGGCGTAGATTGATTAGAAGAAACTCTGCTAAATGGAGGCATCGTCCTGGAATACGTAGGGTCTTGACCTCCTCTGGGAAAAACGCTCCAACCAGAAGACGTGGGTGTGGACGCTCTGTTCGACTTACAAAGTGATTTTGGAGTCATCACATTCGACAAACCCCACGCATCGTCTGTTTGAGAAAGATACTTGGCAAACTTGGATGAAACTCGCTTTCCAATACCACCCTCCATAGAAGTACTAGATCGAGCGGTGGGCGCATGAAGAGGAGGACTTGACTTCGTTTCTGTAGCTGATCGTGAAGAGGGCGAGGCAACTGGACTAGACATATTACTTCCATGAGGAGAGCTTCCACTCAGTTCGGTTTTAATCGGATGAACCTTTGTAGGTGAATTCTTAATGTGCTTTTGATGGTTGTTGAGCTTTCGATCAATACCCCCAACGGAATCAGATGACGAGCTAATAGTCCCGTTAAAAAGTCCAGATAGCGCCCGCAAAGTAGACGATTTTTTTGACTGAGATTCCATGTCAATAACTATATTCCTATTTGATAAATAATCTAGGTGTAGCGATATAGACCCCAAAATGACAGGCACTTGGGTTAAACCGGCTAGGATTAGGAGGTAATAATAATACTTAGAAAAAAAATATATATAGGCGAGCAAAAGTAAAAAGAAAATGGAAGGATATCAACGCAAAAATTATAGATTCTCCATAAGATACGAAAGGGAAATCCCTATGAAGAATTAAATCAAGAAAAGAGCGTTAACCTTGGTTGATGGCAACGAAAGATTTGCAAAATTTCTTTTTTTATTGTAGGAAAAAAAAGAAAAATCTTCGTATCTCGGTCAGTTATTATGAACGTCAACTTTTGCCCTGTAACGACTCATGCAATTCGAACTATACGGTTATTTATAGACAAAATATAGTTTCTTTTATTTGAATGTAACTTTTTCTTCTTAGAAATCAAGAAACCTCAATAGGTTTCAACGGATTCCTAAAAACAGCAGATTAAATGTTTTAGGTAGTATTCACGTTGTATGTGGTATAATGAAAAGTAAAGCATATAAACAAAGGAACATTTGTTGGGTAGAAGAAAACTCTGTACCATTCAGGCTAAAAGAAAAAGGCTCTGCATTTATTTTGCTTTTAAATTGCCAATCATGTACTTATTTTAGACATTTAACCTCGTATCCTAGAAGTCAGTTAATGGTTCCTAACTGCCCACACAAAAAGAAAAGGAAAAAGAAAAGTAAGGAAAAAACAAGGAAAAGGAATATTAGTTTATGTCTTGAAGAAGAGCTTGGGCTGAAGTTGTTCAACTGTATTTGCATTTTGATTTAAACTGCTGCAAGTCAATCAGCATTGAAATAGCGGTTCATAAACGAATAGTTAGTTAAATATTCATTTTCTTTTAGTTTTTGATTTATAGACTAATTTAAAAACTCTCTATTCTGTCGCTCAATGTACCATCAAGCACTCGATGGTAAGTAACTATGATGACACTAGGAAAAGGATAAAGGTCGATAGTCAAGGATGGTTTTTCTTTTTCAATATGAATACTATCAATGTGTATGCAAAGAGAAAAAACATAGGTAAGCTTGTCTCGTCTAACACTCGCAGTCATCTGTGAGAAGAGTTCATCGAAATATCCCGCCATTCAAGCTAGTCCAAGCGTATGGCATCAAAAGCAACTGAATAGTCAAGCAACCCTTTGTTTCATTAATATTCTTCTTATGTTTTCATAGACAATGCATCAATCCCTTCCCAATGGAAATCTCAGTCCTTAGCAGACTAGTCCATAGTTAATCGAAAAATGTCCATTTACCTTTAGTATTTAAATAATAAAAGGAAGCTATTTCGTTTTTTCGAATATATAGAAAAAGGAGGTAAATCCCTATGCGTTTGTAAGTGAGCAGATCAGGTTAGAAATGGAATTTTTTAAAAAAGGAAAGAAGTAATCAAACACTTACTCTTTTGAATGAAAATTGACAGTGTTCTCTTCTTTACGAAAACATTTCGTTGTCATATCATTTGAAGTTATCTTCCACAATACCTTCTTTCAGTTGGGAAAGCCTCGCTTCCTTTGAAAATTTACGCGTTTTTCTTGGGAACATTGATCAATTCTTGTTAGAAAAGTTAATTTTTAAGGAGTCTTAAGTTCTTTACATTCGTTGAGGTTTTAATTTAACCATACTAGTCATTTTGCTTTCATATTAGCAAACTTGAAATATGGCTTCCCACAATGAAAAATCATATGTAACAGAAGAACAAAAATCTCAAAATCTTTCCTCTAAGCCTGAGATGTCTGAAAGTCACGAGTCAATGGAAAAGTTCATCACTCAAGGAAACATGGCTTACGCACAGAAAGACTACGAGTCAGCAGTGGAAAAATATAGTCAGGCATTGATTGAATCCGAGAATACACATGGTTCCGATAGCCTTGAAAATCGGAATATCTTATGGTTGTACGGAAGGGCACTTTTCCAAGTTGCAGTAGCAAACAGCCAAGTATTAGGAAATGTCGTAGACCCAGCAGATGGGGCAGAAGATGACGAAGATGAAGAGAAGCAAGCAGAACCCATTGGCTCTTTTTCTTTCACTGGCCAAAAAATAGAGAACCGTTATGCTGCTCCTACAAATATTGAAAATGTAGGAGGTTCTACTTCTTCACAAGGTAAAAAGGAAGAGGGACAAGAAGGACAAGAACAAGATGAGGGTGAAGATGAAGATGAAGATGACTTTAATGTTGCCTGGGAAGTATTAGATTTAACTCGCGTAATGCAAACCAAAGCTATCGAAGAACACCCAGAGTCATCAGATGAGAAGTTACGTCTTGCAGATGTTTTAGATTTACTTGGTGAATTATCATTGGAAATTGAGAACTTTGCACAAGCTGCTGAGGACTTGCAATCTGCTCTTCATTGGAAGGAGCAGGTCTACAAAGAAGGAAATACTTTGCTTACTGAGGCCCATTATAAATTAGCCTTAGCTTTAGAATTTGCAAATCCAAGCGATCCATCCACAAAGGATCGTGCTCGCGAGCACGTTGAAACGGCAGCTAATATTTTACGAGATATCCTTGAAAATCGAAAGATAAAAGAACAAGAAACGAAAGGAAAAAAACGAGAAGGTATTAAAGAAGGTGCTGGCTCAACAATTGAGGATTTGCAAGAAATGTTGGGTGAGCTGGAGCAGAAAGCTCATGATCTAAAACACGGCGGACCGTCTTTAGAAGAAGCTGTGGCTTCAAAGATGCACGAGTCTTCTCTTCTTTCTGGAAAAGATGGAAATTTGGCATCCGCCGTGGCTAACGCATTACAGAATGCAAACGATTTGGGAGGACTCATTAAACGCAAGCGTCCCCAGCAGGAATCTCAAGCCACGCAACAAGAGGATCAAAATAAAAAATCAAAATCAGAACCGGAATTCAATGAACAAAAGGTTCCAAAATAAGCTACGAAACATTGCCGAACATGAACCCCCTGCTTTACAACCTTCTCTACAAAATTTTTGCGCTACAGTCAAGTTTATATCCAGGTTTGAATAAAGTAAATATTGTTTCTATGAATAATTAACGATATATATCAATGTCTTTTCGCCCGCTTCCATTCTAAGCTTGTAATTTATACAGTTTGTTGTATATTATACAAAGATTTCACTTATCATATTACATGTAAGAAATTATTCTTCCTTTACAGAAGGATTATGTTCTATGGACTTTCCAAGATTCATTTTAGTTTAACGAAATTTTACCTGTACTGTATTTTATTTAGGGATATTTTACGTGAGTTCGTTAATTTATTACTACAGACAATTTTAGGAACATAACCACAGCCAACAACTCGAGAGAGTATTTGATTATTCTATTTTATTTTACTTAGTTTGATAGTCAATTCGCCGAATCTCATTTAAAGTATAGAGAATGGCGTTTAGAAATCCCATGTATCAATTGTCCAATGTGGATGACATAGACAGCGAAGTTTTGAATTCGAGATTTTTATCAGAAACCAAGGATGATGGATTTTCCCGCCGGCGTACCACATTAGCTGTGTGTGCTACGAAGAAAGACCTTTACTTGTACGGCACGACCCCAGCAGGAGGGGCGGAATGGTGTTCCTGAGGTGCTTGAACGCACAAGACCTCGGATAGCTCACAAGCGTCAGAGGCGTCGTCATGTTCCGCGTTGGATTAGTGACAGTTTTCGAACGTGTTTGCCCAGCCCATCCGGCAAATGGAAGGAACAGACGGCAAATGAAGGGGAGGGTCGTGTCAAGAGTTCTTGGCTTGCAGCTTGTGATGAACGAATTGGTATTGCTGAGCCAACGAATTACTGGCACGGAATTGTTCGGACAGAAGATGATAGCTCCAAAACGCTGTATCTGATACCGGAGACTTGGGAGGATGTTCACTTAAAAGAAGGGTAATGTTGAAAGAATTTGGAAATATAGCTACTAACATGTGCTTAGATTTGTTGCTATCATTGATTTAGCAGCTGAGCGTTTGCAGTGCTCAAAACTTATTCTTTTTGTGGATAAAAATTTGTCCGCCTTATGTATGTTTCCTTTACCTTCCTACTTCTCATGAATGCTAACCATCTTTAGCGTATCTTGTTAAAAGTCTACATTGGGTGGGTTTTGAACCTGTTCCTCACTTAGATTGCGTTGATCATGTGCTTTTTGGAATGGAACTTTAGTACTTATATAACTCGATATTTTTGGCAGCATGGTTGGACTTTGTTTAAAACCATGCCAACCCGAAAATTAAAGATTATCTTCTTTCCCCTCTCATAATATTTCAATTCGTGTAGTTTATGACGCCGAATATGTTGTTCTAACATTCAATTATTTTTTCCATGAAATCCCCAAGGACACTTTTGACTCAAGATATGTATTCTGGCTTATTGTCTTCGGTGTCTTTATTTTCTATGAAGGTTATATTCCTTACTAATTGTTATGTATACCGTTTCTAATACGTTACCGCTCTTTTAGATTTTGTTTTTTTTTTCCAATATTGTTTACATGTCGGTTAATATCATTTGTTAATTACTAGTAGTTATATAATTTCGTTTTTCTATCACCTCGTTTAATATGTTAATGTTGTTTCTTGTTTGTCTCATTTCCAAAAACGTAAATTATTATTCGTTATATAAGTTTAAATATTAGTTGTAACAAAAAAAAAAAACATAATTTAGATATCATGATACGTTACTCGTGAAGTAGGCGTTCCTAGCTTCTTTCATAATTTCACCTTCTTTGTCTTTGTTGGTTCTGGTTGTGTGCATTAAAAATGTTGAAAAAACAGGACGATGGTCTGAACAGCGAACATCAACTGACATATAAGCTGTCCTTACGATCTAAATGTATGTGTCAGTTTGTTTCTCTTCAACTTCACGGTGACTTACATTCTTCGTCGACAAAATTCTATCAGTCCAGGATGGAACACGCTGCTTTTCCCTAAAAGTGTTAGTCTAATTTCCTATAATATAATATTCCTTCCATATTTGTGCACAAACTTACGATGTGTCATAGTCATTTGTGTTGTAATCGAATTTGTATGTCGGTTGAAATGTAAGCTGACTTTCAACGAGATTCATAAATACACGATTTTCATTCATCTCTTTCCGTAACTGGTCGTATGAGTATAACTTACTCAAATCACCAACTTCAATCAGTTTACGAGCTTCGTCATTGTCTGCATCAATGCGATAATTAAAATCACCTAGCCAAATGATATTGCTAAATTCTCAGAGTTAGTTAATTTATTTTAATAAAAAAATAAGATACCTGTGATCATAAATCTTCATGCCAGACGCAAATACTAATCCGTCCACAATTGATGCATATTCCATATTTCGTTCGTTAATATTGTTAGTCTTTGGAGCAAAGTGAGAAGATATAAAACAAATATCTGTATCAAAAAAGTTTAACTCAATAGCTACTGCTCCTTTATTTGCCGCAAATCCTCCAAATCCTGTTTTACGGGTAGCTTTCGAAACCTTGGAGATGGCATTTAGTCGGTCTTCCCGAACGATAATCGTAAGAAAAACACCCGTCAGTTGAGCAGAGCTAATCAAAACATAATTTGTATTCGGATGATACGAATTCAGTGTTTGTAAAATTCTTTCCTCCCAAAGTTTCATTTTCTGTGAGCTCGTATTCACGATGTGACCAATGGTTAAGTTGACGAGTTCTTGAATACCTACAACATATAAATCATATGTTGGTGTTTGATTACCATAAGGTAAAAGCCAATATTCAAATTCTTCTGTAGAAGGGAGTTTACCGTTTGTATTGAATGTTGTGGAGTAAATTGAACATTCATTGTGGGTAACATATTCATCATGGCGTTGTTGCAAAACACCTTGAACATAAGAAGATACTGAGTTAGCAATTAAAACAGACTTTTGTCCTTCGAAGGCACCAAGTAAGTATAGTATAGTATTTTGAGTCTCTTCATCTGGGAACCTACCAAGATACATGCGTCCAAAAGTCTTAGTTAAATCGCTTAAGGATCCAGATAATGATGAATATCCTTTCCGAGAAATGCTTGACCCAATGGACCCTACTCCAGTTACCAACTTGGCAATTGCATCCCCGTTGTTAGACCAAAGATGGCCATGTATGTCACGAATACCGTCAGAAAGTTCCGCATTTACAGAGTTGAACAAATTTTCCAACATTGTTTCTGAAATTTTCCACTGAGCGAGGTTGGTTCGTCCAAGGCAATCAATATCGTTAGTGCGAATTACGCCATTCTGAACGGAAGAGGAAGTATTTAATTCAACATTTTGAAGAGAAAATGACATATCCTTGATTGTTTCCTGCACAAAATTCATAAAAGTAGCCTCATAGTTCGAATTGTTCTCATCCAACGAAGAATGAAATTGCTTTGTAACAACAGGAAAAGGAAGTAAAATCAGATGATGTTTGTAAGCTTCTTTTAACGGTCCCTCAACTTTACCATCATCCAAAAGATCCAAAACATATATTTCCTTGTACGCTCTTTGCAACTTCATGAAGTGCCGATTACATGGGCCTTGGCTTGCTTTCTCAGAAGTTGTAAACGAAACGTTCATCCCATACCAAGATGAATATTCTTGTTCCCAAAAACACGGGACAGTCCCGCGGACCTGTAAAAAACTAGCAAGCTTCTTTTCCGCTTGAACGACAAATTCAGTCTCTACGAATAATGAACAAGAAGCGTCATCATCCAAACCAGACGGCGGATACATTTGCTGAGATCCATAGCTACTGAGTTTTGATATAACGGCCATTGCGAACACGCCATTATCGTAGGATTCAACATAACCTCTGAAGCAACGTAATAATAATGACGGTAGTTTTTCACCAATCTTAGTTTCATCAAAATGTGTAGTGAATTCTCGAATCATAAATTGATTCCAACAATAAATATCCCAAGACGAAGTCGGCGTGTTTGGTTCTAGTTTGGTAAAACAGCAAATATCGGGAGATGCATAGAAAGAGCCATCCGTAAGTAATTCGCTTAAATTAGCTAAAGGATGATATTCAGCTAATTTTGAAGATTCTCTTATCCCTTGGTCATTTGAGGTTGAATTGGAAATGTTTTGAACTAAGGAAGAGTAATGTTGCGTTGCGTCCGGATTAAGACCAACGAAACCATTGTCCCAGAGATCACGATCTAAAGAAACGAAATCAACCGATTGTATTTGATAAGTTGGCTCTTTTGTTCCCATCTGGAGCGTCAGCTTCGCTGATCGAACAATACAGATGAAAACGCTTCCATTACCGTCTCCAAAAGAGTGACAGAAAGCTCCTAGTATACCAATAACTGGTCTTCCTCCGTTCAAAGGCTCAAAACCTGGTAATTCTCCAAATTCTTTATGGGAAACAACATTCAAAGTAATCAACGCTTCCGAAGAACCATTGAGTGGTTTCTGTAATATAGCTACCCAGCCATTATTAACAAAAGCTAGTGCTCTTTCCTGTTTTCTTATGAAGCAAAACATCGCAGGAATCGAAAAAGCAGTTTTCCTGATTCCTGCGTTGAGTAAGGTTAAAGATTACAATACTAGGCCAGTTTACAAGAGTTCAATCCCAAGTTCCAAAAACTTCATAAATTTTCCTGATATTGAATATTTACATTAAAGAAGCAATACAAAATTCTTATTTTGGGTTTAACTTGTTTGTAGTAGCCTGTTCTGTAGTATTCATAATTCATAAATGAAGGAAACGCGTTAAAACAATACGCAAAAAAAACTATTTGTAATTTATTAATTTTTCAAATGAAGGAATAGAGTTGAACATCACCCTGAAACAAAAAGAAATTCCCTAACCGAAACGGAAATACTATACAGTGTTCATGAAAACAAATTCATCAAAAGCAAGGCGTTTGGAACAGTTAAGCAGTTACGCATTTTCAGGAAAACGATTTCTAAACCTTATTTGCAAAAGTTTAGAAGATGAAGGAGAGTTTAGTACGAGGGAGTATAAGACGGGATACTGGTGATGAACGAACGAGGATTCTAACTGCAAACCCTTTTTGTCAAGCAACGCTGTCGTCCAGGCGGCATCAGATCCGATCAAAGTTTTGTTCGTAATTATTGCACTCAGAGGAGCAGGTTCGTCTTCTGATCCGCTGCAACATAGAAGTTGCCATTCAACAGAGGCATCTCGAGGTAATTCTTTCACAAGAGCAATTGCAAGAGGACATTCTATGTTTTTCAGTTCTGCAAAGTCAGACCAGATCTTATTTATTAAAGAAGCATCCCTCGAGTCTTTAATGTAAGCCAAACAAGTAACATAATGGCTAGCTTTCATTGCAGTAGCGATACGCTCAGCATGCTGGAGTGACAAAACGGCCTCTAAAACCGTGTCTTGAGGCTGCAAATCCATAATAGAAGGCATTAATCCTATTTGTCCCGAAATGAACGTGACCCCATGAATTGAATTGGATTGTGAATAAGGACCTATATTTGCAGGAGCCCAATAGCTCTGGCCTTGAATATGAAGGGTTCTCTTTTCCGCAGGGTCCGCTGCAATACAAGAAAGAGTAATTTGATGGTCATTGCTCATGGAGGAAGCGATACAAGAACGACTTGGTGGATTGATAAAGTTAAAGTATTTTTGGTAAACCTCATTTAAGCTTGGAAAAAGGCTCATAGAGGAGACCGTGATAATAATGAAGCAAACATCTTTAGTAGTGTAGGAATGTTCAGCTAGAAGACCTATTTTATATGTCAGTTAGTACTATACTTTTTTGGCATGCACATACCTTCTAATTTTTTAAAAAGACTATCCGCCTCTTCCGTAAAGGAGTTAAATTTTCTACTTTCTGGAATAACATTTCCCATAACAAGAAAAGGACCCTTTTTCTGTTTAAAGATATGCTCTCGGATTGGAATAGGAACAGGTTGAACAGGTTCTTCTTCATAGTCATCATATTCTTCGTAATCATTCAATAACTTTTCATAGATTGACTGGAAATAGTCTTCTAAAAGATTTTCCTTAGGGACCAAAGGTGTGCTTAATGGGACAGGTTTCCAATCAGGCTTTTCCTCCACATGAGCTAGTGCTTTTAAGTAACAAACTTCTCCAGAAGAGTGCTCCACTATATGGGTGTCTGACAAAACGATTTTCTTTTGGAATAACGGACAGTCCAAGACCAATGTTTCGTATTCGCCGCCCTCACCACATGGATGCAAATCAAACTTATTTTTTAAAGACAAGAGTTTTTGCTGCATTTCTCCTAAACTGTGGTTCAAATCTTTTCTGGTTAATCCAATAGCGGCGACCTTTATCAAAACTGCTTGTAAACCAGATTGGATCATGTCGTTCAATAATTTAGTTTGCTCCATTTGCCATAGATACGAAAGGCTAATAAGACCTAGACGTTTACATACATGTTCAACGCGAGTTCTTTGATAAGTAGACAAAATAGCTCCTGTAGAGACGGCTTCCAAGTCAGGATGACATTCGAGCACGCGCTTCAACAGGCGATATAAATCTTCCGTTTCATCATTGATAATGTAAGTATAGTCTAGATTCTGATCAATACTACTACCTCGAATTTCTTCTCTGTACAAAGGCAAATTTAAACACTCAGCATACAAAGGAATTATATCGTGACCCACGCATTGATACATAAACGAATCAATCTCATCTAAAAAGAAATTAATATAAAATTCGGTTTCAGGTATCAAACAGAGCTATTACCTTTTCCTCCTGCAGGGTATAGATTTCCCAATGCTATAACTTCGTGTCCTAGAGACACACAATGCATTAAATTATAGCAGCTATCTTTTCCGCCGCTAATTAGACCTACTACTTTCATTATTATTCATGAACTAACTGTTCCAGTGGTCTTGTTTTGTTTCTTTTCCTTGTACTAAGCAAATTCCATACTCTACTTCAATGATGGATACTGTAGTCTGTTCAACGTCACAATATAGAATGTAAACAAAGCAATTTTGTTTGATAAAAATGAAAAAATAGGAGTAATGGCCTCAAGTTTTCATATTCACAATTTATAATAACAAAGAACCGTATTATTAAGATTAACAATTTGTAATAACAAAGAACCGTATTATTAAGATTAACTAACTGATTTATTTAACAAAATGAGTATTGGTAGCAAAAAGAAAAAAAACGACAATAATAAACTGTTCAAAAAAATAGAAACATCTGTAAACATCCAGAAAACTTATTAATAATTACACTTCCTGTTACTGGTAATGAAAGAACGCATCCTTTCAATTGTTGTAATGACATCTCTGTGAAGACAAAATAAAAATAGACAAATTCGGTACCAAACGGATAATAAATTAAGGACATTATGATGCACTTAACAAACAATTTCTAATTCTTTGTTAATTTTAGCTATCATTATTTTCCAAAGTGGTGCGTTTAACCCTTCTTTGGATAGGTCTTGTTCAGCCAGTCATTAAATAATTTGACTTGTCGGGTGAGTAATTTCGTAAACGATGGGCCTAAAAACCAACTTGATAGCATTTTCCCGTAGTCATTTCGTATAGCACAAATCCATAATACACCATCGTCTTTTCCATCCTCTCGATACTTCTTGGAAACAAAATCCACCGACTCGTAATAACCCGGAACCGCCTGTGGATTAGAAATGAAGGCAGGATTAGGGTTTACATATTGAACAGGCCTTTGCAATACAATGAAGGAATCTGGATCTAACATGACAGATACAACTAGCTGCTTGTAAATACGATTTCTGCAGAACCAAGGTGTTTTGAACCTATACATCCAGACTACAAATGTTAGTGATTTCCAAGATAAATCGAAAACAAGGAATATAAGCGAAAGAGATGGACATAGAGTAAACGAATCGTTGAAACGGAAGCCAAACCTTTCTACTTAGTTCATTCAATCATACCTTCAATTTCATCCTCAATGATGGTTTCTAGCTGGCTTGTAGAAAAAATTAGGGGATCATAACATTCTTCTTTTTTTATATGTTCATACAATAAACCTTTCTAAACATTTAGTTAGCTTGTAGTTCCCACAACAGAATGTGAAAAGAGCAGCACTAGATGTAATAACCATGGATAACTAAGGTCTGAACCTCTTTTTTCCAATTTATGAATTAATTCATACAATCCTCATGATTTTAAAAAGCTTTTCTTCGAATGCTTTCCTTTTCGTGCATTAATATTGCTACCATACCTTAAAAGTTTTCAATGATCTTTTATGCCTTGATACACGCCCATACCAAGTATTACCTCCATTAGGAGGTGATTTTTCGTATAAAGCAACACCGTCGTGGCTTCCAAGAGACTTCCACCGAGGAATTTCCTCAACAAGTCTTAAAGCGTCTTGGATGAGTTTTTCTCGCCAACGTTCAAAATTTGGATCGGTAGCCTTTAAAACGTCGTTGGATATCAGCGGTTGTATCACTTCTGACCCAAAAAAATCCTCTTGCATTCAATTGTGGTGCTTGGTAGTTGGTGAGTAACCGAACACACAAACCCAATAGGAAGCATTCTGGTTTCTTCTCTCTCATACTGCTGATATGTGATTTTCATGAAAATATTTAATGTTTTTTGAAGTGAATAGATGTTTAAATGGTCATAATTGCTGGTAGTCTGGATCATAAAGGTTTATCCAGCGAAATGCTCAAGATTGCGAGAAATTTTTAAGCTTGTTTTTATTTGGGATTCCAATTCATTCCTCTGATAGAAAAAAAAGTCTATTCTCTAGACATAAATTAAGCTATATTATATTCAGCTTTATGTGTGGGGCGAGCTTTCAATTGAAATAGGTGCAAATTTTGGACAAGGATCAAAATTAACTATTTATTACTCATTCTATGCTAATCCTCTAGCCAAAACCAATTCTAGGTATAGTTTGTTTCTTGTTTACCGAGTGAAGGATGCTAGATGTAATGGAGAAATCTTCATAGCTTGCTAGAGACATCTTTGCTTGAATGCGTCTGCAAAAATCAACCAATTTATACGACGATCTATACATACTGTGATACTTTTTATGGAAGGACGTTCTATAATTACCTATGGCTTCAACGTTTTCAAAGTAATTACCCGTTCTTTCCTTCGGAAACTGAATTGATTAGTGAAGGATTTAATCATCTTTATTTTAAAAAGATTCCTATAAAAAAAACTGCTATCGTTTTGAAAAGGATCGAGGATCAATTCCATTAGTTCCAAGTCCAAATCTATTCGGTACCTAAAAGTCTTTGACTTAACCAAGTTAACTAGAGTATCATTTTCTCTTTCTTTTGCGAGATTCATATAATGCTTTTCTCACCGAAATCACAGTTTCACAGTTTCCTATTGAAACACCATCAGCAGTTTTTGCTAACTGTTTTTCCCGTAATATTTAACATATCCTTGACTGTCGTAGCCTCAATTGCTACCACTCTTTACAGATACAGTCTCTGTACTTATTCTAACGACTCATTATATATCTGAATTGTTCCCAAAAGAAATTGATTGAGCGAAAAGTATCCAAAGTTGCTTTCAAATGTGTTTGCGTTTAATTGAGAATTCGTTGAATTTCTCTTATTCAAAGATTTTGGACATAATAAAAAAAAATTCTATAAACAACAACGATGATTCTACCAAAAGACAAGCAAAACACTCCTTTTGTTTATATACGTATTCTCAATCTCGTTAAACCATTAATCCCGCATCGCAGATTTGTAACTTTAATGTAGCCTAAACTATATACGTATAAGCGATGTGAGAAAGCGAAGTCTCATTACAAGCCAATTCCGTTCCAACCGGTTCCCATCCTCTTCAAAATCATCTGAGAAAAAGTAAAAGGATTACGATGACAATTAATTTCGAAAAATCGAGTATTCAAGACTCCCGACTTTTTGACCCCATAAAGGTCGGGAATATGGAACTTCAACATCGTATCGTCCATGCTCCGGCTACCCGATTGCGCTGTCATGAAGATGGAATGGTAATGACAGAATTGGTAAGGGAATACTACAGCCAAAGAAGTAGTGTACCTGGAACATTGCTTATAACAGAGTCTATTTTCTCTGGTCCAAAGTCAGGTGGCTTCACCAATATTCCTTGCCTGTACAATGAAAAGCATGCTGAAGCATGGAGACCGATTGTGAAGGCAATTCATGAAAACAAGTGCTTTGTCTTCATGCAGTTTTGGAATCTTCCAGGAGAATTAAAGCCGGAGTACCTTCTCGACCAAGAAAACCTGGAAAATATCAGCCAAGGAGAATGTCCCATGGACCCAACAGGATTACCAGCAGCCCTAGGCGGTGCTTTTTCCATATGTGGAAAAGAATTGTACATGGACAAGTATATGTCTAAATATGATATAGACGAGCATATCTCAGAGTACACTGAAGCCGCCAAACGGGCTGTATTTCAATGCGGTGCAGATGGCATAGAAGTTCATCAAGTTAATGGTTTTTTGTTGGATAAATTTGTTCTAAATGGATTTGGTGAAAACTGCGATCCAAATTACAGAGGAACGTATGAAAACCGTGTTCGATTTTGTTTAGAACTTCTTGAGTCAGTTGTCAAAGCAATTGGACAAGAACGTGTGGGATACCGTATATCGCCCTACTCAGATATTTGGAAATCAAAAGACCATATGGAAGCGCACATGTATATGGTACAGCAACTTCGAGTCAAGTTTAAAAACCTTGCTTACTTGCATGTGATAGAACCTCGAGCGTATTGGACAGGGCATCAGCAAATTCTTCAAGAAGAAGGTTCCCTAAAATATCAAAAGTTATGGAATAAACCACTGTTGAGTGCTGGAGGTCATGATCGTGATTCCGCTTTACAATTGGCAACCCAAGATAATGTTTTGGTTGCCTTTGGGAGATACTTTTTGGCCAATCCAGATTTGCCATTCCGTCTTAAATTTAATATTCCCTTAAATCGATGGAATCGTGCAAAATTTTACACAAAGAAGAGCCCAGAGGGCTATATCGATTATCCATACTGTGAGGAATTTTTGAACAAGACATCAGAAGCTAAAAATCAAAAGGTATCCTGTGGAAAAGAAAGAATTTTTAATTGAATCATGCTTTCTTTCTTTTCTTTTCTTTCCTTTTTTTTTTGTCATTCGGATTGCATATGCCTTGTCGCCAATGCTCATTGTTTATATCCCACATCGACAATCATGCAAACATTTTCAATGATTACTTATAGATATATCCTTCAATCTATTAAATAACAGTAATTACATGACTTTGCTTTAGCTTTTCGTTTTATTCAATTCTTTACTTTTCCATTATCATATTAACGATATTATTTTCTCGATATTGTCACTTGTTCCCTAGAAGTCCTTTGAAGGCATTCAAAGTCCATTCTTAGTTTCATAAATCATTGCAATGAGAGAAGTGAATTTTGTAAAGCATTAACATTGAGGAAGATTACTGTAAAGGTTAAAAAAGAACAAATGATTCCTTCAGGTTTGCGACATCATGAAACGAGAGGAAAAATAAGCCCTCCAGTCAAAGCAGTGCTAGCTTTTTTTTTTTTTTTTTTTATCATAATGGTATATATCTTGCTCTCTATAATTTGGAGTAAGGATGTCTTTTATGCTTGACGTTGACTCGTGAACCTCTTAATATCTATCGAATATGCATAGCTGATCTCATTATACTAAGAAGGCCTCCACGAGCATTGCTTTACGGACTAGAGCTAATAGCAAAGGGAAGAACAGTATCTAAATAAAAGCTTAAATAAATACATATCCGGAAACAAACCGAAAGAATGAAATCTGAATTCCCGCAACAATACCCTGTTGGGCTGAAGGACTCCACAAAGAAACGAGTTTTATCCATTGGAACTCCTAGATTTGCCTTGGGTTTACTCGAGAAATTAAAAGAAAAATATATCTTTGATTTCATTGTGCCGGACCAGCATAGTCGAGACGAAACGATTAGAAAAATTCACAAGGCCGCAGAAAGAAATACTTATGATGCATGTTTCTGGGTCTTTGAAAATGCTCCTATTTCCCCTTTTACTAAGGAAATGTTAGGTCCATTAATTCCCAGTTGTCGTCTCTTCATCACGGGAGCTGCTGGATATGACGATTTAGACATTGAATGGATGGCAGCCAATGGTGCCTATGCTGCTAATGCGCAAAATGCTTCTACAGAAGGTACGGCCATAATGAATCTCTTCTTGCTTCTCTCTGTTCTTCGTGGATCGAGAGAAGCAGAGCAAACCATGCGTTCTGGCAATTGGCACGGAAACTTGCCATTAATGGAAGATCCTTCAGGTAAATTAGTAGGCATTATCGGGATGGGTGCCATTGGAAAATCGTTTGCCCAAAAGGTTATTTTTCTGGGTGGCAGAGTCATATATTACAACAGAACTCGTCTTCCTAAAGAAGAAGAGGCTTCCTTAAACGTTAAATACGTGAATATTGATGAATTACTCGCTACAAGCGACGTGATTAGTATTAATTGTCCACTTACGCCGTCTACAAAAAATCTACTTTCTAAGAAAGAATTTCAGAAAATGAAAGATGGCGTTTACATTCTTAATACTGCTCGCGGAAGTATCATTGATGAAGAGCCTTTCATTGAAGCTATACAGTCTGGAAAAGTATACCGAGCTGGTTTAGACGTTTTTATAAATGAACCAAATACCAATCCATTCTGGTTAACATGCGACAAAGTTACCGTTCAGCCTCATTGGGGCGGTTTTACTACGTCTACTGCTGCCAAGGTCGAAGAAGCCATCTTGAAAAACATTGATACTTTCTTTGAAACAGGCAGACCCCTGAACCCTGTCAATAACCCAGCCATCTAAGTCTGAATGGGAACACTACCTTCTTTCAAATCCCCTTTGTTGGTACACATACTGAATGATTTATGAATCCCTATATTTTTTTACGACCAAAAATATATTTGTAATGAATTACCATTGTCTATCATTGGTTTAATAAAATTTTAGGTATCCAGATAAGTAATTTAATGGATGAGGAATTCAATAGACCTTCACTCAGCAGCAGCTACCTTTTGTAAGAAACCCGACGAGGAATTCTTCCTTTTAAAAAGTAAGTGCATGAAATAAAGAAAAGTGAAAAGATGGATATAAAAGGTTTAAGCAGTGGTTAATTCCTTGTAATTTACAACAATTTGCTCTTTGTTTTCGAAAAGTCAACTCTAAACTTGATATTTTCATATGCTATCCAAACCATCTTGTTTCTCTTCGCTTTCATAATTCTCTGACATTACAAACTCATATCTAAATTATACTTCTTGTGTGCCATAACCATATTGTTTTTCGGCAAAAGCCCATTCAGAAGAAACGGACTGATTGGTTTGGAAATCGACGCCGTCCGCTGTAATGGTAGCAACACTAAACTTGTTCAAACTTCTTCCATCACGATAGTAGAGAACACGCATACAATCATCTATAGCCGCACGAGCACGCTCTTTTGACAAAGTTTTCCAGTGGTCATCGTCAGTCACCTTACGTAACAACGGAAGGGCAAGATGAATAGCAAATCCAGTAGCGATTGCTGGTGCAGTATAAGTATTACCACGTAAATCAGCAAAAGCTACATAGGGTTCTTTTTCATCACCATCGACGCCAGCAACGATGGCCTGATTCCAGTAAGGATCCATTTTATTACGACGAGCATAAAATACTCTAGACAAATATTCATGGATATGGGATGGTTGTAAAGCATAACCGTCTCCATGGTTGCTTTCTTTAATCTCAAGGTCCTCAAGGATTCTTTGGAGATGTTGATAATCTGAAACATCGCCCCCAATACCAACGATCGTATTGTTTCCGACCTTTGTGAGACGCTCTACATCAAAAAAGCGAGCCAAAGATCCATAAGATGCTAGATTATCGGCAGCAATCATAACACCATCGGCGTATTTTAATGCAATTACGGAAGCACCTGTGACAATAGGTTGAACGGTTCGAGAATTCACTGGTGCAGCATTTTGTTGGACACCATTAGATGTAGGGAAAAAAATGTTTTTGCTTGGTTTGCCCCAAGGCTCTGTTAACTCTAAAAAGCTCATTTTTTGTTTGAATGAGGTAGTGTTGGTTCTTGGCAGGTCATCTACCACCAAGTCGTAACCACCTATACGGACAATGGAAATAAACTTTATTGGGTAGACTGAAAAGTGAGTTAAGAAATATCGTTTTTGTATTTTATATTTTCATTATTTTTTTCTAAAAATTTTGACAAACGCCTGACTATATGGACGGGAAATTAACAGATATGTCAAGGTTTCTGATCACCTTTCTGGATCTTTTCAGTCTGCTACTAGAAACTAGAAGCTTTATAAACTAAGAAAGGAAGAAGATTCAATATTCCTTAATTATTGGTTCAGTTCTTTTCCTCTTTCACGGTGAAATGACATTTTTCTTCATAATGTTAACATAAAGTCCCAAAACTTGCGATCTTTCTCTCGTGCCGAATATTGATTATTATAACTTTCTTTTTCATGTTATTCCGCTGGTCTTCTTCTTACAGTGAAAGACTGTTAATCAGAAAGTTATTTCCAATGATTTCTAATAACAGCACGTTTCGGCTTGAGCTGCTAAAAATCGCATGCAGAAATAGGTAGCAAATTTTTGTCCAGGCATCTGTCTTCTAAATTTCTTTTTTTTTACATTTAACCTTTTGGTTTACCCTCTGTTTATTTATTTGTTTGCGATCTGCTGTATTTACTTTTCACTGTTTGTTTTGAACTGACTTTTTGTTTGTTTACAATACTTGGGTTTCTAAAGTATATATAGGAAGAGAGACTATTATTATGTCCTTTCTCTCTATTAGCCCAACTGACTTTTGAAATGGTCAAAATGAAGATTATCGAAGCGCCCTCTGTCATACTATTCTCTCTTCATAAGCTAGCTAAATCTTGTAAGGCATTTTTAAATAAATATGCCCTTCATCCTATAAAAACTTTATTCCCAAACAAAGCTGAACCAGAAAGAAGTCCTATATTCTCGGAAATGCCTGCATTTGCTGACAAGTCTACTGATTCAGTCGAATATGCCAAATCCGATAATCAGAAATACCAAGGATCACAAACCGCTCAGGCTGCTTTGGTTGAAACTGAAAATATGGAAACTACCGATGAGACTGGAGCAAATTACGAAAATACCTTCATGAAAATAAATTATAACTTACCAATGGAAGAGTCAATAGAAGTTGATTCAGAAGAAGTTTTAATCAAAAGTGAAAGTGATGTTAACTTTAGCAATAAATCTGTCTTAGACTGTTCATTTTCAGTCACAACAGATGCCATCGCTAACACGAAGTTAACAACGTCTTCTTCGGATTTTTCCATAAATGAAATGGATCTCATAGATCCAGCTATGATTGAACAATCCTTCATGAACATCTTATATAAAAACGTTGGTCCTTTTGATACGGATGAAGACTGTGTTGAAAAAAGTAATATCTATCTTGAAGAAAAGAGAGCAAATAGTGACACGAAGAATATCTTGACTGAGCAGAAGAATGTCGCCGAATATAGAAACCGTGAAAAATCAAATATAGATTACGAACCGAAATCATATCAAGATAAATCCGCACCACGCAAATTCCCTTTTGACCATATAAATTTTGAAATTGATACTCAATACAATACTGAAAACACAAACGTGTTTCTCGCTATACCTGAACCTTCGTATACTTTTCGATCTATTTTACAGATTCCAGAAGAAAGAAACGAGCAACAAAATCTTCAGGAGGATGATATTGGCATGTTTGAAATTGTTCCTTTGTCTTCAACGAGTGATATCGAAAATGACATGACGAGTGGAAGTGAACAGCTATGGACCGTTAAGGCTGAGTCGATGATTTTTAATGATGCTGATTGCGAAGAAATAATTGAATCTACTACAGTTGATGTTACGCGAGAATCACTTTGTTTGGAAACACACCCCGTATCATTAAACGGTGATCTGAGACAGGCAAATACAAAGCCTGATTCTCTCGATCACATTACAGATGATATTATATCGGAGCTTGTGATTTCAGATTTCAGTTCTGAAGAAAGCTCACTTTCGACACCGATTCTCAAAATGAATTCAAATACGTCCCCAACTAAAACAGCTCTTCTATATATTTTGTTAGGTCACGTTATATACTATGTTTATCTTTCTATTCAGTGGATGTTGGACTCAACAGCAAGGACGTCAATCTTTACTCTGCTGCTCTCTGCAATTCTGCTGAATAGGTTCTCAAGTATTACAAGTCTGCAAGACTATGCTAATACTCAAACTATTAAATCTTGCGTAAAACTACTTATTTCTAAAGTTTATCCTTTAAATCGTTAAATAGCAAAGAAAAGATAAGAATAACATATAAAAAATAAAGAAAATTTTATTGCATGGTTGGAAAAATTGAAATGAATGAATAAATTGATCACAGGAAATGAATCTTTTATGAAACACATGTTGCTAAACCCTTTATTTAGAGCCATTAATGAATATGATTAACTAAAACAAGAATAAATAAAATTTCTGAATGAGCAAATTTCACATCATTATTATTATAATTTTCTTTATTGACAAAAGACGATAAACACCAAAAACCGTATATAAACTATTACTCATTGATAAGTGACTTCCACATTAGTGAGAGATTCATAAACTTCTTGAAGAACATTTCGACGATTTTCAACTGCGCTAGCCTGTAACGGATCACGAAGTGGTTTTGGACACCAGACTAGAATATTGCCGCTCATATCCCCCGTGAAACATTGTTCTTTGTCTTGACGGTAAGAGACGCAATTGATACGCTTCAAAACATGAGTTGACAGACGCTGCACGAAGGAACCTTCTAAAAGATTTACCAATGCCAAAGATCCATCGTCATTAGGAAACAAAACGTACGTGTCGGCATTTTCCGAGGGAGTCACAATATAAGGGTGAACAGCAAAGGATGTTGTTTGATTATGTATAATAGGTCCAAAGTCACGTAAAGTATTTAGTCCTGTTTTCATATCCCAAACTCTTAAACGATCATCAGTTCCTGAGCTAACAAGAAAATTACCATCGTCAGTCCAAGCTAAGCCATTTACGGTACCATAATGAGATCTTCCCGTCTGTTCTGTTGGCTTGGTTTTGTTATGTACATCTAAACAAGCAAAGCTCGCAGAGGCTTTTCGAATATCCCAAAGCCGAACCGTACCATCAGCAGATCCGGAACCTAATACATAATCATTTTTCGGGCACCAAGCGACAGACAATACATTCCCTGTATGACCGATTAAACTGTGAGTATAACTACCGCTCTGCATATCGCATAAACGAATAGAGGGCGACCGATATGCTGCTACGAAACGTTAGAATAGGTAAAAATACAAATAAAATAAGCATGCATACCGGCAATCAAACAGTGCGAAGCCACTGGCGACCAGGCATGCGAATATACTATTTCACCTATGTTAAAAGAATATGCCTCCTGCTCATCGTAAGTAAATTTTGGTACAAGAAATTAGTGAATCCTATTACCTGTAATGTAGCAGCATCCCAAACCTTTAATGTATGGTCAAAAGAGGAGCTGGTGAATATACCATTATCGAAAGGAAACCAATGCAGATCAGTAATTCCAAACCTATGACTAGAGCGTCTACGATATTAGTTAAAACGTTTAGAAGAAAAAAACGTACGCAGGAATCGCGTTATGTGTATCCATGACTGTATCTATATCATTTGAATCAAGAGATTCAAGATTCCAAACATTAATTGAAGAATTGGCGCCTCCGGAAATCATACTTCATGCAGTCGTAAGTAAACAATCATATAGTATTTATTATCAACTTACAATTGATGCGTCGTGTTATCTATGGACAGCGCGTTTACAGAGCCAAGGAGGCCGGTACCATGTCTTCGCTTGATTGTTTTATTTTGCGACAAAGCCATAGTCTGAAGACGATGCTGAAGCAGCTGGCGTCGGAAAGATGCATTTGATTCTATCAGTCAATATTTTTCCTGGTATGATAAGTTCTCCAGTTAATACCTTGTCCCCATTCTCTGGCTAAAAGAAACGTATTCATTCAGAACGTTCAAATTTCCGCAGGAGTATTATAGACGGTAGAAATTCATTCAAGCACCATGAAAAGTATATATTTAACCAATTTTACTCAGAGATTATATTTGTGTTTACAGTAACGCTTTTCTATAGGTATTTGAGAGTCCACATCATTCTAGCAGTATATAAATTTACATATCCATAATACTTCGATTTTAAACTCTTAATTAAATATATTATTTTTAAAATAAAAGATAATTTTTATTACAAAAGAAGTTGGAAAATAAAGGTGAAAACTGGTTTAGGTACGGTTATGATGATACCTCTATACTAGATTCTTTCAACCAACATGTCCGTAATCGAGATTAGATCATACCAACACTGGATTTCAACAATTCCAAAATCTGGATTTCTCGCTGTTGACTGCTATGCAGACTGGTGTGGACCTTGCAAGGCCATTTCACCGGTTTTTTCACAGTTGGCAAGCAAGTACTCTGGACCTCAGTTTGTATTTGCGAAAGTCAATGTAGATGACCAAACACAAATTGCTTCTAGCCTTGGGGTCAGTGCTATGTATGTTTATTTCTCTGTTTTGTTAGATTTTGCTAACCGTATAGGCCTACCTTCATCTTCTTTGAGAATGGCAAGCAAATAGATATGCTTTCGGGAGCGAATGCGCAGGCATTAAAAGAAAAAGTAGCTAATATTGGAGGAAAATTAAACGGAGGTGGCGCTAGTGCCTCCTCATCTGTAAATGGTTATGCTAATCTCAGAAATTCTATCGAAAGCCCTCAATTAGAGTGTTTAAATCAAAGCGACGAGTATAACCTTCGTAATGCTCTTGATTTAGATGCTCCTGGATATTTACAATCCGATGCTGATGAGCAGCTTATGATTTACATTCCTTTCTTGGAAGCTGTAAAGATTCATTCGTTGTCTATTACTCCCGTCAAAGATAATTTAAGCAGTGCTCCAAAAACTCTCAAACTTTTTATAAATCATCCAACTGTGCTTTCTTTCGAAGATGCTGAATCCTTCCCTGCTACTCAAGTCATAGAAGATATTGAGTACAAATCTGATGACGAGCCTTTGAATATACCTCTAAGATTTGTCAAATTCCAGCGTGTGAATTCGTTGATTATCTTTGTTTCCTCAAATGTCGAAGACGAAGAAACTACCCAGATCGGTCGTTTGGAATTATTCGGTGAAACAGTAGGCGATTCTAGCAAGTAAGCTATGCTAAAGTGATGAATAAATGCTGAATTACAAGAATATTCTATTACCTTAAATGCCAATCAATAATGCTTGAATGCTATATTTATATACTTTACACAAAACTGAAAGGGCTGATATAACCTGACAGCTTCATTTATTGTAGTGAATTTCAATAGAAGGAAATACGGACTGTAAAAAAAAAATCTACAAAATTTCATTAAAAGCAAGAAATATTCTATTTTTTTAATTGGCGTTCAAATCTTTGTTTTCTTTTTTCTTCCTCCTGATAAACCCAAATTCGTTTTGGTGACTCTGAAAGACCAAATCCAATCAATATAATTAATGTACTCGCTCCCATAATTGAATAAGACTTTCTCCCAAATTAATCATATCGCTGCTAATTTCTTCGACGTACAAATCCTGAATTTGATACCATTTGTTTGATGCCGAGTTTCGTAGCTGTACTCTGAAAACGTGTGTCTCTCCATCAGCGGATAAAACTGACTCATAAATAACATTGGCAATTAGATTGTATTTGGGTATGATCTTAGGGTGTGTTTTCAAAAACCCATCATCAATAAACGGACTCATATCCAAGTTATCAAGAGGAAACGTGACAATAGTAGGATTTCGTTCAGTAAAATAATTGTTCTTCATAAAACGCTTCATATGAAATAGAAGATATGGCGGCGAATTCAATAAATGAAATCGCCGGCGCATACCACTTAATTCTTGGGTTGCCACTCCATTATACTTTTCAAGTAGTTTTATCAGCTCAACTTGGGGTATAATATTTCCTTCGAACTCATCTTGAAATAAAGGCCTTGGAGGAAGATTTAGTGTTAGGTATAAAAATGGAACAATGTCCGTTTTAATAACTCGATCTCCTTCAAAAATTACATGGTCGCCGTTTTCCGTATGCTGACGAATTTTTTGAGACTCAACACGTACATGGCCTTGGAAGTTGTAGTGAATGATAGAAGTTGGCTTATCCATAGTTGATTTCTTCCCACCTAAAGAAACGTGTAAAGTGTTCATGAGCCAAGATAAAAACTCTAAAGGATCTTTTTGTTCATTGATTGAATATTTTTTGTGGGATAATAGGGTTACTTCATGAATCAACTCTTGTGGAGAAACATGCCCTTTAAATGCTTTGGGGTTCCAAATTTTACGAACAGTAATTGCTAGTCGTTGAATAATCTCAGGACAACCATCAAAAGTATTAAGTAGCAAATAGTTTCGCAAAGGCTTTACGTGAGAAAGTAACTGAAGAATGACGTTGAAATAGTCATTGCTTTGTATGTTGTTGAGTCCGACGAAACCTACAGATTCAGGTTACTATAGTCTACAATACAAACCTCTAAACGAACTTACCTGGAACATAAGGTTTGTGCATTAGATCGTAACTGACCTGAGGAAAACGGTCGAGTTTAGCAACTTCTTCGCGGGTATACGTAGGTTTAATAACATAAGCAATATCCTGTAAAGCACTAGAAACAACCTGATACGACTCAGGTAGGATATAGAACTTTAAAGTTGAGCAATTCACAAACACATGATGATTATCATTCAAAGCATGAAAGTATGCATGAGAAGACGGACCTCGTCCTTGGAAATATCTTCCACAAACTAAGCAAGCGTAAACACTGAGATTTGTAAGGCTTACAGAGCAGACTTTCTCAAAATCAAAGTCCAGCAATTTACGATTGATCTAAGTAACCAGATTAGTCTTCATCAATCCATGGCAATTTGGTTTCTTACTGTATCTAAATAAAGATCACTTGAAATTGGAGAGTGTTTCTTGGCAAAAGCATTGTTAGTAGCTTGATCATCGTTAGAAGTAGATCCTGGAGCATCGTCAACTTTCTCTTTTTTCCTCGTAGAATATGCTTCTTCATCATTGAAAGAGCGTTTTAGAGAATTTTTATCATTGTTTACTTCCGACATTGCTATAAAAGCAATCTCGATTAAACCCTAAAGAAGAATCGCAGTGATGGGTATTTCGGGTCACTCAGCGTGACTCTCAGGTCTGAACCAAATTTGTAATATCACAGCAAACGTTCTTTTAAAGGTTAATTTTAGCTTTTTTTTATTTCTATCTTTCATTCAAGTAAGTACTAAAAAAAAAGAAGCGAAAATATTGAACCTGTGAAAACAAGGACTCCTTTTCATCTTTTTTGGAATCTTTGTGGGCAATTGCCTATTATATTGCCAACTTTTTCGATAGAATTATTTATTTCTTAAAGATAAAAGTATAAAAGGATAAAAAATCAGTTAGGAAGCCGTTCGTTCTGCTTTGTTTGCAATGGAATGGTAAGTTAACACACCTGTCTTGTCTTCTAACTCGGAAATAGCATTGATAGAAACATTCGCAGAGAATCTCTTCGTAGACTAGGTTCACTTCCGACATACGGATGGTCATTTTTCGAGCAAATTTGTAATCGAAACTCTGAGCTCATTAAAAGAAACGACTCCGTTTTCAACCTAGAAAGGATCGATGATACGGTATTATCAATATGTGCGGTTAGCTCTGAACCTAAGAACTTAGTGGAGGCCAGAGTGCTTCTTAATCAACTATGGCTTTACTTGAAGAAGTACTTATTTTTCGAAGGAAACGAAAGCTTTGAAAGCACATTACCTTCATTGGATGATTCCTCTTTTTGTCGAATTTTTCCCTCGTCGGCAAAATGTGTTCCTGCAATATTAAGTGCAATGCTTTGCCTATCCAAACAGCATAAGGAAATTGCTGTCGATGTTATTTCCTTTTCAGAATCTATCATTAAAACCTTCAAGTCTATTATAAATGAGGAAGTTGCGGATTCTATGTCGCTTACTCTTCGTAGAATATTCTATGCTTCTCATCTTTCATTTTTTTTAAATGAATTTGCTAGAAGCTGTGAGGAGATGAGCGATGAAAACATATGCTTATGGATTATCGATGTTTGCACAGATATACTTTCATTTGATGTTCTTCCACAACAAAAATTATCGGCTAATTCTCTTTTCATACAGCCATCTCCTTACTACCAGGGTTATGGTCTTAAATACTTCTTATATATTTCTTCAATATCCGCTTTGGTAAATGCAGCAACTTCTTTGTGGTTAGGAAATTGCGCATTATTTTGGGATATCGGTCGTTCTCGGCCTTCTTCTCCCGAAGAGAAAGTGTATTCCAGTCAATTTCAAGCTCTCCTGACATTATCTGAGAAAATACTTTCAAAAAGCTATACATCTAAACTACAAGGACAAGTTTCTGTGCCTTGTAGACTGTTTTTCGTCCTAGCCTTGAAATTAGCAATCTTAGGTTCCGCATATGTTGGGTTTATTCCAAACGTCTACTGTGAATGGATAGATCTTTCTCTCCAGAATATATCTGACGACCCTGAGACACTTCCTCATTTAATAGATATAATGGCTTCTTTAGCATGCGTCTTTCCAGCACAATTACAGTTCGCGATAATACGCTTACGGTTTATTGCAATATATGCTCCTCGTGATACTAAAGATCCAGTTATTTACGCTAAATTGGCATCTCGAAAGTTGGCACATTTGTTCAATTATTCATCTAAAGACGCCGCCATTACTTCAATTTATCAGTTAGCAAACCTATTGTCCCCTCTTGATACAGCGGATAGTTTTTTCTCGCTCTCTAGGGAACACATGAATATGGAGGGTTTTGCACATCCTTCTCACGAGATTCCAGTAAGTACTTTACCTATTTATTTAAATGTTATAGACTCGGGACGTGAAATTGCTCTACTGGTAAATGACGAAAAAATTCATGGACTGGCTATTTCCTTGCTAGTTCAAAAATTTTCGCGAAATTTTGATTCACGTGTTAGTGCTCAAATGATATGTGCTCTAGCTGATATCTCAATCAAAGCAAATGAACGCAACTTTTTTATTTTGATTCAATTTTATTCTATTCAACACAAGATGTTGACGAAACAAGTGGATGAAGAGTTAGCTTTGGCCATCCTTCAATCGCGTCGTTTGATTGCTAGTGGGACAGAACCTCACTCTTCAAAGCGGTTAGATTTGCTTAAAAGCCTGTTGGAAGAAATAATACAAGTGGGTTTTGTTCGTGCTACCCCTTCGGATCAGTTAAGTGGATACTTTACTGTCCTTGTCTATGCGATTAAGGCCCTCAGTTGTTGTATTGATCAAATCTCTTGGGAGACTTTACCAAAAGATGAAAATTACCCCTCGCTTTTTAGGGATATGTGGCTCACGATCGTTTTGAATAGGTTTCGTTTTTCGGTTGACATAAGTGAGACGTTAAGACCTGAGCTGGAACAGATTGCATGTAACTCACCTCTTCTTGTCTTTGAAGATTTTGGGAATAATTTTGAAAGTAATTTGGAATTAAATACTGTTTTAAGGAGTCATATTGAACATTCTGTAAGTAGTTCCCTGTCAATTATCATTAACATAACAGGTTTTATCTCGAATTAAGTCAGAATTGACAACAATCGTGGATGTGGATTTGAGGTCGCTAAGTGCATCAGAAATTTGTTTTCTGTCAGCTGTTCTTCTACTTGAAGGACTGCGATGTAAAACTGGTCGTATTTCAGCTCTTGTTGAATATCTAAGTGATTTTACCTTGTGTTCAAGTCATCTGCCTCCTTTTATCAGAGCCATTGCCCTTCATGTAAGTTGAAATTACCATTTACTAACTAACAAACAGAACTTACCAATATTTGTGGATTCTCTATTTCGTGTAAAGCGACTTCATCGAAAAAATATTAAAGAAATACAAGAGTTACTTTGCTTGTGTTGTCACAGAATCGATTCGGTTCGACGACTAGCTTTGGAATGTACAACTTTTGTCATGCATAGTCTGCCTCATCTTCTTGGTACTGCCGAAGTTTTGTATAGTACTCTAGAGTTGCTTACTCTTCTATGGAAAGCTCGAAACGAAGAATGTTATAATCAATATATTCCGAAGCTTCAGTATTGTTCTCCAAAGCTGAATCTTACAATTGTATTGTCTGATATTTATGACGCTCGTGAGAAGGTGCTTTCCGAATTTAAAACCAACGCTACGGATTGGATACAAGTAAGTTCCAGATCTATTCCGAGACAAATCAAAAATTTATTACAATCCTATCTTGCCGATTTTGAAGATATTGATGATCTTGAGCTTGTTGAACTTGGACGATCACTTGCTGTGGAAATTGGGATCAAAATTCCAAGCTTCGATTATGAGAATCGTGTGGTTTCTTCATTTGGGAATTGGATTCCAGATTTCAGTTCTGAGTTTATGGCCGATTACACTACACGCCAACGTTATGCTCAAGGTATGTGTTCATTAAGGCTTTATCCTTTAATAGTAATTTTACTAATCAATTTAGAAAACGTGGTCTTAGACACAGAAGGTGACATGAGTAGTGACAAGGCTGATCTTCTGCTTTCTCAAAAACACAAACTCTTCGAACAGAACCTTACTCTTTTAAATGATTTGGAAAATGATTACAAACAACGAAAGCCAGTATCTTCGCTAAAGCTCCGCAATAACATTCGCAAGGCCGCCTCTCATGCAGTCCAAGAATCAACATATGTATGTTTAAATTTGAACGAGAGTTTTATTAACTTATTTTAGTTATTTTCAATTCTTACCAGAAAAATTATTCGTATACCTTTTATTGAATTCAATCAGAAGTCCATAAAGCTTGGCGTTAACTTATGGAATTGGATGATGAACGAGGTTCCAATTTTTAGCTCTTATATTGTGCTTAATATCATTCGTAACTGGAAAAACGAAATAATGAGGGAAAAAAGGGGTTTCTTTTCAACCATGAAAGTGAAATCCCCATTAGCCTTGCCAATGACCTACTCACCGACTGAAAGATCATCGATGATATCTTATAAGGACAAACTGAGTTCGCAGATGATTCCGCATCTACTTTTGTTAGAGCTTATGTCTGGTATATTCGAAGGCCTTTGGTTTAATGATCGCCAAAACGCCATTATCATTGTCCAGTTCATGGCTTTTGTGCTCAAAAAAATGAGCTCTTTAGAGTTTGCTCGAAATGCGTTGGCACGAGAGCTTCACTTCAAATTTATTTCGTTTGGTTTCAAAATTGCTGAAAACTTACTAAATACACTATTAGGTTCCAGATTTTATAATCTCTGTTTGGACGCTGCCTTATGCTGGTTTACGGAAACACCTGGATGGACTTATGGAGCAGATAAGTTGAATGTCTCAACAGAAATTTCGATAATGCGGAATTTGTGTGGAAAAATGGAAAACACATTAAGTCAATATCCTCTTAAAGGTAATAAACACTATTTGAAATACATTTTTCTAACTTCGTTCAGGATCTACAATAAAAAAACAAAAGCTTCTTATAATTTTATTGAAAAATGAAATGTATAGACTGTTCACTTGGATTACACCAGTTGCACATGGAAGGAACTTGGTAATGACTGAACCGATACCGGATACATATAGTTCGAGTTCGACGATCACTTCAGAAATGTTGCGTTTGGCTTGGAAGATATCCCCCGCGATCGTTTTGTATATTCCGAAACGCTTCATCGAGCCGTCGTTGGTAGATATGGTAACTAGCTTTATTTTAGCGGATCCTGCTTCTTGTCTTCACTACGACGTTGCTATGGACTATCTCTTTGAGAAATATCCAAATGGTGACTTCCCACTAGATAGGAAGTATCTTTTCTATTGGGACCCCATTTATCCGGTGAATGGTCCAGTTTTGTTTAAGCCGAAAATCAGATGGAACCCACAACTCTTACAGTACACGGTACGCTCAATGGAAAGCTATCCCGTCTCTGTTATGTTCTTCTACGTTCCACAAATTGTGCAGTCCCTTCGTTACGATACTATGGGTTATGCAGAGAGTTTTATACTTGAGGCTTCAGAAGTTTCCCAGCTATTTGCCCATCAAATTTTATGGAATATGAAGGCAAATTTATATAAGGATGAGAGTGCTACTGTACCTGATTCCATTAAACCAATCTTGGATCATGTTATGGACAAAATGGTAGCTTCCCTATCCGGTGATGACAAAAGTTTTTATGAGAGGGAGTTCTTTTTCTTTAATGAAGTTACTTCTATTTCTGGAAAACTTAAGCCATTTATTCGGAAATCAAAACCTGAGAAGAAGGTAAGTATACAGTGATAGTATTAAGTTACCTTTCTAACAAAACAGGCAAAAATTGATGAAGAAATGAGACAAATTAAACTAGATGTTGGTGTTTATTTACCTAGTAATCCTGATGGCGTAGTGGTTGGGATAGATAGAAAGTCAGGAAAACCTTTGCAAAGTCATGCTAAGGCACCATTTATGGCCACCTTTAAAATCCAAAAAGAGAAGGTTATCAATCCTGATCCAGAAGAAGAAGCCATTAATGGTGAGGAAGGGAATACCGCTCATCAAAAACAAAGCTATGAAGTTTGGCAATCGGCTATTTTTAAAGTCGGTGATGATTGTCGACAAGATGTTTTAGCTTTACAATTGATTGCCATATTTAAGAACATTTTTAATTCTGTGGGTTTGGATGTCTATCTATTCCCTTACAGGGTAACTGCTACCAATCCTGGTGTACGTAATAATTTTAAGGACGATTTTATTAATCTAATTATAGTGTGGTGTTATTGATGTGTTACCAAACTGTATATCTCGAGATATGCTCGGTCGTGAAGCAGTTAATGGCTTGTATGATTACTTTATTACTAAATTTGGCGGTGAAGAGTCCATAGCATTTCAAAAAGCTCGAAGCAATTTTATTCAAAGTATGGCAGCTTATTCTGTTATTACATATCTGTTGCAATTCAAAGACAGGCATAACGGAAATATAATGATTGACGATCAGGGTCATATATTACATATAGGTATGGAGTCAATTGATGACTAGTGGTACTAACATTATAGATTTTGGATTTATTTTTGACATTGCTCCTGGTGGAATTACATTTGAAAGTGCTCCGTTTAAGTTAACTCAGGAAATGATTGCTGTAATGGGAGGTAATAATAAATCACAACCATTTCAATGGTTTCAAGAACTGTGTGTTAAGGCCTTTTTGGCATCCCGCCCTTATGCCAAGTCAATTTGTCAAGCAGTCGAAATCATGCTAGAGTCTAGTCTTCCTTGCTTCAAAGGTCAATTGAGTATTACGCATACTTTGGAGCGTTTTGCCTTGGATATGAATGAACGACAGGCTGCAAATCACATGCTAAGTTTGATTGATCACAGTTACAACAACAAACGGACGCTGATGTATGATCAATTTCAAAAGGCAACCAATGGTAAGTTAACTATAATTTATTTTCTGTATGAGCAATTAACTAATTATTAATTTAGGAATTCCTTATTAGATTCAATTTTTATGTTCATCCTTTGATAAATAATCCGTTCACTTATGACTGCTTGATGGATTTGTGAAGATGCAAGTTATGCCCGAGTAAGTAAGTATAATGCTATTCAAAATTTAGGTTAAGTTATTGTTTAACACTGCATTGGTAGAAATGAAATAACCACTTTTATGTTAAGAATTGCTAGGAAGTATTGAGTTATAGGCACTGCGAAAACAACTTAGAATGAGGTAAAGTGCCGCACTGAAAGTAATTACGAGTTAAAGAAAACTATAAAGATTTTCACATTAAAGACTGATCATTATATATGTCTTTGTTTTTTTTTGGTTATAAATGGAATAGACGCGCAACGCGTAACTTAGACTCTACTAACACTTTAACAATATGAAACAAAGAACTGAAACAACCACTTCCAATGAATCCAAGTATGTTAATATATTAAACTATAAGAATTCATCTAATTAAAAAACAGTTCTGACATGATTGAACGTGTTTTGGAAGAATTGAGCATCAAACACATGGAACGCTGCATAAGGAAACGTGATCAAATTGAGCAAGAATTTACAAAGCAGATAGAACATGAAAAGGCAGCGCTAACAAAGGAATTAAAGCTCCTACAAAGTAAAAAGTAAGGAAAATCCAGACAAAAGCTGGCATTATTATTATAAGGGTAATAAATATTGACAGATTTAAACAGCGAGGAGAACGTTCAAAGAAAAACGAGTCGCTTAAACGAAATAAAATCGCGTCGAGCGCTTTTAGAAAAACAAAGAGAAGCTCTTGGAAAGAAGATTCACCAAGAATTAGGAAACTACATTGGAAAGTTGCAATCACTCGTTGAATCAAACTAAATTAAACCGACTTGTGGATTAAAGGATTGTTAAGGCTGTAAGCAGATTGCTGAAAATACAACAATATCATTTGATATACATAATCATCGCTGCATGAAACATTGACAAAAAACAAGAAAGTAAAAATCGAACTGTGCTGTAATTACTCCGCTTATAAAGAAGTACTTCGGTAGTATTCTTGTACGGGAACGACGGATCGAAAGAAGGCTTCTAGTTTCTCATCAAGTTTCTCTAACTTGATACGCTTCGCCTTGTTTTCTGAAATGAGAGTTGCTTTTCGTTTGAGTAGATCTTGTTTGAGACCGGAAAGCCGCTGGCGTTCCGTTAACTCATCTTGAAGTCTCGCAATCATAATCTCATGGTCGTTTGCATTTTGTAAGTCGGAATGTTCTTTTAAAAATTCTTCCTTAGAAATTAGTGGAAGCTGGGTATATAGGTGTCTAAATAATAGACGTTAGCCAACAGCATTTGACAAGCATACATACTCTTTATCATGAAAATCTTTGATAATTGCGTTCAAGTGTAACTTTTGGTACTGTAATGCTTGCAGATTTACTAGAGCTTGCTCGAGAGAAGCACGGTGATCACCCGTTGTTTCCTTTGCTCTTTGAAGTTGCTCGTACGATTCTCGATTTACAGCTCTCAAAAGCAAAAGTCTAGCAGAAAGTTGCTTTCTTATTTGATGAACCTTTTCTTGGTTGTTTACCGGATCTTCATTCTTGCTATTGTGAATTTGCAAACATAAATTCTTTGCAGATTCCAACGTTCCTAAACACTCTGCTATTGCATTTTCTGACATTTTACGAAGCAATTAATCGCTAAAACTAGTCAGTTTGGTAAAACTTTGTAAGTTTACTTCTTGTTGGTGGAACTGAAAACCTGCCTATGTCCTTCGACCCCTTCACTTTTTCCTGCAGGGTTTTTATATAGAATCGCCGTTACAGAAAAGTAAGAAACATCATTCCTTTTTCTTGCTTTCTTTTATAGTTAATCTTACCTTGGATTTAAAAAAACGGATTGATCTCTAAAAAGAAAAAACTCTAGTCCAAGTACGTTGATCGGGAAATTGGCAAGGGAATAATAAAGGGGAAATAGGTTGCATCAAACATGAGATTTAATCAAAATACGAGTATAGACTGCGGAAATTTGATTCTGGTTCCCTATTTAAAACAACATGTGTTGAATTACCACGAATGGATGAAAAGTCCTGAACTACAAGAATTGACATGTTCTGAACCTTTAACAGTGGAAGAGGAATTTCAAATGCAAAAGTCTTGGTTGGAAGATGAAGACAGTAAGTGGGAAAATTATGGAACTCTGAACATGTTAATTGTGTTTCTGTGTATCAAACATCAAGTTTAATTGTGGCTTTCATTTTATTAACTAAAGAATTTAACTAGAGCTTACATTTATCGTGATTCATAGACATGGAGTAGAGAACAAAGAGCCCCAAATTCTCCATGAAATTGCACCTCATCACATCGATGAGATGATTGGAGACGTGAATATGTTTCTAACCGAAGGTTACGAAGACGTGGAAGAGGATTTGACAGTACAAGACGACGCAAATCAACAATGTACCACTTTTATCCAAGCTGAATTGGAACTCATGATTGCAAAACCAGAATTCCGGTCAAAAGGTTTGGGGACCACGATTATCGAAGCCTTTTTGTATTATATAGAACAGAGTGGGTTGCTTCAGAGCAAGCACATCGCGAAGTACATCATTAGAGTTGGTAGCAAAAACCTGCCAAGCTTACGCCTTTTCAAGAAAGAAGGATTTGTACAGACAAAATACGTTGCTTGTTTTGATCAGGTGGAGATGGAAAAGACAATACATTAAATGGAAATTCAATAGTTGCTCCTGTAGCATAAGTATTGGATAACCTCCGTCATTAAATCTTCTACCATACTAGAGAAATCAACAAGAATATAATTTGAAATTGATACCAAAAATTCTACAAGATTTTCGAAAAAAAAAATGTGACGCCTCCAAACATACAATTACAGTACTATAGTATTTAGAGAAGCCTTGTCTGGGCATACACATGATATATCCAGTACAAAAAAACCGATGAACATGTTGGGGTCACTTTTTATTAAGTGTTTTATTCAGCTTTAGCTTATTTATGCCTTCTTTCCAACCTCAGAAACAGTCAAGTCTACATAGTATGTTAGTATTTTTTTGTACCATATCCCTGTCTCTTGCCAGCAAGCCACATTGGAGATTCAGTATCATGTCCATATGAAACGATTCAGTAACATCGCTGCAGAGCTTTATTACATACCAGGGGGAAGAGATTGGCGGAGCTTCTCAGCCTTCTTGGCATCAGCAACGACCAAAGTGTACAAGTACTTAGAGCAACGGAGCTTGAACTTAACATCCTTGTTTTGGTTCTTCTTGATACGAGCAGAAGTAGCGTCCTTTCTGCGAGCGATTTCCAAGAATTGCTTAATGTCTTTGATTTGACGAGGCTATTTGATGTTAGCTTTTTGTTTTAGTTCAGAAAGAGTATATGCACATGTAATTTTAGCCATAAAATTCGCATCAACCTTGCATTTTGCATATCTCTCTTTCACGCGTCCTTACCATTTTGTTAAGCTTGGTGAAAGATTGGATATGTCAGAAATTTCCGTTTTACCAAAATTTATGTGACTGTTCAAATTCATAAATTCTCTTCAAGTGCGTAAATGCTTTTAGTGATCGTTAACGATACTTACCGAGATCAGTCGGTTTGGAATCCTTGGGTTACTTGGGTTAAAGAAAAATAGAATTGCTGAAGCAATAGGAAGAAAGAGCACTCGAATAGCAATCATCTTCTTAAGGTGTTTACCAAAAACATTGACTTGGGATTTCCACTGTTCCATAAACAACATTTCAGCGTTTTGCTTATATTTGAGATGGAATGGAATCTGTCTATCCGCCACGGAACTTTAATACAGTAGTAATTGTTTATGAAGGTTTTAGAATATCTAATTTGAATTCAGTGTAGGAGTGCACGTTTATAAGTACAGACAATTGTCATGACCAAAGAAATGAAAACGAACTAAATTCATGTCAAGTCAAGTCAAACATAAAACTATAAATTCAAATCTATTTATATTATAGTCTTTGCTTCTGTATCAATTTATGTCGGCGATTAATGGGACACAAGAAATCGACACGATGATACAAAAATTGTAATGAAGTATAAACAAAAGCAAAAAGTTTTATTATCAAAAATGGTTTCAAATGTCGAATTTATCATTAATGCATACAATAATGTTCGTTAACCGTATCTTGAATAAGTGCATTTCGTTTCCTCAAAACGCTTCAAGAGGTGAGTGTGCTAATTTCCCAACCCGCCGGTTGAATGGACATTTTGGGTCCTAAGATGGTGCTTGAAGAGATCTTTCCATTTACCAAATATTGTTTGGCCACACGAGAAACATCTTCTGCTGTTACATCTAAGAGACGCTCTCTACGGTGCTGTAACATATCATCTGAAACGCCATCTAAAAATTGCAGTACACCTTTTTGACTTTCGCTTTGAGGAGCATCGATACCTTGGAAGACGCTTAGCTTTGCCTCATCAAGATCAGATTCAGAAAACAGATGCGTGGCTGCCCATTCCGAGGCCTCAGTGAAAATGGCCAGTGAACGAGAAGGATCAGCATCACGATAAGTAAAGAAGGAAAGGATTCCATCAATCCCACTATACGACAGACCAGCACCATAAGCACCACCTTTTTCGCGAATCTCTCCGTGCAAGTATTTATGAGTAAGTAAGGAAGATAATATCTGTAAAGCTGCACCATCATCATGCGTGTATGGAACGCCTATGTATGATGAAGAAGCGAAGTTCGTTTGGAAAGGAAGTTCATGGTAAACTTGCGTAGAAGAAGGTTCAAACTTTTTAGCCGCTTGTTGCTTGGCTACTGTGGGGTTCCCAGATGATGGAGGCAAGATTTTCTTTAAAGATTTCTTTACAACTTCTTGCTGTGAAGGTGCTGCATTAACAGCAACCTTTACGTCACGAGTCTCCTTCATAAATTTCTGGATTTCTTTCAAATAAGAAACTAGTTCATCTACATCCTTTGCCTTGTTTAGTTCACTAAGAACCTTAACTTGACTAAGACCGTTGAGTTGCTCAGACATACGAGCTTTATCGGTCAGGCTGGAAGCCGATGACAAGCGTGCAAACACATGACCTCGTTCAGCAATTCCATCGGTAATACCACTAATTGATGTCTTGAGCATAATCGCCAATTTTTCACGATTCTCAAGGTTCGTCTCGTAAAACACCTTCTTAATTAAGTCAACCATTTTTTCCGCATTTTCATCTAAACAGTAACCAGAGACGTATAAGTGGAGGCCAGCTTTGGATAAATCTTTAGGATCAGTAACTAAAGATGGTGAGACGTTAATTCCACCAGTGTACCGGCGAATTTGCTGCTCTAGTTCAGCAATATTTTGATCAAAAGTTCCTAAACTAAGACAAGCATCACAGAATACACTAAGATAAGGGAGAAGGTGTTCAGGGAAATCTTTCAGAGGAAATAATACTCGAAGATAAGTGAGACCAGGACTTAATTTGTACCATTGGATAGGTATGCCTTCCATTTTGATAGAGTCAAGTTCGGTCTTTTCCGTGGTTTTACTTATGTCAGAAACACTAAGGGTAGGTAAACAACTGGTATCCTCAGGCGTCGATTGCTTTTCTAACAACTCAGCACTGACCTGTTCAATCTTTTTAATTTCGTCTTTCGAAAGAGATGATACATGATCCTGCAATTTTTGAGCCTCCTTCGTTTGAAAATTCTTTGAGAAGTCTGCAGAAGGATACATACTAAACACAAACCTTGACTTGTTTTCAAAAACGTACTTTTGAATCAATCTTTGGAATAGTTTACCATCTCTATTCTCATTCTTAAACCATTCAATCTGCTTATTCCAGGAAAGATAATCAGCTGGGTCTACGCCATTGAACCAGTAAAATGGAACTGATTGAGCTAATCCCATACCAAAGTTGGCGGATTTATGCTTCAGAGAAATTTCCATCTGATGAAGGATAGCATCTAACTTCTCTTGTTTGAATCCATTCTTGGACAACTCCTCGAATACAGAATAGACCTTTTGTTCTAACAAAGGAAGGGCATCATTAGCAGCACCTTCTATTCCAACAGAGAAAACTCCTCGCTTAGTGGTAGAGTCGTAGCCACTGTTAGGAGAAAATTCTGAACCTAAACCGGATTCAATAAGAGCTTGGTACATGGGCGAAGAAAAACCGTCCAAACACAGTCTAGAAAGCAACTTCAATGCAAAAGTTTCGTAAACATCTGCCGTATCATTTGCAAGGAAAGAAATTGAAAATTTAGCCTGTTGGTCAGGAGGCATCACAGGGTCTGCAGGACCGTACTCAGTGACACGTTTTTCAGAATCAAAGTCAGCCAAGTACATTTCAGGCTTATTTATCGTTTTAGGGAGGAAGCTTGAAAAAGTGTCACTTAAAGCAGCCAGATTCTCCTTCAAGGGAAATGAGCCATAAGAGAAAATCTTTGCATTTGAAGGATGGTAATGTGTTTTGTGAAAGTTGACTAATTCTTCATAGGTTAAATCTGGAATGGCCAGTGGATCTCCTCCACTGTTGCAACCATACGCGGTTCCTTGAAAGAGTCGTTGTTGAAATAGCATGTAGAATACATAGGAAGAGTCAGAAACCTGTCCTTTCATTTCGTTGAAAACAACACCATTGTAGATAATAGGACTAGATTTATCTTTAACGTTCGAGTGCTCAAAACGCCACCCTTCTTGTAAAAAGTCGAGCTTTCTTAGTTTTGGAAAGAGCGTTGCATCCAAATAAACGTCTCGTAAATTTTTGTAATCAGTAGGATTAACGGTTGCAAAAGGATAAAATGTGAAGTCAGATGCCGTAAAAGCGTTCATGAAGTTTGCTAAGCTGCGATTCAGCATTTTAAAGAACGGATCCCTGACAGGATACTTCTTGCTTCCACATAGTGTAGTATGTTCTAAAATATGAGGAATTCCTTTGTCACTATCAGTAGGCGTATGGAAGCCAATACTGAACACATTATTAGGATCGTTCCGTGAAAGATGGATCATATCAGCCTTAGTAGCATCATGCTGCAAACGAATGTATTCTAACTCTAGTTCAGGTATATTTCTTTTCTATTAATATGTTAGACAAAAAAATACCATCGGTAATACTTTAATAAGAAGTATTAGAACTTACATCTATGACAGAAAAGTCGTGAATCTTTTCGCCAACATGAATCCAACGACAAAAAGGCTTGCCAAACTTGTTTTTTATGTTTTTATTACGACAGAACGAGGATATTCTGGCGTGATTCATAGTTTAAAAAAAACTATGGATTGTTGGTTTTGGACACGTAAGTTAGGTATAGTTACCCTGCGCAGCCAAACTTTTGTAAGCAATCAATTACAGGAAAACGTTGGTCGTCTCTTCTGTCAATCGCTTTGATTGATTATTTAAATTCTTTGAGTCTCAATATAGAAAAACTATTTTTTTTAGCTTGGTTCGTTTGCCCATACGTTATGTCTGTTTGTGCCATTGTTCATGCTACGTTTGAAGCTAGAGAAGGCTATAAATTAGAGAAGGCATTTCCCAATAATGTTAATTTTAAAGGTATCGAATATTCTCTTTTCCCTAGTGGGATTCAACAGTTGAATCAGTGCATGGTAGCATTTCGATTTAGAGATCAGCTGTGTTTAAGCATTTATAGGAAGAAACTTGGAAAGGATTATGAAAGGAATGCTTATTTCTCTTCAATTGGTATTCTCTTGCAGGACGCTGGTATTAGCGTAGAGGAAGCTGCTGTGAAATACTTAAAACTTTTGGATTTCGTATCAAAAGCCATTGTCTCTTCTGATCCAACAAAGGAACCCAATAATATAAATGAATCTGTCTATCAAAGTTTTCAAAAGACTATTGAATCTTTGTATGATGCTAGTGAGCCACTAGAAGAGTATCAGCAAAGATTGCAACTGGCTGTGATGGAACAAAACTTCAGTGCTATTATTTCTGTCCTAAATAATAGGGAAAAAATAACTTACAATTCATTTTCTCTCAATTTAGCTCAACATTATTATTCATTGATAGATAAATGGCTCGGCCCGACTTTTCTTCTTTTATATAAATGTATGATGCAAAAGAAGCGGATTCTTTTGGTTTCCTTACCAAATCCTGAGATATATGCAATTATGGATGCCATGACTCGTTTAAGCTCCGTTTTTGATGAAGAACATGGTGTTCTTCCAAATCCCTTATGCAAATTTTACTCCGTAGGCCTAACAGATATCGACTTTCTTGAAAATTCGAATCCAGAAAGTGGTTGGATTGTTTCCACTGCCGATTCTATACTGTTATCCAAATCTTCTTTATATGATGTTGCCTTTATTTGGCCAGCGAACCCTTTATCTAAGTCGGGTCCTCCAAGAATACAGCTTTCAAATAGTCTTTCGTTAAAATATTCCTATGAAGATGCATTGAACTTACATTTAATTTCTGAAAGATTTGACCCACGGATTGCAGGTACATCAAAATTCACGAAATATTCAGTTGGTGCTATTATACACATTATCCTTTTTAACTCTACCCGCTTTCATTTGGTACAATCTTTAGTTTCAACTAATCAAAGAAATTTATTTTCAGCTTTTCCAAGATACAATCAATTTCTTCTGAGTCGCTTGAATCAGGACCATGACAAAATCAGCATTGCAGATATGAGAAACTTTGGATGCAATCCCTTTAGACAACTTGATCGTGATTTTGTTTTTAATGTTGCCCAGATTTGGCTTCATAAATACGTCCATTACCGCTATCCTTCGTATGCTTATTTGATGCAACCGATTGCTTGGGGGATTCATTCCCTTTTACTCTCTATCGGTATATGGAAAAGATCTGTTCCTACGTTACTTATTTATTTATTGCTCTTAAAATGGTGGTACAGCTAGTATGATTATTAATGAACAAGCTATATATATATAATTTTTGTTTACCTAAAACCCAAAAATGAAATCAACTATATCTAAAAAAAATGAAGTGGTTAAACTGATTTTAATTTCGCATTTTTTCCGTCAAAAGTTCAAGTAATTTCTCGTCAGAAACGTCATCTGAAATGCCCAAAGATATTCTGTATTGTCTTAAAATGTCTTGTGCAGCTTCTTCCGTTGGCTCTTCTTCATCCGGTTCAACATATTCACCATCATACTCATCCTCTTCAGCGTCAGATATTGTTTCTGCCGGAGCTTCCTCTTTGGATACGTGCATATCCTTCATAAGCTTTGACAATTGGACCTCCTTTTGTTTTTCTTTTTCCACTTTTTGAATTTCTTTTAGTCTTTCTATTTCGGGAAGATAATCATTTTTATATTCTTCAGCTTTAGAATCCACTGCCTTTAAGAAGTCATCCATTCCTTCGCCGGTCACGGAGGAAACAGAAACAAAGTCCAAGTGTCGATAAAATTCTTCAAGCATCAAAGACATGCTATTTACAAGAGATCCCATATATCCAGAAGTAGCACCTTCAGCACTTGTTCCTTCGTCCTTAACGATAGCTTGTTGAAACTCTTCAAAATCTAACATCCACTTCTTGGCAAACTCAGCATCTTGAACGTCGCACTTGTTGAAGACAATAATTAAAGGAAGCTTTGTCTTATACAACATAGAGCAAGCATAAAGCATCGACGACATGAAAGTAGAAGTTGATGTGGAACGAGGAGTGTCAACAACGTAAGCAATGCAGGTGGGCCATGAACTGGCAAGCGTATCACTGATAATACTACCTGATGCTGACCATTGGAATATCTCAATCTGACCAGGAGTGTCAATTAAAATATGGTCAACGGTTGGTGCGCGTTTTTCCAAAATTTTCAAAACTTGATCAAATTTTGTAACGAATAAGTTCAAACTGGTCATAATACCACCATTGGGACCCAATTTGTATCTAAATTTACATTTAGTAACGTCTCTTTCATAAAACTTTTATAGATATAACATACTGCTTCATAACTTCTTTGTAATTGATCGTATCGCGAATATCAATATTTGCTTCATAAGGAAGATTTTTAACAGCAGGATCTAAATTAACAATATACGGAGGGTTCTCCTTAGAATGTAAATGTGCATTCAACTGTTGTAAGAATGTTGTTTTTCCTATGATATAAGGTGAGCGACTGGTCAAGCAAAAGGAAAACAACTCTAATTTGGACTAATTATATAATTCATACCTGATCCTGCCATTCCTACAACGATAATTGAGGAAGGTTTCTTTACATTTTCATCCATCTCTGGCATATTTGATTTTGGAAGGGATTTGGTAAGTGGTATGTGCAAAAGCTGAAAAACGAAAGGGTTGTACCCTCAAATGCTGTTATACGACAGTAACCTCAAGTTTTTAACTATTAATTATATATTTTCTTATTTGAAGATATTTTTATGTACTTTCTCTGCCAAACATACATTTATTAATCTTCAGAATTGATGAATATGAAAAGATAAACACACAGATGGTTCAGAAACAATGAAGATCTTAAGTTCAAGAATTTATTTTCTTCTCTTGAATTTAAGTTTTATTGTGCGAAGGACCTACGAGTGGGCATAGATCGACTATGATCAATTCCACTTGATTTGGGAATAGAGCTAGCCGTCTTATGCACTTGGAACCTAAGATCTTTGTTTGAGTTTTCTCCTGCCAATGCTGCACGAGCATTCATGAACTGCACAGGGATATTTTCATCCGGCTGATTGGAAGTGTTATTTGATGATGAATCTACAACGTTTGGGGGCTGCAACGGGTCATCTGCTTCCAATTCATCTATCATTCTTTCATTATAAGGTTAGAATATTGCCCATAATTGCAGGATTCATACTTACTCCTCGAAATCGTCTACTCGAGGTGATTCCGGCATTAGTGGACGGTCGTTATGCATAAGAAATGTATCGAGCTCTTCATCTTAAATTTAATGGATTAGTATTTTTGCTTTCATTTATTTGATACTTACCAGCATACATGTCGGTTTCGGAATGAGCTAGCTCGGGAGATAACCTTGTATTTGGTACTGAATGTTCATTGCCTTTCGATTGGAATACATCTTTCATTCCACGTTTCAAATTGTTTAAGCGAGTATTTGAATTTCCTTCTGATATCTGTTCAGGTTTAATAGGTTGTTTTGTTTCACTTGTCGCTGTTTGATTTTCAGAAAGGGGCCTCAAAGATGATGTCCTCCGACGAGGCCTGTTTCTCTGTAACAGATTTGAATAATTAAACTCGCTCTTACAAAGAATCAGCATATTGAAGGAATGAAACCAAATGGAAGTCTATATGTTTACATACCTTGGGAGTAGCCATTCTGGATATCCTCTGAATATAATTTTTATCATAGAGACAATTTCCCATACTACTGCCGAAATTCCTCAGTGCACGTTTTAATCCATCAGTGGTGCCCTCCTTCTTACATTTTTCAAATGCTAGCGCTTTTGCTCGACAGTTGTCTATTGATCCATAACCAATATCCTAGAGATTTTGTTAGTATCAATAAAATAGAATTCAAATTCAAATTCAATTACTTCATGAAATGTTCCATCCTTAAGGGTCACGCGAACAATTACGCTCAGACCGATACTGTACTTTTGCGTTTCTTTTGATTCATCAACCTGTTTTTGTTAGTTTCTTTTTTATTTCTATTTCATGAACAAATTTGTTGTTGTAATGAAACCATTTCGTACATAATCCACATGAATACTCTGAATGGAAGAAGACCACCCATTGAACCCAAAGATTTCATTTGCAAGCTCAATTGCTTTCCATGCTTCCAAATATGTTACAGATGATCCACCGGGTCCACTTCGACGGGATATATATTCTGGTCCTAACTGCATAGAAAGCAATTTTGACATTTCCTCATGCTCTACAGGATTATACACAGTACTAACATTTCCAAATGCATTTGAATTTTTAGAATCATGCTGCTCCATGATTATTTCTCTCTTTTAAGAATTTCTTCACGATTTAGTTCACGTCTGGTACTGGTATAAAAGGATTTAACGCGAATTATGTATTGTTCAGGTTGACACGTCACTTTAATGGCTCTTTTTTTTAATATATATCAATATTAAAAAATTATTTAAAGAATCTCAATATGTAATTTGTGATTTTACGCGTTTCTTTCACTTTTAGTATCATCCGAACTCCTACTATATCATAGAAGTCGTCTACATAAATTCATATTAATGAGAATTGTACCTTGGGATGTCACTTGTATATATAAACAAATAAAACGAAGTATATTTACGAGTAAAATAATTTCAAGTTATAAAGAATAGATAGATCGTGAAATATATAAATATATTAATTTATAATTAATTTTTTTTTTAAAAAAAAAAACATATTACTTCATTTAGTAAGGGTTGAAAAAGGGTTTTGAATAAATAAAGCATGTTTCGATAAACCAGATACTGTTAGTTTCTTTTATTAATGGAAGACTATATATAATAGTTTACACCTACAAGTAAATATTTATAAATTACAATTGTTTCTAAACTATAGTAATAGGTATTTTATATATGTATCCAATGTATATGTTTACATTCATCTCAAACGAAAAATTCAACAGGTTCATTACCAGTTGAAGAAAGAATCAAGAGAGGGATATATAATAATAATTAAATCTAGGATTGTAGACGATTTAGAAGCAAAAGTCATCGAATTAGAAATCCAAATCTATATTTCACCACAGTTCAGCACAGACATTTTGAGACTGTTCACATGATAAATTACTGAAATAAAAAAGAAAATTCAATGTATGTGGTCCTCTTTTCGTTATTTTATTTTATTTATTTTTTTGCTTATACTCCAGTTACTATACAAACTCCAACAACGGCTTCAATGCCTTATAAAACCAATAACCTCAAGAAAAATTTTAATCAAACAATCGGTTTTCTTAGAATTAAGCATTCACATGCTTAAAATATCAACAGCATCGAGCAATAGAAATTATTTTTACCTGAGGTTCTATTAACATCTTCATATTCACAATTATTTAGCTTCATTCAACAATTAGACACTATGCCTGAGTGGTTAAAGGGATAGATTAGAAATCTATTGCGGTCTCCGCGCGCAGGTTCAAATCCTGCTGGTGTCGATTTTTAAACAATTTTTTGCTTTATAATTTTAAATTTGAATTAGTATGCTGCAAAGATGAAATAAAAGGTTTGTTTTAAGTTCTTAATATAAATGAATTGACAGGCGATCTGTTAAACGTCCGTGCTCGTTTGAAGTTGAAAGGATACTCATAAATGTTTGAGTTTGCTCTATTGGTGCAGATGTTTCAATCATAGGAATTAATTTTTAAATTGATCACAAAGGGATTAAAATAATTGACATGTGCATTTCAAGTTGATGTACGACATGTTCGTATGGAGAAAATACTTTATTGATCATTCATTGTAGAATCAAGAACCATGTATCAAATATTTAGAATACAAATGTAAACGATAATATAATGAAATGATTCATATCCAATTGTCACCGTATAGCCACATCGTTTCGTGTTACTATAACTTTTCCGTTGCTAGGTTCATATTTCCTATTTTATTATGGTTCCCATAGAGCAACGAATCTCGTGAAGAAGCATACATATTAAATATTGAAAGATCTTACCATGAAAAAGGTTCCTTGCAACAAAACATAGACTAATCCTCTTTCCGTGCAGCTTCCAACAAGGGCTCAACCTTTTTAACTTTCAGAGCCTTAAACAGACATTGCTTGTATTCATAAAACAAGTCATCACATTCTCTATTATGGATATCTCCTTTCAAAAACTTGTTTACATACCAGTCATTAAAACAAGTATCATATTTTTGCTAGGGAAGTGTTAACGTACGTTACCAGTAAAAAAAGGCATAGACTTTCTTACCTTTGCAGGGGTGCATTCTTCAGAAAAGGAAGAAGACATGGTTTTTTTGGAAATACTTTATGGCAAAATCAAAAGGAACAGCAATCGATTGTCAACGGAAGCTTTTTGCAATACAAGAAAAAAATACAAGAAACTTTTATTCCTTTAGCATCAATTACAGGAACTACCTGAGTTCTTTTTTTATTATACGCTGAAATCCACTTGAAATGGGTGTTTGGGTGTAAGATAATTTCGCGTTGCCTCTATTTCCTTTCCACCATCCTTCCTCCATATCACCAACTCCAGTAGGAATGAAATAAGATTGACCCGTTTCCGTTCAGATTTTGGTTAATAAAATTTGTATTTATTTATTTATTCAGCATCAATTGAACATCGGATCGGTTATAAAACAAATTCGCGAGATAGAAAAGAGTTGTTGAAAACGAAGAAAACGAACGCTCTTCAAGATTCGTTTATTATTACTGTATATTTTATCTTATAAAAAAAGGAGCATTGAGCCAATTGACATCCAATCTCATAATACTTTACAATAGCGGTTGTTTCCCTTATGTCAAATTTAGCAGACGAGTTGTTAGCTGACTTGGGCGATGATTTTGAACGCCAACCTCAGAACGAGGAAGAAGAAAAGACTGATATTTTCGAAGCGAACAGCAAGAAGCGAAAATTCGAGCAATTATCAGAAAATGGAAATGACCTTTCCGCCGAATTGAATAATGATTTAGACTCGATAGAAGGCGTTGAAGATGAGAACGAAAAACAGCAGCCAACATTCACTGAAGCTGATCGACTGATTTACCCATTTCTTCATTCCGATCGTTTAAACACCGTAGTTAAAAACATTGAAAAATACCAAGGCACTGAGAAGCAAGCCATATCTGGTAATATCGAAGATGACCCGGAATATCAACTCATCGTCGACTCGAATTCAATAGCTATGGAAATTGATGATGAGATCTTACGTCTTCATCGCTTGGTAAAGGAGTGGTATCATCATCGTTTCCCAGAATTAAGTGGACTTGTTTTGAACGCATTTGATTATTGTAAAACCGTCTTGGCTCTTTTAAATGATCTTGAAAATAGCAAAAGCAAACTTTCTTTTCTTCCTTCCGCGACAGTCATGGTAATCGCTACGACTTCGACTACGACAACGGGACGCCCGTTATCCGAAAGCATGATTGAAAATGTTAAACTTGGCTGCATTGCAATTGAAGAACTAAGCACAACCAAGACCAAAATTATAGACTACGTGCAGTCGAGAATCAGTGTTGTTGCCCCAAATCTTTCTATTCTTGTGGGCTCGACAACAGCTGCTAATTTAATAGGAATTGCCGGTGGTCTTACTAGATTGGGTAAATTTCCTGCTTGTAATTTACCAGCATTAGGTAAGAAGAGGCTGACGACGATTGGGATCAACAATCCAGCCGTTAGTGGTGATTACGGATTTCTTTATATGTCCGGAATCGTTCAAAAAACACCACCTGATGCTCGAAAACAGGCAATTCGTGTACTTGCTGCAAAAGTAGCGTTGGCTGCTCGAATCGATTCCATTCACGAGTTTTCTGATGGCTCTTTCGGTGTCCAAACACGAACAGAGGTAGAAAAAAAAATTGAGAAGCTATTAGAACCTCCATCTCAACGACCTGTTGTCGCGTTACCGGTACCCGATGACAAGCCTAAACGTCGTCGCGGTGGTAGACGAATCCGTAAAATGAAGGAACAATACGCCGTCACTGAGCTTAGAAAAATGCAAAACCGTGTTGCCTTTGGAAAACAAGAAGCTGAAGTTCTTAACTATGATGAATCAGAAGGTCTTGGTATGCTTGGCCAAGAAGGCGAAGGTAAAATCCGTGCTGCTTCCATCGATACCCGCACCAAGCTGAAAATTCCAAAAGCAAGAAAAGCTCAACTCCAATCAATGGCTCCGAAAAATCCTCTTCAAGCCAGCGGTTTGCAAAGTTCGTTGTCGTTTACTCCAGTACAAGGTATTGAACTAGTAAATCCTTTATTACAGAGACAAAAGCAAGTGGAAGACGCTAACAAGTGGTTCCGAGATGGTGTATTTACACAAATAAAGAAGGAATCCAGTGACAGTCAAAAAAAGTTTTCATGAATTATTTAGAGATACTTAGGTTAGGAATTTTTAATGAGAATGCTTCATGTATATAGTGCAGAAAAATTACAAAGGAACGCAACCTGAATAAACTAGACTATGAAAAAAAAACTAGCTTAGAAAAAAGATGAAACCGCTGAAGACTGAAGGTAGAAAATCCAATAAACCAGCTCTTTCAAAAAGTGATTTCACAAACCAGCTTGCAAGTCTTCTCACGTTCAATAGGAAAAGGAAATAATAGTTAAGTACATAATAAGCGTCAAAGGTAAGTTCGATATGAAAGAAAATAATTAATAACACGTTTATTAGTATGAACTGTTTCTGCAATAAAATACATTACTGAGAAAAAAAGGAAGACGCAAATTTGACTAGTAACAAGGAGCGGACAAAGAAAAGATTATAAAGGAGAGATAGTTCACGTTATTCATTTTGATGTCTCATTGTAAGATCCTCGTTTTGACAATGCAATGTCGGAAAAGACAGAATTGGAAGAACTATTTTTTGATAAACTCCAATTTGTAAAAGCAGATCCAGGACGCTGGATACCAGCCTGTTCTTTTTGCTCATCATTCCATCCCAAGACGGAGGAAATCAGTTGTAGAATTTCGAAACGTTTCGTGTCTGCTCGTGGTAAAGTAAGAAACGATACAAACAAATTGGAGATTAATTGTTTATCAATTTTTTCCGAACTATCACCTTCTTTTAGCATACAAAGAGCTTTCGTGAGATGCTCATTAAGAATTACAGCCTCATGCTGTAGTTTCCCGATTAAAAGCGATTTCTCTCGTAGCTCTTGTTCCAAATCTATGACTTTAGAAATTCGAGATTCAGCTTGACGGAGCTGTTCTTCTAAAGAGTTAAAAGCAGCTTCCTTAGCAGCAAATTTTTCTGATAGTTCATCCAAACTAGTTTGGTAGGAAGTTTGTAACTCACTTTTATCCTCCAGGTGCTGCTCTTTGAGATTATCCAATTCTATTTCTAGCTTATGTTGCATAGTAAGGTGCTCCTGGATCTCTTTCTGATAATGTTCTTGGCGTTCACTTTCTCCCATTAATTGTTCTTCGTAATCAGCAAGACGAGCTGCTAAAGATTCTTGCATCTCATGCTCATCTTTAGCTCTCCTTTCCCACTGTCTTACCTGGGTATTCAAGTTTTGACTCTCTTTAGTCAGTACATCATTCTGGGACTGCAACTGCTCCACTTTTTCTTGTAGACTTCTCGTTTTCAGCGACAAGCTTTTAGATTCTTCATTGTTAAGCTTCAAAGCATCCTCAGATTCCTGCAGCAATTTCTCCAACTTCTGGATCTGTGTCCGGCTTTGCGCAAGAGCTTGCGAATCTTTTTTTAAGCGTTCACCCAGGGTTATCTTAATTCCTGAAACTTTTGATACTAAGTTTGAATGTTGTTTCTTCAGGGATTCGTAAGATGATTGTAATTGTTGCAAAATCGTCTCCTTTTTTTCTAACTCGATTTTCAATTCTTCTGCACTCATTTCCTGAGTGGTTTTCACAGGACTTTCCGCATTCGCAACAATAGGGCTTTCTGCATTATGTTCCTCTATTCGTAAGTCTCCTAATTCCTCAGAAATACGCCCATTCTCTGTTGATTCTGTCTGTTTTCCTGCATCCTCTGCCATTCCTCTGTTTGGTTAGAATAACGAACTCTAATGTACTTCTCATTTCTGCTACATTTCACTTCCTGGTGGTGAGTTGCAGCTCAAGAGTGAAGTAACAGACTCATGTTGAGTACTAGTTTACGGGATTTACCGTTAACAAAACACCTTATAAGATTGTTTAGTTGCTGAAAGCGTCGTGGAATTTAAATTACGGATTTTAAAAAGTGATTCTTTCGTTTTAATTTACACCTAGATTTTTTTGGGCTAAAAACGCTGGATTTTGGGAGAGAATTGTCCAAGACAACCATTAACTATCCTCGTCGTGTAATACAAAGAGGGTTAGTTTTATACAATTTGTCTTTTTGCATTCGTCAATTTTGAATAGGAGTCTCGACGGTTTGGATTGATTTCGGAAAAGTAATACCCTTGTACTTTACGGAGACATCTCTTGACAAGTCGACTTTGATTATTTTCGTTTATTTTTTTTTATTTTCTTTGTGCATTTACATATGGGTATTCTTTGAACGGTTTTCTATCTTTTTACTGTACCAATACACTGCTCAGGCTGCCGTTATTTTGAAAGGGAACTTTATCCGTATCATATAAATTAGTGTATTGCTCTTTATTTATTTCTATTATATTCAATGGCAAAAAGACATAGAACTGGAGATAGTGATTCGGATACGAATGATTCCTCTTCCTATTATCATAGGAAAAGAAAGCATTTACATCGTCGCCGAGATTACCACGAACCCGGGAAAAATATTAGCATTCTTGAACGAAAAACTCAAAAATTAACCTACCTTATTAAACATTATTTGGAAGAATCCAATCTATTTTCCAAAGATGATATCACTGCTGTCCTACCTGGCTATATTCATGGTAGGTTGGAAGGCCTTTATGAAATGTTAAAAAATCGTAACGATACTTTACGGTCAGGTGCTTTTAAATCCTCTGACTTACCAGATTATGAAGTGAACCCTTCTCTACCTGTTTCTGAAAACAATACAGCTAACCAAGAGCAAGAAGAAGGAGAATACCCTCCACCTCTACCGGATCTGCATTCTGAAAAGCTTCGAAGACAAGTTTTCACCCATATTTCCCGAGCCTATGAACTCTACCCAAACCAATCAAATCCTAGCGAGCTTCTTGATATTCATAATGAAAGACTAGAATTCCTTGGTGATAGTTTCTTTAATGTGTTTACCACTAGATTAATTTTCAAGTCATTCCCTCAAATGGATGAGGGTAATTTATCGAAACTTCGAGCCAAGTTTGTAGGGAATGAGTGCGCTGATCAATTTTCTCGATTGTATGGTTTTGATAAAAGGCTTGTATTAAGCTACTCTGCTGAGAAAGATCAACTTCGTAAATCTCAAAAAGTGATTGCAGATACGTTTGAAGCCTACGTCGGTGCATTGATTCTTGACAACCAAGAAGAGGCTGCGTTCAATTGGGTTCGACAGTTGCTTGATCCAAAAATTAAAAGTACTATCGTTCAAGGACCCATAGATAAACTTGCCAAGTCGAAGCTATTTCACAAATATAGCACTCAAGGTCACATAGAGTATCGTTGGGTAGATGGAGCAGGAGGTTCCTCTGAAGGATATGTAATAGCATGTATATTTAATGGCAAAGAAGTTGCTCGAGCTTGGGGAGCAAACCAAAAGGATGCTGGTTCACGAGCGGCTATGGAAGCTTTAAAGGTTCTTCCAAAACAAAGATGATGCTCAGTATGTTTTACACATTATATGATGACTTCGTCTGATTTGCAGATTCAACTTTCTCTGAAAATTCCTAGACACTACCATTCAAACTTCACTTACTATCCTTAATCTTTATTATATACATTTGGAATATTAGGTTTAGTAAACAGAATGTATTTTGTTTTACTGATTTTTATACTTAACATATAAGTAAGACTGTAATAAGCAGTAAATAACCATACTGGTCGCCAAATCTCGCGTTACGCAAATGCAATATTATATTTATGAACAACATCCTTTTTGATGAACAGACAAGGTATATGCAAATTATTGTATTATTTCATTGTTTTATAACAAATATCCAAAACGAAAGATTTAAGAGAACCAAAAAAATCGGAGTAAGTTTTTTGAGTCGATTATAGTATATAGGGCGGTATCATGGTCTAATTTACATATCATCAGAACACTTTTTTTTTTAAGGGGGGAGAATACTAAATAACGAAAAACAGCTTAATCGAGGTGAGCAATGTGAGAAGCCTGGAAACGACCAGAAGGATCAGCAGGACAACCCCATTCTGCCTTGGGAATCCAGCGCATAACAGTGTCGGCACATTGCGCAGGGAAGATTTCGTCAAACATTTTACGGTACCAATAAGCCTCCTTAGTATCAGGAATATCACTACCCCATTCCTTTTTAGGTACAACGAATTCATCATCTGATATAGTCAACTCAGCGGTATCCTTCAAAGCATCAATCCAAGAATAACCGACACCATCTGAGAATTGTTCCTTTTGTCTCCAAAGAATGTCTTCGGGAAGGTATGGTTTGACATTAGGTTCATCAGAGGTATCAAAGGCCTTACGGATAATGTGCTTCTCTTTACGGCCGTTAATATACATCTTTTCTTTAGGATCAATGTTAAGACTGACTTCCAAAAAGTCCTTATCCAAGAAGGGAACACGAGCTTCAAGACCCCAAGCCATAGTGGATTTGTTAGCACGCAAGCAATCAGCCAAGTGCAAGCCCTTAACACGGCGAACGCATTCAGAATGGAAGTCAGCAGGACTAGGAGCATTGCCAAAGTAAAGATAACCACCAAAAATTTCATCAGAACCTTCACCGGACAAAACCATTTTAACTCCCTGAGCTTTAATTTTACGAGAAAGCAAGTACATGGGTGTACTGGCACGGATAGTAGTAACGTCATAAGTTTCAAGATGGAATATAACATCGCGAAGAGCGTCGAGACCTTCATCAATGGTGAAGGTGTGTTCATGGTGAATGGTGCCTAAAAACTCGGCGACCTTACGAGCGGCAAGCAAGTCAGGAGAACCCGGCAAGCCGATAGCAAAGGAATGAACCTTGGGCCAAGCCATGATAGTACGGGCTTCTTCACTATCAGTACTTTTGGAACTAACAATCTTTTCTGTTTCACGAACAGCAATAGAGGCGATTAAGCTAGAGTCCAAACCACCAGAGAGAAGAACACCATAAGGAACTTCGGCCATAAGACGCTTGCGGACAGCAGTCTCCAAAGAACTACGAAGAAGCTTATAGTCAACGGGGTTGGCGGGAATACGGTCTTCGTTCCACCAGGAGGGGTTGAAGTAACGAACGGTTTGCTTGGTTTCCGAATCATAATAATGACCAGGAGGGAAAGCAATAATCTTATCGCAGATAGGATGTAAAGCCTTCAACTCAGAAGCAAAATGCACAGTTTCAGGGCTTTCAGAGTTGAAACCTTGATATAAGGTGGTAATACCAATAGGGTCACGAGCCGCAACCACTTTGTCCTTGTTTTGGTCATATAAGGCAAAAGAGAACATACCATCAAGGAGATTAGCACAAGCGGCGCCATGTTCCTGGTATAAGTAAAGAATTACTTCACAATCGGAATGGGTTCTAAAGTTGTAAGAGCCCTTCAAAGACTCGCGCAATTGAAGGTGGTTGTAAATTTCACCATTGACAGAGAGGACCAGCTTACCATCTTCAGAGGTAATGGGTTGAGCACCACTGTCGACGCCGACAATGGCCAAACGCTCATGGCAAAGAATGGTTTTGTTGCGAATAGCCTTACCCGACCAATCTGGTCCACGGTGGCGTAATTGTTTTGACAAGTAAAGAGCCTTGGGCTTGAAGGCCTCAATATCTTCAGCGACGCGATGAACGGCTAGAATACCACACATATTCCTAAATCACTACAAGACTGTATCAATTGGTGTCAGGACTTGTTTTTTCTTTTCTTTTATCCACGTGAATCAAGTGTTTGTAGACGGGATATTTATTTTTTCGCCGATTTTTTTTGAGAGATTGAATAATCTAATGGCGAATTTAAAACTTCTAAACAAAAAAAAAGGGTGAATTAATTTCTATGCAACTAAGATGACAGTGTTGTTGGCGGAAGGCAACTTCCACTTCCCTTTATACATTTATACTTTTTTTGATATGAATCAGCGATCATCACGGATGGAAGATAAAGGCCGATACCTTCCACTATCATGGAACTCTGTAGATAAGGGATAGGGTAGCGTAAGGTGAAAGTTCAGTAGGAAGCTTCTAGAGCGGTACAGAACAATATAGATAATTTTAACTTCAGAACGTAGTACAGTAAGAAATATAATGAAGGGAAACGATGTGTGCCAAACAATATAGGAAATTCGATAGAGAACACTTAACCACATGATTGCGCCACTGCGAACAACTGCGTTAAACTGGCCCGTTCTATACGAATCCATGGCACCATGATTTTACCTTTAGCTACTACTTCGAAATTGCATTGTGCACAGAATAAAGCCTGAAAGTGGCATTGACGAAGGGTTTTTGAATATTTGTAGATTTATAAATTTACTCAACATTGAAATACCTAAAATTCGTTTTTTTTGAACGAAATCACTTTGATATTCATTTAGTTTGAGTTGTTGAAAGGTTTGGTAAACATTCATTCCTACCAACAAAAACGACCGAATTGGTTTCTTCATTTCAGTTCTTTGACAAAGATAAATTTGTTTGTTTGAGTAATTCCTAATTACAGAAAGTTGGATTCATCCCTTTTCACTGGGTACATCGAATCTGTTCCTCTTTTGTTAGCTAGTATTTGTCTTTTCGTATACTCTTGATCTGTCTAAAGGGTATAATCGTTTACAGTTTTTGTATCGGACCCTCTTTGCCGAAAGCTATTTGTTTTTACTTGCGCTTTTATTTTCCCTTCAGTTTGATTCATCATGGGCAGTAGCAGTCGTAGAAGATCTTCTTCCTTGGTCACCAAGGTGCCCAATCCCACCATCGACGACCGTTTGGATCAAGGATCTGCCACAAATTACAACTCCAATTGGGTGAACTATAAAGGTATGTATAAAAGAATCAAAGAGCTCTGCTTGTTTTCCTGCACGCATCCTCGAGTCTTGTTTATTTTAGATTACTAATATTTAGGTGCTTGGATCATACACATTGTCCTTATTGCAGCTCTCCGTCTTGTATTCCATGCGGTTCCATCTGTCTCTCGCGAACTTGCCTGGACTCTCACGAACTTGACGTATATGGCCGGATCATTCATTATGTTTCACTGGGTAACTGGCACCCCTTTTGAATTCAATGGCGGTGCTTACGATCGACTTACGATGTGGGAACAACTCGATGAAGGAAATCAATATACTCCCGCACGTAAATATTTACTTGTGTTACCCATCATCTTGTTTCTTTTAAGTACTCATTACACTCATTATAACGGATGGATGTTTTTGGTTAATATATGGGCTCTGTTCATGGTATTAATTCCAAAACTTCCTGCCGTTCATAGAAAACGAATCTTCGGTATACAGAAATTTGCTCTACATGACGATGAAAGCGAGACCGTCTCGCGTTAAAGTCGGAAGCCTACATTCATGTTAACTATTTTTTTATTCCCGCATTCATGCTTTTGCTGTATTGAAATATTCACTGTTCGATTTATTGTTTTCTTTTTCTTTCTTCTCGGATTTATCATGAGGGCCTCACCAATACCTCTTATGAATCTGTTAAACAACTAAAAATAGATTTTCTTTGATGACTCATTGTTTGATGTTGATTGTTTACCTACATATTCTTTTCTATCCCTGATGTTTCTTTATTTCAATCTTGCTTTTTAGAGAATTGCTTTTATTATTTACCGTGAGGTTAAAAGACCGTTTTTAAGCTCGCCACAAGCCGTTTTTCTTTGACTGTTTCTCATTATTCTCTTAATTTTTTATAGTTAAAAGTGTTTTTCAGGCGCTCTAAAATTCAGGTTGAAGAAATTTGAAGTTGAAAAACAAAAAAATATATATATTTAAAAGGAAAAAAAGACTTTTGTTTTGGACTTGCAAAGCATAACTTCTCTTCGTACTCAATTAAGTGTATAATTTTCATTGTCTGATAGTGTTGGCATTTTCGACCTCTCACGCATTGTTGAGGCAACAGTAATAATAGTGTTTTTCCTGCAATAACTTAATTTAATTTTTATTTCTTTAAACTATACCGTTTTGTAATTTACAGAATACAATGTGATTTATAAGAAAGGAATGAATAATTCTCAACAAGTCAAATGCTTTTCCGTGAATGAGTCAGTCATTTTATACATGTTTTGTGTTTGTATCTACTATTATTTATGCAAATATCCTGTAACTGAATGTATTGAATCCTTTCCTTGCATGTCCTACAAGGGAAAGTTAATTAAACATGCGAAAAAGTAAATATAAAGTCGTAGATGATGATGCAACCGTGGAATGAAAATGCTATGCAATGAGCGTAAATGCAACTACACGGACTAGGAGGGACAGTACTGGGGGGCGTAAAAAAGAAAAGAACGGTGCAAAGAAGAGAAGCCGGAAATAAAACCAATATGCAATTCTGAGGAACATCAGATGAACGTTTATAACATATTACTTCCTTGGAGGAACTCCACGATAAGTGGGTTGATGTTGAGCGGCCATCATCTCATTCAAATAGGCTGGGTTACCATCTTTGCCGACATTAGGCTGCTGGTAGGTGCCCTGCATATGATTGGTAAAAGGGTTTCCATAAACAATATTTTGAGTAGATTGAGGAACAGAAATAGTTGGATGCGGCTGCAAGGGAGCACGACGACGTACCTTATGGCGGAATTTCAAAACTTCGTCCAAGATTTCTCGTTTCAAATCTTTAATATCTTCAAGGGATTCAAAGCTAAAATCAAATATGGAATCACATACAGGTTCATCTGTTGGATCGTGCCAAACAGCTAAATAGGGATGTTCCAAAGCCTCTTCAACGGATATACGTCTCTGAGGATCAAACTCCAAGAGTTTCGAAAGTAAATCAAGAGCAAGAGGGTTTGCTCTAGGGAAATTAACTTGAAAAGGAATCGGTTTTTGTTTAGGAAGGCTTTTCACATAATCGCGAGCACGGGAACTGCTTATATGCGAAAGTGTTTCGTTATCAGGCGTTCCGAGTTGATGTAAAATTAAATTGAGCTGATGAACATAGTCTTTCCCTTTAAATAATGGGGTACCACCTAATAGCTCAGCCAAAATGCATCCTACACTCCAAACGTCCACACCTTTGTGATAACTGCTAAAAGAGAGCATAATCTCTGGGGCTCTGTACCATCTTGTAGCTACGTACTCGGTCATAAACCCAAGATTTTCATCGGCGTTTTCAGTACAACCACGAGCTAAACCAAAGTCGCAGATCTTAAGTTCACAATCTGCATTAACTAACAAATTACCCGGTTTTAAATCACGGTGAATTACATTTGCCGAATGAATGTATTTTAAGCCGCAAAGAATTTGGTAGATAAAAGACTGAAAATGGGCATCTGTCAAAGGTTGCCCGGACTTAATGATAGCATTTAAATCAGCTTCCATCTAAAATGATATTAGCAGACAATACTTGAAAAAGATTCTCAGAGACGTTCATCTTCTCTTAATTAAAACATACCAATTCCTCGTAAATATAGACTTCGTTAAAGTTATACGGGTTGATGATGTCCAAGTCATAAATGCAAGTAATCTAAATGGTTAGTTATCGTGTACTATAACCAAAACAGTAACTGTAGCTCCAATTATGACTCCCACTTCACTCATGGAACAACGTTTTCATTTCATACGTTTCGATGATTCCGCATATGAATCAATAACTTGATTTCGCGAAGAGCACGCTTTGTTAAAATAGGTTTAGAAAAGACATTGGTGATCTTCTTTATGGCAACTGCCTCCTGGTCTTTACTTGCTACATTTCGAGCAGCACAAACAATTCCGTATGCACCTTGACCTAACTCTTTAACAACCTAAAAAATGGTCAATTTGAATTCTTCTATCGTTGAATACTCACGAAAACCCTTTCTAACTCGGTGACTAAGCAAATAAGGTAATTTCGTTGGCATCCCAGTCTCTTTCATACCTTAAAGTTTGGTTCAACATACATCTCTTGATTAAACACACGATACACTCGGTGTCGACGATCCATATTGACCAGAAATATAGAAAAAGAACGACTAGTAAATTTGGAGAAGGTTTCGTTCTTGATCGTCTTGGGAAGTTTAATGCTCAGTTGACCACGGTAATCGGTTTAACGAAATGCAGCATAGAAATCATAAAGTAAGATAATCTTGAAAAAGAAGATGGAGAGAATAATGATTTGTTAAATGAAAAAGTTATTTTTTTATTAATAATTCTTTTAGGCCCATAACTCTAAAGTCCCCGATGCGTCAATAAGCAATGTAAGAGCATAAGGTCGGTAAAGGAAGGCTATGTCAACAATGGGATACAGGCGATTTTCATTAGGAAGATACTTCTGTTGTTGAAGAAACAAAAGTGGTCTAGAAACACCTGAGGACTTTGGTCGAACCTGGGATGACTCTACTGTTCGTAGATGTACTGGAGGTGCATGTTGAAGAACTGAAACTTTAGCCGTTTCATTAATGTTGGTAATTGATAAGTTTTTAGAAGGATTGTTCGTATCCCACATGTAAGCATGAGGACTGCCAGGAGAAACGATGATAAATAGAATCTTTCTTTCCGTCTGGCTTAATGTTGAATCATTCTGGTAGTAAACAGGAACTGACAAGCATGGCCATCCAGAATGATAAGCCTGAGAGTCCCCTTGGAATGAATCGTTCAAGTGAGGTTCACGAATCCAGGACTGCTGGCATAATTTCGAGCCGATTACGTCGTCTACTTCTTGTTGTACAGGATATGGGGGAGGAACATTGGATTCCCAATTATCCAAAAACATTTCTTCACATTTTCCTCGCTCGACATCAAAAATCAAAACCCCAGATGATAGACGATTCATGTTCTCAAACATATCATCTTCAAAGTCTTCGGGCCTTGTTTTTTCCCTTTTTTCATTCCCTAGTCGACTGAAACTTATTGACACAGTGGTACATCCAAAAATGGTAGATATAGCTTTAGCATCTTGGCTTGTATTCCCCATTGCTGGGGCAGTCGGCTGTAGACTTTTAAAACTTCCGCTTGAACTTCCTCCTAAACCCATGGAAGATGGAGAGTCTATATTTGGGTTGTTAATACCGTCGCCAAACAGCGAAAACGCTGGTTCCTTTCTGTATCTTCCCGATAAAAAATCAATTTTGTCTACTTTTGCTGAAATCCTCCATGCTGTAGAAAGAACATTTAAACGCAAATCCCACAAAAGGAGCCATCCTTTCGATGTTCCTATAAGTGCCCACAGACATCCGTCGGAAACGGCAACTGAAGTGGCTGATCCACGTTCAATCGGTAATTGTATGGATGCCAAAGACTGTAAAGTTCCTGCTTCTAGATAATACAGCTTAGACAAAGCAGTGACTATCACTATGCGGATACTTCCGTCGTAAAAGTTCGCTGATTCCATCGATGTAATAGAATCATTGATGTCCATATTAGGAATCCTGTTACTTGAAATAATTTTATGCTTTTGGTTGTGTATGTCAAGCTGATGGACTTCAATAGATCCTTCTTGTGTAACAGACGCAAATGAGTATGTGTTTCCCATAAAGCATCCATTAACAACAGGAAATCTACTTCTTTCTCCATTTCGACGAGTATGACCATATGCCAATCGACATTCACACTTCCAAAGTGGAATCTGATGATCACTTTCAACCAATTGCCATGCTCGAACTAACCCATCTAGTCCAAGCGTAACGAAAAATACAGAATCAGGACTTGCAATAATTCTCTTCATATCTCCGTCTTTTACATTACCCAAATTCACCTGGGTTACACGGGACCCCTCCGGTTGCCAATCACTCCCTTGTATAGCTTTGTTCGATTGTTTATTGGGGTTTATAATCTTCCCTCTTCTACGTAGTGAAATAGATGATGCCCAGCTTGGAGCAACGGCAGGCCCAAAGTCGACCGCAGCCACAGCAGCTTCAGCATACAGTTTGTTAAGGTAATTCGTTACATAAGGATTGCTTCCTGTATAAGAAGATTTCTTGGCACCATCTCTTAAACTTCTTTCGTTCGCTACGAGGCTGAGTAACGTATTCGAATTTGTTGTCATAATAGGACTTGACGAATCTAAATTAGGAACTTTCAAATCAACAGTTAGTCCATACTTCCCCGTTCGCTTGTTTTTTCCAGTCAATTCCCCTTCGGCAGTCGATTCTTTGCTCACTTGCTCATCATAATTATGCATTCGATGATGCATGAATTGAGTTGAAGATTCATTATCTATAGAACGCATAGAATTCGGGGAGGAATTGGTTCTTCTTCTCTGACTAACTGGTTTTCTGCGCTGCATGAGTGCCTCAGACAAAGTGTTAACTTCGGAAGACTTGGATTTTTGGTGATGTTGTTTATCGTCTACTTTTTCTTTCATCGAGTTAGTAGTAGACCCAAATGCATTAGTCATATCAGTTCCAACATAAGCTGCGGATTCTGGTGAAACCAAATCTTCTGTTTGTGAATGTTTCGTGTGCGTGGATTCTGCATAATTATTACCAATTTGTTCCACATTTTCTCTCAATAAATAGGGTGAATAAGGTGCTTCAGGATTCCAAAATATCATTTCAGGCAAGATGTGTAGAGGTGATTTTGGGGCATCCTTTGATTGATTAAAAGCAAGTTCACTTTCACGTTTTCTTATTAAGATTCCAGAGTTGGTGATTGTTCTATATATGTATTCACGAACATTTCCCAGTATGAATAAATGTTCCTCCTTCATACCCATTTTCTGGATAATATGAATCCACTTGCGATCGTCATCATTTAATTCAAGGGCTTCTGATGAAGTTAGAATCGTATGTCCCAATAAATGGAGCTTCTTTCTAGGTCGTAAATTTGAAATAGAAGAATTTCCATTTTTGGTTTTCTCGAAACTCAGTTGTAAATCACCTATTTCATCGTCATCTTTTGAAAGGTTTGGTGAACGAACAGCCTTCCAAAATTCAGAATTGTCGTCAGATTCAGTAAACCAGTGCGTTAATGTTGACCAAACTGAAGCCGGAACCATTGGAAGAATAAAAAGGTTAAGTTCTTCTAGACTATTTATGTCATATATGGGAGAAAGTAAATACGGACGAAGCACAGGCATTAATATGCATTGACGATCTATTTCTTCCAAGCATTTGTAGGTAGAGTAAATTACAGAAAGCGTAGCTTTTCTAGTATAGATATTGGGTATTATAGAAAAAGGTACAATGAGATGAAGAATCTTAAGGATAACGAGTTTATCAAACAGGTGAAGCTCAATAAGGGCAGCAAAGGATTCTAGTACACTCTCCAACACTGCTGGTTCAGGATCGACCAAAGCCTGTAACATTAAAGGTAAGATGTACTCATCGACACTTCGAGGACCGATAAAAATGGCAAGCCCAGTAATACTTTCAAAAAAAGCAGATCGAAGCATCCAATCAGTATCATTTAGGTAAGTAATTAAATGACTCAAAATTAAATCATTTGACTTAGCTTTTCCAAAAAACACACAGAGAGGTGGGAGAGCACTTAATAAGGATCTTCGCACAATGGATGAACTATCGGCTAGTAACATCGAAACATGTCTTTCAACCGTAACAACCAAATCATGACGTCCAGTTTCAAATAATAATTCTGCTTTACCATGATTTACATTTTCGTATTCGGACTCCGGAAACGATAGAATTCCTGCATTTCTTAGAGACTGTGCAAGATTTACAAACTTTGAAGCCTGTCTCGCCAATTCAGGAAGACAAGATGCGTATGTGGCACGACAACGAGAACTTGAATCGGATAAGTACCTTTGTAAATCCGGAAACAAATATTCCTGAAATAAGAATGCGTTGATGGGAGCGATAGCGCTAATATTCCGAACGAGACGAGTAATAGTTATTAAAGCTCGAATTCGCACGTCTGTGAATTCATCGGCTACAAGAGTCATTATAAAAGGCAAGGCCGTATCCAATTTTGCCTCATCGGGAATACTAGTCGATAATATTTCTATAGTTCTTAAGGCATTCAGCTTTGATTCCCTGGTCCGGACATGGCGTACAGCAGAAAGAACAATCGGCAGAAGGATACTTGCCGCGTGTAATGAAGCTTTCAAATAATCAGTATCATGTTCTATAATACCGGCATCAGTCGCCCTTGCATTATGCGAATGGATATCTTCACCAAATAGCTTCTTCGAATTCTCCAAAAATAGTTGATACCATTTACCTGACGCAAATGTCGTATCGAATTCATCAGTTAAAGATGTATAAAGAGGAACAAAAGAGCTTTCAAAATCGTCATTCATTTTCCTAGACAATAGATGGTCGTTAGAATCATTATTAAAGGCGTCAACAAACGGAATTAAATCATTAAAAATAGTATCCACTCGTAAAGAATAAATATACGGCTGGTTTCGGACGGGCTCTGCATATGAAATGCTTTGGGGGTCTAATAATTTACAACAGTAATCATACAAGGGAGTATAAAAACATTCTGGGAACACAGTGCCTCGAAATCGCTTCAAATAATTGTCTGCCGTATCGCGTTTTGTAGGGTCACATTGAAGCATTTCCAAGATCATATTCTGAGTGTCTAGATCTTTGATTTGACGAAGAACGGTAGAGATGTCGTAAGAATTGTTAGCCTTGTAATTAAAAAGTTGAGAGAGTGTAAAAAGCGGTGACCCTTCCAAGAGAAGCTCAGCAAATACACATCCTAAGCTAAAAATATCCATCTCTGGAGTAAGTGGGGCTATGCGAATTTGCGAGTTCGGAACAAAGCGTTCAGGTGCAATGTTACAGACACGGCGAGAAGAAGTATCGAAAAAATAGCTATAGTCTGCTGGGTTATCTTCAGGAAGGAATGTTGGTTTGAAGGAGCTAAAATCTGATATGTATACCCAATTCCAAGTAGTTACTAATATGTTTTCAGTTTTAATATCACCATGACAAATCCCATGTCTATGGCAATCTGAAATTCCTTTAAGTAGTTGGAACATGATCCACTTCTTTTCTGCAGAATCTAAGAATGGACGAGTAGATATCCTATCATATAAGTTATGGGCAACATATGGGCGCATTAGATACGCAGCCCGCATTGTAACCAACGTCTTCGTATACGGTAGGATATTGGGAGACCTTTCAAGAATTCTCTCTTGCTCTTCTAAAACATTTGCGTTAGTTCCTGCATTCTACAAATTCCAGAGTAATAGACATAGAGGGAGGTAGTACACGAACCTTGTAGGGAATTGACAATGGCGGTTAGAGAGATTTCCGGTAACTTATTTACAAATACTTTTATTAATTCTTCATTTCCCTTTCGCTTTAGAATGCGAAATGTTCGCAGAAATTGAGAATCTCCTAGACTATATCATTTGTTAGAAGCAACGCCAAGAATCCATTGGTAGCGCACCTTCGTTCATTATAGTAATCTGGAAGTTCTTCAGCAAATAACTCATGGAATTGGGGTGTCTGTATAGTTGATAACTGAATCCCCATATGGAAAGATTATATAGTACTTGATTTTACATACTTTGTAACATGCAAGGAGTCATGCGTAGGTATTTTACATTACAAAGGTGACAAGGTAACAGTAAATATTGGGATGAGCAGAAAAGAAAATGAAGAACTTTCGTTTCTGAAGTATCTAATTGATTAAACGTGTTATAAACGTTTCATAAATTGAATAATTTGAATAGTGTAGTGAAGCTACCTTTTGAGCCATATTATTTTTTGGAAATCGACACTATCATCTGGAAAAGTATTAAAGTATCAAAAGTCAAGAAGAAAGACATTAACAGCAGATTAAATCCTCATAGAAAAGATAGAGTAGGCTTTTTTTTTCGTCCAAACTCACTCATCAGAAACACCGTTGTGTACTGCAGACGGCGAATTCAGTAAGAGGAGAGGCAAATATTTTTTCATTTTAAATTTTATTATCTTTTTTCCAGGAAAGAGCATAAGATCCAATAGCACGAGCCATGTCCTCAGCAGTGGAATTACGACCAAACACTTCCACGAATTGTCCATTAGGGTCCATCAAATAGAAAAAGACAGAATGATCCACTAGGTAATCGTCTTTTGTTGGATCAACGTCTTTGGGTGTGGAGAAATAGACACGGAACTTTTTGCAAATATCTTTAATTTCATCATGGGTGCCGGTTAAACCAGTGATTTTGGGATGAAAGTCCGACAAGTATTGGGCCATTTCAGATGGAGGATCTCTAGCAGGATCACAAGTGATAAACAAAGGGTTCAAAACATCTCCAACAACGCTGTTTACGATTTCAATGGCAGCAGTAAGTTTATCCAATTCATCAGGGCAAATGTCGGGACATCTAGTAAAGCCAAAGTAAACTATGGAAAACTTGCCCTTGAAATTTTCATCCGTAACTCTTTCACCATGGTGATTTAACAACGAAAAGGATCCACCGAGCTTTGGTCTACCGACGGTAGACAATGCCTTTTCCTTCTTTACCTCTATAGCCTTTTGTTTCTCGTTTTGAAGGTAAAAATATAAGCCAACACTAGTTACGGCTGCCACTGTAGCAGCTCTTACGGAAAGCATACTTCTCCAAGAATGCTGGGTTGCAGTTTGCTTTCCAGCAATCATTCTGCGGCCGTCTAGCCTGTATTGAAAGGGAGAAGCTTTCGATCGAACATTGGCTCTCAAGATACTGGCTATTTGGTTTGCTGGGCCAAGTGCTCTCCTACGAAACATAGTACAAAATCGTAAAGCGTTCAAAAACGAAATAGAAAAGTGATCTGTGAAATAGTAAAATACCCTTAAATTAGAAGGTTTTTGTAGAAATGTGGAAGGATACGGAGAAAAAAAAAACTTTTCTCGCTCAAAATGGTTGAGACTTTAATTACCGGAGGAGAAGTAGTCAATTAGTATGGTATGTAAGAGGTGTCGTACCCAACATATCTCGCAAATCTTTCTAATGCTTTTTTTTACAAATTCTTATTTTTTGAAAGGTTATAAACAGTGAAACTATAGTTTCAATAGCCATAACCGACCTTTATGAACCCATCGAGCATTTCGACGATTTTTTACACCTTGTGAAGGCTACTATGGAACAAGCAATCTTTAACAAAGCAAGATGGACAAGATATTATATTTTGTAAGATCAGGAATTAGGAATTATTCAAAAAAATGTTAGTATTTAATGACTCGCTAGAAGCAGCGCTTGATGTTTTTTATTTTCTTTGTTTCGTCCATTCGAGCAGAAAGGAGGTCAGGATAAAAGATAAGTAAGGGAATTTTTGTTTTCAGAATATAAGATCTCTACTGAAGCTAGCTTCTTGTGTGAAATTCTTACTCTAAACTAGCAGGTGGCAGTACTGCGTCGGGTTGAACCAAAAGGACATCCTTAAATTGTAATTGATTCCAAAATATATCCATCTGTCTAAACTAATGTTGTCAAAGAAATTTCTGTCGAATATTCAATTCTTATAAACCCCAACTTTAACGACAAAGGTAATACCGTTACTATAAGTGCCTTTGACACGAGACGAGATTCTGTAGGATTTTCAATTCTAAAATGCTGTTGTTCTGCTACCCTTCAAAAGAAAACTATCTTTACAATGGACATACTCCATCAATTACAATTGTCAACGACTTACTGTTACATATACTACCCACTTGCTTTGGTTAAATATGAATATAGATTAGTTGTTTTCCCAAAAGGGAAAAGTATTATATGTGTATATATATAAAAAAAAAGAATGACTTGTACAAAAAAGAAGAGAACAATAAAGAGAGCCCGGAGAGAACCAAATGTCCCTAGGGTAATTGTAAAGCAACAGAAAACGAGGGTTATGCGTGTCTTCGCAAGAAAGAACACACGCTTTTTCGGAATAACATAAAGAATTTGATTACGATAGTTCTGGTAAAGTACAGAAACTGATCTTTCGACGAAACCATGGTTCAGGGATCCGTTTGTCCGGAAAGCATTAATAAAAAACAGTAAATCATTAGAAGATCCCGTAAGAACGACATAGATAAAAAAAATAAAACAATGAAAAAATGACAAGATAGTTAACCCAGACAGACAACAGATTTTGTTGGTAAAAAACAAAAACAAAAAAAAAGCAGATTTCCAGCTTTGTTTATTTGTTTACATTTCAACGTAATTCATTGTTTACGCGACTCGTAATGTCGCGCGTCTTGTCTGACATAGGTAAATGAAATAGATCAAAGATTGTTGTTTCGTTCATGATTTCCGAGATCGCTAAAGCTCGTTTTACCGAGTTAACAGAAGATGCTTTAGACAGCGTTGAAACATTTTCCTTATTTTCATTTACTGAAGGGGAAGGACTGCGGTTTATACTACGGCGGTATGTACGTTTAGAACGCTTCATCGGAACACTGCGTACAAGTAGCAATGATCCAGTAGCACCACAAGTAACATTGAGAGACATATTCTTAGAGGTACGGAAGGGAAGAAGAGTCTTGCGTTGAGGTTGAGAAATGCAGTTAATGGAAGGACTCATTTTTAAAACGTAAAAAAGAAGGATAAATAGATTTTTAAAAGAGAAGAACGAATGTGAATGGATATAGAAGTGAAGAAATGGGTCTCCTACTTATACCAATTCAGCTAATTTCTTTCATTCACTAGAATCAAGGAATCTACTTGAAACAATGTAAACCAACTTTTAATCCCATATAAAGAAGAAAAAATAAAAAAATAAAATTTATGTATAAATTATATCCCACCGTTGAACATTGTTTGAATTTTTTGGAAGGAGTCTAAAAATAATTTTACCTATTTATGCTCACACTATTCTTTTTCATTTGTGTTTTCAAAACCTTTACATCCTTTGGAATTCCAAACGTTTTCCTTTCGGCGGTCTATGAACACTTAAGGACGCGTCCAAATGGGTTTGTTTACATCCACGACGCGTCTTCCCCAAAAGTATTTGACGCATCACTCCCTCTTCCTCAAAAGAAGTGATGTTAATACTACTTTTTTAGTCAATTATTCACCTTTTTCTCATCCGAAATATCCTTCAATTCCTTCAGCTTAACTTTCCTACCAACTAGCGACAAGTCCTTTTCATAGGTGGTATTGGCTTCCAGGTAACAATTATCATAGTAAAGATGTATTGTAGTTTCCAATGCACAAATAGTACTGTAATCGAGAAGAAATTTAATATATGCTGGAAAGTCTCTCACATGTAGTTTTATCGCCCCATTTTTATTGTTTATCTTGTTCCTTTTTCCCCATTCCATTCCTCTCTAATTACTCATCATACTTCTGAAAAATCGAAAGCCTCTTCGTCATCGTACACAACTAGTGTTTAACTCAGATTATCGCGAAAAGAAATTCTTGCATTCATTTGCTTTCTCTCCTCTAATTTGGTTTGACCATTTTTAAATCTGTAGAAATTTGATGCGTAGTTTGTATACTTCGTATTTTTGCAAAGAAATAAAAAAATGACCACTAAGTGACTTGAACACTTGACTTCAAGATTTGGAATCTCACACTCTACCAACTGAGTTAAGCGGCCTCTTTTACTGAACGTATTTTTTAAAACTATCTATACAAATTAATGCTCATGAAATTATTTGAATAACTTACATACATGGCAATAATAAAATTTTTATTCCATTGGTGGTCACCTTCTTAATTACATGTCTATTCCCATTTTTTATTTACTATAGTATCAGAATTTACATAGCAAAAGAGGTTGTTTATTCTTGTGGTTTACAACAAATCTCTAGATTGCATATTTTCTAGTCCATTCACGGGCACTAAGTTCATAACGTTGTCTGTCGGTTTTGTAGACGTGGGCAATTTCAGGAACAAGAGGGTCATCAGGGTTGGGATCAGTAAGCAAGGAGCAGATAGACAAGAGAACCTTGGAAATCGTCAATGCTGGTGACCATTGATCACGAAGAATGTCCAAACAGATGCTACCGTTGGAGTTAATGTTGGGGTGGTAAATTCTGGTAGTGAAGTTTACCTAATGATGTTAGACTCAAATTCCTACAGCTAAACGAAAGAATCACCGAAAAGCAATGGAAAGAAATCAATAAAATTATACAAAGAAACAGATTGAACCAAGAATTCGTATGTTTCACAAATTTTTTAGGTGCCCATTTTTCATGACTCCATAAATACGCCATTCACGAGTTTTCTATTCGCCTCCGGAATAGTTCACTCATTTTCCGTCCTGTTCGGAACTTGCAAAGGTGCGTTTCTTGGATCTGTTTCTCCTTATTTTTATTTTTTTTCTTCCAATGATTTTTTCGTTTCTTCATACTTACCTTGGGAGGTTTGAAGGGATAGTCAGTGGGAAAGTGAATTGAGAGAAAGAATACACCTCCAGCATAAGGACTATCAGCCTAAAAACTCTGTTAGTAACATGAGAAAACTTTTATAACTATTCGAAGACATAGCGACCGAATGTTTTTCAATCCGTCGCCTCATCATGAATCACTTACAGGTCCCATAATAGTTGCTTGCCAGTGGAATAAGTCGTCGCCAACAGGACCGGCAGAGCAAGAGGAGGGTGGGTCCTTTCCAAGATCAGCAAGCTCACGGTTAATTCTCTTCAAAGCCATCCTAACTGTCTAATGTGATATTCTTCCAACAGTCGTGGTGGTTTGTTCTTGGAAGATTATGGAGACTAATAGAATATACATATAAGAGTGAAAATTCTTTCACGCACGGGTTCGAATCTCAATGGTTTATAATTTTTAGTAATCTTGTCTTAAGTGGCGCTAAAAAGGCTTATCGCAAAATAATTTGGGTTCCTTAGTAAACAGACAGTATCTAGAGATATAGGTACAGTAGCTCGACAAAAACAAAATATTTTTTGTGTTTCATTTATGCCATATATCTACACAAAACTAAATTTCAAAATGAAATGTCATTGCTCTCATTCAACGTATAAGTAATCTTCTCTATAGGACGAAACAACGATTTCGCAACTTTTCAATTTTTTTTAAAAATCGCCTAAATCAGGCTCATCATCATCTAAATCAGCCTCTGCCATTTCTTTATCCATTCGTCGACGTGCTTCTTCTACATCTTCCAACTCACTCTTGTGAGCATCCATCGGGTAGCGCATACTCTTTACGCTATCATTATGAAGTGCCAAGCAGAACTGAATGCGTTCGTGAAAAGCTTGCTGAGGTTGCTCTGTAGCGTAAATGTCAAAGGCTTCATTACTGGCCATAAACGCATTATTGTGATCAATACTGGCATCAATTACACCATCTCGAATACCCTTGGCGACAATATATTCAGCGCTTTCTTCACTGTCCAAGCCCAACTTAAGACAGACATCTCGCAAAGAAATTCGGGAATATGACAAAGAAATCATTCTCAGTCCCGTCTTAATTACTGTGTGACGCAACCTGCAAATCAAAGTATGTAATCCGTCATAACGAAATTCAGTTTCGTATTTTGACAATACATCTGTAAAAGCGTTCAAATCACCAATTCTCACAGCTTGGCTGATGCGCAAATAGGGAGTCAGAGTCTTCTCCAGAGATTTTTGACGGAATATTCTTCTTTCAGGAATCTCTCCCATGAGCAATTGAACGACCACATGCAGCTTGTAAACAGCTTGCAAAAATTGGACGGCATAAATGGTGTTGGGTGCCTTTCGAATAGCACTAACTAAATGTTCATGAGCAGTAGTATAATCCAACTGAATTGCGCGAATTCGACCAAGATAGTATTGATATCGAATGGCCAAGTTGTTGCTTGCATTGGTGGGAAACACTGTTTTTGAGACCAGTCGGTCTGCTTGATCGTAAAGATTGAATTGAATATAATTGCGCAACAATAAAGTTAAAATCATGGCTTGAGATTCTGTATCATGACGAAGAGTTGCTGTTCGGTGTACCGCCAGCAGGGTATTTCTGCATTCCACAGAACGATTACATTTTTCAAGAAACAGGGTATAGTAAAAGTAAAGTTTTGCTGCAATCTGATCCAACGTACGACGATCAAAAGTTTGTAAGCGTTGTACAACCTTCATCATGTAACGAGCACCATCATCATATTTTTCATTATAAAATAACGTAACGCCAACTAATAGCTGCAAATACATGCTCACTTCTGGGAGAGGGGCATCATTGCTTTCGTTCTCATCCTTGCTTTCATCCATTTCCAAATCATTCACTCCAATTAGGCTGAGGAGATCTCCTTTCGTTTCGGGCTCAGAATAATAGTACTTCTTAATAAGATGACCCAAATTCTCAACAGAAAGGCGACGGCTAATGTTGGAAGTCGTTCTTAAAGCCCGATACACGAGTCTTGGATCTCTCTGCTTTGTAGCTTGATTTAAAGCAACAATATTGGCCTCAACATCTAACAAACATTAGCATTCAATTTAATACTTTCTTTTTCTATTTGCTTACCTTGTAAAGCTGTTCTAGGTGCTTCAGCGTTCTTCTCTATTTGATCCACTGATTTCGTGGTTTCTTGTTGTTTCACGGAATCTACCTCCATTTCTAATTATATTAGCATATATAATACATATATATATATAGGCTAAATCGTATAATTCATACCTTTATGTTGCTCTGCCATACTAATTTTGTATTTGGTAGTGGTCAAGTCAGCAAATGTGGGTGTATGTAAGAATATGCAGACTAAACTTCGATTGTTACCTTGTACACAAATGAAATATCCAAACTTACGGATTGACAAATTGAAATACAAATAATAAAAAGTTTGTTCATTAATTGAATAAATCGAAAATTTCTAGCGAGTAAAAGAGAGAATTAAATAAGATATGCTTCAAAAGGAAGGCAAAGTATTGAAGGATAGGCTTCTTTATAGGGTAAACCAAAAATATTGTGAATATATTTAATTCTTATAATAAAAAAACTTGATTCTTACGTTCACGTTCCGGTTTTTATCCTTTTTGATATTTGTGATATTCATTTTCATGTCATATTAACAATTTAATGAAGGCTTGGTGATTTCGATTTGTAAGGAACGAGTACTGGAATAAATATAAATAAAACATAACCGCGGTTTATAGCTCATCTGTCTCCTTATTGTTATCTGGTAGATCCTGAACAGGAGATGTAAAGGCAAGTCGAGATTCTTCAGCATTCCGAAGCATCGCTGAAATTTCATTGTCATACGTCGTCCATTCGCTCACCTGGCGACGAGCTCGATCAAGTTTCTTTTCCTTGGTTAATGGATTTTGGCACAAATCAATCGTTTTGGCTTTTTTCAGACTCTGATCATCACACCATGTCTCGCACCAAAGCCATTCTTGAGGAAGTGAGTGGATCGGAATGAGATGTTGGAGGTTGTTGGGTAAATCTTGATCCAAATTTGACAATGAGTTTGGGTCGGCTGACAATAATTGGTATTGTCTACGAAGTAAATCTCCTGCACTCATTTTACGAAAACGATCAAGATCAACGACGTAAAGAGCGCTTATATGGTATTTAAGACCACGCAAAAACTTTTTCCAATAACCTTGCTTCCAGAAACGGAAACCTTCCATTTCTTCGCGAGAATCGCACATGGGAGTATATCCATATGGCGCTCCTTGCAAATCCATGTCCATTAACTCCTGTAAATCCGCACGGACTATCTGATCGGCATCCACAAAAATAACTTTATGAAGATCGAGTGGAAACAAGACATCCAAAAATAATATTTTATATCCCCATATTTCTCTTTGTTTCTCGTCCTGCTTTCTTAACCATTCTGGCCAATTGTATGTTACGTATTCGTATTCGAATCCGTACTCATTCGCCAAGACTGGAATCGAATGCTTAAAAGAAGGGGAAAGAAAGTTTTCGATAAACCAAAACTTCACTTTTTTATTAGTATGCTGCATCACACTCTTCGTCATGATATACATAAAACGTTCATACAGATGTCCGCTGGCAACAGAGAAAATGTTGATGGTTGGATCTTTGTTTTTGTTTTTAAAGAAATTAAGTTTCTTTTTCATTTTGTCGAAAAATCTCTGTGGACTCATATCTTCGTCTAATATATCGGAAGATTCAAAACCAGGATTCCTTCGCATCACGGGATATAAAGTGGCCCCTTCAAAGCTATCTAAAACCACCTGCTTTTCTTTACCAGAATCCAGCCTATTCAGTGTCGTAATAGTATAAAACTGAGATGAACGACCAGGTAACGGTTTCAAATTCCAAATACCGGGATTAGCTTTCAGTTGAAAGTAACCCAGATTAGCAAGAATGATAGTGTCAGTAAAATGTTCGTGCTTAGTTGTCTCCAATGCTAACTGCATTCCACGAGGTGGACTTTTCACATTCTCCTCTTGAGAGAATCCTTGTATAAGGATATTCTTGAGTTCATAAACCGCTGAAATAGGCTCAACAAGTACCTCAGATGATGTGTGTTCCAATTTAATATTATACAGATCAATGTCAACTTCCTCTTGCATTACAACCCACGTATCACGAGATTCAATGTCCATAGTAAGTAGAGTCTCTGCCGGAAGTTTATCAAATTCTACACCTGAATCTTTGAATTTACCGTCGTAACGGAAAACAGGTTCGTGTTCAATGGAATACCTATAGAATCTGGAAAGAGGGAAATCAGAAAGGCCTTTTGACGGATTTAAATAAATACGAACCCCGACCCCATCCAAATGAGAAATGGATTCAAGTATAGCAGACCACTTTTGGGATGCCTTAGACAAGGGATCTAAAATGGCAACAAAATGGTAAGTGCAGGAGTCGAAATTATCCGTTCCTATTGTTAAGGAACTAGGTGGCAGCTGGCTGTGGAAATTATCTCTAGGGAACATAGCCTTTTCATGTCCTGGAACGGAGCCACGCACATAATCAAATTCCAGCTTCTTTAGATATGAGCTAACAAAAGGTAAAATTCCTTTCTTTTTTAATTCAGTAGCGTTCACAAGAGCATTATCAAGTTTGTCTATATAGTTGCTTTTTTCATGAGAGAGTAGCATTTCAAGATCTTGCACTCCTAACTTGTCAACAGAAATTGAATTGATCAACCTTCCGTTTAGTATCAATACCGATTGACTGGGATTATTGATTTTCGCAACAACTGCTTTGGATGCTTCTGAATATTTAGCCAGTTTAGATTTCACTTTACACGTTAATTTTGATTGCTTTTTCTTCGTGTTTTTGTTCAATACTTTTAAAAGATGTTCAGTTGTATGGTGGGAAGAAGAGCTAAGTTGAGTAATTAACGCTGGCAATTCGTTTTCTAAGTCAGATTGAACCAAAACCAGGTTACTGCTTTCAAACTTTGAAACTGCTTCAGCCAGCGTTGTGGTTAATTCTAATCCTTCTTCAGAAGCGAAATCTGTAACCAACCAAATTGAGTATTTCGCTTTTTTATCGCCGATGGTCAATAGATCAGAATGGGTATAGCCTGTGTCGTCTAAAAGGTTAAGCATATCAACTTGCTTTATTTTAGATTTTGAAGAAGGATAAATTAAAGGATTGCGAGTATGCGGTGCATCTTTTAGGAGATAATCCAATAAGTTTTCTTCCTCAGAGACCATTTCTTGAGCTACAGCCAACTGGATTTCCGGGATATCTTCGATAAATATGCTGTACATGTTACTGTCATAATTTTCATCATGGGCAATTATTCGTCCGTTAACAATAACTTCCTGACTTTCTGGATCTAAACCTAAGCGTGAACTCCACTGAAAGCTCTTTGATAAAATCGTATCGTAAATATTGGAATTTAATGATGTCTTTATTTTATGGAAAGTTTCTTCATCGTAGTCTTCAACGGGCATATGTTCTTCAACAAGAGCCCAAGCACCCGCAGATGGATCACCGGCAAGACACTTAAACAAAAACTTAAGTGCACTTGGCTTTGAATTTGTTCTAGCAACATAATGGAATGCACGACAAATCGTCTTGCCAAATTCATCCTCTTCAGGTGCTACACAAACAAGCCCAGTTTGAACAGGAGAAGGTCGACGAGAAAACTGAACAAGCTCGGAAAGCAGTGAAATGGAAGAGTCACTAGAAGGGAAAATTGGATATATAACAGTATGTAATTGCTTCCGTAAAAGGTGTAATTGACCTGGGTAAATCGGAGTCAACAATTGCATATTACTCTTGGGCCATTTACTATACCGTGTGTCAGTCTCAACTTCGTTCATCCAAAAAATTGCCTTATTGTCTTCCAAGTCATCCTGGGAGTGGAAGCGGAAGAACTTAAATTGGGCTTCTGTAACGTCAAATTGCTCACTAGATAAGACTTTTGAAGCCTTCGAAGGCTCTATCCCTAACTTTTGAAAGCCTGATAAAATGCGACGCTCTTTACGCAACCACGAAAGAATGCTGAAGGCATCTGTTTCCTCAAGATCAATTGAAATTCCATTTAGCCAAATAGCATTTTTCCCTTCAGGTATAGCTTGAGATTGAAGATGATTGACGTCTTCGATAAGATCATCACTAATACTGACCTTTGACACTAGATGCTGAGCATACATGGGGAAATCCTGAGAAAGGAGCTTAAATGTCATCAAAGGGTTTCTGCTATTAATAATGGCTTCTGATGCCAACAGATCCAAACTAGCAATCTCATTCTGAGTGACGGTTTCCAGTTCATCGGAATCTAAGTCAAAGAGAACTTCTTTTTTCTTCTTAGATTTATCAATCCTAGAGGTATTGTTTTCATTAGAAGACATGGGTATTTCCCGATCATCCATTACTAGATAGTCGGTACGCTTTAGAGAAGCATGAGCTCCGAAACTGCTCACATAAAGTTTCTCTAACTCAGTGTCCTGCGAAGGTGCGTAGCGTAAAATGTAGTTACATTTTTTGTTTTTCGCGAGGGATGAGTAGAGTTTGTGGAACTTGTCTAAATCAACTCCAAAATCGGAAACTATGACAGCGACTGGAAGCCCTTCTGATAAATTATCTCCTATAACTTTATAATCAAGGGGACTAGGTTGATAATTCTCGGAAAATATAAGAGACTCTTCAGGTAGATCAGAAAAACAAAGATTCGTTTGTTCGTTTAATACAAGGAAAGTGTTACAATCTTCAGCATGAGACGAAACAATGCTGCTAAAAGCAGCCAGCTTTGGAGCACCACTTAATAATGCGACTGAATAAGAAAATGTAGTTAATTCCTCTTGGGATAGTATTTTATCGGCCTTTAGGGATTCAACCGTGAGGTTATATAATTGCTCATCGGTTATCAAGTCATCCTTTCTAATTGAAGGTAGGTTGTCTAAAAACCAAAGAAAACTATCTCTATTCTCTTCATGTAAAGATTCGGCTAATAGAGCTACAAACGAGGGCTTGCTGAATGCTGTGGATACCTTAACGTCAATAGGCTTGGCAGCAAAACAGAGAGAAAGAAAAGGAACGAATGTTAACCATTTATTCCATCTCATTTTGCCAAAAAGGTTCTTAAGAGTATCCAGAAAAATACTCTTCAGGTAATGGCTGAGTATGAGCGTATTTTGGATGAATGTAGTGCTGATTATGTACCTGCGAGACTTGTTTGAGATCATCATGAGTAAATGAGAAATGTAAACAAACACATAAAAAAATAGATAGAATTTTTGTTTCTTCAGTATAACTTAAAAGATTCCTCCAATTTGTTTCTGTACTTACCAAAGACTCGCGGACGAACATTATAACTGTTATCTACAAATTAAAAATTAGAGCAAAACGATGGAGAAAATTACATTCAATATAAAATTTAGTTATTTAGTACTTTTCTATAGTGCTAAGCACCTAAACTGAGCAGTCCTCATTCATTCGTTTGTATAATGCGACAGAGTAAGAAAGGGCATTACAGACCAAGCTATAAACCGTCTATGATATGGAATACTACTTACTTTATATTAAAGTTCAAGAATTTCTTATGTATGTAATCTTCTGTTGCTTTTTTATTATTGTTATTTTCAAGTGAAGTTTTGTGGAAAAGCTTCTATTCTACATTGTATGTAGGCAACCAGCCAGTGCAAAATGGAAATTACCAGAATACTTAATGATTACAACTTATAATGAGCCTGTGAAAGCTGAAAACCCATTTGCCCACGTTAATGCTTCACATTGAAGTATCATCAAGAAGCATATTGGTATAATCGGGTCCAAATCACAAAACAACAATTTAGCTAGAATAATTATCTGGTATTAGGAAGAGGAAGTGCGTAGGGATGTACTGCTTTCAAGGCAATGTAAGATAGCAACGACAAGATCCAGGCAATGCCGTACAACATACCCTTCTGTAATGGTTGCAATATAGCAAGGATAGGATACGCATAAAACTTGTTAACCTCATAACATTTTTCAACCCACAAAATATAACTGATAGCCACGGCAAGGTACAACAACGTGGACAACTTGAGCGACAAGGAGAAAGGAGGAGAAAAAAAGAAATAATCGATCAAACTATATACTGTAGGCATCAAATGCACACTCAAGTCAAAATTCAAGGGTAATTGAACAGGCCTGTTTTTAGGAATGAGTAAACTACGATCGTACATAACAATAGACCAGTATAGAATTGTGACAATTAACTCGAGAGGACAGACTATGTATAAAAGAACTGGCTTAATTTTCCGGAAGACCCTCCAATTTGTAATGTCAGCCAGCAAACTAACCAGCATAGTAAGCATTGTTACAGCCAAGGATAATATAGTTCTAAAGATTAGTTAAACACTAAGTTTCAGTTGAGTAAAAACAAACAGATTCCTGTAACATACAGATGCTGAAAATGTGATCCATATGAATTTCGAATAGCCAAATCACCATTTTTATGGATCCAACTGATTGACCACAGAAGATTAGCTGTAGCTATACTATGCAATAGGAATGATTTTATACGCGTACTAGCAGTCCTTTGTTCCATTGTACCTATTTCTTGATATCGGTTTTCTCCAAGGGAAACGGGTCCGCGTATTGAACGGAGGAGGATGGTTCAAGACGGCCGAGGCCCATCTTGGAAGCCAATTCTTAATAGCACAATTGCGTTAGAAAACACTTCTTACAGTTGTTTCTTTTTTTTTTACAGGAACAAAAACATCATCAACTCTAATAGCCATTTAAGCAACATATATTACACTTGTATATGAGCTTTTTTACATTGCAATTTATGGGTACAATAAGAGTATTAATTTATTTTTCGTAAATAAGAAATGAAAATGAATGTAGAGATTCATCCTGCGCATTCCGTCAATCGTTACTATGTTCAGGCAAAAAAGCATTTAGATATATGTATAAATTTACGTCGTAAACAACGGCCAAATTAACAAACAGGAGACATTCAAGGAATTAGAAGAACTTGTTCATATATTTTCACGTAAGAGCTAACTTATACCAAAAAGCGTCGTCCAGTACCGCGTTGGCCAATAGCTCCAAGGTCACACACCAAGCATACTCCACTTGCTGATGCCTTATGATACTTAGCAGCGCAAACGGGACAAGATTCATAATCCTGTCCTGAATAGACGGGAGTTAATGTCTTAGCGCAAATACTGAATTCCACGTGCGGATCGTAGTCTATTTCAAACGCATCATGGGGATTTCTATCTCCTAAAGTAATAGCACGACTCGCCTAAGTTTATTAGTACATCAGAATATAGGTAAAACACTTACAGCTTCTGCAGCGGGTCCAGAGCCTGCCAAATCAAGCAATCTTTGACCTAAGAAAGAGGCAGACTTGAAATTCTTCTGCTTATGAGAAGCATTGATTGCTAAGCGATGAGCTATAATCGAATGAACGGGTTGTAATTTAGTTGAAGCAAAGTAGTAAGACAACTCAAGTGCGCGTGTCACATCACCCTCAGACAACTTGCGTCGCTCCAACTCGCATGATAATCCAACAATATATTCTCGAGCCTCATCCAATAAATCCGACATCTATATAATTAGCTAACAATTCATCATCTTTAAATTTCACTCTTACCTCTTCAGCTTCTTCTTGAGTATTAGCTACAGAAGTAATTAACAAATAAATGATGTTTAAGCAAGCTTCTTTAGCCTCCGAGATCTTGTTTGCTTTTACCAACCGATAAGCTTCGTTAAGTTCATTATTCTTGATAGATTCCAAATTACGTGAGATAAAAGGAAGGGATTGGTTACGTTCAGCAGATTCTCCATTACGTCGAATGTAAATTGTTAAAGGATCAAGACCATCAACAGCAGGTACATAAGCTCTTGAAGCTGCATAAATCTCTAAAAAGCGACTTTTAAGGGGAGCAAAATTCACAACTCCAACTTGTCTACCCAAAAGTTTCATAGCACTTTCAAAATCACCTGCAGCGATATGGTCAGCGGCTAAGGGTGAATTCTTCAACCATAAGTGAATTTCGTCAGCACCATCGATAACACCAACTTCATCTTCTGCATTTGGAACGACTTCTTCAGCAGCCAGATCTTCGACTTCCCAACCATCACCTTCCTCGGGACTCTCGGCAGATAGATCGCTACCGTCTTCTTCAACATTCAATAGATCTTGTTCGGCTTCCTGGAATTCATTCACTGATGCTGTTTCCTCTTCAGGTTCTAAAGCCATTTGCTCTATCCGATCTCTCAGCAGTTTTTCAAATGAGGAATCGGAAGTATCCTTCAGAGGCCAGTTCTCAGCATAAGTAGGGCGAACAGGAGAAGGCAAAGTAAAAGAGGGACCAGTGCTAGGTAGCTTAATGTGATCTTCATTGATACCACTAACGGTTAACACTTCTTGAGCTCTTTCTTCTAGACCATTAGACTTAGCCGTTAAATAGGCAAGTGGGTACATATTGGCATCAACAAACATGTCAATCCGAGCTTCTACATCGTTCATATATAATGAGTTTTGGAAGAGACTTAAAGCATCATTACGCTTCTGAGCAATCATAGCCATTTTGTTAAGCTTTTCAGTATTTCCGGTAATCAGATACAAGAAGGAAAGCTTTTCAAAATAGCGAAGCTTTTGATATGTAATCTCAGCAATTTTGTGGTTTCCAGAGTGGAGAGATTCTGAAGATAAGCGAGACCAAATTTCAGGTCTATCGATTGTACGAGCAATTTCCAAAGCAGTTTCCAGATTGTTACATTGCAAAGCTAGTTCGAAACGAGTTGATAAATCTTCCACAAACTGCAAAGCAATTTCAGGATAGCCCTTCTTCTGTAAATAAGCGATAATGGCTTGACCAACTAAATCGCTATTTTGAATTAGATGTAAGACCTGTTCGTAATCCTTCTTCATCAATGCTAATTTGAAAAGATAATCTGTAGGATCAATCTTGATCGTGATAGGTTCTGCAGCGCGATTAAGGGCAAATACCAAATCACCTTTAGCACGAACAAGGTAGATGGTAGATTCCAGAGTCTTCACAATGCCTGAATCACCCGACATCAAAAGGTATTTCAAGTGATCAAGAGTTGAATAGAACAAAACATTATTCTCAACCCAGACAGCACTCTTAATTCGAATAGTCTCATGAATTGAGGTAATTAGCTCCATGGATTTTTTAACGATGTATACAAAATGCTTACCAATTAAGGCTGCATGGGAAGAATCATTAGACCAAACAACATACTTGACTTTATTGGCATTCACAGACGCAGTAACCTTCTTTTGTTGCAAATCAAACATGTGGACTTGGGTTGAGGTAGAAAGAAGAATATGCCCCATTCCAGCATAGAAAATATCGTTTACCTTCTCTGGTAATTCAATTGTCTTTGTTACCTTATTGGTTAAATCTCTAATGTCAATCAGTTGCTTGCTACGATTAAAGACAGCAAAGCGGTTACGGGCAACAAATAGAGCTGTATCACCGGAACCTTTGATGCCGTCTTTGGAACTAGAGGAACGAGAAGACAAGTTGACCAGTTCATAAATTCCATTATCCACGGGGGAAGTTACAAGGGCAACTTTCTCGGCAGGATTGTAAGATAAAGAACGAGGATGCGTCCATGGGCTTCCTTGATGCTTCACGGAAGCTAAAATATTGCTTTGTCCTCTAATTAGATCATGAGAAACGATTGACTTATCTTTGCTGACATAAAGGAGAGTGTTGATGTTGAGAGCATGAGCAGGACGTTCACGTTCTAATTTGAAAACCATAACACCGCTGTCGTGAGCAGCGGCAAATAAATTAAGTTTTGGATGAACAGTAACAAACCAGAAACGGTCATTATCACGACGGAAGGTTTGAATGGCGGTTCTCCTATTGAGATCCCAAATACGAATTGATTTGTCTTCACTAGCGGATACGATTAAATCTTGATGGGGATGAAAAAGACAACATAAAACATTATTGAAATGTCCACGGCAGGTGTCGACTTCCCAAGCTTTAGAAGCAGTCATTCTCCAAAGCTTAATCAATCGATCGTCACCGGAAGATAAAATGAGTGGAAGCGTAGGATGGAAAGCACACCAGTTAGCTCCGCGGTCGTGACCTTCCAAAACGAACTTTACAACAGCGTCCGTACTACCAAATAAATCATTCGTTATGTTATTTTGGGCTTGAGCAAGTTGCTCTTCAATTGTCATACTGACGGGGGCAGCATTTTTCATGCGAAGACCGCTAATGTCCCAAACACGCACAGTTTGATCCAAACTAGCACTCACAATTAAATCTTCAGAAGGATGAAAAGCAGCACACATAACATAGTGAGAATGGCCAGTCAAAATTGCTATGCAGTTTCTTGATTGCCAGTTCCATATACGTATCGTCTGATCATCTGAGCAAGAAAGGATCCAAGGGTATTCATGGTGAAAAGCACAAACACGGACATAGTCCATGTGTCCACAAAGAGAAAATAGCAACTTCTTCGCTTTGTAATTCCATACATTAACTTTGTAGTCATCACCGCCCGAAACGAATAACGGTTGGGTAGGATGAAATGCAATTCCACGCACAGGGCCATCATGTCCATCAAATCGATCTATAAGAGTTCCCATTCGATAATCCCACAACTGAATTCTACCATTGTGTAACGAAGTAAGGACCCAAGGCAGAGTCGGATGAAACGCGACCCCTTTGGCCCTAGAAGATTTAGACTCAAACTTAATTAGCATCTCCATTTTTATTTAATTTCTTTGGAGAGTTTCAAAGAAGATGCTAATCTCCCAGTTGTTTGTTGTTGTCAAGTTACCAGCAGCCGTCAGTAAGTGGTTGTGGTTTTACCGCGGGCATAGCGCGGTGGATCCCCGACTGCTGTGTTCCTTTAGGGCTTTGTTGAAGAGTCATGAACTTGAATATGTTATTTTTTTAAAAAAAAAAAAATTAATGAAGTGATACCTCTCATTTGTACCGCTGTATTAGTATTGGATAAATCATGCAATTTCCAGACCGAATACAACCTCTGTTTGTCAACAAAATGCTCTAAGTATTCAAGTCATTAGCTGAAACTTTCAAGTTTGTAAGATACATGCTCTTTATTTACAGTTGGACGAGACCGAGCGGTTTAATGATCCTTTTCGAAATGCAGTTGTATTAAACTTATAATATTATTGCTAATTGACGATTCTGTAGTTGATTTCACTATTCAATTCGCTTTATTTATTAAAGGGAAAAATAGTTGCATAACTACCGCAGCTTTCCTTATACCATGGTATAAACAATGTTTATTTCAGTGCATAACTGGTGTGAATAGATATTATTTGCAAAAAGATTAAAATAGATTAATAAAGATTAGATGGAATTAATTCGTGAATCCCCTCACAACAAAAGTGTTTGGTGAATCAAAAAATGGTTTCAATATCATAATAGTATAGTCCAAGTAGGCAAGCAGTTTTGAACCTTTAACATAAGAAAGCTAAGCAATAACACTAGAATCAAAGCGGTTAGTTAAGGCAATTTTTAAAAATAATAAACTAGTAAACGTGTAAGCATACCACATTGCAGGAGGTTTGGGTTGATACCAGTGAGCTCCACTAGTGGTAAGAGTAGGTTTAGAAGGAGTGTTATTCATTAAAGAAGAGCTTGATGCGTTGGTGTTGTTCATAGATTCCATATTGCAGATTCGAAAAAAGGGTCAAAGTCGTCTTAGGATCAAAGAGCTAATACAAGTGGTTTGGTAAACAAATCAAGCTTGGATGGAGGATTCTATCAGAAAAGACCCTAATATATATGTTTTAGTATAAGTAACACTCAGATGGACCCCAACCGCCCTTTGTTTTCATTTTGATTCTCTTCCCATTCTTCTTATACAAAGCTTCCCATTGTTCAGTCAAGTTCAAAGGATGCTTTTCTATTATATTAAAAGGATGGTTGGATAATGTTACATGAGACCCCTTAAAAATAATGATGGCTTTGTTTATTGAATTTGTAAATTCGTACTCTCAATAAAATGATCCGGGCTTTAGCATCTGAAGAGAACAATGAAGAATTGACGAAAAAAAAAGAGCTAAACAATTGATTTTATGCAACTGGAATTGTCAAGAGATGAATCTTATCTTTCGTTGAACAACTTCAGGCGTAGCTCGAGTTTGAAAAGCAAGTACAAATGTGTTAAAAACTGTTCTTTTGTTTCCTAAAGTAAATTTCTCAAAATGCAAAGAAAGTAGGGATTGATTAAAACAAAACTATCATGTATTTTTTGTCGTATTCTCTTTATAAAATTCTATTCGCGAACTCTTTTCGTACTTATTATCCTAACGCGACGTAAATTGTTCAAACCTAGAATTCACAGAGAGCAAGCAAAATTAAGCCAGATTTGTATCCAAGGGTCGTGCTACTTCTTATTCGTAATTCATATTCTTCCAGCATGTCAAAAAAAAGAAACATTGCGAACAGCGTTAATAGTTTCGAGAGACGACTTTTTCAGCGACGGCATGCAATGCTTGTCGAGAAGGTGAATCAGGTATACATTGAAGGGCATCGTGAGCTTTAAGTATGTATTCTTTAGCCCATTTAACGGTGGCCTCTATGCCATCCGTACTTTCGACAAGTTCTCGTGCTTTTTTCACATCCGAGGGACAATTAAAGCGATTTATCACCATCGAACCCAGCTCGGGATACTGCTTCCAAGCAAATAATACAGGAGCGGTCGCAAGTCCCAAATTTAAGTCTGCATTCGCAGCTTTCCCTAAAGTTTCGTCTTTAGAGGTGTAGTCTAAAACATCGTCCATCAACTGAAATGCGGTACCTACGTAGCGACCATAATTGGCAGCAGCCTCAATGACAGTAGGAGAACACTGACCCAAGATGGCAGCAGATTGGCAACTTTTTGAGATAAGACTGGCTGTTTTTAGATAAGTTTTTTCAATGTAATAATCAAAATGAAAGGGTTGCAATTCTAAACTATTTGTATCAGCCGTATTTTTCAATTGAAGAAATTCACCGCGCACCAAGTCTGCAACGACCGTTGCGAACAACTCAGTGACTTTTGGGTTTCGTAGTCTAGCCATAGCCGTCGATGCTCTTCCAAGAATAAAATTTCCTGTCAGCACGGATTTTCGATTTCCGAAAGCTGTATTGCTGGAAGGATGTCCGCGACGGGAACTGGCATGGTCAATTACATCGTCATGCAACAAACTGGCCGTGTGGATCATCTCCGTGATCTGAGCTAATCGAAGCTGTGAAGGCAAAACTTGTCCGATAGGGACGTGATCTGGAGCATCGTCTTCCAAAAAGCTCGATCCAACGATAGACTGGTCAATTCCACTACATAGACTCGTTGCTTTCGACATTAGCAGCACCAAAGAAGGCCTCATCTGCTTTCCCTGGGCTATGGTATAATATCTTGAGCATTTCGAAAGCTCTTCACATCTAGAGGATAGCAATTCACGGATTCCCGGTGATACTTGCTTAAGTTCATTTTCAATGAGTCCGGCAAAATTGGCGGTTTTGTTTGCCGACCTAGAGAATACTCTACAGCCTTGTTTTCTCCAAGTCGACTTTAATGACTGTTTCAATATACCATTATGAAGCATTTCATTTCTTTTTGAAAGAGTGAGTGTGTTTTAACAGAGGAACATTTTACTTTCTGCACATTTGGAGCGAGCTTCCGAAAAACCTCGTTTAGATAACTTAACAATATAAGCGAGCTTTAAATAAGAAATACAGCCGTAGAACGTGTAGGTAGCATTGCTACTGCTAACATAAACGAAAACACTGGAAGATCCTAAAGCTCCACTTAGCAACTACTCTGTAGAGTCACGAAGCTGGGAGTATGGAAGCGAGTTCTGATCTGGATAGAATACTACCAATCGCTTCTAGAGCATTATTATGTGAAGGAAACAAAGATTGGACCTTGGCATATGTAAATTACTGTAAAGTGATAGAGGAAATGAAAAAATCTTCGGAAATGCGTACTCGCCAAGGTTTTGCGCCGTTGAAAGGAGCAGAAGAGTGTTCATGGAATGGACTTTATGACAACTGTGTCAACAAAGCTGGGAGACTACGGAAGTTAATTTTGGAAACTGAAATGGAAAGGCAAAATTTCCAAGTTACACCAAAAATAACACAAAAGAAGTCTTCGATTGACTATCAGATACCTATTCCAGGCCGTTCGCATACTCCCTTGCAGAATTCTATAAGTGGCCGGTTGATTTATAAGCAGCCAAGAGGTGTACAGTCGGAAACAAACCTTTCGGCAACTCCTCGTTCCTATGGATCAGCATATTCTCCTCCTTCTGCCTCTGCTGCGTCGGCGGCGACTTCTTCTTTTGGAGATTCCTCGTTCTTATCAAAGCGCTCGCCTGGATTTGGCAAAACAGAGGACCCTTTTGCTTCATTCAATTCATCGGCTACGAAGGTTTCCGATTCTGCTCGGGCAAATACTACAGGATCACCATTCTTTCTTTCAGGCTCACCAGATTCAGTGAATCAAACATACCCATTTACCTCAGCGAAGTCCCATCCTTTGCCCAAGCCTCCTCCTATACAACATACTGTCTCTTCGGTTTGCATACCACTTTCTAAAACCAACTCCTCCACTCCTGCTCAACCTTTAACTTCGCCACCACCACCTCCAAAGTCTACACCCTATAGCCCGGCAGCATATCCTGTATCTCCTTTTGATCGACAAACCTTTATGAACAACTCAAAGTCATACTCTTCTGATACCAATCCGTATATTACCAAGGGGGCTCCTAACGACGTCAACGACTTTACTCCTACTCCGCCCTCCTCAGGCGATATTAAATCTTCACCCACAACATCGCCAATCGATTCGAATGATCTTCCCTTCATAAAGCAAACTGCTCGACAGACTCAACATCCAACCGGCTCATCAGGTCCCACAACTCAATCTGATAATTCCCAAAACAATCAACTAAGCGATTTTGAATCTGCTATTATGAGCGAAATTGTAGCTAATCATGATCCAGTTTATTGGTCAGATATTGCTGGGCTGGAAGAAGCTAAAAACTCCTTAAAAGAAGCCGTTATTTACCCGTTTTTGCGACCGGAATTGTTTAGAGGTCTTCGCGAACCTGTACAAGGTATGCTGCTATTTGGACCTCCTGGAACTGGTAAGACTATGCTTGCTCGTGCTGTTGCTACGGAAGCCAAAGCGACTTTTTTTTCAATCTCGGCTTCATCTTTGACATCAAAATATGTACGTATATGATTTACACTTCTCTTTTCTTTGATCTTCTTACTAACAATATCTAGCTTGGTGATTCTGAAAAGCTTGTTCGGGCGCTATTTGAAGTCGCAAAACGTCAAACTTGTAGTGTCATTTTTGTGGATGAAATTGATTCAATTCTTTCTGCAAGAAATGATGCTGGTAATGAACACGAGAGTTCAAGAAGGTTGAAGACTGAATTTCTAATTCAGTGGTCTTCTCTTTCAAACGCGGCTCCTGAAAAAGCTACAGGAAACTCTCCTCGAGTGTTAGTCCTCGCTGCAACAAATCTTCCGTGGTGCATTGATGAGGCAGCACGTCGTCGTTTCGTGAAGCGAACTTACATTCCCTTACCCGAACCAGAGACACGCCACAAGCATCTTTCTCATTTGTTACACAATCAAGTACACGCTCTTACGAATGACGACTTGAATGAGCTTGTTGAATTAACTGAAGGTAAGTGATAGGATATAATGGTTATAGCTTGGTTTTTGCTAACTAAACTTAGGTTACTCTGGATCGGACATTACCGCATTGGCAAAAGATGCTGCAATGGGCCCTTTGCGAAACCTTGGTGAGGCTTTGTTAACAACTAGCGCCGAACAAATCCCTCCTATAGATCTTAATCACTTCAAAACTAGTTTGAAAACAATTAGACCTAGTGTTTCCTCGGAGGGTATCTACCGTTACGAAGAGTGGAACAACCAGTTTGGTTCACAGCGTTGAGACCAATTTTCACCGCCATTTGAGACAAAGATCTTCTACATTCATGTTTAAGGATTGCCCTTTCGATATAAGCTATTTATTTATCTTTTCAACATTAAATTTCCTTCTTTTTCTGTCGATCCTTGAGATGATTTATTTATCTGTATACGCTCAGTCACTGTCGCGTTTCTTCTGCATTCCGTAATATACCACTTTACATTTTGGGGCATCTGATGTTTAGCAGACAACATCTGTACTTATTTCGTTATTTCATTGATATCTCATATTTCTGATTTGAAAATAATTCTTTCAAAATTAACAACGCATATTACAGTTTTACCTCTTTATCTTGCATTCTTTTCATGCCTTACTTGTACCTACTAAATTACTTAATTCATTATTATTTTGGAATGTTGAACGGAGTATGATAGCCTAATAATTGTTATTTAACCTAATATGATTGTAAACTATTAATTTACTCTTGTTGGTTAATGATTTTGGTTGTAACTGACGTTATGCTGGACTCTTGTACTGTAACAATGCTTTATAACTTGATATTTATTTGAATTAAAGCACAATCAATTCAACTAGAATGGAATTCAGTCAACGAGCATCCTACTGTAATTATCTTGTTTGTTTTGTAAAGTACTCGAAGAAACTTCAGTAAACGGCTGTCACCAAGTGTTACTCATAGCAGGTCTATAGGGTCATTTGATGATTCTTCTACGTGGTAGACCAAATATCAACTAACAAAGCAGAGTTCAAGGAGAGAGGTTGCTTTTTATTGTTTTATCTTTATAAGCGTTCGTTTCTTGACCAAAAAATTGGGATCGTGATGGTTCCTAAGATCTTTCAGTCTAGTCGCCAGAAGGCATTTAAAAAGAGTGAAACCAGTGAATTACAAAAGGGATTAGTATCTCAATATGCTAGTGAACGAATTGATGCTGTCAAGAGGACAATAGCAGCTATGACAGTCGGTAAAGATGTGTCAAATTTATTTCCGGACGTGTTGAAGAATTTAGCAACCCGAGACGTAACCTTGAAGAAATTGGTGTATTTGTACTTGATAAATTATGCAAAGACGCATCCTGATTTATGTATTCTTGCCGTGAATACTTTCGTGAAAGACTCAGAAGAATATAACCCTACTGTTCGGGCTTTGGCAATTCGAACCATGGGTTGTATACGAGTAACCAAGATAATTGACTACTTAGCAGACCCTTTAAGGAAAGCTTTAAAAGATGACCATCCATATGTCCGTAAAACTGCTGCTGTATGCGTCGTGAAAATGTTCGAATTAGACTCTCAATATTGTTCTTCCAATGGTTTTATATCCCAGCTTCAGACATTAGTTACGGATCCTAATCCAGCTGTCGTCACCAATGCAGTCAGGTCTCTTGCAGAAATTCATGATTGTGAGCCCGAAAAGGGATATTTCAATTTGGTGTATACAATGACTGATAGGTTGATGGTAGCGTTGAGTGAATGTAATGAATGGGGAAGAATTACTATTCTTTCCGCACTTTCCCGATTCCGTACCACGGATGTTAAAGAAGCGGAATTTATTTGTGAACGTGTTATTCCTCAATTTCAACATGCCAACAGTGGTGTGGTGTTGGCTGCCGTAAAGGTAATTATGATTCATATTTCGTTATTTTCCGAGGATTTTAAAAACCTTTTATACAAGAAAATGGCACCTCCTCTCCTTACACTTTTATCCGCCGACCCAGAAATCCAGTATGTTGCATTGCGGAATATCAACTTAATCCTTCAAAAACAACCAAATGTTTTTGAAAAAGGCACGCGTGTATTTTTTTGCAAATATAATGATCCCCTTTATATCAAACTTGAAAAATTGAAAATTATCACAATGCTTGCGTGTGAGGAAAATATAAATGAGACACTTTCTGAACTTCGTACTTATGTCTCAGAAGTAGACTTAGAATTTGTCAAACAGACAATTAAAGCGTTGGGAGACGTTGCTCTTAAGGTTCCTAGCATTATTAATGACTGTATTGCTGTGTTTTTAGAGATTTTTGAGGTTAATATTAGCTACATGGTCCAAGAAGTTATGGTTGTTATGGAGACCATTTTACGGCAGTATCCTAAAAAGGTACAACTTTTAATTCCTTATCTTGAAAAAGTGCTAGAGGAACTTGGAGATCCTCGGGCTCGTGCCAGTATGGGTTGGATATTGGGTGAATTCTGCAACTCTATCCGCAACTCTACTCAGCTGCTATATGAAATGGTGTCTACTATCTCTCAGGAAGATTTACAGGTACAGCTTGCTTTGTTAACAGCCACTGTCAAGTTGAATCTTATCATGCGCAGCACTGAGTCTGAAGCACTTTTGAAAAAAATATCATCTTACGCCAAAAATGTATCTAGCAATCAAGACTTACGGGATCGAGCTTTCATGTATGAACGATTAATGACTTCCCAAAATGCAGATACGGCCGCTTCTATCGTTTGCTCGCAAAAGCCCACTGTCGAACATGATACCAAGTTACCCAAGTTACTTTTAGAGACTTTACTTTCAGAAATGACTACCCTTGCATCTGTTTATCATAAACTACCAGAGTCATTTATTGGTCAAGGAAAATTTGGAGCTGATGCGCTTCAACAACGTGCTGTTGAAGAGCTGAACGTTGATGAGGAAAACAATCAAACGGCTATTGAAAAGGGAGCAAATGTGGAGAATTTACTAGATCTTGATTTTGGAGGTCAAGATACTGCTACTCCTACTGAATCTACGGCATCTCCTTCTTTTTCTAATAATGCTTTGGATTTAATGATGTCTGTCGAGTCTTCCACACCGAGCAATCAACCTGCGGCGGGTCATTCACGATCTGCAACAGAAGACCTGCTTGGCTTATAAAAGTATTTATTAGAGGACTTGATCAAATAAGCATGTCTATACCGCATACCAAAATATCACATAGTAAATGAATTATTATTCTTATGCACTTAGAATTATTGTACTAGAAATCGGTAGTTTTATGAACTGCCAAATACGATGAATAAACAAATCGTATGCTTTTTTGACGCAGGATATTCTTGTGTTACTCAAAATTCATTTTGATTCTCATAAAGTACTCTTCGGAATTCAATTAAAGGTATTGCTTCATTAACTAAAGGTACTATTTATTTACAAATATTGTTGTAAATGACTATGTTGCTATTTTAACCTATAGCGTACTACTGTCTAATACATTAAGCTATATAACCTACTCTACGACTTCGCATTATTTGGCTACATTCAGTGAGGAAATTCACAAGACTTCCTTTTCTTCAAGGAAGGTGAAGGCTTTACATTCAATCATTAAAGACTCTTTTTACTGTGCTTGTATTTTGGGATTTACGCAAGATACCTAGTTAATACTTTGTGACTGATTGCGGTAAGGCCATTACACTTTCGAGAATTTATAAATCTTGGATAAACTTCTAAAAGGCCAAGAAATTGTTTTCGTGAGTAGTTTTTGAGATTTGGCCCTTTCTATAAATAAAGAGAATAATTTATCACTTCACCCATCCATTTGAATTTTATATTGGAACAGAATGAGTAGCGGAACATCAAGAGAAGAATTACAAAAGAAGCTTCACGAGAAGATTGATAAGTTTAGATCTCAAAGGAAGCTTCCAAAAGACACCGACCGAAAAGCATTGCTTCAGAGTCGCAAGGAAAAGGCTGAGCAAAGAGCGCAAGCGAAAAAGAAGGCAAAGGCAGCTGCTAGAGAAGCTGAATTGAAGAAAGGTGCTGAACGTAATGCAGCTTCTCAAGGTAAAGAATTAGAAAGCTTGGATCACGCATCTGACTCAGCCGACGGAAAGCCAGACATCACATATGGAACTCTTCTTCTCGGACAAGACAAATTTACCAATGGTGAACTAAAGAAGTCCGGTAAAAGAAAGGGCCCAACAGATGTTTACGGGGCCATGAAGCATTTGGAAGCGAAAAGGGCGCGGATCGAGAAGTACGATGAAGAGAAAAAGAAAAAGATTGAAGAAAGTGATACCTGGCATCGGGTTTTACTTCAAGCGGAGGGGAAAAAGTTACAGGACAACGAGAAACTCTTGAAGAAAACCATGAAGCGGAAGGAAAAGGAAAAGAAAAAATCATCGATGGCCTGGCTAGAGCGTAACAAGGCTGTTCATCAGACGATGGCCCTGAGACAGAAGAAACGTGAAGAGAATCTTCAAAAACGTCGAGATAGTAAGAAGTCTAATAAGAAGTCTGCTAAGAAGTCAGACAAAAAACCAGACAAGAAGTCGGATAAAAAGACGAGAAAGTCAAAGCCTTCTAAAGGAAAGTAAAATCAATAGATAACATACGGGTACCTGGGAGAATTTAGGATTGGATTACGGTTTTAATGAGATGTTTTTCTACATACTTACTGTAAGAGCATATACATGGTACGGGTTTCATGGACGAGATTAAAACAGTATTCATTAGGTTGCTAGTAAAGTAAATCGCCCGAAAAGTAATAAAGAAAACTATATATGGAGTCTTTAGGAAATCAGTAGTATAATACAATGCAGATATTTATTGCGATAGTCATCCCACAATGCTTCTTAACACATAGGAAGCCTTAATTGGTACCAGAAGAAGTCTCTGTATCAGGCTGCCCTGATGTTGGAAGCTTATTTACTGGATTATCATTTGGATTTGTAACGGATGTTGATTCTACATCGGCCGTAATTGCAGTGGATTCTTGATGCAACGGTGCAGTTGGGGAAATAGTAACGCTGTTTAGGGTCGAACCTTTCACTTCTTCTTTTTCGGATTTTTTCGTCGATTTTGGACCCGTAGAAGTTCTCCTAGACGTCTTTTCCCTTGGTTTTGATTTTGTCTCTTTGGTGGGCGTCTTTTGTTCCTTCAAAGACTTTTGGGTTTCTTTTTTGGTTTCTTTGTTCGTAGCACTTTTGTTTGCTGTAACATCTTTTTTAGACCCTGAAGTGGAGGATTGTTTTGAAGCTCGTTCATGCATGGATATGGTTTGTAAAGGTTGTTCATCATCATTAGAATCTTCCTCTACTTTCTCAGTGAGTTTTTCACTCGTAGCTGGTTGATCGTTCGTAGAAGATTGAGGAGTAGTTGGAGTCGGATTGGCTGCGGCATTGGAAAGGGTGTTTGCTAACTTCTTTTTGCGTTTGGTTTTTTTAGATCGTTCAATCTTTACTTTATCGCCTTCAGCCACCAATGGTCCGCTGAAAACGAAAAAGCCATCCTTGCTAGCAGCGGCCATTTCTTCAATATATAATTCTGTATCATCAATGAACGGGTCATTTCGATCGTAGTATTCATCTGCATATCTTCTCTTTCTTCGTTTTTTGGTCGGCTCTGCTCCAGCTTCTCCATTAGGACCTCCTTGTTGTTGTTCATTCTCTCCTTCTGATTCTGCAGAATCAGAAACCTCGGTTTTCTTTACGTTTCGATTGATGGAAGGTCCATAGGCCTTCTCGACTTCTTCGGCGAAATTTATATGGACGTTTTCTTTTCCTTGTAAAGGAATCTCTAAACACAGAACGCGTTGATCGTCGAACGGAAGCATTATTTTTTATACTGAAAGTAAACAGAATCTAGAATTGTAGATACCAACCAGAATACTGGAGACGGATTTGGATCTGAAGTCTATGGGATTAAAAGACCTCCTTAAAATACAAGGAACAAGCCAAAATCAATGAATTATGTTTCTAAAACACAAATTAAATCTCAATGGCACTAATTTTATCGAGCAATCTTGTTTTCGCGTAGAACGTAAGCATTTACTTTTGGAAGTGTACAAATTTCCAAGTACAAGAAAACTATAAATCACTATAGCTTTTTCTCTATATCAAATGCATCAAGCCTAATACAGGTTTGTCTGTCTGAGTATCTTCATAGAAGTGGTAACTCGTACAACTTTGAAACTTTCATATCTGCTTGAAGGTGACAATGGAAGCTTGGTAGAAATCGTAACAACGTATGTTAGAATTCATTTTCCCATGTTTAGGAGACGAAACAGTTCACCCAAACCTACATACGGTATTCCAAAGTTTCTGCATTAATAAACATATTATTGGATTTTGTTACATTTAAGTATAGTTCTAAAGAAGATATAAAGGTACGTAGCAGCATAGAGACATGGTAAGGAATTGGCAAAGAATTTGAACAATTTAGCAGTATGTCTCCAAGTAAGTTATGACCGGAATGGGATAATCCAATCTCCTCATTATTGAACTGCAAAGCCGTAAAAGAAACGGATTGAATTAACTGAAATAATAATATTGTTAAATTGACAAAAATTTTGACTGCAAAAAAAATTGCTCCTGGTGAGGCTCGAACTCACGACCTTCCCCTTTCAGAATATGAGAGGGACGCTACCACCGACTGAGCTACAGAAGCTTTGTTGAGATCTCAAGACTATTAAAGGTTTTAAAGGTCTTATATAATTTCTAAGTTAAGTTAGTTTGTAAGTAGAAAAGTCAATCTTTTGTCTTAGACGTTGAAGTACACGGAAAGAGCACTCATAGATGTACAGTTTAGTTGTAAGAATAACTTGTGTCTCCATTATAGTATAGGTAAATTTGATTTTGTAAAATCGCGCTGGCATTTCTCTTGTATAGCGCTTACTCTTTTCAGAGCAGGGCCTATAAAGTAGTCTAACCCTTCTTTTAGAAAAAGAAATAAAAAATACTTCTCTTATATGCGTTTATCCAATTTACAATTTTAAATAAGGAGTTGAAGTATGACATATGCTTATAATAGTAATTTAGTAATGTTTAATATACTATGATTTATAAAATTATTGTACTTCGCATATGCTTATAAAAGTGTAATGTGCTTATTGAGATTAAGCTCTCGAATGCGCACGTAGATATAGCTAGTGCCAAACACAGTTTGGTGAATAAAAAGATCATAGACATCAGAATTGTCATTAAGAGATACTAAACCAAGTTGTTTCCACATTCAATGATACATGGATAGACGAGGGTGGAGGCCTTCGGCGCCGGTAGTTATATTACTATTACTATTCATATTTTTTGCTCCGGTACGTCGTATTCCTTCTCGTAATGGAGATTCTACTGAGAAAAGTCTTGAAGCCGAAAGGAATTGGCTTTCAAAGATTCAAAATTCGACGTTTCTAGAGGCTCCTGAACAAGTGCAACAGTCAATGGCATTTCCTGAACAAGTGCTGTCAGAGAGAAACGAACTTTACAAATCATCAGCTGGTCCTGGCGCCAGTCATTTGAACCATACGTCGGTTGTGATAGGCAACTGGAAGAAACTCTCCTACGATTCTTTTGGTAATGTTTCTCCGAATGTAACATGGCATAAAACATTGCAAAGCATCCTGAATTCCGGAAAAGGTCAATTTTCAGCCAATCTTTACGAATTTCCTGCAGCAGATTCCAACGACTTCTCGTTCGTTATGAATATGGAAAATCTGAATGGAACTTCAGTTTACCAGCTAGCCTTTTATGGTGATCGTCTGGACAAGATAAATGCATTGCTTGGTGCTACAGAGGTTTCTCCAGAATTTCCGGGCGTGGACAGTATTCCCTGGCTTTTTCATGAGCCCTCGGATAAGAAGGATTTACCTTTTGATGGACAAGAGTATTTTGACGCCTTAAAAAATAAGTCTCTTGGAAGAATTGACGATAGAATTAACCAAATTTCACGTGGAGGTTGGTCTCCATTATTATACGAAGAGGAAAGTGTTTCTTGTCGAGCCTATTTTTATGGATTTAACAAGAACACAGGGTTAAGCAAAGAAACTCTTGCGGCCATAGAAAATGAATATTACCATCCCCAAGGTGTATCGATGTTGAAAATGCCCGACGTGTTATTTTCTGGTCTTATCTATTCTCCAGATTGTAACGTTGCTTTCACATTTTCTAATTACAAAGGACCTCGTAACTTTGTATTTGATGCCGGTTTGGTAAGATTTTCTTCTTTCTATATCATTGTCATCTTTTGTCAAATATTTTTGTTATTAAGGCAGATGCGGATAAATTCACCTTCTTATGTTCAACGCCTTTCATTCATTACTATTGCTATCCAAGCTTGTCTTGACGCTTTTATTGCCATCTTCTTTTTAAGCATAAACGCTGTTATTGAAAGAGGTTACTTACCTTTTGTTTCCATTGCTTTTCTTTCACTCATTCCTTCGGCGATGTTTACTATGCGATATTTGGCTCTAATTTTGCGTGTTCAAAACTCAAATTCTCCTCCTCCGCCACCGCCTCCCCAAACCCAGAATAATGAAGCTGCAAATACTGACGGAAGCGAAGGTGGTAATAACAATACAACTAATGCGCAGGATGCGCTGCCTCAAGCAGCTGGTTTGACTCAAAATGAACGTGATCAACGAGATTGGTCATCTGTTTGTCTTCGGTTTTATTTTGTGATTCTGGTTGTGTGTATTGCATCCTTGTATTCCGCTGTTTGGCCTGTCACATACAGATTTTACTTCATTTCTACTCTTTTGTTTGCTTCTTATTCTTTTTGGGTTCCACAAATTATTCAAAACGTAAAGCAAGGTACCTCGCGCAGCTTTTCTTGGGTGTATATTCTTGGACTCAGTTTATCCCGTATGTATTTGCCAACATTTATTTTTCTTTTTTCCGAAACCACCTTAAAGTTTACTCCTAAATATTCGCACGCCTTAGCTTTGGCTTTCTGGATGTCTTTACAGGTTTTAATTTTATTTGCGCAGGATACTCTAGGGCCCAGGTTTTTCCTACCGAAAAAGGTAAGTCTCTCTTTATGTGCCTTCAACTAACTCATGCTTCTAGTTATTTCCTTCTAGCTCTACTTACGATTATCATCCTATCATCCAAGCTGGTGATTTGGAAGCATTTATGCAGGATGCAAATGTATGTCCTATTTGCATACAACCTATAGAACTCGTTTCTAGTGGCTCCACTTTGAATCCAGCTTCACGAATAGTAAGAAGGAACTACATGCTGACACCATGTCATCATCTGTTTCATAGACAGTGTTTGTTACAGTGGATGGAAAGTAGAAGTATATGTCCTGTTTGCCGATGTCATTTGCCGCCTGTTTGAAATATTGTTTATGAATCATATTTAAAGGATTTACTATTGAATGTTCGATTGTGTTAGTTTTACGAGAAATTATTAGTAAAAATACATAACAATAAAGAAAACCCTGCACTCCTGATTAGACTACCTATTAATGAATGATATTCATGATGCAATTCATTTTAATGTTCCTTATATCGTGTAAAATATACTAGTTATGCCAACTGAAAATCTCACAACTAATTGCTTTCAGATGAAAGCCATGTTGATAGAATACGCCCTCCATCGATTCCTAAATACTGAAGCTTTTCGTTAGTGAAACCAAGATTCCTCAAAAGTCGGGTGTTTAAACCTCCAGAGAAATGCGAAGCGGATCTTCCCTTAGAGGATAATACCAGGTTGAATGCATTCAAGCGTAAGCGATCAAACCTTGCCATCGCACGAACGTAAGGTGCAACTTCGGTGATCAATATATCATTCGTACGATCTATACTATTTGGGGGAAAGAAAAATGATGAGTGGGAATCGGAAAGGGAAAAGAAAGAAAGAGCGTTATATACATCATCTGGATCAGTCCTGATAAAGTTAGTAACCTTTTCATGTTAATTTTATCATACTTGTAAGATATCTTTGAAGCTAAAACACTCAAATAAAGGGGAACTCTTTTCAAAGGAGTTGGTAATATTGTAATTATAGGTGAGTCTTTATATTCATACAAACCAAGCAAAAAATTAAGCATTGGATACTTTAATTGAACTTCGTGTAACTCCGGTGATGTGTTAGATTTAAAAGGATCTGTAACGATGGGGAATCCCATCAAGTAATCAGAGTAGTTCAACTTTACCCTGTCACGGGTATCTTGATCAATGTCATTAAATGAAGCGCTGTCATACAATAAGTCATATGTCTCATAAATAGAGCTCTGATTAGAGAAACAAGCATCTATGTGTGATAAAGAATCCGCGTATTCATACGACTTGTCTAGTTGGTCCAGAAAGGACTTGGAGTTATGAAGATTATGTGGACGAGGAGGTTTCCTCCAATTGACTGAGTTTGGAAGAAATAAAATTCCTAGATCACCGTTCTGCTCATCACAGTAAGTTTGAAGAAGACTTTCTCTAGATTGTATTCTATCATTGAATATACCAATACCGTCATTAAATGCAGACACTGAAGCTTCTACAGTAGGTAAATCTTGAGTACTATTAACATCCCCACTTTTTAAAGGATCCATTGTTTCGGTAAGGCACCAGAAATTTAGTTGCATCAGCATACACCGTAAGTCAGACCCTAACTTCTGAATTAGAGATTCTACTACACTTCTTGAAACAATAGCTCTTTCGGAAAAAAGCACAGAAGAAAGGTAGTCTGCTAGGGCAGCTAAAGGCAACTGCTGAAATTCAACAATATGATCTTCTTGTAAAAACGATGATGGAAGAAAGTCAGTTTGATTGCAAGTCATAGCAACCGGTCTTTTGGATTTTTCGATGAGTGCAGTAACAGCTTGCCAAAAACCGCGGTCTTCTTGGAAAATTATATCCACTTCTTCTAAAAGGATAAGTGTATTACTTGATTCTCTTTCTTTTGATCTCCCTACGACATGACTTTGAGTAAGCTCCCCAATCCTTTCCAAAAGCTCTCGTCCAGAGCGGCGCATTCCAGGGTGAATTTCCACAATCTGAAAATTCAATTCGTGACAAATGCCATAGATGGAAGCTGTCTTACCAATTCCGTTAGGGCCAGCAACTACCATCCAATTAGGACACTGCGAAACACTTAATTTTACCTTTTTGCGGGAAGCGGAAGTAGAGTTTTCTTCGTCATCGGTTATTATATCTGGTTCAAATTCACTTTCTGATAAGGAATCGTTTGAAGACTTCTCTGAGGTTCGAGATTGAGAGGTTGAAGAACGAGAAACAGTAGTGGACTTCTCACTGGTATGAGCAGGGGCGGTCGGTTCAGAAAGCTTGCACGAGCGTAACCAATCCTCTATTTTTGTAATGCAATCCAATGAAGCGCATGAATCCAATGACTTTTTAGGAGTATATTTAATGGTCCATAAAGAATTCCTTGAGCTGTTCTTCAAATTTAGTAACTTCTTCGAATTGATGTCGGAAACAACCTTCTCTACGCAAGGAAGGGGCGTGAATCCCAGAGACTCTGAAGCAAAACAGTGAAGTTTCTCCATCGTTGTCTGAATTTTCTCTAGCTTTGGCGTTTCAATGACTGAAGAGTCAATCTCTTTTAAGGAATGAGACAAAATATCTGAGTAAGAGGGCAGAGTGAATGAAGCAGAGTTATCGCTTGGATGTAATTTCTTTGAGAACGGCAATTTCGTATCATTTTCATGCACAGGAGGAAAAAAGTCGCTTTGATTTTCTGGACTCGGCCACAGAGGATCTTTAAGTTTTATCACTTTACCGGACTCGAGGTAGCTTTTCAAAAATTTAGTTTCATCTTCCACATCATCTGTTTGCTTTCGCTTTGAAGAAGCAGTAAAAAAAGGATGATAGGTGACATTATTAGTAGAATTCGCTGCTGAGTTTGTTGAAAATGATAAAGAGCGTGTAGGCTGTGCTAAGTTTGATGAGGACGACCTATCCAAATCCGACTCTCCATCCTTAGTATTTTTAGTTAATAATTCTTCATCAACTAAAATCTTTTCACCATTAGAAAGCATCCGAGTCTCCATATTCGAGCTGGATTGTAATATTTCCTGAATTCTATGTCCAAGTTCTGTAGAGATTTTCAATTTCACAAGCAGACAAGATTCATCGGTCGTGGAATCAAAGGATTCCTCTTCATCAATGAAAGACGAATCTTTATCCAAGAAGCGTCTCATGTAATTTTGTTCTTTGTGCAATGACTTTGCTCGACGGGGTCTTCGAGCACCCAATGAATTTGAACGGGTCAGTTCTTTTTCGTTTGGAGAAGTAGTTTGCGGCATTGTTTGACGGCGCACGACCGCGTGTTTCTCCTCAGTTGGGGAGACATGCTGAGCATCAGGATTCGTGTCTTTTTGTGAATTTGCAGACAAATAGCCTACAATTTGCATAAGGATATAACTATTACCGCATAAGTACAATCCAAATAGTTGCGAAAATATCCTTGCCGTTGGAACAATGTGAGTTTCAGAGGAATCCTCAATGTTGGAAGAAGGTATCTGTCCCACAACGATTACGGTATAAGGGAAACGAACAATGAGCAAAGTACAACATAATTAGAAGTTAAATTAATATTTATTTTACATTCCATTCTTAAGGGTTTTTGAGGTTTGATCAAATGCTTTCAACAGCAATTCTTTTCGAGAGACCGTGAGTTGGTCGACAGACTTACTCATACTGATACTCTTTTATCCTATAACGACAAAAAACTCAACCGATTAACGAAGGTTCTCAATAATCATGTTGGAGCTAGGTTCCTAAATGATTTGTTCTCCCCATTAACTATAGTGGTCCTCAGGAGTAAAGCCGATCAATTTACTTTTTCCTTTTGTAACATCGCATTTATTCTATAGCTGTTTCTCAAATACCCGATGGCCTGCTTGTATGTTTGACAAAGTGTTGTTTATATAATATAGGTGTATGCAAAATTGCTATCGAGAGCCTTTTTCTAAAAGTGAAATAGGTATCGAATTCTCCAACGTATTGAAGGATTGCGAAGATAAAATACTACAAGAAGAGCTCTGGTCTCAGTTCTGAATGACTTTGAAATATCCGGCAAAGTCGTAATTATTGCCAGAGTACTGTGATGAATTATAGAACAAGGTACTTGAAGTTTTTGGAATGATTCTATAATACTGAAGAAGGAGTTACATTCAAAGAAAGATCTTGGTGATGAGGAAAAGAAAATCTGCATGACTTGTCTTCAATGGTTAGTCGGCACACAAAAAGCTTCATGTTCTAATTGTGGTAAAGTTTCTACCTATGTCCCCTTTATGGGATCTTCCCATTTCTAGGATCCTCTGTAAGTAATTGATCATCCTTCAAAATACTCGTTTCGTGGTGAATGGGTATACGACCAAATACTTGTTAGAAAGTAGAGTTTAAAAAAAATTCTGTTTCTGTTTCCTATGAACTACTCTATCACTTCCCTTATACCTTTATATCTGCGACCAAAAGTTCTATTTGCACGGTGAACAAAAACATTTATTCAGAAATGGGGTTTCCAAATGGAGATATGATTTATCTTTTTATTACTCTTCCACAGGTCTCTAACTTTTCTGGTAAACAGTTTAATTACCATACCCTTAAAACAGATTTTGCATTTGTTTACAATATAGTGATTTCGTGCAAAGCTCACTATTTGTTGGAGAGTAAGTGCTAAATGTGAACTCACCGAACAAAACCAAAGAAGGGAGTAAACAAAATAGGCATGGAAGAATATATTCCATTTGACGAGATCGTGCTACAGTATGATCCAAATAATGCAGGAAAAGTAAGGTTGATATGATCTATAATTAGGTTCTTACATTTGTAGGTTTCAATTCGCAGTTTTTTAGAAATTGTTGATGATATCGAGGCTTTACGCCAACCATCATCGTATCCTTTATTAGATTCTGAGCAAAGACAATCTGCAGAGGACTTTATTAAAGACAATGAAGGAATTGTGGTATCGACGATTGAAATAAAGAACTTGTTCTATGAATTAACAAGCCAAGACCCAGATCGGATACCTATTAGTAAGACCATTCTAAGAAATAGAGCAAGGAGTCGATCCCATAGTGGCCCGAATCCATATTCGAAACTTTCAGAGAGGAGACGGCTCAAGGATAATGACTTGAGCTTTCAGACACCACAAAAGCCAGCTCCAATGAGCCAATCAACCCCTTTTACAGAAATAACAAATGCAAAAGATATAAAAAATAACATATACGGGACGAGGCGACGAAATGGGAATCACGACGAGACCCTTGCTCAACTATACGAACGTGTTCAATCCCAATCTGATCAGTTACGGGCTAAGGAGATTGAGAAGCAAGATTTAAAAGAACAAAATCAGAAATTGTCTGAAGAATTGGCAGAGTCGGAGGAAGCATGTAAATCATGCTACACACAAGCTAAAACCTGGGAAAAAAAGTTTCGTGAAACCCTCAAAGAATCTAAAGAATTTTCACAACAATTGGAAAGCATACATCAGGAATATGAAATACAAACGGCCCACATTACTAGACTTGAACAAATTATTGAGGCTGTTGAGAATGAGCGAATGACGGTATGTTTTACATTTATTTCTAAAGAATAAAATTTCATTCTAACTTAAATAGGAATCCGACCATTTGCAGAAGACTTTGGACTCCAAAGCGAATCTTGCTTTATTAGAAAGGAACCAACAGCTTGAATATCAATTGAAGATATTAAGGGAAGAATATAGTCAATTAAAGACTCGAAACCCCTCTTCTAATATTTCCATACCTCCTCCTCTTACGGTGAGCCCTATTTGTTATCCATTTCGTATACCCTCTTTACCTGTTTCTAAAAAAATGCAGGCCGATCCTCAACTCACAGCTAGTCTTTCTCTCTTGGCTTCTGAGTTGGATAGCCAAAAGCAGTTGTTGCAAAAGTTTAATAGAATTAAAGAGAATCCTTCTGGGGTTTCTGAAGCATGGAGTAATATGCGGCGACGTGTAACAAAGAACGTTACTGATCATCGGTTTTTACAGTTTGCACTTGGGTCTCTGCTTATCTTTTTCTTTTTTCATCTTGTATATTTTTTCTTCTTCCGAGTCGGTACCATTTTACAATGGCCTTTTGTGTATTGGCTTCCTTCGTTAGCTCCTGACACTCAGTGGTCTCCCACATAAGTCGCTCTTTTTTTGTATATTTATAATTTCGTCTTTTCCTCGTTTACTTAATTCCTACTAACCTAGTTTGTTAAGCTCTGCGAAGTCTCTATTTATAAAGGTCACGTTCAATCGTGGCTTTTGGTTACTGTGTATATAGGGCTACTTCTACTTTATTTTTCATACGTTATATTAAAAGTTTTGGTACATATTTTATTTCCATAGTTTGCAAAGTGTTTACTTGGGTGATAGAGGCAACAAAATATTCAGAACCCATTCTAATAACGATCGTTCTTACTTAACCTTTGAAAGAAATTTATTCCTATATATGTTCTATGTTAATTAGAACATTAGATACCAAGCTATTTGAGAATGAAGCCAAAAAAATCAAGTTAAAACATTGTTTGCCTAGGTATTTCGTTAAAGCTCACAAATTAGATATTATGATACAACTCAGTATTTAAAGTACCTTAACCTGTATTATACGCATGTAAACAGTACCAACTAATGTAATTTTGGTGTGTAAAACAAGAACGCTTCTCTGCCGTTTAAACTTGTACTATATTCATTGTTAATTGTTGGACGGTTGAATTTTACTATAAATTAGATTGGTTTTGATTATTTTGGGAAATTGAAAAGAATTGTCGCTAATTAGAAAACATGGATGAGAAAGGTGGATTGTTTTCGCATATCATTGGGGATGTTGTAGAAAGACCAAAAACCTCAGGGTCTGTTGAATTAAAGGCGAAGCAGCGTCATCCTGGAGGCTTTCCTAGTATACCAAAAGTATTGCCTAAACGCCATTCAAACCCTATGAGCTCGTTTAAAGAGCGACAGATGCGAAATAAGAAAGCAACAACAATGGTAGATGAGAAAAAAGGAAGCTTTGAATCACAAGGGATTGATGATGAAAACAGTGTTCGACTGGATCGAATGAACGAACTTGAAATTTTAGAAGCACAGAATGAAATTCGATCTACAATCCGAGACGATCTATTAGAAATGCTGAAAAGTAGGCATCTTAAGAAGAAGAAAAAGGAAGAGGAGGAACTACAGCAAGGAGTTTCTTCCGAGCCTAACTCTTCTTACCTTAAGGGACAAAGTACAGCTACCTATGTACCTTCTCGTTTTCGAACAAGGAATACGGACCAGTCAAATTCCAACCTACAGAGTGTACTTTCATCTGATGTTATTGAAAGTTCTTCTTCAAGCAACGATTCCCCGTCCGATGGCAGAAAAGTTGAAAAGTCAAGGATGAAGAAAAAGGTAACCTTTACGGATCCTTCTATAGTCAACGAACATAATCAATCTGGGAAGTCTTTGGAAAACAAGAGCGAGTTGAACTTTGAGAAAAAGGATGGTGAAATAAACTCGAAATCAATCAAGGAAGAACCTAGTTTAGAATCTTCAGTGAATCAAACAGATGTTCCTTTGGGACCAGAATATAACGTTCATATGCCAGAAAAACGAGTCGATTTGGATCCAAACGCGCCCGACTTTTATGAGCAATTACATGAAAAGTACTTTCCGAATCTACCCGTGAATGAAAAACAAATGCAATGGTTAAAAGATCCTAATGAAGAAGAAAATACATATACTCCTGAGGCGGAGGGTGTCCATGCTCATCAAATCCGATTTGGTTTTCGCGGCGAAATTATCCCTCCTGGTAAAAGTCATAAAATCCCAGTAACTGAAGGTCTCCATCATCATGGAGATGCTCCATCGAGTGCCGGTTATACATTAGTGGAATTAGCTCATTTACTGCGCTCGCAATTCCCGACGCAGCGCTCTATGGCGATTCAAACCGTTGGTCGTATCTTGTATCGTCTAAATTCGGGTGAATTTGGTGATATAATTTCGCCAGAATTGCATACATTAGTGGAAGACACGAATATTCTTGATCTTTTAATAGCAGCATCTGGAGAGAACGTTCGCCATATGACGGTTCGTTCGTTGGCCGTTGAAGCTTTATGGTTAACTTCACAGAGTCAACATGGATCAACAAGGCAGGCTCTGTAATACTAGAGGGATTTTACCATTTGCAAGGAAGTGTGCTGAGTACGAGATGGTTCGTATTTTGATAGCTTTCATGCGTATGTTTAAAGTAATGATTTTTAGGTGGACAGTGGGAATTTTGAGGTTGTAATATTTAATTGATTCAGTTTTTGTTATTTTTCTTAAGACGAAGTCGTTAATCTCAACCGTGGTTTACATGCTGAAAAAATCTTGTGTGAATAAAAACAAATATGCTACTCATAGAAAGGATCAAATTTTAAATTTTCATACATTCTAAACCATTAAAGGAAAAAGCGAAGTGGGGAGAAGCAGAATGGAAATCAAAATTTCGTAAACCGATGGTAATAAATTTATTTGCTCTGAAACAATCGTTTAAACCAAGGGACTTTTACTTCTTTACGGCGGACCTGCTTGAGGTTTTCATAGTAGTTGGGGTTGAATTGCGGCTTCAAAACGTTCTTTTCGGGTGTAAACTACATTTCATGTTAGTCGCTTCTTATCCATCAAATCTTTTCTAAGGTGTTATACCTCATTCCAATAGGTGTTTTCCAACAACTTTTCAGCTGCATTCAATTGTATCTTTCTATCTTCCGGTGAAAGCTTCTCGAGTTTGGTGCGAAACGTTGTATCCAACGCTTTAGGAAACGAGAGCCATGGACGCAACTCATCTTTTGGCCAAAGAGAGATGATACGTGTTAGACGATTGCTCATTTTTACAAATTGAATTCTTCAAAGAAATGGCTTTACAGTCCAACTTCCTTTGCTTGCATATGTGGAACTCAATGTTGAGCCAATCGTTCTTTTTTGATTTAAGCAGTTCTTTGGTACAGCACGGTACTCATTTTACCGAGCCTGTACGACTAATACATAGCTTCGCTAAAAAACAAAAAGTATTCCTGAATTCATAATTCGCAAGGAATCCGTTTTACGAACGTCCATCGATGGTGAAAGTATTTCACAAGTTCTATCAATAGAAAGAAGGTGCTTCTATAGTTGCTAATCTTTATGCTAAATGATGAAGCTTCAAACGGTTTCAAATGTCAACCGCATGCATCGTTTCAAATCCCAGCTGAACGACTTCTGAAATCGTCGTCAACATATTTTTCCGTTCTATAGTTTTTGTTCATATATGTCAAATTACGACAAGCTATCAACAAGCGGCGATGCCCGAGTGGTCTAAGGGGGCAGATTTAAGAGGCTTACGCCTTGAACCCTGCTGTTGTAAAACGCGTGAGTTCGAACCTCACTCGCCGCATTATTTTTTCTTCTTTCCTTTTGCTTTGTATGGTGCATCAAGCATCCTTCTTTACTGTGCTTGATTTACTTATAGCCTTTTCTTTTTTTTTTTTTTTTTTTTTTTTTTTCTTTTAAGTATGCGATGAACTTGTTTACTTGAAGCGTGATACAAGATTGAACTATTTGCTACTTGGTTAAACCTACTTATAACGAGAATTATTGAATATACACACCATGCAATTGTTGGTTATAGAAGTCGATTACTATGGATGAATGAAAGCACGAATGGCCTATTCCTATATTATCCTACTGTAAAAAAGGGGGTGGTAAATGTTCGTCATCTTTGAAGTCTTAAATCTTTGCATCAAAACGTCCAAAGAGTCTGGCTTTAAGCCAATCGAAAAGAACCAAAAATTGAGAGCGTCCAGATACCAATTGGTACAAGTAAGCAAGTCTCCAGAAGGTATTTCCCCAAGTGCCGTGCAAAGGAATAATTTTGTTGAGGTAAGGAACCTTCAAATCAGCAATCGCTTTCTCGTGACCAACATAAGCCATGGCACCCTGGTGGTTGTATTGGAATGCCTCCAATTGAATATTGGCAAGCTCCTTCTTCAAGGTAGAAAATTCTTGATCGGTCTTCTTTTCACCAAGTTGCTTCTCCATAACTTCAATTCTGTGTTTCAAAGCACTTGCCTTTCCAGACTTATTGAGGTTAGCAGCTAACCAATCACCTTGTTGGTGAGCAACTTGAGCAGTTGCAGGTAATCCAGAGAAAGCACAGTCACCGATGGCATATGTGTCAGGCATACCCTTTACGCGGAAGAATTCATCAATAATCAAACCTCTACGAGCGCCACTTTGTTCGGGAATAGTAGACATTAATTGGCGAGTCAAATCACGGGCAGTAATACCAGCAGCCCAGACCAGAAGTCCATAAGGAATGTTTTCAATTGTCTTGGAGCCGTCGGCGTTGGTCTTTTGAATGATTAATTCCTTTTCATTCACATCCTTTACAAGAGCTTGCGTCATGATTTTAATGTTGATATCCTTAAAGAGACCTTCTGTGTACTGAACCAGTGGCTTGGTAAACATGGGTAAAACCTTAGGAGCAGCCTCAATAAGTGTGATGCGGACTTCCTTATAAAGCTCAGGAAACATTCTACGGATATCACCATCAATGTAATCACGCATTTCAGCAGCGAATTCCATACCAGTGGGACCACCACCGACAACGGTGAAGTGCAAAAGACGAGAACGTTCTTCAGGAGTCAAGTTCTTGTTGAAACGCACTTGTTCCAAAGCATCGGAGACCTTGGTGAAAACCTTCTTGGCATCTTCAGCTTCCTTCAAGAAGCAGCCATACTGTTTCACACCTTGAAGTCCAAAGAACTGGTTTGTGGCACCGACGGCAACAACCAAGTCGTCATAAGGCAATTCAGTTTGGATATCTTTGTTGGCAGATGTCGTTCCGCGGATAACAAGTTTCTTGGCCTTGGAATCAATAGAGGAACACTCTGCTTGATGAATAGCGGTAGGAGGGATTTTGTCCTGCAGGAGGGATGTTAAGGGTTCGGTAATACTGGTCAATCGCAATGTTCCGACGGTACAGGAGGGCAGCATGGGGGTAAAAAGAAAGTGGTCGCGAGGACTAACGACAATTACATTGTACAAGGAAGTATTGATGTTCTTTAACACGGAGATTGCACCCCAACCGGATCCCAAAACGACGAGTGTTCTTTTTGGAGAACCGGTAACAGATGCATCATTAGAGGAAGGAACAACACCACGAAGGGATTGTAAGACAGCTACACCTGTTAATAAAGAAAGACTAGAAGCAACTTCCATGACTTCGACTAAGCGGGATCCCAAACCGGATCTCTTCATGGGTGCCTTCTCATTAGCGCGAATAGCAGCCGAGGATTGGAATGAGCGACGAAGCAAGCTGGCATTCTTCTGCCATCCAGAAGATCTAGCTAGCTTTAACGCGCTTTGAGGTCGTAATTTTAATGAAGAAGCCATTGGTATGGTTTAAAGAAGTCAAGTTTTAGCGTCTTCGGAAAAGAAAGAGTGGTATAAGAGCAAAAAAATGACAAGTCAGATAAGATTTCGTAACAATAATATCAATCCAGTAAATTTAACCAAGTTTTCGTGAGAGAAAAGGTTCGTCTTGGTTTATTTCAAAAACTCAAAAGAAGTTTGAGCATAAAATGTTTTCAATAGCTAGTTTTTTTTGAAAAATCTATTACAATCAAGTTGTAATAATATAATTTTTCTTAATCCGAAGTGAGAGGGGTGTTTGGAAGACTGCAAGTTCCAAAACTGGTTTCATAACGGTAAACAATTAAGGTACGGTAGTAAGGGTACAAAACGTCATACTGCGGTTTCTTCGACTTGCTTATTGGAAAAGCAAAGTACCAATTAACCGTTCTTTTATAAAGAAAATAGCAGGCCGATTCCACAGCGCTAAACGCATATACGGAAGGAAAACGAGATGTAAAGAATTCGTGAAACAAAGAGCAGGAAGAAAATAAAACAAAAATATAAAAAATATATTTTAGATTTGAACGGCTTATAGAAATAAGCGAACTGTTTTTGGAAAAGCATGTAAAACACCATACTCAGAAAGGAAGTCTTTCAGTTGTAAACGATATCATCATGAACTGTAGTAGGTTGGGTTTCAAAAGCGACTTGACTTTGATGGTTTCATTTCATTTTCATTTAAAGGGTTTCTTCAATTAGCAGGTCGTTTTGGATCAAGCAAAGCTCAATGTTGTTGTGCTTAATTAATGGTTTGAAAAGAAACTGTTCAAGTGCTTAACGTTTCAAAATAGATAAAATAGGTTTAGTTTTTATATGGAGAATAAGTCATCCATGCAATTTTGAGCAAGCATTCAACATAATTCAACATGATCCAACAACAACAACAACAGCAACAGCAAAATTGGTGGTACTTATAGTCTATTTTCCAGTCCTAAGAATCCCTATCCATTTCATTAATAGAATCTAATCATCGACAAAAATAAAAAGTAGTAATAAACTGAAAAATCCAAAATGACCAAAAACTGATCGATGACTCGCGGATGTTTGTTTTGTTTTGTTCTGTTCGGTAAGAAAACCAAGTGAAAATCTCCTATACAAATATCGCTGCTTTCTTTATTCTTCCATTTTCACGTCGTTTTCTTCTTGCTCCTTGTTGTCGCCAACGGAAACTTCTCTGTTATAAGCATTCATGAACAGCGTTTTCATTTCTTGGGTGATTTGATCAGCATGTACAGGCGACTTGTCTAAGACCAAAAAGAACTCCTCGTCAGGAATTGTCCCCGAAGTTTCAACGAGAATTAATTTTTTCTCCCTTCGAGTTACACTGTAGGCCAGGGTGATTATGGAATGCATGGTCTCGGTTGGTTCTTCTGCCGTTACATTCTTCTCTTCCTTTAAGCCAAGCGGATCTTTCCAGTGACATGTAATCGCACTTGGAAGATATTTTAAAGAAATACCTGCATCTAAAAGTGCTAATGTAGCTCCGTTAATTGCAGCTGCTAGTGTATCCTTTGAGTTTCCTTCCACAACCTGTATAGATACCTGGATTAATGTCCTAGGGTATGTGGTTAAATAAATGGCGTCTTCTAAAAGACTAGATATTCTATTGGAAAGCATTCTTTCGAGTGTTTCAGAAGCTCCATTCATGGGTTGAACCAAAACCTCCACCGAAGCCTTGTTTAGTTTTTCATCACGAATTTTTATCTCAATTGGACCGTTCACATTGCAAATTACACGTGTAGAGCCTTGAAAAGTTAGCTAGGGTACCGATTTTTTTATTTCAATTAGTTTTCAACGTAAGCGGTCATATTTCTGCTTCTGCAATTGCATACCTTGTTTCCATTCGCTTGATCCATCTGACTGTGATAAACCCCCGATTTTATTCATATTCTGTAAGAATTTTTGCTTAACAAGAGTTGGATTCTGCAAATTTGCTCAAGTATGAAGAGCAAGCTTTCAGACAATTAGTGCTGTACCTTTTCCTTCGTTAACAAATAAACAAAGGCATATATGTTGAAGAGGACTCCGAAGGAATAATTACAGAAAACAATTTAAAATCTACATTTTTTAGATATATATTTCTATATTTTTTTATTTTTTTACTGAATTACTGAATCAAACAGATAGTCTCTTTGTTGCATATAGGAAACTTGTATTCTTCAAGCAGTATCGATCCTGTATTTACATTATACAGTATAAAAAGAAAGCACCTCGTCAGTTGAAAAAAAAGTCTGTAACTAAACGGTATTGCGAATCTAAAATGTTCATGGTTGGAACCAATCGCTTCTACGCATTTCAGCAAGTCGACTGAGACAACGCGAAAAAGCAAAAACCTCTTCAACTCCTCCAAAATCACCGTGATAATTGGATTCAGAAGCTATTTCTGAGTTTTCAACACTCTCATTATAATTTTTTATGGACTGAATATGTTTGTAACCCTCTGGCGTAGGGTAAATAAGATCCACGGGAACATCAGCAGATAATATAATCTTGGCACGAGCATCATAAACTGCATCAATAAAATTAATAAATCTCCGGATAATGTCTTTAGCTTCAATTGAGAGTTGGGGGATATCAGAAATAATAAATACTTTAAAGCGGTTTGCTAGTGAAATGTAATCAGCAGCACTTTTTGGTTCTCCACAAAGTTCTTTAAAAGTAAACCAAGCTGTGTCTTTACTAACTCTGGGAACAAGGATCGTTCTTCCAAAAACCTCTAATTGTACCTTGTGAGTAGGGTCTGCATGAAGGTCACCATACGTTTCAAAAAATGCTTGCACCTGTTCTTTTACCTTTGGATCTTTCGATGGATATAGATAAATATCGTCGGTTTGTGTTTGAAGACGTCGATAATCGTTGGGACTATCAAGGCACATTACATTCAAACTTTCATTAAGTAAATGGATACAAGGAATAAAACTCTCCCTTTGGATTCCATTTTTGTACAAATCATCTGGAGCTCGGTTTGACGTTATGAAGATCACGACACCATACTTTTGTAAACATTCAAACAATCTTCGAAGGATAAGAGCACCTGCCACGTCTGTAACCTGCAGCTCATCAAAGCACAACACTGTACATTTACTTGCAAGCTGAGCACTAAGATATTCAATGGTATCAACGCCATAGCCGTATACTTGTTTCAAATGGTGTGCCGATTGGTGGATATGAAGCATGAAGGCGTGAAAATGGATGCGCTTGGAATGAGTAATATTCGAAGGAAGGTTATTATAAAACAAGTCCATTAATGCGGTTTTTCCGCATCCAACATCACCATATAGATATATGCCTTTCGGTATTTGGGGAGCAACGAAAGATGATGGTTTGAAGCTGGAAGCACACTTGTTTATTGTGCTACGAAATTTTGAAAACCAATTGGATCCTTCCTTCTCTCGTCTGGGCAAATATAAACTTTCTTTGGGCACTGGAGGTTGTGTGTATGATTGTAACTCGTGGTATAAACGATTGACAAGAACAACCGCTTTTTCTTGGTGAGGATCAGGCCTCCAATTTCCTTCTTTGACTTTAATCTCGTAGGCTTCTTTTGGGCTTTTAGAAGACGAATGACGAATGGGAATATGCCTTCGCGGTATTGACATGGATATGCCTCGTTGAATTCCACGGAAAAAGGAAAGTCGAAGAAACAACATTTTAAAGAAATGAAATCAATTTTAACAGACTAAGTCGTTATCGTCGGCTAAATAATGCCTTTGTCCATTTACAGCTGCAGGTTCCGAAAAATCCACGAGTATCTGTCTCTATTTTACGATTGAAGTGAAGTTTTTAAAGTAAATTAACTATAGACATGAAGAAATGAGAGGGGGGTTATGATTTTTGGTGAATTCTGCAAGTAAATAGAATTCAGTATTCAGCAGGTTGCATCAATGCAGTATACAACTTTCAACAACAGTGAAACTTTTGAGAACTATGTTTGGAAGTTGATTACTTTTAGTTTTTTTTAAAAGAAAAAAGAAAAAAACTGAAACTAAATTTGTAAACAAGCTAAAATCTAAATGACGCAGTGACTATTTATTTGAACTTGGAAGAGAATTACCATATCGTAAAGCATCAGGAAGAAGAAAGAGAATAAAAAAAAGAAGCAGACGATGTATATAGATATAGAAAAAACTATAACAACATGCCCATGTCGCGTTCATACCGAAGATTGTGATTCTTGTCTCATTTACAATCCATCAAAGCACAAAATTTATTCGTGAGGTGTTTCTGTTATGAAAGGTGGAAAGTAGAATTTATGTATTGTACATTATAAAAACTTCAGATGTAGCTGGTAACGTTTCCATCGCTCATTGTTGCTATTATTGTCATTTTTCTATGCTCAATTGATAGAAATGGAGAATCATGAAAAACGCTTTGAAACTTAAGTAGACACAAAGAAAGAAAATTCCAAATCGAAGATTCTAATTCACGAAATTATTTTCTCTTACTCTTACCCTAACTTTCCTTTTTATTTTTTATTTTTTAAAGCTTTTATTTACACTCTAAAGATGCGCTCTGGTACATTAAAGTTACTATTAGGTTGCGCAGGGCTTCTGTAATGCAAGGATATTTAAGTCACTTGAGTCCAAGTTGACCTTTACCTTTGTAACAAGCTATAATAAACTAGAAATATGGGTGTTGAAAAGCAAGTTCTTGTCGTAAGTTAACGCACTATATTACCTGAACGCGTAGAATCGAAATTCCATCGTCAGAGGTGGATTCATGATTTATGGAAGAAGGATTCATGCGTGATTTTTACGAAGCAGCCGTAATAGTTTGAAATCGAATGCCATATTAACTTAATTGAATTAGCCTGGCGATGGCCAAAACTTTCCTAAACCTGGTGATCGGTAAGTATAATTATTTCTTGTAAGCAAAGCGGGTGGACTGGTAGTAGAGCCGTCATAGTATTATACGAAAAGCAATCATTTTCTTATTTATGGTCTATTACAATTGTTCTCTCAACATCTTCTTTTCTGGCATCCTCTAATTATTTTATTTGCTAACTCTATTTAATTAGTATCTCAATGCATTACACTGGTAAGTGGAATTTACTATATGAGTATATAGAAGCTCGTATATGCCTCGGAAAGTGATACGCAACTTCGGTTTCTATGTCAATGTTTTTTAAGATGATTTCGAGACTGTTTGCTCATGCAATTGTTCCATAGGTACCCTTACGAACGGTAAAAAGTTTGACTCCTCCGTTGACCGCGGTACCCCTTTTGTTTGCAACATCGGCGTTGGTCAATTGATCCGTATGTATTTTCTAGATATCTTTAAATTTCCGCGTTTTCTTGCTTCTAATGAATTAAACAGGCGGTTGGGATGAAGGTGTTCCTCAAATGAGTTTAGGCGAAAAGGCCAAGCTTACCATCTCTTCTGACTATGGTTATGGGTTCGTAATTTTCTTTATGTTTTTTTTTTTCGCATGCTAACCAATTCTTTGCAGCCCTCGTGGATTCCCTGGCTTGATTCCCCCTAACAGTACTCTTGTCTTGTAAGTAAATCTTTTGCTGCATATTTACTATTTCTGTGCTAATGCTCCTTAGCGATGTCCAACTTTTAGCCATCAACAACTTGAAGGCTTAAATGAAGCTATGTATGTAACATAGTTTAACAATTTTTCGCCTTCAATGTCTTGCTATACGAATGGTAGTACACATCTATTTTTATATAAGACTTGATCGAATCTAATATCTGATATTTTTTCACATCAACTACAGATTTTGAAATAAATAGTAGTTATGTTTTTTGTAGCTACAAAGGCAGCCCGGCTTCTCATCGGTGTCTGCAATGGAAGCTTCTTGGGTATATACGAGATGAATCACATACATACTATTATCGTAATCGTTCTAAATCAACTCGTCATTTTTGCAAGCTCCAAGACAATACTCATAAAATCTATAGGAGGAGATCATATAGAATACTGAAATGAATTAGGCATTATATTAAGGGTAGTATTAGTTATATCAAAAAGATTAATTGGTTGAACAATTAAAAGAGTGAAACAAAAAAGAACAGCTACTTGGGAGTTTGATGAAAAACTCCCAAGCTCTAGGACAAGTTTTTGGTCTCAAAGGTAAATGACACCATTGTACCTGTTCATGATAAACCAAGAATATTACCCTCATCATCTAAGTCAATATTGTAATAAGCAGGTTTTGTTGGCAAGCCAGGAATGGTGGATATAGCAGCTGCTAAAGGATAGATGAATCCAGCACCCGCGCTCAAACGCATGTCACGAATAGGAACGGTAAAGTTCGTTGGTGCACCTTTAAGTTCTGGATCAGCTGAAAAACTGTATTGCGTTTTTGCTATACAGATGGGTAAATGGCTGTATCCTTGCTCAGTGAAACGGTTTAATTTTTCTTGTGCTAAAGGACTCATTTCAATTCCATCGGCTCCGTACATCTCCTTAGCAATGATTTCAATTTTCTTTTCAATCGGCAAGTTCAAATCGTATAAGAATCGGAAATCTGCCTTTTCATTCTCACAGGCATGGATTAAAGCACGAGCGACATCCAATGCACCTTTTCCGCCTTCGGCCCAGTGATTAGATACAACGGCATCCGTAGCTCCAGCACGTAGAGCTTCTTCACGGATGGTTAAAAGCTCACTCTCAGAGTCAGTCGCAAATTTGTTAATTGCAACCACAACAGGAAGACCGTATTTACGAGAATTGCTAATATGCTTAGCAAGATTTGCACATCCCTTTCTAACAAGTCCTACGTCTTCGTTCTTGTATTCGTTGGGAATCGGTTTACCAGGACCAACTGGAGGACCTCCACCATGAAGTTTAAGGGCTTGTACAGTAGCAACAATAACGACGGCATCAGGTTTATGGCCAGAAGTACGACACTTGATATTCATAAATTTCTCCATGCCAATATCAGAAGCAAATCCTGCCTCGGTAACGACATAACCAGCATCCTTATGTTCATCTTCATCTGGCTCTGTCCCTGCCAACTTTAGAGCAATTTTATCTGCAATGATAGAGGAAGCACCTATACTAATGTTTGCGAATGGTCCTGCATGAACAAGTGCCGGGGTACCCTCAAGAGTTTGCATCAATGTGGGCTTTATAGCATCTTTAAGCAATACAACAAGAGCACCACCAACACCTAAATCGTCTGCAGTAACAGGTTCACCTTGTTTGTTGCTGGCAACAACCATTTTACCCAAGCGTGCGCGCATATCTTTCAAGTCGGTAGCTAAAGCCAATACCGACATACATTCACTAGCAACCGATAAGTCAAAGCCGGTTTGGCGAGTAAAGCCCTTTTCGGTAGGGTTTTCACCAATAGTTATTTTACGAAGGAATCTATCATTGATATCCAATGTACGATTCCAAGAAATGGTTGAAGGGTCAATGTCTAATCTGGCGAATCGTGACTTCTCTTCGTCGGTTAATTCTTCTGGTTTTTGTTTGTGGATGCCGAGTTTTTGAAGGCGGTGAAACATTACTGGTGCAAATTCAGTTTTATTACCCTTCACGGTGGTTAAGCGTTTAAACAAAGCAGTATCACTTTGGGTATTTTCGTGAAAGATACGAGTATCAATAGCAGCAGCAAGAAGATTTGTAGCTGCCGTAATGGCATGAATATCACCGGTTAAGTGAAGATTGAAGTCTTCCATAGGGAAAAACTGAGAATAACCACCTCCAGCAGCACCGCCCTTGATACCAAATGTTGGACCTTGAGAAGGTTGTCTAACACAAGCGATAGCAAGCTTATCCAAGTTGGAAAGAGCTTGGACGAGTCCGGCGGTGAGGGTGCTTTTACCTTCACCAAAAGGTGTAGGAGTGATACCGGTGACTACAACGTAGTGGCCATCACGACGATGGCTTAAACGTTTCAACAAGTCCAAATTCACTTTGGCCTTATAAGCGCCATAGCATTCTAATTCACTCTTGGAAATGCCAATTTCAGAAGCCAAGTCACCAATGAATTTAGGAGTTTGAGATCTAGCAATATCTATATCACTGGGGACAGGAGTTTGTAACTTCAAAGGCAAAAGAGAAGGCATGCGCTTACGAGACAAGTCCTTACAACGAATGGCTGATTCCACAACATTTTGCATCAACATGGCGACGGTCATAGGACCAACCGATCCGGGGACTGGAGTGATTGCACTCACAACTTCTTTTGCATTTTCAAAATCAATGTCACCGGTCATGCGATAACCAGATTTTTTGGAGGAATCGGGGATGTAATTGATTCCGACATCAATTGCGACAGAGCCCTTCTTAAACCAGTCGGCTTTTACGAAATGAGCAGAACCAATAGCAGAGACGACAATATCAGCGGTTTTTACAACCTCAGAAATAGCCTCTGTTTTCGAATGGCATAGCGTAACAGTGGCATTAGCCTTTTCTAAAAGCAAGCTCATGGGCAAACCAACGATGTTACTACGTCCAATAACGACGGCATGCTTGCCCGCGATGGAAATGTTGTAGTGTTTTAACATCTCCATGACACCTCTAGGGGTGCAGGCAACGAAAAGAGGATCACTACCACGTTTAGCAAGTCTACCAAGATTCCCTTCGCAGAAGCCATCCACGTCTTTTTCAACGCTGACAGACTCGGTGATACGGCGTTCATCCAGATGTGCAGGAAGGGGTAATTGAACGAGGACTCCGTGAACTGAAGGGTCTTCATTCAATTGTTTTAATACCAATAACAACTCGTATTCGGAAATGTCGGCAGGGAAATTGATGTGTTCACAGTTGATACCGGTCTACGGAGATTGTTAGATAAATCCAAATTTCTTTATTTAAAAAAAAAAAAAAAAAATGTCACAGAAAAATGCTTTTTGAGTACTTGTCATAGAATGATAAACGAAAAGAAAATTCAAATCTATCAACCACGAAACGTCAAACCGCGTATCGAGAAACACCGTTTCAACTCATATTCACATCCAAGGGAATACTTACCTCAGCAGCAGCACGCATTTTCATACGCACGTAAACGCTAGAATCCTCGCGTGCACCAACCTGAATGATCTTTAGGACAGGTTGAAACGTAGGGCATTTTGTTTTTATGGAAGAAACGCGTTCGCGTAAAGATTCCCGGATTTGGCTACTCAATGGTTAAAAGCTGCAACAACCTAAAGGAAAATTCCATTTTCTTACCGTGCTAATGCCACACCCTCTAAAATTTGGGCCATGAATGTAAAGTATACGGAAAAGACAACTGACTCCTTTACAAGACGTGGTCATCACAAACAATCACCTCCATATCAAGTATCCTGATCTTTCTAATTATACACAAAACCAATTTAAATAATTGAAACAAAAATAGTTATATTTTTTAATTCTACTCATTCCTACGTTTTTTTAATTTCCGCCCGCGTAGATCTCAAATGCTTCTGCAGATCTACGCGTCGCCAAAACAAGCTTAACATTGTGGCAAATTCGGCTAACATCCAGTTTAAAATTTTTTCTCGGTGAAAAAGAAAAAAAAAGCATTTGATGTCATAGTTCAGCTGATTTGAATAATGAAACCATTTTCATTGGCCCTTAAAAAATCTAAAACTAAAAAAGACCCAACTTTTAAGAGCCGAATGTGACTGTTTTTTTAGCTACAAAGATATATATATGGAAGCCCGCGGCTCCTTACAATTCTATCATCTACTTTGTAATTTTATAAAGTATCAAAATGGGCAAGGAAAAGGGACATATTAACATTGTCGTTATCGGTCACGTCGATTCTGGTAAGTCTACCACTACCGGTCACTTGATTTACAAGTGTGGTGGTATTGACAAGCGTACCATCGAAAAGTTCGAGAAGGAAGCCACCGAATTGGGTAAGGGTTCCTTCAAGTACGCCTGGGTTTTGGACAAGCTCAAGGCCGAACGTGAACGTGGTATCACCATCGACATTGCCCTCTGGAAGTTCGAGACTCCCAAGTACTACGTTACTGTCATTGATGCCCCTGGTCACCGTGACTTCATCAAGAACATGATTACTGGTACTTCTCAAGCTGACTGTGCCATCCTTATCATTGGTGGTGGTACTGGTGAATTCGAAGCTGGTATCTCCAAGGACGGTCAAACTCGTGAGCACGCTTTGCTTGCCTACACCTTGGGTGTCAAGCAACTCATTGTTGCCGTCAACAAGATGGACTCTGTCCAATACTCTCAAGCTCGTTTTGAGGAAATTATCAAGGAGACCTCCAACTTCGTCAAGAAGGTCGGTTTCAACCCCAAGACCGTTCCTTTCGTCCCCGTCTCTGGTTTCCAAGGTGACAACATGATTGAGCCCACCACCAACATGACCTGGTACCAAGGCTGGCAAAAGGAGAGCAAGGCCGGTGTCGTCAAGGGTAAGACTCTTTTGGAAGCCATTGACGCCATTGAGCCCCCTGTTCGTCCCGTTGAGAAGCCTCTCCGTCTTCCCCTTCAAGATGTCTACAAGATCGGTGGTATCGGTACTGTCCCCGTCGGTCGTGTTGAGACTGGTGCTATCAAGCCCGGTATGGTTGTCACCTTCGCTCCTTCTGGTGTCACCACCGAAGTTAAGTCTGTCGAAATGCACCACGAGTCTCTCGACGCTGGTCTCCCCGGTGACAACGTTGGTTTCAACGTTAAGAACGTTTCCGTTAAGGACATCCGTCGTGGTAACGTTGCTGGTGACTCCAAGAACGACCCTCCCATGGGCTGTGCTAACTTCACCGCTCAAGTCATCATTCTTAACCACCCCGGTCAAATCTCTGCTGGTTACTCTCCTGTCTTGGATTGCCACACTTCTCACATTGCTTGCCGTTTCAACGAGCTTATTGAGAAGATTGACCGTCGTACCGGTAAGAAGATCGAAGAAGCTCCCAAGTTCGTCAAGTCTGGTGATGCTTGTATCGCTCAAATGATCCCTACCAAGCCTATGTGCGTTGAAGCTTTCACTGACTACGCTCCTCTTGGCCGTTTCGCCGTCCGTGACATGCGTCAAACCGTCGCTGTCGGTGTCATCAAGGCTGTCGAGAAGACTGCCCCTGGTCAAGCTAAGGTCACCAAGGCTGCCCAAAAGGCTGGTGGTAAGAAGTAAATTTCATCTTAATGATGTGAAAAATTTACTTTTCTGAACTTGGCATCTGAAAGCATGGTATTTAAAAAGGTACTGGGTGACAAAGTGTATTTTTTAGGAATAGCGCGCTCAAACCTATGATTTAGAATATAATATCACTTGAATATCTATGATTCAGGTTAATTGTACTGGTAATTGAATTTTGGTTATAATCAAAACTTTTGAGTGAATAGATAATGTAGAAGAGTAGAGAATGGTTACTTGTAAGGAGGAATTCTAACGGAAGTAGTAGTAGTAGTAGTCTTGATGAGTTGTGCATTAATGGTGTTATTGGTTTAGAAAGTTGTAGTACTGTGATTAAAGTGTTGTCGTTATGAATATCTTCTTTTTTTGTTTGATTAGACTGCTAGCAAAGATACGTTTATTGAATGGCAAACGTTTGGCACTGCTACAAAACAAGAAAGAAAGGCTGACTAATTTAAAGAGTATAATACAAGCAATTAGTTGGTAATTGTACTTAAATAAATTATTAAAGTCAGACAAGGACTATAGGGATAATGATACTGTTGAGCTGAAGATGATGCTTTTTCGAAAAAAGATCCTCTTCCTAGTAACCACGTCGCCAGTTCAAGGGCTTTGATAAAATTTGGTAAACTTTGCAAATTTTTAGCAGTTTTTTTGAGGAACATAAAAGAAAAAAACGAAATTTTTTTTTTAAAAAAAAGAACAATACTGGCTTTGGGGGATCACCTTGGAAAAGTCGCAGATATTGAAACAATCGAAATTTATAAGAATAGACGGAATAGAAAACTTTTTGCAGAGATGAGTGGATTACCGCAGTCAAAGCTAGGAACGAAGGCACAGTAAGAACAAACCTTTAAGATTCAACATTGATATCCTGCTAACTGAACTGGTAATAGTTGGGACTCTATGTACGAGTTGGAAGTATCAAACTTCAAAGAATTTAAAGACGAAGGAGAGATATGGTTTGGTGAAGAGTCTGAAGAACGAATTGTTCAATGGATAGAAGATTACGTTTCAAATGATCAAAAGCTATCGGCAGACCATGCTTACCGGGTTTTAGATTTGGGGACGGGAAATGGTCATTTAATTCTTCGTATTGCTGAAGAGGCAGATACTTTACTTCCACAGCCTTACGAATTACTCGGTGTTGACTACAGTGAAAAAGGAGTAGAGCTTGCAAGACAGTTGGCAGAGGCACACGAGTTCCAAAACCAAGTCAAGTTTGAGCAGTATGATATTGTAAAGGACTTGTGGCTCTGTGATGGAACATGGGATCTTATTCTAGATAAAGGAACGTTTGATGCCATTTCCCTCAGCTCAGATACCTTGGATGGAATCCCTCTCAATCAAGTATACGTGGATCGTATTCGTGACATGCTGTCTCCTAGAGGAGTATTTTTAATTACTAGTTGTAATTGGACCTTGGACGAATTGTCTGAACGATTCCTCAGTAAGGAATTTCGCATCCATTCAACTGTTCCTGTCCCTGTCTTTGAGTTTCAAGGAAGCAAAGGTAGTTCAACAACAGTCGTCGCCTTTGAACTTGACAATTAAAGGCTAATTTGTATTTGGCAATGGATGCATTTACTATTGCTTTGTATAAAATAGAAGCTAATGTTGAAATTTCTTACGTTTTTACAATTTCTCTGTGTTTATTAATGTATTTCGTTACACTTCGGTATATCCCTATTCTTTAGGGTAGGGCTTCTCTAACCGTCACAAACTGACACCAAAATTCTTGGAAAAGGTAAGCATCAACAGAGACCGCCAATATGTCTGAATTTCAAAAAGTTGTCGTTATAGACGCCAAGGGGTAAGAAACCAATCTAAAATAGCATTGACTAACATTATCAGACATCTTCTTGGTCGTTTGGCCTCCGTCGTCGCTAAGCAGCTTTTGGGCGGACAAAAGGTTGTGGTTGTTCGCTGCGAGGAATTGAACATTTCTGGCAGCTTCTTCCGTAACAAGCTCAAGTACCTTGCCTACTTGCGCAAAACTTGCCGTTACAACCCTACTCGTGGTGCTTTCCACTTCCGTGCTCCTTCTCGCATCTTCCAAAAGGCTGTTCGTGGTATGCTTCCCCACAAGAGCCCCCGTGGTCAAGCTGCTTTGGAACACTTGCAAGCTGTTGAAGGTGTTCCCCCTCCTTTCGACAAGCAAAAGCGTGTTGTTGTCCCTGCAGCCCTCCGTGTCTTGCGCCTTAAGCCTGGCCGTAAGTACTGCACTGTTGGCCGTCTCTCCTCTGAAGTCGGTTGGAAGTACGCCGATGTTGTTTCCAAGTTGGAAGAACGCAGAAAGGTCAAGAGCGCTGCTTTCTACCAAGCCAAGCACTCCAAGCAAAAGAAGGTTGCTGCTGCCAAGTCTGCTTCCAGCATTAATCAAAAACTTTCCGAGTACGGCTATTAAACTGGTCTTTTGAAGTTTAGATATGAAAAGTCCTTTCCTACTAATTATTCCCTTTTGTCTACATTTGGTGTCCATCAAATCGTAATGCTGTAGTCGAAAGTAATATGTATTGTAGAAGAATAGTAATTTTATAGTTTTTTTTCTAATTTAAACCCACTATCCCGATGGTCTTTCTTTTTTTATATTACTTTATTTTAAGTAACCAGAATCTAAAATTCAAATGCAAAGATATCCAAAAATTTCCCATGAAATAACCAAATGAAACACGAAGTATGAAAGGGCATTGCCAAGACAAAATGAAGATATCAATTACTCAGTCAAAGACACCGCCATCGTCTCCTTCGTAATCCTCAAAATCGTCTCCTTCACCATTATCAAAGTAGTTTTCACCATAATCATTGTCATCGTCATCGCCAAAGTCTTCGTCTTCCTCTTCTACCTCTTCAGGCACTTCTTCAGTGGTGGGATTGGCAGTCTCCGGAGCGTCGTCTTTCAGATCTTCAGTGTTGATTGTAAAATCGATGAACGTTTTCATGTCCAATTTCCGCCTAGCCCTTTTCTTGGTTCCACCTTCAGCTCCTAGTGTCTTGCGGAGCTCTTCAGGAAAAAACTTTGGGTCCAAATCCAAGTCGCTCAGTCGTAGATTCTCATTTTTTCGTTTTGGTTTATTACGATCACTATATCGCACGAGTCCGTCATCGTTTGTCGGGGCTGCGTTTGCTTTTTCCTTTTGAATGTAGAATGCACTTTCTTGGATAAATGAGTTTCGAATTTCGTTGAAAACCCGAATCTCCAGCAACTCGTGAGGAAAAATTGATCGCTGAATAGGAAGGTCACGGTCAGGATATAATTTAACAGGACCAGTTCGAGCGTTGAATTCGAGCACTTCCTGCCAAGTCATACCTCCTAGATTCACATTTCCACGGCCGCCGCGTCGCATGTTGAAAATGGTTTGAAAATTTGTAAAAAATCCTCTTTCGTTGCAGTATAAATTAATTCGCCTTTAGAAAAATATCGTAGTGAATTTAGTAAAACTTTTTCACTTAACTGAATTCGTTGAATGATAAACAAGATCTTTGTATCTGTACGCCTATCCTCTTCTCTTGAAGAAAAAGTCAGGAATTCTTTCAATTCTTGTTTTTTTTTATACGCACAACTCGCTTGCGGCTATAATTTCAGCAGATGGCTAACATAGAAAAAGAAAGGGTTATAGAAAAAGCCAAGAGTTTTAGCTGACACCTCAACTCTTATTTTGACCTTAAGTTTTTTCCTACAAAATTTCTTTCTCTCTATACCAATATATTTATTGTTCTGGGTTTACTGCTGCAAATGTACTACTACCTGCAGTAGCGATGTTTAGCACTTGGAGACTGGTGGTAGTATGAAAAGCTCAACCTCAGTAGCATTCCTCTTTGAGCGTCAAAAACCTATTAAAACAAGTGTATTCCGTGCGAATCCTTGATTTTTTTCAAAAAAATAGCCTTCTTTTAGTGTATAGATACTAGTTTGAAAATTCTGTGCTTGTTACATTAGACACACATGGACGTATAAACAGTTTTGTGAAAGACTCTTAGAACCTACTCATTGTTTGTTATACTTCAGATAACTTTATCGATTTACATTGTCGCCGAATAACAGCACTATGTCTGGCTCATTTTCACAGTTGCTTTTATGCATGATTGGCATTTACGGATCCTTCCTTTCATGGGCTGTTATGCAAGAAAAGATTATTACCAGAACCTACGAAGGAGAGAGATTTCGTTGTCCGGTATTGCTTACGCTAGCCCAGGCTATGACAACTGTTCTATGTGGACTTATTTGGAATTGGCTACACGGCGTACGAACAAAGGGCTTGGCTGCACCCAAATTCCTTGGCTACTTTGCTGGTATTGCCCTTTCCTCAAGCTTAAGCTCTTATTTTGGATATGCCAGTATGTTTCATTTGTCTTACCCGACGGTGATTCTTGGAAAGTCATGTAAGCTTTTGCCTGTCATAGCTCTTCATGTTTTTCTCTACAAACGTAGATTTCCTCCTCACAAATATTTGATTGTTACAATGATTACTTCTGGAGTCACTATATTCAGTTACTTCCAAAGCAGTGGCTCAAAAAGTAAACATGCTGAGAAAGATAGTTTATTGGGCTTGGCTCTTTTGTTTTTCAATTTATTTATGGACGGGATTACAAATACTACCCAAGACAAAGTCTTTGGTAAGTACAAGATGTCAAGTACCAATATGATGATCGCAGTCAATTTGGGCATTGCTAGTATGAATGCACTATACTTATTATCACCCTTTTCTAATCAACGGGAAGCTTTGACATTTTTACAAGCTCATCCTCCCGTTGTTCGTGACATCGTATTATTTGCCATTACTGGATCTATCGGCCAGTTGTTTATATTCTACACTCTAGAGAAATTTGGTAGCATTACATTAGTCACGATTACTTTGACACGAAAAATTTTTACGATGCTTCTTAGTATCGTTTACTTCCATCATCCTGTTTCTTTACTTCAGTGGGTTGGCATTGCACTCGTTTTCTTAGGAATCTCAACTGAAGCTTCCTTGAAGATTACAACTAAAGCCAACTCGAAAGAAAAGAAAAAAAATTAGGAATTGCAGTTTCTATATTTATTTATAACAATCTTTATTTAATTATAAATAATACTTGAATACGTCCGTCAAGAATTAAACATTAATCATTGTGAAGCTCCAGTCCGTAAAATTAAGAGTACATGTAAGTATCGATAGACTTTACTTACAAATTCAGCAGCATCCTCATCTAATGCCATTTCCAATTCTTCTGCAAGAGATTTCGCATCTTTATGGTTTCGTATATGTTCTACCGTAAAAGTAATTAAAGAGTCTTCTTGAATACCAATGTATTCAATGATTTTTTTGGTAACGAACTTCTGCATTTCATCCACAAGAAGATCCTAGAATAACTGTTAATAACCATCCCCCTCTTCTTTTACATGTATAACGTACCTCTGTAACTTTACTCCAATCGACAGGGTAAGACCATAGTTGTTCCCTTTCAGCAGGAATTTTTTCAATCATCATGCGAAGTCTCTCTGCTCTCTCGGCTTCATTTTCTTCTAGCATAGGTCGATCAGCACTACGCTGTTCATTTTGCTCATCTACATCTTCTTCTTCCAACAACATCCGTTCAGGAAGACCAATTTCACGTTTACTTGGTTCGGCAGCAGCTTTGCTTGGTTGTAATCTCATCTTGAATCCACCTTGCTCTGGCATTTCACTGCTTACAGCATTGGTAACAGATGCTGGTTGCTCCCTCTCATCAACAGCCCCATGTTTAGCTTGAGCCTCGTCCTCTTGTCTATCTATTGCATCTGCGTCTTCTTCTCTAGCCTTAGCAACTGCTCTATGACGAATCCATGCTGCACGATCAACGAAATATTCATCATGAGAAATCCTTGCCTCCTCATCATCGTCAAAAGATGCAAGTTTTTCAGACATATAAGCTTTCGAAGAGGTAAAAGCAATTCGGTCCTCACGTTCCCTTGCCTCTTCTCGTTCCAAAGCTGCTCCTCTAGCTTTTTCTCGATTTAACCAACGTCGCTCCCTGGCATAGTAAGCATCCATTTCAAGATCTTCCTTCTTGCTCATTTCTTTCGCATAAACTTGTTCATCAGATATTGTTTCCGGAATTTCGGATTCCAATTTTAATAAGGGTTCAACGGCGGACCGAGGAAGGCGAGAAACCCGATGCTTGGACAGTAACTCTTGAAGTTCCTCGTTTTTCTTGCGGAAATCTCTTCTTTCCTGTTGCTTGTATTCTCGATGAAGCCTAGCATATTCATCTCTTGCTCGCTGTTTCTCGCGCTTCCGCAAAGCTGAACGATCGCGGAAGGAGCGAATCTCTTCTTCGATGACAGGAAGAAGCTCTGGGTTAATTCCTTCTAAATCAGCAGAGTTGATTGGGATTTCAAGTTTGCGACTTTCTTCAAGGGACTTTTCAGATTTTTCTCGGGCCTGCCGAGCAGCATTTTCAATCCGAGTACGTACTTCTTTATTACCAATATCTTGACTGATTCTATCCAAATTTGCATGAATTTGCTGAAGAGCTAGAATTTCTTTTTGTTTGTTTTTGTAGCGGTTCTGTTTCCATTCCTGGTATAACGGTTCATTCTCTGCTTCCGTCAAAATGGTAAACTTCGTAGTAGGCATTCCTTCTTCCAGAGAAGGAAGAACAAAATCTTGCAAAGCTTCCAATGCTCTGCTAAATTGCTCGTTGGATTCAAACTCAGCAAATCCATAAGAAGCCTGTTCCCCTTCAGCATCTGAGACACGACGCCAACAAGCCAGCTTGCCAGACAAACGCAAAATTTTATCAATCCAAAAGTCATTCAAGTTGTTTGGAATATCACCCAAAACGAGTGTCCTTCGTAATTGTTGAGTACTTGGAGGAACGAAGGGACGTAACTCCTTGTGAGTATTAGCTTTCTCACTAACAGAGGTGGTGGGGTTCCTTTTCTCTTCTTGGTCTAAAACTTTTTGATTCTTCTGTATCCCCTGCTGATCTTCCTTTCCAATATGGACGCCGCTAGTCGTCTCTTCTGCTTTCCTTGGCAATTGACCAAATTTCAATACCCTCTGGGAAAAGTCAAATGGAGAAGCTGCATCTGGTGTAGTAGCTGTATACATAAAATTTTTTGATCCATATAATTTATTATACGTGCTTTGGAAACCAGCTGGCAAAGGTGCAAAGACAGGTTGGACAGGAATCGCGTACGGCATGCCATTACTCATAGTAGGAATCTGTTGTCCTGAAGGTAACCCAACAGAAGCTAATTTGTTAATAAACAAGAAAATAAAAACATATTTAAACATCAATTCTTACGTTGATTCTGCCTCTGCATGGTTTGAAGAAGAGTATAAGTCCTTACGCGTTTGTCAACAAAAAGTGCTCGCTAAATTGCGTTGGCGTTCCTGATCCGTTTTACGAATTGTCTGTATATTACGGTAAAATAGAAATTATTTACTGCGATATTTTTCACAATATAAAAATACTACATCGTAACATACATGTATTTGGAATTCTAAGGGCTTTCTTTCGCCGTTTGCAATCACCGAGAGTTCTACCGTATAAAATGAAATGGTCGGGCTTTTTGATGGATTCTGTGAGTGGTCGCACGCGTTTTGCATACAATGAAAGGGAGTTCAAGAGACAACAAGGTATGAGATTGATTTCTTTGGAATTGCTTCCCTATACGGGGAAAACTGTTACTGTCGGTTTTAAAGGAATATCACTGACAAAAATCTTGTAGAGGATGCTGAGAAGTTACAAATGAGCTTGAACCGGATGGTTCCTGCGGCAGAAACCAAGGATTTAGGCGCGTGTGTCACAGTGGGAAACAGTCTGACCAAAGCTTTTCGTCAGGTGGATCGTATTTGTATGAGAAATAATGTTCCCCGGCAATTCAAGAACCAAAGGTACTATGAAAAACCTAGTGAGAAGCGCTCACGTCTTCGCTCAGAAGCTCATCGAGCGAAGTTTCGCGCCGGCATTATACGACTCGTTAACTTGGCAAAGAATATGAGACGCTGGGGATATTGAGAACAAAACTTTTAGAAAAGAAAAAACCTTGCATGCTATTTGACATTTTATATAATGCGGTTATTTCTTACCGGCACTTATATTTTATTTTTTTGATTAGTTTTTGGTATACAGTGTCTTTCAAACTTGATGCTATATGCGATTACTCATTTAATGCCTCCCCTCTTACATTGAAATATGTTCTTATCTTACTTTTCCCATTTGGAGTATTGCAGTGAATGTTTATGAAAAGCTTGGGGTTCGCTGGATTTCGTTCATCTTGAATGCTTCCAAGTAAAACTCCCAAACATCCAAGTACCCAGGAACCGATAATGAGAATACCGCCTACGTTAGAGCTTCCTATCTTATATTTTTTTACTTTATTTTAAGACCTTCTCTTCGTAATAATAGATAATTTTCAATTTATTCCATAAGTTGATTCAGCCTGTTCTAATATTCTACCATTCGTTTAAATAACACAAAATTTATAAATATAACAGCTCGGGTTTACCAATAAAAGAAAACAAAAAACAAAAAAAGCTGAACCTGGTAATTTTACTTTTATTTAGTAAGCGATTAATGTATTTCGCGAAGGTCGCTGTTTTTGTTACTTTCGGTTGTGTTACCTATTAAACAATCCAGCATCAAAACAAACCTCCCTTAAACACAACACTGCAGCCGCTTCTGAGCGGTGTATATTAAACCGAATTGAATTAGAGAAGAAGTTTTGAGGGAATTGCTTGTCCCTAGATAATCGAGATGTTTGGTAGACTTCTAATTCTTGGAATTCTATTCCATCTTGTTTACGTGAAATCCATCTTCGACATCTACTTTGTGACACCTTTGGCTCATGGAATGGGTCAATATGCAGCTGGAGAACCACCGGCGAACCGTCTTTTTCTGATTGTTGGTAGGTACAAACTCTTTAGACCAGCTTCGTATAGCCGGATTAGGTGTAGTACCTTTGCCACGCCTTTCGTTGAAGCAATGTCTTAATTGTTGTTTGAATGCTAATTATAAATATTTCTAATTACTAATACTTTTTTTAGGTGATGGATTACGTCCAGACAAACTTTTTCAACCTCACCCTGAAAGCATCGTTGGAAAGGGTCAAAAGTATGCTGCACCATTCTTAAGGTCCGTAGTTTTAAATAATGGTACATTCGGAATATCGCATACAAGAGTTCCAACAGAGTCTCGCCCTGGTCATGTTGCGTTGATTGCTGGGTTTTATGAGGACGTATCTGCCGTTACCAAGGGTTGGAAGACGAATCCTGTAAACTTTGATTCTGTCTTCAATCAGAGCCGTCATACGTTTTCCTTTGGTTCTGAAGATATTCTTCCTATGTTTTCTGAAGGTGCATCGGATCCTGCACGAGTAGACACCTTTATGTATGGTCCTGAACTCGAGGATTTTTCCGGTAGCGGAATTGTGACAGATGAGTGGGTATTCGATAGAGTTGACCAGCTCTTCGAGGAATCTTACACTAATCGTAAGCTATGGGATTTACTCCATCAAGATAAAATCGTTTTCTTTTTGCATCTTTTGGGAATCGATACCATTGGGCACAATAAGCATCCTGATTCAATTGACTACATGCAAAATATCCAATACATTGATCAAGGAATAAAGGAGCTTGTTGAAAAAGTCAATCGCTATTACGAGAACGACGATGCATCTGCTTGGGTTTTCACAGCCGACCATGGAATGAGTGACTATGGAAGCCATGGAGATGGTGCTCCAGAGAATACCCGGACACCGATTGTTGCATGGGGTGCTGGTCTTAATGAACCTGCTTATGAGAAAGGTGTAGGACATGATGAATTCTCTGTCCCTTGGGATTTGTCAAGTGTAAAGCGGGTAGATATTCGGCAAGCTGATGTTGCTGCACTCATGTCGTACTTAGTTGGTGTCAATTTTCCTGTGAATTCTGTCGGTCAGATCCCTTTAGATTTTCTTAATTGTACTACGAAGAGAAAAGCTGAAATTTCTTTATTGAACGCTTTAGCGATTGGTGAACAGTATAACCGTAAAGCTTTCCTCAAGGCTAAGAATAGTTTTCATTTCCGACCCTATACTCCTCTAAAAGACTATGCGGCTTCCAAACAACATATTATAAGTCTTGTGGAAACCCACATACAGCAAGGAAACTTCAAGGAAGGAATTATAGCCAGCATAGAATTTTCTGAATGCGCTCTACAGGGCCTGAGATATCTTCAACGGTACGATTGGTTTTTGTTACGATCAATAGTACTCCTTGGCTATCTTTCTTGGATTACCTACGTGATATCCTTTGTTTTTAGCAATAACACAGATCCTGAAATGAAACAGAAAAATTCTGTAACTGTTTCCAAGAGAGTTGCATTTAATTTGCCATTGCTGATTCTATCTTCATTCTTCTATTATCAATCAAGTCCGTCATTTTATTACGCCTATGCAGCATTCCCGACGGTCTTCTTGCAATTAATATACGCCGACTTTCCTAATGTTAAGATGGGTTATAGAAAACTTATAGAAGATGAGAAGATAAGCAATGGATTTTCTGTATACAATATTGTATCTATTGCTTTGTATATCTTTGGTTTACTGCAATTTGTGGTATACAGTTACTTCCACCGTGAAGGGTTCTCAGTATTTTTAATCATCTTTGCCGCTTGGCCTTGGTTCCTTCATACTGACTTTGCTTTACTTCATAAACATCTGGTTAGCACATGGTCCTTGTTAAACCTATCATTATGTTCTTTTACATTATTACCGGCTACTAAAAAAGAATCGTTGCCATTAATTTTCTTGGGAGGTTTGGCTATGATTACTTTAGGTTGTTTATATATTCTCTATCGAAAACGACAACTTTATCAGGTGAATTCAACTGTGAAGAGTTCTCACCTTGCATCTCAAATAATAATTTTAATCCTGTCATTCCTCGTGACATTGAAGTTGACAGTTTCTCTACAAAAAAATGTGCCCATTTCCCCATGGCTAAGAATGTTCGCTTTCTTCTTGCTAATTTCTTCGTATATTGTGCCCTTATTAAAAATACCCGGATGTAACCATTACTATTTAGATCGTTTAGCAGTGCTGTTTTTGACATTGGCTCCAACGATGTGTATGTTTTCGATATCATTTGAATCCTTGTTTTACTTAGCCTTTTTCTTGACTCTCGGGCTATGGACTCAATTGGAAGCGAAACTTCAAGAACACGTTAAGCTGAGCATGGATAGCAGTGGTAAAAGGCTTAAGTACAAGCTTGGCTTAAGTGTTTCTCACTTTAGAGTGTCTCTGTTTTTTTACATATTCTTAAACATTGCCTTTTTCGGAACTGGCAATATAGCATCGTTATCCTCATTTGCCCTTGATTCAGTCAAGCGGTTGGTTCCCGTCTTTAATCCAGTAAGTAATAGAAAAAATATGTTTTATAGGATTTCTAACTAATTATTAGGTGACTCAAGGTGCTCTGTTACTTTATATCATCATCATCCCTTTCGTCGCACTGTCTGCCTCCTTTGGGATCATGAACAAGAGATTAGGTGGCATTCAGCAAATCACCTTTTTCTTAGCCATCGGTATGGCAGATTTCGTTACTATTAATTTTTTCTATCTTGTGAAAGATGAAGGATCCTGGCAAGACGTAAGTGGTTATTTCGCTTCTGAAACGGAATACTAACTGTTTATTTAGATTGGCATTAGTATAAGTCATTTCTGCATTAGTAATTTGTTGATTTTATTCATCATTATTTTAGAGCGTGCAGGTGCTATACTTTCAGCGAAAGTTTCATATCATTGTTATACAAAAATCAAAGCTAACTGATGAAGGACATGGTTATTTATATTTATTATTCAAAGTTGTAATAAAATTATAGAATTACCCCAATACGAAAAGAATGAAATTTAGTAGGTGAATATAAGTGTACAAACGAATAACGAAGAAAACGAAAGAACGAAAGTGTAGGATCAAAACAAAAAAGCAAAGAAAGACAAATAATGCTCAAACTTTCATAAGTACGTAAGAAAAGTAAAAAAGCAGAACAACAAAAAAGGAATCTATGTGAGTTACTCAATCATGTTTGGGACGTTTCCAAAGCGAGACTTCCATGCAAGAAATCCGCCATGAAGAATATAAATGGAAGGTAGTTTTTGGAAGTACTGCTCCTTTTCTACTGCAGATAAATCCTTTTTAGGGCAGTGATTTAGAGCTCTAGAACGCAAAGTTTCGTAAAGAATTCTAGCAGCCTTTGGTCCACGCATTTGGGAGTATGTGCAATGGACAATAATGTCCTTTTGTTGTAAAAGTTGCTCAACATATTCATCTACTAAGGTGAGAAATTGTTGAGATGGAATGTTAATGCATCCCGGAATATGGCCTCCTTCAAAATCGTCATCACGAACATCAATTACAGAAACTTTATCACGATTACCTGCTATAAGATCTTTCAAACTGTCTGCAGAAATATAATTTAAAGAGCTCATCCTGACAAAAAAACGAAAAGCAAGTCAAAAAAGTTATCAGTGATGGGAGAGGTGAAGATGAATTTTAGGAGAATAGACTACAAGTAACGATGTATTTTCTGTATAATATGATATGCTTCTTATAATATTTTTTCTGCTAGGTAAGAATATTCGGTTTTTGAATGCAGTTTTTTTTTTCTTTTCCTCTTTTTATATAAAAAAAAATCGATTATTACTAAAGATTATTTATATTAACTATGATAAGGTAGATTATGATTATGTTCTGATAGGTTCCCTTGTAACAGAAAGGACCGTAAGTAAATATATAAACAGTGACCAAACAAATGCATATTGAGCGATAGAAGAGACATTCACTGAGATTGAAAGTAATAAATTAAGATAGATTCGTAAACATAAACAACAAAGGAATTAACTTAAAACACAGGTGAAACGAAAAATAACAATGAACTGTTCGGAACGAAGGAATATATATATTAAATCCCGAGTAATTAGTGATTGATAAAGGGATTGGTAACGTATAAAAGCGATGGAGGAAGTAAACTTCATACACGTAAAAGGATACTTGAGCAATGTTATGCTTAACAATTATGAGGAAAGATTTCGAGACTGTTTAAAGAGTCTCTTCTCCAACTGAGATTCCGATAATTTTGTTTCGGAAGTTAATGTTCGACTTAAAGTTCTTCTTATCCTGCCTTTACCATGAGGTTTGGTCAATGTACGTCGAATGAGTTTCCAGAATTCTGCAAAAATGAAGAAAAGGATCACCGCAACAGCAACTACTCCCCATTCCCAACCAATTGGTCTGTGCTTGAATACATCAGTATTTATAACAGGAATGTAGATCGTAGGAAAAACTGACGCAAAGGCCAAGATAATAGCCCATATGAGAAACCTGTTTTCAGTCAGTTTCCTGAAACAGTCGCCAAAGGACCATTCCTTCCAAGGAATTCCATTCAAATTAAAGAATGAGTTATCGAAGTTTTTTACTTCACATGCCATAATCAGAATACAAAATGTTACCACAGAAAAAACAGAAGATCTAGCGCGGAACACGTCTTTGCAGCCGTCATGATAATAGGAATTACAATCATAGCCTAAATTTCCGGTTCCAAAAGCATACATGATGACTACCCAGGTCATTAGTGACATGACACCGATGAAAAACCCATAGGCTATCATGTCAAATATAAGACTTTTCGTAAAAACTCCTACTTTATTATCATGAGGAAGACGCTCCATAATATCCGGTTGGGCTTTTTCCATACCAAGTCCCATCGAAGGAAAAGACGATGTAATCATGTTACACCACAGAATCTCAACTGGAGACATTGGAAAAACGGACAAATGATGAATGTCGCGGAAAGCAAGTCCAACGACGAGAAGGATCACTTCTCCGACGTTGGATATCAGAAGATGCAAAACGAATTTCGTGATATTGTCAAAAATTCTACGACCCTCTTCAATAGCATTTACTATTGAAGAAAAATTATCATCAGTGAGGACAATGTCACTGGCATCTTTAGCAACATCACTTCCGTTTAGTCCCATTGCAATCCCCACATCGGCTTGCTTTAACGAAGGAGAATCATTGACGCCATCACCAGTCATAGCAACGAAGGCTTTTCTTCGATGCAACGAATGGATCATTTTCACTTTTGTTTGTGGTGCGCATCTAGCGATAACCAAACAGAGAGCTTTCATATTGTCTATTTCATGATCAGACAAAGCATCAAATTGGGGCCCCGTCATGACCATCCAGGACATATTTGGGTCATTGTCTTTAATGTATGATGGAATAATACCTACTTCTTTGGCAATGGCCTTTGCCGTCTCGGGATGATCACCTGTAAGCATGTGTACACGAATTCCGGCCCGATGACAAAGATTAACAGCTTGTTTTGATTCTACACGAGGAGGATCATAGATTCCAACAAGTGAAACAAAATCTAAGTTTGATTCAACGTCTTCTCTTGAAAGTGTTTCGATTTCAACTGAATTCTGAATATATTTTCTTGCCAAAGCTAATACTCGAAGTCCTTGGGAAGCAAGCGTATCCATTTGTGCCAATACAATTTGTCGCTTTTCGCTATCAAGTGGTTGTGTAGCAATACTTTCGCAACGTTCTAAAACTCTTTCAACCGCACCTTTAACATATACCTCTGGATTGTTTTCCTTCCCTTGATATACAACAGCCATACGTTTGATTTCTGAATCGAAAGGGTATTCACGCAAGAGTTTGTGATTTTTTAAAAGTTCTTCTTTTCCATAATTAAAGCGGGAAGAAAAAACATGAAGAGCAATTTCAGTAGGTTCGCCCTTTGCGACCCAGTCACCTTCTGAATTTTTATTAATAGAAGATAAATTGCAGAGAGAAGATATTTTTAGAACTGGATCCAAGTCGTCGAAAACACGTAACTCGTGCATTTCTTCAACTTTTGGATTTTCAGCATCCGTAATTGTTTCCAATGGCTGATGGATGGTAGAAACAGTACCTGTTGTTGGATCAAAAGGACTGGAAGTCTCGATTACAAGGTATCCATACGAAGGAATCCAAACACGACGAGCGATCATCTTTCCTTGAGTTATGGTACCAGTTTTGTCAGAGCAGATGTCCGTAACACCTCCTAAAGCTTCAAGAGCTTCTAACTTCCTGACAATTACACGACGAGCAGACATATTTTTTTGGCCCAATGCCATTGTGATGGATAGTACAGCAATTAAGGATTCAGGGATAATGGAGATTCCCAACGAAATGGCATAAATGGAAACTTCATTAGTAACATGAAAAGTGTGAGCTGCCATAACTACAATTGCTAGTACAACGGCGATAATAAACAGCACATAGGCAAGAACAGTTAATTTTCTCTGAAGAGGAGTACCAACATTGAGACCGAGGATGCGTTTTACATAATAAAGGAAGACTCGGAAGCGATATTTCCGGAGTTTTTTCTTGTAATTCTCTTCGTTTGGATCTGGTTTTTGGGAAAAAATTGGATGAGATTGACGAAGACTAGTTGCAATACCACCGATTTCTGTGTTCATACCAGTAGCATAACAAATTCCAGTTGCACGACCTTTGGTAACAACTGAGGAGGAATAAGCAAGATTGATACGATCTCCAACTGGAACATCTTCATTCATGTTAAAAGAAGCATGAGCATTTTTAACAACAGGGAGTGATTCACCAGTAAGAAGGGCCTCATCAGTCTCAAAATTAATGGTTTCTACAAGTCGAATGTCAGCAGGAACGACGTCTCCTGTTTTAAGAGTAGCGATATCCCCGACTGCCAATTTATGAGATTCAATAGTCTCCATACTACCATCACGAAGGACATTTGCCATGGGAGAAGCGAGAGAGCGAAGTGAGTCCATCGTTTTTTCAGCTTTGTATTCTTGAACAAAGCCTACAACGACGTTGAGAAAGATAATGGCAGAAATGACACCACCCTCAATCCAATCAGTTGTGCCGAACGAAAGCGCAGCAGCAAGGATAAGGACTACACACATGGCATTTAATACTTGTCGTAATAATATTTTCCATGCAGAGACGCCTTTATCGCTTTGAAGGCGGTTTTCGCCGTATTCTGAAATGCGTTCATGGGCGGTTTGAGAAGAAAGACCAGACTGAATACTTGTTTGTAATTGCAATTCAGCATCTTCAATACTTGTGAAATGGATTGGATTTTTTAAATTTAGCATATCCAAAGAGTTTTAACGATGCCTTTGACCGATAGGAGCGTGTAATTGTTACACGCGATGAAAATTTAACAATTGGAGTACAGCAATGAAAGTAAGTAGATAAAAACTCTGGTTAAAAAGAAAAAATCAATAACAGAGTGAATTGAGAGAGCGAAAATGCTTTAGATCAATGAAGTAAATACTAACCGATAGTACTTTATATCTCGGGTGATGTCGGTAGATATAGGGCAGTTTAACTGATCTTGGAAAAGAGGTAGTGAATTTCTGAAATAAAGATAGGATATCCTAATTGAATAAGCTATTAAATTGAGTTGAAATAGTAAAAAAAAGAGAAAAAGAAAAAGGTTGTTGTTTCTAGGTTGAATGACAACAACAATGAGTACGTATAGGTGAACTCCACTTGATGCATATAAAATTTCGGTCATCAGATATCGCAATTGTGGAGAAACAAACTGTAACGTCGCTTATTAAACAAACATTATTCAAAAGATGATATCAGGAATCGATTTAATAATTCATGAGATCACGCTTAGCGCAAAAAAAAATGGTAAACAAACAAACTAGGAAAAAAAAGCGATACTAAAATTGAATTTACAAGTATTGCTTTTGAGGTTTACTGGTTTTATAGAGTTTTTTGAAAAAAAAAAGAACTTGGAATCAATATGTGGGTAGGTTTGTATTCATTTGAGCATTACGGTGAATTTTGGTTTTGTTCAATGGCAAATAGATAAAAATAGCCCTTCAAAGAAAAGCGAATTTCGTCTGTTTGTTAATATCGAAATGGAGAATATTTAACTAGCTATCATAAAAAAAAAAGAGACTAGCTTGAAAATCATAAGAACAACAAGAGTTTTGGGAACGCAAGTCTTGAAGGCGATATATTCAGTTTGGAATTTTAACAATTGAAAGGATAAAAGAAAAGAAAAAGGAATATTAAACAAAATGCTTACACAAAAAAAAAGACTTTGGGAATCGCACTTGTTTGTCGACTTAATGGCTTTTGGCGTTTCATATTTACATAACATGCTCTTAAAGAAACAAGAAAACGAGGAACGAAGACAAGAACTATTAATAAAATGCTTAAAAATTAAACGAAAATCATTCAGGTGTACACTGTTTGATTTCTCTTTGCGCATACCATAAACTCAAGGTATGCATATGACATTTGAAGAAACATCTTCAAGATAAGGAAACAATTGGAATGCCTTTTTTCAAAATAAAAGAAGAGTTTTTGTCTACGTTGTAAAGGAAAAGAAACTCTTCTGCTTCTGTTTTGGTTTTATCTTGCGAATAGCTATCTCTCAGGAAACTGTTTTCTCTTCTATTTCAACATTCAAGGTTTTCATAGGAAGGAAAATAGGAAAATTGCAAAAGATTGATTTAAAATTCGTTTCGTTTGTTCGTTTCTTCTTTTTTTGACTCTCTCTCTTTTCGTCGTACTTTCCCTTTCGTCAATTCCCTGACCATCCTATCCACCATCTTTGAAGACATTTTTGTTTACACTAACATTCCATTTACCGGTCCTTCCCTTCTACATCAAAAAACTTGGTTTCACGTTTTTGATATTTTCCTTTGCGTTAATTTCACATACATAAACGTTCACCCACTCTACATTTCACATTTTTCCATGACCGACCCATCCACTCCCAAGAGAGGCTACTCCTACTTTTGCCCATGCGAACAACTCTTCCTTACGCTTATGGTCCCTCTTACAACCCTTCCTGAACGACAACTGGACCACGCACTTGTTGTAGATGAATCTCTTCCTCATATTGCACATTTTCATACGGGAAACCGATATTTTATTATAAGGTAATCACAATACGATATCTGATAGATTAGCCTAGCTTCTAACATTTTTACGGACGAATTTTTCAAAGACTAACTTAACTAGATACGATGGTGGGTACGAACAAAGAATTGCTTTATTATGTCGCCGTTGTTCCCTAGAATGCGCCTATGCTCTAGAGACTGCTCCAGGGTACTTATACACCAACCCTACCCTACTCAAAGAAAAGACAGTCACAGTTTCGGTTTGAAAGTGAAAGCTGTTGGTGTTGCAACGCTACCACTTCCATCTCAAATAATTCTCCAAAATGGTAAGAGGCTACATTCGATCGGATTGAGACAACGAACGACTAGTGGGAAGATGCCTTGCAAATGAATTTTAAGGTGGAAAAATCCATCAAACTGTATTTGTTTTTTCGGTTGATCCTTCTTTCCAGTCCATGTGATTGGTCTCTTCCGTTCGGACGTCTTTTAACCACTGTACCGTTACTAACAATACACAGGGTCGCGTACGTACCAAAACCACCAAGAGAGCCTCCCGTGTGTGCATTGAGAAGTACTACCCTCGTCTCACTCTTGACTTCCAAACCAACAAGAGAATTATTGATGAGGTCGCTATCATTGCTTCCAAGCGCCTTCGTAACAAGATTGCTGGTTACACCACCCATTTGATGAGACGTATCCAACGTGGTCCTGTTCGTGGTATCTCCTTCAAACTTCAAGAGGAAGAGCGTGAGCGTAAGGATCAATACGTTCCTGACGTCTCTGAACTCGACATTGACCGCGTCAACGTCGACCAAGACACTAAGGACATGCTTAAGGTTCTTGGTTATGAGCAAATTCCCGTACGCGTCCTCGCTCCTGCTCCTCAAGAGCGTTTCAACCGTCGCAGATAGGTAATGAAATTTCGGTCGTAATGGGTCCTCACAATGTCAATTTTAATGTACAATTATTATACTGTTTTAGAAGTAACTTTACCGGACAGTCAGTAGTAGTATATGGTTCATCAGGTAAAATCTCTTATTAGCTTCAGGGAGTGCAGTCATTTATGTTTACTAAAGGTAGCCTCTTTCGTTTAGTTATTTACATAAAGAAAAAACCATATAAATAATTCTTATAATAGTACTAATCAACCAAGTCCCGTTTAGCTCAATCGGCTTAGAGCGTCCGGCTTTTAACCGGAAGGTTGCGAGTTCGAGTCTCGCAGTGGGAGTTCCTCTTTTTTTCCTCAACTTTTTGCATTCACTTCATTTTTACATATTTACATCTATGAAAGACGAAACCTTACTTGCAATAAAAATGAGCGCTGAACCAAAAGCGTCCTCGAGATATCAACAACCCAGATTGTCAAACCGTTTTCAAGTTGTTTCCACAAACGACGCATCCATCATTCTATACTCCGTATACAACATAATTTACATACTTCCAAATACATCACAGGTATCATTTTCTAACTAGTGGAGCTATGTAAGTACGTTCAATGTACAAGTTCTACAATAAGCAAATACAACTGAGGTAGAATTTCAACTCACAACAACATTTGTGAAAAGTGATAGATATTGGTACGGGGCTTGACTTGGAGAAAGACTATAGAACTAGAAAAGACCCTAGGAATAAAATAAAGTACAAAGAGGTAAATAACTTAGTTCTCAACAGCGGCAGCACCACGCAAGAGACCAGTTCTGCGGGCAGCAATAAGACCAGCCTTTTGACCAGGAACGGAACCACGGGGAACAGTAGTAGAGTGACCAACGTGTTGATGGTTACCACCACCATGAGGGTGATCGACGGGGTTCATAGCAACACCACGAGTCTTGGGCCAGCAGTTGCGCTTGACCTTGTACTTGTGGTAAGCACGGCCAGCCTTAAGCAAGGGCTTGTCAACACGACCACCACCGGCAATGATACCGACGACACCACGAGCGGCGGAAGGGACAACCTTCTTGGAACCAGAGGGTAACTTCACACGGGTCTTGCCAGTGTCAACGTCGTGGCCGACAATAATGACATAGTTACCAGAGGAACGACCCAAGGCACCACGGTCACCAGACTTTTCTTCGACGTTGGAAGCAATGGTACCTTCGGGCATCTCACCAACAGGCAAAACGTTGCCGACAGTCAAAGCAGCGTTCTTACCACAGTAGATGAATTGACCAGTGTACATACCTTCGGTAGCAACAAAGGTCTCAACATCAGTACGGTAGTGGTAAGGGTTACGGAAAGCAACTCTAGCCAAAGGAGCACCACGACCAGGGTCATGGATGATCTTTTGGACAACACCACGAATGTATCCGTGACGCTCAGCAAAGTCCAAAGTACGGAGCTGAGCGGCTCCCTTACGAAGACGAGTGTGAGCTTGGAAAATTCCTCCGCTCTTTCTTTGTGCTCTAATAACACGTCCCATTTTGTTGTAAGTTTTTTGTGGTGTTTGAGAGAAACCCGACTTCCGTGTATTTGCAAAAAGTTATGTGTTGTGCAGTTTTTCAAGGCGTGACTGTTTTAGTCCATGTAGGTTAGGGCTAAAAAATCGTTTAGAGAGATAGAATGATGCTTAGCGATGAAATATGTAAACAAAACGAAGTTCAGTGAAGGGAGGGCATAAACGAAGCTTAGTTTGTATTATACTTTATTTATTTTCTAACTTAAGAACATTCTTTTAGATTTTGTATGTGTTCAAAGTTGGGCTTGATTGTGCTGAATTTGGTTTCACCTTCAAAGTATCATAAAAGTTCGTATTCAAGTCACTTTGCAGTATCATCCATAGTCAGCTTAGCAAAGGTATAACTTTCTTGTCGTCCTCAATACCTAAACTCATACTTTTTGTCTCTTTTTCTTCAGATTCAGGTTTGTCGTTCCAGTAAAAAACTTATCATGAAACCAGATACCCGTACACTTACAAGGGAATTTACCAAGCTTACGAATACTTCATCGAAGACTGCACTTAGTTGGTTGAAGCAGTACGATTTCGACATAGATCTCGCATGCCTTCGTTGGACTGAAAAAGAGTCCAAAGCCGAATCTGAAAAAACTATCCACCAAATATTTGATCAATTCAAGTCTGTTGAGGATGACAACATAATCGATTTTGATGGATCTGCAAAACTGTTCGAGAGTTTAGGCGTTTCTTTCGAAGATCCAGAGACATTGTTAATTTCTTATTTGCTCCAGTCCCCCAATATGGGTGAATTTGAGCGAGAAAAGTTCGTTCACGGATGTTCTGACCTATCTGTCACTAGTATGTCTGATCTTAAAAATGTCGTGAACCAAAAGAAGTCTCTCTGGAAATCGGATCGTACACTCCAAAAAGCCGTCTACATATACTCCTACCCGCTTGCCTGTGATAAAGGAAAAAAAACCCTTGGTACTAGAATAGCCATTGAGCTTTTGCAGGTTCTTCTAAAAGACTTCTTTGTTTTGCTTGATCACTGGGTCAATTTCTTGCAAAGTTCATCAATCATCGATCGCTCCTTGCCTAGAGACACTTGGAACGAATTGTGGGACTTCTCAGTTTATACTCAGTCATCTCCAGACTGTACAGATTATGATTTCGAAGGCGCTTGGCCAACTCTTATTGATGAATTTGTCGTTTACTATCGAAAATGTGTTTTGAATCTTCCCGAGCAGTAACGTACATGATTTCGTATTTCGATGGTAAAACATTTTATGAGATCCTTTTATGCAGCTTAAGTCTCACATGAATATAATCTAATAAAGATGAACCGTTATTTCTCTATTTTAACTATTGTTTTTATCACATCTTCCACATAGCGGTAAATTATTTATTATTATGATTAATCAAAAACGTAGGTATTAAATTATAAATAACCGAAATATGATATGTTTATCTCAGAAGTGTACTTCCAATAAACTAAAAAAAGCAGATTATATACAAACAAGCATATGGTCTATCAAAAGAAGTCCAGGAAAAGCACGCAATAAGGCTGTCCATAACACCGTTGGAATTACCGGATGAAGACACAAACGTGCTCAGTCATTACTCTGTTAAGCCACCATCAAATATATCATCATACTTGGGTGGAGGGACCTGAAATGAAACTGATGGCCATTCATCTATGGATGGAGAAGATGCACCAACAACCTCCGGACAGGTGTAATTAAAATAGGAAGAAGGATCATAAATTGGTGTGCCCTCATATGCACAGAGCACTTCACTGGATGGCACACGCGCACAATAAGCGGGTAAGATGGTGGAGTCTTGTGAGCAACGACAAGACAGCAGTTGGACGGGAGAATCAATACAAATTTCTAAAAACTTTGCATCACCCATTAATTCTGGGGAATCGTTACATGAGAACCGAAGAACCGTTCGTAAGGTATGAGTAACTCGGATATTTGGATAAGTGGTATCAAAGTGCACTATATTAGCAGACATATCATGGCAACCGGGAATCCGCAATTGATCAACCATCTCATACACGTTCCCTCCCATCGTTTTCCACTGAGAAAGCAGACATTGATCTCGAGGAGCTGATCGTTCGTACAATAACAACTGTCTGGTTTTCTCTTTACGACGGATTGTCCGCTGTCTGCAGTAATAATATCTTCTTTCCATTAAAAACAAACGTATCTTGTGGATCTGAACATTACCAAGAGGAGTAAATTTAAATGTGATAGGAATCAGTTGTCCCATAATGAGAGACTTTTCTCCCAACTGAATTTCATATTTGAGACGATCTTCCCAATTTTTTGAAACCAGGATAGGCTCTGCAGTCGCAACAGTAGAACTACAAGGACTCCGAATGAGTTCCAAGCCCAAGCGGCCAGTGCTTTTTCCAGAAAAGGTACCATAACGATCAACAAGGGATTCCAAGTAATAATTTACACTACCCATATCCATATGGATGGATTCCGGAAAAGAGCAAGAAATTGGCAATTCAAAATGATAGACATATTCTCCTGGATAAAAACATTCATTCGATCTTGGTTGATGTTGTTCGTCAGTATAAGGAGGGATAGTCTTGTACCATGCGGCCCCATGACTTGTGCTGTTTCCTACATTGTCGCTATGAAAAAATAGCCAAGAATGTGATAAAAGACTGTGTTCCTCGTATGTTTCAAACAATTTTGGAGGGATTCCTTCTGGCCACTCGGTCCTAGCTTTTCCTCGAAGAGTTAGCTGCACTTTACGAAGCTTGACAGGTTTCAATACATGCAAGCAAAGAGATCCACGAAGCACTGCTGACTTTTCACTTTCAATTTCATTTGAATTGGTTCCAGGTAAATACAAGACAGGCTCTGCAAGCGCTATTGCAACTCGCAAACTAGAACACGTAGAAAGCAAGATCCATTCACGCGCTGGATAAGTTAAATTTGTGCACCGAGAAAGCTTCTTTTCTTGATAGATATGCTTTGTAGGATCCGGTTGAACCGGTCGATCATTCAATCGAATGATGGGATCCACCCCAGAGGTGTTAGTAACATATGGGAAAACGTTGTCGTGATGATGATTCCTTAAAAGAGGCAAGTACATAAAAATTTAAGAGAAAGATGTAAAATGCTAAACAAATGTGCGTTATGCTAAGTGAAGCCAATGGGCAATTAGCTTTTAAATGAACAAACTAGAAAGCGGACAGAGATGTAAGAAAACGGGACGATTACAAACTTTCTTGTTTAATGATTAAGATAAAAGCAATACGACAAAGTAAGCCACAAACGAAAAGACCTTCTTTGTTTAAGAATCTGCTTAATCCTGTTAAATATCGTCCCTTAACTGTACTTCTGGCGATAAAATTTATACTTCGTTACTAAAACCTGTTGCAATTATCTGAAAGTAGCCTTAAACGTCAATATATTCCTTCAAATTTCACTTTACAGAGTAGTTTGCTGTATCCAGGTTGAGCAAGTGGTTCATCATCACTACTCCTTTAAATGGGTGGCTTTATGGAAGATAGCAAAAAAGTGCTTACTTACTCTCTACAATTATACAACAAGTTGTTTCGTATTTTTTTTACTTTAGAATTCACCTCTCAAACTTCCATGGCAAAATTATTAGTTAAAGGAAGAATGATTTGGAGTATATTCTTACAAAAGTACTTATTATTAAGATTCTGAATATAACAAAAATGATAAATTTGCTTTTCAATAAGAATAAGCTCTCGTTTAAGACCCTTGTACGGTGTCCTGTATGATTAGTTCGCATTAGCATTATGACAGCTTCAATAGATAGGATAACCGTAAACATTAGCTTTTCCTTTTATCATTAGTAACTCATCTCGCAACCCTCTAAATGAACAGTCAGTGTCTTTCTTTGTGTTTGCTGCAAACGATTGTTCATTTCAATAAAAAATTTATGGGCCTTCTGACATATCCTAAGCTCATTTTCAGTGCTTGCAATGGTCTCCTTCTGCTCTTCCCATCGATGTTGAAACATGTTGCGAAGATCATTCAAGGGAACGTTTAAAACCTTTCGACTTTCAGTACCAATCCATAAACTTGTATTATGTGAGAATTCTGTCTCTCTTAGAGAGTTTTTAATTTTTTCAGATATCTTCAATGGTAAAGCTCTGGGAATATCATAAACCACATAACCGAAGACGGCGATTCCAGTCAGTCCTAAAACTGGGATCAACAAATTTTGCAAGGTTCTAGTTTTAAAGAAATTAAAGAAGGAAAGACCAAATTTTTCTACCAGACTTGTGAATACTGTAAATGATGGAGTCGTTTTACCCAATACTAAAAGTATGGTGCTGACAGATGCACTCCAGGTACCTAGACGCTCCGTGAGGTCCAGATCGATAAAGTCCAACATACCCAGCTCAAAGCGAAAATGCTTTTGTAGCTGTAATTGATGGCGACGTACAAACATTTGGTGAGAGCGAAAAACGGGTATTAGGGCATCCGAGAAGTTTTGTTTCATGTTCTCCTGGATATATTGAACTGTTTCACTTGTTCTTTTTCTAGCAAACTCTTCCGATTCTAATAACGTTTCCTCGAGGTATTGCTGCATAGCGTTTCTAACTGAAACGCCATAATTATAAGCAAAAAGAAACCCAGAATATTTCAGACTAGAGAAAGCACTGAGGTTTTCAATTGCCGTTTCTAGTTGAACATGTGCATGTTGGGTAATGGATTGCACAGTGGACTCTACAAGAGCTTCAGCTTTCTGATAAACTTGCGATTCCTGATGCTTTGAAGTTCGGAACTTTGGAGACAAATCTGAGATTCTGTTGTGTAAATAACTCACATCTGTATCAATACATTTTAAATTGTAATCACATATGCCTGTTAAATCTGAAAGCAATCCTACAAGATACTTTCGAACCGGGGCCAACTTTGATTTAGAACGATTTTCCAAAATAAAAGTTCGCAAAGAATTTTCCATTTGATAAAATGAAGGGTAGATAGGATTATCCTTTTGATTTGGATCGGCGGCTACTCGACAACTTACGAAATGAACCAAGTCTTTAGCATCGGCGTATGTTTCAGGAGAGAGATTTTGAATTTGATCCAAAATAAGACGTTTACATCTCTCTTTATCTCTGATATTGTCGAACTTGTTTATTATAATGAAAATATGTGACTTCTCCGTAGAAGCATTCTTCAAAAACTCCGTTGCTGAAAGAGTAAAATGATTCTCTGCATTTACGACAAAAACGACAACGTCAATTTCTTCTTGACAAGCAAAGACGGAGGTAGTCTTCATAGAATCGGTATTTAGACCTGGTGCATCAATAAGGGCAATGTCCGTAATGCCATTATGGAGCAAACTTTCATAGGCTGGCCGACCATCATCTATGTACACCTTCAGCATTGACCAATTTTCTGTCTCATATACAAGTCGCTTCAGATCCTCAATAGGAAAAATTACATAGGTAGAAGAGTCCGTAAAAGAATACATTTTACCATGTGGTACAGCATGGACACAGTCCTTTTTATCGTTGAATTCCGCATCTAAAACTTCACAGAATACTTCGGTACACGGTTGCTGATCTTCTGGGAGGATATCACGATGAACAAGTGCATTGCAGAGAGTAGATTTGCCCGCATTTAAATCACCAGTTATTAAAACTTTCGATGATGTATCTTCCACTCTCGAATAAAGAGAGAAAAGATGCTTATTTACTCTCTCAAAGTATACTTTTAGTAACGACTCATGAGCCTCTGAACCGAGTTTACCGATAATTAATTCATCGGCTTCAGATTTAGCATGCAATGCCAAGTCAGGAGTCAAGATATTCATTTTTGGAATATCAAATTCAAATAACTGATTAGAGAAAGCTGATTTTGTTCGTTCAGAGCCCCAGACGCTATGAAAAATGCATCCTTGCTTGCTCACATACTCATTCAACTCGCCTAAGAGATCCTGTAACACGTGAATTGAACGCAAAAGAACATTCTTGTTTTGGTTATACTCAAACTGCTGGCGATTCGTTTCATCTTTGTAATTTTGGATACTCAAATTGTTCACATCTTCCTGATCTTTCAACTTGTCATCTTCGCGCACCGAAGAACTGTCTTGCTTCCTTAAGCTCTGAGAAGTCTTTTCTGGCATTAAATTAGGTTATTATCTATCAAATATTCAGTCTTCTTTATGGAACTAACAAAACTCCTACAATGAAAGGCACTCGTGACTTGTTTACTAGTGGAATTCTTCCACTTCCCAATATTGTTATATTTACTTATAATATTATATACGAATTTGAGCCCTAAACATATGCAGGATAAAAAAGCCATCATTGAATTAAAAAGCAATTAATAACTATAAACAAAAGGAAATAAATACATTGTACACTAAAATTACAATTACAACAGAATATCACCAAAAAGAAGTACAGCTTTAACTGTACTGGGTAAAAAACACGAACGTTTTTAACTTAATGAGTTAGCCGCTGGATTTCATCCCCGAAGCCAATTCGTCAGACAGACTCCTTAATATATTAGCATACGACTCTTCTAACTGCGAGCGAACATTATCTTCATTAGGGTATGACGATTTTGGAGATGCTCGTACACCAGCTGACTTGACGGTCCAGTACAAATCGGTTACAGAATCCGGATCGGCTATAAAATTTTTAAGTCTCTGATTTAAGTTGGTATGATGGTGAAACAATGTTTTTTGGGCAACGGTGGGGACTTCGGCTGGAATGGATTCTGGGTTCGTAAGGACATCTTCTGAAATTGATGTAGGAGGAGAGACGTACGAAGTAGGGCTCTCTGAAGATTCTGGGTTCAAACTTCTATCCGCATATATATCAGAATCATGGGATCTCGGTGTACTAGCCTCACCGCTTCCAGTAACTAAATCTGGAGTAAGACTTTGTTCATTTTTGTCAAATTCCGAGCCAATGGACGACTGATACAAGCTAAACATAGAATCCTCGCCAGATGCATTATTGCTTTTTAATTCGTCATGATCATTATCTTCGTCATCAAAGACAGTCAGACTAGAATTATCTCCTGGTAAAGCTTTGCGTTTAATTTCGATCGGCGAAGCAATCCTCTCCGACGACTCTTCAGCATGATTATCATTTATTGTAATAGGGGGAGCATTTGAAATTTTAGGTTGTATATTTTGATTTGGATCGTCAACGGGGACACTTTGAGTCAAACCGGAATCTCCTTCCGCGTCCTGAAATGTCGGAGACGAGGGCGTCGAAGAAGAGGCACTAGGAGGCTGCGACTCCATTTCCTTCCCGTTGGTCGAATCTAAAGAAACAAAATGACGAATGGGTTGAGATATAAAATGACTACCCTCAGAAGTTGCTGACGAGGGTATATGTGCTTCATTAGCATAAGCTCGATTAGAGATTGGATGTTTTTTCTTGTCAGTGTATTCAGTCCCAGGGATGATGTGAATATCAGAATTTTTGGATACACTTGACTTAGTATCTTCGAATTGTGGTGACCGGATTTCAACGGTTGCATCCGGAGGAGGACAAGACAGAGGACGATCAGGGTCAGGAGTGGCACTTGAGGTAGTTTTTAACGCGCCTGTAGACAATGCCCGTTTTAGAGGGGATAATACCTTATTAGAAAACCTTGGAGTTGGGGCAATCATATCAGAATTACGATACACTCGTTCGTCGCCTTTCTGAAGTTTTGTTTCGCTATCGTCATGATACTCCTCGGTACTGGAGGAAACTAAATCCTGAGAGTCCCTGTTTGAGTCAATATCTAAAGAATCGGTAGCTAAAGTGGAGGAATGAACGGAAGCTTCTCGTTCAGTAAGAGTGGCCTTATTATTATCATCATCCTCGTCATCATCATCATCAATAGCACCGTCCAAGTTAACTGACTCATCATCCGAGGAAGTATCATTACTAGTGGAAAATTCAATTTCCAGTCCATTTTCGGCTACTGCACGATTTACCATGGCTTCATAATCATTTTCTGAAAATAAGGTATCATCCATATCTGGATCAGTACCGGGCTTTATAGGACAATCAAAAGCAACTCGCTTCATGCGAATCCGAAGCGATTCGTCATTTTTGCTTAAAGACGAGGCGAGGGATGGAGCAGGAAGAGCATTTCCAGAACTTGAAGTATCGGAATTTTTGTATTTATTCAAGCGTGCTAAACGCTCGCTAGGTGTTTCAATATATTCTGCTGGTAAATATCCAATAGTAGTGTTATTGCAAATCTTAACAAGCCACCAATAACTATTGGAATCATCCAAAAGCAACATCATATCGCCTTTTTCAGCAGTAACCTGACCCTCCACAGTAGCATCAAAACGACGGATTGCATAAACATAGTTAGCGTCAATCTCTTCTTCATTGATAGAGGGAGATGAACTTAGTTCTGCTTCATACAGAGCCAATGCTTCTTCTTCATCAATGAGGTCGTCGTCGTCATCAGAGTTTTGGTTCTCTAAATTTAGTAACTCGTCGTAGTCTTCATCCAAGTCATACTTGATTGTAGAATTAAGTAAAAGATCTTGGTTCGTTAACGGCAGGGATGAGGTATTTCCCGGGTCGTTTCCCGTATCTTCTTGTTGTTTTGTAGACCCTTGGTCGTAAGATGATGCTTCTTTAGCTGAAGAATTGGAGTTTAGTTCTTCATGGTTTCCAATTTGTTGTTCGATGATATGAATGTTATCCGAAGAAGGAGCTGGTGTAGCTTCTACCATGACGATGGAGAATAGGTATATCAGTAAAGTACCAATCGAGCACGAGATCTTTTTTTGTTTTTCAGATTAAATTTTTATGGAACTTTTACATAAACAGGTATCAAGAAAATGCGAAACAAGACACGTTAAACAAACGGAACTTATGGCCTTTTTTTTTTTTTAAACTAACACAAACCCAAACACAGACCAAATTTTAGTAATTCCTTATATAAAAACAATCTTTTCTGAGAATGTCCTTCCCTGCTATTTTCATCCCAAATGTGTTAAAAAATGGGCGAAATTGTAATTTCTATTACCCAGTAAGTCGCGTGTTAAAGACACGTATACGTGAAGACACGAATGACTTAGACCATAGATCAGCCGTGCTTTGCGTATTACGCTAGCGATATTGTCTTATAGAGAAACTTGTATGATAAATGAAATAATTGGGTTTTAAAAAAAAAGAAATAGAACAGACTTAATTCATCGATTAAAAGAAAATATAATGAAAGGTTTTAAGTCTTTGACCTTTTATTGATACAAATCGTAGAGGTTGGTATGGAACGATAATGTAAACAAACAGAAGGGACGCCATGATCTTTGCAAACCAGTATGCACTCTCGTCTCAAGCTTCAGAACCTTTTATTTAATTCTTTCATAGTATGTATGTATTCTTAATAATAAGATATAGAAAAAATGTTTTGAAATATTGATCTTTTCCTTCTTCGCAAACTACTGACCTTCAGGACTGGAAGAAGGTATCCTAATCTTTTAATTGACATTTCTCATCCTTTTTTCATTTCTCCCAGTTATTTCTAATTCTTTTCTTACAAGATATATGGTCACATTCTGAGTATGCAAAGAAACAGGTTCTTCATAAGTGCAAGCAAGCCAAAGACGCCTCATGTAAACTATGAAATTTTGGCTTTGTCAGTCTCAGAGCTCGCAATGCAGAATAAATCATGGAACATCGTCTGAGTGTTTCATGCAGCTCAGGCGGAGTTTAATTCAGATAGAGGTTTAAACATCTCGGGATCATATTCGTACGCCAAAGGTCCAGTCCGACTTCCATCCAGCTTGAATTCTTTAAGATCGGGTTTTTCCCAAGCCCATTTCTTCAAATACTCGATATTCAATTCCCGCAACATGCAGCCAACACTATACTTTCCCAAGACAGGAAAAAACTTAAATCCATGTCCCGAACCACCAGTGCTCAAAAACAAGTTTTTATATTTGGGATGAAAATCAAAAACGAAATCAGCATCAGCTGTATCGGTATAATAGCATATTCTTGTCTTTTTAAAAGACCGTTGACTAATGTCCTTTCCGTAGAATGTATGTAGACAAGTGCGAAGTTGTTTTTCCGCCTCTTTTGGAAGAGTGGTAGATGATATAGGAAGCAATGGAGGCACCGATTCCTTCTTACCATTTTCATACTCCTTTGTCCTGGTGAAGCCGAATCCATGTCTAGAAAATTTCAAAAGACCATCTCGAGTTGGTGGAAAGCTGTAAAATCCAGACTCAAAATCCAATAGTACAGGATAGTTTCGATATCTTTTTCTTTCCTCTTCTGTTAACTGTATAAAACCTACGGGCTGACCTACTGTTAATAAACGGTATTGTTGCTCTGGTAGAAGGGATGCCGTCCATGCTCCAGCTGCAAGGACAACTAAGTCGGCACTTTTATTCTGACCGTCCATCGTTTCGACACCAACAACTTTGTCATCATCGGTAATTAATTTCTTTACTGTTCCGCTAGGTCCGCAAACGAAGGTGACACCCTGCTGGACGAGATAGTTTGCGACAGACTTTACGGATTGTTCAGCATCAGCCCACCCAGATATTTGATTCACATAGCCTCTCTGATGGGCTTTGAGTTCCGTATACCAAGTAGAATAAATTCTGCGAATATCCTCAGTATTATGGATCTTCGTACAAGGACTTCCCATTACCGACAGGTTATTGAAACTGGCGTCCCGGTACATTGAGTCGCTGGGACCGAGAAGCAAGAGTCCAGATGGATAAAAGTGGTTTCGAAAGAGAGGATGGTTTTGCCAATCCTTTATAGCTTCTAAACCCATCATGCAATAAGTCATATCCGCATAGTCAGGACGGATGATTCGATTTGCATCCACAGAGGAGCCATCGACCACAGGTGGAAGAGAGCGATCTAAAATCGTAATTTTGTAGCCTCCGCGTTTGGTCAGTTCTAAAGCCGTCGAAAGGCCAAAGACGCCGGCGCCAACAATAAGAACATCCATGGCAAGATACGTTTAACCGATTGATACAAACAGGAAGTTACTCCAAAATTTTAATAAAACAGAAAAAAAGAGAAGACGAAGTATGAAGACTTCTAATCCTGTCGAGAAAAAAGGAACTGATAAAAAATAGGATCTATGTCAAGAATATGACATTAGATATAGGACAGATAGCAATCCGCTGCATATCCAACGTCCATGAATGCACGAGCCTGAGATAAACAGGCACAGAATGCGTGGTTAAACAATTGGTTGTACAAGAAAATATAAGAAAATCAAATTCAAAATTGCTGTGCCTTATGGTATGCAATGAAACCGATGGAAAAGTCACAGAATTCATTCAAATGGCATCGATTCTTATGAAGTTCAACGGGCGCATGACTTTTCTGAACGCGTAACAACTTTCGGAGGCATGCTCCAAGAAAACTGTTGCTACTGCTATTAGAAAAGAATCATCTGGCTACAACTGAAATATGGTGGTTTGTTTACAACTGTGTTTGACTATACTCTATTGTCGTATGTGATTATAGTGAGAAGGAAGGTAGCGGAAGTTAATTAACGAACTCTAACACACTCAGACTTCATGCGTTACCATTCAAACTCCACGTACTTAACTTCTCCCAAACACAGAACACCAAAATAAACAAATTCAGATGGGCAATTGCTTATCTTGTTGTAACAGTATGGTAGCAGTATTTATTTGTAGAATGCTAACAAGACAAAAGAATCCAAAGATGAACAGTACGAGCCGTTACTGGCAGATCGAGAAAGAGAAGCTGTAGCAGACTTGTTAAATTTCTTGGAAGATGTAAGGGAAATATTGATTGAAGTGATCGATTAACCAATGAATGTAGAGAAATGAAGTGAATTTCTACAGTGAAGAACCATTGAGGGCGTTGACAATTCTTGCGTACTCTGATAATATTGATCTTCAACGATCAGCAGCTCTGGCTTTTGCCGAAATTACTGAAAAAGGTATTAAACATGGCTTTTACAATTGCATGAACAAGTAGCTTACATATATAGATGTCCGGGAAGTGGATCGTGAAACCATTGAACCCGTTTTGTTTTTGTTGCAAAGTCCTGATGCCGAGATCCAGCGAGCTGCGAGCGTTGCTCTAGGCAATTTAGCTGTCAATGCGGAAAATAAAGCCCTTGTTGTCAAATTGAACGGCTTGGATCTGTTAATCCGTCAAATGATGTCTCCTCATGTCGAGGTGCAATGTAATGCTGTTGGCTGTATCACAAATTTGGCTACATTAGACGAAAATAAATCAAAAATAGCTCACTCGGGTGCTCTTGGTCCCCTTACTCGACTTGCAAAGAGTAAGGATATACGTGTACAAAGAAATGCGACCGGTGCATTGCTTAATATGACTCATTCTTGTATGTCTTTTACTTGTTTCTATGTCCATGAACTTCTGTTTGTTAACTGAATCTCTAGATGAAAATCGTCAACAACTCGTTAACGCTGGAACTATACCAGTCCTTGTTTCCTTACTCCCCAGCTTAGACGCCGACGTACAATATTACTGCACAACTTCTATCAGCAACATCGCTGTAGACGCCATACATCGTAAAAAACTTGCTCAGAGCGAACCCAAGTTGGTCCGCTCACTTATCCAGCTCATGGACACTGCTAGTCCAAAAGTTCAATGCCAAGCCGCTTTAGCTTTGCGTAATCTCGCTTCTGATGAACGTTATCAAATTGAGATTGTTCAAAGCAATGCCTTACCCTCGCTACTCCGTTTACTCCGTTCTTCTTATCTGCCCTTGATCCTCGCATCCGTGGCATGTGTCCGAAACATCTCTATCCATCCTCTTAACGAATCCCCTATTATTGATGTTGGCTTCCTTCGTCCTTTAGTAGACTTGCTCTCTTGTACGGAAAATGAAGAGATTCAATGCCATGCCGTTTCTACGTTGCGTAATTTAGCCGCCAGCTCTGAACGAAACAAACGCGCTATTATTGAGGCTAATGCTATTCAAAAACTGCGTGATTTAATCTTAGATGCCCCTGTTAGTGTTCAAAGTGAAATGACTGCTTGTCTTGCCGTATTGGCTCTTAGTGATGAATTCAAATCGTATTTGTTGAATTATGCGATATGTAATGTCCTCATTCCCCTGACGGATTCTATGTCAATAGAGGTGCAGGGAAACTCTGCCGCTGCCTTGGGTAACCTTTCTTCCAATGTTGATGACTATGGTCAATTTATTGAGTGCTGGGATTCCCCTGCAGGTGGGATCCATGGTTACCTTGTGAGATTCTTGAGCAGTGAAGATTCTACATTTGCTCACATCGCTGCATGGACGATCGTGCAATTACTAGAAGCTGGAGGTATGATTCCCTTTTTTTTCTTTCATTTTTTCTTCTAACTCATTTTTAGTTCCTCGACTGACTGCTTTTATCCAATCAAGCGATGATATAATTGAACTTCTAAATGATATCGTTGCTAGAGACGTTAATAATGGAGAATACGAAGATGGTGAAGGAGATGTTATTTTATTGTCAGGTCGAGCACTGCATCTAATTGAACAAGACACTGATGCTTAATGGCTCAAACAGACAAACGCATATATATTTATATGTATTATTATCAACATTCTTTATCTCGTCATTCATCTGTTAATCTTTTAATAACCGTCTTTTTTTTTCTTTCAAAATATTAAATATTAGATACTAACTAGAACCTAATGATTTGATTTTATTTTACTAATGAAATTATTGTTAACTTTATTTGCAGAACAAGAAACGAGTTATATTTATTTTATGATTACACATCGAAGGCATAATACTTAAAAAGACAGGAGCGTCCCTCAAAGGATTAATAAATAACATAATGCCAAAAAATCAAATTGTACATAAAACAAGCAAACAATTGAGAACAAAGATAGAAAAACAGCATCCAATCATCCATCATATTTAATGCTTCTTTTTTTGTGATTTAAATTTTCTAAAAAATCTTGAGAACATTCCTTTTGAGGATTTCTTTTTTGAAGTCTTTTCTAATTTTATATCTTGCTGTTCGGCATCGTTTGCTTCTGGCTGACGCGCGATAGATGAAGCGGAAGGTATCCTAGGCTGCGAGCCGCTCTTCGAATCAGCAACCCGAGTTTGTAAATGCTGAGAAGCTAAGTTGAACGGTTCTGAACGACTATATGCCGGATCGGGCTGGACCTTTGAGAGGCCAGTTTGGGAAGGTTGGATTACCTGCTCGTGTGGCTTTCCTTCTTGAATATGAGCAATATTTGGTGTTGAAGCAGAAGCAGGAAGAGCCACCGTTGAAAGTTGTGAACAGGAATCATTTATATCCTTTTTCGAAACAGACGGTAATGAGACAACTTCAGAATGATTTTGAGACTTATCACTAGCCGCATAGTTTGATTTTTCCACTGTGGATTCTTCAATGGTAGTATGAGTGGAACCTTCCGGCTCCTCGACAAGAGGAAAAGCAGGTTCAAAATCACTTACCAAGTTTAAAAGGGAATAATCGGGAAAGCTCTGATGAACATTAAACAAAGTCAACTTTGATATAATTTTTGGCCAACGATTAATTAGCCCTTCAACGATTCTAGCTTCCACTCTTGCTTTTTCAGTTTCAAAGTGCATAAGGTTATTAAAATCAGAAGACTGATTTGATTTGGAAAGATCGTTTATGTGATTCCCTAGCAGCAAAGGACCAAAGATAATCCCAAGTGCTTCTGACTTCATTAAACTAGATTCTTTACCGTGTTCCATAACTGATTCTAGCTCCTTTGTCCGCATGGAAACCTGTCGTAAAAGAGCCATGAGGCTGCAAAACAAGGAAAAGCGAATGACGGAGTCGATTTGACCAATGGCAAAGGCAACCAATTCAGCCCATACATCGGATGGTAAAGACGGTGACTCGTCTAAAAATAAAGGAACAAGCATGTTCAACACGTCTTTTGTTCCCAAAAGACCTCCGGGCAAAACCATAATAAACCGTTTGAGAACACCGCCTATGTCAATACTTGTAGGAAATCCAATTTTATTAAAGACACTGGAGGTTTCATCGAGCCAATAGTGTGGAGGTTGATAATAGTTTCTCATAATAGCATTGATGATGGGGCCCGAGCCGCTAATACGAAAAATACCAGGGACGTGAAGAGCATTTGACGACAAGGCATGAATGCACTGAGCAAAAATATGGGGAAGCAAAAGAGGAAAGGGAGCCAGTTCGGCGGGTTGGAAACCAAACTTACACAGGTCGTCAGCGTAAGATACACTTAGGTCTTGGACGGATTTGCCAAAGACGGTAGCGGGAGAAGGAGTTGGATGAGCGGTAGAACGATGAGGGAATTTGAAGTAGTGGGTTAAGGAGCGACGATGAATGCCGGGAGATTGTTTCTTTGGAGAATAGGAGGAAGAAGGTCGGCGGAGCAGGGAAGACAAGCTGGTTTTGCCCAACGAATGTTTGGAAGGACTGCGTTTGTGAGAATCGTGGGAAGGAGTTGGACTTGGGAAAACGTTGCTGGAATTCCGGGAATGGAAGGAAAAATCAGAAGACGGATTGGGAAGTTTTGAGGGAGATTGTTGCGGGGTGGAAAGAAAGAGGTCTTGGGAGGGTAAGATGGTGGAAACGGGCCTACGAGAAGGGGAATGGAAAGAATCATCAGGACGTCTTTCAAGAGCAGCAGGTTCCCGAAGATGAGGGGGGTCGAGTGCCTCATTGAGCGAGGATTCTGGGAGCAAGGAAAGTGGTTTGGGAGTAGTAGCAGGTTTGGGCTTGGAGGGAGATTCGGATGGAGTTACAAAACCATCATCGTTGGGATGATGAAGGGAATCATCGAAAGGATTGAATTTTTCAAAGACGTCGTCCTGGATAAAGTAACTGAAGCGATTATCTTTTGGTTGGGAAGCAGCCTCTTCTAGAGTCTTTTTGGGAAGGCCATGGGTAGTAAAGAGAGCGTGATATTTTGCAAGATAATCATTTCGAGACTCATTAGACTTTTCTTGGTCTTGTTTTGTTGGAACAAAGTGATTTGCGGGATCTTCTCCATGCGAAGATGGTTTGGGGAATGCATTTTGTTGAGTATGGGGATGGGATTCAGCAATTGGAGCCAGAGAAGAATCATGATTTTCCGTCTCGAAATCATAAAAGTTTGAAGAAGGGACGGACCCATGTTTTACCGTTGAGGATCGAAAGAGCATGACTCAAATTTGAACATAGGACGCAAGATGGAAAAATGAAAGCGAAAATGATTTAAAAAGAGATGAAAAGGAAAAAGAAAAAGACAAAAGTAGAAAAAAAAGAAAAGGAATGATGTTTTGATGTTTTGGATGCAAATAAATAAGAGTAAAAGATGCAGGCAGTGGAAAGAAAATATTCGTTACTTTTGAATGGAATTGTTAGGAAGTAACAATAAACAAAACAGAAGAGTGAAAAATGAAAAGTGAGAGAGACAGAGAGAGAGGGTAATAAAAAAAGAATGTATTTGAATGCAGAAATTTTTAAATCAAGTGGTTTAAGAAATTCGATCGGTGTAGAATGAGTAAAGTAGACAAGAAATGGAATGAATAGGATAGGATGGGATGGATAGGAAAGGAACGGGTGTTTTTGCTTTGGAAGCAAGTGTACAAGACACAAGATGATAGATGATAGATGGTAGAGCAAAATAAAAGTTAGTTTTAGGACGCACAACTACTATTGATGACAAGTCAAACGATTCGTTTTTCTGTCGTCAAGAAGAAGCTAGCCTGTGAAAAGGACTATTTGATTACGAAACCTACAAATAAAAACAACACAAAAATAGCTATAATAGAGGAAAAAATATTTTTTAAAAGTCTATATTTCAAATCTAGGTGACTACCAAAATGAAACAGAAAAGAAAGAGTCTAAACAAAAGTCAAGAGACTTAGTCGCGGGCAGCAGTGAGAGCAACCAAGTCAACAACACGGCGAGAGTAACCGTATTCGTTGTCGTACCAGGAGACGAGCTTGACGAATTGGGGAGAGAGTTGGATACCAGCGGTGGCATCGAAGATGGAAGAGTGGGTGTCACCGACGAAGTCAGCAGAGACGACAGCGTCTTCGGTGTAGCAGAGCACACCCTTGAGAGGGCCCTCAGCGGCGGCCTTGACGGCAGCCTTGATGTCCTCATAGGTGGTGGGCTTGGCGAGCTTGCAGGTCAAGTCGACAACGGAGACATCAGAGGTAGGGACACGGAAAGCCATACCAGTGAGCTTACCGTTGAGGCTAGGGATGACCTTGCCAACAGCCTTGGCAGCACCGGTGGAAGAGGGGATGATGTTGTCACCGGCGGTACGGCCACCACGCCAGTCCTTACGGGAAGGACCGTCGACAGTCTTTTGGGTGGCAGTGGTAGCGTGGACAGTGGTCATCAAACCTTCTTCGATACCGAAGGTGTCGTTGATAACCTTAGCCAAGGGAGCCAAGCAGTTGGTGGTGCAAGAGGCGTTGGAGATGACCTTCTCATCAGTCTTGAATTCGTCAGTGTTGACACCAACAACGTACATGGGAGCGTCCTTGGAGGGAGCAGAGATGATGACACGCTTGGCACCACCCTTCAAGTGAGCGGAAGCGGTCTCTTGGGTGGTGAAAACACCAGTGGATTCGATGACATAGTCAGCGCCAGCGGAGGCCCACTTGATGTTAGCGGGTTCCTTCTCGTTGAAGACGGTGATGGCTTGGCCGTCGATGACCAACTTGTCGTCCTTGATGGAGACTTCACCGTTGTAGCGACCGTGGGTAGAGTCGTACTTGAACATGTAAGCCATGTATTCGAGGTCAATGAAGGGGTCATTGACAGCGACGACTTGGACGCTCTTAGCTTGGAGAGCGTTACGGAGGACAATACGTCCGATACGACCGAAACCGTTAATACCAACTTGAGGAATTGCCATGATGAATGTTTCTAAAAAGAGTGTTAGATGAGAAAGAACTGTGGATAGAGACAAGCAAAATGCAAGCAAGAGATCCAAATCAAAAGAAGAATAAAAGCAAACTCGAAGAGTTTTTTATTTTAACATTCTTCTTTTTTCTTCCTTTACTCTTTGCTTTCTTTTTTCTTTTTTGCTTGCTTTTTCCTTTTTTAATACTTACACACTAAAGAATTTCTTCTGTTTGTGATGAGGATTAAGAGCAGCAGATGTCTCTATTTATAACATTTCGCTCCAGTGGAAATTTGCCGAAGAGTCCCGGGTGTCAGGCGAATTGATCCGTTCCTTAAAGTTCCGTTTCATCAGATGGAAATTCTTTCACCGTTCCATCTGATCAAATCGTATGCTTCTGTCAGGCCCTGCCACGTAAGCAGAGAACAGAGAGCAACGAGGAAGCGATCGATGTGCGACGACGACGTGCGACCAAAAAGTTGAGCGACAAACGCACAGAGACAGAGACACAAAGATAGAGACACAGACACAGACACAAACAAAGAGACAAAGAGACACGTAGAAAGAGAAACGTAGAAAAGCAGTGGAATTGAATTCTGGGGGTTTGTTTTTTTTTTTTTTTTTTCGTTTTTTCTCTCTCCCTCTCTCTCTCTCTTTTTCCTCTCTTTCCACGTAAACAATCGACTTCTTCTTGTTTCCATCTTGTTCCCTCGTTGTCACTTGATAGGTAGCCTCGGAGAAACTGAATGACCTCATCTTCAACGTCAGTCGAGAGGGAAAAACTCGAGTTTGTCCGAGAATTCAAAGCGGGACAGGATCAAAGTTCCATAGTTGTTCCAGAAGCGCGCGATGTTTCCATAGTACTTACGTCATGCCCACTTGAAAGGAAAGGGGCTGCCGAAGTCGGAGAAACCAGTAGATCCAAAGGGATCGAGGCGACGCCGTTGTGATTCGTAGTAAACGTTGCTCGTTGGGAACAAGGTCCAAGCAAGCGATTTTTCTTTTTTTTTTTTTTTTTTTTTTTTTTTTCAACAAAGTGTGACAAGAGACAGGAAGATGTAAATAAATAAATAAACAAAGAAGAATAAACAAAAGAAATAAAATAAAATAAAATAAAATAAAACAAATTCAAAGTAAGTAAAATGTAAAAAGAGTTTTGTTTGCTTTGCTTGTTTCATCTCTTTTGTTTACTCTTCTTGTTTGAATTGGGGTTCTTTTCCTCTTCACTATTATCACTTTTATACACATATGAATAGAATAGAATAGAATAGAATAGACTAGGTAGGTACACACGAAAATACAATTCTATACAAAAAATAAAAACCTAGATATATACTTTTTAATTAAATTTTTAATTAAATTTTTATTTTAATTTAATTCTTTATTGTTGAAATTACAAAACACATTCTACCTTCTCATACAACTACCCCCCCTCCTCTCTCATTCAATTCAAAATTTCATCATGATATTTACATCTTTACTATGTATCATTTATCCAAACAACTTTTCTATTCTTGCCTGCCATTCATCACGATATCCTATACATAAAAAATAACCAACGCTGTGTGCTGTGTCATATCATCATCACCACAAGGAAAAAATCCATCAAAGACAAAAAGGCAATCAAAAAAAATTCAAACCTCCCCGCTTAAATTCTTTCCATCCTTTTCTCTTTTCTCTTTTCTCTTTTGGCTTTCCTCGTTCTTTCTTCTCCTGTCTCTCGTCTCTCTTCTTTTCATACTTGCTTTACGCGTTGCCATACCAATTTCCGGGTCGGTTCATAAATGTTTGGTTATAAGCTCCATAGCTTCCTATTCCATTTCCGCTTCCTCCGGCTCCACTCGTCGTCGTCGTCGTTGTCCCCGTAGGATTAAATGGAAATCCAGATCCTTGGCTGCTTACATTTCCACCCTTATTGCCATTCGAAGGGTACGTTCCTTGATGTCCACCGGGTGAAGCATTCAATCCCCCTTGAGGAACATATCCATAAGGTGATGGTGCTCCCCATTCTCCTTCATTCACAAACATCCCAGGTGCTGCTGCACTACGGCTTCCTCCAGACATCGACGAGAATCCTCCAAGAGAACTGCCAGTCACTTCACGCCCCTTATCCACCGGCACATTTCCAGCTGTGTTGCCGCCTACTTGCGCCCCACCGCCAATGTTTCCAACACCTCCCCCACTCTGCTGGCGGTTGTAGATACTGCTGTGTCCCCCTAATATAGGTGGGAAATCATTCAAGCCATTCTGCATCACGTACCCTTGTTGAGGCTGTCCGTACTTGTTGTTACCATAAGGAAGCGATCCATAGCCATACGACATGTATGGAACAGGATACATAGGGGGGAATGCATATGGCTGAGGCTGTTGCGAAACCACTGGGCTTGCTGTTGCCGTCGTGTTCGGCAAGGAAGGAATCGCTGCCGCCGTACTTCCAACCTTGTTTTGTGCCATTCCATGCATCTCTGGCGTTCCATTCACGGCTGGATCATATTGAGAATATTGCGAACGCTCATTAAAGTAATTCGGTACACTTTGGCCATATGTTAACGGCGACATTCCGCTATAAGCTGCATGAGCATTTTGCTGATGTTGATGTGCCGCCGTAGGTCCAAACCCTGGTGCTGCTCCATACTCTGCATGCTGATAAGTATCAAAAGGACTCACATTCGTCTCCACCTTGTTTTCTAATGGCTTCCCAAATCTAGACGTGTATGGCAAATTCGCCTTGTCATGAACTCCCGCCATCGCTGGATCATTGCTGTAAGCACTAGCTGCAGACATCGGCAAGGAACTGCCAACTCCATATTGTTGAGGAGCAATGTCATGCATCACTGGAGAGTACATCGCCATAAATCCCCCATTGCCTTGTTTGTTTACTGTAGGAGTATTTCCCGTGGGTAAACTAACTTGAGGGGCTCCACCACCAATCGCTGCATTTGCTGAAGGATTGTTTTTCACATCAAAGTAATACGAGTTGTCGCTGACAGCAGCAGTAGGATATTCGGGAACAGCACCACTAACAGGTGCGGATGGCTGTGATTGTCGCTTTGCTGGTAAAGCTTCTGTATTGTTACCAAGAGCAGCCTTGCTATCGTCATATTGGGGAGGTTGAGGCTTAGGAGATGCATAAGTTTCCCTAGATGATTCTTTAACTTGCTTGGGAGCAAATCCTGCTGGGGGAGTTACAGGCTTATTGGATAATGATTCATCACCACCGAGGGTCAAGCTACCAAATCGGACTTGAACCTTTTCGGGAATCGCCCCAGTATTGGCGACTGGCATAACGACGGGAAACTTGTCGGAAAGCAGACGAGCAGTAGTTATTCCATTCGTAGAGCCATGGAATCCAGTTGAAGGTGCCTTCGTCTCCACAGGCTTGCTCTGGGAAGTCGTAGCAGGAGCAGTATTCGTAACGTTGGCTGGTTTGGATTCAACAGCAGGCTTGCTAACACCGGAATCAGCAACCGCTACAGGAGGAATCTTTTGTTCCTCTTGTTCTACTTTCTGTTCGTTTTGCTGAGGTGCAACCTCGGGTTCAGTAGGTCTAGATGCTAAAGGAACAGGAGGTTGCAAGGGTTGTTCAACCGCCGCAGCGTCAGATGAAGTAGAAGGCAACTTTGTTGGTTGAGTTGGTTGCGCAGCTTTAGGTAAGGCTTGCTTTCTTTTCACCTTCGCAATAGCAGCCCATGGAGCTTTGGATGACTGGGTAGGAGGAGCAACAACGGCAGGCTTATCAATCTGGGGAGGAGTAGTCTTAGCTGCTGAGGTTGAAGTTGAAGGTTGTTCAGTTTGAGTGGCATGAGTAGTTTTGGCATTACTTGAATCTATAGGTTGTTGAGTTATGTCATCGGGTTTAGAGGAAGGAGTGAAAGTCGATGCATTATCAGTATTGGGAGCGGATTGAACTTTTGAGGACTCAGGTATAGAAGAAGCAGTCGATGTCTTTGTCTGAGGGACAGCTTTTTCTTTACGAGAAGGCTGAGGTTGGTCTTGTCTAGGTGCTTTCTTAGGTTTCCGAGATGCAATTTTAGGGACCGTAGCATCGGCGTCACCCGTTTTCGACTTTTGCTTTGTTTGCTTCGTTGGCTGCTTCTTCGTTACTTGTCCCCATTGAGAGGCATGACCTTCGGTGATGTGAGCGATAGTCAACTCCAAATCATGACCCGCCTCTTCCAATGCGAAAACAAGATCATCCACAGTCCATTCGGGAAAAAGTTCTTTCAATGCAGAAATCTGAATTTTAGGGTCTGACTCGAGTTTTAACGCTTGGGACTCTTCATTTTCTGGAGAACTTTTCGACGCATTTGAAGAACCTTGTTTTCCTTTAGATACTCTTTTACCTCTGGTGTTTCTTCGAGGCGGAGCTGAATCCGCATGTATGGACTCTCCGTTCGCTACTGACTTGTTTGCGTTTTGAGGGCCTTCTTCGGCCTTTTTCGACCGAATCTTTTTGTTCTCACTCATAATTGAGTTTGTGATATCTGATATAATCTATAGCTCTTGAGAATCGACAAGAACACGCTTAGAGGTGCTTTACGACGATATTCAAGACTCTTTGTGTTCTTTTAGGGTATGCGTTTTGGAAGAGAATGAAAATGGTAACGCCAGGGCATTTGCGGAGCGTCACCCAACAGTACTCTATCCGGATAACGATGAACAGGGCAGGTTCTTAAACCCGGTGTCTGTAAACATAAGTCTGTCTATGAGGTAGGAAAAAGAAAAACTAAGAATTAGAATTGTTCCATTCTTTTTTTTTGAAAAATTTACGTTAAAAAAGAATCAGTAATTTCATGCCTATTTCTAGTCCTATGAGATCTCTCAAAAGACGAGGTAACTCCATCTCTGTATATCATGATGCCAGCGAAAGATTGCATGCAAAAGGATTTGCTTGATACAGTGTCTTTTTGTACCAGTCTAGAAATTCAGAAGTATCAGAGCTCTGCAAATCTTTACAACCCAATGTACCACGATAGTATCTGTGTTTGTTTACTAGCGTGTATAGTATGTGTATGCTATCGCAAACTTCTAGCGAAAAAACTTAAAGGATTCCTTCTACTTATTGTGAATGGAAATTCATTTAAAATATATAAATAACCTAAAAAGGACGAATGTGTTGAATTTTGAATAAAAAAATGGAAAACAATTGCTTCGGCCGGGAATCGAACCCGGGTCGCTTCGATGGCAACGAAGCATTATACCACTAAACCACCAAAGCAGCTATTGATAGTAGCAGACTATATATATATAAATATCCTTGTAAAACTACTTAGATCATTAAAACTTGTTTTAATGAACAACATGAAGGAATCTTTGCAACAAGGACTTTTTCTTTACGAATTGGCTTCCTTATAATTATTTTTGCGACTCAATCCACTTTACCAAGGAGAGGATAGCATTTACTTTTGTTCTTTTTGATGAAAAGACAATGTATGTTAGCAAGGCAGAGTCAAAATGTCCTGTTTATTTTTTAGTTTTTTCAAGAAAAAAATTAAGAATTGATCATGTTATAAAAGCATCATAATTTATTGGTAGACGGTTTTTGTTTATTCAGATGTAAATAAAAGATTTCTGTTACTTGGTCGTAAGTGAATGACATTAATTACCCATCTGGCTAATGGAACCAATATTGAAAAAAAAAATAAAAAAAAATTACAGTAGATAAACTAATGAAGGAACAAAAGAAAGAAGCTGCAAAAAGCAAGTTTTAAAACAAGCGATTGAAGCAGCTTCCTAATCTTCCTGAAGGACCACACTACTAATACTACTATTAATGCCATAGAGGTTAGAGATTCTCAATTTCCAAAAAAATATCCTAGCATGGAACAACCAAAGATCTCATCAATTTGTAGTATTGGATGAATTTTTGAGTAGCGTTGTAATTTATTGGTCATGAATGAGTCAACTGTTACTATCTGCTAATGGTTGCTTTTACTTTTATAACAATCGTTCTCATGCTCGTGGTTTATGAAAAAAATGCAATAGCATGGGGCACACGGTCTTTAAATAAAAATGAATTTATTACGAACATAAAATCGCCAGAATATACGAATAATCATTGAAATAGGTGTCGTATTCACGAAGAAAATGAACGATACATAAGCAATGATATTAGGAGAAGAGGCTGAAATTCGATTTCTTCTTTACAAGGTGGACCATTCCTGCTAATTCTGCTGTTTCCCAAATTAAATGAAAGTTTCTAACTTAACAAAACTAAATTTCCCTTACTGTAGGTGGGATATGTGTTATATTTTCAAATCCAATTGGGTTTCCTAAAGAAGTTAGAAAGGCTCATAGAAAATTGCAACTTACGAATGAAAAGAAAAAACAAGCATATGTTCAATACGATCAAAACGACCAATACCGCGGCTGAATGTATATAATCAAAGCCTCCTGACGATTTCAAAACATAACCCCCGACTCCATTCAAACTTATCAGGGTAATTAGCGCTTTACACACAGTTGACGCTCCTCCCCTTCCTTAACGTACTTCTTTGTTGCTCATCCTAATTGCATTACTGCTCTTCCAGCTTGCCTGTACCATTCCGGATATATATAAAGAATTGCTAAATATTAGCGAGCCGTTCAGAACAAGATATTGTAGCTTACCAAGGAGAAAAGTACTAATAGATCCAATAGAACCGCCAGCAAGCCCGTAAAAAGCTTTCGAATACGGAGAAACCTTGTAACCAAAAACTATGGCTAGAAAAACAAGATTATATATAGTAGTTATAATAGTCACTGTACCCATGACAGGTGTTTTCCACCACTGTTTATTTGGCGAAGGGTCAGACCTAATATTATTTTCGGGTAATTCGGCGGAATTCTGAGCGGATCCGTCAGCCATTTCTAAATCGATAAGTTTGTTTGACGCTAACGAATGAGTTAGCAACTGAATCTTTCGTTGTTTACGGAGGATGGAGGTATTCGCCCTGTTTATTGACAGGTATTGACAAGATTATTTATTTTAAACCCAACTAGTAAAAAGCAAGCATGATTCTTCATCAGAACTTTCTCAAGCTAAAATCTTTTGAAACAAGCATACAAAGCATAAACCTATCCTTTCTATTTCAGTAAATCTTACCTGAATACGGAGTACCATCAGAAGGAGACGACTGACTATTTGCCTTTTCATCATTGAGCACTTTGAAAGAGTCATCAGAATCTGAAACAGGAGTATATTTGTTTTTCATATTAACAATGGCAACCTAGTAAATCAAAAGAACACCAAGATTTACAAATGAACCGAATTCAGCTAGAATCACCCAACAATGACCGCGAGTACTAATTTCACAAGTCGTGAGGATCGGTCAAATAAGGAATTACTCCTTTTTTATAAATATAAACTAATAATACTGTTCAAAGGGAAACTCCTCGTAAAAGATAAAGCGAAGTTGAAAAACTCATGGTAATAGCTTTTCGCATATTTCAATATCATAAACAGCGACATTATGTCACTGACTGGTCACAACCCTCATTGCGATTTCTCGTAATAGTATAATCCAAAAGAGTCACTGTTTATTACAAATAGTAAACACATGGAAAGTTTTCTAGATGCGACGTCGAACTATGGTAAACAAAATTTGTACGGACAAGTGCATTTTCTTTTCATCTTTATTAAATTTATGGTAGTTAAACGATAGAAACAAACAAAAGCGATTTCTAACTGTTCATTCATTCATAATATATATATAAGCGTGCGCTTACTAACTATCGATAAGTCTCTTTAACGAACTGCATCACTTAGATGTCGAATGGGTTGGATGACAGCTTCACCTCTGCAAAGCTCTAGTCTTTGCCATTGTGGGCTTATTTTCTGGGTTTCAAGACTCTTTTTGTCATTCCTACTTTAATGTATAAACCAAGTTGACATGGAATCTTTTTGTTTTCGAAATTGCACGCTTTTTGGTCCTTTTACTTTGTAATCAATAATTTTCGCAGTAACTTAGTGATCAAGCAAAGGTGAATAAGAAATTCTTTAGTCACAGCCATGTTCAACAAAAATGAATGAAAAAGAAAAGGAAGGACATCAAAAATCTGTCGAACCAGTAAAAGTTGCTTGTTTGAGCTGTTCTACAAATTCTGACAGCGATTTACCTAAATACAGCGAAATCCCGTATTCTCATGTTGACAATATGGAGAAGGGTAGTTTACGTTTACAGTCCGATCCAGATCCAGTTCCACCATACTCAAGAAGACATCAAGAAGCTTCTATTCACATGGCGCAAGGAAACGGTTTCTTTATTCTTTTACGAGATGTCTTGTCGGCATTATTATGGTTAATTTTCTGGCCGGCAAAAATTGTGAGAATCCCGGAAGCACAACGAAGACAGGAAAATGAAACTGCTCGGCTTAGTTTCTGCTTTATTATTTCGGTCATGGTAGACTTTTGGTTTTCTTACAAATACCTTGTCCCCTTTATAAAGGAATCAATGAAAGAATCTGTAAGGTTATGGTTTCAGATTACTGTAGCAGCTGTTCTTGTCATCGTGGCTTTCTACATGTTTCTATATGTTTGTTCATGTAAGTGAACTGGTGGATTTGTAATTTAAAGTTGTTTACTAATGGAATGCTTTTAGTGTTGGTGGATTTTATCGTTATACTTATTCCTCTAGTTGCTTCTGGGGGTTCTTCACTGTTTTATGGAATATCTTCATTTCTTTCTTCGCTTTTTTCTGGCATATCTTCATTTTTTTCTGGCATATCTTCATTTTTTTCTTCGCTTTTTTCTGGGATTGGTACACTTTTTTCTGGCATATCTTCATTTTTTTCTTCGCTTTTTTCTGGGATCAATAGTGCTGTTACGAGTGCTCTAGGTTTCAGGATGCCGTCAGAAAGAAACGACTTAACGGATGATAATTGTATCCCATTAAACAGCATGTCGTCAGAGCGTGAATATCAGTTTAATAATAGTAGTGATAATACTTTCGAGCAACCGTCTTCTGAACATTCTGAGCAATCTCCAGGGTTACGCCGGGAACCTGGTCAGTCTAGGAATGTGGAAAGTAGTAGGAGTTGATTTGTACGTAAAGTAAAGCATTAATATTATAATGCCTAATATATTCGGTTGTTCTCCTGCATGCTTTTACGTATGCTTATGTTTCGTTTATTTCGTCCCTGCATATTTATTTTAGGAATGCTTATTACTGGATGATTTTGTCATTGCATCTATATAGTTAAGTTGAATTGCTTACTTTTATTTATTCGTTTGATACTCTATTTCTGATCTTTGTTATTCGTTTCATAAGTCTAGGAAGATCTTTAGTTCTTGAATTTAAGAGTAGTCATTGCATTTCCAACTTCCACTGCTATTATTACCTTCATCAAAGGGCCATGCCGACCCAAATGCCAGCCATATGCTTTAACAAAGAGCAACAAACAAATACAAAGAAAAAGAATTAAAAACGAAGCGGTAAAAAGCCTACAGCATCCCGGATTCCCATGTTGTCTCCAACCATAGTACTAACGACACCCTCAGACGGTTTCACTTCCTGCAGTGATCGGACGGGAACTGCTGTTATCGCCTAGGTGTGGCCGTAGACAAACGTCTATTTTTTCTAATAAACTTATACCATAAAACGTACCATTTTATTTGCACGACCACCATCAATGCTATGATTCATTTGTCGTCAGCAGGAACATCGATAGTAGTGCCACTCTATTCTCATGATCTTTCGCGTCCGTGTACCCTTCTTAAAAGCGGGTATCGCTAAATGAAACACTAAAATCACTTTTGTTTCGAACATGCGTGTTTCTACTTACTGGATGGACTTTTACAAGCATGATTGTATCTGTTTTGTTATTTTTTCTTTATTCTTTTCATATTATTTATGAACCTTCAGTTATTATTACTTTCTACTGCTGTGCATTTGAGCCTTGTACTGCGGTCTCCTGTGTGCAAACAAGAACGCTGGAAATTAACGGTTCCTACAGTCTACGAGTACAAAAAAAAGGTTGATTTTAATAGAGTCAGTTCGTTATGGAGTTCAACTTTTGATTGTGAACAAAAGAAAGAAAAAGGAAAAAAAAAAGAGCGCATTTTAGCAAAAGTAGCGCAAAACAAATACCTCACCTCTTGTATATTTCGAGATGTTGAAACCAGCTTTTTATTGACCATATACACGTACAAAACTGAGGTTTCCTTTTAATCTGGAATCGTTTTGACGACAATTGTTTACGTACTGCTGACAGCGGTATGGTAAACGAGTGAATTCAACATCAAACGAAAACAGCTTTTTCCGGATTCACAAAGCAGATTTCAATGTATATTACTCTTGACTTTCTTCCCTTTGGTTGTCGTTCATTTTGCGATTATATTCACTTGAGTGTTTTTACCTAGTTTGTCTTAACGATATCTGTGCCTCAATAGTTCAACCAAAGTATGGCTCTTACGGCTCATCATAAGTACGCTATTATTTACTTATTCCTGATCATTGGACTGCTAGTACTGTTTGGGCTTCTCTTCTTAGTGGAACGTGGCCGAATTTGCTACAAATCGTGGCATACTAAGAAACATGTGGAAAAAAGTGCCAAGGAGCAGAATTTAATTGAGAAAATTTATCTTTGTGTTCGAAGCTATTATTATTATACGGTGAGACAGAAGTGGCTGCGTACCTTTATAGTTATATCAGTCATTTGCGTCGTAAGTATTCCCTTTATCGGGGAAGAGACTCCTAAAGTAGGTTCGAAAACAAAGAAGAATTGGAATAGAAATTCTGTTTGCTCTCGTTTTGCCTATCTAGCCTGTGTGTTATATACCGTAACATACATCTTTAGCCTAAAAAACAATCCTTTTGCTTTAATGTTTCTGACTTCCCACGAAAAGTTGAACTACATTCATCGTCGCGTATCCATATTTGCATTGCTATTTGGACTTATTCATGGAATAGGAAATATAGGAATTGCTGTTGCCGATAATGCTCGAGACAGCCTGGCGGGCGGAATGTACCCAACAGGATACGCAATTCTAACCTTCACAGTCGTTTTTGGGGTAAGCAGTATTTCTTACATTCGGAAGTATTGTTACGAATGGTTCTTTATTTTGCACCATCTTTGCAGTATAGGGCTTTTATGCACGATTTGGCTTCATAGTGAAAATGCCGCCATCTATATGAAGGTTTGCGTCTCCGTATATGCATTCGATCGTGGTTTGCGTATCCTTCGAAGTTGTTTGAATTTTTCCACGTTTCGAATTTTCCTTTTAGATGATGATTTGATTTATATGCGTGGACGCAAACCAAGATCTTTATTTTTTTTCTTGCCCTGGGCAGCTGGAAATCATATCTACTTGAACATTCCAACTCTTAGTTACTGGCAGTTACATCCCTTTACCATGCTGAGTTCGCCTGGTGATGATTACGTTGAAATGATGGTTGTAGTACGGACGGGTTTCACGAAGCGTCTTGCTGATCGTGTCTATAAACGAGGGTCAATTAAACAGCTTTCTCTTTCGAAGGAGGAGGAGGAGGAAGAAAAGAAACTTGATTTAAGTGGATCTTCCGATAAAAGCCAGCTTTCTGAAGAACGCTCCTCTTCCTGGTCCTGGTGCCCTGTTTCCATGGAAATGCCCAGTCACCAAATGACAGTGTTACTAGATGGACCCTACGGCCCTACGACAAACCTATATAAAGATTATTCCAATGTACTATTTCTGTCGAGTGGTGTAGGTATAACTTATACTTTACCGATTTTAAAAGATATTGCTCGATGCAAGTCGTCGGCGCTAAAAGTGAAAAGAATCACATTTGTCTGGAGCTGCAGATCAAAACCGCTTCTAGTGGCCATATTTAACTTTTTAAAAGAACTCGTCAAGAACGAGACCCAAATTCAACTAGATATTACGTGTCATTATACCAATAGTTACTCGTATAAGGAGATTCCCGATATTCAATGCGTCTCGGGTAAAAATGTTTTTCTTCAAGTGCTGGACGATCGTCCTCATTTCGTTCACTATCTAAGACCATTTCTAGAAAGAGCGCAAGGACAGACTGCTGCCATTGCGACGTGTGGTTCAGAGGGCTTCTTGAAACACGTGAAAAGTGATATAGGATCTTGCACGACAATTCTCGATGATTTGTTTCAGCACTATGAGGAAATCTAAAATTGGTTTTGAAAACGATAACGTGATGCTCTCTTTCCTTATCGAGTTTACCCCCCTCCTTGCTATTTAAGCATTTTATTTATGGCTTATTATTGTTTGCAACGTTTTGTTGGTGAACGCTGTATGTATTTTTTTAAAATGTTTTTACAAACGTCCCATTTAATAATGGAAAGGTTATTTATGAACCAACACCTTCCGTCCCCTCTCAGTTTGACAGAATTTATAGAACAATACCTAATGAGCAATAAAAAAGCTTTTACGTCTGAAACATACTGATACGCTCGCCGAGCAAAAACGATAAACTCGAAATCCTACATTTCAAACATATACTAATCCTACTTCTCAAACATATACTGAAGCGCCGTCATGGTAACTAAAAAATTCTAGCAAAGAGCAAAAGTATAAAAGAAAAAAAAGTGACTACAAGGATTACAATTCAATTTGATTCAATTCGATTCAATTATTTTATTTTATTTATTGATTTATCCCGTGTTTGTCATTTTTTATTTATGATGGATCTCAAAACGTCTAAGCATGAAGTACATGAATATATATATATATATATATATATATATATATATACCATACCATTCATCTATATACGGTATGTTATGTGGAAATTGACTTACAAAAGGTTTTCTTGATCAAGCATGGCCAGTATCCATCTTCGCTCACAGTAGGATATATACAGCGACAGACAATGCATCATATACGCTCTAAGAACACTAAACTAATGTGAAACTTAGTGGTTTGCTTTCAGTCCATCAAACCTTCATGAATCTACATATGATGATAAATTAATTCTACACCGATAGGAAATTGTGCTGAGTTACATTTCAAACATTTCTTTTTCACTATCTGTCGTTTGTATTCTTATTTATTAAGTTTTCCTTTTTATTATTTCTTTCTACTTGGTCTATTGTTTTCTGTCTTGCTGTTTACTGTGACGCTTGGTGCTAACGTCGTTAGCGATCTGATAAAAATTTGATAACAATCAAAACTTACGTTGTGTAAGTGATGTAATGCTTAAAAAATCTTATCAGATTATAATATCAATGGCCAGGTTTGTACTAAGAAAAAAAGAAAAATTTCGATGCTGTTCTTTATGGAAAAGTCCACAGGCCTCTGAATGAGTCCAGAAGAACTAGACTCCTAATCGGATACGAAAAGATTGTCTGTATTTGTTGATATTTTGAAAACGTGCGTTTTTGACTATCTTTAGTAATGAATCTCCTCATCATCGTCATTTAAACTCGCCTGATGAATGAAAAAAAAAAAGATATAAAAAGGCTGTGCTGCTCCTAAACCAGCATTCATCCACAGGAATAGACTAACTTCGGTCTTAATATTATTCACAATGAGTACTGACTATACTAAAGAACAGACGTTCGTTGACCATTTACTTTCTTTGCCTTCTGAAAAGTTGAATGCAATTCGTGGTAAGCCTGAGGAGGTTATAAAGGCCATTCATGATTTTGAGAAAACTGCAGACACATTCTACATGGATGTTGGAGAACACAAGGGCCAGGCGACGATAAATGAAATACGGAAAAAGAAGCCTCAAATCATGGTTGAGCTAGGTTGTTATCTTGGTTATTCTGCGGTGTTATTTGGCAAGGAGCTTTTGCAGGATCCTACCGCTCATTACTATTCCCTTGAAATTAACCCCAAATTTGCGGAACTGGCTTCAAAAGTAATTGAGCTGGCAGGTCTATCTCACAAAGTAACGATACTTGTTGGTCCTGCAACAGAATCTTTGGTTACTTTACGAGAGAAGCTTCGAAAAGAGGTCAATGGGTTCCATGCATTTGATTTTGTTTTTATCGATCATTGGCAAAATCTATATGTTCCCGATTTACGAGTGATGGAATCTTTAGATCTAATCGCTCCGGGAACAATTTTGGTGGCCGACAATATTTACATACCCGGTGCCCCCGAATATGCAAAGTATGTTCAAGCAAATCCAGATTTTAAGCGCGAATACAATGAAAAAGTTAAAAATGCAAATGGAAATGAGTATATTGGCAGATGGGACATTTTGTACGACTCGAAAACCGTGCCTGTTGAGTTTCCTTTAGGGACAGATGCTATCGAGATTACTCGCTGCATTGGATATGCAGAGAAATGAGTCTTCTTTATTTCTTAAGGAGGTGTTTTAACACTCTTCTTTTGTTCTACTAATCGGATACCCAAAGAGAAAGACTGGAAGAATACTAAACATGGAGAGACAGTAGAACATTATATTCATGCGAGTCGATGATTATTCAAGCTCGAAGTTGATGAAGCAAAAGAAAACGAAATTGCATAGGCTTTCTACATTGTACTACAATGTTGACGTGAGGATCGAGATGTAACTTCACGCGTGCGATTAATGTAGGTTATGAGGCGCTTTGTATCGCAAACAACATTTTATAATTAGGGAAATCACATACCATTGGTATGTTAGAACATACTCTTGGAATGTGATTTGTCCTGGTAAGGATTTTTATGCTCCTCGACTTTGACTTTTGTACTTATAATACAACGTGATATATGTTGTATGTGGACGAAAGACTTTGAATAAAAATTATTTCTATATTAAACAAAAGAAATTGTTGAAAGAAAGTATGAAAAACCAGGTTTCAATGGCTTTCATGAGTTCACGTCTTTTTCATTTCGAATTGGTAACTGAAAATAAGCCGCTTGAATGGCTTTATTTCTTTAACAAAGTAAAATAAGTCAAACATATTATCTGAATTAACTGACGAAATCTATCTTTTGTCATGTCAAACATATACTTTGGCTCAAGATTGTGTATTTATAGTTGACGACACAACAATGTACTATTACTACTCCTGCTGCTGTTGTACTTTTATAATTTTTTTAGTATTCTTTTCATTTTTTCAGCGTTCCCTCCCAAATATATCCTTATTATTGCTTTCAAAATGAGTCGAAATCATCAACACTGAAAAATCACAAGCTAAAGTTACTATTCCCTTCCTTCCTTCCTTTCATAATTGCACTGCATTAAAAAGGTTAATACTATTCTCATCGTCCTACCGCTCAGAGAACGCCTCAAATGATCTTTATGCTCTCCCATATTTTAAGCAAATTGATTTCAATCTAGTCTTTCATTATGTTACACGTCTTTAAATAACCGTCTCCTTTCTTTCTTTTCCAACATGCTTTTCTATACCTTCAGATACGTCCATTTTCGCTAAGTGCAGTGTAACACAATACTTGGTGTAAATTGAAATCCTTTGAAGCAAACGAGTAATACTTTGGAAGACCTTTTTATAAAAGATCATAAAGCAAGAACCTGAAAAATGCATAAACTAAAAACAAAAAGCCTACAGCATCACGGATTCCCATGTTGTCTCCAACCATAGTACTAACGAGCCTTCAGACGGTTCCACTTCCTGCAGTGATCGAGCGGGAACTGGTGTGCTGTTTTTGCCTAGGTATAGCCACAAACATTTGTTCCAGTCGGTAAGATTACTACAAGTTCAGTCGTGATCCAGTAAGGACGTTCTTAACATTTTGTAGTAAAACACTCTTCTGTATGATGACATTGCAATATTCCGGCCTTGACTACATTTATAAAAGACATGCAGTTACACGACACTATGTTGAAGCTATAGTTAATCACGGCAGAATTTTCGTAAAAGTACTTAAATAATCATTAAAGAGGGTGTTCGATTCTATTCACGAAGCATAAACAACGATATTGCGTAACGAATAAAAAGATTCATGAAAGAGTGAATGAGAAAAGCAACTTGAACCGTCTTATTAAGATAATGCTTACTTTGGGGGATAATGCGAATGCAAAGTTGATGGACTGCAATATTGACATGAATACTTCCAAAGGAAATGTGAATTATGAAAACGTAAACCAGGTTCGTTAAAATTCAAACTTCAGCCCTTTGCTCAGCAAGAGGTTGAAGTTCGATTTCTTCGTTCTGAGATACTTCATCTCCTCGATTTGTTCCTTTTAACTTGGTTAATAATCGCTCTATGATAGGAAGCATGAACGTAGTGTACATACCAAAAACACGATTCACAGAATTTCCTATGCCGTTTGCACCGTTTCCTATATCAATGACTAACAATCTAAGTCGTTCACGGGCAATTGGATTTACTAGAACAGTTAGAATATTTCGCAGGTTGTATGGCATACTCGAAATAAAAACAAACAAGGCAACGTTAACAAAGCAGACACCATAGAAAGCAATATCGTTCATCTTTTCAAATCCTATTATTTTCTTTACATTATAATAGACGACGAAACCAACGCCATTCAGAAGAGCCGTATATATTACTGCGACACACATAGCTGACAATACGTTTTTGGTTGCTCTTCCAGCTTGCTTGTACCACCCCGGGTAGAGCATATGCGCCACTAATAGTTAGTGAAACATTCAGAATAAAAGATAGTGCTAACTTACAACAGAGAAATAATGATATCGCTCCAATAAATCCGCCAAAAAGTCCCCAAAGGTCTTGCGCCCTCACAGGAACTTTGAAATAAAAGAACATCACGAGAAGAATACCATAAGCCCCAATATACACAAGTGATGCAAAAAAAAAGAGATATATGATAATAATCCACTTTGAATATGTCGAATCCGACCCAGTATTGTTAGTGGACTCTTGGGCGGAATGCTGAGCGGATCCATCAGCCATTTCTAAATCAATAAATTTGTTTGTAGCTAATGAATGTATTAGTAATGCATGCTCTTGTTGTTCGAGAAAGGATAAGGGCGTTTGTCAAGTTTGCTGATGGTAATCAACAAGTTTATAAATCTTAAACACATTAAGTAAACAAACAAACATGTTCTTCATCAAAACTGTTTTTAGCCTAGACTTTTTCAACAAACATACAAAAAACCAACCCTTCCTTTCTATTTCAATAAATCTTACCTGAATACGGAGGAGGCGTACCCTCTGAAGAATGTATATCTGATTTCTCATCAATGAGCGTTTTGAAAGACTCGTCAGAGTCTGAAACAGGACTGTATTTATTCTTCATTTTTGCAATGGCAAACCAAAAGCCAAAAGAACATCAATATCTATAGCTAGTTCGAAATTAACTAGAATTACCAAGAAAAGTCCGTAGAAATCAATTCCACCTTTCAGAGATCTTTAAAAAAAAAAAGGAATTGTTCCTTATTTCTAAAGAAAATCAATACCTTGAGTAAAATCAGTCTAAAACCAAAGATAGGAATAAAAAAAAAATCTTGGTAGTGGCCTTTCGCATGTCTCAAGTTCATAAAGCAGCGATATTATGTCACTGACTGGTCACAACCTCGTTACGATTATTTGACTTTCGTTTTTACCGTACTTTTTCGTAATACTATAATGCAAACGAGACTTTATTATTAAAAGTAAACAAAGAACCTTATCAAAAAAATATACGAATTGTATACTTTAAATAATATATACACGAAATAGGAATTAAGAACAACTTTATTAAAAAATCCTTGAAGAAATCTGTCCATCTAGGCGTTTTAAACGCAGTGAAAGTTGATGTAGATGGAAAGGAAATCATTGTTATGCTGGGTCCGGTCTTCTGTTTTTCCTTTAGCTTGGGGTATGCTTGTTTTTTTTGCGTTTTATTCATTACACCGCTTTTCCATGACTATACTCTTGATTGAGGTCCATTGCTTTAGCTTTTTCGATATGCAAAACATCACCTAACTCAAAGTACCATGGCGATCAAAGGGAAATCCAAATGCAACACAATGCATGCATACGTTATTCTAAAAGAGGTAAGAAAAACAAAAAAGAGCGAAGGAAAATCCTACAGCACTCCAAATTTCCATGTTGTCTCCAACCATAGTACGAAACTAACGAGGCCTTCAAACGTTTTCACTTGCTGCACTGATCGAACGGGAACTGGTTTGATGTTTTCGCCTGGGTGTGACCGTAAATGCTACTATAGTTTTAATAAGATCAATATAGTGTTTCGCACATATTGTCAAATAGTAGCATTACTAACCCGGTAAGAATCAGATTTTACTTGGATGTCACAATTCTTTACTATTCCTTGTCAGCTCAACAAACCGGAAAAATTCTCCAGCTAAGCCGATGCTTTTCAATCAATGTACTTCAAAAATCTTCCAACAACGCATACTCTGAATCAACAAGATCGTATCGCAATTGACTTAAGCATATTCTAGTAGTCATGATCACCAAGCCATCATACAGAAAATGAATTTGATATTAAATACTGGTTAGAAAAAGTTAACGACCATATGGCCCTAGTGCTTTGTCTGTCTGGAAGAGCGGATTGCAAGGTCCCGGTTGTGTAATTATGCACCATAATTAAACTCCTGCATAGAAGCCCTAAACAAGTTAAAAATCTTTCAAAAATGTTCAACAGATAATGTCAATTAATAGTTGTATTGTCGTCCGAAACATGCTCATTTCCTTGTCTCCATTTATTAGACGCAAGTAAAGAATTGATTCACTCGCAGGTATGCTCCAATTAGTCGTCAATCTCCATAGAGTTCATTGAAAACGTTTTCACTCATTGATATTTTCTTCCTTTTCTCTTAACTCGATTAGACTCGTGTCGTTTCTAGTTCCTAGGCGAATGTGATTAAACAAACCGCTAAAAGGAATAACAATTTTTATTCATTGACCTTTCTTAATTTGTTTTAAGGACTTCAACTTTAGTTTTCCAGGGAAACTTATGTACGTATACTCGTAATGGTTGACTTAACCACCCAAAATGTATATTTTTCAGAAGTTCGAGACAAAAAGTGCGTCTAAAAATTCTTGCGTATGAATGAAACCTTACGGATTGTCTCATTCACTTCATCGTCGACCTTCTTTCAGATTAATAGTTCACTAAGACTCACTTCTATAGAGATTTGGTAAATGAACTTCAATCTAGCCAGGAGCAGCTACACGTGTTTCGTTTGGTAGCCCTAATAATCTAAAATATTAATGAAAAAGTAACGTGTGCATATATAGATCGATGCAGAATGCATCACTGGTTTGCAACTCATATGTCACCCTCGCAATGGGATTCGTGTTAACCAGACATTTAAACATGACTTCTATAGACAAACCATCTATCAGAAGACGAAAGAATGACTGATGTTAAATACTTAAAAAGAATTTAAAGAGAAAATAATTAGAGCATTATAAAGGGACCACTTTATCAAAAGACAAAGGTCAAAAAATATAGTGACACGACCAATTTGCGAAATTCATACTGCAACAATTTAAACGACAATAAATCCTTGCTCATTATTAACGCCTTTGGACTGAAGAGTTTCAATCACTTTACAGGGTAACTTTTCGTTCCTAAATCCTTGGATACTACCATCAACGAAAAAAAAAAAAAAAAAAAACTCAACTATGTAAAAATTATATACACTTCCAAATCACTCATGCGTTTCAGCACAGCATAAGACAGTGTAACAAACGAAAAGCCAGAGTTTTTGCGTAAGTTTTACACAAGCACCATGGTTATATGGTAATATGTTATGAGTGTCGTTTATGACGCAGGCTTTTATATTTCAATATATAATATTTGGAGAAGGACACTCAAAAAGCTGGTTTTTATAATTACAATTTTGAGAATTGAATATGAGTGTTCAAAAGAAGGCTATCTCATGTCCGTTAAAGGGTGTTGAACTGCTCCGAAATGCTCGCTACAACAAGGGTACGGCGTTTACTATAGCTGAGCGTAGCAAATTCGGATTAAATTCCAAGCTCCCTCCTGTGGTAGAAACACTAGACCAACAATTAAAACGTGCCTATGACCAGTACGCAAGTCTAGGAGATTCCTTGCATAAACACATTTTTTTGTCAGATGTGTTTGAGACAAATCAGACACTCTTTTATGCATTAATCAGTCATCATTTACCAGAAATGTATCCAGTTATCTATACACCTACCGAAAGTCAAGCTATCAAGAAATATTCTGAAATATACCGTTATCCCAATGGATGCTACTTTGACATTGAGCATAATGATCCTAAGTATTTGAAAGAACAACTGGCTGACTTTGGAAATCCCGATGATATCCAGTATATTGTAATTACGGATTCGGAGGGAATCTTGGGCATCGGTGACCAAGGTGTTGGAGGTATTTTGATTTCTACAGCAAAGGGTCACTTGATGACTCTATGCTCGGGGTTAGATCCTAATCGCTTTTTGCCGATCGTTTTGGATGTCGGTACAAACAACAAAGATCATCGACAGGACCCCAAATACCTTGGATTGAATAAAGATAGAGTGCATGGAGAAGAGTACAGTCGCTTTTTGGATAATGTTATCCATAGCGTTAAAGAAAAGTTTCCTAACGCCTTTATACATTTTGAAGATTTTGGACGCGTTGATGCCAAACCAGTTCTCGATCGTTACAGTCCCAAATTGCCCTGCTTCAATGATGACATTCAAGGCACCGGAGTTGTGACATTGGCTGCTATTTTCGCTGCTGTACGTCTTACGAAAAATAAGTTGGGTGATCAAACTTTTATTATTGTTGGTGCAGGCACAGCAGGTGTGGGTGTCGCTGATCGTGTTGTTTCTAGCATGGTTAAAGAAGGGATGAAGGTAGAAGATGCTCGACAAAGGATCTATCTTTTGGATAAAGACGGTTTACTTTTGGATAAAAATGCTGATAGTGCGACGGATGGACAGAAGCCGTATTTGAAGAAAGCGTCAGACTTTTCCGAGGAATCATCTTCAGGACAAGTAGATCTAGAGTCAACAGTTGCGAAAGTTCATCCAACGGTTCTTTTGGGTGTCTCTGGTCAAGGAGGAATATTTACTGAAAGTATTGTACGGGAAATGAGCAAGCATACCGATCAACCCATTATATTTCCTTTATCAAATCCCACAGATCTGATGGAAGCGAAACCAAGTGATCTCAACGAATGGACAGATGGAAAGGCCTTAATTGCTACGGGATCGCCAGTTCCACCTGTAAAGCGCAATGGCAGGGATTATTATATTTCTCAGTGTAACAACGCTTTTATCTTTCCATCTGTTGGGGTTGCGGCTGTCTTATCCGAATGTAAGAGACTGTCGGAGGAAATGCTTTTAGCTGCGGCAGATGGTTTGGCTAGTACCCCAAAAGATTATTTCGCTTCTGAGGATTCTCTATTGCCAGATCTTGGTCATGTTAGAGAGGTGTCTCGTCATGTGAAGTTTGCAATCTTAAAGCAAGCACTAGCTGAGAATAACTGTGCAGATCATGTTCCTCGTGATGAAAAGGCTTTGCGTGAGTGGATTGAGAAAAATGAATGGTATGCCGAATATAAAGACTACGCATAGAAGGTCATTTTTATGTATTTTATGAAGAGCAAGTACGGAAGAAATCTTCAAGTGTTTAACACATAAGGTGATTATTCTACTTGCAATTGTTTACGATTAAGAAAAATGAATGAATGTTATTATGCGATTCCCTGATTCATGGTAAGAACTTATAGTAAGTTCTTATGGATAGAAATAGTAAGTAAATAAGTAAGTAAGGGACAGCAGAGCTATATATCTCAAACGTATGAGTAATATGTACGTCCATCTATTTATAACTGTTATGTAAGTCTTTCCTGTCAAACCCGGATTTACATTATTTATTTTTTTTAGTAATAAATAACCAACCTTCCAAGATACAAAGAAGGACTAACTATGCAGTGTATTGTCAACACTACCACCAGAAAAATAAACATTGCTCTTTATAACCCGCTTGCATGCCCACTCAAAAATTGTTAATCTAAAGTTTTGAAAATTAAGTCAGTAGATACTACTAAACTGGAATGAAATAAAATGAGAATACCTCACGGTTGTAGTATCTGCAGGTTCGACAGGTAGGTTTCTTTCTATTTATAATAAATTTTACTTTGAACTATTTCCTTTGTATTCTTAGGCTCTACTTGTCCAGCGATTGCTTTGTTTACACAATACCTTAATGAATTATTATTGGTATACGATAATGCATCCATGAATTGGAACTAATGCTTATAGGTCATGACGTTTATAAACTTGGTCTCTTAGCATACAGATAGATTTTAAATTTGTTCAGTAATACGCAAAGCTTCATCTTTCTTCTTAATTTGTGAATTACTTAGACGACGGACTAAACTAGTAGAAGCAGTGTTACCTATTCATAGCTAACAAATGTAACTTGCAAGGTTACAAGGATTTTATGCCTTCGTGCATACTTCCAACGATGTCAGGTGTACATAGTATTCTAGTTAGTCATTCACACTCAGGTATCTGCATGGTCCTTTTATTAAATTACTCAAGACCAAGTTTTGTCTGGTTAGTCGTATCCAGTTCAGTAGATGCATATTCTTATCTTATGTAGTATCACTTTTTTCTACAGCAAGAAACTAAAGCAGTTGTAATGCGGATCATGCATAATATCAGTTAAGAGGAAAAACCTAGAGAGTTAAGGGTCGAAAGCAACTTTTTGAATCATCAACGGTTCCGTTTTTTTTGCTGAAGTGGTTAAGCACTTCACGAAGTGGCTTTATTTAGGTTAAAAAACAATTTCTCTACTAATTATGTATGTATAATTACTTGGATTTATACTTTCTTTTTAAAGAACAGGTAAAGCAATTTCTGACTAGATTTTTATATTTAACGAGACTGTTCTAGGACCGTAATCCTTTTAACGATCATTCTTTCCCATCCTTATTATACTACTAGGGTAAGAAAGAATGGCTGGACATGTTTGACTTTTGTCTTCATTTCTTTCTTGTTGAGCTAGAAAGAGGTCAAAGAACAAATATTTTGAGTTTTTCGTGAGTCGTTTACGGGTCCCTATCGAGAGATCCGTTTGGAGGATGCTGTAGAAACTACCCAGTGTACCAGTGTAGACATGTCAAACACTTTCCATCAAAAACAAGAGCAAGAACAAAGTGGACGCTCACATAGAGAAAACGATGAGCATAATTCTTCTACATCTATGGAAGAGTTCGATTACGTTTCTCAAAAGTCGGAAACTCTAGCTCCTTCCAATAACCCTCATACCAAAACTAGCTTAGGTACTAGCTTCCTGGACTGGTGGGCTTCATGGAAACGAGATTTGTATTCGATTTGGTGGTCCTTGAACAGGAAATTGAATCGTATGTATCGCTGGATGTGTAGCTTTTATCAAACTCGTCCGCTTTTACCATCACGAGGTACTGAACAAGAATCCAACAACACCATGCAGCATGAAGTTTATAGCGTCGTGAAAGATATTAACAGCGGAGACGAGTTGGTTTTAAACATTAAAAAACCCGTCGATCCTTTATTGTTGCGATCTAATATACCACCTGTGCATCGTAAACATCTTCCTCCCAAGCTTTCCCTAGTTGCTACACTGGGAACTGTACCTCGGCACAATGTGGTGGTTTTGGAGGATTGGATTAATCCTCTACTTTCTCAAAAGACCCAACTTATGCTGCAAAGTGAATTATGCAATAGCGACAGCTTTGACTGCCCTGGATACATTTGCGTTTTCAGCTACGAAGAAAAAAATCACTCCCTTAGTTCCCTTAGTTCAAATGTTCACAGTACTTCACTGATTCAAATATCGAGAGTTTCGGATCTTAAGCGTCACTTACATGGCTATTCGCCTCATTGCCGCTACCGTCGCTCCCTTTTGGAAATCTTTCCCAGTCCGAGCAATGCATCCAAGCCATGTCAAGTCAGCTTTAAAGTCGAGCGACTAATCCATAAGGAATTGGAGGAGTCTTTCAATTGGCTTCCTGGAATCAATTGTGAAGCATGCGGATTACTGCATGACAATTGGCTTCAAATTAGTAGTGAAGACTGGGACAATGTCCGTGGCTTAATATTACGATGGATCGAATATTCCAGAGTGATTTATTCTTAGAACTATATCCCGTTCCGTGTTTTCTTCTTGTAATATACAAATTGTTTTTTGATAACTTTGCCATTTCTCGTTCGTTTGGTTTATTTTTCTTTCCTTTCTAAAGTTTTGTTCGTGTTGCAACTATCATGATTTACGAGAACAACGAATTACGCCATTGCATTTGTTTTATCCTATTTTAATATTTATTCCCTTGCCTTGAAATACACGCTGGTTTAACCGCGAATAACCAGACTCGATGTTCAAAAATTACTTTTATAAATGATCTCTCTCTTTTACTTAGTTTAGAGAATACATAAAGTCTATTGGGTTGAAGTGATCTTTAGGAAGCGGCATTAAGGCCGGCATGCTAAGTGGTCAGATATCCTCATAATGGAGTGTCCATCTCTTTAGTCTATCAAATCTATACTAGATAAAGAAGCATAACCAGTAGCTACACCTCCTTCATGAGAAGAAACAGGCTTTGTACGGCATATATAGCCTGCGTTACCATTGTTTAACTCTTCAGCTGTTTCGGTGTTCCAGACAATGGTTCCTAAAATTCCAATTTCATCAACAACATCGTATTTTTCAGCAACCCGTCCTTTCAAAATGTAATTTTGTGAAGGAAGGGATTTAATGTAACGCATCAAGATATAAGAATCCCACTCTTCCTTGGGAAGACTATTTAAGAGATCAGGAATGTCTTTTCCGTAGGTGTTATTTCCTCCTCCCTCCCGTTGAGGCTTCATAACAAAGTCTTCAGAATTTTCAAGCGCAAGCTTTATACCTTCTTGACCTCGGGCTGTATCATTTAATGGATACATATCAGCAAAGGTTAACTCAATGGCTTTTTGCTCTTCACCCTGAACAAATCTTTCAAGGGCATTGCTTTCGGCAAGCACCTGCTGGATCTTCTTCGAACCTGCTAAATGAGTAGCAATGGTGGGACATTTTATGGCAAGAGAATTTTCGATCTCCAAACGGATATCCCACTCATTGTTGCTTGGATAGTCATCTAATGCATAGCCCGATCGATAGTATACAATGGCTACCTCGAACGTACCATTGGGATGATTGTAATAAAGCTTGTTACTTTCATTGTCTCGAACCAACTGATTCAATTGACGAATGGCGACACGTCTTGACTTGATCCTAAAACGACCAACAAGCTCATATTCCAAAAGGCGCTGGTCACAAATATTACGCTCACTGTCTTTTACAACGAATAAAACAATAGGTTCGCTCCCCTCAGCAGCATGTAGATTCTTCGAAGGGATCCCTTTTGCTTGTTCGCAGTAGGCATTATAAGCGCTAGAAATACCGCTGCAGATGCCAGTGATGGAAGTATTGACGGTGAGATAATCTAGTTCCATAGGCTTCTTATACAAACCTGAAGAGGAACAATAGAAATGTAAGTTTGCCATCATTTTACTAAGACCTCCAAAAGATACGGATATCGTGTTGAACTCAACTTGCTTACTAGTAACTTCTTGGTCGTCTTTGTTCACCAAGTAATCTGATCGGAAGATACCGAGCGCTAAACGCTGGCGTAACTCTGGTTTTATTTTTTCATTAAAATCAGAATGTTTTGTATGTAAGTCCCATAATTTTTCCATAAACTTGTCGTACTTTGTAATAGGCTCCAAATGCGTCTTGAGAAATTCTAGGTCATTAGCGATTTTGGCATAAAGCTTATTATAGGCTTTTTGCACAGAAACTACTTGTATGAAGGCCTCTCTTGGAATAGAACTAGGAAAGAGTGTCAATGGAACTTGGGTAGCTTGATTCGTATCGCCCTTTTCTTGTGCTCCGTCCACAAACAGTAAGCCATGAGCAGTTGCATAATCTCGTGCTGCCAAAGACAACTCTTCGATTTCCTGGGTATTGTAATTGTCTATTTTCATGTTACGATACTTTTGTTTCTCTGAGTATCCTTGTCGAATGCTATAGCTGATCCGTGGTTACAAATCAAGAGTTGTCCGATTTAAGATTGTAGTTTACAATAAGAAATAAAAGAAAGTCAATTTTGATGGTTATCCTTCACAAAATGATTGAATATGAGCTTCTTCAAATCTGTAGAGAGATGGAATGGGAAGTTCTGCTCAATACTCCCTTGCTTAAGTAATCCCTAAATAAACCACTAAGTAAACCTGAAATTACTTGGTTTCCACCTTAGGGAGATGTTTAGCAGCAAGCTAAGAAGGAATAAGACAATTACTCTACATAATAGAAGACAGTTAAACGCATACGCTCTTACTCTTCAAATATTCCAGAGAGGTTGCAAACAATTATCAAATGATGAATATCATATATACACGAAATTGAAAAAAATTTATACAAATAGTTAAACTATTATAGTTCAAATATTACTAGTATTTACCCAAAACATAAAACTATTCAGAGCAAACCGCTTACTCCTGAGTAGCATTGAACTCACCAAACTTCTCCACAGCGTCGTTCCACAGCATTTTACCCTCGGTTAATGCTACAAGGGCATTGATAATCTCCTCTTGGGTACCACGAACTTGCTTAGTAGTATCACGCTCACGAAGAGTGATAGAACCATTTTCAAGAGTTTCAAAATCAACGGTCAAGCCAAATGGGGTACCAAGCTCATCGTTACGAGCATATCGACGGCCAATATTGGCATTGGAATCGTCAACTTTGTTTGAAACACCCAAACTACGAAGCTTAGCAGATAATTTACGAACGACAGGGTTGAATTCAGCGTTACGGCTCAATGGAACAATGAGAGCTTTGATGGGAGCAACAACGGCCGGGAACGACAAAACACCACGTTGAGTGTCTTCAGGACGAGCCCAAAAGCTGTGTTCCATAAGGCAATATAAGAGACGACCCAAACCAAAGGAAGGCTCAATAACGTTGGGTGTAAAAGTACGGGTATGCTCTTTACGTTGTTGTTTCTCAATAGTGACGAGCTCGGCATCCACTTGGTGCTCGACACCGTTGGCGACGACAGTAACTTTACCTTGAGAAGCCAACTGGGCACTCTTAGCTTCCTTGACTTCCTGAGTCCAACTGAGCATTTCTTCTTCAACAACCTTGGCATCACGCTTGAAGCGAGGTCCGAACTTCTTCTTGTTAACCTCAACAACATACTCGTTGAGAACGATGGGTTCAGGAAGAGCTTCTTGAACAACCAAAGGAGTCTTGGTAGCTTTGCTGTGAACTGTCAAATCGTAGGCACTACGGTCTGCACAACCAACACATTCGATCCATCCGTATGAACACTGGATTTCGGCATCCCAGCAATCACAAGCATAATGAGCCATTTCGTTGCTCATATGTTGACGGAAACGAAGACGAGACATATCAATACCGATTTTTTCTAAGAAGAGACTAATACGAGCCATGAAGTAGCCCAAAGTGGTATTGTCGACAATACCCTTCTTAACAGCTTCACCAATAGTCATTTCTACCACTTCGCTCTTGCCTTCAGCTTGAACAGATTTAGGTAAAAGACGAAGAGGAATATGAGCAACCTCATCAAAACGATCATGTTCTTTGTTTTGAGGATCAACAAAGTGCTCTACTTCACCCATCAAAAATTCACGAACACGCAAAAGACCGCTACGAGGAGAGATTTCGTTTCGGAAAGCCTTACCGATCATAGCACTAGCGAAGGGAACCTTACCATTGTTGAATTCAAGTAGACGGTTAAAGTTCAAGAATTGACCTTGAGCAGTTTCAGGACGAAGGTAACCTTGCAAACCTCCACTAGGACCAATTTGGGTTTGGAACATCAAATTGAATTGGCGAGGACTTTCGAGTTCACCGTTGTTAGCGGGATTACGAATATCGTGAATCTTCATGATATCACTGAGTTGTTCACCATCATAATTGTCAATTTGAGCAAGGATAAATTCATATTCACGTACGGTTTCATCGTCGAGGCGAGTGACCTTAATCTCCTTCACCTTTTTCTTGCGCTTTTTTTTGTCTTCGGATTCTTCTTGAACAGCGACATTTGTAGCACCCGTTTCTTTAGCACGAGCTTCCTTGTCACCCTTCAAACGAGCCTCCAAAACTTCTTCAACTAAATGGTCAGCACGGAAGATCTCACCAGTGGAAGGATCTTTGCACATCCAGTCACAAAACTTGTCAACGTGACCACTAGTTTTTAAAACATCATGAGGAGTAAGCATGGAACAGTCTACTTCCAACATACTTTCCTCAATAATGAAGTGTTTTCTCCACAAGTCGACAATATTGGTTTGCAATGCAGAACCAGGAGGGCCATAGTCGAAAAGACCACTAATACCACCATATATTTGGAATGAGGGAGAAAAGAAGAAACGCTTCTTCATCAATTCCTCAAATTGACTGCGGTCAAAAGGAACGCTCCTCGATAAATCCGCCATTTTTCTTCTAACAACCCGTTTACCAAAAAGAATACAAGTACCACGAAATGCTTGAAAAGACCGTATATTGATACTTGCGAAAAGCTCAAAAATCAATGCTTTTCGCTTAACCTGTCTACAAATGAGTTGTTGGCACTTGGAAAAAGCAAAACCTTGGAAGCAAATCAAGGGTATAGTGAAAAGGAGTGCGCTCGTTAGTTAAATTTTGCATACCATAATTTGCAATGGCTTAGTAAATAATAAAAGAAAAAATAACTAAGATGAGTCAATTCGTGCTTGTAACGGATGGCTAAACTTCCTGTATGATGTTAGCCAGTAGTAAGATTTTTCAAAAAAGTGTATGGAATTTCGCTGAGGAGAATATAATCAGAGGAAGAAAGAGGGAACGGTTGCCTTCTGCTTTACGTGATGGCTCGTATACATTAACAAAACGTGAAATTTCAAGAAGATGTAGAAGTAAAATTTTTGGCTTATTATATTCATGCGTTTGTCTTTGTGCCGTGCCGGACATTGAGGTTGAAGATGTAGATGTAGTTGGAAGTGCCGCCATATAGCATCCTTGTCTGTTAAAACTTTTTGAGGTTGTTTTATTCAAAAAACCATGTGAATTCCATGCCCAAACGAGCGTTCTACGTTACATAGAAACACAGGAAAGTATTCAACCAACTAAGGATCAGTTGCTTTAAACTGTTCCATCTAAGAGAATCAAAAACTGTATTTATAACAGCTCTTCAACTTGAAATCATTACTTGGCAGTAGTTCCATTTCATTCCTGTATCGTGAGTTATTTCTTGCCTTAGAACGAACAAATTTCAGTCGCTCCATTTGAAAGAAAAAGTACTCCTTTAATGTTTAGTATTAAAAGAATTATTTCGTATTAAAACAAAAGGTAAACGGTGCATGAACTCAGCGATATTGTTGTTTCGATGAAGTAGTTCGTCCTTACAAAATACGAGGCTTACAGCGTCTAAATATAAATCCAAAAGGCAGCTAATTCGAAGATTTAACTGTCAAATTACTTGTTTTCAGACTCAATAATCTGTATGCCTCTATTGACATCTCACTCAATTTTTTCATAAAACCTTTGTTTACATGTACTTTGTGCGTTTAAACGAGGTATATCGAAAGTGTGTTTAGACACACTATTTCTCGCTAAAATAATTATGGGCAATTTCCACATCTTAGCATTGGTCTTCTACAAACACCAATTGTTGCATAAGACATTTAAATATCGCGTTAAAATCTTTTTCTTTAAAGTATATACATCCAAAGTTATTTACAAGAACAATATTATTCAGAATGTTGGTCTTATAGTAGGTTGACTGCTTTGCATTGCTTTCCCATGTATTTTTAGAAATATATCTTTTTTACAAGCGTTGACTAAGGATCTCCATTTTCTGATTCATTTTTGTTATTTTATTTTTCTGCATTTTTACGCGTTGAGTTTTTTTTGCTGTTGCGTCAAAAATTAAAGTGTTAGAATACTAATTGCTACATTGTTTGGACGCCGATACTTCTCGCTTTTCCGTCTTTCTCTTAAATTATATTTGGTCTATTGTGCTGGAAAAAAATATTGCTATTTATTAGATAAACGATGTTTGCTAAAATTCGAAAATGGGTACAATGGATAGTACCGAACTTTGGATTTTTGGCTATCCATTACTCATATATAATTGTTTTGGTGATTATATCCTCGGTTTTGCTATTCACAGGTGGGGCCAAAATTTCATACACTGATGCTTTATTTTTGGCAAGTAGCAGTGTCACTCAGACTGGTCTGAATACTGTCAATTTGGTCGACCTTACCACTTGGCAACAATTCGTCATCTTTTTTTTCCCTATTGTGAGCGTTCCCATATGGATGCATGGTGCGATTTCCTTTGTTCGCTTGTACTGGTTTCGAAGAAAATTTAGATATGTGATTAAACAAAATCGAACTCGTCGTTACCAAAGGAATGCCCGTCGTAAACAACTCAAACAAGAAAAAAAGAACGAGGAACAAGGTGTGAGGGGTAGGAAAATTCAAGTCCTGCTTCCTCACCAAGGAAGTGATGAACCTGATGAAGTTCCTACTTTTAGTAACCCTGATATCACATCCACAGAATATCCTCAAGATCACCTTTTTTCTAGCGCAGTTCCTATATCCCCAAAAGCTGTTCCCAAAGAATTAGAGACGGACGCTCGTACTACGCTCTCTATCCAAGAACTTTCCGATATAGATTTGGAGGATCCAGAAACCAATCTTACCATGAATCCGTCGAATTTTCCTTCAAAAAATTCCGACCAAGATGAGGAAATTGAAATGGATGATCTTCATCCTCGTTTACGAAGGCAGAACTCAGTAATAACAGCTTTTCTAAACACTAATGATGATGTTCGTGAAACTCAATCATACAGTGAAAAAGGAACAGCGCCTTTCCCGTTGTCTTATTGCCTTTCTGATACGAATTTGCTCAATTTGCAAGATACCCCCGTCGATTCCAGCCTCCCAACTTCCAATAATAAAGCCTCTGTAACTATTTATGAACCAAACAAAAACAAATACCTCACGTCAGTCTCTTCCAAGTCTAAAAATAATTCCGAAGAAGACGTCCATATAGCCTTTACTAATCTACATAAACCGACCCTTGAACGAAAACGACAAGAAGATTTAAAAGAAAAAAAAAAGTTTTTCCAAAAAAAGCCCTCAAGGCTTAGACGGATGAGTGCTCCTTTGCGCTGGACAAAGTCTCTGAACGTGAATCCTAGAAGCCTGACACTTGAAAGAGTATTATCCAGCGCCTTTGGAAAACGAAGAGAAGGAAGTATCTCATCTTCGAGAAGTACCGTAATGTCTCTACCGTACCTTTCTTACAATCCGACAGTTGATAGAAATTCTGCTTTTGTCGCTCTGTCGAGAGAACAACGTGATGAGTTGGGTGGTATAGAGTATAGGGCACTCAAATGTGTATGCACTGTGGTTTCAATATATTTTCTACTTGCCAACATCTTTGTTTTCGTTATCTTTATAGTTTTCTCATATACCGCTCATGGCTCTTATACTATAATTGATTCTTTCGACTTGAAAAGAGGATGGTGGGCTCTATTTACTTCAGTTTCTTCTTTTAATGACCTCGGATACTCGCTAATACCATCTTCATTCTCCCCCTTTAATAAAAATATATTTCTTCTATTAATATCTTCTCTTTTTATCATTGCTGGAAATACAGGATTTCCCGTCTTCTTACGTTTATTCATTTGGTTCTTTTACAAAGTTTTACCCTTAAGTCAAGAAAAAAAAGAAGCCATGGCTTTTCTTTTAGATCATCCCCGGCGTTGTTTCACTCTTCTATTTCCGTCTGGATCCACATGGTGGTTGTTTTTCATTTTGCTTGGTTTGAATGCAATAGATTTGATCTTATTTATGTCGCTTGACATAAAAAATACATCAATGGTGGATCTTCCTCGAGGTATTCGCGTTGTCAATGCCTTATTTCAATCGGTTTGCACTAGAACTGCAGGATTCACCAGTGTCACCTTATCCGCCTTACATCCTGCCGTTTTAGTAAGTTATTTAATCATGATGTACATATCAGTTTATCCAGTGGCTATTAATATGAGAAATACCAACGTTTACGAAGAAAGATCTCTTGGCGTATACACTTTTGATGAAGAGGATCATAGGTCTTTTCTGAAAAATCACTTGACTGAACAAGTTAGTCACGACCTTTGGTGTATTTTTCTCGGACTTTTTATTGTTTGCATTTGTGAGGGAGGAAAAATAGCAGATAATAATGATACTGTAAGAGCTTCTTAATGACGAAAACATTGCTTACTATTTTTAGGATTTTACAATTTTCACAATTTTATTTGAAATTGTTTCGGCCTACGGAACCGTAGGTTTGAGTACTGGTTAGTATTTAAAATTGTCAGTATGACATTATACTAATTACATTATCAGGTTTATCCACTTCTGAATGTTCTCTTTCAGCGAGGTTTACAAAGTTAAGCAAACTTGTAATTATCGCCCTGCAGATTCGTGGAAGACATAGGGGTCTTCCAAGAGCTGTTGATCGTGCCGTATGTTTGGCAATCTTTATACTTCATTATAATTGACTAATGTTTAAAATAGATTTTACTACCTACTGAAAAAAATAACTTAAAAGAAGAAGAAGATCATCGACGAAGACAAGAATTAAGCCGTACCATTAGTTACTCTAGAGCGAGCGTCTTAATACACAAGGATGCATAGGTCCCAGTATTTACTATTCATTATCTCATATGGTCTAGGTGTTGTATATAAAAAATAGAATGTAGGATTAAGAATTAGAGGTTAAATTAAAGCTTTAATGATATCAGATACCGGCTCGATAAACTGTTTGACCACCATTTCGCATTTGGATTGTTTCTTTTGAAGCTAAAATTTGCAAAGCCATTTCCAAAGCTCGCTGACTATAACCATGCTATAAATATATATGTTAATATAAAATTTTCTAGAGAAAAAAACTTTGCTTTACTTACCCCATTTACGTATTCACGTATTAACATACGGTAGCTTGCCTGAAAACCGATAGGTAGGCGCTTTTTCAAACTGCCCTCAATCTTTTTCACCTCTTCAGTGACCTCTGGAGAAGCTTGAGTAGCTGCAGCTAGAGTACTCGTTAAAAACAGACGAATAGCCTCTGTTGCGTGAGCTTCCGTTGCTATACTGGACATTGACATTTTAGCCAGTGCTTCAGTAATTCGCACAATAGCTTCCAACTGACGGACAGTGATAGGAATACTTGATCGTACATTACTGTCTTGTTCTGATTGATGCACTTGTTTCCGGATGGCAACGAACTGACTCGATAATTTCTCAGCAGCTTCGGCGCTCAAAAGTGGGGCACATTTACTAAAAATAGTTAGAGAATGATAAGAATTATGGAGAAGAAAAACTTACTGTCTGCAATAATTGATATAACGTCTGAATTTTTCGAAAGGAATTTCTCCAATTGCTAAAGTCTCCATTGATTCCTGTAGATTTGTATGAAGACTTATAACATGACGAGCAATGTTTTGATCTCTCGACTCGTCGTGCTCGTCCTTAACAATAAATATCATGTCGAATCTTGACAAAATTGTCGACTGGAAATCAATATTTTCTCCAGGAGATTTCATATCATCATATCTTCCGAAAATAGGGTTTGCAGCAGCCAATACAGACGTCCTTGAATTCAAAATAGTGGTAATACCAGCCTTAGCAATGGATATTGTTTGTTGTTCCATAGCTTCATGAATTGCAACCCGATCTTCATCTCTCATTTTGTCAAATTCATCAATACAAACAATCCCACCATCAGCCAAGACCATTGCACCTCCTTCCAAATAAAACTCACCGGAAACACTGTCTCTTTGTACAGAAGCCGTTAAACCTGCGGCACTTGAACCTTTTCCTGATGTATATACGGCAATAGGAGCCAGTCTTTCAACAAACTTCAGAAACTGAGACTTGGCAGTACCCGGGTCACCTAGTAAAAGGACATTGATATCACCTCTGAGCCGCATTCCATCAGGCAGGATCTTTTTGGAACCAGAAAATAACAAGCAGGCAATGGATTTTTTAATATCAATATTACCATAAATTGCAGGAGCAATACTGTTAGAAATAATTTCATATAGATTCTGGGTCCGCGAAATCTCTAAGAATTCTTCTTCTTCCTCTTCGCTGAATAAAGGTGTAGACTTGCTGCCCTCCTCTGAGTTTAATTGAATACCGATAACGCGAACATATGGATTTCGAATAGCAACAGCACCACTAGACTTAACCGATTTATTTTGAAAAATTGAAAAAATACCAGTAATTACACAACGCGTTCCAGGTGTAATTTGATTTGTAAGATATCGATCGGCATTCAACAAAATATGGCGAGGGAGTTCACCAACAGGAACCATATCGGGTGCTTCTTGAAGTTTTAAAACTTGTTGGTCTATAAAAAAGGATTTGGAATGATCAATGATATAGGGATCCATGGGACATTCTTTTTTCTCGCCATCTAAAACAGGAGCATCGCAGACACGAGGAAGCTGTATACCTGTAAAGCCACCAGAAACAGGTAAGGATTTAGTAGAGCGGCAATTCCTACAGACTATATGCAAGGAAGTTGCTCGACAAGACAATGTAGATGCACCGATTATGATACCGGGAATACGAACCAATTTTGAAATGTGAGTAGCTGTCAAATCACGAATAGAAAGAATATTGGCATCATAATGAAGGGCAACTTGACATGTGGGAATTTGAACTGAAGGACTTTCGGGACTTCGATAGAGTAATCGTTTTGCGACCGTAGTAACGGCAGACTCAAACAGCGATAGGAGCTCAGTGGGCTGACTAGAAAGCAGATGAGCTAAATCCTCATCAAAGCTAATTAAATGCTTAAGGTCAACTTTTAATAGGTATTGATTTATCATTAAATTGTCGCGCAACTGACTACGATAAACAAAATTGTTGTCGATGACGAACTCATCAATGAAACGAATAAAACTCTTTTCGTGACTTACATTAGAGTCTTCTTGTTGATCCCCAGGAAGAACAGGTGTATAGTATACACTACTTTGTTCCCAACCTGTAGCAGCCATTGTATATAGAAAACGAATGTAAAAACCTAGTAATCCTTGAAGAAAGAAAAATAAAGAGAAAAAAGAGGAATGCAAAAAATAAACGATTGAAGAAAGAAATCAAGTAGATGATATGGATCAACGATAGAAAAATGAAGTATGAAAAAGGCTTCACAGAAAAGGATGAAAAAGAGTGGAATACAACGAATTTGATGGCGAAAATATCAAAGATAACCCGAAAAGAAAAAAATAATAAATAAAAACGCCTGTAAAACAGCTAAATTTTTACCGCCTGAGAAGTAGGCAAAGATTGACCTGAAAGTAGGTAGACCAAGTAGGATCAAAGGAGAAAAATATTAAATGGTAACGAATAAACAAGCTGGAGACTACAAATTCTCAGAATTGAAATACTTTCACAACAAAAAGTTAATTACTGAACGAAGAAAGATGTCGGCATTTGGGGAATCTACAACTGCCAGAAAAGTCGACATTCATATAACATGCATTATTACTTCCAAAGAACAAAGGATGTAGTACATAAGGAGCTAAATCTCAATACAAAAAGCAAGGAAGTTGCAAATCATCTTATTATCTGTAGTATATTTCGAAAGCAAGAAAGAACCCATCACTATTCCTTGAACATGATATATACCTCTTTCAAGGCAAAAGATGAACAAACAAGGTAGGGCTAGGTAAAAAGACGACGTAGAAGAATGCAGGTCAGCAGTGAATAATTTTAAAAAGAGATGAATGGATGAGCCATTGGGAGGGAGACCTAGACATGCTGCAACATAATCAGAGTGAGTTTTTAAAAAAAAAATACAATAAAGGGGAGATGTAAGAAGAAAAGAGAGTCCAAAGAAGAGATTACAAGAGGAAGGAATCCTTTCAAAATAAGAAAGACTGCTTTAATGGAACAGATCTTCCTTCAAAGTAATACCAAGCTCTTCACAAACGGGCTTCAATTCTTTCACATAAGCAGCATATTGTTCTTTGCTTGGTAACTTGACCTTAACACCTTCAAAGATGCGAACAGCAGTGGGGAAGTCGTTGACACGACGAGCAGCACGGATGGCTTGCTCAATCACATCAGAAGAAGGGACAATGTCGTAAGCGAAACAGTTGTTAAGACCACGTTGAAGTTCAAATTGATCTTGAACAGTGGAGAAGAAGTCATTGTATCTAGACGGGCGTTAATACATGTTCCCTAAATTGTTGAGAGATATCGCTAATGGTGTCCGAGGCATGTTTTGATGACAATTTCGTTTGAATTATTTTTAGCAAAACGTATCGAATAACTAAATTTTGGAGTATATCAGTTTCTTCAAGACCGTAGATGATCAAGAATGAAAGAAGAAAGAGGATTCATGGAAGCCTGTCTCAGCGCCTTGCAAGCTAGCAAGCCTATTTTATAAAGCTTTTCTTTAAGCCTTGTTTACTTACTTGGTATTAATTTCTTCCAAAGAAGCAGAGTGATTGCTGGAAAAGCGGACCTGACCGGCAGAAGCAAAACCCAGACGGGAAGGACGAACAAGAGCAGAAGAAGCGGCGAGACGACCTTGAGATTGAATAAGACGTTGGAAGTTCTTCATGTCGAATGAATGAAACCGTATTTTTTACCTACAAACGAAAAGTGGGGAGTGAAAGAAGGTGGGAAGTCATGTATAGGATATGGGGAGATATAAGGAAGAAAGATGAATCCGAAAATCGGCCTCACTGAAAGAAAATTAAAGAAAACAATTTAAAAAGAACAAAATAACTAAATATTTATTCGAATTTATTTGAAGGGTGCATCTGCTATGAAGGTACTGCTGGATCACCATCCATCAATTTTGACGAGACTAAGCAAAAAAGAAGCACTGTTTGCTCTGTGAAAATATTACAACTAGAAATTAAAGCGATTTTCTTGACGACGACAAACCAGGTCAATGGTGTCTACCGTTGAATCTATTCGGATCTATCATGGCTATAGCAAGGCAAGACGGACTATGTATTAAAAATTCAAAAACTTTTTTCGAAAATGATGGCGTAGAGCTCTAAAAAGTTTTGAAATAACTCTCGGATTCCGCAAGGCTTATACCGTTGAACAATAGGCTCGCACATTCTGATGTTTGGGAATTTGCATGGAATTAAACGATCAATTGTCTTATGCTGATGATTTATTCTCGTACTTGTATCTGTTACATACAGATAGGTCCGTTTCCTTGTCGAAGACACATGGTAATATCGTACGCACATCCTTCACATCACATTCAAGGTTCTCCTAAAGGTATTGGTCTTTTCATTAAATTTTGGTAACGTTTCAAGATAGAAGAAGATTGTTTTACTACTGAAAACTCTTCAAAACCTCTTGTTTTTTTGGTTTTACTCACTAGGATTTAAGTAGCATTGAGTCACATGTACCTTGATATGGTTACTCGTATCAAAATGTACAGTTTATGATTCGCCAAGAAAGAGTAACCAAAGTACATCGCTACTTGTGACGAGTAACAAGTCATTAAACCGGAAGAATGCTGTATACATGAATCTGAAGGAAAATTGAGTATGTCTCTATTATATACTAATTTATTAAAAATAAACCTTTTATTTTTTTCTTCAATTTCTGTTCTTTTCCGCTCCGCCTGTAATTAACTTCTATTACAGCTGTCATCATGAGCAATGATCCAGGTCTGGTATTCAATTTGAGCATTCCTAACGGTAGCTGGACAGTTTTTAAAAGCTGTATTTTTACATTTGCTAAAAAGAAAGTATGAAAAAAAAACTTTGATGGGTTTCCCAGCACTCATGTCTATGATAGCTATACCCAGCGGAGACTGGAAAACAAATTTTTGCTCAGCTGGGAAAAGGATATCTAACATTCCTCTTTTGAAAAGGTTTTGCCTATAACCTAAGAATTAAATTGAAAAGAAAAACGAAAAAACCTTCCATTGATTTCAAAGACGATTGAATTTTAGAAATAACTCACTGGTTAATATAATTGCTATTACATAATATCTGTTAATATAATGGTTCAGTAAATTTGTCTAAGTAAATAAAACAGAATGCCGAGAGCATTTTCACAGTCTGTTCACTAATTAAAAAGATTAGATAATATTGTAATTCTTTTATTTTTAGCTCTGTTCTTGAGGCTAATGCATCATCTGTTACATTTCTTGTTTTTCCTTTCGTCTACCCTTTCGGTAGACGTTGTGCATGTCTTAATACCATTGATACTAATAAAATGATACTTTCAATTTTGCTCTTAACGAGAACTACAAAGTAATTGAAGCTGTTTCATCCTTCGTTAGGTGGGCTCTTAAATAGCAAGCAATGACAGTATATCCCCTTTTGATGATTTTTTCGTATTTTTTAATTGACAATGAATCCAATGAATCATTCTACATTATTACAACATCGATCTTTTGTTTGACATTGATGCTTCTAACATACGACATGCGAAGCATGCTAAACAATTCGCTACCCAAAAATGAACCAGTAAAGATTGTATAAAGTATTTTTAAGGCTATTAAAATTTAACTAAGCTACAAATACACCTTGTAGCAGCTTTTTCTTGGTACTTCCATTCCTCGTGTAATTACCGTACATACTCATATGCCCAAAGTCCTCAACAAACAGATATCCAGCAAGAAGTTTTGCATTCAACATTTAAGTGAAACATTAATAATTAGAAAAAGAAACAAGAATATACATAAAACCCGTGCCAAAACGTTCCAAGTGATTTATTTACCATTCTATTATTATACATATTACTATTACGAGGTCTTATATGATTATTCTCGACGGTCCACAAAGAAAACATCCCCGAAAGAATTTCCCAAAAAAATAATGATAAAGAAAAACCCGAAATTCACGTTTATTCGTAATTATTTATTTTTGAGCTTATTTTATAGTTTTTTGTAAATATATTTGATTTAAGTTTAGAACTAGTTGATTCCTTTGTTTGGTATTTTCAACATGGTCCTGGCACCTCGCACATTGAGCTTAACCGGAGCACACATGTTGAAAATCCACCAACCTAGCATTGACCATCCATTCGGACTGGATCTGTGGTAAGTATTAAAAAATAAAAAGAGAGTTGATGTTTAGGATTCATTGTAACTAACTTTTGAATAGGTACCTGTTTGAACAATTAAGCATCCGTACCACAGGATGGAATCCTTCAGAGTTTGAGTTCATTCCAGGCAAAACTCCTTTTTCCCAATGGTCTAGTGTCATTGCGTCAATCACCTTGTACTATGTAATTATTTTGGGCGGACAGGCGTTTATGAAGAACCAAAAGCCCGTCAAGCAACGTCGTTTGTTTCAATTGCACAATTTTCTCCTGACCGTCGTTAGCGGTGGTTTGCTTGCTCTCATGTTTGAGCAAGTATTCCCTATGTATGTTCGCCATGGCCTTTACTTCTGTGTTTGCGACTCTCGTCACTTCACTCAAAAACTTATCACTCTTTACTACTTGAATTACATGACCAAATATCTCGAACTTCTCGATACTGTCTTCTTGTTCTTGAAGAAGAAGCCTCTTGCTTTCTTGCATTGTTATCATCACGGCGTTACCGCTTTACTTTGCTTCACCCAGCTTTTGGGTCGTACCTCCGTACAGTGGGTCGTTATTAGCTTGAACTTGTACGTCCATGTTATCATGTACAGCTATTACTTCTTGGCTGCTTGTGGACGCAGAGTTTGGTGGAAGCAATGGGTTACCCGTGTCCAAATTATCCAATTTGTTATTGACCTTGTCCTTTGCTACTTTGGTACTTATACCCACGTTGCTTACCACTTTTTCCCCTGGTTGCCCCATGCAGGTGATTGCTCTGGCTCCTTGTTTGCTGCTATTTTCGGTTGCGGTGTACTTTCTTCTTATTTGGTCTTATTTATTGGTTTTTACGCCAATACTTACATCAAGCGTGGTGCTAGAAAGAACGCTAAAAAGGCCGCTGGTAAACCTGATGATACCAAGACTTTGCCTTCTGCCACTGAGGAAGCTTTGGCTGCTACAACTGCATCCAACTCTTCTCCTTTCAACGCTCGCTCCCGTAAGCTCTAGTTTGTTGTACTAGAGCCCCTTGCGAGCATGATATGCGATTATAAACATCGCTCATCTTTTGCTATATATAGATTTCCCTGATATAATTTTGAGGTAAAGTTGACAAGCGAAAATATCATCTGCGTGGAAGATGTGTTTATACCAGTTGGATATTCCCTTACCAATGATGCTCTGTTTGCTTTATCAGTAAGTGGGCCTTTGTAAAGAATTACTCATTGGTATAAAGTGTCATGGTAGTCTGTTGCCAGCCCGTGCAAGAAAATCTTCGTTATCACTATTCGTTTCAATGTTTTCCCTCGTTCATCTGCATTTTGCAAGAATCCTCAAATTCCTATCGGTTAATTAGGGTTTCGTCGGCGAAACCATAGTCCTTCTTTTAATCTTTGCATTCGCTTGGGTCACTTTTTATTATTGAATCTCCATTGTGTTAGTTAATAGAGAGAGCTTTTTTTCCTACATCACATATATGTACCATAAATTGTTTATATACGTGTCGCTATCAGAAAATAAGGCTATAAGCCTATTTTAATAGACCAAACCCCATATATATGTGTTTTATACTTTGTGAACCGTTGCTCTTCTGTTGTTATTTTCAGCATGAGCTTTCAACTTGTTAACTAATGTATGCTTGCATCTTATATTCATGTTGTTTGTTTCTCTTAAATTAAATTATAATATAACTAAAATATGTACATCGTACAACTTGCGAAACAGAGACGATTTGTATTGTATTTTAAGTAATTTCCTCAACGATTTCTGTTTCTATTCTTCGTGTGGTTTGCGATATACTCTTGTATGCATTGTTCTCTTTGCTTAGCCAGTTGTTGTAACCGCTAGTAATTTCGTTTTAGTTATAATAGATAAAGATGCTACGTATTTAATGCCTTGCCTTGTATTTGTAGGAACGAATTTGTTCAAGGTCTCGTATTCTCGTCGAAATAGACTGTTGTTCATGAATAGCAAGTACGCAGAAAGAGGATGTATTTAAGAAGTAATAAAAAAAACCCATCATTAAACTACAGGAAAAATTAAATATGAAAAGGCAATGGAAACCCCAAAGGTGTCATCACTTTACACGCGTACATAATATACTGGCATTAGCATACCAGTCCTCAAGACGTCCAGTCTGTTTCAATTAGCTCAGTAAGAGATTTGTTTGAATGGTTTAAAGATAAGCAAAGAAAAAAAGAAAAAAATCAATTAGAGATTTGATTTATTTTTTCGTTTGGCTTTGAGTTGACTAAACTAGTATCCATCTCACCGAACTTAAGGCGTAGCATTATCGAAACCAGAGAAAGAAGAATTTGAAGCATTCCAATGAATCCCTATCGCCCTTATGTGTTAGCAAACAATTTAGAAGTAAACTCACCAACGGTAACCCAGCCAGAGTTTGAGCCGGAATTCCAATTCAATGGTAACGAAATTTTTAATGCTATAAAGAGTGCTTTAGTCACTAAATATTTGACTACGTTCTTAATACACCCGTTGGAAGCTGCGAAAACCATCTGCCAAGTAGAAGCATATGTACCGAAAGACAAGCCTGCACGTTCCAAATCCATTTCGGATAGAGAAGAAGAAACCGAAACGAATAGCTATCATCATGATCAGTTTTCAGATGTTAGTGATGATGAACAAGAAATTCACGCGTATTTTGAAAGTCCTTCCCTGGATACTATTGTTAACAAGGAGGAGCTGAAAGAACAGATATGCGTTGAGCCATCTGGATATGTCAACACGTCTGCACATTCCGATGCCCTTAAAAGCTACACTATTTCTCCAAGCCGCTACTCAATCAAAAGCATTATTTCATCCCTCTGGGAAAAGGAAGGTGCGAAGGGCTTATGGAAAGGACATACGGTCGCTTTTCTTCATAATCTCTTGAATTCCGGACTGCAGACTTGGCTTTCTGCAACTCTTTCCGGGTTCCTTTCCATTCCAGATCCCAACATTATTCCACCTGTGGACTCTGTTCGCCCACTATCCTCGGTGTTTGTGAAGTCTTTTTCTTCTGCGATATCTGCGCTTATTCTATCACCTTTGGATATTGCAAGGACAAAAATTATTCTTTTCCCAATTACTTCTTCCTCAGAATCGACGGACCCAACTTCTTCAGATTCATCTAATTCCTCCGAAAAAAAATCGCTATCGACTCTTCGTTGTCTCAAATCTATACCTTCATATTGTCCTTCCTTTTTAGTTGTCCCTACTGTGTGTTATGCAAGCCTTCCATCCGCTATCTCCTCTCTATTGCCTATTGCGTTTAGAAACTTATTAGGATCCTCCTCTTTCCTAGATTCTTTTGTTGGATTTACTATTTCTTCTCTGCAATTTGCCTTGCAGATTCCACTGGAAACTTGCTTAAGAAGAGCCCAGGCCCAATATCAATGTAATTTACCTCCTCAGACCATAGTCCCTCTTGGGCGTTATGCAGGTATTACTGGTACAGTGTGGTGTTTACTTTGTGAAGAAGACCCTGGCCGTTTTGGAATTGAAAGTTTATATCGTGGTTGGAGAGTTGGAGTTTGGGGTGTTACAAGCGCTCTGGCTTTGAATGTTTTATCTTCAAATCTCAGTGAAGAGGTAGAGTTCTGAGCTTTTACATTGTATTGTAATAATTTTAGTGTTATACCGAAAATTAATAAAAGTTGTTGAACTAAGTATATGATTGAGGTATCATCAAGTGCTAATCTCAAAAACGTAAGATATTCATATATCGACAATTTATTTTTTAATCCCTTTTTAGTTTGCATTTTCTTATTATAATCTAATAATATATCCCATTTTAGCTCCAGTTTTTTAAAGCTCTTCTTCTTCCATGGTAGGCATATCGACCGGTTTAATCATACCAGGAACTGTCATAGCTTTCTCCATCTGTGCTTTTTGCTGAGCAGCCAATTCTTGTTCTTTTTCTTCAAGATACAAATCAGCATTATCGCCACCAAATTCTTTGAGTTGAATTAAAAAGTCACGTAAAGCTAACTTGAATTTGGGGTGATCTTGATTCAGTGCTAACACGGTTTGGACGAACTCTTGAATTTGCATAGGTTGCAAGTGGGGGAAAGCGCTGCTCAGCAAATTCATAATGTACTGTCTCAAAAATAGCTGATTATTCATGTCAGAGGGAAATTGTGTAGGATCGTATAAAGGAACGGTAATTTGACTGGATTCAACCAAGAAGAACAACCGTGCTAAAATTAAGCTTTGAAGTTTGAATCCAGATTTGTGGTCAGAGTCTGTAAGAACATACAATATATCTTGTAACAATGCAATATAATAGTTCTGGAAGAAGATATTAGAAACGTCAGGACCGCTATTAGCCATATTGTTTATTAATTCCAGAAGGATGTTCAAACCGGTCTCCTGAATGTCCCGGCTAACATGTTTAAATGACCAAACAATACTGTTAATTACCAACTTGAATTGAGGAGCTGGAATGTTTAGTAATGCTGGGAAACAATTAAGGTTAATTGCTCTTAATAATTGGAAGAAAGAAGCTCTATGCTCAGGATATTCTGAAAAATCTTTGCTAATCATCTCCAAAGTGCAACCAAACACCGCATCCAACACAAGAGGAATCTTATCGGTAAGAAGTTCGCTAAGCTGGTTGACAATAGTAGTAATTAGATTCAAAACTTCGGCATCACGAGCATCAGGAACGTTATTAAAGTAATCTAACAGGACTGCTTCAAACAAAGGGGCAATAAGGGTGTGACTAACAAGATCAAGCTCTTCAGCATGGCTAATGTAGGCATCAACGAGTTTGAGTACTTCTTTTTTGATGGTACGTAAACCACGAACATGTGGTGTCTTGGTAGCGATATTTCCTTGAACTGCAACAACCTCAGAAATTAAGCCACTGACTACTTTGTACAAACCCAACATATCAACATAATTTTTCATTATTTGTGGGTAAAATCCAGTGCCAATAGATGTACAAGCTGCAACATTAGTCTTCAAAACGTTGGCAAGTGTCTTGACAATTTGAGGATCACCCAAAATCTGAGCATTTTGAGCTGCTTGTGCAACAACACTATCCCAAGCTTGGTTGGGCAATGACATCAATTCAAAAATAAGACGCTCTTGAATTTGTTTTTGTGGTTGAGCAGATATCATGTGACCGCAAGCCTCATAAAAAGTATGAGTTTGTTGGGCAGTCAAGTCCTCAGTGGTCTTTGGCAAATTACGAATAATTTCGTTAATGAATGGTTCTTCTTCCCCGACTTGATGGGCAACAAAATGTCGTCGACATTTCTGAGCAATTTTGATGAATGTATCACAAGCCATATCCTGAACACCTTCATGATACTCGTGCATGAATTCAAAAAGTTTGTTAATAACGGTCTTTAAGAACTTCCAGTGTGCCTTCAAGAAACGGGGATACTGTCCGACAACGTACATGATGTTAGAAGCGACAACTGCCTTGTTATCTTTGCCACGTTTCATTTCGCAAAGACCAAGCAAGTCCTTAATGACATTTACAAGAAAACGTTTTTCCATTTCTTCATTCATAGCACCAGAAATAGAGCCAATAGCCCAACACAAAGTATTTAAATTATTCCATGACCACTCGGTACCAACAACAATTCTAGCAAGCTTTTCGGTCATAACAATTTCGGTGTCAATGACATCCAAATGTGTAAGATAAACCAATACCTCTCGCATAGATTTATAAAGGGTAATTGTATCAGTCTCTTTAACGAACTCACGAACAATTTCACCTTCGTCGTTTTCAACAATGAGAACCTCTTCAGGCTTGACCATGTTTTCTATCATGACTAAACGAAGCGTAGAGAGAACATCTTTGTAAATGTGTTTGCGCAAAGGCAAATTAGCTAACATTGCAGGGTTAGAGGATATAAGGGAAGTAGGACTGGAAAGATTAAGTAAAGGGTTCATTTCAGACATGGGAAGCTGTTGCATTTCTTCGTAAAGCTGGGACACCAGTCTACCCCAGTACTCTAAACAAATTTTGAAAATCTCACGCTCGTTGATACGAGAAATATTAAGGAGATACGAGTGTGCTACCAAAAGGATTTCTTGATTCTCTGGTGTTTCCAAAGGACGAAGATGAGAGCTGAAAAAGGTGGTCAAGAACAAAGCCAAGTTTTGAATGAAATCTTGTTCATTTGAGCTACTCTCTTCGTAAGCTTCACGAAAATCAGTTTGCAATGGAAGCATAGAATTAACAGCGGTCATAACCAACTGAAACATAGAAACAAATTTGTTGTTGTATTGAGGTTGGGAAGTAAGGCCGGCAATTTCGGTAAGACATTCCATAGTGACATTACGAAAAGCGGGAACAGTAAGAAAGCGACTGGTAATTTGTTCCGTAATAGCCGTTTCGAAGATATAGCCAAGAGGAATCCAGCTGAGAAAGCGAAGTAAAGTTTCCAAGGTTGCTTTTATCAGGCTGGGCTTTTGAGCGCGCTCTAAAACTTGGGAGCACAGCTGAAAGATTTCAGCGAATTCACCACACATTTGGTTCTTCAAGTTTTTGGTTTTGTTTTGAGTCATCTGTTCAGCAGAGTAATCAAAGATTTCTTCACTTAGAAGACGAAGGATAATCATATTGTTTTCACAAAGAGAAAGATTGGTTTTACTAGCTTGAACAATTTCTGGGATAAAATTGGGCCAATTATGAGGCCATTCTTGTTTCAAAATTTGAACAAGTGTTAAGTCCAATTTATTTAAATAAGTTTTCTGTTGCTGTAAAGAAGTTTCATCAGCAGAATTTTTAATCAGGACAGCAACGATGAAATTACGGATACCAAGACGTTGCTCTTTGGGAAGCATTTTCCAACGAGTAGTGATGAGCCTGTCGAGAATAGAAAGGGCAATGTATTTGGTTTGAGGAAATTCAGCTTTTTCTAGAATAGCGTCTGCTTGCATCCAAGCATCTTGGTGAGCTTGAAACTGGGTCAAAACTCTTTGGGCTTCTTGTTGTTCTGCACCAGCACCCATATAAAATGTCTGGACAACACGGTCCAAGAGACCTACATCTAGCTCGCGATCAAGAGCTAATATACCTTCCATAATCAAAAGTTATAAAATCGGTAAAGAGGATTTGTAAATTCTATGAAAACTGGAAACACCGGACAAAAATTTCAATGATAGAACGAAAGGAGGGAAATGAAAAATAAGAAATAAAACGAAATAACACCTAGAAACAATGGTTTAAATTCTCTCGCTGCTAAGTTCGTAATGCAGATTATATTTACTTGCAATCGGCAAACTAGTAATGTTTTGTACCCACGTATGGAAGGCAACTATCAAACCTGACTAATCAAGAACGTACGAGAAAATTGGTAACCTTCAATGCAAATTCTTGGGTAATCTGAGATTCTGACGAACGAAAATTCGACAATGTTTATGAAATCAAAGATCGTCAGCGCGTATTTTTAATTAAAAGTTTATTGATGAATAATTCCTTCTTTGTCTAAATACGGTCAACACGTCAATTTCTCTTTTAGCTTCTTCTGTTTATGTGTTGATTCTGACTATAACAAGCAGCACACAAGAGATAACGCACAAAGGAGAATGACAAACAAGAAAAGGAAAAGATTGTAAGAAATATCGGGTAAAATCCCGTGAATGTAAAACAAAAAAATGCAGTTACTAGTGTTGGGTGAAGTAGGTGGTAGCGGCAAGGCTTGGGGCCACCAAAGAAGATAGAAGAAATCGGATAGGGTGCTCGTAACATTTGTCTTATGTTTGTTTACCGCGGCACACCGTCAGGTGTTATTAAATAAACAAATACTGTTCTATTTTTCTTCTAAAATAAATAAAAAAAAAAAAAGAGAGAAAAAGAAAAGAAGCATTCGGAATGATTTTTGATAATTACTATTATTTATATTTCTACAATACAAGTTTTACATGCTATACACATCTTGTTGTAAAAAAAAAAGTCCTTCTTTACCATATGATCCTGCTCAAGAAAGTAAAAGCAGAAACAATGGTTTATGACAATACGATAATGTGAGCTATGCAGTACAAAAACTTGCAATTAAAGAAAGAAGAAAAAAAAAGGAAAGATGAAGGAACCTTTGATCATACAACAAATGTTTCCCAATTCCAGCTTTACTATTAAATACTGGTGTATAGATATATATATGTAAAATTTACTCTGTGTAACAACAAGCGGCGATGCCCGAGTGGTCTAAGGGGGCAGATTTAAGAGGCTTACGCCTTGAACCCTGCTGTTGTAAAACGCGTGAGTTCGAACCTCACTCGCCGCATTATTTTTTCTTTTTTCTTTTTTCTTTTTGCTATTTTGTTGTCATTACTTTCGTTTCTAATAGTTACAGCTTTTCTTAAAAGAGCTTCAACGTCTTAATTAACATTGAGAGTATAACAGATCAATTGTTTACCAAGGGTCCTATTGTATCATCTTACAGTCATGATACTTGTTATTATAGAACAGTCAATAATCCATTCTTTCTTCTCAACAGGCCGATCTTTTTTAGTATTTTTTTTTTCTTTGATGTAATTATTTTTATTATTAATTTTCTTTTTTTTTTTATCATTAGACTCAGGAATGTGTGAGCTAGATGAAGTGTTCGACCGATCACCAAGAAATTACAATTAAACGCTATAAAGCTTCAATTTAGCTAGAACAATATACAAAAAAAGAAATCTTTCATAGAAAAGTTTTTTCTCTAGAACCAACGTTGATTTGAGTTCCCTGCCCATGTGCTATTTATTTTTTCGCTTCTACTTTTCATGTAAACAATTCATCTGAACTCATTCCATGATTGCAGCTATGTGTGTGTAGGGATCAATTGACCTCCTATCCATATAAACATAGATAGATTTATGGAAAGCAAAGGTTTTGATTAGAAATTTTTTAACAGTGTTTTTGAAACGAATGGGTTCAGATGAATTGTTATGTGCCATGAAATGAATGCATTCGACTAAATAGCATTTTTTTATATTTCGTAGAAAGTCTTTCTTAATTTTTATTTATTCGTTTTAATATAAATTACTTTTTTCACTTAAAACAACTGATTTTTATGAAGGTTCTATTTCTCTTACTTTTTTTTTTCTTGAATTTTTTTTTTTTTTTTTCCTTTATTTTTCTTATTGCCTCATTTCTTTATTCTTCTTTGCGACACTTACACCAAAACATTTTTGAGATTGCCTTCATTCCGTTTGTTTCTCTTTTTTTTAGTATTTTATTTCTTTTATTATTAGAATTACAGAAAAAGTGTACTAATTTTATTCAATTCAAAAAAGTCATGACCCACAAAGCTGATATCCAAACTACTTCTACTGTTCATCCCGTTGTGCCGCCTCATAGCCCTATTTACATCAAAGCCATGGAAGCCAGAAGCTATATTATCGGTCAACTCCCAGAAGAATTGAGCAAACCACGTCTCGCAATCATCTGTGGTAGTGGTTTAGGCACTTTGGCAGCTGATTTATCGGAGCCCAAATACGAAATTGCTTATCATGATATACCTCACTTTCACGTCTCTCGCGTCGCTGGACATGCCTCCAAATTAATTTTTGCTTACATGGGTGAAAATCGCATACCTACAATGATATTGTGTGGACGCTATCACTCATATGAAGGATACACTATGGAGGTCGCTACTTTTCCTGTGCGTGTTATGAAGGTTATGGGAGTTGAAACAATGATTGTCACTAATGCCTGTGGTGGTATCAATCAAAATTTCAATGTTGGCGATTTAATGATTTTGAAGGACCATATTGATTTCCCTGGCCTTGCTGGAAACCACTCACTGAAAGGACCCAATCCTGATGAGTTTGGTACTCGATTTCCCGCCCTTTCGGACGCCTATGATCTCCGTCTTCGCAAACTTGTTTACGATGCCGTCAAGACTCATTCTATTGAACGTCCTATCCACGAAGGTACCTACTGCTTCGTCTCCGGCCCGAGCTTCGAAACCCGTGCAGAGTGCCGTATGCTCTCTATGCTGGGCGCTGATGCTGTTGGCATGTCTACAGTTCCAGAAGTGATTGTAGCTCGTCATTGCGGTATCCATGTATTAGCGATCTCTCTCATTACTAACAAAGCTGTGATACAAGAAAGTCCGTCCGCCAAAGACGCCGTGGATACTAGCTCCGAAATTATGTCAAAGGGTGCTGCTAATCATCTTGAAGTTTTGGAAGTTGGCATTGCCGCCGCGAACGATATTCGAAAAATTGTTGAAACTCTCGTTGATGATCTTTAAATCATCGGAATTGTTCAATTCAGTCCGTACTTTATTAATTCTGAAACTTGTCGCTATTTTATTTGCAACATGTTTCATATCTTCAAGTTATGCTTGGTAGTATTGTAATATTTAATGTCTCCCTTTGCTCATTATCCATGACCTTCTTTCTTTGGATTCTTCCATAGCTATAGGGATCTTGTTTTTATAGCTTTTTTATGGTCCATCTGAAATAAGTCTTTTCTTTGTTGCTTTCAATAGAGAATAAAATCCGTTCTATTTTCCTCAACTTTCTTTCTGCTATGTTTTAGGTAACACTCTCAATTGTACCCTAGGTGAGTGACATCTACATCCACTTGTAAATATATTATTTAGACGAAACGCGCATGTTCAAACAATAAATTTACTATAATTAAAACGGGTTGTCTGTATTAAAATTCATTTCATTCTAATTTGGTTGAAAATCTTGCGGAAGCTAAATAATTCAAGTCCTGTTCCCAAAAATACTCTATGAATGGAAAACGTCCGCTTTGAGACTCAATTAACGATTCTTCAAGTCGACGGGCTTTGGAAACAAGGACTATTACGGTCTATGAAACCGTATTTGCTAATTAATGTTGATGACGGTCAACTCATTAGAACAAAATACGCAAGTGGCACATTCCGATTATCATGGGGATTTATTCATAATTTGTAAGTGTCCAGAGAGGATTTTCTTTGTTTAAAATTTCCGATGCTAATTCTTGATTCCAGAGTAGTGAGTCCTAAAAGCGTAGTCTTGTTACAGCTGTTTGACCAAAAGCGGGTGAACGACGTTTCTGATGGATTTATTGGCTTAGGAGGCGTTACAATTGATTCAATTATGCCTTTCTATTGCTCTAAAGATGGTAGGTTAGATATGTAATTCCTTTATTTCACTCATTTTACTTCTTGCTGGAGTTTGTTCTGTTGCTATATCTTCGGTCTCATGTTTCAAATGTCTAACTTACTTATTTTAGAATATAAAACTCGAGTTAATTTACACTCTCCAAACGGGTCCTATTGTGGATCTGTATATTGTCAATTCAAACGACGCAAACTGTCGCCCGAGGAAACTCCAAACGATAAGTCTCAGCAAAACATTGCTGTTTTTAGCGACAATGAATTAAATACTTGGGAAACTCGGATTGATGATTTTGGACATATGTATTACTATCCAAGCCCACGACGTTTTGTAGCTCCTTCTATCACTGTCGAAAAATTGCAATCCCTAACTGATGAGCAACTACAAAAGGACTTTTCAGGATTTTTATTTCCAGAAAATATGAAGCTCAAATTCAATTTAGATCCAAATATTATTAGGCGCCTCCTTGAAAATTATCAACTTGCTCAGTTCGTGCGTCAGCAAGTTGCTGTTGAGAAGGGGCCTTTGCCATCTGGCTGGGAAATGCGTCTAAGCGAAGATTATCATATTTATTTTGTTGACCACACTACTAAAACAACTACTTGGACTGATCCAAGAGATTCGTTGTTACCAGGAAGACCAATTGAAGGTCCTCAAAACCTAAACGAGTCGTATCTTCGAAAAATTCAATATATGTATGAGAGACCGGAGATGGCTGTCAACAACACCCAATTACAGTTGAGAGTTAGTCGTGCTACTGCATTGGAAGATGCGTATGACATTATAATGAAACTGTCAGTCCAGGACATGCGAAAGCGGCTTCTTGTACGGTTTCGAAATGAAGATGGTTTGGATTATGGCGGTGTTTCTCGAGAATTTTTTTACATATTGTCTCACGCTGTCTTCGACCCTTCTTATTCTCTGTTCGAATACGCAGCCCAAGATAACTACGGATTACAAATCAGTCCTTCCTCCTATTTTAATCCTGAACATTTAACCTATTTCAGATTTGTTGGTAGAATTATGGGTCTAGCTATCTTTCATCGCCGGTATCTGGACGTCCAATTTGTTCTTCCTTTCTATAAACGTCTTCTTCAAAAGCCTCTAACAATGGAAGACTTCAAAGACATAGATGAAGTTTACTATGAAAGCTTGAAATGGATTCGTGAAAACAAAGTGGACGATTCATTATGTCTAAATTTTAGTTGTGAAGAAAATAGACTCGGCGATTCTGTCACAGTTGATCTCAAAACAAATGGTCGAAATTTACCTGTTAATGATGAAAATAAAGAAGAATATATTCAACTTCTTACACAGTATAAACTTGTTCGTTCCACGCAGTTGCAATTTGATGCCCTAAAAGGTGGTTTAAATGAGTTAATCCCCGATAGTATATTATTCCTTTTTAATGAACGTGAGCTTGATCTAGTATTAAACGGTAAACGTGATATTGACGTTGAAGATTGGAAACGCTATACAGATTACAGAGCGTACACAGAAACCGATAGAATAGCCATATGGTTCTGGGAGATTGTAAGCCAATGGCCAACCAATAAAAAGGTATGTAAATATGTTTTTCTAATTTCTGACAATACAGGAAAAACTTCTTCAGTTTTCTACCGGTACCTCTCGTTTGCCCTTGGGCGGTTTTAAAGATTTACATGGTAGCGATGGTCCAAGAAAGTTTACGCTTGAAAACGTGGGCTCCGTTTCTCAGCTCCCGAAAGCCCATACATGGTAAGTGTTGATGATACTTTGTATCATAGAAAAATTCGTACTTACTTAATTATGCAGTTTCAACCGATTAGATATACCTCCCTACGAATCCAAAGAGGAGTTGGAACGTAAGCTCACAATTGCTATTGAAGAAACAGCTGGTTTTGGAACCGAATAGATACGAAAGATGCCTGCGACATTATGCTTGGTCTTGACATACGTATCGTATTTTTAATGATATTTATTTTTTATAATGGCTGAATAATAATGCAATTAAATATATACTGAATATTCTCTACTCAAAGTGCCGCTTTTTATTAGGAATTGTGGACATAGTCGGATTGGAACTTAAGAAGTCAGCATTTTCCAATATAGCAGAAGCATCTGCCATGCTACAGTCAGCAGAAGAGATGTTTTCCATTAATTCTGACAACTTCCGCTTTGTTGGCTGTAAGTTATTAGAAGGCACCAAGTGCGTATCTTCCAAAAAGGACACAAACTGGGAGGAATCGTCAATTTGTTGGATCTCCTCAGCAATGCCGCTGGTATCAAGAATACTTGGCTCATTATCATTTTTTACTATTTTCTGAAACACATCGGAATCAGTAAGTTCCTCGATCAATTCAGAAGCATCTTCATTTAGTTTGTTCATAGTGTCTTGTTTCATCCGTGAAAATGTATCATCTAGTTCCGTATACGATTCATCCGTCTCAGTATTTTCCAAATTATATTTTAGTAAACCGTCTCGCACACCTCTATTAGTTTTGATTAAGGGATTAACAGAAGAAGGTGAACGAATAACATGGTCAAGACGGGGACGAAGAAAGGATGAGTCTGTCTCCAACGGATTTTGAGACTCAATCTTTGTGCTTTCCGAAAGTTGTTTCGGCTGATCAGAAACATCACTTTTCTCGTAACTGAGACGAACTAACTTTGGATGTGAGCCAACGCCCGTACTCAAACTCGTTTGCGATGTATGCGAGCTTAAATTATCATTTCTGTAAAGTTCGAGAGTATTTGATAGTTGAAGATCAATATTTTTTTCCTCGAAAAGAGGTGATAACTGCTCATTGCTGTCGCTGAGGTCCAACTGATTTTGCTCCTCTTCTTCACTTTCGATCTCGATAACTTCTGGATTGCCATTCTGATTGCTACCAGAATCATAAAATCCATCTTCCGATTGCTGATCTTCGTTTTCTTCCTGAAGACTCTCCTGTTCCAAAGCTTCATCGGCATCATCGGATACAATATATTCTTGATTCAATTGCCGCGCATCTTCCTCTTCGTCTTCATAAACTTCGTGATTCTTCTGATTCATCATAATGCCTTGGTCGGCCTTAAAATCATTCACATCATTATCAAGTTCTACTACATCATCCATATCTTCCTCTTTTTGGTCAGAATTCAATGGGAATAGCATCCCACGTGCAGTTGTAGGAGATTGATTCCATATATTTACAATGGACAGACGCGAGGGCCGTCTAGATTTTTTATGAGTAGAATCTTGTATAGGACGGAACGAAAATGGGGAGCAGCCATTTTCGTATGAATTGTGTTTCATACCATCAATCCATGTCATGAAATCGTTCGCTGAAAACATATCCAAACTAGATCCTCCCTTACCGGGAGTCAACGTATTCCTTCGAAACATGATGAAAGAAGAGTTTTATAACAACTATCGAAGACTGGCTTGTAATGTAAATCCGTAAGCTCTTATCGAAATGATGAAGCTTTCCAAAAGTATATACAGAAATAAAATTCCAAACGGTAGGAAATAACCTATTAAAAATACAGAAATAAGCAGAAATTAAAGTGTAGATGTGAATGTCTTGAGGGTGCGCGTTGCTCGTTCACGTATTTGAAAAACGTAATAAATACCAGTTCAGCACCAGAAAAAGATCCTTTGATTTATTTTTTTAAAAAATAAAAAAATTGCCCCAAGTAAGAAGAAAATCGACCAGTGCGATAGACGTGTGTCTTCTCGTTTTCTGTCAAGTAGGAATTCAAAGCAAGTACATGAACACCTCTTTAAAAGAACAAAGTTAAGTAAAAATAACAAGAGATACAAGTAGAAAACGCCAGGAAAACAAGCGCCTTCTTGATAACGCTGGATGATGAAACGGGGGAAGTGGACACGTTTCAATAGCAATAATTTCAGGTGTTTCCACTACCTTTAGATAATAATGAGCAAAAGAATTCACTTTCTCAAAATTCAAATAGGAAAAATAAAAAAAAAATGACAAATGTCTTCTAAGCTGATATTTTGGTAAAAGAATAGTAAAAAAACTACGCAGTCAACTACCCAAAATCATATACAAAAAACGCATTAAGACTATGCAAGAATACATCATTTATGGTAATGCATATTTCAATAACCCACACATCAAAAAGTAATAAGTAAAGTCCGTTACAGAATAATATGTTCGTCCATTATATACAGTAGCAGACTAACTACAAGGTGACGCAGTTTACAATGTCTAACAAGAGGAAAAGAATTTACTTATACAGAGCAAAGATAGAATGGAACCGAATGTTTTATATTGAATTGCAATGTCAAGACTTATACCAACTATTTTAAGCCTTAGAAGCCTTGGCGACAGCAACATTAACTTGGTCACGACGTTGCTTCTTGAGACGCATGACAGCGAAACGGTCAAAGTCGTTCAATTGGCTACGGACCTTCTTGGTGTGCAAGCTCTTAGCCCAGGCAGTAGAGTTCCACTTGTTGCAGACATCTTGAGCCTTCCACTTCTTGGCAACAACACCAGAGCGAGCACCACGGGGAACTTGCATGACAATAGGAGTAAGGACAACACTGCCAATACGAGCGACGTGGCGAGGTACCTCAGGGCAAGGAGAGTCAACGAGGACCTGTAACCATGTTAGCTATGATATTCAAGTGATTTACCTAAATAGCATCTTAAAACATTGAGAAAAACCTTCAAAGTACATCAAACAACTGAGTTAGAGTTGTTTTCTTGGTTATCGATTATTGTTGAAGGAATACTTTTTGTTTTCTATCGCGGTGTAAAATTTTCATGTAAACACCTGTTCAAAATTCCCAAACCAATATCAATCACGTATTGTCTTTGAAAAGCCAATCTCAAATGTCAAGGGTATGCTCTTTTGTATGGATGTACATCTTTTCATCCATTATAAGAATTTTTCACTTACCCGTCTGTGGTCAACAATGTCGACGATAGCAGCAATTTTGCCGGCGTACTCACCCTTGTTAATGAGAACGACACGTCCAACCTCAACGTAACGCTTGAATCCTTCCATTCTGATTTTTGGTGGTGAGTGGTTAGGGGAAGAACAGGTTGGTACCACGAAAGTATCTACAAGGTAAAAAGTGTGACTGCGTTTTTGGAGTCACAACAGAATTAGTGAGGGTAAGGCACACTGAGGAATAGGGTGTCAAAGTTGTTTAGAGCCATACACAAAGTCTCCAGAGGCTGTTGCTTGCAAAGAAAAGATGCAGATTTTCGTGAAGACTTTGACTGGTAAGACCATCACTTTGGAGGTGGAATCTTCTGATACCATCGATAATGTCAAGAGTAAAATTCAAGACAAGGAAGGTATTCCTCCCGACCAACAACGCTTGATTTTCGCTGGTAAGCAATTGGAAGACGGTCGTACCTTATCCGACTACAACATCCAAAAGGAGTCTACCCTTCACTTGGTTCTCCGTCTTCGTGGTGGTATCATCGAACCCTCTTTGAAGGCTTTGGCCAGCAAGCACAACTGCGAAAAGCAAATTTGCCGTAAGTGCTATGCTCGTCTTCCTCCTCGTGCCACCAACTGCCGCAAGAAAAAGTGTGGTCATACCAACCAACTCCGTCCTAAGAAGAAGTTGAAGTAAAGCATTGCTGGGCTGGCATCGCTTGTTTACTCTGTGGTTATGGACAAATACGATCGAATATTCAGATTTTAGTAGCTCTTGTCTGGATATCGTTGCTCCTGCAGCACTGTCCCTGGAGGCATTGTTTGGAAAGACGTCAACTACACAGTTAGTAACAAGCAAATATCAAAAAATAATAGACTATTTTTGGCTGGATTTCATTCACTAGTTGTAATTCGTTTTCGACACGTTTTCTTGAATAGGAGTCTTTGTTTTCTGTTATTTCTATTCCAATAATGATTTCAATGCACATATCCCTCATCAAGTTTGTAATTCAGTTCATGTAGAGTATCATTGCAAGAGCTATACTAAATTTTCACCGGCGGCCTTCGCGCGTAGACTCCTAATACCATAAACAAAATACGTTTCATTCTTACATAAAGAAGCCAACAATTCATACTAACAATGTCTTCATTACTGACCTTCTCTATTTCGTATGTTTGTTGACTAACGTAATTATTAAACTCGTTGCAGTTCTTTATTGTACAAAAGTTTTGTGTTGCCCAAAAAAAGCAGTCACGGAACGATTTAGCACATCGTCAAGCTGCTCAAACCTTTCCTCTGCACCACCATGACTCAAAAGAGAAGAAATTGCGGACGTAACAAGCACGGCCGTGGCCACGTCAAGTTTGTTCGCTGCGTCAATTGCAGCCGCGCTGTCCCCAAGGACAAGGCCATCAAGCGCTGGACGATCCGTAAGTTAATTTATTAGCTGTTGCACCAGTGATGTCTGGCATAGAAGGAGTTTCTTAAAATTCATAATACTTATAGAACCGATGTGCAACGCAATGTGTGAGTAGAAAACTAACTGTTTTAGGTAACATGGTTGAAACCGCTGCCATTCGTGACATGTCCGAAGCTTCCGTCTACAGCGAGTACACCATTCCCAAGTTGTACGTCAAGTTGCAATACTGTGTTTCTTGCGCTATTCACTCTCGTGTGGTCCGTGTTCGCTCTCGCGATGGCCGTCGTATCCGCACTCCCCCTCCTCGTGTGCGCTACAACCGTGACGGCAAGAAGCTTAACCCTGCTACCGTCGCCAAAAACTTGTAGATAAAGACAAATGCACATTTATTTTGAGTTTTAATGCGTACATGCTTAGATTTCAAGTTTCAGTATCTGTGTAGTTAGTTTGCCAGTATGTAATCCTTCATAGATTCAAGCTGAAAGGGTAGTGCTGTAATATATGCATTAAAACTTTGATCTAGTTGTCTGTGCTTTTATTACTTTCGAGTATACTATAAGTCTCGCGGGTTTCCATGTCACGTAGTATACATGCTGAGAATTCGTCTATGAACCGTAATACTTTTTCTGTCGTCTCGTTAAGACTGCTCCACCGTTTTGTCTTACTTATTAACAAATATGTAAGCATTTCGGTTTGCCAGCATTGATTTAACGACTCGGCAGGTATTTGAAGATCGGATCCTTCACTTTGACTTTTGTCATCGGGTTGTCCAAGTTCATCTGTATGTAAAGTCTTCATAGAACGCCTTAATGCTTGATGTCGTTCAGCAATCCAGTATCCCCGATTGCTATGTATCGTTCGACTAGCATTAGAATTTTTATTGCTTATAATTTCATCCACATGAACCCAAATATGCTGCGCGTCCTGTATTGGAAAGTCCGTGTGAACATATGCTAGACCGGTAAAATTATGAATGACTATATACCAGAAATCATCGATCAGATCGCCCCTTTTAATTTTTTTCTTCAATGCTCCACCATCTTCATGCTCATAATTGTGCTCATGCTTCGTTTGTATTTCGTATATTTGTTCCCATAGTGCCTTCTGTGATTCATTATCGCTATAATCAGCCGTCGCACTTTTTATCATATAATCTTCATTGTTTTTCTTCTCACAAGAAGTTCCATTAGCCTTGTTCCATCGAATTATAAATATCCGCTTTTGTCGCTTTTTAAAAACACAGCTGACACTTAACTCCCAATGTGTATTTTCATCATGATCTTCAGATCCAGGTGAATGCAAATCCGAGGCCGAGAAAGGCCCAAAGAAACGGGAGTACTCTTCTCCTTCCAGAAGATTTTGACACTCGTTCGTACAATACATGATAAGAGTATTGCGTATTTTTAGTTGTAAGCGCCGCCCTTGCTCGTAAACAATATGTGGTTGAAAAGCTGACGGGACGTATAACAGTATGGATCCAACAAATCTCTTATTCTTCAAATAAACTTCGTTTAAAAGGGTAATCTGCTTACTCTCAAGAGGCTTACCAACTGTTATCACATCCATAATTCGTAGAATGGATCCACCACACTCTAGAGGAGACAGTTTAGCGGTCCACCATCTATCAAAAGCTTCATACACATCTGAATTGTTCATTTGATTAATCCATTCAGCACCATAGAATAACTGATATTGGCTCCAAAGTGCAATGACCGCCGAAATGAGAGTAGTAGTTGAAGGACAAGGTTTTGTCACGACTAGAAAAATAGAAGGTGGATCATCTGGTATATTTCCAGATGATTCATTTCGCCTTCTTGAAGAAATATCCCAAGTTGAAGAAGGTCTTTGTATTAATATCTTCCGCGCCAGAGTTGTCTCTGCTGATATACATTCAAACTTCTCTAAGAGATTGGAAATAACACTTTTATTCCCATAAAATGTTACCTTACTCTCTTCATCAAGGATATCTTTTGTATCGGAAGAGAAACCATACATTCCATGGAAAAGAGCGATTTGGTTTTTAAGCGGTTCAAGTTCCTTGTCCTGGTTTAGTTTATCAGAATTGGTACTCTCATTTCTTCTGTTTCCAAGCATAGGAGGGTGATACATCCAGAGCATCTGAACCGATCCATTGGGTTGACACCGATGGATACAGAATTGTTCTACAAGCACCATTGAAGAATAGATTTTAGTATAATGCCCTCAAAACTTCCATTAAATATCGTATTTTTTGGTACAGATGAATTTTCAATTCCTATTCTTCATAAATTAGCAAGTTGCGCCCAAAGGATACATATGGTAAGTGCCGGGGGTAAAAGGCCTAGAGGTAGAGATCCCATTTCATTACCATCAGCTGCTAAAGAAGCAAAAAAAATTGGAATTGAATGTGTTGTATTGAAAAAAGGATGGGACGGGTTTCAGTTAAAGCCCGATGACCACTTGGCTGTCTCAGCTAGTTTTGGCCGCTTTATTCCTGAATCAATTTTGGGACGATTAGTCTACGGAGGCATTAATATTCATCCTTCATTTCTTCCAAAGTATCGAGGAGCGAGTCCCATATACTCAACGATTCTTAAGGACGATACACAAGCTGGTGTGACAATTCAGAGGATGGACACAAGGGAGTTTGATAAAGGAAAGGCGCTTGCTCAAGGTGTACTTTCTCTTCATGGAGATGAGCATTATAATAATCTTAGAGACAAGCTTGCAAAGGGGGCTTCATCAATGCTTGATTCAGTACTGCAACAGGCGCTCTACAAAAGATCAAACCCAAACCCCGAACTAGAACCTACCATTTATGGAATTCTGACAGATACAGGAGAATTCCAAAGAAGTGAAAGTGCCCTACCAATTCCCGCAGCAAGTTGGGCCGGAAAGATATCTCCAGAAAGCGCTCGCATAAATTGGGAGTCAATGACAAGCCGACAAATATACAATATTACCAGAGCGTTTGAACATGCATGGACTACAATTAATGGAAAGAAGGTATTTCTTTATAATTTAATGCCTTTACAGCAATGGTTGAGCCAATTTAGAGTCGATGTTTCTAATGACATCAATGATTGGAAGCAGATGCAACCAGGCCAATTCTTCTTGTTCAAAAAAAATTTATTCATAATTAAAACTCTTGACTCTGCTATTGTTGTGATGGGTGGAGTTCAGCGACAAACTGGATCTTTGGTTCCAGCAATAGAATGGGTAAGAACATTCAACAGCGGTAAAGGAGGAGTGTTCACTACTGGATTATAATATATCCTTCATCCATAAATAGTTTTGTTCCAAAGATGAAAACTACACCTCTTTGCGCTTCATGCTGTTAAAAGATACATAATCTAAATCATCCATTTATTTTTCCCTAATTCCCTCAACTCAGACATATATTGTATTCTTCGTCATCGAAGATCGCATAATCTAGAAATCTATGTTTGTGTCAGTTGTTACAAGGTAGTATCACTGGAACCGTGAAATTATGTTACATGAAACCTTTAGATCTCTAAAGCTCAATCTCTACCTTAGAAACTCCGTTCTCATGCCTGCCAATGGAAAGCACCACAAACAATAACTCAATTGCCTAGTTTTGTTGCCGGTTCTCAAAGCTCATTCCCAAACTATGGAACCAGGTCATCAAGGTAGGACAAGAGTGTTATCTTCAGGATGCTTTCCAGACATCGTTTTTGCATCTCATAAAAGGACAAACCAAAAAGACAGAACACTGTAATCAAGCTTGCCCGAATGCAATTTCTATGGTCCCTCAACCCTTTTACCAAGGCATCATTCACGAAACACGCTTTTTCGTTTTCTTCGAGGAATGAAATAAAGAAATTAGTATCCAAGTGGAGTTTGATCCCAGCATAAGGATAAACGGATAAACCAGTCATCTTTAGGATTCATCTATATGCAATTTGCTTTTGTGTTCAAGAACGTACCAAATAAAAAACAAATGATTATTAAAAACAAAATATTACGTACATACGCCGATAGTCTAACTTGTTTGTTCAATGACTTGCAGGTCAATTTTCAACTTCGCTTTAGAGCTTGTTTCTTTTTCCAGTCCACTACCTGATGTTCGGATACTAGGAAGTATAGATGTTGATTGACGAACAGAAACGTTTTGTTCTTCGCATCGACGTTTGGCGAGCTCGATCAAGCTTACAAGTTTTACTGTCGCATCTCCTTCTGCAACAACAGAAACTTCTTTTTTATCTAATAGCTCGTCCCAAAGCGGTTTCAAAAGCTGCTTCGTATTGGATTTCTCACTTATAATCATATTTCTGTTTTGCTGACCTTCATAGTAGTACATGGCAGGTAAACTGTACTTGCCGATAGAATAGGCAAGAGCTTTACGAGAATTATGAAACAGTCGGCTTTACACTGAAATGAGTAGAAATTGGTTTTATTCAAATTACTTTGGTTTAAAACACTCTTTGCTACAGTTGAGCGATATATATCTATATAGTCAAACTCCACTTAGTAATATCTACTGAATAAAAAAGTGAAGAAGATTAATGGAAACCCATGTTAATTGAATAAAAAGATCTTAAAAAAATTCAGCAATTGGACTGAAAACAAAAGATACGGCCAACAAATGGGTATCATACCGTAGCATTCATAAAGATATCTAATGTTGCTGAGTATCTGTCAAGGAAAATTCAGTGAAACAAATTGTGCGAAATGAAATACGTTAAAAGAAGGAAGAAGCCGTCATGGTTCTATAATCAAATGGATATCCACATGATACTAAGAATCACATCAATGGCTTGTCCGCTTTCTTTTATGGTTGTCATTCCATCTTTTTCGACATTCCAACAAGCAGCATGAGCGGCATGCACACCTCGAGAAGGATGATCATCCGGTAACTTTTGGACCAATGTAGAACTGACAACCCATTTGTAGGATTGTGTTTTCTTATTGAGGGCATTCAAAACGCCATACTAGGATAATTAGAATCTGTAACAGTTTTTACATTCAATTCTAGATTACATACAATGACAGCTTGGTTCATTTCGGCACTCTTCTCACCATCGTATTCAGTTGCTTCAAGCACAGGCTTTGAAGCTTCCTTACAAATCTCTTCAAGTGTTGTAGAATTTAAAGGCTGAATACAATCATTAGTAACAAATTCTATTGACAGAATACCGACATACGCAGCTCATTGTGAATGGAAGTCGTTTCTATAGGTTTATGGAGACGGATCAATTGCGACTTGCAATTTAAGGAAAAAGGTGAGCTTAAGAATAAAATGATAAGGAATCAGACTATTCCTTTACAAAATAAAAAAGAAGATCTCATCTTTTATATTTTGATTCGCGCCTTCTCGCCGGTACTCTGGGACCATTGATTTAACAGAAAAAAGCGAAATGAAATTTCTTCGATTATCGAAGCTTCCAAATGACTAAAGAAAAATAAAGAGAGCGATCCTCACATTTATTTAATGTATGAGGCATTAAACCAACATCTAGTTTCAGTTCGGGTACAGTTGAATTGAATTGTGCAAAAGATCCTATGTTCTATTTAGAAGAAATGGCTTTCTGAATATTGAGACAAAGTACACATGAACGAGAGATGTCTCACGGCCCGCATATAGATGCCTTAGAGAGAATGAATGCTGAGCAGAAGATACCTTTGGTTTTGAGCCAATTCTAACGCATTGTATTGACGAGGCAAAAAAGAAAAGAAAAGAAAAGAAAAGAGAAGAGAAGAGAAGAGAAGAGAAGAGAAGAGATTTTAAATACAGCCTTACTTTGAATGTTGATGCCAACTCATCTACCAGACATCGTCAAGATAGTTTTAGCCTCGATATATTGGACAGGATGCATTATCAGAAGTAGATGAATGTTATATTCATTATGAGCATTCGTCTTTCTATGTCCTGAAAAGCTTGGATACTGCTGTCATGTACTAACATCCGGTCTTTCATAATAAGTCCCTCTTTTATTTTTATTTTCGTACATCAAAGAAATTCTAACAGAGGTTAAGCTTTTAAATAATAACTACAACAATTAGCAATAAAAAAATCAGCTTAAATACACACTGTTCAACACTAGTAAGCATAGAAAGCATTATGCAAAACGAAAAGTATACTTCATGAGATTCAACTCTTCCTTTTGGCTTCTTTTATTTTCTTTTTTTTATTTAAAAAGACTGAACAAGGTTGTGATATCAAGTTGCTTCTGGATAAATTCTGGCAATTAGAGTTTTCAATGTCTTATTAAAGCTGGAAGGGGCAGCCTATACTTCTGTGTTATAGATTCTTAACAAAAGAAGGATTTCATTTCGTCTGTGGCTCCTAAAAAAGGAATTGCTTCACGAGCTGTTGTTTTCTACCTGGAGAGTCGATTTCTGTTTTTGACACTTACAACCATGTTGAACAGTCGAATTGCTGAAAAAGAAAAGGAATATGCTTCCATATGTAAATTAAGAGATATTTCTCAAGAAATGTCTAAAAAATTGGAGCTTTTAGCCGAAAGACTAGAGACTTTAAATGATGGTAGTGAAGGTATGTTTCTTAATCCCCAAACCCAGTTTCTTTTAATGAACAGGAATTACTCTGTATAAAGACTCTTAAACCAATGTCTTCATCCTAGGTAATTGGCCATTTTCGATTTATGAGGAGTTTCAGTTTACGCAAAGAAGGTACCATTTGTAAACTTTGCAATGATCTTTATATCGTTACTGTTTTTAACATTGTTATTCTTGTTCATGCGTCTTCATCTTTATTTAGTTGAAATTCATTTCTAGTTTATTGAAGCCTATTCGTTTCCTTTTGCTAACCGGTCGTACTTAGCTGTGTCTGAAGTTTTACAAAACTGGCCTACGATTTTTGAATCTATACAATTAGCTTCTCAGAATACAGAAGCTCTAGTGCGAGTTCCTCATACTCTTGACCAAAATCAACCATTGAACCCTTCCTCACATGAATAAAGATCCAAGGTATAAAGATCCAAGGTGTGAACACAGCATGAGGAGAAAACTATGTTACTAGTTTCTTTATTTATTATTCTACAGCTCCATGATTCAACTTTGATAGTTGTGGTTTCTGCTCTGATTGTATACTTACATACCAATCCGGTTTTTGTTGGTTTGTACATCACTTACATTATTTTTGACATTCCAAGTAGGAAGTATGAACAGCGCTAATAATTACGGATGTATTGATTGCTTTATTGTTCTTGATTTTGGTTTCCTTTCCCTATTCTGGCATTCTGCGTATGTACTGGCAAATTACGTATTATTTTTCAATTATTTCTTTCTATAAACTGAAGATAATTGATTGAAACGCCCGTTGATATATGGACTCTTAACACCTCTGATTCAACAAGTCAAACCATACCTCAGCCATTTGAAGGACCAAACTCAGAAATTTCCGTAGTCGTTAAATACGATCCCAGATTGATTCTTTTTCATTTTTTTTCTTTTATATTCTATTTTAGATAGAAAGACGCGCTTACCTGCCGAAATTTTGATCTCTTGAAATTGAATTCACTGAAAAATGTCTATTGAAGTTAGTTCCCTTTTGCATTCTGGATATTCTCACCCACTGTTTCGAGAATGGCAAGCTACACGTTCCATTACGAAGTCTGCATTAATGTACCCAATCTTCATTACAGATGATGATGATGCCAAAGTACAGATTCCCAGCATGCCTAATCAATATCGATGGGGTGTAAATCGTCTTCAAGAGTTCCTTAGCCCACTTGTTGAAAGAGGACTTCGCAGTGTTATTTTGTTTGGTGTTATTACAGATTCCTCTAAAAAGGACCCAAGAGGTTCTATGGCCGATTTAAATGAATCTCCTGTCGTAAAAGCCGTTAAAGAGATCCGTAGATTATTCCCTGATTTGGTCGTAGCTTGTGATGTCTGTTTATGTGAATACACAAGCCATGGCCATTGCGGTATTCTTTACGATGATGGATCGGTGAATAATGCAAAGTCCGTTGAACGAATTGCCCAAGTTAGTGGTAGTTATGCTTTGGCAGGTGCCCATATAATTTCTCCTAGTGATTGTATGGATGGTCGGATCAAAGCCATCAAGTCAAAGCTCATGGAATTAGATCTTTCTCACCGCGTCGCTGTCATTTCTTACTCTGCAAAGTTTGCTTCTGGTTTCTTCGGCCCTTTTCGAGATGCTGCCGGTAGCGCACCCAGTTTCGGTGACAGAAGATGTTATCAGCTTCCCATGAATGCTCGTGGTTTAGCTCGTAGAGCCATCCTTCGTGATTTGCGTGAAGGTGCCGATGGTATCATGGTCAAACCCGGCACTCCCTATTTGGATGTTTTAGCTGAGGCTGCGAGATTGGCTGAGGATTATCCTATTGCAACTTATCAAGTTTCTGGTGAATTCGCTATAATCCATGCAGCTGCCAACGCTGGCGTTTTTGAATTAAAGCAACACGTGATGGAAACCATGCATGGCTTTATGCGTGCAGGTGCTTCCCTGGTTTTGACTTACTTCACTCCTGAACTCTTAGAATGGTTGGACAATTAACTTTTGATGTTCATGAATGGACACTAAAAATAGATGCTACTTTCTTTTGCAGGTACCTTTGAACTAAGATATGGAACCTACTTCCGGAATTTTATGCGAATAATTTCGAACCACACACATCATATATTCTAAAAAGAGAAAGCACATCGTACGAAAACTATAGTTTGACAAGCTACTGAATTGCTTTCATGTTGCTGAAATGACTAATAATTATGTTTGTTTTATATACATCCGACACTGTAGGAATGAAACAATTTTATGTTAAAACTTACAAGAAAAAAAGTAATAACAGTCCGAGAAATGCATTCATTTATATCAAACACTAAAACAGGTACCCAGTACTTTACAAAACGAAGTTGGGCTAATTAATTAAGCAGATTAGATGAGGAAAATGGGTAAAAAATAAGACAATTGTCAACTTTGAAATAGATATATGCCAGGATGCACAACAACGCACAAGAAGAGCTCAAATGCTAAAGAGGGTATTCTAAACCGTCGAATACTCGTCAATCAAATTCTCAAGCAGCAAAAGTACATAAAAACCTTTCGGCTTTTTCGTACACATTCAGATGCAAGACCACTACTTAGGTTTTGCAACGCAGCATGAAAGTAAACGTAAATGGAATTTCTTCCTGGATGAAGATTTTGGAGTGTAAGTTTGGGATAATTCATTACTCTTCCGCTGATGCTCACTTTGTGCTCCAAATTGACCATATTGTTGTCCACCACTGGAACTTGGGGGCAACCTTGGTTGAGACTGAAGAGCAGCTGTAGAAGAACCTAATCTTCCGTGTCTATTAGATTCATTTCGCATTGGCTGGACTGATTGATACGGAGGACTGACTACTAACTGTTTTGGGCTTAACTGTGGCGCATTATTGCGGCTTCTTGTATATTGAGGAACAGCAGCTTGGCGCTTAGCAGCATCTTGAGCATGACGGTGATGAGCAGCATGTTGTTTTGCAGCACTATACTGCCATCCTTTGCCGTTGTTGATTAATGTCCAATCAAACTTGCCATCATCGATTTCATTCAAACGCAACAGTAAACTGTCAAACAAGTTACGTAAATAGTCATAGTCCGGCTTTTCATCGTAACTTAAATTGCGAACGTACAACATGTACTGCATAAATTCTTTAGGAAAACCATCGCAAAGGTCTTTTATAGGAGTCATTTGTTTTTTTTCACCAATTTTCTCATATTTCTGTTTATTCGTGGCTGCCTTTAATCCTTGCCAAGGAAGACTGCCCCGAAGAAAGTACATGAAGACATGACCCATTGATTCAAGATCGTCTCGCCTCGACTGTTCACGTCCCAAATGTGTATTGATCGACATGTAGCGTGCTGTGCCAGAGAGACTTTTGTGCTCATTGTATGGACGATGTATATGCGTTTTTGGGTCACGATACTGTTTAGCCATACCAAAATCAACAGCGTAAATCAAATTTTCCACCTTTGATCCATGGAGACCAATCAAAAAATTATCCGGTTTAATATCTCGATATATGAAATGTCGTTCATGTACGGATTGAATACGGGTTATCATTTGCTTGGCAATCATAGCCACGGTCTTGGGACTAAAGCGTCGACCACAATAATCAAAAAGATCTTCTAAACTAGGACCTAAAAGGTCCATGACTAATAAGTTGTACATTCCTTCTTGTCCATAATAATAGACGTTCGGAACACCATCTAAACCGGTTAATTAAAATGTTCTTTTTATAGATAGCTAACAGCTTTAATTTTACATACGGACTCCCATCAACAGCTTGTAAGTCAGATATTCGTCCCGTAACTGAGGAACTTCGCTTTTTCTTGACTCCTAAAACAGACGTTAGCCATTATTTTCGAACAGGGGTTCTATGGAACTCCAGTACACGTACAAATTTCAATGCAATTGGCTGATTATTCACCAAATTAACACCTTGGAAAAGCATACCAAACGATCCTTCTCCAATTTTTTTCCCAACTCTATAGTGAACACCAACAACATTGGAGTGCGACGAAGTTGAAGACATTCTATCAATCCGTTTAAATGAGTGAAATTTCTATTATCTTAATTTATTACAAACGAGCGGGTGATATTGTCAACGACAACTTTTCGATGCACAAGCAAAAGACGATTGATTAACACAGGAAATGAGTTTCTAGTCAAACCAAACTAAGTCCATTAAAATAACTTTAAAATGAACAAAAATTCAGGATAATTCTTACAGTTGACGACCTCAGAGGTCCCGAGGTTGTCAACACCGTGTCTTGAGGAGGGTAAGTTGCAAATGCCCAGTCTCACATACTCTTCGTAATATTCTTAAAGGCCCGATGAACATCTTGTAATAAATAACTGAAGCTATCTTAAGGTTCAAGTTTTTACGTTTTTTTTCTTGTAAAAAGATGAAAGAAAAAACATAATTTAGAGGAAGGTGGTTCTTACTGATTCTACACGTTCTTTATATATAAGTAAACGATATCCATAATTAGATGAATATGTTAATGATAAAACAACAACCTTGAACATAATATTTATAAGTGTTATTAAATGAAATCTCGTAGACAATTGGTACAAGAAGGTATTCCCCAAATCCTTTTTAAAAACCATCACATGTAAGAGACATGCTAACGAACCAACTGTTCAGGGTTGTTTTTTCTAAGTAATGTTTCAAAAGATGGCTTTCACGATGTAATACTTTGATTACTTCCTGTGTATCTCCAAACTTTGCAGGTGAGTAAATCATGGCGATGCTACCATAATTGTTTTTGTCAAAAGCAAAGGATAAAAGAGATGTAGGCTTTGTCAACCCTTCTTGAAATAAGCCATTTATCGTCGTTAAGCGTAATGTTTGATACAAGGCGGTCATTCTCACTTCGGCTTCTATGACTGCATCGTTCTTGTCTTTGGTATCTAAAATTTGAGACCACTTATCATTTAGAACGGCCCTTCGCCAAATCGTATCTTCAAAAAACCTTTTCGCTTCGTCAGTCAGCCTTGTAGTTAGTAATAAACGCAAGGCGAAATAATAATCAGTCATATCTTCCACTTGAAGTTCCTTCTTTCTATACAAGGAAAAACTAAGATATTCCATCAATTCTGTAACTGGTACTACTTGGTGATCAATCAAGCATTTGATAACTCGGTGCATGACTTGTCGAGCGAGGACAGGAATAGGCTTACCATCTGTTATTTCCTCAATGGTGGCTTCCACCAGTTGATATTTTTTCCCTTGTAATTGAAGGCGACGGACGACCGGCATAATCGTTTTTTCAATCATCTTTTGGATGTGGATCTGTTCTAACTTTTGTTCTATCAAGACAAGATCCTTGGATTTTGCCGGTCCCTTTGGATTTGCATATAAAAAGATCTTCCCTAGAGATAGCTCGATTTCTTTCTTTTCAATCATATTTTGTTTTTTGTTAGCCAATTGCAATAATCTATGTGAGGCAAGCTCGTAATTTTTTTTTCGCATATCGTGCATCCATGATACTTCATTATAGCCTCTATAGTTGAAGTATTCTGTAAGAAAATTTGATTCGTGTTTATCATTGTTCAATAGTTCCACCGACATTCCTTTTTCAACGTAAAAATCATACAAGATAAAAGCAAATTCTTGACCAAACTTTAAAAGATATCCCTCGATTTGCTTATCAAGTTCTTTTTTAGTAAAAAATTGATAGCACAATTCTACAACTGACCGGTAGTCCCGATATTTCTCAGCAACACGCAAGGCATTTTTGCCCTGACCGATATCAAATAAAGTTTGAATCCAAAATTTTCTATTCACCGCAAAAGCTTCTTCCAACTCCTTTTCAAGGATTCCATCGCCTTCGTTTTCTCTTAACCAACTGAGTCTTTCAGCATAAGCATTAAAACATACTTCAGTCAAAACAACCAGTTGGACCTGCATGTTCAATAAAGCATTTTTAATAACATCCTTGTCTTTCGACGGCAACTCTGTTCCACAATCTCTCTCACCTTGCTGGAATTGAAATAAAGCAGACTTTGTGAGCTCAAACTGCCGAGTAAGAGCTGTTAAAACATCTGGCGTAGAAGTCCAGGGTACTTTCTTTTCAAAAGATCCAGCGCTTATATCATAAATTCCTTGAGTATCAACACGATAACTTAACGCCGACGATAAAATGGCCAGAATAATCTCGTTCGACTCTAAAATAACATTCATGACTTCGACTGGAAGTTCTTGAACTCTTGCTGCGGAATCAACACAAAAATTATGAGCTTGCATTATAAGTTGCTCTATGCTACCGATATTGCGCATGAACCAATTTCGAACAGATTGATTCAGCTGGGTTTCCTTGCCCAGCTTAAATATGATTCTTTGAAAGATTAGCGAACGACTCGCCGTGCTCATCTCTAAATCTATAGTTGTCCAAAGGGACCTTGCTGCATTGCACTTTTCACCTAAAATACGCAAAGAAAACAGTAATTCATCGCTTATATCATAGGGAATTTCTTGAACATAGCGAACTAAATTGTTCAAATAGATTAATCTTAAATCCAAATGCTGTATTAATGAAGGCAGGACAGGAGGTAAGTGAGAAGAAGCAGATGTCAAAATTTCTTTTCCAATTACGTAAATTAGTCTTTCAATTTCAGAAACCTTCAACTTGGGAACTGTTTTCCAACTGAAATCGAGTGGGTTCTCATAAACATAGCCGTAAAAAACTGCTTCTTCAATTTTCTTTTTCAAGGATTCGACAGCATCTAATTGTTGAGCATCGCTTTGAATTTGAATTTCAGTAACACCAGCTTTATTTGTCACAACTAAACAAGAAATCTTGGGATCAGTGCGTGGCGATCTCAGACCTGATAAGAGTTGTTTGCATCCAGATGTTATAATTTCGCCGGAAACGTTAGAATTGAACCGAATAATATCCTCCCGAAAACAATACATTGTGTTATAATCATAATTCATGCGGGTATTTAAAATTATTACGGCACTGGGGGACACAAGAATGAAACACGGTCCAAAGGAAGCATACTGAATTTTAACCTGTTGTTTCTTCGAGGAAGTATAGCCTAAGGAATGGACAAACATTAAATGAGGATTTGCTATATTGGAAAAATCACACGTATAAAGAATATACTTGTGTTCTAAACTACGTTTCCAAGAGCAAAGAAAGGTTATTGAATCGCCATCTTGAGACGTAATTGCAGAGTCGACAATTTGGAAATCTTCAGGAACCATTTCGGCTTCTTCTATAACCTTCAAAAACATAGGGGCAAGATCAACTCGTACGTGCTAACTCTGTTAGTAATATATCCTTATTCAAATAACTTACATTAAGTTCGCCCTTCAAATCGTAAATATCCACTGAACCTGAAGAATCAGTCACATATAACAGGTGTCGGAAGGGGGACGAAAGAGGTGGTGACATGATAGAAACAGCATGAGAAGCAAAAGGATTTTTTAATTTCAACTTTTCAAAACATTTTGATATTAATCCACCATGAGAGGCCACTGTATTTAAACAGATTTTTGGTATACCAGAGGAGTCACGCAGACTGATGGACAAAAGTCGACCATAATTTGTGGATACAATGTACAGAAAAGGATTTGCACAATATAATCGTAAGCAATGCTCATTATTTGATAACTTCAGTTGACTTTCCATTCCCTGAGGTTTCACTATGGGTTGAGCGAGAGCATTTCCTATACAAGTCCAATAAGCAATACGTCCACTCACGGGCATCAAAATTAAAAGCCCTGGATCTCTGTCTGGGATGTCTGAAGAAACAATCGCTGTTAATGGATTAGGCTGAGGAGCATTAGCGTCACTTTCTTCAGGCAAAGGAAAAGTAATTGTAGGAGGATCTTTTAAGGTCTGGGAATGCTGGTAACTAAACACATAGCAAGCTCTTTTAGAGTTTAGTAATACATATCCCAGTTCTGGATAACAAGTTCCAGTTAAGGAAAGATCTATTGTCTGTTAATTGCAAATGTTCTAATGCACAATTTGTTTACCCGTACTTACCATTAGAAATATCAGAATGTAATCTTTTTAAGAGAGGAAAAACATGAAAGTAATCTCCCTTCAACCAATCTGGATGCAAGAATGTAATACTGTTCTCATATGGTCTTGTTTCAACAGAAATGCGCTTTGACTGTTCAGAAGCAGACGAATTTACATTCTTTCGTTTTCCGAGGACTGTACTCATTGTTTAAAAAAAAACAATGTTCTTACGTGAGTATAGAACCCGTTGAAAACAAAATTCTATGAAAAGCAAGGTAAATTGGGTCTGAGGAGAGTTTGACGCGTTAGGATGAAGTCTTCCAAATAGCTCGTCGGACCTAATACCTCTTTCTTAATTTACTCTATGAGTTTAGAAAGAGAATAAACTAAAGTGTTAAATAAATAATGTCTTCAATATCGGGAAGATAAAAGTTGCTGTTAGTGCATCCTCTCAAAAAAGTGTAACGGCAAGTCTTATGAAATAGCTATAACATAGTTCTAATTCAAATCTGTTCTTCTACTTGCTAATAGCACTTAACTGTTGGATGTAATCCAATATTAAGATTCGCCTGCTTGTGAGACTTTAGCAACATTATTCATACAGGTAAAACTGCTTTTATGCTCATTAATTTATTATTCTTAATGTGAATATATAAATGAAAAAAAAAGGGTTTGTTTTGAAGCAAAAGCACGAGAAAGTATTCTCCTCCAAAACACACTAAATTTGATAAAAGTATTTCAGGGAAGGATACGCGTCTTATAGTTATACCTAGTTATACCTAAATAATACTTGATCGGATTTTTGAAATTTACTATACATATATATTAAGGGTATTGGAAGCTCAACACGAATCAGGGAAAAAACAAAGTATCTGAGTTCTTAGACTAGATTTTGTTGTTGCTCTCTACTTTTACTTCTTTCTTTTTTAGATATTTAAAAAGTTAAAAAAAAAAAAAAAAAAACAACAACAACAAAATGGGGTTCAAAACGAAACAAAAGGATTTTACAGAAGAAGATTTGGAACAAATACCTTGCCCTCTTGATCCCAAACACACTATCGCGAGACATCGAATGAATTATCATTTAAAACGATGCAATGCACGACCTATTCAAAGAACGGATCCGTACTATTGTCAGGATCTGAACGTGGAACCTGTTGATGATGACTCGAAGCAATACCAGTTCGAACTCTCTCAGCTTCCAAAAGAGGAAATTCATTCGTGGATTGAACTGTTCATGCGTGTTGGTAATGTCCTTCCCTCCCCTGATACTGAAGTACTTTTTCATCCTATAATGCATACTAGATGGTAAGTTCTGTAGAAATAGATTTGTAATTACAAGTGCTAACTTCACTAGGAATGAGTGCGGAAATAAGAAGCATGCTGTTCAACAGGTAAGTAGTGCTTTCTCTGAAAGTAGCGTTGGTTCCTCAACTAACTTTATTCTTCGAGGCTTCTTTATTAGGTCATATGGAAAAGTCATCATTCTTTGAGTCTCCGGAAAGCGTTTATTTCGAATTTGGGGCGGGCCGTGGTGAGCTGTCTCGTTATGTGCATCACTGTCGGCCCAATCGTAATGTCTATATTCTGATTGACCGGGATTCCAACAGACTAAAGCACGACTCAAGGATAATTAAAGACTCTGAAACTAATGGATGGTCAATTCCTGAAGTGATTCGCTGTAAAATTGATATTAAAGATTTCAAAATTCAGTACTTCGTGGATCAGAAAGTAGAAAGTAACACCGGGATTCAGAAACCGCAGTTTGTGTACTCCAAGCATTTGTGTGGTGCTGCTACAGACCTTACGTTGAATTGTATAAGGAAGGCTCCTCCTAATGCTGTTTTAATTGCTTTATGCTGTCATCATCACTGCCGATGGGAAGCTCTATCTTCCTATTCTCGTAATCAATTAGAAAAATGGGGAATTCACGGAGTCAAAGCCTTTCAAGTACTCCGTCAGATGACAGGTTGGGGTATAAATAGTCTTCGAGAACGCATGCATGCTTCAGGTGGTGCTGACACCCATTACAGCGGCTTGACGCATGAGGAGCGTGTTCAAATAGGATTAAAATGTAAACATATCATTAATACTCTTCGAAAGATTGAATGTGAGCAAATGGGTTACAACGCGCGCCTTGTATACTATGTGAATCCAGATGTTACATTGGAGAATGTCGCTCTTTTGGCAAAAAATAAGTAAAAAAAATGCAAATAGAATTAAAATAAGGGAGGTTGGTGTCTTTTTTGTGTTTGTTTAGTTTTGATTAACCGAAAGCAACACATGTTATTCAAACGAAATATATCATTGTTCTTTGAATTGAAACACTATGAGTTGGTAATTAAATTTGAAATATACGGAAAAGAAGAAGAAAATGGAGATTCATGAAATAAAATCAATAGTTGACTCTTGTCAAAAGAAATGGAATATTGAAGAATTCATACTCAATATCGTCTTGAACGGATAATAAGGATTGGGTAAAGGATCACGGCAACTATTGATTAATTTGATCATTAGTCTTTTTGCTTTATTGTAATTTCGTAGATAAGTCAAGTTCAATAGATGTGAGGAAGCAACTTTCGTCTTCTTCCTAACGATCCATCTCCAACATACCTACCTCTAGAGACAGTACCAAGAATCGAAAAGATGTCGAAACTACGTGTATTAGTTGGAGTAAAAAGAACCTTAGATTACATGCTAAAGCCTCGTATTAACCCAGCTAAAACTGGTGTTGATTTGACCGGTCAAAAGATGAGTGTAAGTGCCCCTAGTTGAAACAAGAAGTGTTTGGGAGAGATTGGAAGAATGAAAAGACTTTAAGAAATTAACTTGAGGGAATAGATTAATCCATTTTGTGATATTGCCGTTGAAGAAGCGATTCGCATCAAGGAAGCTCATAAAGACCGAGTTGAAGACACTCTTGTGGTGACAGCAGGTCCAAGCGCATCGGAGCAAATTCTTCGTCAAAGCTTAGCGAAAGGAATACAAAGAGCATCTTTAATTGATGTAGGGGATAAAGAGCTTGAGCCCCTTTCCGTAGCCAAGTTGCTGAAAGCTACGGTTGAAAAGGAAAAAAGTAATCTCGTAATACTTGGAAAGCAAGCAATTGACGACGATGCTCATCAAACAGGAGGAATGCTCGCTGCTATGCTTGGCTGGCCCCAATTTACTAGTGCTAGTAAGGTCGCATTTGAGGGTGAGAATGTTATCGTCACGAGAGAAATTGACGGCGGTGCGGAAACACTTTCTAGTCCATTGCCTGCTGTTATTACCACAGATCTCCGCTTAAACGTCCCAAGATTTGCCAATCTGGCTAAGGTGATGAAAGCCAGAAAAGCACCCCTTGGAAAGTCGACCCCAGAAGAACTTGGTGTCGCCATTAAGAATAGATTACAAACTCTTTCTGTGGAAGAGCCGGTTTCTAAGCGTCAAAATATCATGGTGAAGAATGTTGACGAATTTGTCAAAACCTTGAAGGAACTGAAAGCTTTGTAATGTAAGTTTTGAGAAGATGGTTCCTTAACGATCGATTTTTTTGATTCGTCTTTTTTTTTGTTAGCCACATATGTTTCCTCTATTTACCATTTTTCTTAATACTATGTTGCTCAATTACGTCGACATCCTTTTACTTTGCCATGAATATATACTTTGGAACATTCCGTTCAAGGCATTGCTACAAACGAAAGTTACGCAGACGCGATCAATCTTCTCCTTAATTCGAAATGATATTTAATAGGTAATTGATTTATTGCTTCTCTATCTAACTTATGTATCATCTTTTTGACCGTCCTTCGTTTTGATCTTCTTTTGTCTCTTTTGCAAGATGTGAGTCTTTTGGTTTATTTTTTCTTTAGCAAGATCAGTTTCGTAGTCCTTGTTTTTTGCTGGGAATATTTAGCTTTCGTTTGTACAGTGAGCATACCACCAATTTTGTATCTGTTTTTTCTTTGAAAAATGAAAAAGCTAATAAATAAAATTAAAAAGATTTCATTACTGGCAAAGTCGCCTATTATATCTGATGTGGAAAGGATTCCATATGTAATCTCAATGATTTTGTCATTTTATCTTTTACGTACTTACTATTAACACCTACATACAGCCAAGTTGAATCATCCAATTACCCTCAAATTTGTTTGATTTCTTCATTATTATTTCCCTTTTTTTAATTACTATTTAATTATTTTAGTATTTATATCCCTTGTAGCTTCAAAACGGATTAATTTTCAATTACTGTGATAGCTGACACAAAATCACGATTATCGTGAGTTTTTTGCCTTCTTAGAGAGGATACTTGTTTTAGATGTCTCAAGGTAAGCATGGTGTAAACTTGGCGGAGTAGAATTACTAATTTTATAAGACGTCTTCAAACATATAACCAGAAACCAGCTTCAGCGTTCACGATCCAGGTAAGATTTATACTCAACATATTTAATAGTTACTAATGAGTTACAGGTCCTTTGATGGTCGTCCTAATCGATCACCAAGTTCCTTATTTCCAAAGAAAGAAAATGGCTTGACACCGATCATGAGGTTAAAACTCTTAACCTTCTCTAGCGTTTCTAGATACTCATTTTCTTACAGTCCTTTAATCATCCGTGGAGGAATGAACGGGTATCTTCCGTTAGACTCGAATACCATTAATTCCTCGGAGTCACTCCCTGAAACAGAGATGCGTCGGACTGGGGAAGAACTATTTGGAAACTATACTATTAGTACAAAAGCTTTGGGTGATGAACAGGATAGATCTCCTTTCTCGTCCCTCCCAAAAAAGCGGCGATCACTGGGTGATATATATTATGTTCCCGTTCCAGGTAAACAGCATACATCGTCAGCTGTAAATGGACCTTTGCAAGCTATTGCTACAACAAATAACACCACATTTAGTGTTTGGTCCGCGAATGATTATTTCTGCTTGCTCTTCGGCTTAGGTGGCTCAAAGTTAAATCGGCATAAAATTTTTGATATATTTCCCAAAGCTTTCTCTTCCTATTTATCTTCCTTGATGAGTTCTTTTCCAATTGACAATGAAAATGAACGCGTATTATTTTGTGGAGACATATTTCCTGTTAAAACTGTTGACGGTATACGTGTTATGGACTTCTGGGTGAAAGAAAAGGCGGGTAAATTAATATGGATTATCGAATTTGTTGAAGAGTCGTTTATCGAATTTCATCTCTCTAATAAAGACATTGTAATTGATATGAAAACCGGTGAACCACTCACCTTGGATATTCTACCTTCTCAGTTACCAAAGACTTGGGAAGAGCGTTTGTATATGGGTACTCGTATGTCAACGGGATTAGTTTGTCCAAGCATGATATTCCCGCTTTCTGGAAATACTTATCAATATACTATATTTCATTATGCGGCGGGATTACTTTTTATAAACAGGAATCGGAAAATTGTGTCTTTAAATGAAGCTATTTTTGAATCCATGCTTGGGTTCGGCGATTTACTGACACGGGACATTTCTATGATCTTTCCAGATTTTAATGAAATACTGGACTTATTGCTGGACAGTCATTTCTTAGACCCCGGAAGAGTTGTTTCGGAATTACATGTTAGGCATGCATATTATCGCACAAAGTCATATAATTCTTCTATTGGTGATCGTCCAGAGCTAGTTCATGCTGATGGTCATCGCATTAGGGTGGACTGCCAAATTATATCTGTTTCTCCTGCATCTGACTATCCGACAGAACCGGCTTTTGGTGTGTGGCTTATTTTTGATTCTGTAGATAATCGTGCTTCTAATTATATAAGCTCAAAGCGTTCGGCTGAATTATTGGAAAAGGCTGTTAAGTCTGAGGATACAAACGATCTAGGAGGTCCCGAAGAAACAAGTGATGAAGTTTCATTTCAATGTGATGGGATATGGGAAAATATTCCGCAAAAAATATCTATGTATAATACTGTGAAGGAATTAGGAATCGGAGCGTATGGGCAAGTAAAGCTGGCTAGCTATAAATGCCATAAAGAGCATGAGGTAATTTTGAAATCTATTAATAAGTCCCGGATATTGTTGGATTCCTGGATGCGAGATAAGGAGCTTGGAACAGTACCTATGGAAATAAGCATTTTGAATTTTTTAAAAACTAATCCACATCCGAATATTGTAAAGATGATATCTTTTTTTGAGGATAACGATAATTATTATTTGATAACAGAACCGCAAATGCCAGGAATTGATCTATTTGATTATATTGAAGTAAGACCTTCAATATCGGAAAACGAGTGTAAAGCCATTTTCTATCAAATCGCTTTAGCTATTGGTCATTTGCATACTTTTGATATAGTACATAGGGATATTAAGGACGAAAATATAATTTTAGAACAATCAGGAGTTGCGAGGCTAATCGATTTTGGAAGCTCAAGTCTCACTCGAAAAGGACCCTTCGATACTTTTCGGGGAACTGTGGGTTTCGCTGCTCCTGAGTTGTTGAAAGGAGAAAAATATATGGGTAAAGAACAGGATGTTTGGGCTTTGGGTATTTTACTTTACACAATCGTTTACCGCGAGAACCCGTTTTACAATATTGAGGAAATATTAGACGGTGAGTTGAGGATTCCCTTCGAGATGTCGAAGGAATGTGTTGATCTTATCTATCGAATGCTTGACCGAGATGTTCAAGCCCGTATAACTGTTGAAGATGTTTTACAACATGTTTGGTTTGACGATGTTAGAACGATCAAGTCCTCCCATGTACCTGTGCCTTTAACTCTCTAAAACTAGTCCATTGTTGTTATAAATATTATGTATTAAATGCCACTATGAAACCCATTAATAAATTTGTTTTATGATCAAAAAAAAATAAAAATAAACCTTTGTTGATTTGTGAACTCAAACTTTCCCTAGTTAATTCTTGACAGTATAGCTTTTTGTAATCGACCCAAAATGTCTCCCAAGCAAATAACATCTTCCGATCTCATCCCATGAATAGATTCCTCTATTTGAGTAGTCGCTTCAGACAAAACATGAACAGCATTTGACGGTGTCGATGATTCGCCTAGAGAAGAAATCAAATTCGTTACGCCAACAGTGGGGTCAACCTCCCCGTCAGCACCTTCCGCCAGGAGACTAGTAAACCGTTTCTTACTATTCTCTTTTGAGGCGGATGCCTCAGATTCGGGTTCTTCATTAACAAAAACTCTTTTTTTTGCTTTGGCTGTCTGCGGCTCAACGGATGCTACTTGATTGGGCAAAGCGACGTCTTCAATCCTTGAATTACTTCTTCGTAGAAGGTTACTTTCATGACTGGAATTAAAATCATTAGTAATATCCGTTGGAGGATTTCTCTCAAGGGAAAATTCTTCAATGTTTATATCAGGTGTATTTACATTGGATGAGTCAATGAACTCATCTATGATCGCGGGAGGCTCGTTTACGGTAGAAACATTTGAATCAACATTGCCAGCAACGTCGATATGCTCGCTATCGTCAAATCTTATATCCACGTTATCGCCTTGTACATCTTCAGTGGTATTCACTTTCCTATGATCTTCATGAAAACTTTTGCCAATTTCACCGGTATAATTCTTGGTAGAAGGATTCACCAATTGTACAGCTGCGGCATTCGATGCCATGTTGGAATCATAAGCACTATCTTGAGGCATGGATGAACTCTCCATTAAATTTTGTTCTATGTCAGACGGTTTGCTGGTTTCCCCTACATTCGTTTCTGATGACTTGTTCTCTTTTCTCTTATTAGAGCTGTTCTTCTTGTTCTTTTTCTTGGAACCGCTCTCTTTCCTATTTGACGTAGAAGCTACGCTCGAGTTATTATCATTATTCCCTTCCTTGGTTCCGTTATCAGGTTCTAAGTTTTGTTCTGTAGTCAATTTTTCAAATTCGGAAAAAGATGGTGAGAAAGGCAAACGGATATAATGGTCATGCGACAATTCTATTATTGTCTTCTGTAATTCAATGGGATATTCTTCAGATTCGAAGGACCCCAAAGTTTGGTTCCAAAAATAAATAAACGACACTACAACATCGGCAGCTTTGCTTTTAAGTCCGATAGTAATTAAAGGAGAAAGTTTATCTATCAATTCACTTGGATTTTTCTCAGCTTCAATGATAAGTTTAAGTACGAGTTGGCAAAATTCGATACACTAATGAGGTTAGAAAAGTTAAAGCGAATAAATTTGATAACGACATACCATGTTATAAATCGAACTGCTTCTTAAAGAGTTATCGATGTTTTCCATATAAAACCAACGAGAAAGGCCATCAACTAGCCCAAAAACAGTGTGTAAACATAAGTTTTTCGGGATATTTTTCATGTAGTTTGATATTGCTTCAATGAACAAGCACTTCAAATCCATTTGGTCAGAATCATAAGCTTTTACGAGCAACGTATTATACATATTGATTAGTTTAAAATAACTGTTTCGGTGCTTTTCAAAATCAACAGAATCAAACAATGCCTGATCATTCTCAGCTAAAAATGACAAGAACGGAACTTTCATTATAGCCATCGCAAACGAGAAAATCTTGCTAGATTCAAAACTTAGACCTTCATTTAATATGCGAATAAACGGCTCGATCACCGATATTAAAACTTTATCTTGTCCATAGAGATTGGAAACCGCAATACCATAGTGAATTAGTAGATTTCCAACACTGTCAGCATCACTTATACTGCAATACTTGACGTTCCAATTCAAGAGTTTCAAAACATTTAAATGTTCGTTTCGCAAAAATTCTTCAAAGGGGGTACTTCTCTTTTGCTTGTTTTTCACTTCTATTAAAAAGGCCTCGCAGGCAGACCGAGAAACCTCATGGGAAACTAAAACCCTCGCGAGTATCAAGCTATCATTCCCTGAAAGAGGAGATACACAATCCCAATACAAACGAAGTTTTACGGCAAGACTTAAGTTACTTTCGTCTAATAGCGACAAAATACTACTATAGGCAGCATGTAAAATTGAAAACATTGTTCCATCCGTCAGCTTTGCCATCGAACGCAATAAATATACTAACGGACATATGGATTCCTGGTTACCATGCAAAGAGGGATCCATTAGTAGCAGTTCATTCTTTAAAACGATGTAGGAATTTTCAACGAAAAGTTGTATATCATAAGCTTCGACAGCAGAACGAACCAAGGAAGCATAACGAGTAAGTCTTTCAATGTATACCTCGTCTTTTCGTAATCGTTTTGCGTACAAGAAATTGCGTAAGGACGTACAAATACAGTAAATAGCCTTAGCTGTATCAGCTGATCTCTTTATTTCCTTCTGACCTGCGCTAGACAAGCATTTAACGAATGTAGTCCAAAGGACGAAACTATGTTCATAGCTTATTCCCTTGCCTTGTTTACGGCCTTGGTTCTGTTTTATACTGTAGTTTGGCCTAGCCAACAACATTAATGAATTAATTGGCTCAACGGTTTTTTGACAATTTGAACGCACCCAATTTGGGTTGAGTTTAGGTAATTCCTTGGTATCAATCAGTTCACGCTGTACAAGGCGATCATTCCTCCAAAAGTTGTTCGATGAAGCGTCAAATAATGCAATAAGTATATCAGCGGCTTCAGGCATTGTTTGCTCGCTTTTCAGCGCAGACCTTTCAATAATTTTAATGACCACTGCATCCCAAAGGAGCGAGAGCATCGGACTTGATATTCCAGGCCTTAAACAAGCATAAATGAGAGCGGTTAATGTGCTCATTGCAGCACTTTTCACTGTAGGAAGATTGCGGGTACTCAAAACTATTGCAATAGGCTGAGACAAAAGCGTCAGACGCTTATTCGCCTGCACAAGAGTTTCTGAGAGAGAAAATTCGTGAATGAGTCGTATCCAAGATGTTTGAGCCGCGCATTTAGTTAAGGGGTTCGCACTGTTGAAACAAAGTTGAATAATCTTCAACCAGGCGTTGAAGTACTCCCATGAGGATATGCGTGCACCACCCAAAATTGAAATTACAGCAGCCCAGGCATGAGCTACATATACTCCATCATCTTCTTCAATTACTAATCGCTCAAAATGATTAGAAATTAAGTAAATAAAGGTAGTACCTCCAATTTCAGTATGAAAGCTTGAAAGTATTGAACGAGCTATAAGTTTATCATGATACAAATATTTACTCAAATCTAATGCCAGCAATAACGCTTTTTCACGTATGGGTTTAGAAGCATCCATGAGGCAAGCTAAAAGATAAGGAGCCCAGTCGGTGACTCTTTGAGCAAATGCTTTTGGGCATTGACTCAATACCTTGTTTAGTACAGCTAGGCGCTCTTGACCAACTACCAAGGACGGAAAAGGAAGAGTAAGACAAACAGTTATAATACGGTCGCATAAAGGGGGAATGCCTGAAGGGCATTTTTGACAAGATAAAAGATGCAAATGTTGGGCGGCTAATGCTTTCGTTAGTTGAGAAGATTCTAAAATTTGGAGCGATTGCTCAATAAAAACACTAGCAGTATCAGATTGGATGTGTGAAGAAATTGTTGGATGCCAAAGAAGGACGCTAAGTAACTTATTTGCTTGACAATTCAAGTGGAAATCTGGTTTTCCAGTGTCTAAGCAGGCACTTCTATCAGCTAACAAAAACGAACAAAGTTGATTTAAGAGAAGGAATATAGGATCTTCTGGTAAATTTGGTGTATATGTCTTCAAAAATGATGATAGCTTGGAATAGATTTCAATACGTATAGGGCGTTCTACATGTTCAAGATCCTCAATACCAGATCGAAACCAAGACTGAATGTCATCAAAAGTGTCATTTGCTTCATTTGTGAATCCATTTTTCTGATCATTAGATTCATCTGTTTGTTTTAAACGAGAAAGTGCAGTAGAAGTTTTCAAAATACCGCGTTTAGGAGTTCCATACGAAGGTCGGCTTCCTCCAGAAGAGGTTTCAAGTTCATTATTAAACACTACCTTCTTTTTGCGCGTCAAATTCAAAGTAGGATCACTTGGATTCACGTGTTTTCCATTTGGTGTTGAATGATCATCATCATGCACCTTTTGGGACTCCTTCACAGCATTGTCTTTTCTCATCGCAACATCAGTTAAAAATTCAAATACATTCCAATTTCATGAATTCAAATTGACCAGAGCAGCACAGACTGTGCTTTATTTACAGATGTGGTAGTGAGCAACTTTTTTGCAGCACCCCTCTACTGAAAAAAGTAAACACAATTTTTAGGAAACTAGTCCGACGTGGTCGGTAATGAGGAAGAGTTTATTTTGACATAGAAGAAGTTTAGAAAAATCGATTGGAGTAAGTCTGGTTTCGTAGTTCTGAATTTTCACTTTATTGTTGTTTTTGCTTGTTTACATCCAGGCTTTTGTTTACATTTACCTAGTTGAAAAAGCAAGGTGATATATTTAGAAGTCCTAAAGTGGATAAAAGGATCAAAATAAATAATTTCATGGAATCTTGAATTTCACAAAAAGATTAAATTCATTTCTTGGAACTCATTGTCATTTTCTGAGGGAGAATAGCACTTATTCGACTTTATGCTCAATAGTAGGTGAATTTCAATGGCTTTTAAAGGCTTGTCATATCTATAAATTCTATTGAAGAAGGGTATTTCTCAATACTTTTACAGTTTAAAGAGTCTCAAAGTCGGAATACTGCGAAGCTCAATATAGTAAGCGTTAGCTATTAAGCAATAGAGCTCAGTTTCTATTAAAGTAACTCTTACATAACCTATAATTTAAGTGAATTTATTTAATCCGACCTATGACTTATCCAACTGTAGCATGGATATTTGAAAATTTGAAAGAGAATTGCTGTAGTATATACACTCTTCAAACATCTCTGAATGAAAAAAAAAAATAGACAAGAGGACACTCAAATTTAATACCAGATTTGTAACAGTTTTACATATTTCTTCTTGTCTGTCAATTTGGAGAGAACCACTTGCTGTTCGTCTTGATCTTTTGGACGAAACGAGAGATCCTTGTACACTATTTCATTTTTAATTAGATTAAAGGTTTCTTATTTTTGCACTGTCGTCAAAATTAACAGAAAATTTAAGCCAAAACAGCCTACCAACGGGCAAGGACCGTTTTTATTTTCTTGAAGCAAGCAAACGTCTTCCTATCTGTATTTTTCTATAGAATGCAATTAATTTGAAAATTATTCATTTGGAACCTTAAAAAGACTTAACGATTTCGGATTTAGAAAGCGAACTGTTTGTTTCAGTGAGAATCTCGAGTGCGCATGATTAGGGTAATATGTCTAATATATTAAACCCTTGGTTGGAATCATGGCTATTGGATACTTTGAAAGATGCTGACACTCTTCCTACGTATGAATTCAAAAGCCGTCCCTTACAAATATCTGAAGTATGATAACCTTTTAAGCTTATAAAACGTGCTTCTACCATTATGGACTTTTTTATTAATATTGGAAACTAGTATTTGACATATGAACCTACCATTCATGCGAGATTATCGGATACTAGACATTATATTGAGGTTGAATTTTCCCCCGAGTGTATTCAACATTTGTCAAGGTAAGTTTTCTGAAGTTGACGACGATGGAATCTGACAAAAATTATAGATTTACAGAAAAAAGACTTACTTCTCTTAAAGGTGGTATTTTCTCCCTAGGGTATTTCTCAATTCATCTTATATCACAAGACTCGTATTTATTTCCATGGCTCTACATTGAATCGTTTAATTTTTTTAGTTGCGAAGGTGTTATATTCGGAGAGCCGAAACCCATCATCTCTTCACCGCTCTTTCGTTCGCTATTATGCTCTCCGTACCTTTTTGCTCTTGCAAATGAACTTAATGAACATTATGAACACTCAGTCCTTTACGCCCTCAGAAAGCAAGCTATTAATGGTATAGATGAATTCTGAAAAACTTTGGATCAACTTCTAATTACAATTTTAGGAAATGTTCAAAGGCTTGGGACACTCTTTCTTCCGGTAATGCGATATTCATACAAAGTTTCTCTTTTTCTAACTTTTCTTTAACTACAGAAAGCTATTCAAAAACCGACTAAAATGGCTTCAGATTGTTTTCGATGGAAAACAATGAACAGTTTAGATCTTTCACAATGCCTCATTTCCGATGAGCAATCAAGACTTTTAAATACTGAAAACGGTATGCAAGTTATATGTATTAATAACAATTTATGAAACTGAAAGCCGCTAACTACTTTTAGCGAATACTAATATTGATGTCTGCGTTACCAAACAAATTGAAGAAAACTCTCCCGACAATACCCAAATTAAAGAAGAAGAGGGGGTAGAATTCTACTCTTGGTCATCTTCTCCGAATCTCAATACAAATATCCCCCTATTGACACATCTGGACCAGCAAGATCTTGAAAGGCTAGCCGAAGTAGAACCTGTTTCTGCTTCTGTTCTAAGTGAAAACGAACTAATAAGAAAAATTGATCAACAAAAAAAACCTAATGATACAACGACTTCTATTTCACAACCAGAAATAGATTTTTCTCGAATAGTTTCATCAGTTGAAACACAACGTGAGAGGTCAGGACATATCCAAGACCAACAAGGAACTCCAATCCAAAGATTTGTTGAAATTCCTGACGGTCATATCTCTGACGGTGAAAGTAAATCGAAGCCGCCAGATACTATAGAGTTGTTTGATGCTCAAGAAGACTCGGAAGACGACCTAGCAGAAGTAGAGGAGCTTGAGATATTTCCATCTTTATATAATCAAAAGACTGAGAGAAGCCATGAAACTCGGAATATTAATCCGAAATTTTCAAAAGAAGCTGAAAATTCTATCATTACAAATACGCCGCTTAATTTTGAGAAAAGTTTAGACATGTCGCAGCATGAGCTACGATATCTGCGACGACCGATATCAGATTACAACTTTGATCTTGGTATTCAAAATGAGCTTACAACAATTTATGAAGACTACGTAAAAGAAAATGAGCGCTTGAGAAGAGTTAAAAAGCGACGAAGTCAACCGTCTGCTCAAACTTCGCTAGAGAAAACGGATTCGGAGAATGCCTTCCTTACATTTTATAAAGACTGGATTAGGATAGCTAAACATCGAAAAGAAAAAGGAAACATCAAGATTCAAAGTAAAAAGGAGGGTTAATACACTCCTGATAGAGCGAGGATGCTCGTTCCCAATGGTACCGGTATAAACTGGTTTCCGTCAGACATGTAATATTCATTGCTATGTACATTAAAGTTGCATTGATAAAAAGAAATACATATTTTGTTACCACAATCACAAATAAGATAACTAATAGCAAATAGCTTCATGGTATAGAAGCCGGTAGGGTAGGAGTGAATGTGTGATCATAGGAGCAAATTCATATCAAACATCGAAATATAAATTTAGGAACAAATAAGTTTTGACATAAAAATCGCATATATTAGTAATTTCGTTCATCCTAGCATGCGCATGTGCCGCCAGATGGTGGATTTGGCCAAGATTCTGAAAGATTCACACCTCGAGGAGCGTTTCCTCTTGCCTGATTAAGCTTGTCTTCAAGAGGTAACTTTTTAGAAATTGTTGTAAATAGCTCGTTTACATTTTCAGCAGTTTTGGCGGAAGTCTCAAAGAACAACAAATTGGCTTCAGCAGCATAGGCTTCAGCATCTGATTTCTCAACAGCTCTACGCTCGTGAGCAAGATCTAGCTTGTTTCCGGCTAATGCGATAATAATTCCCTCTGGAGCTTGGCGCTGTAATTCTTTAATCCATGATTTTGCTTTTTCCAAAGAAGACTAATATCCACAAGTCAGTCAACGTCATTCAAGAGATATCTTTGAATTACTTACAGCTTGAGTAATATCATAGACCACGATTGCACAATTAGCATTGCGATCTAAAATTCGTTTTGTTAGCAGATTTTCAAGAGTGCATTCATTTATATGTATATATACATACAATACATAGGGGCTAAGGATTTATAGCGTTCCTGACCAGCAGTATCCCTGTAAATGCGTTAGTATTCATGAAAACCAGAAAACAAATACTCCATACCAAATCTCAAGCTTTACAGATGTACTGTCGTCTATGGGAACAGTTTGAGTTAAGAAGGCAGCTGTAAATTTCTAGTTAGCAACATAATTCTGATATTGCCGACGAAACTCTCGTCAAAAATATCTACCTCCAATAGTGCTTTCTCTGTAATCTATAACATTGAGTTAGAATCGTATTATTTTACTTCTGATACAAGTGCTTATTCATACCATCGAATTGATCTTTTACGAAACGAAGAACGAGACTACTCTGTACGCAAATACTGTAAGCGATCGTTCAGATATATTAAGGAATCCTTATTTACAAGAAACATACTTTTCCAACAGCGGAATCACCTAAAAGCACAAGCTTTTGGTTCACAGTAACGACATTTTTAGGCACTGGATTACTAGCCATCTTGAAATTCACTCAGTAGAACTAACAATTGATGGAAAATAAACAATCCTTGAAATAAATTAAGATGATGGTAGATGGCAAGTTCGTATACGCCGAGGCGTCTCAAATCAGGTTCGCTTAGGAGAATACGGAATCCGACCACATTCCTTTATCGTGACTAAAGCAAACGACAATGCAACGTTAGTAAACAAAAAATAGATGAAGACGTAGTTTTTGGTGAAAAACGCGAATGGAGTATATGACAGGAAAAGTATAAAAGAATTGCTATTTTCTTTCTTTCAGGAGAGGATTGAACAAATACAAAGGGTAGACTTTGGTTGAAATATACATAGAACCAACAGGTCATTCACTAATTTGGTAGTACATGCAGTATCTTATCCCCAAAACGTATAAAAACAATTTCTAAACACTTAGGTCCTATTTAACGAAAGGAACTTTCTTTTGACAAGTCAGATAAAGATTGAGTTGTATACAACACTTTTTAAGGCTTTCCAAACATCTCAGCACAGTACAACCCTGTAAACGAAGGAATCCAATTCCAAGAGGATCTACTAGAGAATGACATCTTCAGAATCTGACGTTGAAGACTACATGTCTATGAAGTTTGATTCTGCTCCTTCAACGTTGCTGAGCAACGAGGAAAAGCGAGATGTAGAATCGAAAGAACGAGGTTTCCAACCAAGTCAAAAGACATTAGAATATGAAAACTTTAAAAAGGCAATTTCAGAGTCCGTATCTGAAAGATCTGCGGGTTCGAAAAAGGCTCTAGAAATGATGAAAAAAATGGGTTACAAGTAAGTTTACTGGACGGGGAGGGGATTATTTGGATGTGCGTTTTCACTCTCTACCCGTACAAATGTCCTATGACATGCATTTTATTACTAGAGACATACCAGCTAATACCAATGATATAGGTCCGGTTCAGCATTGGGTGTGGAAGAAAAAGAAGAAGAGGAGCCTTTATATGTTGAAAAAAAGCAAGACAAGGGTGGTATTGGTTACGAAAATGACAAGAAACGACGATTAGAGGACATCATAAAGGAAGAACGTCTCGATATAGAAAAACAAACGAAATCGATCAACGAATTTTCGACTGAGAAATCAAAGGAATATTTAGAGAAGAAATTGGCGAATCAGTGCTCTTCTGCTCAACGTGTTCTCGAAAAACTAGAGACCAATGAACTTGAAAAATCCGGGTTGGAAATGACAGCTGAAAAGGCGCATCCATATTATCGTTCCTTACTATTAAGAAAAGAACAGGATTTAGAGGAAAGAGTTAAACGAAAACGTCTTGCTAGCCGCGTCCCGCTCGCCCAATTGGAAACTGCATCAGGATCAGATGTCCCTGAACAATTGGAATCAGAGCCCACTAAAATGGATAAAGAATTTCATTATTTTGAATCCCTAACGGTAAGTCAGCCTAGAATTCTCGTTTGTGAAGAACATATAAAACACTATAAAGATGGACCTATACTGTCATAATCTGCGACGACTGCTTCTTGCTGTCGGTTTTCAAAAATGAATGATTATTATTCTACGTCTGAAGATGATTTTTCGTTAACTATTGCTAACGTTATTTGCTAGGAGCTGGAAAAGTTGAGTACAGTTTTACTTTATCTTCGAAGAAAATACTTTTACTGTCTCTACTGTGGATTCAGTTACGATAATTTGGAGGATTTGGAAACGAACTGTCCCGGTGTTTACGAAGACGACCATGACTGATTCAGGATAGGAAATGTTAAAGGGTAATGAAAGCCTCTTAGAATAATTTATTTTTGAAAAATATAATAACAGATTGTTTTCTTTTTTTTCTGTCTTCCTTTTTCTTTATTCTTAGTATGCTGATATCGTCTAAGATTCCTCGTACTTGCATGTTTCTTCTACAAGCCACTACTGCAAGACACACAATCTCCAACCTGGAATGTTTGAATTTGAACTTTTTTTCGCTATTTAAAGCAAAGAGCATAAAATATATATCCTTTGGTCAATGTTGACATGTTAAATGGCAAACTTCTCATCAAAACAGACTAGTTCTATGGATGGTACGCATTCTATATCAAATCAATTACATCTGTCGGAAGTAGCAAACGAGGATGAAGCTTTTCCATTTAAAGAAAGAAAAGATGAAATACTTCATATGGATTGTGAGTTCAATGATTCTCTTTCAACAATGAATGACACATGGCAACCAATGGAAGTGATTACGAGCTCCAAGTCTGCGTTGGAAGACGAAGATCCACTGAGTGGCTTCTCATGTCAGGCAGGTGAAAATATTAATCAAGAGTTGTCTACAGATGCTCAATATACGCGCGTTTATCGAGATGAAAACGAAGATCAAAAGCATCAGCTTGATGGCAATGCTATGAAGGTACTCAATATGAATGACAATAATCAGGATGAGTTAAATATGGAGAATCAAATGGGTTTTACTGGTGGTATTCTGACTGAATCAGAAAAAATGGCATACGCTGGCGTATGCAGATTAGCAATATTGGTGATGGTAGATAATGTCGCTCGACTAACGTCTTTTTCTTGGTATCGAGGCGAATGCAAAAGTGCACTTGAAAATATTATTGTTTGGGCTGACAAGGTTACGGAAAACTTATATGAACATTTAGGGATTACTAAAGAAGAACGAAAGATGATTGAAAACCTGCAGCGACATTCTGTCTCATTACAAGACCTTGCCAAAATTCTTATCTCGTCAAATCATGTAACGTCAGCTTCAGATATTTTGGAAGATGAGGACTTGATTGATGAAACTGGTTTATCAGACATTGAGTCATCTGAAGAAGTACGAATTGACGTTCGATGGACTGTAATTTGCGATCTTTTCCTTGTGTTAATATCCAAATCTATCTATGATGCTCGTTCACGAGTTCTTTTACACTATGTGGGCAAAGTATTGGGTTTGGACTCGTTGGAAATTACAAAGTTTGAGAAATATATAATTGAGACCATTGAAACTGATCATGTAAATGAATTAGACATGGGATCAAGCTCAAACAGTGAAGCTGTCGTTAAGTTTCGTAAAAAGTTTTCAAAGCGTCGCAAATATGTCTTGATGGGTTTGGCAGGTGTCGGTGGAGGTCTAGTCATTGGTCTCTCATCTGGTCTGCTAGCTCCCTTTATTTCTGCTGGCATAGGAGCTGCATTTACTACTGTTGGTTTGAGTGGTGTCGCATCCTCTGGTTTCTTGGCCGGCGGAGGAAGCGCGGCCTTAATTACAGTCGGAGGTGTTTTGTCAGGAACGCATCTGGGAACCACCGGAATGGCACGTCGAAAAGCAGATGTCAAAACTTTTGAGTTTCGGCCACTACATGCCAACGGACGGTCTAATGTTGTTGTTACTGTGTCTGGATGGATGTCAGGTAAAGAAGATGATGTGCGCTTGTCCTTCTCTTCTCTTGATCCAATTGTAGGTGACGTGTTTTCCGTCCTCTGGGAACCAGAAGTGCTTGCGTCTGCTGGTCAGACGATGAACATTTTAGCTACCGAAGTCGTGACTCAGTCATTGCAACAAGTGTTGGGTTCCACAGTACTGGTATCATTGATGGGTGCTATGCAAGTACCGTTAATTTTAACCAAACTGAGTTATTTAATAGATAATCCTTGGAATAACTCTTTGGATCGAGCTAAATCCACTGGTCAGTTACTCGCCGATTTATTGTGCTATAGATACTTAGGAGTCAGACCGGTAACACTGGTAGGCTATTCACTGGGTGCTCGCGTGATATATTACTGTCTGAGAGAATTAGAAAAGAAAAAAGAGTTTAGTGTGGTGGAAAACGTGTATCTCTTTGGTACTCCTGTAATCTTTAAGCGTTCTTCTTGGCTAAAAGCCAGTTCAGTCGTAGCTGGACGTTTTGTGAATGGCTTTAAGAAAAATGACTGGATTCTTGGTTATCTGTTCCGTGCTACTTCAGGTGGAATAGGACGTGTTGCTGGATTGAGGAGTATTGACGATATTCCTGGCATGGAAAACATTGATGTTACTGATATAGTTCCAGGTCATTTAGCTTACCGGGAAGTAATGCCGGAGCTGTTATCTATAATTGGATTTGAGTTACTTAATGAAGAACCGGATCTAGTGCAGGAACCAATACCGGAATCTTTGCAAGAGCGACAATCTGAGTTACTACATGAAGTTGAAGCGGAAGAGTGTCAAAAAAAGCAACAAGAACTGATTGCCCGTACTATGAAAGCCAAAGGACGCAAATATACACCAGAGAATACTTCTATTTATCGCAGCCTTAAAAAATCTAAAAAAAAAAGCGGTTCATCTTCGAAACCTTAGGGAGACTGGAATCCCATAATATTTTAATTCGAAGCTTCTGTTATCTAATATGATTGTCACGATAATCTAGTTTAATAATGAAATTGTAATGTGCATTAACTAAAACTTTATGTATAATCTAAAATTCATAAGTTATTATGCGATTGGAAAAAAAAAAAAAAAAATGTGGCATCATCATTAAATAAATAGTTCGAAAGGTCAAATCAGTCAAATACTTATTGTACTTAATCCAACATGACAAAAAGAAATAAAAAGACATCAATCTATATCATTGTTTGGCGTGAAGCCATAGCTCCCTAATGTTCGTAAAAAATTCGACATGGACGTTTGCGTAATCGTTTATCGCACTAAGCATTTCGCTTTGACGGACGTTATCAAAGAGTTTTGACTCCTCCCGAACACGTTGATTAAATGCTTCGTGTACAATCGATGCTTCTTGAATAGCCTGCTCCACAGCTTGTAGTTCTGACTGAACCTGCTCTAATCGCTTCAGCCGAGAATCATTGTGATCAACTCCACGCAAATCATCAAACGTTTTAGAAAAGCTAAATCCGTTAGAACCCCCGGATGATATTTTATCTCTTTCTAAAGATAGTTTTGACGAATATTCCTGCAAAGCCTCCACATCCTGCTGCTTTTGGTCACGGCGTTTCAATAGCTCCTTGAGAGACTGGGCATAAGACTGAACATCCTTGATTGTATCAAGTAAAAGAGTTAGCTTTTCAATTAAAAATGAGTACTCTTCACCTGTTTTTTGAAGAGCTTGATGTATGGATTCGACGGGAATTTCGAGTGTTTGGTCTAATGAAGCCAGTCGATCAAACTGGGCAGAAACATCTTCGTAGTCAGTTTCAAGAGTTTTCTCAAGACGAACAATTCTTTGAATGGAAGTTTCGAGGTTAGAGATACCCAACATGAACTGTTGCACGTGATCCCGCTGGATATCAAATTCAGTAGGCTCTTCCTTAAGCTTTGAGAAGGCGTTTAGTAATGAGTCAGAAAACTCATCCAACTTCGATGTAGTGTTTAATTTTGGCTGAATGAAATAGCGAACATAGTTGTTCCAGTTTGGATTCTCTAAAAAGGCAATGAAGTGAGGAGAGCGATGTAAAACTGGATGAAAAGCGCAACGGGTGATGTAGCGATTTAAAAGACTGGCCCTCCTATATATAAAGTTATCAGAAAATCGATTTCCTTTTATGTATTCTAAAAAGTTGTTAGGCAAAAGGGCGAAATGATGGAAAACACGTTTACAACACATACCTAGTTTATGTTTAGCAGGCAGTGGTGGAACAACACAATCTTCATTTAAACGAGATAATATTTCCTGAAGCTTGACAAAATCAGAAAATCGGCGTCGTACTTTACATTCTGGTCGTGTGAATAGGGGTGAATTCGTCTTCATATCATTGTTAGTATTCCATTGCAAGGATTCATAAAATGAAATAAAATTTACCTTTGTAATTATTAGATAAGAAACATGTGCATCGCGTGAACCTTGCAGCTCCTTTCTAGGTTCTGTTACGGAACATTCTAAAAAGGAAGTTGAGATTGGAGCAGGATTCTCTGAATTAGTAGAGCTTAACATAGAAGACGGCAAATCAAAATGATAGGAATATGAGATTCCAAAACTATTTACTTCGACAAGGTGTTATAAAGGCCGCTAACGAGGGTACTTATCACAAACGTATTCAAAGGGAAGAGAGAAAGAAACTCCTAATGAGACAACAAAAGGTCACTGTTCCTTCAAAAGCTGCAAGATGAAGAAAAAAGTCGAATGCCTAGCCGTAACTTGTCAGGAAGCAGAAGTTACGATTCGTGTAGTTTATGAGGATTAACCGTTGTTAGGAAATGTACATGCGGTTCAGGATGTGTTGATACAGGATTTTAGTAAAATTAGCTTGTTTTGTTCACAGAGAATGCCAAACTTATGCTTGTTTAGAGATAGCGTTGGATGCGAGGTTGGTTCTAGTTTCCCGTGGTATATGCGATAGATGAGAGGAGTGTTCGAGCAGGCTGAGGGCGTCGAAAAGAATTTAGAATCAACAGGATTCTGTAAATCCTTAAATAAAGAAAAGTTGGTTTTTCGATAAATTCCTTTTTCTTGAATGTATGTGGTGGTTGAAGTGTCAGAGTTGTTGGATGGAATGAATGCCAACAGTACTAGTATAAGAGCATCTGTTGGTATATTGTATATAATTATGTACTAAATACACTTAGAAATTTCCTCTACAGGAAGACTGTGGTAGGCTTGATGCGACTTCGAATTTATGGTTCAATTGATTCATCGACATTTGTGAGTCTTGTTCGTTAAATGAGACAATTGAATATGCAAAAGTTGTACAGCTTTCCTTCCTTCTTTTTTTCAATTAAAATAGTTTAATTGCTACAGTTTACCGTTGGTCTGTGTTTTCGTTTTTAAAGGGTTTCTAAATACTGCTAAGGGAAGCCTAGTTTTAAGGCTTCTTTGAACCGTAGTTGACAGCTGAATAAATTGTTTTTTTTAAAAAATTTAACTACTATCTAAATATTTTGCATCAGATTTCTTCAATGAAGCAAGTTTCTTAAGGAAAAAGCTATTCGATCTATTGAAGCTACACACCTTTGCGAGAAAAAATAAGTTCTTCAATTTCAAGAAGAAAAATTTTTGAAAAATAAAAGAAATTTGTATCGCGTTTGGTATGGACTACGCAAATTCGCTGATTTTTAATGTGTAAATACTTCAGTCTCAGAAGTTATGAACTTGCCATCAGAATTTGAATAACCAAGTGAAAAATGTAATTTCTCTTTATTTTTTTTTATATTTTATTAAAAAGCTTTATATTCCATCTTTAATGAATTCCTTTCTTCTTTCATAGACCAAAATGCAAAATGTAAACAAAGGGAATTTTCGTATACGTAAATGTAAACAAATGAATACGTAAGTGGTCGGTTTGTTTACATAAATATATAAACATGTAGGATATCAATTGTTGCGACTTCGTATTTCTGTTTTATAAAAAAATTTCATAAAAAATTTGAAACAATTGGGATCAAGTTGATCTGCTTTTATTTGCAATGAACGAAGTAAGAGTTAGGCGTTGAATTATTCTGTTAGAGAGCATCTTCCTTACAATCTTAGAAAGGTAGTGAAAAATTTAGGATAACAAGATTAATAATAAATCATTTCTGCAATATATTCGTTAAAGATAGAGCTGCTAGATGAACGTAAAAATGTTTGTACTATAAGAAAACTCCGGAACAATACACTGGAAAGAAAGATCATGGATTTACATGAATAAAAAACGAAAATAGCTCTGAACAATAGTCAGTAAAGTGATCATTTCGTATGAACCTAGCAACAAGGATCTTGAAGAATAAGATATCAGTCCAACCGTACCAAAGTAGCTGTTTATTTGGTAGCTTCTACTTGGAAAGCATGAAAGTTGATGATGGATACAAGCAGTAGCATGCTTTCCTATAACGATGAAGAGACAAGTACGTTTATTTCGTCTTCAAGTCACCTACTGCCATCCATTGCATTGATACAATATGATAATAGACAGATTTGCAACAAGAGTACTTTTAAACTCATTCTCAAAAAATATTAAAAAGAATACTCCGGTTTATTCATCTTTTAAAAAAAAAGACCATTTATGAGGATTGAAAATGAACGCGTAAACGGAGTTTTCCTTATGAAGAAGCTCTCGTTTTAAGTACAATATCAAGCTAGTAAACACTCTTCTAAGGTAAAAGAAGATTCAATTGATAGATAAAAGATTTTTACAAGCGCGAATGAATCCGACGAGTCATAGAAATCCTATATAGTAAACGGAGAGTATAAAAACATTTCCCAGTCATAAGAAAATTCCAAAAATTGCCAGAATAGTTTGAAGAAAGCGAGAAAAAAAAGAAATAGCTCCATTCATGAATGTAGCTCTTTCCTGTGTCTTTTCCGGTACCTTTCAACAAAGGTTGAAAGGAATAAAACAATGAATTTTGGAGCACTCCCAAATAAATGTCGTCACAAAATATGAATATGTTTTATGTTTCTTCGACATCCATCAATCCGGTATTTCTGAGTATTACGACAGCAGTAAGTGGGAATTTTGATTCCATCCAAGAGTAGCACTTCATGAATAAATCCGTATTTTTAAAATAAGTATTGGTTTTTAATAAAAATAGTTAAAATGTAAGATTGAAAAGGGCTTGATCTTCGGTTTGCAATCGACAGGTGGCTACACTTAACCAAACGTTTTCTTTGTACTTATTAAAAAGTTCATGAGTCTACTAGAAACGAAACGCATTTTGGCCATCCAGGTAAATTGTAGAGTTTGGATATAAAGATCTAACTAAAAAGTCATCGGTTTGTCACGGTTATGTTGGTAATCGTTCTGCTACATTTCCCTTGCAACTTTTGGGTTGGGATGTGGATGTTATACCTACCGTAGAATTGTCAAACCATGCAGGTACGCTCTTACGGAAACGTCGTTCTACAAGAAATCTAACCCTCCTAAGGCTACCCAATTGTTAAAGGAAGAACGTTAGATGCCTCTAATATTATGGACTTATACCAGGGCATAAGCCTTGCTAATCCAAATGGATACAATTGTCTTTTGACAGGCTATTCAAGAGGAAAAGAATGCGTAAAAACTATTTTTGAGATCGCGAAACTTGTAAAAGAGAAAAGCCCGAATGTCATTTGGGGTATGATCTATCACCTTTACGTTTATGATGAATTTTCCTATACTAAATTTCTTTATCTTTAGTGCTAGATCCAGTCTTGGGAGACAATGGAAAACTTTATGTCGAAGAAGCAATACTTCCTTTATATCGTTCCATGTTGCCTTACGCGGATCTAATTACACCTAATGGGTTTGAAGCCGAGTATGGTATTCCATTTCTTTTCCTTGATAATCTAACAGTTGTATAGAGTTCTGACAGAAATGCCAGTAAACTCATTAGAGTCTGCCTATGATTGTATTCAGGTTTTGCACAAGACCTATCATATTCAACATGTAGTAATTTCCTCATTCTTGGCAATAGAGGGAAATAACCGGAACCTCTATTGTTTTTCTTCTTCAGTTGGCTCAAAGCCATTCTATGTGAAGATCCCATTCATCGAAGGATTCTTCTGCGGAACAGGAGATCTGTTAACAGCTTTGCTCGCAGCCCATATCGCTTCCAATGATTTTAAAGAAGATCCGGATCCTTTCAAAAAAGCAGTAGAAACTTCTTTAAGCTCTGTTCATGAAGTAGTACAACGAACTGCTTCTCATGTTGAATCTTTGAGTATGAAAGAACATCATCCAGCACATTCGGAGCTTTCGATCGTAAAAAGTCAACGCAGCATCCTTTCTCCCTCATTTCCGTTAACTGGTATTTATTTCAATAGATCTGAAAACGCTTTATAAGAACTATATTTTTCAAAAGACGATCTCTATTCACTTCTACTCTCTTGATCTTTATACGTACAACATATTTCCTATTTTAATATTTGAGCAACATTTAATCAAAAAGTAAAAGTAAATATATATATATATATATATTTAAACATTCATTATATGAATTTTCACTTTCCTCTTCTTGTTACGTGTCATCTCATCTATTAAGTTGTAATGACTTCCCATAACAACCAAGACTAACCCAGCTTCATCCGCCATGCTATCATTAGACTATAACAACAGATTCATTCACGATATTCTGACTGAACGGTTTCAAACGTAAGCGAAAAATTAAATTATAATGGAAGCTAACCCTTTAGTGCGAATCCGTCGTCAATTGATCAGGTTGTCACAGATTTTGACGGAGTGACCTTTCATATCTCAACTCCCGAGTCGAAAACGAAAATTTTAATCAGTTTGTATATGAAATGTTTCTCCGAATTGGTTAATTACGGCACTCTGGATCTTCTCAACCAAATCTACGGTCCTTACGTTCACAACCCTGTAGAGAATGGATACAACTTCAGTATCGTTATTGACTTGGAGCAGTTACCTTCTACCCAAGAAGAAAGAGAACAACTGATTATTTCCGCTTCTTTATTAAAACGAAATGCTCTTGCAGCTCCATTCCATGGTGCGTTTGCTAAGCAAGCTGAATTGGCTGAAGTAGTAAAGAAAGATCCTGAAAGCACTGTTTTGGTAAACAAGAAGTCGGTTGCTGAAAATCATATGGCTATCCATTACCGTGATGAAGAAATGATTTTCTTATGGCCTGAACACGATCGGGTCACCGTGGTCTTTTCCACCAGGTTTTTGGAAGAAGCAGATAGAATTTTTGGTAAAGTATTTTTACAAGAATTCGTAGACGCCCGTCGCCGTCCTTCTATCCAAACTGCACCACAAGTGTTGTTCTCTTACCGTGACCCTCCTTTGGAAATCCGTGATGTTTGTGGAATTCAAAACGAGCACGATGATACCGGATTCGTAACCTTTGTTTTGTTTGAGCGTCATTTCACCCCTCAAGTCCGGGAGGACTGCATATCGCACATTCAGATTTTCCGCAATACATTGCATTATCACATCAAGGCATCTAAGGCTTATATGCATCAGCGCATGCGCAAGCGTGTTGCCGATTTTCAAAAAGTCCTGAACCGTGCTAAGCCTGATGTGGAAATGGAAAGAAAAACTGCCAGCGGTCGATCCTTTATGCATGCATAAATATGGATGACAACTATCCATGCAGTCTTTTTCTATTTGCTGATGAAAAGGATTATGCATCGCTTTTTGTAATATCCTGTTATCCTTAAGGAAACAGGTCAAGAAAAACTCGTAAGTTGAAAAGCTTCTACTACGTTATAGTTTATCTTTCCACGAATTTTGATTATGCGCTTATGTGTTATATAGCTGGATTCTATCTTTCTAATGAATTATTCTTTTAGCCGTTGATTGTAGAGTGCGCTGATAGATTAAAATTAATCCAAGTTATTCTTACATTTCATTTGAATCAATCGTGATTGAGCATGACGTGTAGAATTGTGTATTAAAATCGTTTCTTAAATACTTGCTTTCTTGCAGAGAAAAGTATATGTACATGGCATGCCGTCAAGACGAAAATCTTGCTTCATTTAAACTGCTTATATTCACAAAGGGAAAAGAGGAGTTGTCAAAAATTCAATACTGTAAAGACTATTCGAATAACCCGTTTTAACATTATAATGAACCATAAAAAAACCCTATTATTCTCTTTTCATTATCGGTTGATAAATACATTTGTTCAAGTCCAAAACGCCTGCCTGCAAGTGTTGACCGTAAAACAGGATAAGCAACTCTACATTTCACGAAAAGAAAGTCGGCGACGATTGTCTGCCGCATTCGACTCATATTTACGTTTTCTCCTCCTGCTGGTTTCTGTTGAATCATCTAGATCGTAGTTTACAGAACGAGCATTAGGACTGGTAAGAGAAGAAAGGGAGAATAAGCGATCTGACTCTACATATTCTGAGCGACGACGTAAATTTGATCCAGTGGCTTTCAGTAATCCATCGAAGCCACGGATGATATTTCCTGTCCCGGATGTCTTTTCAAGATAGTTTCCCTCTAGCTGATACAAGGAGTCTTCAATATCCATCAAGGAAGTCTCCAGATCTTGACGCTTTTCAAGCATCTCATGCAATTCCTTTTTACAACTTTCATAATAGGAGGGATTTGCTATCTCTTCCTACATGTTTTCTTGGTTAGTTTTCAAAGAAGGAAACGTGCTATGGACGACTTTCAGAATAACAACCAAATGTCTTTGATTTTATCCGTAAATAACTTGTGAAAGAACATTGCTGGTATATTTACGTACAGACTTGTTGACTTTTATATTGGAATCAGACATTGCTGAACAATGTTTGACACCGCCTTCGCTAACTTTCAAATTAAGATTTGATGCCTAAATTAACACTTTAAACAAATTTTATAAGGAATCTAGTTCTCTGAGCTCCCTTTCCCCTTCTTATGCAGTTTCGTTGGTGTCTTGAAGTACTTCTCTTGAAGAAAAGAGTATGATATCGTAGTAAGACCATTTAAGTATGTTTTTATTTTTTGCTAAAATGTATTCATAGAAGCGTAATGTGATTTGAATAAGAATCGTATTTCCTCTTGAAATTCAATTCTCTAAAACTTCGCAGTCCGCATTTCCGAAAACGTCTGTTCATCGAACCCTGGTCATTCTCAAATCTGTGATGTTCATAATGGAATCAACTTATGAGCATGGATAGGGCTTAGAGAAAGAAATTGAATCTCTTCATCCTTCCTTATATCCATCACGAGCAGTCGCGCATGGCCATTCTGAGTTGCTTCCTATTACGCCGAGCCTGTATATAACGGAGACCAAAGATTGCCAAAAAAATGAGAAAAACCAAGTTTTTATTGAAAATCTTTTAGCAAACGATGAAACTTTATAGGCTTCCTACGATCCTCTCTGTGAGTAACCTAGCTTGATTTGCGAGTTGTTTCGTGACTAGGGAACGCAAAGTTTACAAGAAGTAAGAAACAATCATTATAATTTTATTCTATATTTTAAATAAAATATGTAGCTCGTATGAACAACACTTGTAAAAGGACAAGCAATATGATGCAGAACATTGTATGGACAATCAGAAACAAAAGAAAACGGGTGCTAATACAAGTTTTATAACTGTTACACATTTTAAAATATTCACACAAGAAGTTTTCTTGTAAATCTTATCCAGCTAGGCATGGGACATTTGCATCCTTTCTTCCTCTCATCCAATGCATTGATATTAACTTTCAGAACCAGAATACAGCATATCTGCCCTTTTTTATATATGAAAACATTTCAATCATTAATTCTATTTTAACATTCCTCCTATTTATACTTTCTATATGCCTGCTATAGATACGAAACGTCTCCTTCGTTTATTGCCAAAATCAAAAGAAGAACAATCAGAATGTGTTTCTCGACTGCGATATGAGGTGATGCTAGACAAAATTGAATCTGATATAGATGGAATTTCTCATGTGCGTCCTTATATTTGGAGCGTTTTGTTGAACTCTCCCCCTCGTAGTGCGGATGAGTATATTCACTATGTTCGCCAAGGTCCTTCTCCCATGGCTCAGAAAATCCAAAATGATGTTTCTAGAACATTGGTCGTTGAGACAAGGTTCCACGCCCGTGTATCCCAAGCTTCCTTATCCCGTGTATTAAATGCCTATGTTTGGAAACGAGGTGCCATCTATGTCCAGGGCATGAACGTACTAGCTTCTCCTTTTCTATACGTTTGCAAAAGTGAAAGCCAAGCATTTCATCATTTGGATAGACTCTTGCAACGTGAGTGTCCTCAATACGTCTTGCCCAACATCGATGGCGTCCATAGAGGAGCCAAGGTACGTGGATTGAAATTTTCAATTCTAAAGGTTTAAAGGAAATGCATATATACTAACTAAGAATAGCTTCTTGATAAATGTCTCGAAACGGTTGATTATCCTCTTTACTCTCATCTTTTATCTAAAGGTTTAACCGCCAAACTGTATGCTTTGCCTTGTATGTGAATTTGAATGAAGACAAGTCGGCCTCATTTAGAAAAGAATATGATTCTCTTCAAACTGTTTACGTTCTGTCTACTAACTTTCTAGCCATCCTCACACTTAGCGCATGCACAGCGCCTCTTACAGAAGCGTTAGCAATTTGGGATTTTTTGTTTGCTTACGGAACACATCTTAATATCCTCTGTGTTATTGCACAGCTGCTTTTATTTCGTGACCAATTGCTCAACCATTCAAGGTATGGAAATAAAAAACTCAGTGATCTTGGAATGTAGCATATCACCTTAACATAAATCTGCTCAAGGAAACAAAAACAAACCCCTATTCGTCTTCATTTCATACACAACTTTCCTCCATCTTACTGTTTTTTTCCACTACTGATCACTGCAGTTCGTTATCGTCTTTTACACTTGCTAACAAATTAGCCCAATGCATCTATTACGTACTTTTCCGGATCTAGACGCTGAAAAAATAACGGGGCTCACCATTGTCCTTATAACCAAAATACCACAGGAGCTTTATAATCTATTAGCGCGCCATCCCTGGGATCCGGAAGCAGGTATAGTGATCGACCGTTTGGAACCGTTTCGACGTTAGGTTAGGGTAAGGGAGAAACCAGTCACGACGGTATTCACAAGGAAAAAAGGAGCGCATGAGTTTCTTTAAGCACCACCTCTCACTCGCGTTGCACCTCAACCAAAAAACAACAAATTAAATCAAAATGGGTCGTATGCACAGTAATGGAAAGGGTATGGCATCCTCTGCTTTGCCCTACGTTCGCTCTCCCCCTGCCTGGTGCAAGGCTGATGCCGAATCTGTTGTCGATCAAATCGTCAAGTTCTCCAAGAAGGGTATGTCCCCTTCTCAAATTGGTGTGACTCTTCGTGACTCTCACGGAATCCCTCAAGTTCGCTTCATTACTGGTATGTTTAATAATTGGTTGGTATTCGGAGTCAAAAAATTGCGATGAAAAATTTTCAGTATCTCTGAATTACCAAGTAACTCGATTTGGGAACTAAATGCTAACTTTTCTTAGGTCAAAAGATCATGCGTATCTTGAAGGCTAATGGTATGCCCTTAATTACATAGTTTAATATGCCTCTGTTTGGTTTTGTGTGCTGACAGAGTGATAGGTCTTGCTCCCGAGCTCCCCGAGGATCTCTACAATCTTATCAAGAAGGTAAGTTAATCACACAAAGTTTTTTGCAACTGCTTGATTTGTAGTTGCAATTGTTTGATTAGTTTTTATACTAACAACGGTAGGCCGTTACCGTTCGTAAGCACTTGGAGCGTAACCGTAAGGACAAGGACTCCAAGTTCCGTTTGATTCTCATCGAGTCTCGTATTCACCGTCTTGCTCGTTACTACCGCAAGGCTGGTGCTCTTCCTCCTACCTGGAAGTACGAGTCTGCCACTGCTTCTGCTTTGGTTGCTTAAGCTTGTCAGACAACGGCAAAGTGAATTCTTGGTTGAAATTTGCTTTTGGGCTTGAAAATAAGATTGTTATCATAAAAACTTAGTGAAGTGAGACTGTAAGCTGTGTAGTTGTAATTGTAATGATTTGTACACGAGTATGAAAAAAAAAAATAGTTGCAATATAAAAGCAATTTGTAAATAGCATGAATGGCAACCATCTGTAGCCTAGATCAATATATCACTGACTGTCCAAATGTTATAGAAATATCGAAATCTTTCGATTCGTAAACATGTAAACAGTAGAGGGGAATCACTTCTGCCGTTAACGACTACCAGAGGTTTTGTCAAGGATATTGACGCTCTAACGGGGTATTAGCCCTTATTTATCTACCGCTTTTTGGATTTATTTTATTACATTCTTCTGTAGAAGTTGAGTTTTATGTGAGTTATACTCGCGAAGCTGCGATATAATGAAGATCTGGTTTCGATAACTTTTCTTCAGTCGTTCTTTTAATTGTTTGGTTATTATGGGAATTATAAATTTACGATTTCAATTGCATATCCAGTTTTTTATTTTTGTCATTTTATATTTACTTTGTTGTGTTTCTCCAGTTCTTTCTTTTGATGTTTCCTTCTTGGGCCCTTTCTCGGGATTCAATTATTTATCACAACCTATTTTTTCTTCTAATGCCTCATATCAGCTTTACAAACAGTACAAAAATGGATCATGGAATCCGTTGTATTTTCCGCTTCCTTCTTTGAATGATCATTGCTTTACTACAATTCCCAATACTAATAAAGTCTATGTACCCATTTTTGATCGATCGGAAACCATTTTGACAGTCCATGAATTATTTTCCAACACATCCCATGAGCTCCTTTCCCGTGATAATTCCTCAATTTCTTCTCGTCTGCATTCTATTTTTTGTAACAATTACTCCCCCTTTCTATATGGTTTAACCAATGCATCAAACTCATCTAGCAACATTACTGAACTCTATCGCTGGAACCTAACTGATGATTTGCCTACTGCTGAATATATGTACTCATTCGATGGCAATGTCTATTCCGTTTCACCAACAGCAACTAATGAAATTTCCGTGCAGGGAGATTTTACTCATAGTACACCCTTTATGCCCACAAGAGATGTTCAATTAGCTAAGTTTGGCTTTCGATCTCTTGACCCACTATCAGAAAAGTCTCATAGTACTTCTCTAATGGATATGTCTTGTTACTCGGATACTTCGTTATATATTTGGGATATATCTAATTCCAATTCTGTATCTCTTAATGCTTGGACGCTTTATCAAACAGAATTATATTCCGTTCGGATTCTCATCAATAAAAACGCTTCCTCTTCAGCTACCTCATTTCATTTGACTGATCCATATAATGACTCTGTTCTACCTTTGACATACAAAACAACTTCTGGTTTCGAAAAGTGTACTATGAATTGCCCCTTAAATTCATCAAACGAGTACCAAGACTTTTACTTTCCTGAAGGTTGGACTTCCTGGCAAGTAAATGTGCATCTTTTTAATGAGGCTCCTAGTAGTGATTTAGTTGCTGTGCGGGGGATCCAGTTTTTTCAAAAAGACGCCATTGCTTACTTTGAAGATTCCTTCAACCAGCATGCTTGCCATATTCCTGGATATAATTCTTTTTCTAAACACACCGGAAATTGGGAACTTTCGTCAAAAAATGCATCTATGCCTTATTGGACTTCACAGCCTTCTACAGAGAATGTTTCGGCTGCATTTATACCAAATATAATCTATTCATTAAATGCTTCGTTGGAGTTAATGATTCCTGGCTGTCGTTACGACGACACTTGCTCGAATCGGCATGATGCTGTTGTCAAAGTTTATTATACTGCGGACACTTCTCCATTTGAAACAGTCATCTCTCAGCGGTACTTAAATGATCAATATGTTAAGATATACAGTGGCTTTCTGCAAGGTTCATCTTCATCCTTTCGTCCTTACGTAGAAATTCTACCTTCTGAAAACCATAGCTTGGTGGCACACTCTCTTCGTTGTCAAGAAAACATTTGGGATAATAATACAAATGGGTTTTCAGTTATCTCGTTTTCTAGTTCAAATAACTTGATGAAACCTAATAGCAGCCTTTTCACGCTTGAGGATTTATCAAGCAGTTCTGTGAATGCGGTTCGAAGTTGTTCTTTAGGCTTATGTATTGGTGGAGATTTTAATTCTAAATATGGTAAAAATCTATTATATATAAATTCATCCGGAGTTCCAATGTCGTTTCCCGGTCAAGGCATGGACGGATCGGTTACGGATATACTTGACTATGATGGTGTTACATATGTTTCGGGATTATTTGGGTCTCTTAACGACAAAAGCCAAGTCTTAAATAATGTCGCTAAATTTAATAGCGGTGCCTGGCAACCTCTTGGCTTTGGCACGAATGGGGCAGTCGAACATATACGCAGTACAACTCTTTTTAAGTCTGGTATACCAGTAACCTACGTTTCTTTTTTGGGAAATTTCACAGCTATCTATAGCATAGAAAACTATGCAATACCCGTCGATGGATATGCATTATGGGATCCTTCATCGCAAAGCTGGGTGAAAAATACTGATTTGAGTACGTATTTTTCTGGAAATATCCAGAGTATTGGCATAAAGAATGACTCATGCATAGCTTTGGGAAAGCTTAAAGCTCTTGCGGATCACTCAACAAATAATGCTATGTATTTTTCGACGTCTAAAGCTGTCAATTCTTTTGTTCCTTCTTATTTACAATATATTCCGCCAGACTTACACCTTCAGTCAATTACGGATTACTTTCCAAATAACTCGATGGTTGTCGTAGCGGCTCTGAATAAAAGCGTTCAAAGCAATCCATCTTCTGATATTTACGTACTCAATAAGACAGGAACTCCATCCCTGAAACGAATTATGGAATCGAAGGAAATAATTTCAAAGATTACGTCTGTCGCGGACGAACTCTACATTTCATATGGTGACAATAAGGATCCATACCTTGAGAATGATCATTATTGCGTTTACAATACTACTGCTAATACATTCGTAAATTCGAGTCATTTAATGAAGCTTCGGGGTAAGATCAATAGCATTTTACCGTCTTATGATACCCAACACTCCTTCGCTCTTTTTGGAGGAAATATAAGTGTTATTGATAATGATTGTCAGGGACTGTGTCATTTAAATATTGCTCAAAAATCATGGCAGCAATTGCATTTTGATTATAGTCATGGTATAGTTAACACCATGGTTTATATGGATGATGATTACAGAAAGGTTTTAGTTGGAGGAGACTTTACGTTTGCAAATGGAAGAAGGGAGTTTTTGATGACTTACGATATTGAGTCTCGTAATATGTTACCTTTTTTGAAAAACAATTCAATTACAGGTCCTGTACAATGCGCGGCTACATTATCGAGTAATAAATCTCTCAATACGTCTTCATTTCTTCTTTATGGATACAATAATCAATCCATCGATTCTTACTTAATACGTCTAGACGGAACTGGAAGAAAAGATATATCGGAAGGACTTTTATTAGGCCAATCCGATATAAAGTCTTTGAATATACTCAATGCAAATATATTTCCTGACATCCCTGTGAATGGACCTGTTATTGTTGCGTCAGGGCTGGTCACTTTAAAGGACCAAACAAAGGTTTCTTCTGCTTACTTGGTCAACAATACTTGGTCTCCATTGTTGACAGCTGTCGATCATAACGGTAATGTAGGATGCGTCCATGACGTTGTTGTACAAAATTCACCATCACGGGCCATTCGAAAAGGGCATCCTCTGGAATCAAACAAAGGTGTACGAAGTACTCGCCATATCGTAATCATCAGCTTGTGTCTCAGCATGGGTGTAATGTTTTTTATCATGTCCGTGGCCTCTTTATATGAGACAGTCTTCAGTTTTTTGAAACCACAATCATTAGCGATTAGTGATTACGCAAATTACATCAAATTGGAGGATTCATAATTCCATGAATCCGTTATTAAGCACCTATAATTCCCTTTTTAGGGTTCTTTTTTGTTTATACCTATGAGTCGTTCTTTTCTAAAACTCATTCGCTCTTTTTATTCATAAAAACTTTTTTTGACAGTTCTAGTTCATGAGATGATAATAGAAAGTATTTCATTACATTAAATTTGTCTTTTTACAGAGATAGTAGTGTACGCATCCGATAACCATAGCAAACAAATTCGTTGGACGTCAAACCTTTCATTTAAGAAAGTTATATTACGCTTGTTGATTTTAACCAAGGAAATTGACAGCAAAGAAATGAAGGACTATACTCGAGAAGCAAAATTCCAAGAAAGCACTAAGAAAGCAGGTTAGAAAACGAGAAGAAAGCTTGGGATATAGAAATTTCAGGCTGAAAAGTTTTACTTACCGTTTATTAGAGGAGAAAGGAGACCATTTGGACTTTACACCGTTTTCATCTTGAGAGGTCAAACTCATACGAAAACCTACGGTGATAACAAATTGACCTACACAACTGATAAATCCAGAAAGAAAAGAATTGAAAGGGTACGTTCCTACGAGAATAGCATAGAGGAATTGCAATCCGCCGAGGACAACAAGAAAACCCAAGAAAGAATCAATGGTTTTTAATGAGGAGTTAGTGTTTTTGTTGTATGAGGAAAAGAAAGCATCTAGAGAAGAAGCGTTCGTTGCTTTTGGTGCCATTTTGACTTTGTGGAGTAAGAAGTTGGTAGAGGAAGCAGCATGTACGGAAGGTACGTATGAAACAAAAGAGAAACCGAATTTCAAAAAGAGCTAAAAAGTTATTATATAGTTTTTTGATTTTTAATTAAAAATAAGAATTTTCAATGCTTATGAAATGACTGTAATGAGCTGAGAAATGGTATATCATTCTGTTCCTAGGTTGTATTGATACATGCTTACCTTTTATAGGATGTGTAATAAAATACTCTTATTGCTTTTGTTATTTCCATTTAAATAAATCTTCGTTTCTCTTGGACGATAAAATCTTGGGCTAGGTAAGATGAGCCAGGTATGTTAATTAACATCTTTCGTTTACAAAGAATATACGAAAAAAAAGCAGTAAATATTTCTTCTTTAGCTTTATATGTTCCTGTTTTCTTTTAAAAGATTCAGAATCTATGAAGACGACCAGCATCGACACATTAGAAGCAAGTATAATTGACAAATAACCCAAGTCATGACTCTAGAAGCAAAGCATACCATCTTTCTTGTCAATTATAAGAGTATTGACTTTTCTTGTCCATTCTAGCTGAACGATATATAGTCAACTGAACTGAATGATGAAATACAATTTGAAAAGTAAAGTCCAAAGCTCATATTTAAATATAAGGGCATCCATTTATCCAATTCCGGGAGTACACAGTGGAACAGAAACGAAAAATGCTTCTCTTTGGGAAAATGATTATAGTATTTAAGATGGGAATGTTTCTCAGCATTTCTTTACGCTTATTTACCTTTATTCATGAAATAAGTTCCTAATAAACTGAACTGTGCTGAGCGCCGTTTTGGTTCCAAATATATTCTTAAAATGCATTTCGTCGCCATAAGAGAAGTGTCTTCTAGAATGTGATATTGAAACGACCAGATAATGTAATCAATTTAAACAGTATTCGAAAGACAAAATTCAACCAATCCTGGAGAAAGGAATAATAAGTGACACTATTTTTCCTTCGTATCCTCAACCCAAGGAATAGTAACTATGGATTCCAGCTTTATTGAACCATTTTCACAATGTAGCCAAGTCAAAATCTTCGAATAATTGAAACTGAAGTGTTAAAGTCCAACTGCCTCTCAATGACTCTCTCTACCCTGATTGCAAATTCAAAAATTATTATAAAGTGGACCGTGTTTGTTCGTTCCTTCTTCAATTTACCAAGTATATACAAGAGTTAATAGTTAATAACAAAAATACCATCCTAAAGAATATAGCTCATGGTTGAATATGATCGCATAGATAAACAAGAATTCCTCTGAATTGAAACTTCAAGTACCTAAACCGAAGCCAAGCATGAGCAAAAATGAGTTTTTCTGAATGGTTCCATTTGAAAAAGGTTTTCTTCAGATGAGTTCACTTTATGTCCTTACAACATCTATTCGTCTAAAGTTATATGTTCCTATCTGGTTGGGAGAGAGGAACAGACTTGTTCATTCCTTAACGGTGAATTTCAAATAGAATCAGTCCTTTTTCGATATAGTGGAAATAGTTTATTTGTTTGACAGGTCTCTTCAGACGATGGAATATCAACGACAACGCACCCAAATGTTTTTTCCTGTAAAGACGTTCAAGGAATGAAATTGCGGTTAACATCGCTGTTTCCATGATATAAAGAATACAGTTATTGAGTACCTTTCCATACCTTCCTTTACCAAGACGTTTCTTGAGCATTACCTTGCATCACAAGTAATCCGAACTATTTTGATAGGGAAGGTTCGAAAAAGAAATGCAAATCCTTGTTTCGAAGGACTCTCATCAATAAATGGCGATCTATTATTCCATTAATATTATTTTCTCTCTTCCTTTTGAGTTTTCCTTTTTCAAGTTCATTCTGTTCAGCCAGATGATAGAATTAGCAAACCTGCTCCACCATGGGCATGAAATAATAAAGGCAAGATACGTATACTTAGAGATAATTGGACCTATATCAAAAACCTCATAATAACATTTCGGGAAACGATGTAGTAATTCGCTTTTAATGGATGATATTGAGAACTATCACAGACCGGCCAAGAATCACCAAAGAACCTTGTGAAACTTGGTAATGAAGTGATTGATAAGAGCTTTAGAAGATTGTACGAATACACTTATAAATGGTATCTTCCTGTTTGTTCTAGTATGTTATCTTCTATAGCCCAACAAAGAAAGTCAAAAAAGTGCCTCGTCTTTGAAACCCAGGAACTTCGTTGTAAGAATTGTAGATTGACCGCACGTCCCTATCATTTGAATTTATTATTTTTTCTTGGTTTTATTCAAATTTTCCCTTTTATTCCATAACTTTTTGTGTGTTGAATTGAACGAACATGAATTTGCGGCGTTCACTCAAGAATGCAAACTGCGGCTTCATTCTAACTGGCCAATTTCAAAATTTTATTGCTTCTTGCATTCTTTTTTGTTGCCCTGGTATATATCTCGCAGTTACTGGTTTAGGTGCCGGAGGCGGTCACCCTTCTGCATTTCATCTTGCAGACGTTACCAACACCCTACTGTATGCATTGTATTCTGTGTTTGGATGGTGCGGCGGACCTCTTTTAAAATTTGTGGGTCCACGGTGGGCTTTGGCCATTGGAGCTACGGGCTATCCTATTTATATCAGCGGTCTTTGGTATTATGATCGCACTGGAAAGCAGGGATTTACAATTTTCACAGGCGCTTATTTGGGTGTAGCAGCCGCTTTTCTTTGGTCTGCAGCTGCATACGTAGGTCTTGCTTATTCGTGTCTCCATCAAAAATCTCAATTCATTTCCATACAATGGAGTATACTCGCTCTTGGTAGCACGGTTGGATCCTTTATTGCCTTTGGACTTAATTATCGTTCAAAAAGTAACGGTGTTCCTGGAGCAGTATATATTATTTTTATCGTCATTATGTTCATGGCGGTCCTTCTAGCTACCTTTTTGATGAAGGATCCATCTAGCGTGAAAAAATCTGACGGATCTAGTGCTCTTCCACCAAAAGAAACAAAGTTCCTGCAAGAGTTTAAAGGCCTCCTCACCGCCGCTAAAGATTGGCGTTTATTAGCACTCCTACCGGCCGCTTTCGCATCTCAAAGTACCGTACCCTGGCAGACTCATTTAAACTCCTACTACTTTTCATTGCGAACGCGGTCACTAAACAACGTTTTGTATTGGTGTATTCAGCTCTTTCTTCCTCATTTGCTAACGGCCATCTTGGACACAAAACGCTTTCGGCGTATAAATCGTGGTCTTTTTGGACTCTCTATCCAGGCAGTTATTCTCATTGTTACGTTTAGTGGAGAACTAAGCTGGATTATAAAAAACAAAATTGATCTCCATCAAACCTCGCCCAACCTTGATTGGAGTGACCCAGGTTACGGCAAGGCCATCGTTCTTTACATGCTTATGGGAGCCCAGTACAGCACATGTGTCATTTCTTTACAATGGTGCGTTTCACTTGTGGTGAATGATCCGACTATGTATGCCAGCTACGCTGGTTTGTATAAGGGTACTACTGCTGCTGGCCTTTGTGTTTCCTTTGGTATCGACGCTGCTGGCGTTTCTTTTAGAAATCAAGCTATCATTTATCTTGTACTTATGATCGTACTGTCCGTTTCTCAGCTCAGTATAACAGTACTTTGTGGAAACAGCCCCTCTCTTCCTGAAGATGACTTTTCCAAACCTCCACTTGTCATTGAAGGGTTTGATTATCCTCAAAATTCGAATTCTAGTTCCTTTAATAGCGACAAGAAGAAAGAACTTGAAAGCTCCTTGTAATCTTGCTTCTTCTCAAAAAGATGATTTCTAAATCTACGATTTTTCATGTTTATCGTATATTTATTCTATTATTATGACTTTTGTAATTTTTTTTTTATTTTTATGTTTCTTTTTTAAGAATGATAAAAACCGTTTCATATTTTTCATAGACCTTTGCTAAGGAAAATTGCCGACAACGAAGCATTCTTTTTAATGTCAAAACGACAATCAGTTTACAAAACTACTCTGATCGTGCTATTTTACCATATGTTTGAAAACAGATTCCAATTGTATTTTCTTCGTGTAAACAAATCTTTTTGCTGTGACTTGTTGTTACCTGAACATGTATAAGAAAATTTTGACTACATAAAGGAAGTCACCTTCTACCAACCACATCTTGAAGGAGCGTGGTTGTGTGAAGCCAAGTAAAATTTATTGAATTGGCCGTAAAAGTACTAAATACAATATGGGAACATTTAAAAAAGAGAAAAGCAGATTGGGCCGTGAAGGCTCCGAAAAGAAGCCCGGTAACTTGCGTGTTAAAGGCGAAAACTTTTATCGTAATGCTAAAGATGTTGCTAAGGTGAACATGTTCCGTGGCGGTAAAGCCAAGTACAATGCACAAGGTGAACTTGTACGTGCTGCTGACTTCCAATCCAAAGAAGTTCCAAAGGCGCGTGTTCAACCAGATCGTCGTTGGTTCAACAACACTCGAGTCATCGCACAACCTACGCTTACTCAATTTCGTGAAGCAATGGGACAAAAGGCAAACGACCCTTATCAAGTTTTGTTGAGAAGGAACAAATTGCCAATGTCACTTTTAGAGGAAAATTCTCACATCCCTAAAGTTCGCGTTCTGGAGTCCGAACCATTTGATAGTACATTTGGTCCCAGAGCTCAAAGGAAGCGCCCAAAGCTTGCCGTTGATTCTCTTTCCGATTTAGCAAACGCTTCGAATGAAAGACAAAATGCGTATGAAGAAAAAGAAGAAGAGCGCATTTTATCGAACCCCGAACCTGATAGTGATGTTACGACGGCTGCGAGGGATGCTATTTTCAACAAGGGTCAGTCGAAACGTATCTGGAACGAGCTTTACAAAGTCATCGATTCAAGTGATGTTTTGTTGCAAGTTTTGGATGCTCGTGATCCTATGGGTACACGGTGCCGATCGGTTGAGCGGTATTTGAAGAAGGAGGCCCCCCATAAGCATATGGTTTTGGTCTTGAACAAGATTGATCTAGTTCCAACATCTGTTGCGGTAAGTAATTTATATCGAATTTTTTGTGAAAGTTATAATTCGCTTGCCTTAATTTGGTACCCATTGTTAAGTCAGGACTCTTTCGTGTGCTGCAAGCACAATTCTCAATCGAATGTAGTCTGTTACAACTTTGGGATAGTAGACATGCCATGCCATATTTATGTCCGTTTTGGCCATAGCGGTATCGGTTGTGTGGTCTTTTTTTTAACGTTGAATACAATCACCTTTTGTGGTCATTACGATGATTGTATTTCCAAGGATAAGACGAACATATATTATCTAGAATTATAACTTTCGCTTTTCTCTTAACAATCGTTTACTAACTTTTATTTAGGCTGCTTGGACTAAGATTTTAGCAAAAGAATATCCTACGATTGCATTCCATGCTTCTATTAATAACTCTTTCGGTAAAGGATCTCTTATTCAAATTTTACGGCAATACGCTTCTTTGCATTCTGACAAGAAGCAAGTTTCTGTGGGATTGGTTGGATACCCCAACGCAGGAAAATCAAGTATTATTAATACCCTTCGCAAGAAGAAGGTTTGCAATGTTGCACCTATTCCTGGTGAAACTAAGGTTTGGCAATATGTAACCCTCATGAAGCGTATTTTCCTGATTGACTGCCCTGGTATTGTACCTCCTAGTTCTACTGATTCGGATGCGGACTTGTTACTAAAGGGTGTTGTTCGAGTGGAGAATGTTAGTAATCCAGAAGCTTATATTCCGACCGTCCTAACCCGTTGCAAGAACAAGCACTTGGAGCGTACTTATGAAATTTCTGGATGGAATGATTCAACGGAATTTCTTTGTATGCTCGCAAAGAAAAGTGGTCGTTTATTGAAGGGTGGTGAGGCAGATGAAGCATCCATTGCAAAGATGGTATTGAATGACTTCATGCGAGGCAAAATTCCTTGGTTTGTCGGACCTAAAGGTTTGTCCTCCTCTGAGGAGGATACAAACAAGAAGGGAAATACTTTGACTGAAGAAACAAATGAAGAGGAAGTGGAAGAAGGATCACAAGAACAGACAAATGACGATGGGGAGGAAGAAGAATGGAATGGAATAGAAGAGTCAAAGGATGCTCCGCCAGCCGGAGAAAAGACAGTTGCTGAATCTGCTAGTGATGAGTAGGTTGGTTACTCTTATGTTTGACACGAATAATCATACTGGTTTGGGAACAATGGCAAATTAATTTAATCTTTTGGTTTTCATGGTTTACTGTACATTAATAATATTTTTGAGTTGAGTTTATAGGTGCTTAACACAGTATCTACTTTCATGTTATAAGAATGATGTGTCAGCTAGAATGGTTATGGGTAAATAGATTGATTGCTGCAATTTTGAATTGACTTAACCGGCAATGGGCTGTGTATAAATATCCATGTCGAAACCTACTAGTCTTTGTAAATGGACGTTTGAATTTTTATTTTTGGCAATCTAGTAGCACAATTTAATTACACTGTATGTTACCTGACAAGCAACAGTCTATGTTTATATTGTGATAATGATTAGAGAGTAGTTTTGGTAGCCATTAAATGGCTTGAATTGAGAAAAAAATAGCATGTTTCGCAAAAAATTCTTCTCTTTCTTCTTTTTGCTTTTAGTTTTTTGCCGGGGGAGGGAGGCTTGAGAGTGAGAGAACAACGCTTATGAATGCGTCCCATTTTCTAAGGCAAGTATTTAATTCACTTATTCTTTTTATACGACCGTTTATATACAATGAAAAGAAAAATGAAGTAAGGTTCCCTAGAGAAAGTCCGGACACTGGAAATGCTTAAAAAAGTAGACTTTCTACAATGATTGCAGTAAGAAAGCCATTTTCATAAGTTTTTTTCAACGAAATTGTGAATGTCCTCCATTCGCATAATTCCTGAAATTTCAATGACTCGAAGATCACCATATACTTTCAGCAATTAAATGATTAAGAAGGCAACTATTTCTGACGGATGTAGAATGGAAAAGATCCGTTCATTAACGGAGAGAATTTATCTTCCGATATAAATGTGATTAAAGAAAATAAAACAATTAATACCACGTACTTGACTATGATGCAAACCGGTTTAACAGTATTCGTTCAAAAGTATGAAGGCTTTCAGTTTAGATGGATGTTAGCTTCTTTCAAAAGATTTTTCATGCTATAAGAAGAGAACCTTTTCGTTTATTTTGGAAGTCTGATTGAGAGGCTTTCCTGTAAATATTGCCCGAAAAGAGAAAACATTGAAGATGTCATCAACTGTTATCGTAAAAGCGCACTGGAGAAATAGTTAAGTTATTAGATGTTGATCTCTTTTTCAGACCCATCATAAAGCAAAGCCAAGGCTAGATAAGTGAAGATCATTCAGCGTAGAGTATACTCATTCATCAAGTTAACCGTAGGCTAGGCAAATAAAAGAGAATCAAAGATCGTATCCATTAGGAAGCAATTCTTTAACTTGGGCGGAAAAAAGGTTTTTGTAATCATCTCATTCCCTTAGCAGAAGTTTCATGCTCAAATTAAAAGTCCATCCAATATGGGAAACGCTTTTCAAATGGATCTTCGACAACCTACAAGTTTCCATAGAGACATACATTGAATTCTATCAAGAAGACTAAGCGCAGCTACTGATTTCCTGCATGTGTCAAGAACTAATCTTCGTTTCATTGACCCATTCATGAATCCCAACATGCTATTAATTATGCTTCCGTACATTAAATCCATAACACTAAGCTTCTAATTCTTTTTATGATAGTGACATTTCCAAATCTTGAGTACATGAATGTGAAAGCTGCTATTGCCAGAAACATCCACGTCTAATTAAGTGGTTAAATCACATATACCTTAAAGGCCGCTTTTTTAGTGAATTAAATGGAATAAACTAATTGTTTCTTTAATTTCTTTTTGGTAAAAATATAAGTCAAGCGATGTTACTGCATAAATATGCCAAATCTTCCAACTGAAATATGGTTTCGCATTTTCGAAAATTTGGTAAGCTGGAATCCATATGAAGCAAAGAATAACGGTGCATTATTGAGAATTTGCCGGAATGCCTTCTCTGGCGGTTTGCCTGTTATTTATTTTTTTCCCAAATTGAACGCAAAGAACTATGCAAAGTTCTTCAATACCATCAGCGAAACAGACTTTGGAAAACTGGTCCATCACATAAATCTAACAAACATCTCTTATACATCGAAAGCTTCAATAACCTCCCGACTTTTGCGAAGATGCGCGCAAAACCTAGAGAGCTTTTCAGGTCCACAAACAGGTCTTGGATTTACGGCTCTTCGAGCTTTATCCAACTGCAGTCATCTAAAAAAGATCGATCTATCTGTTCTTTCAGAGCGCATAGACTTACAGTATCTCTTTGCAGGCATCCAAAATCTCCAGTATTTAGAATACATTGACTTCCCTGCTCTCTCAAAGTTCTCTCCCGGACATAATGAGTCTTGGCCGCCTTCGCTTGTTCATATTGGTTTTGCAGGTGCTATTACAGATGGATTTATTGCAGAATCTTCTTTTCCACCTTCACTGAAAAGCGTGAATATAACAAATTGCCCTCAGTTAACAGACACAGGTCTCTTTACCTTGCTATCCAAAGTAGGTACAACCGTTACATCTGTGACTGTACAATATCCTATGGCTGAACTTTCTCGTAATGCTCTCGATTGCATCTTCCAGTTATGCCCTTATGCTGGCATTATAAGCATACCCGCGAATTACATTACTTCTAATTTGTTTGAGAGCTTATCCGAATCTGGAGTAAGCCACAAGGTGGAACATTTAGAAATTAGTTATTCTGGAAGCTTACTAACCGCCGTCAGTTTAGTAAAAGCTGATGACATTGTTTCTGCATTGGCTGACGGGAAGCTGCCGCAACTTCGAAGATTACAGTATTCTATTCGGCTTGGGTGGAAGGAAGAGTCTGAAGATGTCCAAGATTTGGTTGATTTAATTGATGATCAGGGAGGTGAGGTTTTCGTAAGCGTAAAATAGTTACTTTTGATAGATATGAGTACTTTTTGGTCCCTTCAATGGGCAATACAAACAATTTTCTACAATGAAGTCTTGTACTTATGTGCCTTAATTAAGTGTAACTTTCTGTTATCTTGATACTTTATTACGATTGTGATTATTCTTTACATGGATCAAAATCACGTAAACAACTATATACAAATAAGCAACAATATTAAGGCTGAAAAGGAAAATTTCTACCTTAATTAATAAATTTCTATATATCCCAATTCCTTTCTAATTATAATTCATATCACCCATAACTCACACAATCATAGACAAACGGCTCATATGCTACTGGGTGTGTTAATAAACGTCGTCAATAATTAAAGCTCTAAATAATCATCAATCTGATCAACAATTTGGTTTAAATCTTCCGTGCTTCCACTTCCTGCTGTGGTAACACCAAATCCTGCTTCCATGTCGTGGGTAGAATGCTGATCGGATACAGACCGTAACGAATGTGATCCACGGATTATAACATCTTTAAATGAAGGAGTCTGTGGAGTCGGTGGTATTTCGTTTTCAGCAGATGTCGACGCCACATTTTGACTGGGGTTGAGAGAGCTGATTTCCACTGAAAGCAAAGATCCCGTTGTTTGTGAGGGTACCAAAGAATTGGTGTACGAAGGAGACCTGCCACCCATAGGAGTTGTCTGTAATTGATTTGGGTTGAAATTGTTTTGAGACGAAGTTTCTGAAACGAGGGGTGCCGAAAGAGTTGAAACTTCTTCTAAAGTAATAAAAGGGTTCTCCATTGCTTGTTTCTTACTTTTGAGGTGATTAAGGAAAGCACGTCTTATATTTGAAGTTTCGATTAGGTCCATTAACTTTTCAAACCTGTAATTCTCCTCTAGTCGTGAAAGTACGTATGTTCTACGTATAAAGTCTGAGATAGGTAGAACTAGTTTATGATCGATGACTTTATGTAAGACGATGACCATCAACATATCTGAAAACGAGACAACGTTGCCAGGAAGCATCATAAGTTCTGAGTACAATAAGTTAAGAGATTTCCGGCGCTTTCGAATTTCAATTAAATCCATATCTGTTAAGGCAACGTCCAGGTCGTGAAGGTCAATCTTAGCATTGTAACCAAAGTCGTTGTCAGATGATTTATCTGAAATGTTGTCTTCTTGTGCATCATTTTTCAATTTCGTTTTGGAAACCAAGTTCGTTACAGAAAAATCATCTCTATAAACCCTGCAGTCATAAACCCCTCGTAATGATAACAAGAATCTACCAACGTTTCTCTTTGGAATATAACCGGTTACCATTGGGTCAAAAGGAGCCCAAAACTGTTTAAATTGGCGAAAATCGGAGCGCCCAAGAGTCTTAAAAGTTTTGGAACTCACGTAAGTAAAATTTTCGAAGACAACAGTGATGAACTAAACATTAGTATTGACCAAAAAAATAAGCAAAACCGAACTTACCATATTAACAAAAATGTACATTGAAACAATGTTCCATGTGATAAATAAGGCATAAGCCCAAGGCTTATTACCACAATCAGAGCTATAGAAATCAGAATTGTTAACACAATTAGGGAAACTAATAGCGTAATCATGCATAACACTGTTCCAACCTTCACCACAAGACATCATGAACAGGATAACCAAAGCATTTCTGATTGATCTAAAATTCCGGTTTGTGCCACCATTTTCACCCATTTTAGTTAGACCAAAGATTTGGTTGAAAGCAATTGCAAATGTAATAAAAAGAACAAACCACGTAGCAATTAAGCTAATAACCGAGGGTAAACTGACGATAACAGTTTTGAATAATTGATCGAAACAATCAAATCTAGGAATCAAATGAATGGCAATTAAGCTGAGAAAGATAGTTTGTATCAATGTTAGTGATTTGCTTGAAAATCCTGCTAACGCTAAGATGTTGCATGTGAGACTTCCGAATGTAACAATCACATCGAAAATATTCCAAAAGCTGTGAAAATAATAATATATGGATAACCCATAAGTCCTGACGCCAACATTAATAACATAGAAGACAGATAGCAATAGGAATATAGAATTCCTAACATAAGTATAAGCAATTGGACATGGAGTAAAAATAGTCATTAACATTATAACATGAAATATGTAGATTCCTGTAAATACATTCCTCCATTTACCATGTTTATCCACTGAAAAATCATAGCAACGTCCTCGAAAACCAGGTGGACGAACAGCTGATCTAGTTGACGGTCTCATAGATCTAATTAATCTCTTCAATTCCAACCAAGCCTTCTGTTCTGATGTATAAAATGCAGAACCAGAGCGCTCTGTGTAATTTCGAATGATAATAGCGACAAACAAAGTTAAAATATAAATAGTAGATATCAAATTAAAGAGTACGAAGAACATAGCATACCCTGGTGAAGCATTATCCTGTGGTTGCATATTTATTCCCGTGATATTCATTACATCTCGCATAACATCAATCCAACCCTCTAAGGATACGATTTCAAAAAGAATCAACAAAGCATGAGGGAAGCTATCAAAGTTATAAGCACTCGGATTACTCCATACTCGAGGGGCCCATATTTCCCAGTTATTTGGTGATGCAGCATACTCATGAATGCACTCACTCCTAGCATTCACGTTGCTGTCATTACAAGAATATAACTGGCCGCCGAAAATATTTTTTGCCCAAAGAGCAAAGGGAATTAATAAACTTAGTGAAACAACCATTGCAGATGCTATTTTAAAAAAACCGCTAATAAGGACATCATGAAACATGTGTTGCGGAGCTCTGGTAAGATTCACCAGTCTCAACACACGAAGCGCTTTAAAAGCTCGAAAGGCTCTTGAAAGAGATCCACGATTCGTTAATATTGCGAATATATTGATCCAAAAGGTAATTAAAACAAAAAGATCAATGCAATTCCAGGTATTTCTAACATATGCATTTGGCGTAAAGCAAAAGCCGTCAGCAATGATTTTAATGGCCGCCTCTAGTGTAAATATGAGAGAAAATGCCACTTCAGTCCAAATAAACCATGCAGTTTTTCCCTCTTGACTCAAATAAATGTGGCTTCGTTCATAAATAGGAGTTGTAACACAAGCCAAGGCCACGGCGCAAACAATGCATGCATAAATAAATACTTGAAATATTCTATAAACCCATTGGTTTGGCTCCACACCTTTATATCGTTCATTACAACCAGGTTCAACTAGTTTTTGACACAGTTTTCGGAGACCATTCGATGGCTTTATAAACCAAAATACATAATTGTATTTAGGATGTTGTTTCAGATACTCTGCCTGCTTAATTCTCACGAACGCCTTCGCAGCTTTCATATCCTTTTCAGCTGTTTTAAGATTCATGTCTTTGTTCCATCTTAAACCGATAATCTTCTTAAAATACGCTTGGGAAAATGGATCCTCCCGTAACAGAAAACTCTTGATTATATTAAAAATCCTAGACGGAGAATATTTCGGTGTGTTTGGAGAGGTATCAAACCTTGATTCTACACGTTCATCTGAAGTTATTGTATTATTGTTTAAAAACCCCTTTATAACCGAATCTTCCAAAATCCATTTTCGGTATATGTCTTCCTTATCTCTTCGAACTTGCGAGTCGTTTCTTTTTAAAAGCGCATTTAACGTTAATGACGCTTGGAATGGGTTATAATTCCTAAGTACTCTGGCCAAATACATCCTTAGTTGTTGTAATTTCAGATCAGTATTGCTTCTCGAGAGGTTGAACTGAATTACGGATATAAACATACTTAGTACAATATTGTTTGAGAAACAAAACCAAAGTGTAAAAAAAGCAGCAGGCAACCAAGCCAGTTTGGAAGGTCCTAGCCTTTCCTGGACATTGTAAACTATATCGGTCCAGTTTTCAGAAGAGAAAATCTGATACATATTTAGAAAAGCGGCATAAGTATTGGAAAAGTCAACGTCGTCACTTGGATTTTCAGAAGGTGGTAGGTTTTGAAATAGCCTTACAGAAAACATGGAGGCGATGAAAAGCAAGATCAATAAAAACAACATCAGATTTAGAAGTCGGACGAAATTAGAGAATAGCAATTTTGCAATCTTACGTGTGTAAGGTACTAACAGTACCACTCGATAAACTCGTGCAATGGCAAATATCGATAACCAACCGCTGAGGAGTGGATTGTTACAAATGGGCGGAGCTAGTGAAATGATATTCATAAGGGCAAGAACTGTATCTACCCAATTGGTAGATTTAATAAAAAATCCTCGCCAATTTGGTAGGTAAGCAATGAATCGTAACAGGATTTCAAAGGCGAGAAGAGAATTGAAAATACAATAAAAAACGTAGTATTTCCAATTCGTTTTCGGGTCCAAGTTATAAGAATGAGTAGTCAAAACGATGAAATAGACAATTATGAGTGCAATCCAAATATAATCAGAATAACCCAAATAATGTCTGGAAAATTTATGCTTAATATACACGAATCTGCGAGGTTTCTCGATTTTCTTATCTTTGTTATCATCCCTTGTTTGCAACAAAAGAAATGAATTGTCAACGACGGCAATGACAAAAGACATTAACCAAAAAGTTAGCAGAAAAGTGCCAAAAATAAAGAAAACGCAAGAGACGAAGTACTCCGCGTCCATCATATCGTACATCAAATCCGTAAACGTATTCGAACTCATAATAACAAAAATCAATTCTAAGGAATTAAAAAAGTTATCAAATTTTACAGTGTTTCCGTAAGGATTTTCGTAATCCTGACAGACACTATGTTGCGGGCAAATATAACCACGAGGTTTGACATTAGAAGACTGTCCGGACGACATCACGTAAGGTTGTATAGTTCCATTGAGCCAATATCCACCACAGAACTGTCCAGTAGGAATGGATTGAGACTGATCATCAGCAATCCAAATACACTGTCTCAAAAAGGATCGTTTAAAAAACTGTACACCTAAAATAGCCATTAACACGCCAAAAAACCCTACGAATGATACGACATGGACTAAAAGAAATGAAGAATCTTTTAAACTCCTGAGTATACTTTCCGTTCTTCGGGTTAAATTCAGTAGTCGCGTAAGACGAAAGCACGAAAGCATAGCAAATAATCCATAAATCCCGTGAACATCATCGGAGAGCAACATGACCCATATACTGATTATAGCAACGAAATCTACTCTATTCCATGAATGCCGCATATAAGACATATCTCGAGGTCTTCCTTTCTTATATGAATCAACAAGCGAGTGAAAAGATAATGAGCCATCATAAATTAGACCAAAGAGATATATTTTGATAAACATTTCAAGCGTATAGCAACCAGCTATAATGTATAATATGATAGTGACACTGGTTTGCTTGTGATGGGGGTCATCTGATTGAATCATGAGGATCACACCCTGTGTCAAGATCAAGCAGAATATCAATACATTGTAGGGAATCGACATGTATACCTTTTTGCAAATGTCTTTGTATTTTCTATCGCGGAAGCAATTATCATCTTTTGGTTCTGGGCAGGCTACCACTCTCAAAACCGAGCTGTATATTTCTGAGAAAATCTTTGTAAATATCGGAGAAACCTTATGAAAACAATTAGGCTTTTTAAAGGCGCGTTTAGCAAAATATTTGTCTTTGTTTCTCATGCCCTTTTTTAATAATGCTTCATCGGGTTGATCAGAGGTCCTAGATTTTAACAAATAAGGAAAGTTCATCTCCAAAAGACTGGGATCGGTATTTTCCTTTTGTAATGGGATCCCTAAGTCAAAAAATTCTGAGTCATCTTCATTTAATATGTCATCGAAGCCATCCTCAGTGAATGGTCTTACTTGCTCTACATGCTGCTCCTTATAGAAATCAGAGGAGCTATCTGCTCCCTTTAAAGCCGATGTATCTTTTGGGTAGTCCTTCAGAGGAATAGAATATCCATTTTCAGAAGTCGATTCGTCGCCGCTAGACCGCATAATACGCTTTGTTTGATAAAGCTAAACAAGGAACCAATTCCAAGGAAAACGTTATGAGTAGGAAAGGTTGTAGAAAATTAATGGTAATAAGATCGCTGAAAATGCAATGCGATATAAATCTTAGGTTTTTGAAGGGATATAATCGTAAAAAAGGATAACAAGGGAAAGAATGAGCAGAAATCAACGAAATGTCATAAACAACTTAGAAGAAAAACGAATTATGTGTGAAAATATACTACAAATTAATTCATGAGATGTGAATACAAATAATAAACTTATTCTGTGCATCAAGTAAATGAAAACACTTGAGCAATAATTGTTATTGCTCGTGTTTTCGAAACACAGCGATGAAGGAAATTTTGAAACAGATGATACTTTAGTATGCCGAAATTTATAAATACTATTAAAATGGTGCCTTCTTGAGCAAATTCGACTGTAAGTGCGGTGAATTCTGTGGGTTGCTGTGGTGAAGTATGTGCTGCTATGAAAAATTAAAATTGGTGATTGATAAACAGGGAACAAGTATGGCTGCGATAATGGTAAAAGATTGATTTTTCATAAATATAGTAACATCATTGGAATGTACAAGTAGTAGCTATAATAGTAGTTTATACGGTTTCGAGCGATAATAAAACGTGTTCAGTGAAGTATAATTTACATCAATATTGAAGTATGCTTTATTAGAATAAATATATGAGCATTTATCCCAATCATGTCTAGTAAAGGTTTGTTATACTTTAGCTGCTATACGATACTTGTTTTAAGGTGTTTAAAATCACCTAGGTCGCTAGTGAAAACAATCCGTAGCATTTGAAACCGAAGATGAAGGATAATCAACAATTGTAACCAAATCAAGAGTTAGTTAAAAGAAGACGTATTGTTTCCGTGAATTCAGGTAACCCCAAGTGAGACTTAATTCGTATAGAGAGTATTAAAAAGTATAATAAGAAATGAAAAAATAAACATGAGGGAATTAATATAACAGGAATTAAAAAATATGCAAAAAGACTCAGTGGCATCTAACAAAGAGAGAACTAACAGAGGCATTAGCTTATAAGACGCGATTATGCACACAAGACAGGCAGGAAAAACAATTATTCATGATATTATGATATTCAATAACGGGGTTAGAAGCAGATAGCAGAACTTGAGCATGATAAGCATTAAGAACAAACATGTTGCTAAAGAGAGGTAACAAAAGAAAAAATTATTTCTGTATGAGGGAAGGAATAATTGTATCTCAAATCTCCTTACAGCTGAAGATATTAAAGCAAGGACCAATTCTTACATAGCCTGAACGACCATACCTGGAGACCAACCCTGCTGACGAAGACCCTTCTTCCATTGTAAGATACGACCTAGAAAAAATAATCTGTGAACTGAATCTAAACCAGCCTCAATAAATGCGGTCTTCGCTTGGAGTAAAGGAGCATTCCCATTTATTTGAATTGTGTAATCCTTCTCATCCAGGCAATAGCGAATAATGACGGAATCTAGAGGCTCCGGTTTTTCAGCATTATCCACTGGACTTACAGAGGTGACTTGGGTGGCAGTACCAGTTTTCTCAGTATATTTTCCATTCTCAAGGCTATTCTGAGGGGTTTCTTGTTCATCGTCGGAATCTTCCTTTTCCGCGAACGCCCTTGGAATTCTAGCAACAATCTTTGGTATTTCATAATAAGCGCCTTTAGAATCATAAGCTCCTTTTCCAATATCATTATCAGGTATTGTTAATTCGGCAGCAGAAGCTAACTCAGCTGCAGACTCTCCATTCCCTTCGTACAACAAATTAATAATATTATGCAGTACTTCCCAAATTTCTCTAGATCCTCCATAGGCCCAGCAGGTTTCCCAAAATTCATTCCTCGAGGTTTCCACTTCCTCTCTAGTTAACAATGGATTTGGAGCATATAACTTGGGCAGCTTGAGGATCGGTTTGGATGAAGACGCATTCCTTTGGTTTACTTCTTGACGGTTTTGTTGTCCGGATAGACATTGACCCATCCTGACTGTATCTCATATGATTCTTGAATTGTACTTCTGTTTGGCTGTTGACAGGTTGAGCGTGGCATAAGACAAACTGACGTGTCCGCCATTCTTCATATTCGAAAGTAACCGTCTGTTGTTTCTTTTCATAATTTATCTTCAGTAAATGTTAAGTTTTATAGTAAATTTAACTTGGAGTTACTTTGTTCAGCTTGACACATAGTACCAGCATAACATGTTAATGGAAGAGATGGTGATAAAATAGAATTAGGATAATCCTTTCCAATTTATTTTATTTATTAATTTAAAGCATTATAGCATTAGTTCTGACAAGGCAAGTCGGATACTACTACTTGTACAATTCAAAACAAGAAAAAAGGACTCACACGAAAATGTCTGTCGACACAATGATCCATAAAATAAACCTAATCATTTAAAAAAAAAGAGAGAAGTCCTAATTTCACGGCCGCTCATTCTACTTGTCTTGTGCAGAGTTTATCATAACTGAACAGTATCACCATTAAATAGTAATAAAGAACGCTTCCTTACTTAATTCCTTTGTTTTCCTGTTCAAAGAGACTTTTTTGCCAATATAAATCTCGCATTCGTCCAGTGTGCATTATAACTGGAATGGAATTACATGCTTAAGATACTTGGCAAATCGAGGTTCCACTGTGATGGTTAATAGAAAGTATGAGATTATGTAAAGCATACCGAAAAGACCGTCTGCAATTGCAACGCATGTCGAATCCTTTGATCCTTCCTTTTCGGGTAGCATATATGCAGAACCATGTACTTTGGCTTTGCGTCCTTTGGTCCACTCAAGCTGCGAACGTAGAACATAATACCGATTCACATATGCCTTTGACGGATTAGAAATTGATAAATTTGCTGTTACGCCAATGTTGTTGGGAAGACCCAAGAAGCTCTATTGTACTCAGTTAGTCATAATCCTCTTTCATGGTTCTCTTTGTCCATACGCATAGAGCTAATACTTCATCCATAAATCTAAAACAATTAACAATTAGCATGATAGTAATAATTCATTCCTTTCTCCATACGTTGCAAGTAAACCAGGGTGAATAGATCCATCTGTAAGACCAACATCTTCTCCAATGTGCGCTACTGCTAAGACTTGAGTTGTTTCTTTATTATAAAATACTAATGGAGGTACAGTAACTCTTCCATAGCCAGCCAGCAAGTTGTTCGTAAACCCATGACGGCTACGATTGAACGGAATTCTAATTTCACGATATGCTGGATCACGGCGCAACTCCTGAACGAGATTTAAGCCTTGAATCGAACTTTCAACGTGGTTTATTTCTTTTATCTGTTCATCAGTATATACGACTGGATAAAAATGGTATTTTTGAGCAGCACTCGCTAATGAGTATCCAGCAATGCCAAATCCTGTGGTCAAAGCACCAAACGTAACTGTACGTTTAACTTTTGGTTTAGAAACTTGTCTTTTCACGCCTAGCCAGGTAGAAGCAGTAGACTTTTTAGCTGATCCCAACAATAAAGAAAGCAATCGCATGTTTTATCGTTTCGGTGATGGAAACTCTTCAGTCTGTTGGATACGGACTATCATTATGGAAAGCTGAAATATACGAATACTCAAATTGCTTGAAATTATAATAAATTAGAAAAGATTATATTAATGATTAAAAGACTTTGTAGGAATAGAAAATAGTACATAAGGTAAATATTCTTCGTGCAAATTAAGCCCAGCCATACTTTCATTCAGATTTGCGTTCATATCATCAGAGACCTTTGAAGGCCTACTCGTGTTCTGCTCTAAGTAGGAGTATCTCTGGTTTAAGATCTCCTTAATTTTCTTTTCCGCTTTTTCTGCAGGCTATTTATGTTAGTAAGAGTTATAAATTGGATGCAATGTTAATGGCTCAAGCCAGTAGCTAATTTCTTACTTGGAAAACGACAGAAGAAAAATCCGGCGGTAGACCATAGCGTAACACGCTTTCTACGTAAACGGAAAGACATTTAAGATGAACCCAATGTTGAAAAATCTCAGAAAATGCGACTTTTGCGTACCGCAGTAAAGAGGAACGAAGGTGCTTTTGCTTTTCATCAGCGTCATCAAATTCGTTTTGCTCGCTTTCACGGAGACCAGATTCAAAGGTAAAATCACGGACCGTGTATCTTGTTTCTCTGTTAGTGAAAAAGTAGCATAAAAATGGCTCAGGCTGTACAACATACCTTTGTTCTCGAAGCTTTGAGGCAAATTCTTCAGCAGACTTTTTGAAGACTATAACCGTATACAAAGCATATTCATCGTCTTGAGCAAGCTTTTTAGCAGATCGAGGAATTACCAAGTTTGCCAGAGTTTCATAGGAAGCTAGAAAGTTCTTTTCGGCGTTCCTAGATACATGTCAGCATAAACAGTTTTCGATTAAACTTTGAATCTAGTACATACAATGGCACGGCAACAAAAATATTGGTCATGTAATCAGAGCCAAGAAGAACGTCTTCATTACGGACTATACTGGCCAACGATTTTTGGGATAAATTTCCACTACGACCTTAATTAGCTAGTAATAACAATTTAAAAAGAAGGAATCTTACCGTTTTTTCTTTTGAACAGATTGGTAGGCATTACTAGCCTGTTGGAAGTTGCTCTGTCTGGTGCGAATGTCATTCTCAAGAGTAAGCACTTCCTATAGATAGTGGTCAATAAAAAGAGTTCATATAAACATGGTAGGAAAACACATACACTAGTAAGGTTGTGCAAGATGTCTGTGATACTGCTGGTTATGCGAAAACGAGAAGTATTCCATTGAAAGGAAGTGATATACTCTAGAGGGGTTTCTATAATGAAATGTTAGTAAGAATAAAACGAATAGAAACATACTTCCTTCTACCAAAAAATACTCTTTTAATTCATCTGAAGCAGGAGACACCAAGGATTTGATGACTTCAGCAATTTTGGAAAGCGAAGCAGAGAATTGAGCGTCTTGTTTAGCAAGTTGTTCATTCTGGTTAATCAATACGTCCAAGCTTTCTACCTATAGCAACTAAGTTAGTTCTGAAATATCCCTATATTTTCGAAAATGATTGAAAAAGAAGAACTCATTGGTTTGAGATGCTTGTCGTATTACTTACTTTGAACAGAGGCACATTGAAGGGACCAACGGACTGCACGAGTTTTGTTGATCCGGAAACTAAAGAATAATCAAGATCATCTTGTAAATCACTATTTGCTCCCCCGTTAGAGGGAATCGACAGTATCCAGAAATCAGCCTGAGACATTTCAGAAACGTGAACCAGACTTCAATCTAATCAGAAAGAGAGGGAATGTAAATTGTTTATATGTAAGGAAGAATGGAAAGAAAGTTAAAAGCACCGAAATTTGAGTCTGAACGCGTAAACCCTTTGTAAAATGCTGAATGGTAGGTATGAATATACACTCGGTGTGGGAGCATGGAGGAAGCTGTTTGTAATATCGTATTACAGACCCAATTTCCTAAATATGTATAAAAGAAGAGTAAAACGCCAGTAACAAGAAAAATTATAACAGAACAACTTTAAAAGAATGCTTTAATAAATATGTAGTTGAAGTACACCCCAGGCTTTACAGATGAAAGGAACCGACTGGTTTGTAAAAGGAACGTTTCAAGGAATATCAAAGAATCCTTTACAAACTCACTTTATTTATATTTATAGATTGAGCTAGTATTCGTAAATGTTACAAATTGTATATAAATCGCCGACATCCTATTCTGGAAGACGTTTGAGAGTACCGGTGGAGCACGAATCAGAATTTACTTAATCGCATACTTGACATGAAAGAGAGCTTATCATATACTTTACGCATGCAATTCCTTTTTTTTTACTAGTAACTGTTATATGAAGCGTATGGAATGGAATGTTCATCGATAATTACCCAAATCTTCTCTTCCTTTAGCTTTTACGGACAGTCTACTTGAATCTTCGCTTAAAAAACACGAAAATGCATTATAAAAAAACATTCAAACGTACCATTCTCCTTTCTAATCCATGTTTTTTAAATATAAATAAAACAACCACCGAGCGGCTGGCTAATCTGTTACTATTAATGATGAAATTGTTTATATTTCTCGTCCTTCCAGATTTTCATCGTTTGCGACAAAACACAATAAAGTTAATTTTTACCGACACTATCTGTCCAAGCTCTAGCATCTTATCTTATCGAAGATAAGATCCAATCTCATCGATTCTGATAACCATGGCCGAGCCACGATTATTCACTGATGACGCTATCCTAGTGTAAAGGAAAGACGCGGTACTCGTGTATAACTTGGTAGGAAAAGTGACATTTACCATCGAGAAACATGTAATATTTGACTCCATATGTAATGAATAATTTACGTATAATCTAAAATTGTTTACTATTGTTTACGTGAAGTAACGGATAGTCCAAGTCCGGACTTCATAACTGGGAAACCTGGAAAACAAGTAATCTAGTCGCATTTACATTATTTTTTAATACATGTTAGTTTTATATATTATATAAGAATATAGTTTCAAATTTTCAAGTAGTTTAGATAAGAATTGAAGGAACGACATCTGTATATGCTAGTATAAGAAGCCTCCGTTCAGCCACGATCATTCACCCAATGCATGTGTCGTGAAACCTGCCAACTACCTATATCATAACAGCCAACTTAACTGCAACTTTCAGGAAGTATAGACGTGTTTGAAGAAGAAATTCAGCACTATAACGTTTGAATTTTCTTGGAATTTCCAAATTTCGTCGTTGTTCTCTTTCTTGAAAGGCTCGGCTTTTTTTTTTCACTTCCATTTAATTGATATATCTTAGGTTACTATTTAAAACACGTTTAGCTTGATTCTTTTTTTTGAAGAAGAAGAATTTAGGCTTTTTCTTTCTGTACGCGGTTTTTCTAATCCCTTGTACGTTTGTAAGGAATTCGCAGAAGTACTATAACTGTTTTACCAGGTCTGCTGAAGTAAAAATCAAAAGATTTGGTAATCGATGTTCTTCTTGTTTTGAAAAGCCTTTTTCTTTTTATTGTTTGAAAAGTTTCGAGGGTTTCATTTCATCGCTTTTTTCACCTTACCTTTTTTTCTAACCTCGGCCATTTTTAACAAGAAATTGTTCTCATCTGTCTCGTGCGAGCAGAAAGTTATCTACGATCTTAATTATTTTGAAGTTCATATATCATCCCTTGCAATACGTGGCCCGGCAAACTGGTCTTTGTCTTTCTTTCGTCACATCCTTTTTTTGACTTAACCAAGTATTAAAATACTGTCAGAAGCTGTGAAGAAATCAAGGTTTTCTTATAGAAGTCTTTGTTTTTAGAAAAAAAAGTCCTTTTTTCTATTCGTTTTCTCTAAATATTTGTTTATGATCGCAAAAAACTAGAAGCTTCCCATCTTTTTGATCGTTCCGGTTATATTTTTTTCCTTTGTTGTATTTTTTGTACCCATATTGGTATCCTTTTCCTTTGATTTGAATTGGTCATTTTAGTGGGTCCTTAATTTTTGTGTTTTATAATTCTTTCTTATGACTTCTTCTCCCGATCAACCAAGTCAGCACCCCGACGAGGGTTCAGACCATAATGTTGACGCTTCGTCACGACCACAGCAATACCTTCAAATTCCTAACTCAAAACCGAAACGCGGGAACAGCTCGAAAAGTAACAATACAGCTACCTCTCGTGTTCCTAGTTCTTCGGATACCGCCAGACCGTCTTCCAGCCGTGATGATTCTAGTATGTATGAAAGTTCTGATGATGATAAAAAAGACGACCCTCCGCCAGATTACACTAGTAACGTTTCCGTCCATTCCCAGAATAATCCATCTGATGATGAGCATTCATCTAACACTTCGGATGTTTCCGTAAGTCAGTTATTACACAGTGAGTATGAAGAAGCTCCGTTTGCTTTTCCTATACCTCTTTTACAAAAGTTTGTAGACCCAAAAAGCACAGCCCCTTTGCACGCTGTTCATGGTCTTCCTGGTTTGTTTAAGGGATTTCGAGTTGATCCTCACAATGGTATATCTACTTCCGAAGTTCACTACTCCGATAAACTTTCTATGCGGGATATCTTGGAAACCGATATGGATCCTATGATGGATCTCCACCTTGAGACAACAAGTTCCCCCGATAATCATGGATCTTCTGAATTACCAGATAACTGTGATCGTATTCAATATTACGGTGCTAATAAATTACCTGAACATGATTCCAAAGGCTTGATTCGTTTAATGTTGGAAGCCTTCAAAGATAAGGTTTTAATTTTACTTTCTATTGCCGCCGTCATTTCTTTAGCTCTTGGCTTATACCAGACTTTTGGTCAACCTCCGAGTGTCGATCCTATTACTGGAAAACCAGAACCGCGGGTTGAATGGGTCGAAGGTGTTGCTATTATAGTTGCTATCGTCATTGTTGTTACTGTTGGAGGTGTTAATGATTGGCAAAAGGAATTGCAATTTAAAAAACTCAATGCAAAAGTAGCAAATTTTGACGTTCAAGTACTAAGAGATGGTTCGGTTCAGTCGATATCTGTTTTCAAAATATTAGCCGGAGATATTCTTTTTGTTGAAGCAGGTCATGTGGTTCCTGTTGATGGTGTATTAATTGAATCGAACAATTTGGTTCTTGATGAATCTGCTATGACTGGTGAAACAGATGCTACAAAAAAAGTGGATGCAAACATGGCTTTATCCAGAACAAAACCCGATACTGATTACGATAAAAAGGCAGATCCATATCTTATTTCAGGGACTACTGTCTTGGAAGGAAACGGTAAATTGTTCGTTACTGCTGTGGGTGTTAATTCTTTTAATGGCCGCACCAGTATGGCTATGCGTACGGAGGGACAGGTGACGCCTTTACAGCTTCGTCTTTCCCGAGTTGCCGATGCGATTGCTAAACTTGGTGGTGCTGCTTCGCTCTTATTATTTATTATTCTTTTAATTGAATTTTTGGCTCGTTTAAAATCAAACTCGAACTCATCCAAAACCAAAGGCCAGGAGTTTTTGCAAATCCTAATTGTTTCGGTTACTCTTTTGGTTGTTGCTGTACCAGAAGGTCTTCCTTTGGCTGTCACCCTGGCGTTAGCATTCGCAACAAATCGTATGCAACGTGACAACAACTTGGTTCGGCATTTACAGGCTTGTGAAACGATGGGAACCGCTACTAATATTTGCTCTGACAAAACTGGAACACTCACTCAAAATCGAATGACAGTCGTCGCTGGTGGTTATGGTACAGATTTGGTTTTTTTCAATTCAAATGAGGAAACACCATCTAATATGGACAAAAATTCTGACAAATCAAAATTTGAAGAGGCTGAATCTAGTGCATATGCTATCAAACGACTCTCTCCAGAATTGAAAGAAGTCATGTTGTATAGTATCGCAATTAACTCTACTTGCCGACAAATATTAAGTCACGATTCCGAGAAGCCTGAATTTATTGGGTCAAAAACGGAAACAGCGCTACTAGATATGGCTGTGAATGACTTTGAGCTTAAAGACGTGGATAAAATGCGTAACAAAACTGAAATCATTCAGTTTTTCTCGTTTTCTTCGGATCGAAAGGCTTCCGGTGTTATCTACAAGCATGAAGGTGAATACTTATTCGTTGTTAAAGGTATGCCTGAAAAAATATTGCAACAGTCTGCGAAAGTGATTAATGGAACGTCGCTCGACCAGGTTCAAGAGATGGATCCTAAGAGAGACTATTTTCAGCAAATGATTACAGGCTATGCCAAAAGATCGCTGCGTACTTTGGGATTTTGTTATCGCAAGTTCTCATCTTGGCCTCCTGAAGGAATTAAGATGAATGAAGAAGACAGTCATAATCCATTCAAATGGGAAGACGTCTTTCAAGACATGACGTTCTTGTCGTTTTTTGGTATCATGGATCCCCTCCGTCCCGATATCCCAATCGCTGTCAAAGTATGTCAAGGTGCTGGTGTAGTAGTTCGGATGGTCACTGGTGATAATATTATTACGGCAAGGTCTATCGCAAGTCAATGTGGTATCCTTACTGAAGATGGTACCTCAATGGAAGGTCCTGAATTTAGATCTCTTTCGGATGAACGCCGTTTAGAGATATTACCTAAGTTGGAAGTTTTAGCTCGTTCTTCGCCTCTCGATAAACAATTACTCATTGAAGGACTTCAAAAACTAGGCAATGTTGTAGCAGTAACTGGTGACGGTACAAATGATGCACCAGCCTTAAAGAAAGCTAATGTTGGATTTTCAATGGGCCGATCTGGTACTGAAGTGGCCAAGGAGGCTTCTGATATTATTTTGATGGATGATAACTTTTCGTCCATTGTTAGAGCCATTGCATGGGGTCGTACCGTGAATGATGCAGTCAAAAAGTTTTTGCAGTTCCAAATCACGGTGAATATCACTGCGGTTTTCCTTACTATTATATCTGCTGTTGCTGCTTCGGATCAGGCTTCCGTGCTTACTGCTGTGCAGCTTTTATGGGTCAACTTAATTATGGATACCTTGGCAGCTTTAGCATTAGCAACTGATCCTCCAATGCCGGAGGTTTTGGGCAGGTCACCTGAAGATCCCAACGCATCTCTATTTAGTTTTAATATGTGGAAAATGATTATCGGTCAGTCGATATACCAGTTGGCAGTAACTTTGGTGTTACATTTTGCTGGCAATCAGATCTTCCACTACTCTAATCGAACGAATGATATGAAAACAATTGTGTTCAATACCTTTGTGTGGCTTCAATTATTTAATGAATTGAACAACAGAAGACTCGACAATAAGCTTAACATATTTGAACGAATTACTCATAACTATCTATTCGTCGGTATCTTCTTGGTTGTTGCAGCTATTCAGGTAATTATTATATTTTTCGGAGGAGCTGCTTTTTCGGTTACGAGAATTGATGGTAAAGGTTGGGCAATTTCTATTGTTTTTGGTGTCATCTGCATTCCATTAGGTGCTGTTATTCGATGCATTCCAAATGACTTTTTAAGGAAAGTCCTTCCTCTTCGGATGATTGAGAAGGCGCTCTCTTGGGTCATGCATCCAAGATTCCGCCCGAAGGGTAGTCATGATAATAACGATTTGGAAACTAACAGACTTATTCCATTTGAACCATCTTCGCCGACAGAAGTCATTGATTCAATTCGAGATTCCTTATCCTTTGTGAAAAAGATTCGTGGGGGCCGTATAAGGCATTTGCTGGGCTCAAAGTTCAACAAGCAAATGAATGCTTTACCTGAAAGAGTCCGCCCCCGCGTGAAGAGAAGATTTTTTGAAATGCGTAGTCCGTCCGTGGCTTCAAATACGAGCGTTGCTCTCATGGTTCCGATTTCAACATTGTTCAGTGAAGCCAGTGGTAGGCTGGGTGGTCAGGATATATGGATCAACAATGAACAACAGAATTACGGCAAACCATCAAAATAACTCAAATTAACTCCCTTGCTACCTTCTAATTGTTTGTTTTCTTTTTGCTTCTCACTAAGGGAAACTGTTTTAATGTTGTATGTCGAGCTTTTTAAATTATTAATAGTTAGTTGCGTTATGCGACATTTCTCTTTTATTTGATTGTTCAGTTAGTCTAGTAAGAAAAATATAATTAAGTACCCTAAATAAAAGTTCTATATTTATTTACATTGTCTATGTCTATGTACGGAATCGTAAGAAGTGGTTATAAACCTGATATAAATGAATACAAATAATAATTAGCATGATATTTTGGAGTTGAATATACAACGGGTATTCCTATTGCCTGAATAAAAAAATGCGTAGAATATCAAAGATGTAGTATAAAAATAAATATAATCTTTGAAAAGGAGAAGTGAATTCTTAGAATCGAGATTAGCAGTAAAGAAATCCGCTTTGAAAGGAATCAAGGAAGAGAAGAGCGGTGCTTCACTGAGTTTTTTTTTTTTATTATTTTTTAAGAAAAGTTGTAACAAGTTTGAAATATTCAGTCATCGTTTTAAACTGGGATAAAAAATGGAAGCAATGAAGAGTAAAGTTAGCCTCAACGTAGTAAGGTATATAGATATTAAGAAATATACGATGTTAATGACCATCACTGTTAATGGAAGAGGAAGGGTCGGATTGAATCTCGTCATCGGCATTATGAGCAACAGAAAATCTTTGTCGGACAAGCTGATGTACAAAAACGCTCGCCTTGAGATTCTTTTTAGAAGCATACTTTTGAAAAAATGCCTTGTGTTCGACGGGTTTGTTATGGTATTGAAGGAGAATGAAAGCAACGGGTTTCAGTGTATGTTCTTCGTAGCCACCGGAAGCTTTTACAAGTTCGGCGCCCCAAGGACCACGGCGAAGAAGTCTGCGGGCAAGATACATGGATGAAGCTGCAATCATGGAGGGACGGTATTGAAGTAGGCGATGTTCAAAAAGATAAATCTCAGTCAAGTATTTGCCAAGCGTGCGTGTTTGAACATCGTAATTCTCACATTTTGAGATTCGACGGATCAGGTTCAAAGGACTAGGAAACCCAAGGTCATAATCAAGCACACGAAGGATATATCTTTCAGCAGTGCAGACGTCTTCGGCAGTGAAAGCACCATCAGTCATGTAAACAAAGTTTTGAATAGAAGGACACATAACTTCCTCATACTTGCTAGCGATTAAAAGAGCACTGATACCAATTAATTGGAATTTAGTTAGAGAGCAAGCACGTAAAGAGAGGAATCGGTCAACAATATTGACAGCTAAGAAGAGGGTTTCAGGCATTAAACAAAAGTTTGTGTGGATTTCCACAAGCCATTCGTTTAAGATTTCCCTCATCTTCCAGGTTAGCTCCTGTTGCTTGTCCATGTATGTCGCACTAGGAAGACATTTGCTTTCCAAACTTTCCATGTAAGAAAAGATTTCTGGCTCATATTCTTCAACCATCAAAGGATTAGAAGGTCTAAACTCCGTATCAGTGGAAGCAACCTTTTGAGATCCCTTGTCCAAGTTTGAAACGGCATTATCAGAAGACTTGCTGCGCTTCTTGGTTTGGAGATGTTCAAGTTCCTCCTCGGTTGAGGGAATGCCTTCCAAATACTGTTTTTGAGATTCCTGAAGGGAACGCTTCTTGGAAGAGGGCTCTGATTCAGTAGGATTTCTTAAATTAGATACATCAGCAAGAGCGTTACGACGAGGAAGTCGGATCTCAAATTTTGATTGAGGTTTAGCACCAAGGGCATTTTTTGTGTTTAATTTTGTTTTGTCTTGGTCCCAAGCGGGAGCATTCTCGTCGTGGTATTGAGGAACAGCCTTTGTTGAAAGGTTATTAGAACCGGCAAAAGACATTGTAGATATAGTGAAAATGATTCTAAAAACGGAAGAAGTTTGAGATTAAGGTTGAGTGCTAGATGAGAAGAAGCAGGAAACAGAAGAAAAGGAGGACGTAGCGTAAGAAAGAAACGTCAACAAAAGAAAACGAAATAAAAGCAATTGTTTTGAAAGTGAGTATTGGGAGAGGGAAGAAAAGTCAAAGGTGGTTGGAGGATGAGAAAACAGAGAAGGATGTCGCAAATAAACAAATCGTAAATGTAAACAAACCTGAAGAGGAAAAAACGCCGAACCCAAAGAAAATATAAATAAATTCTCTTTTTTCCAAAGAGAAATAAAAATAGATACTTACAAAGAGTCAAAAAGCTTCACGTTTGAGAGAATGACGTTAATTTTAGACAAGAAAGTCGTAAACAACAAAATAGGAAAGATAAAATGTTAAAAAAAGGAAAAATAAACAAAATACACTGAGCTTTAGAAGGGGAGGAAGGGATGCCGAGGGTGTACGATAAGTTTTGAAAAAGGAATGACTTGAACGTCTTTCACAAAGAAACAACACTCGAAAATCACGGACTATATGAGCAATTGAACGTTATGAGCCAATTGCCAGCAATAAACACATGTGTTTTGAACTCAAAGACCGTTTGTTGTAAAAAATACGAATCCAAAGTGAAGGATGAAAAAATCAATCCGTTTGAGCCTCAATTATATGAATTAAAGAAAAGACTTGTTAATCGCTATTAGATTTAGTGGACGGATCGAATTACAAGAGACTGACAAGTGATTTTTACAATCCTTTGGTGGGTAGAAGGCAGCAACTACGTTTGTCCTTAAATAAAGAGAAAACAAAGAATCTTAAAAAGAAATAATCAAAGATTACTCAGTATGAAAGAATAGAAGAATTATAGAATCTCCTTTCTTGTCACTTTTATACACAAAAAAAAAAAAAAGAAGGGGATGGAGTAAGTCGTTTAAATCAACGAAGAAAAGAGATCTCAACAAAGGAAACCCAAAGCAGTAGAAAGGAGACGAGGAAATTACTTAAATAACCTCGTAACTGTCAATATGAATCAATTTTCAGAGTCGAAATTTTGATTCACGAAAAAGGATAAAAGCGTCGTATGTGTTGATCAAGGGCACGGTTTAATGAAAGGAAACAAAGGCAGAAATGTCCGGAAAAGGGAAGGCTCTTTCCACGTCTATGAAGACTCAAGACGTACCAACCTGTAAAGGAGTAAGAAAATTCTCTTGGAAGCATATAAAGGATTGAACGCGACGCGACGCGACGACGCGAATACGTGAATGTGGATGATGAAAGGGAACGTGTAGAGCTAAATGTTCGCGGTCTTTTGGTGTTGTGGTTACTTGAATTGTCCAATCATGGTCGATAAAGTTATCTAGGACGAATCATAGCGCGTATAGATGAAGGCGCGCAAAGAAAGCGCGACGCGTAGTATAAACAAAAACAAAGCAAAGAAAAGGCTAATTCATAAACAAAACACAAAAACAATGTGTCTTTTTAGTAAGAACTTGGTATGCAATGCAGAACAAAGGGCTTGAAAGACTGGCGGCTACTTGATTTGGAACGATCTGGTCTGGTCTACTTTAATATACCAACCTGTACAAAAGACCAAGAGGGAATTATGAAAGCTATATATAAATCTTGAAGAGAAAGCCACCTCTTGCAAGAGAACCGATTTCATTATAACAATTATTTCATGAAGAATACTTTCTAGTCTTTTGCTGGATTCACCAACGATATCTTGCAGTGTTCAGTGTCAAAATTAGTAGCCATAGAAGGAACCGAAAATCTCCAGCAAAGGTCAGACTAAAACAATGAAAAGAGGTAAAACTGTTGGGACAATGTTTGGGGAGTTCATTATTTTGGTCTCATCTAGGTTTTTTTTTCTTTTTACGCTTTAATTGGCGCCGGCGGCTTCGCCTTCAGGTTTGCTAGACGCTAAAGCGTTAATTTCTCCTAAAACTTTGTGGAGTTCGCCACTATATCCTTGTTAGTAAAAGCAACCATAAAATAGTTGTGAGACTATGAAACGGGATTAGAGAAAATTCACAGGAAAACAAACTCATGAACCATTCTTTTGTTCATGCATTTTTATCCTTGCGTTCCCCTCGTTCATGCATTCCAAACATTAATCTTTCAAACTTTGATTACTTACGATTTGTGCATAGACATGAGAATGTCACAACCACCAACAAACTCGCCATTGATGTAAAGCTGTGGAATTGTGGGCCAGTCGCTGAACTCTTTAATTCCGTCACGCAGTTCTTCATTACTGAGCACATTATATGTGGCCAATTTATCGGTAGCGACGTTTTCCAAAGACAACACCTGGATGGCACGTAGAGAGAAACCACACATAGGTTGGTTAGGAGTACCCTTCATGAACAAAACCACAGGGTCCTCTTTGACAGCCTGCTCAAGAGCTTGGCGTGTTTGAGTAGAAAGGCTTCTAATTTGGTTTCCGAAAAGCTTGAAGGAATTGCGAAACATGTTGACCGATTTCCCTGGTATTATGTTCTGGTTAAATTCTACTATAACCATACAGATTGTCTACAATTCTTAAGATAGTGATATTTTACGACGGACAGTAAAAGGTTTCCGGAAGAACGCTGAACATTGTTATTGTGAATAACGTATTTGCCATTACGTTAATAAATAATGGACGAGTTATATATAAAAAAATATAAAAACAGAAGGAAAGACGCTTTTTTGTTAATTGTGAGGCGAATTCATTTCAAACAATCAGTTTAAAAAAAATAAGAAAAAGATAGATCAACTTTTGTCGTTCTGTTGACTCGACCATTCTTCTTGTGCGATAAACATAAGATGCCTGCGACTTCCTATAGCAAACCTTTCTAGAAATTCTACACAAGACTTTTAATACAAATATGAACAAAAAAGAAGTATCAAACGAGAAGATTGTCGCGATTTCTGTGCTTTTACCAACTAAATCGAGTTTTTAAGATATATCATTGTAAAGAGTATATATCTTCTTGGCATTTCTGAATGTTTGTTTGCTGTGGAATAGCAAAAGTCAAGAGGGAAATAAGGCATAGAATTTCATTACTAGGAATTTCTTTTTTTAAATCTCATTCTTTCAACCTGACTTGACTTCTTTATACCCATCCTGCGACATTTTAGTATTCAGTGTTTGGCACGCCAAGGGACAACTAAGTAACACTTGATGTCGCTCTCACTGGCTCCTACCAGAGTTCTCCTTTACTGAGTGTATTCCAAGCAAAGGTTGAATTTAACAGAAAATCCATCCATTGAAACAACAATCCTTGGAAAATCGAAACAATGTGGTTCGGAATTAGAAAAGGGTTTCGCTTGTTGCTAGCCTTTAGCTTTCTTCTTGCAGTGCAATGTGTGCAAGAACCTTTGTTGCGGGAAGGAAAACGAGAATCCATACTCGCGATGGACAAATTAAAGTACTTTAATTCTACACGACTGCAGAAAATTATAGACGACTTGGTCGAAAACGAGCCCTCATTCTTGAAAGCCTCCAAAATGGCAGCTGGCATGAGCGACGTGGAGCGAAAGCAAACCGTACAAGATCTACGAACAGTTGCGGAGTCTTTAAAAGGGAAGGACTCTCATTTGGCATACTTGAAAGCAAGTAAGGATGCTTCTCAGAAGCAAGGATCCTTGAACGAGGGTTTCGAGGATCATTCGCCTTCCATGGAACATGCATTGTTTGATTCCATTAAAAAGAATATGGAAGATTTTTTTTCGTTTACGCCTAGTATGAATGGATTTCTTGCTACTCTCCTTACAGCCATCCCGCCTAACGTATTTATCCTTATGGTGCCACGAAACCTCAACACGGGCTTCTTGAACTTGTTTGTCGCCGTCTCTGCTGGAAGTTTGTTAGGGGATGTCTTTGGTCATTTGCTTCCAGAAATCTACGAAAAAGCTAAAGAGGATACGAATGCTACTTCACCGACCGTATCCGTGTTGGTAGGCATCCTGATATTCTTCTTTATGGACAAAGGTCTTCGTATTCTTCTCTCCTCAAATAAAAACCATCATAGTCATCAAATCACAGAAACGAAATCCGAAAAGGATGTATCCGCATCCTCCACCACACAGCATGAACGTCTTGATCCTGCTTCTCAGAAATTGCGAAAACGCCGTAGCAGCGTCAGTCATGCACCATTGAGAGAGGAATCCACAGTGGAACAAGAGAAAACGAACGGAGAAGAAAATGAATCAACTTCTTCGGAAAAAACAGTTGCCTACTTGAACTTATTTTCTGATTGTTTCCACAACTTTATGGATGGGTTGGCTATTACTACATCGTTCTTTGCGAGTACGACCATTGGTATTACCACGACGTGCGCCGTGTTCCTCCACGAAATTCCCGCCGAAGTCGGTGACTTGGCTATTCTATTGCGGAATGGGTATACCAAAATGCAGACGTTCTCCTTTCAACTCATTACAATGTTTGCTGGCCTCTTGGGATCCATTACGAGTATATGGATTCATTCGGCCGCTCTCGCCTCCACTGTGCACAATGAGGGCACATCTTTATTGCCGCAAAGCTCTATTGCCTCTTTCCTTTTACAATTGGAAGATAAACTATTGCCCTTTTCAGCTGGTTGCTTCTTGTACATCGCCTGTCTTGGTGTTTTCCCCGAACTCCTCGAATTGAATCAAGAGCAAAGCAAGTGTACTCAATTCATCTACACAACCGCTTCTGCCATCTGTGTAGTAATTGGCTTCTTGTTTTTGATTTACATCTAATCAAATATTGTTCCTGCAACTTAAAAAAAAAAAAGTTTTTTTGTACAACCATGAGTTTCCTCCATTCCCGATGAGATGAAAGGCAAAACAATATATGAATTCATATTTAATAACTTTTCATGAACTATAATACTGCATTAACGTGAATTGGTTTTCAACAAAAGACAACAATGTGTATGAATGAATTATAAATTTTCATTCAAAAATTCTTTTACAAATCTCTTTTCTTTCTTCTTTTTTTTTATACAAATTTTAAAACATTCTTTGTTTACAAGTAAAAGACTACACAGTTGAGTCTCATTGAACAAGCGAGCCATCACGAAAGATTAATTCTACATGGAAATAAAAGAAAAATGAAGAATCTTCTTACAAAACGTTCTTCGTCTTACTTTTAAAAACAATTTTTACATAGAAATCAACCACTCTTTTTTGATTTTAAGAATAAAAAAAGAAAGGAAAAATATTTATTCGTTATTATCATGCCATCATGTGAAAAACTTATGCTTGTTGCAGCATAAATCAATCAATCATTGAACTCATTGCGTTTTTAAAGAGTTGTTGATGGATACTCTTGTATTGAAGAGATGAATGACAATTAGAAGGAGGGAGGGAATACTCAATCCGTCTTACTTCTTGTCGTCGACAAAGCGACTGACCTTGTCGTGAGCTTCTTGAGTTGAGCTCTTGCTCTCATCAGAGGTAAAGTTCTTGGCGACCTTGTCGTAGGCACCAGTGACTTGTTCCTTAGCTTTGTCGATAGTAGACTTAGAGGAATCAGGAGTAATCTTTTCCTTCATTTGGTCAGTGAAGGGCTTTCTTTCGGGATCAGACATATTGTATTTGTTAATGTTCAGTGAATTCAATTGATGCTGTTTAGGAGGATTTCGTTCTTCCTTATATAGAATGATTGTTTACATTCCATGTAATAATGACGATACCTGCAGCATGATTCATAATGATATCAACGTAGAAGTTTGCATCACTGATGAGCCTATCTTGCCTATAAGCTTTTCTATGACGTAAACACATGGGGTGCTCCGTTGGCGCGGGCTTCCCCTCAATTCTTTAGCGAATTCAAAGGCCAACAGGGCGATTCGTACGTAAATGGGATCTATACGTAATCCATATTCAACGCAATTCAAAGAAAAGGCAACAGATTAGATTGCAGTGCGATATACATTTTTATGTCAATTTTGTAGTACGCTAAACCGATTACCGTCGTTCAGTCTACTATTGTATCGTCTTATGGCTTTCTGCGAATTCGTAATAGAATATTTCAAAAGAAATGCAAGACAAAAGCGAGGTTCTTTTATAGTTTAGGTGTTTTAAAAGGTACAAGGAAGATTAGCAAATTGGAAAGAAAGGTTTCATTTGCTTCTTGAACGGTTGGTTTGTGAAAACAAAAGAATCCCAAATTGGTTATGATTGCAGGGAACGAACCCACTTTTCTTTGGTTTTATTCAACCATAATTTGATTCAATTTTATTTCTAATGATTTGAAAAGTATTTGCAAATAATGTATTGACCGCTCTCGACATACTTTGGTTCATTCCAAAGCTTACCATCAACAGTCCTCTTTGCTTCTTGACCGCTTACGTTTTTCCTCAACACAAGCATTTGGACTCTTTTATTTTATTTATTTATTTTTTGTTTCACAGCACGTTTTCATAAACTTCTTTTTGTTTATTTTCCTATCTATTTACGGCGAATTTCATGCATTTCCTATTATTTCACACAAAACCATGTCTAAGCTTTCTCAACTGCTGAATGCTAAACGAACAAATCAACAGAATTCTTCTTTGTCAGAGTCTTCCGGGAAATTAACTTCTCTCTTAAAATCTCCGTCTTCTTCTTCGGAACAAGAGCATACTGCATCTGTGGATACCGTGCATACGACATCCAATGCAGCTGCAGAATCATCTGCTTCTACTCCGCGTATGTACCTGTCTCTTGTATCATTTAAGATTTGGAGGCTTTTTATGTATTGTGCTAACCTTGCCAAGAGCCTAATGGTCTTTCGAAATTAGCTGCATTGGCTGCGCAGAAAAAAAAGAATGAAAACACGGAAGAGACAGCTAACAAGCGTTCTCTACCATCTTCCTCTTCCTTGCAAACAGACTCCAACTCTAAGGATTCTTACGACAAAGAGCAATTACTACAACGATTCCGCAAAGTACGAATTGCCGAATCAAAAGAACCTAATGAGAAACCCAGTCTTGTCCATCGTCAAGAACAACAGACCCCTACTCGAGATACAAAATTAAATATAAATGAAGATGATTTCGCTTCTCCATCCCAAACCTCGTCCGCCCATCTTTTCTCATCTTCACCTACATCTTTGATGGCCTCCCCATCCGTATTTGCTCGATGTCTAACGGGTGCTAAAAAGAAGGCTCTGCAAAATGAGATTAAAGTAAATTTAAAGAGAAGCTCTATTCTTGGCTTCAACACACCAAGTCCTGATGACCTTGTTTTGATGGCCCAATCGAAATCCAAGGGTATGTTTCGTTGTCTTACAAATCACATTCTAACCTTTTTCCTTTCAATTTAGGTTTTCAAAAACACAGTAAAAGAGACAAGGCCTTGCATGATTCTCTCGAACAATTCAAGGCTGCTAACCTTCAACAAGCCTCAAATTCCACGACTTCGCCGATATCAACGAAAGATGTGTTGATTGATAAAGAAAAGTTGTTGGAAATCTCAAAAGAGGTAAAACCAACAACGCGTCTTTCCATTTTCGGTCCTCCAAAGGTCGGTAAGAAGACGCTTTTAGCTCGGCTTTTATATCAAGTAGGAGCTCTCGACATTAAGTTAATGCAGAGATGCGCCCTTTTAAATTCTAGAAAAGAAAACTTTTCCTCTGTCCTCGATCGTGATGCTTCAGGCCTTTATCAATTTGAAACGTTTTCGCATAATTACTTATCTTCCCTTTTTGCCTTACCCCTTCAAGATCTTGCATCCTTCGCCCCTTTCCTACAAACAACAGATATTGTAATCGTTATTATCCATGCAAAGTACCCATTAGATGAAATAGAAAGCATTGTTTATTTGCTACGATTATGTTACGGAGAAAAAATTAGGGACGTTCTTTTTGTTGTAACTCAAATGGACCAGGTTTCTTGGCAAGAAGAGCAGTACCAATTTGCTGTCTCTTCTATCACGACTTGTTTGAAAGATACCCATGGGATTACCGTTTCACCGTCCTCATTTATACCGGTTAGTGGATTCAAGGGAGACAATGTGACCACTCTTTCCTTTGGAACATTACAATCATGGTATGGTTCTGATACTTTACTGGGAAAAATTGACGAATTGTCCGATAACTCTACGGACGAAAAGATCCAACTGCAACATCTTCCCTTGTCGTTGTCGATCACATCTTGGTCTTTACTCCCCGAAAACAAGATTAGAGCAGAATTTTACGTACACTCTGGTATCCTTCAAGCGCACCAAAGTATTTACACTTCTGTCGGAAAGATTGAGACAAAAGTTCATGGTAAGTCATAAACATGAATTCTGATTATTAATGTTCAAGGTATCAAATTACGCCAACATGAAAGAACATGGTGCTTGCCTGGTGAACAGACAGAAATGCATCTAACCTCTCTACCGAATTTATTGTAAGTCAATCATCTCAGTTGAGTTTACTAATCGCCAGGAATGGGACCCTTTGTGTTGATGAAGAAAATTCCTATCATTTATCCAGAAATGCATATATTACTGTATTTTCGATTGATTCATCTCTCAAAGCGCAGAATCCTGTCTATGTGAATGCCTTCTTTGGTGCTTTCCGTATGAGTGGTAAAGTCTTTTTATACTCTGAAGGGAAAGAGAATGACATGGCGTTGCGCGGTATAGAATTTCACAGTAAGGATCTTCTCTTACTTCGATTAGAGTTGGATCAGTCCGTTCCCCTTGTAGAACATAACAACGTACCTTCTCTTAGTCGGTTACTATTACTTTCCAAAGAAGAGAACGCTTTATTGGCCTCTGGAGTGGTACTGTCTGTTCAAAAATAGGCTTAATCTTTCTGTTAAGCACTCACGTTTGATGGTCTTCTTGTTTAATTATAATAGGATATAACTTCTACTCTTATGACTTTGTTTACAATACATGTTTTCGTTTAACAACAGGATTCTTTCAAGCGAACGACTGAATACGGTATGCAGAATACCATACTCGTTACATTTCGGTAAATTGGAAATCATATTATTCCAGGACGGTTATGAACACTATCCTTTTACCATTCATCACAATGGCAAGTCGCTTGGCAAGTATTTACGGTACGGAGCAAGATAAAGTAAATTGTACGTTCTATTCAAAAATTGGTGCTTGTCGACATGGAGAACGATGCTCTCGTAAGCATGTAAAGCCAAATTTCAGTCAAACGATTTTGTGCCCAAACTTGTATAAGAATCCAGTTCACGAAGCAGCAGGAAAAAGAATGTCTGGTCGTGAATTGAGTTTCCAATTCGACGCGTTTTATGAGGATATGTTTTGTGAATTTGCCAAATATGGTGAAGTGGAACAAATAGTCGTTTGCGACAATGTTGGAGATCGTAAGTTTCTTGTGGCCATTGCCGGTTTGGAACTAAATGAATTTTTCGGCTGGCTTGGCATTTTCTACTCCTAATATTCAATAAGCTAACAAATTTTAGATTTAATAGGAAACGTATATGTTCGTTTCAAGTATGAAGATTCCGCGCAAAAGGCTGTAGACGATTTGAATTCACGCTGGTATGCTCAAAAACCAGTGTATGCCGAGTTGTCTCCTGTCACCGACTTTCGTGAGGCCTGTTGCCGTCAACACGAAACTTCAGAATGTTTGCGCGGTGGCTTGTGTAATTTTATGCATGCCAGAAAACCAGATCATCAGTTATTACGAGAGCTAAATATGTCTCAGCGTAAATATTTTATTATGACTGCTCACGATGAGATGACAAAGCAAGCTTCGAATCCGCAGGCCTCATCGAATAATTGGGTGGGTGCGTCGGTTGAGCGAAGAAGATAATCTACTTAAAAGTCGTTATGTTTTTTCCCTTTTAAAGCGAGGTTATTCTTGGTCTATGAGGTTTTGGGATGTATATTTAATTATTCGAGGAATGGTTTACTAATAGACTAACGCCGTATAAAAGGTGTGTACGAAGAAAAGTTAATTTAAATACTCTTTAATAAGTTTGACATTACCGTAGGAGTTGCCGAGTTTACTTTCCATGTATCACCATCATTTTGTCTGGTACATTTCAACTAATAAAACAATCACTGTCGAAAGATGGTTATAAATATACTCACTACATATGCGATTAATATAGCATTTGTATTATTATGCAAAAAGTCAATAATCGAAAACCTACGTAAAACTTTTAAATAAACTACTTTCTCAAAATGAATAAATTATAAACCCTGGCTGTAAATTTTATAAACGATGTTAAACCAAGAATGAAATCCCAAAATTTTCTTTAGTTCTTTGCGTTTTGACGACGAACACGAACAGCTTCAGCAAGCTCTTCAAGCATAGGAACAGTTTGTTCCCAGCTAACACAAGCATCAGTGATACTAATACCGTATTTGAGGGTCTCCTTGGTACCGGGCTTGATAGGAGCATCTTGGCGACCTTCGTGGATATGCGACTCAATCATGACACCAATGATAGAGTCATCGCCATTACGAATTTGTTCAGAAATGGTCTTGGAAACAACGGGCTGATTGCGGTGATTCTTGCAAGAGTTGCCATGAGAGCAGTCAACCATGATACGAGGGGGGAGGTTAGACTTGACTAATTGTTCGCGGACAGCGCGAACATTTTCAGCATCGTAGTTAGGGCCCTTCTTACCACCACGCAAAACAATGAAAGTGTCTTTGTTACCCTTGCTCATACAGATAGAAGCAATACCTTGCTTGTTGACACCAAGCATGGTGTGAGAGTGGGCAGTGGCACCAATGGCATCAACAGCAACGTTGATAGTACCGTCAGTACCGTTCTTGAAACCAACAGGGAAAGACAGGGCAGAAGCCAATTCACGATGCAATTGAGATTCGGTAGTACGGGCACCAATAGCGCCGAAACTCAAAAGATCTCCGAAGAATTGAGGAGAAATGCTGTCAAGCATTTCACTGGCCAAAGGAACACCAAAATCGGTAACGTCACAGTACATCTTACGAGACATGTGAAGACCCTTGTTAATAGCATAAGAACCGTCCAAGTTAGGGTCGTTTACCAAACCCTTCCAGCCGATAGTGGTACGAGGCTTCTCCAAATAGCAACGCATGACGATGCAAAGAGAGTCTTTAAGTTCTTCAGCCTTGGGCTTCAAGAGCTTAGCATAATCCATGGCCAACTTGGGATCGTGGATGGAGCAAGGACCGACAACAACAATGATACGATCATCAGCCTTGTTTAAAATAGCTTGAAGCTCACGACGAGATTGCTTGACAACATTACGAGAAACCTCAGTTGAGGGCAATTCTTGTTGGAGCAATGCAGGTGAAACCAAAGGGTTGTAGCCCAAGATACGGCTGTCGTCAAGGGCTTCAGTGTCGTTGGTAGCACCGTTAGGAAGGAAAGCCTGTTAACAAGTTAGCGATCAAACTTCTTTTAGAACGATGATGAAGAATTAATTTTTAAGATTTAAAACCAAGAGATGCTTCAAGTCTAATTAAACTTCAATCATATTTCAACAAGAAGGACTGAAAAAATTTCTAGTTTTTCCATTCCCGCTCCTTGTACTTCAGCTCTAGCGATATAAAGCTTTAGGTGCTTCAACTTGAATTGATTCACCCTAAATTATATCTTCGCAAATATGACTTTCATAATAATGGTTTCCACGTTCTTAATCCTTAATTCACTTGTTCACTTACAGGAGACATAGTAATTAGACTTTATGTATATAAATTTCTTCTAAATCTTTCTTTTCTTTTACCGGAAAGAAAGGATTCGATACTTCCTAACAATCACAGGTGTTTGGCTCTGTCTAAGTGATCCACTCACTGATCGCTAGAATTAGCTTGACTATATAGTGATGCTAGTGCGGTAAACGTCGACGAGAGACTCTAACGAGCATGAAGATGCATCATGATAAACTGCTACTTTTACTAATACACTGGTTCGAGATTGCTACTACTAATGCGACTCTTGATTTGAAACTTTCGATACGAAAAGAATGAATGAAAAATCTGTGAATTACTTCTAAACCAAAAACACTATGCTACAATCGTAAGATTTAAGTAATATAATAAGCAAAGTAGTTTCTTTCGAGCTTTCTAAGAGGACGCAAGTCTAATCGGACTTTTGCCAACTTTTATTCGGTCAATAGAATATGAAATAGGAACGTTCAGTAAACACAAAAAATAGACTCGAAATCACTTTTAAATGTACTAATTCTACAGCAATGGTTGACAATGAAATCTTTTTTAATGCGCTCATTATACCTCTACATATTCTCAGCATTTGTTTACACAATTTTCGCAAAAAATTTCAAGGTGACTGCTTTTTTATTTTTCTTTTGGGGCAGAGAAACTTACTAGCAGCAAGTAGCAGAGGTTTAAAATGAGTTAATAAATGAATAGTTAATTTCTAAATATTATCAAAAGAATAAAACAATTTTTTATCCATTAAAGCGGCTATTCCGCTTACAGCTAGCTTGCACCATACACCTTCCATTTGACTCAATGACCTACAATGTACGAGAGCATACGTCATAAAATTTATGCTCTTAATGTAGTTTATAAGCATATGCAGTTATATAGCAACATACCTCATATACGTAAACGCATATTCTTATAGGGGCCCTATAGTGATTATTCAAATACCAAGTATTGTAAACAAAAGGCTTCATGGCAACCGTTGCTAGGAGCCATTTGTGTACGATCCAAGGCATAAACGAAAGAAACTACACTTGGAATTTCCACATCACCAAAAAATGTCTACAGACGATTCTCCTTATAAGCAAGGTAAGAGGTGTGCAGTGAAAACAGAATACATTTGATTGACACATTTTAGCATTCTCTCTTTTTGACCGCCATGGAACTGGCAGCATCCCCAAAAACTCGATCGGTGATTTATTGCGTGCCTGTGGTCAGAATCCTACTTTGGCTGAAATAACTGAAATCGAGTCCACTCTTCCTGCCGAAGGTATGTATGCTGATGATATCCAGGACATGACAGTTGTTTGAATGCCTGTTTGCGCTGAAACAACAAAATGCTGCAGAAGCAGCTTTGTTTAACTGGTGACCATGTTCCTTTTTCCCCTTTGCTAACTGGTTAGTTGGTATGGATCAATTCCTCCAAGTCTTAAATCGTCCCAATGGTTTTGATATGCCTGGTGATCCTGAGGAATTTGTCAAGGGATTCCAAGTGTTTGACAAGGATGCCACTGGCATGATTGGTGTTGGTGAATTGCGTTATGGTATGTGATTTCCTTTATATAATAATTCTTAAGTCGCTAACCTTTTCAGTCTTAACTTCTTTGGGCGAAAAACTCACAAACGAGGAAATGGACGAGCTCCTAAAGGGTGTTCCAGTTAAAGATGGAATGGTTAACTATCATGGTATGTTCAATTTTTAAATCTAGCGCTCTTCTTCTCTTATTCCTAATCTAACTATTCAATAACAGATTTTGTCCAAATGATTCTTGCCAATTGAACTACCTATGTCTCATCCGTCATACCCTTTTCATGCTCTGTTCTATATATACCCTTCTTTTCTAATTTCCTTTTACCTTACTTCGCACTTGACTTCATAGACAGTATAGTATGGTACGGCTAGCGCCTGTTCTTTTTCTTTCATCAAGGATTATCCTAGTGAAATGTAATTTTTTATGTCTACCAAATAATATGCATCTCATGTCAATTTTAAAAACTCGTTTTCCTTCTAAAATTTACAGTACCTATCGGAAGCCTTTTTTTATAACTATGGTCTTTTCGTAAATTGTAAGGCATAGCGATTAATTTTTAGGTAGTTGAGCTCATTAATAAATTATCTAGCAATGAAAAAGAAACGCTTTCATTACAAGCCCATACGTTTGCAACTTTGTCTTTTCAGCATAGGCTAATTCATTCAATTTCTTAGTCAATGTACACATATAACAAAAGGAACATTCACTTGTATCCGAATACATTTGTCTATTCAAACCCGAACTTTTAGTCAGCTGTTTCTTCAAGTGCCTGATTTGCAAAAAACTGAACATCTTCATCAACGTCCTTTGAAAGCTGCTCTAACATAGGCAGAATCTCCTGTAGATATACATCTCCCTTTCCTTCCGACCTTAGTACAGGGCTGAGAACTTTCAACGATTTAGCAACATTAAAACGAATATTAGGGATTGCATCTTTAGCCAGATGCTGCAATATAGGAAGGATTTGAGTTTCGATTACGGTTGCATTTAGCACCGGCGCAAGCTCCTATAAGAAGTTAATATTTCCTCCGACTTGTGATACAAGAAATAAATCCAACGACACACTTACACTAATAGCAAATATGGTAGTCATACGATACAGGTAATTAGGATGTCCACGCATGGCCAAAAACTTTGGTATAATGGTCTTCGTAGCCCATTGTAAACCGAAAACCTCGGTAAGCTGCCTCAAGTTTTTTATAGCAGCTTCACGGATAGAGTATACATGATCTTCAAGCCAAGACATGCAGAGATTGCCCATTTTCTCATTAAAAAATTCCACGCCTAATTGACGAGCTAACAATGGAATATATTCGATAATTGCAAGGCGAACACGCCATTGTTTGTCCTCGGCAAGGGTAACGATGGCAGGCAAAAGTGACTGAGACAATAACTCAATTCCAACAACTAAATGATAGGTTAACATATGACCAAAAACTTCAAAATTCTCCTACCTTTATTGACGACTTCCAACTTTGAGATAATATTAAGACGAACTTCTGGGTTTTCGTCCTTTAACAATTCCAAAAACATTGGTAGCAGACATTCAATAGTTCTATTAAAGTTAGTCAGTATATTGCATATAGTACAAGATTTCATACTTTTCTTTTCCTAATTGAGGTGCAAGAGCCCCGATATTCATTCCGAGAGCAGCACGGACGTGCTGTGCAGGGTCATTGATTAGATCTTGAAGAACAGGAATTATATCATCAAGAACAGTTTGTCTGTCTAGAAGTTCACAAATACCAGGAATCTGAGTAGCAATAGCACGACGGACTTCTTGTTCGCTGTCTTTCATGAGCAAAATAAAAGGTTGAATAAGTTCATCTTTTATGATGTTAGGACCGACAACCTTTGCAAGCTTCACAAAATTAGCAGCTACCATATAACGAGTTCTCCAGCTGCTATCAGGGACGAAAGATCTTAAAGGTTGAATCAAGTAGTGACGAATATCGGAGTCATCTTCCAATACCTTGGCCAGGGAAATCATGATATCAAATGAAAGGAGACGGACGGAGTCTTGGTCATCGTTAGAAAGAGAGTTAAAAAGTGGGATAAATTCATCAATGGCCTCTTGTTTTGAAATAAGAAGAATGAAGTTTGCGCAATTTGTAGCAGCAGGACGGCGAACCATAGGTGCTTCATCATGACACAAATGACTGAAGCTTTGACGGAGAGAAACTTTGACGGCAGGATTTTGAGATTGTGAGTATGCTGCACAATATAAACCAGATGAAGAAGCGCGAGAAGTGAACCACTCTGCTGTAGATAAGCGTTGTACTAAAGGAACAAAGTATTGCTCTAATTGTTCTTGTGACAAAGATGTGCAAACGTTATTTAAGGCCTCAACAGACTTTTCGCGTACAAGAGTTTCCTCAGTTGCGGCAAGGTTTTCCAAAGGTGATAATAACACATGAGCGTATTCTGGTCCTCCGACATAGTCCACAAAATTGCCTAACTGAGTTGCTAAAGCTGATAAAACTTCATCCTCGTCATCGATCGACTCTAAATAAAGAAGTTAGTTTCTCTTCCATTCAAAAAAGGTCTAATAATTATTGGAATAGGAACGAAAACAAGATAAAGCTTCGAAAAGGTGCCGGGACTTTTTCTTACAGTTTTGACGTCGCTCCTACATGACCTTCTCCCAATTCCGACCAAAATTTTGTACAATCCGAGACAAAAAACTTACCGTCTAAAAATGGAATCAACTCATCACGTGTGCGTTCCGGTCCCAAAGCCAAAGCAATTGTCGATAACCGATTTAAGGCATTCAATCGGTAGGTAATTTCATCATGCTTTCCCATTGATTAACATCATTCTACAAATTAATTTCACAAACCTTTAATTCATCAATTAAGACAGCAATGGGATACAAATCGTTTCCTTGCTATTTTATCATTACTGTTAATCCAGCAGCTCAAGAATTCCGATTTCTTACATCTTCTGTTTGCATTTTAAGAAAGAAACGAACCGTCCTTTACAAACCGGTAAATGAAGCGGTTAAAAGTGATTTTTCTCTTTTTCAAAGTTGAAGAGGGAGGAGGGTACGTTTGGTGCAAGACAGAGAAATCAAGCGCATGATAAAAACAAAAAGCTAGACAAAATTTAGAAACATGAACATAAAAAGAAAAATCTAATTTTATAAAAGCTAATTAATCTATATAAAGTTGATGTATAGAAGAATGTTTCATCGATGTAAAGCATTTGTTCTGAATGCATGAACAAGGCTTTTGTTCATTCTTTCTGTACCCTGTTATTTGAATAAAGTAAAATAAGAGAATGAAAGAATAATTCTTGATGTGCTTTTCTTTTTCGCATCGATTCAAACGAATGTCGGTCGAGTTGACGAGGATAAACAATGCTTCGCAACAGTTTCCCTTCCGTGTTTTTACATCTATTTCACATTTACTTACGCTAAAAAAAGAATTATATTTAACTTTTACAAAAGGCCAATTCCTTTCTCCCTTATATGGATAGAAGATATTTTACATCTTCCAAAAGGGTAGTACAATATATGTTACTCTTTGTTACTCTTTTGATGGTTGTTTCACGATGAAGTTTGACTTTGCAAAACTAAGATGGACTGAATTTATGATGGAAAAAGAAAAGCGAAAAAGCAAGAAATACTTCCTAAACGAGTGACAGGCTCATTTGATTTTGGATTAAATTTACATACCTCTCGAGACGAACAGTGATGTATGCGAGAATGAGTATTTTCGGCTTTCGATGTATTTGAAAGCAGGTTCCATTCTTTTTAATCTAAGATCAAGAGAGTTTTTTTGGGTGTTTTCTCTTAGATCAAAAAGTCATCTTGGAAAACTTCACAGACACTTTAGCCTGTACAGGTAGAAGTGGTCTACCCATTAAGTTGGCTCAAAGGTAAAAGCGATAGTGTAATAAAGAGAGACAGTTACTTTTGTAAGTAACTAATTTGGTTGAAATTGCTTTCACTTTACCAAAAGTGTCATTTCATATCGCTATACTCACCACATGAGCTTTCCACTCATAGGATACTCTTATGATCCACATGGACGTCGCTTCTTCTTACTCAAGACGAACAGGAATATCAAGTGTAATCTTTTTCATCTGGTTATTCAGTATATGTCATTTACACCGGTTTGTTTACCTTTTAGTGGAATGCATTGAACCACACTATCCCAATAGTTCCTGCTATACTGACTCTACTTTTGCCAAAGAAACGGTTGCTTGGAGTCTAGCAGTCCTTGTCTGAATTGGGTACGTTGGAAAAGAAAAAGGAAAGTGGATTTGGTTCCATTTCATTGATCCTCAGTTATGTCTGTTTATAAAGACGAAAGCGAGTTTGACGCCCCTTGGGAAAACATTTCATCGGCATGGTTGCGAAGATACCCAAAGTATGTGCATGACTATCACTCTTAAATATTTGCTGATATATATTAACGGCCTATTTAGTCCTTATAGCTCTCACGTTGTTTCTGCCGACGTTTTAGAGCGCTACATCGATGAAAAAGGCCGATTGCATACAGAACGACTTTTAGTCAAGCAAGGAAGAGTCCCTCGATGGGCTTCGGAACTCTTAAACGTGAGTAAATCTTATATTTTGGAAAGATCTATAATTGATGCAAACAAGCGTGAACTCTTAAGTGAAACCTTTAACATTGACCATCTCAAACTCCTTAAGGCTATGGAGTATAATAGATACCAACCTTCCCAAGAAGACAGCTCAAAAACTTCTATAACCACATTAGCCCAATTTGCTTCTCCTTTACGGCTGGGCTTGGGACGACGGGTGCAAAAGTATTGTCTAAAGCGTTTCCCGGAACAGCTCATCGGTTCCCGACGTGGTATATTGTACGTTTTACAAAAATATAAATCCTTTTCTTAAGGATTGTATAATATTTTCCTAATTCCTAATTTCAATTTTTTTTTTTGATACTCTTCTCTTTACCATACCCTTTTTTCTCCTTTTCTTTTTTTTTTTTTTTTTTTTTTTGTGTTTCCGCTGCTTATAACTTATCCTAATCCATCGAATACAAATTCCTTAATTTACGCATAGAATTGAGGCATTCAAAAAATCATATTCTAAATTCACGCTAGACTTTCTTTTTGTACCTATACATTTCACATTCAATTCAGTTGACTTAATAAAATTAATCTAATGAACAAATTACACAACACTCAGATTGGAATAGGCATCTGCCATACACCTTAAAAGAACGTCCATTCCTTGCCTTTGAGTAGCACTTATAGGTATCACGCGTATCGTTCGCCGTTTGTTAAATACCATTTCTTCTAGGCCTTGAAGTTGTTTCTGGGAAGAAAGATCAGCTTTATTTGCAATTACCACAGACAATCTCTTCAGAAGGTCAGGATTATATTCTTCAAGTTCTTTCCAGAGCTGCTGAAACGCTTCAGTACACGAAATTTTTGCCCTTGGAGATATATCTATCACCATACAAAGTAATTTAGCTCTTTCAACGTGACGCAAAAACTCAAAACCAAGTCCACGGCCTTCGCTAGCCCCTTCAATGAGTCCTGGAATATCTGCCAAACGAAAGCTCACAGGAATATGATTATCAGAGATCAAACGGACTGTTCCCAAATGCGGTTGCAATGTTGTGAATTCATAATCTCCAACGGTGGAACTTGCTCTTGTCAATGAATTTAGCAAAGTGCTTTTTCCTGCATTTGGAAGCCCTACCAATCCAATATCACACAAAGTTTTCAGCTCCAATTCAAAAACTTTCGACTGTCCCTTTAATCCTTTAGTAGCAAACTTGGGGGATCGATTTTTTTCGTTCAAAAAATGTACATTTCCAAAACCGCCAATGCCGCCTCGGCATAGAATTCTCGGCTTACCGCCATCATCCATCATACTATACACTATTGGATAGGGATCCATTGGAGGAGACTTACTATGAAGAAGCTCTTGTGCCTGTCTTTCGGCTTCTTCTTCAAAAGATGGACCTTCCAGGGCTACTTTAGGTAACCTTTCATTTCCCGGTCGTTGGACCCATTGAACTGGATAACTGGAACCCTGTTCTTCTTCTTCATTCAAATTTTTTATTTCCTTCACAATAGTTCCTGGCGGGACGTAAATAATTGAAGAGCTCCCTAAACTACCATGGCAATTTCCTCCTTTGCCATTCGTCCCAGAATCCGCCTTATAATGACTCAATAAATGCGATAAATTATTAAAAATTCCTGGTCTGGTAGCAATATATACCGATCCTCCGTCGCCTCCATTCCCTCCATCAGGTGGCCCATATGGTACAAACTTTTCTCGACCAAAAGAAGAGCATCCAGCACCACCGGTACCACCTTTCACCTTGATGATAACTTTGTCTTTGAATTTCTAATTTACAGTTAGTCATCTGGATTCATCTTTTCCTCTGTTTCACATTGGGACGGTCGTACCTGCTGTGTAGCAATTGCTCGAGTCCATGATTGCAGCCCGCCCAGATTTATGAGCTTTCGTTTTTGAATAAACATTAAATTTCCAAATATCATATTTATTAGGCCAAAAGTCTCAATAATTAGTATTCCAAAATCATTGTTCTTCACCTGGTTGTGACTAGAACAGTAAGAAACCAACTATAAACGGTGGGACACAATGGCAATGTTTGAAGCTTCTTAAAACCACTTCTGTTCAGATTTTGTAAATAAAAATTAAAAATGAATAGTCTACTAAGTTCTTATTACATGTATCTTTACCATTGGGGTCGCTCGTGTTGGAAACCTTACATGATTCTATGTATGACTAAAGGTGCTTCAATAAGCTTTCAATATTCGTATTTCTTATGAGATATAGATACAAAGGTACTATCAAGTTTTAAAACTCAAGTAATCCATCCCTTGGCTTAAAACAATTCATAACCGTAAGGAGGAACTCTCTTAACAGAATTGACCTTCGATACATCGAGCCAGAATGACCAGCCCAACTTCTGCACCAAGTCCTTCTCTTCGTCAAGAAGCTTGGAAACATCCAATTTGCCAGAGTTGCCGTTGTCGCTAATCTGTTTTCTTAATGCCTTCAACGCCAAACCATATTGAGACAAGCTCTTATAATAATCCTTCTTGATTACTGCAACACGAGAATCGGAATCTTCTAACCAATTCAATAGCAATTGATAAGAGTTGCAATAACCTGTAGCGTCTTTACTAGGTTGCTTGGCATAGGAAGAACATTTCACTTCAAGAGCCTTGATGAAAGCATCCTTTTGCAATGCGGTACTCTTTTCCAAAACAGTGTTCTTTGGGATAGTGTCATCAACCTTCTTTTGACTGCTGTAATAACGGGAAAGTGCCTCTTGGTCAACAAGGGATAAAATAGTCTCAGCCACTGATAAACGTTCATTGTCCTCTTTCGCAGCGTCTAGTCTTGCAAGCTGAACTTCTAAACTGTTCTTGAAAGTCGACTGGAGGTACTTCAAGTGCTTCTCTTTATCAGCACCCTCCAACTTGGATAGAAGCTCAACTTGTAACTCAACCAAATTAGGTGTTTCCTTTGCATCGGAAGACTTCCCATTAGGCTTTGCAGAAGGAATCAAGGTGATGGGGACGGTTGCTTTATCACAGTCATTAAATTTCAAGGTACCGTTCAGTACTGACTTGTCGTTTATTTCTGAAGGATATTCTTCTAATTCAGTTCCAACGACAAAGCTCTTTACGATATTGGCTTCAATGACTGCTCGATCAAAACTTTCCTTTTGGTTGTCACAAAAATCTATATGGTCAGAGTAAAGTGGAAGAGTGATAGACTTTTTCAACTTTTTAGTTAATTTTAAGGTCAAGTTTTTGAATCGTTCTAACTTGATTGGATCCACGCTCAATAACTGTATCTTATATTTGTATTCACCTTTTTCGAGAGAGTGCGATGATGAGTACATATCACCATAGTGAACCCTTTGCTTCTGAGAATCGAAAATCATGAAGAATATTCCATTGAAGCCATTGTCGTACATGTTGTGTGGAACAGAAAAGTCTGCTGTTAAGTCAAGTTTCTCGTCCACAGTCAAGGGATAGGTGTTAATCAATTCAAACAATTGTTGGTTATCCGGAAGTATATCTCGTTCACCAAGAGGTTGAATTACAGATTCACTTGGCTTGTAACATTCGGTATATTTGTCGAGGGAAATCTCAGGCTTAAACTTTCCACGGCGAATACTAACGCAATCAAGACGTTCAAGTCCTTTATCGCCATGAAGTGTCATTTCACTTCCGTTCAGAAGTTGAATACCATGGAAATTAATATCAATATCCAAAGTCATGGGTTCTAAAGAAGACCACCATTGTGCCATACAAAGTTCAAGGGTATAAGCATCGTGAAGAGGGATTAACTTAGTGGTTACTTCATTATCTGATACAGACATAATAAGCTCTGTGGATGCATCCTTGAGTTTTGTCTGGGGAAGAGTCTGATTGGTACTAATCCAAAGCATATTAGAGGACTCTAAAGGTGAAACGGCCTTAACTCGAATTTCAGCATAAGTAGCTCCCTTAGGGGGTACAAGGAAATTGCGACGAATCAATGTTGGCTCAAAAGATACATCACGCAGAGAAAAATTTGCATTTACAACAGTAGATGGTTTCATGACCGTTACAGGGATTTCAAATAAACAACGTCGAGAAGCTTTAGTGGCTTCGAAAGCTCTTACTTTGCCGAAATGGAATCCGGGTGCCAAAACGGTAGGGTCGACGCGTACAGAAATAGCTCTTCCTGTTCCAGCCATCATCACGTACTCTGGAGCTTGGATCCATGGTTGTGTTGTCGCAAGAGATAATTGTACTTCAAACTGAGACTTGGCCGTTTCTTCTCCTTCTTCAAACTTGGGTGCAACAGAAAATGTATGACGGGAAGGGTTAGCAAGATCAGCTACTTCACGAAGATAAATACCACGTTTGCTATTTCCAAGGTTTCCTTTGACTGTGAAACAGCGTGAGGAAGCAGCTTCAGCATCAGACTCGGTCAAGTAATTGTAGGCGGTATCGACTTGCAACATTCCGACTTCAAAATCATCTCGTACATCCTTTGATGTGTACATGACGGCTTTCTTAATACCAGAAGCAGTGTATGGGATATTTTGAGCCTTCAATGCTGACAAAATTAATGCAATACCACCACATGCTGAAGGGGAAGACATACTGGTTCCATTCATCAACTGGCTGTTTTGCAAGGAATAAGGAGGGACAGATGTAATGGCACCGCCAGGAGCATAGATAGACACGCCGGTATCACCGTCTAAAGTAGGACCACGGGAACACCAGGTATAAGGTGTATCACGCACGTTCGAGAGAAGACTGTATTGGGCTTGCATCATGCTTCCAGTGACATATGCACCTACCGAAATAACATCAGTTGTAGTTCCACCAGGAGCACCAACGGTGGTATAAGCAGGGCCGTTATTACCAGCTGAAGAGACAATAATGACATTTCGTTTTCCAGATAGCTCATCACGAAGAAGCTCAATCACTCTTCCTTTATCGCAAACAGCAGCATCTTCGCCAAAGCTAATGTTGATGATATCAACTTTGTTTTTTACAATTTCTGTGCATGCACGAGAAAAAGCATGGCTTGTTTCTAAAGAATCTAATCTTCCATCACCAATCATAAGTGAGACAAGTCGACATCCTGGTGCTGCACCATTCAAATCTGGTTTTTCTGGATGATGAGCACCGATAATACCACCTACATGAGTTCCATGAGTTCCACTAACAGCGACCAAGGAAGTAACATCACCATTGTTATAGACATGAACACCATAACTTAATAAATCTTTGGATCCAAAAGTGCTCCACTCCTGAGCAACCGAGAACGGACGAAGAGGTTTTTGCTCAATTAAATCACCGGACTGATTAGTGTCGACGACAACATTCCAGTGCTCACCATCATGAAACGTAACAATATCATAAAGAGGACCATTCTTTTCGAACTTTTCACCAAATTCCTTGAGGCATTCGATGCGAGCTTCTAGCTCTTTCAGTTCCAATAATTTGTCCTTGTCGGTAGGAGTGTCGGGATTTTTAGCTTTAAATTTTGCATATTCATCAGTGACGTCTTGTAAAAGCTTTCGATTGTTCTTGTTCATATCTTCTGTCTCCAATCCTTGAAGACGCTTTCGTAAATCAGTAGGGAAAAAGTCATAACCAAATTTGCATCCAACTCTCCATTTCTTGCTGGGGTTCTTCCATTCTTTTGAAAGTTTAAGCATTCTTCCAGAACGTCCTTGAACGCTTATATATTCATTAGATGTACCATTATCAAGGGATTCCACTTCAAGTGATGTATCAACATCTCCTGCTCCGGTGCAATCAACAATATTTTTGAACTTGGCTTCTCCAGTCGTTGTCACTGAAAGTCCAGGTGCTCCAGGATCCACACCTGTGTCTAAAATGCCTACAGTAACGCCTCGTCCATCATACTCTGGGTACTTCTTCAAGAACTCAAAAGCTTGAGTTTCATGCTTAGGTACGACACCGTCGAAGGGAAAATAATTACCAGAAAAATCTGAAGGAATCATGGATGTGTTGTATTGTCGAGAAAAATAAAAACTCCGCGGTTTGCAGGGTTGGAAGAATGATTTGGTAGAAGAAAAGATGGTATGAGGTGCATTTTTTATATGTAATCTTATCTCCCAAAAACTCCTTGAAGTGACAAAAGAAGGATTTGCAATTTTAGAAAATTGCATCTATATAAAATGCTTGCTCCGCGATTGATAATGTGTATCTTCACCTTCGACCGGTCGTAGTCGTTGGTAAGAACTCATATTCTGACTATAACTCGAAGTATAAGTAGTCGAAACTAAACACCTTTTTACGTTTAATCTTATTCCTATTTAATAATATGGTTTATAATGATCAGGACGTCTCACATTTGATGGCATGAAGGACGAACGCTATAATACAATATCTTGGTAATTGAGAATACTAGACAATAGAATACTTATTCTTGGTTTAATTAGTACATATTTATCTAAAAAAAAAAAAGAAAACAAAAAGAAAATGAAACAGAAACAGAAATAGAAGTCTAATTGCTTTTTCTTTCTTCTATAACTTAGTGTAGATCCACAGACCAATTCAAAGAAAAGCACAGGAGGGAGAAAAGCTACAATTCTTTGGATATAAATCAAGAGGTTGCGAACATGCAGTATTATGTGGGTCATAATAGTATCCTTGGACATTACCAGTCGTTCTTGATAAACAGCAAAAGTAGAAGCCCGAAATTTTGTGATTGGAGCCATCGACTTGACTTCCCAAATATAAAATATCTTTCCATCTCATAAAAATATACTTTTCACAAACTTTGGATAACTTCTTAACATCGGTAATGATATCAAAGAAAGTATCTGTGTCCATGCTTCGAAAGGGAGACAGTTTGCGCCAAAAACAGACATCCACCTCTAAGGGAGCACTCCATTTCTCTGTAGCAAAATTCTTACTTTCAGAGAAATCAAGAATTTCACCACTCCAAGCTGTAGAAATCGAAGAAGAACGACTATCCGCATTTTGCGGATAAGCATCTAATTGACCTTCAAGTTGCATCTTTTGGTAATCTACAAAATGTATAGATACATCAACAATCCAGCGATCCTTTGGATCAGTACTTGAAGGCAACCCGCTTATAGAGTGACACCCTTCCAATTGAGTGCCCTCGAAAACGGATCCACTGCGCAGCCACCAAGAAGGAGAAAGAAACCTGACGCGCCCCTTCGACTTTCTAGATTTACGCAAACGATGCAATCGTTTGTGCTTGGTAAATAGAGAGCTCAGAGAATTTTTTCTTGTGATATTAGGTCTGGAATTAGATCTGGAGGAATTCCCGCTTCCATTAAACTCGCGACCTGCCAAGCTGCTCAAATATGACAGCGCCGAATTATGTAACGAGTTACTAAAGTTTCCTATAGGATGATCTTGAAAAGTTGTTTCGGTTGACGAAGAACTGCCATCACTACTCAGGGAATTATATTCGGAACGATGGCTATCCGTATACTGATGCTGATTATTTACGAGAGGAAAAGAGCGATGAGGGGAAATAGGGCGTGAGTCAGTTTCATGTGAAAAGATGGACTGTGACAATTCATTATCCGCAGATGGCTGAGACGGAGTCGGTGAAAATGAGAAGGGTGGTCTTAAAGCAACAGGTTCGGCTCTTTGATCTCTAGGAGATATAGAGGATAAACCTAAACTGGCATCCCGATGATCGTTAGCTTGCAAATATCGATTCAATCGTAAGACACGATCAACGAGTCTTTCCGTATGTGAAGAAAAAAGGGCAGGTAAAGGGAATGCTTCATCGAAATTCATTTCAGTAAGCATTTCAATCCAATCCGGAATACTCCTCCTCGAAATTCGCGTTGCATTGCTTCGAGAAAGACCTACAGACCTTCGAGATTGTCTATTATTTGAATGAGGGAACGACGAATAACCGGATGAAACTCTGCCAGGTCGTGGCAAAGACTGTGAATTCAATGCGCTGTTTGAAGATGGTCTAGTATTTGACATTGATGCTGGTGGTATGTTATTATTAGAATTTCGTCGATTCCGTTGATTTAAGGAAGGATATGCTCGATGTAAAGATTGAGAATTATACCAGTCGGGATTGGAATCATAGAAACCCGGCCCATGGGTAAAGGAGGCCACATTTTCAGTAAAATTAGTTAGAGGACGCGGCATGAAGACAAACGAATGCAATAGGGATTTGTCGTGGTAGCAGCCACTGCAAATTAAACAAATTGAGGTATTAACTTAATAAATAGCAAGCAATTTCGACGAATTGTGCTTGATAGTAAAAATTGCAATTAAAAAAAAATAAAATAAAACTAATATACAAATAAAGTGAAACGAATACCAATTGATCCTAAACAAGCGCGAAAAAAAAGTAACCAACGTTGTCAATGATTTTTAAAATTGTAACAATAAAAAAAATAATGTTTTGTTTATAACAATTCGAATTATTTACTACTGATGACCTGCAAATTCCTGCCTTAGTGATTGTACTTCGCGGACGACAAAGGCAAACACAAGAAGATAACTTTTTTACAATGTCGAAAGCCTGTAAATAATTAACCGCTCTTCTTATAGTCAATAGAAGTCAATACAAAATTGAAAACGAAAGCCTATAAAAGCCGAAGGCAAATTTTTCAATAATGGTGATAGAAGTCTACTCCCTGACCATTTGAATGTTTAATTTTTATTCTTTTTTTTTCAGAAAAAAAGAAATTTTTTTTTAAACCCTTTTAGTCACAAATTGACTGGGAATTGTAAAACAAAAATAACGGTCCAAATTGGTTTAGGTAGAGTCGGGTTGTACGCAATTCTAAAATTTCTAAATCGGGCAACTATTTAAAACTAGGGATTCACAAACGCAGAAGTGAAATTGGAAGCATAATAGAAAGACGGCATGAATTCTAGTACATCTGTCTGTATTGACAGTTTAAAAACTTGTTGGAACCAACATCAAAATGTTATAGAAATATATTTTATATAGTTCTTAGCCTTAATTAATGTACACAAAAATTATTATCATAATTATGAACAGCAACCATTACAGTTAACGTCTCACTGAAAAAGCAAGCCCCATTTGCTTTTCTCTAGTTTGGAACTTGATAAAGAATCACAAGATTCCAAAGATTTTTCAAGAAGTCTTCCATAGAAGAAGCACCTTCTACTTCCAAAATTGTTCCAGTAAAATATGGCGACATAACGTAGGAACACATTAACTCTAAAGTCCCCCATTTAAACTTTTTGCATTCACGCTTTTCATAACTTTGCAAATGAAAGTCTCGCTGCATTTCTCCCTGAGAGGATGAAAAGAGAAATTGCTTAGGACATTTATGGAATTGTTTCGAACCTAGGTATGGAAAACATCGGGTAGCATAATCGTTAAACGAGTCTTCCCAAGGTATTATTTGACGACTACAGGAACTCATTAATAGGTCAACAAAGTGCGTCGGCAAAAGAATCTGACTTTTCCTATCGCTTCCCATAATCAAATGTTTTTCCTGTCTCTCCAAACCATTATCTTTGTCGGGAGACGAGAACACCATTTCCAAATAATGGGGATTATTTGAGTGCTTTGATTCAGTAGTTGGAGTAAAGACCAACTTTTTTATGTAAGAAGTTTCATATTGAAGCAAATCTTCTTTAGATAATGTTTGGAAAAGTGTCGACAAGAGGTTAGGAATTCCGGGAATAAATATGTTATGCGCACTTCCATCAGTACCATTTGTAACGCTTACCGACTGCAATTCGTTTTCTTTTGAAGAAAAGTGTTTGCTATGGAATAAAGAGTGGCCAAAAGTTGCTTTCAAGGAATGAACAATAGGCATACTACTCGTATTTGAAAAAAAATTTTCTTGCACTTCCTTTTCTATCAAAAAATCACCTTCATGCTCTTTTATAAAAGAGCTGATTGGTACGTATTCGTTATCTTTTTGAGCAACCAGAGGAGTAATCAGGGTATCATCAAAAGACATACATGCAGATTTAGATGTCAACGTTGGAAGACGAGTAGAAAAGTTTTCAAGAGAATCGCTTCTTTGAATGCTTGTATTCCAAGAATATCCAATATCTTTCATCCACCTCTTCCAAACATTATTATTTTTTGTAAACCACGGCATAGAAAAAGAATTGTTCCTAAGACTAACCGTACTATTCATCTTGTTCGTCGGAACAACAGAATAAAATCTATTTCCACAAAAATATCCGTTCACCAATGCATACAACATCCTCTCGACATCTTCAAAAGTTCGTCCATCTTCAAGAATGCAGCTGATCTTTAATTCGGTTTTGCTCCGAGGCTCAAGAAAGGCGTTGATTTTTTGGCAAAATTCCTTTCGGTTTTCTTTTACCAACGAGACTAAATATTCCGGAAACTGGAAAGAAGCCACTTGTATTTGGTTCAGGCGTTTAAAAACATTATCCTTCATATGTTCCGCGGCTTTCTTTTTTCCTTGTATGCGAATACGATAATCTGAAACGTTAAAGAAAACGTGACAATCATGTACTTTTGATAAACTTTTGACATCAGCTGCTTTATCCAGTAGTAAGAAAAACATGCCGACTGGACTGACCCGCAGATCCAATTCTTGTACCAAATCATCCGCAATTGAAGTTTTAACTTCCAGTTTCCAATGATCCTGTAGAAAATATTTGATTAATGAGGATTTATTTCGTTTCCCCACACCGTTAAGCGTTATGGATTCGAAGAGTTTTCTCAGCTGTTGTAACCGGAATGATTTATCTATAGCTTTTTCAAGCTGGGTTAACCTAGCTAAAGATATTTCTTTTTCTTTTGGTTTTAACGACTCTAGCGCTCGGCGTAGTTCAGTTACGGACTCCTCGCTTCCCGGTTCTCTAAGAAGTTCTGATGCCATCGATTCAACGAAATTATGAGTTACTGAAGGAACATCTCGACGTTTTTTGGAAGAAACCCTTTCTCTCTTGGGTTCTAAAATGATAAAATGGTTGTTCTCTTTGCTCTCATATGATACTGAACCTCTATGAAAACTCCTACTAAAAACAAACCCTTGAGGCTTGGAACCTCTTAAAAGTTTTGTAAAGTAGGAATATTTTTTAATATTCTTAATTTTGAGGGCATTTTTTAACATTTCCTATGAAAAATGCATTAATTATCCTGCAAACGTTTAGTAGGTTATTTCTACGATTGGTGTCGAGCACTAAGGAATGGTAAAGGCTTTTTGCGTATGCTTGCCAGAAAGCAAAGAAAAACAAAATCTCTACAGCATGTAATAGAATATGATTTACTTAATTTTTAGTTTTTGAATACAGGAGAGTTTTCATTTTTTTTCTTTAACAAGATAGTATCTGAGTCATAGTTTATAATTACATTTACAAGCCAGCAGAAAAAGTAGCATTTAATTTAATTAAAATATAGAAATATAGATAGAATCATGATGGAATATTAGGAAATCGTAACATTAAATCATTAAACCGGATATCCTGTGATATAGATGTTATTGCTCAGATTCACCATAGCGCTTAAAGAATTTACTCATTGAGGTCCCTAATGCTCTATCAATATGCCCACATGCAAGGATATCACAAAAAAGATCATAAAATTCCTTCCGCCCTCGTGTAAACTGAGCGTCTTCTAAGGAAATTATATACTCGACTAGGCCAGTGATGACGGGCTGGAATGCAGCAACTCCCTTCACAGGATTATCAAATATAACTCTTTGAAATCCACGTATAATTAACTTTGAAGCATCTGAAATCTTCTGTTGGAAGGCATTACTAAACTTTTCAAAGTCAGGTTCATTGTCGCTGAATCTCTTCAAGGAAGAAATACACTGGAAGCTAATATATAAAAATAGTTTTGCGCAAGAAGCTTCTTGACTTAAGAGATTCGGCATATGGTCGACGATTCCGGATGACAGAATCTTTGCGCGAATTTCAATATCCGAATTGAATGATTCTGCAAAGTTCCATGACTCACCTAGCAAATCCAAAAGTACCAAGACTTTGTCTTTCGGTATGTCTGAGAGAATGCCATCAAAATGAGCAAGCTCCCACAAACAGTTGATCATTAGCAATTGTAGGGTGCACTTAACCACGATGTTCTTTAGCTGCTGCTTTTTAGATTTCCCTTGCTTGTTCAAGTTGTTAAGTTCACCAGAAAATGTTGAATTAGCTTCAGATTCTTCATCAGTGGATTCAGTACCTGTTTGAGGATACAAGGAATGATCTTGAAGTTCGACAGGTAGTGTACGCTTCAATAAATCACTGATGCAGTGCACTACTTCATCCCAATCTGAATTATTAAATTGCTTTCGGTTTTTCTGAATCAATTGTAAGCAACAACTTATCCCGACCTTGGAGAGCATGTTATTTTCTTGGCATATGCATTTTTGAAGTAAAGAAAGGACGTTAGGCAACTGACTTCGAAGCTTTTCCATGTGTTTTGTGAAAAATTCAATAAAAGATCGCAAAGCTTCTACCATGGTTGTAAGAATCCATACGTCTGTTTCCTCGGTATTTTTTGCCATATATAGCCTTTGAAAATTTGAGATAGAAACAATTGAAAATATGGATAAAATAATATCCAAGGATAACTTATTTAAAAAGTCGACGTCAAAATCAGCAACATGTCGATCCAAACAGTTGAATAAAAGCTTGACGGCCCTCGAGCGTACCTCTAAATCAGGAGCTTCCTTTATTACATCTCTAAATGCAACTAGCAAAGGGAACCAATAGAGCTTTTCAGATTTCGGAGAGTACACGGGAACATTTTCGTTTTCGCAATTCTCTATAATAATTCCTTCCAAATTTTTCAGCATATCGAGGCTGACCAAACAGAACTTCTGATTACCACCCAACAACGAAAATTTGGAAAGACACGCAACCATCTCTGAGTAAGCACCTTGTGAAAATATACATTTTGAATGGTCATTAAAAATAGAAGAGACAATAGATAGTGCATAGTGTAAAACAGCTCCATTATGGATTTTACTTGCAGATGCTAATATCTGAAAAATAGGGCCCCAACCAGATTTTATGTTTTGATAACGAGCTTTTACCATCTGATCGACGCACCGTAAAACAAGATCGTTGATTTTCAAATCTTGACAATTATCCATTGCGTGCTTGAATGGCTGCAAAAAATCCTTTTGAAACTTAAAATGTGAAAGTTCTTCGATTTCCAAAAATTGCATGGAAAATTGACGAAGAGAATCCAAAGCAAAGGATGCGATTATTGAATTCTCGTGAGAGCTTACTTGAGTAAAGTAATTTCCCAGTAGCGACCAAATGCTAGACCATTCCATACGAATACGGCCCATGTTGTAATATGATATTTCCACAAGTTTTTGTAAACTAAATAGTCTTGGGGTAGCTAACTCTAGCGAGCATTCTATTTCTTCCCATGAGACACCAATAAGGGCCTTTACGAAATCATAAATACCTTCACTTCCCAGAGCACGAGTATTCGAAAATACCATATCGACGGCCATTACCACCTCACGGGAACTATACTCTTTGGCAACATCCAGAGAAGTTGGTTTTATAGAAGCGCTTGAATTTGATCTGTGAGAAACACTAGCACTTCGCGAAGAACGATGTCCTTTATCAACGGGACGTGGCATTAACTTCGTTAAATTAATGTCGGGAATCGAATTCTTATCCACCCCAGCTGTTATCAGTTGGACCCGTTCAAGTTGACTTATACAGAGCAAAATGTCTTTCCAGGAATCCTTAAGTTGATTTCCATGGGTTAAAGAGATGTCAAGCAACGTCCTCAGTGCATCCATGTTCGTTCGCTGGAGCTCCAACATATTGTTGAGATGGGTAAATTTAGTGAGAGTTTGTATATAAGCATTTCTGGGTAAATCCATCGAAAAGATGCAAATAATATCTACAGCACGCCTGAAACCCTCGAGAGATAACTGAATTAATGCAGAATCAGAAGATAATTGTACGGATTCAGATAATGCTGCTAGAATAGGCATCCAGACAGCTTCAAACATAGGACCGACATGTTCAAAATGCCTTGCGGTATAGTAAATATCATTGGCCGTAAGTTTTCCTTTCTGTCTTTGTTCCTTTATTAAATCCTTGAATAGAGCTTCAGTTTTATTAGCCATCTCATTTGAGGCCATATAGTAAGCCTCTCTCTGTAAATCTCGACCTACGGTAGCCAGAGCATTACTGATGTTTGCGGCAAATCCAACACTAGCATGAGTAGGGAGGTAATTGTCAATAGAAGCTCCCTGTTCGTCCTTCATAACAATTTCATTTTTTTGAATATCATTGTATACATCGACCAAAAACTCGTCACTTAAGTTTGCACCATCATCAACACCTCTATTATTCCGAATGAAATCCTGACATGTCATGCGTTGTTTAACTTGTGGGGAATGTTGGTCGGTATTGAGCATGATAATCGAGTAAGCCAGCACATAGGCAGTATCAGCATTTCTAAATGCACCCAAGTTATCATCAACGTATTTTTCAGCAAACTTTAACATAAAGCGATCAATTTTTTGAGCCTCTCCAGGAAGGCGGAATTTCTGAAGAAATGAGCGAAGAGCATTTACAAAGCCTACATCTTTGAAGCTCATTTTATCAACAAATGCGTGCATAACAGCAATATTTTCCTCATTCCCTTCTCCTAAGTATTCACCAACGGCAGCTTTGTTCAAGCCTTCAGTGTCTAGTAGAAAACTAGCGATATTTCTCGGAGTGTCGGATTCAATCAACTGCCTTGAAATCAGAAACCTCATACCTTGCTTGGGTTTGTAGTTAAATTTCTGAATCCCTTCTTGTAATAACTTCTTATGATGCTTTAAGCTTTCAAATTGAGAAGGATCATCGATCGCTAAAGTTGTAGCAGAGGTATCAAAGTTATCGGTTGATGTATCGTTGTTACGGACAGAAGAGACATCAGAAGTACTTCTTTGATTCTCCTCTATTCTATTAGGTATCAAATTATCTACATTATAATGACTTGAAGAATCACTTGAATCGAAATTTTGATTACACCAGCTGTATAGTGAAGAAAGTGCGGAATTGAGGCACTTGTATGATTTTAATTTGATCTGATAATCAAAGAAAGGAGGATCATGGAGATGGGAATAATATCCTATAAAAGAAATGCTTAGCTGCGGAAGATCCTTCAAGTCATTATACACGAACCCCACCCTGTCGATAACAGCATGTTCCGGTTTAAAGGAAAATCCAGAAGGAGGTTCCATTGTTTTCTGGCTCGCAATTCTCGCTAGCGTGACGATAATACGTTCATATACATTTTCAGAATTTCCACTTATACAATCGTAATTTAAGTACAACTCAATGAGAGTTTGCGGCTCTTTGCAAATCCGATGAAAAATATTTAAAAGGACAATTTTCTGCTGATTACTAGAAGACCTCATCTCAAGAATGGGAAAAAATATTTCTGTGAAGAAAACTTCCAATTCAGCTTTCATTATGTTCTTTAGGCCGGATAATACAAGCCAAAAGATCTCGCATGAAATTTCAAAAACTGGGAGAACATGACTGACAACGTTCTTTGCTAAAGACAGACAGATGTATTGTTTCACAGCCTGTACCAAGGGCGTAGAAGGAGACGAAGGAGATTTTATCATAATGCCCGGATTTGAGAAGACCTCCATGTAATTATGGAGGATGCGATATATTAAGTGAAGACTCATCAATTTGGAACGCATCGAGTGTGACTTTAAATCACTTTCATTTTCATAAGGAACGGGTTTAATCGAAAGTTTACAAAGAGCACGAATAATCAGAAAGGCATCTCTTAAAAGCTGTTGCTCCAAGGATTCTTCCTCTAAGGGAGCTTCTTCTCTTACTTGATCAAAGCTTTTACGCTGTTCGAAGGACTCCAGCGTAAGCTTGCTTTCAGGAGGATCAGCTGGTAAAACCTCATTCGGTTCTGGAACCGCTAATTGCTCAACTGAACTTTTAAACGGAGTGACCGCATTGACTTCTATTTGTTGACGAAGCACACCGGACAATCGATTAAAAACGGAATCCACCATTTGCATTATAGCAACCTGAGCTGTGGCTTGAATGGTAGGGTTTTTACATAAAAGAAATATATTATATGTCTGTCTCACCGCCAAAAGTAAAGATGAATGACGAATTAGAGTACGTTGAGAAGTTACGGCTGCAAGTAAAGCCTTAATAATTTGTAATTGAACTTTTTCGGGAGTAGAGTCACCAAAAAAGCATGAAGCAATGGTGTTCACAACTCGTTCCATTAAAGACATCTCAGGAGAATTAATAGCAGGGGTATCAAAATAATTGTAATCAATCAATTTCGCAAAACAATCTAAAGTTATTGTGAGTAGCGTTGTGCTATTTGTTTCGCACGCCATTACAAGCGGGTCAAGAATAGTTTCCGGAAGTAAGAATGGTTGTTTTTGCAGCTCAGTTTGTACATTATCAATGGATTCTCGTAGCTTTTTGTGTTTTTTCAAGGATTTAGCTTTGGACATTTGCTTGAATGCGTCTATAATAAAAAGATGTGGATTGAGTTTACCTGAATTTTGGAAAGTTGGTCGACTTACTGCTTCAGGACGTTCCTGTTGTTGTTCACTGTACGTAGTCGATCTCCTGGCTAAATGGCTAGCCACATCACTTTGTGATTCTGTTTCTTCTTCGTCAATCCTTGGATCCGGTGTTTTGATAGGATGGTCTGCTTTCGGTTGGCTATCTTCATTTGAGCTATTTATGGGAATATCTTCATTAGCCTCAGCATCATCTGCCTCGAATTGGGATCGTTCTTCGGTTTCGCTTGGAACAGAAGGTTTTGGGCTGAGACCCTCAGAAGCAACATTTGTATCGTTCATGCTTATCTCCCTTTTTGAATCGGTATTATAGTTTGTTTCCTTTGCTTCATTAGGTGTTTCATTGAGCTCTGCCTCTGGCTGATCCTTCTCATTCCCTGTTTTGTAATCATTATCGACTTCATGGGTATTCATAATATTATTTTGATTTGAATTATCTCCTAGTGTTTGCTCATTAGAAGCAGTTTCGTTTCTATGTTCGTTTTCTGACGGATCTGAGGATCTTTCATTTTCTATCTCATCTGGCAAAGTACCATTTTGTTCATTTTCTTGTATATGAACTTGTATTTCATTTCCTAAATTATGAGAAGCTATTTCGGCAGCTTCTTGACCAGATTCTACCATTTTTTATCATTCGAACGTCTCGCTGGTAGAATACAGAGGCACCCCACTACAGCAGAAACGCTATGTTTAGTGTAAGGTACTTTTCACTATTGACTTTATTTAGATGAAAATGTTTTTTCTTTTATATAAAAATATAATTCTTAGGAATGCGGGAATTCAGAAAGTAAGACTAATATATTAATTTAGCTTTCTGGCACTTCAGTAGTCAAACTTGAGACAGTCTACTTGTTTGATATGATATCTGCATACACTTTGAGAAGACTATTTTTGATTTCACATAGAAAATAGTAAAATAAACATAGAAACAAAAAACTGCAAATGCACGTCCAGAGTCCACAGGGTACTCGATAAACACAACTTCATTTGATTCACAAGACACAATTAAGAATAAAAAGAACAGATCATAACAAGACAGAAGGCACAAGTTTGGACAATAGATTACCAAGTTCAGCTCAGCTAGATAGAACAAGGAACTGGCAATTCCTATAGAAGTTTTAAATCATGACGGAAGAGCGAACGTTAGCATAAGATAAGGCGAAGGAAAAATTATAAAAATAGGTTTCTAATAATGTAATAAATGATATTTACGCGAATAAATCCAAAAACGAGTAGGACCCATTCTTTGTAGTCAAACCAATACCAGTTTCTTGTAAGAATGGGGCCATTACAAAGTGCCTTTCCTACAACGGGATCATCAGTAATAACACCATCACAATCTCTCTTTAATGAAAGATAAAAGGCAGCGGTGGTATTCACGGACCAGGCAAATACTTTCTTGTTCAAAGCGTGTACCATATCAATAAAATCCTGTGAAGAAGGATGCAAAAGCGAAGCAACGGCAATACTTACTCCAATGACACGAGGATGCATCACGAAATATTGTTGAGCATAAGAAAAGTTGAATCCAAGATGGCAGATTTTGATTCTAGGAGCATATTTGTCACAAGCCGGAAGAAAACGACGAGACCAAATGCAAAAAATTACTTTATCTTCCCAAAACTTTAAATCGAGGTTGATGTCTAACATAGTATCAACCATTCTTTGGATAATGAATATATCAAGGTCGGGCTTTACGTCAATATATAGTTGGACACCGGGATACTTTAATAACTCTTTTAGGAAAGTTTGAAGGGTTGGTAAAGGTTCGTAGGGTTCTCGAAGGGTTCGAAAATGGCCATTTTCGCGTTCATAATCCACGTCAAATGTGTATGTATCTACTCCATACATGCGTTTCAAACTTCGGTCATGAGAGATACAAACTACCTCATCTTTAGTAAGACGAACATCGGTTTCTATATGCTTTACTCCAGCGTTCGCTGCTTCTCGAAAGGCAGCAAGTGTATTTTCTGGCTGCTTGGCACTATATCTGTTCCTTAGTTAGCTCACATTTATGGAAAAAGTATGCAAGAATTAAGAGATTTCGACTACGGAAATCTACCATATTATTTTTCAAGCAACTTTAAGCCAGCCAGACTTCTGAGTTATGATGAACCAATGTTATTCACAATCAGAAGCGCAAAGCATATATTAAATCTTTAAAAGACATAGTTGGAATTGCAAGAAAGTGAAAGTAAATAAAAGGAATAACTTACCCTCTGTGAGCAATAACTATTTTAGACTGGTCCTGAGTATCGTTTTGGACCATCGAATTTTCTGATGATGCATCAGAAAGTACCTGGTACTTCCCATGATCATTTAAATCCAGATTGCTCATAGTATTAAATCAATTCCAGATGAAGAAATTTGATATAGGTAAATGGCAGAGGATAACGTTGAGAAGGAAGTATTTTGGCAATCGTGAAGATGATATCACCTAAAAGTACCTAAGGCAGGTAGTAATCGGTATGCAACATAATTGTAAATGAAGAAATGCCGATTCTCTCAATTTTCTTAAATTTTAATTAAAATATTAAACACATTAAAATACCAAGATCGTTTTCTCTTTTATGGACCTCAAAGAGAAGATAGAAATTCCAAGTTCATCAAGCAAATGTTTTAACCTTTAGGTTAATAGTTGATCCCATTCAAGTAAGTCCTGAGATGGTAGAGGTTGTACAGAATCATCTTTGTCAAAGCTGCGGACAGCATCCGACATAATACTATATACACGATGTTCAGCTTCTTCTGAATGTGACGAGATCGTCGAAGAAGCATCTTTCAAAAGAAATAGAGTTCCAGAAACTGGATCTATGTTCCAAAGGAAGCCTTCCACAGGAATTTGGTCATTGCGAAAGAGGACCCGGAAAAAACTGCCACGATTCTCCTCAATGAGCTTTGGTTCCATTTTATACAACTCCATGATAATCTAGAAGGTAGATTCGGGTGAATTTAGGTGTATTTTATAAGTATAAAGACTAAAGAATCCAGAGGAAGTGTCGTGCTAAGGAAAGGATTCTGTAAACAACGCGTATATCAATAAAAGCAGGAAAGAAAAGACGCGTTTTCATATTTTTTCTCGTTTTTTCCTTTGAATTATTAACTCTGATTTAGAAAAGCTTTTTAAAATCTACTAGATATGAAGCAACGCGTCTTTGTGTCTATGTAAGTGGACTAATGAATATATTCAAGCATGCAATGCATCTCTCTTTCCTTAATTTTTGTTTCTACCATTCAAGATCTCCTTTAAGAGGAGACGCTCCAAACCGTGCTACAGGTATTGAATGACCTTTTCAATATCACTAGATTTACGATAGTGGAGAGAAGGTGGAAGATTTCTTCTTTTGAAGGAATAATATTGAGTTTCTTTTTTTTATACAGTCAAAGAAAGAACTTCCCTTGTCAAGCAAGACGGACTTGACTGGACTGCAAAGGTCATTCAGGTGAATTGAACAGTTGAAACTATCCTTTCATACTAATTTTTAACTGTTTGTTATCAAATTTTATTTTATTATTTTCTTACTGGTATCTCCTGTTATGTGAATTTCTAATAAAGCCTTCAGTAGGTCTTATTCAAGGGACAACTCATTCCAACAAAGTATCGCGATGTCAGCTCTATAAACGTACTATTCAGACAATTTATCCTCCGTTAAAATGGGAATTCTTATTAATATGTCTGTTGGTGTTAGTACCATTCAACAACTGTTCATATGAAAAAAGTACCGTCCTTATATCGTAAACGTGTTCACCTCTAGAAGTCACTTGACAAGACAAATTCTTTAGTTCTTGTATTAACAAAGATTCATAAAAGCCTCCTTTCATGTGGAATGGAATTGAGTATCAAACCACTCTCTTGATCGGCTATAGTGTTATAGTAACTTAAAGTTTCTACTTCTTATAAACTAAATTAAAGCATATTGAATTTATATTCCTTCGTTATTACTTTGAAACATTGCTCTGATTAGTCTACCTTTTCATATTCCTACTGGCACACTACGTTGCTCCATTCATACTGGGCAATTTGACAATGCACTTTTTGACGTGGAATTAGGATTACCAAGGTTTATTTTGTTAAAAAAAGATATCAGAAATTCATTTTCTTCTTTATATGGTCCTTGGTTTCTTTTCGACTGTTGCTTTTAAATCATTCATTTTTCATAAATTCCTTTACCTGTAAACAGAACGCTTTTGGGTCCACTTCATACCTTGAAAATTCGTGTTCTATTTATATATCACCTCTTTATTTATAACTTATTCTCTACGAAAGTGTATATGAATCCTTAAGATTGTGCTCGTCTTTCATTTCAGTTTGACTTCAGTTTTTATATTTGCTGCCTTTCTCATGTCTTCTAATTATTTTTCAGAAAATTCCGCTTCTAATATTAATGAGTCTTTGATGAACAGCAATCCAGCAACTCCTCCAGAGCCCTCCGATACAACAGCTCTACCAGAAAGGCTTCAGGATTCTTTTATCGCATCATCCCAAAGGAAAAATCAAAGTCGTTATGAAAGTTATCCGTTGAGGAAGTCGGCTGTCCCGGAATCCTTAAAACAGTTTAACGTCAATTCTGGAGATGTGTCTTATCGTTTCTATGATATGGCTTCTTCAGAAGATGTTAGGGAATTTGATGTTTCTCTAATTCCTCAAAAAAACCATCTTCTCTCTCAGCCTTCTTCCCTACCTGGAAGGATAAATCTTCGTCATCGTAAACGGATTTGCAGGAGAAACGATGTTTCCTCAACATCAAACTCATATGCCATCCCTCCTTCTCCAAAAGTGGAAGCGCCCTTAACTCCCATAAGCCAGAGAGGATCTCCATTCCATTCCTCTTCGCAGTCTGAACCATTGAGTTTAACATCAATTGCCGAAAAATATCAATCGTTACCTGAAAACGTTCAAGCATATACTTTCTTTCAATTGCTACGTTCTTGTGATCGGAGGAGTATGCGGCCGCTCATGAACAGATGCGACCTTCTGTTAAAAAAGGATTTACTGGCATATTTACCTAACTTCATAGTTCGCGAAATACTAGGATATTTGGATATCCAGTCCTTTTTGACGGCAGCACTCGTCCATAAAAAATGGAGGGATATAATTTCGTCGTTTACTTGGTATTGGAGACTACAATTTGAAAATTCGGGATTTTCTGTCGACATGGAAGATTGGAATTATGCTTATCCCGTCAAATCTCCACCACCCTTTCTACATAATAATCATATCGCTGATGAGTATTATTACCATATATTCAAAAGACATTACCTAAAAAAACAACGCTGGATCTCTCCATCTATACCGCCTTCTCATCTGTCTTTTCCTGTACACGATTCGGACAGGATGATTACTTTCTTAAGGATTCATAAAAACAAAATAGTAATTAGTTCAGAGTCTGGAAGTATTCAGATTCATAACGCCATAACAGGAGCTTTAGAAGCCCGCTTGGAGGGTCATAAAGATGGAGTATGGGCCGTCAAGATACATGGTAATACTCTTGTGTCTGGATCCCTGGATAAAACGATCCGTGTATGGAATATAAAAACTGGAAAATGTACACATATTTTCCGAGGCCATACCTCCACGATCCGCTGTCTTGAAATTTTGAGTCCGAAAAGAGTCCTTCGCGATGGAAGAATTGTTACGGAGCCTTCACGACCTTACATAGTTAGTGGCTCTCGGGATCACACACTACGAGTTTGGAAATTTCCTGAAGAACAGGACCCCCATTATTTGCCGAGCGAGTCTACATCTATTGAACAATGGGAAAAAAACCCATACTATGTTCATACGCTCATGGGACATACTGAATCAGTTCGATGTATTTCAGGATACGGAGATATACTGGTTAGCGGAAGTTACGATTATTCTATAAGAGTCTGGCGTATTTCTACCGGTGAATGCCTATGCCATCTACGTGGACACAGCCTTAGGGTATACAGCGTTCTCTACGAACCAGAGAAAAATATTTGTATCAGTAGCAGCATGGACAAAACAGTCAAAGTATGGGATTTACGAACACGAGCTTGCTTATACACCTTGGAAGGACATTCACTTCCTGTTACGTTACTAAATGTTGTGCAGGATAGACTTATTTCTGGCTCTGCTGATTCAACCATACGAGTATGGGATCTCAACAGTGGTACTCAGCAAATGGTAATGCACGCGAACGGTGGATATATTCGAACTTTGCAAGGTGACGAACATAAAATCATTAGTAGTAATGACGGATCTTTAAAGTTATGGGATATACGAACGGGAAAGTTACTGAAGTATTTATTGACCGATGTTTCAGGTATATGGCAGGTTCATTATGACGACAATCGTTGTGTTGCAGCTGTTCAAAGAGGCAATCAGGCGTACTTGGAGGTTTTTAATTTTTTTGGTCGTGATTCAAAATGTGAAGTTTAGATGAGTAGCACTTGTCAACTATCAGTCAGATGGTAAAATTTGGAAAAACTATTATTAGTATATTATTAATTATTAATTTATGATTTAAAGAAAGAAAGAAAATAAAGTGATGAATAGAAAACACAGAGGTATGCTCATAATTTATTATGCATCCTGTTGACTCTGGAGTTGATAACGGATGAGCATAGGAAAGAAACGCCAAACAGAAAAGTCAGGCCAGTAATTGTCTATAAAGCTGATTTCAGAATCCTCATGAACCTAATACTGGTTAGTAAGGTAATATAAAAAAAGGCTTGACTCAAATTCGTACCTGCCACATTAAAAAGTCTGATAGACGTTCAACACCACTGGTGCGGATTAACCAGTCAAGAGGAAGACTGTCGTTTAGAAGAAGATTCTTTTCAAACAACCCTTCATCGATGTCTTCTGGAACTATTTTTTCATCTTCGGCCAAGCGAACAATATTCTGTACGGAGTGCGATATTTCATGACGCGACGTATATGGAAAGCAAACATTTAAAGTAGCTCTATGCTCTAGTCAGCAAAAGGAAAATTAGATGGAAACACTTACCTGGTATTGTTCTTTGTTGATTCAACGACTTTGACAACAGCTTCGTAAACGTCTGGCTTCAAACGGTTTAGATCGCCAACAATACGAATCCGAATGCCGTATTGGTCCACCATATCTCTAAATGGAATCCGTTAATACCTATAGGAACTGACTGGTAATAAAACCTACCCATGAGCGGTAATTTGAGTAAGACTATTTTTTACAATATCCATGAGTGCGTCAACTTCGTATTTTGAGCGCTTAAAGTTCTCTATTGAGAATGCAAATGCCGAAACTTCCTTCACGCCCATCTTTAGGCAGACCCGAAGAAGCTAAAGAGTTTTATTAGTAAAATAAGCGACATAAATACAACAAAGACATACATTTTTCAGAGCCTCAAAACCTAGACTATGACCTTCAATTGTCTCTACACGGTGCTTGCGAGCCCACCGGCGATTTCCATCCATGACAAATGCGACGTGTTGAGGAACTTTACCATGCTTAAGAGCTTTAATCACAATATCCTCCGTCTGTTCCAAACCCCATAGTAAAGGAGGAAAATGAAACAACCAATCCAACAAGCTACCCATAGTAAACAGACTTATGAACAAAGCAACAATCGAATGTATGCAGGCTATAAGAAAACAATATATATCAGCGACAGCTGATCCAATTTAGTAAATTTTTACCAAACAATCTATCAAATCCTAAGCTCTTGCTTTGCGACAACTTCAAACAAGCAACTAAGCAACTCGTACCAACCTCAACAAATACAATAATAAATCTTTATACTAAATAAAAATAAAACAAACTAGAGGAGATAATCAAATTTATCCAATTTGGAGGTAGATATAGGAAACAAAAGAGGTGGTTGTTCTTGTTTACTTTTCTATCCTTTCAACGTAAAAGACTCCAATCAATTAAGTAAGTACGTTCGTTTACGTAAAGCGCTTTACGGCGGTATAGTTTAATAGCTTATCAAATACTAAGCACTTTGCAATAATTGTTTTATGGAGGAATAGCGAATTATCGGTAAATGTAAGGAAAGACTACACTCATGGTAAATTCGTTTTCTTCCTCTACCAGACACGACTCAGGATGAGACCCATCATCTTACAAGGGCATGAACGTCCTTTGACACAAATAAAATACAATCACGATGTACGTTGGATGATGAATTGGTGATAACGGAGAGGAATAAATATACTAATGCATGTATAGGGTGATTTGTTGTTTTCATGTGCCAAAGACAAAGTAATTAACGTTTGGTTTTCCCATAACGGAGAACGTTTGGGAACTTACGAGGGACATACTGGTGCTATTTGGACCTGTGATATTAGCAGTAAGTAAAATTTTTGCAAGTAACTTTCTCGGGAGCCTGTTGCGGATCCGTTTGCGGGTATATGACGCTAAAACAATTTTATGCTGAAAACATAAAGAATGAGGAGTTTTTAATGGGACTCAGTTATAAGATTTGGACCAAGCTTCTTTATAACCGTATTCAGATGGGTCGGCTCATGAGAAGATTTATAAGTAGCTGAGAGCTTACAAGTACTAATTGTTTATTTTTTAGAAAATAGTAGTTTAATGGCTAGCGGTGCTGCCGATAACACGATGCGCCTTTGGGATGTAAAGTCCGGAAAAGAACTGTTCAAATGGGAATTCCCCACTGCCGTGAAGCGCGTGGAGTTCAATGAGGATGACTCCCGGATTTTCGCCGTCACTGAACAACGTATGGGTTTCTCTGGTACCGTCACTGTTTTCCGCGTTCCTTCATCTGCAAACGATGTTGCTGCCGAAACTCCTTTGTACGTAATTACAACTCGTGAGTCTAAGGCTACCGTTGCTGGCTGGTCTTACTTAAGCAAATACCTTATTACTGGTCATGATGATGGCTCCGTTTCTCGTTATGATGCCAATACCGGTGAGTTTTTGGAGTCCAAGCAAATTCACAATGTCGGTGCTAGCATCACCGATTTGCAATTTTCCCCTGATCGTACATACTTCGTTACTGCTTGCAAGGATACCACTGCTAAACTCACCGATGTTGACTCTTTTGACGTTATCAAAACTTATCTCACCGACACTCCTTTGAATACATCAAGCATTACCCCAGTCCAAGACTTTATTGTTCTTGGTGGTGGTCAGGAAGCCAGAGATGTCACAACAACTGCCACTAGACAGGGTAAGTTCGAAACCCGTTTCTACCATGCTATTTTAGAAGAGGAATTGGGCCGTGTCAAGGGTCATTTCGGTCCCATCAACACAATCGCCGTTCATCCTAAGGGCACTGGTTATGCTAGTGGAGGAGAGGATGGTTACGTTCGTGTTCATGCATTTGACAAAAACTACTTTGACTTTAAGTACACTTTGTAAAGATAATATTAAAATACAACTTTTTGATGGTTCTTAATAATCGTAACAGAATTGACTAATCTTAAATTTTGTAAAATAAACGAACGATACTAGATTTGAATACTCAATTCATTTGGATTTCCATTCAAAAAAAATACACCAAATCAAAACAATATTAGATTTGTAAATCAGTGTTTCCAGTACTTTGCAAGAATTAGACCTCCAGTCAACAGAATAGTAGTTCCCCAAACACAGTTTTCGAGAATGTTGGGTGGTGAGCTCACTAATTCTTTGTATGTAGGGACTGAAGATGGAAAATGGCACAATAACTTGTCCATTTGCTCTTCCTTTAGAGATCCCAATTCATTCAAAGTCCATTTTTCACAAAGGCGAATCATCCACCTCATGCGTTTCTTTCCCTGTTCAGGCGTAGGTGCTATTTCTCTGAGCTTTTGTCTTAAAAGACCGGTCTGAGTAATCGCGCCAGAAACATGGTTCGGAAGGCTGTTTCGAATGTGATCTCGGATAATAGTAGCAAGCTTAGGACCTTTTCCGTTTGTACTAACCATAATTTGAAGTGGCCCTTCGCGTATTTCTGCTCCAAAATAGAAATCGCATTCTGGTGGAATATCAGCTGCGTTGATAGGGACACGTTTTGACTGGCATAATTTATAAATTTGAGTAGACAAAGAGGGATCATCAACAGCCGATAAAACCATAGCTATATCCTCTGTAATGTCATCTGGAGAGAATTCTCGGTTTCTCCATTCAACTTGCTTCTCATTGATTCGATATGCTACCTCTTTACAAAGTCCGCTCTCAGGACTGACAACAATTGGAATTCCATCAGCATTTAGCACATGATTAATTCTGCCAGAAGCAACAACGCCGCCTCCAACTACTAGGACCTTTTTTCCTTGGATACGCCAAGCTAAAATCAACGACCTAGTAAAAGGTTAGTGCAACTGTCAACAGTGATTTACTAATAACAAGATAATAAAAACAAGTTAAGAAATATATATCTTGGATAACACTTTGTTGAAAAAAGTTTGGAAAATTACATTCGTTACCATAATGAAGATTCCGGTAAATCAAGCAACGTTTAAATTCTTCAAAAGTTCTCCAAAATACTTTTTACCATACCCTCCAGGCTGAATTGCTGGAAATTCAGAAGACATCTTTATGAATTGAACAGGTTCGTATAGGGTAAGTAAAGATACGCGTAATGCAGGTACCGGGTAATTGTAGATCGGGCGTAAAAATTAATTATATTCATAATAATTACTAGTTCTTCTATAAATAATCTAAAAGATAAAGGAAGCTTTTACTGGAATGGATGCGTATTAGTAACGAAAAATTGAAAAGAATGCAAAATCACCGGGCATTCAGGAAGAAGCATGAAGCATATACTAGCATTAAGCATTTCATGGAGCCTAAAAAATATAAAAAGTGTGTAGAAATGGTCAAAGGATTGTCTTGGGCTTTTATAGGAATGCTTCCTTTCCATGAACGCCAATATGGTACAAACAAAGAGAGTCAGATAGTTCTTTAGATGAAGTTGCTTGTATAACAAAGCTTTTATAATACAAACGGCTTATGAGTTCTGGGTTTTCAGAGTAGTCAGATACTTGGAACACTGTTGCAATGGTGGATAACATTGGAGGAATTGGTATTTCTCCGAGTAGTAGAAGAGATTCCTGGTTTCGCAATGTATCATTAGCATTGGTATGTTTATCCAGTAATCCAAAGATTCGCAGCTTTTCAGGAAACTTGGAATCATCTCCATGAACAGGCTGTAACAAAGAGATCTGAGAGATATATATAGGCCTTGAAACTTCTATTGCAAATTGTACAAGGGATCCCGTGGAACACCAAGAGCCGCTGATATTGTCATGTAATAATACAGCAGGTACGTTTGTTGATTTTTTCCAGTACTCTTTGAAAAGCTCGGAAATAGATGGTTTTGGAAATGTCCATGCATAATCAATACACGCTCCCACAGCTTTTAGGGCGAAGTTTGGTTGACTAGCTATAGAACTTTTTAAGCGATTCAATGTTTGTTGTGAATAGCTTTTTGATAAATCTCTCAGTTGCTCGAAAGAATTATTCAATGAGATAGATACAAAGTTTTGTAGTATATCTTTTCGAGCGTCTTCCAACTCTTTGGTAAGGTTAGTCAGGGCATCATGAGAAACAAAATCGGTAGTGACAAACGGCGGATTCTCAAAATGCTTAGTTTCGTTGTTTTCCTTTAGAGTGGTCGAAACATTTTTAATCTCTCTTTCCATAGCTGCTATTCCCTTAGGATATACTAGGTCTAATAGTACATTTTGAATGCTGCTAATATCTTGCAATAGACAGGTATAGTTGAATATTATAGGTAAAAATTCCACTTGTAAATCTTTCAGTACTATAGCATGATAAAGCATGTTATACGGCTCAATGTAATTCACATAGAGTGCCATATCATTAACCATCCTTGTACAGTGATGTAAAGAATTAACTTTTTGGTACAATGCTTGAGTATTGGCCTTTAACGAACTCGAATCTGGATTTTCCAAGTTCAAAACATCCATCGCACATAAAAGATTCTGATTGTGCTCTAAAGCTCTGGTGTTTAGGACAATAACAGTGTACATTTCTGAAAGGTCTTCAAATCTTAAGTCATTCGATTTGTTGTAAAGTCCCGTAAAGCTCTTAATTAACGTATCAAATGGCTGGAGAAGAAAAGGAAAAGAAATAGCAGTGCATAGTAACTGATGCAATTTTGGGTAATCAGCATACACAGAGTGAGAGATATTCACAGGTTCTTTTGAAAAAGTAGAATTAGGAGCTTGAGGGACAGGCTTCCATATGGCAGCAAAACGACGAGCATAATCAATAACCCAGTGGATGATCCTAAGTCGGATAGCTTCATAATCCTGAGTCAGAAGAAGAAACGGAAGCATCAAAAACAGAATGACAGTAAAAGTAATCCCTTTATGATAGATAACCAAGTATCTTGAAACCAAGTAGCTTCTCCATAGCATCCATCCGAGAAGGCGAAGAAAATAAATGCAGTAAAAGAAGGCATTTCGAAAGAGATTATTATTCATCCTATGCTCTCGTTTCATTCCTTTTGTTCTTCGTTTTGCTGTTCTTCCATTTTGTGTATGGGATCTTATAGATGCGTTCTTGGTAGCACCATTCGAAAGATTAGAAGCATCATCACGCAGATAATTTCTCGCTCTTACATAACCTCCATTTAAGACATGCTCAGTAATTCCTGAAGAAGGCATAGAGGTTTCGGTCATAATTTTCGTTAGAAACTTACCTAAACATCAAATTCCTACCAAATAAAGCGCATCAAGTAAAAATAAACGTCCAAGCTTGTTATTTTGGTGTAAGTAATTAATTGAAGTAATCGTAACTAAGTCATAGGAAGACTTTTCAACACTTGTAGTCAAAAGATGTGTCAAAAAAGAATAGCTGAACAAAGTTCAAACTAGAAATCGACTAGCTTTGCCTTTGTCTCGCCTTACTGATTGCTAGCAAACACTTGTATATACAAAGCAGATTTGAAGACGAATGGATAGACTCAATTGAAACCAAAGAAATCACCTACATCTAGTGTTTTGTACATAGCTTTGTTGCAAACATATTGTATAGTCATATATTAATTTATTCTATTAATCTTTATTCCAAGCATTATTATAAAAAATTAAGAAAAGCCAAATTACAAAACGAGAGCGTTAAAATATTATGATATACTCTTGAAGATTACCTGCTTAAATTCTAAACATGTACAACGGTATAGAGGAGAATTAAGCGAATGAGGTTCGTTAGAAAAGCTGTTATCTTTTAAGATATCCAAAAATGGGGGGTTTCTACAATTAATCAAGAGAAGGATCAGAATGGGTGTTATGCAAGGAAATATCGTCAGGAGCTTCGCGCTCTTCATCTTCAGCGAAACTGTTCTTGCGAGCACGGTTGTTGACCATACGCATATGTTCAAGGTGAACAAGGTATTCGGTACTTGCGCCAGTAGTATATTCACCGCTGAATAAACCAAGTTCAAAGTCTGAGACGTTTTCGGTGGTACAAGAAGCTACCAAATCTTCCAAAGATTGATAAATAACATCATCAGCTCCAATCGACTCGGCGACTTCTGCCTCGGTCTTTCCATAGGCGATCAAATCTTTGCAATCAGCAAGATCAATACCGTACACGTGAGGATGAGTAATCATGGGTGCGCAACTAGCTAAGTACACGTTCTTCGCACCAGACTCACGAGCCATTTGGACAATTTCTCTGGAGGTAGTTCCTCGAACAATACTATCGTCAACGATTAAGACATTCTTGTTGAAAAATTCTTGAAGTTGAACGTTCAGCTTACGACGAACAGACTTGCGGCGAATTTGCTGGCCAGGCATGATAAAAGTACGGCCAATATAACGGTTCTTAATGAATGCTTCAACGTAAGGTAGTTTGGCTGTTTGTGCAAGCTGTAAAGCACTAGTACGAGCGGAATCAGGCACAGGAATGACAGCGTCAATCTTGTTAGCATAATCTTCTCCAAAGCGCTTCATAACATTGTAAGCAAGCTTCTCACCCATGTTAAGTCGAGATTGATAAACGGAAAGACCATCAATAACAGAGTCAGGACGAGCAAAATAGACATATTCAAAAATGTCAGGTCGGAACCGCTTGCAGGGAACAATTTGACGACTAAAGAGGGTAGGACCTCTTTGGCCGGACAAAAGATCATCGCGATCAGGGCGACGAATAAAAACACATTCGCCAGGACGAATGTCACGGAAATTGCGGAATCCAAACTGAGTCAAGACAACGCTTTCGCTAGCAAGCATGTAGTCTTTTCCATGGGGTGTATCACGTTCGCCGATGACCAAAGGACGAATACCATTAGGGTCACGAAAACCTAAAACACCAAAACCAGCAATCATGGCGACACATGCATAACCACCGTTGACTCTGTCGTAGACATTACGAAGAGCTTCAAAGATATCATTTTCGTTGATACGGTATTTATCCATACGTTGGAGCTCATAGGCAAATATGTTCAATAAGAGCTCAGAATCTGATCCGGTATTGACATGACGATGAGCTTCCTTATCCAAGAAACGACGTAAATCAGGTCCGTTAATCAGATTTCCATTATGACCCAGAACTATACCGTAAGGGGAGTTCACATAAAACGGTTGAGCTTCGGAATTGGCACAACTTCCAGCAGTGGGGTAACGCACATGGCCGATACCCATACTACCCACGAGCTGGCGAAGCTGAGATTGATGGAACACGTCGGAAACCATGCCCGATCCCTTGCATTGGTAAAGACGGCCCTTATTACCAGCAGTAACGATACCAGCGGCATCTTGACCACGATGCTGCAAACTGTAAAGACCCTCATAGATTTCAGGACAAGCCTGACCATGTCGGTCAGCCAACATTAAGGCTAAAATACCGCACATTATAACTAAAAATTGTTAGACACGTTCATAAAGAGACAAAATTTTAAATTTTGAAGCAAACTATCATTCACTCAATCAAGAGAAATTATCAGAGAAAGAAGGTCAAATATCAAATTGCAAATTTGAATTGTATCCATAAAAACAAGACAAGCAAGACATTGTAAATTTTCAAACCCTTAATTGTTTTTCCTTTAAAAGAAGAAGCAATGAACAGAGGGCGAAATTCACTAATCTCGAACTTCAAGAATAAATTTTTCAAACGCAATTTACCTCAGAAAGTCCAAATGCTACATGACATGAATTTCAGAAGTCTAGCATCTAAAAAAAATTGGAAATCATCATAGGCAAATAATATCTTCGAACACACAAAATCACTTTGCTCTTTCCCTTAATTTTTCACTTCAATAAATTCTTTTTTACTTACATTAGAGTTCTATAAAGGACAATTGTCTTTACAGCTTTCACTGGTTTAACCTCCTTACGTTGGTGTATGGTTAAGGGTAAGTTAATATTTGCCCGTAGCGAAATAAGTAAGTGCTGATGCATTTTATCAAAAGGTATCTCGTTTTCATGAAATCAGATGAAGTCGATAAGTAAAAAAAAAAAATAAAGATGAACAAAAATAAAATAAAAAAACAAATAATTGTTAGTTTTGTTGGAAGAAGGGTTGTAGAACAAGTAATAAAAAAATCGTCTAGGATTTCTTCCTAGAAAATTTTACAGTGAAGATCAAACTTGCAATACATTGAAAAGATGAGTAGAGCAACTGTAGTCTCTTTAATTTAATTTAATTTATTTTGGTTTTGATAGATAATAATAGAAAAAAGACTATGATCTTTCAATACAGATTATTGCCGAGCAGTGATTTATTGAATGAAATTGTCTGATTGCAATGTTTGTTAAGCTCTATACAAAAGTAGTCTGCTACAACGTTTGTCTTGCCATAGAAGAGAATCTGGCCTAGCTAAAGCTTCAACTAGAGCTATATATGTGGACTTGTCGAATATATATTGCTTCAGTTGTTGAATCCTTTGGTTAACAATTGCATTCCTAGTTTCCTTGCTCCATCTATGATGTGGATTTTGCAGTACAGTAACCCAAACATTTTTATAATAAGTAAAATCAAGTATACAATAAAAAATAAAGTATAGACTTTTTACTTTGTTTTTACAGAGTGATTTGTTTACTTACGATGGCGTTTCACCATGTTAAATTTATTTACGGAAGTGAATTCTGATACAGTATGTATTTACCATAGTCAAAGTGCTAAGAAATAGCATTTCTCTTCAGTCCTGTTGAATCCGGCCAGTTTTCTTTGCCTATAATTTATTTTTATTCCTTTTACTTTTCTTTTTCAGATATAGCGTTTATCTCGATTCTACGTAAATTTTCTTGGCAAATTAGAAAGACTTGACCACAATGTCAATCTTATACGAACCGACCGCGTTGCCTCTAGCGAACACTCCTACAATGTTTAACACTGTCCCTGGAAGCAGAACTCGCCCTAGCTCTCAGTCGCAGTCGATTCCTGTGGAATTCCAAGCAGTCCTGTTTGCTGGCTTTGGTAACAGGTGAGTATATAAGCAAACAAAAGAGGGGGGCTACCTTCTTTTTTTTTTTTTAAATCTACATCGCTTGATACTAACGAATGTGTTTAGTTTGTATCCATTGACCGGCAATGATTCCTTGCCCAAGGCATTGCTTCCTGTTGGCAATAAGCCGATGCTTCATTATCCCTTGTACTGGTTAGAAGCAGCTGGATTTAGTTCTGTAATTATTATTTGCATGGAAGAAGCCGAAGCTCACATCAGCTCTTGGTTACGCTCTGGTTATGATGGCCATTTAAGAGTACATGTGGAAGCTCCTACTGTGATGGACGACTCTATGGGTTCCGCCGATGCACTTCGTGCTGTGTCCCATTTGATCAAGGTAATTTCTTTTTTATTTTCTTTTTGCATGTCATTATTAACGTTTCTTGAAAGACTGATTTCGTTTGTTTGAGTTGCGATAGCATCACCGATTTGCAGCCTTACATGGTTTTAGATCGCTTTCGCTTAAATGACCCCTCTGCTCTTGTCGTTTATAGCCATGTATTGAAGCATGAACACACTACAAACCAATCCAAAGAAATTAACGAGAAGCACTTAATTGGTGTGGAAGAGTCGTCCCAAAGACTGTTGTATGCCAAAAGCTCAGCTGATATTGGAGGAGATTTATCCCTTCGAATGTCCTTACTATGGAAACACCCTAATATTACACTTCACACAAACCTCGTCGATTCACATATTTACGTTTTCAAACATTGGATCATGGATCTCATTCGGGAAAAGGAAAACATTTCCTCTATAAGCAGTGATCTGATTCCTTACCTAGTGAAATGCCAATATCAAAGACCTTTCGCTATCCGTGAAGATATTAACAAATGTAAGTTTTATAATGGCCTTGCCTCCCCCTTTTCTTTTCACGATGATGATACTAACAGTTTAGACTTGCAAAGCTCTTCAGATGTAGATTCTGAAAATGTCTCTGAAGAATTGCTTATCAATACCTTTATTGCCAAGGAAGAATATCTTTGTGCTCGTGCAAATAATTTGCCGAACTACTTTGAACTCAATAGATGCGTATGTGTTTTATTTTATCCGTGTAATACGACAAAACGAACTTTGACTAACCGATATTTAGATTGCAAAGTTGACGCCTGATCCCCGTCTCATCGATGTCAATGTCTCCGAAAGAGCTCTTGTCGGAGCTGATTGCATGGTCAATGAAGGTACATCCATTTGCGATAATAGCAACATCAAAAAGAGTATCATTGGAAGAAATTGCTCCATTGGTAAAGGCGTTGTCGTTAGTAATTCCATTCTAATGGACAATATTGTCGTGGAGGACGGTGTCCGTTTAGATTGTTGTATTGTTGCTTCTGGAGCCAATGTTGGTCAACGATCTAAACTTCGAGAATGTGAGATTGGTGTCAATCATCATGTTGAGGCTAAACGTACTGCTAGAGGTGAGCGGTTAGTAGACATGGAAAAAATTGAGACGGACGATGACAAATAAATGGCAATATGGTAGTTATTTTTTGGGTTACTTTTTTGTGGGTCATTTTCTATTCTTTAGATCAACCCTTTAGAAAATCAATAAGATATGGTTGGTAGTTGATCATGGTGGAGTTTTTATTTCATTTACAATCTTCTTATTTCCTACACTATTTTCCTTCTTCGACTGATTCTATATCACAATCAAGGACTTTCATTCAACTAGTCTAACGTAACGTCTCCTATCCCAATCTGTTTTTTCCTTTCATTTTTTCATTCCTGTCTATTACACTACATGCTCTAAAAAAAAGTTAGCAAATTATCCCAAAAGGAAAAAAGAAAAATGAAAGACATTGACAATTTTAAAAACACTCAGAGATCTTGGTGTATTAGCAAAAAAATCATAAGAAATCATGAGCAAATATTTCATCACCATGTTTCAAAACCGTAAACTACCTTTCAAGTTTCTAATAACATACACTTAAAAGTCTATAAAGTAAGAAAGACAAAGGTCAAGTCCTAGAAGCAAACACTTTAGGATGTCGTACTAAAATACGAGTTAATAAAGACTCTTTAATAAAAGAAAAAATTACTGAAAGTATCAGAAGAGTATTGGTCGCATACTGACGGAGCCCATTGGGAACAGGCGTGAACCCGAGCTTACCCATCTCTCAATCGCAAATTATTTCATCACAATAATCCAGTAATTCAAATATTAAATAATTTAAAAGACATACCTTTCTAAACTTTCTAAAGAGAAAACCTACTTTGGAGACCTTGTCTGAATCCTATTGCTGAACTAGTAAATGGTTTAGAGTAAAAGCGAAGAGTACGATTTGAAAATTTATAGCGCAAAATCGTCAGAAAGATATATACATTCATTATTCTTTAGAAAAATATTAAAATATGTACAATTAAATACAAATTACTTTTTATGTATTTTCACCGATCACCACCAAATCGCCAAAAAGCATTTCAAGGTCGTTCAGTTTTCATTTGCCGCTGTTGTTGTTGCTGTTGTATTTGAAGATGTTGTAAGTGTATGTTCCTGGCGACTGTCATTATAGTGGGCAAATCAGTTCCAGCTACAGCTGCCTGCTGATTTAGTAATTCAGTGATTTGTTCTCGACTCATTCCCCGTGCCTTCATTTGAGCAGCTTTTTGTTGAAATAGGATAGCTAGCTGTCGAATACGATTCATATCCATGACCTGTTCCCGCTTGACAGCAGGCGGATTTGTTGGCGGGACTGCGGCCGAAGAGGGTAAAGGACCTAAACAAGAGTTTGTTAGTAAATTTTACAGAGGAAAAAGTAAGACATACCAGTAGGTGGTTTTTGCGCTACTGAGGGAGGAATACTCGCTGGAATTGCTGGCTTTTGCATGGATGGTTGGACAGGGGGGATCTGGATATTGGGAGGAGGTGCTTGACGCTGAGTTTTCGGTGTGGCTCGTCTTTGTCTCATTTGTTGTTGTTGAAGTTGTTGTTGCTGCTGCTGTTGCAGTTGTTGTCTAGAGATCTGAGACGTAGCAGCATCCTGTCGGGTAACTTGCTGCTGTTGTTGCTGCAATTGCTGACGCTGCTGTAAAATGGCACGCTTTCTTCGGACATTCTCTATAAATTGTAATCTTTGGAAAGTAGGCTGGAAATCATGATTCCTCTGGTCATCCATTAGCAAAAGCAGGTTTTCTTTTTCAAGTCGTTCGGCTTCTTCACCTGCCAGTTGAGCAGATCCTTGTTGGCGTTTCCTTTTCAATGGTGGAGGAGCATCAGCCAACTCGTTTAAAATATGGACCATCTGATATTTTGAGGTAGCAGGAGTTAAAATCAGAGGAGGCTCAGAAGCAACCAATATTTTCGATTCCAAATCCAAAACATTTTCATCTGATAGCTGTCCTGCTAAGCTTTCGTTCAATAGACACAAATCCTGATAAAGTGTTTCGGGTGTAGGACGCAGCACTGTGTAATGAACTGGTGGAGACGGGGACTCTTGCGTGGAAGCAGGCACCGCAGGCTGCATAGTCGTTTCTGCATTTGTTGCACTTTTCGTAGGTAAGGAAGAAGAAGAAGAAGGTGGTGGAGGAGGAGCTTTGGAGGATAAGGCAGCGTTAGATGGTTGTGATTGATTCGAATCATTGGAAGTGCTGTGTCGATGATCAATGATCCGAACAGTTAAGCAGCCATCGTAAAATTTAATATTCGAGTTTTGAAAAACTTCAAGACAATCCGGTGGTATTAACTCCATTCGTATGTAATGTAGGATAGTCTTCACCGGTCCGTTGTATGTGAATGCTCCGTCTTGTTGTTCAAATCGAAAATGATACTTGTGAATATGTAAAATCAAACTTGGTTCTTCATTCTGATATTTTTTCCTGATCTCTTCGGATTTCCTTGGTACTAGATTTATTCGCATTAATATTTGTCATTCATTGTGCTTTTAATTGTGTTCACGTTAAACCGGCAAACATCATTGTTTGCTTCTATTATTTTGTCACAATTCTTACCATTTAAGGAATCCAAATAAGGTGTTAACTTAGTTAACGGCTCAATTTCTGAGGATCTTTCCCTTTGTTTATCATACGTCTTCAATTCTTCATCTCCATATACGTGACCCTGAAACCTATACCAAAATTGTTTTCCCTTCTTTTCTGTATCCATTTCCTTCAATTAAAATTTCTTTACAAGAACAACCGGCGAAGTATCCTCATGCCAACGAAATTGGCAAACAACTACAATGCATTTGCTTGGTACTACATGGCATATAGTGAAGTAAACCATGTGACGTTAAGCCAAAGTAGAGTGATGGTAGGTAATTCCATATACAATCATACCGAGTCAGTACGCAGAAGGCGTATTGTGTGTTAACGGGAAGCAACATAACATTGTATTCTCATTACAGCGTAACAGTGATTAAAAGTTAAGTAAATTAACGCATTTGGTCCGCCTCTCAAAATGCCTTTCCTTGGCAGAAGGCGTAAGAGAAAAGCATTGCAAATGCCAATTGTCTGTCAAAAGCCAATGAATTGAGCACATATAAGTTGTTTTAATAGGGTGGTAGTACATTTTTGAGAACATACATAACGTTTCTTATCGGCTTGCTGAACTTGTAAAGGAGACGTTGATCAGATTGTCAGTTTGTTTTGCATACATTATTGAGACAATTGAGACGTATCAAAAGTGTTGCTGGGTATTTAGTTCCCTATTGGTCGCTTCTTCGTCTTTGGATTTAGCCAGTGTAGGATCCTTCGTCCGCAATTGGTAAATGTGGGACTTGTGCTTTACTTGACACTCGATCGATTGCTGCCTATTTCTCTGTGGATTTAAACTTGTAAAGAACTTTTCCGTTGCAAGGTGTTTTCTAAATAAACTTTTTCTTATAAAGATGAATACGATCGTTCTTGACCATCGGGGAGAGTTACTAAGCTTCTTTCGATGTCTTGATATGCTTTGCTACGCTGTCATAATACAGCAATACTATAAAGAGTAAGTCTTTTTTTTTCAGAAGAAATTTTCTCAGTGAGACTTCATTTTAAGGATGCCAGTTACTTACACAATCAGTCCTGTCATTCTCCTCTTACTATTAAAAGTATTTGTGCAATTGGTATGTATAGGATTTTTAAGACCTTCATTGTCATCGGATTTCAAATTTCTCACTAACCATTTCTAGAGTTACCTAACTCCCAAACCGTTTTTGCAATTCTCGTCGATTCCTCTTTTCTACCCTTTATTAGTCAGTTTTTTCATATCGCTGCTCTCGCGACTCCTCTTTAGTCTTCCGAGTCCTGGGGAAGGTTTAGACGGATACTTGTATGGAGGTTCAATTATTGATTTCATTGGGGAAAAAGCTGTATCTTCTTATTCTTCATTGATTTTATCCGATTTTTTTCTCTTTATCCTTCAGACATTTATGGCCCTAACGTTGGTATCTAGTAACCAAAAGGCTTTCAGGGCCTCCGTTAACCAAAATTCAAATGAAACAACCCCTCCTCCATTATCGCAAACTTATCCTGAACAACGTGGAAGTGACCAGAGCGATCAGCACTCTGTGGATGGTGAACAAAGACAGACATTGTTAAGATCACAAGTTGAGAGGGAACGCCAGCAGTTATTTACTCGATTTTCCCAATCGATTCGCAGTCTGCGAAGTGGCATGTCCGCATATCCTTTTGCAAACTCGGTTCCATTAGCAAGATCGAGTTCTGGTTCTTCTACGATCCCTACTATCGAAATTAAAAAGAGCGATTGGAAACATTTATTCTGGAAGGTAGACCCTCTTGCAGAAATTTCTTCGTTGAACACTCAAGATAACGACCCAGCCCATCTAGCTTCGTTCTCTTCCACAAACAATTCTTGATACTACCTCTCGTGTTTTGTTAGAAAATACCTAGATTTAGATGATATGTCGCCAACTGGTCCAAACATTACATTATAAAACTATGTGCATTTATGTAACTGAAGTCATGACCTGGTGAAAACTTATAGACATTTTATGAATCATTTGACACGTTTACTACCTTTTATTCAGAGATTGATAGAAGTACAAACGTTGAATGAAAAAGAGATTGAATAACTGTTATATCGCCGTTTGTCATTGCAGCAACTTTCAAAACAGCCTTGACGCTATAAAGATTTGTCTCGACAGCAGTAGGATCAAGCGCAGCCCAGTACAAGTAAAACAATGTGTGAGCTATGATATGAATTGGTTTCAATTCTTTGCCCGCTATGATCGTGATTTCTTGGAAGAATCTGTCACATACATCTTTGAACATGAATTTGATAGCTTTTACAAACTCATGGAACATAAACCTTTTTTTCTTTTCTTTTTTCTATGTAATGAAAGCCGTGCGCTATGACTTTTGCATGTAGCTTTGAATGTCAAGAGCACATGCCAGTTCGTTAGGTCCTTAAGCAATGAAAAAGAAAATAAAGACAGAAAGCAAATTTATGTGGATGCAACTCCATTTTATCCAACGTAAACGCTCTTCTAATCTTCCACATGAAGAAATTCTTTTGTTATCGAAGCTAATAAAATGTGGCCTTAGGAAGGCGCGTTTTCATTTTTTCTTTGTGTATTTCACTTCTTTTCTAAAGTTTATTTAGTAAACAATGACTTTAAATACTAACATACTTCTGCAGCCAACCTAGCAGCCTCTGCAGGTGGTAAATCAGCACCACTAGAGACAGTTGGTGTCCCTGTTAATTTTCTTCCGGAATTGAGCTTAGTATTCTGCTGCTTATGAATGTCGTTTTGGATTGGTTTCTCTATTGTCGAGGGTTGCTGGGAACGATTTTGGATTTGTTCAACATCGACGTTCCGATTTTTAGGTTTCTTATGGCAAATTGACAAAACTTGACCCATTTTCGATCTGCAATCGATTTGTCTGCATTTGGTGCGTCTCTTGTGGAAAACAAGGTGGTGAAGATATATAGTCGTTTGTTTACATAAAAGAATAGTCGGCGTAGTAACAAAAAATAATAATAATAAAAAACCTACGCCGAATTACTTTAGAACGAAAATTTTGAATCGAATGCTTCCAAGAATGAAAACAGTACCTTTATAAATGGAAAGGAAATAACATACTTTCGATTTCAGAATTGGAACAAGCTAAAACTCTGACCGACAAAAGGTAAAAAAAAACAAAAAGAAAAACCATTATATTTATATAAGTAGCAAAAACAATTCCTAAACCCAATTGAACCCATTTTTATCAGCTTTCCTATTCAGCATCTACGTCTACCGATCCAGGTTCAATATCGTCCGGTTCAATTCGATCGGGATCGCGAGGCTCTTGATCCTCATGCCACTGTGTAGCATCGTCGATATAACTGAGAACCTTCTCTATACTTTCCTCATTATGACTTTCTAAGGGGATGAAATTTACCATGTTAAAGTCATCAATCAACTGCACGATGCATTGATTTAACTCGTGGAATTTGGGATTCATTTTTTCATTTATTTCACCAACCAGCAAAAGAGGATCCGTGTTCATAAATCTTTTCAGGTCAGCACGGCTAATACTGTTATTGTCCTTCAGTAAATCCATTTTACTGAGCAAGTTGAGATGAGGAATTTCCAGCATAACCATAGCACTCATAGCACTAAGGACACCGGCAAAAAATTTGGCCCGGTCGACTAAGAATTGACTTTCTAGTAAATACAGCGCACATGGTCGATAATTTAATGTCATTTGTAAGTGTCGTATCAATGCCGGCAGAATAGGCACATGAGTGTACAATTCAATTTGTCCAGGCATATCAAAAATTAAATAATCCTCATCATAGTCACCAAGCTCTTCGTTCAACCAATCCAAATTTTCCATTAAGAATTCAAAGCAGTAAATAAGGCCACCGTTTGGTCCGTAGTCCAATTCATCCATCACATCTTCCAAACTGATTAAGTCTCTAATGTCGACTGTAGGTTCCCATTCAAAGTTCTCTGCAGCTGGATCCAAATTCACCAAATGACACGACCTGCCAATGCCTTTCATATATGAGATTAAAGACCCGCAAAAAGTACTTTTTCCGCTACTCGCAACACCACACGCAAAAGCAGCTACTTTTACCATTTTCTTTATTCACCTTTTGAATGTTGGAAAAATACGCGTTTCCAACTTTTCACACTTGAAAAGGTCATAACCCATAACCAGTATATCGTTGTAGTTCACTATATACATTTACAGTAGTTTAATTTACTATGAAAGCCTTGGGAAAAGAAAAATCAAAATAAACCAAGTTTCATCTGTTCTAAGTTTAGAATTTATTAAAATACAATTGCTCTTTTATCCTCGTTTTCCTCTATTTGCAACCCTCTTGTGAACTTACCAGAGAGTACTGCGTATTTTACCCACTTAGTATAATATCATACCAAACAAGTCTTTGAAAGGATTGCAAATATAGAGAACTAGAAAGAACAGGAACCTATTTAAAACGAAAAAGATTCTATTTTAGGGAATGATTTATGTTTTAAATGCTTAAAAAGCTCCTACTAGACTTTCAGTAACCTTTGAGTAGATGTCAAATCTCTGACATATAAGTAGGTATGGGTCGAAAAGAGAAACGCTTCGATTTTGCAATCTTAAGTCAGCCTTTTAGAAGAATCGCTTAAAACTTTTTATAAACAATACTAAACTTCTTTTTGATTCAACAAGTGACTTACTACAAGAAAAAAAATATTATGTTGTTTAACGTACTTTAGCGTGCATGAGCATTGACTACTTCCTCACTTCCTTTCCAGACCCAACGTCCCTGAAGAAGGGAATTGCTTTTTTAAAAGAAAATGTCTGCTCCTCCTTGGCAACAGGTACCACATGATGAAGAAGATGAATCAATAGAATATTCGCAAAAATCACAAGAGGCGATACAGCCGGTTTCCGACTGGCACGAAGTGAAAACCGAGGATGGCCGTGTGTACTATTACGACTCAATATCGAGGAAAAGTGTATGGGAGAAACCAGAGGAACTCATGAATGAATTTGAACGAAAACTTTCAAAACTTGCTTGGAAAGAGTACACCACGGCTGATGGAAAGCAGTATTGGTATAATGTAAATACGCGTGAATCCGTATGGGAAATACCCGAAGAATACAGGAAGGCGATCACCGAGGAGACACATCCTAAAGCCAAGCAGGCGCAACCCTCTGGTCATCGTAAACAAGATGCTCGTTCTGAACCGTATTCAGAGTCCACATCTCAACCAGCCAGACCTGATAGAGAACAAGCAGCGCCTTCAAAAGATGCGAATTCTCGAAAACGTGCTCCTAATTTTGTACCTCCTAAAGAAAAGCGTCAACGACGTGGAGATCATCGTGAAGAGGATTTCGATACATATGAGGCCGCTGAGCGAGCTTTTTTCAGGTTTCTGGATTCATACAATGTTACCCCGAGCTGGACTTGGGAACAAGCTGTTTATGAATTATGTACTGAAAAAGGATATTATGTTATAAAGAATCCTTGGGAACGGAAATGCGCTTTTGATGCTTATATAATGAATTATTTGACGGAACAGAGTGACAGAGAAAAGAATCGAATTTTGTCTCTCCGGAAAGACTTTTTTGGTCTTTTGAAATCAAGAAATGACATTCATTCATATACTTTATGGAGAACTGTGAAGTCGCTGCTGGCTGATGAACCTGCTTTTTTGGCTGCGCCCACCGAGTTTGAACGACAGTTGTTGTTTTTCGAATATAGACAAAAATTAAAAGAAGATGATGAAAAGCAACAAAAAGATAACAGAAAAGCAGCTTTAGATGACTTCTGTATCCTTTTGAACAAGTTGGAGTTGGATCCTTACACGAGGTGGAATGCAGCTCAAGCAAAATTTGAAAGTGATCCTCGCTATCAGAAAAATCCAAATATGAAAAATCTATCACCTCTAGAAGCTCTTACGGCTTATGAGAGTCATATTAAACAGCTTGAGCGCCAGTATATCACGGAAAAGCAAAGACTCAAGAAAGAAAAATTTAGAACCGAAAGAAAGAATCGCGATGCTTTTCGCATCCTTTTACTTCATCTTCGGCAAGAAAAGAAGATAACATTACGCACTAAGTGGAAAGAAATATACCCATTGTTTAAAGATGATCCTAGATATTTGAATATGCTTGGACAGCCCGGATCTACTCCTTTAGACCTTTTCTGGGACAATATTATTGAACTGGAAAACGAATTCCGAGAAAAACGGAACGTTGTTTTGGATTGTCTGCAGCTTTTGCAGCTTAAAATTGAAGAAGACTCTGATGTTTCATTATTAGTTCAGTCTGTTATGCAAGGCCTAAAAGGAAACATGATGGAAGAATCTGTTACCGAAGATATTGTTTTGGAGGTTATTTTACGTGCAAAAGAAAAGATTGCGCATCGTAAAGCTGATGAGAAGAAAGCTGACGAACGCCGGATTCGACGGAAAATTGATAACCTTCGAAGTGCTATCAAATATATAGAACCCCCTATTCCTCTTACTGCCACGTATGAAGAAATGAGGTCTGTTTTGAGCAATCTGCCAGAATTTGCTGCTTTAGATTCTGAAGAATATCGTGCTGCTGCCTTCGATAAATACATTCGAAGGCAAAAAGAAAAATTAGCTTCAGAGAAGCCGATTAGAACAAGGAGAGGTTATTACGACGAAGTTGAAGATAGTATACATGGTGGCTATTCGTCTAGTACTCGCACGTATGAGACGAAGCCTTCCTTAGATTATGATGAGGGTTACCCAATGAAGTTAGACCAAGATGACGGGCCCTCTGAATCCGTTCAGCCATCAAATCGAAATGATTTGAATTCCTTACAGTCAAACGCTCCTGCTGCCTCCGGCATGGACGGAGAATCAAGTGAGGAAGGTGAAATCCACTAGTTATGAGTTTGTATTATAGTCTGATGCATATAAAATCATGTTTTATTAATTACTTAGTAAACCTCGTCCCTTATAGTAACTGTCCTGTAGTCTCAGTTCCTCCCTAGCAGTCGTGGTTTCGCCTACCGTTCACCAAGCACCTACAAAAATTGTTTTCAATAGAAAACAGCTAAAAGCTCTTATAGTAGCTATTGTACTACTATAGGTGGTTGAATTTAAACGTGTAAGTTAATAAATTATTTTATTCTTAGAGACTTCGTCTGTTGTTCTTTTTTTATTTCAACGATCGCCATACTATGAAAACACTGAATCCAATTGTGAATATACTGTATTATAAGGAAGTTCAACTACAAAACTATAAATATAATACAGTTTATTCATCTAATTTGTGTTACGGATTGCATCAAGCCGTGTTGATACTTGCCAACTTCGAGCTTGAAAGTTGCTGGCCGTGAGAAAGTCAGGCATGTCGGGTGTCGTTAGCACGTATCCTCTAAGCTATTTTGTTGAGCTATACTAGAATCCAGTGCTTATTTTAATTCTAAATTTGAATGGTCTTGGTTTGCGCGATTGTTGAAAAATAGGAAGCGTGCGTGTACCTGTGCTTCAGCAAATATGTTTCAACTGGCGTAAATTTCTTCTAGGAATAAATTATATTCCCTGTTATTAGGAAAAAAAACTAACTAAACATATAGCTGTTATGAGACAAATTGTCTAAGTACCCAAACTAGATTAAAGCTATTGGATCACTTTGACATTTTCATTTAAAAGACATGTCGGAAATTATTCCCGAACACAGCTCGTCCAAGCGGAAATTAGACTCCGAAGAATATTTCGATCCTGAACTTTACGGTCTTCGACGATCTGTAAGTATTCATGGAATTTTTCCGGTATAGTGTTAACTTAAGAAATTAGGGACGTACTCGGATAAATCCAGGGAAGTATGTTGATGCTGAATTAGAAGACGAATTACCATCTAAACAGCGTCGTGGTATGAGAAATGGGACTCATCGTCAAAGAAATATAAGTGATGATGATGATGATGACGATGCTGAATCTCTCTCTCCATCAGAGGATGAGGATAGCGATGGTAGTTCTTACGGTGACAATGTTCGCAGAAGGTCTGGAAGAAGGAAAGCGACACCTGACGATGCTCTAGATGAAGTAAGGTTTTCCTCGCGAAATTCCAAAGGTGTAAATTATAATGAAGATGCCTATTTTGAATCAATTGAAGATGAAGAGCAACTCGGTGATGGCTATGATTATGATATGGAGGCACAAGAAGAGCCTGAAGAAACAAAAGCCATAGACTGTGTTTTAGATCACAGGCTTATTGAAGGACGTGATGGGTCAAATATTACAAACGATTATGAGTACCTTGTAAAATGGGTGAATATGTCTCATTTACATTGCACTTGGGAGACCTATAATAATTTGGTCGGCTTTCGGGGAGCAAAAAAGGTTGATAATCATAATAAGCAGGTTATTCTTTTGGAACGTGAGATACGTGAAGATCCAACTACAACTAGGGAGGACATTGAAGCAATGGAGATTGATATAGAACGCAAACGGGACAGTTATGAAGAGTACAAGCAGGTTGATCGCATTGTCTATCAACATAGAAACCCTGATGGATCTTTGGAATACTTGGTTAAATGGAAGCATCTCTTATATGATTTCTGCACGTGGGAATCCGCTGAAACAATAGAGCCTATAGCCTCCGAACAAATACAATCTTTTCATGACAGAGAGCATAGCCCATTGATGCCATCTCGTGGTACTAACTATGGTCATACCCGTCCCAAGTATCGTAAGTTAGAGCAACAACCTTCTTATATTACGGGCGGTGAATTACGTGACTTCCAATTAACGGGTGTTAACTGGATGGCCTATCTTTGGCACAAGAATGAGAATGGTATCTTGGCAGACGAAATGGGTTTAGGTAAAACTGTACAGACAGTAGCTTTTCTTTCATACTTGGCTCATTCTTTAAGACAGCATGGGCCGTTTATTGTGATAGTTCCCTTGTCTACAGTCCCTTCGTGGCAAGAAACTTTTGCTCTTTGGGCTTCAGATATGAACTGCATCAGTTATCTTGGTAATACCGCTTCTAGACAAGTACTCCGTGATTATGAGTTTTATGTCGAGGGAACTCAAAAACTAAAGTTTAATTTACTGCTTACTACTTATGAATATGTTCTTAAGGATCGTTCGGTGCTGGGTAATATTAAGTGGCAGTACATGGCAATCGATGAAGCTCACCGCTTGAAGAATAGTGAGTCCTCCCTTTATGAAACATTATCCCAATTCAAGAATTCTAACAGGTTGCTTATTACGGGTACTCCACTTCAGAATAATATTAAAGAACTTGCAGCCTTAGTTGACTTTCTGATGCCAGGAAAATTTGATATACGGGAAGAAATTAATCTGGAAGCTCCAGATCAAGAACAAGAGACTTATATTCGAAATCTACAAGAGCATTTACAACCTTACATCTTAAGAAGGTTGAAGAAAGATGTTGAAAAATCCTTGCCCTCTAAATCCGAACGTATTTTGCGAGTTGAATTATCTGATTTGCAAACCTATTGGTACAAGAATATTCTAAGCAGGAACTATCGAGTTCTTACTCAGAGTATTATGTCTGGTAGCCAGATTTCGCTTCTGAATATTGTAATAGAATTGAAGAAAGCAAGTAATCATCCGTATTTGTACGACGGAGTTGAAGAATCATGGATGCAGAAATTCGGTTCTCAAGGACGACGAGAAGAAGTGCTGAAAGGATTGATTATGAACAGCGGGAAAATGGTTTTACTTGATAAGTTACTCTCTAGATTACGCCGAGACGGGCACCGTGTCCTAATTTTCAGTCAAATGGTTCGTATGCTTGATATTCTTGGTGACTATATGGCATTGAGAGGTTATCCCTATCAACGATTAGATGGTACTGTTCCAGCATCAGTTCGAAGAGTTTCCATTGATCATTATAATGCGCCCGGAAGCCCTGACTTTGTATTCCTGCTTTCAACTCGAGCAGGTGGTCTAGGTATTAATTTGATGACGGCAGACACTGTTATTATATTTGATTCCGATTGGAATCCACAGGCCGATTTACAAGCCATGGCTCGTGCTCATAGAATTGGACAAAAGAACCATGTTATGGTTTATCGTTTTCTTTCAAAAGATACAATTGAGGAAGATGTGTTGGAAAGAGCCAGAAGGAAAATGATTTTAGAATATGCAATTATTTCTCTCGGTGTGACTGACAAACAGAAAAATGCCAAAAGTGATAAGTTTTCTGCAGAAGAGCTCAGTGCGATTTTAAAATTTGGTGCTTCCAATATGTTCAAAGCGGAAGATAATCAAAAGAAGCTTGAAGATATGAACTTGGATGAAATATTGGAGCATGCTGAAGATCACGACACATCAAACGATGTCGGTGGTGCCAGTATGGGTGGTGAAGATTTTTTGAAACAATTTGAGGTTACTGATTACAAGGCTGATGTTTCTTGGGATGATATTATTCCCTTAAATGAAAGACAAAAGTATGAAGAGGAGGATCGACGAAAAGAACAAGAAGCACTCAAGAGGGAGATTGAATTAAATAATAGGCGTGGAAACAGACCGTACCCAATTGAGATGGCTGCCTCTTCTCCTAGTTCGACTGCTTCTGAGAAAAAGACAAAGAAGCAAATGCTAAGGGACGAAGTGTTGTTAGAAAAAGAAATTCGATTGTTATATCGTGCGATGATCCGATATGGCCGTCTACAACACCGGTATAATGACATTGTTAAATATGCGGATCTATCAACCCAAGATGCTCATTTAGTTAAAAAGGTAGCTTCTGATTTGGAAGCGGTTTGTCAAAAAGCAATTAATGCAGCCGAAAAAGAGGCTAACGCTGAGCAAACGAATCAAAAGTCTCGTAAAGCGTTGTTAATAACTTTTAGAGGAGTAAAAAACATCAATGCTGAAACTCTAATCCAACGTCTAAATGATCTTGATGTCTTATATGAAGCAATGCCTTCATCAGGATATTCTTCTTTTGAGGTTCCCGTACATCTTCGATCTGTCCATGGTTGGTCATGTGAATGGGGAAAGCGCGAGGACTCCATGCTGTTAGCTGGTATTTGTAAACATGGGTTTGGAGCTTGGCTAGAGATTCGTGATGATCCCGAATTAAAAATGAAAGACAAGATCTTTTTGGATGACAATAAAGCTGATAATTCCGGAGAAAAGGAAAAAGAAAAGGAGAAAAAGGTCCCTTCTTCAGTACATTTGGTACGACGAGGCGAATATTTGTTGAGTGCTTTACGAGACTATCACCGTAAGGTTGAAGAAGGTACCGAAACTCCAAAGCTCGCTCCGAAAAGGCAACCCCAAAACAGGAAAACATCAAGCAAATCAAATAAGAATGGCCAACGAAGTGAAAATGTTACCAGGACTCCCTCTCCTGCTGTTTCTGAACCACGAAAGAAACATGTTACCAAAGAAGTGAAGTCCGAGGCTCCTCATAAAGAATCACCGCGCGCTTCCGTTGAGCCATCTGTCAAACAGGAAGAATCTGACCAACCTGAAGGTGATGAATTGACTGGTGAACAAAAGGCAAGATGCAAGGAGCTGATGTATCCTGTTCGTAAGTTTATGAAAAAACTTCGTAAGGGTTCCGCCGGTCTGGAAAGAAAACAGTTGGTGATGCTTTTTACAGAGTGTTTAACAACGATAGGAGGACATATTGATGCTACTGTCTCAAAACTTCCTGATAATGAAAAGGAAACTATTCGTAAAGATCTGTGGATGTTTGTTTGTTACTTTTGGCCCAAAGATGAAGTCAAGTACACTAGTCTGATTAGCATGTACGAAAAGATGAAGTGAGACTTGAAGAATTTTAAATCTCAAGGAATACCGAGTATTGCAAATGTGATCACTTATCTTCTATATCATGCTTTGTTTTCTTGATAACGATACCCAGCTCGATTGATCATGTTTTTCCTTCGTTTACAATGCTTATAATAATAGATAAATGGGCGAGCTATGTGTCTGAAGCACAAGAACCCTAAATTTTGTACATGTAATTGTTTTACTTCTTAATTAATAAAAAAGTCTTGCATTTATAATGGAATTGTTTGAAGAATACGCTTTTCCCATAGAGACGCCTCAAGTCCTTTATCTGTAAGATCTGGATAGAAATTCTAAAAACAGGATTGTTTCTCATTTCTTGAATAACTAACATGCAATACCTACAGGATAAAAAAGTAAAAGGAATACTTCAAAATACTGAATTGTGTTTGTTTATTATGGAACCTGCGTTGGAGAACACTATTGTGCTGAAGGCGAGTTACTTTCTTGGGCAGTTGAGACTAGCAAACCTGACCAGTGCAATTACCTACGTTACAATCACAGAATGTCGCGAACCGTTTTGCCAAGCTTAGAGAGTAAGTTATGCATGTCAACGCCATAATTGATGTTCATACAATTTGGACTGATCCATCGGCATTTGATCAAGTCGTTGTTATACGAAGATTTCAGCTAACAAGCTGTGTAGATTTGGAAGATGATGATGAATTTGAAGATTTCGCAACAGAAAGTAAGAATTTAGAATGTTAGTTAAGTACATAATATAGCTAACAGTGTGAAAGACTGGCCTATGAAAGATACAGAACTCGACACTGGCGATGATACCCTATGGGAAAACAATTGGGATGATGAGGACATTGGTGATGATGATTTTTCTGTTCAGCTCCAAGCTGAATTAAAAAAGAAGGGAGTCGCTACGAATTGAAAGTTGTCATGACGAAGTCTCAGAGAACTACACAACTTCTTTAATTGGAAGAACCCATATTCTACACTGGAACGAAATGCATCCAGCAAGGCTTTTAGATTTGTATGAACTTAAGAGGATTCTACAAGGAAGCTAGTGTACTCTTTGAAGAAACGGGCACTAAGTTTGATGATGTGTTTATGCGTTCACAATAGAAATACATTACGATTGATAACCAAGTTTATAATAATCTATTTGTAAGTTGTATTGTAAAACGGAGAGAAGAGTGCATTTGCATTCTAAAAAGGAGTACCAGTTGTATAAATTTAAGAGATGAATATAATGGGATGAGTGCTATGAGAAACCTGTCTTCAACAATGCAGAAAAGAAATAAAAAGAAAGCTAAAACACAAGAGGATTGGAGGACATAAAGCCGACAAATGATGTAAAACCGTTTCCAGAAAGTAATACAATCATAATTAACATACAGCATAATACCGAAAAAGAACAAAAGGGCACCATTTGCCGATGCCTAGAAATCGTAGAAAAAAATAAAAGAAAAAAGAGAAAGAAGTATCATAGGCCTTAATCATAATTTTCTGCATTTCCTTGGTCTAATGCTTCTTCCAAAAGACGGTATGTAGCACGTAAAGGGAGACCAACAATATTGGTATAGTCACCTTGAATGGATTCCACCAAAAGAGCACCAAATCCCTATATTGTTAACAATCTGTGAAGAGGGAAGAGTGAAATTTTCTTACCTGAATACCATAGCCACCAGCCTTATCAAGACCCTCGCCAGAACGAACATAGGCTTCGAGAAATTCGTCGGTAAGAGAAGGATCAAACTTCACTTGGGTTTCCTCTAAATGGGTTTTCATGACATATCCAGGATGAACGGGGACGTCCAAGGGGACAATTACGGTAACGGCAGTAAAAACCTTGTGTGGTTCTCTAGAGTCTCGAAGCTTTTTGAGAATAGACAAATGATGCTTTGGGTCAGCAGGTTTTTCGATGATTTCGCTATCCAAAATCAACACTGTATCAGCAGCAATGACAACATCTGGTGAATCTTCTTCAGCAGCCTAGACAAAAGAAAATTGGTTAGTTCTGGAAATCAAAAATCATCAGTTTCTGATTCAAATTTACCAAGTTTTGATAGACAGCTAAAGCCTTTTGAGAGGAGGTATCAGCAGCATATTCCCAGGGTGTAACGTAAGCAGATTTACTCAAATTTTCGGCAAACCCAGATACGAATACTTCCACATTAGAGAATCCCTAAACATAATGAGTTAGTAAAAGTTCAAAATACTTTGATCGCCCCTGGAAACATTCTTGATTCTAATGAGAGGAGAGCCAAAATATAAACCAAGCTATAAATAACCTAAATATGAGCTCAAACTCCGTTACAATTCTCTTCACAACGATGCATTAGACTTTATGACTAGCATGAAATGGCTTGGCGCAATTCATAAAGAACGCATGCGGCCTGAGAAGAAGTAACAAAGTAAATTTTGAAAAGAAAGAGCTATACTTACCATTTGGCGAAAAAGTTCCTTTCTTCTAGGAGATCCTGAGGCAAGAATAACACGCTTGTCCTTCAACTGTTCATGGACAGGTGTATTCAGAGTGAAGTGAGATTCATAAGAAGGTGGAAGTGCGTCCATTATTATAGCAAACGAATGAATTGAAAGTAAAAATTAGCAATTTACACAAAGAAATAGGGAAGAAGGAGAACGGACGCCTCAAATGACGCGAATGACTTTTATTTAGGTAAATACCGAATTTGAGTTTTAATCATTATTTATTATAAGGCACAGAACCGAGGTCCAGTATAGGGTTTGTCAGATGAATGAAGGTTTGTTTGTAAACAATAAAAACTGTAAACAGAATATGTACAAATGAAACTTGTTGGTTAACAATTGATCGCGAATTTGTTTTATGAAAGGTCGATATTTGTTCAAATAAAAAATAGAAAATAATAATAAGAAAGGTGCTACTGATGTAGCTCTGCTAAACAAATAAACGGTTTACATACGAGACTTTAATTATCCCTGGTAACCCGACTATCACAACTTTTTGTATTTTTTAGGTAAAAAAGTTTATTGAAAACCTTTTCAAAGTGGAAACCTCTGCAGAATCAGAGAATTTTCATCTTTGTGTTTGCATTTCCGCTGTACTACGATATCATCTTCAACTGTTACCAGAATAAACACACATCAATGATTGTTACCTAATTCACTCGAAACATTTTTTGGATATACCGAGTGTGCTGCCGTGTGCAAGATGCAATAAGAACATGCAACGCACCATGTCAAGTTTGAAGTGTATGAAACTTGCATTTTGCAAGGCTTCTAATTCCTGAATTATTTAGAAAATTTCTACCATTCGTGTCTGCTTTCATTTCATTAATAGTATTTTATTCCTATTTATAAAGTATTTGGAAGTTGAGAGACCACAATCGTTATAGATATCCAACATTTCACAATGAGTGCCTCAGAAGAAGAAATTGATAAACGACCCGTTAAGGAAGAATCGAAGAAGAAACACTCCGAAAATGAAGAAGAAATTGAAATTGACGTTTCTAAACCAGTTCCTCCTTCTAAAAAGTTGATGCGAAAACTTCGTAAAGCTGGTAAAATTGACAAGGAAGGAAACTGGACTCCCGAAGCATTAGAAGAAGCCAAGAAGAAAGAAGAAAAGCGATTGAAGAAGATTGACGTGAAATATGGATCAGGTTCGGGAGAAGAGGAAAAAGAAGGAAGCAAACGTTCGCCATGGGGAGTTTGGATTGGTAATTTGAGTTTTTTTACGACTCCTGCTATTTTGAAAGAGTTTTTCGTTCGTGAAACAAAAGAAACTGTTGAGGAAGATGACGAGAAACCGTTTGAATTTACTGGTGAAAACATTACACGAATTCACATGCCCATGTCCAAAGAGCACCGAAACCAAAACAAGGGATTTGCCTATATCGACTTTGATTCGGAAGAAGCTCTAAAGGCAGCATTGCAATGTACAGAAAAGCCTTTGAATGGAAGAAATGTCTTGATTAAATCTAGTAACGACTATCAAGGTAGACCTGCGAAATCGAGCTTACCTTCCAAAACCATCGCCAGACAAGAGTCTAGGAATCCTCCATCCGCTGTCATTTTCGTCGGAAATCTTCCTTTTGATGCTACGGAGGATATGTTAAGAGAGCATTTTGGACAAGCCGGTGACATTCGACGCGTGCGTCTAATGACCTTTGAAGATTCCGGAAAGTGCAAAGGATTTGGATTTGTCGATTTCCATGATGTAGAGACTTCAATGAAAGCAATGGCAAGAAACCATGACACCTGGCGTCTTGAATACGGTCAAGACAGATCGAAGCGCACACGTAAGGCTCCTGATTCCGTTGCTCGTACCGATGATCATTCAGCCAAACGCAGGAAAAATGTCGACGCTCGTGACATTCGTCCAGGAGCTTCTTTGGCCAATGCACAGCGTGGTTCTATGGGCATTAAGGAATCTACTGGTAAAAAGATTACATTTGACTAATTAATTGTTTGGAACAGGATATTTTCCGGATTTACATATAAATAAAAAAAGGGGTATATTAAGGAATGATTTATTAAAAACTACATGCATGGATCGGTTTCGTAAGTGAAAAATTAACGTAGAAATACTGTATATCTTTTTTATCCTTTTGTTTTGTTCACGACCTTCATATTGGTCAGGATTGAAACGAATAGCGAATTGCTGTCGTTCTCATACAGCAATCTTTCCATCTTTTCCATCTTTTCTGTGTTTACTTGTATTTACTTTTTCGCATCACCCACTACTGTTTATTTTCAAGCCTACCAACTTTTGTTTACCTTTTTGACAGTCACAAGTTTTGGTGGAAACTTGTAGATGTAGTATGCCCTAAAAAGTAAGTCACAAATGCTATATATATAGGGAACTGACGCATTCAGATTTTCTATAATGTTTTAATGCGCGCTTCATGGCTGTTTTATTAATGATTTTTTGGATTGTGTATCATTGCTAGAAATGTAAGTTTTCTTTAGTGGCTTTTGAGGAATATGCGGTTAAGCAGGTAGAAAGCGATGTAATCATTAAAATCGCTTTTTACCAGGATGAAACTTTTGTTAACCCAGCTCACTCGGAGTATATACATTGACGAGTTTAGCATGTATTATCTGAATAATGCTTTTATCCATATCCCTTTTCTTGTCAATTTAACAAGTGAAATCATGAATATGTCACTAACACTTTTCTAGTGAGAAAGATACTTTCAGGAAACATGATAGATTAGAAAGACTAGGAAATAAATAGGTTAAATTGAACTTTCAATATTGTTGGAGGCATATGGAATTTACTGTGTAGTTTAGATTGTAGAAAGAATGGGTTGTTGCTGTTTTGCGTAGGAGCTTCGTAATTCCAGAGATGCAAGAGAAGACTCGTGTATTTGAAAGACAGTTTTAAAACTCACACATTTAGTAAAATTTACTCTAATTCCGGCTCCCATTTAATCAGTGTTTTAGTTTCTATTATGGATTAATTATTTACATCGACTAAACGAGGAATTGATCTTAATACGTTCTTGATTTCAGTCTTACGTACCCTTATAAAAAACATATATACCCTTTCTTGGGCATATAAATAAAATCGGATTGCTTCTGCCTACAGAACGCTTCGTAATTGATTCTTTTGTTTATAGTAATTTATTTATAAAGTTTGTTTCACCAGAAAAAATACAAACGCTCATCTTTAGTTGTTTCTCTTGAAAGCCTTAAGAAATTTAGTGTCATCGCTCTTTATCAGAAACTATGTTTGCTCGATTGACGGCTAGATACAATGCTCTCTTCAATAGAGCTCCCATCAGTACGATGTGCTTTACTGCTGGTACCCTTGGTGGTCTTTCAGATGTCCTTGCGCAAGGAATCACTTATTATCAAGCAAAGAAAAATGCACCTATAGGCTTAACTGAGGAAAGAGTATGTAATAGGAAGAACGGGCCCTTTTATATTTGAAATTTACCTTCAAAAGGGTCCCTTAGATGGATTGAAGCACGATGGACATAAAACTAACAGAATCCAAGGTTCGTTCTTCAGGGATTCCCAATTTAGCTCGCATTCTTCAATTTGTTTCTTTTGGTAAGTGTGAAATCCTTTTGTTTTCTGTGCTTGATATCTAATGTCTTGTAGGTTTTGCTATTTCTCCATTGCAATTCAAATGGCTGAAGCTTCTATCCACGAAGTTTCCTGTGGAAAAAGGCGTTAGCAATGTGGTCGTTCGTGTTCTACTAGACCAGGCCATTTTTGCTCCTTTCGGTACTGCGTTTTTCTATTCTTGGATGGTATGTTTTTCTTTTCCTTTCAGTCCTTTTTTTTTTTTTTAAAGAGAAAGCTTTCGCGAACGGTGATTTTCATAAATTAACACTCTCTAGACAATAACAGAAAAAGGAAAAGGACTCAATGATGTCAGTAACAAGCTGAAGAATTTGTTTATCCCAACTCTTAAGGTACGACTCCGATTGATTAGTTTTGTTTCAACCAACAATAAACTAACCAAAATTACAGGCGAACTATGTTGTTTGGCCTTTTATCCAGTCAGTCAACTTTTATCTGATGCCATTGCAATTCCAAATGCCTTTTGCTTGCTTATGTGCTTTGTTTTGGTAAGAATATTTCAGTCCATTCGTTTTGAACCAAAAACTAATAAATAACTCTTATAGGAATACATTTCTAAGTCTTAAAAATGCTGGATCTGCAGAAAGAGAGCGACAGGAATATGAATTACTTCAATTATAAGTTTGATGGAATCTTGTCTTTGCCTGATATTGGAAATTCCGTTAGTTTTTACGAATACCCTTATATTATGAACAGGTTTTGTGTTATGTTATCGATGAATGCTATTGAATAAATGAACAAAAACGCTATTACTATGCAAAAAATTCCATATAGAATCATACATAAACAAAAGAAAATAAGCATCATAAACGAAACCTCCGTAAAAAGTAACAGTAAATCTATCGCTTTTTGTTGCCTCCAGTAGTAGCTTTAGTATCACGTTTCCGTTTACCGCTTACTCCTTTGCCAGTCTCAGCAGGCTTTTTTGGACTTGAAGGTACAGGTTTGAAAAATGAATCTAAACGCCCTTGTGGTACAGTTTTTGATGCCTTCTCAAGTCTAGAAATACCTAGTCGGACACGATCTTCATTGAAGCCTTTTTCACTAACAAGGAACTTTATGATACCTTCCTTGTCAGGTGCTCTCCACTTCAAATCCACTTCATCTCCCGGAATAACCTCCGCTTCTAAAAACAGCCTACGTGCATCATCATACGGCCAGTCTTCCGGGATAGGAAATTTTGTTCGATCGGCCTCTTTGACAAATTTTTCAAGACTTCCATATTGACGAATCAGTTCTATAGCTCTTGCTGGTCCAACACCGCGAATTGGATCACAGTAATCACAGCCTAATAAAATACACAAGTCGACAAATTGCTCTGCCGGCATGTTTAAACCTTCTATTGCCTTATCAAAGTAGTATTCACTAATAGGTTCTTTTCTTTGCTCACTGAAGGTAAGGTGACGAAGCAGAATAGGAGCCCGAAAACATAAAGTGTCCATATCTTCGGAAGCAGCAGCATACACCTTCCCTGATTTGGCCAATTCAGCACACTGGGCTTCAGCTTCACAGGGGGCATTTACATACGGAATACCCATCAGATCTAGTAGATGTTTGGCTTCTTCATTGTGTTGGCGTGTGACCTTTACTGTTCGCTTAGCAAATCTATCCACCATTTCAGCAGTTCCGACTTCTTTTGCTTCTTCCTGATCTTCTCTGGCCTTTTGATGACGAGCAACTCGCTTTGCCAATTCGCCTGACTTTAAAGTTGGTGGCTTTCCGTCAAACACAAAGCAAGGCTTAATACCATTATCAACAATTCTTAATGTTCGATAAAACATTCCCATCAAGTGACTAGTTGTTTCTCCTTGCTCGTTCATCAATTGTTGCCCGTCCTGTCCACGAACTTGAATAAGAAACTGATACAGACTCATAGATCTTAAACTCAAATTAACAACATGTTCAAACTTTCTTACTACAGCAGAAAGAGATTTTCTTTCTGCTGTATGATTTCACATACGCGTCGATAGCTACCTTTCTACCAAAGTAGTTTTTAATATCATTGTGTTTCACACTAGAACTAGCATTATCCGCCAGCACTTGAGAAAGACCTAAGTTGTCAGTAATTCCGAATCTAGCGTAGATATTTAATTATCGTTTTCTTCCTCTTTACCTTTAATTCCCATTGTAAACCACTGTGTAGTAACTTGTCTTCAAGATCCTAGAATTTGCAAGTTTCCAAAATAAATTAATGCAAGTACTTCTTTTGAAATTACGAAAATAAAGTCGTCTCTAAGCTACTTGACAAGAAATGGTAGTATTTACCAGTGATTACTTTCCTTAGTAGAACGCCTTCAGTACTTGGTAAAATGGCTGGTAAGTCTCAGATAACAATGTGGTCTTAAGGGAGTATGGTGCTCTTCAGTCGTAAACAAACGATCCTTGATGCTTTCTTGCTGTTGAAGGCGCCTAGAATAAACGATGAAATCATTCTCACTCAATATGAACAGTATAAGCAACTTGAAGGCTTCTGGATCTACTGTTCTGTTCACCAACCATGCATTAAATGAGAATGTATAGGAAGTCCTAACAATCACCCCATGTATACATTTTAACACAGTTCTTTCTTTTTATTGTTAAAGAAAAATTTAATTTGTAAATGCAATTATCGCGGCCCGTATGACTTTGATCGGAGGATTCCCTTGCTTCTGTCAAGACTCATCAAGTTGACTTTTATGTACTAAGAAGGAAAGGATGTTTGGGAAAAGGTTTAGAGACAAAGAAACAGGAATCATTTATGATGAAAATGGAAAACCGTGCAAAAGCTGCAACATTTTTTCCTCTTTTCAATCAGCTACGAATGGAATGAATGCAGAAAAAAAAACTGAGGTTCCTTCTAATTCAGGTTCGTCAGACAAAGGTATGTCTGAGTCGCATACAATATCCAAAGAAGTACCTGATTCTGTTTCTTTCCCTAGGTTACCAGACGTCGCTGAATTGGGCCGCAGTACTTGGACGTTTTTACATGCTATGGCTGCTAATTATCCCAAAAATCCCTCCGCAGTTGAGCAAAACAACATGTCAAGCTTTTTGCAGAATTTTTCCAAATTCTATCCTTGTTGGGCTTGCGCTGAAGATCTTAGACTTTGGATGGCTAGAGATGGAAATTCTCCTAAAGTTGAAAGTCGTGAGTCTTTGTGTCACTGGATATGTGAAGCTCATAACGATGTGAATGAACGCTTAGGAAAGCCTGTGTTTAATTGTGACATTTGGGCTAAGAAAGCTTCCAAGATGACAGATGATGAATAGATTTAATTACTATGGTCAATAATGCTCGTATGCCTCCTCCTCTCTTTCTTATCAAATTATTTGCTCTTTACTTGAATATTTTTAAACGCATTATACTATCCATTACGCTTACGATAATTTGATTGTGATCAAATTACCATTGAACGGAAACAGTCGATATTACAGTCGACATGGAGTATGACCTTAGAAAATGAGATTTATGTTTAATTTTGTCCGATTTACCCAACTTTTGTTCTACCATTATCCGTATTTGCAATGTGAAACCATAACCTGAAATAGTAAATCTTTCATATACGAAGTTTTTGACGCCAAGCTCCGGTATAAAAAAGAAAGCTTTTATATTTAAAGGCACATATACAAGCGTAACTATAGACGATGTTCTCAATGTGCTACCGTCCAAAACAAAATGAAATGCGATTATAATGTAGTACCGCTTATAAATTGGTGCCTCAACCTTTTGGGTGACTTTAACTTTTCTTTTTTTTGTTCTTAAAAATTATTTATAAGCCTATATTAAACTGCTTGTTCTAATTGCTGAAAGGTTCTTTTCATTAAGCTTTGCATTAAAAAGGATTTTATGTTACGAAAAGAAAAGAAGGAAAATCCATTTTTACCGGTTGTACGTCCATTTTTAGAGAAATATATGATCAATAAGAAACCAGTTGCTACATTATCCTGGACGTTATTCATCTAATCCTCTTATGATTTGTTTTGTCTAAAACTAGCGCCGTAATCTCAAGTTTTGATTACTCCAATACAACAGCCTCTTGTTATCCAAGAACCTTTGCTTATTATTCGAGAGCAAGGCGCTTCATAAAAATCAATCCGGTTCATAAGTTTGTAGTCTCTGAGGAAGCTTTTAATCCTGTAAGCCTTACTGATATCAAGTTTGCATTTCTTCTCAGGCTTTAACATAGGCTGAAGAGTCTTAATAATTCATAGACGTTTCTTTCAAGACTTTTGTTGCCATCTTTCTTATGGTGCAAACTATTAAAAGTTTGTGGACTAGGTCGTCTATTTAGAAAACATGATTATAGATAGAAGGCAATCAACATCATCCTTTGTAATTGTAGGTTGAAAGAATTACAGATGAATATCCTAATGATGAGAGTCATTTATCTTCGCAAGTTTGAACACATCAGTTATCCGTGCATCAACACAGGGTAGACGATAATTAATGTTAAGACATGTTTCTCGAAATCACTTATAGTTGTGTTTCAGGTTCCTACGAAATCCATAATAGCAAACTCTCATTATATGTGAACATAACCTCGGACATTACACTAATATAAGAGAATCCCAGTATAACTTTAATTTCACTGGACACTCCCGTATGTTGAATTTAATATGTGGTCCCAATATAACAATTTTTGAGCGACGGTTTCACACCAATAAATACAAGAAAAAGAAAAAAGAATGGTAAATTAAAGATGGGTAGTAGCTATAAATAAGACATAAATACATAACCGAATAGTAATAGTCTCGTCAATTCATGTTTTATCCCAACGTTCAAACTTGGGAGTTATAGGGAAAGCAAAAGATCAACTAGATCTTTCGGTGATGGTAAGTGATAATCCGCTAGCGTTGATGTGTCCGTTAATCCGACATGCACACGGTATGAAATAATTTTTGAATTCGCTTTATTATGGTGAGGTCTTTCATCTTCTACGTTTGACATAGACGGATCAACGTAATCAGTATCATCACCGACCAAATTGGAATGAATAAAGTAGTCAAAAGGCATTGGTAAAAACACTTCAAACATGTTTTCGTCTGTTCTATCATCGCCGGCACAAAAGATAAAGTCAGTTCGTCCTGTACGCTTAAGGATTCGCTTGACAATGGCTCCTTTGTTAAGATAATTAGGATGCACTTCAAGAAAGTACCTGCCTGAGCTGATTTCAACGTCATATTGTCTTAATGGACCTTCTAAATTTGCTTGGCATTGTAAACTTTGAAACCTGCTGTATGCTGAGTTTGCATTTTGATAATACCATGACAGAGAGTTTCGTTTTTCTTCGATGTATGACCCTTGGGTACGTTCAACATAGTATTGAAATATATCACGAACAGTGTCTTTCCATGACAAGTCTAGTTGTTCCGTATTGTTATACCATTCGCCTGCCATAGGAGGACGTATGATACTACCATGCTCCGACGATAATCCCAATTCTGAAATGTCATCCATCCACTCTTCCATAAACATTTTCGATCGCCCTGAGAGAACCCAAACTATATTGCGACTATCAGATACCAGTCTTTTTAAGGTACGCAAAACTCGATCGGTAGGGGCTGCGTCCAAAGAATTCCTAGCTGCCTGAATAAGTGTGCCATCATAATCTAGAATAAACAAACGCTTCTTTGCTTCTTTATAGTTTTTTTGTATATCAGAAATAGTTAAAGAAGGAGTAGTCATTCTGCTTTTAACAGAACGAATTTCATTTAAAGATCGGCTAATCAGTTTATATATCCATTGTTGGGACGATTGCGAGGTTGCCTGCATCCACAACGAAGAGAACTTTTGTTCCCTTTCCTTTATACTTTTCCTTAAACAATGATTGATAGTATCAGCAAAACCAGCATAATCGTAAGGGTTTACTACGCTGGCAGAAATCAATACTTCCGCTGTCCCGGAAAATTCGCTCAAAATAAGCGAGCCCTTGTTTTTCTTTTGACAAGCGACAAATTCTAAAGCCATAGTGTTCATGGCATCCCGTATGGAAGAAACACATGCGACATCTGCTGCACTGAGCAATGCAAAATATTCCTCGACACTTAAAAGCTGATGGAAATGATGAATGGGAACATAATCCAGCGAACCAAATTCGCTGTTGATTTCAGTAACAAGATTCTCAACCTGCATCTCTAAATCAGAATTACTGTTTCCTACAGTAGAGCTGGTAATTTGGATTAATATCACTCTCTTCCTCCAGTGCGGATACTTAACCAAAAGTTGACGAAATGCCCGCAGCTTATGTATTATACCACAAACCTTATCCAGTCTGTCACGACCAACAATAACTTTCATGTTACGGTGATAAAGATGGCGAAGTTGAGCAATTTTGGATTGTACAATTGGCTTATTGCATATTGAATATACGTGCGGCACATCTATGTTTACATGGGAGGACAAAATGGCAGCACGGAAACCATCAGAAGTGTCGATGTACGAAGAAGACGTGGCTTCCAAACCAAGAGCATTAACACACGTGCTTAAAAAGTGTCGCGCGTAAGAATCAGTTTGAAACCCTATAACATTTGAGGCTAAAACACCATTCAAGATCTCAGCTCGTTTTGGAAGGCATCGAAAAATTTCCGAAGTACAGAAGGGTACGTGAAGGAAAAAGACGATATTTGCATCAGGCAATTGCTTCCGAATTAATTTCGGTAACAAAAATAAAGAATAATCGTGGATAAGTATCAAATCACCTGGTTGATAGATCGAGACGACATAATCCGCGAAATACTGGGTCCATTTATTGAAGTCTTTCCACCATATTTGTTGCTGAAAGCCATCAATGGTAGGAATTCGGTAATGTAGCACATCCCACAACACATTGTCTGCATACTTTGGACCCTCCAGTAAACGGTTTGACCCCACGTCCGAAGCGTACTTTAGAAACTCAGAAGGATCCTGTATAGAACCAGGAGCAAACTTTGAACTTAATTTCCCCCAAACAGGAACAACTTTAGAAACGATATTCCTATCTTTGTAAAATTGACAAGCCTTCTTGTAAAAAGATGCTTGATCTGTCGGTTTAAAGACGGTGGAGGAGGGAGATCGACGCTGAGAACTTAACACGTTAGAAGATGAATTGACATTCACCACCGCCGGCGAACTCATGGTTTCATTTTGAGTAACCTGAATGGCACCTGGTGAAGCAATAAGGATGCTTTCCCATGGAGAGTCGGTATTTCCTAGAGATGCTATAGCTGAATACAAGGCAGCGCTGCTACTACGGGGCTGGAAACTCCATTCACGACTTTCTTTTTCGATTGAAGCTTTCAACTGGAAATTTCGTGAAACATTTATCACTCTTTGATAAGGAATAGCATCATTCTTTTGAGGCTCTGAATGCATCGATGGGAACTAATACCAATTGTATATAGAAACGAAAACCGTATAATGCAAGAAGAAAACGCAATTTTCAGGTATATAAAAATAGAATATAAAGGAACTTTGTTTCAATTCATTGAACGAAGAACTCAATTTCCAAGTGAAAAAGGTTGAAGTATGAGGACTGAACTTGCTCTGTTCATACATTCCCCTTTTAGGTTGTGGGGGATCAATACCGAACTCTACCGTGACCCAACGATTAAACCGATGTTTGGAAAAAAAGCAAATGTATATAAGAAAATAAAAAGAAAGAGAGAATTAAGCGGAAATATTAAGACTTTAGAAGAACGCTTGAAGGAGGAACGACGAACGAGGAATTGGAGTCTCTAGAAGAATTATGAAACGGTAGATTTATCATTCAATATCGCAGTCGAACAGTACAAATGAAACTCATTAGGAAGAAGAGCTCTCGGAAGCCATGACTGGACCATCAACTTGTTCTTCTTCGAATTTTTGGAGTTCCGGAAGCAAATCGTTCAAATCCTTTGAAAGTGATTCGATAGCAGAACTAGCGTGTAGCAAATGCGTATAGTGATTATAAACCAAAGATTTATGATCTCCTGAAATCTCTTGAATGGATGATACAAGCTGCTTTTGACGTAGCAGAACCTCGTTGGGAGATAGCTTATGCTGAAGACTCTTTAAGTAAACATTTATATCGAAATCTGAATTTGAGAAAGCAGGATCTATCTCTTTTGCATTTGATTCTTCACTTGAGTAAAGGTTACTTCCATTGGATACAGATCTAGAAGTCGAAACAGTTGATGAAGATGGTGTACGTACAGGTAGATTATAAAAATTACGAAGAGCCTGTCTTTTTTTGTCTGACATTTTCAAAAAGGTGTAAAAATAATTAAGAAAATCTCATTGAATCCCCAGGATTTACGATAATTCTCGGTTTTTGTTTATTTACGCGTCAATGGTTTTGTAGACGTTTCGCAGCAGATAGCTTTCTGCCATCTGCAGAATAGCGATGCGTTCAAAAGCACTATCCAATTGATTATATGGAAAACACAATATAAAAGACAAAATAGGCAGCTTGTACGCACATAAAAGAGCATATCTTAAAGCAATGAAGCTTTTTGGGTCTGAAATTGAATGAAGGAAAAGGACATATAGAACCTTGGCGGTCTTTGCGATTGTTTGTTGGCGAAAACTTGAAAAAAAAAGAGAAGTAAACGTATGTATCATAAGGCTAGCTAAATCCTTATTTTAACATAAATGAAGTACTCTATTACTAATGTTTAAATGTAATTAAACCGATTTCATCCACAGTTCTTTTGTCTTTCATGTTCCATCAATTATTGCTTGTTTATTAGTGAGCGATATCGATATACCGTAAAAAAAATACAGAAATGAAGATATCTTTCTTAATAAATAAAACCTATAATTTGCAAAAATAACCTAAGGTTATACATAAAAAAGTTATGATTAACTGTTATTATTTGAGTTGTTTTGAATAAAACATAAGTTCTTTCTTTGTTCTATCTTCTCTTCTCTTTTTCCTTTTTTTTTTCACACCCGTAGACCTTGACCATATAATGCGATAACCTAGGTTTTGCACTGCATCTAATATAGAATGCCAAAAAGCTAGAAAACAATAGGTATTAACGCTTTATTTTACAATATCCAAAAACTGGGATCGGGACTATTCATCTACGCGTTTGGCCAGTTATAAAGAATCCCTTTGAGAGTGAATTATAACCTTTGGATGATTTTACGAGGATATACATGTAAAATTCAGAATCAAAACTAATAAAAAGAACAATTACGACGCATCAGCCAGAATCCGGGATAATATCAGATAAAATGGATTCTAAAGAGCAACTTCAAGAAGATGAATTTCATCATCCCTATAAGCCTTATTCCATTCAATTAGAATTTATGAGGGCTTTGTACAATGTAATTGAAAACAAAAAAATTGGAATCTTTGAATCGCCAACCGGCACCGGTAAAAGTCTTAGTTTACTGTGTGCATCGTTGACGTGGTTAGAGAAAAAGGGAAATCTGCATATGGAAGTGGATGATCCTGAGGAAAAGACAAATGATTCTGTACCTTCAAAACATGCTATACCCGACTGGGTGATTATGCAGGATCAAGAGTTGCAGGTAGATCAGGCCAAAAGCGCACATGCATATTTAGAGAAGCGACTCGAAAAAGTTCGCGAAAAGAAGAGAAAGGAAAGACTTTTACAGGAAACTAACTTTCGTTACCAAAAGGATGCTCGTAAGAGACCTACACCCGTCGATATCACGAATTCCTCGACGGCACCTTTAGCAAAATCGACCAAGACTGCTCCGGCGACAGATGAGTCATTAGAGGAATTTGTAGTTTCTAATGATATTTCTCTACAAGATGAAAATGAAGAGTCAATTCTTGGTCTGCAAAAAGGGTATAGCTCCAAAGTAATGGATCTACTTCATCGTTTACTTCCGGAAGATGAAAAACTACCAACTGTTCAAAAAGTAAGGATTTATATATACATATTTATATGCATATTTTAAAGAAAAAAAAGCTAATGCTAATACTCTAAAGATATACTTTTCTTCAAGAACCCATTCGCAACTTCGACAATTCGTTCAAGAGGTACAAAAATTGGATACATCAAAAATTTCTACCCCTATACGTGTAGTATCACTGGCTTCTAGGAAAAACTTATGCATTAATCCTAAAGTCCAAAAGCTATCACCGACGTCTGCAGTAAACGAAAAGTGCATTGAATTACAAGGTAAGGAACTTGATGCTTTTGTAGACTAACAAACTAGGGTCTTCCGAAAAATGCCCATACATGAAGGATGATACCCGAATTTGGGATTTTCGCGATGAAGTTCTTGCAGAAGTTATGGATATCGAAGACATGGTTGGTTTAGGCCAAAAAATGCATGTTTGTCCGTATTATGGAGCAAGAGAAGCAGTCAATTCTTCTCAAATTGTAACGTTACCATACCCTTTGCTCTTACAAGAATCTGCTCGCAATTCGCTAAATCTTCCTTTAAAAGATAATATCTGCATTATCGATGAAGCCCACAACATTATTGATGCAATTTGCTCTATGCATTCTTCCTCTATTTCGTATAAGCAAGTAAGTCAGGCTGAGGTTCAGCTTGAGCAATACTTGAGTCGCTTCAGCAAACGGCTGAACGGCACGAATAAAATGCATGTTCGCCAGTTAGTAAAGGTTGTTGGAGAACTAAAGAAGTTTCTTGAAAAAAATATTCAACAAAAATCTTCCAACAAAGTGTTGCTAATTTCTTCAATGTTTGTGTCGCAGTCTTCAGACCAAGTGAATTTGCACCATCTAATCGAATATCTGTCTGTGTCGAAACTTGCACGGAAGGTGGATGGGTATTCCAAGTTTCTGTCAAAGTCAAAAGAAAACGTGTTGGAAGAAAGTTCACAAGAGTTTGATTCAAGAAAGGAAGAAAAAGGCAACGATGAGCAAGAAGATAAATATACTCCTGTTTTGATGCAGCTTGAATCTTTCCTTTCTGCGATAGCGAACCCGTCTCCTGAAGGAAAGCTATTCTACGAAACACAGGATTCCTCAAATGCGTTTTTAAAATATATGCTTCTGGATCCATCCAAACACTTTCAAAGCCTGACAGATCAATGCCGGTCTGTCACGTTGGCAGGAGGAACAATGTCACCATTAGATGACTTTATTGAATTGTTGTTTTCGGAATCACAAAGTCGAATTGACGAATTTTCTTGTGGGCATATCGTACCAAAAGAAAACGTTTTGACGTTGTTACTCTCGAAAGGACCTTCGCAAGTTCCATATGAGTTTTCCTATCAAAATCGCACTAGAGAAGATTTGATCAGAGAGCTTGGGAGAGCATTGGTAAACTTTACTTCGCTGATTCCCGATGGTATGGTAGTATTTTTCCCAAGTTTTTCATATTTGCAATTTATCACCAACGTTTGGAAAGATGACGGGACTCTGGACAGGCTTGAAAAGAAAAAGCCTGTGTTTATAGAAGCAAAGGATCACAGTGAAAAGACGCTGCAGTTGTTTGATGAATATAGCGAATCGGTGGAAGCTGGGCGTGGAGGATTATTGTTTTGCGTGATTGGGGGACGCTTGTCGGAGGGCATTAACTTTTCAGATCGTTTAGGAAGAGCAGTGGTCGTTGTAGGAATGCCATTCCCGAATGCACATGATATCGAATGGCAGACAAAGGTTGCGTATGTGGAAGAAAAGGTGCGAGCAAAAGGACGAAATGCAAAACAGGCGACACAATTGTTTTACGAAAACACGTGTTTACGAGCAGTGAACCAAAGTATTGGAAGGGCTATTCGACATCAAAAAGATTATGCATGCATCTTGTTGTTGGATCATCGTTACAATCGGCCTAGTATACGAAGCAAATTGCCAGGATGGCTACAAGAACATTTAGAAGTTCCTAATCAATTTGGACATGCCATCCGTCAGGTGTCTACGTTTTTTCGCACAAAAAGGCAATCCAACAAGTAAATAAACAATCTGGGGAACGAGGTATTATGGAAACAGGGACAAAGCCTTTAGAATGGTTATGATTAGAATGTATAACATAAATAGATTTACAGATTATTTCAATTGGTTTACATGCTGTTTACAGATTAGGTTACAAGACACAGATTCAGAAGTATGGATCGAAAAAGATTATAGATACAAAAAAAAGCCGATGAACAAGATTTTATTGCACTGGGAAGAGTGGTGCCAGGGGACAATGAGAACTGCCATCAACAACTCTTTAAGGAAAAGAAACAAAGATCGAGCACAAGAGAGGAACCTTTTTCAAAAAGGAGCAACAATTTGATATTGGAGTTGCTTTTTTATTCAAGCTCATCCGACTTTTGGACAGGAAAGCGAGTAGCTTATTTACTAAATCGGGTGTTAGTAAAATCTAAAAATTTGGGGAACCATTGAAAAATGGGTAAATTGGTAACTTACGATCTAGCCCTCATTTTTCTTCTTCTACGTTTCAGGCGTCTCACACGCTTTTTCCTCCATTTATCACGCATAATGGATAATGATAGAGTATACTAAGACAGACAGCTGCTGTATAGCAGCCTGTGACTGTTTTTTGGGGTGGGTCGAAACAAACGACGTCACGGATGCGGTAACATTGTTGGCAGAGAGGAAAGGGAAGTTTCGCGATGGAAATGAAAAGAAGGGAAAAGCAAAGGATCGCAAAGTGAAAATTGATCAGAAAGAAAAATAGGCCGAGTTTGCGATGATTTCTTTTTGACGGTGTAGAAAGACTTTTCTAAAAGGAATATCATAGGAAATCCCTAGTACTCGTACTAGTAACCCAGATAACCCAACAGGATGTCTTTAATTTCTAATGCTCGCTGTCTGACGTCTGTATAACCTCAAGAACCTTGTATCGTACTAGAACCTCTATACTACAAACATTACTAGGTTTACTACGATACTAGTAGAATGAATCTTTCGTTAGTACGATCTTACTACGATGCCGAAAGAACCCACCTACCCAAGAGGAAGAGGCATAGTGGGAGGCATAATATGTTACTTGGCCATGACAGCAGCTAAAAGACGGGTGACACACGTGAAAGTGAACAGTTTCCTAGTTTCGTGCGGGGGTCACTGCCCCACTTTCTCTACACAACACAGTAAACCTTTACGTAGCGATCTCGCTTTCCAGTACATCCAGATTGTTCTATGAGTATTGAGTGCAACCAATAGACATCATGTTGTTGTTTACCATGACAAACTTTGGTAACCTAAAATTCCCAATTGGATGAGTGTCACGTTCCATTTGAAAGACTGTTGGATCGGGATAATTGCCATGTCCCAATAGACAAACCTTGCATGGTCAAGGATGAATCACAGAATCCAAAGATTACAGATACTCTTTAAACTCAACCAATCAACCTAATCTTATGATAAGCGGTCAACATCACCGAAAGGTGAGCTTCATGACTCCGAGCAGTTCACCTGATTCGGACCGAATGACACCGCTTCAACTCCGCTTTTCTCCCTTAGACACCGACCGCTCGGTGGCCAGCTCCGACGGTCTGCACCTGACCTTTGGAATCGGGCTCCTTCTAGTGGGTTGACTGAGGTAACTTGGTTGTGGTTGTGTGGACGATGTATTGACAGAGGGATATTGATGTTGAAGTGATGACACCAAGATTGATTTTTATGGAATGATGGAAACAAAAATGGAATCATAAGGATCATGAGGATCACGAACGGTTCCGTCTTGGATTTCTATTTAAAGGGTGCATTCTGCTGTTTATGAAAGCAACAACAATCGATTCAATTCTTGTCTCATCGAATTTTTGTTTTACTTACTACCACTACTAAGATTCTTACTAAGATGAAGTTTTCCTTGTCTGCTGTTTTTCTTACTCTCCTTGGAGCCGGTTCTGCTTTGGCCGCTCCCATTTCCAATTCTCAGCGTGGTTTGTCTTCTGATCAAAAGTTTGGTATTATGAGTCTTCGCTCTGGTAATATTAATGTTCACCTTCATTCTTTCTATGTTGGTGAATCTGGTCAGGTTTACTTGGAGCAATATGATCACGCCAAGGAAGCCGCTTCTTTCAACCTTAAGGACTCTCAATTGCTTTACAACAATGAACCTGCTTCTCTTGGCAAGGACGGCGCTCTTGTTTTCCAACCTTCCGGTTCTTCTTTGTCTGGTTTCAACGCTGACCAAGGAACTAACATCGGCTACGAACTCAGTTTGAACGGCTCTTTCCCTCTTGCTTGTCCTGTTGCCGACAACAGCGGTGTCTATCAAATCTTTTATGGCCAAGGCAACGGCAACAAGGATTGCGTTGGTATAAGCACTGAAGCCATCGTTTAAACATGAACTGAACTGGCTTTCTACTTCGATTTCGATTTCGACTATCATTTTTGATTATGATTTTTTGCAATAGCATCGTCTAGCATTTTCTTTTTTTGTTTGGATCCCATTGTTTTACATGATTTCACACGATCCTTGGCATTCTCAATGATTCTCATCATCAACTAGTTTTCTATCATTCTGCATGTTTTGCATCAATCAAGCATATTCTTAATCATAATCATATTCCTATTCCTATTATATTCATTCTTTCTTGTCTCTACTTCAACTAGCTCCCAACTAGCTGCTGTAATTGTATTGTATTCTAATGTATTTACCTATACCCAGTAAATTCATCCTAAATAGGAAAAAGTTTGGTTACAAGTAAATCTGTGGTATCAATATAGAGACCCAATTAGACTGTAAAAACAACTAGATACCGTCTTTATTTCTACGTACTCTTTCCACATATTCTTTTTCTTTTTCCTTTTGTTGTCTTCCTCTTCCTACTACTACTATTGCTACTAGTACTAGTTTCGCTATTGCTATTGCTATACTGCTACACCACGGCCAAAACACCTTCGATATCGTTGGGGCTCCTTATGCTCTTCTTAGCATGGTTTACTGTGGCCAAGAGTGACAAGACAATTAGGATCGATTCCACTTGAACATTCAGGTCACCAACACGCATCGTCTTCACCTAACCTTTCTTTCTCAAATGAATCATGGATCCGTCTAGGGAAATGTTTAATGGGGCTCCTAGAGAAAGTATGGAGGGTGGAAACACTCCAGAAATGATGGGAGAAGCCGAGTTTACAAGTAATGCCCACGGATTACCGTACGGTGGTGTGGAGCCAAAAGGTAAAAGTTGGCAGGTTCAAAATTTGCTTTGGCAGCAGCCTGGCGGCGAATATCCTGGAAAGAGTCCTCGAATGGATTACGTTGCATCGGACTATGGTTCGAACGCTGGTTCTGTTAGTCCATCCAATGTTGGTGCCGGTCCTGCAAACCAAAGAAGTTTCGATTCTCATGTAGCACACCACCATCCTCCTATTCAATTAAGCGACTATGCCCGAGAATCTTCTTCCGAGTCGCCATACTACCGTCATCCTCCTGGTGTCTCTGGAATCGGCGAAATGGAAGGCCTTGCTGGTCAAGGCTCTGGTCCTCAGGCAAACATCTTTGACTCTTCTTCTCACAGTAACCTTGTCCTTTTACCAAACTATATCCACTCAAACCCTTCCAATCCAATGGACACTCCTCCAATCTCCAAAGACTTGTACAATATCCCATCCCATTCCTCCCATGCTGCCTCCTCTGCCCACGGTGACCCTAATCCATCGATTTCCATGTCTCCTCCTACATCTTTCCCATCCCATCCCGCTCAACATCCTTCTATTACAGCAGGGTCCCCAGGAATCTCCGATTTCCCTGGCTCCCATCCTCACGAATTTGGCATGCGGGCAAACTCTTCCGACCTCTTTGAAGAACCCACTCATCCCGCCTCTATACATCCCTCCATCAGTATCTCTACCCTTCTTACAAGAGGCGAGGGTTACGACCCTGCTACTGGCCATAATGTTTTGCCCGAACAAATCTCCCCGGCTATGGCTCCTCCTTTAGACATATCTTCTCTCCCTCATACCATGTTACGTGGCGTTTCACCCTCGCAAAAGCAATCTCCCGTTCCGCAGACCTCCCATCACCAAACTCGTCGTCGTCTTCATGCCGCCAACAATCCTCCACCTGCAAACCCTGCTGCCCCCGTCTTGTCACCTGAAGCTCCCTCTATAGATTCCGATGAAGTTCTCAGTGAAGATGAAGATGAGCAGCAAACCATGGCCATGCGCTTTCATTATCTCCAACATCTTCGCAACCGACGAGATGATGCTGTTCATTCTGAAAAGAAGCGCCTTTTGGATATTCGTTCTTCCCTTCACAATCGCTTTATTTGGCGATACGAGGCTCACTACAATAAACTTCATGCACTCGAATATTCACAAAACCACGATTGGGCCGTTCATCAAGCTATTCGAGAAGAAGTGGCTGCCCTCGAAGCTGCCAAAGTTCGTGCTGAAGAAGAGCAAAAACGCCGCGAACGACTAGAACTTGAGCGTCTTGAAAAGAAAAGGCAAGAAGATAACGAAAGAGAGCGACAACTTCTCGAAACTACGGAGCAAAGCGATCCTCCTAAAGAGGATATGGACACTCATGGCGATAACATGAATGAGTCTGACGAAATTCCTATTTCTGAATCTAGACCAGAAGCTCCCCCTCCCGCGGAGCCAAAGCCCAAATCTCGAAGTGAAGCTAGAGCTGAGGCCAGGGCAAGAATCAAGGCAAAGGCTCGTGCAAAAGTCGAAAATGCTGATTCTGCAAGTCAGGAGGACGTCGCAAAGAAAGAAGCCGAAGTGGACCAAGCACCCAAACCTTCTACTGCTGAGGACGGAGAGTCTTCACCTGAGACTCCCTTAACTAAGGCTTCCAAGGCGAAGAAAGCAAAGGCTGCGAAAACCGTGGGTGATACAGCAAAACCTTCCAACGAACAAAAGTCAACACCCAAGAAAAATGCCAAGAAAAGGCCTCAGCGATCTGGCCCAGCCGGAGAAGAAGACTCAGCCGCCTCGAAAGATACAGCAGAACAAACTGAAAAAGCCAACACTGCTGAAGGTACTGCTGATGGGAAGGCTGCTGCCGCCACTCCTAGCAAAAAGAAGAAGACAGTTGAGTCAATTCAGTTGCAAATTATAAAAGATATTGCCAGAAAAGAGGTTCCCAAAGTGTATAAAATGATTCAACAAAATCACTATAATCGTTCAACAAACGCTCGGAAGACCTCCCAACTGGCTTCCAGAGAGGCAAGACGCTGGCAGTTCCGCACTATAAAGAATAATAAAGATATGCAAACAAAGGCAAAACGCGCTATGCGTGAAACTATGGTCTTTTGGAAACGTAACGAGCGTGAAGAGCGTGATTCGCGCAAGAAAGCCGAGAGAGTGGCTTTAGATCGTGCAAAGAAGGAGGAAGAGGATCGCGAGTCTCGTCGACAGGCTAGAAAGCTGGATTTCTTGATTACCCAAACGGAGTTGTATTCGCATTTCGTTGGTAAAAAGAAGGTTGACAAAGAAAATTTACCGTCTTCAGATGCTCCAACCGCTTCCGCTAGTGAATTAAATTTTGATTCCGACGATGAAGAAAGCATTCACAAACTTGCCGTCGAGAACGCTCAAGAAGCCATGTTACGAACCCGCGAACACTCAAAACAATTTGACGTTAAGCCAATTTCTTCAGCCAGTAGTAATGCCGATATGAATGAGGGTGAAATGAACTTCCAAAACCCAACCTTGATGAATGCCGTTGATGTTGGACAACCCAAGATGTTGATGTGCAAACTAAAAGAATATCAACTGAAAGGTCTCAATTGGCTTGCCAATCTATATGAACAAGGTATCAATGGTATCCTAGCAGATGAGATGGGTCTGGGTAAAACTGTGCAATCTATATCCGTAATGGCTTATCTTGCCGAAACCCATAATATTTGGGGACCTTTCCTAATTATTGCTCCCGCTTCTACACTTCATAACTGGCAGCAAGAAATTACTCGATTTGTTCCGAAATTGAAGTGTATTCCTTATTGGGGTAGCACAAAAGACCGAAAAATCTTACGAAAATTTTGGTGTAAAAAAAATATGACTTATGATGAGAATTCTCCTTTTCACGTTGTTGTCACTTCCTACCAACTCGTTGTTTTAGACGCTCAATATTTTCAAACTGTTAAATGGCAGTACATGATTTTGGATGAAGCGCAAGCTATCAAGTCTTCTTCTAGTTCTCGTTGGAAGAGTTTATTGGCTTTCAAATGTAGAAATAGATTGCTTTTGACCGGTACTCCGATTCAAAACACAATGCAAGAATTATGGGCTCTACTTCATTTTATTATGCCTACTCTTTTTGATTCTCATAATGAGTTTAGTGAATGGTTCTCAAAAGATATTGAAAGTCATGCTCAGAGTAATACTCAGTTAAATGAGCAACAGCTCAAACGATTACATATGATTCTGAAACCGTTTATGTTACGAAGAGTAAAGAAAAACGTTCAGTCCGAGTTAGGTGAAAAGATTGAAAAAGAAGTTTATTGTGACCTTACTCAAAGACAGAAAATCATGTACCAAGCTCTTCGAAGACAAATATCAATTGAAGAATTATTAGAAAAGGCTGTTTTGGGAGGCGATGACACTGTTGCTAGCATTATGAATTTGGTAATGCAGTTTCGAAAGGTTTGTAACCATCCAGATTTATTTGAGCGCGAAGACGTACGGAGCCCTTTAAGTTTGGCAACTTGGAGCAGGTCAGTATACATCAATAGAGAAGGCTCATATCTAGACGTGCCGTATAATACCAGAAATTTTATAAGCTTAGAGATCCCACGGTTAATGTACAAAGATGGTGGACTTTTGCATGTACCAAGTCCGGCAAGTCGAGCTGGCTTCGAAAATAAATTTTTGAAAAATCTTATGAACATTTGGAATACGGAACACCTCCATACTACATCAACATGTAGTGGTGATGATTCTTTTTCTTGGATTCGGCTTATTGATGAATCCCCGTCTTCTGTTAATCATTCTGCTCGTAATCCTTTGCTAAGTCTGTTAGAGGAAGGAAATACGAGTACTGTTTCCCGTCGCAAATATCAAGTGCGACAGTCCCAGGTCCTTAATGACGAGTACTATGACGAGCATAAAATGCTAATTCTACCTGATAGATCAACTAGAATTCAAACTTTGGGCGAAGATGCTAGCTGCGACAGTCCTATGTACAAGTTAACGAATGTCGTTGAGGAAAGCGATTCTCAACTTGATTTGGTTTTGTTAGACTCAGTTTTGGTGCAAAAAGCGACTGCTCCTCCCGTGGAAATTTATTGTCCTGGAAGTAGACAATTTATGCACGATCAGGCTATGTTTGTTAGAGATCCTATGTGGAGTCACTACATGTATCAGCCGTTGAAGAGCGAAGAAGACCGTATAATTTCAGATCCAGCCATTACGGTCCTCCCGCCACCTCGTAAACCTTTGGTTCCTACATTGGGAGTTGCAAAAGGTTCATATTCATTTGTGCGTGTTCCTTCAATGTCCCGATTTATTGCTGATTCTGGCAAGTTGTCGAAACTTGATAAGTTGTTGGCTGACCTAAAGGCAAATGATCATCGTGTTCTCATTTATTTTCAAATGACGAAGATGATAGACTTAATGGAAGAATATCTAAGTTACCGTCAATATAAATATTTGAGATTAGATGGTTCGTCAAAAATCAGCCAACGTCGTGATATGGTTTCGGAATGGCAGACACGACCTGAGCTCTTCGTTTTTTTGCTTTCTACTAGAGCAGGAGGTTTGGGTATTAATTTGACCGCCGCGGATACAGTCATATTCTATGATTCGGACTGGAATCCAAGTATTGATAGTCAAGCCATGGATCGAGCACATCGTATCGGCCAACAGAAACAAGTTACCGTATATCGCTTTATTACTAGAGGAACTATTGAAGAAAGAATTTTGATTCGTGCAAAAGAAAAAGAAGAGGTTCAAAAAGTTGTCATATCTGGTGGAGAAACACTTCCAAACAAACAGATGGATCTGAAAGGTAACTCACGAGAAATGGTATCGTGGTTGCTGGAAGAATAATTTATTTAATGAAAATACACAGTGCTTCGTTTTAGGTGTCTTGTTAGTTATCTTTGTTTGCCTTTAGCATTCATGGCACCCTTTGTATGGGGCTATGAAACAGTGGTTAAATAATATTTATAGAAAGTTCAAATTATATTAGTACATGTTTACTCAAATTAAATAGTTTTGGACAAAAGTAAATATTTTGCTCTTTCACAAAGAAATAAAGCATATATCTTCAACTTTTTTGTATGAACCCTCATGCAGGCCGAAGGCGTTTAGTTGAATCACTTTCATCTGTTGGCGAGTTGGAGCGTTTTAAATGACTTTCGGCGGTAGTGGGTGTTTCTGAGGGGCTACTATGATCACCTCCGCGTTCTATTACAGAATTGAGGTATTGGATAGCCCAAGCTTTTAATTTAGACTGCTGGGAATCAGACAGTTCAGTAGGAAGTGCTCGTTCTTTTTTGCTGTTCACCAGTTGTATATGTTTCTTTAACATAATTTCAGTCATTTTCTTGACTCGTACTTTAAACTCTGATTTTCCAAGCTTCTCTTGATATCGAGCCGTTTTATTTGCAAAAAATTTTGCCAAAATTGATTTAAATGCAAGTGCAGTTGGTGAATGAGAGGAGAGATGATGCTCCTTAGGGCTATTAGTGCTATCATCTTTGGGGTTTTGTTTTCGTTCTAGTTTTTTAGCGTGCTTTTTCTGGGCTTCTTCATAAGCCAGTCTCCTTTTTTCTTCTCTTTTTTGCTGTTGCAGTCGTTCTTGTTCTTCTTCCCGTTCTTTAGCAAGCCTTTTATGATTTACGCTATTCATAGCGGCAGATATTACCTGGCTCAAATCGATTTTCGGTGTAGCCGGAGCGCTAGATTTGTTAACATCAGGTTCATCAATATTATTATTGCGAGCGTCCGAATAAGAACTACCGTTTGACGCCCGGGGATGTTTGTGATGTGAGGGACGTTTAACGTATTCTCTTCTATAAGAAGGATAACCTTTGTTTTTCTCAAACCTGCTAGAATTTCTGCTTTCAGTATCTGATCGATGAAATCTGGGTGAATTGTTACCCAGGTCTTGCGTATCTTCCTGTTTAATAGGAGAAGCACTTTCAGAATTTGTTTCCGAATTTATTTCCTTATTATCCTCACCCTGAGACAACTGTGAAGTGATCTTTCTTCTAGGAATGCGATACGCCAATTCTAAAGATGCCCATTCGTTCAATAAATTTTCAGCAGCCTTTTTCACTTCTTCGTTGTCCGAATGGTCAAAGACCTGCTTGACCACTGGTTCAATATTAGAATCTTGTATTTTGTTTCGAGTAAGCCGAGGCCAATTTTGCATAGTAACAAGACAGCGAACGACGAAATCTGGATCAAATACGAAATTATTTAAAATTGTTCCAAAAATATTATAACCGTGCAAAGCAATAATGCATCTGCAAACAGACACGTCAGTCGTCAAAAAAATCCGTTCCATCAGTTTTCGAATTAGCGCTTCATCTTTAGTTTGCAGGAGGACACCAACAACTTTAGTAGCAGACTCTGGAGATAAGGGAGTTGCCTTAACTTCTTGGATTAATTGGGCAAGATCATCTACAGCGTTTTTACGGCGCTGTTTACGATTGAACGAACTATCCCGGTTTTCTTCTTCTGACAACCCAAGAGCCTCACGAACACTTTCAGGTAATTTTGATTGTGCTTCAGTTTGGGTCTTACCACCAATATAACCAACACAACAAGGTTCTCCACAATAGCAAGGTTGTGCTTGAGCACCATACCTATCAACATTATAGTCAAACGTCAATTCTTCACCGCGAAGGATATCTCTTTTGCTAAATATTCCCATGCGAAGTTTATCGCCGACCATCCATTTATCAACATAGCAATTCGGGTTACAAGAATGGTTGCAAAAGCGTGCTAGTGACCCCTTCCTCGTTGCATCTATATATTCACCTTTTTGAAGCATCATAAAATAAAAATGTTTAATGCCCTCTTCATCATACTGGACCATGCGTTTCCGAAATTTTTGCTCAGGAACAACTTCACCGATATATTCGTAAATAAAAGTGTATCTTGGAAGATCTGCAATTGCTCTCAGACCAAAACCTTTCTTTTCAGTTAGGAAAGCGTCCACAGGAGCGAATTCCCGGCGTTGGAAACGTTGGTTTCTACATTGAGGTCCACAAAAGCAATTATCATCCGTACACTCAATGGAAGTCATTCTATTAATACAGTTGGAATCGGGACCACAAGCGATGTTGACACCATCCTTCCATTGAGGCTTACAATCACAAGTCATTGCCTCATTCTGAGGAGGTTCACCAAGATGTCCCATATAAATGCATTTTTTGATCTCCTCAAATGTGGATAGTGCTTTTTGGTTTGCAGACTCTAAATGAAGATACAGTTGTGGTGGATTTACCCTTCGAGTAGAACCGGCTGACTTTGAGGTTTGCGAGGAAGCACTGGATGAAGAAGATGAAACCTCTGGTGGATTTACATCCTTTGAGGGGGAATCAGGACTTTGACTTTCAGAAGGTGCCACTACATTGGACGTTGGCTCACCAGGATTTTCATCCTGCTTTGCTTGCAATGAAATTGAAGTTCGAGACGGTGAAGAAGAATTCGGTTGTTCAGACACTTCAGGGGATAAAGAAGGAAATGTTGAAGTTGATGAAGTATTTTGCATGACAAATCGGCAAGAAAATATTGAAAGCTGGGACTGAAAATAAAAAGAGTGTGAGTGAGTGAGTGAGCGAGAAAAAAAAAATTTGGATTCTCAAATTTTCTTTTTTTTTTATAAATAAACCTTTGAAAGAAAACCAACTCTAAAATTGATGAACTTGAATGCAAGCAAGGAGAAACAAAATTCGATTAAATCAATAATAGGAAGTTTGACCAAATACCTTTAATTATTATGCGATAAAGAGAGCTTACAAAAATGATATCTTCATCTATAGGTCTGTACGTCTAAACGAGAAACAAAGAACGAGAGAGATTCCCACAAATTTACAAAGACAGGCTGTTTGCACTAGTGTTGTAAAATGGCGCGCCCAAACGCGTCAAAAAGAAACTGATAAAATAGAATCACCCTTTTCCCTCGTTTACTGTGATTAGTTAAACAAACATATAAAAACTGTTTGCAAATCACAATTCTCGTTTTCTATGGTTGTATTTGGCGGTCCTTCATACTCTTATACTAGGTAACAATTGTTATCTGTCTATAAAGTTGTAAACGTTCAAGTCAGTCAAGAATATTTTACAGAAGATCCCCTTTTTACATTGATGGAAGCAACATATTGTATATAGAATATGTTGACCTTTTCAAGAATTTGTACGTTTGAGCTGGAGATCGTGGTTGTATCTTGGCACTGATTAAAATTTTGCACTAAATTTTACTTGGAACATATAGAATATTTCATGTTTCTTCCTAATGATAAATTAAAATGGGAGAGCCTTGTTTAACTTTTCAAACTTCTTCTTTTCCAAGGATATCTGCTGGATATCCTCCTGAGCATGAATGTCTAGGATTACTGTGTTTCGTCTATGGCTTGAATCGGCACTTTTGAGTTTATAAAGATCAACGTAGCGCTGTTTTTATTTTTTTTTTTCGTACTTGACATATTTAGCATCCGAGCGACGCTTCTGTTACTTATTACTGTGGAGGATGAAAATTCGAAAAAATTGCATAGGCCATTTTGCGCGAAAAAACCGGTTTTCTGAATTGTGTTGAAATCTAGCTGAATTGATGGGTCTAACCAATTTTTTCAATATCTAGCTCCTTTGTATTATTTATATCATAAAAAGTACAAGAAATCTAATGCTTTTCTATTTGTTTTTGTTTTTCTATGTTGTATTCTTTTTTTGTTTCGAGAAACATTGTGACTTGTTTCGGAAGTAGCACCAAAACGTCACAACCGCCAAACAATGCACTCCTTCCCAGAACCATACTCTTTATAAGATTCGTCACTCTTTAATTGTTTGAGGAAGAATGCATTCTAGCAAGCGCACTATGACCAGCAAGGCTCATATGGAGCCCGAAAAGTCTTCTTTGAGACCTGAACTTCCTGAAGATGTCCAGGGATCCTTAATGGATGTCGGCATGCGAATTCGTAAATCCGTGTCTACCGGTTACAAGTCAAAACAAACCACGTTCCCTGCTTACAATCAACCTTTATATAACGACGTGGCCGAAAATATTGCTTTAAAAAATACCGCATTCTCTTTTGAACCCAATGGTGTAAAGCGCTCCTATGAAGACACGATTCCAAACTACAACTGGGCAAATCCTCCTCCCGATTTTGAGGAACCTGAATGGTTGAAACCTTTTGATGTTGTTATGGAAGGTACTAATGAACGCCTCTAAGTTTTTCGTTTCTTCCCTTACCAATGACAAATATTTTTGATATCGGTCATTGTTTGTTAGTTGTCCTTGCTTTTCTAATCATCCGAACACGCGCATTTTCTCTTCTTTCTTTGTATTATATGTCTGTCTATCATTTGTCTACCTCACTGTTTCGGGTCCGTAATACGTGATACTATTATGGTTGGACGAACCTGTTTTTAATTTAATCTCCCCCATTGTGTCCGTATAACAACGGGTACTAGTTTTTTTTTCCATCGTCAATGGCAATTCGCTTCTTTGAAATACGGAAATTGCTATACAGCTATTGACTTCTTATGTTTTTATGTCGTAGAAGTTTCAGTCTACTGGTTGTATTGAAATTGCAGAATATCCTGCGCGAATAGCAATAAATGGTTTTTTCTTTTCATATATAAAGTTTTTTTCTTGTGTATTTTTTTTTTGGGGTTTGGTATCTTTGGTTGTGAATTAAGAATTGCCGGTATGTATGTTTGTACGAAAGACGTGTAGGATAGAAAAGAGATGACAATGTTACAATTGGGGATTGACTCTTAAATCGTTCAGTTGTTAATTTTTTCTTTCTATTACTATTTATTCCTCTTTCAATTCTCATCTCTGCACTGTGACAAAGCTAGCTCGTATATCTTGTGAATCCATCATGATTCCTTCCTTAGTACGAAAGTCATAGAAAAACCCACCTGACGCCAGCTGAGACAAGCGCAATATTCAATTATTTTTTTCTTTCCTTTTTGATCGTATAATTCACACGCTAATAGTAATTTCACTTCCGTCAGTTTCCATCAACGAATTTTATTGTTTACAAACAGCATTTTGAGATGAAATTTTCATTTTCAACAAACAAACAAATTTCCCCGAAATTAGCAAAATTAAAATCAAGCTATTGAAAAAAAAAGAAGTATATCAGCGGTCTTTTTTAATTTAATTTAATTTATTTTTACAATATTTACAATCTCAGATTGTTTATTTGTTTACATTTGATCGGGATACTTGCCTCCGGTCTTGTTCCGGAGTTTTATTCACACTGATTATCTCCTAATATATCTGATACGCCCAAGGTAACCTACTGATGTACCTCACCCTCACCCTTCGTTCAGGATATATAAATGGAAATTAACACAAACGAGGAAACCTGTCGTTTACCATCGCCACGAAAAAGAGGATTTTCGTGTTGGGAAAAGGAAATAAAAGAACCATTGAAGGATTCTTGGACTAAATTTTTGGTATAAAAAAAAAAGAATTTAATTGAAACTAGGTGGAATTGTTCTATTCGACTTTAATCTTTCGTTTTATTCTTATAATTTTCGTTGAATACGCAGAAAATTTCATTACAACTTTTTAGAATAACAAAATGATTTCTGAAAGTAAAGGATCTTTCCAAGTCAAGGCAGGACTTGCTCAAATGTTGAAGGGGGGTGTTATTATGGACGTTGTTAACCCCGAACAAGCTCGCATTGCTGAAGCTGCTGGTGCTTGTGCCGTTATGGCTTTGGAACGTGTTCCCGCTGACATCCGTGTTGAAGGTGGCGTTGCCCGTATGTCTGATCCCTCCATGATCAAGGAAATTCAAGCCGCTGTTTCTATCCCTGTCATGGCAAAGGTTCGTATTGGCCATTTCGTTGAGGCTCAAATTCTCGAGAGCATTGGCATCGATTATATCGATGAATCCGAAGTCTTGACTCCCGCTGATGATGTTCACCACGTTGACAAGTCAAACTTCACTGTCCCATTCGTTTGCGGTAGCCGCAACTTGGGAGAGGCTCTTCGCCGTATCTCCGAAGGTGCTGCTATGATCCGTACCAAGGGTGAAGCTGGTACTGGTGATGTTGTTGAAGCCGTCCGTCATACCCGTCAAATGCAAGGTGATCTCCGTCGCGTCAAAGCCATGGCCCCTGAAGAGCTCTATACATTTGCCAAGGAGATCGGTGCCCCTATTGATCTTGTTCGTGAATGCGCTCGATTGGGTCGTTTGCCCGTTGTCAACTTCGCTGCCGGTGGTGTTGCCACTCCTGCCGATGCTGCCATGATGATGCAGCTTGGCTGTGATGGTGTCTTTGTTGGTTCTGGTATCTTCTTGTCTGGTGACCCAGCTAAGCGTGCTCGTGCCATTGTTCGCGCTGTTACCCATTATAATGATCCTAAGATTTTGGCTGAAGTTAGCCAAAACCTTGGTACCGCCATGGTTGGTAGAAGTGTTCTTTCTTTGGAGGAGAAGGAAAAGCTTGCTACTCGTGGTTGGTAAACAGTAAATCTCTTTGCTTCTATTGTATTATAATTAGACATCTACCGGTACTTATAATTCTAATTTCATAATCTTCTTTTTGGTCTGTTTCTCTTTTTTGTTCCAAAATAGTCTTAATATCCCATAGAAATGCAAAGTTTTAATTGATTTTTCGTTGCCCTTCTGCGCATTACAAAATTATTGCTTGCCTGTACTTGTCGAATGTTCATAGTAGAGAACATTGCCTGGTATTATGAAAAATAAATATACATGAGTATAAACCAACCCTTCTATGGATTTTCATCCATGCTTTTGGTTTGAATTCCCTTTCGCTGAACAACTATTGTGCGGTCCAGGTTCGCAGAATCTTTCCAAATGGTAGCATCAAAGAAGCTGCCCGAAAACAACTCCTTGACAAAGTTGGCTTGTTTAGTAGAACCAACTTCAAACACGAGATATCTCAAGGCATTCTTGTTAAGGCATGGGTCCTTCAACAGTTTAAACACGTAAGCCGCAATGACTTTATAAAATTGGTTACCTTCCTCTTGAGCTACAAGCGCAAGCCTTGGCTCATACCTTTTCACACTTTGTTCTGTAGTGGTATGAAACTCAGTTGACGATATGTATGGCGGGTTGCATAAAACAACATGACATTCTCTCAACAAACCGAGCATTGCTTCTTGTGCAGATAAAACATTAACTTTGTGTAGTTGAGTGTCCAGCGTAGAGCTATCGTTCTTGCAAGCACGGAGGTTTCTGGCTGCTATGTTAAGCGCTTTCGAGGAAATATCGACAACGTGGAGATGATGAGGACGCTTGAGAGATGATGAAACGAAGCAGCTAATGCAGCCGGACCCTGCACACAAATCCATAATGCGTATGGGATTTGGAACTGGTATTGAATTCAACAAGGGAATCGTTCTTTCTATCCATTCTTCCGTTTCCCACCGGGGAATTAAAACTCCCGGTCTGCACTGAATGTCTAAAGAACCAAAGGGTTGTGTTCGTAAAATATACTGCAATGGGTACTTACGACCGCGTAATTTGCAGGCTTGTATAATTTTTCGTTGAATCTGCAGTTTACTGTCTTTTGGATGAAGTTCTCGTAATTCCTGACTGATCCATTTCCATTCTTGTTTCGCTTGCTCAATACTTTTGGTTGCTCGGTATAAATCAGCTAACCATCGATTCTTTTTTAAAAAAGCTTTCCATTTTAATTTATGTTGTAACATGAAGGAGAACCATTTAAATTCTTTTGATACGAGACTGACTGTATTCTTTTGTTAATAGTCTGCAGCTGCTAGGATATATAATTGCATGTTCGTGAAGCTATAGTCTAAAGAACATTGGATAAGTTATCCGGATTTAATTAAATTTACGAGAAACTAGTGTAACGCGAATGAAAAAAAAGGTAATAGAAAACATGCATTCTTGCTCAACTTCTGTAACGATGACAGTAGAATCTAACATCAGAGAAAATGAAAACAATATTACAACGTATGATAAAATTAATAACTCCTCTAAAACAAACACAGTTAAAACTGGATATCGGTTTAAAATACAGTGACAAAATGAGTGGTGGCTATTGAGCACTCATCTGTCAAATTTCTTATGTCCGTCTATGAATGAAATTGTAAGACAGAGTAGGGAAGGACAGACAATAATGTTTAATTTATTCCGTGTCGTCGTCGTACCGGTCTAAATAAAAAGCGAACAAGTAACAAGGCATATACACTACACACAAAAAGAAAGACAACTTTTTTGGAATTCCATAATGTCATAACCTTTGAAGCTTTCCTTTCTTTTAATAGATTAAACAAAAAACAAAACATTTATCACCTTTTCGCAAACATTAAAGGTTAATAAAAAACGTAAACAAGATTTAGAAGAGTTAAAGACTTCCAAAGATAAAGAAACCAATAAAACATTAAATAGAGATAGAGTAGAAGGGACGATGGAGATAATTATAACAATTAAAAAATTTCAAAGATAGCTTTGGTCTTTTAAGGATTCACGACAGCCACGTCAGACAAATTAATTAATAATTGAGCCAAACACTTTTTGGTGTTGTGGTCGTCCTTCAAGACATGGGCAAAAGTGGCATCCCGGAGTGGTTCGGGCAAACAATGGCGCAAAGCTTCTCTTGCACGAGGATTATCACTTAAACGAAGGTAGCAGCGAATGACATGCTTCAACAAGCGAAAAGCAAAAGAATCCACAAGCTGTAACACCATATTATTTAAAACAGAAGCGACGGCGTAAAAGCGCTCATAGGTTTGGCAAATGTATTGCAAGCCAACATCATCGCAAAGAAACTTTTGAACGATGAAGATGGCAACTGTTTTGGATAGCTCAGAGCCATTTTCCATGATACGAAGACACAAGGGAATAATTTCCGTAGAAAGCAGAAAATTGATGACTTCGGGAGAATCATTTTTAACAAGGGCACCAATGACACCCAAACTAGTCAAGCGAAGATACTCAAACGGTTTGGACTTGGAAAGGGTATTAAGAAAAGGGTACAAAAAGAGCGTGATATGAGCATTCAAAAAATGAATTCTAGTTTCAGGATGAGAGGCGATACACTGCAACAAAGCTAATGCATTACAGACACGGTTTGATGTCGGTCCTGTCAAAGTAGGGGGATTAAGAAGTGGATAGACGCTTATGATTTCTTGTAATAACGCGGTCATAACGCCATAAGAATGCCAAAGGATCAAAGCCAAATCTTCGTATTGTTCGCGTTTACGCGACAATTCCACCAACGCTTGTTCACGTTGTGTACCTTGAACAATTTCAATAATCCATTCGTAGACAAGAGCTGGTTCATAAGAGGTAGGGGACTCCATTTGTAAAAAAAGTGATAATAATAATATGTGAGCAACAAAATCAATCCAGGTCTTTTCGCAGAAAAAGGAATTCAACTCCAATCCAGTCCCGTAAAATCTAACAATATGTGTAAGACGCAAACAAGGACAAGTGCTGTGCTGCTTCTAATGTTTTAATCGTATAGATGTGGTCGTCACAAAATTTCAAAGAAAAAAAAAGAACGACGCGTATTCTTTTTATAAATAGCCGGCTACAAAGAAAGGTCCACAAAACGATCCTAGTAAAAAGAACTAGTCATCCAATAAATATGTTTTATAGAGTATAACAATTTTCTAAAGCAAGTGCCAATTGTTTACTCCTTTTTTGGATGCTTTCAACACCTTAGAAATGAAAGAAAATGGGTATTTTATAGAAAATGCGGTTTTTTACGTTTTCGTTAAGTCGTTGCGGAAGGTAGCCTGTGTTTCGTACCCAGCAAATAACGGTAAGAAACCCGGATTACGAAGTAAGTTAGAGTGTGCAAAAACACATACCAATAAATACCGCAATGTGGTAATAAATAAACAAAGAAAAATTGTATGTTGTCAAAAAAATACATCTGAAAGAAATAAATCTGTGAAGAGTGTTGACATATTGTTGAACATGTCTATTTTCTTCTTTAGCTGTTGTAATTAATGACCCAGCTTTAACTAACCGAAGGTTTTTCGTTTTCTACACAGATAGGCAATTTATGAAAAAGATATACATGAAGAAAAAAAATACAATGTTCTAAGTTATTTTAGCAAGTTTGGATGTATAGAAAAAAAATTAAAAAATTTCAGAAAGGTATAAAAGGACCGCTGATCCCTTTCTTGTCGGGTTGAAAGTTGACACCCATCGAATTTGATTCCTCTTGAGCTTTTTTAATTTGCATTGATAAAGGAATTGAATGCGATGGGGAGAAGAACTGTCCTTTCTCCAAGCGTATTCGAGGTTCTCCTACCCTTGAGTTCCCCGTGGAAAGGCGACATATCGTATGGTCTATTCTTTAGTAATAAATATAATCTTATGCTGGTTTCTCATAATCTAAAACTGCGTGCCCATAATAGCCTTAGTAGTAATAGGTATATAGCGTTAGTAATAGTAGAGTGTTTGTGTAAAAAATCCTAGTAAATACAAGTTTCTGTTATGTCAAGAAACAGTTTTCATTTCTGTCGCAAGTTGTCGTCTGATAGATCATTGCAACAGAATGCTTGATTCCCTTAGCATCAGGGAACAGAGTGAAATAGTGACACTTGACAGGCAAGGGTTGCCCGAATCTTTTCGATACTCATATTCAAGATATAAATGTATAAGACATCCCTTGTACTCGACAGATAGCTTTTTCATGTTCTAATAGCATGCACTGCTTTCTTGTGAGTAGAACATATGATATCATACAAAAACATATACATTTATTAAGATAACCCCAATAACCCAATGCATCATGTTCGAATCCCATCAAGAACCCATTTTTAAGGATGAACTGGTGCCATTAGACATTCCTCTGTTCTTACACAACAAACGCAGTCAGATCGCTATTTTCTCTAATCCTGCATTGATAATATCAAAGGAGCGTCACTATTGTTTGCTTTCTCTGTAAATTAGTCTTCGGATGGCAAGTTATCAAAGGAATTTAAAGATCACCTTTCACTAATTCCCTAATCATTTGATTCATATATTGTACAACCGTTTTGTGGATAGAAAGAGAGCTTCTAGTAATTCGTCATCCTTTTTTTAATATCCCATATTATATCCTATGGATGCCGAATTGACTTCCAACAACAAAGGGGAGTCTGTGCCCTCAGCAGTTCAGAACGATTCTTCCATTGAATTAAACAAGACTGAGTCTCCTAAACAACTGCATGATTCGGAAAAACCACAATCTACGATGAGTCAAAATGACAAACAAGAAATGGATCAACCAAACACTTTTGCGGCATCCCATTTAGAAGATGTTGCGGAGATTTCCGATGTTCGCAATCAGAATACCTTACCGAATACTTCCGCTGATTTTATATCGAACCAGGATATAGGAAATACAAAGAATGAAGACGAGTCAAAGCCTAGCGAATCCGAGCCTGCTTCTAAACAAGAGCCTGAAGAGGTTCGTTCACAGAATGATGAGGAATCAAAACCTAGTGAACCAGAGTCAGTTGCTAAGCAAGATTCCCAACAAGTTCATACACAGAATGATGAAGAGTCGAAACCTAGTGAACCAGAGTCAGTTGCTAAGCAAGATTCCCAACAAGCTCATACACAGAATGATGAAGAGTCGAAACCTAGTGAACCAGAGTCAGTTGCTACCCAGGATCCTGAAGATGTTGATACGCAGAATGACAATGAGACAAAAAGAGATGAACAGAAGCCTGTTGCAAAGCAAGAGTCGAAACAAGTCCATGCACAGAATAATGAGGAATTAAAGCCCAGTGAGCCGGATTCTATACATGATAAGGCACAGGCTGAAAACAAAGGTGAAACTGTTTCGTTCGTTCCATCATCCAAGGATTCTTTTAAGTCGCAAACCACAATCGATCATTCAAAAGAAGTAAAGCAAGATGCACTTCCAAAGATGGAACCACAACAACAAAATGCTAATGTTACTGAAGATGTCACCCAGAAAACACCCGCCTTCACTGATGAGGGTGCAGTAGAAGGTGTCTCTTCTTCCGCGGATGACCGCGTCACCGTCTCCAATTTATTTGCTAATGATGAACCTTCCAGTTTGGGTTTTTTTGATAATCTTACGAAAACTGCAGATTTCCATCCTTCTACTGAGATGAATAGCAGTGAAGGCTTTTTTGGCCAATTCAACCAAGGAAACGAGATTAACGCCCAAGATGAAACCTCCTATAATAACTATAATGAATCTCAGCTCGCACCTCCAAAATCAGCTATGGAACCTGATTATGAACAACCTGTTTCTGCATCTACTGAACCCGTTTTATCATCCTCTTCAAAGCACTTAGAAATGGACTATCGAAATGAAGAGCTATTGGTACCAAATAATGAGCCATTCAGTGAAAATAATTACGATAAAGAAGCGACTGGTGTTTATACTGATGGAGTACAACGTAGCTCAAGTGACATTTTTCATCAACAATCTTCCGAACCGACACAAGCAGCAAATAAAGATGAATTACAGGGCACACCCGCTTTTTACGAAAATCCTCACAATAGATCTAACGTGGGAGCATCTCAGGCTGGTGAGGAAACTGAAGATCTCTTTCAAAATAATCCCGAAGAGGAGGAAAGATTTTTTAATGAAGTTCTACAACCTCATGAACAAGCTTCTCCTACACAACCAAAGGACCATGTTACTGACCCTTCCTTGAATGTTATTTCTTCCTTTGAGCAGCCTTCTGCAGACGAAGATGTCGCTTTGTTCAATAAATACGCCAACAATGAGACGCCTTCAGAGACCTTGCCGGAAAACAGCAATGAAAATGATAATGAATTGATAGATGATTCTGAATTTTCTTCGTTATTGGATAATTTCTTAAAACCAGTTGCTGAAGCACCTGCTCAATCGTATGCTTCTTCCTATATTCCCGCCCCTCTGAAACAGTCGCCGACTACACCGTTACCTCCTTTAGATACTAGAAAGCATTCGTCGTCTCAGATTTCTAAACCTTTTGTTGCCTCTAAAGAAGGCTATAGCTCACCATATGATCTTCCAGAAGAAATTGTTCAACAAGCTCAACAAAAGCGGTCTGCCACATATACGTCTGCTCGAAAAGCTGCCCAAATTTCTGCGTCAAAAGTTAGTTCCCCTACGTTAAATAGTTTTCAAGGACTTAATGCTTCTCTTGCCACTCCAGAAACCGTGGTTCCGCCTAGTACCGTCCGAGAGCCTGTTGGTGCTTTCCCAGGTCCTCCTGTTATGAATCCTCGTCTTTCTTCAACTCCAGCTCCTATTCCAGTTGCGAAAACAGTTAGAGCGAGCGACAGTGTATATGGGAAAGGGAGATATACTCCTGATTTATCTAGCAAAATACCTTCAGCAGCTCCAAGAGCCCCTATACAGGAACCAAAGACTTTGGAAACGAAGCCTCCCATAACGCGAAAGTACACAAAATCTCCATATGCTCCCATAGTTTCTCCCAACGAACTTACGCATGTTCAACAAGTGTCTCGTCCTCCAGTTTCTTATACTCCGGTTGAAACTCAAAAGCCCCTGGCATCGGTCCCTAGTGTTTCTCCCCCAATTAACCAAGCAGCTACAAATAGTGGCTTTGCTATCCCTAATGAACCACCGACTGTACCACAGACCAAAGTAGGCTATTCGCCATTAGCAAAGGTTGGAAGAGCATATCCTAGCGTTCCAGATCTGCAATCTCACGAGTCTGCTTTTGATCAATCTTCACCGTTTATGAACGGGAGTGAAATACAGTCCATTAGAGGTAGCACAGCGCCACCGCTGTCCCCTGCTCAAGTTCATCCGTATACTCCAGTACACAATATATCAGCGTATAACAGAGCTGACCCAACGCTAAATCAAGGATATAACACAGAACATGCTTTCCCTTCAGATATCCCGGGGACTACTCTTCCTCCACCTGAACGCCCTATGTCTCGGACAAGGAGCCCTGTTTTTCTTCATAGGGAAAGCATACCGGATCGACCAGCTACTGTTTCGTTGCCTGCTAAGCAACCATATCTGAGCGAAAGGAAGAGTTTGAGTGACCTAAAGCGAGACCCCAATTTTACCGAGAGCGCTAACTCATTATCAATCGAAACCAGAGTTGGCAACAATTATTTAAGTGCTCATTCAGCTCAACCATATTCGAATATGTCGTCTCAACCTTTAGACCCACGATCTAATACGGTCGCATCCGTTCCTGTATCGCCAAACTTTGCTACTTCTAATCCCATAAACAATATATTTTCATCTAATGAAACCGTACAGCAACAAATAGATCTAATTAGGACAAAGCCAAAGCCTATCATATGTTTTGGCCCTTGTGGAACGGTCATTACTTCTTTTCCAGTCTCTACTCAATTTTACTCCGTCAATGGAAGGAAAGATAGTCTCCAGCCAGGACTTTTGAAACTTCAAAGCCTAAGTGATGTAGTGCCTCAGGCATATGAATACGATAATAAATTCCCTGGCCCTTTCATTGCTTCTAATGATAAACTTGAGAAAAATGCTAAAAATGCAGCAAAAGAATGGATCTCTAAATATATAGAGAATTTGAAGTTGGGATTATCTTACGCATCTCCTGATGATGCAACCAAATTAGAAGATAAGTTGTTATTGCTTCAGACAATGGAGCAACTTCTCAGCATACCGGATATGTCAAAGTTTCCAGAAAGTCTGGTGAAAATTCTTGTTCCTGGATTTGAGAAGCCTGCTCCTTGTAATACCGAGACAACCGTACAAGAGTTAATTAGTCCTGAAAGATCTGTTGATAGTTCTCCCGTGGTATCTGCGGGAAATACTACAGGCTCCTTCCTAGAGCGCATTTACGGTTACTTGCTAATTGGTGACAAGGAGGAAGCGCTCAATTTTGCTTTACAAGAGAAGCAGTGGTCATTTGCTTTAATTATCTCATTTGCATTAGGGCCAAAGGTTTTGGAAGGAACAGTAAGGAGTTTTGCAAAGTCTGAAGTAAAAATGGAGATGCTGAAGCCAGGTGTTGGTATAAATCTTCAGTTAGCACTGCAGTTACTATCTGGAGCCGATGCAGCATCATTATCTGAATTTTCGAGTACATCGTCTTTATTAAATTTATCAGCTCAATCGGCTACTACAAATGCTTTGGCTTCATGGAAGGAGTTGGTTGCTAACATCATTTGTAGTCAATACAAGGATAAAAATAATGCATTAATTGAACTAGGAAAATTGCTTCTTCAGGAGAGACGAGTCTATGCTGCTCATTTAGTGTTTATGTTGACATTTTCTTCTGAAATTTGCTCACAGCATCCTCAATCTTTGTTTCACTTGTTGGGCCTTCCTAAGGATGGAAGCTTACCTACCCGTGAAGAGTTACTAGACAGTGTTCAATTGACTGAAGTATTGGCTTTGATTTATAGTATTCATATCGATCGAGGTGTGATTACATATCCTCATTTAATGAACGATCGGTTATACCTTGCTACGACGTTGTCGGAAAACGGGGAGACGCATACAGCTAAAAAATATTGTGAACTGATTGGTACATACCTGAATAAAGCATCTAAGAAGCAGTCAAACTTGGATCCGGACTTCATTTTCGCTGTACGAGACTTGACCCAACAAATTTTTGAAAATAGTTCTAGCGAAGATGTTACTACATCGTGGTTGGGTAGAACAGTATCAAGACCGCGTTTAGATAATGTGCTTTCTTCATTGGGCAGCAAGTTCAGCAAGTTTGTCGCTGGAGAAAATGACTATGACATTTCTCGCCCGGCAACCGCCAACGACGGACCGTTTGGAAAAGTAGCTGCTCATCAGGAAGCCACTTCACGAGCTGGGTCCGCAATGGGATATGGAAGTAAAAATGATATGAGGCCTTATTCATCTGGAGTATTGAACTCTAATGACATGATTGCTCATTATGGTATGGGTCAGGGAAGCACACCATATATGAATAGATATGAGCCGGCTGGCGTAAGCAATGAGTTTTCTTATGCTCCACCATCTGCCTTGCAAGAACAGCAGGACAATATTTCCAGTCTTAATTTGGCCGCTGAATCTCAAGTATCTTCACCACGGCAAATGCAAGCTCAGTTCGGTTTGAAACAACCATCAGTTCATGGAAGCGGCATTAGTCACCCTCAGTATACTCCATTGGTACCCCCCGTTACCGCTAAGAATGCTTATATGCCGCGCACTTCTGTTGAAGAAGGATTTGAGAATAGCGTGGAAGGGGAACCTCTCGAAAGTCCTTACCAATACAGAGCTCCTGTTCCTGAAGCTCATTTGGTTCCCACTGCACCTCAATACGCACCTTCACAATATGCCCCTTCAGTACAGACAAATGAGCCATCGCCATATGCTCCAATAAATACGAATGCATATGTACCCAAGGCCCCCGAAGCTCAGAAAGAGCAGAATCAGATGGAACGTTTGACTACATCCATGCAAGATCTAAGTTTTAATCCTGATCGAAGCGAGCAAGCTAAAAGAGCAGCTGCTCAAAATGTTGCAGAACTTGTGAAACGCGAAGAAGAAGAAAAGGCCAAGGAGAAAGCTGCTGCTTCAGAAAAGAAAAGCAATAAGAAGGGATGGTTTTCGAAGCTTTTACGCAGAGATGATAACAAGGAACAATCGTCAGTATATCAAGCTAAATTAGGAGAGAAATCACATTTGCGATATGACAAAGAGTTAAGACGATGGGTGAATGAAGATGGTTCTGACTTGAACAATCAAGTGGCACCACCTCCACCTCCACCAAAGATTAATCCAAGTAAATCTATGGGTAGTGCACCTCCTAGTGTACCTATGACTATGCCGACGCAGGCGCCAAATGAAATAACACCTCCAGTGATGCCAGTCCCGAGTGCAGCAGCCACTCTTGATGAGAAACTACCTTCTGCGTCAGTTGGATTACCAACAACTTTAGAATCCGGAAACTCACCTGGCTTGCCGAATATACCAGCGATCCCTCCAGCGAGTCGTGCAACTCCAGGTGCGAAGACGGCAAGTGCTGATCCCTTGGAAGATATCTTACATTCCGTTCCTCCCCCGGCTACAGGACGACGTGGAAAAGGTAAGACGAGTAAACGATATGTGGATATTATGAGAGATACGTGAAGATTTGATCATGCAGACGTTTTTTCTTCTTGATCTTGAAAAAGCAGTAAGAAGGAAATGGATTCGAATATGATTTCTAGAATGTATAACCTCTACTCTTTATGTTTTATCATTGAGAGATAATGATATTTACGAAAGTCTATGATAGAAAGCAATAACTATGAAAAGATCAAAGGCAGCCATTCGAAGTGCGTGTAATATTATAAACATCCACTAAATCACGGGAAACTCATGAAAAATCGCAGCCACTGTTGAAACCTAATCAAACTAGACACTAGACAAGGAGTTGAACAAGATAATAGATGATGAAACAAAGTTTTCCTTTTAGTAAACAAGAGTTTTTTACATGTGCTTTCATTTCTACTTCCAATTATACCTTGGACTTTTCCATTATACTTTAATTCAGCCTAGGTACTGTCTAACGTCTTTCACCGTACTTTTATGAATGCTTTAATTGTAAACGAGCGCTTATGCTCAACTATACTATTCAAATTGAAACAACCGACAAGTAAGACCATCAGATAGGCAGTTCGGTTTCAATATACTATGCGTATAGAAAACGGAAACCCGACAATCATCGTACTTTTGTGAAAAGAATTACTCTACAAAGCAAAACAAGTAAAAACATTACAAATACTGTATCAACTTATATTAAAAGAGCTTATATTAAGCTGAATACTAGCTTAAAACGTAGAAAGCTTCCCTCGCTTCTTGTAGTTTCCTATCCTCGAAGATTTTTGAAATGTTATTATATAATTATATATGTCCATTATATTGTGCAAAAAGGGTTAATCTGTTCTGCACTAACACGAACGAACCACACACTGCATACAGCGAGGTCGCTGTGCTAATTGTATTTGGCTACCTCCAACTCCACCAAAACATTCCCCAGGACAACCGGAAACTTCATTTTCAATGACGAAGGAATGGGATTGTCGAAGAGAACAAATTGTCGAACTTTCCAAAGTTCATGGAATGACGGTTCGTGAATTGCAGACGCGGATGTCCAAGTTATACAACTTTGAAGCCAGGTAGGTAAAAAAATGGTTATGGATATTTTAAGAAGTGGATGATATACTTAAAGGAAGTAATTCAAGAGATTCGACTACGAAAGAGAGAGAATTTTGAGAAGCTAGAGATCTAAGGTCCCTAGAATGATTGCAGAAGAGAAACAACGAAGAAATATTATTCTGCGTCAAAACATCTTCAAGCTGAATATTCGCTAGCATAGAATGGTTTTCGAAGTTTTAATATTTGTGGTTTCGTACTTTGTTCTTTTGGGTCCTGGAACCGGTAGACGGACAAGAATGAAACTATACGTTTGCTTTCCTTTTGAATGTCTATTTCTTGTTTATGTTCATAAAAGTATCATTTCAAGTCTTATCGTATCATAAATTTTATATTATTCTTCGTTGTAGAGCTTTTACTAACTTTATACTTCAGTATCCGATCTTACAAACGCGTTCTCGCCAGATGGAGGATTCATATACATCGACAACGATTTATTTTGCCGCGGACAGAAGAAGCAGCCGCACGCACTGCTACAGGAGATGTTTCAAAAGCACTCGACGAGTTGGTTGCTCAGCTATTCTATGCAAGACAAAGCGATAAAGATTCGCTTGCACAAATTGAAGCTAATTTTGGTTTACGTCTTTCAAAGCGTGCCCTTCACTATCGTCGGAAGAGACTTTCGTTAAAACGGGCTATTACCAAAACTCGAGACTCTTCCAACTTTCATCCCCCTACGTCGTCATCCCCAACTTCGCTCCATCTGTCTCAACAGCATTACCCTCATCCTCTTTCATCGGATCCACGGTCTCAAGAACAGCGAAGCATTCCTTTACTTGTTCATTCCTCTCTTCTTTCTGGGGGAGCATCTCCTCCTTCTTCTTCCCCTGCCTCTTCGTCTTCTTCTCACCCAAATTCAGTTGCTATGACGGAGACAAGGACTCCATCTCACTCGGTCCTTAATTCCCATTCTCCCATAACCGCTTCATCTCCATCTAGCACTCATCCCCATCCATTAGCCATGATTCCTTCTTACTCTTCTAATTACCCAGTTGCTCCAGAATTTACACCCTCTTCTTCTCATGGCGCTTCTGTTCCTTCTCTCCCATATTTGCAGAATCCCCCGGTTTTTCATTCTTCTGCCTCTCTTCGCCGTCCTTCTCAGCTTGCTTTCTCCCACCATTTACCAACACCGCCTCCTCCTCCTCCCCATACTCCACTCCCGTTTTTGTTTCATTCTAAAAACCAAGCTACTCAGTCTCATGATATCAATTACCCTTCACAAACTCAAAATCATCCTTCTTCGTTCGTTCCCGCTCCGGTCCCTCAAGAACCTCCTGAAAATCTTTCGGACCCTGCTATCGCATCTACAGCTTCTAATTCTACCTATCCTCCTTCTCGGTTTCCGCCATCGAACCATTTTTACTTAAACCATGTCCCCGGGTCTTCTTTCCCCGAGCAGACACACCCGAGTCATAATCCTACTTCAGCTATGAACGTCGTGTCACTTCCTCCTTATTCTTCATTTCCTTCCTCGTCTTCTCTCCCTCCGCTTCCTGGTTTTCCTCAACAAACTCATTCCCATATTCCTTCTAGTCCCGCCGAAGCGAATGGAGAACATCTCGCAGCTCGCTCCACCAATCCTTCTGTTTATGCTAGTTATATGGGAGATCATCAAGAAAACGGAAAATCGAGCTTTTCTCAAGCATATATGCCTTTGCATGAGGAAGGACAACATTTGCAGCTACCTCACCATGTTCCTCCAACTCATTCTCCCATGCTAACTGTAGCATCCGAGCACAAACCGTCAGTTTCAACTTGCTTCGTTGGGGGGCATCAATATCAATCACCAAAGTCTCCAAAGATGAGACAGCCCCATCTGGAGGTGTCAGAACACCCTATGCGTGAATCATTTTTGGAGCCCATTGATAAAGAAGTTAAGCCTTCAGAAGAATTGTTAAACTCAATCCAATATCAGATTGGTGAAACTCACCGCGGCTCGATTTATACGCCAATGCTGAATGTACCAAATGCAGCCGCCCCACAACACTCTTTGCCTCCTCCTAATACATATATTCAGGAACAGATGACAAGTCCAAACCAACATCCCCAGTATACAATGCCGATGCAGAATTATTCCTCCGTCCAGTATCAACCTGTCATGCCTTCCAGTGATGTTACAAACCCATCAGTACATTTTGCTTCTTCTCAGCAGTTAAATATACCCGAAGAGAATTTGGCACATTATGCCATGCCTAATACCTATACGGGTCGATTCCCTCAGACGTCTTATCATCCGTCTGCTAATTTACTAGATGCTAGCGCTTCATTGAACCCCGTTCAGAATCCACTCATTATGCTTCATCATACCAATCAAGATTATATTGCTATGGGAAGACCTGAACATTCTATCCCAGAGCAAACCCATATTGTTCCCGCTTATTCTGATGTCGACTCGCGTTTTGTTTAAGAATAATTATCCACTAATTTTTTGTATAATTTCATTCTCTAATATTTTTGTGAATATTCTCTTCTTTTTTGTTTCGTTTTATTTCTTTTAATTTACCACCACCAATTCGCTCGTTTTTACCTATGGAAATTTTATTGATGTCGAGAGTACTATAGATTTTACTATGTGTTTACGGATGCTTTTTTTTTCTTCTTTTTTTATTTTTGTGCGGTAAGAGGACTCAATTGGAAGTCATATTTTGGTTTCTACTTTTGGGGGTTTATCGATTACCTATAGCTGTTTATATAACATTTTTTTTCGATTTTTCTATGAACACAATGAGGTATTTGATAAGTGTTGATTTTGTCGTTGTAATCAAAGAAAGAGAAGCTTTTGGTGACTGTACATGTAATATCAGTAATCCAGCATGCAATCTCATTTCAATTATTCAAGTAAAAATATCTACTTCATGGACCCTTCTTTAAAGTGTAAATTTAAGGAATAGGTTCTGTATGCGTGTAAATCGTTTGATGCTGGACCTTTATGGCTCTTTAAAATCACGTTCTTTTCTTCTTGAAAATCTTTGAAAAGGAAAGGTTTAATTTAATTTTTACAATGAATGTGCCAGCGAATATAGACTACAAAATATACAGTTAGAAGAGGATGATGAACTTGAGTCCAAAAAAACTTCATGAATTGTAATCTGACTAACTTGTTTAATTACAAAAGAATAAAATGAGGAACAGTTGGATTAAAAAATCACTGATGAATTCTGTAATTTGGTTCATACTTAAGGGTCTTCTAGTTTCATGAACGAACGAGAGCATTATACAGTCGTCTTTTTGATGAAAAGGAAGTCGATTTGAAGCAAGCCTTCGTGGTCTAAGTATGATGCCTTTCAGGGAGCTTTGACATTCAGTATTCAAGCTATCATTCAGATATATAATAAGAAGGTGGTATAGGAAATGTGACACAGTATGTTAGAAAAAGCTCCTATACGCAAAAATTTATATTTTCGGCACAGAGAATAAATCAAACGGAAGATGACAGTACTGGTATTAGACTAGCTGTAAGTGATTGCTCTTCATCTTTCGTATGAGAATGATGGCTTTTTTTCGATAGCGCTTATGGATGTGACCGATTTAAGAATAAATGGTCATCCATCCTTTGAGTTTACGCAACAGACGTATTCTCAAAGATTTTAGTAGCCATATCCTTTGATATTTTAAGAACATTTATGTTACAAAGAATAATACACTTGTCAGAATACATGATGTACTTGGGAAGCTCGTCTGAGATGCATTACTCAATTAACTCAGCTTGTTAACTTCGATTTTTTATTCTAAGTATTACAGAATACAAACAAGAATCAATATTCTAGAAGTATTCTAGTAGGTCATTGTCAATTCGTAAATGGTTGAAAGGTGCCTTTTTCGTCAATCATGGGTTATGAAGATCCATCAACTAAGTATAAAATATGGATTAAAATATTTAATCGAAAAGATATAGAATAAATCAAATTATTTAGTGGGTTCAGGATTTTTTTGTTTAGTTATCAAAGCCTTTCGTTAGTACTCCTTCAGGCCCTGGGCTCAGTACACCGACCGAGAGCCAAACACACTGTTGGAAACGTAGCAGGTCAGATATGGGTGTATCTGCTAAGAATTCCACGAAAAAGGTGGTTAACTCACATGAAAAGGACTGGAAGATTCCTCTGAAGGTCCTCATTCTTTTCTGTATTATCGGTAAGTTCATACAGGCTGAAAATCATAAAGAGTGAATTTACTAACAAGAACACAATTAGTCACTTCTGCCTCGTCTAGATTATTTTCTGTCATTCGTTATGAATCTATTATTCATGAATTTGATCCTTGGTTCAATTTCCGTGCCTCGAAAGTATTGGTTGAACAAGGCTTTTACAACTTCCTCAACTGGTTTGACGAACGCAGTTGGTATCCTTTAGGTCGTGTAGCTGGTGGTACTCTTTACCCCGGATTAATGGTGACTTCTGGCATTATTTACAAGGCACTACATTTTCTTAAGTTAGATGTTGATATTCGTGATATTTGCGTATTACTAGCTCCTGCATTCTCTGGACTTACAGCTATTGCTACCTACTATCTTGCTAGAGAATTGAAAAATGACGCAGCTGGTCTTCTGGCTGCCGCTTTTATTGGTATTGCACCTGGTTATACATCCCGTTCGGTTGCTGGTTCATATGACAATGAGGCTATTGCAATTACATTGCTTATGTCTACATTTGCTTTATGGATTAAAGCTGTCAAGACGGGAGCTTCCTTCTGGGGTGCTTGCACTGGTTTGCTGTACTTCTATATGGTAACTGCATGGGGTGGTTATGTATTCATCACGAATATGATCCCTTTACATGTTTTCGTGCTACTATTGATGGGTCGCTATACTTCTAAGCTTTACATTGCTTATACCTCCTATTATGTTATCGGTCTTTTGTCCTCTATGCAGGTACCTTTCGTCGGCTTTCAACCTGTTTCCACTAGTGAGCACATGGCCGCTATGGGTGTCTTTGGTTTGATTCAGCTCTATGCATTCTACTATTATGTTAAGGGCCTTGTTTCTTCCCAACAATTTCAAGTTTTGCTTCGTTTAGCGTTGGGCACTCTTGTAGCTGGTGCTATCGTCGCTCTTTACTTCCTCTCTTCTTCCGGTGTGATTGCCCCTTGGACTGGTCGTTTCTACTCGCTTTGGGATACTAATTATGCCAAGATTCACATTCCTATTATTGCATCTGTTTCTGAACATCAACCTCCTACTTGGAGCTCTTTGTTCTTTGACCTTCAGTTGCTAATTTGGCTTTTACCTGTCGGTGTTTATCTTTGCTTCAAGGAGCTTCGTAACGAGCATGTTTTCATCATTATTTACGCTGTGTTGGGCACATATTTCTGTGGTGTCATGGTTCGTTTAGTCTTGACTCTCACTCCTTGTGTATGTGTCGCTGCTGCTGTTGCTATCTCAACACTGTTGGATACTTACCTTGGTCCTGATGCCGAAGATGTTACCGAAGAGTCTGCACCTTCCAGTAAAGCTACTAAAGGTAAACCTAAGTTATTTCAATATTTCTTGTCGGGCTCCTCAAGCATTGGTATTTACAACATGCTTTCTAGAATCATGGTTCTTGGTTCCGTCACATACTTCCTCGTTCTTTTTGTCTACCACTCTAGCTGGGTGACTTCAAATGCTTATTCTTCTCCTACAGTTGTATTGTCTACTGTTTTGAATGATGGTAGTTTGATGTATATTGATGACTTCCGTGAGGCTTATGACTGGTTGCGTCGTAATACTCCCAATGATGCTAAGGTTATGAGCTGGTGGGATTATGGTTACCAAATTGCTGGTATGGCTGATCGTCCTACTCTCGTCGACAATAACACTTGGAATAACACTCATATTGCTACTGTTGGTAAGGCTATGTCCTCGAATGAGGAAGCTGCTTATCCTATTCTCCGTAAACATGATGTTGACTATATTTTGATTATTTATGGCGGCACCCTTGGTTTCAGCAGTGACGATATGAATAAATTCTTATGGATGATTCGTATTTCTCAGGGCTTGTGGCCTGAAGATATCATCGAACGTAACTTCTTTACTCGCAGTGGAGAATATCGTACTGATGATGACGCTAGTCCTACTATGCGTGAATCTTTGATGTACAAGATGTCTTACCATGGAGCTTATAAGCTGTTCCCTCCAGGCCAAGGATATGATCGCAGCAGAGGTCAAAGGTTACCATCCAAGGATCCACAACTCTTTACTATTGAAGAAGCTTTTACTTCTATGCATCATCTTGTTCGTTTGTATAAGGTAAAGAAACCTGATACTTTCGGAAGAGATTTGAAACAGGTTTCATTGTTTGAAGAAGGAAAGCGTAAGAAGATCCGTCGTCCTACGAAAATGAACGAACGTCCCTTAAGGGCCTAAGAAATGATGTTATGCTTAAAAGTACATTCTTGTATGATCTAATTTGGTAAGATATATGCATCAATCTTCGATTACTGTAGATGTTATCTTAATAAATATAACAAATTTTGAAAAGCAAGAAAAAGGTATATATAAACACTGTTTCGATGACGATTCGTAGCATGTATGTAATCATTCCTGTCCTGTGTTTACGACGAAATTGGGGCTCTGCTTGTAATCTTCCATAGCTTGATCTAAGCGTTGTAAGTTCTCATCTTGCGAAAGACTGGAATCCAAACGGAAAGGGTGTTGAGATATGTAGTTGCTAACATTTGGAATGTTTTTCAAATGTTTCAAGTAGCGAAGAGCACAAACTAACGTAAAATCATTTTGATAATTAAGCCTTGTATGGGAAAAGTCTGAAACGTGGATATGATTGAATGGATGAGCAGCACACTTTATATCTGAGTCGTCGATGATGACTGTATTATACTGAGACCAATCGACAAGGTCTTGGTTTCGGTCTTTTTTTAGCATTCCCCAAATTATATCTAAGTTTTTGAATGTCTGCACTTTGGCATTATAATGCGCTGTACTTAACCCCATATTTTCGCGAGTCCAACAGGCTGTAAGAGACTTGATCTGGTCAGGAGTCATGATACATTCTAGCATCGCATTAACGTTATTACGCCTTGAAGAACTATAGACCATAACAGAGTAGTTTGAGAATGCATATTTCAGAAAATTTTTGACACCCGGACGGGGGATTGCATTAGAAGAAGCATTCGTCACGGACGTATGTGAACGGTCTTTCAGAGGTCTACATAGAAGCGTCCCGTTCAGATCTAAAACGAGTAATTTCCTATTGTCGGTTTCAATACCTTTATCATGGAGCCTTTCGAGATAGGATTGTGAAGGTTTGGGTGTCATTATGCGCCTAACAAATTGGGATCTTTTTGCAAAATGTGGAAATTGACTAAGCATGAAAAACGCTGATAATCAGATTAGAATCGATGGAACACTGTTTTAACTTTCAGAAAGGAACGAAACATAAGTGTACGAAAAGTTCGATTATTAGTGATATTTTATTTCCTGCCAAAATAAAGCTCAAAAAAAAGTCAATTGACGGACTGTGTTTGAAACCTTGGAAAAAATGGTTAGTATATGAATGAGTACGGTGTTTACAGGTGAACTTCTCCAAGAAAGTGCTTTCAAAAAACTTGGGGGAAGCTCCTAAAAAATTCCTTAGGTTGCTTTTTTTTACCAAAAATATTGAAAACTATTCATAGAATGAGCTCTAATTGTTTTGTAGAAATAATATACCTGCGAGATCGACTATTGAAAATATTATATTTTATTTGACTTAAATCTATTAGATGCTTTTATAAGGGACACATGAGTGAAGTAATAGCGCATAGCCATCTCACAATCGAGAAGACAAGATGATATTGCACTCACAGCGGTTCTAGGAGGTGACTATATTAGATTTATGATAAATATTCTTTTTTTTTAAGTTAGTTGAAACACTTTACCAGGTAATTGCTCTTTTGAGGTTTAGTTAATAAACGAATAAACCAAAAGAATACGATTTTAATTTACTTTGCAAAAGTAGCAGCCACGATTAGTGGGAAAAGGAGACTCACTTCACCATATACCTAGATTTGATTAGAGACGACACTATTGATTTGGGAAGCTTACCTTTACTCTTTTGGCATCCGAACGAATTTTTCCCCAACTGACGGCCTCATCAGGTCGTGCCCCGGCATCGCTTCCGTCGAATTCATTTCCGGAATTAATGTACACACTCCAGTCAGCACCATTACGCATCAAGTTCGCATTACAGATATGATGCTTCACAATACCACCTCCGAGAATAATGATTCCCGTTTTGTTGGCACGCACGGCGTGCGAATTGACATTACGGATATCGGCAACGATATCAAGATTAATAGGACGTGGATCGGCCTTATAGGTATGGAAATAAAGCATATCACCGATGGAACCATCTGTTAAAGCAGGGCAATAGACGGGTATATTGTTTTTGTAAGCCCAATAATAAACGCTTCTCTCGTCATCGATTTCCTTGCCAAGACGATGAATGAAGGAAGAAGGAGTCCAGTGGGTACCAAGAGTTTCTTGTTCCTCGACCATCTTATTCAAAATCGGCATAAGCCACTCTTCAAAACGACAATAGTTGTCATTGGGTACAATGAGGTTACCTATACGATTCAATCCTTTTTCGCGAAGACCCTTTCCTTCCATGTGGAAGTCACCAAGATAAGTGGGACCAAGGCACTTGATCAAATCTTCTTCTACACCTCCCGCAGTTGTTACAAGGACGTCAACGCGTTTGTTTTGTACCAGATAACGCAAAATTTCACGGATACCGGAAGAAATCAGATTGCTGGTGTAGCCAAGGAAGATAGTAGCCTTCTCACTCTTTCCTTCTGGGGGATTGGGATCACGCCAGTCTTTCTGAATTCATGTTAGTCTTGTAATTTGAAAGAAAAAAAGAAGTCAAATATCAAATATATTCCATACCATTTCGTTGATAATTTCAATTGCTTGACTAAGGTGTGTAGCCTGAAACCCCATTTTTCCATAGGAATGCATCAATTCTTCAACAGAAATGCCAGATCCTCCATTCTTCTTTCGCTCATCGTAATGATTGAAATCGGGACCTTCAACAATAACATCCATTCCTTGGGGCTTTTCAGAAGCCACAAAGACAGCATCTTTCGCAGAATTTTCTTCCATTATTCGTATTTTTATTAACAAGAAATCAAAAAAGTATTAAAGATCCAAAAGATTTAGTTACTTCAGGTTCAGATGACCACTACCAAGATTCCAATTTTTTTTTTTTTTTTTTTTTGCAAGACTAACAATTTTGCAAAGTTAATAACAGAGAATTGTTAACTTTGAACAATCAGACAAATACGAATTTTAAACCAACGAACAGTTATGGATTTGTCCGTAATCTATGTTTGAATTGTTTTGTTGGGTTGGGAAGATACTAGCTGTGGTACGCTATAGATTTTAAAAAGAAATTTAACAGAATGAGAAATATTTGAAAAGATATTTAAATAAGTTGAACCAGAATAAATAAAACAATAAAACATCAGACAAGAGTTGATTCTTGGTTCATACGCAGAATGAATTACCTAAATGAAAATCAAGAAAAAGATATATGGACAGTCAACGGAATGCCGAGAAAATGTCTACTCAAACAAGAGGACAGCAATTCCAAGGTACTTTACTTAATATTGTTGAAATGAAATATAGAAAGGAGGTAAATTTAGAGACTATTATATATTTTTAAGGCCATAAGTATTTTCATTCGAAACATGTATGCGGATTATGGTGCTTTGTAGTCAACCCATTACCATGCCATTCGTGAAGATATCTATCATGTCAAAGAAGAATGCGAATGGAAAAGAGAATACAACAAAACAAAAGAAATGAAGTTTAGGAAAATCGTTTCGTTGACTAGGATGCATAATAAACAAGATAAGAAAATAAAATAATCTGTTAAGGGATGCTGCAACAAATCGGGAAGCAAAAAGGAGTTTGAATATAAGTTAATGTGTTCGTAAAAGAGTAGATCAGGAAAGCCACGAATGCAGGTACGGAAAGGAATAATCATTCATAAAAAAAACATTAAAACAAGGGTGAAACGTCAGGACTATAGATTCGTAAAGGTTCACTGAAAGATTAAAAGATCCATGAAGCATACAGTTGGAACAGAAAAAGGCGGAGGTTGAAAACATGCAAACAAAAAGTATAGAGCAAAATTCAATCAATCGGTTGGAAGAAAATATGGCCGGGAAAGTGAGTAAAAGCCAGGATTTGACAAATATGAAACTAGTTTATACTTTACTTATTAATCCGTCACAATGTTCTTTTTCTAGTTTAAGACGATTTCGTTCATGTTCCTCCTTGCGCAGATTCTTGAGAGCATTGCAATTATGGTCTTCCATGAGCCGATGAGCGGCACAATAAGCCAGATCACAATGTATGCAGTGACCAGCCAGGCGAAGAGTCATTTTCGTACAAGTGGGATGTGAACAGCGTTTTTTGAACGGGTGGGAGGAAGCGCTAGGCTTGGCAGAATTTTTTTCTGAAGACGGCAAGGGAGGAATCGTAGCTTTATAGTTTGATTTGGAAAGGGAAGAAGAGAATTCCGAAGGGTGCATAGGTTCTACGGTCAAATAAAATGACAAGGGAGAAGAGTCATCAAAGACAGAGTGATCCAGTGGGGAAGAAGACAATGGAGAAAAGTAAATTATGGAGTCTTGTAAGATTCCATAACTTTTGCAAGTTAATGCCATATTGAGACGGGTGCCATGGTAATAAAAGCGATAAAACAGTTTTGCATTGTCGGGAAGGACACCCTGACGGGACAGAAGGTCGAAGATTTCTCCGATAATCGTATCAGGATGAATATCGATTGTATAAGAAATTCTGCCGGAAATAATTTGGAGTAACATGAAGGCGTTGTGAAAAGGGCTAGCTGAATCAAGAATTGTAATGAACACAAAAAGGGAAACCTTTTGTATAATGAAGAAATGAAGAAATGAAGAAATTCAATTCAATCAAAGGTTAGAATGGAGTAAAGCTTTATGCCAGAAAAGGAACAAGGGAAGCAACAAAACGGATTCAAACCGGGGAAACAGTAAGCAAGAATATAAAGAATTCTTAACAAGATAAAAAGTAATATAGAGAAAAGGAAAATCTGACTTCGATACGCAATTAGACCTAACGAGAAATCAGTTCATTAGCAATTCAAAGAGAACAGCAATGAAAAATGAAAATAAATAAGAAAATAAAAAGTTAGTTAATATTTCTGATAGAGGAAAAGAAAAAAGGATTCTTTGAAATCGGTTTTTGTATTTAGGAACGGATCTAAATATCGGGACAAGTTGTTTGGAAATGGCAATTGGAATAGGGAAAGAGTTGAAAGCAAGAAATGGGAAAGGGAGAAGGAAGTGGGTGTGAGAGATTTGCTGCCTTTATAAATTCTGTCGAAAGTTCACGATAAGGTTGTCATTGCGTACTATAAACCATGATTTGCTGGTACGTTTCGTTTTGTTATACTGAGGAAGGCGAATGCTTAACAAAAAAGAAGGCGGTTTTTATAAATAGAAATAAAGCAACAGAAGAAAAAATGGCAATAACAACAACAAAGGAAATCAAAGGATCCTCCAGTCTTCATAAAAGGACATGCAAGACCTGGCTAGCTTATTGAGCTGGATTTAGTGGATGGATGGCTTTTTTTTGTATTCTCTCTCTTTAACCTGAACACGCTTTTTCCAATTGTTATGGCACGAGACATTGAGGTCGTGTTTCTTAAACAGAAAGACTGATGCAATTGAAAAGCTGAAAGTACTTGGAATGGGAAGAGGCTTATAAAGATGTGAACGCGTTTGGAGTGTATACATGCTGTTCTGCATTATGCTTGCTTTACTGTACTATGCTTGTTATGCTATGCTTATTTTGTTAACATAACGTTTATGCTACTAATTGAAGAGTAGGATGAAATCGTTAAATTTCGAGTTTACGAGGTTGATAGAAGGATGCTTGAGGAAAAAGAAAATGAAATTTGGTAAATGTATTTGAAGAGCGTTTCGAATTTTTTGGATTGAGTTCATTTGAGGCAAATATTTTGTTTATTTACATGATCGATCCAAGAGGATACTACATCAACAAAAAAAAACGTACCTAAGCGAAAGTACTGTTGTCCGAAGGGAAAAAGATGAAATCCTTCAGTGGAAAGACTTTATTCACTTAATTGTTGCTGCCTTTTTCTTTTTTTGTATTTCCAAAAGCAGAAAAAGCAAAACAGAAAAATAAAAATAAAAAAGGAGAAAACAAGGAGTTTTACAAGGTCGTACTGGGAATCGAACCCAGGTCTCGAGAATCAAAATCTCATGTGCTAGCCATTACACCATACAACCGCTGTTGCTAGACAAAGAAATATGACTTATCTATAAACAATTGCGATACGCACACAGCTTGTGACATTTCATTTGATTATTTGAACAAAGCAAATTCCGATCAGCGCAGCGTAATCAAGGAACAAAAAAATGAACTTGGAGTTTTAAAAAACCTACTGGACGTCTCTAATTCTTTTAATATCGGGGGTCGATAACAAGTCCCGGGTAGCTCAATCGGTTTAGAGCGTCTGACTCTTAACAAAGTCATCAGAAGGTTGCGAGTTCGAGTCTCGCCTTGGGAGTTTTATTTTTTTCAATCAATTTCTTGACAGCTCGTCTATATAACAAATTCGGGATTCAATTTTGTGCATGGCTAATCATTTTATCTTTTACGAAACCAATTTTTTTTCCTATTTTTCTTCCTTTCTAACAGTTCCCTTATTACCACCCTGTATAAAAAGTTTTTATAGCGATTTACATTGCGTCGGAAATCTACAAAACGTGCGTTTACGCGTTTCCTCATAAAACAAAAAACAATACCCTTTTTAATACATTTCATTCTATTCTATTGCAACTTTTTCTCTGTTTACAATCGCAATAAATGCCAACTTGGAAGTTATATTGACTACCGCGCAACCGACCGTATTCACCTCGCCTTTACCAATTTATTTTTTATTTATTTATTTTTTTTGGTTTGGTTTTTGATTCTTCTTTAATTTTCATTTCTTTGTGACATAATCAAACAATATCGGTTTCGGTTTATTTCTTTTTTTTTTTTCTTTTTTAAATTTTTTTTTTAATCGCAACACCCGAGGGAAGTGTGAAGTCATCCGCGGCCAGGCTTTTCCGACATTTGTTTTCTTCCTTTGTTTATGTTATCATGTTGGCTGGACGGTTACCGGTAAACGATTAAAGGTGCGACATTTCAATACCCGAATCTCATATCGGTATTTGATCGGTATTGTCGAGTTTCAACCAATAATATGACTTAGCTTATCCAATAAAAAAAGGAAACGACACTCTAAATTCCGAACGTGCCCCAAGTTACTGAAAGGGATGAAGCTAGTTTTCTAGCGAAGCTTTTCCAGCTTATCGGATGAACTTTAAACCAATTTACGTTTCCCCTCGTCCTCACATATTACGCAACTAACAAAAAAAAAAAAAGAGGGGGTCTTTCCATGTCATTCGAAAGACGCAACGTATGTCATTTTCACAAAAACATATAAGAAGCCGAACCCACGCAAAACTTTGTCAGAAAAATCCTTTACCGGACCACAATATTTAATAATTAATTCCTGTTTATAATCAAGGTCTGAATCCTTTACTCATACTTCTTTCATTTGTTTTTTTTTCTTTTGTGTGTGTTTTCTTAATTAATTGTCATATAACGTTTTAGACCATTTACGAGTTTATTTTAATTTCGCATCGCATTCCTTTTGCTAACAAATATCCTTCTATTGCTTTAGCGAATTATCCCTACGGTTTAATCTTGTATATACATATCTATATATACTTTTTTATATATACATAGATAAAGGGCAAACTCGGTTTATTTTTTTCTTTTGTTCGTTCGTTCGTTATTAACCTCGTTGATTGATTGATAATAGACATTTTGTTAAAGGTTATTCAGTATGTCGTCCGATTCAAGTTTTTCCTCTCTTCATAAGACAGAGACTCAAGCTATCCAGGATAACAAGTCGTTTAGCGATACCCACTCCAACAAAGTTGCTAGTTCATCGAGTTCGTCTCAACGTTCGGAAGACTTAAAAGATGATAAGAAGGATGTCTTTGACTCTTCATCAGAATTGGAGAAAGGATCCAATCATTCGACTAGTGAATGGAAAAAATTCTTTGAAGTCTTCATTTGTGGTGTTGCCTTGATTTCCGATGGCTATTGCTCCAATTCTATCGGAACCGTCATGACAATTCTGAAAAAACTTTACCCCAAAGAGACTACCACAAATAAGTCCATGCAAGATGTCGGTATGATTGCTTATGTCGGTACTGTTATTGGACAATTATCGTTTGGTTGGTACTCTGACTTCTTTGGTCGTAAGAATGGTATGATTACTGCTACTCTTATTCTGTTGATATCTACTGCTCTTTGCTCTGGTGCTTATGGATACCACGGAAGTATCAATGGCATGATTTCTGCTTTGATTGCCTATCGATTTTTCCTTGGTATCGGCTTAGGAGCTGAATACCCTTGTGGTTCCGTGGCTGCTTCCGAAAATTCAAACCAAATGAAATCTGGTAGACGCCATGGTTCTTTTATTTTTGTAACCGGTTCTGCAATTGACATGGGTTTTGTTTTAGGTGCCTTCGTTCCGTTCGTTTTAGTATGCATTTTCGGCGATCATCATCTTCGTGCTGTCTGGCGTTTGTCGATCGGTTTAGGTTGTGTCATTCCTCTTCTTCTTTTGGCTTTCCGTTTGCCGATGAAGGAAAATGGTATCTTCCTGAAATCTCGCATTCCCTATTCTAAGATTCCATGGCGTGTCGTCTTACGTCTCTACGGTGTTCGCTTTGCTGTGATTTGTCTCGTCTGGTTCATTTACGACTTGTCTGCGTACGCATTTAGTTTGTATTCCAGTACTATCGTAAGTGGTATTCTTCCTCCTAATGCATCCATGGCTAAAAGCTTTGGATGGAATACTCTTATTAACACTTTTTACCTTCCTGGTTCTTGGTTAGGTTGTATTTTCTCCGACATTATTGGTCCTAAGTGGTGTTTGGTTTCTGGTTTAATCTTACAGGGTACGATCGGTTTCTTTATGTCTGGTTTCTACAATCAACTCGTTCACCGTATTGCTGGCTTCTGTGTTATCTATGGTGTCTTCTTGTCATTGGGTGAGTACGGTGCCGGAGGTAACATTGGATTAATAGCTTCCAAGACTTCTCCTACTGCTGTCCGTGGTATCTATTATGGTCTTGCGGCAGCCATTGGAAAATGTGGTGCTATTGCTGGTGTTTATGCATTTGGCGGTGATCAAATTCAAATTTACTTTTATGCTGCTAGTGGAATGGCCATCTTTGTTGCCATCTTATCATTTTTCTTCCTTCCTCATATCAGTCAAACTTGCATTGAGGATGAAGATCAACGCTTTATTCAAGCCTGTATCGATTCCGGCTATGGAAATCCTTATGACCATGAAGAAACTGTACTTGCCAAAGCCTAAGTTTCGTTATCTTGATTTTTACGTTTGCGATGTTGGAATAAGTGATGAATGAACATATAACGCGAAAAAACTACTAACTTATATTTAATTTTTAAATTATTGCAATGACTTCCCCTATATACATATTTGCTTTTTCAAACAATCAAAAAAAAAAGCGCTTTTATTTTTTGACTCTTGAGTTCAACCTCAGGAAATCTTCCTTGGTTTTTGGATGTTGATATTCTTCGAGTAGACGGCATCTCGGCCTAAGGTATATTTTCTGCGCCAACTCAACTTTGGCTTTTCTTTTTTTCTTAAAAAGAAGAATAAGAACAACCAGAAAAAATTACAAAAGGAACACCGATCTAATGATTTTTGATCTCCTCCAGAAATTATATTTCGTTGTCTCAGACTAATTTAGACAGGTTTTTTGGGTAGAATGGTTTTAACCTACATCGAATTGTCTATAGAAAAAAAAGGGTATATAGATTATAGAATTGTGTTTGGCAACTTGTATATAGTTAATATTATGTTATATATATTTAATTGAAAATGGAAGAACTCATGTAACAGCTCAATTTTATATGGTATGATCGTTTGGGCAAGAATTAGAATAAGATAATATAGAAATAAAGGTTAACACTGCTTGCAGTAGGCTTCGGGTTAGCTTGTTGTGAAAACATTCTCTTGATATATTAAATAATGTTCACTTATGTCTATAAAATAAAAACCAATCTGATTTTTCAGATCTGGATGTTGACCTGAAGTTTGCAAAAAGTCCCTGCAAAAGTTCTAAAAACAAATTTTATTCTCTCTCTATTTAAATTCCTATAAATACATTTTGTAAATTTGTACATTATAAAAACTGTTTTTCCTATGGTTAAATGACAATGTATGATCGTTGCCATATTTGTCCCGTTCCTCTCCAATCTTTAAATCTACTGTAGTAGCTTCGTACAGATAAATCGAACAAGAATATGAAGTAAATAAACGAAAACAAATATATTTATTAACAAAAAACAAAAAAAACCTTATCTACATACAAATACACAATTCGGGAATTAGACAACAACACTTGTTTCATGGTTTTCTTCCAAATTTTGATTATCCAAAAGGCTACGAACACGTAGGAATGCGAAATAGTGCTTAGCGGTTATCTTTCGCATCCGTTTTCCTAACAATATCATAAGGAACGATGTGAAGATGATAAAGAAGCATAAGACACCAATAGAAATGTAGGTTTTTTCGGTTCCAATGCTATCGATCCAGCTTTGACAAGCAAATGTAAAAACATAACCAAAAGTATTATTAATTACAGATACAGCAACCATGCCTTCAAGAACCATTCCTGGATACGCGTCCATCAAATAAGCCATTGCGGTATCACCAGCGCAACCCCATCCGAAACCTATACATCCCAGACCAACATAAGAAGGAGCCCAATGCCAATGACGAGCAGTTCCGATGCCAAATAAAAATAGACCCAAAGGATTAATTATACAAGGAAGAATCATCATCCAAAGACGCATCTCAGCTTCTTTGACACCCTTGTTACGCTTAGCAAACCAAATTACTATATAATCACCCAAGTAACCGGCGTAAAAGCATCCAATGGTGGCTCCAATAATAAGTGGAACGTTCATAATTGCTACAGCATTATCACCATAATTATAGGGTGCTTCCATCCAATCCTCTTCCATCGTAGTCAAGTAAAACGTCAACCAAGCATTTTGAGCGCCCCATTGTAGACCTGAATAAATGACAGCAGGGAAAAGAAAAATGTGCAAGGTTTGGACGAGTCGTACTACATATTGTCGGAAACCCCAACCAGAAAGTGATGTGGCAGGGGTAATTAGCGCGATCCGTTGCCAATAAGTCGGACGTTTGTATGTATCCATGGAAGCGCCCGTAAACTCTTTCACAGAAACTTCGTTTTTAGGTTTGTCTAAAGAATGATCTTGATCATCCTTTTTCTCTTCATTTATTTGTTGATCGTCTTCTTTATCTTCATCTAGTTTCTGAGCACTTTCCTGGGTCGCAACAAGTCGTTGTCTTCCAATTTCATAGGCTTTGGTACGATCAAACGCAGTCTCTTCAAAAGTAAATAAAAAGAGAACAAAGGTAATGGCACAACAAATTAGACCCCACCAACCAATCCAGCGCCAGCCTTGAGAGGAAGCGACGTATCCAGCAGCCAAGGGACCAAGATAGGTACCAACGGAGGTAGAAAGAATGTAAATACCAATTTTAATACCACGCTCATGTTCGAAAACAATCTCAGATAGAGAATATTGTGTTAGAGCTTCTGAGGCCGATTCACTGATTCCAACAAATGCCTGATTAGCAACCGAATTTGGCGTATCGTTCGTTTTAGCAAACCATAGAGAACCTAGTATACCAAACACAAGGCAAATCATATAAACACAACGTCTTCCATACAACTGACTGGCAGGCATAAAGATATAGGTAAAGTAGCCAACGCAGATAAACAAAACACCAGCGGCATTGTCCATGGCGTCGTAAGAAATACCAAGCTGTTCATTCATTTGATCTTGGGCAGAACCAGCATCGTTTGCTATAGCACTGGTAACCAAAGTAAACACACAGATCAAAGCAATGTGCCAGTTTTTTCTATATGGTTTCCAATTTAAAGGATCGTTTGGATCATCGGACGGCTGAGGTTGAAGCACAATATCACCATCACGTTTCAATTCACTATTTTCCGAAGAAGCGTAATGGTGATCTTTGACCATAACGGTCGTTCCTGGCAAACCGTCTAAGAACGTGTCTGCATCCATGGTATTGAAAAGAATTGGTAAAGTTTATAACAGATCTAGCGTATACTCCGTTAAAGGACTCTATTCAGTAAAGCAGAACAAGAAACGAAAAGCGATAAGAAAGTGAGGCATACAAAGGCAATTATATAACAAAATTAAATCCAAATGCCGAAAATTAAAAGATTAAAAGAAAACAAATGACCAAGAGATTAGAAAACAAACAGAGCTCGATATTCCTTTTACCTGTACTATACAGTACAAAATCCAATGTAAGCCTTCTAGACTTTTAAAGATAGCTTGGTAATTGATGAATAGCAACTATTCTGAACAATAAAGCAAATAATCCCGTCAAGATGTATGTTTGGGAACTTTGCAGTTCATGAACCAACAATTTCTAGATGCGTTAAGCAAAACAGAATATGAAAAAAAAAAAATTTTTTTCTAGGAAAATAAAAAATAACACAATCCAACTATAAACGGAACTATGAGGCGTCTATATAGCTTGTCGTGATTAACGGATCTATCTGACTAGACGACGTCGGATAGAAAAAATTCTACAGAACCGGAAAAGAAAAGCTCAACGAGCTAGAATGAAAACAAGAAACAAAAAGAAAGAACAACTTATAGATGTAGAGCTCACCAAAATATATTCCTAAACCCGATCCGAAGAAGGAGTGTAGGAAGTGTCAAAAAAAAAAGTTTTTTGCAAGCAGATTAAACAGTGGCAGAAACACCAGGAACTAAAGATTTAAACACGACCGTGTCTGTTGTATTCCACGTTAGGCCTGAAACTGAATCATCTGTCAACTCATGAAGAGCTATAAAAGTGATTGGGAAAAAGCAACTTCAAAGAAGCAGAATCGTGGAAGACCCGATGATAAGAGAAATGACGTACAAAATGTAAATAAACAAAAAGAAAAAAAAGAATGCAGGATTTCAAAAAATAAGAAAAATATAATGTATACAAGATAAAGGTTTAAAGCTTTGAAATTATAGTAATTGAGACGTTGATGTGTTTCATTTAAACTGGTTTTAATAATAAAAAGAAAAAGAAAAGAAAAGAAAATGGAAGAAAGAAGACCTATTGCTAGCAAAACTGGTTTATAATAAAACTCATCAAATCAAAAGTATAATAAAAATTACATAAAGAAAGATAGTAAGCGTATATAACCTTTAAATTATGTTTGTAGACCTTTGCATTTGTTTGGATTCTATTAAGCGTTTAGTATAATTATTCATGAAAGCTTTTGCATTCTGATGAACGATTCTTCATTTTTAGAACCTATTAGAACTATTGGAATCAAAAAGAATATATTAATATATCATATGAAATGTTTGTTTCTCATCCTCGTTTCGCATCAAACGGGAATTTGAAAATAATTTCACCGACCTGACCTATATGTGTCATAGACGTCCAGACTACCGCATTGACTACTTTCATTCTGGTGTTTTCTTCTTTTTGAAGGAAATAGTAAGGTTTTCTTTGTCATGCAAGAGAAAGAAGTTCAATGGAAACCCATGCTGGTAGGCTTTCTTTCCTCCTACAGGAGTGTGATTTCTTGGATGGTTTATTAACAAACAATTTCGTGCAGATCGGTGGTGCTGCTGGACTTGTTGCAGGTATGTTTTTATCAATTGTAAATGGATTTTTTATAAATTTTCGGTTGGTTTGGTTCAACGAACTAATGCATTATGATTAGAAACTTTGGTATGTCAGAGACGAGCATACATATCATTCCTTTTCGGCAAACTCTGTGATTAACTATGTCTAAAACTTTAGGTATTTCCTATATCAACTATTATTACTAGAGTACAGTCATCAAGTCCCTTTTACCAGGCAGGTGGTTTTAAGCATTTATATCGAGGCCTTAGCAGTGTTTTAGTGAGCACGCTTCCTTCAAGTAGGTCAAACGCAATATTTTTTGATGATATGTTAACCTTGTTTTAATGTAGCTTCGTCGTTTTTCTTTATTTACGAATATGTCAAGCAACGACAGCAACCTGGTGTCCGAAACCATCTTGTATCAGCTTCTGTAGCTGAGATTTTTTCTTGTGGTATTTTGGCACCTGCAGAAGCAATTCGGCAGCGAGCGCAAACGTCGAAGATGTCTGTCTCAAAAATTGTTTCCACCTTTTTTCATTCTCACAAAGATGCTTGGCAATCCTTTAAAGGAATGTGTTTACGAAATGTTCCAGCTACAGCATTTCAGTTTGTTCTTTATGAAAAATTCAAGTCGAATTTTTCACAGTCTGACAAATTGTTTGGGGCTCCTAAAGGTGCCGCTTTAAGTGGTGCCATAACCGCAGCCGTTCTAACTCCCTTAGATGTTATCAAAACACAAATTAATTTACAGCCTGATGATTACAAAACAACAATTCGAAGAACTTACCAGCGCCACGGTGTCTTGGGGTTTTTTAAAGGTCTTTCATTACGTGTCTTTGCTACTTCTTTGGGTCTCTCCATATACTTAGGAACGTATGAGTATTTCAAAAACCATATACATATCCAGGGTCTCCGTGATACACATTTCGAATAAAAAAACTTCTACTAGTTGACAATTTCCACCCATGTTCGATGAATTGCTAATCCAAAATTAGAGAGGTCTACAGTTATTATTATTTTTTTTTTTGGATTCAGATTAGGTTCCCATGCAATCTCTTTGTTTGTAAACCATCTTTTTAGTTGAAATGAAAATTGTACCCTCTTTAGTGCCATTGTGATTTCCTGTGATTCTCAACCTTTTCATTGTATAGTAAATAGAAAAAATCATCAGATTTTCATACTTCTTAACAATAAACAAAAGTCTGCAACAAAACACTTTTCGTTCTTGTATTCATTTTTTTTGTTTGTTTGTTTATAGTGAATACCGTTTCATGGTAAAAACATTAGTGAGCTACCTTAATTTTCTTTATGGCAGTGGTCTCGGCCGCCTTACGATTGATCATGCTTCTTCTGGTCAGATGCACTATCCTTACCCAAACTCACTTGGAATTTTGTCTGCCATTGAAACCTCGTATCCTTTGCATATCCTCGTCATGAGTAGTAAACAGACTAGTTCAGACGATTCTCGTGACAGCGAGGGAAATAAAAAGATCCGTTCAAACACCAAGTACGTTGATTTAAGCTTGATAATTGAATACTAACTTTGTTTATTCTAGAAGTACTTGGTTGGTATGCTATTAAACGGAAGGAACACCTTCTGCTCTGAATGTGGTTTGATGATTTCGATTATTAACAGATTTCAAAGTCTTTCCTGAAGAGTATCGCTACATTGTAAGTATATTTGAACGATTTCGTTTGAATGACCGACGCAACCACGTCAAAGGAGAATCTTCAACGAGAAATGACTTTGAGCGTTACAACATTTGATTCTACAGTCTCTATGCCATAGTACCATTTGCTAACGCTACTTTTAGTTCTGGTGACTTATCATCCTTAACTGCACCTTCGTTCATCCTTTCAAGCACATCTTTGATTGAGTATTCAGCTTATTGGGTATGCATTCCGATTTGATGAACATGTTATATTCTAACAATTCCATAGGCTGAACATCCCGACCTATTTGTTTCCTTACCTTCGGGGAAAACTCCTTTAGAACGTCAGCTGTTGGTAACCAAGTGGTTTGCTAGTACATTAAAGAACCAATACGCTACTCGTAATGAACGTGTATGTAACAAAAATTCTTTCTGCTGTGCATATTTCAATGCTGATTTTACAATCCGCAAGATAGAAATTTGGGATATGGACCGCTTAGGTTAATTCACAAAAAGTGACTCTGAAACTGACATCAATTTAGTATGGCTCTGAAAAGAAACCTCTGAACCCTATCCTGGGAGAGTTATTCTTCGGAAAATGGTCGACCAATCTGGATAAAGATACTGTTTTGACTGCTGAACAGGTCTCTCACCATCCTCCTATCTCTGCGTACCACATTTACAATGAAGCTGCAGGTGTACGCTTAGAGGGTTACAATGGTCACAAGAGTGGCTTTTCAGGCCCTCATATTCACGTAAAACAAATTGGTCATGCCCGTTTAACACTGGAACCTCACAATGAGGTATACTACATCACTTTCCCTCTCGTTACATTAGAGGGTTTGTGGTATGGATGTAAGTCTTTGATATACTTGTAGTTTAAAGTTTGACACGAGTACTAATATGAATAGCTCCATATATCGAGTTGAACAAAAAGTCACACATTATTTCCACCTCTGGATACGTGACTACGATTGAATACAGCGGCAAGGGTTATTTTACTGGAAAGAAAAATACCTTTAAAGCATCCATACATCAAACGGACTCGAAGCCCGAACCTCTGTATCGTATAGAAGGATCCTGGACAGGGATGCTAAAACTTGCGAATAGCGAGAATCTTAAACGTGGCATTTGGGAAGATTGGCTTGATTGCACAAATTATGCACCCGTTAACATATCTGTTCCTCCCATCGAAGACCAAGGTGATTTTGAATCTAGACGCGTTTGGAGAAACTTTGCGATCGCCTTGGACTCGGGGGACTACTCAGCTGCTAGCCAAGAAAAGTCGAAAATAGAAGAGGAGCAGCGTCAACTTAGACGTCAAGAACATACGAATAATGAAACTTGGCCACGAAAGTACTTTGAATGGCAAGAGTTGGATGAGGGCTTTTTAAAGGCTACTCAACCTTTGAGGTCCCCGATAGAAGAAGGTTTCTGGAAGTTTAAACGATAGATGATAATGCGCCAACGCTTTTTCTATAGAAACGGGCTTCGTTGCTCGTTTTCTTTTCATTATTACGCATCTGATGCATGGCCATATATCCTCTGGTTTCGGTTTCAATGTACGTTTATCATTGTCTTTTCAATATAAGTAGTCAATTTTTTATGCTATTCGCTACGAATTCCTATCCAACTGTATATCACTTTGCATATCACTGCAAAAGGGATGTCATATAAGTTTATTTTAATAATAAAATCATTTATGTGACATTTTGTGACCTATACTATTCACTGTAGTTGAAATAGTATTGAGCTTTGTGATCCATGCTTTGACACAGACGCTAGGCATTTATTCCCTCCAGTTTTAGAAGAAAAGGAACAACTGTTACTATCGTTCAATAGAAGGTTTGACTTTTAATTCCATATCTTAGCTATTTACAGTAGACCCAGCGGCTTTCACTTTAAAATGCCGGGTTTGTTTCCAAAAGAGCACTAGACCAGAGACGAGAAAATAATTAGCTACAAAATTTTTTATTTTTACAATTTTCAAAGACATATCGATCTTAGATTAAAGAGGCATTTGAGCTTGCCAAGTGCGTATTCATATACAAGTTTTGCATGACTATGTCTTTGACTCTGCACTCTCCTCTCCACTAGCCGACATTGCCAAAGGACCGAAATTTATGAGATTTGCATCCCTTCATTTTCGTATCTAATATTTACTTTTGCTAATTTATTATTATAATCTTTATTTCTTACAAAATGACCAAAACGGTTAATTTCCGAAAATTGGGACGGCCAAGTGCTCACCGACAATCATTACTAAGAAGCTTAGTGTATGTGTGATTTATATTTCTAATTTTATAAGTATTACTTTAGGAATTGATAATTAACTATTTGTACAGAACATCACTGGTAAAGCATGAGAATATCCAGACAACATGGGCTAAAGCCAAAGAAGCACAAAAGCATGCTGAACATTTAATTACAATGGCCAAAAAAGCGAGTCCTAAAAACAATCGACGGGATTTGGCACAAGGGATGATTTTTGAACCAAAGAGCACGTTGAAAAAGGTGTTTGAGGTACTGTTGCCTAGATACAGTCAACGGAGATGTGGGTATACGCGTGTTTTACGATTGCCTCCTAGATATGGAGACAACGCGCCTCAAGCTATCCTTGAATGGGTTGATGGATCCAAGGACACTAGATTCCACATGACGGCAAAGGCAGTTGGTGTTGCTTTAGCGCACAACCGTGATTTACATCCAATGACACAAGTGAATATGGAAAAAGTTTTGATGTTTAGGAAAAATGGCAGACAAGAATTTGACCAGCTCGTGGAAAAAGCAAAGCAAGAAGAATTGACACGACTTCAAGAAGAGTACAAATCTGAAAAGGAGATTGAAGAGAAACCCTGGAAGCGCGGAGACCGAGTTCCCCTCCCTAAGTATGTTTAAACTATTTTAGCCATTCCAATAGGAATGAACAAAGCTAGTGCATAACACACCTAGACTACCGTACCGAGTGTTTAGAGATAACTTGGGAGCGAGACGTAAAGTCGACTTGATGGTAGATGGGAAAGTACTTCGTCGTTTTAATTTTCCTTTTGGTAAGATGACATTTAAAGATGTGTTTCTTGATTCTTTGTGGATACCATTGCATGTAATGTCAGTTGACAATTGTACAAGAACGAGCAATTGTAAGATTCTGCTTTAAGAAACGTGAGATTGCAGTCATGCATGCGAAATGTTTAGAATTGAATATTAAAAAATAGAATGAAAGCAATAAAAGAGACTTTGAATCCAAAACATTGATTTTAATATTCGTACTTATACCTATTCCTACAGATATGCCAATGCCTACCTATATCCTATACCTACTCTACTAACTACACGTGGATCAATATGCCTACCTGCTCGCTCTACTATAACTTTCCAATGTTTTTATAAGGATTCAATCATAAGTCACCTTAAATGAATTTATGGCTCTACTGTACTTTACCAACTTTACCATACGCAACGTATCACAAGTCGCTAAAGCACTTAACCCATTGTACCATATTACGGTAAATAACAAACGGAAGTGGCAACATGCTTGACACCTTCCATTATCTAAAGGTTCGTGATCCTTAGCATACATGGAATTCATTGGACGATAACAATTTAGGTTCAAGTAAAATTACGTCATTACGCATGATACTTCTACCTAAACTTTTGAAAGTCAGACGGTCTATATATAAGGCAATTCCTCTTTTTTCTTTGGTATGGAGTTTTGTTTTAAGCAATCGTTGTTGTGGTTTTTTATTTTTTCTTAACAAAGCACTGCATCCTACACGGTAAAGGTGTAGTATTTGTGAATGGAAGAAGTATTAGATGCCAACAGCATTTGCTTGAAACAAAATCTTTGCAAAAGACAATTTGAAGATTGAAATTGTCTTGGTGGTAGAAGAGAAAGAACTATAAATTTTTGATTTTTTTTTTAAACTAGTTTTTGGTATTGTTAAGTTAATATTCGGAAAGAGTTTCATGATCATTTCTCAAGCATGGTATAGCTTGAGAAGTGTGTATTCGTGAACCTAGGAGTCAGGAACTGCTTTCCCAGTATGTGTGTTTATATATATCTATATATTTATCTACATTATAAAAGGTTTATTTTTGGAAATTTTTGGCGGAACTGTCATTGAAACTTTTTTTTTTTGTTTAAACTTACGCTTACATGGAATTGTGTGAACGTAGAAACAAACTGATTGACGAAAAGTGAATTGAAACAAAGAGGTGGATGAACGATCTTTTTAAATTGGAACAGTGAATTGGATAAACACTATAAAACGTTTGAAATGATTAAAGCGGAACCAAAAACATGAAAGAAGATGTTGATGATGAAACGTCAGGAATAAACCAAAGATGAAAAGAGAGCCCTCAGACAATGTATGATGGAATGAAACGATTGAAATTAAAACGATTGAATCCCCCAAAAGTTGGAACCTGTGAAAATTGATGAAAAAAAAAAACGAATTGAAATGAAAAGGACGAAATAAACGAACAAACGAGTACTCAACAATATGAATCCAAGATGAATGGAATGAACTTGAAACCGTCGTCGTATCAATCAATCTTCAAACAGAATTTCTACATGCAAAAGCAAGGTTTTTATTGAAAATGTTAAAAAAGGACTTTGCGTGAAATCAAAGCAAAACAAAAAAAACATGAAATTACGGTTGAAACGATCAATCAGAAACAAACAAAACAATTGGAATGGACAAATGAAACAACGGAGGTGGAGGCTTTTTGTCTGTTCTAATTGTTTTGTTTGTTTCTGATTGATTTTAAGAAATTTGAAACAGGGCTGTGTGAAACCAATTCATTATTCTTTACTGAAATGACTAGACTGTATTCATTCTATTGACTTGATTCGCTTGCTATAGATGCTGAACGATTTTTTAACTAGTTTTTTCAATCGGACTTGACTCGTTGTCGTTCGTTAAACCGACTCAACGGTGCAAGCTGCTTCTCTTATTTTAAACGATCTTGGAAGGGAAAACCGATGGAATGGTGGACGTGCATTGAAAGAGAGAATCAACGAAGAACAGAACAAGATGAAAATTTCATGAAAGAAAACAAACACTCGAAAGGGATCAGTCAAGATGAAAAGAATTTCATAACCTAAAAGAAGTGTGTTGTTGGATCATTCATCGATCTTGAAATCTGAAGGATCAGACAAGATAAACGACCCTCATCTCCCTTTGACAACAACTGTTTTCTTTCCTAAACCATCACTTCAAGCATGAAAAACCAATTCTTTTCTCGTGTTACTGCGTATGGCAGAGCACGTCTGGTAGGGACTATGCCAGACAAAAAAAAATTTATTAGTCAAGGTGGGACGTATCCTAAGGGATTCTTGATTAATGGTATTTCCTCCGGCGTAAAAGCGAATGGTAATAAGGATTTAATGGTTTTGTTTTCTCCTACTCCCTGTAATGCAGCAGCTGCTTTCACAAAGAACGCATTCCAAGCAGCCCCTGTTCAGGTCTCTCGTTCGGTTTTACAAGAAAATCATGGTAGTGGAATCCATGCCCTAGTCGTCAATAGTGGATGTGCAAATGCAGTTACCGGAGAAGGCGGTTTACAAGACGCTAAAGCAATTGCAAAGACCACAGATGAATTAACGCAACCACTCAAGAAGTTGTTGAACAAAAATGATTCTTTGTCTTCTACTTTATTGATGTCCACTGGAGTGATTGGTCAACGATTGAAACTCGATAAAATTCAGCAAGGACTTGGTGTCGCTCTTCAAGACATGGGATCTTCTCATCAACACTGGATGAACGCGACGCAAGCCATCTGTACCACGGATACCTTTCCCAAGTTAGTTTCTAAGCAAGTCAAAGTAGCTGATCGTGTTTATACTATTGCTGGTACCACAAAGGGTGCTGGAATGATTAATCCCAATTTAGCTACTCTTCTTGGATTTTTCGTCACAGATGCCCCCATTGCTCCTGATGCAGTCCAGTCCATCCTTCGCCATGCAGTCACAAACAGTTTTAATTCAATTAGCATTGACGGTGATACCAGTACAAATGATACCGTTGCTTTTCTTGCCAATGGCGCTGCCGGTGGATCTGAAATTACTTCCACCTCTGTAGAGTACGAACCCATTCGCGATGCCATCACCGGTCTTTCTCAAGACCTTGCAAAGCTGGTTGTTCGTGATGGTGAAGGAGCAACCAAGTTTGTAACTGTTCGTGTTCATGGGGCAAAGTCGGTAGAGGACGCTACAATCGTAGCTTCTACCATTAGCAATTCGGCTTTAGTCAAAACCGCCTTCTTTGGCGAAGACGCCAACTGGGGTCGTATTCTTTGTGCAGTCGGCTACTCTGGTGCAACTGTAAATCCCGCTGCAACTTCCGTAAGCTTCGTTCCTGCCGATGGCTCCGAAACATTGAAGCTTCTTGTCCGCGGTGAACCCCAAAACGTGAACGAAACTCGTGCTAGCCAAATTTTAGCACAAGAAGAGTTGACTGTTGATGTCGATCTAGGAAGCGGTCCTTTTGAAAAGACAAACTGGACTTGCGATTTCTCTTATGATTATGTGCGCATTAACGCTGACTACCGAAGCTAAAAATTGTATATAGTTAGAAGTATTTTTGTTTACAACATGAATCATTATGCATAATAAATATTCTAGGAAATCAACGTGTTTTTCGTAAAAATGTTTAGACGAATAAGTTTACATCTATATTATTTATTATTATTATTCATTCTATGGACTGACTAAATTGATTTATCATAAATACTTCACCGCAGTTCCATAGTTCTCTAAAAATCTGGAGTGCGATATTCATCAACATAACTTTGAATTTTATCACCTACTCGTATCTCCAGAATTCCTTTTAATAGAATACCACAATCTCTGCCTTTGGCTATTTTCGTCACTTCGTCTTTCAAATGCTTCAAACTTTCTATCTCACCTGTCCAGATGATTTTCCCAGCACGTATTAATCGAACTTTGTGTGCCTTTTCTAAAGTACCATTGGTCACACGGCAGCCAGCAACGGCTACACTTGATTTTTTACGACGGATATCAAAGATTGCTTGTACAGTGGCTTCACTAGGCACGCGTTGAACCAAAACGGGAGGAAGACGTTCTCGAAACAGGTTCCGAATTTCTTCCATCAAGTGATAGATAATGTTGTGGAACAAAACCTTGACTTTACGTCGTTCAGCCTCTCGAAACGTGGCTTTTGGAACAGGAACGCCAAAAGATATGATGATAGCATTTGAAGTTTCTGCTCTCTCAATATCCGTTTCCGTAACAGGACCTACGGCGGCGTATAAGACACGCGTTTGTAAATCTTCATTTCGTAGTCCTTTAAAAAAATCGATAATGGCTTCGGCAGAGCCGGTGTCATCGCACTTTGCGATAACATTAAAGTATTCTTTTCTATTTTCAGGAGTGCTTTCCGTAGTTTCTGATGAATTTAATCGCTGTTCTTCAAGTTGTTTGTTATGAGATTCAGCCAATTGGTACAATTCCTGAGCGTCATTGCGTCGAGCAATATCGGCTAAAACTTCTTTGGCTTCGGACTCGTTCTTCACTTGGAATACATGGTCACCTGCCTTGGGTAACTCTTTCCAACCAAGAACTTGTGCAGCTTGACCGGGGAGTACTTGCTTGACTCGTTTGTTGTTTACATCTAGCAAAGAACGAACTTTACCCCAAGAATTACCAGCTACCAAGAAGTTTCCGGAAGAAAGAGTTCCTTGTTTAACAACTATGGTAGCCAAAGAACCGACACCTTTAGCTACAGAGGATTCTACAACCCAACCTTCTAAACGATCTTTGGGAGAAGAGCGAATTTCTAAGATTTCGGCAAGGGTCAAAATAGCAGCTTCCAATTCGTCAATGCCAGAACCGGTTTTACCAGATACAGAAACTACTTGGGTATCACCGCCAAATTCCTCAGCTTGAATACCATAATTCATAAGCTGTTCAATAACCTTACGTGGTTGCAACCCTGGTCGATCGCACTTGGTAATTGCTATGATGACTGGAGCATCCGCAGATTGGATGTGTTTGATGGCCTCTACAGTTTGCGGCTTTACACCATCGTCACCAGCAACGACCAACACGACCAAGTCAGCAATGTTTGCACCGCGCTTACGCATAGCTTCAAAAGCCATGTGTCCAGGGGTATCGAGGAATGTAATTGACTTTGAACCACTATCGAAGGGGACTGTAAAAGCGCCGATTTTTTGGGTAATACCACCGTGTTCTGAAGCGGCAATACTAGACTTCCTTAAAGCGTCTAATAGGGTGGTTTTCCCATGATCAACATGACCCATTATTGTTACGACAGGAGGTCGCAAAGGAGCATTTGCATGGGAAGAAGTGGATTTTTTAGGAGGTGGAGTGGAAGCGGAATCTGTATGTACTTTGTAGCCATACTCTTCTGCGATTAGACTGGAATATTCAAAAGTGAGCAAGTAGCTAGGGGAGACGTTTTCAAAGCCAAGACGAGTTAAATCTCGCACTAAACGTTGAGTCGACACTTGCAGGTGGTTGGAGAGGGAAGAAACGGGAAGAACAGGTGGAATGAGCAGGGGACGAAGTTGTTTTTGTTTACGGGAAGCGGAATATAAAGGAGAGCGACTTCGGTTTGTACAAAGGAGAGATGAGTGAAACGAACGTGCGGGAAAATGAACAAAGGATGAAGATGCAATGGGGAAGGATTTTAATTTCGAAGGGATTGCTAATAAAGAAGAGTAGGGAGACGTAAACCAAAAGAAACGGCACCAAGTCTTCGACTTGGGCATGCAATTGGTGGAAAAGGAAGAAGCGTGTTTGGTGAAGTTCATCTCGAGAATGCAATTAAAATACTGAAAGAAATGATTACATATATACCTATAATACTACATATCCAAAATTCAACTAAGCAAGCAAAAGGCACGCGTGAAATCCAAAATTGGGGTTTTGTTTACAGTACAGGCGGACGCTGAGGGTCAGAATGTCGCTGAGGTTGTCGGATACGTTGTTACCTTGGGAGGACAGGCAAGTGACAATTGCGGAAATAACCAAGGGTTCAAACGACAAAGTTGCTTTCTAGTATATTGTTGTATAGATCCTTTTTAACTTTATAACTATGATAGTATAATACTGGGTCTATATACAAAATCCATGGAATGCTAAAAAGCGTTGGGTGGTGATTACAATGTAAACAAAGCATAAGAAAATGGTATGGAGAGTAAAAAAATAAAAAGTCAGGACATTTTACTTGATACATATGTGAGAAAAAGGAGTCGAGGACGTCGTATTGGTTTGTTTTCGATCGGTGAATCGCGCAGTCTCATTCGTCTTTTATTGGTTTCGATACGGGACAGTTGAGTGTTTTCTTACATTTTTCATTAATAGAGAGACCAAGATTTTGTCATTGTAATCCTCGGTCTTCAGTCATACTGGGTAAAAAAGGAAGAGAAAAAAAATTTATCAGATCATATGATGAAATGCAACGAAAAAGACATTTCAACAGTTTACAGTCTCATTAGAAAAAATAAACAATACAAATAAAAATAGTAAAGGAAAAGAAATGATTAAGAAAAAACGATAGCAAGTATTGCAAACCTCGTACTTTTCCTCGGATGGGACTTGCTTTGAGACCTGTCAATCAACAGTAGAAAGAATAATGGAACGACAATAAGAACCATACATGAAACGCGATTCACATAATTAACAAAATTCATAGCGATTTCCTTTTTTTTTCTATTTTTTTGTTTATTTTTTCAATAATAAACAACCATCCAGGTTTATTTACGTCGGACTATCTGTAAACTTATCAGATCTTGAGATTCGCGCAATCTCACTCCATTTTTTTTCCGTATTTAACTCAAAAGTTGACAATCATTTGATAAACGTACAAATTTTTTCAAAGTACTATTAGTATAAAGATCCTTGTCTTGCTGCATTCTTTATAAAATTTGTACCACTCTGTTCCTTTTTTTTGAGTTGGAAAACGTGATTTGGCGTTTTAGAGGGATTGCTTTCAACATACTTGCTTTGTTCTTTGTTCCATAGTAGAGGGTCTTGGGAGGAATTAGTATATGCCTATAGGATCTGATATTTCTATTCCATAAATTGTTATTTGATCTAGCTGTTATTTTAGGTGGGAAATTCACATCGACAACTAGCTATCTTTTCTTGGGTTGTGCTTTTGTTGTTGGTTTTTTAAAATACCTTTTTTTTTTTTTTTTTTTTTTTTTTTTTAAAATCGTTTTCCACATCCTTTCTTGCTTGCTTATAGGAAGCTAATGGTTTCTTGTTTTATTTTTTACTTGTAAGATCTCCGTGGTTCCTTACTCAACCTCAATTCTCAGAGATCTGTAATTATCAATTGAAAAAATCTTTATCACCTTTCTTTCTTTTCTTTTTTAAAAGTTTTATACCCTTTTCTATACAATTCCCTAATGGCGGCTGTTCCATCTACCACCGAAACTATAATGGATAACAAAGCAATTACAAAGACTTACCAATTGCCGGCTCCTCAAAGTTTCCTTGAAAAATGCGTCCAAGCTATCCTGTCCCCCGGCAAACAATGTAATATCCGCTCCTCTGCCCCTACTCAACAAGTGTTTGAGGATGAAAAGTTTCTCCATAGTTCTTCTTCCCTAGACAACAGCTGCTCAGACTATAAGGTCAAATATGACAGCGATGGTACAAATGTAAAGCATGAAAACATTCGAGAGTACATTGTTCAGGAACGCCCCAACCTTGCAGGTCGTATCTTTGATTTAGTAACTCACCTAGCAGGCACTAGTTTTGTTTTTATCCTTGCCTTGATCATTCTTGTCGTTTGGGCCATCATTGGAGGCGTCTACCATGCCCCGGATAGTTGGCAAATTGTTATGCAAGATGGCAGTTCCATTCAATGCTACGTATCCGATACTCTTCTAATGCGCCAGCAACAAAATCACCACGACCACATGATTACTATAGTCGCCCAGTTGCGTTCTCGTTTACACACGGTTCGACGCCTAATTGGTCCTATCCTCCAAGGAAAGTCGGTCGCTTCGGCACCGCTTAAAGAACAGGATCTGCACGATGATGTTGGCGATGCTCGTGAGCTTCCTGTTGAAAACTGGTTTGATCTTATTTGCAACTATGTGAGTCTCGTCGTAGGATCCGTATACTTTTTCTTTATTTATTGGATTGGAATGTTTATTTGGATTGGGTTCGGTAAACTGCTAAACTGGAGCGATGAATGGCAACTTTACATTAACACAGCTACTGCTGTAGAATTAACCTTTACTTCTGTATTTCTGCAAAATATCCGTCATCGCCATATGAACTATATATCCCGTTGTGTCTCTTCCATTTTCTGCATGGATGCCGTCTTGGAAGAAACCATTCGTAGACAATCTGGAGATCGTGAAAAGAACCCTGTAATTGAAATAGAGGCCGAGAAAGTTAAAATTGGATCCCGTACGATTGATTATTATGCTCACCTCGTTGGATCAGGCGTCGGGGCCGTGATCAGTGCTGCTGTATTTATAGTTTGGTTGGCCATAGGTAATACCATGCATTGGAATTCCAATTGGTGGTTAATTATCGGAACCTATACAGGTCTCGTTGGATTTTTAGATGGATTTGCTCTTCGTAATGTTTACTTTCGCGAAAATAACCACATCAAAACACACCTTCAGACCTTAATCGATGAAGAATACTCGCTTTTTCAGAGTCTCGGTCTTCCTCTTCCTCATGATTCTGAAACCCCATTGAACAAATCTCTTGCATATAAACTAAGCGCTTTTATTGGACATATTTGCTCACAAGCTTACTCTGTTTACGCGGCTGTGATAATCATCATCGGTTTGATTGTTGCTGCTGGTGCACTAAAATTCAACGAAACTGCTCAACTATTTTGTAATACCCCTACCATGATTATTGAAGGTGCTTTGTTGATTGTCCTTATAGAAGCACATAACTTTACAAACCTAAAAAATCGTATCAAGTTCCGTCATATACATCTTCGACGCCTTGCACTCATAAAGGCTATTGTTGGTGATGACTATGTCTCCGGCGAAAGTGTTTAATTCCCTTCTACCGTCACTTATTTGTTTATTTGCCTCTAATTAATTTCTCATTTAGTGTATGAACCCTTTTAATGATATGAAATGAACTATAGGAAGCAATCATGTAGCACATCAATCAATATTATTTCAGTGACCTTCCCCAAGTAAGATTATAATCTTCCTCTTCTAATAAAGCAATCAATAGTGTTTTTTCTTTTTTGAATTCTTCTAGTTGATCATTTGTTATTCTGTTCTAAGACTCATACCAAATAAACCTATCAATCTATTCCCTATCGTAGTACTACTTGTGTTATACGGAGGCCTACCTATCATCGGCAGCTCCCGTGGCCTAATGGCTAGGGCATTTGACTTCTAATCAAGGGACTGCGGGTTCGAGTCCCGCCGGGAGCTTTCCCTTTTTGTTTTGTTTTTGTTATGTCGAAGTACTAATTAGAAATGTTTAAACATTAGCTTTCCATTACGAGATACGACAGTCTTGGTGATCTTTTTTTTTTGGATCTGCTTTTGTGAAACCAACACAGTTTCGTTAATCAAAAATGTTATGTAAACATAAAAACAAAGCAATATGCATCAGCCGGGAGTCGAACCCGGAGCGAATGCTTGGAAGGCATCCATGTTACCGCTACACCACTGATGCAGGTTCTTTACCTAGGTTGTTATGAGATATATAAACAACTTAATGCACAATTGTATGGATAAGATATAATTTAAGAGAAGTACTTTAGACTCCTCAATAATCTAAAAATACCTGAATGAATTTTATTAATTAAACCAATTTCTAAAAGAATAAAAACATAAAATTTCATTAATCGGGATTCATGAGTCATTAATTTGGCAAACTGGCTATAGCTTCATCAATTGACTTGGCTAAGATAGAAATCAGTGTATCAACTTCTTCCTTCGTTATAACATAGGGAGGAGCCACCATTAGATGATCGCCGTGAACACCGTCGTAGGTGCCTGCGCCTGGATTAAGGAAAAGTCCGTTTTTGATTCCTACTTTGCTAATCAAAGCTCCAACCTTATGCTTGGGATCAAACCATTGCTTCGATTTTTTGTCTTTTACGAATTCTAGACCCCAAAACAAACCTCTACCGCGGATATCACCTACATGAGGATGGGAGTCGAAGGTCTTATGTAACTGTTCCTCCAAATATTTACCGGTCGAAGCAACCTTTTGAACGAGGTTTTCACGAGCCATAATCTTTTGCACACCCACAGCTGCGCTGCAAGCTAATGGATGGGCCTGATAAGTGTGGAAGTTTGCTAGTTGAGTACCGCTTTCCTCAAAAGTTTTGAAAACACGATGACCAACGAGGACGCTGGAAATAGGCTGGTAACCGGCTGCTAGGGTTTTGGCATTAGTTTGAATATCCGGAGTAATGCCTTCTTGTTCCCAAGCATGGAAGGTTCCAGTTCGACCCAAACCACACATGACCTCATCAAGAATGAGAAGAATGCCAAACTTGTCACACAAGCGACGAACGGCCTTAAAATAGCCATCAACTGGTGGTGTACAACCGAGACCAGCTCCTGGAACGGTTTCAGCAATAAAAGCTGCAATTCGATTGGGACCGACGACCAAAAACTCGTCTTCAAGTTGCTTTTCCAAACGATACACATACTGTTCGTCTGTTTCGTTTTCCTTCTTGTGGCGGTATGTGTAGCAAGGATCCACAAAGGATGTTACTTTAGGGAATACACCTTCGTAAGGAGCACGGCGAGAGATCATTTTGCCAATACCAAGAGAAAATAGTGTGTTTCCATGGTAAGATTGTTTACGAGAAACAAAATGGGTTCGTTCATGTTCACCACGGAGTTGCCAATATTGCAAAGCAAACTTGATAGCTGATTCCACGGCTTCCGATCCACTGTTAGCAAAGTAAGCACGCGCAAAGACATCTGGATTTCTAGAGACGAGCATGTGTGCTAATTCTTCAGCGGGTTCATTTGTGAAGGCCATGTTATGGACATAGCAGACCTTTCCCGCTTGATTTTTTATATATTCAATCACTTCTCTGTTTCCGTGTCCAAGACTGGAAACAGCTGCACCACCAGTTCCATCTAAAATCTTTTTATTGTCATCTGTATACACGTAGACACCATCGCCTCGCACAACCTTTGGAGGAACGGTAGTGGGAACAAGGTACAATAAATCATGGGCAGACATCTTCAAATTCTTTTAGTGTTAAATTATTACAATTCCTTTGGTTTGTATAACTTGGATTCGGATTTTGAAAGAGTGTGAAACTGGAAAAAGGATGTCAAAAATGTTAACGTGTCTTCTGGGTTGGTCAAAATTACCAAAATTCTTTCAATTAATAATAAAATAGAGCTTTTGGGATCTTTAGGTCAAGTTCCAGTTGGCAACCTTTATATATCACAACTGATAGAACAAGATGTAATCATGACTGAATAACTCCACCAAGTTACATGCACTGATTATTGCATCTATACCTGCGACTCGGTTTTAGATAGTATCGTAACAGATTTCTATTTGCGTATTAGCGAATTCAATTCCATGGGTTTCAACAAAGACGACAAATACGTACGTTCTGTCATTCCGCCAATTCTTCTGAGGACATGCGACTTGAGCCCACATTGCCTTCGTGTGTTACCAGATTTGAACTTTTAGTTATATAACTGAACGATAGGCTAAAAGAATTATCAAAAGCTGAGCGTAGAATAGCGGCTTGTAGGTTTCCGACAAGGTGGTGCATTGCCAACGGTTATTTCTTCCAAAAAGTCAGCAAACATTTGTAATGTGTAAGTGGTTATATACTGATATTGAAAGTAAAGAACGGTGTCTCATTACATGATTTGTTTAAGTCTTTGTTGAAACTAAAAAGAATGGTTTAAATCTCATGCTATAAGGCAAATGTATAGTTCCCTAAGAATCTTGTAAGCATATTTACAAGCATATTCTATTATAGTATTCCAGTGTACCATAGATATGCTTTAAGTAGTCATAGCTATGCAGAAAAGAAGTGAAAAAAAATTAAAAGGCCTTTTCGCCAGAATCTTTGCAATAAAAGTTGTTTTTACCTTGGTAATTGTTTAAATCATACTGCCCTGTATGGCCTGCTTTTAGTTTTCTTATTCATTGTGTGAGCAAGCTGCTACTTTTAGATTCATTAAACACATTTTATTTTGATCTTAGTTTTTTCTTATTCAAGATTTTATTGAACCTCTTAAAGTGTTGCATGTTTCCTTTACTGAACGACTACTGTATAGAATTATCTTCAAACTGACTACGGCCTTGTAGTTTATCTCGTCATTTTCCATTAGGAATTAAAAAAGGAAATCCTACAATCATTGAGGTAATTCATAGACGGAAATTTTTTTTGTTTTTTTTTTTTTTTTTTTTTTTTATCGTTTATTTGCAATTGTCTCTTTTGACTCCATCATATAGTCTATCGCTTGCGTTTGTTCAAGTGTTGCTTCTTTCTTTCATAAAAGCTTTGTAAAAGTGCTTTTTACCTTACTATAACACATATATTTATTTTTACATCTGTTTATAGGATTCTCAAGTTCAACATGACTCAAATTGCTCCTATCGTTTTAGTCACTGGCATCAACGGTTTTTTGGGATCTCATACAGTAGAAGCCTTACTATCTCATGGGTATCGAGTTCGTGGGACCCATCAGCATTCCCATGACCCCCAATGTCTACTCAGAAACCGTCCTTCTTGGAATGGTAAGGTAGAAATGATTCACATTCCGGACCACCGAGTCCCAAATGCATACGATGAAGTTATTCAGGGTGTCGATTATGTAATTCATGTAGCTGCGGAAGTCCATTCGAATGGAGAAACTCCTGGTATTGATCCTCATCACACTCTCGCTGTTAGTATCAAGGGTACAGAAAATGCTTTGAACGCAGCATTGAAAGAGCCAAAGGTCAAGCGTTTTGTCTATATTTCATCTGATGCAGCATTGAAAGGACCAAAAAATTATAATGGAGATGGCTATGTGTTTACCGAAAAAGATTGGAATCCTTTAAGTTTGCAGGACGCCGAAGCTTCCAATGATGAAGGTTTAAATTACACGGTATGTAAAAAGCTTGGAGAGCAGACTGTACACAAATTTCAAACTATTCATAAACCCCATTTTCAAGTCATTGCTTTGAATCCTCCTCTCATCCTAGGACCAGTCTTTCATTTGGAATCCGTGAAGCATCTAAGTTTTTCAGCATGGTTCTTTTGGCAGCTAATTAACGGACGATATGAGAATGCCCCCAAGACAGAATTCTATAACTATGTGGATGTGAGAGACTTGGCGAAAGCAGAAGTGCTTTCGCTCACTGCTGATACCAAGGAACCTAGAGTCATTATATGTGCCGGTGACCTAGACAATGATAAAATCGTTAATGCGATTATTACCCGATTTCCTCAATTTCAAGAAAAGATTGCGAAACCCAATGGACTCCCCTCCACCTGCGATTATCAAATCGATGCTTCACTATCCAAGTCCGCTCTAGGCCTCCAGTATCGTCCTCATGAAGAAACGTTTTATGATACCGCTGAATCTTTATACCGTCTTTCTGGTTTTGTTGAATAATTTAAATGCATTATTCCTCTACTAGATTTTTTATCTTATCATTCTGCTTTTTTTTCATGATCGTGGAAATTTACTAATTCAATTTCATTTACACGTAACAAACATTAGCAATCGTATTCGTCGAGTATATAGAATATCATAGGGAAAGTAGTTGTCAAAACCGGTATTGTCAGGTAAAGGAAAAGAAAAAGGAACTCATCAAGCAATTGCTTATTGTGTGGCAGGACCTTCGATGATCACTTTAATGACACCCTTCTCACCACTAGCGGTTTTCTTATAAGCTTCTAAAGCATCCTCAAACTTGTACTTGTGGGTAATTAGAGGTCTGAGCTTAACGAGACCACTCGATACCAAATAAGCGGCTTGATCATAGCAACCAGCACGGTAACGGAAGCTTCCAAGGATATTAAGTTCGTTGTTTACAATGTGATTGATTGGAAATTGAATAACAGGTTTACCGTTTCCGGCTTGAACAAAAGTGGAGCCTGGCTTCAAACACAAGACGGCTGTGTGGATACAAATCTCTACACCAGTAGCATCGACGGCAAAATCGAATTCACCATATTTGTCGACGATGGCATTTCGGTAGCGTCGGGCATAATCAGGTAATGACTCATTGGCATGAGTCTCAATGGGGGTGAATGGGAGAGCGCCAGCATATTTTTGGGCAAATTCGACTCGAGAAGCAGAAGTATCGACTGCCACAATGTCAGAAGCGCCATAAGCCTTAGCAACGGCCATCAATAAGAGACCAACGGCACCACACCCCATGACCAAAACGCGAGAGCCAGCGCGCAAGTTGGCTCGGGTACAACAGTGGATAGCCACACTCAATGGCTCAAACATGGCAGCCTCATCCAATGCTACCTGAGGAGGGAGTTTTGTTAAGAAATCTTCGGGGGCGATAAAATGAGTGCGCAAAGTTCCGTCGTAAGGTGGAGTAGCAGCGAATTGCATGTGTGGGCATAAATTGTATCGGCCTTCACGACAAAATTCACAGTGACGACAAATAATACCAGGTTCGACGGCAACATGATCGCCTGGCTTGACTGAACGAACACCCTTTCCGACTTCCACGACGATGCCGGCACTTTCGTGACCGAGAATCATGGGTTTTTTGAGGATAAAGTCGCCAATTCCACCCTGCTTCCAGTAATGGACATCGCTTCCGCAGATCCCTGTGGCCTTGATAGCCACTTTCACATCGTGGTATCCATTCACTACATCATCTGGGCGTTCTTCGATCGCAGTATCCATTTGCTTGCGCAAGACGAATGCTTTTTGTGTAGCCATAATGTAAAACGAAAGCTAGATTCAACCAAAAAGAAAACAAGAATCGAATGAGAATCAAGCAAGAAGAAAGTAAAAAGTCACAGAAACCCAAAAGAAATAGAAATTAACCAAATCGAAAATTACTCTACTAAATAAATGCTTTTCCAATATATCGGATCCGTTTCACAGTACAATACGACTGACTGTCTGATAAACCAGAAATGTAAATTTTGAAAAAAAAACAGACACACACACACGGTATAGGAAAACAATGAAAACGGAGAATGTCTTGTAGTTAATATTTGCTCATTCTTTTAGTCCCATCTCATTCTATTTATATTACGACATGTTCGTGTTAGCCGTACTAAACGTAATGCTCATCATGTTACAAAGTCCAGTCTTTGTTACGTTGGAAGACTAAAATAAGGTAAGAGATTCTTTGGAATTCCAACCCAAAATTATCAATTCCGAACCTACGTCTTCCTTCTTGGTGGAGAAATAAACCAAAGAATTTAACGACGACAAGGCGACCATTTTTCAAGGTTCAATTTACGCAGGAAGGATTAGGCGTCATATGTGATAAAACTACCACTTCTCCTCTTTGCACCAATTTTGCTTTTCATCCATTTGTTTATGGGTGGATATTTAGGTAGGCATAGAACCCTTAATGACAAGGTTGTCAAACACAAAGGTTCAATCTTAGACATATCTGGTTTGGTGGATTACGCAAAACCATGGAATAAGTGGAGATACTAAAGATTGCTAGAAAAGGTATAAAAAGGAAGAATTCCTTCGCTATTGTATAGAAGACGTTGGAAGATTAGACTCTCTTGGGTAAAATAGTCTACCATGTCTACCTACCTGTAAGATAACAACAGTAAGAAAAGAAAAGAAAAGAAGAAATGTAGAAAAATATTGCATTAGAAAGGAATATAATGGATTGTAAGAAAGGTCGTTTGAATGTTGAAATGCTTTTGATCGAACACTCTTGGCAATGCATTTATGCTAAACTAAAACTACATGATAAAGTATTGGATTGGTTTCTTTCATGAACGAGGATCTTTATATTGTTGAATAAATTTTATTCATCTCTAGTAGAAAAGAAGAAGAGGAAAAAAAAGACTTAACAAACCATATCATTACTTTAGATCATCCCTCAGTTTTAATAAATAAAGGAAGGAAGTCGAATAGACAAACAATAGAGGTAAGGCACCTTCGTCCATTCGTTCTATTACATACACTTTTTACATTTAAGCATCAATCTTGAGGACAACCTTACCAACGTGCTTTTGGCTCCATTGGTAGTAATAGGCTTCCTTCAGTTGGTCAAAGGGGAACACCTTGTCAACGACGGGATGAATATCGTTGGCTTCAATACAAGCATTCATCTCTTTGAACATGTTAGCATGGCCAACGAAGATACCACGAATAGTGGCATTCTTCTGGAGCATGCTGCCAATCAAAGCAGTGATGTTTGGACTAGGACCATCTTGAGCAACAAAACCAATGCTGCTAATCATTCCAGCTTGAGTCAAGACTTCTAAAGATTGACCCAAGGTCTTTTCACCACCGACTTCAACGACGTGATGATAACCAACACCGTTGGTAGCTTCTAAAGCGGGCTTGGCCCATTCGGGGGTTTGTTTGTAGTTGATTAAGTGAGTAGCACCCAACTTCTTGGCAAATTGCAACTTCTCGTCGGAAGAAGAAAGGACGGTGGCGCGAGCACCGGTGGCCACGGCGAACTGAAGAGCAAAGATGGAAACACCACCAGTGCCTTGGATTAAGACGTTTTGACCGGGCTTCAATTGTTGTTCCTTGGCTCCAAAGAGAGCGTTCCATGCAGTCAAGGCGGCACAAGGTAAAGTGGATGCTTCTTCATCGCTCAAGTTCTTGGGAGCGTGAACCAATCCTTGAGCGGGAAAAACACCGACTTGGCGGAAGATACCGTCATATGTACCACCTAATGCTCCATATAAAGCATGCTCTGTGGGTTTTCCATCAATATAATCAGTGAAAAAGCATCCAATGACCTTGTCACCAGGCTTGAATCCCTTAACGTCTTCACCAACTTTTTCAACAATACCAACGCCATCAGAACCTGGGACCATGGGGAACTCCAAAGGAAGAGGGTACAGTCCCTTGGTGATAACCAAGTCTCTGTAGTTGAGGGAGGCAGCCTTCAAGTTTACTTGTACCTCGTTAGGCTTGAGAGTCTGTACGGGCTTGGCTTCTTGAACCTTTAGTTGATCAAAACCGCTCTTAGCATCGTTAACAACGTATTGCAATGGCATTATGACAAAAGTTTGATGTCGAGTTATTGCAAATTTATCAATTTATCAATTTAATATACCAAATACCAAATGAGGTTTTTGATAAAGGTAATGAAACGAAACTGCGCCTTATGTATTTATATAATGGCAAATTCTGAAAATTTTTTTATTTGCTTACATAACACCGCTTACATAACACCATGTTCGGTTAGTTTCTTCATTTAGACATCCACATTCGCTCGCCTTTTGATCATTCCAAATTTTTTTCTTCGAATCCGATCGAACGCCTGTAAAGCTCATTCCGACTCTTTATTAGGTGGTGATGTGAAGGGAGTGTAATAATCATTCTATATTGCTTCTCATCAGTCTCAATCGAGACGACTATAAATTAGTTTGACATTATAAGACTCTTTTTATTTATTTTTATTTTATTTTATTTTATTTTATTTTATTTTCGTATACTGATGTTGTCGGTAACTACTCTTCTTCATTGGAACGGTAAGCGTACTTGAAGTTAGTAGGAGTCAATATCACATTGGTCCCTAGATAGGTTTACTTGTGTTAATTCCTTTTCAAAACAAACAATCCATTTCTTTATGGACGAAACATGTCAACATATGCGAAATCCCTGTAGACTAATCGAAGCTAAAAACTAGTCTCTCGTATCGCAAAATATTGAGCTAATAATATAAATAAGAATTGTTTTCTTGAAGATATTAGAGATTCGTTACGAAGTAAACAGAAGCTTATATTGGATCCATCAATTTTCAAACTAAAGGGAATAGTACGATGGAAATACAATATCACTCACTCTTTAGTACTTTAACACAAATGTGAACGATATATACAAGACAAGTTGATTGATTCTCTGTTAGTTTCTTTGGCACTATGAGCTAGACACTCATTTTCACCTATGGACTTGAAGAAAACTTGTAAACACACACACAAGGTACATTTAAACTTTATGGATAATTTCGTCAAGTCCTAATAATTTCATGGATAATAAATAAAGGTGTCAGCTTGATGAAGAGAAGCTCTTAATGTAATGAAATAAAACTAACAACTACACCCTCCTCAAATGTAGGTAAATACGTTCTTTCCTCACAAATCAATCGTTTGTATGTATGTAACTATGTGTAGTTCTCCTGTTATGTTATACAATATAAAGACTAGATCCTCTTTATTTTTACATGTTCTATTTCGCACAATTGATATCCAATCTATTGATTCCTTATGAAATACGAATATGAAATCCATTAATTTTTCTTAGTCGCTTCGACATTTTCTTCTTGATACTTCAAGAAGTTCTCCTTGAACAAATTGGCATCTAAACATCGGTTAATATCTTGGACACTTTTCTCATAACCAATACTTACTTTCAGAATTAGCAAAACGGATAGCAAAAGTCTCGGGAGAAGGTTCACCTTCACTAACATCAGCAGCGACGGTCCAAACCCAGCTACGGTCGCTACCAACATTAGGAGTCAATTTCATTTCAGGCATAACTAGTACATATTTGTTAGTTGCAATGCTTCAGTTCAAAGTCAAGCAAAAGAAAAAACAATTTTCTTTTATACTCTTCTTCATGTCTACTTACGCAAGTGATTGGCACAAACTTTATAGGTCTTGTCACGACGCATAACCAAACGAGTCTTGCCGCTTTGCTTATGTTTTAAAAGACGGGCATCACCAGTACCACGCTCCTTCCATTCGCTAGCATCCTTGTTGAAACGGAAGAGCTTGGCACGCATCTTAAAAACAACTTCTTCATCTTCTTCATTAGTTTTGGTCTCAACAGCATTCAACTTGACAATGGGCTCAAAGTGGACCTCTGGAGAAGCAGGCTCAGCGTCGTCCTCTCCTTCTCCAGCTTTGTTTTCTTCCTTAGGAGTAGATTCAGACTTTTCATCTTTTTTCTCACCACTCTCACCAAAGACAGCTTTAGCTTCTTCAGTTTGCTTAGCAGCAACTTCTTCGGAACCAAAAGAAGACTTGTTCTCTTCTTTTGTAGTGTCTTGAACCTTCTTATCTTGCTCGGCAGACATTGTAGGTATTATGCTGATGGTAAGTGTCCTTCTCCACCAGAACTTCTCTTTATTATAGAAGCTTGGAAAACACTCCCTTTACCTCCATTGGATTATAACATATTATTATCGTATGAAATGTTGTTGCTGCATTAGAAGTTTGAATATAGAAAAAAAGGCACCGTTTTTGGTTGGAATTAGCGTACATTTAATGTTTAATATGCTTGAACTGATCACTTTGGTCAATTGATATAAAAAGTGCAAATAGCCAGCAACAGAAGACTCACTCGTCGCGTCTCAGGCATTCATATATGAACTAATTAAATTAACGTCTATGACTCGTCAATTTGCGGAAATTTCCTTCAGGTCATTGCATGAAATTTTATTGTTTTTTCTAAAAAAAAAGAACACTAGACGTAAAGATAATCATAGATACTAAATCAACTAAGCGTCTAGGACTCAATTGCCTGTCATTTATACGCTTGGCATATAGATAGTTTTGAATCTTCAACTGGGCATAGATGTTACAACCAAACCAAGGAGTACTTAAGAACTTTCACCTTACAAAATATCGAGCGAAGCAAAGTCACAAACCATAGAGGCAATACTTCAACCTGCTTCTCATAGTGATGATTATAAGGGTCCATCACCGACAAGCTTTGCCCACTGACGGAAACAACCACCTTCAGCAAATTCGACTTCTGGGAATTCTGATAGACATTCACAATTACAGCCAAGATCCTGGCCACAGTGATAGATATCCGAATGCCGGTATCCAAAATCCCGAAAATAATGTACCTCGGTTTCTTTTAAGAAAAGGCCTGCTGCTAAAGAATGAAATGGCGCATCTCCCCACTGTTTGTTTGTCAGCATATCTCTTTACAAGAAAAAGAAAAACTTACTCTTTCAGTCCAAAAACCCCCAGTTCTATCCATCTTTTGAAAAAAGTCTTCATATAAATCATTGCGGAAGAAATCAAAGTTAGCAATTTCGAAATTGCTCCAAAAATGACACATGTTGTATGATTCTCCGTCCATGTTGGAATTTTCTTCAGAGTATAAAGTCTTCATTTTTGCATCCAATTGAGACGTCAATGGTGTTTGAGAATCCCCACTGTCCACGTCTACTAATTCATTGTCTGAAATTTTTTCAGATTCTGATGATTCCAAGAAAAAGTTCCACAATCCCGAGTTTAGTTGCTTTGATCGACGATAGGCAGATGAGTATCTAAATAAGCTGGGGACAGTGTCTTCTAATTCTTTGATTGCAATAACAAAACCATATACTTTTCCATTGTTCTTCATATAATAGAATGGGTCATACGGTATATCACAAGTAAAAGTCACATCCGGTTCTACACGCCAATACCATTGGTACTTCAGTAAAAGAGGATGCTTGTAAAAAAAGCTATTTTTGATTAGTTAAAATTTCGTTTCGAAAACTTACCCTGAGAAAAATCGACACATGTGATGATAGCTTTCTGCATCTCCATACATAATACCCCTGTCACCTTGGTCTGCTATAGCCTCTTGATACACTGAGGCATCAATATTGCTAGGAAAACCAAACATTTCGCTGTCAATTTCGCCAAACTCAATATCTGCCGCAGTGTGTTTGCGAACTGTGTCCATAAATGTTTGATCAAACGGGTCATTGTTCAAGAAGGTGTAGGGATAATTGAAATGGCGATTAAAATGCTTTTCCAAAGATTTCATAGAAGAAACGACACCGTCAAGGTCGGAATTTCTAGTCAAAATTACAAAAGTTGCATTCATCCTAGGGTGCATTTGAGCCTCTAATGCAACATTCTTACATCCTTTAGAAAACATAGGATCAAGTTTATCATCAATTCTCTCCAATGGTGGATGTGAAATCGTATACGTAACATGTCGAAAACCCATCCACAATGTCAAAAGTGTTAGACACAGGATAGGGACCATCACAATGACTGCTGGGATAACAAATGTTCTGCTTCCTAACCTTCGACGGAAAAGGAACCTTGGCTTTTGAAAACTCCTCGAAGAGTACAGATTTCTATCCCAGCCGAACATCTTTGCTTTGGTAGCGATTAGTTCGATTACCTTTTAGAGAAATACCCTGGTGCAAAATGTAAACAAACAAACCATGTCACTCACACTCAGAATAAAACATAAATCAAAATAATGTTTGCACCTTCAATATAAACTAAAAGTTTATTAATTCATAGCAGTTTTAATAGATAAATATTAAGGTTGCAGAAAATGAGAGAATTAACGAAACCAAAAAAAAATATATTAAATAGAAAAAATAAACATCAGAAGCCATTGATTTTTTTTTAAAATACAGACTTTGTTCTGAATTCTCCAATATGCCTAAGACTTTCATTCATTGATCCTTCTGTATAAAGGTGTTTTAATTTGAGTAACCTCAAGGTAAAGTCATTACTTTTCCCATTCGAAAAATTACTTTTTCTGTTGGAATAATTAAGGTAACATTGGAATACGTCTAACAGATCCCGAGAGTTTCCACTTTCAGAGTGAAAAAATTAACCAAAAAAATCTCCCCAAGACATAAGACTTATATATGCTCTCTGTCTCTAGTAATGTAATAAGACTAACTTTAAGCATGATCTAACGAATCCTCAACAGTACCATTTGAAACAAAATTTAATTTGGATTGAAATTTAGTGCATAAAACATTCGTAGCATCCGTTTCAGAGTTCAATCCCTCTGGATACTTTTTGTTGGGATCAGCAACATTTTTGTAACCATTATCTGTTGAATACATGGAATCAACCTTCACGGACTGAATTTTATTTTCTCGAAAACATTTGTCATAGGAAGGCTTCATACTCTTTTCCGCAGTAAAGGTAAAACTCGTTTTTTTCGGTAATGACTTGATTTCGCTCTTCTTTTCTTCAGAACGGCATTTCGGTGATCTATTTGACTGTTGATCAAACGGAAAATCGAACGGATTGTTATGAAATGAAAACTCAAAATTATTAGAATTGATAGATAATGTTGAACCTTTTTTATGCTTTGGAACATTTTCATGACTTTTTTTATTCTCTTTAAAGGAATCTGTGAAGGTATCAGATGAGGAAGAACAATGATTCTCTTCGTTAGAAAGAACATTCGTAGTCTGTGAGTTTTTATCATTCACTTTGTAAGATTGAGTGGCAGGTCCATCTAAATTTATCTCCGACTTCAATTGCGAGAGGTTAGGCTTTAGGGACTCCCGATTTATTCGAGTTTTATTATGATCGAATTGAAGAAAAGAGGTAGGTGCACCGAAGTTCTTAGCCGTCTTTAAAGGCTCAGTTTGTCTTTCTGGAAGGGGGGTTTCGAATTTAAAATGACTGTCTAGATCCTTTTTACGGACAAATTTAGGTACATTAATCTTTCGACTTTCTTTCATAGTTGAACGTTGCTTAGTACGAATGCCAATACCTGACTGAGGATCATACTTGGAAAATCTTTTACCATTAAGTAAATACTCAGAATCTTTTAATGTTCCGTCGTTCTTATCACGCCGTCTGTCATGTTTGGGGTTCTCATAACTCTTTCTAGGATCTTCTTTGTGATGGTGATTCTTAGTTGCCTCACGATACGCTGCATAAGCACTAGTTTTTCGACTAAAAAATGAATTATTGAAAGAAGAACTTGACCTAGAAGTTCCCGGAGCCTTAGTAGGGCGGGACGAATCGCATACCCGTCGTTTCGTTACGTCTGTTAAAACATCATAAGCGGTTTGTACTTGTTGGAATTTCTTTATAGCCATTGTTTCGTTGCCATAATTTCGATCCGGGTGATATTTTAGAGCAAATGCTAGGTATTGTTTACGGATTTCTTGCACTGTTGCATTTTTTGGTACGTTCCTGCCTCAAAATTAGTAAAGGAAGTAAAAATCATCGAAATATAGATCAAGATACCTACAGAATGGAGTAATAATCGGCTTTTGTATCGAGTTTAGTTTTTGAGGACATGAGGAAACAGAAAATGCAGATACCCACACTCAACGTAGAAGCTGCTATGCCAATAAAGCAATCAATGGCAAGATTTGTCAACTAGGGGGCTTCAATTCGTAAAGTGTTCAGCCGAATGCAGAATGTTAGAAAATTAACTTGTTCAGTCGCCTGACTGTTCAACTTTGATTTACATTCTGGTTAGCTTCAGTAGTCTTTTATTATTCTAAAAAAAATTAAAAAAACATTCAGAAATTCAAACGACTGGAAATAATGGGGATAATATCCTCGACTTTCATGCGTTACAAGATCTTTTAACATTTCACGACTTCGTCCGAGAGCTCGACGAAACATCCTATCAAGTATCGTATTACTGGATTACCAATTCTTTAAATAATTACAATCATTGCTACTTAGGTAGGGAGCGGCAGCCGTTTGGCAGGGTTGACAGTTTTACACCTCTTATTCTATTCTAGTAGTAGCTATACTTCCAAAAAACCGCTTCAAAAAACTTACAGGAAGTAAATTAACAAAAGATTAAGGTTTGCAACGTTCAGTGAAACGAGGGAATAAGCAGCATTCGCGAACGGTATAGCGATCACATAACCATGCAAGGAAACGTTCAAGTCCCAATCCGAAACCACCATGTTCTGTGGTACCATATTTGCGTTGTTCAGTGAACCAATAGTAAGGAGTTGGATCAATACCCTCACGTTTGTAAGCAGCCAAAAGCTCGTCCATGTCGAAAATCCTCATACTACCACCAACAATTTCACCAACGTTTGGCATCAAACAATCAACACTCTCAGTAAGATCAGGACGTTCTTTAACACGTTGCATATAAAATGATTTAATTTCAACAGGGAAATGAGTGAGGAAAATAGGTCGGTTGATTTGATCAGTCATCTTACGCTCAGCAGCTTCAGCAATGTCATCACCGAACTTATGATGTTCACCTTCGGATGTTAGGATGTTGTGTTCGTTAAGGTACTTAATAGCATCCTCATAAGTAAGGCGCATAAAAGGTCTACTGGGCTTCTCAAAGGTAGGGTTCAATTGCTTAATCAAAGGAGCGGCAACTGGATCGTCGAGTATGCGATCAATAGTCTGACAGATAAATTCTTCAAGAAGTTCTAAATATTCTTGGAAGTTAAGGAAAGGCATTTCAGCCTCAACATGAGTAAATTCGGAAAGGTGACGTCTAGTAAGAGACTTTTCAGCACGGAAACTTTCTTGAACGCAATAAACATTACCCAAGGCAGGCATAGCAGCTTCAAGATACAATTGACTGGATTGAGTCAAATAGGCGTCCTGACCATAATAGTTAAATTTGAATAAAGTAGCACCACCTTCAACCTGGGTCTGAACCATGCAAGGAGGAGTAACCTCAGTCATACGGAGGTCCTCAAAAGTGTCACGCATAGCACGCAAAACGCGAGCACGAACTTTAAGAACGGCAGATGCAGTTTCACCACGAATAACAAGATGACGCTGATCAAGCAAGTAGGAAGGCTCAGCTTCAGCGTTCAAACGGTTTGTAAAGGCTTCCTCACCAGTAGGAGCAGCATGAAGGATTTGGTAGTAATCGACAACGAGTTCATGGTTACCAGGAGCGGATTTTCCTTCAGGTAATTCCTTAAGGACACCATACAAAGAGATTGTAGACTCAGGACCCAAGTTTATAAAGTCATAAGAAGCCTTTTCGCAGACTTTGTTGGTTAAAACGGATTGCAAGAAACCAGTACCATCACGTAAAACAACAAAAATGATTCCTTTTTGGTTACGCATACGGTGAACCCAGCCGTTAACAACAACACGCTTCTCGCGGTATTGGGTGCCGTCGGTAATCAAAATTTTCTCAGCCTTAGGAGCACCCTTAGGCTCTTCCAAGACAATTTTAGAAGCAGCTTCCAATCTCTTCGCCTCGGCCTCCTTGGCAGCAGTAGCCTTACTAGCGGCTAGCTTCTCATTTTCGGCAGCCTTGGCCTTTTTACGAGCAGCTTGCTCAACTCCTTTCTTGGCCTTCTTCAACGCATTGGTACCAATAGGCTCATATTGAGAAGAAGAATCTTTACGAATCATGATAGTATAGTTTTCGTCGACCTCTAAGGCATGAATGGCAGTCTTGAAAGGCTCACCTTCTGTTCCTTTACCAACTTCATCATTGCCGGAACTTTCGTCAACAAACACAGTAGCTTCTGGTTTAAGCTTCATTTCAGCTATACCCTTTTCAACACCAGACATTATAGGTGATCTAAAGGGATATTTGTGGTTGGTTTAGTCTAAGTACTGTTTTCCTTTAACCGGTCTTATTTATCTGCGAAAAGGCCGAAACTTAATTATAATAACACAAATATAATACAAACGAGTTATTCCCTACAATTGTAAACAGCAAGCAAAAATCTTGGATAAAGAAAGTTGATCAAAAGACAATGTCGTTTCTAATATATAGAAGAGAAGTATACGTCTAGTTAAAAAGTACGAGTCTTCAAATTGGAAGATCCAAAGGATCTGACTGTATAAACAGAGTCATTTTCTCATTTATATAACCAAGTCGCTAAACTGTAAAAATATTTGCCAGAAAGGAATCGATTAGAATCCAATTTCTATTTGAGGGCCGGTTTTAACTCAGAAGGCTCACACACTCTTCTGTGTAAACCATAGAGTCTGAAAATCTATATGTGACACTAACTTGCTCATTGCTAAATGTAGATAATACTATTATATTACAGAAGCATACGCGGTAATAATATGTTTCGAGTCAAATGGGTTTGCATTATCAAGCATTTTCGCAGAAAGTCAAGAAAGTTTTTTTCATGATTACTCACTCAATCTTTCATTACACTGTATTTCAACGATGGTAGGTTTTCAATGGTTTCTGCATTAAAAAAAAAAAAAGAAAACTGATTGTCTTAAAAAAAAAGGAAACGATGATCAGTAGATATGCTTTGCCAATTTGGATACCACTTACGAGAAGAATGTGACAGGTTTCTTAGCTTAATAGCTAAACAAATCACATTTTAAATACAAACTCATTTCATAGAGTTGTTGTGAATGCACTTTAAAGAACAAGGCGTACTCCATTGATGTTCTATGGGAAACAGCATGCATCTAATGAAAGAAGAAAAACTAAAAACTGTTTTTAAGATTGAAGACCTAAGAACATTTTTGCTTATTTTTGATAAAAGCAACAACATAGACATAAGCCAAGAAGAAGAGAAGCTTTTTATCTTAATTTATATTCAAAGAAAGAGGAAAAACCCAGTTGTCCATCAAACACCCATATTGGGTACAACATCGATTATTATACAGCAAGAAAATTTGGTATGTGTTGAGAGATTGTAGAAATCAGTAAACTTTTTACCGTCTTTTCTGTGTGAAAAAATAAATAAGTAGTAAAGAGAAAGGAGCACTTAATAAAAGGACAGGATAGGATCAATTATTTGTGTTTAAAGTCCACCCAAACGAGGAGCGATGTTATTGTCTTCAGAGTCCCAGTTTAAGTAGCGATGATCTGCCAGTTTTCTAGGTCGGATGAAGTGTCGTAATGTAAATAATGTACCTAAAACTACACTTACAACACTCACCACAATGTAAGCTATTCCGAGAAACGGATTTTTACCGCCTAAAACAGAGCGAGTGGTAAGCACTATAGACTTGGTTCCATCGTAATCTTTGACAGGAAAATGAAGCCCAATATCTAGTTCATAAGTACCTGGATTTAAGTGGTCTTTGTCGTTGCGTCTCGCGAGTTTGCTGAATGTTGGTAATCCAGCGGTTCTCATCCAGACTTGTAATTCTTCCATGGTAGACAAATCAGGCATATTGTCATCTGTGTATCCGTTAGGGTATCTCAAAACCCAATTTGGGGGAGGCACAACTTCGCTAGGCTTGTATTGCGTTTTCTTAAAGCGACTAGCATCAGATGCCCAAGCAATATTCTTTGAGTTAAGTTGATAGAAGTCTTTTATTTCCTCGTTAACAACGCGATTTAACATTGAAAAAGTATCGTTAAATAATGAATTGGCGATCAAGCCACAAGGATAGTACGGTTTTCCTTCTTCATTAGACTCTAACGGATAGCATCCTGAAGATTTCACATCCTCTGCACTCTGAGCGTATCCACGAATTTGTTTTTCATCCAAGCTTTTTGCATAACGGCGATGATTTTGATAAAAGTTGGTTAAGCGATAATAAAGAAAAATGGGCGCTTTCATTAAAGATGGGACATTAAAACGAACCTTGCAAACCTTGATATCCAGGTTCAAATCATTGTCGTGGGTGGTGGACAATTTCCATGATGGTGTTGGATTTTTTGCTTTCGCTACTAAGGAGTAGTCAAAAGCTGCTTTAAATTTTTTCGAAGGAATCTCTGTGAACGTATCATAATTAGCCAATTTCTCACAATCAGTATAATCCACGACCAATTCCTGCACGGTAGAACTCGCATATAAAAGGCCGCCTCCTAATGGACCAAAAATGATACCCAAAATGAAAAACAAAGGAAGCACCGTTTTGGGGGTTAACAAAGGCTGCCATGATTTAATTCTCTGCTGACGAAACGAGGTGTTTGGACTAAATTCCGTTAGTGCTTAATCTATAAAAAGACCGCTCATAAGCCATTCTTACTTACGGTGCACGAGATTTCTTGTTAGTTTGATCAGCAGAATGATCAATATTATTCTCTTCTACAGAATCCGACATAACGCCTTCTCCAAAAATGAATAAAACCCTGTATACAATTCGCAGGAATCTCTCCGGTTCACGACTTTAGAATAAAAACCTCAAGCCAAAACAAAAATTGAGTCCTTAGAATGAATAAAAAAAGAAACCCTCTGAAACTGCCAATTTTATCAGGAATACACACTGAACAATGCCTTTTAGTAATGTGGTTCTTGTTACCAACTATGTCCTAGTAAACAGAGTGGAACTGGCATTTAGTGTACTGTCTTGTGTTTCCTTAAATACCCTTGTAATTTAGTGCGTGTATGATGCTAATACGAGTTTACGTACACTAACGAGAAGTGCACTGGTAATCAATTGAGCAGAGAAGAACATTGGCATTGTAGAGTTTTGAGCTTTAATTACTGGTTTTTTAAATCAGCTTCTTTTTATAGGGTACTTTTGGGTATCAATTCGGACGTATTTTGTACCTTCAGAGAACTGTAAGAATGTTATCTGCCGACAGAAGTTAGCCTAAACCGAAATGATGAAACTAAATTAGCATTATATATTTCACTTGACTAATTTTAGCAAACTGCTGTATGTTTTACAGTATTTGATATCGATGTTCCTTTTACCGTGATGGCGGATTTAAAATGTACGGCTTAAAAGCTATCCTTTAACAAACAGACTACTACTTTAGCCAGTATCAAAGGTTTGTCTTTTAAAGATTTTATGAAAAATTGAGTGACTGTTAACATTACTTTCTTAAAGGATCGCTAGTCTTTCAATTGACATTTCAGAGAAATCAATCCGACGGATTGCCTACCGACAGCTGGTTTCTAACAATATTCTATTCTCCTTGGCTTTTTAACGAGTACACCATCACATTTCTATTTGAGAGCAATGACTGAGTACACTTCGTCTACCCCAAGACGCTCTACACGGCTGAATACAAAGGATGCTGTCGGATCTGAGCCTATAAAAGAAAAAGAACAGGATTCTAATAAGGTCATTAATGTAGGTGATTTCATCCCCGATCTTACTCTTCTGAACCAGGACGAGATTCCAGTAAGTCTTTCAGAACTGGCAAAATCACGCGGGATTGTCATCTTTGCATATCCGAAGGCCAGTACACCAGGATGTACTAAGCAAGGTTGTGGATTTCGTGACAATTATCCTCAGATTCAGGCCGCTGATTATGAAGTATTCGGTCTGTCCTTTGATTCTTGTAAGTCTCAAAAGAGTTTTCAAACAAAGCAAAACTTTCCTTACGACTTGCTCTCTGATCCAGAAGGTGTTTTAATTGAACGTCTTGGTGCTAAGAAACCGGATGGAAAATTGTTCCGTAGCCATTGGATCTTCGAAAAGGGTACAGGAAAGTGTCTTGTTAAGGAAATTGAAATATCCCCTCTTGACAGCGTTGATAAAGCTTTCCAAGTAATCACTGGTTCCAATGCTTAAAGATGAACCCTGCTTATAACTTGTAAGATTGCTTTGCCCATGGCTTATTTTTATGGCTTATAAATGTCTTTGAGATATGCTACATGAATATATTATATCATATATCTGATAGCACTTTGCGTTGATATTTAAAATGCTTGTAGAATTGTCTAATTCCCTTGTTCGTTCCGTGTATTTACATGTGACGACTTACAAAACCTAAGCATTTTCGGATAAAACAGCATTAAATACTATTTTGATGAATTCTGGATGTGAAGATTTTACTTCTAAATTGCTAGTCATCCGCAAGCATGTCTATTCGGGATCCAATTTTAGTAATTGCAAGACGTAAAAGCTATTATTTGATGAACACGCACATGTGCTTCAAATCCTTATATACTTCTTATATTCTACTTCAAATTATTAGTGCAGCTGCTTATAATGAACTTTGTTATTTTAAAGACTCTACTTACAAAACAGTTTTCGTTTCAACAATAACTGGGGCTATTTTGTTTATTTGAACATCACTTCTTCAGAAAATAAATGAAAATCTAATCAAACATAACTCTCACATTGAAGTGTGCATTTGGTTCATTGACATGTCCTTTGTAGTATTTGGTATTGATATTTTGCAAACTTACACTTCGTTAGTCTACTTCAACATTTCTCGCTGTCCAGTACCCCTCAAAAGAAAAATAAACAATAGAAACGAGCTTTGAACTGTTCCTCCAACGCTTAATATTGAAATTACCGACGCCGTACATAAAAGTACTATTTGACCTTGGAATTATAAATTACCAATATGTAAATAATAACTTTTATTGGTAGTTGTCATTTATCATGATCGCTATACAAGCTGATTTTGTCAATCCCACTTTTCGCATTTATGATATCGTGAAGTTTAAAAGCTTCCTTTGATTCTAGTATATCGATGCTCCTTGTCTATATCTTATCATTTTTGTGAAGTAATCAATTAGTATACTTATTTCTTGGACAAAAAACGATTGTAGAGCGAGCCTCACAGGTTTTATTTATGTATTATCGGCTACAGTTTCCTGAGGAAACATAATTTGCACCTAATTCCTTCCGACAATCTTAAACTAAAGATTGACTGAATGCTTGAATCCGCTCTTTACCACCGATCACAAGAAATTGCTTATCATTCACGGAATTGTTGAGCCATAGGATATCAAAGTCATCATTCCCAGCAAGATTGTTTTTTGAATTCAATGGTCCAGAAAGCGGAGACAAACTATCATCTTGACCATAGACATAAATATTTCCCACTGCACTAATGACAGCTAGTCGTGAATCGCGAGAAACGAATGATATTCCAGTCAAAGCAAAGTTATCTACACTTTTTTGGCATATACATTCCTTTTTCTTCAAATCGTGGACTCGAAGAATACCATTTTCATGTAATGAATAAAGGCGAGAATCGGAATCCGGTTTAGCAGCAATTCTATTAACTCGATCTTTGACGGCAGGATCTCCCAGAGTAGAATCACCCCCAATTAGAAATTCATCAACCTGTTTCTGATTTTCTACCTCATAAATGCGGACAAAACCGTCGTTCCAAGCAATGGCTAACTGATCATCAACTAAGCACATAGACAATGGTTGCTTGTTAGGTTCCTTAATATGGAACAATTGCTCTCCAGTATATTTCCAGCCACGAACCGTATTATCAGACGATAAGGACAAAAGGATCGGGTTTTTTTCTTTTTTCTCTAAACATAAAAGCTCCCATACACAATCTTCATGGCCTACAAACACGGTAGCTTCTGTCACGGGGATAGAAGAGGGCTCATTTGAGGAAATAGCAGGCAATTTCCAGCATCGGATCGTTCCATCGTGACCTCCACTGAAAATATGATGAGTAGCTTTGGGTATGCATAAACTCAAGACCGGACCTTTGTGACCATAAAAAGTTAAGTGTGGAGATAATTCGCTCACAATGTGCTCCGATGGCTTTTCAAAAAGTGTCCATATATATATTATCCCATCATCGGTACCGGTAGCAAAACTAGGGGTGCTTCCCGGTAAAGGTTCGTGCGCTACACAGCGAGTAATTTCGGCGGAGTTAATAACCTCATACGACAGTTTCCAACTGTCATGTTTATCAAAAGATTTTTCATTAAAATGAAACTCCTCATTAATATCCAATTGATTCATGGCGTCTTGACTAGCATTCAAAGCATCGTATAACGGGGTATTGGCAGAAGAGCGTTTGATTACCTTTGGTGTCTTAGCTGAATACGAGTCACCTGAAGAAGGAGGAGCTGGATTCATTATTTCATCTTCGAGTAAGTCATCACTAATCATATCGTCAGACAAAGGCTTCGTGCTATTATCATTCAGCGTGAAATCTTCGTCAGTAGCATCATTCAAGACCATCTCCTTTTTTAAATAAGAGTCCTGCATATTATTTTCGGAATTAAAAGTACTCAAATTCTTTTCCTGCATATCAGGAAGTGTCTGCTCTTGCAGAGTGTTCCAGCGAATATTTGGTTGCAGGTTAGTCAAATAGACAACTTCTTGGAGAGATCTAAGTGTAATGTCAGCATCATAAAATAATCAACTACCTTACTTTTTAATGAAATCTCTGCTTTTGCGCAAACAAGCATCAGACTTGACTTCAGTAGAGCCAGTAACATTGAGATCAGGTGTAAGAGGGTAAAGCTCGTCTATTGGAGCCATTTTGTTGTTGTACACTCGATTCAAAGCCTTTTCTAACATTTGGTTTCGTCTATCCTGAAAAGTACTCGATTGTTCTAACCTTGCTTTTTCTCGTTCAAGATTGGCAATTCGAAGCTAATTGTTAATAAACATCATTTCATCTATATATACCTTAAGTTCAGCCTTCTCAATTTCCCAAAGATTTTTGTCTCTTTCATTTTTGAACGCTTCGTACTGTAAATACTGAATGACACCTTGCAAGGTGTACATATTAGGATTTGTGTCCTCTAAACTTCCATCCTGGCGTTTAAATGGATGAAGAGATTTCATAATATAAATTTTGATAGGTATTGCAGGCTATTATACCCGTTGTATAATTTCTGAATTACTCGGCGGTAAGCAAATTGAAGGGAAGTTGTTTAACACGGTATGAACCGAACAGATAGCTTATTGAAATAGCGCTGAGATTATTTTCAACTAAATAAATGAAGTAAAAGAAATAATATAATCCTCAGTGTGTTTGTTTGTACATTTATTATGATGTTGTCAAAAAGCTTAGTATATTGGTGGAAATTGCTTAAAGTAAATAAATTAATATCCCAAAGTGAGTACTCTAAAGTGACTTAATTTCTAACGAAAAATGAATTAGTGCATGAATGTTGTGAGTCACATGTTCTCAATTGACAAAAACGAGTGTAAACTTATCTTAATATATAATATGAGCAGTCATTAAAAAACACATTATCAAAAACACTTATCGCTTTTTAAAACTTACAGGCTTTATTTCTCTCGATAAGTAGGAACGTTGGAGAGCCATCAGGGAAACCTTGTCATGAATTTTCCTCTGTCGTTTAAGAAGCAAACAAGCATCATTGGTTTCAATAGTTTTTCTACCTGCATGGTCCGCATAAGCGGATAGATCCTCTGTGACTTGTTTAAAGAAATCTTCTGACACTGATGAGAGTTCTTCGATGACACTTGATGAAACGCTTTTTCTTGAATAAGCATTAGCTAATTTTCGTAAGTTCGAATCGGGTAAAGTTTTTGAAGATACTTTACGAGATTTTTGCTTCGGCTTCTTGAAACCATCTTTATCAAGTAAGGATATGTTCTCGTCAATAGTAATGGTTTCTTGGTTTGCTGCAGTAGGTTCTTTCAGAGGGTCACCTAGCAACGGTTCTTGAATTGGGGAAGTATTTCCTTGCATTTCATCTACTCTTGATGATTCTGCATCAGGTAAAGCCAGTTGTTCAAAGCTTTCATCAAGTTCAGGCTCGTGAGCCGGAGAAATGTTTCTTTGCAGCTTGTCTATTCTCGAGGATTCAGCATCAGGTAAAGCCTGTTGTTCGAAGCTTTCATCGAGTCTAGGTTGATGAACCGGAGAAGTAACTCTTTGCAGCTCATCTATTCGCGAGGATTCAGCATCAGGTAAAGCCTGTTGTTCAAGGCTTTCATCAAGTCCAGGCTGATAAACCGGGGAAGTATTCCCTTGTAATTCATCCATTCTTGAGGAATCAGCGCGTGAACCTTGAAAAATATCCCCTTTCATAAGTGTTCTAGGGGTAGGAGATTCTATATGTGACACTTCCGAAGACCTTCCTTCATCTTCGTAAGGGTGGGTATTGGCGACTGACGGGCTTTGTGTCAATTGACGACCTTCTAATGTTCCAGAAAAAGAAGTATCGTTTTCAAGAAGATCTGAATTAAATGTAAATATGGGGCTTTGGTATTGGTTCAATTGCATACTGGCTCTATCGGCTGAAGGTGTATCTTCCCCAGGGTCTGCTGTTTCATAATCACTTACTGGAAGACGAAAGACAGGAATTTCATCTCCTACATCCAAAAGATGGTCGGGCGAATTACTAAGAGCGCTTTCTTGCACACGATTAATATCGTTTTCCATAAGCTTGGAATTCGCAAATGGATTCTGAAACCCGCCTATTTTTCGAGATTCAGGCGTAAATATGTCACTTACTCGTGCAGAATATCGCCTAGGTATTTCGATAGATTGTGTAGTTAAGTCCGCTTCTTCTACATGACTTCTACTGTCTCTGCGGTCTAGTTGGCGTCCTGATAGGCTTTTCCTAGATGGAGGAGCTATTGGCATTGTAGAAGAAGTTCTACGGAGCTTCTTTTTTTGAGAACTACCATTGCTAGATTCAGCTGGAGAGGGAATGGGTTGCTTCGCTAAAGCACGACTTAATGTTCTCAAGATATCTCTAGGGGTTTTGTTTGCATGGATATTGCTCTTTCTTTTATTTATATTACTTTTTCTTGCTAATGCTCGCTGTTTATGGGGTGTAACAGTTCTCTGAGCAGATGGCAAGCTGGATCGATTTCTAGAAGGTGTAAAAAGCTTTTTTTGGGACAATGTACCTACCAAATGATTAAAAGAGGTCTTTCGGATTGGTGTTTCCATTACTGGATTATTCATAGTGAAAGCTATGGACAAACCTGGCTACGAACTTTCTCTTTCAATTGGCACCAATAAGAGTGTTCTTTTCTTCGACTTCGATATTTCTTTCTTTCAGAAACAAATCAAATTTTAAATAAACCAAAATGTTTTGTTTTGTGCATTTCAAGTACTCATGATGAATATGAATATGAAGGTGGTGGTGAGGTGAGGTGAGGTGCAGACATTGTATAGAAATTTAGAGATGAAAGATAATGTAACTTCAAAGTGGGAAAACTGTCTACGAAAAAGAAAAAAGTGATTTTTATGGTCATTGCGACCGGCTTGATTCAATTGTACAATTTCATGTGCCTAGATACAAGGAAAGAGAGAAGATAGTCTTAAGGCTATCTTTCAATGAACATTGTTTGTTATATGACTTAATGAATAAAATAAATTGTCCAGGCTATTTTATAGCAACCTCTTTACACATACACGCCTAACGCAAATAGAAATTAAAAATAAAACGAAAAAACAGAGTTAATCAGATTACGTACTGAATCAATATATCTTTTTACTTTTTATTTTATTTTGGTATTTTCAAGCATTCACCGAATTTTCATCGGCATTTGTCTATAATTTTTTTGAATGCATCATACTTTATTGCCATACTGAAGAACTAGTTATATCTGTTTCAGAACAAAAAAAAAATAAAAATAAAACTAAATAATAATATGAATGGAATATAGAAACTTCTGCTTTTAGTAATTGCTGAGAGATAAACCAGGTTCAATTGTTTATGTGAGAACTGCAGTTCGTCAGAGATGATATTTACTCTTATAAATAAAAAATTTACTTATTTTCACTTTTTTTCAAAGAAAAAAGAGAGTAGAGAGATCAACCTTCCTTTCCATCATTTGTTATATTTGTACCAAGTAACAGTAAACAAATACAGAAGAACGGTCAAAAACGTCACGAAATACATGTCACTTTCGTTACTTAAGCGTTTACTTTCCTTTTGTTATGTAAATAAATAAAAATTTGTTGCATGCCATATTTATAGTATATTCTTAATAGTAGGAACTAAAGATGAATAATAATCTTTTTGAAATGAGCGAGTTTATTTAAAAAAAGCATCAAAATCAATGGTAAGGCATCCGTACTCCCTGTTTTCCTGTTGTGCAAATGCCTTCAAGAGTCAGACATTCAAGAAGCCAATAATTTTGAACTATTTTATACATCAATGACAGCTTTCATAACGGTGCTTGGATGTGCTAAAGCAACGCAGAAAATGCAATTATATTGATTATAGTACATGATACAGTAGAGGAAGATATACACAACACCATGTTCATGAAAGTCACTGCTTCGCTTGGGAGTTGGTTTGCCCAAACAATGCTACGTCTATTGCTACACTCGTTGCAAATGTAGAGAGGCTTGTGATGCTGAATGGTATCTCTTCTTTTAAATTATAATTATTATAATTAGATTACCTATAATGAAAAAAAATATTGAACATCAAACGAACTTACGAACAGCTCAAAGAGTGGAGTCATTTTAAGAACCCAAAGAAAGTCACCAATTTTTAAACTTATATCATCTCTTAGAAAAAAAAAACATCAGAAAATTCTTTAATATATTTACCTCTTTCCTTGTTGAATAAAAAGCAATTCTACCTTCCCTTCTTTATTCCTAGTCAGTGAGTCTTCCTTACCATTTTCAGACGACCACCACATATCATGTCTCAGGTTCAGATTGTCAGATCTTTTATTGAAGAGCTTTCTAAAAATCCAAAAAAGCATCCAGATAGAATTCCAGCTGATAAAATTAATGGCTCTGCTCTTTCTGTATGTTTACTATTTGTACAATTGGGCCGTTTCTTACAATTCTTTTTTAGACAACTATAGGCTTACCAGAGGCTCCATTTCCAAAAGAAGAATTCAAAAATGAAGAAAAAACCTGTATGTTGTTAACTCCTTACATGATTTTAATACTTTTGTAGTGCATATTACTGCGAAAACTGTGCGTCCTCCCGTAATCTCTGTGAGCGCTGAAGTGTCTACAAGTAGCACAATTTTAGAACTAAAGGAATCTCTTGCTCCCCAGTTGAATGTCGCCGTACCTTCGCTTCGATTATTATACAAAGGAAAGCCCTTGGTGAATTCGAAGTTTTTAACTGATTATTTTGACCCCGAAACGACAGAAGTGTCCTTACAGATGTTTTTACTTCAAATGTCATAGTTGAACCGATCGTAGCCCTTCAAAAAGAGATATGTTCGCTGAATTAGAATATGATATATATGAAGACGAAAGATGTTCAGCTTTGAAGTTCTTTAATCAATAAAAGTATTTAAGACAAAGCTCAGCAAATGACTGGTTTGTTTATCATACTATTTCTTTCGTGTCGTTTTCGTTAGCTGAAGTATTTTATGGTTTTAGCTGTACATTCATCCCAAAACACCTTCAGCAAGCGTATACGAAACTTGAAGTATTTAACAAAAAGAAATCTTTATTTATTTTTTTATTCTAGCTGTTTGCTTCATGTCTTAATATTATCACATCACATAACATAAAGAATGATGAATACAACCATCTAATACATTATAATTCACTCAAAACGATAACGCATTCTAAAGCAGTGGTATTTAACTTCACTAAACATCTCTATATACTGAAGGTACTACTTGATTCCTGAATCATCATCACCAGTGCTTGATAAACGCGTTCCTTCAGTTTTCTTTAATTCATTTACTCCCCGTTTATTTACCGTCTTGATTACGCCAAGAGTCTTTTATTTTATTTAAATATTCTTTACTACGTAGTTTTCTTTGCCAGTTTTGAAGATAAGTTATAATGTCGCTGAATCTTTCTCCCGAAGAACATAATGGGTTCGATCAGCTCTTTAAGATTGCCGACAAACAAGATATTGGTGTACTCACCGGTGAAGAAGCCGTTCCCTTTCTTGAAAAGTCAGGATTGGTTCCTCAAGTATTGGGTCAGGTATGTCATGCTAGATTTGCAGCATGTTTCCATTAGCAAACATAAATAGACTTGAAAAAAGAAAAAGGGTTTCATTTTGTTTACTGGAAAGGCGACTTCTTTTCTTGCTTTCAAGTTTATATTATTTTTTTTTACGTCTTCATCAATATGCTTTGTATACATAGTTGCTATTGAATTGTAAGATATTTTATTAACCTATGTGTTTAGATTTGGCAAATTGCAGATTCAGAGAACCGAGGCTTCTTAACGTTCTCTGCATTCAGCGTAGCCATGAGACTTATTGCCCTCGCCCAAGAAAAGCGGGCTTTCGATTACAGAAACCCGGGTAAAATACCATATTTTTCAAATGTTCAACTATCTAACATTGATTCTTCCTCCATCGTACAACCTTTCGGTTCTAGCGCATCCACAGCCCCAGCATCCGTACGTTCAAATTCCACAGGAAGCATCCCTTTGCCCCCCATAGCTCCCGAAGAAATAAATAGGTACCAAAAAATGTATACCACCGTATGCTCAGCTGACTCACTAATGGATGGTGAACGAGCTAGTTCCATATTTGGCCGTGCTCCGTTGAGCACTGAGGTCCTTGCTCAGATTTGGAACCTTGTCGACACTCATAAACGAGGTGCTTTAGACATTCGTGAGTTTAACACAGGGATGCATTTGGTCAATCTTTTACTTAATGGAACTTTGAAAACTCTCCCACCAGCCATTCCCCCCTCATTTATTGCATCAGCCGTTTTGTCAATGCCTGCTTCGTCTGCCCAATCGCCTCCTGCTCAGAATTCTATGAGGACTCCTAATATCGCTCCTCCTGCCGACCCTTGGAGTATTCCACCTCAAGACATTAACAATTTCTGTCAACTCTTTTATAATGTTGATAAAACACGAAAGGGCTATATATCCGGTTCTGAGGCCTATTCTTTTTTCCTTGCTTCTAAACTCCCTGAAGATGTTTTAGCCCAGATTTGGGATTTAAGCGATACCAATAGCTCGGGTAAATTAAATCTGGGTGAATTTTGCATTGCCCTTTTTTTAATTAAAATGAAACTCCAAGGAAAAGAACTGCCATCCGAGTTGTCTCCTTCTACTTTGACGTCCGTTTCCCCCCTCATGCAGCATAATTCTCCAGTTGTTTCTCCTCAGTCTACGAGTCAACCTACTGTGCAAGCATCTACTACTCAGTCGAAAACGGTTCAACCAATCCGAACTAGTTCAGGAACGGAGGATTTGTTAAGTTTAGATCAGGTTAGCTTCTCCCCCTCTCCACAACCTCAACGTCCTTCGAGCGATTCAAAGCCTCAGCCTAACCAAGAAATTTCTCAAAAATATCCATACAACACTCAGCCTTTGCAAGCAGCCCATACTTCTGGACTTGTGGCTTCCCCCACTTCAGCGGCTTCCCCATTGTCAGGATTTATTCCTCAATCTAATTTTGGCCAGTCGATAGCTAAGGTCAATATGGATAAAAGTAATGTATCGTCTACTACTGGCACTTCTCAAGTAGCTGCTCCTGTACCGCAAATGCCATCTAATGAACATACGAAAGCAGCAGCTGAGTTACCGAAATTGGAAGCACAGCTACAGCAAGCTACCGACAGTAACAGAAAATTGGAACAGGAATCTAAAGCCATCTCCGATAGCCATAGTGACATTCAAACAAAGCTGAGTGAAATAAGAAGAGCCTATAATGAAGAATTGGCAAAGACCAAGCAGATTACTTCAGAAACTGATGCCAAACGTCTACAAACTCAGCAAATGAAGAAAGATTATGGAATTCTAGAGGCTACCATGGAAGCTTTAAAGAAACAAAATGATGAGAAAAGAGTTGCTATTGAGGAAGCTCATGCTGATCTTGAAGCTGCTACCACAATGTTGGACAATGCCAACGCTTCAGTTCAAGCTTTAAAGAATGATATCGCTAATCAAGAACAGAGCCTGACGAATTTGCATAAAGAACTTGATGCAGTTACTCAGCAATTAGTCAATTTGGATAGGGAAAATAAGTCACTTAGTCAGAAGAAAGAGGGTTTGTCGTTGAATATAAGTAATTCTGAAAGAGAGTTATCTACTTCAAAAAATGAGCTAGAGAGTCAAACGAAAAACCGAACCAAGAATATATCTCCATCCCGAGAATTGCCAAATTCTACGCATGGTGAAGAAGCCTTGCCATCCCCTTTAACAAAAATAGATGAAAAAGCTAAAGAAGGACTTCATAACGGCCAATCTTTACAGCAATCAAATAATTTATTTGAAGGCCCCCTAAGGGATGTTCGTTCTCCTTCAATAAACTCTACTGCATCTTCTAGTATTTCAAAAAATCCTTTCCATAGGTTGAAATACTCAGAAAATACTTCTCCTGTGTCTAACTTCTGGGAAAATGAGTTTGCCTCTACTGTTTTCCCTCACAATGCATCTAAGGATACTTCATTGTATACTAATCCAACAAGCCAAACTCCCAGCTTGGATACTGAGATGAGATATTCTCTCAAACCGGAATCTTCATTCGGTGAAAATAATAACTATCCGGAATTATCTAGCTTTGTTTCTCAACGTGGATCCCCAGTTTCATCTGACATGGCTAAATTGACACAATCGAATGAGGATGTTCCAGCGCTCTCAGAGAATTCTGAGAACCGCTTGGGATATAAGCCTCCTGTTCCTCCTTCTCGTCGCGAAAAGAGTGCTTCTTCAAAATCAGCTGAAGAAGAGTTTCCTCCTATACAATTTAATGAACCAGAGGAAGAGAGTTCTGATGATGATGATGAGCAGAAAAAAACCGTCCGCAGATTTTCTAGTACTCCTTTTGAGAATAGTGACGAACATCTGAAAGCATCCACGGCTACGCACGTAGAACATGAACCTCATCATCCAATTTCGCATTTTCCTACATTGAATAATAGTTACCCCGAAATAGAGAATGTGAATCAGCAACATAGCTTTTATGTTGGGGACTCAAGTGACTCGAATAGACCTTTTGACTTTGAAACAGCTAACGAATCGGATAATGAAGAACCTAGTTCTCAACCTCTCCCAGTGGCAAGCGATTCTACAGAGGATGCTTTTAATGTTGATGAGTTCTCAAACGATTTCCAACATCTTCAAGCTGCTGAAGTCAATGATGAAGAAGATCATGACGCTTTTGAGAACGGGGAAAGTAAGGTCATGAACATAAACAAATTTCCGTAAGAAGACCTATCTATTTTCATTTAGCTAATTTAGTTTTACTTATTCAAGCTGAATATATGATACTTTTGATTTTGATAGTTATATGCTACTGAAATTACAGCTTTTGATGAAGAATTTTAGTACGTTCAATATTGTTTCTTAGATGCTGCTTGGGATCTATGTAATTACAACAAAAATGAACAGAAAAAAAAAGAAAAAATGTCTTAGTCTATTGCTAGCAGTATATCTGATAGTGATAAGATAGTTTAGTCCCAAATACCTACGGAGGTTGAACACTTACACGAACCCTCAACTAAGAAGTAATATTTTGCCAAATTATGTTCCGTATTTACTTACGTACTTTAATGTGTACTTATGCAAAATATTGAGAAAATCATCGCTATTGAGGAACAAGGAAACTACTGTTCTCTTCCTCACCACCACTATACCTAAAAATTCTTGTCATAACTTAAAGTTAGATTAAACAAACCATTTATTTTCTTATGGAATAGGGGATTAGTGAAGGCCGTTCAGATAATTGTAAGTCTAACTAACGACATAAGCGGCAGCAGAAAGGCTGTTATAGATTTGGAACGAGAAATTTATTCTGAGCCTTCTTTGATAAACATAAGACTGTGTTATTTGGACTGTACTCGAGTTTATCCAATATTATCGGGTTGACTTTGATGAAAAAACGAATGGGAAGTTCACAAACTTACGCAAAGCAAAAGAATTTGAAAACCTCAAGGATAAAATCTTGTAATAACTGCAGGAAAACGAAGCTCAAATGCGATAAAAAGCTTCCTTGTTCAAGATGTTCGCAAAAAAAGGTAGGTGAAACCTGTACATATGAGTCTTATACTGCCAAAGAACGATGTTCACGTAACGTGGAATCCCCAACGGAAGAATTAGCTTACTCCGGTAAGAATAGTTTAGACAAAAATCTGGATAATGCAAACAAACAGCGAAGCTATCGCTTGTCATATTATGGATTATATGGTTTAATGGATCAGTTTATGAAAGAGAGCATTTCCTCTAATTATTCTTTTGACTTTGTGTTTAAACCTTTACGTCTTCCTGAAGATATAAAAGATTTCTGCAAACATGTTCCACCTTTCGAAATATGTTTAGTAGTTTGTGACATCTTCTTCCAAACTTTAGCGAACTGGATTGATATTATTTCTAAAGACAAGATAGAAGCGTCCGTACGACGGTTTTTTCAAGACCACTTTGAGGTGAATGATTTAATCTTGCTTTTTTCCACGCTTTCAGCGATATTTAAACAAAATGAATTGCCGGCGAATATTTTGAGTTATTGCGAAAGTACACATTGTACGAGGGAGCAATTAGCAGAAGAATACTATGGAAAAGCCGAAAAACTTATTATGTTGAATGATTTACTTCGTAACCCCAAATCCATTGAAACATTGCAGCACCTTGCTCTTCATGCAGCGTTGGAAGTTACTAGTCCTGCACCTGAAACTATTGTCAATTTAACAAGGGCTATATATTATCTCAATTCTATGAATACAAGGGGATTTTTAAGTGAAAAAAATAGCGAAGAGCTTTGGAAATTGATGTTGTCTGTAAAGAAGTTGGATGCTTTATACTGTATTTTCTTCCATGGTTCTCCCTTTATGCAACATGACGTCGTGAAGATACAGTTGTTGCGATTCGATAATTGTTTCACAGAAAATGCTTACGAACAGTTGCTTAGCGAAGTCTGTGATGAGGGTTTGAATATATGTAAGAATACCAGTTGTTTATCTGCTGAGGAATACCTTTTGAATATCAACAAAGTTGAAGTGAATTTGTCTTTATTATCGATGGAAATTGACTTGAAGGCTCATTCTCCATTGCATCCGATATCGAAATTCCAATGTTTTTTTCTTAAATCTGTGTTATGGACGACCAAAGGGATACTATACCTGCCTGTTATAAGTCTCAATGATCAAAGTTTGGAGGAAACGATAGTATTGAAAGATAAACTAGCAGAATCATCAATCTATAAATTTCGGTTAATTACGGATTCAATCCAGAAAATCATAGAGGTTGGTCTGCAAAATTTTTACTTCTTTGAGGCCCTGAAGAGCGTATTTACACTTATAGTTTGTCGTAACGAAAATTATACATACAAAGACGAATTGTTCGATTCACTGAATGTGCTAAAAGGACTAGCACCAGAACTAGGTCTAAGCTTTTCTGTAAAGATAATCGATGAGTTAATACATTTTATAAACTTTGTTTATCAGAAGGATCGCAATGAAGTTGATGGTCATGAAGGAATGAATGATACTGAAATTAATAACTTCTGCGAATTCCTCGTGTCGAATTACTATGAAAATCCGTTTTTCTTTTAAGATCTTTTTACTTGTTGTTACTTAATTATAGGAATCTCTACACAACCTACATAGAAAATTGGAATTTTGGTGCTTGAAATTATTATCATGACACTAACTGTACATTACTTTAAGTTTTTTGATTTGTTAATACTTAATATTTAAAAGAAAATTTTTCTAATGATCCTTTTATTTTGTTTTTGAGTCATCGAAGTTGATGGAAGATGAGAACTTGTATGTTTCCAAATCGTGAAGGTGATTACTAGTTTACTAGATTAACAAGCATCTCGGTCACTTCCTAAACGTATTGAACTCGTCTGTGCAGGACGAGACATTCCTGGTTTATTGTTCACTTACGTGAAACCGTTATTTACATCCTAATTTAGTTTGGGAACACTCGCCGTCAATTGTCGAAGCATTAAAGCATCTTTGTCTTGTAAAATAACAAGTTCTTTCCAATCTTCTAGTTAACAAGTGTTTTACCATACTCTCTCTTGTTCTGATCCATGCAATATGCCAAGTTTTGCTAGCTGTAGGTTTCAGAAAAAGCGAATTTGAAGTATATTCGACTTGACGATGTTGAATAGCCCCCCCCCCAATAATAAACATAAAAGTTATATACGCTTAGTATTATAAAAAAAATCAAAATATGTAGGTTGCACGCTCATGTTGAAAATATTTTCGCTTATTACTTCTCAATTATATCATCCATTGAATTGCTTTATGTTGCTTCTACATCCTGCTTTTCCTCTGAACTCCTCGAATTTAGTAGATAGAAATAATTAAAGACCTACAGAGGTTGATGTTCTTTCGACAGTTTATAGGGTTTCCAAGCCGGTTATAATGTTGAGTTTACGAAGTAATTATCACACATTAACATTTGATCAGAAGAGTACTGCAGTGTGAACGTTTCTTTTTGATATCGCCATATAACAAAATCCACGGTTTCTTCACATACTCATTTTAGGTGTTATTTGTTCCCATTATTAAAATAGATAATGAACTTGGAGCATGTAGCTTTTACCATACATCGCGAAGGTGATAGAAAGCTAGAAAAGGAAAACGGAATCCTGTAGATGCGCTTGCATAATAGATAATTTATTTATTATTCAGACGATCTTTTCTTTCACAAAGGAAGCAAATATAAATCTCTCATTATTTGGACGTAGGATATTTGGTAGACGGAATTTACTTTCTGGTGTTTTTTAAGATGTTGTGCCCTCCTATCCGATTGCGCGCTGTAAGTTAGCCTTCCGAAGAATGTACTGCTTTCATGTTGACTAGTGAGAAGAAATCGGAGAATGTTGGATTCTGTGTCATCATCGGTCATTCCTTTTGGCGTACATTTAATGGTCCCGAGTGTGAGCTTAAAGGATCCTAAATAACTAGTGAATGGTCATGAAGAAATGCATCTCGTGATAATTACACTTACGACTTCGAGGTACTTATTGTAAACGACGACAGTCGTCTCTGTCAAATCATACCCAAATCTTCATTGCTGTAAAACCAAGAAGGTTTGTGGGAAGTATTGGGACAATGTTTTTATTTACTCATTTTTTTTAACAGTCCGGAGCTTTCGCAAAATTCGAAGTGATCCTCGTTCTTCTGCGTTTGGTTACTATACAGGCTTTACTAGATCTATCCATTCTTGGGAGGTCTAGGTTCATCAAATTTTACATCCCAAGAAGTTTGGTTTATCCCTCATGTTCAGCGAGCTAATCTTTGCGCATCATGTTGCTTTTCAAGTTCATTCAGTTCTTTGTAAGAATAACGATATCTATTTTTACATTCTGGGTTATCAGCATTCGCACGTTATAGACTATTTATTCTTTTTCATTTCGTTTGTGCCTAGATGATCAGCTCGTGAAAGAACTAAGTTGATCGGAGAACTTCAAGCGAAATCCGATGTCCGAATCCGCAAACTGTAGATATAAGCTGAACGATGAAATTTATAAAAAGAAACAATTAGATTTCTCTAGCTACAATCTTATAAGTTTACAAAAACATTTCTCCTTTGCAGACCTAACTTGGAACTTGCCTCGGATATTGGAAATGGTTTTAGAACAAGATATTTTTGGTTATATACCAAATATAGTATTAGCAGGATTAGCCATTGCTCTATTTTTTATTCCCTTTCTACTACAAATAGGAGTGTTAATAAAGTGGCGAAAATCCATAGTTTGGGTGCCACTGGTAGGAACGTTTGGAGAAATCGCAGGTTGGATATGCAGAGTTCGTGCTCATTCTCATGTTCAGGGCTATTCCGCATATATCGGACAATCTATCAGCTTACTACTTGCGCCAATCTTTTATTCAGCTGTGTTATATGTCTTACTTTATCGATGGGCACTTATTTACGGTCCTCAGTATTCGCTTCTTCCGCCAAGGTTATATGTTGGTTTGTTTGTTACTGTGGATGTAATAGCTTTTCTCGTGCAATGCGCCGGTGGAGGATTAACCAGTGTCAACTCTTTAAGAAATTTGGGGTTCAATATAGCTTTGGCGGGTGTCATTTTCCAACTGGCGTTTACTATTTTGTATATCCTATTACTGATTCTTTTTTTAATTGGTGTACTCAAACATAAACCAATGCGTCGAACAGGTGCATCTTCGGCGGGCTCACCAAGGACGAGAACGAACGACTTGGTATTTTTGTGTTTGATTTTATCAACAGTAGCGGTTTTGGTCCGTATTGTTTATCGTACCATTGAGTTCGCCAGCGGTCGTCAAAGCAAAGTTGCTACTACTGAACTATGGTTTGCTTTGTTTGATTTTGTACCAATGATTATAACTGCAAGTTTACTCATTCCTGCACTTTACCCTTGCCTATACGAGCAAGAGTACATACACTTTCCTCCAAATTATTTTTCGAGCAATATGCCTCGATTGTCTGAAAATGACGAAGAAGCCGCTATGGAAAAAGTGGTGTAAGCAAATTGGGTACCTTGTTGGTGTTAGTTTAAGGGTGACAAATTCTATTAGCTTGTCTTTGGAACAAGAACGTTACAATTAATGATGTGATGAATGAATGGATAATCAGAAAATACTCATATACCACATTAATATCATTGATATGATTTCAGTCATTTGTTTTCTCCATAAAGATCGTACGGTGTAAAATGCTGTTTTGCTATGCCCAATGCACTTGCGTCTGTCTAAACGTTTATAATTTTCATACCTTAAAAGTTTAAAGTTTCAATAGTTTTGTTTTTCAAACTCTTATTTATTGATTTTGGGAGGCTTACGATAGTCAATTAAGGAGAGTCTAAATACCCTTGTGAGTTAGATAAGTCGAAGACAAGCTTGCTATGATGGTTGACCGTAAAACATCAGGTTAAAATTGGTCGAACGATTTGCCCTTGAGCCGTCTGAAGATTTATACAGCAAATTAAACAAATGAGCTTTTTATAATATAGATTACGAATGGTTACCAAAGAATAGTATTGGCATTGAAGTCCGAACAATGGCATTGTGGGATTGTATTGAATACGCAGACCCTGTAGTAAATCGAAAAAACGCAGTATTTATAAATTAGTGTTACCTAAAGTTGATGATTAACAGAACCGTCAAGCTATTAAATTGCATATGTTGTATATCACTTCTTGAAAATTGACAGCCCACTGAAGTTGTACTAGATTTTCAATTGTCTTTTTGCTACTTCAACAACTCGTAATGTAATTAACCTATAAATGAATATAAGATGCGCCAAGTACTCGATGCATTTTATTAATCTTATACTACTCTATTGAAAGTAAAAAACAATTCGCAACACTAGGACTTAAATCGGTTACTAAATGTTTTACAGTGTACTTCTTCTATAGGTACGATTATGATGATGCTAATGAATTATGATACTATTAAAAGTTCAATTGGTTATATTGCTCTTTAGTAATTTGCATGATATTTATTTGTAAACAAACCGAACGAGTATCGGAATTGTTAGACGGAGTCCGATTTTTGAATGACAATATAAGCAACAGAAATAAGCCATGGTTGATTGCTTAAAATATATATATAGTTCACGAAAACCCAATCCCATCTTTCGTTAATTTCTATTTGCTTCTCTTCTAAGCAATAAAACAACTGAGTGTTTCGCAAAGATTCAGAATTCTGATGAGATAGCTTTCAAGAGATGATAGTCAACAGAACCGTATTTCCTTATATATCCTGTTCAACAAAAAGACTACATACTTGTTTATAGCAACGGGATGTGAGCAGCATCATTTTGCAGCTCTTTATAGAGAGTATACAGAAAATAAATCATTGATTTAAAATTTCGACTGCTGCAGAAGCCTTTGTAGTTCAGACTCTTGATGATGACTATTTGAACAGCTTATATCATATGCATAGCTGTAGCCATTTCTATCTTGTAACATACGACATTCGAATCCATCACTATCAAAGCAATTCTTACGCCTTACAATTAAATAAAGAACTCTCCAACATTGGTGTTTGTATACCTTACAGTATTTTGTTATGTTCTGCCTCAAGAACATCCAAATATCAAATCCTTAATGTGCTTGTCTACCATGAGTACAAAGTAAGATAGTTACAATCAAGAAATCGCATTTGTATTTATCAAGCAAAAATAAAAACAGGCTATTGTATTATCGACATTGCCGTTTTTTTTTTCATTCAAAACATATGTCAATTATTACAACCGTTTTCGGCGTCCCTTAGCAGAAGGCATTATATCTTCTTTCAGTGATTCCCGATTGATTTTCATTTTTACATGTTCAGAGGTAATGCCGCTTCATTCAACAATCCTCATATAAGGTAACACATCATATTTCTAAATTCTTTACTTTTCCATTATTGACGCTTTCGACTGTCACAACCCTAACCTAGAACGTTTGAATAATTATATAATGGAAATTTTTGATTCTAGTTCTTTACAGTCAATCGCTTCATCCTTTGGTGAACAATTTCGTCTAGTCCTTGGCATGACTAGAAGTATGCGTTGAAGCGTAGAAGAAATCAAGACGAAGTGGGCATCCGTTTCGGATTCATCCATGATGATTGGAAATCATTTTGTCTACATCCTCTCAATATAGTGCAGTATAGTCCATCCATCATAGTATACACAATATTAATTCAGTTCAACATAATCCGTCTATAATTTGGTAACGTGCTTAGAATTTATGCATGAAAATAGTAAGCGTTATATATGAGAACATGAAGCCCCTATTTTCGTATCTGAATAGACTCCTCTTCATCTTGCTTTAGCTGTTCTAAAGTCCTTCGTAGCGTTGTTCGAACTTAGATCTGCGGGATTCTTGACCACCAATGGACGACAACGCATGTGAGTCTGGGTTATTCAAAGGCATGTTTGTAATGTCTTTAATTGATACCATGTAAGGACGAGGGAGAGTCGTATTAATCGTGTATGATGCTCCATTTGCCAAGACAACTCGTTGTCTAAACACTTGCGCGGTTTTCGGTCTTGGAGCCAAACCTCTTTTAGAGCTTAACGAAACGATCGATTGCTTCATTTTAAGTAGAAAAAGTTCAGAATCCGTTCGAAAAGACTGGGTATACTACTTATATAGAAGAGTGGAGTTGGAAAGAGACATGTTGCTTGAGATTTATTGTATAGAGAGTTTTAGGGAGTACCTCAGTAGTAAATAAATATATTTCTTTTCTACTCCTGTATCCTATCTTCTTTTTTTTAGAACCGCTGGCTTTCTTTTCTGATGACAATTGCTTCAATTATACTATAATAAAGCTTGGTTGCAATATCAATCAACAATATACAAACTACTCCTACTTTACTTTCCTTGAAATAAGACCCAAACAAAAGACATATTAATATTGTTTACCTATTATTTAGTTCTCATGCAAAACACTCAAGAACTTTTCACCAGCAGACTTGGGGTTCTTGCCGCTGTCAACCTTGACATTGTGCTTGTAGGCCTTGGCGTAGGGGTTAAGACGGAGCATAACGTTCTTGTTCTTGAGAGGGTTCTTCTTTTGAACGTTAGTACGCTTAACGACTGCGGGGCCAGCAGGCTTAACAATGCTTTGAATTTCATCAGAGTTGATGAGACGAGTAACATCAGCGTTAGAGATGACATTTTGAGGGAGGACATAATCCTTTTTGAATTGAGAAACTTCGGTGAAGCTACCGAAAACGCTGTCAAGAAGGTCAAAAGCGGACTTGGTCCAGATGACGAAGCGACCCAAGTGGCCACCAGGAGCAAGTTGAAGCAAGTTCAAACGACGAACGTTGACGAGCTCAACACCGGGGACGTTACGGAAAGCCTTAACAATACCTGCGTCCTCGTTGAAAACAACGAGAGGACCACGACGTTGAACGTAACGACGGTTACGAAGCTTACCCTTACCGGCACGAAGCTTGCGAGAGTTGGTAACCTTGGCGACATCACGGTAGGCCTTGAGCTCCTTCAACAAGGCAACGGCTTCCTTGGTCTTTTGAATAGTTTGGATAGAGTCTTCGACAACCAAAGGAACTTCAGCAATTTCTTCAACACGGTGACCACGGGCCAAAAGGAGAGAAGGAACACCGGAGGCCGCAACAGCGGAAGCGATAGCATAACGCTTCTCGTTTTGGTTGACCTTAACATGCCATTTGCGCCAGGTCTTGGTAGGGGCGAACATACGACCGCTACGGCACATGTTACCAAAAGCAGCTTGACCGGCACGGTGAGTACCACCACCACCGACACGAGGGATACGAGCAAGAGCACGACCGGTACCCCAGGATTCAGCAGAGGTTTGATGACCAGCCTTCTCGGAGACGGCGTAGGGTTGACGCTTGTTCTTAGCAACAGCAGTGTGAACAGAGCGAACCAAGTCGGGACGAATAGGAGCCTTGAAGACAAAAGGCAAGGCGATAGTCTCCGAAGAGACGGCACCGTCCTTGTTGTATACACTAACAGTAGGGCGAGCAGCGGCCATTGTTCAGTTGTTAGATTTGCGGAAAGCTAATACATTTTAGCACTCATTATTGTGGGTCGTGCGAAACAGTCACGTTTTCTAACATCCAGGGTAGGGTATCATATACACTTGTTCGTTTGGATAATACTATATTACAAAATTCGTGTATAGTAATTGAATAAATAAAAGGCATTATTGGTTTGTCAATGGTTAAAAACGATGTTAAACAACGAAAGAGAAAATTCGCTATCAAAAAACTTTTTATATTTTCTATAGAGGATGAGTATATTTCTATGTGCTACTAAGAGACTAGGTCGCAATGCTTAAGATTTTCTTATTTACATGGCCACAAGATAATCGTCAAGGGACCCCATAAAACCTTCACTTTGTAGAAGATATGTTTGATACTTCTGCAACGACGCGTACTCACTCTTGCTTTACCATGTGTTCCCTATAAATAATTTTACATATAGAAACGCATCCCTATCCGTAATAAAACCATCAATACCAAAATCCAAGAAGCGAAAAGAGCAAGCAATCTAAAATTTAATACTTCTCACGTCCAAATTTATTTTACCGCCACGGTAACTACCACGCTTCTTTTTATTCTTTTCTTGACGAAATCCTTTACCACGAGTTACGATTAAGTCCTGATTAGCTTTAGCTCCATAATCATCCTCACCAAAATTAAAAGAATTATTTTTATGAGCTTCAGAAGCAAAAGTCCACTGGGAAGGGTCACCAACTCGACTGAAGGGCTTGTTTTCGGAACGAGCGGATTTTACTGAAGCTGAATCGTTTTGAGAATGTTCGTACTTGCGTTTGTTGCCTTCATTAGATGAGGTAGATGGGCTGGATGACGAAGAAGTTGAGGATGAGGACGAACTTGATGACTGAGGAGTCTCGACCTTAGTGGCAGTGGAGGAACTTTTCTCCGAACCGGATTCGCTGGATGATGAACTCTCATCAGAGTCCTCTGACTCCGAAGAATCTTCAGAAGAAGAATTTGAACTGCTAGAAGAGCTTGATTCAGATCCACTATCCTCATCAGAGTCTGAATCGGATTCATCGCTAGAAGAACTTGAATCGCTTGAAGAAGAAGACTTCTGTGAAGATTCACTTTCACTATCCTCAGATTCAGAGGAGTCAGAAGAACTGCTATCGGAACTTTCATCATCAGAAGAGGAAGAGGAGGAGTCTTCATCAGATTCAGATTCAGAAGACGATGATGAAGAGGAACCAGAAGAACTGCTATCAGAACTTTCACCGTCAGATGAGGAAGAGGAGGAGTCTTCGTCAGACTCGGATTCAGATTCAGAAGACGATGACGAAGAGGAACCAGAAGAACTGCTATCAGAACTTTCATCGTCAGAAGAGGAAGAGGAAGAACTAGATCCACTTGAAGACTCTGAAGATTCTTCTTCACTTGAAGAGGAGGATTCTTCATCAGACGAAGATGTAGAATCTGACTCATCGCTGCTTTCTTCCTTGGTGTTTTTCTTTACGTTTCCAGTATCCTTTTCTTTAGAACTTTCCTTTTTATTTGAAACATAAGGGACAATTTCCTTATAAGACAGCAAATCTACCAAACTTTTCTCAGGTGTTTGTTTTTCATTAGTTTCGATACTACCTTCCTTTACAAAAACCTTTGCCGTCTTTTTAAAACCATTATCTATCAGAAACTGATATACTAAAGGGCAAACCTTGTTCTTCACGTCAATTCCTCCCATCTCGACGATCTATAATGCTTGAGCAGAATTTTGCAAGCAGGATAATTTTTACAAGTGGGTAGTGCAATATAAATTTGAGAACTCTGACATTATTATAATATAATCCTATCGAATAAACAGATGATATCTACAAAAAGTAAATTTCGTAGCGATGGAAGAAAATATAGATTTAAACCAAATTCTCTTATTTACTTTTGTGGTATAATGAAGCCTACGTTCTGTTAAGGTGTCAAAAGTGATATGAATTGTAGTAGTACTTTTGGATTGTCAAAAGCGTTCAGTAAAGTGAGGGAGAGAATATAGCATTCCAGATGTTCTGACTTTTAATCTTACCTAAATATTCATGAGCTTGTGCTTAGTAGGTAACTACTTGCTAAGACAAGCTATTTGAATTAATTAGGCATATTAATTAATACAGTTTAGTTATCTGATGCTTCCAAGATATGCCTATTGTAGTATACAATTTTCCAATTCAGACGAGAGTGCATTTGGTAGAAGTTAATATATATTAATTAAATTATAATGCATTAAGATGTATGTAAGTAATCTTTCAAAATCATGGATATTAAAGAAAAAAGCGATGCTCTTCAACTGATAACCAGCGAAAACTTGGGATTCAAAAATTATAATTGAAAATCAAATAATAACTGTCTTTTAAACATCAATAGGATTGTTTCGTTGGTAGGAAGTTAGGCGAATTAGATTTCGTAAGAGCATGGCAATAGTTACTTTACCAATACTAGGTACGTAAATACCTGCATGTTCTTTGAGAGACGGAGCATCAAAATTTTTGTCACTTGAAAAGCAGATGCAAACAGCACCATCCCGAACCAAGTGAGAAGGGAATTTATATTTGGGAGAAGGAACGCCGCATATAATAACATCCGACATAGGAGCTACATCTTCTATCTTAAGATTTGTTTCGGTGACATCGTGCTTTCGACTACGGATTCCTGCTCCTCGGGTGAAGAGCTGAACATTGTTTATATCAACAGAGTACACCTTTGCACCATCATTTGCGAGTAATGCTGCGAGGGGACGACCAACTATCTCACTACGGTTCACGACAGTAATAGTTTTTCCATAAAGACGATTACCGTAATTGATAATTCGATTGTAAACACCCAAGTACTCCAAAATTTTAACAATAGCCAAAGGGGTGCAAGGCAAAATTGATTTTTTAGTTTTTTCCTCGTCTAGGTGTCTGATGTTATGGTACATGTTCATCACGTATTTATGGCACAAACCTTCCACGTCCTTTTCGGGTGAAACCACTTGTTGTAAATACTGGTCCTGGCGGTTTCCAAACACGGGAAAATAAATCATCATGCCATTAACATTCTTGTCAAGATTTGCTTCAACAATGGCATCTTCCAAATCGTCCTTGGAAACTTCTCTGAGCTCAAAAGCAAAACCGATCTCCTTACAAGTTTTTTCAGTCCACTCTAAGTATTTGTTAGAACAATACATAATCATAACAATCTCTTATTACTTACCAGCATACATGCGAGCGGCGGGATCTGTATTAGCAAGAAACCCGACTAAAGTCGGTACAGGCTCAAATCGCTTAACTAGCTCCTTAAGCTGTTCCACGAATGATTCAGCCACTCTACTAGCATATACTACTTCTAAAAATGAAACGTGTAAGTAAATTGATGTTTAATATTCAAGATGAAAGCGCAATTGCTGTCATTTGAAGAAGCTATCCATCTTTTTACGAACAAACATACTGCAGCTGTTGACGGGTTCTGATCCACTTTGTTGGCTCATTATTAGTAGTTTTCCTGTTTTCTGCCAAAAAGGACCTTCACTAAGAAAAAAGAAGGGTGTTGGTATCGACTAAAAATTTTTTATGGGTTTAGGACGAGTACGAAAACGACGGTCCCATGAGATCTGAAAGATGATGATGATGTTGATAAAGTAAAGAATCCTTCAATACCTTTGAATTTGAAAATAGCTAAACATCTGTAATAATAAACGAAAGTCAAACTTCATATATTTAAGATTGTATGGATAATATCATCAGAACAGCCATGAGACAAAAACTATAAATAATATATCAACTTGTATTTATAAAATCAATGCAATAGTTCGAAAATTTTTGTCGAACTTTGTTTAGGCGAATTGCTTCAAAACCCTTGATTCAACGTCCTCTAATAAAGAATTCTTTCCTATGATTTGTACATTTTCAGATTCGGAACTCATAAGCTTGGCAATATCTTGTCCAGGCTGGATAGTTTGCGATGTAGCAGCTGTTATAGAAAATCCTGCCATTCCCATTTCATTTTCAGCATTGCTAGCCACTAACAAGCAAACGTCAGTCATCTACACACATTTATGTTTCATTCAACTTACTATTATTCTCTCCAAGTAATAACGCATAAACCGATATTAACCCAAAGAGATTCAAAAAGTACCATGATATGGAAGAAACCCACTGAATACTGAGATCTTGCGTTGCCACACCTGACTGGAAAATGGACTTAAATTGATAAGTAAGCGGGAAAGGGAGTTTTACTGTAAGGTTAGAATTGTTATCGTTGTTGAAGGATTCGCATGTACTGCACAATGTAGACATACACAATATGAAACCAGAAAAGAATTCATTAATCCAGGTCATTATAATGGTCTGGGGAACAACCATCAACATGTTTCCTTTCATAGACTCCATCAAATTCTCCAGTGTCTTGTCATCCATCATAGGATTCAAATTTTTGGGAGCATTAGGATCGGCAGGTTTGAGGTATTTACCTGATCGTAAAGCGTCTACTAAAAAGTCCTTTCTATTGTTTATAGATTCGGGTAAAAGGAAGCATGCATTGTTTCGGAAGGAAAACGCTCTTTGCAACAACCGTCTGATGAACGTTAATCACTGCATGAACTAAGATGAATCTACTGTATACATACTGTTCCCGGATTTCTTCTTTTGTTAGTCTTTTAGGAGAAGATTGTAACAAAATAGTCGCATTATGCCTCAGAACTCCGATCAAGATCATAATAAACATAATGGGTAAAAGAACCCAGTTTCGAAGGGCTAAAATAGTTACTATAAAATTAGAATAAAAAATACATACCTGGATCAAGCAGAAGCTGTTGCATTTTTACCTTAATGAGAAATAAATCTGTTTCGTGAAGTGAAGTGAAATGAAAGTAACCAAGGAAGGTATACTATTCCTTAGTAAAAAGTTATTTACGAGAGCACAAGAACTTTTCGACTACATGAATGCTTGAAAAATAAATATATATAAAATTGCTGAAGGAGTCCCTTCAACGATTTAACTCGCATTGACCACTTTGGTCAAAGAGACAAACCAAGCCGAAGCCGAGTCCACATCATGGGAATTATAGAAACTATTCTCATTACTTGTAAGTTCATGTTGTCTGCTAAGTATCGCAGTCATTCCGTCCTATTAGCAAGAACAGTGGTATGGAGTTTTACAAGCACGTAAAGTCCAATGGCTTTTTTTTTTATTTTTGTTTTACTCAGAAAAAAATTCTCAAGTATATTCTGGCACAAGTACTGAAGAAACAAGTCCTTTTTATATACTCATTTCTCATAGATTTGATGTGTTATTTCACTTTCTGTTCTATATTCTCTATATGTTCCTTAAAGTACACGACATTACAAGGAAGTCTTCTGTATGAGTGGTCTCGTCCCCTTCTAGGGTCAGCGGTTCGACTCGTGGGTTGAACAGAGTGCGCGGTAGGAGAGTGGAACTCCGACGGGCTCATAACCCGTAGGTCCCAGGATCGAAACCTGGCCGCGCAAATATTTTTTCTGCTTCTTATTTATATTCCTCTCATTCAGCAATATTTCAACTTTGTCGTTCTCGTGTGTGTGCTGACACATGTACTTTTAATTGCCAAAGAAAAGTAGGGTCGTAAAAGCTTGACTGTATTATAAGACAATTATTTATTACACCGCACACCTTTCGTTCAAAGGTTCTTTGTTCTACTGTATAGCTTTATAAAAGCGATAATTATCAATGTTAAGAATGCTTTCTATGTACTTGTTACAGATTTTAAAAATATTCGAGATGATGTAAAAAGCAAAAAGTTACTGAAAGGGGTGGGACTCGAACCCACGAGCTTTCGCACTAGTGCCTTAAACTAGCTCCATAACCACTCGGACACCCTTCCTGCTGTTGTGTGTACACGTTAAGTCTATATTTTATTTTCTGAGGATTTCAATGAAAACGATTTTAAATAGCAAATGTGATATTACAAATGCATATGATTGTTGCCTTAAAGAAAATAGACTTTTGATTTATTTTTAATACCTTGATATTGTATTTGCAAGTGAATTACTTTGAGAGTTCTTAAACGTTACACTTATGAGACGAATTTGTGAAGGGTTTCCAAACGAGCTTTCATAAACATATATATTTCGTGTCTTGACATTCAATTAAGCATAAGAGTGAAAAGATAGTATCCATACATTTAATATGGATGTTATTTATGTTCAGGTATTTGAAAGTAAGATTGAGACACTCAGACGCTAGAATGCAGCGATCAGAAGCGAACTGGTTTTATTGCTTGACGAGAGATCCTTAACAATATATATATACTCATGCAATAACCATGATTATGAAAGAAATGAATTTGCTTCCTGAATAAAGTACAGAGTCTTAATATCATCCACCACATACCCAGATACTGACATGGGCGAAGCGTGTTTATTGCTGATCTCTCACTTAGTCTAATTTAGTGGTATGTTTGTCTATGTAACACAATAATCATTAGTTGATCCATACAATAATTGATGGTGCTAAGAAACAATCTGCTGAACATTTTCACAGTACAACTAAAGTTGTAAATTATTTACTAATCTAAAGGCCAAAGTGACAATCTCCTTGGACGAGTGGAGTTAGATACCTTTAATGTTCAAATATTTTTTGTTAGATTCATAGATGATTAAAAAATAGACTGAAAAACAAATTGAGGGGGATTCCAATTAAATTTAGGATGCAACGTTGACTAAAAATGTGTGAGTGAAAGTTCAATGAGGTAAGTAGTTCAAATCTAACAATTTGTTTCAACTATAAGTAAAAAGATGTAACCAACTAACATAAAAAGTATGTGCTAGAACTCTTGGTTCTTACAGTCGTTTGTAAGATTAGGGATATTTCCAAACAAATTTTTTTAAAAAAAAAGAAAAACATGTTCTCTTTAAGCTTCTTTTACCGTGTGACACACAAGGCGAAAACTTGGAAATGTCCTTACAAAACACACAAAGAGTGTACTTGAAGATGTCAATTGAAGCAACTAACGTTTCATTAATCACAAGAAAAAAGAAAAAAAAATGGCAAAATGTAAAGGTATCATAGGAAATCTCTGTTGAAACCACCTTGTTCTTTAGACAGGCTTGGCAGGAGACAGATAATATTCAGATAGCAAGGCACATATTCCTTGTGATTAATTTTTTCTCTCCTTCAAACCATTGCTTTATAAAAAGACAGAATAGGATCAAATAATCAAGCCAATATGAAATAGGAAATAAAATTTAAAGCAGCTATTATCGTCTTTCGAAGCATGAAAAAATCAGGTGATTTGGTAATACATGTTATATATAGCAGAAATGCATCAAACAAAGCCTTCTTGGTTGGCTGTAAAGTTATAATAAAGAAAAGAATGAAGAAAACCTTAAATATTAAAATCGGATGAAGATAAACTTTTTTCGTCCCGTTCAGAACTGTCACCTTTGAAGGTCGGGTATGAGGCGCTTTCGTTGAAACCGCCGTTTTTTGTTTGTGTTGCAGGATAGATCGATGGAAGCAAAAAGAAAGATGCTATAATCATCGGAATGAAATCGAAAACACCAAACCATACTTCGTGGGTAATGACACTACCGCTCCAACCTCCAGCAAGTTCAACAACACGGTAAACAGCACGTACGAGAATAGCTAGTGTTGCTAAACATAAGCATAAAAAGCAAACGTCTTTATATCGTGAACGAGGAATGTCTGTAGTGCTGGGACCAGCTCGCACGGGTTTGCCTCTACAAACAGCTGCAGCAAACATTAGCCCTAAAATTGAAAAGACAACAGTGCTAAAAAGTTGAAAGCAAATACCACCAAGCATGATGTTAGCACCCTTGTTTTGCTCAGATGAACCTTCTTTAGCACCACCGGCAATACCACCGCCTGCAGCTTGCAAAACGAGAGCAATTATATCGAAAGTAATGAAAATAATCGCATACAATTTAGGTTTGAGAAGGGAAAATCGAGGTCCGTAAAGCATAACCCAGTGGTACAGTAAAACGTATACTTCGGCGGAATAAAAGACTGGTGAAATAATTAAAGCAATAATCTGACCTAAAAAGTCTGAATAGTTGTTTGGATGGTAATGAGCATTCACCCGGCAAGCCCATCCAGCCAGCTCGCCGGCTGTTCCAATAATTGGAACAACGATCAATGGATGTCTATATACTATCGAAGAAGCCAACAAAAGGGCAAAGGATATACTGAAAAAAACGACAGCAATAATTGCCAACCAACCAGCTGGAATATAACCAAACGCATTATGATATGCCGCCATTTTCAAATTTCGCTAAAGCTCACACACAAGACGGAAGGGTATCGCTGAAATGAATCAGGTATAAAAGAAGTCCTAAAATGAACTAGTCTATTAAAGATTGATTTTCGTATCAATTATAAAATCGAAGCTACAAAAAAAGAAGGAGAGGAGATATCGTTTTTCAAAAGGACGCGATTGTAATTAACCGAACCGAACCGATCAGTTTTTCTGACGAACCGCCTTCCTACTGGAGATTGAAACTATTATTCAAAATATATACCAAATTAATTAGATACCTACACGGACCCAATCCAATACAAAGGAAATTTACCTTTTCTCCTATTCTCAATGTTGTTAAAGAAAGGTGATAAGTGCCAGTTAATAATGTTGGATTTTCCGATACTTTGTGTTCTACGCAGCGGATTTCGTTAAAAGTGATTTATTTATTTCGGTTCATACTTACCGAACTGCACCTCGTTACGTTCATCAGATAAGAATTAATTCGTTACGGTAGTTAGCATTCAAGAGGAAAGTATTCTCGTTCACACTGTTTAAAAGAAAAAAATTCAAAAATAAAAACAAATAAAAAAAGATTTCTTTTATGGTTTACTCGGTTTTGATGGAAAAGAAAAAAGAACATAATGAGGATTCAAAAATTTTTGGTTTAAAATTGACTCGCTGGATTTCAGTAATAAACAAAGCCATCCATTTTCAGTTTGGTTTTGCAAGAGGAAAACAGCTTCGGTTTCTGATTCATACCTTGTTTAACGTCTGTTTTTATGAGTTATCTTTTTTCTTACGAGCTTTGCTACTATATGAATAGGTCAGCGTGGATGATGAGCCTTTTTGATGATGCTTGTAGTTATATTGCTCTTGTCATACGTAAAACCACCATTTAGCAGGCATATACAATTTTTATGGAGGAAAAAACCGACATGCTGTTCTTTTATTTAGTTTCTTGAGAACAAGCTCTTTCTTTTGGCTTACCAATAAATGCGACCTTTTTTTTTTTTTTTTCTTTCTTCAGAATTTGCACTTTGCTATCAGGGCTATAACGTATGCATACTATCAAAGAGGATCAAAAAATGAAAGAAAAGAATCAGACAAAAGACGTACACTAAAATTGTAATTGACATCATCTTAGAACAATACTTTTTCTTTTTTATTCTCACGTCTCATTTTGCTAGGTGTAAGTGCAAGTGCATTCAATATGTCAGTTCGAGTATGTTGTGTTCAGATGGCACCAAAGGTAGGAGATGTGAAAGAGAATACAAAGAGGATGTCTGAGTTTGTGGACGAGATTCTGAGCAAAGAATCCGTTGACATGGTTGTTTTTCCAGAACTAGCTACTTCAGGATATGAATGTGGGGACAAGTTTTATCATCTAGCAGAATGCGTTGAGACTAGTGATTCCGTTCAGTTTATGTGTAAAGTTGCAAAACAATATGGTGTTCATATTGTATTTGGATTCCCGGAACGAAAAACTCAAGAAAGCAAACAACTGTTCAACTCCAGTGTATACATCGACTCGAAAGGACATGTCTGCGGGACTTATCAAAAGATGCACTTATTTGATCAAGAAAGGAAATATTTTTCCCATGGTACAGAATTTCCCATTTTCAATACTCCCTTTGGTAAAATGGGACTCTTAATTTGTTGGGATACTGCATTCCCCGAGGCTGCTCGAATATACTCATTAAAAGGTGCAGACTTTTTAATCGTATCTTCCAACTGGGAGAAACCTTATGAAGATGATTGGGACTTGGCTGTGAGTGCTAGAGCACTGGACAATTGTATACCGATTGCAGCAGCAAACCGTGTAGGCAAAGACGAAACGCTTAGCTTTTTTGGTCATAGTCGAATCGTCGGTCCTACTGGGAAAGTCATCCAAAGCATTGATAAGGATTCTGAGGGATTTATTATTGCCGATCTGGATCAAAATCACTCGAAGCGTCTTCGTCAAGAGTATTATACGTTTTTCCGTGATCGAAAACCCCATTTGTATACGGATCTCATTCATTAGCTTCCCTTGAAGAATTTTTTGTTAACGAATTTATTATAAAAGGATGTAATCTTTCCTTTCTTTTCATTATTATTAATATACACGATTGTACTTTTAAACAATCCCTTGAAGCATGAAAACTCAGCTTTTTAATGTGTAAGTATATTAATGTAATTTTAGTTAGCTTAGTAACTGCGCTCCCGTGGCCTAATGGCTAGGGCATTTGACTTCTAATCAAGGGATTGCGGGTTCGAGTCCCGCCGGGAGCTTTCCCTTTTGTTTTGTTTTTGTTATGTCGAAGTACTAATTAGAAATGTTTAAACAATAGCATAATTGCATTTCAAATTGAACCAGCATGCAAATTGCATTAATTTTCACGTAAACGCTTGATTCTAGGAATACTACTGAAATGAATGACACTGTTTTAAATTTCACTTTAAAGTAAATTTCAGTAAATTTAGACTTTATTAAAAATATTCACTGCTAAATATATACATTACAAAAGTCCAAACCGATGTTGGTATGCCATACCAGTCGGAAAGAAGTAAGTTCTGGCTCTTTTCTCCAATATAAAATTCATACTTTAGGACCTGGCAAAATGGATTTTAAATTGTAAATAACAGAAGGTTATAAAGATCCTAATTTCACTCATGAAAAGAAGGAAAAAGGAAACTAATCCCAGTAATGACTGTGTGGAATCGCAGCTTCATCTTCGAGAAATGGACCCAGCACCTCAATGGGACGTGATGCACTTTTTGCTATTTCTTTACTACTTACTCGCAAGTAAAAATTTTTCGGATTAAGTTGTGCCAGTCGGACCAAATTCGCATTCGAAAAACCAAATACGATACGTCCTATGCCAGACCAAAAGATGGCTCCAAAACACATTGCACAAGGTTCAGTACTTGAGTAAAGCGTGCATTTCAGCAAACTTTCAGCATCTCGTATTTTCGTTATCGTACTTACTGCACAAAGTTCAGCATGTTGAGTTGCATCCGCTGAAGGTACCCGATTTTCAGTTATCGTCACTTCCTTGTCATGTTCGTCAACAATAACACACCCAAATGGATGATTACCATGTTTTCTTGCTTCTCCTGAAACATTAATCGCTTGGCGAAGGTACTTCACGTCCTTCTCTGAGAGTATATTTGTGCTTATACCCATATGTGAAAGTTATGTTAAATTCTTTAAAAGCATGCAATAACTCTGTAAGTCAGAAGGATATAAAATCTTAGCCTTCTTGCGTAGTCGACTTCCTATTCCGTAATTGATGACTTTTCCAGCCAAGCTGCTGCTCTTCTATCAGGTGGCTATTACTATCAATATGCATACTCTACGTATACATTCTTGACATTCACCATACGTGGACATTGTGATTATTATTAATATTAATATTAATATTAACGAACAACTGATTGATCAAAGTTTATGTGTACATATTGAACATACATATATATATATATATATATATGTAAATTGATTGTTAAACAATCACCAAAAAAGCAAACTAATACATAGTGACTATACGTCTTGATTTATAAAAAAAGGGGAATAAAGACAAGGAACCAAAAAAAAAGTATATCAACGAATTTTGAGACAGAAAACGCTTGAATAAATAACACTCTCGACACCAAAACACATAACGCACACACATCTTAAACCTCAACGTGTTTCTCATTACGCTCAGCTAAAGCTTCCTGTGTAATAGCGAGTCGACTATGTTTACGAAGAATGTGACCAAAAAAGTAAATAACGTAAATTAACAAAACAAGCGAAAGGCTGATAAAACCCAACGTAGCCATTGCCCAGGTAGTTGTCATATTGTTAAACATAATAGCACCCAGATGAACAAGGACGGCTGCTAGGGTAAAACTTGGGAGAGTGAAAGCAGCAACGGCAGACCCGGCCACCGAAGGGTAGGAATCAGTGACATAGTTCAACATAGCTAGCCAAAGCTGGGGATCACCAACAGCAATAAAACCACCGGCAATTAGAGGAGAAACCCAAGAAATGTTTCCACTGGAAGTAAATGCGAACCAAAAAAGTCCAAGAGGAAAGAACCAAACTGTAACTAAAGACATCAAGAATCGCGCTTCAGGGCGGTCAACACCACCGTTCTTCTTTTTGTCACGGCGGTAGAGCCAGTCTTGCAAAGGCTGTAGCATAACGACTAGCGTTACACCAACTAGAAAGTTTAGGAATGTTTCATTTGCGTGCATATAAGACATGTTGTAATTGTATTTGAAGACAGGGAACAGACCATCGAGATACAAAAAGTTAATACCATAAGCAAATCCATTATATAAACCCAAAGCAGCAACAATGGGTTCGGTGACAAAAATCCGGGCGGCCATAGTTAATGCAAATTTGGCACGTATAACTGCTGATTTTGCCTTTGCAAGAGTAGATATTTGTAAATTATTTTGTTCCAATTTCTTTGCATAATTCATAACATTCGTCGCAGGTAAAGTTTCAGGCACAAAGAAGCAAATGATGACCAAGAAGCCACCAACTATCATGTTCATCCAATAAAACCATCTCCAGTTCTTTTCAGCCAGCGCTTCACCAATTGGTGATCCAATGGATGCACCAGCATTAGCACCCCATACAAAGAATGCCATACCTAAACCAACAGTTTCTTTTGTAAAAACATCGCACATGCTACTAGCAACGTTTGCTACCGCAGCACTTCCGCAGATTCCAGCAATTGCGCTGTTGATCGCCATCATGGGAAGATTGTAAGCCAAAGCTTGAGGAATCTGGAAAATAATGTAAAATAAAATGGAAATCACATATACCCATTTTCTACCAATGATATCTGACATAGGACCCAAAATCATTGGTCCGCATGCATTTCCTAAAATAAAAAGACTTTGAACAAGGTAGGCAGCTTGTGAGCTACATTTCCATTCTTCTTGGAAATAGCTTACAAAGTTAATCACGGCAGTACTGGACCAAATGATATATGTTTCTAGTAAAGTGTAAGTGATGGTCACAAACCACTTTTTCCATTTAGGCCAATGATGAGGATGTGCTGGATGGTTTGCATCAATAGACATCAAAGCAGTCGCAACATTCCATTCATCCAACTGCTCCACGGATCCTTCTGAAAGCTTATCGTCACGAATAACGGTGGAGGCAGATTGCCTGACGGACTTTTTATCTTCTGGTTCATCCATCAGGCTGGTATCATTCACTACATTTTCACTAGTAGTAACCATGATAAAAAAATTCTTTTCTTCGTTTTTCCTAGTCAAAGAAAACGGAATTTGCCTTTTACTTTACTGTTTGGATAGTTTGGAAAATTGCAAACTGATCCAAAACTGAAGTCGTGAAGTTGCCACGACAAGTTTCCTTGTTTTTTTTTTAATAAAAAAAATAAAAAAAAAACAGGTTTCTCTTCGATGGAAAGAGTATGTGCAATTGCTTTGCAATGGTGTTTGGTGGAAAATAACTTCGAAACGCTCTGTTCCAACCCTGCCCTGTATGTATCGGATCGCTCCTGATTCCGATAAATGCCCATTCAGATAAAGCGAAGTGACATTAATTAATTGAACCATTCAAAGCTCTCATACTGATAAACTCAAAAGACGAAGCGCAAAGAACCGTCCAGCCGAGTAAACCGAATTCTACTTTTTGGTGCAAAATTCCAATTAAAATTTTCATGGTCAGGTAACACCACTGTCACAATGTCACTTGTCTTTGTTGCTTGTTTACCTGTTATATTTATTTTCTGTTTTCTGGTGTATAATTAGAGAATTCGTTTGCATATATATCGTCTATAGCTTCAATTATTATTATTTTTTTTGGAAATTGCTGAAAGGTTTTCTTGTTGAATTTCTCTTTCAAGGGCGTCTGCATTTTCCATCAAACTGTGCAAGCTAAAAGTATGCCAAAAGAGTAGTCAGAGCCGTTTGCTGATTTTTGTTCTAGCAGCACTAGATGTATCTATTAATGGTAATAACTATAGGTCGTCTTTCCGCTGTGAATTATCTGCCGCATAAAATTGAGATAGTATGTGAGTTCTCAGAAAGAGATATTAGTATCCTTTAGTGCATGTTAAAAGCAAAAATCAGTATCTTTTTGAGGATTAGTTTCGATCTCTTTCACGACTTTCTGTAATACCATGAAATATAGACCAACCGTTCAAGTGTATATAATCATACATCTTTGCAAATTTGAACCATGGCAAGCTGATGGAAAAGTGTTCAAGGAAGTAAGCAAAAGACATCGTATGAAACGACATTTTCTTTGTTCATCTTCTTTCTTTGTTTCTTTTATAATTTCGTACGTACATAGGTTAAATTGGGTTTAAATAAACTATAGTTCACGTCGCTGCCCAGTTCTAATTATAGACGTACCGTCATGACTTCATTTAAGTTATCTGATATGCCCTTAGATATACATATCTATATAAATGTATAATGTATACATACATATTCCGATTTACTCAGTACTAACTTCCAGTCTTATAGTATACACCAAAAGAAAAGTAAAAGCATGTCAAATACAGAGAAAGCCATTCAAACAAAGCGAAGCTTTAAAACAAAAGAGTACCAGAAAATGGTCCAAGGAGAATTGTAAGTAGTCGTCGATGTAAAGAAAACAACGAGAAAGTCAGCATGAAAGCTGGATTAGAACTCTTCTTGTATTACTTTATTATTTTGCAGTTTGACTTCGTTCATAAAAGTGGATAGTAACAGGTGTTTTTGAATAGATATTATGCTCCTGACCCAGAACTGCAGGTAGCAAGAGAATTTGCTAAAGTGGTTGCACGCCAATACAACGACACCCTTGGGAACCCTAATAAGCTAAGTAATGGCGAATTGAAAAAGGTTAGGGCAGCTATCTTGTCCCAGGTGATGTCGTTGGAAGACAATGGTTCTTCCATTGATATAGAACCTCCTATAGGGCTTGATTATGGTTTACATATCCGAATTGGAAAAAATTTTTATGCCAACAACGCTTGCAACTTTCTGGATGTTGCTCCCATTACAATTGGAGACAATGTTTTGTTTGGTCCTAGTGTATGCACCGGTAGTCTTGCCTTAACTACTACTATTACTACTACTTCCGCTATCGTTATGCTAACGCTTTTTTGATTTAGGTACAATTGTGTACAGCTACACATCCGTTGGATATTTCAACCCGAAACAGTGGAAACGAGTTAGCAAAACCTATAAAGATTGGTAATAACGTTTGGATAGGCCTGGGTGCCATTATTTTACCAGGAGTTACGCTTGGTGATGGCTGTGTCATCGGTGCAGGATCCGTCGTTACAAAGGATATTCCTGCCAATACAGTAGCAGTTGGTTCACCTGCTCGTGTCGTCAAGGAAATTGACCAACAACAACAATAGAGCTTTGAACAAACTCAAATATATAGAATGCTGATAATGATAGCGAGAAAGAGAAACCCTGAAAGCATCTCTGGATGTATGAAATCGTTTACGTGGTTTATGGTTTATGGAATGATTAAGACAGTTTACGATACGAATGAGTTTTATGAATGGTTTGCTACGTTTTACTATTTTTCTTTTTATCTATTTATATTTACGGTACTCAAGCAACAATAAAAGTCGTTGTAGGAAGAAACCTATACAACATTGCACTATATAAACTAGATGGACAAATATACGAAAAACAAGATTCAGGTTTTATTTTAGTACCAGCTCTTTCTTCAATTTTGTACATGCAAGCCTTGAATATTTTCAAGGACACTAGGAGAATAGCTTACCTCGGAGTTTTACCAAAGCTATTTGAAGACTGATCTTATCCACATCAACGAGTCCATCATCTCTTCTCACAAATCTTTATACCAAGTTAGCTTGCTTGGCTTTTTGGTAAATATTATAGATATGTAAACTCGCGAATTCGTCAAAACTTCGTTTTTCGTATTTACGTAATTTAGCTGCTCCCTACTACTTGATAGAGCCTTCTTAGGTAACCATGACTCTTTCGTACCGATTTAAATTGGGAGTTGATCCCATATTCTACGCATATTTGATGTATTAGGAAGAAGAAATTCAATCTCTCTTTACAATATCTACATTCAGAGTACAGTTATATATCAGAACTATCTTTACAGTGATTCTTGGTCATTTTTAAAGAAACAAATGGCGTCCGTGCAATTACCTTCTATCGATCTTTCCTTAAAAGACACAAAGTATGTAGCTGCAGAGCTTAAAACAGCATGCCAACAATGGGGATTTTTTACTGTGAAAAACCATGGGATTCCTATAGAAGATATAAGTAAAGTTTTTGAAATTAGCGATGAGTTTTTCAACTCTCCTTTGGAGGAGAAGAAAAAATTTATGTTTAAAGGCGGGCGCTTGCATTCAGGATATACAGGTCATTTTGGTGAAAAACTGGATGTTGAACATCAACGTAGAGGAGATATGAAGGAGTCTTATGATTTAGCAGGATTTCCTCATCCGGATGCGAATACAAACAGCCCAGTCATTCAAAAATACTTCATCGAACTAAAAGCCTTTCAGAGGGAATGCCACTGTCTTTCCTTAAAAATCCTTGATCTTATTGCTATTGGATTTGGATTCCCATCAGACTTTTTTAGCAAAAACCACAGTTCATCAGAAGATATTCTTCGTTTGTTGAAGTATAGTGTTCCTGAAGGAGTGGAGCGCCAAAAAGACGATGAAGACGCTGGTGCCCATTCCGACTATGGATCCATTACCCTACTCTTCCAAAAGGACGCCGGAGGCTTACAAATTCGACCACCTCAATCATACAATGTAGCCGACTGGCTCAGAGTCTCTGTGGACGAAAATTCAGTCATGTAAGGATAAACGAACAAAAACATTGGTTCTCTTTTCTTTTTCTTTTTGTTTTTTTTTTTTTTTTTTTTATTAACCAGTTCTAGCGTAAATATTGCAGATATGTTACAATTCTGGACCAGTGGACGGTTAAAGAGCACTGTTCATCGGGTAAGACTTGATGAAGACGTAAAAACCAGACAAACAATAGCTTATTTTGTTACACCTGATCCCGAAACTCTTTTAGCTCCGGTGTTTGAGAAAGAAAGGGAAAAGCAAAGCGAAGGAAAGGAAGATAACATGGAAACGGTAACGGCTGGGGAGTGGATAGAAGGAAGATTGAACATAACTTATGGTTATGGAGAAGCTCCTAGAGGATATTTGGACAGCCAAAATGGACTGATTGGTCAGTCATCATGATTCAATTTTATGTTGCAAGCAGTATATGAAGTTTTAATGATTTATAAATGTCTTTCCTTAATCCTTATTTCCTACGAAAAAGAAACCTAATATGATTATTCAATCGCTTTATGATTTGCTGGACCCGCCATAAGTTTCTTATGATGAACGAGTATCTTAAGAAGACGAAGAGCTCAATATTTTTTGGAAGGAAGATACAGCTGAAACTTGAGAACAAAAGTCGGAAAGGTTTCCGTCAATAAGTGTCTAATTTGCTTAATCGAAAATGTCTTCTCCCTGATGCAGCAAGAAGTTTTTTAATCTGGTTTACTAGAAATTGTAATCGATTGTTGAAAATATGATACAATTAAGACGAAAGATGGTATTTCATGATGATTTACGTCGAAATGACTGATGATACCGGGACCAAGTTCTTCAGACGATAAAAGTTCAAGAAATAAGCTGAAAGGTATCAATTAACAAAAAATGATTTTCAGTTACAATCAAATATCTTCTTCAACCGCTTGCTTCCGCTTTGCTTCCACATTTCCTCAGTTAATAGTAGCGGCTGTAGTTTATCGATGAACTGCAGAAAAACTATTAGCTTAAATGATATTGAACCCTTCTTTGAATATATTGACTATATATGGACAAAGATAGCCATCTTTGAAGATATATGATTATGGAAAAAGAAGAACACTTCGGTTTCCTCTCATAGAATGGCAATTATGAACGAAGATAAATTTAGTCTGCTAACAGTAAAGTTTTTTAATGGTTGAACATATATCACCTAAACTGAGATTAATGATCATTTCGTTGAATCTTCCTTTCTACTCAATCCCTGTGATAGCAGCAGACTATGCACTTATAAGATTTTTTCCACTTGAGCTTCTTTAATGATATTGCTTTTATTTTTTTTATTTTTTTTTGTTAGTACTTTATTTGGCTATTTTTTTTATGAGAAATTATAAATCAGTAAGAAAATGAAGATGTAAAAGAGAATTCTAGTTGTAACTGTTTTCTTGGCTTACTCCGATCCCAAGGTCGTTCATACCTTCTAGAAAGAGGTTTTTGAAATAATATTCTTTTCTATTGATGACTATACAATTTGTAAATTCCTGTAATTTCAAAGGCAGTATAAACAAGGGTAGATCTATATGAGAGTTCAATTTAATGTAAAACCTTACTAATAAAAAATCCAGCAAACCAATTATGAGAAGAATATTTTTTAAAAATTCATATACATAATAAATAAAAATGCGCATGTGAGATGACTCTGGGGGGTTGGGATTATAAGCGGGATTATTACAGTAAGGGTATCTTTCTGACTTTGGTGTTAAAAACAGGAAATAAATAAATAAGTAAGTATTCGATATGAAATACGGAAGAATTCACAACTCAAAGAATAAATATAATAGCTGCTTGTTTAAGTGCTGATGGATTCGGTGTACCCCAATGTTAAAAGTTGGCTAGTACTTTTAAGGTAAAAGGCGGTAAATTCTGTTCAAGGTAAAAACTTTTCTTATTCTTCGTTTAGATATTTCAAGGATTACATTCATAAGGTCTGTCGCGAGAAGGGAAAACAGCAAGTTAGCCATCAATGTTTTGCCTTTCAAACGAGGAAAACAATCTTCATCGATGCATGTTAGTAAGATTATGAATCATTTTATTCTCATATAACGCTTGGGACTTTCCTGAATTCTCCAATAGAAACCAACTTTTACGAGTGGATAATTTCATTCTAGATTGCTTTACTCTGACGACTCAAGAGTTTCTAGACAGAAAAACCTTTGTTAATGAAAAGCAGATTCTAACTTCCGTTATATCTTTCTATCTTCCAAGCTCCTTACGGATATCGAACCTGAATAGATGACTCAGAATTTTTTACATCCGTCGTTTGGAAATAAAAGCCTTTCAATAGTAAGTCTGTCATCCACCTCTCATTTCAAGAGAATCTCTTCAGTCGGTACATCAGCAAACCGAATTGCACATAATAAATGAACATATCGAATTCAATCCCAACGTTTACCGTACCGCTAATGGTGGTGACATCCGAATAAGCTTCTTAACTAAAAAAGATCACGTACACGAATATGGATTATTTGTACAAAATTGCTACCAAACATGCAAATACAGGATGTAAGCAAGTAGAAAGAAAAGTCTCACTTCATTTGGATTTGATTCGTGGCAAACAATTTTTAGATCTTCATGAGGAACCAAAGGAGTCGTACCCAAGGGTTCTACATATCTTCATAATCACTTGGAGGATCAGTCAAAGGAACATAACGTACAGAAAACAAAGATTTTTTTGAAAGGTTCCCATCAGCATGCTTATCATACACGAAAATATCTTGAAACGTTGTTCCCACAGGTATTATCATTTTCCCGTGAACGTTCAGTTGCTCCTTCAACCGCTTTGGTAGTTCAGAAGCAGCAGCACCTACATGGATTGCATCAAACTTTTCATCTTCAGGAGAACCTAGTCTTCCATCTCCACGGACGACCTCGATCCTTTTATGTTTCATCATGTAATCAATCAACGGATCGTGTTTTGCATCCTCTTGTAGATTCTTTTTTGACAAATCGACGAGTCCCTGTATGTGTTCAACACCTTTAACATAACCATTTTTTCCGACCATACGAGCCATGGCGGCCGTTAAATAACCACTTCCTGAACCAATGTCTAATACTCTGTTACCACTTTGAAGTTTTGACTCCAACTCTTCCAGAGCAATACCGTGCATATGTGGAGCAGATATAGTGGCACTGTACCCAATGGTTTGCGGTGAGTCTTCATAAGAGAAGTGAGGACAATAAAACTTGCGATCAGTGTGTTTCATCGCTTCAATCACCCTCGGCTTAGTTATTATTCCCGCCAGATTTAAATTTCGAATAAGAGCTGCATTTGAAGAGGCTCCACATTCCCAAGCCATTTTTTTTTAAACAGATAACACTGAAATGTTTGTAAAGAAATAGTAAGGAAAAAGAAAAAGAACCCGAAAAATATGAAGTCAACGATTGCCACAGGTTTAGTCAATAAATATAATGAATGCCATAGCACTCTTATGACACTCTGCGTCAAAAAACATACAAATTTCTATGGTGCATTTACCTATAGCATGTTATTCAAAAGTTGAGTGGTATGTTTAAGTATGACGATGAGTACCCATAAAGCGTCTAAATGCATGAACAATTTCACAACATAGTAAATATCAATTCAATTATGAAAAAAACAGACGTTAACTAGTTATTGTTACCTACTCATTATGGATTATATAGGCTTTACTTTAACTAATCCAAGGTAAAATTATTCTTTCGCGAGGAGTAAAATTTTCTCTACTTGATAATATCTTCTAATTCCTAAGAAAATTTAAATTTATTAAATAAGTTCATTATAGAAATAGAAAAACATGTTAGCATTCTTACAGGTTCATGAATATCTGTCATCATAAATTCTAGCCTCGGTCATTCCTCAGTATGCTTTTTCTCTGATGAAAAAATAATCAAGTTGAATTATTCTTTAAAGTTTCGACAGCAGCCTTAGCTGTTGATTCTGCACTTTGGGGGTTCACGCCGGTTACTATTCTACCGTCCACCTGAACGAAATCTGATACTGGAGTACTGGGATTAATGTATCTCGCACCAGCCTGTTCTAAAATTTCATTCAAGAATCCAATATTATGGTTTTTCAATGGGGTAGATAGCCCCATCATTACTTCTCCAGCATGTGTAAATGCGGTAACGTTCTTGTCATAGACAACAGATTTTCCTTTGGGGCATTTTGTATTTTGAACATGCACTAACAAAACGGGTCCATGACAAAGAGCAGCTAAAATACCTCTATTTTCATAAATTCTAGCAGCCAAATTTTGCATGTCCTTAGCTGTAGGAAGGTCGAACATCGCACCGTGTCCTCCTGCAATAAACAGCAATGGGTATTCATCAGGGTTTATCTCTTTAGCGGATTTAGCATTTTTTAGACACTCCCAAAAGTCGTCATTTTTATCATCGAGAACTTGTTTCTCTAAGTTTCCTAGTGCAATGTTGGTGAGGGATTTGTCATCAAACTTGCATTGTCCAGTCTCCGATACTATTTGTACTTCGTAACCAGCTTGTTTAAATACTTTGTATGGAACAAGTGTTTCAGAAAAAAAGGCTCCTGTTTTCATGCCGTCCAGATAAAAAGGGCCATAGTAACTAGTGGTACCCAACAACACTTTTCTGGTAGTGTTTGAGGACATTGTCTTAATTCTTTCAAGTTTCCCGTCAATGGAATGAGTATATATATATGTAGGTATGTCCGTGTCAGACAATCTAAAATCTGGAAAATTTTGCCTTCGTTACACATACCTGAAATGATCAAAATCTAACATCATGCAAATCGAAATCTCAAGAACACTCATAACATAAAATGGTAAAAGCGAAAATGGATAACTATATTTTAACAATAATCCCCCATTCGGTATGAACTAAGATTTCAGTAAATAAGTTTTGCATGCTACAGAATACTGGCAAAAAAAAGTTAAATAAATAAATAAATAAATAATTAATGCCTAGCATTAGTTCTTCTCCATAATTTCTTTTGTAAAGTCATATAACGCATTCACCCCATAATTTTGAGACCACTCTTCAAAGGTCATATAATTCATATAAAACATAAAAGTTTCGGTAAGAAACAAACCATCATGGATCCCGTTTTGTTCAATCATTATTTTTTCAGGATATTTCTTCCCTAGAGATGACTTTTCGAGACACCATTCCAAAATACTATCTCTCAAAATTTCGTTTTTGCCAACCAATATCAAAAAGTTACCTTCCTTAAATGGCGGAAGTCCTGACCAAATATCATCAGAAGTGTTTAAATTTATATTTGCTAACGGAAGTGAATACGATTCCTCATTTCGTAGAAAGAATTCTTTTCCGCAATTTTGCAAAGTCTCAAAATTGATCACGTCCTTATTAGCATTAGTTTCATAAGATTTAATTTTTTTGGCATTGTTTAAATCCAACCAAGGTGAAATCAATGCCACACCACTAGGCCAAACTACGTTGCTTGTTTTGGATCTTTCGTTTAGATGGTAAAGTAATGATAATATGAGATACCCACCAGCAGAATCACCGACTAGAAGTATTTTTCTGTATCCTAGGGAAACCAATTCATCATAGACGTTTAAGCATTCGATAATTGGTGTTGGATACGAATTTCCTTCAGGTAGCAAAGAATAATCAACGAGCAGAATGGATGGCCTTAATCCTTGTTTTTGTAGTAGAGTATACAAATTACTGAATGCGAAAATATGAACCGATGAGAATGAATGACAGAGCATTCCGCCATGAAGATGAACAATAACGGTCTCTTCTTCATCCACTTCCCGAGGTTGCTTAGCAAGCCATGCTGAATCAGGAATATTTCTTTTAGTATCTTTCCTGGTAAAAACTTTTCCGTAATTAGGAATGCTTTTGAAAGGATTGATTTTCTTCTCTTTCTTTTTTAGTATACCAAACAAGCTATTCCCTCCATCTAGGTATCTGAAATCTTTCAAAGCCATTCCATGACTTAAATGTGCATAACTCATAACAAGGAAATTCAGTAAATAGCTCTTCCGAAAAGTCTCTTGTTCTCGAAATCTTGTTCCTATAGTTACATATAATATAGTTGTCCAAACCCACACAAGTGGGAGAGTAATTAACCGCGCAAAAAAAGAAAGCGAAATCATTTTTAGCTATAAAATACTAATGAGGAAAGCATAAAGGATTGGTTTGAATGACTGACTATTTAGCAAAAGACAACATTTCTGGGATGCAAACCCTACATAGATAGTATGTATCTTGATAGCAGTTTACCGCAAAGTGGAACCCAAGAACTTACAGCTCCTTATTTACCAACAGTTGGACAAAAGACTGCTGCTTTATTCAGTTTTGGTTCTAACAATAGTTTTTAGACAGGGTCCTTTTTTTGGTCCTTTAAGCAAAAGAAAAAAGAACCTTGTTCAACAAGCAAACCTTTTTTATCCATCCAATACAAGCCACCTAGAAACGTAGCTTAAACTATTCTAGTAAGAAAATATCCTTTCCAGCAATGTGTAAGGAAAAATCGCTCCACTGAAGCGATTAAAATCAGAAAACACATGTATGAAAAGTCAATTAAAGATCATTTTAGCATTGCATCTTGAAGCTTTCGTAGACTCTTGTCTGTACTTCTACAGTCAAAATCGTTGCAGGATTATAAGTCTATGCAGTAAATAAGATCAGTCTTTCCAGGCTGATGAGGATTCGATCAAAGGTAATCTTTTTCATTTTGCTTTATTTCTGTTAGTTCACTGAAAATGCCTAGATGGGTTTCATGGAAACTGAATGAACTACCCCATTAAGAACTGGCTTGATTCTTTGTTGCTTCTACGGCATTTTTTCCTTTTTGGTTAAAAATGCGAAACAATCGATAGTGATGGAATGAAAACAAAAGGTTCCCGACCCCTTTGTCTTTAGACGGCATTCAACCGGATCTCGTCGAATTTGAAACCTCTGTACAGGCAAGAGACAATGTTTTGGTCATCTATCTATTCCAAATTCCATCTACTACTTTCATTTTCTTGGCCATCCATTACTCATTGTCTCTTGCCTATTGATGACAATGATGAGGATGATTACAAGTTGAGTAAACAAAACCCGACTGACTCCACTATTGACGAACGGATCTAAAAATGAATTGTACCTTTGATGAAAAGATGATTCTTTTCGATTTATCTCCACATTCTTTGTGACTATTGATCTTTTGTTGGAAGCCGATTATCAATTTGGGACAATGGAAAATTTTGTAAAGAAGAATGGGACCTTGAACAAAGAGCACATTTGGTCGATAGTTTCGGAAATTGTGAAGAAAAGGTATAAATACAGGTGAAAATGTAACAAAAGTTCAATATTCAGAGCTTGATTTCCAATCTCATTAAGCCATCTTCTTTACCTTTTTTATTTTTGGTCTTTTTGCCCATCGACAAACATTAACAACAACAACAACAACAACATGGACGCTATCAACAACAGTTCCAACAACGGCAACAACTCATCTCTTGTCAACAATGCTCCTTCCAAGCCAACTGTAACCACCAGCGGCGCTTCCTGGTACCAACCCAAACCTCCTGCCATGTGGTATGGCAATCCTCCTTGTGTTATTCTCCTCTACTAACTTTTCTATTTTTTTAGTGTCATTGCTTAAGAGCAAACTAGTATTATGATTTTTTTATGTCTCATTTTGAGTCCACTTTTTTGATTTTTATTTTATTTTATTTAATTTATTTTGTCTTGATTTGGTTTGATTTCCAGTAATACTTAGTATTCTCTAACACTGCGAAATTTCAATACATTGATCGATTTTTGAATCCGTAACTTCAATCATTGTATTAACAATTCTTAATAATTTCCTCCATTTTCAAATAGACTTCTGTAACATCGCCTAGTCTAACCAACTCTTCAATGTTGCTGTTTCATAAGAACTAAGAGCTTGCTGCTTTCTTGTTCCCAAAAATCTTTAGAACTCTTCACCAATAATGCCAAAACAAAAAGAAAAATAAATGAACAAATAAGAAGCAAACGAGAAACGAAACCAATCGTCATTCGTTTTTCACCATGATGTATCAAAGAATAGGTTGCCATCCGACCAGACGTATACGAGAGAAATTGATCAATCAAAATGCTTGTAATAGGTTTATTTACATAATAATCAAAATAAAATCTTGTGTAGATATGTTGGGTCATGTAAATACGTAGCTGTTGATATGTATTTTTCAACGGTTTTTTGGAGTGATGACCGACTGAAGTCAGCTACATATTCATGAATCATCATGCTGGTTTGCTAAAAGAAGTTCTATATAAAGGAAGTGATCCCAAGTTTTACAGAACAGTTTCAACGAATGCTGCTTAAACAACGTCTTCATTTACCGTTGTTAAACTTAACAAGGACATACGCAACAAAAATGTCGAGAATTTCAGACGTAGTATTTAAAGACCACAGAGAATTACAGGATCAATACAAAAACATCAAGGCTGCTAAAGATGCCGACACAGCAATTCGTTGGCAAAACCAATTCGTTTGGGAATTGGCGCGTCATTCCTTAGGAGAGGAAATTGTCGTTTATCCAAAGTTTAAGAAATACCTTGGAGACGTTGGCGAGGAATTAGCAGAAAAAGATCGAAACGAACACCAAATCGTTAAAGATTATCTGTATAAATTTCAATCTTTGAATCCAAGTCAAACGGAATTTATCCCAACGATTGATTCTTTGATGGCGAATCTACAGAAACATATCGAAGAAGAAGAATCTCAGGACTTTCCTCAATTGGAGAGCAAATTATTAGCCGATGAGTCCCAAGAGATGGCTCAAAGCTTTGAAAGAACAAAAATGTTAGTTCCTACACATAGCCATCCATCTGCTCCTAACAAACCTCCTTTTGAAACTGTTGTCGGACTGCTTACCGCTCCCCTTGACAAGTTGCAAGATTTAATGAAGCGTTGGCCTCAATAGGTTATTTCATAATTGATTTAATGCCTTGTTTTTATGGGCTACATAACGAATCATGATTATATTTAGTTTAGTAAATTCACATATTTTTAACTCAATTCAGAAAGTTCAAATGTTGCTTGCTTATACAACTCTTATAGACATACTTGGAGACAGACAACACATTGTATTATCAAAAAAATTATGTACAACAAAAGCATGACTTCTTTGACTTGAAAGACATTTATTAAATTAACTTATGATGATGCCCTTCTATTTCTACTTACAACTGTACAACATTCCTATTTCATAAAACAATACTTTTATTTTTTTATAAGAAACAGTAAACACCTTTTGCAAGAAATAAAAAACATGACAAAAGAACAACTATTTCAGGCTATCGAATATTCCAGGATTCCACGCAAAAATAACTTTCTTTCGTTACCAATGAATAGTACAGTACACAAACAAATCATTTATAGACAAAGAAAAGTAGTTTTCAAGGAATCAGCATACGTATCTCATTAATTTCATAAATAATCAAAAATAAAAGAATACCGCAAGTACCTTTATTTTTTATAATCATCAATTGAAAATTCATGAACCATTCCATCACGGCACAGAGTACTTAGCTATTTGGCAATCAGTCCATTTATAGTGATATAAATGCACAACATCATGTTTCATAGACTAAATAACATCGTAACTTAAATGAAAGATCAAAGAAGCTATTGCTCTACCACAGCGGTGAAAAGTTTTTCTATATGTGGTGTAAAGAGAGGCACGAAAGCTGTGTCTATAATTTCGAGTCCAATTTTCCGGCATCGACATTCTTCTCGGTTTCTCCAATCTTTTCTGCATTTTCGATGAATTCTTCTTCTTGATCTTGAGCTCCCTTGGACTTTTCTCTTTCGCGTCTTTCTTCCTCTTTGCTGAATTCGATATGATTCTTCTTGACATTGCGAATGTATTTCATGGAATTCCATGGCTTGACATTCGAAAGGTAAAGCTCATTAACCTCTTCCAAACTCAATCCCTTAGTTTCCTTGGCCATAAAGAAGATCTGGAACGATGAAAGAACGTTGATACATGCGTAAATATAACCCAATTTAAAACCTATAGCATTGGAAATGAATGGAGTAAAGAAGGAAACCATAAAGTTACCAAGCCAGTTTCCTGCAGTTGCGACACCAGCACATTTACTACGGTAACGGATTGGAAACGTTTCACCCACAATGACCCAACCAATGGGACCCCAAGAACAGCAGTAAGAAAAGATAAACAAACACGAAAACACAATCATCACAGAACCAGCTCTGGTATCTGAAGAACCATCAGAATTGTATAGCTTTTTGTCACCAACGGCGGCGTAAATGAAAAAGCAAATAGCCTGGAAACCGGCACCAAGAATTAACGGAAGTCTTCTACCAACACGATCCACAATGTAAAGAACGCACAACGTTGTACCGAAATTGATAGAACCTAAAATGATTGCAGGAAGATAACGATTAGTCATTCCGGTTCCTCTAAATACTTGAGTGGCATAATAAAAGTAGTAATTATTACCAATGAGTTCTCTTAAAAACATAGTCAAGAACCCAAGAGCAGTACGATAGCGAATATCGGGGCCAAGGATATCACCCCATTTGGCTTTTCCTCCGGCCATTTCTTTGTCAATATCACTTCGAATTGTGTTGAAGTTGGTTTGGATAATTTCAGTCTCTGGACTAAGTTCGGCAGTTTCACACATGACTTGTAGAGCCTTGTCTTCTTTTCCAATGTAAATAAGATATCTAGGGGATTCAGGTAGGAAAAGAACACCAATCATAAGAAAGACACCCCAAAGCATATTAATGCCGAGAGGAATTCTCCAAGTGGCAGTGTTGGTCAAATCTTTGGTTCCAATGTTGATGCATGCTGCAACCAATGTACCGCATGTTTGAAAGACTTGGTAGGTACAGACAATGGCACCACGAATTTGGGGAGGGGCGACTTCGGATTGGTAACTTGGACTAAGGACGGATAATGCACCGATGGTAAGACCGACAAAGATTTTACCGACTAAAATTTGAACCCAAGAATGAACCGAACTAATCAAGACAATTTGGCCAATAATGTAGCATGCACTGAAAAAGCAAATGGAATTTCGTTTTCCAATGAGTTCAGTGAATGGGGAAGAAAGCATAGCACCAAACAAACAACCAGCATTCACCATACCAGTCAAAAGACCTTGGCGAGCAGCCGTGTAAGAATATTCGTGTGAGGAAGGATCATAGCGGTTTGCAAAACGGGCTTGAAAATCTCTCATATTCAAAATTCCGCTAATGGAACCAGTATCGGCACCTCCTAGCCATCCAGCCATGGAGATGAACACCACAAGAATGGATGTGATAAACCTTTTCATTTTTCAAAAAATGCAAACACGCTCTTTAAACCGAGGGGGGGAGGGGAAGTGATAATGCAATGGAATTATATATTACAACAAAAGAGAAAACACAGACACACAAAGACAAACAAACGCTCCTAAAAAACGATCGGGGAAAAACAATTTTAAACGACAAAGAATTGAAGAATCAAAGAGACGATACAACCAACTCTTCACGAAAAGAGTGAATTCTCACACTAGGAAAGAATCACAGACAGCGAGCGACTTGCGACTATTGACGACTCCAACAAACGAAAATCACTATAAACAACGAAACGAACAAAAATTAAAAAAAGAAATAGAAATCTACTAAGGAAGAAGGACGCTACATTGCGGGTGGATGCCTTTATATATACTGAAAAATGGTGTTTCATGTCAATACCAACCTAAATTCAGGGCAAAGTTTAAATATCGGATTTCATGGGGAGATTCATTCTGCTGTCAATAAAATCTCGTTTAGGAGTTTGAATATCATCATTTCCTGTTGGCCCCATAAAGAAGTGAGAAACTGATCTCACTTTATCAGCCAATAATCATTCTTCTGTCAAACTACTCGTTTTGAGAAAGTGGAGAAGTGACATCGTTTTTGTATAAACTATCCAATAGGAAGTAAAGGAAAATGCGGAGTTTCCCATACCGAACGTTAATTCCTTTCCCCCCTTTTTCATGACACGAAACAAGTCCAATAGAAGGAACCTTAATATTGTTTGTTACTTGGAGAACAAAGCAAACTCCAACGGATGACTCCACGCATGCGTCTAGGCTCGGCGGGGAATGTTTTTATGTAATTGCTTGTTGATTTTATTGTATTTAATTTATTTTTTATTTTTTAATTAATTTTTTTTGTTTATTTTTACTTTTGTTTGTTTACCTTTTATTCTTTAGATTTTTTTTGTTTATTTCTCCGTTTATCGGTGTATGAGCTGTGGTCTTTCCCCCCCCCCATTCGGTGCCATGTGGGGTGTTTGTCAAGTAACCCAAGAAAAAGTAGTAAACAACAACAAACAGCAGGTTAAAAGTATTGTAGTAGAAAAGCAAAACAAAAACAAAAACAAAAACAAACATTTAGTTTGAGTATTTGAGTTTGGGTTTGAAGCATGAATTGAATTGAATTTGCGATAAAGAATGTTTTTTCTTGGTTTTTGTTTATTGCAAACGTGGGCGATTTGTTTCTTTCAGTTTTATGGGGAAACTGTAAACAAAGCTTTCATGGTTGAGTGGAAAGGGTGTATTGTCAAAAAGGATGAATAGACCAATTGTAGTGCTGGCATCGCTTCTTATTCAAATAAAGTGTTTGATTCATGTTGTTTAAATAAAGTATTTTCCTTATTTCCAGGAGCTGAACATCATTTCAAAAATTACAAGTCATCAGATGGGAAAGTAAAGAAATTTCAGGTGATTTAAAAAAATCACTTTTTGCCCTTTTATTATTTGGACTCAAATTCATTGATGCTTATAACTGGATTTTGAATATTTCTAATTGTTTATACTATAAACCCATACAATTATCTTGAACGTTACAGGTTGGGTTAAGGCAAACATTTCTTTGCCCAATTTTCTGTTTGCTGCTAATTACCAGCTTTTGCGACTACTCCATTGAGTAGCATTTAGACAGAAATACAAACCAATATAAAAATCCAGTGGTTCTGTACTAGCATAACTATAGCAAAATACTGTAAGATGCCATAGAAAAAAAAATAAAAAATAAAAGACATTTCATTCATTATAAACGTAAAATAAAGAAATTAAAATCCATTGAAGAATCAGTGAAGAAAACGAAAGTCTAACCTTTTGTTTCCTTCATCCGAAGTATTCTCAACGCAATTCTTTTTCTCCGCTTCCGTCAGTCCATTCCACAGTATCTCTCTTTTTCGATTAAGACGGACATAGAAAATTTTCGTAAAAATATATAAAAGAATGCTTAGACAAGTTATGGCAATAAGATCGCGATTTCCTCGACGGTAACGCGGAGCATCATCCGCCCGATAAATAAATGAAGCCAGTATACTTCCAACCTGAACGGATATATTGTATAACGAGGCGGAAACGGTTCGAGTGCGAACAGAATTTGAATTTTGGGAATTCCAACCTACTTGCACTGGATGTGCATAGGGCGTAGCGACAAGCAAAGTGGAGACAGTGTATAATACCCACCTACTAGTAGAACTAGATAAAACGTACAAAGCAATTAGAAGCGGTAATACGTAAAACTGAGATCCCATGCAAACAAGTGTTTTCTCACCAACCATTTCACTGAAAAAAGTGAGTGCCAGCATGTTTAACATCTTTAAAAATATAGATGGGAGGACTAACAAGTTGGTTTTTATTGTCGAGAATCCAAGATCTTTTAGACTCAACGTCAAGTATGCGTTTGGTGGAGTATATGGGATCATAAAACAAATTCCGATTGCATACAGAGGCCATAAATGATAATCACAAATGGCTTTCCATAATAGTTTAGGAGTTAATGCCTGTCGATTGTGCATAGTTCCTTTTGAAGGATCGTTTCGCAATGCTCGATTGACAATGATTTTCTCTTGTCGTTCACTAAACCAGCCATTTCTCCCGCGAAACCAAGAAGCAGTGGAAGTGGGCCCAGAAGGCATCATTCCATAGGAGAAAACCCCAATGATTAGGGTGATAAGGCCTTGAATCAGAAAGAGGTAACGCCATCCAGCAATCCCATGGCGACCACCCAACTTGAGAATACCAACAGCGGAAAAAGCAGCGAAAATATCCGCGACAGCATTGGAAATCCAAAAGAAGGAAAAACGAAGGTTCAGCTCAGAACCAGTGTAAAAGTAGGAAAGATACAAAACCACATCCGGAATGAATCCACCTTCTAAAACACCAAGCAAAGCTCGGGTCACATAAAAAGAAGATTTGTTTTTTAAGAAAAATTGAAAAATAGTCACAATACTCCAAAGAACGATTTGCGTGGGTATCCAGCGATCAGGACCAAGACGTTTACTGATGAGTTGCGACGGTAATTCGGCAAGTAAAAAGGAACAATAAAAAATAATGTTTCCATTGTTGTAATCGTTTGTATTCATATCTAGATCACCCAAAAAGTTATCACTCAACGCTTGTTTGATATTTGCGCGATCTAGCTCGAGGGCGATAAACATGACACATGTCCAGAGCATAATAAACAAATCCATCTTTCTAACAAGTACCTTTTCCTCTCCCCAATTCCATCGGAAACTCGTGTCGAATCGGTGAATATTTTCATAGGTATCGATAGGGTAATATGCTTCTCGTACAGAAGGATCATCGTACACAGAGTACTGTGTGGCTATCGCATCATTTGAAAATTTTACCTTTGGTCCAAAGACTAAAGAGTAAAGAGTCCTTGGTGGAATCGGTGATCCCAAACCATCTTGGCTGATTTCGTCATCGGCTTTGGAATTAGAATTAGAATCAGAATCCGCTGACTTGACCTTGAATATATGTATTTCTTTTCTATCCTCTTCTCTATCGGACGTAAGTGAACTACGACTTCCGTAGGTATAGGTAAGAGGGTCACCTGCTTCGTCGCTGTTCATGGTGAGGAATCGTGAATGTCCTTTCTATTTATGAGTTCAAAGGCTTTCTTTTCACTTTGTTTCTCTACCAAAACACTTTACAACTAAGTAAAGGAACTCAGTCAACAACAACGATGATGACTAGTCAATTACTTTCTTTTCCTCAGATAAGAAACGGACGGAATGATCAAAACGAAAAACATACCGCATCCAAACATATATATACATGTTCAATGTACTCATGGTAAACGTTTGTAGGAGATAGATTATCATTTGCTCTTAAAATATCCCATTTACGCATGCTCACCGAACCAATTAATATCCTTGGAGATTGCCTTCTTCCCTGTGTATATGAACAAAAGCCATGGTCTCATACATCTGCCAATGTTATACGATTGTGGTGAATATTAAGAATCTGTAGTTGCGGATTGCGCAGGGTTGTAAGAGCCATTGCGTTTGTTTACAATTGTAATATTCACTGGTTATGAGAATAAATGTCGGCCGGATCAATAATACTTCAGAAGGAAGGTGGGTTCCTTGTACTAGTTTAACAGATAATATTAAAAGTTGAAGCTTTAATATTCCAAATCAAATGTAGTAAAGAATTTTAATAAAGCTCATAAAGGTTTAATCAGGACTTGTAGTTATGGCCATGATGTGAGAAAACTAGGCGACACGAGAAATTAGACCATCACAGTATATCGTATAAATGAGTGAGCATTCTATTACGGAATGGTAAACGAAACGACATATAAATTCAACTTTGGTCTATGTAGAGCGCATGACAGATTTTTAATTAGTTCTAGTAAATTTGTAAAAAAAAATTAAACATACTTTGTTGCTTTGAAGTGATTGGCGTTGTGTTTTCTACGAATTGTTGGTGTCAAACACAAAGCAAAGCATTCCTATAACAGATTCAGGACTTGAAACAAAAGATAAACAGCATTGGAACCATGAGATAATAGGTTTATATATATACAAAATTAAAAAAAGCAAATGTCTGAAATATAATCCAGAAATTTAATCATATGTAAAATGAGTTTCATACTCTACACATTGCTTGAACATACCTAGAGAAACCGGGCTAGTCCCCAGTGAGTTGGAAAAGATTATAAAAGCTCATGATTTCTACCAAAAAATTGCTTTCAGTGTGAGGTTTTATTTCATTTGTATTTATGAATTAGAACTTTTTACATATTCTTTCACCTTTTGATGACCCTTGGTTCTGTTGATTGCTGCTCTACTCGCTTATTAATAAAAACAAAAAAAAACTTTTACCTATTTCTCTCTAATCCAATAGATTTCTTTCTTTTTCTAAAGAAGACCCGATGTTGCATTTTATAGGGGATAATCAATTCTAATAGGAAAAGAGTAAAATCTAGCGATTACGTTCTAAAAACACAAACATTTTCAACAACTCCTAATTTGCGCGCAAAGTTGAATGAAAATGGCTTCTTTTATTCCTTCTATTAAAAGGCCTGTTACCATCTTTTGCAATTTTTTTTTTTTTTTTTTTTTTTTTTTTTTAAATCATAAGATGAATGTTTCCATGATGTAATGTGTTGTTTCGTTAGTGACTTGTTTTTTGTTAAACCGAGCCAAGGTCGTTTGATTCTATTACTAAACTCGGTAGATGTTTACTTGTCACTCGCTAGTATCATTAGTAAACCACAGTTCATTGCTTACAGTACCAGGGTTTTTTTTCTTTTTTTAGGTTCTTTTTCTATTCTAAACTGGTTTTCAATTGCATTTATTCGTAAATTTACCTACTGATGATTATCAGATAAAAAAGGTGTAAAACATCTGGTAAGTCAATAATTCACCCAAGAAAAAAAAAGGTCAGTTGGGCTTTTCTCTTACGTTTACCTTTTGCTAATGAATTGGTAATCGAGAATAAGTAACAATGTTCGAGATTAGAAATAGAAAAATCGTAAAATAATGAGATGAAAAAAAAAGTTTATAAGAAACATACACTCGCTCCAATGGTTTCATGTGATCGAAATTAAGACTTTTAATTTGCTAGAGACGGCTGGAATTGCTTGGATTATCGAATCAAATTGCAAATAAAACTTCACGGAAGAAAGAAGAAAAATAAAGACAAAAAAAACGAACAAAGGATAGAAGCGAATTCGACTTGAACATGGGTGATTATGTATGACTCAACATGGGTAATAAAGTATGACTCTAATGACAAATGGGCGATTATTTTCTTATTTCTTTTTCTTGGATGCTTAGTTGCTCTCTCTGGTCTTTATTTGATAGAAACATTAAGGATAAAACGCAAATCTTTCAAACATGATAATTCTCCAAGCGCTAAAGTTTCTTCGCCGCCTTCGGCTTTCGAGCGTATATACCTGGTGGTAAGAAATGTTTATTTGTACTTGGCAACGAATAAAGCTATTATGACAATTATCATCGTTCCACTCGTTTTCGCAATACCGTTCCTTTTATCGGAAGAGATACGAATAACCCAGGAACTAAAGGCGAATGGGTTGGAATGCTAGTATGTGCGAGATTAGGATTTCTATCATCTGCTGTGTTTGTTCTTTCGTTCCTTTTCAGTATGAAAAACAACCCATTCGCTTTGATGCTTTTTTCTTCCCATGAGAAGATGAATTATATACATCGTCTCTTGTCTCAGTTTGCCATTCTTCTTGGTATTATACATGGGTTTACACGCCTTGCCTTGGATGCTGAAAAAGGCCTAAGTTTAATTAATCGTGTATATAATACAGGTTATGCCATTCTCGCCATAACAGTCCTTTTAATTATTAGTGTTTTACCATGGTTTAGGCGAAGGCTTTATGAATGGTTTTTCCTTATCCATCACGTTTGCAGCATTGCATTTCTTATTTGTATTTACTTGCATCATCCCCGATGTATTCCTTATATGATTGCGGCCAGCGCTTTATATGCACTGGATCGTGCATGTAGGATTCTTCGGTGCTTTCTGAATAAAACAACGTTCCAGGCGACAATGATAGAGGATGATGTTATTTACTTGCGTGGAAAAAAACCCAGAGCCTCTTTCTTTTCCTTACCATGGTCTTCTGGCAATCACGTTTATGTCAACATTCCTCGTTTAAGTTTTTGGCAGATGCATCCATTCACAGTTGCTAGCTGCCCTTCAGACGACTATATTGAGCTTTTGGTTGTCGTCCGCAAGGGTTTCACACGTCGCTTGGCAAACCATCTTGGTTCCACGGATGATTCAACAAGTGAAGAATCAGAAAAGTCCAACTCAAAATCCAACACTAGTATCGTTGTAACTAGATCAGACACAGGAAATTACGTCTCTGATCTTCATAAACGAATAGAGTCGGATGCTACATGTGTAACACCGATCAAGGAAATGACAATCTTCCTGGATGGACCTTACGGACCAATGTCCAACCCCTTTAGGAATTACTCTTATGTTTTATTTTCAGCCGCTGGTTGCGGAATTACTTCCACTTTACCATTGTTCAGAGACATGCTGTTAAATCCTGGGAATACAGTCGACATCACGTTCGTATGGGCTTGTCGATCACTCAAGTTTATTCGTCTATTCAAGGAGATCTTGGAAGATTCTATAAAGCAGAATGGTGTCACCGTTCATATATATTGCCATTTGACGACAAGCTACTCTGTGAAAGAGCATCACTTAATATCTGAAACGAATGGTTCAAACTCGATTCAGTATTTTGATGAGAGGCCTAACTTGGGAAAGTATGTCGAGGATTACTTTCATTTGTCTGGAACAAATACGAATGCAATAAGTGCATGCGGCCCTAATAAATTTTTGAAAGCTTTGAAAAAGGAGATGACCTCTCAGCAAAAATGGGATGCTGATACATTCCAGCAATACGAAGAAATTTAAATTCCAATCCTTGTTTGACTGCTCCAACGGTCTATGTAAAATAGTTTGCAGTTTTTTTGTTTTTCATATTAAGCGGAAGGGATGGATCGTATATTTATGATAGAACTTTTCGTTTCCGTTGTACTTTTAATTACCTTCTGTTTATTTTAATTAACACAATAATTAAATAACGGTACATTAGACACGGTTTATTCCTTAATATATTGTGGATACATGAAAATCATGCTGCTGTAACTACCAATAGCCATATGTTTAGTATAAGACAGCACACAACGACGACATTAACGAGTATGTTTACGAGTAAAAACATTTTCATTCACTGACACTTTAATTAAGTGTGACATCTTATTCTGTCCATCAATTATAGCAATGCACATAGCATTACCTACGTTGAAACAGTCCGCGGTAACTTCACATTGATTCGAGCATGATCAAAAGTAAAAGCTTTTGTTTATGTATATAAAAATACCCTCAATGAAACAGTTGATCAAGTCTGTTTCATGTCAAATGGTTTGCTCTTTCAGTTTGGTTTTTATACTCAAGAGCAACAAGCACCACTGTCAACGGAGAGTTACTCTAGGTAACTTGATTGTGGTAAAAACGGAATGAATAGCTTAATTAAATGGAAAAAAAGAGGAAGAGGCTGGCTAAGCCCAGGTACTGTTCAATAGAGTCCCATGTATCAACCACAGTGATCGGATGGGAACTGTTTTGGTTTGTTATAATATGATTCCATATCAAAGGGAGTTTGTCTACATTTCCTGTTTGGACATATCACCTGAAGGTACAATGAAGGTCTCAACTGAACGAAGCACAGTGAAAAAGTCTCTACATTCAGCCAAGAATCTAACTATGGGCGTGTTCGCTAATTATGCATAAACAATATCCAATAGTCAAGGATTACGAGGAGAATTAGGACCAGTTCAATCAGTAAATGACTTATTTACAGTGAGATCTGTTAGGCAGATTTCTGTACCTGTAGTTGTAATTCCAATCCTCGAATGACATCAATCAATCTAATGTGCTATGCTTAGACACAAACATTCACCCAAATCAACCCAATACATTGTATAACGAGAAAGAAAAACTATAGGAACATATCCATGTAACCAAATAGGCGCAGCAAAGAGGTAATCGATATAGGCTACCCATCGTGTCGAAAATACATCAAACCCTGTGATGTATACATACCCATGGAGATTTATATCATAAACCATCTATGTAAACGCCAAAATTCCAAGCCTTCATGAAGAGGAAGCGTTGAAATGGTATTTTTCCTTTCTGAAGTCATTTACAGAAATATCGATGATTTATATGCATAGATGTCATTCCGTGCGCTGAGGTTTTCATATAAAAAGTCTAAAATGTCCTTCTTTCCTCCAACTTAACTACGTTCACAAGAGAATTCACCAAGTCAAATCTTGAATTTGGTTTATTTGTCCAATCCCAGACCATCCTTTCTATTTAATCGACATACTTTTCACAACAAAATGCGCCTCGTTTCCATCCATCTTTTATTGACGACTTTAATTGTTTTTATTGGAATTTGTTTTGCAAATGTCATCGACAGAAGAGATGTGAATGGTGGTGTTTCCAGCGCCATTGACAGAAGAGACGTAAAAGGCCCTGTTTCAAGTGCCATCGATAGAAGAGATGTGAATGGCGGTGTTTCCAGCGCCATTGACAGAAGAGACGTAAAAGGCCCTGTTTCAAGTGCCATCGATAGAAGAGATGTGAATGGCGGTGTTTCCAGCGCCATTGACAGAAGAGACGTAAAAGGCCCTGTTTCAAGTGCCATCGATAGAAGAGACGTAAAAGGCCCTGTTTCAAGTGCCATCGATAGAAGAGACGTAAAAGGCCCTGTTTCAAGTGCCATCGATAGAAGAGATGTGAATGGTGGTGTTTCCAGCGCTATTGACAGAAGATCTGTTCCTACTTCTGCTGCAAACGGATACTAACACAAAATATGTTCCTCTCTGCTGTTATGAGTTACCTGTTCTTTTGCTGGCTTAAACACATGTTTAATCCTCAAGATTGACTGGTCGCATCCGAAACGCTGTATCCTCTTTTGCTGAGACGTTGAAGGCTTCCTTTCCTCATCTATATGAAATTAGTTAAGCCCGACACATTATGATAGTTCCGAAAGAGATGTACTCATGAAATACATTAAATGATATACCATTATTTTAAATGTATAATGGTAATACACAAAGTCATAGTTGTGCTAATAATTGTCGATCGTAGCAGTCAAAATCTTGATAGAAACTACTTATTATTCCCTTATTTAGTGGCTATCTGTGCAGTTAGTTATACTCCGTTTCCCTTATTGGGGATCTTTCTTTTTCCATAGCTTAAAGAGGATTCAATAATCACTCATCACTTGCGGTAGTGAATGTATGTAGTCATTAAAAACCCTGAATGTTAACGGGTAAGTAAACCATGACAAATAATTTGATAACTCGATAAAGCGAAATAGAAAATTGACTCATAAAGGCTGAAAATAAACGAGTAAAGAAGTTACATGTGGGTTGGTAAAATGTACGTAGCAATCTCGAAAACAAACAAACTACTTGGACGAATGCTGGTGACTTTTTTTATTTTTTTATTGTATTATTTATTTAACCTTTTTATTTATTTATTTTTCCTTACTGATCTGGTCACGGTCATATACTACTAATAAACGAAAGTGAGTAACTGCATAGCGAACCACTTAAAACGCAGTTAATCAATTCTTCTTGACGAGTAGTTTTTTAATCCTACCCAACCCATTTTAATTGATCAGAATAACTTAACAACAAACGAATATCTACAAATGTAAAGTAAAATGAGAGAGAACGCAACAAAATGAAACACAGGAAAATGAAAAGAAGAATGCGATCTTCTGGGTCGTTTATTGTATTACAAAAAAAAATCAAATAGCCCTGTCAACTCAAATATTTTACTATCGCAGAATCTCGGTTACTGGAGTAAATCTCGTTTCGTAGTGATTCTGCATCAGTTACCATGCAAACATCAACTGCTTTAAAACTAAAGTGCATTGAGTGAAAGATCAGACTAAAAAATATGTTGCTGTACGAGTCTAATAGCATTGGACTAGTTTTATTTGACTATATGTCTCCAGATGTCTCAATTTTATTAGCATATTTTATGATTATCAGTCTTAACGCCAAAAAATGGATTATTAAATAGTTAGCTTGCCATGCCGCGTTGAACAATTCGTATAATAAGCTGAAATTAAAAAAAAAAAAACTTTAGCTTCTCTGGGTCTAATATTTCAACATGAATACCTGTGTCTTAGGTCTTGTTTGTCCGTGACATCATCATAAATACTATATATAGGTAAATCTTCTTGCTTTTCTAATTCACTCCTCTTTTTGTTTTCTCGTAAAGCTTTGCATCTATAATAAACCAACAGGATTTCAAGCAAACACCACAAGGCTAGGTTTACAGCTAAACCAACGCGGAATTTGGGATCCTTGGAATAATCCCACCATTGAGGATAAACTACAGCTGCAAGGCAGTATCCAACAAAAAATAGGTTATTAGCAATAGATTTTTTTGTGTTACCTCGAATGTTTGAAGCGTTTAGACTCAATAAAATCGACATAGAGCAGGTAATTACAGAGCCAAGCCAAGAAGACACTACAATGCCCCAACCTGCTTTGCTCGGTAAACCCAGTAACAGAGCATTACCAACAATAGGGACAATAATTAAAAGCTGAGCAATAACTGTACGGTAGTTTGAGAAACCCATCACCATAAATACACCGATCCAAACAAAAGCTAGCTGGACGGCACCAGAGGGAGATCCGTATATCATGACTTGAAACTTGTCGTATCCGAAATCGTTGAGTATTAAAGATTGGAAAACTATTGTCCCGGAAGTAACACAGACCAAAAAGCCAAATGCAAAAGAGCTCCAAGTGAGCCAGTCACATTTGAGGCATTCAAACATTTGTTCCTTGCTGAACTGAGAGCCTCCTTGTCTATCACTCTCGATATATATTCTGTGTAGAGCAATTTTTCTCTCTCTATCAGTAAGAAACCATGCCTTCTCTGGAGTAAATGGAACAGCAATCACAAACAAAGTCCCTATTACAATAGAAATAATACCACATATAAGAAACATTATTTTCCAATCTGCTAGAGAAGATTTGTTGGTCTTTCCAATGCCATACATGAAGAATGACCCAAAGATTTGCGCTAAAGAGTTCATACTTATCCAAGCGGCCATACGATATGGATGCTCCTTTTTTCTATACCATGACTGAGTAACTAACAACGTACAAGGTTGACATGCAGCTTCAGTAGCTCCTAAAAGGCATCGAACAGCAATAAATTGAGCGTAATTATGGGTAGCACCGAGACAAGTACAACATACACCCCATGCTACTACTGAAACACCTATCAACAAAGTACGATTCACCTTCGTCATGAGATAAATAAAAATAAAAGTCGTAATCATTTGACATAAATAAAACCCAGTACTGCACCATGAATACTGATTTCCAGTCATATGTAAATCTGTCTTTAAGCCGAATACAGAGGTGTAGGTAATAGATTGCTTGTCAAGATATTGCGCAAAGAAAATTAAACATAACGAAGGAAGTATGAGTAAATCAATCTTCTTAACAAGCTTTCGCTCTTCTTCTTCAGTGTAAGCCAATTCATCAATTTGTTGAATTTCTCCAACCCCAATCTCAACATCATGATTATGTATTTTTTCATTGAAATCTTTTGAATCTTCGGAACTCATTTCTAAATTTTGTTTTATTAAGTCTAGAATCAAATACAAAAATTGTCATTTTATACTCCTAGCTAACTTCAATGATGGGTGTGCATCTACTTGATATATTGACTATCAATATGCGTATCACTTGGAGCAAGCAACAGACATCAAGCTCAACTCAATTTTGTATTCTTTTTCTTTAAAGATAAATATCTCTTATCTAAATGTTTATAGGTAAGGTTTCTTTTCAATTGGACACTGAAAGGATCAGGTAGTCTTTGAGGGATTGTTCCAAAACATTATTTGAGAACTGAAATATATAGCCTTTACTATCCAATTCCAAAGATCCAACGAGTTCAAGTTTCATAAAATTCTAATTCTTTCTTAAATTTGCTTTAAAAATTGAAAATAGCTTTAATAAACAGAAACAATTATTTTAGAAAGCCACTTATGGCTTTTCAGATTAGCATCTAGAAGGTGTTTAGGAAAGCGGCGGAGCTGAAGGTTTTACTGTTTCAAACTCATCAACGGCTCACAAATAGGTCTACATCGCATCAAATCAAATATGCCATTCTTTCTTGCTAAATTCATTACCCACGTCTCTATTAATTATATCGAAGTAACACTGATAAATGATAAATTAATAGATTCATGAAAGGGCAACTAACATTGATGTTTAAAGAAAGAAAGAAGTAAGATAATCACTCATGTAAAATATATGTATCAGTGATAAAAAAAGAAATACATTGCGAGTTGATTTTTACATTCTTTCTACGAGTCGTTTAGATAGCTTTTGAGGCTCTTAGATAGGTAGCAGCTTTGATCCTTGTGTATATAAAAGAAGAATGCCAAGTGCTTAAATGAGCCTGTTTCAAAGCAAATAAGAATGACGAAAAGTAAAAATACAGAGCAATTGATAAAACCATGGTCTCTACCACCAAAGAAGAATTATCTATTTTACAATGCCAATTTAATTGATGTTGCAGAAAAAAAGATTATGGAGAATGCTAGTATTTATATCTCTCACGGAATTATTCTTCATGTTATGTATCCTGGAGAACCACTTACTGGTGTGGAATCAGGATTAGACGATGCGGGAGAGTATGCAGCTATTGATCTTGAGGGGAAATATGTTTGTCCTGGGTTAATTGATGCTCACATCCACATTGTTGCTGTTCCTGGTAAACCTGATTTGAAATCTGGATTGAATCTTCCGTTTTCTCATGCTGTTTTGCGTTACCACAAAGTATGCAACCAAATCTTAGAAAGAGGATTCACTACTGTTCGAGACTGTGGTGGAGCTGCTGCATTTGTTAAAAGTGCTATAGAAGACGATATTATTCATGGACCTAGGTTATTTTTCGCAGGAAATGCTCTTTCCCAAACTGGAGGTCACGGTGATCTGCGTGACCCGGAGTCTGACGGACAGCATTCACAGGAAGATGCATGTGGGTGCCAAAACAATGCTCTTGCAAGAATATGTGATGGAGCAGATGAATGTTTAAAGGCTGCCCGAGATGAGTTAAGAAAAGGTGCTGATTTTATAAAAATTATGGCAGGAGGTGGGGTTATTTCTCCAACTGATAAACTATCATCACTTCAATTTAGCCCCAAAGAGATTCGGGCAATTGTGCTAGCTGCCAACAACCATGGTACATATGTTACTGCACATGCGTATACACCGCAAGCTGTGCGTCAATGTATAGAAAATGGTGTACGAGGAATTGAACATGGCAACTTAATTGATGAATCTACAGCAAAATACATGGCTAGTAACAACGCTTATCTTACACCTACTCTCATAACTTACAAAGCAATGACAAGTGACCAACTTTCCAATTTCCTTCCCGAGGACGCAAGGAAGAAAAATGAAAAAATTCTTTTCGCTGGATTGAAATCGTTGGAAATTGCCAAGAATGCTGGTGTTAACATCTGTTACGGGTCGGATTTACTTGGACCTCTTAATGCTGTACAGACTGGGGAGTTTGTCCTGCGCTCATCTGTATGTACGCCTGGGGAAATTTTACAACAAGCTACAATTAACCCAGCTAAACTTTTTGGCATGGAAAATAAACTTGGACAAATTAAACCTGGATTCTTTGCGGATCTTTTGATTCTAAAAGATAATCCTTTGGAGGACATTTCTGTATTAGATGGTCCTCATCGTCATCTACTGGCTGTTATGAAGGGAGGAAGAATTTACAAGAGTAGATGGACAAAGCTTAAAAACGACATCACTATAGATGATTATATTCTCTGATGCTTGAGCTTGTACATAAGTTTGCAAACGGTTTATACAAGCCGTGTTTTGAATAAATAAGTAGAAAAAAGTTTTTATGCAAGTAAACCCTGCATCGCTTCAAGTATATGGTTCCCATCTTGCTTATGTTGAATTGGTTATTCATTTACATTTAACACTCTCTATAAACTTTTGACATTCCTGTAAGCTCTAATAACTCATACCGTATGTTTGAAACTGGAAAATAAGCAAGAGAAATGTGTAACTTTCCTTGAAGAGAGACGAATCATGACTTTGTAAATATGTTGTATGACGTTGTGAAAAAAGAAAAGATTTTCATCCTCTCTACATTCTCTTAACAGTTTTTCCCTTCTAGTTACTATGTGTTTAATTCTCACTCAACAATTGAAACTCCTTCAACCACAATATGATCTTTGCTACTTAGTGTTTGCATTATTTTCGGCACAAAATAGTTGGAGTGAGTTTTTAAATGTTTAGAATTTACAAGTTCAAAAACTTAGAAAGTGCTCTTGATATGATATACTCTATCAACATTTGGTATTACTTCTAACCATGTTCGACCTTAGACATAATGCCCGATTCAATGATATCTCATTTTATGTTAAATAGTTCTCTTAGAATTCCTAAACTGTATTTTACTGTTCATTAGCTTATCACGAAACGACGATACCTTTAAATACCCAAGTTACACTAGTTGGTTAACCTCAAATAAACTATACAACCATTTATTTTGATTTTATCTAGTATAACTCATAATTAGATACGTTCCTTTAGACGGGTCTTCAATTAAAAGTAATTTATGAAGTTTGCATAGCAATTTTCACGTTAGTGCATTGCAGGAATCATAATAATTTGTATTTCAGAATTGACTTTTCACAACAGACGGTTCTCTATGGACCAAAGATGTTACTATTCCCATGCTTAGCTGGAAGATAATAGCAGAATACCATTATACTAGTATATTATCAAATCTTATTATTAGAGGTAAAAATCCAAACATATTCATTAAAAGGTATTTTTAATTGATGTTTGAAAGATATATATACAACGGTAGTTGAAATCTCAAATCCTCAGATTGAAAGATTTTTTGAGTGATCTATCTAAATACAGTCTACATAGGTTATTTGGTGAGTCAGATCCCTGGAAGCTAGTACCAAAACATTCAAATCTACTTCCAGTTTAGCAAAACCTACACTAATTTTTCACTGATACGTTTACACTCGCATCGAGAGAGTCCATCTGTGACATATATAAATTATATACTCTCTATTTCTTTTTAGAAAAAGACGTTTTTATATTTTGAATTACCATTGCATAAGCTATATTCTACACATAAGAGATTTTCCTAAACCATGTATTAACTCCCCTCTATGTATTCAAACTTTACTTGTCTTCATATTGTTCCTTTTTTTTCTTCTTTAGAAGCTTTCGTAATCTGTTTTTTAAGTCCAAACAAATCTTCTTCCAGACTGTTTACTTTTTGTATTCATTAACATCGTCTTCATCATCCTCAGAAGAAGTATACCTACCCTCAGAACCTGATGAGTAGGCGCCTTCAGCTTCGGAACTATATCCCTAAGTAGCGTCTGTTCCAGCAGAAGTTTCGGATTCTCTTCTCCCTTTTGAATTCTTCTCTTGTATCTAAAGAATAAAGTTGTTAATGCAAAGCAAATTACAATTGTTTACAAACACTTTGGGCATAATTTCTTTTTTTTTTGTATGAAAGGATTAATGACGGTGTACACATCTAAATGGTGAATTAAAGATTTAAGAGTTACAGAGATATAGTTTGTTGGTTCTCTTAAAAATAAAAGAAAAATAAGAAAAAGATCGTTTGTCTTACGATTGACGTCTTCTATTTTACAAGCAACGCAGTACGCGTATTTTTATTTTTACAGATGGGCAAAAGTTATAAGTGATGCAAAGCTTATACGAAAGCGATGATGACCTAGTAGAAAAACGTACTGCAAATCTAGGCTTATTTGACTTCCATAATTAAAGTAAAAATTAAGAAAGTTCTGTAATTATATAAACTACTTATATAAATCCCGAAGGCTGCTCTTCTCTCCGTTCATATTTCATTGCTCTCTATACGTGAAAGAAAGATTATAAAAAGCTTTATTTACTTTTTCATCTTCATATAAAGCCTAGTAAGCCATGGTTGAAAAGAGTTCTCCACAAGCAAAAACTGTCTACATTGTTCGACATGGTCAAGCCGAACATAATGTGGGCCCTGATGAGGATCATCGTATTCGGGACCCAAATTTAACACAACTAGGACGTTCCCAAGCAGATGAGCTACGCGAAAAACTGTCTCAGCACCCCATCTCGTTTGATTTAATCGTTTGTTCACCAATGCGTCGTACGTTGCAGACAATGGAAATTGGGTTGCGGGATTCCTTACAAACTGGAATTATCCCAATTGACATTTGTCCATTAGTAGAAGAAGCAGGAGATTGGCCCTGTGACATTGGACTTGAGGTGGAGGAGACTGCCCAAAAATTTCCCAAGTATAACTTCAAGGCTTGCCAAGATGGCGTTTATCCAGCTCGGGAAGGTATCTACCGTGGCGATTACGAATCAAATATGCAACGAGCTACAAAAGCATTGGAATATATTAAAAACCTTCCTCAAAAGGAGATTGTTGTTGTGACCCATAGTGTTTTTATTCGATTTTTACTAAGGCAACAGAAACCTGAAGAAGATCTCAATTTTATGCCATCTGAAAAAGTGTTTAAGAATTGCGAATGCAGAAAATATTCTCTTGATTTCAAAGATGATGAACTGCAATTGATTCCTGCATAAGTCGCTAAGAGTACATAGATAGTTATGGGCTAGTTATTATACCAGTTTATATATTAAATTGGATTTGTTTCTGTTTTTTTTTTTTTTTTTGGTATTCAATTCTTAAGTTATGATGATTGTATCCAGTCGCAAAATCATGAAGCATATAGCTTCTGTTTGCTGCTTCTAAGAATAAAATCAAAAAAGTATTGCACTTGGTTTTTTGACGTGTTGAACATATGGGAAAATACCGCATGCATCGAATATAACTCAATTCAATTTATGATCGCTGAACCGCCACGTATGATTGACGTGTGTGTAGAGAAAGTCTTATAAGTATTTCAGACTCATGTGAAAGTCATTATAGTATTCTACTCAGATTAACAACTAATAATGTCGACAATTCAAAAAGTTTATGCCAGAAGCATTTATGATTCAAGAGGAAATCCAACTCTTGAAATTGAGCTTACAACTGATTTAGGAACGTTCCCAGCCATGGTTCCTTCAGGAGCATCCACGGGAAAATGGGAAGCAAAAGAGCTTCGTGATGGGGACAAAGAGAAATGGGGAGGAAAAGGTGTTTTGAAAGCTGTAGAAAACGTCAACAAGGTGCTTGCTCCTGCCCTAGAAAAATCAGGAATTGACATTACGGATCAAGAAAGAGTTGACAAGTTTATGATAGATTTGGATGGTACAGAAGACAAGTCCAAACTAGGAGCCAACAGTATTGTTGGAATTTCAATGGCAGTAGCTCGTGCCGCATCTGCTTATTTAAAGATTCCTTTGTACGAACACATAGCCAAACTCGCTGGTTCAAAAGAAAGCAACTGCCTCCCTGTGCCTTCATTTAACGTCTTAAATGGTGGAACACATGCGGGTGGAGACCTTGCTTTTCAAGAGTTCATGGTAATGCCAATTAAAGCTCCTACCTTTTCCGAGGGACTTCGTTGGTGTAGTGAAGTTTACCATAATTTGAAGTCACTTGCCAAACAAAAGTACGGTGCTTCGGCAGGAAACGTAGGAGATGAAGGAGGAATTGCTCCAGATTTAGCAACCGCAGAAGAGGCGTTGGATTTGATTAGCGAAGCAATAAAAAAGAGTGGATATGAAGGAAAAGTGAGAATTGGGTTTGATGTTGCTGCCTCAGAATTATATAACGGGAAGATATATGATTTGGATTTTAAGAGCTCAAAACCAAACCCAAGTAACCAACTTGATTACAAAAAACTGTACGAAAAGTATAACCAGCTGATTGAAAAATACAAGATTGTGTTTATTGAAGATCCTTTTGCAGAAGAAGACTGGGAGGCATTTTCGTTTATATCAAGCAACACGAAAGTACAAATTATAGCCGATGATTTGACAGTGACAAATACAAAGAGACTATCAAAAGCCATACAAGAAAAATGTGCAAATGCTCTTTTGGTAAAGATTAATCAAATTGGCTCTTTATCGGAAACCATTCAGGCTGCAAATATGGCAAAAAAGGCCGGCTGGGGTCTGATGGTCTCGCATCGCTCTGGTGAAACAGATGATGCTTTTATCTCCCATTTGACAATTGGTTTAGAAGCTGGTCAGATGAAGTCAGGAGCACCATGCAGATCGGAACGACTGGCCAAATATAATGAGTTGTTGCGAATTGAGGACCGTCTTGGATCAAATGCGGTATATGCTGGTACCAAAGCCGCTAACTATATCAAGTCCAATACTTTGTAAGATGACGAAAGGCTGTTTATGTTCAATATCTTATAAAGTATAAAAAGGAACAGTTTTAATGTAGTAAATCACTTTTAATGTAATAAATATCCGATACTAATATTATCTAGTATCGGTCGTCGGTGCTGCTATATATGTTTTGTTTTTTCTTCGGACATATTTATTGTTTTGTAGCCTTACGCAGTAGTATATGAAGCAACACCACGATTTATTTCAATAAAATATTCTAAAAATGTATGCTTGTTTTTGCTCCTCTTTAGCGTCTTCTTCAAATGACCAGTCTATATTGGAAGGTCATAACAATAATATATGACAAGTAATTAAGAATATTGAGAAAAAAATAGAAAAATTGTGTTATTTTGTTTATTTTCTGTTTATGGTTGAGCTCTTACTTTGACCTGTTTAAAGTGCTGTAGGAGTACATTGTTTTCTTATCCTAATTATCATTTGCCAATACAATTAGATGAAGCTAATTCGGAAGGGGACTTCGAATTCGTAAAGATTTGTAAACATGTTAATTTAAAATCTAGTAATAGTAAATTAGGGTGTTTTTGGTTAAGTAAAGGACGCCTCTTACAAATTCTTATTTCGTTACCGCATCCTTGGTGGGCAATTTAGCTCTGCTTGAGTCGGCGATTTCAGTCACCCATCGCAACTCCATTCACTGGAATCGTTTGGGTTCGTGGTATGTAAAGTTAAAGATTTTGCACTTTATCAGAAGAATTATTCGGCTTACCACTTATAAAAATTGTTAAAGGTTTTTAAAGTAGCGGCTTATAACATAGAAACAATGAAAGTACACCATTTGTAAAGCAACATCTTATTGTTCCTTCATGGTTTTTCCCTTTTCTAAGATATTTTTGTTTTTGGTAGCTTTGCCAATAACTTCTTCTACGTCTCCCTTAAGATGTTCAGCAGTTTTGGATTCCTCAGTAGGACGGCTTTGGTTGTCAACGCCCTCAGGATCAGGCTTGTCAGAGTAGCCTTCTGTACTGTTGGAATGATAACCATATGTTGAATCCGTTCCTGCGGATGCTTCTTCTTTTTCTTTTTCATCAAGGTTTGGATCCACCTGAATCAATTGAATTTTTGTTAACGACCAAATGAAGGAAAAGTCAACTCATACCATCGTGAAAATTTAAGTAATCAAGTTTAGCCTTGAGTAGCCTAAGTTTCAACCACAATTCTTGAGCTTGTACAGAAACTTGAAAGAGTAGGTGAGAATGTAGGATGTTTGATTAGAAGGTAAAGCAATCCTTGCTCATAGTCAGTCCTTTAGGCCGATTATGTCACAGTCCTTATGTCACAGAAGGACTCTCATTCTCCATGAAAAGAAACAAATCAATGGAAAAACAACGATCAGCTACAAGGATCTATGTTTAGAATTGGATATTTTAATACTATTTGGATGAATAGTAATTCGTTTCCAGGGACCTAATTCACTGGATAATCTATGTAGACTTTATGCAGCTGGATCAGTCAAATCTTCCAATCTGAAGATTTGAACTTCCAACTAGAGGTATAATGCATCTTTCCAAAACTGATTAAAGTTGTATGTTTTCTAGTTCTAGTATTTACTTATGTACACGTTTCTACGTACAGACTTACATCTCATTTTGATTTTCCTGTTCGATAATAAAAGTATTCGAAAATAGATTAGTATTATTATACTGAGATATTAATGACATCGTATAACGGTTATGAAAGTTAACATCTTTTTTGTATGTTTTCTGAAAGAAAAAGCATACAAATGATTGTAATAATCCTTTTCTTTCATTAAGTTTTAATATTTCCTTTCCTCATGTTCGAATTTTTTCGAAGCAAGTTTGTTCTCCTACATTCCGTTGCCGTTTGTTTTTTATTTTTCAATTCAAAGAACCCATGCTTGACAACCGTCAACTTGGGCCGAATTTTTTATAAGCATGACGGATCTTTTTCTTCATGATAAGCTCTTTAATCCCTACATAAACTAGAAATAAGGAAATAATCGAAAAATTAAATATCACTCTTATAACGCCATAAAGAGAAGAAATATAGATCATCCATATACCAATTTCAGATTCCACAAGTAGTGACTACTCGTCTGATATGATATTGGTCCTCAGACTTGGAAGGTTATGAAAAAAATGAAGTCGCATATTTAGAATTGTATCCATAACCACGAAAGTTAGACCAGTTCAAACTTCGGTAGATTGTTACATTCTTTTAAAAAAAAATTTTCAAATCATCTTTGTGAGGAAAAGGACCGTCTCTGGAAAGCCAACTTAGGAGCGAATGACAAGAAGTACCGTGAATCAGTCTGTGCCTTCCTCATGTCCGAAAATGTCTTTATTCATATTCCAAATTAGTGCTAATTTCTACATCCTGTAAGCCATTCGATTCTTCTCTTTTTCCATAAAAATGGGCATTTGTTGCTTCGAATAGAATCATGGCTATGCTATGGCTGACGCGACGAACTCTCTTTTCTAAATTCGCGCATTGTCATTGTCTTTTCTTTTTTTCCATCGCCTTCATCAAAATATCCAGTTATGGGGAAGTCTAGGTCAGGTACCGAAAAATAAGCAATCATTTGCCGTTCCCTTATATGTGGATCAATTTTGATTTGATGAACGGTGCTCTTTATTTTTCCACCTGTCCAAAATTCTAACATGTCTGAAACATTGACTCTAAAGAAAACTGTTAATAATCTTCATCTCCTACTTTTAATTTTCGGAAGGAATAGCTACTTACGAAATCACCTCTTTGTCAACAGAGACTCGAACCCACTCAGGATTAGAAAAACCTTGAGTTTGTGGAGGTTGAATTTGTAAACATCCATAGTCTCTTTGAAACAGCAAGGTAATGGTTCCATAATCAAAATGACTATCTGTATCCACATCGTCCTGTACGTGTCCTTTTCCCTCAGGGACCATGTATTCGATGAACCGAAGGAAGTCCTCAGTGGAGCTATGGTGTTTGCTGTAGGTATCCTTTGGTATCTCAAATCCAAGAGCAATCAATTCAAGGATTCTTAAGGAAAGACTATAACACTGTCTTTGAAACAGTTTTAGTTCAGGTAGTCGTTCACGGAATGATTGACTAAGTCCTTCAGGATTCGAGTTAGGAATTTCTGCGATATCATAGTACTCTTTTACAGCTCTATACTGTGGCTTTTGTGAATAAACGCCTTCACCTTGGTGTCTTGAATACCCTGACGGCAAATCACTTCCATGAAACACGTATTTCTCCTTCTCCTCGCTGGGTAGCTTGAAAAATTCATCGCTTTGTTTGAACAACACTTGTACGTCTTCTAGCCTGATTCCATGGTTTTTCAGTGTAAAAAATCCCCATTCTTTACAAGCGTCAGCAACCGATTTACTAAGAAGATTTGTATTCTGTTCTGACAAATCTATGCAAGGTAATTTCATGGATTTCATAAAATAAAGGATAAGAATAGAAAACAATTATACTTATAACAATATTAAATAGCGTCTATGTTGGCCTATATTATAAGCTTTTGCCTGGATAGAGAAGAGAATCTTTATTAAAGCGAACTTTGCCATATATGAGTCGTTATTTATTTGAGTTAAAACTTTAAGGAAAGAATAACAATACTTCATCTTTTACATCATACGCGCCCTTCGACGTCATTGTTTTGAACGTAACTATGACGGTTGGAGAGTTAGCTGCAACCCATGTAAAATGAGATGACATTGGATTCTATGGTTGAAAACTATGAAAAGACAGATAAACACTTTTTCAGAACAGAGAGCTGTGCGTACATGCTGTGATTTTTTATGTCTATACATTTGTCTATGATAAAAATGTGTAATCTCTATGACTCAAGATGTTAAGCTAGTAAGCACTTACGATTTCTAGTAGCTTAAGATAGGATGATAATTGTTTACTGCAACCTATTGCTCAATTTGGATACTATGCTATGCTACACACACGTCTGTAGTAGACTTAGAATTCACCGTTCAGTTCAAATTTAGCAAACTATGATAATACGAGAAAAAGATCTCCTCCCCATCCATAATGCGGATATATAAAGATACTAACTTGACATTATTTCAATTCAGAAATTGACTCCCGATTTACCTCACCGTTTGTATAAATTGCAATAGCGGCCTTCAAATATAAACAACAAAGACAGAAATTGCATAGGATGGAATCAAAGCAAAATAAAATATATATTACGCATTTCTTACCCAAATTGATGATTGAAAAGTTTTAAACAAGCGGCGGTTTCATTACGACTATGAGAAGGTGTTGTTTCTACCAAGCATAGCTTAGCCTTCACGGTTTTTATTAAGTTATATAGTTGTACTTCTACAGCTATGCGTTGGTGAAAATACCAGTTCCCATCTGATCATTATATCGAAGTTCGTAAGGTTTTCGTGTTAGTTCAATTCTTCGGTTGAAGACAGAATGAGCACTGGGGATGCTGTAGGCTTAGCAACTTTTCACGTTCTACTTGTTTCTATTTTTTTACCAAGTAGTAAATCATATAAAACCAAGGAAGCTTAAACAACAACTAGAAGTTGATAAATACATTTCGTTATTTTTGAGCTGTAGTTGACTTTGAAGTATTAGGAAACCGAAACACTAACGTATATATCCTCTGAATACATATATTAAAGCATATCACCATCAATAAATGTTCTACTCATGGGTGATAGACGTGTTTTCGTTCTTTCAAGGTGGCAGCGACAAAACGGCAACAGAACGCTTGTTATGAAGGTAGTCCTTGTTTTGAAAATTGTTTCCAAAATACTGAGTACAACGCTTCACTTCATTTCTGTATCTAATAGCGGCTGAAGCGAAAGATTCTGAATAAATGTAGTTTAACCGACCTGCTTAACCCCATATGAATCCCTGGCCAGAAGTTTGGAAAAAAAAGACATCGAAGCAATGATGAAATTCAGAATGATTATAAGACGCGAAAGTTATCTTCTCTTTGTCATATTTTCTATCAAGTAGACCAAATTAGCAACAGATTTCAAAAGAGCATAATCATCGTTATGATGACTGATCAGTGTAGGAACTCTCACGTTGGGGTCAAAACTCACTTTTTACAAGAAATACATTCAACCTTAAGTTTTGATGAACCTAATCTTTGGAAAACTTTCGTGGGGCCGCTGAATCAAAAACAAAGGGATTTCTTCTATATGGGTGAATCTATAATGAAAATGACATGAATGACTGGAGGAGTGAAACACTGTTTAGTCAAACAGTATCATAATACAACAAAATCAGTGGTGTCTTTGCTCCGTTCGTTTTCATTAGTAATACGGGAACCAGGAGTATTGCCCATTCCTCATTTCAAAATTAGAAGCAACGGTTTCAAATACATTCTTCGGCTTTAACTTAAGTAGAATTTTCTTCTTCGTTTGCATAATAAGTTCATTTTTGACTAATACCTCATCAGTTGTAATCAGCACCACTTAGCTTAATACACAGTCCCTCTTTATTAGCATTCAGGCATCAATGCCAAAGATAACTGTCAGTGTGCAGTGTACTTCCTTAATACTTTCTAGTAGCTTAGGAGCGTCTAGTACTTATTCTACTCCTGTCTTGACGAATACAGCAATAGTCTCGAATTTTGCGATGTCAATTTCTGCCAGTGTTTCTGGGTTTAAGGAAGTCATACCTCTTAAATTTCAAATAAACATCTATCAGGAAAGATGCTTCCTCAATACCTGCTGGTTGTTCATATCCAACATTAGTACTGCTCCCTTCAGTTCCTACTCGCATTTTAGTATTTAACAACAGTTATGTTCCTCGAGTCATAACTAGTAATAGCTCCATACATACTAGCACTTCAACGTTAGTCTTTCCTCTATTTGAGTGAGCAATTCACCCACTAGGCTTCTATTTCAGCACGGACAGTAACAATTATGTATTCATTATTGCTACTAGCTCTTCAGCTCCAAATAGAAAGCCACACGAACGGAAGATACTGCTTTTTGTTTTCCAATGGAGTTTTATAAAACGATGGTAGAAATTCCTCCCAAGCTTCCAATAGCTATACAGCCGCTGGTGCTTTTATTCCTTTGGCACCAATGTAGCAACAACATCGTACCTGCTATTGCTTCTACATACCTCAATTCTACCAGTGATTCAAGATTGAATGGAAGAGCTATTTCGGCTTCTGAGTCGATAAATACAATCACAACATCGCCGAACAGTACGTTGCCATTCTTCTACCACAGCTTCAACCTCTAGTGATAGCCCGGCTTCTTTAACTTCAATCAGTATGAACTCATAATTGACTGACACTACTGCTTCCCCTTCGGTATTTAATGGTAGTTTTTTTCTTCAGCTCCAATTAGCTCCAAAACCCGATAGTTCGACGGCCACTAGTGATTCCGCTTTTCCCCCTTCGATTAGCAAATTAGACCTCAATAACAATGCTACTCCACAGAACTTACTAGTACTACAGGAATTCGTAGTAGTTTTGTTGCTAGGATTCCAAATAGCAACAAGTCAGTATCTCTGTTGCCGTTCTCGGTGTCAATTAACAGACCAAATGTTAAAGGAAGCGCTACACAACTGTTGGGTTTTTAGCATTTTAAATTGTGCATTGTGAATTACAATAACAACGCCCACCAATATGCAGTCCCTTTCAACTAGCGTTATAGGGTTCAACGCTAATGGTTCTCCTACTTCTTTTTTGAAAAAAACCATCAATATTTCGGAACTTTACAACCGAGTCAACTCTTACCAGTATTCCGAGTTTAGGAATGATGTTATTCCTAGATGTCAAGTAGTCATAGCTAGTTATACACTGGTAGTACTATTCGACTAGCTCAGAATAATAACAACTCAATACCTAACATTGATGCTGTTTCTTCATATCCAATTATAATGCCAACACCCAAGATCGGTAACGCTTCTTACAACCCTCTAAGCATTTCAGGATCCAATGATAGATTTGCTTCGCGGGATCTAACTAGTAATACCATCGTTTTCTGTAACACTTCAGTAAGAAACAGCGTTTCGGCTTTTCTCCACAAGGAGTGCTACTCATTGGCTACCAGTGGCAATGCTTCTTTCATTTTTTCATCGACAAACACGACATCATCTGTTCCTACTATTATTTTCGAACCTCATCGTAATTTTTCTTCTTTAAGTTCGATTAGCAACAGCGCTTTACCTGCTACTACATCTGCCTCTAAAGCTCCAAGCAGTACCAGCTTTTATTTTTGCTTCCTTCGAACCTTATAGTGTAAGTGATGATTTTACTTATCCAGTGCAACATGGGTTTTGGCTCCATACGTAGTACTGCATCCTCCAATCGTATTACCACTTGCAGATTCAGCGGCAGTTTTAGTTTTCAGATCCCATACAGTGAATTCCCAATATTCAAAAGGATATACAGCTCATTAGCTCCTCTTACTAATACAAATTCTCCTCATATCACTACTCCTCAAGCTCGATAAGCACTTCAACTGGTATAGATGATAATTTGGCTTTTAGACTGTTGAGTACGTCCAAAACAGGACCTCAAGTACCACTGTTACTTCCGCTGATCTCACATGATCAATTTCTAGTTCGTTTCTTCCTTATTCCGATGTTTTACTTAATACTTAGAACATCAAGTACGGAAACCCTCCCACTGGTAGTCCCCTGTCCATTAGGATCTTATTTCCTCTAGCAAAATTCTCGGAATTTTGTAGCTCCTAACTTATCTAAATTTTAAACTTATAATGCTAGTGCTGGTACAATGTTTAACTCGGAAGCCGTTAGCATTAACAGCCAGTCGTAGAATATTGTATGAGCGGCATTATTTTCTTTTCTTGTGTTCCTTGTTTTCTTTGTTAATTTCTAGGTATTTTCTTGATCTGTTTATTAGGATTCCAGGAATTAGAGTGTTACATTTTTATATGCGTTGAAGTAAGTAGCCTTGAGACACGTTCCAACCGAATATTCCAAGTTTGCTTCTCATAGTCATAACCGTTATACGGTATCATTAATATTTCTATATTATAATATTATTTTATAATCGAATACTTTTATTATCGAACAGAAAAACCAAAATGAGATGTAAGTCTGTACGTAGAAACGTGTACATAAGTAAATACTAGAACTAGAAAACATACAACTTTAATCAGTTTTGGAAAGATGCATTACACCTCTAGTTGGAAGTTCAAATCTTCAGATTGGAAGATTTGACTGATCCAGCTGCATAAAGTCTACATAGATTATCCAGTGAATTAGGTCCCTGGAAACGAATTACTATTCATCCAAATAGTATTAAAATATCCAATTCTAAACATAGATCCTTGTAGCTGATCGTTGTTTTCCATTGATTTGTTTCTTTTCATGGAGAATGAGAGTCCATCTCTGACACTTCCAATTTTAGTAAGGACATTCGAAGTTCTTGATCCGTTAAGCCGACCGAAACTTTTCAATAAAGTATCAAGATCTGAAGAATATAAACCAGCTCTAATAATAAAAAAAAGAAAAGCATTTGCATTTCATGATTTCAGTTAGCTTAAATTCTTTATTTGCTTAGATAACATAAACAAAGCGTTACGTTACTTCTCAGAGAGCCAAGTACCGCTCACGCGTAGCTGGAACTTTTAGTCAACGCAAATATAGTTTAGCGAAGAATACCGAAGGAATACGAATTTGGGAAAGCTGCTATTTTACCGCTACAAAACATTTTGGTCTGCGATTGTGGGCTCGTTTTCTAGGTTTTTAGAGATGGTTTTAAACTTGTTTTTCAACTTTATCGTCAATTAATTTAGATGATTTCTTTTAACACTTGTACAATTTTGGGTCCTTATAACACGTAACTCGATTAGTTTCGAAGAATCCTACTTACCAAGCAAAGGTGATTGAGGAACGTTTATTGCCTCAATACTTTCAACAGAAATGGAAGAAAAAGAAAGAGAAATGCATTTAGAGGATGTGAAACCCTCTCAATTGAGTCCTGCGACTTCTGACAGTAGTTTACCCAAATACAGTCAAAACACTAATTCCCATCTATACGACATGGAAAGGAAGTTTATGTTTAGACAACGATCCAATTCCACCATATCCTAGGAAGGATTGTAAATTGGTTCCATTTTTTATGGAATTCAAGAAGCTAGCTCGAAGTTTATTCGATTCATTGTTATCGTTAGTTTGTTTCCCTCAAACTATGCAAGGATCTCGCAGGCTGTTGAAGAAGAGAAAAATAAACCTGTTTCATTTAGGCGGTGTTTTATCTTTATAGTCGTGCTAAACTTTACGTTTTCATACTTTTTCCTTTTCCCCTTCCTAAATGAATCAATGGCAGGCAAGTTCGGGTTTTGGTTTCGATATGGTACAGCGTTTTACTAAGTCCTCATAACTTTCTGGATTTGCATGTTTGTTGTGTCATGTAAATCTTTAAGTGATTGTTGGATTAGATGTGTTTACTAAAGGGCAATGATTAGTTTTACTGGACTTAATCATTCTATGCCCAGCTTCGACCGCTAAGAAGAAAAGATGTATCGACGAATGAAAATCAATTCCACCGGTGAATGCCAACGAGATTTGAAAAGTCTGCCATTGATCGTAATGATGTCAATACTGAACCTTCATCTTTTGAATTTTTTGAGCAATATGTAAAATACATAAGAAACCAAGTTAGTCTCAGGGCGTTGAAAACTTCAGGAGGTGCGTCTGATATTTGAAGCATTCTTTAGAAAGATGCCAGATCTATTTTTACTTGACGGATCAGTAGCAAGCATATGTTTATCATTATTTTTGTTTATTGTTGCTCTTCTTCCTATAAGTTTTGCATGTCGCTCTGCAGCCGCCGCTGGATAGTACCGTTGAGTGTCCCTTTGATTAGGGTTATTTCTTTTTTATTGATCATAATTATTAGAAGTTTAGGGTTACCGCTATAGAAATAAGAATTAATGTCGCTTTTTTTCCTCCACATGTCTAGTAACGCCTGTTGGGTTAAGCATGTTTTGACCATCCAGCTGTTCTCCGAATAAAAAACAAAGAAAAAGAAAAGAGAATATCACAAACATTCAAATCAAAAAAATCATTAGTCTTCCAATATTGTTTCACCTACTCGCATCGCAATCCTAACTATATCTTGCTTCCAATGCGTTTTTGTCTTTTTTTTTATTTCTCGGATTTTTCCATAGTCGATAGTAACGTATGATGCATTTATAGTTTCTTTGTTCACTGAAATGCCAAGTGATATGTATACAGACAAGCGTAATTATTTACACAAGTTTTGCTGCACCTATGATGATAATTTCTTCATTCATAGAAAAAAGCAAAACAGTAGGGAGAATGAATGAACAAATATTTCTTTCTACTTTACTTCAAAGAAAAAATTTTGATTTTCCTCATTGAAATAGGAAACTTGGATGCAATACAATACAATGGCTGTGTTTTGGAAGCATCTTGTTCTTAAGCTTTCCAGATTGTTGCCATGTATGATCGATCAGAGAGCAACTCAATTCATCTGTGCTCCTCAGATGACGAAGTGAATCACCAATATGTTTCTTCCTGGAATACTCTGACTAAATAATTTAATTTTTAATATTGGTTTACTTTATTAAAGTTTACTTGGTTGTTTCCAAGATCATTGTATCTTTAGCAGTCCGGTTTTCTCGTGCAATAAATACATAAATAATTTTGGTTTATATATTCGATAGATTCTCTTGCTTGAAAGCATATTTCAAGTATCAAACACTTGACTCTTCTGACTCAGTATATTGTTACATTGCATTGCATCTTTTTGGTAGTTTCTTTTTCTTTCTTTTGAATTACTACGTCAGCACCTATTCATTTTGAAAGTGTGTTGGAAGTACGTGCACCGTTTGAAACGTTTATTAACATTATCAATGTAGTTATTGTTTTGTTTTTGAATTCTTTACAATGAAGTTTTTGCCGTCTACTGCTTTTTTGCTTTCTCTTCTTAGTGCCACCGGTGTCTTTGCTTCTCCGGTACCTGCTACTGCAAGCACTAAATATGAGTTGTCACCCAAGAAAAAATTTGGTATCATGAGTTTTCACTCCGGTAATTTCAATGTCCATCTTCATCCGTTCTTTGTTGGCGAGTCAGGACATGTCTATTTGACCCAATATGATAATGCTGATCAGGTTAATGAGTTTTATCTTAAAGACAGTCAATTATTCCATAAGGATGAGATTGCTTCTCTTGACAAGGATGGAGCTCTTGTCTTTAAATCCTCTAATAACTCTTCCTTGACCGGTTTTAACACTAAGCAACTTACCACTGGCATCGGCTACGAATTCCGTTTAAACACTAGTTTCCCAGTTGCATGCCATGTTCCAAACACCAATGAAGTTTATCAAATTTATTATGGAAGAGAGAATCATACCAGTGAGTGTGTTGGTATCGCTACGGAGCTTATTATTCCCTAAACGGTTTGTCATTGTCAGATGTTTTTATCGGTACATCGCATATCCTTCCAGAAAAGATTTGCATTTGATTCATCTGGATACTATTTAGCATCAAAATACAAGTCTTTTTATAATCTATATTCTTATTTTCCATTTACTTTATTTTGATAGATCATATTCCATTGAGTATAAACAAAATCTAAATATCTGATAAAGTATTCATCAAGTAAATTTACTGTATTTTTGGCATTTTAAATGTATCCATATAACTTGCTTTATTTTAACATTTATATTTCTTTGCTATGTGCTTGTTCTAACTATTCCTTTCCTAAAAAAAGCCAAGCTTTCTCAATTTCTAAAAACAAGGATGTGGGAGTTTTCAGTGATTTAACAGAATTTGTCACTGATTCTTCCTTGTGACATCTATCAACTTGGAGTTTCCACGAGTCAAACCTGACACTTTGTGTTGGACTAGAAGAATTTTTTTGCTATCCTTACGTATTCATTAGGATTTCACGTTCCTGTAAAGCTATAGCTAAAGGACAATTCATCTGATTTGATTTAAATAAAAAATCTAGCCTCTCTTTTTTCTATGAGAGCATACGGATCGATGTTTATTTTTCTTTTTTATCAGATCATAGCAAATTAAAGCCAGATTAGATAAGAAGATTAGATCTAACACATTGTGCTATTAAGAAAAATCTCTCACATATGCGAAACCAAAAGTTCAACAATTTGCGACGGTCGTACAGTTAATATATTTATTTAGTTCTTAATCTTTATTTATTTTTTCCTTTTACTAACTAAATAGGAAAATCATTCTATCAATAAGCCGTCACATATGATCGGAGTTTTTATTTTTTATATTCCGAGACAAAATTTTTCTTCGCATTTTAAAGACACGGTATTCAGGGTCTGGCCCAAATTTGTTACTTCAATCTTTGCAGTGAAACTTCTCTGTACTGTCCATGTTGTCTTGGGATCAGATATAAATAAAGGACCATCCCCCAAATTTTCTGTGCTAAGCTAAGTAAGGTATTATTAAAGTCAGAGTAAAGTATTCAACTCCAATTCAAAAAAACAAAGTATAGTTGAACAGAATTGAAAAATTTCACCACGAATAGGTAATTTTTCGAAAGTTTCTGTTCTTTTTGCTTTCCTTTTCTTTTTTTACCAACAAAGTTCGTAAACTATTACAACCGTAAATTTTTTGCAAAGTAGCGAACTCGCTATCCCTGTCTCTTTTCGTTCTAATTGTCAAGGTTTGCATCATTCATTGAATATAAATAAAAGTTCTTTACATTATTACCATGTCTTCTAGTGATCCTGATGCGTCTTGGAACATTCACGAAGTGCAGGAGGTTCAATCTGCAACCGCACATCCCGAGACTTATACATTGTCAAGTAAGAACAATGTATCGCAAAACGAGGGAGTTTTTCATTCCCTATCAGATCTAAATCATCGGACATCAACCCATTCGCAACAGCAAACGTCTTCTTCTTTTATACCTCGGGATGATGATGATACTGGTAAAAACTCGATCCTTCAAAATAAGCTTTCGGAAACCTCAGAGAAGGAAGCTTGGATACCTGCAGATGCAGCAGAGAGAGGAGATATTGAGAATCAAGATCCTTCTGGAAAAATATATCCAAGAGTTAATGATCCTGATGCTTTTATTTATACAATTAACCCAGATTCTCCACATCTTGCTGTTAATTGGCCCTTTTCTCGTAAACTAAGGACTACGGCTGTATATTCTTGGGCTGCGTTTTGTTCTACCTATGCTTCATCAGTTTTTTCCGGTCCTACAGAAGTTCTTCCTAAATTGTATCATATTGGCATGACAGTCTCTCTTCTAGGTACTAGTTTGTTCATTTGCGGTTACGGTTGTGGCCCAGTCGTCTGGGGTCCGCTGTCAGAGTTATTTGGTAGAAAATCACCTGTGGCTGTCGGTATGTTTGGCTTTGCCATTTTCAACATTGCAGTGGCCGTTGCCAAAGATATCCAGACAATCATGATTTGTCGATTCTTTAGTGGTTTCTGTGCTAGTAGTCCTATGGCAATTGTCGCTGCTGCTTTCGCGGACATGTATTCCAACCGACATCGGGGTACTGCTATCACGATCTTCGCTGCCCTAGTCTTCGGTGGCCCTTTACTATCCCCGATCATCAGCGGATTTATTACGAAATCTTATTTGGGCTGGAGATGGACCGAGTACATTACTTCATTCATGGGATTCTTTGCTGTTGTGATTGTCGTCTTTTGTTGCGAAGAAACTTATGCAAAGAAAATTGTAGAGAACAGTGCTCAACTCTATCGTTCGCGAAATAACAACTACTTTGTGCATGCCTTGACAGAGGAACAGACGCTAACTCCTCAAAGTGTACTCAAAAACTATTTGTTGATTCCTATCAAGCTTTTATTTACGGAGCCGATTGTCTTCTTGGTTACACTCTATTCTTCTTTTGTATATGGTATTCTATACTTGCTTTTGGAAGCATATCCAATTATTTTTTCTGAAAAACGCCATTTCTCCATGGGTGTTGCTGAACTCCCTTACATTGGTTTGTTGGTGGGCGTGTTTATTGGCAGCGGTATCAATATTGCTTTTGAGCCTTGGTACTTTCGACAGGTGTTAAAGCTTGGTGGAAAGCCGTATCCGGAGGGTCGTCTTCCACCCTTGATTATAGGTGCCTTCATCTTTCCTGCTGGTATATTTTGGATGGCATGGTCAGGTAACTATACACATGTTCATTGGGTCGTACCTAGTTTGTCTGGTTTGCTTACTGGAGCTGGAATTTTGCTGATTTTCTTGAATTGTTTAAACTATTTAATTGATGCTTATTTGTTTCGCGCCGCCTCGGCGATGGCTGCTAACACAATGATGCGTAGTTCTGTTGCTGCAGGATTTCCTCTTTTTGCTATTCAAATGTTTCATAACTTGGGTATTGGCTGGGCTGGATCTGTTTTAGGTTTCATCGCTATTGCCTTAATCCCAGTTCCCATCGTTTTCTACTTTTTTGGTAGAAAAATTCGTTCTTGGAGTAAAATGACCGTCGTGATGTGAACATGAGATGAGTATTTCTTTCAATTCATCTCAACCTGTTTTGTATACTAGCGAAGCCATTCCAGAAACGAATGACTCACAATTTGGAAATCTTTTGCTTTGACCACTAGATTGTGAATTCCTTTTAGCTTTTGTTTTAATTTATTTTTCTTTGTTTTGCTTTGGCTTTGGTACGACGTGCTGTATTTTCATTCGGTTTGACGAGAGAATCCTCGAGAATGTTTAATTGATATGCTGATAGCCTGTTATTCTGTTTTTGTTGTTTAATCTCCGCAGATATGCATTAAAGTACTTTTTCAATCTCTCGTTGATATAACTTTTGAATCATAATATGTGGCATCCGGAATATATAATGCAACTGACTGATATATCTCGCTTCAGTCATATGTACTCGACAAAGTTACGAAGAGATCCCTTATTGGGAAAAAGACATACCATTGGTATGAGTGAAGTAAGGTAAGCTCATACTGTTGGAATGTGTTTTGTCCTAGTATTGGATTATTTATATGCATTTCAATGTTCTACTCATTTTAAAACAAGAAGAATATTTGATGTAAGAAGAGTTGAAACGAAACAAAGCAGAACTAAACTAAACTAAACTGAATGATTAGAATAAAGGGACAGAATAGAATAAAAGACTTTATTGACCATAAAATTAGCAAAATATAAAAGCATACAGCACTTCGGATTCTCTTGTTGTCTCCAACCATAGTACTAACGAGCCTTCAGACGGTTTTCACTTGCTGCAGTGATCGATCGGGAACTGGTGTGCTGTTTTTGCCTAGGTATAGCCGTAAACATTTGTTCCCGTCGGTAAGATTACTACAAGCTCAGTTGTGATCCAGTAAGGGCGTTCTTACATTTTGTAGTAAAAGACTCTTCTGTATGTTGACATTGCAATATTCCGGCCTTGACTACATTTATAAAAGACATGCGATTACACGGCACTCTGTTGAAGCTATAGTTAATCACGGCAGAATTTTCGTTAAAGTACTTAAATAATCATTAAAGAGGGTGTTCGATTCTATTCACGAAGCATAAACAACGATATTGCGTAACGAATTAAAAAGATTCATGGAAGAGTGAATGAGAAAAGCAACTTAAGCCGTCTTATTAAGATAATGCTTACTTTGGGGGATGGTGCGAATGCAAAGTTGATGGACTGCAATATTGACATGTATACTTCCAAAGAAAATGCAAATTATGAAAACGTAAACCAGGTTCGTTAAAATTCAAACTTCACCACTTTGCTCAGCAAGAGGTTGAAGTTCGATTTCTTCGTTCTGAGGTACTTCATCTCCTTGATTTCTTCCTTTTAACTTGGTTAATAATTGCTCTATGATAGGAAGCATTTACGTAGTGTACATACCAAAAACACGATTCACAGTATGCCGTTTCCTATGGCATTTGCGCCGTTACCTATATCAATGACTAATAATCTAAGTCGTTCACGGGCAATTGGATTCACTAGAACAGTTAGAATATTTCGCAGGTTGTATGGCATACTCGAAATAAAAAGAAACAAGACAAAATCAACAAAGCAAACAACGTAGAGAAAAAGATTATTTATCTTTTCAAATTGTATTATCTTCTTTGCAGTATAATACATGGCGAAACCGGGGACATTGAGAAAACACACATATAATGCTGAAACACACATATTGAACCCAGCTTGCCTGTACCATTCTGGATACGTTACAAGAATCGCTAAAAATAGGTCAGTTATTCGAGAACAAATATTCTTAACTTACTTAATAGGAAAATAAAAATAGATCCAATAGAAACGCCAGCAAGCCCATAAAAAGCTCTTGAATATGGAGAAACCTTGTAACCAAAATTATGGCTAGAAAAACAAGATTATATAAAATCGTTATAATAGTCATTATGCCTGCGGCAAAGGTTTTCCAACATTCTTTGTTCGCTGAAGGGTCCGACCTAGTGTTATCAACAGATTCTTGGGCGGAATTCTGAGCGGATCCGTCAGCCATTTCTAAATCGATAAATTTGTTTGAAGCTAATGAATGTATTAGCAACTGAAGTTTTCGTTCTTTGTGAAAGGAAGGAGGCGTTCGTCCTGTTGTTGACAATTATCGACAAGGTTAAAAACAACAAACAAATAAACAAATAGGATTCCTCAGTAAGAAATCTCCATAACTGGATTACAAACAGGGAACATAAACAAACACCATTACCTTTCTATTTCAATAAATCTTACCTGAATAAGGAGGAGGCGTACCATCTGAAGAATGGATGTCTGCCTTTTCATCAATGAGTGTTTTGAAAGACTCGTCAGAGTCTGAAACAGGAGTGTATTTATTCTTCATTTTTGCAATGACAAGCCAAAAACCAAAAAGAACGGCAATATTTAGAGTTGAAAAAGAAATCGACTAGAATCACCAAGAAAAGGTCCGTAGAAACCGCTTCCAGTTTTCACAGATTTTTCAAAAATAGGAATTGGTTCTTGCTTCAAAAAGCAAACAATCCTTACGGAACAACTGTCTTTAAAACCAAAGATACGAGTTTCATAAAATCTTGGTAGTGGCTTTTCGCATGTCTCGTTTCATAGAAGCTGCGACATTATGTCACGGACTGGTCACATTTCTCGCTACGATTTACGTCCTTGTCATACTATGATATTGGTAAATATTTCGATACGATAATCATATTGTATAATCAATTATAATATTACTAAAAGTAAAGTCTCATTCTTTGATTGAATATTGCAAATTCTAAAATTTGGATTATTAAAAAACTTACTAATTACTGAAATACTTGCATATATATTTAGTGGAAAAGATTGAATCTTCAGAGTGGGACATTTGACTGATCTAGCTAAATACATTGTTCGTATACTTTGTTTCCGTATCAGGTCCCTGGAAGCCATTACTAGTTAGAAAATAGTATAGAATCATCCACTTTAGCAAGTTAAGCCTGAATTTTTTTCAAATAGAAATGTATACTCTTTCAATGATACCCTTATTCTCAAATAACAAACGAGATTTGACAGTGACAGTGACAAAATTTATCATTCAAGATTCACTCATTGTTTATTTCTAATAATAATATTTATTTATCTACTTTATTTACTATGCCTTTCGAGTTTTAAGTTTTGTTTTTCACCTGTTTCATCAAAAATGCCCATTATCACTTCCAGAAACCAAGGTTGTAGGCTTTCCTGGAGTAACCCAGCAGACTCTATTGCTGATTCCTTCTTCCTCAAAATTTCGATTTAATTCTTCTTTACATTGAGTAAAATGACTCCATCCTTCGAAATGAATAGGTACCATCAGCCCAACATCCAGATCTTTGACTAGTCTCCCAGCTTGTTTACCATCCATAGTAATCTGCAGCGGTCCATCGTGAGAAGGCATAATGGCCTTTCCAAGATTCAGGATAGCAACGCATACATGATACTTTTTACGAATTTCGTTCATTTCGTCAATGTAAACCGTATCACCAGAAAAGTAAATCACATTTGAAAGTCCTTTAGAATTTGTACCGAATGTGTCGCACTCCAAGATAAAACCGGTGCACTCTCCTCCCGGAACATGTCTTGTAGGTACCCCGGTAACTTGAAAGGTTTTCCCACCCACCTCAAGTGGAATTGTCTCCCATGGGCGAATGCCACGAACACCTGGTCGAGGTTGGAGATTCTTTGCACCATCCATAGTGGTAATGACTTTACGGCCATCTAAAAGACGACGTCCAAGATCATCCAAATTATCTGCATGATCTTCGTGACTTAAAAGTACTGCATCAATAGGTGGTAAACTTTCCAATCCCAAGGCAGGATCAAAGCTATTTTGCAAAACAACTGATCCATCCTTTAGAGCTTTTGATTCTTGATTCATTTTCGTTATCGATACTGAGAATACATTATCGATACTGAGAATAGCAGTGGCAGTCGTAAGGTGGGTAATGCTCACTTTGCTGTAACAGGAGATTCCAGAAGTTTTTCTTTTCTTTTAGAATACAAAGGAAGTATATAAAACATTTCTCCTAATAAATTACATAGATAAATTACATAAGCCGAAATCCGCATAACATAAGCCGAAATCCGCATACCGCATAAAGCATACCTGGTGCGCGGGAGAAAGTCATTGAGTGTAGGGTCCAATCGACATCGGGGTACTGCTATCACGTCCTTTGCTGCCCTAGTATTTGAGGGACCTTTACTATCTCCGTCATTAGTAGGATTATTAGAAAATAGTATTTGGATTGGGATAAAGCCGGTACCTTATTTCGTTCATTAGGACTCTTTTCTGTTGTTCTTGTAGTCTTTCAATTGCGAGGAGACCTAAGCAAAAAAGATTGTTGAAAACAACACTCAAGCATACAGTTTCCGATGACAACTATTTTGCGGGTGCCGAGACGGAGGACAGATATCAATCCCTAAAAATGTTCTCAGTATCTATTTATCAGTTTCCATGAAGCTTTTAATTACGGAATTCCTTGTCTTCTTGGTTATACTCTACCTTTCGTTTGTATATGGTATTTTATACTTGCTTTTGGAAGCGTATCCACCTATATCTTTTCCGAAAAAGATCATTTCTCTATCCGGAAGGTCCGACCGTCCCTCACTTAATTATAGGAGCCTTCATCTTCCCTGCGGGTAATTTTTGGATGGCATGGTCAGGTAAATTATACATATTTTCATTGGGTCGTACCTAGTTTGTCTGGTTTGCTTAGTGGAGCTGGAAGTTTGCTGATTTTCTTGAATTGTTTCAACTATTTAATTGATGCTTATTTGTTCCGTGCCGCCTCGACGATGGCTGCTAACACAATGATGCGCAGTTGTGTTTGCAGAATTTCCTATTTTGCTATTCGAGTGTTTCATAACTTGGGTGTCGACTGGACTGGATTTGCTTTAGTTTTCATCGCTATCACGTTGATTCCCGTCCCATCGTTTTCTATTTTTTGGTAGAAAAATTCGTTCTTGGAGTAAAATGACCGTCGTGATATGAAGATGAGATGAATGCTTGTTTCATTTTATCTCAGTTGGTTTGTATTACTTACTCGCGAATTTTTATTCAACAAAGATAGCTTATAATAGTAATATTTTACGTCTACCACCGAAATGTGAGTTTCGTTTCAGTTTTTGCTTTGCTCAGGTGAAAGAAGCCCCAAATCTATTTATCGAATGTGCTAATAGTCTGATATTTGTTTTGTTGTTGTATGTCCATAGATATGGATTCAAAGTACTTTTTCAATCTCTCATTGATATAAGTTTTGAATCATAATATGTGGCTTCCGGATTTATATTATGCAACTGACTGATATATCTCACTTCAGTCGTATGTACTCGTACAAAGTTACGAAGAGATCTCTTATTGGGAAAAAGACATACCATTGGTATGAGTGAAGTAAGGTAAGCTCATACTGTTGGAATGTGTTTTTCTTAGTATTGGATTATTTATATGCATTTCAACGTTCTATTCGTTTTAAAACAAGAAGAATATTTGCTATGTAAGACGGGTTGAAACGAAACAAAGCAGAACTAAACTAAACTAAATTAAACTGAATAATTAGAATAAAGGGACAGAATAGAATAAAAGATATTTGTTTCGCCTAGGTGTGGCCGTAGACGTTTGTAGTCGTCTACAAAGCTACTTCTACTATAAAGGATTCGTCCAGTATTCTATTACATCTGATGTCGTTTAAAAGCATTTCTACTCGGCTCTAAATTTTGGTTGTTTTCCACGGAAGAATGGAGAATGCCTTCATATTATAAAAATAAGATTTGAATACAAACTGTCATTCTCTATTTTCTTGATTCACATTGTTGTCGAAAAAGCATCAGAATGAGTGTTAAAATGAGCGTTTGGGTTTATGGGTTGAGAATGTAGTTTATACAAATTGGGTTCTACTTGCAATATTTCATCTTCCGTTGATTTGACTCTCTAAATGAATGTTTAATCAATGTATTAAGATATATCTGATCTTTTGATCTTTTTGATCTGAAGATTCGTGCTTGCTATACTGAATGAAAATAATAACTGTCGAAACTCTCATTCATCCTTGTCAACTCTAAGACATAATCAATTACACGACTCGGTGTTGAACTAAACAATAGCTCATTGCCATGCAATATTCGTTGCCAAAATCATGAAATAATCATTAAAAAGGATGTTCTATTCGGAATGCGAAGAAATGAACGATGCATAAACAACAGTGCTGTGAACTAATTAGAAAAGTCGTAAAAGAGTGAATTGCTAAAGCAATCAAAGTTTGCTGGATTTATCAGATTCAAGCTTTTGCGACAGCGAATACAGGGATCTTGGTGAACTGCAATTGACATCGATGATCCCAAGGAAGGGGCGAAGGCGAAGTACAAAAATGAAAGCAGGTTCGGTGAAACTCACACTCACATTCAAACTTCAGAGCTTTGATCAGCAAGAGGTTGAAGTTCGGTTTCTTCGTTACGAGGTGGACGATTCCTGCTAATCCTGTTGTTCTGCAAAATTAATGAAAAATTCTAGATTAACAAAACTAAATTTCGCTTACTGTAGGTACGATAATTGTCATATTTCCAAATCCAATTGGGTTTCCTAAAGAAGTTAGAAAGGTTCATAGAAAATTGCAACTTACGAATGAGAAGAACAAACAAGCATATGTTCAATACGGCCAAAACAACCAACACCATGGCTGAATGTATATATTCGAAGCCTCCTGCTAATTTCAAAACATACCCCCGACTCCATTCAAACTTATCAGGGTAATTAGCGCTTTACATACAGCTGGTGTGAATTTCTTAATGCACTTCTTTGTTGCTCTTCCAGCTTCCCTGTACCATTCCGGACAGATATAAAGAATTGCTAAAAATTAGCGAGCGGTCCTGAACAAGATATTGTAGACTTACCAAGGAGAGAAGTACAAATAGATCCAATAGAGCTGCCAGCAAGACCATAAAAAGTGTTCGAATACAGAGAAACGTTGTAACCAAAACTATGGCTATAAATACAATATTATATATAATAGTTATAATGGTCACTGTTCCTATGACAGGTGTTTTCCACCACTGTTTATTTGGCGAAGGGTCAGACCTAATATTATTTTCGGATAATTCGGCGGAATTCTGAGCGGATCCGTCAGCCATTTCTAAATCGATAAATTTGTTTGAAGCTAATGAATGTATTAGCAACTGAAGTTTTCGTTGTATACGAGAGAATGAAGGTATTCGCCCTGTTTATTGACAATCGTCGACAAGTTTATTCATTTCAAACCCAACTAGTAATAAACAAAGGGATTCTCCGTCAAAATTTGAATAATTGGATTCCAAACAGGGAGGGGGAGTACCCTCTGAAGAACGGGTGTCTGCCTTTTC